TATTAACTAAATAATGTTACGAACTGGCTGTTAAGCAACGTGAGTATACACAAGTGCGTGTCAATACTTACCGCAAGCCGTTATCCTGCAACGGTACCGTCGCCGTCCGGGCCTTACACGGGCTAGAGTCTTTAGGGATCCTTGCACGGTAATTACTAATGCTTGAGTCAGGGGTTCGCTAGTAGGCCAGTCACGAGTGAGGTTATCACGAGTGAGTTCTCCTAACTAGTTGGGTTTGTCTTCAAGGGTTCGATTGTGATCAAAGCAAAGTATCAATCTGATTCGTACTGTAGAGTCCAATAACAATAAGTGAAATAATCGCGAAGAACTAAATACATGATGCGGGTAAACAGTGTCCTTATATATCTAGTCCTCCCTAGTGTCCGTTCCTGTCCCTAGGACAGGTCCGTTCCTGCTGTCAGGTCCGTTCCGTTCGAACGGACAGGATCTATTGTTGGAATAGTCCTTGGTCATGTGCCGTGGGCCAGAAGTGGCCTCCCGTGCACCGTCATATCCTTATAACCGGTATACTTTCAGACGGTAAGTAACAGGCCATATTTGGCTCCCATTAGTGCCTTAGGCACCAACGTAGCTCTGCACCCTTCTAGGCCGTGCGTCCATCATGGCCGGTCGTCCGCACTTGGTCCGACCGCCGACTGATTGGTTCATAGCTGTTCCTGGGAGATCCCTCCGTAGTGGGTCCGTAACAAATAATTAATCTTTATAAGATAAGAAGTATTAAGAACTTAGCTAAAAAGACCTTACCTAGATATATACTTTAGTTCCACTATAGTTATTATTGTCAGGGTGCGGACTTGGCAGGGTTATAATAGGAGAAGATCGACACGACCTGATCCTGTCGATCTTCTGTTAGATCACGTGGTCTGTATAGTTCAGACCAAGGTGGCTAGGTAGATAGCTCTCGACGTGTCGGGGCAGACTTCCCCTCTGCGCGCTTCCCCCCATACGTGTTCTTTCCTGTAGCTGTTCCAAAGGCACACCTCCTAACATCTTCTCCTATTATAACCCTGCCAAGTCCGCACCCTGACACTATACATTATATAAGAGCTTAAATTTAGGTATTAAAAGCCTATATATATAGACCAGAAATTCTATAAAAGTAAAGAGTATTATGAGAGAATAGTCTTATTAACTATTAATTAGTAACTTCTCCTAAGCCCCCAGAATCTTTAACAAAGTCCTTAGTCCTTCAACTCACCAATCGATAGTATCACTCTGGACCGAATTTCCAATCTTATATCGTCTATTCCACCAGAAGCTCTTTGCAAAATTTCCAGCATGTGTCACCAAAAGGACATACAATCATATCCATATTATAATCAACGCGAGCAACCTGGCTACGATAAGGTAAATAATAACAAGATTTCATGTTTCGTGCTCATTCAGTCTCAGATCCTACTCAAAGAAAAGTCAGATTTGAGATATCTCTGATGAAGATTCAACATAAGTTTAGCAAGCTGTAACTAGAGAACCAGAATTGATACGCATGATGCACGGATGCGCCAGAGACAAAGCTTTTATGCAGGCCCACTTGGAGCAGATTACGCAGGAGAGAGATTCTAAAGAGTATCAGAACGATTTGCTCAAAAAGCGAGTCAGGGAGCTAGAGTTTAACATATCAAATAAGATTGGAAGCGGTGGCAGCTGGCAGACTGTCGTGTTTTTGGCATATGGCAAAAATGTGAGGGCTACGATATAATCCAGATATTCAAAGCATTTGCTTCACGTGAAGTAGGTGTGTGTAGCGTGTGTTGTACATGTATATATATATACACGTACAAGAGAATTCACTTTTTCCTTTACGTAAAATACGTGACACAGTCTTATGTATTCAAGATCCAGATCCTTTGCAGCATTCCGAATTCAAGATTTGATATCACCTGCTCTGGGTCTACCCGAAGGATATCCTGGTTGGTGATGAGAATGGCGTGGTTGTTGTGCCACCATCATTACTTGAGTAAGTCGTAGAGATATGCGCAGAGAGATTTGAGATTGATGAGAAAATTATGAAGGCTCTCCGAGCGGGTGAGTCTTTGGGCGCAACTATCGAACGACTACGCAAGTAGTTTCCTTGCTATCAGCATCAAATTTGAACATCTATGATGTGCCTCCAGTGTGTGAAAGAGCTTGAGGAAGGATAAACTATCAACGCAAAGCTTGATATAGCATTACTAGAACTTCTAAGTGTTCTCCTGTAACTCATACTGTTGGCCCTCTACGGTGCGATTGGTTGGTGAACCACAGGACTGGGAGCAGGCTCAGTGAGCCGGGGCTGAGCTGACTGATCCGCTCACTGAGCCTGGGGAATTATTAAGGGCACCACAACTTTTTCTTAACGTGATTCACGGTCTCCCGGGCGACACTGCCGGTCGGGCGGCCCCATCAAAAATCCCTCTTGATAATGAAACATGTTTATTAAACACAACAAAAATGCCTCCCCAACGTTCCGATCGAAAAAGAAAATTGATAGAGCAGGAGGGCCGTCTTTTATTAGCTATAAAAGCTATAAAAGATGGTAAATATCCCTCTGCTGCAGCTGCTGCACGATCATTTGATTTACCTGTCTCAACTTTGAAGTATCGGCTTAATGGGCGCGAATCTTTGGCTGAGAAGAGACCAACTGGCCATATTTTCACGGAAATTGAAGAGCAATCGATGGAAGACCGGCTACTTGATATGGATGCTAGAGGTGCTGCTCTCACGATACCTATGTTACGTGATATGGCCAATCTTCTACGAAGTGCCCAGAAAAATGCCCCCTCTACTATTGGCGTCAATTGGCCTACTCAATTTATCAAACGACGCCCAAATCTCTCCATTCGACTTTCACGCAAATACGATTATCAGAGAGCTCTTTCAGAAGATCCTAGAATCATTAAACCATGGTTTGATTTGGTTCAAAAGACTATTGAAAAGTGGGGTATTGTTTCAGATGATATCTTCAACTTTGATGAGAGTGGTTTTGCTATGGGCATTGGCACAACGCAAAAGATTATCACTTCTGCGGAATACCATGGGAAAAGACATCTATTATAAGCTGGAAATCGAGAGTGGGTAACCATAATTGAGTGTATTTGAGCTTCTGGAAGTGTCATATCTCCGTTTTTCATTTTCAAGGGAAAAAGGTTTCCAGAGCATCTACGTCCCTATCTCCTTTTAAATCAAAAAGGAACTTATCTAACTATGAGCGAGAATGGCTGGACTACTAATATAATTGGTTTATAGTGGTTAAAATATCATTTTATTCCAAATATTAGGATAAGAGTGGGAAAGTATTGTTTACTGGTCCTTGATGGTCATGGGAGTCATTTGACCCCCGAATTTGACTAAGTTTGTAAAGAAAACCAGATCATTGTAATATGTATGCCTCCGTATGCTTCTCATCTTTTACAACCTTTGGATGTGGGTTGTTTTTCAGTTTTGAAGAAGCTTTATGGAGGAGCTGTTTCAAATTTGATGCGGAATGGAGTCAACTCTATTGATAAGGAAGATTTTCTTAAACTTATCGTAGATGCGAGAATTGGTGCTTTTAAGGTTTCTAATATACAGAATAGCTTTTTAGCTACTGGATTAGCACCATTTGATGCTAATAAGGTCTTGGAAAAGCTAAATGTACGCCTGGATTCCCTTCCTCTGATAGAGATCCTCTCTCAGCGGCCACCTTCTTCTGGCAGTGATAGTGATCCAAATACCCTCTGGACTCTCTCAAAATTCACAAAATCACAATCTCGGATCAAAAAAAGTCTAGAATCCTCTTCTTCAATCCTTTCTTCGCCAACAAAAAGGGAGATAGAGAAGTCCTACGATATGACTATCAAAGTGGTCCACCACCATATTTTTCTCCGGAATCGCTGTGCCCAATTAGAGGCTACCAATAAGAAACAGGCCAAAAAGAGAGCGACTATACCTAAGTTTACTACCCAGAGAGGCATCTTTGGGGGTCTAGAGGGTGGTGGGGATGATGTGGTCTATAAGGATAAGGATGAAAGCAAAGATATATATTTGCCAGAGGTATCTACGAAAACGGTTGTCGAGCCTCCTTTACCTTCTATGCCTATAATTCGGCGGCAGGTGACATGTTCTGGGTGTGGGATGAAAGGGCATACGTATGCTAATTGCCCTACTCGCTTTATATAGCAATATATATATATATATATATATATATATTGTTTTTATTGTTTTAATAGTCATTGAAAATTGGTGATTTTTGAAAAGTTGGTGGGGTCGCCCGACCGGTAGTGACGCCCGCCCGACCGTGAATCACATTAAGAAAAAGTTGTGGTGCCCTTAACAATTCCCCTGAGCCTGCGCCTGAGCTTACGTAAGGCTCAGTGAGCCGATCAGTGCGCCGGCAGCCGTGCTCAGATCTACTCAGTGAGCAAAAGCGGCGAGAGACTGAGCACTAATCCGGAAAGAGACACCAAAATCCGCCGGGGGAAATCCAGTACCTAGGTAGACGTCTCATACCGAATGTGATTCGATAATGCACAGCGCCATCTGTTCTATGACGCAAGCGACTGACTCGCGACACCCCGCTGACGGACAGTCTATTGGTTCCAAGGTTCAATGTTAGTAGTCGTCAGCTCTGGCTCTCCGAGATCCCGTATCTGCAAACTTCTTTTTGAGGTAGGAGCTGCACTTGGGAACCAAACATCTGGCCCACTGCCACATACCCAGGCCAACCATATAGACCTTCGAAAATCAATCAGTGCTACAGTGCATGTAGATGATGCAATACACCATGCATATGTACAGGAAGAGTATGGATTTCAGCTCCTCCATCTGAGCCACAGACCCATAGTTTTGACCAGGTATAAAATAAAGTTCTCTACGCTGCACATGTGTCTAAACCCCTCTTCCATACCAAACCTTTGCGAACATTTGAACTTGAAGCCTCCCAATCAACTGCCCAAGTGGTAGATACGCCATCATACTATCTTTGGCTCTCCTCAAGTTACACACTCAAATAATCCAACAGCATGTCATTGAACGGAAAAGCTCTCATCACCGGTGGTCTGAAGAATCTAGGAGCTGAGACGGCCAAGGAACTTGCTGCGCAGGGGGCCAACCTGGCACTCCACTCTAATTCTACCAGCAGTAAAGCTAATGCGGTAGAACTGGAAGCCGAGCTGAAGCAAAAATTTCCGACTCTGAAGGTCGCATTTTGTCAAGGCGACTTAACTTCTGCTGCCGCTGTGGAGAAGCTGTTTGATTCTGTGCTTACAGAGTTTGGCAAGATTGATATTGTGGTGAACTCTGTCGGAAAGGTCTTGAAGAAGCCTATCACGGAAATATCGGAAGAAGAATATGATTCCATGTTTGCGTAAGTCAAGAAGGAAAATAATGGGGTCCCATATCCATATATTCTTGAGTTGCGACATAAATTGAAAAGAAATGATTTAGTTGATACACGACTAGTATCAATTCAAAAGTGGCCTTCTTCATTCTAAAGGCGGCGGCGCAGCACATTTCTGATGATGGCAAAATAATCACCATTGTCACTGCCCTTCTCGGTGCCTTTACTGGATTTTACACTTCCTATGCTGGATCAAAGGCCCCAGTTGAGCATTTCACGCGTGGCGATTGCAAGGAGCTGCAGTCACGGCGTGTAAGCGTGAACAATGTGGCCCCAGGTCCCATGGATACTCGTATGTCATTTTTCTAGCTCAGTGATCTAAGCAAGTCTTCGCAAAAAGTCTCTCCACTAACCTATGAATGTGTTTTAGCTTTCTTTTACCCCCAAGAATCACCCGAAGCTGTCGAATATCACAAGAGTAATGGCATGGGTAATCGCCTGACCATGGTGCAGGATATTGCACCATTAATTCGATTTCTGTGCACAGACGGTGCATGGATCACTGGTCAGACCATATTTGCCAATGGAGGATATACAACCCATTAAGCTGGAAGAGGTTTATCTGAGATGCTCAGTGTATCATTTCTAACATCCCATTGAATTACCTGTTGATAGTATTCTAAGGCTGCCAATAGCATGAATCTTTTACCAATGATACCCTAACTATTTGCCCTAAAGTCCTGAATAGGATACACCTACGTAATATCCACGTGATTAATATTGTCCCGCGCTAGACCCAAATAGGATGAAAGGCGGTGAACCTCGTGGGTTGACAGCCTATAGATGACTCAGCATAAATATTGCATGATGTATCTCATCTTGGCTTCACCAGCTCACCTAAAGGTGTAAATTGAGGCATCTTCATCTCCTACCCCTTTCCATGCTTCTCGCATTATTCTCATAAACCCGGATTTGCTTGTTTTGTGAACCGTGAACCTGGTCTGATTGCAGTCCGGTTTCCCGAAACAACAAAATAAGCCGAGACATCATTGATATCATCCGTGTCTGTGACGACATTCCCCCACTTCTGCTTTGTCTCACCGGATTTGGGCGCGACCCCTCCACTCGAGATAATTTACTTCTTCGCCGACGCGACCAATGTTAATTTGACATTTCAATTTCAAAACTTCTTCTATTTCCCCAGCATACTTCCATTGGTTTTATCTGTTCGACCCGAGTAAGGTCGAATCCCGCCGAATCCAACATGGCACCCGTCAAGATCCCCGTCGAGCCGGCTAAAAAGCGCCGTATCGGCGTACTCACCTCCGGTGGTGATGCACCCGGTATGAACGGAGCTGTGCGAGCTGTGGTTCGTATGGCTATTCATTGCGACTGCGAAGCCTATGCTATCTTCGAAGGTTATGAGGGATTGGTCAATGGCGGTAATATGATTCGTCAGATGCATTGGGAGGATGTTCGTGGCTGGCAATCTCGTGGTGGTACATTGATCGGTTCAGCCCGGTGCATGTCCTTCCGGGAGCGTGCCGGTCGCCTGCGTGCAGCTAAGAACATGGTTCTCCGTGGTATTGATGCGCTGGTTGTCTGTGGTGGTGATGGTAGTTTGACGGGTGCCGATGTTTTCCGTGATGAATGGCCTGGCTTACTGTCAGAGCTTGTTGTGGAAGGCGAATTGACCAAGGAACAGGTTGAGCCTTACAAGATCTTGAACATTGTTGGTCTTGTCGGCTCCATCGACAATGATATGTCCGGCACCGACGCCACTATCGGCTGTTACTCCTCCCTGACCCGTATTTGCGACGCTGTTGACGACGTTTTCGACACTGCCTTTTCACACCAGCGAGGATTCGTTATTGAGGTCATGGGTCGCCATTGTGGATGGCTCGCCCTCATGTCTGCGATCAGTACCGGTGCTGACTGGTTGTTCATTCCTGAGATGCCACCTAAGGATGGCTGGGAGGATGAGATGTGCTCTGTCATCACCAAGGTAAATTTAAAACTACACTGGACACAATTCAATACCACTCGCTGACATAAAGATAGAACCGCAAGGAAAGAGGCAAGCGCCGTACCATTGTCATCGTTGCCGAGGGTGCGCAGGATCGTCAACTCAACAAGATTTCCAGTAACACTATCAAGGATATTTTGACCCAGAGACTGGGATTGGATACTCGAACTACTGTTCTGGGTCACACCCAGCGTGGTGGTGCTGCTTGTGCTTATGACCGCTGGCTCTCTACCTTGCAGGGTGTTGAGGCCGTTCGTGCCGTCCTCGAGATGTCTCCCGAGTCCCCCGTGCCTGTTATTACCATCCGCGAGAACAAGATTATGCGCACTCCTCTGATGGATGCAGTCCAGGCCACCAAGGATGTCACGGCCAAGATTCACGCCAAGGACTTCGCAGGAGCTATGAACGAGCGCGATGCTGAATTCAAGGAATACTACCATGCCTACTTGAACACCGCCACACCCGATCACCCCAAGATGGCTCTTCCCGAGGGCAAGGTGCGAATTCCTACAATTAACCCTCTAATCAAATTTACAGTTTGCTAATTTGTTTGAAATTATAACAGAGAATGCGTATCGCTATCATCCACGTCGGTGCCCCTGCCGGTGGTATGAACCCAGCTACTCGAGCTGCTGTGGCCTACTGCTTGACCCGCGGACACACCCCCATTGCAATTCACAACGGTTTCCCTGGTCTTGTGCGTCACCACGCTGATGAGCCTGTTAGCTCCGTTCGCGAGGTGAAGTGGCTGGAATCAGACAGCTGGGTTAACGAAGGAGGTTCGGATATTGGAACTAACCGTAGCCTTCCATCCCAGGACCTGGAAGGCACCGCCAAGTGTTTTGAACTTTACAAGTTTGATGCTCTTTTCATTGTGGGTGGTTTCGAGGCATTTACTGCTGCCAGTCAACTGCGCCAGGCCCGCGACAAGTATGATGCATTCAAGATCCCTCTCGTTGTGCTACCAGCCACCATCTCCAACAATGTTCCGGGTACCGAGTATTCCCTTGGCAGTGACACTTGCTTGAACACCCTCATTGATTTCTGTGATGCTATCCGGCAATCTGCCTCCTCTTCTCGTCGCCGTGTCTTCGTCATTGAGACTCAAGGTGGAAAGTCTGGCTACATCGCTACCACTGCTGGCTTGGCAGTCGGTGCGGTGGCTGTTTACATTCCCGAGGAGGGTATTGACATCAAGACTCTTTCGCACGACATTGACTTCTTGCGGGATAACTTTATCCGTGACAAGGGCGCCAACCGTGCCGGAAAGATCATTCTTCGCAACGAATGCGCTTCGAGCACTTACACTACCCAGGTTGTTGCTGACATGATCAAGGAAGAAGCCAAGGGCCGATTCGAGTCGCGCGCTGCTGTGCCGGGTCACTTCCAACAGGGTGGAAAGCCTTCCCCCATGGACCGTGTCCGTGCCCTGCGTATGGCCATCAAGTGCATGCAACATATCGAATCTTACGCTGGTCAAAGTCGTGATGCTATTGCTGCGGATCCTCTTTCAGTTACAGTCATCGGCGTGAAGGGTTCCCAGGTGCTGTTCTCTCCCATGGGCGGTGCTACTGGACTGGAGGAGACTGAGACCGACTGGGAACGCCGTCGTCCCAAGTCCGAATTCTGGCTGGAGTTGCAAGATGTCGTCAACGTTCTATCCGGTCGTGCTGCTTCCCGCGCCCAAGAGACCTGGTCCTGCTACGAGAGTACGTAATCGTCGACAATTTTTATCCCTCCCATGGTTATTCGCACGCATTGCTCGATTTACGCTCTGAATTTTTGATCCTTTGACCGACTTGCCGTTTTTTTCCGACCGTGGACTTAATATTTTTCTCTGGCTCTCCTTCACTTCCGGATGTTAACTTCTTATTCCCGTTTTCTTTCAGATCCCGCAACGGTCCATTCTATTCCATCTGTTCCCAACACCCCATGAAGGAATTTCTCAAGTCTCTGAACATTAACTCTCTCCCTTTCGCAAGGTGACCGACAAAGCCGCCTGTAGCAGGGAGTTAGAGTACTTTATCTACGACTGAGACTATCTTTCGAGATTGATACCCGTCTCTGTAGCAATTGCTCACCCAGACAGCCAAGAACGTCTCTATTCACGTTTGTATGATGCAACGCTACCCAACCCAGATTCAACATCGAACTGGGCCGTCACGGCTAGGAAGTCACCATACTACCATACTACCATTTTCGCCGTTTATTTCTGTTTTTTCATCCTGGCTCCTGGCTCGATGGTCAGCCTTGCAGTTAGATTTGCAAAATAGCATTACATTAGCCAATATCAAATCATAACAGGTTATTACTGAACCGGATCATCTCATATTTAACTAGAGAACGTACGTCCAGTATGGGTTAAGGCTTTGCCAGCACCGCGAAAATGCATATAACCTTGGAAGAGGATCATATTAAACTGATTTGTGTGTCATATAATGAAGAAGCGCAGTGTTTGCTTTGCATTAACCCGAAAAAGTAAAAAAGAAGATGCTATTGAAAATTAAGCCCCCATGTTATTTATCCCGAGCAGGGACTTGAAAAGTTCACGATATGCCTTGGTTATACCTAGGATGGATTCACTGAAGTTTCCAGCTCATCTAACAAATCCACAGTCTCGCTGGGGCTTGCGATCCAAGCTGTAGTTGATGCTAGGCGAGCCTAGTGGGGATGGTTAGCCTACTCCATGATATGAAGGGATTTATCATACCTTAAAATCATTGGCTCCAGCAGACAGGAACTGATCACCAATATGTAGAGTCTTGGATGGGTCAATACCACCGAAGTACTGTTGGCAGACACGAACACCCCAAGACTTATCACCGATATCTACAAACACATCATTGCCGCCTAGAAAGAGTCAGAGATACCCCATACTGGAAAAGATTGACACCTAGGGAGAGCAACCAGGAAGTCACGTACCGTTAAAAGCGCAGAAAGGCAGTCGTGAGCCGACAGTAGACCTCTCTACCGTGTTCTGGACCACAAGAACTGTTTCTTCCAACTGCTCGCGACTGATCTTTGCCCCGTTTACCGGGTAGACCCCCACAGCTCGATCCTTCCGTAATATAGCAGCTGGAAGATCAAGGTTAGCAGCACACGCCCGAAGGGCCGATTCAGCGAGATCCAGGAGCTCTTTGATATCATCTTCAGCCCAGGCTCGCATATCCTCTAGCAGCCATTGATCTCGGGGTACGTAGACCAAACGGGCATCGGAGTCCTGGTCAAAGCGAAATAGGAAATTACTTTCGCCACCCATGACAATGATACCCTGTTTCTGGGTTGGGGTCAACGTAGTCGAGTCATGAACCGCATCCAAGAGACCTTGTAGGCGACCGTAATACTTTGGCGCATCCTCGTAGCCAGCAGCGGTGACGATACCAACTTTGCGGCCTTGTTCCAAGAGCCGCAGGATTCGCGGAATGACCGGACTATCTGCAGTCAGACAGGCACCATCATCATATAGAGTTACATCACCATCGAAGGTGACGAGCTCGACTTCACTAGACCGAACCAGGCCTAGTAGTTGGGCCGAATTCAAGATAAGTCGAATATCGTTAAACGAGGGCGCCACGAATCTTCGTCGACTGATAAATCTTCGGTTATCCTGATACTTGAAGGCATCCTCGATATGTAATTTGGTGAAAAAAGTCCCCACTGAAGGAACTAGAAGCTTGAGCTTGGACTTTCCGGGGGAATTCCGTTCATGATGCTGAACTGCGGGGGGGTAAATGGTAAGTCCGAGTCTCGAATCTCCGAAATGGCATATCATGTTGCCTAGAATATTCTTACTATGATCAATGATTAAGTTTTCCACATCTCGCATAATCTCTGCATATCGTTGATAGGTGTCGGCCGCAGCTGTCTGTAGTCCTGTTGCTTGATATGTGACAGTCGGTTGGGAATGCAGCACAAAGGGGACCGCAAGGAGGCCCTATCATATTGATCAGTCGGACTCAGGATAATTAGTCTAGAATAACTTACTTTAATCCATTCTATCTATTAGGAACTGTTAGCTTTGACGGTGATCACCATTAATCCACCTATCCACCTATGACACGTACCAGTTGATCCCGACGATGGGTCTAAAACCTGCTATGTCAGCCTAGTAAACTCCTCCTCTCTATTGGATATCATACCTTAAGGGCATCTAAAGGAGTCAGCAGAGTCAAATCAAAAAGGGTAAGAAGGATTTACATTCAACGCGATAACGAGTCGTCATGATGTGTGTTCCTGACAGATCAGGCGCTAGGTGTCCTCTAAGAGAAGGGTGATGTTATCAGCGCACGGCCCTCAGTGGCTTTGATGCCCGACCGAGCTCTGACTCATTCAAATGTTATGTTTATATTGCCCAGGTGATACTGACACTGACTCACCTTTGATTATCAAGATTTCTAGGCTTTGTGATTTGTTACTCTAATTCACAACTGACTTTTAGGCCACCGTATTCTCTTATTTAATTTCCGGAGGCTGGACATATACACTCAGCTATAGGCTTGAGCGTCGGCCAACTATTCCCCTTTCATCCTTAGACTCCACCTCCACATTTAAGCTAACCCGTTTCTCCGAGTAAGAGACTGTCAATCATTACTGACCTGAGTCCTGGGGTCCAAAAGTCTAGAACTCTAGGCCTGAAGATTATGGATGACGCTTTACTTGGAGCCTTGTGAGCAATCATGACTCCTTTCAAGCCCTGGCACTGCCACCTCAGGCCCCCAGTTCTAGGAAACGAGTCACCGTGATAATGGGAAGACTCGGAATGACGAGTTTATTCACGAAGTGGATGCCTACGTGGCTTTCAGGCAGGGCAATTTCAAGATCTGCAGAATTGATAGAAATGTGTATATATACCGTTGTATTTAGGACCAATATCCTATAGAAAAAGCACACAATCAAACATCTGAGAACAATCAAGCCAACTCTGGATAACAAAGCAACATCAAGATCTTCAAGTTTAACAAGCATGCTCTTGACACTATCCCCATCCTCAAAAATTCCTACTTCAACTTACTCAATCATGGCGAACGAAAGTGACGCCGATCTCCCACCGCGTATGAATACTCCGAGGAATTCGATTATCTACTCGACGCGAAATCCAAAGACCTACTTCTTCCCAGCGAGTCCAATGACTTCGGCTTCGCAGCTTCATACACTTTGACCCGAGGTTTGCAAGTACCCTCCCGAAGTGGGACCTGCTCATCTGGGTTCGATTACCCAGAAGATCTTATGCAACACAACATCACAAAAGAGCAATGGAGTCAGTTTACACAAGTCATTCGCGATGAAGCCAAGCTTTCACGACAGCAATGGACCACAGTCGTGGGCAAGGGTTTAGGAACCCTCGCCATTGGCGGCTTGATGATTGGATTCCTAGGTGCCATCCCAGCAGTTCTCTTCGCGCGTCATATTCGCAAACGCAAAGAGCAGAAGAATCTGAAAGAAGCGATGACAGGTGCACGGGGTCAGCGTCTGGCTCATCATATCTCTCACTGGAATGAGACTTTCTTCCGGCCTCGAGGACTTTTGATTCGGGTTGATCTACCTAATGAGTTGGTTCAGGATATGGAGGGTATGGATCTTCACTTGCAAGGTTCCAGCTCTCAATCCCCTTCTAAAGCCCGTGATGAAGCTGCTGTGAAGGCAAGAGTTGTTATTATTCCCCTGGAAGGATCAATTTCTGAATCCAGACGTGCTTCAAGCATAACTGCTAGAAGTGAATGAAGGGTTGAAACGTGTCTTTCTGGGGATTCAAGTCGACGCGATGGGGTTGAAGGACTGGATTTTATTTCAAATGTTTAATGTTACCTAATGATCACCACTCAATGAGAGAAAAGTATTCATATTTTGATGAGGGAACCACTTAAAGATAGTAGTCATACCAATGGCACTCAGTAGTAGTATTTAATCATACGTGCCTGAATACCAGATGCGAGAACTAGCCAGCGGTCAGGAATTACTACTGGGGAATTTTTAATATCCTAAGGATTTAAGAATCGAATAACCCATTGAATTGCCACTGGCAGCCATGGTACTGATATCCAGGATCTTTACTAGTACCTGTTACTGTACACCTAAGCATAAATAATGCGGATTTCAGTTGAATTCCTGTAAAACTAGAGTAGGTTCCATAAAAGCAAAACTATGGGTCTAAATCGCCCACTTCAGTGCCATAGGAATCTTAGCAAAAAAAGAGAATGGGTTAATCACCCATGCGGAAAACCTGCTAGACAGTAGCTGGTGCACCTTGCCTCTCAACATGCTCGCTTGTGCCGACCATCTCCATTTTAGCATCCATTGCCTGATCACGCTCATCGGCATCTTGGTTACCGTGTCGACCAATACGATACCAAGGTAGAGCGAACAAATGATCCATACTCTCCAAAGAGCGACCAGCAGTTTCCGGAACACTGAACCACACCCAGATCCCACCGATAACTGTGACTGCACTGAAAAACCAGAACGTGCCCTTAGGAGTAATTCCGCCACTAGCAGTCGACAGAAGCATATTTGGGACTGCTCGCGAGTTTCCATACTGGTTAGCAAAGTGCAGAGTCATGGCAAGAGATGTAGCCAGAGCACGAATGCGCAAGGGAAACAGTTCGGCTGTAAGAAGGTACTGCATAGAGTTCCAGCCAAGAGCCCAGCCAGCTCCAGAAATGTAGATCATAGCAATTGCGCCCTTACTAGCTCCTTTCTTGTTATCTGGCAGTGTGTAGCTATCCACGATTCCCATCTCTGGTACAGCTGACAGAAAGCCGGCGACATAGATCATCGAAATTGCTTGGAGAGTAATGCCGAGGAGTAATGCTCTCTTGCGCCCGATGACATCAACTAAGAAGAGAGCACAGATGATAGCAGCGACCAGTTTGACGATTCCAAAGATTGCTGTTACCAGAAGATTTTCATTGTTCCCCGAGATTCCCAGCAAAGTGAAAAGATCAGTAGCGTAGACTGTGATTGAGCCGGCACCGGACCATTGCGAAAGGATTTGAGCCATCATGGTGAGATAAACGCGATACAGGTTTGATGGCATCAGGAAGGTCTCTTTGATGATACCCATAGGTCCAGAGCCCATGGTAGCTTCCATTTCAGCCTGGTGTGCGGCTTCGATATCCGTAAACTCGCGAACAACATAATCGTGATCGATTGGTAGATTGCGAATCCGTGACAAATTTGACAAGGCTTTCTCTGTCTGGCCTCGCTTGATGAGGTATCGAGGTGATTCGTACTGGAGGAATGATAAGATGAAGATCAATCCGGCAAACATGATATGAAGGCTGGTAGGGATTTCCTAATAGTTGTCAGCAAGTTGAAAGAGACCGCCATGGAGTTTGATTTTTCTGATACCCATCTCTTGTGTGTAGTATCACCGATGTTGACTTGGCATCCGTAATTGGCGAAGTATGCGAGAACAATTCCAAGGTAAACGAAGCCAGTGAAGACGCAAGTACATAGTCCTCGAATGGATGCTGGTGCCTGTTGTATTTCGTTAGTAGTGACACAGGAATCGGCAGTTGTAAATCATCAAGGAAGAATAAGGCTAAAAGACTCACGATTTCCGCCAAGTAGACTGGTGCAACAACGACAGTCTGACCGACGCCGAGGCCAGCAATGAATCGACCTGCATACACCGCACCCAAGTTTCCGCCATTTCCCATGAAGATTGCGATTCCCAGGATCCATAAGATGCAGAGCTGACGGGTAGCCCAAGTACGACCAATTCTATCACAGACTAGAAATGCACTATTTTCAGGCGAGGAAATCAGTATTGATATCAGTTAGTGTAGACGTATACGTATATACTCACAAGAGAGCTCCTCCGACTGATCCAATCTGAACCATAGAAGAAACATTTGCCTTGATGTTTGTCTGCTCGACCTTGCTGTACGAGCTGTAATGGATGTATCGTTGAAAGTCCTTCGAGTTGAATGCGCCGGAGATTAAGCCTTCGTCAACACCTCGGGCTGCTCCCATCAATCCAAACGAGATAACAGCGAACCAGAGTCTCCAGTTGAAGATCTCCTTGGGATCTCCTAGGTTCTTCAGACGGAAGATATTGACTGGCTTCTTCGCTCCCGCCATGGTGGCAGACGAGAAAAGATACTCGACTTGGAGAAAGAGAGAATCAAGAGGTAAGGTATGGTGTAAGGTGTAAGGTGTAAGAAAGAAGAAGAAGAAGAAGGAGTTAGAGAAGATTTAAAAGGTAAAAAGTAAGTGAGGTTGCAACGAAGAAAGTAAAACGAGAAGTGGTCATATGTAGGTCTCTTTAATAGTCAAAACCTGGGGAATTTCTCCGTCCTATAATGCGGGGAAATCTGGGGCAGAAGAGACCATCCGGCTTCGGATCTTATCCTGATGCAAACTAAATGCACATAATCCTACATTAAAGTCTGATCTTTGACCACATTATCGTAGTTTGGATAGTGGAACAAAGACGGGCTCGGCCAAGACTGGGGAGCATCGCCAAGAGAGCTTGCACCCCGAGAAATGAAGCCCTGTCTATTCTTATTCGATGAAACTGCCGTCGGTTCTTTTTTCATACAAAGAAAAAAGGAAAAACTAAAATCAAAGGCCACATGGCAGACAAGACACAGCTTCTTTCACTATCAAACCTTGTAATTGTTGAAATCCAACTCCAGGGTTCTTCCAACGTTGTTACAATCTCACCCCGCTCTTGTGATACTAATCATATTGAGGCTACGTGAGTATACCTTGTGATAAAAATATTGACCCTTACTGATGGACTACAGGAAAAGGAGCTCCAAAAGATTGGGGTATTCGACATGGGCAAGCTCTGGCTCTAAAGCGCCTCGGGGAACTTCCGCTGGGAGATTTACACACCACATCTTGGCAGAGACAGGGAAATCCATGGGGCCAAGAGGAGGAGGAGAATCCATGACACTTGATGTGATAATGATTCGTCCGATATGAGAATCACGGGGGAACGTTACTATGCTTCTTGGCGTGGGGGAGTGTAGTCTGGAAGTCTATCGGGATGGAGGCTCGAGCGGCAACCAATTTGAGTCGCGGGCATCGACCGAGGTATATCACTCAAGCTCACTACGCGGTTATTGAGGAGTATCACGGTTATTGATACCTCCGTATATCGGTAGAATTGTGCTCACTGACCATTTTTCTAGACCTCTCAAGTGCTGATTTTATGCCCATGCTATGGACTCTATGCCATATACTAGGATGTGCCTCGGCAATTTTCCGAAAACATGGAAACCTTCAAAGTATAAGAGAAGAAAACAAAGAGATAATATTTGAAAGAGACCAGATATTAACCAACTCCAAAAAGTCTGCCAGTCAATGGACATGTGTATTGGTCTCGGTCGGAGGCGTTGGATTCCAATCAGTTCTCCACCAAGTATGGCGTGTCAAAACACCCATATCCTTTGACAACGCTCATCTCGTCGATATCGGCATGTTTAGTCTTGAATGTCCATCCGCCTACGGAATTATGAAGCAGTACACAGCCCCCATGAGGTGAAGCCTTTTTCCATAAGCACTAGCTCAGAGACGACCTCGCCACTCTCAACACCGATAGGGCTCATAAGTATGTTGGATAGTACAGGTGACTGAATTCTTTCCATTAGGATATATGACGACCACCGAGATTCGGGAATAGATGCCAAGAACTCTAGTATCTCCTCACCATGGATATTATTGCCACCTCCCTCGAGCGATGGTTTCAGAATATAATCCACAGCTCTTTCAGGATCTGTAGCCAAGGACAGGGCACGAAGACCCTCCTCTGACTGGTCAAGTGATAAGACTGGAACAAAGGTTTCGCGAATAGTGGCGGCCTCGGAATCCGTGAGAAAACTTTCCAAGGCCCCAGGCGCTGTGAGTGCTTGTTGGAGTTTCTTGAAGGTTGTGAGGTGGCCTAAAATAGACGGGCACTTAATTGCAGCAGAGATCTCCAATTGGGACGGACATTCCAACCAGTTTGGTCTATTCCCGCGCCTCATATCCAGCTCGCATGTAGATCGCGGAGATTTCTATTGGAGAGGTTGATGGTAATCACGGGGGCTGGAAGAGAAGCTCTCGTGATTCAGTCAGTCGAGTATATTGGAGAATCTCGGGTCCCCAGTCCAGTCTATAGGTTGGCACGGGAGTTTCTCTGTTCCATAATGCATATTCGATCGGTCGCTCGTCAGCAAGATTAAACTGAATATTTTTAGTTCCTGTTCTCATTTGAATAAAAGTAGTATGATGATATGGAGCTCTGGTACTAACATTGTTGGGCTGCACAATGAATAATACGGCAGTCTCCCTTGCCTCACTACACTTGGGTGGTCCATATGTATGATGTGCCAGTGCCAAACAAGAGGCCAAGTGACTCGATGTTGTTATTGGTAGGAAGCGATGCAAGGTCAAATGGCGCATCGCTCACATTGTATGCACCCACAAGAGCCAGATAGCGATGCATTTCAGCGACTTTGTTGGCATGAGTAGCGCCAGAACAAGAAAATTAGTTGAATTCAACCTGCTTGAGCGTGGTATCCCAAGCAGAGTCCAATGAGCTCGTGGAATTATCTATAGCTCCTGGGCCAGTATGAAGCATATAATCAGAGCGAAAAATACCTACCGAAGCATCTTGCACCGGGTTGGTCATCTTGGCTGCTTCATGAATGCCCCAGAGTGCAGTCGCAAGGGGCTCCACAGGGAGGAGATCTTTGATCGCATTGAAGATCCACTCTGCATCCTCTGCAATAGAACAGTATAACTTGATGTAAATCTTCATTATATCCTGCGCTTGCTGAAATCGCGCCCGAGGAAAAATGGTTGGGAAACACTTTATATTGATTTAAATATTAGTCTAAACTTATCGTTTTCATCCGATGAAAGACTTCATGAAGACTGACACTAACGCCCACCGGCTGAGATACAAAACTACATTCAGTTTCCATCTGGACCAGCTTTAATAAGGATCCATGATTAAGTTGCCAGTCCTTGATAAAGTCAGCCTCATATCCCCGCTTTTTTCGAGTCCCATTGCATACCCACCTTAATCTGAGCAACCAAGTTGATGAGTCTTTCTTCGGTCAGTTCTGGAGGATAGCTATGTACCAGGTCTCGAGACATGTTGTTTTCTATTGAAATTGAGATGTATTCAAGTTCAACTTCTATGATGAAAGTGAAAGATCTCCTCTTTCCAGTTGTGGGCGCGTGGGGTCCATTTCTGTGATCGTCCCGAGTCACAGTGCCCGAGCCCCGAGCTTGGTGGCGTGAATGTATACATACAATGGCATATTCTGGAATTTTCAAGTTCATACTTAACATATGAATAACTCAGAATAATTTTAAACCTGCTATTCACTGCGATTTATCCTCAAGTGCTGTTTGTTGAAACATTGCTCACGTATAGGTGGGAAGGGAGGATTGACTCAGACTGATGGTACGTGTGGCTTGATTCTGAGCGTTGAAAGAAATCCTTTGATCCCAGCTAAAAGGTTAAAATTTTGAGCACATATAGTACTAGTAGCACTTTAGTAGTAGTCTAGATGTATTGGAATGTTCCATAGTAGGCATATCGATAAGTGGCTCACCTTGAATGATGAAACCATTGTTTCGATATGTTTGAGAAAAATCTAGTATGCGGAAACTTACCAGCCAGATTACCTATAAGTAGAGGCATCTTACTCTCCAGCGCCTGCGACAAAAATTCCCATAGTCCATCACTCGGTGCAAGTGTCTCTTAGTAGTCTCCAGACATGCGACCAATTTGGATCCTCGCCTACATTAAATGAAAACTCAAGTGCTTCCTTGACTTGAATTTTTCGCCGAGTTTCCACTAGGAATCCGAGTCAATGATAGCATGATGATCAGGTCTTAATTTAGACATGATGGTGTTTTACCCATATGTCAGTTATCCACTGTGATGAAACATAAATTGACTCGGCTCTATTACCCGATGTTGCTTATTCTCCAGAGCCGAAAATTTTGAAGAAAAGTAGTTCCGATAGGGTGATGTCAATCTAAATTACAAACAAGGTTGTTTAACTACTAGCACTAATTAGTATAAGAGCGCTATGATCAATCTATCTGGGACTCCAGCAGTGTGAAGTGCAACACTTTCTCTCACCTCCTAGTGCCAAGGGCGCCTAGCACCATGTCTCGGTGCAGACGTTTCGTGTTAACTAAAGACGGAGGAGCATTTATCCTCACGTAGTTTGAAATAAATTCGATGCATTCCGGACATTTCTCTCAATTTAGAAAACTACGCATCTCAAGGATCGTTTAATTCTAGGTATGACTGCTTTCGACAAGGGTCTAAGAGGAGTATACCCACACATGGCGCTTAGCTCATACACCAAGGACAAGTGCATGAGGCCTGGACCCTTGAATGGAGATACTTACTAGGTAAAGAAGCTTGGACTTCTGATATGACAGTTCCTGAATCAGCCATCGGTTTTACTAACGTGCCAAATTTTCACGCAATGGCAATTTGGCAGATATCCACATTGAAACGTGAGACTTGCAGATGGGCCTAGGAGGTCAGTAATATCGAGACAGATATAAAGACTGCGCATTTGCCATGATTCCAATGACACAATTCTCCGAGACTTCGCGTTTTGAAGCATCTCTTTCTTAAAATGTTGCGAATTTTATCTCCCTTGTTCTTGGCCACTTTGGCCCCCTTGGCTGCTGGTCACGGCCATATCACAAACATCGTCATCAACGGAATTTACTACGAAGGATGGGATATTGATGTATTCCCATATGAGTCTGATCCCCCAGCCGTTGTGGCATGGGGAACCCCCAACACCGGAAATGGTTTCATTTCACCAGGTATGTCAAAAACCAAGATGATACGACTTTCCGTCGCATTTGTCTCATGTTTGAGTCAAATGCTCATTATACCTTTTTATAGACCAGTACAATTCCTCTGACATTATCTGTCATGAGAATGCGACGAATGCCGCTGGTCACGCAGTGGTCGCAGCAGGCGACAAGGTCAATCTTCAATGGACAGCCTGGCCCTCATCGCATCACGGACCAGTGATTACCTACCTCGCGAATTGCGGAGACTCATGTGAGACGGTGGACAAGACCACGCTTGAATTTTTCAAGATCAGCGCCGTAGGACTGGTCGATGACACTGATGTCCCTGGAACATGGGGCGATGACCAATTGATTTCCAATAACAATAGCTGGCTTGTTGAAATCCCACCCAAGCTGGAAGCGGGCTACTATGTCCTGCGACATGAAATCATTGCACTCCATAGTGCGGAGGAAGAAGATGGTGCCCAGAACTATCCTCAATGCTTCAACTTGCAAGTGACAGGATCTGGAACAGAGCAACCATCTGGAGTTCTGGGAACAGATCTTTATACTGAGACAGAAGCTGGCATCGTGGTCAACATCTACTCGTCTCTGTCGACATACGATATCCCTGGACCCACTATGTTTAGCGGTGCAGTCTCCATCACCCAGTCCTCGTCTGCTGTCACTTCGACAGGCACTGCTGTGACAGGATCAGATGCCAGTGCAGAGGCTACAACTTCCGAAGCTGTAACTGCTCCGAGCGCCTCTGTTGATGTTGTATCCACGAGCGTCGCGAGCTCAAGCCCGACTGTACTGCCTGAATCTTCTAGTGAGAGTGTCGCAGTTCCTTCATCCACGACAACATCCACGACGACCTCAGCGAACCTGGTGCCTACCAATTTTCCAACGACGACAGCTCCTATCACATCGCCTAGCAACCCCGAGGTAACAAGCAGTGCAAGCAACGCTGTTGGAGGCGATGCAACACAGTCGGTGTATGGTCAGTGCGGAGGTATTAACTGGACAGCTGCTACTGCGTGTAACACACAGGCAGTCTGCAGTTCGATGAATCCGTACTATTATCAATGTGTGCCGACGGCGGTCTGAGTTGGGTATGTAGGATTGGATGTCTGTAGATTTCGCATGTTTTGTTAGCTCGTTCAATAAGCGCTGGTCGCATCGCAAACAATGAGAAAGTGAATCTTCAAGTACCATACCAGATATAACATCATGAGTTAAGCCAGAAACTCCATTGCAAATATTAAAGGGAAACTCCCGAGGTTAACGGGGCTGGATTCCACTGCCTCGATGAATCTCGAGGTCTACGACAAGATAAACCGATGTCTAGAATGATCATCCGATCACACTAAGGTGACCACTTCTGCCCGGGCGTGCCTTCATAGCAGCTTCATTTCCCTTGTTGTCCATCATACTACAAGAATATCTCAGGATCATCATCGGAAACCTCGGACTTGCAATGCGCGAGCAAAACTGCGTTGTCTCATAATGTAGGGGTGCTGCAACGATGCATGAAGGATCCGAGAAATCGATTGGAACGTAATATGTGTCTTATTCTTCAGTTACGAGGTAGGTTGGCTTAGAACAGGGGATAAGTCGACAGCATTAGTGGCAATCGTTTCTCAAGTCGTGGTACTGAATGACAAGGAGGTTCTGAAGACTCGGAGGAGTTCACGGAATTTGTTTGAAGGGTATTCGATGAAGCGAGAGGGGTGAGGTCGGAGGAGGATTCGAAGGGGTATGACGCATTCAAAATATTTATACAAAAATTGTGCCCGAGCGGTATCGAGATGTTTGTTATACGTGGATGGATTGAAGATGGGTGGTGTCAAGGCCCTTGAGGGACAAAAAGCGCCCGCCTTTACAATATTCACCGCCCGGTGAATATTGTATGCTCAATAATACCGCACTAAGCCTTCAGGAGTGATTCTTATACCTGGGCATCAAATTCAATTCAGTGCTTGAATACTGCGAATAGCAAAAAGAAAATATAATATTTGACAACATCTATGTACGGATAGGATACGTTAGGCTCACTAATAAACCCATAAGATCTTTCAAGTTTAAGCAAGCAAGATCTAGTAGACTAGCTTAGGCCCACATACAAAGATGCCACTGGCAGTCAATTCAGTACATCTGGGTACGCTCAGCAGAAAAAGTTGGATTCCTTTCATGATCATCGTCAAGTCTTTAATCATCATGATGCCGTGCTTTCAAATCTTGGGGTCGAGTGTGGTGCCAGCGATTATGGATAACTTCATTGTTCCGAAGTTCACGTTGGGGTCGATTACACAAGTAAAGAGAGATATGGATGATGAGATACGTTATAAAAAACATTGAACCCGCATATATCTCCCCAATAAGGATGCAGGAAGAAACACAATGCCATGATTCTTTGAACTCTCGAAACGGAGCACAAACAACGGAAGTATCAGAAGTCATGGCGACTGGTAGAATCGATCCCCGAAGTTGAATATGGGAATAACCTTGGAAGAGATCTTTAAGGCCTTCAAGTTTATTTTTTGAAACTTTGGAGTTCGTAAATGTATTGGAAGAAATGGATAGATGGTATGGAGTGTAACTTGCTATCTTGTAAAAATATTAAATTTCAAGGTATGGGTCAGAGTGCCAGTGCCAGTGACTTGGATCATAGGGGATCTGATCCACGGATTATAAACTAAGCTAAACTTATTTAAAGAATTATGAACTGGTGATGTTTAGTATGTAAAGTGAAGTATAGAATGTAATGTTTGAGTAATAAAGGAGTTCTTGGGATACTGGAAAAGTAATAGTGAGGTAGTCGCCCCAGGGATGTTAGAAAAAAAAAAAGCTTCATTGGTGAGGAATTCTATAACGATGCATTCTATATCTATGTCTATTTGTGAGAGGCAAAAGAAATGGAAAGGACAGAAAGGAAGAAAAAAAGAAGAAAAACCAAGAGCCTGAGGAAGATTGACAAGTTGGATGAACAACAGACTGGGCTTCACCAAATCAAAAATATCACCGAATCTTGATCTGCGTTGAAGAAAAGATTCGCAAGATTCGAGTGATGGAGTCGCTTTAGCTTTACTCCGCCTTCTTCGAAGCCTTAGTTCGCAGTTTCATCATGATATAAACCAAGGCATATCCACTGAGAGCGAAGATAACACAGATACCAGCATCTCGCCAACCATAGTAGTAGTCGTTGATGTTCAGAGTCTTCAAGTAGTCACTTCCATACGTGTATTCACAGACCTGACACTGAGAAGTTGCATCCGGATTGATCAAATTGACAGCAGATCCAGCACCAGCGATATACTCCGCCAGATATTCCTGGCAAGTTCCATTGGGAGGATCGAAGTACGCAAACTCATCCGAAGTGCACCTGACATTCGACTTCCAGATACCGAAAGTGAGCATACCTCCGACCACATAGTTGAAGGGATTCAGGTAGTAGAACCAATACTTCCAGAACACGTTCAGCTCGGGCTGAGGCACGAAAGCGCCACAAAAAAGAATTAAGCTGTTGACGATAAGTGGGTTGACCAATGCTGCGAATGTTGCGTTCGGGGCATAGGCTGCGACAAACTGCCCAATACCAGTGTAGATGAATTCGTAAATCAACATGATGAAGAAGATTGATCCGGCCTCGTTGGAAGAGTGCGGGAGTTTTGTCTGGTAATACCAACAGACGAAGTAAGAAACGGCGCAGAGGCAGAGGTAAGGGAATTCTGAGACGATAAGACCAGTCACGAAAGCGATCCAAGAATACATTCTCGACTTCTTTTCACGGGCATCGTAAATATCGCGACGTTGGATAAAGAGAGGTTGAAGCTGGTTAATCACACCTGGTGCAACGAATGTGAAGTTGAAAATGGTAAACATTTTCAACTGAAGGTCTGTAACCGAGGATCCGAGGTGCCAGAAGGAAAAGCCATTGAGCAAAGCTGAGATGATGTGTAGCTCGAGTTTGTTGTTCACATACTTCGTGTTTCTCAGCAAGGCAACATTCATCCGCTGTGTAACAAGCCTTGTTTGAGTCCAAAGGGAGGTAGCGAACTCTTTACCATCATCGACTGTTCCAGGTGGTTTTGCGGCTGCATCAGAAACAATCTGATCAAGCTCCGCCATGGCCGCTGCGTTTTCCTGAGAGTCAAGCCAGACTTGGTGCCAGTCCTTATCCTTCACAGCCTCAATACCACCAGTGACCACATCAATCATATGCTCAGCAGGGTTACTGCGAATTGGGCAAGGGGCTCCATATTGAGCAAAGTAGTTCTTGACCGTAGAGCCGTTCTCACCAATATCACCAAAGTAAACCATTTTACCACCTCGAGCGAGGAGAAGGAGTGTATCAAACTGAGCAAAAAGTTGAGCAGATGGCTGATGAATGGTCACTAAAATTGCCTGACCTGCATCAGCTAATCGGCGGAGGAATCGAACTGTGTTGTAGGCTGACTGTCCATCAAGACCAGAGGTAGGCTCATCCAAGAAGATAAGAATACTGGGCTTTGAAACTAGTTCGACACCGATCGTAACACGTTTCCGCTGCTCAACACTAAGACCCTCGCCAACAGATCCAATGAGTGTATCAGCAAGATCGTGAAGCTCTAAGAGATCAATGATGGTGTCGACATAGGCGAGCTTTTCTGCCTTTGGGACATGTGCAGGTTGTCGAAGGAGAGCTGAAAATTCGAGTGCTTCTCGTACTGTCGCAAATGGTTCATGAACGTCAAGCTGTTCGCAGTAGCCGGCCATTCTCTGGAAACACATAGGAAGTTCGCGACCGTCCACTAACACAGTTCCTTTGATTGTTCCTTCGGTTTTTCTCTGCGCGAGGACATCGAGCAAAGTTGTTTTGCCAGCTCCGGATGATCCCATCAAAGCACCAAGCATTCCAGGTTTCACCCAGCCGTAGATATTATCCAGAAGCACACGATCCCCTGATGGAGTGTTCACAGTGTAAACTAAGTTTTTCCATGTGAAAACTGATGTGTTACGGACCAGGTTTGAGTTTTTCTGATCGTCTGCTGCAATGTTTCTGCTGGTCTGAGACTCCTTGTTTGACGACTGACTCTCCTCATCCTTAGAGGCTTGGAATTGCTTCATGTTTTCTCGAGGGATCAACAGAGAGCTACTTCCTGCTCCCCCGGCCTTCCACATGCAGGTTGATACAACTGTAACCACGACAAAGAAGGCCCACCATCCCCAGACAACACCAAAGTTTCGCCACATTTGAGAGTGCTTCCAGTGAAGAGCAGCAAGGTAGTTGTCGCCCGTGACATAAGTAGCACCACGTTCTGCTCCTGTAACACCTGCACAGGCTTGATACTGAGAATCTGTATAATTGCCTCCGTTAGGGATCAAGCTTGAGCCGACGCATGGCATTGTTGTATCGTGAAATTCATTGCTCAATGCTGCTTGAAAAGCGTAGGCCATTGGATTGGCGTAGTATAACTCAATGAACCAATTTTTCATCTTTGGCTTCGGGATCATGTAACCAGTATACATAACTAAGAACTTCATAAGCACGCCGGAAAGGTTGGAGGCCACTTCAAGGTTAGGGCTAGCAGCGGCAAGTGATCTGAATAATGCGTTGATACACTAAGTAAGGTATTTAGTTAGTAAAGAACAGATCTTCGAAAGAAGTGAAAGATTCGGGCTCAACTTACAAAAGTGATAGCGATGAGGAGAATCCAGAATGTGAAAAACGCGCTAGCTGTCGCTTTGAGGCCAACCATCCAATATAACACAACCGTCAAAATGGTGCATTGGAAAATGACCACCGGTAGTTCAGCGGCAAGAATTGCTAGAGCAAACGCGGCCGGGTGATGATAGCCAAAAGATTTATGCTTGATCAAGATTGGTCGTCCTTTGAAGGACCCAGTGACTTCAGCCATTGCCAGGGTGACCTGGTAGACCTGAGAGAAAAAGATCGCTCCTCCCTTGGTGAACAGACCAGCGGATGTCTCCGGTGAATTATAAAAACAGGAGCCCACAATCAGAGCCATTGCAAGAGAAACGAATTGTCGAATAAAGAAAGTAGATTTCTCTCCCCAGATAATTTGATATTGGCGAATCACACAGATCTTGAGCTGATGGAGGAAGGCAGTAGTCAAGGCACTGTTTTTCGGCAATGAAGAATCTTTTTCGAGTGCAACAGAGTCCTGGAATGCCTGTGTTCGCTCCTGAGCTAGTGGTGTTGTCGGATAATCATATTCAAGTCTCATGTGTTGACAGATATCGGACTTCTGGTAAGCACCAAGGACTTCATCGGCGTTCTTTGGGAAGACACCCTCAAACCCAGGAAGAATCTTCCGTTCAGTTGGTACAGTAACACCACTCAGATAATCGCCTGTGTTGGCACCATCGGTATAGGCAAAACCAACACTTTCCATAAAGCGCTTTGCAGAGGTTGCTGGGCCATAGAATATCTGCTTTCCTTCGTCTAGGACCAAAACTTTGTCGAACAAGTCATAGATACCATTACCGGCTTGGTATAAGGTCACAATGGTAGTTAGACCAAGGATATCAGTCATTGCACGCAAGGCCTTAGCCCACTCCAATGCAGTTGAAGCGTCCAGGCCGCGAGTACTGTTGTCCCAACAAAACACCGACCCCTTTGTTGCCATGCACTCGATAATCGACACTCGCTTCCGCTCTCCACCCGAAACACCACGCACGAACTCGTTTCCAACTTTCGTGTCTTCGGTATGCGAAATTTTCATCGACTCCATGAGGAATTGTTTCAATTCGGTTGCCCAGTCGGCTGGCGAGGTTCCTTCGGGGCGACGGAATGGGATCTTAAGGCGGGTGGCGAAGTCCATCGTTTGTCCAACGGTAAGGGTAGGGAAGAAGATCTCTTCTTCGCTGTTCATCACAATTTGACTTTTATATTGGGTGGCCTCTTCGGGTGTCATGGTACCGAATTTGACGTCGCCGGTGACTGATCGATACCCTGCTCTGCGGTTCGAGAGGACATTCAACAAAGTGGTACAACCCGAGCCTGGACGTCCAAGCACAAGAAGCATTTCACCTGGCTTCACACAGCCATGGCTATCCTGAACAATGGCGCGAATCGGTGGCTTCTTTTGGTAATCACGGGCAAGTTGAATGAGATTGAATTGGGAGATGAAGTTCTCATTGACAGAAGCTTCTGCCGACAGTACCTCGACATTCAAGTTTTGCCAGGTAACTCCCAGCTCACGCTTGCTATAGCCTGCAGCCAATTCTCGATCTTGCATGGCCGAGACTTGACCAGACAGGCCCCAGGTGACTGGAGTCTTTTCGGGGAATTCGTCATCAGAGAGGAAATTGGTCAAGGTCTCACGGCTTTGCTCTTCGTGGACCTGAATATGTTCAGCTAGGGTTTCATGGCTGTCCTCTTCACGGAGTTGGACCGCCTTTTCGGCAAGGACAGCCTCCTTTTCCTGTTCCATTTTAATTGGAATGGGACTGCCTTGAAATGAGCAGCAGGAAGTGGATTATATCAAACAACAAAATCGGCAATAGGAGAAAAAAGAAAATAATAAGAATCAAGGAAAGAGTGGAATCGAAAATGAATAAGGAAATTTGAATAAAACGAGTGAAATTAGATTTGGAAAGACGAGAAAATCCTAGTAGAAACATTGAGTCAATTTTTGATGAGTCCCCCTACTCTTATAAATAGTAACTAGGTACATACTAGCCACTTCGATAGACTTGGAGTGGAACAGGTGGGCTATCGTGACTGAATAGGTAATGGCTAGGCATCTTACTGGTTAGGGTTATCTTTCGGTATAGAAGAGGGGCCGTCTATCCGAAAATCGAAACGCTCAGTACTGGTATGATGCACTAGTACAAATCACGGATATAACAGGAACCAATTGGCATAAATGGGAAGAATATTCCGCAGGTAGTTAACGAATGTGGATCTCGGAAGCCATCTTGGAATTGATCTGCCTGGTTGTTCTAGATTGTGGTATTGACCAAAGTCTTTTGAATCTTGAGCAATTGCTCTCCGAAAGTGCTATATGGCGGCTTAAATTTTTACATTTTGAACACTCCGAGTCCTGCTCAAGAACTTCCCTGTTAAGGATAAACTACTCTATGGAGACTATGCATTCAATACCCTCGATCCACAGTTTCAAGTTCCTTCAATATTTCAATATTCCGAGTTCTCGGCACTGGGGGGTAAATCATTCCTGGGATTGCCGCATCGAGTTCCGTGTGGAGTCCACTAGTAATAGGCGTACTAGCAAGGACCCTCTAGGATGCCAAGTGTTTCGAGAAGGCACTGCTTAGAAAATCACGCATAATTGGACCGCGATTGTAGAATTAAATAGTAGCCTCGGTACATATCAAGACACCTAGACCTTCAGCACCAGATAGAGTATTAATTCATTATTCAATGGCGACATCTGGAGGGTCAATGTCCGGCTTACCTCCTTTACAGCTCATCTATCTGGAAATTGTCTACACGTGCATTCAAAATGCCAGTGCCAAACGGCATTTTCTTACCGAAAACTTGGACCCTAGGAGATTTCGAATTAATGATACAGAATGAATGTTCTTTAGATTCATAGAAGGAACACTGTGGGTCGGCCAATATTAAACGCTCGTGATTAGAGCGATCATTTAGAACTACAGCCAATAAACAGCACTTGTGGATCTATTGATCAATTTTGAAGTTATGAACATAACTACATAACTCGAAGGCTATGCCAAATTTGGCGTGGCGACTCGGACAACTCGGAAATCAGTGGATCTGATTTGCCATTGGTCTAGGTATACATACTATGCATACGTGCTCTGTGGCCTTACGCGGAATTATAGGAATTATAACACCGGCTGAGCGGCTATTATGTACCACTAGATAGCTTGAAATAGCCCATAGTACGTGAGATAAGCTTCTTATCTAAGGCTGCGATATGTGCACCTGGGCAGTCACGGTGCATGTGGTGTTCAGGTTAGTTGTATGTCTAACTTAAAGATTCCGAGGCTCGAGAATTCGAATAGTGACCTACCCCTAGCAGAGGTCTTCTGAAACTAATCCTAAAGGGTGGATGTTCAATCCAATCTTTGAATCATGTTTCGAGGGTTCAATTCCAGAGGTGAAGGTTCAAGTTGCAGGGCCTTGAGAATCCCTCGGGCTGATATTACCGGGGATAGCTTCAAGTTGACTCTCAATGCTGTATCAGAACATTGAAAACACTCCAAAGTAGATTTAAGAAATTTTATGTACCCGCAAGGTGTATTGTTATGCAAAATAAAGTTGGATTAGATCTTCGTGGAATTTTTGGGTTAGATATTCCGCGCCTTGCCGTTTTAGCCGGATCCACATTGAAATGTCTGACATAATCTGGGATCTACGGAAGACCGCGGAGTGGTATCTGCCATGTTACACCGCTTTGGCCTATTTGTATTTATTCACCGCCTGGCATAATACCCGAGGCAGAATCAGCCTATATCCGCAGCTAGCCTTCCCTTCCAGGTAACCCATGCTCAGCTGGTATCTCAAGTGCTTATCTGCATATGCCAGATTCAAGTTGGATTCGATTGAGAGATCAAGGAGTCTAAATACACTGAGCAGATTCATTCATCTGCAGAAGCAAGTGTTGTATCAAGGTTTCGCACAGGTGTTGTTGAATCCACCTTTGAACTGCTTCCTTCTCCCCATTGAGAGTCCAATTCGACACACAGGGCGCGAGTAGTATCGTCATTTGGTTCCAAATCGTATTCTGTCTATGAGAATGTCAGACCCTATTGCCCAGAATAGCACATGAGGCGTGAGAAATGTTCAGAGTAGGCCTCATTAACCCCCAGACCTACAGAATGCTTGCTTGAACTTGAAGAAACTTACCTTCCTCGAAAAAGAAACCTTAACCTCTTTGACACAATTTATCCATCCAGGGAACTGTAGTTTGATAAGCAAGGTGCCTGATGTGAAAGGACAAATCGGAGTTCAAATGTTCGTACCTGAGCTCGGACCCAAAGAGCCACTCGGTCGCCTTCTTCAAGAACTGAAAGAAACCTAGCGCCTTCGCCTTCGCTATCATCTCGGCTCCATAAGACAGATTGATGCTTCCATTGTATGCGAATTCCATTCCGTGCAAACACCAGGCTGATTCCTGGTGGGTCCGTTGGATTCTCGCTCCCATTACTTGGTAAGTCTTAGAAATGAAGCCCGTGCTCTTGGAGGATCCCTTGCAAGTTCTTAGGGTATGATGTGATATAAATAGGATCATCATCAGAGCTACTGAACTCGGGCTTTACGCTCTCCTTCAAAGGTTTCAAGATAGATGCCTCAAACCAGGACCATATTCCGTCTTGTGGGCGATCACAGGATCCTTGATCATGGCTGATGACATCGAATTGCAGGGCGGAAACATTGGTCGGCAGAGGAAGAGAGACAAGATAAAGCGTAGTCCAGTTATGAGAACTTGAGGGGGGAGGGGATGGTGGGATCATCAATTTTTGCGTTCGAGTTCCACATACCTCGAACTGACGCGTCTCATTTGAGCCTCCACTGGAGGTATCACTTGTGTCCGATCTGATATCATCGAGCTTTGCCTCTTCAATATCTTTAATCCGCATAAGCAACTGCTCTGCCTCTTCTAATCGACCCTGGCCCTGGTACGTTGAAGCAAGGTGTTCCATGATTTTCAGCGTATTGGAATGGTCAACGCCAAACTTGGTCTCACAAGCCTGCACCCCCTGCAAAAGGCCCACTGACACAAAGGATTGGCTTGTTGATTGCCTAATTGAGATACATAGCCTTGGAAGTTCTCGAGATCTCCCAAGAGAATGGATTTGGGAGTCTTAAGATCCGAGTACACGCTACATCGTACAAATAGCATTTGAGCAGTTTTGGCATCAAGAATTCCAATGTACAGTAAAAGTGATAAACTTGTCTAATTGCAATGCTATACTATGACAAGAAAATTGAGAACATTAACCCACAGTATCCAGCTGTGATTATGATATGCAAAACAATGAAAATCTAATAAGAATACTGCAGAACCGATCCAGAACTTGCGGTAGCTCGGGCTGTAGGATCCAGTAGCACTGAGTTCTGCTGCGCCGCTCGGTAAGGCGCCTCAGTCTTTGGCACAAACATAGTATTCGTGACCAGACCATGGTGGAAGAAACGGAAAGCCTTGCGGTGGCGAATCTGCCGTTTCTTACGGTACTCATTGAACTCGGCTTCTTCCAGCATGGCATACAGGTATCGTGGATGAACAACGATAGCCTGTGCACCTTTCTGTCCGAAGCCGAAAGAGGTGAGGGAGAAAGCTTTCAGGCCACAAGTCTGGATGCTGTGGTTGGGGTAGACGATATATTCGTTCTTCTCCAAGTTGCCATCCACACTGTCGAGATTGCGGTTGCCGGGGATGAGGCCAGTGTTGAGTACTTGCAGACCACCATTCAGCATCCATGCTCCGGCGGCACCCTTGGGGTGTCCCGTAAGATATTTCTGTGAGATGGCGAATAGTGGATTGCCCGGTGTGCGACCGAGATGTTTCATCTGAGCTTCTAGAACAGATGGTTCATTCTTATCGTTCATCACTGTGCTAGTACCATGCAGAGTGACAAAGTCAAGGTCATCTAAAAGGACAATTAGGTATATGAAATCTTTCAGGAAAAGGAGAAGTGACTTACCAATACTGAGACCAAAGACTGCCAGGGAACCTCGAAGAGGCGAGATAGAATCCTGGTCTTTCCAAAAGTCATTGCCGAATGTATTCAGAGCTTCCTTGCGTTGGCGCTCGGCCTCCTGCTCGACAAATTTCAGGTGATGGTCATACTCCTCCTGGTGGGTTTCGGGAATCGTGCCATTCTCGTTGGCCATCATCATTCCCATACTTTCCACTTCGATGTCAACAGACTCCTGAATCTGGGCAAAGCGTGTTGCCAGACGGCGCTTGCGGTATCGCACATCTAGCAGCGGCGACGGGAATCGACTGGTGTGCTGCTCACGGGCATTTGTCAAGATACCTTGTCCAGGAGCGGGCACTGAGCGACCGATCTTGTCACTAGCAGTACCCACCCAAGCAATGATACCCTGAATAGGCAAGCCAAGTTCAAGTGCGAGTTTTGCAGAACAAATCACCTGGATTCCACAACCTTGTGACTCGACGAACCCGCTCCTGCTCTCGGCTGATGGTCGTGACATCTCCTGGGGAAGTCGACCCTTCTTAGCCTCGGCGGCTGCATCCGTAGTTGCTTTCATATTCGCAAACTCTTCCGCCACATCTTGGTTCATATCGTCATAACCTCCGACCAGACAAATCTTGGCTCGACCGGTAGCGATTGTCTCAAATCCGGTCTCCAGTGATTCGACCGAGGTAGCACACGCACCTACTGCAGTTCGAATAGGTCCGGATGAAGATATTAACAACATGTTAACCCAGGCCGCAGTTGTGTTGATGAAGGTCTCCTGGAGGACATCCTTCTGCACATCCTTGTCCATGTATCGATCTTTGAAGATTTTCTTCAGTGATTGCGCACCTCCAAAACCGGAGCCAATGCAATTTCCAAATTCGGAGACATGGATGTATTGATACAGTTCATAAGGGTCGGTGATTCCCGATGCGATCAATGCTTCGATTGTGCCAACCAAGGTATAGAGAGTGCCGCGGTCAACTTGAGTGACAATATCGTCTGGAATACCATATATACGTGCATCCCAGCCGGTCGGAACTTGCCCTCCCACTGCATGGTCCCATTGCAATGCTTTGGGGATCATCAATGTGGCACCCTTCTTCAAGTTGACCACGCACCGGTCTCCCAGCGGAAGGGAATCAACATGTTTCTCCCCGTGCTCATTGATGAGTTGTCGCGCGACCTCAGGGGAAACCTCAAAAGGCGGTAGATCCTGCTCGAGGACGATTTCTTGCAGTATTTGGCGTTTCCCTGGCGTGTTGGTATCAAGACTAGGCTCGACCAGTCGGATTCCTGTATGAGCTAGAATATGCTCTTCATAGCGAGCTTTGATGTCAAGATCCTGAACAGGTTTTTGGGTATTTGCGTCGACCCATCCGGTGTAGTTTTGACCTTCTAGTTGACCGTTGAAGTGTGTAATCAGGCCCATCATCCAAGCCATCTCGATGCAGCCTTCCAGTGAGAGGCGCCCGGTAGCCTCCATCTGCCATCGGGTACGAGAATTGCCAAAAGGACCTACCTCGGAGAAGCCAGTCACAACGACAACCCGATCGAGATTCGCCATACCAAGCAGTTGCTCCCTGAGGGGCTTGATCTCAGCCTCCTCGTCAGGGATGTCGGGGAATGTGAAAGGAATGTTTGCCAGACGAGGCCGAGGCGACTTTTCTTCTTTGGCTTGTGGGCCAAGAATCGTGAGCTTCTCTTCAGCCTCCTTCTCACGGGCCAAATTAGCGCGTATAGTACTTTCGTCGAAAATGTCCCGGCGAACCTGATCGAGTGTGGCTCGGAGATTGGGGATAGCGTTCAGACCTCCGGTAAGATCGGCATACAGTGGCTGAATGTTGCATTGACTAGCCAACTTACGGGTCAGGAGAACAAGGATATACGCTGCCATTTCTGCGGTAGAGAAAGTTTGTACACCCTGTTTTTCGATACCGGCGGCCACGATGTTGTTATCAGCCATGAGTCCAGTACCGCGAGTCCATCCGATTACTGCACCGCAAATGGACAGATACGCGGACCAGCTCTCGGAGTGCCACTTCTCAAATAATGATTCGAGCGCAAGCTTAGACTCACCGTACAAGCCATCATTTCCAAATGCGCCGTGATTAGGAGATAGTGGCAGGATAACTTGAGTGGGTCGCGTGCGATACCCGCGGGTTTGCTTTTGCCTCTTGATAGCACCCAGCAGTCGCAATGTGTTGGTCAACATGATTCGATGGGCGAGTTCTGAGCGCGAATCAATATTGTCGATCTCTCGTCCGGACTCGGAGATAGCGGCAAATGGAATCACATGGTCCAGATCCCAGCCTAGTCCAGTATCTGAGAAAATGTGTTCCACAAGACCCTCAAGATCCTGCTGACTACCCTGGTTGAAAGGAGCGATGATAAGCTCAGATCCCCTAGCACCATACTCGACGTAGAGATTCTGGTAGAAGCGAGTGGTGGAAGATGAATAGCTACTGGTAGTGACGACCACTTTGGCACCACCACTCAATAGACCCTTCAGAACCTCCGCATTAATGGAGCCCATACTCACACCTGTCATCAATACGTATTTGTTGACGAATGTGACTCCCTCACTCCAGGATGATTGAACTTCGTCGCGATACAGTGCAGTCAGTGACTGGCAGGTGTGCCAAGCCGACTGATCACGGGTCGCGATCGAAATGGGCGCAATAACAGGTGATTCCGCACGAGGGATTTCGCGGTACTTGATGTTGCCCTTTTCATCAATCTCGGTGTTGGGACCCTTGACAAAGGCATCGTGGTTGGCGGCTAACGGCTCGAATCGAGGAATACGTGTGGTCTCACATCGCTCCAACAGGCGGTTCACAGCAGCTTTGGCCTCAGGAAGGCGCGGGCCCCAGAGCATAGATTGACTGTTGATCAGATAATTCATCATCCGAACTAACCGTGGACTAGATCGGTTTGCAATGGCGTTACTATACTTGGCGAACTCGGCATCGGAGAATTCACCACGCAGGATCCGGTGAAAAAGATCCAAGGCATCTTGCAAGACCCAGTTCCAGCTGGAGTGGAAGCGTCGGACCTTTGGTGCAGCCCAGAGAGGACGGATACCAGAGAGGAAGAAATCTCCTACTTCGGCTGCAATGCCGTCCAGTTGGTTTTGTAGGTCTGCTGTTGCCAGTTGTGCTTTTAAGGCTTCTTGAGCATCTTGCCTCAGGTCCTTCCCAAGAAGTCGTGCATATAATTCCATCAACGACTTCTTGAGCTTGTCCTGATCTTTGACAACGGCATTGAGAGCTGCACTGTCCACTGGAGCGGAGACCGTGACTGCAGCTGATGCAGATTGGGCAGATGCTGAAAAGTCTAGCCCGTGGTAAGTACCGTACTCCTTTACAATATCATCAAAGAATGACTGTGCCTCCTTCGAGTCGCCTAACCTAGATGAGGTCTGTGCTGTGCTTGCTCTCAGGAAAATTGCGTCCTGACGACCAGCGCCCAGACCCCATCGAGACTGCAAATAATCACGAACATCACCACTGGAGAAGCCAGCGGGAAGTTTCTGTGCAAAGACCTTAGAAACAAGCGAGGTCGAGACCTTGCGTAGCTGCCCCGTGAATGCCGCTGCAGATTGCAACTGGCTGGCCAGTTGGTCGAGTGACATATCTTCTGGCTTCTCGGGGAGGGAACCGAACTCGGTGTCAAGGTCTCCCACAATCTCATTCTCCATCGTTGACCGACCTAGAGTAAAATTAATATTAGCTGTCCAAGAATTGCAGCAGTTGGACGGTGGACTATACCGCTGGCTAAAGCTTTGATAGACTGTTCTGTGGCCAATTCGCCATGGCTCTTGCGCAGCTTGCTGGCAATGATAGCGACCAAGATCTCCTTAGCCTCGACTGGGGTATCCGGGATGGGTGCGACATTTGCGACCTGCGCCGGTGCCTCTGCAGCGACTTGAACTTCCGATGAAGCTGTTTGAACACTGACAGCCGCTTGGGCAGCTGCGATCGCTTTCGTAGCAGATGCAGAGGCTTTGGAGAATTTCTTTCCACCAGCGTCCGCCGGCGTTGCCTCCAACCGATACTTGATTTCTTGTGCATTCTGCGCATATGAAAGAAACCGTCGCTTCATGTGTCGTGCAGCATCTTGTGAATTGAAGTGTCGGGCTACGGTTTTCTTGAGCATGCCGGTAAGGACATCTGCCGGCCCAACCTCAATGAATCGAGCGACATTATAATCTTTGAGAAATAGCTCTTGTGTGGCAATCCTATCAAGCATTAGAAATTATATCGCTCCAGCTTTGAAGACGAGGCCACAGTGTTTTGGAGCATACCATTGAACAGGTGAAGCAAATTGATGTCTATCGAGCGACTCTTGTTAGCTGTATGAAGTTTTGACACAAATTTTGAAATTCCTCACGCTAATAGCTCAACCAGAAGCAGGTAGGCCAGCTGCTGCTCAACCTGGGGCTGCATCTTGTTAGGTAAGGTTGTTGAATGGGCACAATGTCCAGATGTATTTCACACTCATTCGATAAATCATACTCGCCGAGAATTGACATTGAGCTTTCATCTTATCTCTCTGAGCTCCAGGGCTAGATGTTCGCCACGAGTCCGGCCCCTCCAGGGGCTCTTCATGATGTTCTGCAGAGAGTAGCTATAATTGGCTTCAGCTCTGCAGATCAGGGGAGCCATGTGGTCAGCTAGCATCATGACAATCCATGTCGCGAAAATAGAAGCAAAATACCGTCATGCTTCTATTTACAGCACATTTAGACCGATTTCAGGTACGGAGTTGAGATTAGCTGCTGACGCTACATGATGAGAGAGCATAAGTTCAGGTTCGTGGGGGCTTACACGCTGACAAGGGGCGGGAGGATCGACGCTAACTGTGTTGGGGTGAGTACCCACTCCAGGGCTAAGTACGGGGGCCTTTAACGCCCACACTGCCAACCCCCATTTTCATAGTAATGAATATGATGAATTTTGACCGCTTAGCTCACCGCTGGTTATATCATTATCATGATTTGAAAACTTCAATAAATATACCAGGCTAAAATAAGAGATAGCTAAGATGAGAGATAGCTAAAATGACATCCTTACAATAGGGATATACGGAGTACTCCGTAGACAGTTCTCTTTTTTTCTGCCAGCCATATGCTATAGTAGGGATTTTGGCCATAAGGCTAGAGGGCCTCATAGTACCACCATTGCCGAATTCGGTACATTCATCACTCTTGAAACACAGGATAACAAAATCAGGAAATATTTGATCAGATCTTAGGAGTCAAAGTCGATATCAGGCAATTCTAAGAAATTGGTTGAATGATTCTGAGCGTGGTCCGATCAATCCATATTCCATGTCGCCACACTATGGAAGTATTTGAGACTGTCCAGCTGGACTTCAAGTTGAGATGTTCAAGTTCAAGTTGTTCAGATCGGCTCAAAACATCCAGGTGATCATCATCCGAGGTTAATTTGTGCATAATTTGCGATGGAAGCCATCAACCATTTGAGGGGGCTCTCTGTCCTGGCTACCAGTTTGGCCAAGGCAGTACCTCTTGCCCTTGTAGCTTACGTGAGTCCTCTTATCCATATCCATGGATCTATGTGCATAATCCTCGTGAGATACTGACCTCTGTTCACTCAGGTGCTGGCCATTGTTGTCTACCGGGTATGGTTTCATCCTCTTGCCAAGTACCCCGGGCCGGTCCTGGCCAAGATCACAAATCTCTATGCCGGATACTATGCATGGACCGGAGGTCTCCATGTAGATATGATGCGTTGCCATGAGAAATATGGTTCGTTGGATTATTATACCCTATTGGACAAGAGCCGTGCTCATACTGATCTACTCTGTGATAGGTGACATCGTTCGATATGCACCCAACCGAATCTTGTTTAATACTAATACTGCTATGAGGGGTACGTACTGTACAATTATCCTCCTGTCGCACTCTACCTTGCTGATTCATTAATTCTACTAGATATCTACTCGTTCAGCAAGCAATTCCAAAAGTCTGCCGACTATGCGGCCATGGTACACCGTGCACCTAATACCCTTACTTTGATTGACAAGAAACAGCATGGTCGCAAGCGCCGCACCATCGGCCAAGGATTTGGAGACAATTCCCTCCGTGGATTTGAGGATACTATCATGAACTTGGTGCGCACATTCTGTGACGCCCTGTCTCAGGATACCCCCACGGGCGAATGGTCTCCACCGCAGAACATGGCCAAGTGGTGTATGTTTCCTTTGATTCCATACAATGAACTAAATGCAGGTTGCTAATAACGTGTTAGCCAACTATTTAACCTTCGATATCATGTCCAGTATCATTTTTGGAGAAAGTTTCGACCTACTCACAAACCCCAAAAACCGCCCAATTGTCCAGGCCATCGAAGACTCCAATGTCCGTACTGGAGTTCTTCTACAAGCACCCGAATTGTCGATGCGCCGCCTTGATCGCAAGCTTTTCCCCCAGGCAATTGTTGGACGTAACATGCTCATTCGTTTTGTCAACCAACTGCTCCAGAAGCGCATGTCTGCCAAGCCCTTGAAGCGTAACGATGTATTTTCTTTCCTTCTCGATGCGGTGGATCCCGAGACCAAACAGGGCTTCACCCCAGCTGAGATTGGAGCGGAGAGTACCACCATGATTGTCGCCGGTATGCAACTCATATGCTCATCTCATGTCTCTTATTAGTAAAGCTAATCTGGATATTAGGATCCGATACCACTTCCACTGCAATTGCATCAACCTTCTTTTACCTATGCCGCAACCCTGATGCTTATGAGCGAGTCAAGAACGAGGTCCGCGCTGCTTTTGCCAACCCTAACGATGTCACTCTTGGAGCCGATCTTGCTGGCTGTGTCTATCTCCGAGCTTGTATCGATGAGAGCCTTCGTATGTCTCCTCCAGCCAGCAGCTCTCTATTCCGAGAAGTTATTCAGGATGGTGTCACAATCGACGGACACGTTATCCCTCGTGGCTACGATGTAGGTACCTGTATCTATGCCATTCAGCACAATGCGGAGTACTACCCCGAGCCATATGAATTCCGTCCCGAACGCTGGCTCGACGAGCCCGACAAGGTTAAGATCGCCCGCTCGGCATTCACACCATTCTCCCTTGGGCCCCGCAGTTGCTTAGGCAAGGGATTAGCTCTTACTGAGCTGACACTGACCATGGCTTATCTGTTGACCAAGTTTGACTTCCGTTCTGCCCCCGGCAGTGAAAATTTGGGCGGTGGTTCGGTCGCTGAGGGGCCTGGACGATGCCATGAAACCGAGTACCAGCTCCGTGATCATGTCACGGCGGCCAAGGATGGACCGATGGTGCAACTTCGCCTGCGCGAGTGAGCTATTGGGGTCAGTGGGGATATTGGATATCCATAGAATTGTTTTTTCACGGTGTTTTTCTTTTCGTTTGAGCACTTGAATGTTTTGATCATGCCTCAAGCTGGACTTGAAGCCTTGCTAGTATGCATAGACTTCCTTTCAAATGTTTCTCATCTTTTCAGATTTCAATCAATGTGACCTTGATGTTATTTCGAATGTTTCAGACTGCAGTTGAGTCTACTATAGTCTATAGGTATGTCACCCTGACATTTGAGCGGTATCCAAGTGGGTCAAATTTCAGGGTGGATACTGTTCAAATGTCTAGGTGAGGTATTCTCTCCTCTCCTGCAGCTCGCTCGCCCCAAACATTTTCAGAGCGTTCCGCCGTCCCCTCGGCACTGAGACTACAGTTCCGCCGCCCCTTCGGAAAACCTCGGCCGCCCTGATGTGGATTAAATCATGTGACCTTAAAGCCGAGGGGGCGGCCGAACCTATTTTAGCACGTGATCATATACTCCTCTTTACTCCACATCGGGGCGACTGACCTGTGCTTCACCGCTCTTGGCGTATTGGTGCATCGGATTAACTCCGAGTTCAACTTACCCACAATCACAATTCTCTACAGAAACAGTTCAAACATATCTGTATATACGAAGTGCTATCGGAAGAATAGAAAACAATCACAATCACAATCATTCATTAATGAACTTTGGAAACTTTGAAAATTATCTCTATTATCCACCTAAAAACCCGAACGCAATGCCGTGACTATCTACTTTCTCCTAAGCATTCACTCCATTCAGGACCTGCTTCACCTCATAACACCATGCTTCGTTATCTTCACTATCACCACGCTGAACACTGATCAGCTCAGAGTGCAACTTCTGACAGACCGGGCCCGCGGCCGTCTCCGTCGTATAGACAAAGTTATCCCCACGCGACTGGTGTGTGATCGAGCGAATGGGGACCAAAGCCGCAGCAGTGCCCACGGCCATGACCTCACTAAAGCTCGACAGCTCAGTGTACTTGACCTGAACCAGAATTATATCCATTAGTCATTTCATCTTACCACAGGTCAGAAATATGGACAAGCTTACCGTGCGATGCTCCACCTCATACCCCAACTGTCTTGCCAGAGCCATCAAACTATCCGAAGTGACGCTATTGATAATATTATCACTCTTCGGCACAACCAAGGTGACCTGATCAGGTTCGCCCTCCTGCTTTTTCACCCTAACACCCATGAATCCCGAGGTCGAGAATTCATCAATATCCTCCCCAGTCTTGCTATCCAAATGCAAGGTCATGGGGAATCCCTCCTTCATCGCCCGTTGCGACCACTTCATCACGGGCGCATAGTTACCCCCCTATCTTGGCATGCCCAGTGCCTTTAGGAGCGGCACGATCAAACTCTTCCAGAGTGACTGCCGGCAACGGCATAACGCCATGGTAAGTGCTGAAGGGCTGGACATACACGCAGAACGTGTATTCAGCCGGTGGGGTGAGGGCAAAGTGCCCGCTGGATCCGAACAGAACAGGACGGATATACATGGAAGCGCCGCTTTCATACGGAGGAACCCATTCAGCGTTCTTTTCGACGGCCGCGTTAACAGCCGTGATGAAGTGGTCGATCGGCACGGGTGGGATAGAGACCACGTCGGCCGAGTGCTGCATGCGTGCGGCGTGGAAGTATGGGCGGAATATTTGGATCTTGCCGTTACGTGTGCGGTAGGCTTGGGAATGAGAACGTTAATGTATCGCCAGGTTTCCTTCCCACTTCTTACATACCTTTCAGGCCTTCATAAACCTGTTGGCCGTAGTTAAGGGCAGGTGCCAGTCCATGAATGCGCAGATATGGATCTGCGACGAGCTTGAGAGGCGACCATATGCCCTCGTCGACCGAATAGGTCGATTCGATGTGGCCGTTAACTGAGGAGTATGAGTATGATCTTCAAGAGAATGGATTGTTGTTCAGTGCTCACCCAAATCGGAAACGGCGAATCCTAGTTTTGTCCACTCTATTATGCGTCAATGCATCGTTATAACACATTCGATTGGCTCAATCGGGATCACTGACCAACATTGGGCGCGGGAGATGGAGGGAAAGTCATTATGACAAAAGGTAGTAATAAATGAAAAGATTTGGAATAAAAGCCTTCAAGGATAAAAAAAAATTGAGAGTACAAAATGATTCTGGCGATCATGAAGAACTTGAAAGGCAATGAGTCGTGTGATATCACTTTATATCTATCGATTCTGCTAGTATGCCTACATGTTCAATTTTCTGATAATAGTTCATGCAGTCTAGCTTGTTTCAGAAAATGAGGCCCAATCACAAAATAGTCAGCCATGAGCTTGCGTCTATGGATCTGTGGGTCTGGGGGTTTTGTCTGACAGTGCATATAGTCGCGTTTCCTGAAACATCTCACTTTGGCCCCCACTATGTGACATCACGAAGATCTCCACCACCCAGCCTCAGAGATATTGACCATTTTAACAATTTTAAGGATAATTAAACACCAGCTGAGAATTCCCATGACGAATATCCCCAAATCTCACTAGCGAGATCGACCTGTGCATAATCTAAAAATGCTGAAATTTATCCTCATCTCGCAACCTTATCCATTTCCGCATATCTTCATGGGGCTTTTTAAGGTCGCCCCCAAACCACAGACCCATTGAACAGTTTCATGATGCTGGTTTCAAAGGGGCCTTGAATAGCTCGAACCAGAATCACAAGCGCTACAGTTCCCCGTACACCAATATAAGTCTAATCAATGGGAGTCTTTTAGGTCTCATAGAGCAAAGTCAACGAGCTCAGTATTTCTATCAAGACAGACAGGAATCAGTGAATTGGAAGCAGCTGCGTCGAGAAATTAGACAATTTCCTTCAATTTATTCAACTCTCTCTTGACAAGACTCATAAACATTCATCTTAATTATGGCAGACCAAGTTTCACCCAGCTCTCACAGTCAGTTTTGCTTTATCGATCAGATGTATATCCTTACAATATTGGCACTTTTACTGATACAAAAATGGAAATAGCTCTCTCTACTCCATTATCAACACCTTCACTCGACTCTGGGGCATTTCACGATTACTATACCGGCCTGATGCAATCCGATAATGAGTTACTTTCTTTGCCACAATGGCACCACGATGACATGAATATCTCTGCAAACAATACTTATAATTCCATTCCCGACTTTGAATTATACATGAATATGCCTGGTACACCACAAAGCGGGGATCATTTCTCCCAACCTGGTGCCTTCTCACTTGTAAGTTGGCGCAGCTCAAGTTTCTTCTTTCTCCTCACTTCTTATTCACCCCCTCTTTCCTTGCCCATTACTATTACGCCAAATATAAACAATGACTAATCCCTCACAGAAAGAATTCCCAATGCACACTCCCTGCGATGCCACACTCCCATCATGGCTCCCCACCTCTCCACCACTTACCCGCGTCAACTCCGCTACATCAACCTCCCAACCAAAACCTCCTACCTCTTTACCTGAGTCAGAAAATTCTAGCGGCTCACACTGCTGTCCTGCGCACGAACAAATTGTGCAATTACTACTCTCCCGCGGTGCGAACGTGAACATTCAAAACGCCAGCGGTCGAACTCCCTTACATATCGCCGCTCAACAAGGACATCTGGGTATTGTGCGTCTCCTGTTGGCCTCACAATACATTGATGTGAATGCCCAGGACCGCTGTGGTGCCACACCATTACATTTGGCGAGTGAGAATGGACATGTCGTCATTGTCCAGTTGTTGGTTGCGCATAATGCCAGATTGGATGTAAGGGCAACCACTGGCAACGCGTGAAAGGATCAATTGATTGGATTTTATATTTGTTTCTGTTTGTATACAACTGCATTAGCGTTATAGAATATTGTTTTTAATGTTTAGAAATGCATTTACCGCCGGACGGAAAATACTACTACAGTCCTCTATACGTGATCTACAAGCACTGACAGTGCCAGTAAATAAGACAAAGAGACTCAGAGTCACTGGTTCAAATGTTCCTGATAGCATCCATTATGAAGAACAAAAAGCTAGAGAGCCTACTATGTTCCAAGGTTAATCATATTATGACTCCGACTCGGAGTTACTAATATAAGCATCTAACTATCCCGAGGTCACGATGTATAGCTATCATCCATCACATGTGCAACATTTGAATAGATTTGGACAATACATTCACCAGTTGACCTGGGTGCCCATTTAACAAGACTCCCGATATCGGCGATCCCGTGTTTTCTCAACTGCCACTGGCAGTGCCTCAGCCATGGCTTTCAAGGTTAATATCAAGGGCCAGGGACTTTAAGACTCAGATCTTGGGATAAATCTTGATTAGTTTTCACCAGATGAAAAGCTTGCACTATGTGCCTATGATTCCATTGATTGAGCCGCTCTAATTCGAACAAAAAAAATCAACCTTGGAAAACTTCAAATGTTGAAATGTTGAGATATATATCTATCCCATTGGTAGCATTTGGTCTCATAGTTGATCATTCAAGTTTAAGTTTGAAATCAGACCAATTCGAGTTTGACTTGGCGAAAACAAATTGACAGCATATAAAAAGTCATTCACAAAGTTTTGATCAACTTGATTAGTACTACGGGGTATAGCATGGAACAAAGGTTCAATGTTTACGTGCAACTTGAACCTTGGAAGTTTTGGAACCTCGGAACGGGACAGTGGAGCTTTCAGGCCGAAGTTAATGAGAATCAAGCCTACGGAGTACAACAGTGACGGTATAAAGACTCGGAACAATTTTATCGGGAGAAATAGGAGTGAATTCGAGTTGGAGCATTAATTCGAATTTTAGGAAATTCGGAAGTGCTTCGTTGCCGGTGGATTTTAGTCTGGGGAAGCCAAGCGCGACCAGCGCGTCCTGGGGAGTCCTGGAGATTAGGCTATTCCTGACTAACGCGCGCGTGGAATTCCGCACGCGCTTTACACCTATATCCACTCTTGTCTCCTTGAGCCTCGACCTCTAAATCATGAATCCCCAAAAACGCCAAAGAAAACCATCTGGCAGTCATTATTTACTAACCTAAGGAACTAACCCATGCCACATGTATACCCTCTTTTCCGGTCGACGCTTAAGAGCCCCGGACGATCGCGAAAGCCACCACGACAAACTCGGATCGGTATTCGGCAAAGAGCCCCAAAGGGAGCCGTGATCTGCGCGAATACGATTCCAGAATTGCTCGGCGACACCGTTTTGCCAACCCGGCTGAGAAATTGCGAAGAGAGCAATCTCAGAAAACTTTTGATCACGATGAGCATTCTCAACAGACGTGGCAGCGGAGCTCGGATCCCAAGTATCTAGATGAGGAGAATTCCAAGGAAACGATGCTCGAGGAAAAACAAGCGCAAGGTTATGGATTGTTTGCTCAGGCGATGATGAGGCCGAGTCATGATCAAAATAAGCAGCGAAGTCTCTTGTTTCGAGCTGCGACATAAGTGCATCAATACTGATACCCGCGCCGGGATGGATGTGGCGATGGAAGGCGAGACGGAGAGCCTCCTTTGAGGGGAAATCCCTGAGTGAAATAGCATGGCGAACGCGTCGCTGGTCATGCCGAACATCCCGAGTTGTTCGAAAAGATGGCGCTACTCAAGAATTTTGCTGTTGCATGCATGATACTCGCGTTGGGGCCGAGTCCATGGGCAAGAGCATGCAGTGTAGCGGAGGCAGCGGGTCCTGGGGGCAAGGAGGAGGGACGCATGCCTTCAGGATGAAGAAAGATACCATGCGGTGGCTGTAGCACGCGGGCTAGATGAATGGCGGCATTATGAGCATCCAACGCATATGTGCGAGAGTTTGTGGACGAAGTGCCTAGTGTGGCCACGATCGGTACAGATTTGGCACGAATAGCAGACTCAATGGTTTCAGGGATGAAGCCTGTCATATTTGCCTCATGTGAAAATAATCCGCGATCGGATCTCGCGACCGCCGTAAAGACTCCAGAGGAGATCGGTCGCGTCTCAACATCCCGGTGCTCGAGAAGCGCACTGAGCAGATGGTTTGTAGTGCGGATACAGCGTAGATGATTTGACTGATTGATTGGCTCTTCTATTGTTGAATCTGAAGCAATGTCTAGATCTAAATCTAGACCAAGCTCACCATGTACAACGATAGGGATAAGCCCACGCGCCTGAGAAAGGCCAGCGAGTCAGCCAATCGCTCAAGTTGGGTTCGGATTGTGGGCCCCGTCAGTGAGAAAGTGTTCGGGCCACGCGCAATTACGGCCAAAGCATCACCCTGAGACGGGTGAAACCGTTCAAGATAGCGTTGAATCTGGTGTTTCGAATCAATGAGACTCAGCAATTGCGCGATGACATCGCGGTTGGTTTGTGCGCGAGACCGCTGTGCGGTCGAAAACTGGGACACAAAATGGCCCCCTCTGTGGGGGTAAGGGAATCTGAAACGACGCAGCAGTGGGACCAGCATGACTGATCAAGCAGACTGAAACGTATGCCACGGGGAAGGCTGGTAAAATTGGAGATGGTCCATGTGGCTATTGTGGAGTTCGTGGAGTTCGTGTTATACACTACTGATAGTGTTATGCTGACAATGTTGATCGCACAAGGCTCGAGTTCCATTGTCCTATTTACAGTTGTTATTATCTTATTTTTGTTCAGCCCCCTTAAGTCTGACCGTGACTGTTGGTACGTCATCCAATTTGCAAACGGATCCTATTCTCTGCTGTGATTGGGGGTTATCTATACAAAATGCACAGTGAGGTCATTTTATATGGATATCTCTCAGGGGCCAATGCACGATCAGCCGCTAAGGATCTAGCGTGGACCCTCAACCTTACGACGCATTGATAATGTTCCTTGCATCGTGGGGATTCAGGAACGTGGCAGCCATGCGGCCCCCCGGCTCTAGCTCTAAGCGGACGGCCCCATCCCCACTTACTGTCTCTCGGAATCATCAAAGTATTACAGATGCTGGTCGAGGCTCCTGGAAAATGAAACTATTCGTCAAAGCTTAGTCTATAATTGGATATTGGTGGATACTCTCTGCAGGAGCTGGCCGATGTCTCCTGCAGGAAGATGGGATCGCAGATTAGATGAGCTACATGGGCACTTTGAGGATTGATATCAAGTATTCAAGACCTGAAAATTCCCTGTTCACACGCGCAACTGTTGTCTATCCTGCTGATATCTGCTCGCATACTTTTTGAGCTTCGTCGTTGTGCTGCCCACCTCATCTACGACCTTCTAGACTCGTTGCATTTTGCACTTACTCTATTACTCCTCCTCTCATACCACCTGGGCACTCCGGCACTTACACTCCTCTCTAACTCCTATACCACTTTTCTTTACATATCAGCCACCTAAATTGCCTACCCTTCTATACCACGCCTCTTACCTTACTCACGTCTATACTTCTCGGCATTTCTTTTACTACCGAGCTCCTCTACTCCACTTATAGACTTAGACATTACTCGAGCTTAATTCTTATCAATTACACTAATTCGTCATGGGTGACTACGGCAACATCAAATCTGTCGAAACCGACCGTCCCCATTTACCTTTTGAGCTCAAGGCAGGTGCTTCCTTGTTTCCCCTCTTGACTGACGGGGTTATTCTAGATGACGAAACAGCTGGACCGCGAGTCGCCAGCGGGCTGGATCAGACTCGAATTGCCTTGGAACTGGGGTCTGGAACCTCAACCGTGGCTCTGAAAAACTTTTGCAAGCGTAATGGAGTTTCACTCCTGAGTGTTTTAAACGTCGCTTGGTCCTTGGTGCTCGCTGCGTATGCCGACACCGATGAGACCAATGTTCTGTCGGTTCGCTATGTGGCTGGTGTACCCTATGTCGGTTCTAACGAGACCGCGGTTGATGGCGAAAAGACGATACAGCAGACTTTGGCAGAGGCTGAGCAGCAGTTGGCGACATCCGTGGCGGTCCCGTCAGCGACAAGCGTGACCGACCTACAGAGCTGGACGGCCAAGAATGGGCACCCAGTTTTTAACAGCGTTGTGCTGCTATCGGAGAGCGATACCCCAGAACGAGACGAGGTGTGTATTGAAAGGTGTCCAAATTTTCACAATGAGAACAATTGTTAATTCAAACGGACAGACTGGGGATTACATCGCAGTCCAGGCGAGAGCTACTCGCAATCAGCTGGAGATTTACCTACAATCTCCCACTAACTTGCTCCCCGAGGAGCAGGCGCACAACTGCGCCGAAACCCTCAGTCATGTGATCGGGGAGATTATCCGACAACCTAACCTCCCCATTTCTGAGGTGAATATGATGAGTCCTCAGGGACTGGAGCAGATCTCCATCTGGAATGGGGAAGAGCCCGAGGTAGTCTCGCGCTGTCTGCATCAAATCGTCGATGAGACCGCCCAGGCGAACCCCGACGCTCTAGCCATCGATGGAGCTGATGGTGTTATGACTTACGGCGAGTTGCAAGCATACACGAATCAATTGGCACATCGCTTGGTGGAACTGGGCGTCGGTCCTGAGGTAGCAGTTCCATTATTCTTCGAGAAGTCAAAATGGGCCATTGTTACTATGATTGCCGTGGTTAAGGCTAGCGGTGTAATTGTCAACCTGGATGCTAAACAGCCAAAGCCGCGTTTGCGAGGCCTACTTGCTCAACTGGAAGCCCCGTTCGTGTTGACCTCAGCCCAGAACGCCGAGCTCTGGGAAGGCGAGATTCCCGTTGTGGTGGTCTCCGAAAATGCCTTTGACGAGTTTCCCATGGTGACGAGAGCTCCCATGGCTGCCGTCACTCCGCAAAACGCCCTTTACATCATCTTCACCTCGGGCAGTACTGGAACACCCAAGGGCTGTGTGGTCGAGCACGAGTCTTTCCTGACAGCTGCTGCACAGCATGTGCAAGCCGGTAAGGTTTTACCTTCTAGCCGAGTGCTGCAGATGACACCCTATACTTTCGACGTCAGCATGTTCGAGATATTCACCACCCTCACTACGGGCGCCTGTATCTGCTTCTGCGGCGATGAGGATGCAGCTCGGGGAATTGCCCATATCATTAACCACCTCCAAATCACCTGGACATTCATGACACCATCATTGGTGCGTCTTATCGAGCCTTCCTCAGTGCCTACTCTGCAGACCCTCACCCTTGGTGGAGAAGGCCTTGGGCGGATTGACGTGGCCACCTGGGCTGATAAGCTACATTTGATCAATGGTAAGTTCATTTGTCTTGCATCTTTTTCTCTGAGATATCTTCTAATACATTGAATCATAGGTTATGGACCCAGCGAATGCTCCGTCGCAGCAACAATCAACGAACCCTTGACACTCACCACCGATCCTGCTAATATCGGTATCGGATACGGAGCTGTGACCTGGATTGTGCACCCGGACAACCACGATCGACTTGTGCCCATTGGAGCCGTTGGAGAGCTCGTCATTCAAGGTCCCATCGTCGCACGGGGCTATCTCAATGAACCTGCCAAGACTGCCGCTGTCTTCTTGGATGAAATCCCTGCCTTCGCTGAACTTCTGCCCCAAGCACCAGCCGATTTCCGTCTCTACAAGACCGGAGATCTGGTTCGCCAGAACAGCGACGGAACTATCAATTTCATTGGCCGCAAGGATCGCCAGGTGAAACTGAACGGACAGCGTATGGAACTGGGCGAGATTGAGCAGCGCTTGTTGGAGCCTTCTCAAGTGCGACATGGTCTTGTTCTTCTCCCTAAGGAGGGTCCCTGCAAGGGTCGTCTGGTTGCTGTCATGTCTTTGCATGATGTGCCTTACGACGGCCCTCGCGATGCTGATGTCCATGCCCTGTCCGCAGAGGAATCCGAGAGTGCGCGAGCCTATTTGCCAGAGATCACTGCACAAATGGCCACTCAGCTCCCATCTTATATGGTTCCGAGTTTTTGGGTGGTGTTAGCTGCGCTGCCATTCACAACTTCTGGCAAAGTCAACGGTGTCGCGATGACTAAATGGCTTCACGAGATGTCTGAAGAGACTTACCACGATATTGCTGGCATCAGTGATGATCAGCCTGAGACTGGATTGTCGACTGATGTGGAATTAAAAATGCAGCAGATTTGGGCGGAGGAACTGGGCATTCCGATCGCAGATGTTAAGATCAACTGCTCTTTCATTGCCCTGGGCGGTGATTCTCTTACCGCTATGAAGATTGTGGCTCGTTGCCGCAAGCAGCAGCTTATCATCTCAGTTCCAGAGATCCTGCGTGCCGCTAACATCATTGAGCTGGCAGCCCGAACCACTGAAAGATCCGCAGGTTCATCTGAAGGGGGCGCGGATGAGATTGAGTATAGGGCTCGTTTGACACCCGCCCAGCGACTTGCAGATCTGGATGACTCTGTCTTGATTGCAGCGGGTCTGACCAGCCGCGTTCAGGTGGAGGATGTCTACGAGTGCTCGCCCATGCAGGATGGAATTTTACTAAGTCAAGTCAAATTCCCCGGCACCTATGAGGTCCGTCGTGTTTTGCGAGTGCAATCCACTCGCGATCCGATTACTACTGTTGCTCGTCTTGAACTGGCCTGGCAGGCAGTGGTTGATCGACACCAGATGCTGCGTACAATTTTTGTTGATGCAGCTGGGCAGTTCCAACAAGTCGTCCTGAAGCAAGTTGAAGCGTCTATTCAAACATGCGAATGTCTGGATGCGGAAAATGAGCGTGCAGTAACCCGGTTCCTCAAGGCGCTGCCTTCACCGAATTACAAGCCCTCGCAACCACAGCATCGTTTGACTATCTGCCGTGCCGCCAAAGATAGTATCTTCATCAAGGTCGAGATTAGCCACGCCCTGGTTGATGGAGGCTCTACTGAAGTGGTTCTTCGCGAACTCTCGCTTATATTCGACGACAAGTTTTTCTCAGCACCCGCCGCACTGTTTAGTGACTACATCGACTTCATATCTGAGCCTGAAACTGTTAGCACATCATTGGACTACTGGACCGAGTACTTGAACGGCGTGCAACCGACTATTCTGCCCATGTATCCCACGGAGGGCGCTGAAAAGAAGATCCGTTCCATGCCGGTACCATTTACGAAGGCCACTGCATTGCTTCGATTCTGCGAGACTCACGGTGTCACCCTGGCCAATGTACTACAGACAGCATGGGCATTGGTGTTGCGAGTATACACTGACACTGATGATGTCTCATTTGGCTACGTTGCCGCCGGTCGTGATGTTCCCGTCGAAGGAATTGATCAGGCGGTTGGAGCCTTCATCAACATGCTGGTTTGTCGCGTACGCCTTCATGAGCAACCCACTGTTCTTGATGCCGTTACCGCGATGCAAACCGAGTACTTTGATGCGTTGCCTCATCAGCACACATCATTGGCTCAGATGCAGCACCGACTGAACATGTCAGGAATGCCTCTATTCAACAGTATTATCTCAGTCCAGAAAGATGTGTCTGACCAGCCATATGGCGAGTCGCTTTCTTTCCGACCGTTGGAGGAAGATGATCCCACCGATGTGAGTCCTCTTTGTGAAGTCTTCAAGTCTTTCTGGCTAACAATCTTTAGTTTGATCTGGCTGTTGCCATTCACGTTGGAAAGGAGCATGTCAAGATCGATATCGGCTATTGGTCCTCGCTGCTCTCAGATGGCGATGCTGCTAATCTAGCTAATACTTTCAACGGTGCTATCTCCAGTATCCTCATGAAGGAGCAGTCATCTCCAACCTCCATCGATCTTTTTACCGAGGAGGATCGGGAACAGATCTTTACCTGGAACAAGGATGATCCTGTTGCAGCCCCTGGTGTCGTTCACGACTACATCTATGCCAAGGTCAAGCAACAGCCTGATGCGCCTGCGGTCTGTGCCTGGGACGGAGAATACACTTATTCCGAACTAGACCACCTGTCCGAGAAGTTGGCGCACTACCTTGCTAGGCTAGGCGCTGGTCCGGAGGTGCTGATTCCCCACTGTTTTCCGAAGTCTAAGCTGGCAACAGTTGCCATGCTGGCTATCATGAAATCAGGAAGTGCTGGAGTCGGACTCAGCGCTGCTCATCCCCGGGCGCGTGTCCAGGATATCGTCGAAAATTGCTCTGCTCGTATTGCAGTCGTGTCAACACAATATGTTCCCGTTGTGGAAGGACTGGTCGACCGCATTGTGGCTGTTGACGAAGCTTTTCTAGCTCGTCTGGCACCTCCGCGACGTGGATTCCGACTGCCCAAGGCAGAGCCATTCAACCCAGCCTTCGTTTCTTTCACCTCGGGTAGTACCGGTAAGCCCAAGGGTATTGTCCTTGAGCACCGGTCTCTCATCACCAGTATCCTCGCCCATGGACCCGCCTGGGGAGTGGACCAGTCAGCCCGCGTTCTGCAGTTCTCTGCATACGCCTTCGATGCTAGTGCATCGGACACATACACCACTTTGGTCGGTGGAGGAACGATCTGTATTCCTCACGAGAAAGATCGTGTTGATGATCTTGTTGGCGCCATCAATCGACTTGGTGCGAACTGGGCATTCCTGACACCCCGTGTTCTTGGTCTACTGACCCCCGAGACGGTGCCGAACCTCAAAACAGTTGTGCTCGGAGGAGAAGCCATCTCGCGTGAAGATGTTGCGCGCTGGACGGAGGCAATCAACATTCGTGTTGTCTATGGTCCTACTGAGTGTACTATTTACAGTATGGGAACTGATCCACTCACTAAGGACAGCGACCCCGCGAATTTGGGTCATGCTGTTGGCACTCGGTTGTGGGTTACCCATCCCGAAAATACCGATAAGCTCATGCCAGTGGGTTGTGTTGGTGAGCTGATCATTGAAGGACCTTTGGTCACTCGAGGCTATCTCAACGAGCCTGCCAAGACCAAAGCAGCATACCTTCGAGATCCTGTTTGGCTTCCCAAGAGTGCCAGCGGAGAGCCACGAAACTTCTACAAGACCAACGATCTAGTGCGATACTATCCCGATGGCCAGCTGCGTTTCATTGGCCGTAAGGATACCCAGATCAAGGTGCGCGGTCAGCGTGTGGAGCTCGGTGAGATTGAACACGCTATCCTGGAGAGCATGCCTACTGCGACCCACGTCACTGTCGATGCAGTTGTGCTGCCACCACAGACTCTCGTCGCCTTCCTCTATTCCGAAGACCAAACTACAGAGAAGAAACCACTATTTCTACCATTAAACCCTGAGATGACTAGTAAGCTGCTTGCTCTAGAGAAGAACCTATCTCAGAAACTCCCAAGCTACATGGTGCCTAGCATGTTCATTCCCATCTCCCACATCCCTATGACCATTTCCGGCAAGGTTGACCGTATTGCTTTGCGACGCAACGTACTTGCTCTGTCAGCTGAACATATGGAGATGTATGCACTGGCAGAGAGCGCGAAAGCCGCGCCTCAAAACCTGCGCGAGGAGCGTCTACGAGATCTGTGGGCTGAGGTTCTGAACAAGGATCCCGTCTCCATCGGTCGCAATGATAGTTTTTTCCGCCTTGGCGCAGACTCCATTGCCGCTATGAAGCTTGTGGCAGCTGCACGTCGCTCAGGCTTCGTGCTCAGCGTTGCTGACATTTTCCGGAATGCCGAGCTGTCGGATATGGCCGAGTGTCTTGAGATTACTGATGCCGTGGAACTGGTCGAGTATGCTCCTTTTTCATTGCTGCCATCTGATTCCCTGCAGCGGGAAGCATTGTTTGAAGATGCGGCCAAGCAGTGTTCAATCTCAAGCGAAGTTATTGAAGATGTTTACCCTGCGACCCCTCTCCAGGAAGGTGTCTTCCTCATGTCAACAACCCACAAGGGCGCATATGTTGCCCCGACAGCTTTTCGCTTGCCCGCCGGTTTCGATGTGCCGCGCTTCCAGGCAGCCTGGCAAGCACTTGTTAATGCTCATTTTATCTTGCGTACTCGCCTGGTCACCGTCGAGGCGATTTCATACCAGGTCGTCTTGAACCATGCAACCTCCTGCTTAGAATGGGAGGATGCATCTTCGCTTGAAGAATACCTGGAGCGTATCCAAGGAATGCAACTTGTTGCGGGTGCGCCATTAACTCGATATGCTCTGATCCCTGATGGAGATTCGAATATCTTTGTCTGGACTGCACACCATGCTGTCTTTGATGGCTGGACCGTAGGCTTGTTGTTTGATCAGCTTGCCCAGCTTTACACAAGTGGTACACCACCCACAGCCACAGCCTCCTACGCGGAATTTGTTCAGTTTCTCCAGAAGAGGGATGAAGATGCCTCCCGCGAATTCTGGGGAGCAATGATTCCCCAAGAACCTCCAGCTGTTTTCCCTCGCCTTCCATCAGCATCGTACCAGCCGACTGCTAAAGAAACATGCTACCGAACAATCTCGACTAGCTTGCAGCAAGAGTCTAATTTTACCATGGCAATCCTATTGCGGGCGGCCTGGTCAATCGTTCTTGCGCGCTACACCGACGCTGAGGATGTCTTATATGGATTGACTTTGTCTGGTCGAGATGTGCCAGTCGCAGGTATTGAAAATGTTATGGGTCCGACCATTACAACTGTGCCCATGAATGTTCATTTGGACAGTGAGATGCCGGTCAAGACTTTCTTGCAGCAACAGCAGGATCAGAACGTTGAGATGATGCGCCACCAACATGCGGGATTGCAAGTCATCCGTCGTATCAGTCCGGCCGCGGCGGCTGCCACCGAATTCACCAACTTGTTCGTTGTTCAGCCTCAAACGGATGGCAAGCTTGGTTTGAACGAATTGACCAAAATTTCTACTGATATGACCAAGTTCGATCCTTATGCATTGGTCCTCGAGTGCAATCTGGGCGCAGGTCAGGTGATATTGGAAGCCCGTTTTGACGATGCTGTTCTGAGCACTGATCAAACTCAACGTCTGCTTGGGCACTTCGAACACGTCCTCAACCAGCTTACAAAGTTAGACTCCGATCGTCAACTGCGCCAGATTGACGTGTTCAGCGCCGATGATGAGCGCCAGATCTGGGAATGGAATGCCGCTCCGGCCAAGGCTGAGAATCTGTGCGTACATGATGAGATTGCGAAGCAGGTCAAGCGTCGTCCCGACCACATCGCCATCGACGCATGGGACGGATCACTGACCTACAGTGAGCTTGATCATTTGTCGTCGCACCTGTCACAATGGCTTGCCACCAACCTCGCCATTAAGCCGGAGTCGCTAGTACCGATTTGCTTCGACAAGTCTCGATGGACAATCGTCACTATGCTCGCTGTTGTTAAATGCGGTGGAGGCTGCGTGATGCTGAACCCAGATCATCCAATCTCGCGTCTAGAGGGTGTGATTGCTGACACGACCTCACCAGTAGTGCTTGCGTCACCGGAGCGCTCTGGACTGTTTTCTTCTGAAACCGTCAGAGTGGTCACCATTAGCGAAGCACTCATTCAAAGTCTTGGTGCGCTCACTGAGAAGGCTCTGCCTCTGGCATCTATCAAGCCGACCAACCCAATCTTTGTGATTTTCACCTCTGGCAGCAGTGGAAAACCAAAGGGTATTATCGTACAGCATAACAGTGTCTGCACGGTCGCCATTCAGCATGGCGAGGGTCTCGGTTTCACTGAAAACCGCTTGCGTGTGCTGCAGTTTGCCTCATTCAGTTTCGATGTCAGCATGGGTGAGGTTTTCATTACCCTCATGAAAGGTGGTACTCTGTGTATTCCAACGGAGTACGATCGAATCAACCACCTGGCCGCGACTATCAACCGCATGAAAATCAGCTGGACATTCATGGCGCCCACAGTTGCGGCCTTGCTTGATCCCCGCGACGTACCCAATTTGCAGACACTTGTCCTAGGAGGAGAAGCGGTCTCCCAAAGCTTGGTTGACCAGTGGGGGAGCCATGTCGACCTAATTGACTCGTATGGACCTGCAGAGACTACTATCTGGTCTTCGCATGCCAATCCCAGCGCTACTGTATCCCCAGCAAACATCGGTCACGGAGCTGGTTGTCGTTACTGGGTTGTCGATATTCAAGACCACAATCGACTGGCGCCAATTGGCTGCGTGGGTGAGTTACTCATTGAAGGCCCCAATGTTTCGCGGGGCTATCTTAATGAACCAGAAAAGACCAAGGCCGCGTTTATCGAGAACCCAGGATTCATGCAAGGCAAAGAAGTACCAAAATACAAGTTCTACTGCACTGGTGATCTGGTTCGGTACAACGCGGACGGTTCTCTCAACATTGCCGGTCGCAAGGACAGCCAGGTGAAACATCACGGCCAGCGTATTGAACTGGGCGAGATTGAGTTCCACCTGCGTGCCTGTGCTGAGATTGAGGCCGGTATGGTTTTGTTGCCGAAGACTGGTTCCTGCAATAACAAGCTGGTTGCTGTGGTCGCACTCTCAGACTTGCAACCTGTCGCAACTGAAGGGGATCACGTCGCCCTCATTTCTAGTGATCTCAAGTCTAAGACCCAGCCACGGATTCAACGAGTGCAAGAGGAGCTAGGTGCAGTCCTGCCGCCCTACATGGTCCCCACAATCTGGATTGTTCTAGACTCCATTCCATTGACCGCATCACGCAAGATCAATCGAATGCCGATCACAAGATGGGTGCAGGGAATGTCCGAAGAAACCTATCGCGGCGTGGTCGACATCACATCCGCCAATGCAGAGCAGCCAACTACTCAAGTCGAAAAGCAACTGGCGGAGGTTTGGAGCCACGTCCTTAACCTTCCAGTTGAAAACATGGACCTGAACCGTTCGTTCCTCAGTCTGGGTGGAGATTCTATCACTGCAATGCAAGTGGTCTCTCGCTGTCGTGCACTGGATATTGAGCTGAGCGTGCAGGATATTCTGCAGCCCAAGTCTCTTGCTGGTGTTGCGGCTCGTGCTCTTGCATCTAAGCCCCAAGCTGTCCAGCGTGAAGAGCAGTATGATGTGTCATTTGAATTGTCCCCAATTCAACAACTGTACTTTGACGAGGCTGTTCGAAGTGGCGGAGCGCACAATCACTACTACAACCAGAGTGTTTTGCTTCGTGTAACACGTTCAATCTCAGCCTCGGAGCTCTCTCAAGCCATGTCGCAGATAGTTGCTAGTCATGCAATGCTTCGGGCTCGTTTCAGCAAGAATGCTGACGGGCAATGGAGTCAATTGGTGCAAAGCCCCTCTAAAGATGTGTCCGAGGTGCCTTCGCACCGTGTTACCAGTCGCGCCGTGGCTTTGAATATTATCGAAGAGTCACAGCAGTGCATTGATATCGAACATGGTCCCATCTTCGTGGTCGATCATTTCGTACTACCAAACAACGAGGGTCAACTACTTTCCCTCGTCGCGCATCACCTGATAGTTGATGCAGTTTCTTGGCACATCATTATCGGTCAATTGGAGCAACTCCTGGTGTCCCCCGATATCCAGCGTCCATCTCGCATGCCGTTCCAGAGTTGGCTGCAAGAGCAACGTCAGTATGCTGAAAATCTGCCGAGCACATCTATCCTCCCGAGTGCACTGCCAGAGGCCAATCTGGGATATTGGGGCCTGAAGCAGCTCCCAAGCTGGAAAGATGGCGAGGAGGTGCAGTTCACGCTTGATGCGAAAGCTACTGCCCTTTTGCTCACATCCGCCAATACGGCACTCCGCACTGAGCCAGTGGACTTGCTAGTGGCCGCTCTGCAACAGTCCTTCACCGAGTCTTTCCCCGACCGTGCAATGCCAACCGTTTTCAGTGAGGGTCATGGCCGTGAACCGTGGGATACTTCAATTGATTTGTCCGAGACTATTGGCTGGTTCACTACCTTCTACCCAATTCAGCACAATGTGCATCAGAAGGAGAGCTTCAAAGATACCGCCAAGCGCACCAAGGATGCTCGTCGTGCTTTCACTGATAATGGCTTTGCATACTTTACTCATCGCCATTTTTCCGCTGAAGGTCGCAAGCAGTTTGCACACCACCGGAATATGGAAATTTGCTTTAACTACCTTGGCCAGGCACAGCACATCGAGCGTGCAGATGCGCTCTTCCAGGAAGAACCACTTCAAGAAGGCGAGTCCATCAACAACATTGGTGATAAGATGGGTCGCCTGGCAGTTTTCGATATCTCGGCCGCCATCTCCCAAGGCCGTCTGACTGTTTCATTTTTCTTCAACCGCGCTCTCAAACAACAGAGCCGCATTCGTCAATGGGTGCAATCTTGCGAAACAACACTGCATTCAGCTGTCAACGAACTGGCCGACAGCAGTCTGGAGTACTCCATCAGCGACTTCCCACTTCTGAAAATCAATTACCAAGACCTGGCGAAATTGACGTCTGCAATTTTGCCCGCCATTGGCCTTCCCTCCGCCGAGATCGAAGATCTCTACCCTTGCTCACCAATCCAAGAGGGTATTCTGATCAGTCAGGCTCGACAGCCCGGAACCTACGAGGTCCGCCAGCTTTTCGAAATAGTTCCACGTGCTGATATCGGGCCTGTTGATGTTTCTCGCCTTTTACAAGCCTGGCAGCGCACGGTTGACCGCCATGCTTTGCTCCGCACCGTATTCATCGAGTCACTGGCTGGCCCTGGGGTCTACGACCAACTGGTACTTCGGGCCTACGTATCAGACGTACAACACTTAGTCTATGAAAGGACTGAGAACACTGATGTAGCCACATTTCTGCAGCGTCAGGGCGCCCCAGACTACCGTCAACCGGTTCCTGCGCATCGCCTTACCATTTGCCAATCCGGCGATGTGATATATTGCCAATTGGAGGTCAGCCACGCATTGATTGATGGAACTTCCATGGCACTTCTGGTTCGCGACTTGGTTGCTGGCTATGAGGACACACTGCCCAACACTCCGGGCCCTCTTTACAGTGACTACGTGGCCTATCTCGCCTCCCGGTCCTCAGAAGAGGCCCTGGCTTATTGGACCAACCGGCTGGCTGATATGGAGCCCTGTCACTTCCCAGACCTCCAGGCAAATGTGTTGGCCGATGAGAACTTCCAATCTCAGACTATCAATATCGACGCAGATGGCCATCTCCAGCGGTTCTGTGAATCAAATGATCTCACCATGAGCAACCTCTTCCAAGCCGCCTGGGGTCTTGTACTGCGTGCCTACACAGGCACCTCGGATGTCTGCTTTGGATACATGGCATCTGGTCGTGACATTCCTATTGAAGGAATCTACGAGGCAATTGGCCCATTCATCAATATTTTGGTCTGCCGACTGAATGTTGGCGACGCAGTGTCTGTAGGCGATCTGCTCCAGACCGTGCAGTCAGATTATCTGAACTGTCTACCACATCAACAGACATCTTTGGCCTCCATCCAGCACGCCCTTGGTAAGAGTGATGTGGCATTATTCAACACCATTCTCTCATTTCAGCGTGAGCCAAATGAGGGTCCACCCCCACATGTGGAATTCAAAATTTGCGACCAGGTTGATCCAACAGAGGTAAGTTTACTTTAAGTCTTATGGATTTTAAAGCTATTTTGCTCTTACTTTTATCCTACTTTGCTCTCATGTTGCTCTCAATTTACTCTCACTTTGCTCTTACTTTGCTCCAGCCTCATTCTTACTATCATGCTAATCCAATCCCTAACAGTATGATGTTGATCTCAATATCACGACCAGCGAGGCAGCGGGAGTAGAGATCCACCTGACATATCGCACATCCATGCTCAGCGACACCCAAGCTGATAGCCTTCTTGAGGCATTCACCAACGTCCTAATGGCCATGGCAACAAGCTCGAAGCAACTGGTATCGAGCCTAGACATCTCCCCTCCCGCGCTCAAGGCTCTGCCACGGGCAATCTCTCAGCCGGCGCCGGCCATCATTGATGCATCCGTCTCGGACTTGATTGCTGAGCACGTTGTACAGCGCCCCATGTCGCTAGCGGTGCAATCTGCAGATGGGGAGGTAACACTTACTTACCGTGGCCTTGATCGTAGGGCGAGCGCTCTGGCTGGTCACTTGCGGGATCTTGGTGTCCGGTCGGGCAGTGTAGTTCCCATCAGCTTCTCCCGTTCGCCATGGGCTCTGGTGGCTATGCTAGCTGTGCTTCAGGCGGGCGCTGTCGCGCTTCCTCTGGGTCCGGCAGATGATGCGGAGACTTTGAAAAACACCCTCCCATCGGTAAGATTTGGTGTAGTTCTGTGCGCTGCAGATCACGCATCCAAGTTCGAGACAGATGAGCTTACTACAGTGATCGTAAATACCACGGCGATGCAAAAATTGGATGCTGCTCCGCCAGTTTCCACGCCGCCCAGCTATATGTCCTCTACTACAGCTGCAGTAGCTGTCAGAGATGGTGAGGACTGGGCCCTTCTCACGCACAGAACCATCAGCACAGTAGCTTCACAGCTGGGACCCATGACTGGGCTCAGTCCTGATGCTCGTGTTTTGCAGTTCAGTCTAGCTACTTCGCCCCTCTACCTAGTTGAGACACTATATGCTCTCATTAACGGTGGCACAGTTGTCGTTCCGGCTGAGGGCGCTAGCTTCCCTGAGGCAATGCGCGATTCTCAAGCCAACTGTGCTGTGATCACTCCGACTGCAGCTGCTCTAACCTATCCAGCTCAGGTTCCTCTTCTTTACACACTGATTGTGACTGGAGAGGAGGTTGGACCTGCCCTGCTTACCAAGTGGCGCGATGTCAAACTAATTCATCCCTGTGAATTGGTCAACTTCCCTGTCTGGCCCTCGCTCTCTATTTCGCCAGCTGGAAGCGTCACTATGCAACCTGTGCAGGCACCGCAGCTCGCGCGAACATGGATTCGCGGTCCATTCAACTCCGCTGCGCTGGCCCCCACTGACTGCGTGGGAGAGGTTATGGTAGATGGCCCTATTGCCCCTCAAGGTTACCTTTTGAGCGGCAAGGGCCGAATTGTGGACGATGCTCCATGGCTACCAGGAGTCCCACTGTTCCGTACCGGCCATCTCGGGCGATGGGCGGCCGACCAGCAGCTTTCCTTGGTTCAGCCTCGCATTAACGCTCACGGACAGGATAAAAATGCAGTTTCACTGGAGCAGCAGGTGCAAACAGCTCTACCTGTCAGTCAGCACTCGGTGGTCTCCGCCCTCCGTCTTGGATCATCCGACCATGTGGCAGTATTCCACGTTGAGTGCAGCTTACATGTTCAATCGGCCCCTGCCTTACTGCCGATGTCAGAGATGATGAAACAGCAGTTCACAGATTTGAAGGAAAGTCTGCTGGAGCACGTTCCAGAGTCTCAGCTACCGACACTTTTCTTCCCCCTTAGCTGCCTTCCGCTTTCTGCATACCAGAAGGTTAACCACTCAGCACTTCACCAACTGGTGGTCACCCTGCCACAATCAGCACTACAGGCCTATCGCTTGGCTCCAGCGCCGACAACGATCAATCTCACAGCCAACGAACTACTACTTGCCGATCTCTGGGTTGACGTCTTGCACTTGTCTGATCGAAGTAGCCTTCGTCCAACAGACAGTTTCTTCCGCCTGGGAGGAGATTCCATTGGAGCAATGCGAGTCATTGCATCCGCTCGTGAACAGGGCCTGGCCCTGACAATGAATGGGATCTTCCAATCGCCCACTCTGTCTGATATGGCTAAAGAGCTACGGCTCCTGGCAACGCATGAAAACCGCCCTCTGGAACCATTCTCCCTGTTGCCTTCTGAGATTGATTCCGCGGTCTTGGTTGCTGAAGCCTCAGAGAAGTGCCAGATCCCATCCACGGATATTGAAGATCTTTACCCTTGTACACCGCTGCAGGAAGGACTCATGGTCTTAACCAGTCAAGACTCAACGGCCTATGTCGCTCAGGAGGTCTTCCGAATTCCGGAAAACGTGGACCTGGCTCGTTTCCAGAACGCATGGGAGGCAGTCATCGAGCGCAGCACTATCCTGCGGACTCGTATCATTGTGAACTCAGAAGGAACGTTCCAGGTCCTGCTGAAGGAACCAACCATTTGGGCATCTGGATTTGATCTACAAAAGTACCTTACTCAGGACGCAGCTGAGTCCATGACCTACGGCCAGCCTCTCGCGCGCTATGCCCTTTTGGAGACTCCCGGACAACGATACTTTGTTTGGACTGCCCACCACGCCGTTTATGACGGTCTGACTATGTCTACTCTGGCCAAGCAAGTTTCCGCACAGTATCACCGGGAAATCGCCTTACCGGAATTGCCATACAACCGGTTCATTGAGTATATCCACGGCATCAGTCAGGCCGCTTTCACTGAATTTTGGACAACTCAATGTGCTATCCCTGCCGCAACTTTCCCCATTCTACCGACACGCAACTTTCAGGCATGTCCGGATCAGGTGCAGCTCCAGTCCGTTCCAGTAAGCCGCACCTCATCTGACATCACACTGCCAACTATCCTCCGTGCGGCTTGGGCTGCTGTCTTGGGCCAACTCACAGATTCAGAGCATGTCAACTTTGGAGTGACACTCTCTGGACGTAATGCCGCCCTGGCCGGTATTAACCAGGTGCTGGGCCCGACTATCGCCACAGTGCCTGTCCAAATTCAGGTTTCTGAAAGTCAATCTCCACTCCAGTTACTGCGGGCAGTGCATCAACAGGCGATTGACATGATCCCCTTTGAGCATACTGGACTGCAAAATATTCGCCGCATGGGTGATCAGGCCCGCGAGGCTGTTGAATTTCAGAACCTCCTGCTCATTCAGCCTGGATCCTCCCCGATGGATGGTTCTGAGTTCTTGGGTCTTACTCCTATCCTGGTAGAAAGCCACCAGTCTGATCCATACCCCTTGACACTCGAATGCAATTTACTGGAAGATCGTGTTGAAATTAAAGCACAGTTTGACAGTCGCCTCATTCCCGCAAGTGAAATGACTATGATTCTCAAGCAATACGCTCGCACTATTGAGCGTTTCCATGCAGTCAAGGATACCGAGACCGACGAAGAAGCGGAGAAATTAGATCCAATGGGATCTCTCAGCACTGAGGACATGCAGCAGATCATGGATTGGAATGCCGACCGTCCATCATTTATTGACTCCTGTGTTCACGAGCAGTTTGAGGAGCAGGTTCGCCTAAACCCTGATGCGCCTGCTGTCTCGTCATTTGATGTCGAGCTCACATATCATGAGCTCAACGTTCTCGTGGATAAGCTGGCAAACGAGCTTATTGCGCGTGGCGTCAAACCTGAGATGAAGATTCCACTGTGTTTCATCAAGTGCTCCTGGACTATCGTGGCAATGTTTGCCGTCATGAAGGTTGGCGGAGTTAGCTGTATGTTCAACCCAGAGCATCCCAGCAGCCGTATCCAGTTGCTACTTGACGACCTCGACGCCAAGTTAGTGCTCTGCGACCCTAGTTCAACTGCGATGCTATCCAAGCTCTTGCCTCATAGTGGTGTCCTCCCCGTGGATGGACCCTACCTTCAAACTTTGCCGCCGCCCGCGCCTCTGAAGCGCCGAGTCCAACCAGATAACGCAATCTTCGTGGTTTATACATCTGGAAGTACTGGAAAGCCAAAGGGTAGCATTTTAGAGCACCGCTCATTTGTTACCGGTCTACGAGCTCACTGTACCGCCATGGGCATGGGCCCTGGCACCCGCACGTTCCAGTTCGCCGCGTACACATTCGATGTGTGCTTTGAGGAAATCATCGGCTCTCTCATGCTAGGTGCATGTATTTGCGTTCCAAATGAGGAGGAGCGCATGAATGCTCTCGCCGATGCGATGGCAAAATACAAAGTCACCTGGACGGAGTTGACTCCCACCGTCGCCAGTCTGCTGCTCCCCAGCAGCATTCCTACTTTGAAGACGCTCGCGCTCAGTGGTGAATCACTCACTAAGGAGGTCATCCAACGCTGGGCCGACTCAGTGCAGATCATCAACACCTACGGACCTAGCGAATGCACTGTTTCGACTACCTGCAATCTTCGAACTGCAACCCTTCGTGATCCAAGCAACATCGGTTGCGGTCTGGGCTGCAGTACTTGGATTGTTGACCCTGAGAATATCGACCGCCTGGTACCCGTGGGTGCCGTAGGTGAATTACTCGTCGAAGGCCCCATTGTCGCTCGGGGCTATTTGAACGAGCCGGAGAAGACTGCTGCTACTTTCATCGGACAGCCGGCCTGGTGGCCTGAGTCTTACGAATGTGGCCGTATCTACCGCACTGGTGATTTGGTCAGATACAATGCGGATGGCACGATCAAGTTTATTGGCCGCAAGGACACGCAGGTCAAGCTACATGGCCAGCGTATCGAGCTTGGCGAAATCGAACACCGTATTCGGTGTGTGTTTACGGACGATTCCTACCAGGTGGCTGTTGAAGTTCTGACTCCCACTGCACGAAACGGCCTCAAAATCCTTACTGCATTCATCTGCGAAAGTGACGCTGTTTCAGAGAGCACTGAAGATCTATTGCTCGCCTTGGATGATGGAAGACCACAACGCTTCCTCGCACTACAAGCCTGTCTTCTGGCTGAGCTGCCGCGCCACATGGTCCCACAATTGTTCATCCCTGTCAAGCATATGCCTCTTTCTCCATCGAGGAAGCTGGAGCGCAAGAGCTTGCGTGCAATTGGTAATGGACTGACGCCTGAACAGCTAGCTTCATATGCCCTCACCCAAGTGGCTAAAACTGCCCCAACCACTGAGGCGGAGTTAGCACTGGCCGAGATCTGGGCACAGGTGCTGGGCACTACCCCTGGTGGTGTCGAGGACCACTTCTTCCACCTTGGTGGTGACTCCATCGCCGCCATGAAGGCAGTCGCTGCAGCTGCCAAAATGGATCTTTCTCTCAGCGTGGGAGATATCACACAGTTCCCAACTCTCGGAGCCATGGCTGCGGCAATGGAGCGCGGCGCTGTTGAAGAGGTTGACGAGGAAGCACCGGCCAACTTCAGCTTGGTGCCAGAGTCTCACCTGACGAACATTCTATCTGAAGCCACAGAACAGTGCACAATTTCAACCGACTCAATTGAGGACATCTATCCCTGCACTCCCTCTCAAGAGGCCTTGATGGCGCTAACTGCGCGCGATGAGAGCGCATATGTTTCACGCGCTGTCTATCGTCTGCCGCTCACTCTTGAAATCGATCAATACAGACAGGCCTGGGAGCTCCTTTCTCGTCGACAGGCCATCATGCGCACGCGCATTATCTACTCGGCCACTGCTGCCAAATCGTTCCAGGTGGTTTTGAACGAAGACCTGACTTGGGTTTCGGGCGACTCGGTGACAGAGTATCTCGCCACTGACAAACTCACACCCATGCAGCATGGCCAAGCCCTCATGCGTTTTGCTATTATCCCCGGCACTCGTGATGACCAACGATCTTCACTTGTGTACACAGCCCACCACGCTGTGTACGATGGTTGGAGTGAAGCCTCGATGTTCGCCGAGGCCGAAGCGATCTATCGTGATGGCTTGGCAGCCTTGCCGGCAGTTGTGCCATACAACAAATTCATTCGCTATCTATCCACCATCGATGCGGAGGAAAGCGACAATTTCTGGCTTACGCAGCTAGCTGGAGACTTGCCCGCTCCATTCCCTCCCGCTCTCCCCGCTGCAGCGGCATCTTCCCTAACCTCGCGTCCAAACCGCTCGCAGTCTCATGTTCTTTCCCTTCCCTCCACTTCGTCTTTACCCTTCTCCACTACCACTATCCTCAAGGCCGCATGGTCTCTTCTCCTGGAGCGCTACACGAACTCTCCAGATGTTATGTTCGGCCATGTACTATCTGGCCGCACAGTTCCCCTCCGTGGTGTGGCCGACATGATGGGCCCAACAATCGCAACCCTTCCAGTGCGAGTTCAGCTCGCTAAGCAAGAAAGCATTGAGTCATTCATGAGCCGCATCCATGAGCAAGCCCGAAGCATGGCGCCATTCGAGCAAGTCGGGCTGCAGCATATTCGCCGACTGGTATCGAACGCAGAGTCGGTCGATGTTGGTCACCTCTTCTTCATCCAGCCGCCGCTTGAAGGTTCAGCTGAGAATCTCGGCCTCGAGCATGTCACAGACACGGAGTATGACTTTGACTTCGAGACTTACCCGTTGATTGTGGAATGCCAGCTCAGCACAACCTCCGCCCTCACTGTCGATGTTAAATATGACGATTCCCGGATCGCTCCAACTCAGATGAACTGGCTTCTCCAGCACTTTGAGCATCTTGTTCAGCAACTATGTCAAAAACCATTGATAACGCCTCTTTCGGATCTGAGCTTGACAACTTCATCCGACTTGGCTCAGCTTCAGCAGTGGATGGGACCTCCCGTAGCACCGCTGGCCACTACGATTCACGATAAATTCCGGGCCCAGGCTCGTGCCCGTCCCAGACGATGCGCTATTGAGGCCTGGGATGGTCAGCTTACCTACGGTGAACTCGCCCGTCTTTCGTCGCAGTTCGCTCAAGAACTGGTCGATCTTAACCTTCGCCTGGGACAGACTGTTGGTCTTTCTTTCGACAAGTCTCGCTGGGCCATTGTAGCCATGCTTGCCGTGCTCCAAGCCGGTGGAGTGTGTGTTCACCTTGATCCCCAACACCCACCAGCTCGACTGCAGGAAATTTCCAACGATACAGGCATCGAGTACATCTTGACAGCGCCGCAACATGCCCATCTAGCCGAAATCCTGCCAATAAACCATGCCCTCGTCATTGATGCCAACTCAGCATCCAAACTCCCCAGCGCCTCCACAAATGCGCGCCGTCTCCCAGTCGTTGATGTCTCATCGCCGGCCTATATGACTTTCACCTCAGGCAGTACAGGAAAGCCCAAGTCAGTTGTAATTGATCATCGCGGCATTCATACTAGTATTGTTGCCTTCAGCCCGGTGCTTCATATTACTCCCAATTCACGGGTACTCCAGTTTGCCGCGTACACTTTCGATATCAGCTATGCTGAGATTTTTGCGCCCCTGATTTTGGGCGGAACGGTTTGTGTTCTGTCAGAACAAGACCGCCTCGACGACCTTGCTGGCGCCATCAGCCGACTGCGTGCTAACTGGGCATGTCTCACGCCTACTGTCGCCAGTCTGGTGCAACCTGAGAATGTTCCATCGATTCAAACCCTCGTTCTCAGCGGCGAGTGTCCTACCGAGGGAAATCTGCGCACATGGGCTGGTCAAATCCCTAATCTTATCAACGCGTACGGCCCTAGTGAATCCTCGGTTTGGTGTTCCGGGGGTCCATTCACAAGACCCGATGATCTCTTCACTAACATCGGTCGTCCAATGGGTTGTCGTCTCTGGATTGCTGATGTCGATAACCTCAATCGCCTAGCGCCTCTTGGATGCGTGGGCGAGCTGCTGATTGAGGGTCCTATTCTTTCCCAAGGATACCTCAACAATGAACAGGCTAACAGCAAGGCTTTCTGCCGGGACCTTGCGTGGATGGCAGAGATGCAGCCCCGAGCTGATTTCCCAATCCTCTACCGTACTGGCGATCTGGCGCGCTTCTTGCCTGGCGGCTGCATCGAATACCTCGGGCGTGCAGACACCCAGATCAAGGTGTACGGGCGTCGTATTGAACCAAGGGAAATTGAACATCACATCCACACTCAACTTCCCAGCTACTACAGCATGGTAGACAGTGTGACGCTCGCAAACCGTAATGGTCAGAAAGTACTGGTGGCATACATTTACCAGTCATCTGGCCCCACCGGCTATATGGATCTTGCAGGAGTCCCGCAAGCGCTAACGCCAGACCTTCGGCAAACACTCACCACCCTTCAAGCTGCGTTGCGTGCGCAGCTACCGCCCTACATGCTACCGACCCTCTTCATCCCCCTTCAGGTCATGCCTACCAACTCATCTGGCAAGAGCGATCGCAAGCTACTCTCCCGCGCTGTAAATGATTTGTCGGATGATCAGCTGCAAACCTACTCCCTTGTGACTCGTGCTGCCAGCCGCTCGCTCCAAACCCCATTCGAGCATCGGTTGGCCGGCCTCTGGGCTGAAGTCCTCAATGTCGACGCCTCCTCAATCAGCGCAGATGATACCTTCTTCAGTCTCGGTGGAGATTCCATCGTGGCCATGAAGATGGCTAGTCTCGCTCGCAACAACCAGCTCAGCTTGACTGTGGCTGATCTTTTCAATCACCCGGTCCTAGCAGATCTGGCTGCTCATCTGACTGCTCAAATGCCACTTACTCCTGGCTCTGACACTCCTCCACTTACCCCCAAGAAGACAAATATGGAACCTGTTCCAGTGGTGCCTGTGCTTGACCTTGCATTGGCGGAGCTTTTGGCACCACGAGTAGGCGTTGAACCCAGTGCCATTGCATCTATCGAGTCCACAACCGACTTTCAAGATATCGCACTGGTCGGTCACATGAGCAAATCACGCTGGATGCTTAACTGGTTCTACTTCGATGGACCCGGAACTGCCGATATCGAGCGTCTTCGTCAGGGATGCTATTCTTTGGTCCAACATTTCGATATTCTTCGTACTCTTTTCGTATTCCACGGCGGTCAGTTCTGGCAGGTGGTCCTGCACCAGATGCAACCATCATTCCGCATCGAAACGACAACTGATATCGAGGCCTTCACCAAAAATCTTTACGAAGAGGGCGTGGCCGCTGATTTCCAACTTTCCGAGCCCTACGTCAAATTCGTTCTAGCTGTTCATCCTGATGGCCAGTCCCACCGTCTATTAATGCGTCTATCTCACGCACAGTACGATGGAGTCTCCTTACCAACACTCTGGGAAACCCTCCAGCGCGCTTGTCAAGGCCAGCCACTCATCCCTACTCCCTCTTTCGGGCAATTCCTTCAAGCCACGGCACCTGCCGATCCTATGACCACGCGCTCACACTGGCGCAACCTTCTAGCTGGTGCGCCCGAGACTCGCTTCCTTGCACAGTTCAAACCAACCCTTCGCGATGAAGCTCACGAGCGTGTGCTCCATGTTACCCGCCACCGTGTTCCCGTTGTCTCACTTTCTCATCACGGCATTACACCAGCCACAGTTCTCAAATCCGCTTGGGCTGTTCTGTTAGCACGTCTGGCTGGCTCAAATGACGTTGTTTTTGGTAACACAACTGCCAACCGGTCTGCCGCGACCTTGGACAACATTGACTCCGTCGTTGGCCCCTGCTTGAACGTAGTGCCAGTGCGCGCACGCCTGACTCCAGAACAGACAGTGCTCGAGCTTCTACTCGCACTGCAGAAACAACAAGTGGATAACCTACCTCACGAGTCTCTTGGCTTCCGTCGAATTATCCGCGAGTGCACAGAGTGGCCATCCTGGGCGCATTTCAGCAGTGTGGTGCAACATCAAAACATCGAACCCGATCGCGAAGTCCTTCTTGGCGAGGATAATGCTACTCCCTACGAACCTGGCTTCCTAGGAGCTGACCTCGACTTGACCGATGTTTCGGTACTGTCTACTCCAGTGGCCGATGGATATGTTGACCTCGACCTCCTCACCTCCTCAAAGGTCATGTCATCGTTCGCAGCAGAGCTGTTGGTTGATCAGTTGACCTCGATACTTCGTCTTTGGGCAGTCGTACCACTTGACAAGATGCCGGCTTCGGAGACAGGATCATCGCCAGCCTTGCTTCCTCTGTCAGCATCCCCGACAGTCCCAATAAAACCAGTCGATGTCCGCACACTGGTGAAGCAAGCATGGGATGCTGTTCTCCCTGACGGCCTTAAGACAGATAATGATAAGGTTGATTTCTTCCGGGCTGGTGGAGACTTGGTGCATATGGCACAGCTTGTTAGTGAGCTACAAACTCGCGGTGTTGGAAATGGTGTCCGCCTTGAGACGCTTGTCCAGCATTCTACTCTGGATGCCATGGTGAAGTTGGTCCAATAAACGCACCCTTGACTACAATTTTGTATTTTCTATTTTTGTGGACCTTTGAGACGATGTTAGCTTTTGTGCGATGCTTGTCACTTTGTTGGATTTTGTATATTGGTTTTTCTTTCTCATGATCATTTATATTTTGTTATGTTTTTGAATATAATTGACTCTGTTTTCAAATCTACTTTTTAAATCACATACTTCCTTCTCCTAAGTACCATATACAGGGCCGAAGTAAAATATATCTCAAGTAAGAGATAGCTAAAGTAAGAGAAACTAAGATGAAAACTGTATAATTTTCTTTCTTCCAAGGTTTCTTCTACTAGTGCTAGCTATAGGTTTAGCTAAGCTAATATTCTACTAGGCCCTATGTACTGTATTCTAATATTACTATTATCCTGAGACCAGATATAATCAGGACCTCTAAGTTTATATTATATAATAATCAAACTTCCTCTTACCCTTGGGAATTTGATTAATATTACATAAAAAGTTACTTCTAATATTCTTTTGGAAGGAAAATGCTTCATGGATCACCATTCCACCTATTTCCATCAACTTGTAGCCTATTCATCCTATGTGGTCAGCCTCTTAAATTGATCCCAACTTCTCACACTGCCTATGTGTCCATCCTACAAATCGATTACCACTCAGATTTTCCAAGGTTCGACATGTCCGATATATGTGATACCCCAAAGCAATTGCGGCCAGGTGTACTAGACCACCCGCTCATCCTGACATGGTATCGAATTCTCCCTCACTCCGATATATCATACAGGTGCGAGAGGGGCAGAAGGTCTTGGAGAATCAGGCTGCCTACAATTATCGCAAGACCCGCCACCTATGCATCAGTTTGATTTCATAAGGAAGTCACAACTGCAGCTTCCTATCCTATTCCAGTCCGATGAAGCTGAGCACTGTCGTGGTGAATTCCGAAAAAAGCATATCCTCAGCACTCAAGTGCTTAGGTAGCAGCATGCTCGGTTTAATGGATGTACTATATCATTCTAAAATTTGAATCAAATTAACCTGTAAGCACTCGTATGGAAGTAACTACGGGGTTGCCTACGGGGTTCCCCAGAGAGTCACCTGGAGGTGAATGCTAGCTGCTACTTAGTAGGATTTAGGCAACTGACAGCCCTTGAGATAAGCTCAGGCTGTAGGATAATCCTAGCCCTCCCCTAACATTTGACTTGAGGTAATATGCCAGGAAGTGAGTATTAAAAGTGCGAGAATTCATACAGCGAAAATGGCTTACTTCGAACTGTAAATGTATGATTTAATTTCAATAATCGAATCCATCCCTGGGAGTGAATAGTATCAGTGCTAGTAGCAGCTGTAGCTCTAGGAAGCCCAGGTGCCCTCTTCAGAGTACAAGCACAATCAACTTCAATGATCTCCGTCAAGGTTCAACCTTCAAGCTGAAACATTCAAGTTTTCAAGATCGAAGCAACTTGAAGGGGTGTCGATTTAATAACTTGGATATCCATTTTGGGATATCTCACGTAATCGACATTCGCGCGCCCGGCACCCGCGTAAACACCCAAATTCATCCATGACAAGTTGAAACTTGAACTGCAACCTTGCTGGTTTTTGAGAAGAGATGATAGATCAAATCAAATTGATCACGTCTGTGCCCTTGAGCTCGTGCTCAAAATGTTCGTCTCCTGATGCAATTTAATGACCTCAATGTCCCATTACCTGAATTTGATCATCGATTGGAGGGAAATCCCATTTCAATCGTGCTTTCGCGCCAACGAATGCAATGTGATATACGGTCCAAGTATAGACAGAGTTGATAGGCTCACATTGAGGTGATGGGGACATCTGAGAGAACCTGAACTTGAAGATCTTCTCGCCTCAGAATTCTGAAGTCCAAGTTTGGGATGAAACACCCTACGAGATGGGGGCTCGTCTTGGCCCATGCGAGACCCCTCAGTGGCCCATTCAGAACGTGGTAGCGAGTTAGTGCGAGTCAATCTATTTCAATTAATCCGCGACAACAACTCTCATTCGCTGTGCGTCAAATAAGCATCGTATGCCAGTCCGTGTCTCGCCCCGTGCGGGTCACCTGGTCCCGGCACTGGAGCCCTTTTTTGGTCTGGTTGGTTGACCGAAGTCCGACCGTTGCGGCGCTAAGACAACCCAGCTGAAGCCATAAGCCCAGAACTTCATGCCTGTGCATTGGAATTGGCTGATCAGCCTAATTTTCATTTGCCTGCTCTGGCGATTCATGGTCTCAGGATTCTTCAGCTATGTCTGTTTCATAGGCTCAATCGCCGATCTGAAATGTTCTGATGTGTTAGGTTGATTCAAGTTGGAAAGACGGGAGACTCCAGGCCCGCTCGTGTCTCATATACACTAACTTAGCGTCACTCTCTCCACTCATGCGACTACAATCGACTGGTGCCACTCCTTCTGGTCCTGATCAAATTAATTTATGCGAGAGATTATAATTCCCCCGATCCCCTTTTTCTCACACGCGAGAAAAAACACCCAAAATAAACCTGTGGTTTGTTACCTGGGTTGTTTTTGACTTCGTTTTCAAGGTCTTCTGGAAGACCGTCCATTCATTTCTGGATCTGGAATCTTGATAGTTTGTTATTCTATTCTATTCGTCTTATTTTTTATTCTTTGTTTCTTTTGAATGAAGACCCGCTTTTGAAAACAACCGAAATGGCGAGAACAATGACAATGACCAAAGCTCGCCCCGCTCAAAAGAATGCTATTTCGCTCCCGGTATTGACCTACTCCGATTCACTTCCTCGGGATGACCTTCGTGATATCACGGGCGGACTTGCACATGAATTGAATCAGAACCCCAAGGAATCAGGGTCGTCACGACCTAAATCAGATGGTCGGTCATCCAAGAAACCACCCCCTGGTGGTCATGCTACCTTCGACTTCCAACTCACTGCACCACCGGAAGAGGTTATCCCTTCAAGCGCTCGATCAGGCCGGAGTCCAATTGGATCGCATTCGATAGGTGTTGCTTTGGGTAGTCCAGGAATGATCGATCTTGACAAGCCGTTACCTCCACCAAGATTCAACGTACCGAATTTTACGCAAGAGTCGCCCCAGCTGAATAAATCGAGCAAGTGGAAGAAGATCGGTGGTCTATTTCGAGCGAAGAACGCATTAACATCGCCTACCAATGCTACCCGGACAACGCAGAAGGATCAGTTGAAGGATGGATCAAATGGCAATCACCAGATGGGGCAAAAAGAGGATGTGACCGAGGAGTGGCCTAAGATTGAATCCGACCCTAAAGCTGTGAATGCTAGCAACACGAGCCCGAAACGGACCAGGAAGTTCTCTTTCTCGGGTAAGAAGAACCCAAGAGAAAAGAACGGAGATGGCAGTCCTATGTTGGACGTGGAAATACCTGATGTGCAAATGGAACGCTACAGTGTCATGTTCAGCAATGTCATGACCAAGAACCACAAGCCCTCACTGCTGGCCAGGAGGAGCAAGACTCTTGATAATCTTCACGTTCCCAGTGCTCATGTAAGAATGTCAATCAAAGTCTTGCATCGTCATATATACTAATTAAAATTAGGACTTCCTGTCTGCAAAACTGCCACCCGTCCCTAAACGGCGAGCGACATCTCCGGCACGAACCAGTTTCACTCTTTTTCCAACTCCTCAACCCACCAAAGTTCTCGGTGTCCAGAACTTCTCTCGTGGGCCAAGCGCCTTAATCAGGTCTAATACTCTTCCCGTGGAAAGCCCATCCAAGCCCTCGATGGAGCACCCGCGGCCGTTCCATAATAATAATAGTCTTTCTTCATTCGAATCACCAATCATTGCAAATCTATTTTCCGAGCGTGCCAATACCCCACAATCATCCAGTCCTTTAACTCGCAAGGATGAGAAGCCTCTTCCCGCTATCAAACCCGAACCAGTCACTCACTCAGGTTCGCGAACATCATCACCACAAGTGCCACCAAAACCAAGGCAATCCCAACCCAAACCAGAGAAGAATATTCCAACACCAAAGCCAAAGCCCGTGGAGCAAAAGAACAGACCTACTCAGCAGAGGGAGAATAAACCTTGCCAAATCGCTGAGCAATCTCGACCAAGCCGTCCCACTCTGACCGTGAAGACCAAGCTCGAGGCACTACCCGCACCACCGCCAGCACCCCCAGCGAAGGACAAGTCCTTGTCTCAACCCGCATCGCCCGCAGTCCCAGCCAAGGATCTGCCCAAGGAGCTTGTTCCCCGTATCAGTTCTGCAGCGATAGTCGCCTCACCTCTGAGCATGACATCTACACCTTTGAAAAAGCTTGCTAGTCCAGTTATCACCGAGCGCGAGATCAAGATTCCACGACCTAGGATTAACAAGAAACTTCCGAAGATTGAGGTATCGACTGCGAGGTCTATCTCCGTGTCAAAGGGGAAAAAACAGGTTCTTGTTCCTATTTCTGCGCGAGTAGAGCAAAATCCCAACGAGCGATTCGTGGATCGACGAGCTATGACACCGACTATTACCGATGCACATGGCCATCGACACGTCGCTTCACAGGAGTTGCAAATTGAAAGTATGTGAGGTCGTTCAATTACACCTGGGCATGGTTCTGGTCTTTCTTTTATCTGGCGTTTGTTCGGGATTGGCTTTGGATTACTTACTCTAGTTTAATTTCCTTAATACCATCTTCAAATAACATCTGATCTTTTAAATATTAACTGACTTACATAAATGCGATCTCACACATAATTGAAATTAGCTTATCAGTGAGGAAGTGAAATCCCAAGGTCTTAGCCTAGAATTAGATACTGAGTCATACAAACTCAAAGAGATGAATCATCCAAGCTGCATATAAACATAACATTCAATATTCTCATCCATTATTACTATCATATCAGATCAATTGATCTTTTGATCCCAAAATGGTATCAGCATTTTTACCAGCGCAATTAACCAAATACCTAGAATATATGGCCTTGCCTGCTATATATTCTCCTTATCTACACGACCCGCAATCCTTCCCCAAAACAGAGGAGGCCTTAACAGCATTATTCCGATGCCAGATCACACGGTTTCCCTATGATAACCTCACTCTTCATCACACTGATACCGAGATAGTCGATATCGCACCTGAAAGTATCTATGAGAAGTTCATCGGATCGGGAGATACACAACCTTCCGGACGAGGGGGATATTGTCTCGAGTGCAGTATCTTTTTCAATCATGTTCTCCGCGGACTGGGATTTTCCGTTTACATGACTGGAGTTCGGAATCGAGGACGCGTTAATGGAATTCCGGAAGGAGAATTCAAAGGCTGGTGCGTTATCTCAATCTTGGAATCTCAATGACTCACCCATACCCAGCAACAGGGAACGGAATCTTGCAAGAATGCCTGCTAACATGAACACTGACAGGACCCATATGATAAACATTGTCGAGCTTCCAAATGGACAACAATACCACGTTGATGTAGCCTTTGGTGGCGATGGTCCAACAAGACCTATCCCACTAATTTCAGGGTCCTCCATCCAGAATCTAGGATCACAGGAGGTGCGACTGATCCAGGGGAACATCCCGAAACAGTCACGCTCAGAGCAAAAGCTCTGGATTTATCAATACCGGAACTCTGCAGACCGGGACTGGAACTCGTTCTACAGTTTCGGTGAGTTCGAGTTCTTCCAGGAGGATTTCGAGGTTATGAATCGGTATACGAGTTGGGAGGCTGTCGCAAGGGGGAATCAATGGATTGTGAAATTTCTTCGAGGTGGAGAAACAAGTGCTTTACCTGTTCTTCCGGGTGAACTTCCTGAGACGAATGGTCATGCTGGAGATGACTCGATGGTGCAGATCGTGGGAAAGATTATGTATGTGAATGGGGTTGTGAAATTGAATATGGGTGGGAAGACGAGGGTTATTGATTCTTTGGAGACGGAGGATGAGAAGCTGGCTGGATTGAAGAAATGGTTTAATTTTTCCTTTTGAGATTCATCAACTTGAATGGTGACTCACGCTTCAACTTCCAAGGTTGAAGTTGAGCTAGTAGTACGGACCCTGGAGATGGATCCTGCGTGGACTCGGTATATAACTTGAATGAACTCGAGGTGGAGCATGTGTGGATTACCGCCAACTTGAACTTCAAGTTCAAGTCGAAGTTGATGTGCTGGAATGTCAAGTTGATGTGCTGGAATGTCAAGTTGATGTGCTTGAATTGACATTCCAGCATCGACTAAGATTTATATAGACAACTTTGATCTAATTTGATAGAGCTCTGATTAGACCATTCAATCAATCTCATTTCACTAGTCCCATCTATCAAATGAGTGCGTGTGCGTCGTAGCAACAATGCAAGGATTCATTCGCCATAACGAGGGAAAACCACCGAGAGAACAAGGAAAAAGATAAATCACAGCTTCGTAGGCAAGCGTAAATCCAATGGGATAGCACAGAGAGTATACCGAGCTGGCTTCCCGGGTTTGATTACATGAATAAAGTTGCACCCAAGACAAAGCATAGTTGTCCAGTTCAAAGGCTCATATCCAGAGTTTACATCAAAGTACAGCAAGAGTTTTGCTTCTTGGCCTATAAAGAACAACATATAAGTCACTGGTATACTCGAGAATGATCGGGTCAACATACCTGAGTATAGAACATCTTACTCTGTGCAGACAGTCCATCACTCTTCTGCACCAAAGAATCAATCTTCTCACCACGCTCCAAAACACTCTCGATCTGTATGATACTGTTAGTATACAGACGCAATGCACTTGAATGGGGCAACCACATACAGTCTTGTGCAACACAATCTTGGTCTCATCCAACTCCTGCTGAATCTTCATAATGCTATCGGCCTGCTTGGGATCCTGGTACTTGACAATGTATTCCTTGAGCTGTGGCAGGGGGCAAGCATCCTCGCTCAGAGATTGGCCCGAGAACGATGTACGGGGGTGCTTCGCAAGGAATTCGTCGACGATCTTAGAAAGGAGTTGGTGAGCAACCAGGGCAGGGTAGTCCCCGTCGGTAACGATCACACCGGCCACACCCTCGGACCGGCCGTATGCGTGGAATGTGTATGACTTCTCCTCGACGTCCTGGCGCTGTCCAGGCTTCGTGCGTTCGGCGACCGTGCGGCAGAAGAGCAAGAGAAACTCCGCATAGCTATTAGGGTCGGGTCAATATATCTGTTGAATAAAGCGAGAATAGGGTTGTATCGGGTCTGACATACTTGTTACGAGTGAAACGGGAGAACCTTGTACTTTATTAGTGACCGTAGCTTTCAAGTTGGGCTGTCGACTAGGAGTACATACGAGCTGAGATCTTTCTCGGCACAGAGCTGGAGAGCTGGCTGAGCATCGTTGCGGAGAATCTTAAGTCACCAAATAAATTTAGTATACATCGTAGAACATCAATTATATAGGTCAGTGACTCAATCAAACGTACGCCCATATAGAGGATCTTCATGGTGGCGGGGGAGGATTAAAGTGCTTCGCACAGTTGGTGATACGGGAGGAGATAGAAATGGAGGACTCGGTAACTGATTTAGCTTGAGCGGGATGCCAGGTGTTAGATTCCGACCAGTCAGCTGCAGAATGACAATATTGGAAGCTGAGGCAGGTGAGTTCAAGGTCAACTGAGGGAAAGGTGGACTCCTGATAACAAGCGATGATGGCACTGCGGGTCTCCGCAGGGGTTCTTGGGCCTCAGGCAGAACACCACACCGCCCAGATTATCATCAATCATTATTCATGACTCTGTGACTCCACTCGTTTCTAGACTCTCTTGTGACTCGCTATTTGTTTCGTTTTAACTGTTACTGCATCATGGCGACCATTACATCTACCGAGTCGCAATGGCTCTCTCAACTGGCCGCCATGCGCCAGGCTATCGCCGATCTAAAGCTCCCCAAAGAGCTACCCCACGATACAACTGGATATGGAAGTGACATGGATTTGGACCTGGATGAGGACTACTCTTCTCCAGGAACCGTTGATGATGTCTGGGATATTATCAGCTCCGATGAGGAGACTGATGACCAAGATGAGGTCAACGAAATGTCTTTCCCGCAGACTTTACCCTACGATCGAGTTTGGCTGGAAGCAAAATGCCAAGAGGTTTCAGCTCGCTCAAGCATGAATGCCGCGGAGCTCTGCCAGCAGATCATCGCGACGTTAGCCGCCGATACCGACGATGCTGAGCTTCAGATGTCCCTTGCCGAAATTGTGGGGTTTGAGGATTTGGATCTCGTCATCGAACTGATCGCACATCGAACGGAGATCTTGTCCGACAAGCCACAACGGGTGGAAGCACAAACGGATGGACTGGTATCGGGAAGACTGTTGACGCGCGCTGAGCGAGAGGAGGCGCTGTGGCAACGAGATTTAGAGCATAAGAATGCCCCGCTCATGGCAGCCCAGACTCGAGGGGAGCCTGCATACCCCCATGTGTTCAAGCTGCACAGCTCTGGAAATCTCCTCTCTGCGGCCGGCAAAAAATTCGGTCTTCCTGTTGGCAGCAAACATCTTGTAGAATCCAAATACGAGGAGTATGAAATCCCAGCATCCAAAGTTGGCTATGTGAAAAGGGACCAGAAGCTAGTAGAGATTGCTTCGCTTGATGGTCTTTGCCGTGGCACATTCAAGGGCTACAAGAGTCTTAATCGAATGCAAAGCTTACTTTATGATGTTGCTTACAAGACCAGCGAGAACATGCTTATTTGTGCACCGACTGGTGCTGGTAAAACAGATGCCGCCATGCTTACTATTCTCAATGCGGTCGGAAAAAATACCTCTCCAAACCCGTTGGAGGATCCTGATGCAACTGATTTTACAGTTGAAGTTGATGACTTCAAGATTGTCTATGTCGCTCCAATGAAGGCATTGGCGGCTGAAGTTACAGAAAAGCTTGGAAAACGACTGGCATGGCTGGGAATCAAAGCCCGCGAGCTCACTGGTGATATGCAATTAACGAAGCGTGAAATTATGGACACTCAGATCATTGTAACCACTCCTGAGAAATGGGATGTGGTGACTCGAAAGAGCACTGGAGACACCGAACTTGTCCAAAAGGTGCGACTGCTGATTATCGATGAAGTCCACATGCTCCACGATGAGCGTGGTGCTGTTATCGAATCCTTGGTTGCCCGTACACAGCGTCAAGTTGAAAGCACACAGTCATTAATTCGTATCGTTGGTCTTTCTGCGACTCTGCCTAACTATGTCGATGTCGCCGATTTCTTGAAGGTCAACAAAATGGCTGGTCTCTTCTTCTTTGATTCCTCTTTCCGACCCGTGCCTCTAGAGCAGCATTTCATCGGAGTGAAAGGTAAGCCTGGGTCTAAGCAGTCGCGAGAAAATATTGATGTTGTCGCATTTGAGAAAGTGCGTGCTATGATGGAGAGAGGTCATCAAGTGATGGTTTTTGTGCATTCCCGTAAGGACACTGTAATGACGGCGCGCATGTTGAAGCAGCTGGCTGCGGAAGATGGATGCGAGGACTTGTTCAGCTGCCATGAACATGAGGATTACTCTTCTGCGCTGCGTGATATGAAGCATGCTCGTGCACGTGAACTACGAGACTTATTCGCCAGCGGATTCGGAACTCACCATGCTGGTATGAGTCGCAGCGATCGTAATCTCATGGAGCGTATGTTCTCCGAAGGTCTGATCAAGGTTCTTTGCTGTACTGCCACCCTCGCATGGGGTGTCAACCTTCCCGCGGCAGCCGTTGTCATCAAGGGAACTCAGCTGTACAACCCCCAAGAGGGTAAGTTCGTGGATCTGAGCATTCTTGATGTACTTCAAATCTTCGGTCGTGCCGGTCGTCCTCAATTTCAGGATACCGGTATTGGTTTCATTTGTACCACCCACGATAGGTTGCACCATTACCTCTCTGCAGTTACTGCTCAGCAGCCTATCGAGTCTCGATTCTCCAGTCGGCTGGTTGACAACTTGAATGCGGAAATCTCGCTGGGTACTGTGACGTCTGTTGCCGAGGCGGTGCAATGGCTTGGATACTCGTATCTATTTGTTCGAATGCAGCGTGAGCCCCGCAACTATGGAATCGAGTTTGCCGAGCTTCGAGATGATCCTATGCTTGTTCAGCGACGCCGAACACTGATCATCCAGGCTGCCCGCACTCTACAAAAGAGTCAGATGATCGTTTTCAATGAAAAGACTGAGGACCTCAAAGCGAAAGATGTTGGTCGTATCGCTAGTCAGTACTATGTTCTGCAAGGCAGTGTTGAAATTTTCAACGAAATGATGCGCGCACGCGCAGGAGAAGCGGATGTGCTCAAGATGATCAGTATGAGTGGTGAATTTGACAACATCCAAGCCCGAGAGAGCGAGTCCAAGGAACTGCAACGTCTACGAGATGAAGTAATCCAGACTGAGGTTGATGGCGGTAATGATTCACCCCATGCCAAAACCAACATTCTGCTTCAATCCTACATTTCTCGTGCGAAGCTCGAGGATTTTGCTTTGGTCTCTGACACAGGATACGTGGCTCAGAACGCAGCTCGTATTTGTCGTGCGCTGTTTATGATTGCTCTGAATCGTCGTTGGGGCTACCAGTGCCAAGTGCTGCTGTCGCTCTGCAAGTCCATTGAGAAGCAGATCTGGCCTTTCGACCATCCATTCCACCAGTTTGATCTACCTCAGCCAGTTCTACGAAACCTGGATGAGAAGCTCCCGTCGTCTTCCATCGAGTCGATGAGAGAGATGGAGCCTGCGGAGATTGGAAACCTTGTCCACAATCAAAAAATGGGCAAGGTGTTGTCAAAGCTGCTGGATAACTTCCCGACCCTGAGTATCGAAACCGAAATTGCCCCCCCTTAACCGAGATGTACTCCGCATTCGTCTCGCAATCTACCCCGAATTCACCTGGAACGATCGCCACCACGGTACATCTGAATCATTCTGGGTTTGGGTGGAGAACTCGGAGACCTCAGAGATTTACCATCACGAGTACTTCATCCTCAGTCGCAAGAAGCTTTACGATGACCATGAGCTTAACTTTACCATTCCACTATCTGATCCGCTACCAAGTCAGATCTATGTGCGGGTCATCTCCGACCGTTGGTTGGGTGCCGAAACTGTCAGCCCTGTCTCTTTCCAACATCTTATCCGTCCGGACACTGAAAGCGTCTATACGGACCTTTTGAACCTCCAGCCCCTGCCCGTTTCAGCTCTTAAGGATCCCATTCTCGAGGAATTGTACGGACAACGATTTCAGTTCTTTAACCCCATGCAAACCCAAATCTTCCACCTACTCTACCATACTCCGGCCAATGTTCTTCTTGGATCTCCTACTGGAAGTGGAAAAACCGTGGCATGTGAACTGGCAATGTGGTGGGCTTTCCGTGAGCAGCCTGGCTCGAAAGTGGTATACATCGCTCCGATGAAGGCGCTTGTCCGCGAACGAGTTCAAGATTGGCGCAAGCGTTTCACAGGCCCCATGGGCTTGAAACTTGTCGAGTTGACCGGTGACAATACCCCTGACACCAGAACCATTCGCGATGCAGATATCATTATCACTACTCCTGAGAAATGGGACGGTATCTCACGTAGTTGGCAGACCAGAGATTACGTCCGAAAGGTGAGTCTTGTGATTATCGATGAGATTCATCTACTGGGTGGAGATCGAGGTCCAATTTTGGAAATCATTGTGTCCCGAATGAACTACATCGCCTCGCAGTCTAAGGGATCTGTACGACTCATGGGTATGTCTACTGCCTGTGCAAACGCCTCTGATCTCGGAAACTGGCTTGGTGTCAAGGAAGGCTTGTTCAACTTCCGCCACTCCGTTCGTCCTGTACCCCTTGAGATTTTTATCGACGGATTTCCCGAACAACGTGGCTTTTGTCCACTGATGCAGTCTATGAACCGACCGACGTTCCTTGCCATCAAGAATCACTCCCCAGAGAAGCCTGTCATTGTGTTCGTTGCCTCTCGCAGACAGACCCGTCTCACTGCCAAGGACTTGATCAATTACTGTGGTATGGAGGATAATCCTCGTCGGTTTGTCCGTATGTCGGAGGATGACTTGGAGTTGAACCTCACTCGAGTCAAGGACGATGCGTTGAGAGAGGCGCTCAGCTTTGGTATTGGTCTGCATCACGCTGGTCTCGTCGAATCCGACCGACAACTCTCCGAAGAACTTTTTGCCAATAACAAGATTCAAATTCTTGTCGCGACCAGTACCCTGGCCTGGGGTGTTAACCTTCCCGCCCATCTCGTCGTTGTGAAGGGCACGCAATTCTTCGATGCCAAGATCGAGGGCTACCGTGACATGGACTTGACTGATGTTTTGCAAATGCTTGGTCGTGCTGGTCGTCCCCAGTTCGACAATTCGGGTATCGCACGCATCTTCACGCAGGATTCCAAAAAGGCATTCTACAAACATTTCCTGCATACTGGTTTCCCCGTCGAGTCCACCTTACACAAGGTATTGGACAACCACTTGGGCGCTGAAGTCTCGGCAGGAACCATTGGTACGAAACAGGATGCCCTAGACTATCTTACCTGGACATTCTTCTTCCGCCGACTGCATAAGAACCCATCTTACTATGGGCTCGAGATTGCTGCAGAAGAGCAAAACACCATGGCTGCGCAGGCAGTCGCTCAAGAATTCATGGTTGATCTGGTTGACAAATCTCTCAATGATTTGGCGGAGTCGTCTTGTGTTCTTGTGGATTCTGCGACCGGAGAGGTTGACCCAACTCCATTTGGTAAGATCATGAGTTACTACTACCTATCGCACAAGACTATCCGCTACCTCATGGCCCATGCCAAGCGTGAGCCTACTTTCCAAGATGTGCTTAGCTGGATGTGTTCTGCTACCGAGTTTGATGAGTTGCCCGTCCGCCACAATGAAGATCTCATCAACGCCGAGCTTGCTCAGAATCTTCCCTTGTCTATTGAATCCATGGGCGACGTTCCCATGTGGGACCCTCACGTCAAGGCTTTCCTCCTGCTCCAGGCTTATATGTCGCGCATCGATCTGCCAATTTCGGATTACGTTGGTGACCAAACATCGGTTTTGGACCAAGGCATCCGTATCATTCAAGCATCCATCGATGTCATGGCTGAGCTGGGCTACATCCCTGCATGCCAGATGTTGATGACTCTTCTGCAATGTATCAAATCAGCTCGCTGGCCCGAAGACCATCCTCTCTCCATTCTTCCAGGTGTGGCCACTGAAAACCCACCGCGCGGTATTCCATCCTCATTGGTGGCAATGGCTTCACAGACTGGATCTTCCGTGGCTGGCCTAGTCAAGAAACTGAACCTTCCCATGAATTTCACTCGCGCTGCCTCCCAACTTCCACAAATTTCGATCTCTGTCGTTGGAATTACGCCCAGGGGCATGAGTGTCTCCGTGGTTCGACGAAACCCACACACGAGCTCGGAGTATAGAATCTATGCTCCCCGCTTCCCCAAGCCACAGACCGAGGGTTACTTCTTGATTGTCTGTAGTGCTAGGCCTGATGGCAGTGATGGAGAGCTTCTGGGATTGAAACGTGTGTCATGGCCGCCCGCATCCAGATTGAACCATGGCAAGGGCCGTGCCGGAGCTGGCTCAGCAAGTGGCAAGGATAAGAACGGTGGTGGTTCGCTCTCTGTGCGTTCTTTGGTCAAGTTCCCCGGTACAGCTCTATTAGAATCGGGGTCAGTTACTACCGATGGTATTGCTCGTGTCAATGTCAAGGTGATCAGTGATTCATACATTGGAATGCAGTGGACGCTGTCCAATGTGGAGGTTGATGTTGCGGCTACAGTTGGGACTCAGACGATTGAGTCATCCAGTGTCCCTGTCAAAGGTTGATGAAGCCATCGAGGCACTTTTTTGTACATAAACATGAATCACGCGCTGCCTATAAAATATCAAGATTTATGACACGACTTCTATACTGAATGATTCAGAATCAACACTCAAGCTAAATTTCGCCTGTCAAATACATCTTCAACAAACCTGAAACCAGCGGATGCCGTCTAACATCCATACAATAAAAAAAGAAATCCAGCAAACTTAGGAATCGAACCCAGGACCTTCAAAATCAGAAATGCGTGAATAGCCTCAACAGCTCTCACTTGATACATCCATCTTCATCATAGAATCCTTTCTAGCTCCCTCAAATATTTTTATTTTGAGGACCTAAAAAATAGAATAGAAAGAGAATAGCTAGGAGTATGATTGGTAAAAATATAAAAAATTCAAAAAAAAAGCATTATTCCCTGGCCGAAGCCAGATACCCTCCCACCCGCCGGTAAAGTCTCTGCCACTGAAGATGGGTCCAGCGTCCGCATTTCAGTACCTTTGTCCCCCAGAAGGGTCGCCGACCGCTAGACTAGCAGAGCAGAGTGGTTACCTGGGGACCTTTTTACTCAAATATAAGGGAGATATGGTTCCTTGAATGGTGTTTATCTCCACTACTTGCCTATAATCCTCCATTTTAATATTAGAAAAATAAAAATAAAAATAAAAGAATTACGTTCCAAATAATCCATCATTCCAAATGGTTTTAATATGACTACCTATTATCACTCCGTATCCCTGTAGTAAAAGTGGTAGCCCCTACTTCGCGCGTTGCCTTTAGGTACTATGTCCTGTGACATATAGCCACTGGCAACTGGAGCACTTGAGAGTATTATACATAATATGTATGCCACACGGCGAAGAAATTTGAAAAATCACTGTAATCCAAGTACTAGTAAAAGAAGTTTATGGTGATCATGCTCAATCCTCCGAAGCGTTAACAACAACCGGAAAATCTCCATTGGGCTCACTATCATCCAAAGTCCAAGTCAAAGCATAAACATCCTCGTAATCCGTCTTCCTAGCCCAGAATTGCGCCTGCAGCGACGTATCATTATTGAAAACAAGCTGCGAAGCGAACAGGGCAAAGCCGGAGGCAGTTCCATTGATATACGCAGCTCGAGTCTGAGGCAACACGCCAACAGCATAGTCGTCGTTGTCCATGATGTACATTGATCCGGCTCGGGTACCGTTGACGAAGCTGGCATTTGCGATCCAGCATTCGCCTGTGATGGAGGCTAGGTCCCAGGTTACTGGAGCAAGGTTTGCATACTCGTCGGAAGGATTTTCAGCAATGTAGAGAAGGCCTGATATAGTGTCTTTATTAGTATCTTTGTCCAAGTTTCTTCTGGTGGACAGGTCAGTGTTTAAGAGTATGGAACGAGTCACGCACCATCATCAATGCCGTGGGAAATTAGCCAGTCGGAACTGTTTGTTCCGTACCCATAGAGTGTCGCATTTGTTTCAGCGCCACGCTTAGCATGCTGATGGAAGGCCAGTGCAAGTGTAGAGTACAAAAACACGGACAGAATGCTGACAATATGCATGATTAAAGGGACTCTCACGACAGGTAAGAAGTTGGAGGGAAAGTATTGAGAGGTATTTGCTCTATGCACAGAAAAGAATCATGCGATAATTGTAACTGAGAATTCGTATGATATGCGACAAAAATAGGGGATTGAGATAACCTTGGGTCTAAATCCCGATAGACTACCGGAAAAACCGATACAGACCCATATCGTTCCTCTGTTGTAAAACCTATTGCTGGTAAGACTAAATTAAGCTCAGTTGTACCAGACCAAAAACTGCATACGTATACTATGCCGATCAAGTACCAAAGACCCGACGGGATCTATGATGGAGCAGTTTAAGATTCTGCCTGGAAGATGATGATCACTCCCCACCCGGTAGTTGCTTCTGCAAAACAAGGAAGCACATTTGGAGTGGAGAGCTTCAATTGAACTGAGAGGCTAGATCAATTTTTGGAATAATTTGGTGTTGAAAATAGGTGTTTTCATTGTTGCTGTTGTTGATACAGAAGCATTGAAAAGCAAAGAATCTCTAGATGTTCCTAGACGATGGTAGCCGATTACCAACAACGGGGCACATGAGTCCTGGCTGGCAATTTAATAATTCATAAAAGCAAGAGTAGTGAGTCCAGTGATGAGCTGCTCTGCGAAGAAGGGAAAACCCAATCCTAAGCTTAGTCGAAAAAGCTGATGTCAAGTTCACTGTAGGTACTCGCTTTCAACAACCTGCAGAGATCTTTCCCACTATAGGACTGACTCCTTCCTTGAGCCGAGAAATTCGTTTTGCTTGCTGCATATTAGTAAAAAGATCTGAGGAGAGGTGGTTCAAGCTGGTAATTTGAAACTGCCAGTGATGAAGATCCGTTGAACCGCGAGTGCATATACACACACAGCCATAGACTGCTGTCAAGCCTCAGCTTCAGCTTGAATGCGAGCTTCAATATTTTATGTTCCTAATTGCATCATGATGTTATCTGAATTGAAGCCGTTGTCCTTTTTAAATATGAAGATCTCATTTGAATTGTCAATCGAGTGTTCTGTAATCAGTACTCCCTGTTGGAGGCTCATCGTAAGTGTTGAAGATCGAGTCTGAATCCCAAAAATTGCTATGCAGATACTACTCTTCTCAAGGTACTTTGCTGGGCTTGGAACTTCTTTCAATGAAGATCAAAATAGAACGATATTAATTGATCTTGCGACAGAATCCTGGATCATAGCTAATCAGACCTCCAACCGTGAATCACACAATCAAAGCTGATTTAGACACTAGAAGCGTTGAGAATCTGATCTCGCTTGATTCTGATAAGCGAGTCATAACAAAGGAGCCGGCTGTGCCATGTGATCGTGATCTCGCTAAGGAGAGAAGAGCAAGATCATCATGCATCTCCGGGCAGCCATTTTGATATAGTTGAAGATGCAGATCAAGAATTCTCATCTTTCGCCTCGTCGCCTTTCCCAATTGGGAGATGTGTGATCTTGCGCGCAGCCCTCAGGGTATAAATCACTGGAACTCTTCCTGATTTCAGACCTCTTTGGTCTACCAACTCTTTCTTCTACAATCCTCTTCTTACTCATTTTCAAACTCCACATCTTCTCTTGAACCTCGATCACATCAAACATGGTAGTTGGCCTTCAAAACACTCTGTTATAACTTTCACACTTGTTCATGTTGGGCCAACCATCTTTCGACCCGTCCTTAATAATGTGTTGACGCGTCTCTGTTTACACTTCTTCCTGCTGCCATGACCTCCCCTCAATATGATCTTCCATATCATAACATTCCATCATGGCTTTATATCAACACGGTCTTCCATCATGACCATCCATTGACCGGACCTTCCACCATGATCTATGACCACTCACTACAACCTTCCATCAGAAATTTGTTGACATGACATAAATTCCACAACATACTCCCCTCTTGTTCAAGTTGACATCATCATGGCTACTACTATGAGGCCCTGAAACCTTTTATAACACACAACCATCTGTCAACACTGCTAGTGCTCTTCACAACCATTCATTCTCAAACATGCCTTCCAAACTTGAACTTGAATCTCAAGCCCACTTCATACATACGGTCATACGGTCTCTTGGTCTGATGGATATTTTCCTTTTGGGCTTCGGTGGACAGGTAAAATCCTTCTCTCTTCTCGCGTTTGAAGCTACTAACATTGATATGCATCCAGCCACTTCTTTAGGCTCCACCTGCCCATCCTCCACGCCCTCCCTCCCCTCCTTCCGATTCAACAATGCAGGTGGTGGCACAATCTGCAGGGTACGACGCACAGCAGGGAAGAAGCTCTGAGTGCAACACAACATGCAGGGGTGGCACAAACTGCAGGATCTACAATGCACAGCGGGGAGGAAGCTCCGAGTGCACCCACTCTTCAAGCTTCGGCTTGACATCCATTTATCATTCTCTACTACCATTATATCTTATTCCATCCCAGTTTCCATCAAGGGCCTGGCATTGCTACACTTGGTCAATGACCACCCAAGATCTTAATGACTCCTGTTTTGTTCCACTGTATCCATCTTATTTCCCCCTAGTCATTACAATATGATCACATTACACAATCTACCTATCCTCCATGATTCCTTCTATAAGTACCTACTATTTCTAGTAATTAATGCCTAGTGGTGAGTTCTTCTAGATTGTTGTTATTGCGTTGCTATCTACCTTAACAATCAACAGAATGACTGTCTTCCTCTTGACATTCAAGGTATCCATTAAGTCCGCCCCCAAGTTGTATAGTGTGCATCTTGAAGATTCGATCAATAAATATCTCCAACTTGAAGGTTGGAATCTGACTCCCCGGCATCCATCATGATCTGGACAGTGCGTAATATAACGGCATTGGTTTCTTATTCGTCACACAGCATCATATCTTGATATAATGCCTTAAAGTAAGTAACGCGGTGAATAATTTTCGACAGAAAATAATCGCTTTTCGTGGTTTCCCAAGCCTTTTCAAAAAGCCTTGGCTAACTAGTACTCCGTACTAAATCCAGACCTGGGCAAACTGACAACCCCTCTTGAACAACCTCACACATGTGCATGTGCAGGCGTATCATTGCCCAGGCTCTTTCATTGATTACACCAGTTGAAATAGCTAGGGTTTTTATTGCCAATATATATATCAGTTACCCTAGGGAATACCTTATGGCTCGGATAATTACCCCAGCACTTGAGAACTGATCAAGAAACCTTTTCGACTACACCGCTTTACTCACTCGATTCAAGTGTAAATTACAAACTATCTATAACCCCTCACCATCAGGGGCTAGGCTGGGCATCACTACATGAGAATCCCTGTAAAAAAAGCGCGCTAACCCTCTCCTGTAGGTGAGGAAGCCAAAGGGAGCCGAAAAATCCCAACAGAAACTCGCAGCTGAGAGACAGCGGCGAAACATGGAAAGAACAGGTCACACCGAGGACTGCTTGCTTACTTGCAGCTGGAGGAAACGATCTTTTCTGTAACCTTGAGTGGCCATTTTCTTCGCTTTATTTTTCCATTCCCACAGTTTATGATGTTCTCTGTTGGGATCATGCAAATGGGACTTCGAACCTCCTGAGCCTCCCACTTTCCTGGCCGCATAAGAGCCCACGCTCTCTTGTTATGTTCTCCATCATATTTCTTCCTGAACCGCATACGAGAATACGCATTCTGGATTCTGAGCGTTGTGAAACACTTCGCCTTCTCAGTCAGTCCAAAGCCTCACTCACTAGTGGTAATGGATTTCTTTTCTTGATGGGGATTCCATTCAGTCGGCGCGAAGCAATAAACCGATGAAGTCCGCTGTTCTTCTTTGACGCAGGACAAGGATTGCAGTGCTTGATAGAAACTCTTTAAATTTTTATTCAGGTACTTATTCATCTGTTCAATCTGGAGATACTGACTAAGCCTTCAAATTCCCAGCCAAATCCAGCAAGTCATTGACCCAGAAGCGCCAAGCCGCAAGGCCGTGTGGAACATTCCCATTCTTCGTCATCATGAATATCATGATCTCGACCTTTACATATCATCAACTAACTCCTACTATCAGATACAGCCCCATCTCGAAACCCTGGTTTCCAGGTGTTATCCATAAACGTCCACGCGTTCCAAATTTCACTCGTCCACTATCTAGGTCTGTATAATAACCCCTAACCGCACCTATACTTTCGTCGGTAAAGTCGATTCGGAGTCGATATCTGCATTTCCGCCATCAGCAAAAGTTTTGAGTCCAGTTTCTTTCGAAGACGTACTTTCGAAGGTCTGGGAGCGCAGTGTGTCAGGATGCTCCGGGCTAGGAATCACCTCCAATGCGCGTGCGCTCCCAGTCCTGTTGGCGAATTTTTGAGGGAGAAGTCTCATTTGAGGGAGAAGTCTAGAGTATCGTTCAGGGGTCCAAATCTGTATTCAGTGGTGTCTTAGATATAGAAAGGAGAAGCTTTGTGATGAGAGAAATCCTGTTACTGCTTCTTGTTATGTTTGTTGAAATTTACCAAAATTACGCTAATTGCACCCCTGCTGTAATTTAGTTTCACTCCTCTTTTTTCTGCCGCTTCAATGTGGAATAACTATTTTCCAATATTCTAAATTTGTAAACAATCTTGCAGTGCAAGTTTCAAGTATTAGTTTTTCTTCTCTTATCATTGGCTTTCACATTTTAGCCATAAAATAGTCACAGTGGATCCCGAGGTCATTCAGTGGAGAAAACACGGCAAAGGCTGAGTGGGTTAGGAAACTGCTAAACATAGACATCTGGACGATAAACTTGGAAGTCTGGGGACTCAACGTAAGTGAAAACGTAAGCCGCGGCGGAATACCCAGGTGCTCAGGTCGTCCGCTTCTTGAAGTATACAAGCACACGACTCCATCAATGCCAAGTTTTGGAATTTTACCGATTCTCTCGGATGTTTAAATATATGAGGATCAAATGCCGATATGATCATCCCGACGATCCCTTTGATGTGCCAATCGACAACAGATCTCATCGCGATGGATCCTTTTAACTTCAATGCTAACATGAGCGGCAGATATTGACCCCATTTCAGGAACCATGCCAAGTTCAATACGTTATACGACTGGGTATGAGGACGCGGTCTCTACCTATACCTCCACGACTCCGAGTCAAAATCCCCCGGGCCGTGGACGACGGATGTTACTAGGAATAGACCGCGTATATCACAACCTTGATTTATTCCCCAGCCCACTACTGAATGACTGTGGAGTAGATAGCCTGACCGCGCCAGCTTGATAACGCTGAATTCCAGAATGGGTCAAAAGATGAAAATCTCAACGTGTGAGTGCTCCGCAAGGACTCCTACAGAGTTCTCCATAGTCCAAGGCAGAAGGACGTCGATCAGATCGAATTTCGCCGGATATTTCCACTTGCTAATTTCGATTTCATTAGGAGTTGGATTCAAGAAATGAATCGTACATAGAAGGACAATCCTGTCTACACATTTCCCATTCTCTCTCTAGTCACTCATTTTCACCATTCGTTAATTGTTCACTTCTATCTAATATCACTGTCGCACCGGCACTTACATCTGACGAGATGCACGTCCTTTCGTTTATTATACATTCGCTTATTACCATCATCCCTGCCGCATCGGCTTTCTCTCTGCCATTCAAACATACTCGAGATTCATCGTGTGTCAATAGTGCATCTAACAGAGCATGCTGGACCGATGGATTTGACATCTCAACCAACTACTACGAGAAAGTACCGGACACTGGCGTAGTCCGGGAATATTGGTTTAATGTGGAGAATACCACAGCTGCTCCTGACGGTGTCGAGATGCCTGTGCAATTGATCAATGGGTCCTTCCCAGGTCCTACTATCATTGCTGACTGGGGTGATACTGTTGGTATGTGAATACTCTCACACTGCCAAGACCCGATGAAAGTAACAGAATCTAGTCATTCACGTCACAAATTCTCTGCAGAATAATGGGACCGGTCTTCACTTCCACGGCATCCGCCAGAACTTTACCAACCAAATGGATGGTGTTCCCAGTATCACACAGTGTCCTATTGCACCAGGAGAGTCATACACCTACCGTTGGCGCGCGGTTGAGTATGGTACTGGCTGGTATCACTCACACTTTTAATTCAGGCCTGGGATGGAGTCTTTGGTGGAATCATCATTAATGGGCCAGCAACGGCCAACTACGACATTGATCTCGGCCATGTCTTTTTGAATGACTGGTACCATGTAAGCTCATCAACTACCACCAGCTGGAGACAAGAAACTCACTGGTTAGCAAACTGCCGATCAACTAGTTCTCGAAGCAGCGACCGGTGGTCCCCCTACAGCGCCGAATGGGTTGATCAATGGAACCAATACCTGGGGCGATAAAGGGTCCCGTTTTGAAACAACCTTCAAAGCGCGAACGAGATACCGCATGCGAGTCTTGAATGCTGCAGCAGATCAGCACTTTCGTTTCAATGATCGACGACCATAACCTTGAAGTGATTGCAAACGATTTCGTTCCCATCCACCCGTTCAACACAACTCAGCTTAGCATTGGAATGGGCCAACGCTATGACGTTATTGTCACTGCTAAGGAGCTCACTAGTGAAAACTTCTGGCTGCGCGCAATCCCTCAAGAGGCTTGCTCCGAGACTGATTTAACAAGCAAAGTCAAAGGAATAATTCGCTACGATAATTCCTCGACCGTGGATCCAACCACTTCCGCTTATGAATATACTGACTTCTGCGCCGACGAGGAATCGTTCGATCTCATCCCTTATCTCCAGGTGAATGCTTCTGATACATATGCCTATGGTGAGAAAGAGGAAGTTGAGGTTCAGGTTACGGACAATGCGATGTTGTGGTTGATGAACAAAACTTCATTTGATACCCAGTGGGAATATCCGACTCTTATGCAAGTAGCCGACAATAACCAGACCTGGCTGGCTCGACAACGTGTGATTCATCTTCCCGAGGCTAATAGATGGGTGTACTTTGTGATCCACTCCCCCTTTGCACAGGATCATCCGATGCATTTACACGGACATGACTTCTGGGTCTTAGACTCAGGATATGGGAATTTTGACCTGTCGATGAAGTGCGAACTAACCTTGGTGAATGCTCCACGACGAGATGTTTTAATGCTGCCTGCGAGTGGATATGTGGTTATCGCCATGAAGACAGTCAACCCAGGGGTATGTCACTTTCCTCTCATATCATTGGTTATTTCTAACAAATCCTTTTAGGCCTGGCTGATGCATTGTCATATCGCTTGGCATACATCTGAGGGGTTTGCTATTCAGCTCCTTGAGCGTGAATCGGAGATACGGCTCAACGACGAGGTCCTTAATTCTACTTGTAAGGGCTGGCAAAACTATGCTGTAGAGGATGATGTCGTTCAGCATGACTCTGGCGTTTAAGGGGTACATTGCTCTCACTCACGCTGCACTCCTCCTGCTATCGGAGACCTATCACCCTTTCTACTTCATTATAATTCGAATATCACACTCGCTTGGTCATCTGCCACATTTCCATCAGACTGCGCTATCGATTTTAATCAATCCTTTGAAGCCACCAAAATATTCGCCCCACTTCCCACTTCCAAGTTTCCATTACCCGATGGCCAAAATGTCAAATTTTTCAGAGGCAAAGCTTAGTAGCGGAGTTCTTCAAGTATCTCAAGTCCCGATCGGGATTAACAACGATACCTCTTCGACTAATTAGTACAAAACTCCAATGATATCAAATCCAAGTTGTAGTATCAAACCCTGAGACCCTGAGCCGGGGATTTAGGAGCTAATTTGAAGTGTAATCGCTTAGCTGAGACCAGGGCCACAATTGCTTGGCAGGGACTGACAGTGCAACTTTCAATGACTCTGGATGGTCTCTTCGAAGCCACTAATTTTAAAGATAGATCCACTCCCGATGTCATACCCGAAAATAGAGCATTTCTTTGTGGTATTCGACTCAGGGGACAAGTACATATCTTGAGTGTTGTTGAGCAAAATTCTACTTCCAGGCTCGGATTTCCTTTCAAATGTTCCATCTGGCATCGTGATCTAACTTGGAAATGCATCGATCTCCATTACTTCACACTTTTCTCTTCGGGTTAAGTGCTGCATCTCAAATTTCGCAGCGCGACAATAGCTCCGACTATGATTCTCAGCTGAATTTCCGACCCGAGTCAGTTTCTGGCTTAGGGGACATCTACCATTGGGTGGGATCGTAAGTATTCGCATTTGCCACATGAAGGAAAACCCGGAACATTTGAATAACACGGAATCAGGTACTATAATGCCACTGCATTAGTGGAGTACACCCCATATTCTGGTGTCGCTGCAAGTGCAAATGACACGCCTTACACCTGTCCCAATATTCGAGACAAGAAGTACAGCTTTAGCTTTGATTCTATTCTTGGTATTACCGAGACCAGCGAATACAATGTGGGCAGTAACCCTGTGAATCTTTTCTTCATGGGATGGCCAGAGGATACGGCGTTCAACATCTCTGCTCCTATCGACGATATGGCCGTGAACGAATGGTCATTTTTCTCCTCCGAGTGAGTACCATGCACCAAATCGCTGTGAATGCTGACTGACCTTGTTTAGACCAGTATATACGTATAATTCTACCACCTCCAAGGCACAGACCAACTTCAATCTCACCCTTCAAGATACTGAGAATGCACCATACAACTTGTCAAGCAAATTAACCCAATACTACGGCAGCGAGAGCGGAATATCTCTCAATATGACAGGTTGCAACTCCAGCGAAACAACCCGATGGTCAGGCTATTTAATAGTTGACTCCATCATGAAGATGGACGGGTATAACTGGACATACCCGAACCCGAGCCTTGATCTTCAATTTGACAGCAATATGGCAAACCTGACAATTGAAGGTTACTTCGAAGGAACACCAATTGGGAATGAGGATTTCAATGAAGATGGTCTCTTTGTCCCAGGAAATATCAAAATATCCTTTTTGGGTGTAATCGATACCTATCATTCCGACGTGCTGGTGAATGATAGCTCCACGCCATCTTGGGAAAGGAGTGTTGGGTTTAATAATAACTCAGCGAATATTGGCTACAATGGAATCGACTCGAAGACAAATGACTCTAATAATTTTGCGAGCTCGAGTAAATTGCCAGTTGTCGCTCTTTCATTGATTCTTTCGGTCGCTGCGATGCTTATCTAGTTGGACGCACCTTGCACATAAAGGACTCGAACCTAGACATGACCCTCAAACTCTTGAAATGTGTTATATTGTGTGGGCATAATACGAATATCATGTCTGATCTAATTTTAATTGTTACACACCTGGGCACAATACCATATTTCTATTCTATAATCCATTGCATTCCGCTCCTCGCTGTGGCAAATCGGGTATCCGTGGATATCCTATTGATAGCCTATCCGTACTCGAGTATCCGGACTCATCGGGACAAGAACCCCAGTAATCCAGGGGAACCTTGGAAATGGAATCGAACAATTAGAATAGCCTAATCGGATTTGTCGGATCTACATCTGGCATGAACCCAACATAACTCAACCCATCCATGGCTGGTTGAACTGGAGACCAGGTTGAATTGTTGAGGCCGCAGCGAGTCGACTTAAGTATAAAGGGACCCTTGCAGGACACTTTCAATATTCCAGAAAGCATTGGCAATCACAATATAGTTAATCATCTTTAAAAATCCAATTTGAACCAAGACAACGCACGTGCGTTCACTGAAACCACCAAGAATACAAAATGGAGGAACCAACCTACGATTCCAGGTACAACATCCATCCACATCTAACAATGATAAAACTCCCAAGCTAAATTTTCTTAGCCGGCCCATGCCAGATATCCAGATCGCATACAACTACAAGCTCGCAAATTGTCCCGGAAAGACAATCGTCGGGCTACGCGTTACTTTCCCACCAAACGGCTCAACTCCACCTCACCGACACGGAGGTTCCTCGGTCGCTGCATATGTGATCAGCGGCGCTCTCCTCAACAAGATGAACAACGATCCTATGAAAATGATTCCTACGGGTGGTACATGGTACGAGGCTCCTGGCTGTCATCATCGCATTAGCGACAATGCTAGTAATACAGAGCCGGCTGTTCTGTTCGCTACGCTCATCCTGGAGACATCTGTGTTTGAGCGAGACGGGATGGATGCACTCATTCAGATTGATGAAGAGTATCGCTGAGATGTAACTATACTTGACCTTGAAGGGAAATCAGGCACGTTTTTGAGGCTCTAAATCAAGAATACATTTGGAATTTCCAGATATGAACACCAATTTGAAATAACTTGAATCAATAACGCGCAACAAAATCCAATACTTTCAAGTTGACACAACTCGAAATTTGAGGATCTTGAAACTTGGACATACTACCTATACTATCTACTTGCAAATATAACAGTAGCCCAGATCAACAAAATCTCACTCCTGTCTCGGAGGTGTGAAGAACCGCCACATCCGCCTCAAAAATCCACCATTCTGTGCTTTTGCACCCATTTCCTCAAGGAGCGGACTAACATTTCGAGGAGGAAAGTATCCCGGATAGCCCTGAGGAGAGTAACCGTACCAATGACCAGGTGGAAGATCATCTCGAAATATAGGCCCTACATTAGGAACATAACCCAGAATCTGCTCCTGTTGCACTTCTGTTGCTCCACGTCTCGGGAAATAACTATGAGCGGGCGGAGGTCGAGGTTGAACCGGATACATAATATTCACGGTGTCACAGAATCCCTCATCACTGAGAAATAACATTCCTTTATTATCCGGTCGGGTGAGGGTGTATAGTAAGTGACGAAGCCAGATGCCGCTTATTCTGGGTTCTCCTACCTGGCGCATACCGGGCATTATATAGCAAGCTACTTTGGTCCAGGGGACAAGTTGAAGTTTCATGGGATTCGATAATAGACTGACTTCCAGGTGAATGACTCGCATAGTAGCGGACCCAGCAGCAGTGCTAACGAAGGTTTGACCCATCTCCTGGCAGACGTAATTGCAAATATTTTCCATTTCCCAGCGATCTTGTTCGTATATAAGCATGTTTGGCGATCCGGTGTCGTCGAGGAAGTCGTATTCAACATACTTATTGCTTCCTTTCAAATGATCAGGCATCTCAGCTGGTCGTATCGCAAGGCGAATCTAAGGTCAAAAAAGTCAGCTCCCGACAGGAAATAGAAGCGAGTATCGCTTGTCGTACCTCGTGCATAAAGAATTCCTGTGATAGAGGGGTGAAGGCATCTATAAAATTGATGGAGGTGGGACCTGGTCCATCCATCTGTGGCTAGGTTAGCAATAGCAAGGTAATCTAGATGCTGAGAGACTGCACTCACTCCTTCAACCCACCATGACTTGGGATGCGCCAAATCCTCCAGGTAGCGAGCCAGGTTCTTGGAGTCAAATTCCTCTGGCCCTTTATAAATTTCTCCACGAAGCCAGTAAGTAACCAGTGGTGGTTTCCATTCCAAACCCTTGTTACGGTATGCTGCTATGATCGCTCTCACGTTGAGTAGCTGATTATCTGGATCTCCATCCTGCGAAAGGCTGGTTTCGATGCGTTTCAATGTATCAATCCGAACACGTACGCTCCAAGTGACGCCTGGTTCAGATGCCTCGAAGGTCCTACACAGAATTATCAGCATTCCGAGTTATATCTTCACAAGTGAAATACTCACTCCCGGTCCTTTTTCATCTGCTCATAACGCATAAGACGAATCTGGAAAAACTGAGGCAAAATTCCTTCCTTAATTCTCTCGATATTTCGCTCAATATTTGCTTCAATATCGCTGTTGCAGTGGGTCAATAAGATATAATCTCAAACAAAGCAAATGTGGAAGACTTACAACTCCTCAATATCATCCTCATTGACAGTCCACCCGTCGGGCACCTTATCCGCCTCAGTAATGGGTGGTCCCACAATTTGCCACTTCTTGCGAGGCTCTGGAGATTTGCGAGTTATTGCATTCTCAGCAATCTCCTCTACAGTCAGTCCACTAAGCTCTGTCTCCTCATGGGCCTTCGTTTCCGTGGTCTTCGTCTCCTTTGTTTTACTGCTCTTGACGTCGGCCGCTGTCTTCCCAGGTTTGACTTTGGCATCTGTCGCCCATTTGAGAGGCTTGGTCTTTGTGGTTGTAGCCTCCTTTTCCTCCTTTTCCTCCCCTTCTCCATTGATTTTCACATCGGTTTTCCGTTTCTTTGGCGCGGTATCATTCTCCTTCTTGAGACGCCTTTTCTTCTTGGGCTTCTCTTCCGTCTTCTCAATAGTATCTCCAAGCTGAGAATTGGAGGTTTCTTCTTTCGCAATCGTGTCGCCAAACGTAGACTTCGTTTTATCTTCCTTCTTGGAAGAACGCTTCTTAGGCATTTTGACAAAAGTAGGGATTGAGTACAGAGATTGAAGAAAATCAGATTCAAGTTCTTTCGAGGTGGACATCGAGGGTATTCTGCTCTGATATTTCTACTCATCAAAGCATTGCAATTTACACCCCACGCCTACAGATGTCCCGACAAAGATCTTCCAGAAAGGATCCATGTTTTGCCCTTTTTAATTCGAAGACTCATCTTTGTCTTGAGCTGAGTTGTGACCGCTCCGAGTTTCAAAGACCTCAATAGTTGATTTAGGATCAAAGAGCTCCTTTAATATCTCTTCTTGCCATCATAGAGGCAATAAATTTAGATTCAAAAATAGAACACAGGTGCCTGGAATCAAATATCCACTCTTCCCCTTGTATTCCCCTAGACCAGGTTTCAATTCGGTCTCCTCAATAGTTTACGCATAGCCAATAACAACCCATGTTCTATCCAATTAAGAAAGAAATTTGAATCTTCAATTTCTAGAAGACAAAGTATAGTTAACGAAGACTCCCCAAGTCGAACTCATCCGAGTCGAATGCTAGCTTGAAGCTATTCGCATCATCACGCGCTGCATTCCCGGCGTAGTTCCCCAGATTCCTCATGGGAAATATCACTTCTCCAGTTCTTGAATGATCTCGTCGGTAGTTGAAGCGCAAACATCCGGTCAATTTCCATAGGCGATCTACCCTTCATCTCTGGAATAAAGAACCAAGCAGCGACAATCGCGACGGCCGAGAATCCCGCCATCACAAATCCAGTCTTCGCTTTCAGATCTCCTTTATCGGCGTTATAGATATACGGCAGGCAGATAGAAAATGCTCCTGTTGCAACGCCACTAGTGAACCAGCCAATACCCTGAGTCTTGGCCCGGAGCTGTAGTGATGAGGTTTCGGCTGCAACAACGTGTGATGCTGGCCAGATACCTAAGCCGCAGACCATTGTGACGATCATCATTGTCACGGCCGTATACCTGGAGTCACGTTAGCACGACGAATTTATAATGATGGGGCTATTTTCATACCATATTGTAACTATTCCCTCAAAGCAACCAGCAATGCCCATCGCCAGCCACAAAACCATGGCAGCTGTTAATGTAGCAATACAAAGCAAGCGTCGGCCAAAACCATTCAGCACCCACAGACTGACAACATTCGCAATCAGACCAAGCCCAATACCAAGAATCAAAAATATCAGACTGTTCGTCGATCCCATCCCAACAATCTGCATGAAATAAGATGCATTTGCCAGCAACTGTAGACCAAAGAATTGCGGGAGTGCGCTTGCAAAACACACAGTCCAGGTTCTCCGAAGATGAATCCCTCTGAAACAGTCGCTGTATCTGTAAGATGCTTGTTCCTCTGCCTCCGCCAGAATAGAAGCTTGCAGCTCTTCAATAATCTCGCTTGTATTCACGTGTGATGTATCCAGTTTCATTTGCGCCTTCAGTGCTTTCTCAGGTCTATCCCTTCGCAAAAGCCAAGTTGGACTCTCCGGTAACAGCGCAGAGAGAACTAACGGCACAGCAGAGAAGGGCCATTGCGATGCGAAGCAAATCCGGTAGCTCTTCGAGCCATTATATCCCAGCGAAATGTAAACAACGATAGCACCGAGAAGTTGACCCAGCAGAGTGAAGATGGGTAGAAAGGCGATAATCGGACCTCGAAGCACAACCGGAAGTACTTCGGACATGTATGTCTGTACGACACAAAGCAGGATTCCAATACACATTCCTTGGAATAATTTCCCCGCAAGAAAAACTCCACGGCGAGATTCAATATCATCCGGCAGGTCAGCAACGTAACAGATTGCGACAGCGATAGCCGACAGGAAACTGCCGATCGCAAGAGCTAGACGACGACCGCCTCGATCCTGGAAATAACCACCGAATAGCGATCCAACCATCATACCTATCGGACTGGCGGCATTCCATAAAGAGAGCCACATGGATGGAATGATATATTTGGCGCCGAATTCTTCACCAAATTCATGTCTTCCAAGGTTGAAGTTGTCATGTTAGCTCAGGGTATAATGAAAGGTTCATAAGCTTACTGGAAAGCAGGCATCGCAGAGACTGTTCCTACGATGACCAAGTCATATCCGTAAAGAAGAATCGCTGAGCTGAGCGCCAGGTTGTACATCACCACTTTTGGCCATCGCTTAACTGAGTGCCATAGTGGGACATGCTCTTGTGAAGATTTTTCCGTGCTTGTTCGTGAGATATCCTCATCGTGGCTCTGTGTTGGTTTTACAGTGGAATCATTCATATTGAGGCACCAGTAATGAGACTGAGAGAATCATAATCAATTAATTTCCTCCTCATTGCGGTGGCTGTGGCACATATATCCAAAGTCCATGCTGCAAACCTTGCAATCTATGGACGAGATTCAAGTACTCTAAGCACACAGATAGGGGCCCGGGCTTGACGGTCCACAAATGTAACATGAGCTTTGACATGATGCCGTGACTGAAAATATTCTTAATGGATATTCATCAAATCAGCATCAGAGATTATCAGCGCGGCGCCTGATGGATGATTAAAGAGGAGGTTTTGCCGACCCTTGTACGAATCAAGGTTTGGAATACGTCCACCCCGCACGCCAAGTGAATATCGACTCTCATAATGATTCTGCACTGCAGCTTAGCTCATGATGACTGCCAATTCTTCGGAACTTTGTTTATTTTCAGTTAAACGAGGACGCCACATGTATGTGTTGTGGTTGGAGTTTCAATTAAAGAAGCTTTCGAAGCACGCGAGAGTTGGCCAGATATCCGGTGATTCGACATTGCGGATTAGCCGTCCTTAGTGTCAGATTTGTAGGGTCTGTCAAGCTATTGAGCTGTATAGCAGCTGGCTAAAGCTGACAGGATCTTGGATAGTCCCTGTATCATGCAAAAACAGTGGTCAGGCTGAACCTTGGAAGTCGGTTACAAAGTGTCAAATCATAGTTGATGAAGAATAATTTCAAACTTTCAGCAAGGATAAAAATCTAATATTGATTTTCTCTAATTTTAAGCAACATTCTCAGTCAGTGCATTAGTCTCAGATTCACTCCGAGCATCCCTCCTCAACTCTAGTTTTTCAAGATGGGCCCTTAGTCTTGATATCTCACCATCCAACTCAGACTTGGAAGCGAGTCGATATTTGAGTGTGAGAATAGCCGCAGATACCAAAAGCAAGGAAATAGAAACAAGATAGGACCACTGTCCAACCTGCTGTGGACTCTCCTGAGAGGGCCCATCATTGTAAATCCACCACTCAATCCACGCCACAAAAGCAATAGTAGTCAAAGGGCTAATAATCATGCTGAACACAAGCCCGAATAGAATACCAACGTCGGCTAATACGCGAAAGAAAGCCCTCATGAAGCGTACTGTAAAAATGGGTCGAACTCGACTCCAGACTGACACAGGTTTTTCCGATCGGGAAATTCTTTCTTTCAGCTCAGTCCCCGGTGCTGTGAAAAAGAAGCTGTCATGTAGCTCTTCTTTGAAACTTTTCCAAATCGATCTTCTTTCTTTCCAAATCACGACGATCTGAGCAGACGGGATTCGCGATTCGTATGGAAGAAATTTGAATGTGAGAAGAATGACGTTCAAAATGAAGCAAAGGATAATCAAGCTGTAGATGTATCGTTTGGAATAAATGAGCTTTTCCCAGATTTTGGTTCCATGTGAGACTTCAGACCCCTGATCCGGAACCCATGATTGAAGTGTTGAGGCTTGTCGTAGAATTTGACTAGTGTTGAAGCAAGGATTATAGCAGATATCACCAATCTCGCCCCATTTAGTAATATTAGAGAAGGTTTCCCAAACACTGTTATTCCATGTTGTCGGTCTCCAATAACTCTGCCACCCATCATTCGTAGTAGACTGGTATGGTGGGATATCCGGGTAGCAGAACATATATTGAGTCGGACTTTCCTTCTTGTTGGCAGCGTAGACAAGTGAACAGATCGACCCAGCCATCATCAGGATATTCCAAAGATAGAATAACAAGTTTCGAGCTCTTTCATGAGTTAAGACTCGCGACCAGGATTGTAGCGGGAGAAAGACGAGATACCCCGTAACAACTATTGCCATCACAGCATCGCCGTCCAGCTCCAGAGCCGCAGGCTGAACGAAGATCGTGTCAGTCTGCGTGACCAGCTGTGGGAAGCTGCTCAATAGGGTCGTATTTTTTGAGAGATACGGAATTGTGACAGGTCCTGGATCTTCTTGCTTGGAGCGACTGGCGACAAGAATGAATGACTCGATTGCAGCGGTGCCAGCGTATGTTGCTGCGGCTCCCAAAAACACATCTGCAAGCCATCCCGTCCAGCGTGTAACACAGCTCGCAAGAAGTAAAGCGTAGAAAAGGTATCGTGGACAAGAGTCATAGATGGTGCTGATTGGGTAGAAGCACAGGGCCTCCTGGGCGATGAACAAGGGGCCGCTGGGATCCATGGTGAGCGGAGTGCTACCAGAACGACTGGTCAACTTCTCAGGTCACTCACTCTCTGGCTTCACCAGATAGTTTGGTCACTTCATATTTCTCACGTTGAATGTCTCATTTAGCGAGGTTTGACTCTTTTCGCTTGTTGCTGCCTATGGTGTTTTGCTGGGTCCTGACGTCATATACTTTGCACCATAAATCAGTTCAAATTCAAATTAATTGTAAACAAAGATTTTAGTGAAAGTGCTGATAAAAGATTGAGAATCATTTACTTCATAAATCCCTAGCGATCGGCTGGAGATATTGCAACTGTCGTTGAAATATTGCACCAGAATCTCAGTATGGAAATGTTGCAACATCTACCACTTTCCTCCGCTACTATTCAAAATTTGGACTTTCAGTTTTGAAAATTCCAGGTATTGAATCTTTTCTGAAAGGAATATACATGCTCTCCTGGAATAATCTCAATCATACTAGGGCCATTTCAAATGTCGATAAATGTTTTCTTCATCGTATGTACACCAACCCACCCGTTGACATCCTCACTCAACAGACCAGACATCAATAGTAACATGATTCGGAATATGGGGTTTACGAAGCTCCCCCACAAAAAGAGTGCGATTTAACCACCCATGAGCTCCATCCTGAACCTCAAATCGAGGATTCGTCTTCGCATACCAGTTCTCCTCTAGCACCCTGCGTTTCCCAGCATCCCCGGCACTATCACCCTCACTAGCCTCTTTCCGATATTTTCTCACCCATCCTTCATTGGTGACACTGATAAGAGTTCCATCTTCAGCTTTGATTGTATATTTGGCGTACAGATGTCCGATGCCATCTTCGCGAAGAACATTCCAGTCTCCTCCACCGGGAAGAATCTCTGCCTTTAGCTTGGGGCCCTCGACAGTTCCCCCTGTGATCGGGATAAATCTTCTGGAGCCAGCGGGAGTATCGCCGAACTCGAGAGCTGGAGAGAGGTCTACTTCGAGGGTGAATGCGAATTCGAGAGTTGGTGCCATGGTGGTCTTCGATTGAATCTTGCTCAGGCACGTGTCGGGTTCTTCATGCGATTATTGAGTGTCGCTCCACTTCCAAGGTTGCAGGAGCCTATATCAATGTCTTCAAACTGGTGATTGAGGGAAATACCTGGGGATGGGATATGAGACCCACACGATGAGGGGTTCTTTGAAGCTAGCTCGGATAAGCCGAGGTTCAAGTTTCCTCGACTTCAACTTGAAGTTGGTCTATTCAAGTTGACAATTTGGCAATTTTTAAGATATATCTGACCAAAAGAGTAACTTGAACTACAGACTGCACAAATATCTCTCGGACTTGGACTCCCCCGGGCTCAGTGTCGAATTATTAAGATCTCAAGACGGAACTCGGACTAACCGCTTCTGCTGATACTATATTTCTCAGACATGCCCAGCCAGTGTCAAAAGTTCATGCTCCAGGGCTGCAACTACCGCCGTCCACAAGCGCCCAATGAGAGCCCGCATTGCAAGAGCACTTCAAGTTGAGGATAGGTATTATAATTTGGCATCTCGAATTCTATCGAATTCAAATGAATGCCGTATACCGAGTGACTGGATTTAGGCGACCACAGTTAACACCGGGTACATCATAGCCAGTGAGACTTACTGCGTTTCAAAGTTGATCTATGCCGCACCAGTCTGAAGAAAATAATTACTAATTCAAGTTCTTCCCCACATCTTGTAGTCGGCTGCGTTAAGCTGCAGGTATACTTCCAATCTATAAGTTAACCCCGTTGCGGTTAACCCCGCTGCGGCATACTATCTCCGACTCCCAACCTTGGAACCACTTACAAGGTTGCATATAAGAATCATTAGCGGAAGTATCGGTCTTAAGAAATAGAACCATATCCGGCTGCTGAGTAGGATTAGAATATAAAAGACTAAATGGAGCGCATTCAAATCGTACATAGACATCTGGATATCAACTTGCAAACACCTACCAATTCATCACACTAAGATGACGGCCCGCAAAGTCATCCTTATCACCGGTGGAAATGGTGGAATCGGATATGAAACAGTCAAGGCCTTCATCGAGTCAACTAAGCCTTACCATATTCTCATGGGTAGTCGATCGCTCGAAAATGCAAGCCAAGCTATTAAAAAGCTGCACGAGGAATGTCCCGGTGCCACCAACCCTGTCGAACCACTTCAGGTAGATCTGACTAGTGACGAGTCCATTGAAGCCGCATATGAGAAAGTGAAATCGGGACCAGGTTATATTGATGCGCTTATCAATAATGCTGGTAAGTTATGAACGGTTTCATGATTTTCACGGTATAATCTAACGCTCAGTAGGTGCCACATTCGATATCGCATACCTCGCTGGCAAAGTCTCTCTTCGAGACTGCTTTACCAAATCTTATGACGTGAATGTTGCCGGTACAAATGTTATGACAGCGACATTTATGCCACTACTCCTCAAGTCATCTGATCCACGTCTGATCTTTGTCGCTGGATTGTCACAGATCAACAAGGCTGCGGAATCATATTTTCCTACGCCGCCCCAGCCAGCTGGATGGCCAAAGAAGCTGGATTTTGAAGTCATTGGGTACCGATGCAGCAAGATCGCGCTGAATATGCTTATGCTGGACTGGAATCATAAGTTGAAGGCCGATGGTGTGAAAGTGTGGAGTGTTGGGCCTGGATTTTTGGCGACGAATTTAGGAGGTGTACCTGAAATGGCGATCGAGATGGGAGCCGAGCACCCAAGTATTGGAGGTCGCCTGCTTAGGAGTGTTGTTGAGGGCGAGAGAGATGAATCAGTTGGAAAGATTGTGATACAAGAGGGAGTTATGCCATGGTGAGAATCTGTGAGATTAGGAGTCTATAGAGCTCAAGTTTCGGATTGCTTGGAACTCATTTTGTTCAATTTTGATGACCTTAATGACCTATATTTTGGATCAGTGAGATATCATTTCGGATCAGATAATCTGAGATACAAACATGGATGAAAGTTTCAAATTGAAAGATTGTCATTTTTTATGTTAAGATCGCACCTTAATTTATCTTCTGGGGTAATCTAGAGGATTCTGGGGCCAAAATGCTTATTTGTGAACAATCAATCTGAATCTGGGGCTGCAGGAATAGATCCATGGATGTTACCGCAAGGTCCACAACCACCTAGACATTAATCCACACATCATATTAATAATTCACTCACCTCCGGATATCCATTCCTCCATAGGAATCCCCAGAATCCAATTTTTCACCTTAGTAAACCGTCGGAAGCATTACAAATCAAGTGGGGTAGTATAAAGTTGCACAAAAACCTCATCTTCCACCAGCAAGCATAGGCATAACTTTATAAACAACTCAAAATGAAGCAAGCACTCGTCGATAACAAGATTACCGTCACCATCCGGGACACGGAGATCCCCGTCCCGGCAGCAGGACAAGTCCTCATCCGAGTCGTGGTATCCGGCACGAACCCCAAAGACTGGAAGGTACCACAATGGCTCCCAAACCAAAACCTCACGAATCAAGGCGATGACATCGCAGGATATGTTGAATCCGTGGGTGAAGGAGTGGTGGGCTTTCAAAAGGGTGACAAAGTGGCTGCGTTTCATGAGATGTTAACTCCGAGTGGAAGCTGGGCGGAATACGCGATCGCTCGTGAGCACACGACGTTCCATCTTCCCTCCAAGACAAGTTTCGAAGGTGAGTTCAATGAGTTCAATTTGAATCACATTTTCCCTGATATAATCATCAAGAGTTGAGACTAATTGATTTCCAGAGGCCGCAACTATTCCCCTCGCGGCAATGACCGCCGCGGTTGGTCTTTACCAAAAGTTAAGCTTGCCTCTGCCTTGGAACCCAGCTAGCGAATCACTGCCGTTAGTTGTGTACGGTGGGTCATCGGCGGTCGGCGCATTTGCATTGAAGTTTGCCAAGCTCTCCGAGATCCACCCAGTGATTGTGGTGGCTGGAAAGGGGAGCGCCTTTGTCGAGACACTGATCGATCGTAGTAAAGGAGACACGATCATCGACTACCGTGAAGGTGATGAGGCAGTTCGAGCACAAATCAAAGCCGCAGCGGGTGGTCGACCCATTCATTACGCGTTCGATGCGGTCTCAGAGAAGGGGAGCTACCAGAATCTTGGGGCTGTGTTGACCGCTCCAGCGAAAATTACTACTTTGTTGCCTGTTGATCAAGGATATGAAGTGCCAGCAGGCATTAATATCGGACGTATGACTGTGGGATCGGTTCACAGCGTTACGGAAGGGAAACAGGTCGGGGATATTGAATTCGGAGCTGCATTCTTCCGATTCATCGGTCGGGGCCTAGCGCAGGGTTGGTTCTCGGGACATCCCTATGAAGTGCGCCCGGGTGGATTAGCTGGATTAGAAGGAGGGTTGCAGGACCTTGCAGCTGGAAAAGCCTCGGCAGTAAAGTATGTGGTGCGGATCGGCGAGACGGAGGGAGTTAAGGAAGCATAATCTTGGACGCCGTCGGACTTGCGATTTAGTTTTACGGAGATGAATCAAGAATGGGAATAGTGTAACGGTTGGAGATTCTTCAGGAGACATCTGGAATGAAAATAATATAAATTGAATCAACTAATGACAATGATGTTAATGGTCATAGCTAGGGATTAATTATTATGAGATAAAAGGAACGAACGATTCCTTTTGTTTACCCCACGTGTACTTACTAACTTACTATACTCCGACACTCCGAAAACTTAACTATTTTACACCATTCTACTATTATACTAGTATGATTTATGGATGAAGAAGTGTACGCGAAGCCCTAATTCCAAGGTTCTACTAATTTAAACTAGTTCAGGCACCCGGATGTTTATCCCTCCTGAGCAGGATGCATGTCGATCTGCATGTGCAGACGTGGGTTGTCTATTCAGAATGATTGGCCTATTTGATATACACTTCGGAGTGGACGGATATACTCCCAAGTATAAAGAAGGACGAACAGAATGGATATCATGAGTCAGTCATCATTGAGCTCAGATCGAAGATCACATCACTATGGTCAGATCTTTCACTTTAATCAAGTCTCTGCCTGTATTGGCAGCAGGCACTTGGGCTGGTGTCAACTATCCCACAATTCCAGACGACTTGACCACTCCATTTCAACAGCGTTTGGCTGTTTATGGACCTAACTGTAAGAAACCATGATCGACTGGGCTATAGGGCATCATCTCACACTCTCTAGCTGTCTCCGTCGGTTGGAACACATATGAACAGCTCAACACGAGCTGTGTTGAATACGGTACCTCCGCCGATGACCTGAGCTCCAAGTCCTGCTCTACCGGTTCAACCACATATGACACTTCACGAACATGGTCCAGTGCAGTCATTTTGAGCGATCTGACCGCAGCCACCACTTACTACTATAAGATCGTCTCGACCAACTCCTCTGTGAATCACTTCCTGAGTCCCCGTACACCCGGAGACAAGACCCCATTCAATCTCGATGTTGTGATCGACCTGGGAGTCTACGGTGCCGATGGCTACACCATCTCCAGCAGAGACACAATCCCCTATGTCCCACCTGAGCTGAACCACACCACGATCGCTCGTCTCGCCAGCACAGTGGATGACTACGAGATCGTGATCCACCCCGGAGATTTCGCCTACGCCGATGACTGGTACGAGAACATCGAGAACTTGCTCGATGGCACAGAAGCCTACCAGTCAATCCTGGAGCAATTCTACGACCAGCTTGCTCCTATCGCAGGCCGCAAACTCTACATGGCTAGTCCTGGAAACCACGAAGCCGATTGCACCGAGATTCCCCTCCTGGATGAGCTCTGCCCAGAGGGACAAAAGAACTTTACTGATTTTATGCACCGTTTCGACCGTACTATGCCAACCCCATTCACCTCCTCATCCACCAACACCACTGCCCAAGAACTCGCAGCTCAGGCCAAGAGCTACGCACTTCCCCCATTCTGGTACTCCTTCGAATACGGCATGGCTCACATCGTCATGATTAACACGGAAACTGACTTCCCCGACGCTCCGGACGGAACAGATGGTTCTGCCGATCTAGACAGCGGTCCATTCGGAAAGAGTGGCCAGCAGCTTGAGTTCCTCAAGGCCGATCTCGCCAGTGTGGACCGAACAGTTACACCCTGGTTAATTGTCGGTGGACACAGACCTTGGTACAGCACCGGAGGCTCTGATAACATCTGCGATTCATGCCAAGATGCATTCGAGGAGCTGCTGTACACATACGGAGTTGATCTCGCTGTCTTTGGACACGTCCACAACTCACAGCGATTTACCCCATTGTACAATGGTACTGTTGACCCGCGCAACTTGACTGATCCCAAGGCTCCGTTGTACATCATTGCTGGTGGAGCTGGAAACATTGAAGGGTTGAGTGATGTTGGTACTGAGCCATCTTACACAGAGTTTGCGTATGCAGATGATTACAGCTATGCGACCCTGAAGTTGCTGGATGAGCAGCATTTGCAGGTTGATTTCATCCGGTCCTCCACCGGTGAGGTTTTGGACACTAGCACTTTGTACAAGTCTCACGAGACCCAGTTTGTGGTGCAGTAGATTGTTACATGTGCAGGATTGATGGATTGGAGTGAATGTAAATAGGATTGGCACATTCTAGAATGAAGAATGATGCATCATGATGTGCATAATGTATTGAAATTTCAGACTCTTCCAGAACTCCACAACTACCTACCGTGATAGTAGTCAGCTGGTGTAGTTTATTTCTATTTGTTCTGGTTTTAATCTAAAACTTGAATACTATTCAAGTCCCTTTAGTCTATATATTATTCCTTCCTCCACTCATAGTGGATGGATAACTCTTCCGCATATTGGACTCGAGTCACTCGACTATGTCTGAAATTAAACCAACCTATAATTTTTATCCTGCAAAACCCCACATATATTATTCTTTATTACTCATAAACTCAATTCAAATCCTTTATGAGATCTATTACTCTAATTAGAACTAACCTGTAGTCCTTTGAGAACAAATCCAGGGTCCTGATCTGCTTGCCCCACAATGACTCATGATCACTCATCTCTCCTCATCATCGATCGTCGATCATTCAACGCACATTCCATGAGAAGCAAATGTCTATAAAGAGGTCATCCTAGAATAAATCATCCAATTAACCATTAATCAATGACTGCAAATACCACTACCAACACCCTGAACACAATATCCACCCATGTCCTCCCCAATCACCCTGTACGACATCGCCTTCAGAGCCCCAGTAGAAGCGAATGCCTCCGCGCCAAACCCCTGGAAAGCGCGATACGCCCTAAACTTCAAAGCTGCGAATTACAAAACGCACTGGGTCCCTTTACCCGACGTATCCAAAGTACGCAAACAAGTCGGCGCACCAGCATGCCGAAAACTCGCCAACGGCGAAGACTTCTACACATTACCCATGATCACAGACCCAAGCACGGACTCAATCATCGGTGATTCCCTCGATATCGCCATCCACCTACAACAAACTTATCCCGAAGCTGGCGCAGGTGATCTCTTCCCTGTACAAACGCTGGACTATTCGTATACACCTCCATTCGACTTCCCCGCCCCTCTATCCTCGCACGCCGAGGATGAATATGGAGAATATGTGCGCTTCAACACGAATGTGGATAATGTATTCAGCTCACATTGCATTCTCGCGACACACGGAATGCGATTAGATCCCGCGCGAGCAGAGGAGGTGAAAGCGGAGTTTGTGCGACGATCTGGATTGAGTTCGTGGGATGATTTCGGGATTCAGGGAGAGAGAAGGGAACAGACGAAGGAGTCGTTTCGGGAGGCGTTGACTGGAGTTGCAGTTTTGTTGAAGAAGGATCCTAGTGGACCTTTTATTCTGGGGACGAGACCTACTTATGCGGATTTGATTCTGGGAGGATGGTTGCAGATGATGAGCAAAACTTTACCGGAGAGTGAGTGGGAGGAGATGAGAGGTTGGCATGATGGGGTTTTGGGGGATTTGCATCGGGGATTGGAGAAGTTTGCTGAGGTGAAGTAGAAGAGTTATCTTACATATCATGATGTGGATGGGAGTATAGCAGTGATACTCGATCTTTGGCCAGATTGAAAAAGTATACCCATGCAAATACGCAGGAAAAATCATCATTATTAGCAATAAATAAGAAAAAATGAATCATCTTACCCAGAAAACATCAATAAATAGTAGGTACTCTATGTACTCCGGACGAAGGACTTCATAGTAAATAGTAGATTAGATTCATCAGATCGATCCATCCACACGGTATGACATCACGTATTTTCATTATTTTCGTGTCGCGTCGACTTCCAACTTCAACTTCTACACCAACCACACTCATCATGGCCAAACGAACCCTCGACTCCTTCTTCAAACCAATATCTCCACCAAGTCCGAAAAGACCAAAACCAGAATCCAGTACAAGCAACGATCAATCTGAACCCTCATGCGAACCCAAGCTCTACACACACTTAACATACCCCATCGCAATCCCCGAACTCCCCTCACACATCGAGATCGCCCTAGTACACGGGACTCCAGCCCGAGAAGCCAAGAGCATAACGAATCAACCACACTTGGACCTCCTCCAATTCCAACCCTACATTACCCGACCCACGGCAAACGAACTATTCAAGTTCCTCCGCCGGTCTCTCCCATTTTACCGCGTGCAATACGAGATTAAACGCGGTGGCATCCAAACGAAGATCAATACACCACGATATACAACAGTCTTTGGAGTAGACGATACCTCACTCTTCGTATCTCCTCATCAACTTCACGATCCCACATCCAACTCAACCTCAAATCCAAAAGAATCAAATCTAGACCTCCACCTAATAAACACAAGCACCAAAACCCCCATCTCATCAACAAAATACCAATATACCCCTCGACCCATTCCTCCATGCCTCGATACACTCCGTCAATGCATCGAAAAAGCCACAGGAGCAAGATACAATTTCTGCTTAGTGAACTACTACGCCAGCGGCGAAGATAGTATATCCTTCCACTCAGACGACGAGCGATTTCTAGGCGCACAACCTAACATCGCATCGTTATCACTTGGTGGAGAACGGGAATTTCATATGAAACATAAACCGATTTCTGAATCAGGGAATGTTAATATGAATATGAATGGTAGTACAAACAAACCCATTGCATCTTCATCTGCAGCCGAGTCAGATCCAAGTTCCAAATTAAACGGGTCTACGAATACCGGGGTACGATCTGGACCTGCATTGTTATCTACAAGTGCAGGTACACAAACCCAAACACAACCACTTAAGATGGGACTGTTATCTGGTGATATGATTGTGATGCGTGGTGATACACAAGCAAACTGGCTACACAGTATCCCGAAACGACGAGGACGAGGTGGTGATGCGATTCGAGGAAGGATAAATATTACATTTCGGAAAGCGATCATACCAGCTGGGACGAATAATTATTATCATTATAATGTTGGCACGGGGCCTGTTTATCGATGGGATGAAGAGAGGGGAGTGATGGATTTAATGAAACCATCTACTAGTACATGAGATGAATTGAAAATACTGGGAAATACGGAAAATATAAGTTGAAGTGATTTATCAATGATATTGATAGCTATGCATGGGCGAATGCGCCCTATCTCAAACTCCATGTACATTGCTCCCAAATAAATAAACAGAGAAGCAAGTCGTATCATGTGCATTGGCGGTTCATCATTCCCCTAACCATGAAGTGAATCCTCCCAGAAATAATACATGGGGGAGTAGAAAAAAAAAGAATAGTAGAAGAGAATACAAAGGTAATATGAAAGGGTAGAGAAGAGGGTGAAGAAGAAGTAGAAGGTAAAAATAGGGTAAAAGGTAAAAGGTAAGAAGAAGAGAAGGAGAAGAAGGGAGAAGAAGGGAGAAGAAGGAGGAATAGAATTAGAAGCCATAGACTTCCTCGCCGTACACATCGGCATAGCATTGGAAGACATCGGGACAGCTAAGAAACAATTAGTAAACGCACCAAGTCTTCCAAGGTTGAATGAACTTACAAAACAGGATCTCTGCCAAAGATAATATGCCAGGAGTACTCCATAATATTCGAAGTCACCTCATCAGGCAGATCATTGGTAAGAACCCATTCGTACATGCGCTTGTAATCGGAGAGCGGACGCTTAAGGACCTGGTCCTTGGAGACCGCGAACTGCGAACAACACGGCGCAGCAATAGTCTCAGGGACATTTGAATTGCCAAAGATTTCCTTCCACGCGGTCGCATAATGTTTTTCACCGGTATTTCCAGGTTTCGGGGGCGAACGGAATGGTTTCATTTCATCGGGACAGCCAGGTGACAGCTGACAGCGAAGGTTTACGAATCCTTCCTGCAAGACGAAATCACGCTGCAGGGCCCGCACGGAATCTACATTGCTGTATTCCATGGTATCGGTGTGCCAAGCGGCGGGCCAGCCGTCGCGGTGACTGTGTAAGAAGACAATGACGGCGGGGAGATCATCGTAGTGGTCGACGATATATTGGAGGTAAGGAAGGGCTTCACGGCCCTTATTCTTAGGGGTATGTGTTGCGACGGTAGTATCATCGACGGTGTAGACATAATTGCGCCATCTGTGGATATTTCGCGTCAGTACGGAGTAACTAAAGGCTCCACCGATAAGGCCCCTATTTCTGTGGAAAAAGTAGGGGAAAAGATAATATCCACCAAGCGCAAAAAATTCAGGCATCTCTGTTTTTTTTTTGAAAGGAATTGTACATACTCGGCGAGTTCAGCAGAGACCCACGCAGTATCTTCTTCGCGCAATTTGCCCATGACAATCACCCCATCATTAGGGACTTCAATAGGAGTAGTCTGATAACTGAGACCCAATTTGTTGTTTGTACCACTGCCCCATTTCCGATGAGAGTCTTGTGCGACTTGTGATTGTGGACGGAGAGTAGCTTGGAAGGAAGTTGTATCGAAATGCCAGAACGATGAGGGATTCTGGCCGGGGACGGTGTGGAGTTGGCGGTTGATCAGGACGAGCGCGAGGATTATCAGCGCGGCTGCCGAACCGACACGAAGTGATAGCCTCATGGCATGCCGTTGTGATATGCAATGGGGTTAAAAAAAAGAAGGGAGGGGAATTCGGGGAAGGAGAAGTGATTTTTTTTTTCTCTCCGAGACACAGGTCCACGGGTCGAAGGGAAAAAAAGACGCGAGACTTTAGTGACGGACTTGGCGGATCCCCATGCGGAGTAGGGGTCAAAAGGGTCGTTAAAAAAAAGGGACTTGAGAAAAAAGAGGCCAAACGAGTGTAAAGAAAGTGAGGAGGAACTCGAGAGAGAGGAAGGTTGAGACAAGCGAGGTAGTCTGAAGAAGATGAAATAAATTCGGCGAAAGAGTACTCCGTAGAAGGAGTAGAATAAGACAAACACAAGGCCTGATTGGTTGTAATGTACCACGGGGGCGAGGACTACATTCAAATTTAGTAGATTAAGGAAGTAGATTGGAAGTAGATTTATTATATGGTTTGTATATAAAAAGTACTTAATAAATACATCTTTGTCGATCTATTACTATAATAGCAATTGCCTGGACCCTCGATCACACACCGTGATCAGCGGGGCCAGGCACCAATGGACTCAAAATGTTCGGGAGATGTTCATACGATCGACTATTCTACTCATATGCAAAAGAAATAAAAATTATACAGAATACTGTTATTCTGCTCTCTTTGTAACACTCTATCTATACAAATGTACGGAGTAATGGTCGGCTAATAAGGCAAGGGTGAAATGCATAGTCCCAAAAGGGTAATACATTCTTACTTCATGTCAGAGTGGATAACTGCGAGGGGGAGTTGATCTGCACATAATACAGTGTGCTTTGATCTTAAATATGATCTATAAAGACTATATACGAAGTACATGGGCACCTTGTACCTTGTACCATGTACCCTATGCAATAGTACTAAGTAGTAGTAGTACTAGTATACAGGGGTTCAGGAACAGGGGAACTCAGGGACTCAGGGATTCAGGGATTCTCACTCTCATCTCAGGGATAACAAGGCTGCAGGATCAAGCGAAATGAACAATTTTAATCACTGCCGATTCACCAATGAGAAAGCTTGGACCAGCAGTTTCTGGTCCCACTCTTTATACGAGAACTAGATACGAACGCCCTTAACTTCCTAGGTTCGTGAACTACAACAGAAGTACGAAGTACTAGTAGAAGATAAGGGGACAGCATACAAAACTTGATAGTGCCAAGTATTGCGAAGTAATACAACCAATTTCTACTATGGTCATTCATCCCGACCAAGATCAATCACTGGCGGAATAATATCACTTCTTCTCATCCCGGTAACTCGCCCCACACTGCAATACTCCGAGGCTGCGCCCCATGCGCCATAATCTCCTTCTCCCCGCATATACAACATCCTCTGTCGGCACGGGAATCCTCTCAACGTAGTCGAAATATCTTTCCTCGACTATTCCGTGCAATCTGCGACATATCATTGGCTAGTCTAACACTTCCAGACAGTTGAAGCCAATCCGTATGTTGCAGCAACTTCCGTCTGAGTGTCCCTATCAGGCTTATCCATTCAACGTGCAAGAAAATGTTGCGCATATGAGGCTGAGCGCCAGCTCTCTAATTGGATCATGATAGTATATACTACAGAGCTGGACTGATCAGCACCTAATCGCCCTGTGAAACAACTATTCAGCACGGATTACAATCAGGCTGAGGATCATCCCACTTGCTGATGAAATACTCTATGGTCATTCTAACTAGAGCTTACCCCGGAGATTGACCGTTTCAAGTTGCACTGGATCCACCGGCTCGAGCTATAATTCGATCGGAAGTAAATGTTCAGCATAGCCATGTTCGAGTCATACCAGAGAAGCAGATTTATCAGACAAGAAGACATCATTCGTCGCGAAGGCAGATATAGTCAGCCTTATCGACATGTAGATAGTATCAGATCGAGGCTGCATCCATTTTGGGTCAAGGGCAAATAACCTTGTCGAGACTTAGAGTGACTAGGTACAGTGAACCTTGCAATAGATCCCAGTACTAGAGCATACAGAATCCATAGACTAGAATATAGGAATGGTCACTCAAGTGCTCTACAGAATCATTGCAACTTGAACTCGAACGAGTGTATGATAAATTAACTATGAACATCATCTCGATGCACTAGATCACGAGAACCGTATATGAGCATGAACCACAAGTTGAACGCCAGACCAAATGCAGGAACAGAACCTCCAGGATATCAAAAACCAAATCAATCGCACCGAATAAAAATCATGAATCACACTGTTATTCTCATCACCAATGCTCAACAGCACCGTTCCTTTCGCTTCGCACTCTGCATAACCTGTACCTCCTCCGCTTCCCCAACAGTCGGCGTCGCAAGACCCAACCAACTCCTCCTCTTATCCCCATATCCCAAACGAAAGCTGCCCATTCCATCTATAGTACCCGGCGCAAACGTCGTAGTCGGACCTTCAAGAGGTGAAGTGACCGCACTCAACAAATCAGCATCACGACGATTCCGCTGCTCAACCAATTTCCTCGTAATGACCCTAAAAACCTCCTCAATACCCTCACCATCCTTCGCAGAAATCTCATGACAACAATCCCACCCAATTTCCTGACCCCAAAACGCAGAGCTGCGTTTACTATCTGGACTCTGTAACGGTCCATTCGAAACATTCGCCGCACTTCCACCCGATACCGCACTCCCATTCCCAGCATTATTCCCATGACCAAAATTCCCAAACCCAAGTCCCATACCTATGGAACTCCCAATCCCAGCCGTAGGAGGCGGGGTACTCGCCCTCGAAGGATAAAGTTGTTCGGCAACATAAGCAATAGTCCTCTCAAAAGGAACACGTCGTTTACTCGGATCAATCGCAACGATATCCGACTTCGTACCAACAACGTGAATAACCAGGGGTGGGGAATCCGGATCAGCCGGATCTCCAATATTCTTCCTTAACTCCCTTAGCCAGCCCGCCATTTCCTGGAAGGAATTTTCATCCGTAATGTCGTAGCAAAGGAGGCAAGCGTGCGCGCCACGGTAGTAAAGGCGGGAGATAGATCTGAAACGTTCTTGGCCAGCAGTATCCCATATTTGGAGACGGACAGTTGTGTCGGAAGTTGTATCTAGGACGCGTTTTGTGATGAATGACGCGCCTACGGTTGAGGTTGTTGTGCTTGGATTAAAGGAATTTCGGACATAACGATGGACGAGGGAGGTTTTTCCTACACCTAATACAGATAAAAATAAATAGTTAGATGGAAGTTATTGTTTTGAGATATTTTGGTTTCTTTGTTACCTTGCGCGCCTAGGACGACGATTTTGGCCTCGAGTGAGGAGCTCATGGCGCGGGGTTGAGGTGGGGGCGGGTTATGGGCATGATCTATGCAATATGCAAGTGTAGATATGACGCGCTTGAACGGGTATATGGAATGATGTGATGGAACAGGAATGGAGTGATGATATTGATAAGTATTTTGGTAAGGAGTAGAGAGTGAGTAGAGGAATAAAATGGTATTCTCAAAACAAGGCAACACTGGGACAGAGCGGGATCAGCCGACCAGGCAGTGTGGTCACGTTGGAGTCATCCCCCTTCCAAGGTTTTTGGTAGTAAGGTGATCATTAATGCTTGGGGCTGAAACCGATGGCTTTATATAATGCAGGGAGAGAGTTGTGAAAGATGGGGGTTGCAGACCTCGCGAGAGTTCATTGGTGGTAGTTACGATGAAAGAACCGAATATCAAGGTATACGAGTGGCGACATTCCGAGGTGACTAACTAGTACTCTGTACATTTATTCAGTATCTCATATTGTATCGCTGACGGTCTATTTTAAGGTCGTCACCAGGTCAGTATCGTATAGTGGCTGAGTGCTCAAGTCAGGGGATTGTTAAGTGACTCATAAGGGTCACAGTAATCTGGGGTATCTGAAGTCTGAGCTTTTCTGAAGGGGTCATTGGAAAACAAAGACATCGGGGAGAAGGCAGGGATGTAGACAGGACATCTGACCTTCCAGCCAATCAGACCCCTTGTTATGACCAGCCACCAATACAAAAAGGCAAATGCAGACAAAAAAACATGAACTCGAACCTATAGACTTAAAGATGGTTGAATTTTATTTGCTTGTTCAGCCCTAACATCATAATGTATGCAAGGAGTCTACATTGATCTACAACGGTACGGGATACCAAATTAGGAATTTGGAGAAAGTCATGGATTTATATCCTCATAATACAAAGCACATCCAATCGACATAATGAAACTCATGAAACATCCCATACTCAACTGTAAAGTCAAGCCATTAATCCCAGACATCAACATGAATTCATCAAACAGGTGCACTTTTGGATAGCAAAAAACAATGGGTATAAGGGGGGGTCCGGATTACCAGTCCTGGAAATGAGACCATAATAATAGGAAAGACATAGGATATGAAAGGGGTTAAATAAGAAAGAAAAGAAAAAATCGATCAGGTAGCTTGCCAACCGATCAGCGATAGACATGATCGGCATCAGCAAATCTAGACCTTAGTCGAGATGCACACAGGTGGAGAATCTATTTCTCCTCAAGAGTGGTGGTGTTGAACTCCTCCTGGTGGTTCTGCTCATCAGAGGAAGAGGAGCGGCCGTTGCCCTTCTCCATATCCTCAGGGTGACCAAGATCACCGAAGCCATACTCCAGAGCCTTCTGCTCAACCTCCTCATCAGTGAGCTTGGGAAGCTCACGAGCAGCACGGACGTAGCTGATCTTCTCACAGTAACCCTTGGCGAAGATGATATCAATCTCCTCCAGACTGCGACCAGCGGTTTCGGGGTAGAAAAAGTACATGATGGGGATGAAGAAGGCGTTCCAGCAGGCGAAGAACAGGTAGGTACCCCAGCCGATAGAGCTAAGCATAACAGGGGTGATCATGACGACAGTGAAGTTGAAAAGCCAGTTAGAGCAAGTAGAAACAGCGTTGGCCTTGGCACGAGTACGGATAGGCGAGATCTCGGCGGGGTACAACCAAGGCAGAGGAAGCATAGCAGCACCGAAGAAAGCCATATACAAGAAGAGACCGAAGACGGCACCCTTAGAAGGACCGGTTCCACCGGGGATCAGACAGGCGAAGACAATAACCATAGAAACGGTCTGACCACCCATACCAGCAAGGAAGAGCTTGCGACGACCGATCTTCTCGATAAAGAACCAGGAGAAGGTGGCGAAGATGGCGTAGATGATCATGTTGACACCGGAGAGAATCATAGCCAGGGTAGTATCCATGCCAAGGGAGTCTTCCATTAGAACAGGCAGGTAGTAGATGACAGCATTGCAACCAGACAGCTGCTGGGCGATTTGAGAGGAGGAACCGATAAGCATACGGCGGAAGTGCTGGGTGCGACCACCAGTGAAGAGATCGCTGTAGCCAGAACCCTCAGCGGCACCAGCAGCCTCAATTGACTCGATAACCAGTTGCTTCTGGAGCTGAGTCTCAGGGGAGTCAATCTCGCAGCCAGCAAGGGCAGCCAGGACATACTCACCCTCGTGGATCTTACCACGGGAGATGAGGTAGCGAGGGGAGTCGGGAAGGAAGTACATGCCAACGACGATGACAATACCGAAGACAATCTGGAAAGCAATAGGGAAACGCCAGGTAAGGGCGGGAGGACCGTAAGAAGCACCGAAGTTGATCCAGTAGGCAATAGCCGTACCGATGGCAATGATACCACCCTCGATACAGATAAGCAGACCACGGTTGCTGGTACGGGAGCACTCAGCCTGGTAGGTGGGGATAGTGGAGGTGTTCATGCCGTTACCGACACCAGTGATGATACGGCCGAACATGAACTGCAGCAGAGGAATGTGGCCCACAAAGGAAGTAACCTGAATAATGACACCAATGACCATAATAGAACCACCGAGCATAACCATACGACGACGGCCGAACCAGTCAGCAGTAAACAGGGCGAACATAGCACCGAACAAACAACCGGCCTCGTAGACAGCGGTGATCAGGGCCTGCATGGTGGAGTCGCCCCTGGCGGCAGTGAAGACATTGTCGAAATCGGTAGCGTTAATGATACCAGACATGACACCTTGATCATAACCGAAGAGCAAGAAACCCATAGTAGCGATGGTAGACACGGTCAGGGAAAGTTTCCTGCCGGACATACCCGCAAAAGATGGGGACGACACGGACGACATGGTGAGGGATGTCGTTGTCGACTGTATATTTTGTATGTGTAGTAAAGATGTCGAATACACTTAAGACCGACGAAATAACCCTAAATCTTCTCTACCACCCAAGTCGTATATGGAAGTGGGGATGATTCTGTGGAGGAAAGGGGATGAGATGATCAAAAAAAGAAAGAAGTCAGTCTTCGGGGAGGGAAGGGGGAGATATTTGAATGTCTCTGTGAGACCCAACCGCCATACGAAAGTGGCAATGAGATACATCGTGGGGGCTGCATGTTCTCCATCCTTTTCCCCGTGGTGGTTGTCTCACGCTAAACGAGGAGACGTTCCGAGTGCAAAAAAAATGAAAATTCCAAAAAAACACCAGAAATTCTCGTTGGGTTCCAAGCCGAGTGCGCATCCGATTCATAGCTCCACTCCACTTTACACGTACATGGTTTGTCAAGGGAGACCCGCAGTGGTGGAGTCCAGTTCCCGGATGCATCAATAATGATGGATTAAGCATTATCGAGAGGCTCCACCAGCGCGCGGTGCTTTGCGTCCCTGATGACATCAGGGAACAGAAAATAACAAAAAAATTAATCATTCTACATGGCACTAATCTCATCCCGGCAAAAGTTTTCCATTCTTTCGAAGCATCATGATTGGTATATGCTTCGGCCCCGGAACACAACAGGTATTGTTGGCTAACAGTCCACGAAAAGGACGGTTGAGTCCCGCAGTAGATGAGCCATTTAGATGATGTAGAGAGTGAAAAATGTGGTTCTTGTCCTGTTGGTATGGTCCAGATATTGCAAATGGTCGAGTATCATACGAGATTTCAACAGGCCCATTTATTTTGGAGCGCGGTACATGTACCCATAGAACCCAGTAAAAAGAGATTAAGATTGGACTGGGTCTGCCGAAATGAAAACTTTGTCGCGTGTACTTTGTATTCTCCAGATCCCTTAACTGAGCCGACTGAGATCCCACTAACGGCGTCTTTGTGAATTCGGGTGTGTTATCATCCGGACTTCGGACAGTCTTCGGGCAAGTCCCGACCTAAACTCGAGTGCACGGTCGTACAGGTTTGCTCCGATAGATTAGATGGAAATCTAAACTCCGCACGAGGTTATGAATGGGGGTTAGTAGGAAGAGCTAGTGTTGGTGTGTGCGTAGATGTATGTATTGAAGTATCATTGGGTAAGGCCTAGAATGGCTACCCAGCATCATTGTACTATAGAAAATTTAACTCCAACGGGGCCGTGACGGTGTGGCTTGTGCATAGCGGTGAAAGATGAAAATGTCAGGGTAAAGAGGGGTTAATTGTTCGCGATAGGTTAGCATTTCTTGTTATCGTGAGATCCTAAGAGGGGCCGGGTTGAGTGTGTTCGGGATGCCGTCACCGTACTTCCCGAACAAGGACGGAGACCGGGCATGAAGTGGATGAAGATGATGCAAGAATGCGCCGCTCGCGAACTAGCGGCGTTCTAAGCGGATCAGTGGATCCATAATGACCCACTCTTAGATCGTCATCCCTTGGGAATAGAACGAAATTAAACAAATTATTCAAATAATGAATTTAATTCTAGTACGGGTATTCCGACAATTAATGCCGAATATCGGGTTGGAGATGTATGTGCTCCTTACTCTGTGTATTCGAAACCCGTTCAGTCGGTAAATAAGTAAATAGGTAAGAAATTAATAAAATATCACATTATTGATATTATTTATCCCCATATAGTATCCATTCAGGAAACTTGCGCGAGTCTCCCGTAAGCCACAGGGTTTACTATGGCCCCGGTACTACATTATGGGGACTTATGTAGTATGCGGGACAGGGACAGGGTTGCACATATGCACCTGTACAAGAATAACATTCAAGTTGATCCTTTTCTTTTTTCTTTTCTGTTTCATCGTAGAAAAATATGATGTTGGATCTATTCACTCAGTTGAATTTTCATTCTCATTCTAGTAATTGTCCCCGAAATTGGTCCACGAATCATCGCTCACACATTGAGTATAGCGGAGTCGAGAAAACACCGAAAGCGAGATCCAGACCCACGTCATTTCTCAAAAATCCTGTAGATAGAAAATATTGAATTATTAGGCATCACTGTACGGACTGACCATAGGAAGTGCCTGGGCAGCTGTCAGAAAAATCGAACAATGAATTCTGAAGCGTCATAGCGGAGCCATCCGTGGAAAGATTCTCGAAGCAATGGATATCAAATGGCATGTTCCGGTTAAATATTGAAACCAATGAATAAGAACTAACAGAACCAACTTGAAAACCTTGAAAATTCAATTTTCACGATAATTGCAACCTCCATAGACACGGGCTAACAGCATTCACGAAAACGCGGGGATTATGTTTAACCACACGAGCCCTGAGCCCCTGTTGAACTAGTGAATAAGAGCCCGGGCGTATTGCGCGTCGTCCGATCTTACTATCCCGTGTTGGTCAGGGCGTCTAAGTAAATTCAAGTGGCTCTTGAAATTGGACCCTCTCTTTCATTATTGGTCGGCAGTTTGAGACTATAGACATAGGATGAAGGATGCGTCCGTGATGGCGACTACGGAGAACAGATCCAACAAACCCATACTCGTGACTATTCTTTTGCTCTTTAGCCCCCAGGTTCTACTTGACATGTCTGAATTATGGGGAAGGAATCTGAGATCAGATAGCAGTATTTTCTATAATGACGCAGATTTGAGGGTCAAAACAAGATTCTCATTGCTCTGTGGTCTCCACTGGATCCCGCAGCTCCAACGTCATTCGACCAGAGCACTACTACACCTAAATGGTTAAAGGAAAGTCTGCCGTGGTTCAGCTAAGAATATAATTTATAAAATAAATCGACCCATAGTCCTATCTGACAAGGCTCTGGAAATTCTATGAATTGCATCTTCATAGGAGACCGATGGGTTGGGTTTAGACGAGTGTTTTCGGTACTTGAGCACGAGCACAAATCCGGTTTTGTCTTTATGGGGAAAACGCCACAGCCGGCGCCCGGTCTTGAAGGAGTCTCGTGTCTGCACCCTGGAGCCTGTACAGAAAGGGGGCTGCCACGAGGAAGAAGGATTCAGCCTTACTCCATACTGGTTATTAAAAGCTGGAGAACGCCCGACAAGCGGAGATGAGCATGAGGGAGTACGTGGACTGTTCGGAAGCGCCGGGATCAATCGAAAAACGTTCTCACCGTTACATCAGCGGCTCATTCACTGTGCCTTGGGATGCTTCTGAGATACCAATATCATATTTCCTGTCCAGAGCGGTAGATTTTGTTTCCTCGTTCTTTTTCTACTGGTTTAACCAGAATCTTGTTGAAGATTTTGAAGCTTAACTGATGATCTGCAGTGGCGTCTGCCAGCCAAGACTTATGATTTGCGTAGATCGGGGCCCGGTGGTGATCCCGCAACCATAGAAACCTTGAGGTTTTAGTTTGCAATTTGAAGGTTAGGTGATCTTGAATTGAGATGGTCTGAGCCCATGGATGGTGAGACCGGGGAGAAGGTCATCCAGAGGTGAGATTTATGGACGGATTCAGTCTGGTATGGAGAGTTTAGACCAGTTGAGAGATGGTTTGTTGCCTGAGGCAACCAAGAAATGTCAGGTGATGAACACCTAGTTTATCAGGCCACAACTACTCATTGCCGCCAACTGGTTGATACCTATACTCGCTCTGGTCTGTTATACAATTCAATTGAATCAATTCCGATTTTGATTTACATTGTACTCCATACAAAACCGAATGCGCAGATACATGAAGCAAGGGGTATGTCAAGGACCAACCCGAGAATCCCCTGCTTCCAATGGCTGGAAATCGACTCCGTCATGTAATACAAACATTGTGACTGGCTGAACTTCACATTCCCGACGGGAGGTTGCTTTATGCATATGCGAACAGTATTGCCATACATCTCTATGAATTCAGTCAAACAAAACTTGAAGAAATCAAGAATATTAACTTCGTGTTCTATAGCTTGCAGTCGATCAACATACTAATTCTATCGCACGAAAGACCAAAATGGTGTTATCCTTTCTCATAATTACGAGTCGGCCGAGAGCTCCCCGCAACTTTTTGTCCCCGGACTCCATTAACCCGAGGTCCCTGAACGAACTCTTTTTCAACTGAAACTTGACTTTTCAACCTTGATTTTCCTATTGAATTTGTTCAGTCATTTCGCATTCTGCATATCTACATTATGTCTCAAAATAAATTGACCGGCGCCAAAGTCGCCGAGCACAACTCCAAGGACTCATGCTGGGTCATCGTACACGGCAAGGCCTACGACGTCACTGAATTCCTTCCCGGTAAGAATCATGAGGAATGCAGAATTACCTCACTCGAGTACAATCATTAACAAGTGATAAATATAGAACATCCCGGTGGCCAAAAAATTATCCTCAAGTATGCTGGCAAAGATGCGACCGAGGAATTCGATCCTATTCATCCGCCTGACACCTTGGACAAGTTCCTCGATCAGTCTAAGCACCTCGGTGAGGTGGATATGAGCACTGTCGAGCAAAAGGAGAAAGTCTTTGACCCGGAGGAGGCCGATCGCCAAGAGCGCATCAAGCTGATGCCACCGCTGGCAGCATGCTACAACCTCATGGACTTTGAGGCGGTCGCACGCCAAGTGATGAAGAAGACAGCATGGGCATACTACTCCAGCGGTGCCGATGATGAAATCGTACGTTATCGCCTACCTTCATATGAAGCAAACCATTGTCAATGCTAGATGCTAACATTTATGCAGACTATGCGTGAAAACCACGCAGCCTTCCACAAAATCTGGTTCCGTCCTCGCGTTCTCGTCGACGTCGAACATGTCGACATGTCTACCACCATGCTAGGCAGCAAAACCTCCATCCCATTCTACGTGACAGCTACCGCACTCGGTAAACTCGGACACCCAGAAGGCGAAGTCGTTCTGACCCGCGCCGCCAAGCAACACGATGTAATCCAAATGATCCCTACACTAGCCTCATGCTCCTTCGACGAGATCATCGACGCCAAGCAGGGTGACCAGGTGCAGTGGCTGCAATTATACGTGAACAAGGACCGTGCTATTACGAAGAAGATTGTCGAGCATGCCGAGAAGCGCGGATGCAAGGGATTATTCATTACCGTCGATGCCCCGCAGCTTGGTCGTCGTGAGAAGGATATGCGATCCAAGTTCTCGGATGCGGGCTCGGATGTTCAATCTGGTGATAGTAATGTGGATCGATCGCAGGGTGCGGCACGCGCTATCTCTAGCTTTATTGATCCTGCGCTATCTTGGAAGGATATTCCTTGGTTCCGGTCAATCACGAAGATGCCTATTGTGTTGAAGGGTGTGCAATGTGTTGAGGATGTGCTTCGTGCTGTGGAAGCCGGTGTTGAGGGTGTGGTTTTGTCTAACCATGGTGGACGCCAGCTTGAGACTGCGCGGTCGGGAATTGAGGTCTTGGCAGAGGTGATGCCTGCGCTCCGGGAACGAGGCTGGGAGAAGCGCATTGAGGTTTACGTTGATGGAGGTGTGCGTCGTGCCACTGATATCCTGAAAGCCTTGTGTCTCGGTGCCAAGGGTGTGGGTATTGGTCGGCCCTTCCTGTATGCCATGTCTTCGTATGGACAGGATGGTGTGGACCGAGCGATGCAATTGCTGAAGGATGAGATGGAGATGAATATGCGGTTGATTGGTGCAAACCGTATTGAGGACTTGAGCCCGAGCTACTTGGATACTCGTAGCTTGTTGAGCGGACACTATGGTGTGATTCCTTCGGATACTCTGGGCTTGCGAGCTTATGACCCGCTTGAGGCTCCGCGATTCAATGAGAAGTCCAAGCTGTAAATGAATGTGGTTGAAGTTGAAGCGAGGAGTTCCAAGGTCAAGCTGGGTTATGATTTCAAGTTCAAGTTGTAAATTTTGTTTGTGCGCATGTGGTATATACTACTAGTATTTTCAAGCATATAGACATAATTCCGTCTACCAACACTCTGCTTTCGATATTTCCTTCAGGTTTTCCAGGTGACACTACTTTTAATGGCTGCTGGCTCTCAATATCCAGAGATTCAAAAAGACGAACCTCATCTGAGGAGTATCCAAATGTCGGAGCACTGACTCAACAACCTTGGAATTGAAGCCTACATGTCCACCAGTTGACAGAGATAAGTGCCAGTGGGCCTCGGGACTCCACTGGCAGTTCCACTGGCATACTAATCTTAACTTTGGAAAGTTCAAGTTGCAAGCCTGACTCGGAGGGATTAAAACTTCGAACACCGTGACTGAGTCTGATCCATAGGTTGGTCTGATTAACTTCCGACAGTCATTTTGAGTCCGATGTCAAACTTCAAGTTCAAGTTGTTCCCGAGTCCATCCATCAACACTAACATTCAAGTTCAAGATGGATACTATATATATCTCGGCACGACATTTGAACCTTGGAACATCGGAACTTGAATCGGAATCGCCAGCATCACGATGCCACTAGTAACTTGAACCCCACTAGAGGTATCACATAGGCACATGAACTTGAAGACCAACTTGAACGTAAATTGGACGATGTTTTAGGTATGTAGCCTCAACATTTTGAATAACCAACCAGGTCACAGCACCTGGGCAGGGCCTAAACTTGAAGATTGTTCTTCACCAAACATTCCAAGGTTTGAACCAGGTGGAATGATCTGGGCGGCTTTCAAACCTTGGAATATTCAAGTTATTGTCATGCTTTCAACATTTGAACTATTTACTTTTGCTCACCTGGCCAATATCTATCAGTATGTGGGCGGTGTTGGACATAAAATCAATACTATTTCCTAATATGGGTTCAACTTGAAGTTCCAAGGTTCAAGTTCGCGCTCCAAGTTCGATATCATACCTAATACAGACACCGCCCGCCGCGGTGGTCGTTTCCATCACCTCTACTAGATACTAATGTGTCCATTAGGCAGATCCGAGTCTATTTCAGAACTCGGACTCGGATCCACCTGGGCATGAACTCTCCATCATGATCTTTTGCATCATACCTAAATGTTTCAAGTTTCTTCCTCTAGTATCCTTCGTCTTGGAGAACCTTGGAACTAATACATACTGGGTGGTAGTCAGTTTGACTTCAACGAGCTAGGATCACATCCTTCCATCTCTCCCCCACAGGGCTTTGGTAACCGTGAAGGATCAACTTGAAAAGACCAACTTGAAGTTCCGCGGTCCTTTCTTCGGGATCGACATGTTCGAGTGCCACTGGCAGTACCTACTGGAGAACCGAAGCACAAATCCTAATTTCGTCACAAAACACGTATCGTGAACTACACATGCCCAGGTGCACATGTGTGGTTGCAAAAACTATCTTCAGGTCTATGGATCTTGATATCACAAGTTTTTCTTATCGGGATGTTGAACAAATCTTTGGTATTCACCGTGTCCACCAGGGTATTATGAAGACTTGGTGTGAACCGGGGTTTGTTACGAGGTTCCCTCCTGCCTGGCGTGAGTATTATATCTATTTTATCATGTGGCAGAATACTAATTGATGAACTATACGTGATATCATGCTCGAAACACGACAACCTGAAACTGATATTACACTGGCAATGTGTCTGTTCCTGTTTTATGCACGAAAGATGGCCTGGGAAATTTTAAACCCATCATCAGGATGGGAGTTACCGAACAGTGAGATGCCCAGAATCCAACCAGACAACCACTTCTCATTCAAGAACGTTGTCTGTAAAGGTCAATTCTGTAATATCGCGGGCCAACCAGATTATTCAATTTGGTTCGGCGATGAGGATTCTTTACAATGCAGCCTGGTGGTGATTGAAGCTAAGCCCCAGAAATATCGACTGATCGATCATAATGATGCGAGGCACCAGTTGCTCCGTTACATGGCTTATGATACATCGTGCTCATCGTGATGCTGGAAAATCCGATTGTGCAGTCTCGGGACTAGCAGCCATTGGAAGTCTATTCTGGTTTCATCATATCACGGACAGCGGAGATTGGGCGCGAGCTTTTGTCAAGATGGAGCAACACAACTCCGAGGATCCTAACAAGATCTCGGCTATCCTGAGAGCAATGATTGTGGATGGAGCAAAGCAGGACCCTGTTCCCTTTGTTGATTCCTTCCGAGGAGAATTTTCTAGTGTACCCGACGACAACATGGATGATTCAGATTCAGATTCAGATGATCGTACCCGGTCCGATTAGTGGCTTACTAGCACTGCAGACCTACAGATATGAGCTCATGTTTTCTTCCCAATTGTGTATGTAGCTGCTGAAAACCGGGCTCTCGCTATTACTAGCATCGCTAGCAATATTATTATTTACTATTATTCCATTAAGCGTCACGGTACTAGTAGCTCTCGGTATAGCGTCATGCCAGATGACATAGCCCTCAATTATATGCAGTCGAATAGTATAAACAGTCTTGAGTTCTTCCACCATATGTACAATCGGTAGAGAGAATTTCAGAGTGACTCGGACCCGAGCCCGAAGAAGCAAGAATCGCTATGCATGCCCAACACCAGGAGCAGAAACAAAGAGCAAAATTCCTATGAGATTCTCACCACGTTCACAGCTCAATGACTTGTGGAGGATTCCGCAGACGCCCCGAGTTGCGATACATACACGCCGCATTAACAAACCAACCACCTCCGTTACTCTCCCCACCCCATACCTGCGCCCAAATAACGCCCATAACACCATAAAAGACTACTCTGGCCGCATCCACCCACCCACTTGGGTCTAGAAGATCTCGACAAAAACCCGCTAGTGCACGCACTCGACCGTACTGTGCGCGTGGTCGACGCGAAGCACAGAGTCGTTCCCAGGCTCGCTGGGCCTCATCCCAGAAGATGGGTTCCTTCCCCGCGGCGAAATGGACATGACCGAAGACATGGAGCAAAGGTCTAATGCGCCATGATTCCGCGAGGAGGTTCGGGCATCCAATGGAATAAATAGGTGAGAGGTCCAGATGAGCCTGGGGCGGGGTGTGCGTGACTAGGATGTCTGTGTCAGGGGGAACGGTGCGCGACCAGGCATCGTGGTGAGGAGGGTAAGTGAAAGCGTGTTCGGGGCCGAATGGAACAATAGCTGGGATTTGGGGAGCGCCGTAGACGGTAAGATGACGGGGATGGGTGCTAAGTAGGGAAGCTGATGACGAAGAGAGGGAGTCGTCGAAATTGTCAGCTTGTGGGGGAGTAAACTCGAGTGTGACGGATGAATGCTGAAGGTAGTGGATATCACCCCAGTCGATACGGGAGGATGCGCCGTTGAAGTCATCGAGTGAGCGGATGGATGCCGTTGAAGAGGAGACTGCCGCAAACCCGTTTGTGGAGTGGTCGTCACGGTCCTCTTCTAGGCGTGAGCGCGAATCGAAGTAGCTGTCGTGATTACCACCGATCACGACCTTGTGGGGATGTGGAAGACTGCGGAGCCAGTCTACGGCGGCTTGGATTTCGCGGACCGAGCCATCGTTGGCTAAGTCACCGGCATGGATGAGCAGATCGCCATCCGGTACGTCGGGCCATTCTTGTGTATGTGTGTCAGAGATACAGACTACGCGGATAGGATGGGCATCTGGAGGCGGGCGGCGCGGAGAACCTCGAAGATGGAGGAGTAGTTGGTGGAGGGGATAGAGAAGAGCAACTAAAGGAGAAGATATCAAATAGTCTGGTACGGGCCGGCGAGAAAATGGGCTTGACATGGTGGAGCAAGTGAAAGTTTGACAGAACAATCTATGGAGTTCGCAGAGTATGGAGACCTTTCTTTCCTTAGCTCCCCGCTCTTTGTATCGCCTCAGGCAGAAAATGTACGTAATGAGATGATTCTGCAGCTCCACCAAGATTATGGGCCTGAGGCAACAAGGAGGTTATAACTATATAGGGTATGCAAACACTCCATTTTTGGGGACTTCATTGGTAGCTACATTTTATAATGCAATGAATCTAGATATCTGTTGATCTCAGTGTTTGACTTTACATAGTATTTACTATCATGATATCTACAACCCATGAGTACTGGGATTGTAAGTGAAGTCTATAATCCATCCACATGATTAGAGATCGTGATGCCAACAATCTATCTAGGTGATGTCCCTAACATTTGAATATTCAGCATTGATTCCAAGGTTAGGTTTGAATGTGCTGTCATGTATTTCAAAGATGAGTAGAAAGATTTGAAATTTGGAATAAAAAGACATTATTAGTGCCCAGGTGATACATATTAGACTGCGGATATGTTGCTCTCTGCCCAAGGAGTTTCGCAGGGGCCTTATTCAACTTGAACTTGAAAGTTTCGTCATTTACTATATGCATGAAATCTCAAGTGCCGATCCTATTGAGTCATATTATTCTCTTATATCCCTATTGTGGTATCCATTTGGGCATTATTCTATTATTTCCCAACTTGAAGTTTCTATACTGCCTCCAACGCTTTCAATGGGAATAATGCCCTCATAATAGATGCGCAGGTAGTTCTCCTATACTATTAATGATACATACTACGCTTATTTCATTTCTCTCACGCGAGTCACAATTCTCTTATAATAATAGTAGAATATTGAACATAAGGACTATCAGAGATGTCAAGGTCCATCTGTAGATCTAATGACTAAGCCACCAACTGGCATCAAAGCGGGGATCAGTGACATCAGGATGTGGTCGAGACCTTCAATGTCAAGTTGATGATATTAGATGGATATTCCGACTCTCATTGAGATTCAAAGTCATTGTAGTCTCTCTACAATCTACACTATAGACCATCAATCTTCTCTTTTTAACCCCCATCTTTGCTCCACTGCATCATTACTCGGTTAAACTGCGTACTATCCTCTATCCTCGCCCGATCAGCCCCAGCCACTTACTCTAGTACTCAAGTTTACTCCACTCTTAAACCACTCTCCTTTCCTTCTCTCCCCGATCTTAATATCTATCGCGAACGATTCAGGTCCACTGTTTTCCTTTTGTGATTCCACGTTCCTGGTCAATGCGACCCCTTTTTTGCCACATCCGTCGAAAAAAACTTGGCTGCTTGCGGGCAATTGGAGTGGGTAGATCTCGGGCATCCGTTCACCCTCAACTTCCTTAGAGGATCATAGAAAGAGAGTTTTATGCCGATTCGATTTCATACCTTTTTTTCTTTTCTTTTATTATTTTGATTCTTGATTCCCGATTCCCGATTCTTGATTACTTTAATTTTCTCGATTTTTGAATTCGAACTCCCTTGTTTACTTCTTCTCGGCTTCAAGTTGGTCTTTCTCTCTGCGGTGAAGCGCGCACCGCCTCCCCCGTCTCCCACCAACCATCTCGCATCCCGGTGCCCCGCCTCGTCTGGTGAACCCTTCTCCCCTCTTGCTTTCTCCATTATGGACAGTGTCGATCTTACAAAGGCTGTCTTGAACAAGGGTAAACAGATGGCTTCGGTTGCCGCCTCCGCTGCCAATGGCAACGGTGGAAAGAAGAGGAGAAAGGGAACAGATCTTAAGCCGATCGTCACTAATGATGCAAACCCAGCTACGGCTACTGATGCGTATGTTTTTTTTTAACATGATTTTTTTTTGACTTCTGTCAATCTCGGCAGCTGTTCCTCCTTGCTTCTTACAAAGATCCCCCTTAGCCTTCTTTTTTTCTTTTTTTCCCTCGCGCACATTTTCCCTTGAACCATCAAGATCTAACCATCATGTCACTATTCTCTAGCAGCGGCGCCGCTCAATCTAACTCCAAACCTTCCGGCGCTACTGCGTCGCGCTCTCCATCTACAACATCCGGTGATGAAGTTGAAACGACTGCTGAAGAGGAGGACTCCGAGGATTATTGCAAGGGTGGCTACCACCCAGTCGAGGAAGGCGAAACTTACAACAATGGGCGCTATGTTATCGTGCAAAAGCTAGGGTGGGGTCATTTCTCTACCGTCTGGTTGTCGAGGGATACCACCACCAACAAGCATGTCGCGCTGAAGGTGGTGCGATCGGCCGCTCACTATACCGAAACCGCGATCGACGAAATCAAACTGCTGAATCGCATCGTTCAGGCTAAGCCCTCCCACCCGGGCCGGAAGCACGTAGTCAGCTTGTTGGACTCATTCGAACACAAGGGACCTAACGGAGTTCATGTTTGCATGGTTTTTGAGGTACTCGGCGAGAACTTGCTTGGGTTGATCAAGAAATGGAACCACCGTGGTATTCCCATGTCCATTGTCAAGCAGATCACCAAGCAGGTGCTGTTAGGCTTGGACTATCTTCATCGCGAGTGTGGTATCATTCACACTGATCTCAAGCCCGAGAACGTTTTGATTGAGATCGGAGACGTGGAGAAGATCGTTCAAGCGCATGTGCAAAAAGAAGAAGCCAAGAAGGAGAACAAAGAGGACAATCGCAATGGTCGTCGGCGCCGACGCACCTTGATCCAAGGCAGTCAACCGTTGCCAAGTCCCTTGAACACGAGCTTTAGCGGAGATTTTAAGCACACCTCTTCCATTTCACACAGCAGTCTTAGTCAGATGGTGAACGAGCCAAGTGAGTGACCCCCTCGAAATATCTGCGATGCGATTCCTGACTTTCTTTTTTGCAGCACCGGAGCTCGGATCATCAATGAAAGAGGCCTTGGGCATCAAAGAAGAAGAGGACGATAAACAGAAACAGCGAGAGAAGACAGCGTATGCACTCCTCTTAGCTCATGACAACTGTACCAATGCTGATAAACACAGCGATCTCCTGGAGAGAGAAGTGTCTGGTATCTCTCTAGATAAGAACTCCACCAAATCGCTCGAGGAGGAAATCGACGCCAGTATTATCTCCGTCAAGATTGCTGATCTCGGAAACGCTTGCTGGGTGGGCCACCATTTCACGAACGACATCCAGACCCGACAATATCGCTCTCCAGAGGTGATTTTAGGTGCTAAGTGGGGTGCCAGCACAGATGTGTGGAGTATGGCTTGTATGGTAGGTTTTCCTTTCTGTTGATACTAACGATCAAGCTACACAGCTAGAGCAACACAACTAACTATATTTAGATCTTTGAATTGATCACTGGCGATTACCTCTTCGATCCCCAATCTGGAACCAAATACGGCAAGGATGACGATCATATCGCGCAGATCATCGAATTGCTCGGTCCATTCTCTAAGTCAATGTCTCTCTCTGGCAAGTGGTCTCAAGAGATCTTCAACCGCAAGGGTGAGCTTCGCAATATCCACAGACTCCGCCATTGGGCCCTCCCCGAGGTGCTCCGCGAGAAATACCACTATACTGTGGAAGAGAGCATGCGCACCAGCGAGTTCTTATTACCAATGCTGGACCTTTCGCCCGAGAAGCGTGCAAACGCAGGTGGAATGGCCGCACACGAGTGGTTGCAAGATGCAGCCGGTATGGAGGGAATTGATCTTGGGATTTCTCCCGGAACTCGTGGCGAGGGGATTGATGGATGGGCAATGGAAGTTAAGCGGCGATGAAAAAAAAACACGAATTGAAATGAAATAAGAAATTCCACCATGCTTGCGCACGAGAACGGGGACAGTCGGTTTTTTCTATTCCAGCGTTCTTGTTTTCCCTTCTATTTCCTTTCTTTGTTTTTATTTCCCATCTTGTTGAAGGATTCGACACCCTAGATGGGGCTTATCAATCAACAGATGTCTTGCTCGCTTCTCTCACAGCGCCGAATGCGTGGGTTAACGATCTTTTTTTCTTCACCAGCTATGGGATTGGTTTAACGTGGTTTCTTATGCTTTTTTTTCCTTCTCCATTTGTATTTGGGTTCATTTCACTGGTCATTTCATCTTTTTTTTTTCCGGTAGTTCGGTGGATGGAAAGGATTGTTTTTGTTCTTTCGTTTAACCCCGATTCCCCCGTACTCAAACCCTTATGCCTTCAATTTCCCCCTTTCCGGTTGATTTGACTCCGGACTCGATTCAACGCCTCGGCCTCATAGATTCTTGTCTTCGTTACCGATTCCTTTTTCTATATCCTTTCTTCTCCATTTTACCGCAGACTCTGCATGCTCTTGGTAAAGGGACAGTATCATGGGATCATCCTGTATCAGACTTCTAGATTGACGAGTCACACTCGCAGAGATGCTGGTTTTAAGCGCTTATGACTCAATGAAATGGATGGATTCGCTTGGCGATGCTGCAATTAATCCCTGCTTTTCGTCTTGCTAGTCTCTTATAAAAATCCGAGTCTTAGATTTAATGCTTCAATTTATGGGGCACATTTGCCTTTCTTTCAACTTTGGAAGTTTCTGTTTCTACGATAACGAAATAGTACCACTGCTCAGGTGGCAGCCTGAGACTCGGAATATACGAGTACTAGTATTTTGCAGCTCGAATACACTTGGTACCTACCTAGTAGGTACTACTAGTAACTTAAAGTTGGCAGTGACTCATATTTGCATACTACTATAGGTACTCAGCTGGACTGTTAGTCGTACTAGTCTCCGTACTACGAAGCATGTAGCGACTACTATGGGAATTTTCCAAGGTATGCATAAAAGCTTGTCATTCTCGTAACTAGGAATGATAATAGTAGCGAGCTGCGAGGTAAATAATCCTGCTCATGTAGGATGAAAGCCCCCAGGTTGACCGTGGAAGCTCCTTTTGTTTAGCGAAGTGGCAACTCTCCCAACCTCAAATGTTGTGTCGTACCTTTGACATATTGATATTTTCCATTTTGAAGCCGTCTTTTTTGAAGGGAAAGGCGCGTTTTTCCCGGGTAGGCCTGCCTTCTCCGTCGGCCTCATATTTCCCCTGGGTCCCATTCTCCTTCTTGACCACAGGTTCCCTCTTGACCACAGGTTCCCTCTTGACCACAGGCTCCCTCTTGACCACAGGTTCCCTCTTGACCACATGTTCCCTCTTGACCACAGGTTCCCTCTTGACCACAGGCTCCCTCTTGATCAAAAGCTCTTTCTTGACCACGGGTTCTTTCTTGATCTCTTCTTCATCAGTCTCTTCATCGTCGGTATCCTCCAGCTTTGCCGTTTGAGCCAATCTCACTGGCTTGATAATTGTCTTTTCCAATAGAATTGGCTCATATCCCACCTTGGTCTTGGAAAGACCAGGGCACAGAGTGTATTCAATGTCTCCAAACTGTTCGCAGGTTCCTGTGAAGCTTGCCATTGTGTTTGGGTTGAATGGCGAACTGGGAGTAACCCATTGAAAACAATAGGTATCGACTTGACACTGCAGTTTCTTTTTCAGGTCCACAAATTCCCCAAACAATTTCTTCAGCTCTGCTTGCCTTCGGTTGGAAGCCGTGCGGGAATGATGGGCATATCTTCTTTCCACCTCGAAGATGACATGAGAGCAGTCATCCTCCAGTATCGAAGCTCCCAGTGAGAACAACGCCGTACTTGTTGCAGTTCGCCAATGCTGTGCAACGTGAGGTGGACCTGGAAGGTATTTAGTAAAACTCTCAGTATTTTGATTGAATTCAAAGCTTACATAGCTCATGCACCTTCGAATCGATGAAAGAAAGATCTTGATCAAGTTGAGAGTGAGTCCCAACCATACATCTCTTCAGGAAGACCTCATATATGGACCACGAAACAAAAGTCCAAATTTCAAAGAACAAAAGAGTTGGGTCAATTTTTGAACCATCACTGTCTCTCTTTTGAGGAGCAAGTTTCGGGGGTAAGGGAGGGAAATGGCATTGTACCCAATATTCCAGATCATGATGAAGCCGATGGAGAATAGATTTTGCTTCGTCATCACTCAATAAGTCTGTGGACGTTTCAAGTTTCTTGACCTTGAGAAGGAGTTCTTGATTTCCATCGAGAGCATCACCCAGGTTCTTACGAGCAGTATTGAGTATTTCCGTTTGTCGGCGAAGCCGCTCATTCACTGACTGCTCTGCCATTCTTGACTGAAGAAGCTTTTGGTGGATGCCTTCAGCCTCTTCGGTGATCGTATCGTTTTTTGCCTTGGTCTCTCCAAGTTTCTTCTCCATTGAACGGAGCTCTTCATTTGCATGTGCTATTCGGGACACATATCGGCGGTTAGAGTTTTGGAGGAAGGTAGCTCGTTGTCGGAGAACTTCGTGGGGCAATGATAGCATCTCGGAGGAAGTAGATGTCTGATCGACAGGTCCAGATTCTAAGTCTGTATCTGCATGAGTCAGATTGAGTACGTTTTGCTGAATATGAAAGATGGACGACACAGACCTAAGTCAGGGCGATCTATCGTTTCTTCACGCTCAGGCTCTCGATCAGAAACCACCTGACGAACTATCGGGCTTTCCGTGGAGTATCTTCCTTGAATCCAGTTGAAGGCTTGTCTCATTTCCAAAGGAAGGTTGGAAACTATTTTGAAAAGGGGATATAATAGCCACCACATATTGAAAATTTAGAATCAGAGGTCAATCTTCAAACCCTGAAGGTGTAAGATTGATGATGTTGGAATTAACCGCTCTCCAGCGTTTGTTGGGAATATATCATCGCCGATTGCTTGTTTGGGCTCCGGGGCGATCTCGATTGCAATTTGATGACGAAGTTTCTAGTTTTACTACACTGCCATATATTAAACAGCTTCCCCTCCTTTTCTTGTACTTTCTATTCACCTTTCCCCTACTATACTCTCACTTTCCCCTCACTTTTATCCTTCATACCTTCATACTACTGAAACCTCAACTCATGGAAGCACAACCAATCACGATGTCGGCCAAACGACCGAAGCTTTTTATTGGGATCGATTTTGGAACAACTTTCACTGGGTGAGTGTTTTCCAAAAACAGCAGCCTAGCGATGACATAAAATTGTTGTGATCTGATGATTTGTTTTTTAGAATCGCTTGGGCGATAGAGGGAGCTGGTGATGATGATATGGAAGTGATTAAGGATTGGCCTGGACGAGGAAACAGTACGTGATCTAAGAACGGGGATGGGACATATCACTAACTATTGGAACAGGTACCTCACAGAAGGCCCCAACTATCATTTCCTATCAAAATGACGAAGTTCGATGGGGTTACCAAGTCGATGATATGAAAGAGGCCATTAAGGGTGTTAAGCTTTTGCTCGACACCAGCAAGGAGACGCATTACAGATCCAGTTATGGACCAGCCAAGGAAAGCAGTCGTATCCTGGACGAGATGCGCAAAAAGCCCGTTGATGTGGCTGGAGAATATCTGGGAAAGCTTGTAGCCCACCTTAAATTTATTCTGGATCGCCGCGGCATTGGAAGTGTCATGAAGACAATGGATGTGCAATACATCCTCACTGTTCCCGCCGTCTGGTCTGACAAGGCCAAGGATTTAACAATGCAGGCTGCATACCTTGCAGGAATCCCAAGGGGAAACCTGGCTCTACTTTCGGAACCTGAGGCGGCAGCTGTCCATGCGATCCGCATGATCCAACCAAACTCAATCGAAGTGAGTATTCCGATATGAAGATTGCAAGCTGTTAATACTAAATCTCTATCTCTCAATAGAATGGTGACTGCTTTATTGTCTGCGATGCAGGTGGCGGGACAGTCGTGAGTATAAATCGGTTGGGGTCTTCTTGAAATAGCCCAAGCTTCAAGTTCCAGTGCCTCTGCACCCATTCACTGACAGGTATTCCGTATACTAGGATCTAATCACGTATCGAACAACACAGACAAGGCCCCTACGAATGGAAGAAGTTACAGAGGGAACAGGTACCAGATAAAATGATCGCACCAAATGTCACATAGGTACTAATTAAAATAGGTGCCATATGTGGTTCGACGAAGTTAGATGACGCCTTCCAGGCCTTTCTCGTCGAGACGCTCGGGAAAAAGTACAAATACCTGTCCGATCAGGGTCGTCGAGTTGCATTGCGTCGATGGCAAGATGATGTGAAGCCCTTTTTCGCCGGGAAAGACGACCAGGATGGTTTCCTGGACACAGGTTCCATTGTACCACTTCCTGGAGTACCAGATATCCCGGATAAGCAAATTTACAGTGGAATTCTTCATATGCCTTTGTATGACTCGCTTTCCACAAATTGAAAGATCTATGCTAATACACGACAAGGGATGAGATTGAAAAGATTTTCGACCCTATTGTGAGCCAGATCGAATCACTGGTCTCCGAGCAAGAGATGAAGGCCATAAAGGCTGGGTACCCACCCAAGGTGAGATATGAGGCATCATCCATTTTCTCTGTCTTGATCAACAACTTATTCCTCCAAGGCCATTATACTTGTCGGTGGATTCGGGAGCTCCGAATATCTCTACAAGCGCCTCAAAGCGAGTTTTGAGGGCATCGAGATTATGCAACCTCGTGATGCGTGAGTCTTTGTCCCAATTTACTAAGAGCTAAATTCTAATACTTGTTCCCCCAATCAGATGGTCCGCCGTCGTTCGGTAGGTTATATTATCTCGAGCTATTCCCGTTCCGAACTTGGAATTTAAGAGAAACAAACTGACAACTTTAGTGGCGCTGTTCTTCGAGGATTGGAAGGAAATCAAGTCAACAATCGAATAGCTCGAGCTCATTACGGTATCAAGCACTCTTCTAATTTCGATCCGAATCGCCATAAGGAGTGTGAAAAGGAATGGTGCTCATGGGAAGAAACGTGGAACGTTCATGACCAACTCACGTGGTACATTAAGAAAGTAAGACCCATCTAAACCATTGGAAACAGCTCATCTTCCAAGCTTGGAAAGGTGTTAACATTAAGCTCGATTAGGGGAAGCCCATTTCCGAGAATACGCCCATAAAATTTCCATTCTACCGGCTAGTGGATCTAAACCACAATATGCTTTTCAAAGTTAAATTGAAGATTTGTTTTGAAGAGGATGCCCCGGGTAAGAAGACACGAAGTGAGTTTCTCCAAGATTAGTCCATTGGATCTGTTAATCCAACACTGGAATAGGTGTCTCCTCTGTGTGTGAGCTTGAGTCAGACTTGAGTCGGATACCAAAGTCTCTCTTTCACTTGCATACTAACTCTGCGGGCAAGAAGTGTTACAAAGTGAATTATAATTTGGTTCTTACACCTTGCTCCGCATCGATGATATTTGAGTTGGAGTTTAACGGAATCAGTTATGGCACAGTTCGAGCCAGCTACTTGTAGTTTGGTACTCACATCTGCATTGCGTTTTATTCCGCTTGCTATTCGAAAAGTCCTGCTTGAACATGCTTGAAATTGCTGAGATGGAGGTTTACTGGAACTGGTTCAAATTGTGCAATGAGTGATATTGATTTTGGCTTCCATAGTTTGCAATACATTGTGATATGCTACTAGTAGTACCTCTACCTTTCTCTATTAGAGACTGATTGCCAGTGTCTACTCCCTTATGTTTATTAGTACATATATGGGTGCCTAACTAAGTGCCTACTACTTCATTTGTCCATCTAGGTAGTAGTATTAGAAATATCTATTATGTTAAGGGTATGTATGTAGGTACCCATGGATGGATAGATGTGTATAGGCAAGGGTGTCCGTTTAACAACACTCTCAAGAGTCATCATCATCTTCGTATTCCTCACTTGGTAGGGTCTTCGGAAACCACCCATATCGTGAGAAATCAACATACATCTCACCCATACTGTCCGAGGTTACCTCAACGCCCTCTTCTCGTAAAGCTTCTGCTTGCCGCTCTGCGCTGCCGGGGCCACTATAATTTCAAAAGTAAGAATGATGACAACCATTAGTTTGGAAACCAAATCATTCCTGCAATCCATACCGATGAGAAATCATCCCCTTGGAATTGATAACTCGCTGCCAGGGAACAGTAAAGGAGTTGAATTCCATGCCGGATTCTGAAGCAGGCAGCGACTTGAGACAGACACCAACCTGACGTGGTCTTTGAGCTATTTCATTCAAATCTATGTTAGTGATCTCTACATCATAAGTGTGGGATCTCGTACGTTCACCCAGAAGTAGGGCGATATGGCCGTAGGATGTGACTTTGCCGGGAGGGATTTCCTGAATGGCAGCGTAAACGGCATTTGCCCACCACTCGGCTTCTTCTGATCGAGGCATTTCTGAATTATCAATCTAGATCTTCACATAGACCAGCTCAACGGGAAAATAAACAAGAATGTAGTTGAGCTGCACTGGATAGGAGCATCACTCGGAACAACATTCATCCGACTATCGATAAGCGGAAATCACTGCTATCCCAAGCTACTAGAACTTGGTACCTTGATACTTGAGTCTACAGCATATAACCTTCAAAATGCCGGGCTCCTTGGCAGACTACTTAGCCAAAAACTATCTAAACGCCGACCCGGCCCCAGAACGCCCAAAGAAAAAGCGCAAGAAGGCAAAGACAACCGACACCGCAGGCGCGGGCCTTCTCATCGCCGACGACGATCCACCAGACCTCCGAAACACCAACTCAACCCTCAACCAAGATGACGAAGACAGTCCATTCATTGAAACATCAGCTCAGACTACCGAATTCCGCCGCGCTAAAAAATCGGGTTGGAAGACCGTTGGCGGACCAGCGCCGGGCACCGATAAGAATGAACAAGAAGCCGCAGACGCAATCCTAGCCTCAGCAGCTGCCGAGCGCGCCGCACAACGAGCCGATGATGAAGACGCGCCCATGATCGAGGGTGAAGAGGAAGACGCACCGCTCATGGAATCCGGTGCACGAGCCGGTCTCCAAACCGCAGCGCAGACAGCCGCGATGGTGAAAGCGCAAGAGCGACGAAAGAAGGTCGAGGAAGCTCTGTTTAAGGATCCAGCCTCAACAGATGCAAAGCAACAAGAAACCATCTACCGTGATGCATCTGGACGAATTATCAATGTGGCGATGAAGCGCGCAGAAGCTCGACGTGCTGAGGAGGAGAAACGCCTAAAGGAGGAAGAAGCGCGCGAGGCACTGATGGGTGATGTGCAGCGCCAGCAGCGCGAGACTCGACGACAGGAATTGCAAGAGATCAAGGCTATGCCGGTCGCACGTACGATTGAAGATGAAGCACTTAATGACGAATTACGGGAACGTGATCGATGGAATGATCCTGCTGCGCAGTTCTTGACACAGAAGAAAGGTCCTGGGGCTAGTGCTACGGGAAGGCCATTGTATCATGGGTCGTTCCAGCCAAATCGGTATGGAATTCGGCCGGGACATCGGTGGGATGGTGTTGATCGGGCGAATGGATTTGAGAAGGATTGGTTTGCCTCGCGCAATAAGAAGAGTCGCAATGAGGCTCTGGAATATCAATGGCAGATGGATGAGTAGGTATATCAGCTGCTCGATGAAGTAATTAAAAACAATATCAGTATATGGGTGCTGGCACTCAGTTCAACTCAATGCGCCATCCTAGTAGTATGAAAATGCTGTTATAGCACTAGACCCGAGTCCTCGATACTATGTATGGAACTGTTTAAGCTACATATCAAAGCCTGGGAGCAGCCTTGGACTCGGACTGGTTCGAAGACAAGTTTTGGTGCTGCATAAATGTGACCGTGTTGAACTAGAGATAATATTCAAAATCTATAATCATTTTCATACATTACTTTTTGAATAGAGATAGAATGAATTCCAAACTTCTTGTATAGGTCAACACCGCCTAGGTTATCTCGTTATCTGCCGAGCGGGTTGCTCCGGTGTCTGTTTACCCAAACAAAAAACTTCCGTCCCACTCCACATTTCCCTTCTATTATCCCCAGATTCACGAGCATCATGGTGCGGACCGCGGAAGGTCCTATGGACTTTGAATGGCAAACACGCCCTCCAATGGATGCTTCGTCTCCTTTCTCCCATCTAGAAAATAAGAAGCGTGAGCTTGCATGACCCCTACAATGCGAGTCCACCCCCACTGATCAGTTAAAAACAGGGACACACAACGTATTCAACTCTCCAGACAAGAAGCCTCCTTCTCTACGTCCTCCTAATTCTCAACCATTCCTCTTCTCCCAACCGCGAACTCAACCCAACGTACCTTCTAAAGCCGTCTTTGGACAACCAGCGTTCATGACACCTCGAAAGATCGATGTCGACTTCTCATCTGGAGCCGAGAACTTCTCGTCTCCCGAAAATGCAGACAATGAAGATACACCAGAGCAACCCATGAGGACAGAGAGGAGGAATTCATTATTCAATATCTACGGCCGATTCGGAAGTAGCCCCGGCCGCGGCGAGATCCCCCGTACGAAGCACTACTCCAACGGAGCGCTCCACAAGGTCCAAAAGACGCGACGACGAAATCGAGAACTTACGCGAAAGGTGAAGACGGACAGCGATGACGAAAGCGATCGACCGAGCAGTAGCGACGAGAGGAAAGGCAAGCTATCAAGGCAAGGGCAGGGTCAGGAACATGGATCAGAACTGGTGCCCTCGCGAATGTCGTCCTTCTCCGAGTTTTTTGCTCTTTTAGAAGCGCATCCCAATGTTCCCAGTATCTTGTCATGGTGGGCTCAGCTTATTGTCAACTTGTCGCTTTTCTCTCTCGCGGTCTACATCGTCTTTACCTTTGTCTCAGCTATTCGGGCCGAATTCGAGCAAGCCGCAGACGAAGTCTCCGACGGAATTTTGGCAGATATGGCGAAATGCGCCAAGGATTACGTGGATAATAAGTGTGGTGGCCCAGGCCGATTACCAGCGCTTGAGACTGTGTGTGAGAACTGGGAGCGATGTATGAATCGCGACCCAGCCAAAGTAGGACGAGCCAAGGTCTCAGCTCATACAATGGCTGTTATCATCAACAATTTCATTGATCCCATCAGTTGGAAAGCAGTGGTATGTATCAACTGCTCAGTCTCCATATGTCAGTGTACTAATCTGAGTTTAGGCAATTTTCCTCGCCACTATCTCCACCGTGACAGTTGTTAGCAACTGGTCATTCCGCTCCTTTAGAAGCAAACACAACCAGCAGGATTACCATCCTAATCCGAATAACTACCCCGGTCAGCCCTCCGGTCACAATCAATTCATGCATGGCCAACCACTTCACCTACAACATAATCCGAGCTTTGGGTACTATGGACAACAGCACGATCCTCGACAGAACATGAACATGGGTAACGGCCATTCCCAGAACCAAGATGCGCCACTGATGCTGGAGAACACAAGATCCAGGGATTTCGATCGCAGTGATGAGCGGGAATCTCATCTACGTACCCCAAGTCCTTCAAAGCGCCGATTTGCATAGTTTCGGTGTACCTCGACCACAAGCCTGGCGCATTTGCATTTGGATTATTGAGCATAAACATCGGAAATGGAAAGGATTCGGAATCGGTGTTTTGGTCTTTCACCCAATATCTTTTTTTCTTTGTATACCAACATGGTGGCTTTGATCGAAGTTCTTGTATTTTTCTTTTCTTTTTTTATGTTCTAGGCTTATAATGCACTTCCTTTGAGCGTGTACCACGACTGCAGGCGAACACCTGCATCTGAGCAAAGCCCTTTACATACTAAGTTAACTAATCTGGAACATTTGAAAGAGGCAAGAGGTCAAAATTTCTCTCAATGAAATCCTGGTACCTAGCTGCAACTTGAAGCGTAAACTTGAACTACTCGTTCCGAGTCCAAGGTTTCAAATGCCCAGGTGTTGGGTGTAATATTTCGCCTATTGCCTGGTCCGAGTCGGTATACTACACACTACTACTTCAAGCCTGAGCTCACACTGGCAGTCCTGGAGGTTGCCCAGATGACATCCCGAGGTCCAAGAATTGACTATTCAATAAAGCAACTCCAGGGCTCACTGGCATTTAGCGCTATGAAACAGCCTGAGACAATGCGAGATCAATTGCGATATATCTCTTTTAACCTTGGAAGTACTCCGTAGATGTAAAGCACATGAAACTTGAACATTGAAGGAACTTGAAGTTACCTATACCTACACGAGCTGAGGAAATCCATGGAAGTCAAGATTCATTCAAGTTCAAAATGTTTAAACTGAAACGAGTCAATCATTTACTCCCGGTGTTTCTATATTCGACTTCAAACATTGAAGCCGTTTCATGAACCGCTCCACCGTGACGATGTGTTGACTGCAAGTGGTTATACCTAGGTATAAAGTGTCTTTCAGTCTAATTCTAGAGCTTAATTACGTGTGCTTCTTTCAAATGTTCCATATTGGAAATTCAATGAGTCAAGGAACTCTTTCATGGCCCCGTCAGCTACACGACAATTAGTATAAATACCTGGATAGTCCAACTCATATGGAGCTCCAAAATCCAACTTGAAAATCGTGACACCCATTCCGAGTCCTTACGCAAAATTTGAACCTATTATCAACTTGAAGAGGATGCTCTCTATTCCTACCATAACCGCTCTATCTTTCATCACTACACGGAGCAATGGCGAATGTAGCCTAGATACTGCTCAATCGGGCCTGGCAGGAATTAGAAGAGGAGCGGGTAGGGCGGAGAGAAGTATGCGGCGCACTCTTGAAGGTGGCTCGAGCATACATGGTGCATGCAAAGGAAAACTTTTCTACAAGTAGCCATATACTGATGTCTTGCCTTAGGCGGGTGATACGAAGTCAGTTGGGAATATCCAAGGAGACTAGCGATTGGTAAAGATTCCATAGAGGGAAGGAAGCCGTATGGTAGGAAGATGGCAAGACTGTGGATACATTAACGGACCTAAATATATTCTCATAAGATCAAGGCCACGAAGATATGGATAAAAATCACTTTTATGCCACAGGGCTATATGGTGGTCATGGTATAAGTAATGATACTTTGTTACAAGGAGGACTCTAATAAGTAAGAGCTAAAGAGAATGGATAAGAGTTATAAGTCCTCTGGATGGTAGAATATATCAGATAGGATGGACTTCTATTGATAATGATATTCCAAGGTTAGATTTCAGCACTCAAGTTGCTACTAAGTATTTATACAACTTATGCCTGCCTTTGCTTCCCATTTATTTGATTTTATAAAATATTTTGGAATACATAGTACCCACCTGGGCTAGTATAGACTTACCACCATACATTTTGTTTTCCTTATATGTATCACATTCCACTTCTATATATATAAGACTACCAGATCTGATTCTAAAATCTATACTCCTATACATCTCCAACTTGAAGTACACCCTTCTATTCCAAGTCATTCTACTAGCTCCCAGCTTATCATCAAATCCAAGATTAAATAAATTAACATTTAAACTCAATTCAGCCCTATGAAAAAGACAAAGCAAGATCAAGTAAGATAAATCTCTTACAAGTACACTCATCAAACCTCAAGTTCACGATGACCCCCTTGATTGATGTAAGTACTCGGTCACAGTTTGCTAAACCATTAGATATATATCACTTTTCGTCCAAAAGAAGATCCATCAAGCAGAGCCATAGAAACTACCAATCCAAAGAATCAGAGTCAGCCTTTGTCAACAAATCTAACTCGAAGAAGAAGTGAAGGTCTCGCTGTAAGCAAATTTTCCAAAAGAACACTGGCAGGTCGAACGAAAACACCGAATACATGTTACATAAATTAGTAATGTCAGGCCGGGTGTATTTCAAAGGGTAAATAATCTCTGTAATTAAGAGAAAGATTTCAAGGGGAAATCTGTCGAGAGAGTAGATTCTTTTGATCTTTCCTCGCTCCTGTGCCAGTTTGATTGCCGTTTGAACCTCTGGCACAACCCAAGGACTGCGGTAAATATCACAGTCATTCCTATAGTCTGGATCTCCAATTTTCCATCTATCGGCACGCTATATGGCACATTCACCATAGTTATCAATTTTCCATCTTTGAATATATGGTAAATTGAAACTGTCTCCCAGCCAATATTTTTTTTGCGGCCCTCACAATCTCACCAGACATTTTCTGAATTGCGTCTAAATCCTTTCCCAGAAGATGACCAAGGATCATGCAGCAGTATGCGTGGAAAGTATATGCTACATTCTTGGTCTTATCGTGGTATGAACGTGATTTTTCATCAAAGAATGCTGGCTTGGCTTGTCTCAACCTTGTATGACTGAATTTTGTGCAGATATTTTTGGAGCAAAGCTCTGCGGAATTCCTATTTTTTGGAGGAGCAAAATGGGCTAAACAGATCCCGGTGAGAGAGTACTCGGATGTACCGAGAGGTTTGATCAGTACATATTACTGAATTAGTTTCAACTGGAAACGCTGAGGACTCAAACTTGAACTCAACATATGACTTACCTTGTAAATTATAACACGATGATAGCCTAGGAAACTTAGAGAAATTTGCTCTCTCGATGTTGACTGATGGCACAAAAAAATGCATAGGAAATGGAGCCTTCTTTCGATGAACTTTGAATTCTTCCTCCTCGAAAATGCGCATTTATTTTGAAGATTTTATCACAGAGGACATCAGGGGAGGATTTGCACCGCAAAGGTAGCATATTGATTGCCTATGATTTAGCTGTCGCTGGCGGTTACCCCTGCGTTGAGGCTTGACACTGACAATTTGGCAAGTTGAAACCATATCAAAATTGAGCAAAGTGTCTGTAGCATTTAAGAATAATGAGAGACTTTTAACAAAGGAAAAAAGAGAAAAATGAACGCCAGTAGTGATTCAAGGGGAAAGTTGAACCGCCGGCGACTACTACAACCTTGGAATGAAGTGACGTAGCAATGAGCATTATATAAAACTTGAAGAAGAACGAAACGAGAGCCTTATATTAGTTGTAGCAATTGAGTGTACCAACATTGGAATTTAAGCACAGCTTGCAAGGTTCCAAGGTTCTTGAATTAGTTGAGTCAACAAGTCCTCACGCCGCGTTTCGCGCGGCACTGCCACTGGCAGTGAAGCAGCGAGCATTTGGAATTGGGAGAGGTATGTCCTCAGCACGCCCGGGCGCGAGTGCTTGACTAGATGTGAGCACACATGCATTTTCTCAGATAGGTATATTCACATACTTAAGTACAGGGCTCAGTCCGAGTCAGTAGCATCTACGAATGACTAATGACATCTGGACCGACACCTCTTTGTATATAAGTACCTAAATGGTTCCAAGGTTGCCTACATGGATGGTTACCTACCTATATAAATACCTGGAGGGGAAGGCTAGCTACTACGAGTATATCCATAGTAGCTAGATATAGGCAACTGACAACCCCACAGGTATCTAAACTTAAAGTAGACATCTGGAAGTAAGAGATAGCTAAATAAAGAGGGATACATTCATCTTTATTTGTAAATCTGTGGTCTAAGCCTTAGTAGGCTGGTTCTGCCTCCTTGAGTATTTGCCAGACGGTGAGGAAACTCGAAAAACCACCGTAACTCAAGTAGGAAAGGAGGTCTAAAAGGAGGTCTATAATTCAATTTGCCTCCTGGGGGGACTTGTCAATACACGGGATACACGCATTTTAAAAACCTTGGAGATATTGAAACTACCCAGACCTCAGGTATACCCTCAGGTAGTTCACTGAATATTTTGAATGACCATCCATCCCATGTATACCCAGGGCCAGGTAAAAGTTGTGAATTTATTTCTCAAATATTGCGCCGTATTTCAAATGTAGGTGGCGGGCATGGCCATCGGAAAGAAGGAGTACAGGTGTTGGAGAGTTCAATATTTCATCCAATCGAGCACGGCTAGCAGCCAGCGACTCCGAATCTTGAGACTAGAATTGGCTACAAGCACCTGAATCTACTAGCTCCAAAGCATCGAACATAATAGTATATGATCACAGTACAAGGAAACCAGTTCGAATTTGTTGAAGGGGACCATGTCAACTCTGCAGCGCTGATACGAGATCTTTTTGAGTCATCATGACTTTTTTGGACGAACTTTTATCCTTTCTTTGTCTTTTCCCATATCCATTGGATTCAAGCAACTTTGCTTCACACAGCTCATTCCGATTGACAGGGTTGACAGGGGTAGGATGAAAGAAACGAAAACTCCTACCTATATTCGGCTCATTATACCCATGGATGTCCTCAACGAAGTGCTTGTCCGAAATCATTACCCCTCTAACGGCCTTTTACCACCTCTGATTTACTTCACCTGCTACTAGCGATTCTCAGATACTGAATTCAACCCTAAGAGCTTACATTGTAAGCGGTGCCAGTTGAAGGCATGTCAAAGACCAGGCCTGACCAGACACAACCCTCTGACCACATGGAGCATGAAATCCAAGTTACCATTGGCGAGGTCGAATACCTGTTGATTCCTCATCATTTGGTTTGGCAAAGAATTCCTATATTCCAGAAATCATACTAATCTCGACAGAACCTCCAAGAGCCTGGTGATGTTTTCGATAATACCGATGTTCCGCAGCCCCTTGTTGTCTTTGTTACCCAGCCAGGACAAAGATCTCCAGGTTTGCTCTTCGAAGTTTTCGTGAGTCAACACTTGACAAAGACGATATCTTGCAGCCTGAATTCCTGCAAAGTATTGTTTTTTATGGAAGTAAGAAAGAGAACCTTACTATCGATCCTGAGGTCTACGATGAGCTTAATGTCTGGAAAACCAAAATCTGGACATTTATCAAGGGCTTTACCACCGCATCCAGCATGTCACCTGGGCCTCATATCATTGCAAAGGGAAGCACATGGCAGCCGTGGAGGGTCTACCGAGACTTTAATGCGACCTTCAGGTGTACATTCAAACCGTCCTCACACTTCCCAGGAAGATATGTAGCACTCTATCCCATTAACCTGCCAGCATGCTGACTGATTTGTACCCTCTATAGGCTTGATCAACCCGAAGCTGGAATAGACGGACGCGTCATTGTACCCTCTCGATGCTACTTCAATCTGTCAAAATCATGACCACTGGATGGCGCACGAATCAGTGTGAAAGATAACATCGATATCGCCGGGCACAAAACTACGTTATGCAACCGAGCATGGCAGAGTCTCTATCCAGCCAAGGAGAAAAACGCCGCATGTGTCCAGGTGCTCATAGAGGCTGGAGCGATCTTAGTAGGAAAGACAAAGCTGCAGGCCATGATAATGCGGGAGGAGCCTCACAAGGCTGTCGAGTTCACATCCCCTTTCAACCCTCGTGCGGACGGGTATCAAGTACCGTCGGGAAGCAGCAGTGGAAGTGCGGTTGGAATTGGATCTTATAATTGGCTTAACTTTTCTATTGGATCTGACAGTTTGTACCCGGCCGGAATCTTCAAATTTGTCGCGTTGCTAATCTGGGGATAGCTAATGGGAGTGGCCGTAAGCCTGCACAATACAACGGGTGCTTTTCGATCCGACCGTCAACGGGTATAATGAATACCGAGGGTGTTGTTGGAACTTTTCCGTAAGTTTTATTCAAATTATAGGAGTCACACTGACAGGCCCTATTTCTATGAAGGCAATTTGATATGCCAGTTTTCTTTGGTAGAGATCTGACCAGGTTTCCTGAGTTCATCAATGTTTGGTATGGAAACTCAGAGCTACTCCAGAAACAATCTCAGGTAACATTTAGCTTTAGTTGCCATCCTTACGTTTTGATTAGACTCACAAGTCGCAGCAAAAACTTAGGATCCTCTATCCGAGGGATTATCTTCCAACTGGAAACCAGGCACAGTCACGTCTGATTGAGAATTTCATCCAAGGTCTTGAAAAAGCATCTGAGATTGAAAGAGAAGAGATATCTCTCGCTGAAGATTGGGGAAAAGAAAAGATTGCCCCGATGGGCCAGATAATGGGAACATCTCCGAGTACCTCAAACTTGTACGCTTATATGTCCATCATTTATCGTGTTAAGTCCTCAATCACTGATCCTCGTGGATGAAGACAGGAGCATGACCGTCTACTACGATTCATATCACAGCCTTGAGAACTTTAGGGAAGAATACAAAAAGCAGTACGGTAAACCTCCATTTGTGCAAAAGGCTATGCGTTGGAGATGGTAACTTGATTCTCTCTCCCTCTCTATCTACTTCTCTTCCATTCTAACACGCCCAAATGACCAGGGAAATATCCAACAAGGTTACTATTGAAGAACGCAACATGTATTGGCGTCGCTCTGAAATTTATCGATACTGGCTTCTGGATAAGATTTTCCAAGTCACTTCCGAAGGACCGATGTCTTTCATGGTCTTGCCGATTGAAGAGGGAAAGCCAGATTATCGAGATGATGATATTCCGTAAATTCCCAGCCAAGCTGACCCAATACATGATCTTCAGCTTATCAATTATTCCTAGACCATTTTCTATCCTAAGTGGATATGCCTCGCTGAACATGTCTCCAATGATGCGAGCGCCTGAGCTCACCACCATAGGTTGGTCCTTCACAATACTCAATGAGGTCTTCAGACTGCCAGTGACTTTAACATTATTTAGTTGGTCATGTTCCCTACGAATCTACTGTCACGGACCGAGAAGAGTTCTTACCTATCGCGGCCTCTGTCATTGGCGCTCCCGGTAATATCTTTCGCCCTTCAATCTTACATGGAATTTTTTACTAATCAGGATTTGCAGGAACCGATCTCATCCTTGCAGATTTGGTTCAGAAAGGTATGGAATTTGCGAATCTACCCATGAAGCTGAAAACGGGTCGGTTCATGTATTAGGCTCAGTCACCAGGTCTTCCGGCTGTACATACAGTAAGGAACGTGAAGGTGGATGCACCTGGGCAGGTGAGATACATGAGGGAGCCAGGGTTCCCACCTAGGGGCACCACTATCAGGTCCATTGGTGTTCAAGCTGTCGTACATATCATATCGCCTGGACGTAACGCCGGCCAAGTTGAGAAATTGATCCCTGCCCTGAAGGGACTATGACCCCTGGCCATCCGTAAACCATAGGAGGTCCAAGGTTGCAATACAGTCTTAATTCGTGTCTAATCATGACTCGGATGAAATCAAATATTAATATCAAAATGTAGATCTCAATTGATACTAGCGCAGCCCCGGGGGTCAAGGAAAGTGGACTACGCTAAGGAGCACCGGGGTAAACTATGTATACGGCTTCCTGTACGGTATATCCCAAAGTCCCCCGTCAAAGTGGATATTATCCTGTGGCCTCCCTTTTCTTTCTACCCCGTCAAGTCATTTTGTCTGATACTGTCATCCTTGCATATCCTTCATTGCTACTCGCTTGGGACTTACAAGTTGAACTTCTCTGACCTGCGTCCATATGTGACCTGACGATCACGATGAGCATTACTGCCAGCCCGGGCATCTTGGAAGTGTATTTGATATTCCCACGCAATGGTACTTACTCCCCTCAGGCGCTGGCACCCATCATATGGGCGCTGCAGAATCCAGGTCTGGCTTCCCCATTGACGCCCTCAATTACCTGGAGCCTGTGGGAAGGCAACAACAAAAGCTCCCCGGCTTCGTCAGCTCGGGACTCATCCCACTGAATCAGAGAAAGGTTTCTTCCAGTGAACCTCTTCTAGTTTCGGAATTCGTCAACACCATTGCCTACCCGGATGGATATTGGACCCTGGGTGAAAAACCTTCGCATGGGATTCCCCACTCGGACAAGGCTACGCTAAAAGCTTTGCAAAAGCTTTTCAAAGCTTACAACAGGAAAGAGCTCATCTCCGGATCTCGTTTTTATCTCGCTAGAAGAGAACGCGACTCGGTCGCCGAAACTCGATGTTCATCGCGTCGGAGATTCTCTGGCTGGAAGATAGGAGTGAATCGCTACTACCTGGTGGTGGATGCGGTGGAGGTGCCAGATTATAAAATGAACTACCATTAACTCGATACTGGTCGTCTGACTCCCACCAGTGGCAGTTGGCGCAGCAAGTGATTGCTGGGTACTCTTCAACCTTGACACAACTGGTAAACGGCCCTTCAAATGTGAGACATGAGTTACATGATACTGTAGCTATATGTCCCACAGGTTGTAGGTAGACTGCTTCGACGTTTGCAGTTTGCGTGTCCAGCATATGGAAAAGTGTACCTGGTGAATAGTTAGATCGTCTTCGGAGAGTTGGCTCTCTGATAATGGGCCTCTGTCTCAGTCATCGGAGGAAGTCCGTTTTAATATATGTGTTCCAGTGAGCTGAGGTACTAGTAGTAAATCTGAGGCGGTAGATGAAGTTTGCCTAAGCCTGTTGAGATTGCTGCTGGCAAAGAAGGGGTAGGCCATAGACCTCTCTGTTGTAGCATGATATCTCAATCCAATTTGAGAATAGGAACAAGTATATGATGGTGGTTTTGAAAATGAAAAAAAAGAATTGAAAAAAAGAAAGAAAAAAAAGAGGTAGAAATGTACATAATAGGGTGGTGTGTGCGTGGGGAAGAGGCAGAGTAGATGAAGAGAGAGGGGGAAATGTTAGAGTTAGAGAGCAGCATGGTGTAGGACTTTTTATCAGATGAACTTGAAAGCATCCCACTCAACTTTGGAAACCTCAAGAATGTCCAACGTTTGAGAATTCAGTACTTCATACTACGGGCAGAGAGCTACTGCACATGTGAAAACCACGGGTACTAACGAACGGGTGCATAGTATAACAGCAACATATAATGAACCGCCTAGCTCACCGCCTGTTGCTTTGTTAGCGCCAAACTTCAATAATACATAAGGCTAAACCTTAGAAGTGAAAAATATCTGGATTAAGAGATAGTTAAAAGGGACTGATATCTACGTTCTTAATCTTTCTTTTCCCCCCTACCAGCCATATAGGGGGTTTGGTCATATGTCCGTTATACATACGGAGTAGACGTAGGTAGGAGCCAGACCAACTCGCGGCTCAGCTGATTGCCGGGTAAATTGTTGCTCCGCCACGCGACCTAAGTACTTCTGCAAGTCCCAGGGGCACTACCCCGTTTTTTTCAAAGTCCAGATTCTGCTGTGAAAGATGCCTCAAACGCGCCGTCTTCTAAAAGAAGAGATCACCTTATCCCAAGCGCAGGAAAAGGAAGTGAACATACTCCGCGAGCTAGACTATTATGACCAACGACGCGAGTTCATTTCTCATCTCAAACCAAGATGGGAGTGGATGGGCCAAGTAGTTGCCCACCACTTGGGTCTTCCATCTCCTGATGATTGTGTTGTAGCTATATCAGGAGATTGGAGGTGGGGAAGTTTTAACGTCTCTATTCCTTTTATTGTGAAGAGATGGTCGAAACGAGCGCAATCTCAGCCTCAAAAAGGGAATCGGGTCATGCTTCGATTCCCACTTCCTTACCGCGTTGGCGATGCTTTCAGACCCGGAAACAGTGATGAAAAACTCCAGTGCGAGGCCGGCACATATGCATGGCTTCAACAAAACTGTCCCGATGTGCCAATTCCACAGTTATATGGCTTTGGACTTTCCACTGGTGAAACTGTAAGATATCGAAATTTTTAAGGGAGGACCAGCGCTTATGGATACTGTATAGTTCACGCGACTCGACAGATTACTTTTTCACCGTCGCTGGTTTGAATACTTGCGTCTGTTTGCTTTTCGTTGCCTCAGCCACATTTCTGTATTGCCCAATCCCGCGACACCATCAAATTATGTCATTAACCAATTTCAACCCAACCCAGACGTGTCATGGGTCGACAAATCCGGCTATTTGGTCACCGAGTTTATTGAGGAATCTCAAGGGTCGATGCTGTCGAACACCTGGTTTGACAAGGAGCATCATACTAGCGAGCGGCGAAGCAACTACTTCCACAGCCTTACTCGAATACTGCTTAGCATCAGCAAAACCTCTCTACCCTCCATTGGGTCTTTCCTTATCGACAGAAATGGGGATCTCATTCTCGGAAATCGTCCACTCACCATGGAGATTCAAGAGTTAGAGAACGAGAGCATCACTACAGATATACCCCGTGACTCAACCTTTTCCACAATCCAGTCGTACGTTGCAGACATATTACAAATGCATGACAATCGGCTACGTGACCAACCCAACGCTGTGAATGATCGCAATGACTCAGAATATCAAATGACGGCATTGGCAGCAATGCGCACAATTGAACCACTCATCTTCAATCGAGGCCTAAGGCGCGGGCCGTTTATCTTCTCACTCACAGATATGCACCAGAGTAACGTTTTTGTCGACAATGAATGGAACATTACCTGTGTGATTGATCTTGAATGGGCTTGCTCTAAGCCTATCGAAATGGTACACCCTCCATATTGGTTAACCGATAAAGGGGTTGATGAAATTGAAAGCGAGGAGTATAACATTCGGCGAGAAGAGTTCATGACAGCTTTGAGGTCTGAAGAAAGCAAATTGGAGAATCCTCAAGGCAGGCCATATGTTCATTCAGAAGTCATGGAGCAATCGTGGGGGTCTGGGGCACTTTGGTATTCACTTGCGCTAACAAGTCCAACCGGCCTGTTCCAGATATTCTATAACCACATCCATTCTTTGTTGTCGGATAATGAGGACCTGAAGAGCAAACTTTGGGATGTCATGCCGGTTTACTGGGTCAAGGATGCGGAAGGATTTATGAGCAAGAAGGTTGATGACAAGAAATTGTACGACAAAAACCTTATCGAGGCATTTTCTAGTAGTAGTAGCTCCTCTACTAAATGAAATCACATTGTTTTGGAGGCAAAGGATATGTATTGAATTTGGGATATGCCATTCCCGAAGCCTGAGTCCACCGGTGAGTTGTCTCAGAACAGTTCAGGGCTATACTAGCTGCCCAGGTGGTAACAAGAAAACTCATGCTCCGTTTCCATTGCCTCCCCCTGATTACCACTGCTCGCTGCCCCATTGGCTGAGGTTGACCCGGAATTACCGCTTCCAGCCTTCTTCTTTCCCTCTCTTCTCTGTTTCGCCCTAGCGCCAGAGGAAAGGGCCTGCTCGACATATCGATATCTTCGCAGGAATTAGCTCTCGTTCAAGTTATGCAGACCCAATGAACACTCACCGTTGTACAATTTCAATAAATGACCTTGCCCAGCCGAAGATAGAGCCCTTTGGAGTAAAGCCCGGCTTATGATTGGATGAATAGGTCTTAAGAATGATTTTGAATAAGATATGGAATCTTAGGAACCTGCTAATGTGGGTGAAAGGGCAGCTATTTAAGTTCCCCCCAGGGCTGCCCGGGTTCATGCCATGTAGACTGTGACTCAAGTGTGTCAGCAGCAACACAACCCGACAAGGTTGACTTCAGATACCAAGTTCGGTTAAGATGCACAGATGGATGGTTTATGGCTGTGCCCGACATGGTTAGAAACCTGAAATGCGACTGGAATGGGCAAGCAGCATCTGTTGGCGTCAATGAGAGTCTGCCACATGCATATCAGACTTACGTGGACCCTTGCAAGCGTGAATTTTGGAAACTTTCTAGCCCATGGCGTTGAGTTTAGTCGTGTTCCAACCACAAGATCCATGTACGTATATCCATGGCGCCAAAAATGGAGATATTGACGGAGACTTTCGGTTACCCCGTTACCCCGAGTCCGCTTATTCTGTCCTTTTGCTTCCATCTTGCTACCGAGTATGTGAGGAAATTTTGAAGTTAGGACTCATAAATCATCTGCCAGTGTGTGCAAGCTCTTAGCCTCAACTAGGATCTTGAATACATCAAACTACACCCGGCTGCATCAATGGGTCTTTAGGATAGGTGCTGATATCATTGACGGTTGTTATTTGTCGTCAATGCCAAAGCACCCTGCATGGTATGCAGAGCAGGAGGAATCAACCTCAGATCAGACGAGATATGTCAGTATCCGGACATGGGACGTATACACATGTAGGAAAAAAAAGACAACAAAAATTGCAAAAAGCAATCAACTGTTCAGGCAACAAGGACATTGTAGGCAGAAAGTCCCCAAGGCAGCCTTGAGCTAGTCGAGGAGCCTAGTATGCAGGAAGTCTAGACTCTGCGGGCGGCTAACAAAAGCACGTCCGCCCCACCAGAAGAGGAGGTGCACACTATGATTCTAGTACTGTATCATGTAAAAAGCCACCACTGAGTCATTTGCATGCATGCAGCTTCCGATAAACTCTTAGTAGTTGAAATGATTGGCCAGTTCTCCCTGTCTGGAATAAACGCCACCATGTGTTGGCCTCGATCCACAAACACATGTGTATTTCCCCCAGAGTCTAAGCCCCCAAGGATACTTCACCAACACAATGACAAGGCAAATTGTCAAAGCTTGCGACATGATTGGAAGATATAGTGTTTTTGTGAGGGATGTTGTTGGTTCTGAATCACCTTCAGGCAGCAATATGTGAGGTTTAACTAGTAATGGGCACTTTGCTTCCAATGTTGACCATGCTCTGAGACTCACGAGGCAGACTGAGAGCGGCTACGCATTTGATCATCTGTTCTTTGACCTCCAATATCATTCATCGTCCTTTCATGCAAATATGGGGCTAGTGGAGCCTCCTTCCATACTTTGGACGCGTCGCGTTCATTTGTTGATATGTTTTTGGTACCATGACCTACCAGTTCTCTGATCACAACGACGATAGTCGCATTGCTTTTGGGGGCTTATATAAATATAGAACTTGAAATTGAGGACTCTGGAGATAGGTATAATTTTCGATTGCCATGAGTTGCCGCCGAGCCTTCACACACCCTCCTAACCTTGGAAGCCAGTTACTAGTAGTTACTGGAGCCTCCGAGTACGCCGTTTAGCACGCCAACCCCAAGGCGTTCTACGTTGATTTATAGCCCCTTGAGGGACGGAAAATCTATCTTGAACCAAAAATTCTCATACGAGATACAGGTCTACACATTGTAGGATTCTCTATCCAAAGATCGATAATGTCTCAAGGCTTGGCTACTGCACTGACTCGTGGTGCCATATAGTGTTCCCAAATTTGACAAATACCCATCATGATATCAATACCAGCATCAGCTTTTGATAGAACAGATCTTCATGGGTTGCTCAAAATGTGAGATACAGTCTTCTACGATCTCAAAGTAGCCAGGACGCTGTGCAGATAGAATACGGATACCCACCAATGTCTTTGCTTGAATTATATTCATCCAGATGTCCTAACAACAATCTTCTAATGGTCAGACCGCCGATTCAGGACTGACCGCATCATCTGAGAATAAGTCTCTCTCAACTTAGGCTATGCTAACTTGACATGCTCACCTGATTCCTTGGTTGATCTCTGCATAGGCCGCGGCATCGGTCTGACGTATCCCTTTTTGACAGGCACTCATGGTGTAAATTGAAGACCCATCAAACCTTGGAAGATTTTATGTATGGAAGCTTGTCTACCTGGAACCTGAGGCAGATAGTCGTATATCACCCTTGCCCAGCCTGGCGGTGACGCTGACATTTTACCAATGAATAGTCACTTTATCCCTCAACTCCATTACCTACGCACACCGACCTCAAGAGGATTCAAGTTACGATCTCACCCTATTCCAGATGTCGTCCTACGTTTGACGTTCACAGGACTAAGAGCATTACGAATCAAACACGACTCTATAGGTATTCTTTACCACAACCTGATGACGACAAGATTTGGCGCACGTGTGACTGGGATTCGTGGTAGTAGGAAGTCCACTTAAAACCTCTTACTTGGTATGATACTAAGATGTAAGCCTCGTTATACTACGGCAATGCTAAAAGTTCCAAATAATCTCCGTTCGAACTAAACATTTGAAGCCAACCCAAGCAAGCCAAGACGAAACTACCTAAACCTGAAGCTTCAACGACAGGAGCGGCACGGATCCCGTCGGAGTGCCGACCTGAGATAAACCCCCTATTTACATGATACAGGTCCCAACGTTGCATAAATCATATTTCAATGCATCCATCATCTTGGCTGCATTTACTCAGCAAAAGTACCCAACATTCGGTATCACCCTGTCGCTGAGGATGCCCATCGTGTCTCCAAGCTCCAACACTGATTGGCCCGATAGGTTCCTGCAGTGAGGTCTGTTAGCGGGGTCAGTAAGGGTCCACTTTACACCCGTAAACCCTGTCGATCAATCCCCAGATAAGGCGAGCGCCAGTAGATCTCTCACGATGTCTGACAACACCAATCAATGGTTGGGTGTACCCCATTAAGACTATCTTAGGTTATGCCCTGCAGATCGGTGGAAATTCCTTTTGAGGTATAGTTTAATAGAATTGTGCAGTAGCTTGGACCCTGAATTCGATTATCCAATCATCACTATGTTGTTGGTTTAGTTTGAATGTAACATTGTCTAGAAGGATGATGTCTCTGTGCAAGGCCGAGGCAGCACATACTGACAAGAAATAGTATTTAAACGCAAGATTCCCCAATGGATGGGATATAAGAACAGCACACGGTAGTCAATTCTAAAATATCCTCCTCATTCTTCTCTACCGCTGAGCTTGACATCAAGATGCAGTACGGCAAGGTATGGACCTCGGATCCTAATATTACAAGGATTGTAATTGGAAATGAAACTCACAATTTTGGAAATATCACAGATCCTCACCCTCGCGACCGTCTTCATGACAGGCGCCCTCGCCATCCCCCTGGAACAGCTCACCCGTGCTTGCGCCTACACCTGTGGCTCAAACTGTTACACCAGCAGTGCCGTTACCGCAGCTTTGAACGCTGGATACAAGCTTGAGTCTTCCGGAGATGAAGATGACTCCTACCCACACGAGTACCACGACTATGAGGGCTTCGACTTCCCTGTCTCCGGCACCTACTACGAGTTCCCCATTCTGAGCAGCGGAGATGTCTATGACGGTGGTTCTCCCGGAGCCGATCGTGTTATCTTCAATGGTTCCGGTGAACTTGCGGGTGTTATTACCCACACCGGTGCTTCCGGTGATGACTTTGTTGAGTGCACTTAGGAGTGCTATTGTTACCAGCCTTGGAAGAGATATGAGGTTAGCAGTCTTGATCGAATACTGTGTTGAATGATATTATGATTCTGAAGAGGACTCATGTTCACGATTACAGCTTAAAGTTGGGGAGAACCTCCGAGTCGGGATAGTAATCGATGTATTGATAGTAAAGTATGCTTAAACACATGAATTCTCAGAAGAAATAATGCAGCACTATTTAAATGTAGAAGACGGACTTTCACGCAAACACAAACGGATATCGTATCAGCATGCTGTTAAGTCTTCACTTGATCTTAGTATCTAGAGGCAAACAGCAATCGACACCCGCACTGAAGTAAAGCGATTGTGGGATCTTGTCGTCGCCCGGGTTTGATACCGGTACCTAGGTAACATTGAGGTATTCATTTGCTAGCTGCATGAACCATTCCATTCGGTCATTGATTTCTTCCTCATACCCATGATCATCACGTTCGTCGACTATAATCTGGGATATCTGCTGAGTTATGGTAATTTGGGCGAGATTCCAAATCTCTGATGGTTCCGATGTGTAACTCTAGCCAATGTTGGATACGCCCAGTCAGCCACACGGTCACGAATCGACTTGAGAGCTTCATACTCTGCAATGGATGGTTCGTACTACCCTTGAAGAGTGATTCATTACATACTTGTGATCAAATTGTGAGGAATACCATCTGAAAACGTACTCATTCCCAGTTGAGGAAGTGTTCAAGAGCATTGCGGCCTGAAGGACTTTGTATCTGAGGAGATGTGCCCAAGACCATTCTGGGCGACGGAGACAGTTTTTAGAACTCTGAATTAAGGGAGGTATACTGAGAGGAATGGGATGCCCTGTGTTATCAGTTTTAGGCTTCACCGTAGGAAGAAGCGCGTTGGGTATTCTTTTCATGTCCACGCCTCCGAGAATATGGGGTGCTTTCATCATTGCTCAGCCCGTAACAAACGGTTCATCTGGCTTTTTGCTGCCGTACTCAATCAAAGCATGATCTCTTGCACTGTCCATGCTTGAGAAGGGTTGAGTGCATATAATTCCTCCTATCACACGCGTGGACAAGGAAAGTTGCTCTGAGTTTCTTTATCACCGCGAGCGCTGATGCCATGATTCTTGGCCATATTGTGAGTGGCGAATACTTCAGTGTAAATACATTCTCTGCTCTGGCATGTGTGTTGAGTTTATACTTGAATTTGCACCTCCAGTATCCGAAGAGGTATTGAGGAAGCCTTGAATTATCAAGGCTAGTAGTAGTCAGTAGTTATTCTTGCCTTAGACTCTGGTTTTTTGCAGTCTTCGAGCACATCCCACAAGCATGTTCTTAGTCGCAGTCTTCAACGTACTTGATTTGAATCCATAGCCGCTTGTATTGCCATCTAGGGTTGATGTCAACTCCGAAAGCAGGCTCCATGGTTCCAAATGCACCTTCTTGGAGATCCCGGAAGATTCCAGCAACCCGGCATGTCATGTCAACTTGGGAGAATTTGGAGCCAAATAACTCTGGTCATGTCCGGGTAAGGCAAACCTTGGAAGCGCTATCGCTGTAGCTATCTGGGATATCGGAAGCCTTATTGGGATAGCAAGACGCATATGTTGTCGCAGGTACTCAAGTGCCATTCCTAGAAATAATAGCCACTAGATATTACTAGTTCCATTTTGAAAGTTATCTGCAGCTGTTAGCAGTCGAGTTCTGTCTGAGGGAGTGCAAAAAAGTCTCTGTTTCAAGATTTGGATAATCAAAGCACTGAGGATAAGTTGATGGTTGTTTATTCAGCATACACTCGGATAATTCACGGTGTTAGATGCGGAGATGAAGTTAGTAGTTGAGAGAGGAAGAGGAATAGGTGTGTTGGAAGAAGTGATAGTATGTCGGCTCTAGAGGTGATACCTTGACGGAAATCAAACTCTTGTTCCTCTAGTTCCTTCTCGGCTGGCTTAGCGATTTTTTGAGTGTATTGGCATCATGATCCTCTCAATGTCCCGACCACATCATTTCATCGGTAAAAGGAGGCACGTGCGAATATTGTCAAAGACACCTGGGCAATCGCAAGTTCCTTGTCAGGTTCCGAATTGAGAATATCTACCAGGTTACTATATCTCGACGAATAAAAGGTAAAAGGTTGATCCCAAGAAATGAAGCGGATTATGAGATAAATAGTGTGAAGAAAGAAAGATCAGGGGATATCAAGAGTTTTGTTGCACAAGAACGGAAAATCGAGAATCCGGGGTGATCAATGCGTAAATCATTGCGGGGTAATCAACAAATGTCCTATTTTGGATGAATTTGCATGATCTGATTGTAAGTGATATGTGAAGTGATATGTGGAGTGATATGTGGAGTGATATGTGAAGTGATATGTGAAGTGCTATTGAAAGAACTTTGAAAAGAAAGATATTCCAAGGTTACTGAAACATTCAACAACTGTCAGAGCTAGGTAAAAGAATTATATGGCTCTTGTAGCTGAAGCAATCATGGATCAATGCTGGATTCATTGACTCTGAGTCCAATTGAGCTTACGATTCAAGTCTAGTCGCTCTCTACTATCCCAGATAATACCTTGGTGGCTAGCCTTGAAGCCTCACTCGTCCGTTTAAATTGGCCTGACTCCCAAGGTCCTAATATAAAATTTACTTAGTCACCATCGTCCTTGGCTGTGTCACCAGCTCTGGCATTCCAGCACCTCATTTCGGATCAGGTCATCTGTCAATGCAACAGGAGAGGGAACTTTGTTAATATATGGCGCCCGATCACCAGGTTCCCGATTCTCCTCATCTGGTATGGAATTAGCAGACTGACCAAATCCCCAACCTTGAACTCAAAGTTTCTCGGAGTTGACCAACTTATAAGACCTAATAAACAGTAAAAGACGGTCTATAATTGGCAACACAGCGCTTTCCGACAATCTTTGGGTTCATCATCATAGTGGAGTAATTGCTAATAGCTATTGTTATTAAGTGAACCTACTAGTACTTAGTATATCGCCATAGTGGTTTCAGAATCTAAGATCTAGTCGGCAAGTTAATAGTTTGAGGTGACTTGATAGGTGCTTTGATATTTAGTTCAATATGTAGGTGGGGTCACTATGCGTCGTATAGTATACGAGAAATCCTGTGAAAGTAGCTGTGCACGTGGATATCAGCTATTAAATAGCCTAAGAGATGACCTAGTAAGTAGTGTAGCTTGGTAGGCCTAACTTAGGCGCCGAAACATTTTTGTACTAATGACCCAGGTGGGCTCCGAGCCTACACTACTGCAGCTTAAATGAACACGTTTTTCCTCTTTGCGAGTAATCTCAAAAACTCCACTCGCTTCGATATTAATTGTCTAGATAGTCATATAAGCACTATACTATTGGCCCCCGGGGCGAGCCTTGTCCTCCGGTGAAGTGGATTCGAATGTTACATGCTCGTACCTGCCAAGTCCATGCGATGATTTAAAATCCGTGCTTCCACCACATCTAACTTCACTTGATAACCACCTTCTTTCTTTCTAATACATTTTCAAACACTAATAATCGCTATGAGTGATCTCCCAGACTACGTCCTTGACCCCAATGCCGTCCTCAAGGACACCGAGGCAACCTGGCGTCACGGAAATCCTCCCAATTACTCCAAGACAAGAGCATTTTATGAGCAGAGTACAAATTCCCACAGAAGCCCACTCTTATTCCAATACTTACATCTCCTAGCAAAGCAAAAGACCCACGAGCACGGCAGCCTTCAATTTCTCGTCGAGAACTTGGTCAAAAACTGGGAGATCGAAGCCTCCTTCAAGACAAACTTGGCTGACTGGCGGACCATCGATCAAGATGTGTACACCTTCTCCCTGAACGGCGGCGAGCCACGAACAGGACACCACATGCTTGAAGTGGGAACATACAATGCTCTGTTGACTGCGAATCAGTACTACGACCCCACGAAGAACAGCTTCGACGACTCGCACAAGTCGTTTAAGCGTATGATGCCGACATTTGCTTGGGAGGTACTTGAGGTCTACGCTGGACCCCCAGTTGTTGTTGCGAAGTGGAGACACTGGGGAGAGATGAAGAATGATTATGTGGGATATAATAGGTACGGCATGCTACACCATTTCTGTTTGCTCATGATACTGATAATCCCAGCTCTGGCGAGAAAGTCACAGTGAAGGCTCACGGAGGGGTCATTGATATCCAGGGTCTCATTGTGGCGAAGGTCAATGACAAGCTACAAGTGCAGAGTATCGATGTCTGGTTTGATCCGATGGAAATGTTTCGCCAGATTGGCCAAGAGAGGAACGGTACAAGCTCCGGGTCAGGCTGCCCATTTGCCAGTGCGCGTCAATAGTATATTAGTAGGAGTCAGATATGAATCAAGCTAAAATTGAATATGCTCCGATGCCCTTAGCGTACTGGTACATTTCTAACCTTGGAAGGTTCCTCGGGTGTGCGCTGACTGTTACGCGTACTTTTGACAGTGCAACAATGCCTGATCAATTTCAATAGCTCGATGGCATCATTTTTGAGGAAATTAAGGATAAGGCTCTTGAGACCATTCGTGTTTACTACCTAGTATAGTATAGGTCCACAGGTCCAAGCTCGCATCTAAGAACTGTGCACGTACCGCTCGCTTAGCATAGCTTCTAGAAAGTGGGTTGCCTAATTAAAAATTAATATGCAAGATCCGACCGCAGTATAATTCTCAGCCCCCATTTATCCCAGCCTCTTTGTTTAAGAGATTGTTTTAAGCCAATCGGGGATGGCGGAATATAATATAATGTGCCCAGGTGATAAGGGGCTATTCCGGGCTAGCGCAACACGGACGAAGCCGCGCGGACAGCTACTTGCACCTCAACAACAATGCAAGGCCCACATAAGGTGATCCACCATGGACCCTGGCAGCTATTTCACCGAGGAAATATGGGAAGCTGAGGATAAGCGTGAATTCTTTCATGCCACCGTGAGAAATGATATGCGAAATCGCGTGGACCAATGGATGGAAGTGGATCGAGGGGATGGCTGGATTATCAGAAGTGACAGGGAGGTAGGTTACTCCCACAAGTGCTGACATCTACTATCCGCGGTTTTATCCCTGACTATCGTCAAAGGAAAGAGAAGCCGCAGCCGATTGGCGAAGAAAGCGAGATGAAGAGCGAAGAGAGTTCCTGCGAAATGCGGACGATGCCTGGGTTCATATTGTGGATAACAAGTTTGCGGAGAAGTTCTTCGCAAAGGCGCAGAAAAAGGATATTCCTAAGCTCAGGTCACCATCTGTACCGCTATGCAAATACTGCGACACTGTCCGCTTCGACAAATCCATAACGGTTACTGAACTTCGAGCGAAACTGAAACCTTGTCTGGTCTGTCGAATGAATCGCGCTCGGGCTGACGCAGTCAGAACCAAGATCGAAGTGCTTAAAGCTCCTACACTAAGAGTTTGCCGTGCACCGAAACCCAAAGGCAAATCGCGTTCGGAGTCGCACTCGGACATCCAAATGGGATTTCCTGTGCTTCCAGCCTCGGAGAGTGATATTCGATTCAAGCTGTTTCGGGAATGGCTTCGATGCTGTGACGAAACTCACGAGCAACGAGTTTGCAGTCCAAGATCGGAATCTTCATCGGTTGCCCTTTCTACGCCTACCCTTCCTTCGCGATTGGTCGATGTAGGCGAGGAGGCCTCTGATACTCTCTTTCTTCGTGATTTCCAGCCCAAAAGCCCCGAGAGAGACGACACAGAACCCGAGTCCAGGGAGAATATTCAATATATTGCTCTATCTCATTGTTGGGGGAAATTACCGGAACACAGAAGAGCAGAATACTGTCTCTCAGCCGAGAATCTCAACGAAAGACAAACAACTGGATTCCAACTCTCTACGCTCCCCCTGACATTCCGCGACGCCATCACTGTAACCCGTCGCCTAGGCAGGAAATACCTGTGGATCGATTCTTTATGCATAATCCAATCCGGTGACAGCCAAGCCGACTGGCAAAAAGAAGCGACTCGAATGGAATCAATATTCAGCAACGCATATTGCACTCTAGCCGCGACATCCGCTACCAACTCCGACGCGGGATTCCTGGCCCGGTCAAATACACGAAACTCCCGACCCTATATCAAAATCCGTTCCCAAACCCACGGCTCTTTATATGTCTGTACAACAGGTGACAACTTCGACCACGACGTCTCAGGTGGAGCACTAAACCATCGCGCGTGGGTATTACAAGAGCGTGCACTATCACGCCGAACAATTCATTTTACTAGTACGCAGGCCTATTTCGAGTGTGGAGATGGCATACGCTGTGAGACGATGACATATATGCGAAACTCACAGTCCCTATTTCTCGGGGATCCTGCATTCCCACTCGGAATGGGAATGCGCACCACTCGTGATCGAATCAAGCTTGTCCATTGGCTATTCACGGTCTACATGCAATTGAGTATCACGCATGCGACTGATCGGGTACTAGCTATATCCGGTCTTGAGAAGCGGCTAGCTGAGACCTTTCAAACTGAGTGCTGCTTTGGTGTTTTTGAGAAATACCTCGGTCGGTGTCTTTTATGGAAGAGAGGTGAACGGTCAAAGGCTTTGGAACGAATTGAGTATCCTGAATCGCGAGCGCCAGCGTCTTGGTCATGGATGGCGTTCAAGGGAGAAATTGAATATGTGGATGTTGATGCACAGGTTCAATGGTGTAAGGATATTAAGCTGGAGGATGCAGTTTTACGAGCTCCCATGAGGAGTTTGATATCTGAGAAATGTCAGGTTGGGCGGAATGGAGGAACTTATTCTATTGCGGATAAGCGGCAAGGTACTAGTTTTGAGCCTGGATGGTTGAAGTATGATCGACCGCGTCGTATTCAGTTGGAGAAGCATAAGCTGGTTATAGTTGGTAGAGAGGCATACGAAGCTCGGGATTGGTTGCGTCGATCATCTACCAGCTTTGATTATCATGTTTTGGTTGTTACTCCTGTGGGAAAGGAGTTTAAGAGAGTTGGAGTTGGGTTGATTCCTGCTGGGTGTATTTCTTTTAGTGATAAATTGACTCAGAATGGTGTAGTGTTGTAAACAATGGCAGATATGCTCAATATTATCAGTATTGCCTCATATCCTTGACTTTGAAACATGAGAGCTCTGACATCCGGATGTATAGAAGAGCCAAGCATAGTCACTATTTTATCAACAACCTAGGGAGGCGTCGTCCTCTAATTTATAGGTAACTTGTTTTGAAGGACACATGATCTATTAGAGGATATCGGTATACGAAAAGATGCAAGAGTTCCTAATTGTCGAGAATCACAGAGTCTATGCAGAATATCAAAGGTTTCATTATGATGGGTATCGCGCAGGAAGTAAGGGATTACTGTTGTCAAAGCACACTATAAAGCACAGAATCAAACGTTAAAAATCGCATCGCGATCATGCACATGTGCATTACCGAGGACCTAACAACCTAACAAAGAAACCCGAAAAGAAAACAAACGATCCCGGTCAAAATGCATTACAAGTCTTAACCTAGCCCCGAACCCATGCAAAAAGACCTGAAAAAAAGAAGCCCCTGATGATCAAGGTGGCGTAGCGTGAAACAAAACCATGGATCCGAACGGAACGGAACGAGTGCAGTGTCGATCACAAAGACCGAATTGTTTACCAGCCTCCATCATCCTCATACTGGTCCTCACGACCTTCTTCGTAAGCCTCGCGTTCATCATCGGAGTTGTTGTTCTCATCTGTATAGTATTAGCACCGCACTACACCGCATCACACCGCACCGCACCGCACCGGTAAAAAGAAAAGAAAAAAACATACCGATTTCATGCTCAACAAAGGCACCGAGAGCGGCTCCTCCAACACCAGCTAAGACCATTTTTCCAATGCCGCTACCACCACTCTGTTGCTGCTGGGGAGGGGCTTGCTGAGGCGGGTAGTTATCGTAACCCCCACCGTAGGGCGCAGGAGGAGGGGGACCGGAATAGTAACCCCCGGGAGGAGGAGCACCGCGGTCACCAGCGAATCCATAACCGTAAGGAGCTTCCCACTGGGAGCGACCGGTGGCTTCCTCAACCCAGAAAGCGCGTTGCGCGTTTGGCTCCCATTGTTGGTACCAGCCAGGTGGAAGTGGGGGTGGCGGGCCTGGAGGGGGACGCGCGAGAGGAGGACCAGGGGGACCTTGGTTGTAAGGTTGGCCACCGTATGGAGGTTGACCGTAACCTGGAGGAGGGGGACGATTGTAAGGATCACCACCGTAGTACGCCATGATGTGGTGTGGGAGAGGAAGAGGACGGTGGGGAGATGGATAGGGGAGAAAGAGAAAGTAAGAGAACAGGTGGTGAGGGATGGATCTTATAAGGGGAATTGAATTAAGCGCGTGTTGATTAAGACTAGGTAACTACCAGTTGACTATCATATATTTTTATGGGATTATGGTTATTCTTATTATTTTCTTTAACCAGTTCCGCTCTGAACCGAAACAATCATATTGAAGGCGCTACTTGGTTGGGTCTCCACCATCTGTGGAGGGTCAATGGTTAACCCCTTATATGGAGTCTTGGTAGTATTTTCAGTCCAGGCAGATGCAATCAGAGTATGTGGTACAGTGTTTACAGGGTATGGAGTACTGGATTAGGCGCTGATTTGAAACCCCTGAGCGTCACAAGGCTCATGGATCAACATGATGATCACAATGACCCGCTCAGTGAGATCGTTCATTGTCCCTTCTCCGTAAGGGTTGTGGGGGCGGGAGTTGTGCATCACGGTTACATTGATGACAGCGTGGAAGATTCGGGTAATGTTTCTAATCATGAGTAGGAGTCTGCAGGACGGAGTAAAGATGGCCGGAATACTAGGGAATTACTCCACCGTTTCAGACTTCCCCCTCTTTGCAGACTCATTATGAGTATACCATGTGAAGGACTTGCAATTGATAGATGATCTCGCCGAGAACGGAGTCAAAACAAATACCTCACCCCTCACCAGTGGGTCCAAGTCCCTGTCGTTTCAGTTTAGGCGGCTAGAGTGCGGAACAGACAGCAGCACACGATGTGGCGCATACTGACACAGCCACTGATATTAATACACGTGGCGGGGCTCCGAAGTGGATAAAGGGAAAAGGGGTCCAGGGGTATACAAAGGACTTGGCAGACAAGGAATTGATACGGATATTCATCTCGCAGTGCTTGAGCATGGCTCGGAATTGCATGATGAAAGAGGGGACATATACATACGCACTAGAATGCACCTAGTCAAGCATACTACGGAGTGCAGTGATTACATTGGAATGGGAGTTGAGTGGATATAGCGTAGATAAAGGTTCAACGAACTCAGCCTTATCCGAAATAATAATCATATTGTCTTGGCAATGACGCTGTCAGATCGAGAGAGCGAGCGATTAGAATATGCAGTCTGAAAAAATGATCACTAAGAAGGGGAAGTGCAAAATAATCCTCCAACACGTTACTTGTCCTTGGCGAGTCTATAAAGACATAAGATATTTCACTAAAGTCATAGATTCCAATCAAGGGTGAAGCGAAATGCTAAGCCTAGGAACCGGCCCAGTTGCTGGCCTCACTGTCACTGGGGTAGAAGAAGGATGCGAGACTAGAAGAAGTTAGAAAACTGAGAGAGTAAACAGGAACGGATGGACATACGCAATAATCACATAGGCTGCGATAAGCAGTGCACCCTCAAGGTAGTTACTGCGACCGTCGAGGACTAAAAAGTTGACAACAAAGGCAGTGACAAACAGACTGATGGTCTCGAACAAGGTGAAGTACAGGGACATGTCCTTGTCCATGCACCAACCCAGAATAACAACCAGGGGAGTAACGAAGATAGCAATTTGAATACTACTTCCAACAGAGACACCAATGGCAAGATCCATCTTGTTCTTGGTTGCCACACTGACAGCCGTGACGTGCTCAGCAGCATTACCCACAATAGGCAGGATAATCAAACCAATAAAGGCTTCGCTGACATTAGAGCTGGCGACCATGTCGGGAATGGCATCAACAAGGAACTCGGCACAGACAGCAACAAGACCGGTAGAAATCAACAGAAGAACCACGGCCGCAGTACGCGACATCACGGGTTCTGGCTCCTGAACAGCATCGGTAGCGACGGGGTTGGCAACCGTGGGGACACGGGCAGCACCACGAGCAAACTGCACGGCATTGCCTGCAGGAGGAACGGTGTTCATATGAGCGGGGAGAGAGTTACTGCGCTGAATACCCGGGCGTGCGGCAGTCCCAATGTGAGGCGAGTTACTAGGGGACTGCGAGCTAAAGACCGTGTTGGACAGCAACGAGGGGATTGGACCGAATGGCGAGCGCTTGCGGCTGGTGTCATTCTCCCCAGCGCCCTCCATACCGGCGAAGTTGGGTGCAGAGGCGAATCCCTTCATGGAGGGATGCGGGTCTTCCTTCACGGGAGCGCCATTCGAGGCCTCTGCCTGTGCCTGCGCCTGCGCCTCATTATGGGCCTGGACCTTCTGAGCGCGCTTAGAGCGACGCTTCTTACGTTCCTTCTTCCGAGCCTTATCGCTGTCATGGGCACTTTCAACGCGGCTCATGGTTAGGCCGAAGTCGCGGAAGCGTGGGTTGGCATCATCGTCGGCATCGTAGCGGACCTCTTCAAAGTCGATGGCACAAGAATTACTGTCATTGTTACTAGCAATGGAGTTGCCCAGGGAGCTCTGGTTCTCGTTCACCATGACCTTCTTCTGGACCGAGCGAGCCGTGCCCTTAGAGCTTGTACTCGACTTGCGGTGTCTGCGGTGTCTCATCGCACGCTTGATCCGTTTGGCGGTGGTCCATGATGTGGTGGTGTCCACCGAGTCTTCGCTGTCACTGGACGAGGAATCCGACGAGCTGTTCATCAGGTCTGCAAGGACACCAGGGTGGGATTCCTCATCGATGATTCGCTGGGGGATACTAGCGTAGAGATACGAGTGCGACTTGAGCTGGAAGAGGATATAGAGGATATATACCAGCAGGAGAACCACACTCGTACCACGGCTAACCTTCAAGGTTTGCCTGTCGGCAGCGGTAGTATCAGAAAAGGATGCATGAAAAGCGGTTGGCAGGAGAAGGCTGGTCACACTCAAACTGAGCAGACAAGCACTCATCTGTGTAACGGTACTGTTATAGATCTGCTCCTGGAAGCGGAGACCGCCCAGAAGGAAAGCCATACCCAGGATCAAGAGCAAATTAGCCAGGATTGATCCCAGTAGGGAGGCCTGGACAATTCGAATTTCATTCTTGACCAGGGCAATGATGAAAATGATCAACTCGACAGCATTACCGAAAGTGACGTTGATGAGTGCACCAATGGTGTCACCCAAGCGACTGGCCACGCTTTCTGTTGCGTGACTTAATAGTCCAGCGAGGGGAATAATAGCCACTGCATTCATAGCAAAGACAATATCTGGATTTAGTCCAGCTGCCTTGACAGCAATACCGAGTGGGACAAAGACCAGCAGGACATTGACCCAGCTGTGGAATAATGCATCCTTGGTATGATTATAGAAGCGCCCGCTGCCATTGCGCATGCGCACCAGCATGGGCGGCTTGTTGTTCTTTTCATCTTCGGGCCCCGGGGTAATAGTTTCCGCCGGGGCCTCTGGTGGGATATTCACTTGTACATCCCGACTGGGTTCTTGGAGGTGCGCCGTCTTGGGTATGGACGGGTCGGGAGCTTTGGGAAAGGGTTCAGTTGATTGGGGTTGAGAATCGCGAGGAGTAGTGGCGTGAGCTTTCGCCCACGAGTTAATACGGTCTGTATAGTGTGGGTCAGCGAAGGGTAATGGAGAGATAGGGGAGATAAGGTAGATTAATCTATAGTACACTCACGCATGTATTTCTTGAAATCAGCAAGGTGATTGAAGCAAGGCGATGAAGCCAAGAGATTCTTAGATTCCAATAAGGAAGAATGGAAGAAGTAAGAGAGAGAGAAGAAGAAAAGAAAAAGGGCGGATCCAACTATTTAACGGCAGAAGCTTGGCACCAACTTGGCAGATACAAAGTGGTTTTAGACTGCGATTCAACAGTTACAAGTACGGATTTCCCGAAATTATTGAATTCTTGCATCTATTAAAGGATGATCCAGTTCATTTTATGGGTCCTTCCTATAAAATGTTTTTGGTACAAAGTTTTATTTGTACCACTCAATCTGCATAGGTAGATCCCTCTGATCCATGAATGTTGAAGCTGACAGCCAACATTCTCAATGTCTCAAGCTTCGTAAGCTTGTCATCCCTCGAAATGATGTCAATAACTCGACTATTTGGGGTCATTCTGGTGACTTTTGGCGTTGAGTTGTTATGTGGAAGCCCAAGTACAAATGACGCGTTCAACTTAACCCCGATCCCTTTTTCCCTATAAGGGAGAAAATCCGGATCCACTATGGACAATGTCCGCCTTACCACTGGCTCCTCTACGTGCTTACCCACAGGATCGACCTTCCGCCATGGGTCAATAATCAATCGAAACAGAGCTTGAAACTGGAGATTGCGACCGGAGTACTTTGGACCCTCTTTCAACGAGTACAAAGAGAGAGAGTTGGTTTGTCCCATGGGGAACAGAAACAATCTTTTTTTATCAACTATGGCCCTACCTTTGCAACAGTTCAAGTTGAACTTGAAGCTAACCAATTCCGAGCCAATCGATAAAACCCGAGATGTCCGCACTTATTCGCAAATATATCCGAATCGAACCTAGTCTAACTTTCCTTGGGCATCTGATACGAAGATCGAGATGCAAGATGCCTCACTTACAGGGCCTCAAGGCCTCCAGTGGAAAGCCACAGAATAATGCAATCTGGACTGTGCTCCACATGATGTCATTTGTACGTGTCAGATACCAAATTTGTGTGTACAGTCTCATGCAGGTTTAATGGATGCAGACACTTGGACGGAGTACTATCTCCGTCCTACTTGTGAATTTGCCATGAAATTATGCATCTTGCCGATGACTTCGGTATTATATTTCCTCCGTACACTGGACACTGGGCCTTGGAACAGTCTAAGCCACGGTCAAGCCCCACTGTGGCTGTGAGATTGTCGGCTTTTCTCCGGTCCAGATCTTGGCTTAACAAAGGAACAAAGTATTGAAAATGTGTCAAAATGTGTCATTGAGGCTGAGTTTGGATTTCTTGCATTTGACATTCGGTTGATGAGATAATTCTAGAAGCTTCATGGGCACAGACCCTTCAAATGTTGCCCTCAAAATCAGTGTGACACATTCAGGCACCAGTCCGATAGTGTACTCCACACATCAAAATATTGCGATCAAAGACAAGGATTGATTTGTCTCTGTGCATTTTCTAACTCCCCCATTGATCAATGACCAAGGTCCAAGGTACCGTTGTACCAACTTGAAGTCTCCATCTCTGCAGGGCTCCCGAGGTCAGATCTGCACCTCCCTCATAGTATGCTCCAGCGACAAATCTTGGCCGCAGCATAAACCGCTGGCGAATACTATCAACTTGAAGTTAATCATCACTAGGTATGACTGGAATCAGAATTCGATGTCATAGTAGTAGTACTACAAGTTCAAGTTCAAGTTGAGATGGTTGATCATCGGGAACTTGAACACTGGGAGTATATTTTAAGCGGCCGGAGTAATTCACCAAAACATTCATCACAGTTTATATTACTAGTAACATTCAATGACCCGAACTGGTGACTTTTAAGCTACTACTCGTAGATACTGGAGATATGCCATGTTAATAAATTGCAAGTCTTTACTGAAACATTGCATTTCATCCTAAATCCAAGATATTTTATCAGCTCAATTGTATACAACATTGAACATTTCACCAGTTGACGAGGATCCACCTGATTCACGTGATCATCGGATATTGGAATTATCGACCGCACTCAATTCTAACTTGAACTTTATCAATAACAAGTCCACGGATACCGCTGGCTGATGCCGCTCTGTGAGACGAATTCGTTGCTTAAACCCCACCGTTCCTGAATTGATGGTGCATGAACCATAAGCACCAATCAATCCCTGTCTCAGCCCCATCGGCATTTGGCTCGGCACGGAATTATCACGGCAACCCGATCCACATCCAGCATCTTTCCCGAGAGTACAGACCGAATTGATTTTTCAATATTGTATTTTGCTCGCTATTTCTCTGATTTCATATATTCTGCTCATTTAATTCAACTATCGGCTGGTCCTGTGGCGGTTTATATGATCAATACACGCCAAACGTGGGCATGACTGACAAGGAATCCCGGCCATCTCGGCCTGGGATGCTGAGGTAAATAAACAGAAGTATCAAAATTGATGAGAGTGAACTAGCTAACGGACGGGTGCTTTCAAGCTTTGTCAATCCAAGTTATTGGTGGGCGAAGTTGGAGCTAGACTCGCACACGTTCCTGATGATGCTGAAAGGGGCGTTGGCCCCAACTATCACCATTGCGATGTCAGTTGCTACCGTCTAGGATTGAGGCAAGCTCGATCGGCTAACCTAAAACTCGTTCAGATATCAAAGCACTGCTATTTCTGACATAACCACCACCATTGGGTACCTTTCAGCCTTGATTTCCATCCTATCCCAGGCTCTCATGCCCCGAGCCAAATTTATGAAGATCATCTTCTATGATTTACTCTCCACCTGTGTTTCTGCGTCGCTATGCTGTCTGGCTATTTTCTGCGCTGTCAAAGCGAGAGAACATAACACCCCTGCAGATGCCAGCGAAAGCGTACGTAATGGTTTTAGCAGCGATGCTTGTGCAGTCTCTGCGGTCTGGCTGATCTTTATGATCTGGTAACGACGATCCCAAATTCAAATTCATATACAAACGCTAATTCATACAGGGGTGCGAATTCTCTCCGCGCTTTGAAACCAATGGAGCTACAAGACCCCATGGTTGCGTTTTCTATTTTTGCCTCAGTGACCATCACTCACGCAGGTCTGTTCACATCCCTCAGCGAAGGCCTGGAATTTGTTGCGCAACTTCTAAAGGGGTTCATGATTGGTTTCGCCATTGCCAGTGGAGTGTCCCTGCTCATCTACCCGATAACTAGTCGAAGTAATGTATTCCACGATCTCAAAGGCTACGTAGCCTCAATCGATGATGTCCTGCAGTCCCAGCTCTCATACGCCGAGGGTAGCTCCGTGACTGGTCTATTCCGTCGACGGGGTCTTCTTCGTCGGGCACGGACCGCTCTCAGTACCCGAGATATGCAGGGCTCAGACGAAACAGATCTACAGTCCAAGGAGAAACGGCTGCAGGGCGCAATGGCGAAAGTCAATGGGCTGCACAGTAAGCTTCACGCCGATCTATTCTACTCCAAGGATGAGATCGCATGGGGTAAACTGTCAGCGGAGGATCTTAGCAACATCGCAACACTATTCCGCAGTCTTCTCCTCCCACTCTCGGGAATGTCGATGCTGCCCGAGATCCTGGAGACAATGATCAAGAATGAAGGACCTCGTGACGACGACGACGCGCGGGATACCCTCGACGATCCAGATGAAGGGGCACTGAAACAATCTGAAATCCAGAAAGTTGTTGAGACGCATCACGCGCGGCTGGTGGATGCCTCGCAGCTGGTGAATCAGGGACTAAACTACTTCCTGCTAGCGCTGGAGCTTATCAAGCCTAAGCATTTAGACAAGGCAAAAAAGGCGCACCAGGGTGGAGTTCATGCCAGAGACGAGGAGGCAAGGGGTGAAACCTTGAGCCCGCTCCAGCAGGACTTCACGTTAAGGTTTGAAGAGGAGCTGCACGGGTACTTTTCTCGTCGGAAAGAACTCCCTGAGGCGCTGGCGTCTCTTGAGGCATTTTGTGTCTCCGAGAAAGCAGGTGCGGAGGCGGAGTCGCGATCTTCGCGAATACTTGGTGCGGATGCAGATGTGCGACAGGAGTTCTTTCTGATTTTGTTTATGGGGCATTTGCAGGATGATTTGCTTAATGCGACGCTGCAGCTGGTCAAATTTGCGGATAGCAAGATTGCTGATGGGACGATGAAACGGGGGAGACTGATTTTCCCGCGCCAGAAATCTATTCGCGAGTGGCTTTCACTTAGTACGGGGCCGAAGGATGAGAATGTCAAGGCACAGTCTGATAGTCGGCAATCTTCCCGTGTGGATCCTGGGGATATTCATCGCCCTCAGGCATTTACTGGGTTCCCCGATCCAGAACATCTTCCACCAGAGACCATATGGGAGAAATCTAGCATGATCTTGAGCTCCATTTCTCATGTCATCAGGTCAGAGCAGAGTTTGTTCGGATTTCGAGTATCTGCCGCTTCCTTTTCTGTGGCTATCCTAGCATTCTTGCACCAGACACAAGATTGGTTCGTTCGACAAAGATGTATCTGGGCGATGATTGTTATTGTCATCGGGATGAACCCGACGAGCGGGCAAACCATGTTTGGTTTTGTGGCGCGCATAGTGGCAACAGCCATGTCGCTTGTGCTGAGTTTAATTGTTTGGTACATTGTGGATGGGAAGACAGCTGGAGTGATCATATTCCTGTATATTGCAAATGTCTTGGAGGTAAGAGCAGGCAAGTCAGTTTGAAGTAGCGATACTGACATTTGAACAGTACTACTTCTATGTCAAATTTCCACAGTACTTTGGCGCTTCCGTCGTCTCCATAGTCACTTTGAACGTGATTGTTGGATACGAGCTACAGGTGATTCCCAGTTCACACACTGCAAGAAAATACAAGCTAACTCATGGTTAGGTTAAAAAACTGGGTATCACAGAAGCCGAGTCAAACGGCCAACCTTACTACCCGATCTACCTCTTCGGTCCTTACAAATTGGCCGCTGTAGCAGCAGGCTGCGCCATTTCATTCTTCTGGGTAATCTTCCCATACCCTATCACCGCCAAATCACAACTGCGGAAGCTCCTCGGCAAGAGTCTATTCGTGTTGGCCAAGTTCTACAGTGCCATGCACACGACGATCGAGCTGTGGCTCAGCAACGAGTTAGGCGATATCGAAGATAAGACCTCACCAGCACACCAACTCCGCGGCTCAAGACATAAAATCTTCAAAGAAGAAATGATGCTTCTCAATGGTTTACGGATGCACAGCCATTTCAGCACGTTTGAGCCACCCATCGGTGGCAAGTTCCCAAAACAGACCTACGACAATATCATCTCGGAGATCCAGCGCATCCTAACCAGTATGTCCTTAATGGCTCATACTACCCAGAGTTTGGAGGGCTTTGCTGTAGAGCCTGAGTCTTCACCGAACGCGGATGCTGAGGCATGGAAGTCTCGTCTCGCTGAGATAGCCTTGAAATCTACTGACTTCAACTCTCACCGGATTACATCGTTACTTTGTCATTTATCCGCTGCAATTGCGAACGCACAGCCTTTACCGCCATATCTTTCGACACCAGACTCATTCCCACTTGCGCGACAAATGCATAAAATCGATGATGAGCTACTGAGTATTCGTCATGTGGAGGACCCGGCGTTCTCTGCCTTCGTAGCTTTGGAGGTGCTGAGATCTGTTGTAAGCTTCAGCTTGCAGGATCTGATCGAGTAAGTCTCCCTCTTATCACCATGTATCTGTTGACAGAATGCTAATTTCGATAGGAATGTGAGGAAACTTGTTGGAGAGCTCAGTTTCGATTTCCATGTGAGGCAGACGGAGGGATACGCTGAATCGGCTCAACTGTTGCAAAGACCGAGTCAAGATGATTGAATGATAGCGATGAGAAATAATGCTATCAAAGTATCGGGAACTTACATAAATACTGCAATCTCTATCTGAGTGCAAATTCAAACAAAATATAGTAACATCATGATTTTTAAATATTACTAGGTATCTCTAACAAAGAACACTCAATCCACACCTCTAGTCCAACCTCTGATCACAAAAGCTTGTACTTCGCGGCCACAGCCATACTGATCACCATAAACCCGACAAAAGCCCCGAGAATGCCAAAGAACCAAGTCAAACCACCAGCATCCTGACCAGGAACAATAACATTCATACCGAACATGCCCGTAACCAGATGACAAGGAACGAAAATAGTCGCCAAGATAGTAACCTTGCTAACTACGGAGTTAACACTAAAGCTAATCCGCAGATTCGTCGCACTGAGCTGCGCCAGACAATTCACCTGAGAGCGAGCGATCATCTCATCGATATTGGTCAAAATGGATAGCGTAGTAACCAAGTGATCTTGAACATCACTCAGGTACAGGATGAGTTCACCATCAGGGAAAACAGGGGGACTATCATCCGTTGCCTGGCAGCGTTTCACCAGACCGTTTAACACGTCAACCTTGTTATGGAGGTATCGAACAGTGTGAGTGATTTTCTTGCGTAGGGCATCGATGCGAGGGATAAGTTGTTGGACGTCGTCGATGCGTGCAATGAAAACTTGATCTTCGATTGCTTCTGCTTCGCTTGCGGCTGCATCGCAAATTGGTTGGAAACTGTCGACGATATCATCACTGAAACAGTTAGTATTAAGTTTTGACTCACATGCACCTCATTTGCTTCCCTGGTTGTTGCTTAGATCTGGGTTTATGGAGGAGAGAGACATACATGAGGGCATAGCAGATCCAGTCACTTGATAAGACCACATCGTGCATTTTCCGAATACGGTCGCGAACACGGTTTACATGGTTACAACCACTCGGTGAGAAGGTCACGACACCATATTGGAAGACAAGAATGTACATCGATGCTGAAGAAGGAATACCAGGTCGTTCGTGGTCACCAGTACCAGGAGAAGGTTGAAGGAGGGTCTTGAATGAAATCAAGTAGTAGTTCTTGAACACATCGACTTTCTCACGTGGTTCCTGGAGAGTGATATCCTCGGTAGTGAGTGGATGAATGGCGAGTGCCTGAGCGACAAGATTGACATCATCTTCGTTTGCGTCCAGGATGTCGAACCAGAAGACTGGGTACGAGGGCTCAGGTCGGGACTTGAGTTTCTCCTGGATCACCTCATCATCCAGTTGGCCATGTGGGAAGATTCCTTCCCAGGTGGAAGAGGTGTATGTCTGCTGGTTTCTGGAGGAGAAGAAACTGAATCGGTCTGAGACAGGGAGAGACAGGTCCCCAGCCTGCTTCTCCTGTGATGCAGACATGATTACAGATTGATTTTGTGTGGAGCTAGCTGTCGAAGGACTGCCATGAAGAGATAGACAGTACTGGGAGGGCTGAATAAGTCGATCAAGAAAGGAACATACATCGAAGAGGGGAAGGACAGATGATTCAGCCCATTCTAGTTGGCAGGAAAAACGGCGGGTTGTGCTGTGAAAATGGGATAGTGCCTAACAGCGTTGCAAGAAAGTAGGGATTGAGTAAGAGAAAACTCCTGCAGTTCTTTCACAATAGCCAGATCATCCTTTAAGATGATGTATCGGTAGTACTAGTAGCCGAGTAAAGAATTTGCACTGAACGTGCCTTGCTGATCCTGCTTATGTTGGGCAAGTGCATACTCAGCCCTACCCGTTGACCCAGTTGACCCACGCTTACGACCCCGAAGTGGACTCGAGCAGATATCGAATGCCAATCAATCCATGGTTCACGTGCGCATGTGTTGGTCAGGGCCTTGGCCGGACCTTTTCCGAATCGGAATGAGTATGCCGAGGTTTTGATATCAGCTTGAGTTCTTTGTGAGTAATTTCTTCAAGTTGAGTCAGATTGGCTATTCCATAGATTGTCATGACTTGATTCTTCAAAGTACTCTCAGTACTAAAAGAGCCATATCATCCATGGATCTGTCTATTTGAATATTCTAAGATTCAATGTAAAGTTCGAGGTCCGACCAACCATCCCCAGGGTCCTCATGGAGGTTACCCATTCCGGCGTCGGTGGGTCAAACCATTGACGCGAGTCGGGGTAATGAGCCTTGGCACCAGGCATCTTCATTTTAAGCGAGTAATAGTATGGAGTGGGATCTAAGTTTGATAGAAGAATTCAAGTTGCATTCAAGTTGTCACAGGGGATAGTATGTATCCGGGATATCAAGGATTGTGCAGAAAAGAAAAACTTTTGACCAGTTCAAGCACTGGCATTCAAGCACTGGCAGACTTGAATCAGACAATAAAACCGAGATAACTCCATTACCCATATACATGTAAACTGCCGAGATTATTAACTCCTCGAATTACTGGTAGTAATTCATCAACAAATCAGAACTAAAACATTTGACTCATTATGTCCATGCACTCCATATACTCCGTGCTTCTCGCGTATCACCCCCATCTGAAACCATTAGTGCTACAATTCAATTTTGCGAAAGGGGAAATAGGGGATGCATACCCACATAATTTGGAATTATACTCAATTCTCCCCAACCTGTCTTGGCTCAACCCCTTGCTCCCGGTCCAGGCCGTAAGATTTGCGCAGACGGGGATAGGCAAGTAGGAAAAAGGCCACAACGGCTAGAAGGATAAGGAAAGTTGGGAGAAACATAAAGATGAATAAGAAGACGCTCAACCCGAAGGTGATACTCTGACCGCGGAGGAAACGGCGGGCCATGAGGTCGAGAATGGATGAAAACATGGGCCTGATTCAGTTCAGATGTTGGCTCTTCAGGGTATCCGGACCTCGGAAGCAGGCGGATGGAACAGAAAGAGCACTTGAAGAAGTTGACAAGTCCTGATGGTGTCCTAGTACCAGAAATCAACTGGTAGCACTTGCTGGAAAGGGAATTCAATGATCAAGTTTGATGTAGATCGAGTCCAGCTCAGTAGATCAGATGAAAGCTTCAAGCCTGGAGAAGACTCCTAGGGAAACCCAGGTGTCAAGCGCAGATCTAATTCCCCATATATACTCCAGGAAACGGACTCGGGACAATCTGGATGTGGCTAATAAAAAGTCAAGCCATTGCGTGGCTCAGGCAACCGAGATATCCAAACAGATTTTGTTGGGGATGCCGTCATGGACCCATAATAACCAAACAGAGACGAATTTTTTGAAATTGAACTCGGAAGAACAACCATTTCCGAGTCTAAAATTAGTTATAATTAAGTCCGAGTTTTTTTAAATGGGGTGGACTAGATTAATTACACTTTATAGCCGCCGGAGATATGAATGCCAACATTTGAACAGCTCAAGGTATGGATAGATGTTCGGCTTGGCGGCAATAGTTCCAGGCAGCAGTTTTTCCCCTAATTACGCGATACATAACTGCCACCATGGACAGTGTTCAGGTGATTTTCATAATTGAAAATTCCGTGTAATTTACAAAGATCTGCAAATATTTCACCGCTAATATAACCGAGAACTTGGGGGTGTGGATCAGAATTGCGCACTCGTTCGCTCCAGAGTTCCCATTATGAGCTTGGAGTTCATGAGCTAGAGCTAAGAATAATTATAGTAATTAATACATCATTGACAACTTGAGGGAACTTGAATATTCAAATGTCAATATGAAATAGAAGAAGTTAAAATTCTATCAATTGATATGTCTCTGATCCCTGTCGATCTGCATTACGGTAATTTCACCGAGTCGTCAAATCTCACCTGCGCATTCCAATGCCAATGTCGCCCTGTAGGGCTGAACATTGAAGAAAAGGGTGGATCCATGAACTCATCTATTAATTCTATCAATCAATTTATCTTATTCTTAATGATAGATTTTATTCTAATTGATTATATTATATGATTCTTCATCTTCTACTTCATACTAAGAAACCCCATTTATAACCCCAGGTCCCTTAAAATCCAAGTTCAATGTTAAGCTGATTCTTGGTGGAACCGCCATTAATTTCTCTTCTCCACACTCTTTTTCCCCCCATTCCTGTTTTTTTCTCTTCTTCCCCTCCTTGTCCATTTCACTCTTTTTACACCGTCTTTTCGTCTATTCTCCGTACACCCCGTCGAATCATGTCTTGGCTGGCGGGATACGGTAAGGCCCAGGACGAGGAGAACGACAATTTAGGCGTTGACTGGGTTCTGCAGTACGATTTTAGTGACACCGGTACGTATTCCGACCTGCATGCCCACTAGGAAGTCAAAAAAAAGGAAAAATCAAAAAGAGACAAAAAATGAATACCAATTGATTATTATCAGCCCAGAATCAAGCAATTGCAGAATTTCGTTCCTTAATTCATGATCTCACTGAAGCTGGACTTCGTGCTCAAGTTCGTCATGGACATGGATCTTCCCTATTGGTGTTTGTGCGGGTTCCCCGAGATCACCTAGGAAATATGGTCCACCAGTCACGGTAGGAACATTAAAAAAAAAAGACACATGTGCATATTTGGGTTCAAAATACTAATAATAATTATAGGACTAAAGATTGGCTATTCGGAATCACACATTCACTTCCCGAGGGCGATGAAAATACAATAGTTCACGCCGAAACCGCCGCCGAAGAAATCCGCTCCGTATATCACGCCGTGACTTGGAAGAAAGAACTGAGAGGTGCGGGAATCACTGCCAATCATGGAAAATGGAAGAATGTCACCGCTTCATTCCCCTTGCACGACCAAGACGCATGTTCGCAGCTTCTGGGCCAATTGAATCGGAAAACAGTACTCACTACTGAGGACCTCGATACGATCCGTGCTCTATTTGGTGAAAAGGTACATTCCTGTTGATAATGGTGGGTATCGTTTATAAGAGTGCTAACTCAGATCTAGGTTGCCTTCTACTACGCATTTATCCAATGCTATTCGCTCTTTTTAATCGTACCTGCAGTGCTGGGCATTGTCGGATGGCTCTATTTGGGCCCTTACTCTATTTTTTATGGTATTGCCATATGCACCTGGTGTGTGGTATTTGTCGAATACTGGAAGATTCGTGAGCATGACTTGAGTCTCCGATGGGGTGTGAAGGGGGTTGGCAGTTTGAAGGTCAACCGCCCACAATACCAGTGGGAACGCGAGGTCAAAGACCCCGTTACAGGCGAAGTGATGAAAGTGTTCCCAGGATGGAAACAATTCCTTCGCCAGCTACTCTTAGTGCCATTTGCCTCAGTTGCCGCAGTCGCACTGGGAAGCTTGATTGTGGGGACTTTTGCATTTGAAGTCTTCATCTCAGAAGTTTACGATGGTCCGATGAAAGAATTTCTAGAATTCGTGCCGACCATCCTATTCTCGCTCTCATTGCCTGGAATCAATTCCTTCTTAACCAATATCGCCACTCGATTAACGAAGTATGAAAACTACCGCACACAAGATCTGTACGACCTCGCCCAAACACAAAAGACTTTCGTTATGAACTTCATTACATCTTTCTTGCCTACCCTCCTCACGGCTTACATCTATGTTCCTTTCGGCAAATTCATCATTCCTCATTTGAATCTTCTCCGGACATACGGTCATAATACCGAAATCACATCTCATCAAGAACATGAGGTCGACCCATCGCGTTTCCAACAAGAGATCATCTACCTGACGGTGACAGGACAAGTTCTTGGATTTGCCGAAGAAATTGTTCTCCCATATGTCAAGAATGTGCTCTGGCAGAAATGGCGAAACTACCGTGATCACCAAGTTGGACTGACCCGACAACGCAGCTTCTCTACAGCGACCGATCTTCTGTTAATTGATCGATCCGACGAAGCCAAATTCTTGAAGCGGGTACGCAGTGAAGCAGACGCAGACGAGTATAAAGTTGAAGATGACATTCTGGAGATGTGTGTGCAATTTGGCTACCTCGCCTTATTTGGAGTTGCCTGGCCACTTGTCCCACTGGGCTTCCTACTCAACAACTGGCTGGAGATTCGTGGAGACTTTTTCAAGTTAACTCTGGAATGTCAGCGACCACCACCTATCCGAGCAGACTCCATCGGACCTTGTCTGCTGGGATTGGACTTCCTTGCATGGATGGGTACCTTGTCCACAGCTGCTATCGTGCACATGTACCGTGGTCCCGTGGCCGAGGTGAAGTTGTCTTCTCTTCTACTGACTGTCTTCGTGGCCGAGCAAGCCTACCTGGCTATGCGATTTGTCGCCTCAACTGCACTCCAGAAGATCTTCTCCGATCACCTGCGCCGCGAGGAAGCCCGTCGATACGCAGTGCGAAGAAGTTTCCTAGAAGCAAATAACTCGGTCGGTAATGGCTCACCTGGCCCTCGAGTCCGCCAGCGAGTCCGCTTCCATGAGAAGGTCAATGTTTATAACCCCACAGACAGTCCACCCTCTTACGATGGTTCTCCTACCCCATCAACTGAGGAAGCACAAGATGAAGTCCTTCGTGGATCTGACCGGGAGGCCGAGTTCTGGCATGGGCTATCATGCGACACTGCTGATGCAGGTGTGAAGCTCATCCGTGCCCTCAGTGGCTCTAGGCCTGTGGATGAAAAGTGGACTAAGGAGGCATAGCGTATTTCACTCTTTTTAATCTTTCTTTTTTTTCTGTTTTCTTTTTCTTCTTTATTAGCTTAGCATTGCATATAAGGTGCAAGTAATTTTCATCTTATGGGTCCTTCGATAGGAGTATAAGGTAGATCTTTTCTAACATTAGAACAACATGGTTGCCTGAATCCCAAGCCTAGAGCTATTTAGTAAGAGAAATAATAAATAGAGTATTCCGTAAAATGAGACCGGGTTCCATTATTCCGAATAATCAAAATAAATAAATTAAATAAATAAATTACTAGTGGATCCAGGGGGCGAACTGATACGTGGGGGATTGTTCAGCCCTACAAGGCTAGGACCCGCCGAACCAATGGGAAAAAACCTGGCCTTAACCTCTTCCTCTTTACCTCTCTTTCCCCCTCTCATCTCTTCTTTCTCCTTTCTCTCTTATTCCTCTCTCCTCCCTATAATCTCCTCTTTGGAGATCCTTAACCCCTCCAAAAAACGAAATGTGAAATCCTCTCCTACTCTCGGGCAAGACACAATAACCTTGAAAGAATTGAAACCCCCGGGAAAAGAAACATCCAGAATGGCGCACGCACATCCAGGATCCAGTTCCGACACATTAATAGCACCACCCTCACCAGTCCACACAACAACACACAAACCCAGTACCCTAATGGAATCTGATCTCGAACTCTACCCACTAGAATCCGAGTCACCCGCCCCAATCCCCAAACTCTTCCGCGAAGCAAGCGACATAACCTGGCAAGAGAGCCTGGAGTCAAGTCAAGAACAAGTACCCCTGGTCCGAAGACGTGGATTACATCGATACCGCCTAGTCCACCAACAACAATTCAAGAACTCCCTTCTCGCCAGTGTGGGATATCTCGAACTCGCCAATGCAGGTGACTTTGCCGCGAATGTGTGGAACGATATACCCGTGCCGACATTTGCGGCCGTGTTAATGGGGATTGGTGGGACTTTAGCCCTGGCAATGACTTGGGTTGCTGTGCAGGACTTTCGTCTTAGTTGGCGGAATGTGCGGTTGCTTCGTGAGGAGAGGGAGCATTTGATGCGATTGAAAGCGTATCATAGTCATAATTATTCCCATGATCACAGTCGTACCTGCAATGAGGGCACCCCGACTCGGAATGAGGAGTTAACTCGCGTTCTGGATAGTCGACTCGGTGTTGGGATGCGGGAGATTGGAACGGAGGTCGTGGATCGTATTGTGATGGATCTGTTAATGGGGGCGGGATCGGTGCTTGTGGGTGTTGGAACGTTGATGGCAATTGGAGGAGCGAACCCACGGGTATACAAGGCGAGTAACCTACTCTCGGGGTATATCGGCAATGCTTTAGCTGCGCTATTTGGTATTGCGAATGCCATTTGGTCGATATATTTGATACGTCGATTTCGGATGTACGATCGGGCTGTTTTGAGTCAAGAGCCGAGTGATGATATTCGTCGTCGACTGCGGCTACGATTCAAGAGGTTTCAATGGCATTCACTGGTGAATTGCCTAAATGGACTCGTCGCTGGTGCCGCGTCAATGGTGACAGCCAAGTGGTGGGAGGGATATGTGGTATTGATTCCATGTATCATCTCACTCATCATGTGCAATCACTTCTGGCGCCAGAAACTCGGATATGACCGACCGATCCTAGACCATGTCTCGCTGGCCAAACTACAGTTGACACCACTGATCGAAGATCTGGAATATGTCATTGCCATGCAACGAGTCCTGGGTGAACTGGATTCACAATTGCACCCTGATCGGGAATTAGATCACACCACTCAGCCGATTGTGCGTGCCGATTCGCTAGACTCGATGTTACGTTTTATCGTGCGAAACCATATGTTGGAGACATATGTTGATGATTTGGCCCACGATAAAACCACTCGTTCTATTTTGTCCGAGATTCCATCCACCGACTCCACCACCACCAATGGTCCGGAAACTATTGTTACGTTGGACGTTCTCCTCCGCCTTTCGCAGGCCAAGCAGAGCCACGCTCAACTTCTTCTCAACCACGCACGGAGGTTTTTATCCACCGAAGGCGTCCGCATTTTCACCCATCGCGAGCGACATTTACTAGAGTTATTGGGGTACGCTGTCTGGCAGGATCAGACCGCATCTACAGTGGCGCCTCCCACTCTCGCCAAGGACACCATAGAGTGCAAGTAATAATTAGCCAATGTTCAAGGCGACTGGTTCGCCGTCTATCATGTATAGCTGTGCGATACTGTTATAGATTATGTGCTGGCCATATTACAGAACATTTTATCATTCAACCATGTCCATTCCGTCAAGTATTTCTATGTAGTTCTATCATGATGCTAGTATCGGATAATCTATCCACACGAATCTCAGTCTGAGAATCTAGACATCCAATCCAGGACAATCCTCGTTTGTCCAAGCAGTAACATTGGTGTAGGGAGAAGGATCAGTCCAGATCCAGTTGTAGCTAAGAAAATTAGAACCATTTTACTAATCAGAGTAAAAGAATGACTCACTCATCATCAGGGTAGGTAGGCGCATCATCATCACCTAGCTCTTCCACGATCTCACCCAACCCCTTGTGCTCCCAGCAAATGAGAATGTTTCCGCTGCCGGAGTAGCTCTCCACGACATCCGCGACACAGGAGTAGTCTGTCTTGCTGCAGGAGGTATCGACAGTCAAGCCAAGTTCTTCAGCGAGGGGTTCGACAGTGTCATAAGGACGCTGACGTTTTCCATCTGGATCTAGTTAGCATTCGTATTCCCGGTACGAAAATTCTGAACTTGAAGTAAAAGTTGACGAAATTGACCAGGTGAATACATCGCAGCCTAACCCGACCCCTGAGTCAAGCCGAGCTCGGGAGCCTTGGTTCACTCTGACTCAACCCAACCAAAAACAAAACCACGGATACAAAGAAAACATTGAAGAAAGGTACATACCACTCTTAGGAGTCTCAGCCATAATATAATCAATATCATAGCCGGAATCAGGTCCAAAGACGTTCTTCAGACACTGAGCACGCTCCAGACCCTGGGCACTCAGACCATCAGAGCCGTTGCTGGGTTTTTCACCATGACGGATAAGGTAAACAATTGGATCGGCGGAAGCAAGTGCCGCGAAGAGAACAAGAGAGAGGACCTGCATTGTGGTGACAGAGATGGTATGTAACTCAGAGTCAGAGAGATTGAAAAGTGGGTTGGTGGAGAAAGAAAAATGGAAGGAGAGGATATGGTCTAGTATTAATAGTCAACCTGACCAACCCAAACTTGAACAAACCATCCAGATATCTACAAGGCTAAACCAGATTTACTAGCATGTCCCTATTTGCCAGTGGTAGTGTGTACCCAACCAAATCATAATGAACATAGTGCGGATAAACGGAATCTGGATCTGCATGTAAGGAGTAAAACTACCCAATCACTGGAATTACTACTAGGTACCCCATAGATACTAGAAGAAGTGAATCGAGAATATTCTCCAAGGTTTGCACTAATGAATCAAGCAATACAACCTCATTCACATCCTTCACTGTCAGGGCACCATACATCGTGTTAATCGTCAGGACATGGGCATATGCAACATTTTGATTCGTGTGCCGATCGGGGATTTAGTGCTTGCGCCCCGCGGCCCGCATTAGTTGTTTGATATCTTAATGATCATGGAATTGACTCGGAGTAAACGTCCTGGATACTATGGCTATGATTCTTGATGTTTACATTATTCTACAAATGTTGAAGTTTGACATCTGGAGTTGGTTTAAATTAGGTAGTTCAAATGAGAACCTTGGAATTGTATGTGTTGCGAGGTGTGATCAACCTGGCTGGTCTGGTACCTGAATCTGATTAGATTCTTCAGCACTTGAGGGCTTACACTCACCAGCCTATCTCCGAGACCCATTTTCCACCCCGAGTTCTAGACATCTACTCCACAGGAACCAGAATCCTACTGCTTACTGTGGAGATGACTTCATTGGATGACATTCAATCTTAAACATCCGATCTTGCATTCGGGTGTGCGCAAGCGCTGGAGCTAAGTATTGGATGCGTTGTTCACTCCGAATAGATGCACGTGGGCCGGATATGTCCGATTCCACTGACAGTGTGAACTATTATGGTCAGATTCACAGATGTAGATCGGAATAAGAGATTTATTGGAATCCGCGATATACGCCACGGTATTGAGTAGAGATGAAAATAGAAAAGGAAAACTAGGAGAATCCACATGATGACCAATAGATAGAGTCTGCACTCGTAAGGTCAAATTGTTCGGGTATCTGCGAATCAATTAGAAATCAGAACCAGAGTCAAGGAGAAAGAAATCTCACCATAAAATCCCAACTACTGATCAAATTAGGAAGAGATTCAAAAGGCATCTCATTGATACCTGCCAATTCCATTTGAATATTCTCTTCGCCCTCCCCAACCCTCTCCTCAAAAAATGCCAGGCACGTCGCTTGTGCCTCCTCCGCTGCACGGAGGTACAAAAGCGGGAATTGGTCTTCTGGGATACCACGCATCATTCCTTCCAGATTTGCATTGACCAGTGATAAGAATAGGTATCCCTTCGTATTAGTCTCGCCCGCCTGTAAGCATTTCCAAGTCCACTTGCACGAATTCTCAACCACAGTAAGAAGATCGCGACGTAGGGGGGACAGGACCAATGGTATCCTCCTCTTGGAGTTGTCGCTTTAGTTCTGAGGCTATGAGGAAGCATACTTGTGTGGTGATCATGCGCAATGGCCCGGATCCACATATAGCAAGGCGGGCGAGATAATCTGGTTCGGAGGATTGAGGTTGGTTCCGGTGTCTGGTGGTCATTATGTCTGAGGAAGGGTTCACGGCGCACCAAATTTGAAGCGCGGTGTCAACGACCACTTTTCTTGTGAAAGCGTATGATGTCTCGTGTAGTGAAGGGGGATAGAATGGCGTATGGAGAGCTAAGAGATATCGGCGCACCAAGAAGTCGAGCATTCGGATTTGGAATTGTGTTGGGGATGAGACACCAGGATCATATCCCTGCAGTGTTCGACATATCGCTCGATAAGACGTGCGAAGCTCTGTATCCAAGTGAATAGTTTCTTCGTATGAACAGTGCGCTCCAATCCCATTCAAAGACTTCGCAATTGCCAGCCGAGTACTGAACATCTTTCGAATGGCAAGTGAGATAGACATCTGGGTAAATGTTCCATCGGGTTTGGGCGAAGGATCATCTGCAGTAATATCTTCATCTTCAAAGTTCCCTGGTGGATGGGTATCAAAGTCTTCCAGTGTCAATAATGGAGGAGCGCCTGAATCGACACTCGTGTTCAGCGCCAGTTCGAGAATAGTGTTCCATAGCCGGCGGCGCATCTCTGATACAAAGGTGCTTCTATGTGGCAGGTACGAGGGATCCCTATGCATTCCCATGTAAACTGCAGTCCGGACTAATTCTCCCACGGTGATCCAAATCAAGGCTCCATTCACCCAGACGGCCTCTCTTGCAAGTAACAACAAGATTGAGATCTGTATGAACGGCAAGGTAAGACGAGCTTTGAAATCCGGCTCGGCAATCCATGTTTGTGCCTCGTAGACCCAGTGAACTGACTGAGTTCGCAGAGAATAATTATCATCGTGGACCACAGCTCCAATAGCCATGATCAGCTTCAGCAAGATGATAAATTCCATGTCCGGTGGTGTGTCCGATCCCCATAACGCGTCATAGTCCTTTCGGAATGTCGGTACGTGCAGCACACGATACCTGCATTCGTATGTGCGTAGATATACATCCACAAGGGCATCCGCCAGATTCTTCGGCGGCAAGTCAGGAGTCGAGGGAGTAGGCCATGATGGCGTCCTTTGTGATTTAATTATTCTCCCAAGATACTTGCACTTTTGTAAATTGAACAACACTTTCGAATTATCAGCCGACAAAAGCGGCTCGACTGTTTCCAAGATATCCATAAACTGATTCACATTAGCTTTTTCTATCCTATGCCTGTCATACATAGTAGATTATCCTACCTCTGCAACTCCGTTTATCCAGTGACTCTGACCAAAAATACGTGTTTTGTGCACAATAGTCCGCGACATAGTAGGTGCCTGACCCTCAGAAGGCGCTTCACGATGAACATGGAATATCCCCGTGATATGCGACTGATTCCCTCTGGAATCCCATATCGGGCTCTGAGCCGATGCCGCCGAGGCGCGCTCGGCCTTAGCCAGTTGATCCTCAAGTAATTTGATCTTGGATCTGAGCACCTCGACCTCTCGAGTAGATGACTGGCTAGCAGGTGTTGAGGGATTCGTTGAATGAGGTACCACAGACGAGGAAGAATGACTGACAACCTGAGATCCTCTTGAGTTGCTCTGTTGATCGACTGATGAAATCGTACTCCGCTCGGCCTCCCGAGATCGACGACCGCGCGGTGGCGGGGAATTAGTCACATACTCGCAAACCGAGTTCTTTGACCGAAGACAATTGTTGCATGGTGATCCTCGATTGCACCTGATTTTTCTCTTCCGGCATACTGTACAGGAGCTGTAGCGGGTCAGTGATCTACGCCGATTCACCACCTTGTGGATGCTTACACTGGTGGTCTCCTGCGTCGGCGCTCGGGCTCGGCTGCGGGTATTACCCCGGTGGGGTTTGTGTTCATCTGTGGAATGTTGCTTCGCGTTCCCTAAAATATACAGCTGGCCAATTACACAGGGTAATCTTCTTGTGATCTGTTCAGCTTAGATGCACATGTGAAGTATTTTTTGAATCTTCAGGGGTTAAGCACAATATGCTGGGATTCGATGTGTGATAACTGCGCATCTGGTCCGTCTCGTCTTCCATATCCCGAGTCCGAGTCCGCGGTATTTTCATGCTGTAAGTGAGTCTCCGTTTGTGATTTTTCTTTGTCGCTGCAGACGAAACTATCGGTGGATTGAACATATTGGAAATTCAAGCTTCGATTTTTGCGGAGACTTGACTGCCCAGGTGGATTAAGTACATCCCCACTCCAGATAACCCCTCAGAGCATCAGCGATGTCATAAATCATGGCGCGATCCAAGTCCCAATCAAGTCTGGGCTGCAAATAAATCAGCAAAATAAGTCGGCCTGAAAAATAGGCGAGGGGAACACAACCCCCAAAATCTCGAGAAAATGGCAAGGACATGCAAGATATCGTCCATTTGAGTCAAATTCAACCCAGCGCGACAAAAGTATGTTCTCTCGCTAGACCTTGTGGGCGCCGATGTTCTTGTTCTCAGCTTGTCTCTGATCCTCGATGACTTCGTTCTCAGCATCGGCCGTGGTGTCGTTGGAATCATTGTCACTCAACTCAACTAAGTGGCGAATAAATTGTAACCGAACACGATCCAGTTCGGGTTCAAGATGATCCTCGTGCATCACTTTCAGGAGGCGAGCGACCCTCTCGGCTTTCTCTTTCCGGTGCGAAGTATCATCGGGATTTTTGGGATCATCAGAAGAGGTGGCGCAGTCATGAGGGTCGTTTCCTTGTGCCCAGTCTGGGAGAAGTGGTCGTTTGACGCGGTTTCCTTCATCGTCTAGAGTCCAGCGCATTTTGACTGTTTTGGCTTCGACATCTGTGGATTAGCTCCTGAACGATAATCCTGATGGTGATATCTAGTCTTACCTTGATTAATGTGACCTCGCGAAATATGGGAAATATTGAGTGGGAGGGGAGGCGGAAGATGAAAAGCGAAGAGATGGAAGATTGGAAAAGTAAACAGCTTCTCATCTCAGATGACTTCGAAGCTTGGACACCAAGATGCTAAACTGGCCCGCGGCGAGCAACTACAGTATTGCTATACGCTACACGAACCTCGCTTGAAAGTCACGCTTGTTCATGTCATTTAGCCTAAAGATTCTGTTTTTCAGACTTTTCCCTGCGACTAAAAGGTATGAATCTTCGCTAGGTACAGCACTTGAGTCAGACCACTACTGTGTGCAGAGAACACACTACTATATCAAACTCCAGGTCGGAATGATCCCGCATCTTAAAGATATCTATTTATGACTCCCACCCCGCACGTTGTCCTGCTTAGCTTGATCCACAAGGCTCATTCTCGCGTAGTGGGAAGTGACTCCAGGGCTTCCAGGTTTATATGATTGAAACTCTTGTCTCAGCTGGTCGACTGTGAGGGTGGTTTGTGGAGAGGGAGTCATGATTTTATCTATTGGCTCTCGTTCTCAACATGGGAAACTTGAAGGAAAGCTACTATTTATTTTTGATCCGCAATGCCAGAGTGTGAGATTCAATGGTTTGAAACTATGCAAAGCTTTTCGTTGACTTGATTTCAAATTGACGGTCTCACATAAATTGATTGTTGGAGCACAGATCGAGCTGACATTTTCCCTTATTTCTCCGTCCGTGAAACCTAGGGAATAATCCCATCATGCTGATGGCTCATAAACTATTTGGCGCTTATGACTTGAACTCAAGCCCAGATCATATGAATTCTTTATTAAAATGAGAAATCCAAATATCACAGTTTTGAAATATGCTAGTTTCCAACAAGGGTGACTCCCGAGGTCTAAGTATAGGAGCCTATAAACATCATGATACATTTGGTATATCTATCCCCTTTAATTCAGCTACTTATATCTCTTACCAGTACTTTCGAATATTCAATATTAGTTATCTCTTACCTTAGTCATCTCTTATTTCGACTATATATCTCTCACTTTACTCAGACATCTCTCACTTCAAGTTTCGCTTCAACTTGAACTTGAAGTTTAAACATCTCTCACTTAAGCCTTATCTATTATTCAAGTCTTCATATCACGATAATAAAGCAACTAGCAGTGAGCTAGGTGATCGAAATTTATTATAGGAAAATGGGGTTTGGTCGCATTGCCATTACAGGTTTCTGTGGTACCCAGCTCATACTCTATCACAGGAAGTTTAAAGACAGCAGTCCACGCACCACTCTTGAGAATCTTGGAAGTAAACTAGCTGTTCAATGACATCACATATATTTAATTCGCAATGAAATCTCTCAAAATCAAGATTATCTCCAGACTCACAAGCCTAGATGTTCAAGTTCTTAAGCCAAGGTCTGGCAAGGGATGATCCGCGCGGCCGAGACTCCGCGCAGAGCAACCGGCAGCTGACAACCGCATTCCAAACAAACATCTCCACAACACTTTCATACCAATCGGCCATTGTTATTGGCATAACTGGAATGACGGGGAAACTGGCATGTATGGTCCAGATCACATAGCCAGCCTTTCTTCGGCCATGTTTTGTTTATCTTCTCTTCTTTCTCCCTCAGCGTGCTTTTCTGATACAGAACGAGGTCGCGAGATCGAGGATGCGTAGCAATTTGTGCTTGAGTGTTCTTGCAGCTACCGCTACGACGGTATCATGTGCAATTATTCCTATCCCAGAGGAATCAGTGCGAGCGGCGATTCATGCTATACCTGAAGCGCCGGCTCAGCCTCCATCAAATGCATTTCACATAATTCCACCATGGCTGGCGAGTTTGATTGAGTCGTATGTATACAATAGAATCTGATCGGTTTTCAATGCTAACTCTTCATCAGAGGAACTCTACCGACTCCAACCAGCGATGATGAGACCCCGTATGTATCTCCACTGCTGATTCTGGAGCATCGCTGATACTTTTCCAGGAGCGTACAGCCAACGCCTGACCCAATTGTGACGCCTAGTACAGCTCCTAGTGCTGAACCTACAGCTTCACCAGTGGAAGCTGTACCTGATACCACTTCAGCTCCATCTACTACTTCTATTAGTGTACCAAGCAGCACTCCAGCTCCACCAAGCAGCACATCTTCATCAAGTAGTACTTCGACATCATCAACAAGTACCTCGACTACAACCATTTCGCCCAGCAGCTTTCCGATTGTTACGCCCAGTACCAGTAGTCCACCGGTTGCTCCCTCAACCAGTTCATCAACACAGACATCAAGTACGCGCATCAAATCTCCCTCACAGGACATTTCAAGCGTACCAGTACCATCGAGTACAACGAGTACAACAAGCACGACACGGGAAACTCCAAGCACAACTCCGAGTTCAGTGAGTGCCAACATAGCGCCAGCTGGCTCGGCATTTGTACCGGCTACAAAGACATGTCCCGGAGTCGCAAGACAATCGTCAGATATCTATTGGCTGGATGATCAGGATCATAACCAAGGTGGCGCGGGATATGCCCCGTACGCTGCTGGTACCAAGGTGTACCCTGTGTACCGCAATGTGATGGACTACAATGTTGTCAACGATGGTTCCGGTGATCAGACAGCCAAGCTTCAACATGCCATTGATGATGATGGGAATGGCGGCTCTCGTAAAGGCAGAGGTACTACACGTTACCCAGCGGAGGTTTTCCTACCAGGTGGTACATACACTCTTGGAAGCACCTTGACTCTCACGGTTGGCACGATAATCATTGGAGACCCTCGCAATCCACCTGTTATTAAAGCCAGTCCCAACTTCCAGGGCCAGTTCCTTATCATGGGCTATGATAAACACAATGGGAACCCGGAGACCAGTTTCATGATTCTGATGAAGAACATCATCCTGGATACCACTGCTATCCCTGTCAATAGCAAGATCACTGCATTGCAGTGGGGCGTTGCTCAGGGCTCAGGGTTGACGAATATTGAAATTCGCATGCCAACGAACTCGAAAGGACACACCGGTATTGATATCAATGCTGGCTCTACGATCGCGGTCACTGACGTGGTGAGTTTTCATCTCGATACTAGAGTTATGACATAGTCAATGCTAATTTCTAATAGAAAATCGTCGGTGGCGCCACTGGTATCATCAACTCGAACCAACAGGTCAACTTTAAGAACATCCAATTCCTCGGCTGTGGTACCGCATTTGACGCAAAGGGAGGATGGACCGTCCTTCTCCAGGGCGCGAGATTTGAGTCTTGTGGTACTGGTATCAATATGACCAGCAATGGACTGGGCAGCTTGGTCCTGCTTGACTCCACTGTGATAAACTCTGGTCCTGCTGTCAGATTCCATGACTCCTCTCACGATACTGGAAGCCAGAACAGTCAGTTCCTCATTCAGAACCTAGCGCACGATGGCACAAACCCGATCGCTGTGGACAGTGAAGGGAACACTCGTCTCGCCGCAACTGCTCACGTTGATACCTGGCTTTGGGGTACTCTAGTCGAGGGAGAGTATGAACAAGGTGCAAACCATAATACCGAGAGACCTGGAACTCTGCTTGTAAACGACAAGTTCTTCACCAAGTCACAACCGACCTACAACGAGTACACTGCTGCCGATGTAGTCAACGTGAAGACTGTTTCAGGTTTCCCTGTGAAGGGCGATGGTGCTACAGATGACACCAAGTCTCTCAACGCCATCTTGAAGCAAAACGCAGAGAACTGCAAGATCACCTTCATTCCATATGGTATCTACCGAGTCTCCGATACCCTTTTTATCCCGGTCGGCAGTCGTATTGTGGGTGAGGCTTGGTCAGTCATCTCCGGCTACGGTAACGGCTTCAAAGACATCAAGAATCCCAAGGCAGTTGTTCAGATCGGTAACCCAGGAGATGTGGGTCTGATCGAGATCCAGGATATGCGATTCTCAGTTGCAGAGATCCTACCTGGTGCCAAGGTGGTGGAAATCAATGCTGCTGGCTACTCACCCGGTGATGTTGGAATTTGGAACTCGGTTGTCCTGGTAGGAGGCACAGCCGAAACAAGCATCGCCAATGTCTGCAGCTCTCAAGACCCGAAGGACTGCATGGCTGCGTTCATGGTCATGCACCTCACCGAATCGTCCTCAGCTTACATCGAGAATTTCTGGGGATGGACCGCAGACCATAATCTCGACAGCACATCGCTTCTTACCATTGTGTCTACTGGCCGTGGAATTCTAGTCGAGGCGACCAAGGGAACCTGGCTTACTGGTACAGGCTCGGAGCACCACTGGTTATACAATTATAATTTCCACAATGCAGCCAACGTATACGCGGGTCTTCTTCAAAGTGAGAGCCCATACATGCAAGGCTCTGGTGAGTACCAGAATGCACCAGCACCATGGACCGTGGAACCCAGTCTCGGTGATCCGGACTTTACATGGTGTGGAGCAACAGACCAGAAGTGTCGAACTGCCCTAGCCACCAACGTGGACGGCGGATCTAATATTGCGTTGTACAACTCTGCCGCATGGGCATTCTTTGATGGGTACTGGAACGGTCTGTATAATGAGCCTTGCAGTGGAAAGTGCCAAACGAACATGATGCGCGTGGCAGCTGCTCCACAGAATCTGGTCTGGTACTCCATCAGTACGCGTATGACTGATGTGATGATTCTGGATGGGAAGACTAACCCGCGAGAGGCGGATCATCCCGGTGGATGGGAGGGTGTTATCCAGGCTTATGGGGAGTTTTCTTCTTGATTTATTTCTTTCTGTTTTCGTTTTTTCTCCTGTTCTTGGCTTGAACATATGCATATGAGTAGATTATTAGACTAAACATAATCATAATGAGGTCCTATCGTCAAATTGAAGTCGCTGTAAGCACCAAGTAGAAAAATCCACTCAAGATTGATCAATTCCCAGGTATAAAGCCACCGCTCCAGGGGGGGGGGTGCATTGACCACTAGTATACAACATCTTTCTCTCCCTGAATTGGTAGAATAGATACAACAGAGAGCCCACGCCCCCATAATTGACGCCCTGCTTCAAATCATCCAGGTCAGATGGGAAATCCACTTGCTCTAGATCCACGACCATAATCGTACCATCGTCGCAAAGAATGAAATTGTCCAGTCGCTGATCTAGGTATTCCGCTCCAAGTGTGTGAGTATTGCCTTCATCGATTTCTCAAGCTTACGTCGAAGCTCCTCTTCTGAAACAGGCAGCATGCTTCTTGCAAAATGGAGAAGGTTACTCCCGATTGAACCACTTCGGAAATAATAATAGCAGGAGAGTCTTCGAACGTCGCTTGACCGAAAAAGGTTGGAATCACGGATCCTTGGAGACTCTTCAATTTTTCATAGACCTCGATTTCTTGTTGGAACTCAGATTCTCATTCTTCTTTTATTTTCTTGAGAATTACCACGGTCGGAAGGCCTCACAAATCCTGGTTGAATCTGAGCTCCTAGCGATATACTTGTCGGCGTGGATGTAGTTGTTTGACACTTTCCGCGTGGATAGGGACGTTATTAAAGTAGAACAACTTCTGCTACTATGTGAACGATAATGGTGACTTTCATCCTAATATCACATACCTGCATGTTCTTCAAAATAGTATCCATAACGAGGACGTTGGAATCAAAAGTTTTTGTAAGTCATCAAGGGGCTCAAGGGGTAATATAAGCCCCATTCACCAAAGCCTCGGGCCAAACCTATTGATGACTAAGGTTGTGATTCATTTATTAATTTTTGATCGACTTCAAAGGTTCATGTAGTTTGATATTTTGAATTCTCAGCATTCGACAAGTCTCGGGATCTCCCATATTGATCCATGAGTCGCAGGATTAAAAAGACGGAGTCCGGACCTCGGGAGAGACTGGCGCGGTCCGAGAATCTATATCCGCACTCCGATCACTCCAAGCTACAATAACACGGCGAGATTCAAGTTTGAACTTGAACTGAACACGAGGATTCACATGGCACTGACTACTGGGGCAGGCATGTCTTATTTTTTTTTTAAAAAACCTTGGAATGTTTTGATTTTCCATCACCTCCAGGGCTTGCATCGGACTCGGAGACTAGTACATAATAGCATTGTCTCGCCTACTACAGATATATATCCATCGGATGCCAGTGTCCGTTCGCAAATGAAGAATACTAGCTGAATCCCGTGTCAGTATTAGAGAGATTGACTCGGAGATATCTTGAGAGCAAAAATACATACTAGTACTACCTAGGTAGCTTTACATCGGACTTAATATGATGTCTGGAGTTAACTTGGGAGCAAAGATCCTTCAGGCCGCCCGCGGACCCCAAACCGTGACTATATTTCTAGCTTGAGCGCCCCCCCCCCAGGGCCTTTCACCGCGCACATGTGCACATGTGCACTCTTCCCAACTTCAAGTTCAAGTTAAACCCAAAGCATTTCAAGCTCTTAATTATTTGAACCTCAAATTATTACCATTTCAAGTTGTCAGCAAGATGGGAGGCATGGCAGGATTCATGTATCGGCAGCTCACTTTCACCCCGAAACCACTGCCCTCTTCTATCACTCTAGATGGAAAAACGGCTATTGTCACGGGTGGAAATACAGGTCTTGGGCTTGAAGCGGCGAAAGAGATGGCGAGACATGGCATTTCCAGGGTCATCCTTGGGGTTCGGACTGTCTCGAAAGGAGAGGCTGCCAAAAGCGAGATTGTGGCCCAGTCGCCAAACTGTGATGTGCTGGTTTGGAAGCTAGATCAGGAGTCTTTCTCCAGTATGCATGCATTCAGCGAGCGCGTGGTTCAGGAGCTGGATTGTTTGGCCATTGTTATATTGTGTGCAGGGGTCAAACTGTTGGAGTATATCAAATCCGAGAATACTGGTCATGAAATGAATGTCCAGGTCTGTCGCATCCTATCTCGATGAATCTCTGATTATTAGAATGACCTAACACAACGCGATACAGGTTAATCATATTGGAACTGCCCTTTTATCTTTGCTTCTCCTCGGTCCTCTACAGAAGACTGCGAATGCTAACCCCGGTCAAAAAACTCGACTGACAATCGTCACATCCGAAGTTCATTTCTGGACTAGGTTTGAAGCAAAGGATGCGCCAAATATTCTTGCCCGTCTAGACGAACCTTCTTCCTTTGGAGAAGGAATGGATCGATATAATACCAGCAAGCTCCTGAATATATTGTGGTTGCGGGAGTTGAGCTCCGTGCTTGGGCCGGATGTTATTGTCAACGGAGTGAATCCTGGTCTATGTGCGAGTACATTGCACCGGTCGGATACCACTCCAGGAATCGCCATATTTAACAAAATATTTGCTTGGAGCTCGGAACAAGGAGGGCACAATCTGGTAGATGCAGCGATTCAACATGCCACAGACCAGGGAGTTTATATAAGTGAGCAGGTTGTGAAGAAGTAAGTTTCTTGATACTTTTGCGAAACTTTTCACTAACATCCTTTAACAGACCATCCTCCTTTGTGTTGTCTCCACAAGGCAAACAAGCACAGACAAAGCTCTGGAACGAAACCATTACATTGCTTCAAGAAGCGCTGCCGGGGATTGACCTCTTGAGCCCTCTTCTAACAATGTAGATCCTTAACTTGTTTGATATCTGATTGAATTGATAGATTCGCATTTCGCTTGGCATTACATTAACTAGCATCATTGGTCTAGTGGTAGAATTCGTCGTTGCCATCGACGAGGCCCGTGTTCGATTCACGGATGATGCACATTTCTTTTTGATTTTTTGATTTTTCATTCTTTTTTTGTGGCGTTTGTGTGTTGCCTGGCTCTGGGCCCCACTTCAAACAAGCTCCTTTTTTGCTTGTGCGGAGAAGCCCATGACTACGACGATCAATGCATGTCCTTTCGGTACATTAGTACCTTAAGTTTTAACTCTATTTTAATACACGCGGATTCCAGCAACTTGAGATACCAATCGGATAACGGTCTTCTGGACCCTCTGGTGCTATTTTATACCTCTCATAGTCTGTCTCTATGTAGTCGGTGTAGACAAAGTACGCTTCTTGTTCGGTCGCTAATCTGTGGACCTGTCGGTCGCTTATGAATGGAGGAGCTCGATGCAGATTCTCTCGTCGCGACTTATTATCGTCTTCTGGGTTATGGAACAGTTCACTGTCTTTGACCCATGGGTATTCCTTATTTCTTCTTGCAGAGTATCCGTGGAGATAATCGCTCATTAGGTGTGTCGCCTTAAGGGCAAGTAGAGAACCTTCCAGGCTTGTGTATTGGTTCAGGTTAATTATTGCCTTCCAGGCTTACTTTGCTGGTTGCTGCCGAGAGAGGATGAGGTGTACTATGTGCTGTATGGAAAGAGTGAGATCAGTAGACTTCAACTTGAAATTATATACCCCTGGAGAATCAGGCGCGAGTGATCTACTGATAGTATGCCTTCGATAAGAGCCCATAACAATACTACTACCTAGTACACAATAACATTGAAATCACTCCACCTCACCTTCTCCTTCCCTCCTCTCACTCATACTTTTCCAACCCGCGTCAACCTCCTCGCTTCACTAGACGCGATCCAGGTTATTCGGAATCGTCATATCCAACATCACCAAACCTTCCAGGAGTCCCAAGCCGCTAGAGAATTAATCCTCTTTCGCAATGACTCAAAGTCGCGTCTATGCTCCAAATATGGAATATCAGTAAGTCATACATGACCGAATTCTCTCAACAGAAGACTGACATCGGCCTTAGACATGATCCAGGTCCCCAAGACCTTACCTTGACACCCGGCCGACAAGAGATTCCGGAACAGACCCTCCGCGACATAAAGGAAAAACTCTCACCCTATGAGAGATCGTTCCTTATCAACATGTTCCATGAGATAGTGAAGCGCGACATGCAAATCTGCACCTCAGAGGTATCTCTTGATCATTTCAATCCCGTCCTCAGAGATGATACTGCCTGTGAATCTGCAACACATGTTCCCACCAAAGAGGCGGATGAGCCAAACCCCAAAATATTCAGACGCAAGCAACGCCCGGACGTGATCATCGCCTATCATGATTTGTTGAAAGCGCGCTACGAAATACAACAGAGCTCTAAAAATGCGAACCAATGCCAGGATGAAGATACATTGACCGAGTCTGGCAAGACTCTTCGAGATGCTCAAAATCGTTTTGTACAAGCCTCACGACACTGCCGAATCTCCTCTCAGCGCCTCAAGATCATTAGAGATGCCCTACGAAGCGAAACCTGTGCCACCAATGAAGAAGAAAAGGAATGTCGTGATATCAGCGAAAGAACTTCCGTCAATCTTTCCTGGGTGATGCCACTTTCAATCAATATCCAGATCAAGCGTTGATGCTTCTGTTTTCTACTTATGTTGGTGTTCTCTCAGCTGATGGTGCTTGATGCTTGATACTTGATGCGTCAGTTTTAGTTGAATGTCATTTCCGTTATTGGTTGTTTTGTTCTTAGCCAAAATATCCAAAAGAATGCTTCTTGAAATGAGAGGATAAGATAGTAACTTACTATTAAAGCATTTTTATAACCTGTAGGGTGCTTCCATTAAATGGTCAGTAGTTGGTCAAATCCGCCAAACGTGCAGCCTTATTCACAAGGTGTCTACAAATCATGTAAGCATTTCACGTGACTTCCAATGTGGCTGTGTGTGGCTATGATTGGTTGGAATCCTGCTGTGTACATATTTCTCTCTGCACAATATTCCGTGAGATTCCGACTTGCTTGAACCGACTTCGCCCCGCTGGTGGCGTCCTACCAAGACCCGTTGATGCCCATTGTTTCTATTTCGATTCTACTTCAAACGTCATGCTTTCTTGGCTTATGGCATTATTTCCCAGCATAGTGTCTGACCCCAGTCAATGAGGCGTGTCAAAGGCGCGGAGACGCGCAATAGAGCAAATGCCGCGCTCAGATATCTCCACCCTGCTGTCAAGAGTCAAGACTCAAGACAAGAAGGGAACAACTTACAACTGTCAAACTACAGGAACTTGTCACTCAACTTGAAATATCGGAAACTAATTCCCAAGACAAAGGGAGTAAAAGTGGCTAACATGGATATGTCCTCCGGCGGATAACTATTCACTGACCCAGGGGCCGCAGCGTGGCGGTGACCATCATCAAGTTTAGCAATAAACTTAACAACCTCCAAAGGCAGCAGTATAAACGACTGATGTTTCTAATTTCGGGAAATCAATAAACAGGGATCGCGCAGAACCTGGAATCAAAGGATGCGCTGTTATACGCTACAACATATTCAATGCATAAGGCCGGCTCTGCTCACGCGAGTCACTCATACATACGGAAAGGCTCACCTGGGGCCAAACGCATGAAAACAAATCATCGGCATACGGGTCCCTCAACTCTGGACCAAGTGGACCCCCAGAAATGACGATTGCCTTTTTAAAATTGCCTCTACTGTCTTCCCCGATCATTCGGCGGGAATTAGTGCAGATCGCTCCCTTCCCGTCCCGAAGTAGCAGTGTCGTTCCAAGGTTGCCACACTGCCACACTTATTTCCGCTGCCTAATGCCCTGATCAAGAACCTTCCTTTTTTGTGCAGATCTATATTGGCGGAAGATCAGTCCATGGATCAGAGAGCATCACGTATATAAATGCCTGTGGATTCCCCAGATCTTGTTGGATATCACAATCAACTACCCAACCTAACCACACCTAATACAATACCCACTACTTTACACTCTTCCTCAACCTAATACCTCAAAAACTCCACTATTACCAAAATGAAGTTCACTCTGATCACCTCCATGATCCTCGCCAGCACCGGCCTGGTGGCTGCCGACTGGGACAGCATCGAGTCGTACGGCGAGAGCGTATACTCCAACGCCAAGACCTTTGGTGAAGGAGTGGCTTCCGCCGCTGAGACCTTCGCATCCGGAGTCCATTCCAATGCTGACAGTGCCGCCTCCGCCGCCGAGACCTTTGCTTCGGGAGTTGAGTCCGCTGCTGAGACCTTTGCCTCAGGTGTTGTATCCAGATGGACACACACTGAGGATGTCACCACTACCAACTCCAACGGCCAGACTACCACCCTCCACACTACTATCACATCGGCCGCAACCACCGGATCTGCCGCATCTGCTACTACTGGCACGGCAACTTCCACCGGTTCCTCTTCCTCTTCCTCCTCCAGCTCAACTGGTACCAACGCCGCTCCCCATGCCACCAGCATGGGTGTGGCTGCTGCTGGTCTTGCCGGTTTGGTCTACGTCATGGTCGCCTTGTAGGGTGACTGATATTATCAATCATATTCAACATAATCTACATCGTTTATGATATCAATTGATTCATCTCAACTCATGTATGACTAAGATTTACATGTGAGATCGATCATGCTTTTCTGTTCATGAAATTCCTTATGATTTATTCCGGGACGTCTAGCCGGCGTTGTATGTTATTTTCTTGTACATAGACGCATTTTGCCCATACCACAATTCAGATCTGATGATTTTGCCATGGATACAATCTTAGCTACTAAAATGTAGACTAAAAAACAGTGGAAGCTCAAATCGTTCAAAACTTAATACGGTGTTGGAGAATACCTAGGTTATTTCGAGAACCTCGGATCCAGCGTGTCTTTCATTTTACACCTACTAACTGACACAACCTGAGACAAAACCTAGCGTCAACTTGAAATACCCAAACAGTGCATTATGAAGATTTAGCCCCAATTTCAAACTGGCCAAGCACTCTTAACCCCTAAATTGGAAACACTCGGATACGAGATACGGACGGCCCGAACAGCCCCAGGTTTCAGCCCTTCTGGAATTCTAGAATCAGGGATTAAGCCCATCTGGACATGAAAAGCAAAGGATCATTTGTTTCATCCGAAACTGTTGCCGGATTTGTTTCAAGAAAGTTAATGGTAAGCAAGGGTAAGAAAAAAGTGTTTCCGTTTTATGCTAGTGTCTATTGACAATTTTCTGCTCACTATCGGGGCATCATTCCTCCTTCATGGTAGCTGGAGATTCCTGTTGCAGGGAGACTGAGGGAGGAATTGAATTATCAGAGCCAGTTGAATCTCCCTCTTGGACTGTCATCCTAGGCCCGGTAAACCAATGTCGAGCAAAGAGGAAATAATAAACCATACACCCGATCCAAACGAAGCCATTAATAACAACTGTATAATTCATACCGGCAGCTAGAAGGTTATAGTTAACAGATAAATTCTCAACAGTGATAGCGCACACGGTGCAGCTCGGATAAAGTACTTACGAGCTGGATTAGGCCCGCTCGTGGGGAACATGGACAAGACAACTCCGAACAGAAGATAAACAACAGCAATCCATGCAATTGGCTTGCTAAACCGTCCAGTATAAAACTCGCCCGGTCGGAAACGATCTTGACCCCAGACAAGACGACAAAAAATAGGCGTACCCCACGATAAATAGTTACTCGCGACGAAGAGAGAGAAAAGCGCGTTTGTGGCTGCACTGTTAATCAAACAAAGTAGACCGAGGAGGAGGGATACGATCACTAATCCACAGATCATGCGAACAGGCTGGTACTGAATGCGCTTGCTAACATGTCTGAAGAAGGTCGAGAAAGGGAGGGCCCCGTCACGGGAGAAAGCCCATGCTTGACGTGAGGCGGCGACGATCTAGAGCTGTTAGAGCAAGTTCATTTAGTCTATCCGTGGGATACATACCAGACTAAGACCAATAAGATACTGTATTATGCAGAGAACGATCATGAAACCCAGAGCTCCATGTTTTCCCAACGCATCATAGTATATCTGTGGTAAACATGCATTCAGTAGGTTGAAAGTTATAAGTGGGATCGAGACCTCCTACCTGTGCCATAGGCTGCCCAAATTTACTATTGATCGTCTGTGTCACATCCTGTTTCATCGTGGCAGCCATAACAGCCAGAACTAAGAATCCAAGCACACAGGCCGAGCCAGCAGAGAACATGATTCCCAAGGGGACAGCCTTCGCAGCATGTAAAGCCTCCTCACTCATGTGTACACATGAGTCGAACGACCCGATAGACCAAATAGGAGCTAACCAAGAAAGCATGAATGCCCACCCAGTAGGCCATGTCGTCTCGTTATCGATGTGTCTGAACACATAGCCCCCCCGAGTTAAGAGACTCTCCTCGAGTGACCTTGCCTACTGGCAATGCGATCACAGTCGCAATCACCAGAGCGACATTGATAAAGATGCAGAATGTCTGGATTGTAGGCATGACACGACCAGTCAGAGCCCCGGAACATCCGTGTATGAGAATAAGAGCAATATAGATAGCATAGATCTCACCACGTGAGGGTGACCATATATCCTCACGGGAGATATTGATGCATGAGATTATCATGAGCGCGAGGGTATCTAGCGAATGGCAGTGTGAGAAATAGCACAAATTCTGATAAATTAACCGACTTACAATCCACTGAGCAGATTCCACCGATGAGACCAAGAGTGTTACTATATCCGATCAAGAAGCTCAATGGATTTTTCCATTTTGGGCCTGCAAAGTAGTGCGTCCACCAGTACAGGCCTCCCGCTGTTGGCATGGCAGAAGCAAGATCAGACTGATAATGTTAGGCATTCCTTGAGATAAATCATGTTCAGGACTCAAATTTGACACATACCATCGCAAGTCCAACGATAAAAATGAATATGCTAGCAGTAAACCACCCCTACACGAGATCAGTCACTCCAGATGTCAATCATCAATATCACATAACAACTTTGCGACTTCTTACCCAGACCATACCGACCGGGCCAGCAGGTAAAGAGAACGAAAGAGTCGACGCGATCGAGGGTACCAGACCCATAATACTAAACGCAATTGCAAAAACTTGAGGCGTAGTATATTGCCTCTTCAATTCTTGCTTATACCCCATTTTCGCTATCTCTGTCAGCATACGACCGAGTTCAGAACCCCGCAAAGTGCAATGACACCATACCTAGCAGAGCCGAGTCCCCAGAACCAGCAAGACTATTCGCATCGGACGCGACCGCCGCTTCGGCATCTCGCCTACCATGAGAGTCATCCATATTGAAGCGTCAGTTGTTGCACAAGGATGAAGAACATGGCGAGAGGCTCTTCTCAAGAGCGCGTGCAGATTTTAAAGTTGAAGAACCCTAAATCGGGAAATGGTTGCACAAGGCTAGACAGGCCAGACATATGCGGGTCTTAGGGGCCCGCAGGGGTGTGTTTTGTCGTTCTTATTGTAGATCGGGTGATCTGAGGTGGAGCTGTTCATCCTCCTAGCGGGAGAGCTAGTGAAGCCTCACGGTGATAGCTTGAGATGGGCTTCGTGAGGTATTTTAATATGGATTCTATCACCTCTTGAGAGTGAAGTCTTCAAGTCTATTTCTTTTATGACTTCGGGCATTATTGCTTCAAATGTTGCGGAACATGATCCTTGCATTCAAGTTTGTGTTGGGCAGGAATTTAGTGGAGACTGCAATGCGCGTCAGCAGCCAACTTCCACGCCCCCTTTTTGCGGTTCTTGGCATGCTGATGATTTGCGATGACGACTCATGTGTTAGTGTGTGTTCGTCAAAAGAAATGTACTAGTATTATAGGGTCTTGAGTTAATGGAATGAGTGGTGCTACTATACGCTGTGAATTGGCTGACATTAGGGACCCCTGGTTGAGAACCAGGCATTTGCATATGTGCTAACGGTAACTTGGATAAGGTATGCATCTCTGTCAACTGGTCTGAAAGCTGATGTACATATCAAAACAAGTCGGTTATATGATAATTCTATCCAATGCTAACACAGGTTCATGTAAGCAGAACTACCTGATTAACTAGCTCATTGATACCCAATCAGATAGTTCAGGTGGTGACGCCAGTTTCGGGCACTAGAGTATATGAGTATTCATGAGCTTCTCAACTTCCTGACACGCTTGTTAATGTTACCTAGCTACTTTTGTTTAACACAACAGACCAATCTTGGCGGGCTGCCCACTCTTTCCAACTCGTCATCGGGCAGTCGATACCAGTCTGTCACCTTATGTTAGAGTGAGCCATTCTGATTTTAAGCGTACAGGTGAACTTGCCTTGCGAATGTCCGCCGCAGTGAGAAGAGTTCTACCTCCATCGTATCCTGGGTCCGTACTATAGGAAAACATGTACGCTACCTCGATGCCACAGTCTCGATCGGGAGTCATTTCAATCATTTCATCAGGAGTGATTTGTCGATAAGACGCAAGCGCGCCAGTTATGTCGCTCCAAGTCTTGATCCAATCGGTCCAACTACAAGTTGTCCCTTCAGCCATGTACTCTTTGCCAGGAGGCATTTGGTAGACAGCGAAGGTAAAAGTGCCCATATCTCCGACAGGATCTAAGTGTGGCACAAGCCTGTCTGGGGCTGTGGTGAAGCTCATTTCAAAAGACTCATTCGGGAGCTTGACGATCATTAGTCAAACTCTTCAATTATGGGAGCATTACCTGCCTTGCGGAAATACGAGTCAGGTAAGATGTTAAAACTTGTATAGAAGTAGCCGGTCTGGATGCAGGACATCTTGGCCGCAAGGTCAGGGTATTTTCTTCTAACGTAAAATGGGAAGATATCCGCTTTGGAGTCGAAATGGTACAATTCTTTGAATTCTCCCTGGCTAGACTTGGCGGCGTGGCTTAGCGTGGACACTAAGAAGCCGTTGGAGTCAAGAGAGTCACAGGTCGCTGCTGCTGCGTCAGCAATATTTCTGCCTTGCTGGTATTCGACATCGTACGCGAACCGAGCAGGCGAGATGCCCAGCCCACTGGCCTTCTGGCGGCAGTCCGGGCGAAAGAACGGCTCCCAGTAGTTCGTAACACTGAATATGACATTCGCATCCTTTAGAGCCAACTTGAGGCTTTCCAATTTGTCAAGGTCTGCTTTCATAACTTCAATGCCATCAGTCGCAAGCTTCTGTGCTGCGGGGGACGATGTATCGCGGGTCAAGCCACGGACACGGAAACCCGCCTTAAGAAACCAACGGGCGACAGACCCGCCTTGGTTTCCCGTGGCTCCTATGACACAGATGATCTTGTTCTCTGCCATAATAAATGTAAGCCTCTCCAAGCAAAACACAGATAGACTCGTAGAACTATCTGTCGGACCCAGGTGGAGAACTGATCGCCTACTTGTTGCCGACCGGAACCTTGGAAGATAGGTTGGTGGATTAGTAATTGGTTGCGCTAACTAACTAACTAACTACCTCCACCTGGGCAGGGCTAGTACTTTTACTAACTAGTGTTTCCTCATTGCCAACTATGGTGTACGATAGCCTGGAGGGGACAGTGGCCCACGACAGTGGCTCGCCTTTTAAATTTAGAACCAGTGAACCACCAATCCCAATGTTTCTCTGTCCCCTATGGCATATCGTAGCTAACAAAGATCCGTTCCTCGCCCTCCTGTTCCTGGAATTCGTCTTCTTGAGCCTGTTGAACTTTGTCAATCTCTCCCTTCCAGGCCCTTGCCCGAAGAGGAAGCCCTCAAAGACGGCATTTGGTCTTCTTTCACGAACTTGGTCAATTCTGTCGCGTTCTTAGGCGCGACATTCTTGTTTTCGTTATGCTTGTCGAAGATGATTAAACTCTTTCTCGTGTGAAGAGCAGGAGGAGAGGACGACGCCCCTTCATCGCGTGTCAAATCATCTTGTTGGTTTTGGAATTGGTTCTACTGTCAGCGGCAGCTTTGAGAATTTGCTCTTTCTCAGATGATGATAGGCTAAAAAGTGAAGTGAGAGAGGAAAGCTTTCGCTGCCGGTTTAAAACGCGCTGCACGCGCTGGAAAATCCCAGACGGACGCTAGAAAAGAAGAGATGAGACTTAGTTTCATGTACTAGGACCCCGACCGAAGAGAAAAAGAGTGCCGAGATTCGCAAAACAAAGTCTAGAAAAGAAGGAAGAGAGAAAGTGAGGCCTCGCAGCCCTGTAAGCTGCGAGGGCTGCCAAATGGGAACTTGGAACGTCAGCCCGAACTGAAGGTTACAGTACCTTGAAACCCTGTATACATACTATGGAACAGGCTAGGTATCCAGAACAGATCCTAGTGATTTATGGTCTTATCAACAATCTTGACTTCAAGAAAGATATTAAAATCGCTGATTCGGACGAGGAACGGATAATCCGAAGAATTAACTAATTGATATACAACATAGGCTTATAATCAATCATTTGCAGAATGAAAAGTACATCATCGAAGCTTTAGATGCCGAAGATGTTGAAGTTGAAGAGGCGAATGTCAAGGAGTTCAAGATCCAGGCGCAAAACATGAGTATTAGTGGTTTCGGATATTAAAGCTGTCTCATGGCAGGTCCGATGAAACGAACGAGTCAAGTTGTGAACAGTCATAGTTGAGATAAATTCAGGGAACTTCGTCATTCAACATGGCGAGTCATTCAACTCTGCCGAGAGTACCAAGATTTGGTTTAGGGAAGCTAAACCTGCTCCTCAGGGGGCACGACTGCACTCTCAGAGGAATCAGGGGCACGATGAACTTGATCCGTGAACGTCTTATCCGACGTAGCCATCGACTCCTTTCGAGCCCTGGCTTCCCACTCATTGAAGTCCTGACCAGGGTTGATATTCTCCCAGCGAACCCAACAGAGCAAGTGATAAAAGCCAGACGCCAAAAGCGATCCCAAGAGCGGGCCAACCCAATAGATCCAGTGGTATCCAGGAAAACTGCGATTAATGACATCGGGACCGAGCGAGCGAGCAGGGTTCAGGGATCCGCCGGTATAGTAATCACCTAGTCGATGAGAATAAGTAATGGGTCTTTGACATCGACAGATAAAACTTACCAATCAATTCAGTCACGAAGAAGGTCAATCCGATTCCAACAGGGGCCAGATATGTGGACTTGTGCTTGACAACTGCCAGCATGATAATCACCAGTACTAACTGCGCAGTCAAGAACATCTCAATAAACAGCCCTTGTGAGATAGAGGCGCCGCCACCAAGTCGAGTGGCGCAGTTAAGCGGTCCTGGGAACAGAGCGCTAACAACACCAGCGGATGCGATACCACCAAGTAACTGAGCAGGGAATACCAGTAAACCTCTAAGTACTGGCATGCCACCAGTCAAGCACAGAGCCAGGGTAACCTAAGATGATCAGCTTCACAATAACCTTGAACAGGGTTTACTGAGTCTTACCGCTGGGTTGAACAGACCTCCAGTAACACGGAAGAAAGCCCACACATTCACAGTCAGAGAGAAACCAAATGCCAGAGACGAGTACAGAAGGTTGGACGTGTTTGGATCTGAGCCAGGAGGAGGCATTGGGGTGTTCGAGACCTGGGCACCAGCAAAGGAGAAAAACAGAAACATGAACGTGCCGACAAACTCGCCTAACACACAGAGAAGATTATATCGCATCTTATCTGGGAGCTGGAGCATGGGGAGCTGACCACGTCCACCGGGTCCAGGCGGACCTCCCAGCGTAGAGGGGTCCGATACTTGTCGCTTGTGAAAGACCATATTGGCAATACGTCGCAACTATGATTTGTCGGGGTTGAATAGTATGACCACGTCAAGTTATAGCAGAGAACCCTCCAGATTTATCTCATAGAGGGATTACACAGCTCATTGACCCGTGTGGCCTGTTCGCGTTATTTATTGTCTACCACTGCAGGTGGTTCGTCCAGACGTCATCATCACTCTACAAGTGCAGGAGGCAACAAATCCATGTATCATCGATCTTCTCAGGGACCGGGGTAATCAGAGCTCAGATTTTGGGCTTACTAGGAGCTTAATACACCCGGTTTCACTGATTGGATTGTTACTGCCCGACCCGAGATTCAACCAAAGGAAGACGCTGAAGTGATGAGGTCAAGAAAGTTCGATGGGTGACAAAAGTACATAGTTCTTTAGATTAGGCTTTTAAGCTCAGAGATCAAGCCTGATTAGATGCTGTTTACTATTATCTTGATAATTGAATTAGGATGTGTCCATACAGTGGCCAGGCCAATGATAACAATGGTATAGTGGTTCCACGTTGGGATAAATAACTCCACATGTTTTGTTTGGACGGGTAAGTCGCCGGAATCGGATGTCATAGAGTCCACGGGTGTCTAGAACAGTCTGGTCCCGAATTTTATGGGGTTTCCAGAGAATGATCGACTCTATAAGCCTCGGTGATCCCCGTTATTGATCAATTAGACTTGTCAATGGCTGAAATTACCCACATATGCACCTGGGCACTCCCATATGAAATACTCGTAGAGGACCCGGTGCCTTGGATTGAAAGCCAAATTACCTGGCATCACAGCCAAAATAGTGAGTCATTCAAGTTCACTCAGTTGGCCTAAAAATGGGTTCAGGCGGATAATCAGTTATGCGGAATTGATCGAAGTTCTTGAATAAGCGCTCGGAGGCTCGGGAGACTCGAATGGATGGCAAAATAGCATGTCACGGTAAATTCAAGTTCCCTTGGGCGTTTCATTTTATAACGAATATGAAAGAGCGGTCACCAGATATCATGTCTAGAATTTCTCTGAGATACTAGTCTTTCACTCATTGATTGACTGTAAATCGGGGATGAAGCCTTCTCACCACGAACACGATCACCTTGAAACGCCTCAGACTCACATTACCGGAACCGCAACCCTTAGGTAATCTGTAGAAATTCATGGTGCAAAATCTCGTAACAGTATCATCTATTGTTAGTTATGGATTATAAAATTGAATTTGGAACCATCCTGAACATTCTCGTTCAGTGGTAACCAGGATAGGCTGGCGCGCGTGACAAGGGCAACCCGACTAACTCAAGAACGCCACCAAGCACGGGAAAGGGTTTGATAGGCGGGGTGATATGTCTAGCATGTTCTAAAATAGACATGCATCATGTACCTTATTATCTTAACCATTAAGAATCATTATTCTTATCGTATGGCATTTGCTATAGAATTACCGGTGGAGATCGGCGCTTTGACATTAATCTCAACCTTATCACAACATTCAAGTTGTGAACACGAACTTTAGAGGCTCTGGGGAATATCCTTGAATATCCCCAGGAAATCTAAGGATGACCAGGAAGATCCAAATTTTCAACTTTTCGTAAACCCCGAAAGATTTTCGCGTCGGATCATAAAAATGCGCGGCCGAGAAAACTCCATAGTGGAGAAGCCGAAAATCAAGCACAAACATGGTGGATGGTACCACTCGGGAACTAAACTACTTTGATATTATTGACTTGCTGCTTTTATTCCTAGGAACTCCATATTCGACGCAGGGAACGTAATCAAAGGTGCATACATACACATATTCAAACTGCCGATGAGAGGCTCGTGAAACTAGCTAACCATTTTCATTGTAAATTGCTCTTTATTGTCCGAACCGATATTCATTACGAAATAGTAGCCTCTAGTTGAAACTAAGTGACTATTCGGGGGGAAATCCGGCACAAGGACTTTAAGTGGGAACAATCACAACATTTGAATATCCAAAGGATGTTCCAAGGGCTCAGGCTAGTCACGGGGTCTGAAGAATCGAGGGATTCAACCGATTTGTCTGAAAGTCAACTAAGATAAAACAACGAGGAAATTTCACTACGGAGTAAGAAACAGAGATGATCCCACTCCTAAGATCTCTGTCATAGAGCCGATCCTACGTGTAAGAATTGCTTCAACGTGTATACGCTTGCCGAACTGAACACGGGACATCTGGAGTCATGTATACGTCAATCATACGCTAAGTCCCTTCTAGTTAAATCTATCCGAATCAACCTTGGAAGTTATTGAGAATCTTGTACCTTAGTGGCCTAAGGCCTTACAGAACGATAAAGCGGCAAGGCCAAGGAGCCACCCCACATATTAAGATGTTCTATGTGCTCCGTTCATACTTGAGACCGCGGAGATGCTTGGATTTTTTGAATTGTCAGCCATTGGCAACGTTTGCCTTGGCAGTTATCGGACAAGAAAGAAACGTTGTCTTTATTCAGGGACCATTGCATGGCCCCGTGGTGGGTTCGGAAGCGAACGCCATCAACCCACTTTTCACTCCGAATGCCCCGCTTAATCAGTCCGCGGAGATACTGATTTTTCGAAGCCGTCGTAACCGCAAATTCCGACCAGGCACAATTCTTGAAATTTCTGCGGCAAGCCCGAGATTATGGCATTATATGGAGATCGCTTGCAAATTCAATGGCCACCATAGGGTCATTCGGGTCCACGGGTGGAGATAAATACCTGGCTGCTCCCGCTATGAGGCTTGAATATTAACATCAAACACGACTTACATATCAACCTTGGGAAGTTAAATCCAAGGACCTTGTTTGTTTACATCAATCAAAACAAATCAACACAGTCACGATGGGTTCTCACGCCAGCTTAACACCAGAGCAGACTAAGCTCATCAAAGCCACAGTACCTGTATTGGTCGAACATGGTGGCACTATCACATCAGTCTTCTACGACAATCTCCTCAGAGAGAACCCAGCATTGAACAATGTTTTCAACACTCCCAACCAGAAGAATGGCCACCAGCCTCGTGCATTGGCTGGCGCACTATTCGCATACGCCGCTAACATCGACAACCTGGGTGCCCTCGGTCCTGCCGTGGAGTTGATCTGCAACAAGCACGCTTCCCTCTACATTCAGCCCGAGGCCTACGAAATTGTCGCCAAGTACCTGCTAGAAGCCATGGGCCAGGTTCTCGGTGACGCTCTCACACCCGAAATCAAGGACGCTTGGGCAACTGCCTACTGGCAATTAGCTGATATCATGATCGGCCGCGAGAAGCAGATCTACCAGCAAAACGACGGATGGACCGACTGGCGCGAGTTCAAGATTTCCGATAAGGTCAAGGAATCCGAGGAGATCACCTCTTTCTACCTTGCTCCTGTTGATGGCAAACCCCTACCATCCTTCCGTCCTGGCCAATACATCTCGGTGCAGGTTTACGTGCCCGAGCTGAAGCACCTGCAGCCCCGTCAGTACTCTCTCAGTGATAAGCCTAACCCTGATTACTACCGAATCAGCGTGAAGAAGGAGAAGGGATTAAACACTGCCGAGTCTGGCGCTACTGCTCACCTCGGATACGTCTCCAATCTCCTTCACGATTCTTTCAACAAGGGTGATACCCTAAAGGTTTCTCACCCATGTGGTGATTTTTTCCTCTCAACCGACGAATCCTCAAGCCCTGTTGTGTTGATCTCCGCTGGCGTCGGTCTCACTCCTCTTACCTCCATTCTCAACACATTGACCTCCAAGTCGGCTGACCGCAAGCTGCACTTCGTTCACGGTTCTCGTACCTCCAGCGTGCGTGCATTCAAGGAGCACTTCGCCGACTTGACAACCAAGAACCCCAACCTTCAGACCACTTTCTTCACCAGCCACCCATCTGAGGAGGACAAGGAAGGTATTGACTACACTTTTGCCGGCCGTGTCGACCTCGACAAGCTGGAGTCCAAGGATCTTTTCGTCGATGTCCCAGAGGCTACCTACTACATCTGTGGTCCGGAGAAGTTCATGACAGACATGGAAGCTAGTCTGAAGAACAAGGGTGTCAAGGCTGCTCACATCAAGATGGAGCTTTTCGGCACTGGTGGTGTTGCGCAGTGATTTTCTTCAAATGTTGCATTTTTTGTCTCAGTCGTGAACTGAACATGGCGTTTAGCATATACTTCTAATGGATGTACATAATCTCGGCTCTATATACTACTCATGAATGATGAAGACTCGTGAATACTCATCACAATTTTTACCTCAGAAATTTCCGATCCAACTTTCTTTTTTGAACCGAGAAATAAATCTTTACATGAAAACAAGTCGATCAAAAAGGTTGTGGTCAAAATTCTGTGGTGCGGAAGGTGGCCAAATACTAGCTAGTCACATCATGATCAAAAGGGGGTTGATAACATTTTTGGTTGTATGTCCTTGGCCACAAAGGATGTAATAATGCTTATACACAAAGAAAAATGGCAATTCAACGGCGAGGGCCAGTAGGGCTGCGAATATCTCACCAGCTTTATTGAACACCTCGGGCCATCTGAGGTTGCGTTCGGCTTAGGAGATGTTTTTGATGATGAAAGCATGCACGTTTCAAAATATTCCCCAGGTATTCAGCAAATATTCCAAGATTGTCACTGGCCGGAGCAAACTCCCTCATATATTTGCTCTAGGCAGTGTTGTTCAAGTTCCTGTGCTGAGCTTCGGAGGAGGGGGTGGTCTGTCTGAAGTCTGTAGGCGTTCTCAACCGCCTAGCCAAGGCTTTTCTCATGGATTCAACTTGAATAAATCGCAATCCAGTCGATCAGACGGAGGGAGTATTGAGTTGGGAGTTGAGTGGAGTTCGAGTCCACAGTATATCTCAAGTTCCTACAATAAACCCAACACTACCCGGATTTCGACTCGTCAAACACCTCTGCAACTGAAAGTTGAATGTTGATGCTTCCAAAGGTTCACGCTTTTTAAAATATTGACATCATAACGTTCTCTCAAACATATGCAAGCTTTAATCTACACATTTCCCCCCCTAGGCCCCCGGGGCCCGAAGGGGCCGTACACACTGACTTGGAAGTAACTGAACTGCGAAGTTCTTACTCGAGAGATTTCGAGAGATTAATTATTTTTAGATTTTCTGCCACTGGCATATTAGTCCAATTTTGTCGGTGAGATTTACGAAATCATGACTCTTTTCTTTCACGGTCAATGGGTCATTATATGGGTGCATCAGACGAACCCCGAGGCTCAAAATAAAAGGGTTAGTAAATACCGAATGACCCTCCACGCTTAGTTTGAGCTAAATATGCGACTATATTATGCATAGCAAATCAATCCTCTCTCGCTGTCCAGATCCTTCAATTAAAGTAATAATACTCATCAGTGATAGTGGATACTGCGAACAGGTGCAATCATTACCCCGAACCCCTCTGTGGCCTCTCTTCTGATTGGTCAAGCATAAGCCATCGTAAGCCACGGGTCGGGTGAATTTGGATCCGACTGCCATTACATAAGCATCATGAGCCATAAAATCCCGATGGTCTACATATCAGCCTCGAGTTCAGATCTATTCATCTCATATTGTTTACTTTAATCTGAAGTCCAGAAATCTGGTGCTCAAGATGCATCTTCTCATGTTGGGAGCGAATGGACGAACTGGAGTGTTCGGGTACAAGTATGCCCTGGATCAAGGTATATATATATATCCACAGCATCTTGCACTTCCCCACATTCAACTCGAACTTGACCTCCTTGAACCTTCGTTGAATCCAACCTTGGAACTTGAAGATTCAAATGGACTCAGACTGACATTTTCAGGTCACAATGTTACACTCCTTGTCCGCAAAGCCGGGGACATAGAACCCCTTGAAAATCTCACCATAATCGAAGGTTCCTGTCTCTCAGATTCAGACATGAAACATGCATTCGAAGCCACAGGACTACCCGTAGATGGAGTCCTCATATTCCTCAATGCGCGACGAAATGGCCAGAATCCCTGGGGAAGATTCCTCGGCCCAGCCCGACTTGTCGCAGACACAACATCCATCGCAGCCAAATTACTGCGAGACCAGAAAACGCAACCCGAGCATAAGCCCCGTCTAGTTGTGATGAGTGCGCTTGGGGTTCGGGAGAGTTATGCAGTGACTCCATATATTATTCGGTTCATGATGAACTACAGCAATTTGGATAAGTCTTATGAGGATCATAATGCAGTTAGGGATGAGATTGAGGCGAATTGTGGAGATGAGGTTGATTGGACGTTGCCCTTGCCGGTTGGTCTTATTTACGGTGGTATTAAACCTGTGAGGACTTTTGGGCCAACTGAATTGGGAGCGAGTTTGTTGATGACTCGTGAAAGTTGTGCTAGTTGGATGGTTGATGTGGCTTCAGGGAAGGAAGGGGATAAATTTCGCAATCAAATGGTGATCGTGTCAAATTAGAGCTTTTTCTTCCTGGAACTCAATTTAGCACAATGCCATAGCGAATTTATTATTTTACATCCAAGAAGTAGTATTTGATCATTGAAATCTACATATGGAAACGTCCATGGATCTACTATTATTATCTATTAGCCAAGTCTACTACCGAACATCACATGTCTAGGATCTACTTATTACAGGTGTCCTTTGACAACTTAGATGCTCGGATATAGACCGTCGCTTCATTAAAATTGACCATTCGTATCCCTTCACCTTGATATAGAGCTATTTATGCAGGTAGAAGAAGTAAGTCCCCTCCATATTCTTTGAATCCATAGCGCCTGCAAGGAGATTATCATTGACGTATCGGAAATAATCGATGATGGGGAAGTCATCGTATATCATAGCTGTTGAAACGACACCACGCCACTCGATCTGACGAAGCTGATATACAAGCGATCAGTTCTCATGTTTCAAAATCAGAAAGACAATATGCCTACAAGAGCATGTCCCCAATCTGCATTCCAAACCCGTGAACCATCGTCTTTATACACCATGACCGGGTCAACATCTTCGGTGGAATGAAAGTCCTTCCCAGCCCATTTCATCAGCGCAAGCTTCTGCTCGGCTGGATGGTTGCTATTCACATTGGCTCCCTCCCAGCTTCCGATAACCTTCTCCGGTGCAACTGGCTTTAGTTTATCAAAGACTGCAAAGTATTCCTCTTCGGAAATATCGGTGCGAGTGATGAGGTCGATGTATTCTTGTTCGGGAGTACTGAGAGCGATAACAGGTTAGAGGTTAGCCGAGTCCAAGAAACCAAGATGAAGCGAACAAAACAATGCATTTACTCACGACATGGTTGCGTTTTCCTTCCCAAATAAATTATGAGGAGAAAAAGGGAGCACTGAAATGAGAGAAGTGTATTTATTCCTTCCCAGAAATAATGGACATCCCACTTTGCACAACACACTGAGCCGAACAAATTTGGAAAAGCGGATAAACAGAGTACAAAGTGCGTCATTGGGTAATTTCCAAGACATGACTTGTTAAACCTGACATATCAAGCGATCAATTTATTTCACTTTTATCATGTTAACTGTTTTCCAGCAAACGGTGGAGTTTATCCATGTGTACCAGAGGCGACCGCAGCCCCTCGACACGTAATAATGCGACTGAGCAGTTCTCTTCACCTAGCGCTAACAAAATCAAATCCAAAATCAATTTTGCAAGTTATTTATGCGGAGCATTTTCGTGGTCACACAACATGACTCGGAAATTTCAATCTGTTGGTGTTGGAATTGACTTTCACAGCCTTATGCCGGGGCTCCCAAGGTTCCCATCATCGGGATCCACAGGGCTGCTCCACCATCGATGCGATCGATGCGATCATAAGTATTATCAAGGGAGGCTGGGATCTGCGACAAGTCGGAAAAGACCGATTTGAGACTTAGAGTTTCCAATCATGGGCCGAGGTTTGATTTGAGATGTGCTATCGAGGGGTCTGAGGAGGGGCTCGAGAGCTCGAGGGAGAGCGACGATAAGCTTGGTGCATGTTCCACACATGCAGTAGGTCGTGGCCTAAGCTCCATTCACCGCCTGCATGTTAAGCTTATGCTGATGCCAGCTGTAGAAGGGTATCCTGACGAGGGGTTCCAGACGAGGTTCCAGGTGTGGTGTAGTCACCTGATTCTCTGTAGATGCTCCATCGCTCTAGAACCCCTCCCACCTCCATACCCACCGATATGTTCACCTTCTCGTTCGTCTTCAATGTCGTCCTCAGGTTTGTTGTTGGGGGCTTTGATCTAAAGCCAGGGTGTTAAAAAGGAATTTGGAGATCCGAGAAGACGTAAAGAAGTAATCTTAGACATACCAGGCGTGTCAGGCATTCTCCCAGGAGGTTATCTGGAAGGGGTTGTCTTGAATAGTCAGTTCACAAGAGATTGATGACAACTCTGCATTGATATTATTCCTTAGAATGAAAAACCCAGTGTCTCGAACCCGAGGGAAAAAAGATGGCGAGAGAGAAAATCCACTGAGCTCAACAAGATAATCCATGCAGTTCCAGTCATCTATGGTCATCCACCAACCATGAGAACGCATCATGAGAAGATTTGAGGAATCGAATTTCAGGACGGCCACAAAACGGAAACCCACACATATTTTCCCGTCGTGTTCTTCGTGTTATCTTTCCCTATCTGAACTCATAGTGGAAACCTCGCGGAGATATCGCGAAATGAACCAACGTGGCAACTATCGTCATCTACCCGTTCATCAGTATGTCAATATGTCTTCACAGATCTCATCTGGACTCACGGATATAATCATTTCCACGATAGATCAAAGGGGTTCAAAATTTATCCCCCCATATTCCAAGCGGATCAGCCCTGGGAGAGCAACTAAATCGTCTAGTTACCGAAGAGGATCCCGTGCTTGCGGAACCTAGAATCTGGGGAACGCAGCAATCGGCAGTGAGATCCAACCTCGACCCGTGAATCCGACGCAGGTGACAGGTTTAGTGTCCGGTGTGGTGCGGCTCCACCCCGGACCGACGGCTTACCGCGTCGGACGACCCAGATGCACAGAAATGACACAATAGCATAACGGTCAGAATGCATTAGCTCAAACAGTGGTTTCCGTCATCGCCCCACTGTAACCCGGGAAGAAGCTCGGCAGGTTTACTTTTCCAGCTGTGGATGATTAAAGCATTCATGATTGGGGGAAGATTCCACGGTTTTGTTTATAGATTGATCGACGGAGCCACAAATAGCCACAAACGTAATAGGAACTAAGAAGGGGATCTGAGGCCAGAACAATAAGCCGCTTACTATCCCATCTCACATCCCGGATAATGAATTTAACATTATTGGCCCGGGAAACAGCCGGTGTTGAATTACGTTGAATTGAGCAGGGCATAAACTAGACATAACCTAGATACAGATGAATTGTTATCATAACAACCGATATATGATGCACGGTCAATCTACATTGAATATCTACTAGGATCATGATGTGTTGACAAGAATCACACCACACTGGCATAAGAAGATGTCCGGAACACAATTGACAAACCGGGACACCGAAATAAAGCATGAAGATCTATGATTCCGTATATAATTCGTGATGATTGAAAAGGAAGTGAAGTATCACGAGGACAGCATAATAAAATCGGTAGACACCGGGTTCATCGCAATGATCAGGGACAGGAAGGACTCGATCCGAGTCACCCCACGACCTAAAAAGGACAAGCAAGCCCCCAGGAAGGTCAAGTCTGGTCAGCGGAAATCGTGAGTGTTCGGAGTGGTCAGAACGCAGGGGCCACAACGGTCGCACTACGCCTAATCTTGTTAAAAAAGCTCCGTAGTTTCCCATCGGGACCCACCGATATCCAGAAATAAAGAATTTGGGACAAGGTTAGATGCCGTTTTCCTTATTGTAGATTGTACACGTTACTAGTACATGCTCTTTGAAACGTCGGGCGAGAGAATTGCGAGTAACCGGATATTTCGTACGAGAGAAAAAAAGGGAGATGACCGGTGGACAGAAATACGAGTTGTACTGGGAGTAGCATTCGTACCGATTGCCACAATGGCTCAGGCTTGTGCCGTCATGGGAACTTGAACTTGGACTTGAACTCGCTTAGCTGGCATTTTGTACACATGGCAAAATTATACCGAATACGATGATGAGAATTCCTTGATTTAGACATCTGAGGATATTAATTTGTAGATTGCACTCAACATAGAACCTGCTTCTATAGATTGATGATGACAATGGCGTTAGATTTTATTTTAATTTTATGGTTTCTTCAGGTCGAGTCAATGGCAGGAATGGAAATTTGCAACATCCTTGTTGATATTCTGCAGATACCCAGTAAAACAAAGGTCCCTGAGGTATCAAGGAGAACTGCAGGTCTAGAATCTAGCAAAAGACTAGGACATGTTCTGAATGGATCGAATTGAAGGACCGGTTTACTTAATAGGTCCACTCGCAGGGGATCGTCGAGACTAGGATGAATTAGGTGATTTCCACGCCATTGACAGGGCTGTTCATGCGGGTATATGTGTGAAGAGAATAATCCCTGATAGGTAGTATTCAATGCAAATTTTATTAGAGGGATTGATGTTTAGTAGCATTGCTACTACAGTTACTATAGTTACTACAGTATAGGTACTGCCAGTACAAGAGGGTATAATTTTACCCGTCGCTACATACATAAAAATCATCTATTCATGTCGATTACCTTAATTAAATCCGACCAATATAAATTTATGGATTTATAAAAAAAAATGCCAATAAATTTATACTTATAAATTATATAAATTATAATATAGTCGGATCCGACTTTCGGCCGGGAATGAGCTGTGCCCCTAATCCACTTTCTTACGCCCGTTGGATCCACAAACTTGACATTTGACCTTTTGATTGCTGGATCTTTACTTGGATAATTATCGATTTCTTCACGGTTTCACGCGTTTGGCTGTACTCCCATCGGAATCCGCTTAATGGTCCTCCCTCGGAGCCGGCCGTGGAACTGAATTGAGAAAAAAAAAGAATAAAAAAAAAGAGAGAAAAGGTGATCTCGGCTCGACTGCACCGAAGCGCCCCTTTCGAGTAGCCAGCCGGAAAGCTAAGATCTGGGGGTCCTTGAAAGGGGGGCTAATGATGCCGTTTATGCTATTATGCCTGACATCACAGGTTCAATCTCGGCTGCCGTCTCGGTCGAGGTACCGTTGACATGGGAGTCGTAATCCGCGTCCAGATGCCGCCCCTCTCAATTCTTTGCTTTTATCCCCCCTGGTCATTCGGTGACGAAGATCTCGAATACATATAAAACATCTCCTGCTGCGGCCGATAGGAACCTAATTCAGTTCTTCGGTAACACAGCAAAACACAATTTCGAGCTTGATATTCATTAGATTCTTCTTGAATTCTATCTCGCCACCCCCGATCGAAAGATTTATATTCCTCACCATCCAACTTCCTGAATCTGGACCCAGTCTTCAAGTTGATCCACTTATATCTCAATGATGCCTTACGGTCGATGCAATCCTTTGCCTAAATTGAGCATGGGCAACGACAGATATCTCAATCAACAACTGAGTCCTCATTCCCGCCCGTTAGACATGTTCTCGACCAAAGCTTCCGACCCTCTTCCTGGAAACTGGAACTATGACAGTGCCATCGACTTGTTTTCCTTAACGCCTGTCGATATGGATCCGGTTTCGTTCGATTTCGCCGATAGCTTAACGAGCGCCGACACAAAAGACTTCTTCATGGATCCATTTGGTACACCATCGGCAATCAACGGATTCGTCATGCCTACTGCTGAAGACGCTGTTTCTCCCTCATCGGTATGTCTATACACTCATACAATCGGAATTTAGTATCTCTAACATCTATATTCAATAGGACTTTGATAGCGACGATCAATCATGGACCGGAATACGCCAATCGGTCGACCTGAGCATGCCCGAGGCCTCTATCACCGAAAAGCCATCCAAAGTGACCACTCGCAGCTCAACCCAAAATTCCTCTCCAACAAGGTGGTCCTCAAGTCCAGAAATCAAGCCGCAAGAATACAAAGTTCCCCGAGCCGAGAAAGCCTCCGTATCCGCATCCGCATCCACATCCACATCCACCCGCAAGACCCGCAGTCTGTCTCAGGAATCCAACCGTTCCTCCACAGGCCAAGACCCACATGTGCGTAACGCGGCCAAACGAGCCGCCCACAACATCATCGAAAAGCGTTACCGCACAAACATGAACGCCAAGTTCCTCGCACTTGAGAAAGCCATCTCACCAGCTGGTGTTCCTAAACAGACTTCTCGGGCTGGTGCGGGATCATTGAAAAAGTCTGAAATCCTTTCAAATGCTCTAGCCTACATTGAGAGCGTCCAGCAAGAAAACCAGTCCATGCATAAGGAATTGGCTATGCTGAAACAAAATATGATTCCCGGTGCAATGTGGCGCCACAAGCAGTCACGCGTCTAGATGTGTGATTCTTTGATCATTCAGCGGCTCGCTCGCGTCGATACTTTACTTTTGCTTTACTCCATTTTCATTGCTTATCTTATGACCCGTGACGCGATGTACATTTAGAGCCGCCGATTGCTTCGGACTTGGAGTTTGGGGTTTGGATAATAGGTTGGCGTTTTCTTCTTGTTTATTCCCTTTTTACTATTGCTTTGGCGTTCGGATTCATGTTCTGGTTACTCCCATCTCATCCTTGTCATTCTCGGGTCGTGGTGACAACAAAAGTGTGTTTGTTTTGTGATATCTCTACATGGCCGACAGGTGTCGTTGTATGCGATAGTGCTAGCATTAATGTAATTGCCAAGACTCGGATGATTTATTATCTGAATATTATCCATTATACTAGACTAGGTATTTGGTAGTGACTTGTACAATCGACGAATATAACCTTGTATCAGTAAGTAGATGGTCCGATAGGTCTGGAACCTCAAGTGCTTGTTAAATTAACACTCAGGACCTAGGAAAATGCCTAGCACAATATAGACCTCCCGAGGTAGGTAGACCTCCTTTACTACTTGGGTTCCTGCACTTTTATCAATTCACCGCCTGTCTTGGTACCCAAGGAGCTATTAGCCTACAGCTTATCCCTAGGGATACATACCAGTCGCCTATATCCAACAATTCAACAGCTAACCTTCCCTTCCAGGTAACCATGCAGATAACCCCGTAGGTAACCATGTAGGTACTTACATGCAAAGAGGGGTATGTCACCAATTACCTGTACATACTACTGACTGAGTACTTAACTACTATGTGAACATGGCTGTAGTATGGTGTCTACTTGACCGAGACTCGGATTCCTGGCCAAGCACTTCAAATGTGGAGTGCTGACCTCGGGAGTAGATACCTTGCCCTATCTCACTGGACTTGTCTTCTACTACTCGGGACACCATGTATGCTTTGAATTTTTAGGGTTAATTCAAATGTTCCAGGGTAATGTTCAATTAACTATTGCAGTGTAGTATATGAGGAGACGCCAACATAGAATTCTCACTTAGTAAAAAGCTCCCCAGGTAATATCTCACAAGCACGCAAACAAGTAAAAGATGGAACAAGGGCATCTTTGCTGGTAGGAATAAAAATACAAATTGAATCGACAAGTGTGTCTATATAAGCAGCACGAAAGCCTCTAAGGACGTGATAACAGAAGCATATACACAGATGGGAGAGGAATACATGAAAATCCAATATCAGAAGTGTCTCCTCGGTACAGCTTTTCGGGCAATGCTCTCAGGAGATTATCCATGGTAGGCTGGCCGTCTGGGGGCCTCGCTGGCATTAGAGGGAGGCGATAACCCCGTGGAGGCAAGACAAACTCAACGTTATGAGTTGCGTAAGTGGAGGGCTGGGCCTCCGGCGATGGTCTGGCCTCCTCCTGTTCGCCCGAAACATCTTTGGACCGATCGGCCTTCCTACGCAGTGGCTCCAGCTCTAGATGTTAGATCACGTGGTCTGTATAGTTCAGACCAAGGTGGCTAGGTAGATAGCTCTCGACGTGGGCAGACTTCCCCTCCGCGCGCTTCCCCCCCATACGTGTTCTTTCCTGTAGCTGTTCCATAGGCACACCTCCTAACACTAGATGGCTGTCCATCAAGATGTGTAAGCGGTTTGGCGATTTTGATTTCGATGTCTCTGGTGTCCCCTTCCAGAATTGCCAGGGTTTGGGTTGTGGTGCTGTTCCTAATCAGTCAACATAGCCCTATTAGACAAGGATCAATTCGAACGAATAGATCGACTCGCCATTGACCTCCTTCTGCTTGTCTAGGTACTCCTTGGTTAGTACCCTCTGGGGGTGGTCAAGCAGCGCCTGTCTAGCGTTGTGCCTATAGATGATTTTTATCAGACACTGGACATAAAAATACCCATATAATAAGTAGAGCCCGTACCGAAGACGCCAGACGACCACGCCGCAGACGACCATGACAATCAAGAAAGACGCCACGTCCACAAAGATCCATGATACAGCCGCAGTAAGGATAGAGGTAGAAGGGGAGGGTGTAGGGGTTGCGGATGGTATTGGGGGCTCTGACAGAGAAACAGCTCGAGATATCACACGGATGAGGCGCGAAAAGGTCATTGTGGGCGTGTTTGAGAATTTGTGCTTTGATGCTAGCTTGATTCAATAGGTTGAAGCTAAGATCCGGTACTTTGTTCATTTGTTTTGATAGATACGTGCCTGCCTTGGTGGGCTCCTACCATCTTTTACAGTTCATGCAGGTACCTTTCCCCGGTTCCGAGGTACCACTATGTAGGCCGCACTCCGAGACTCATCGAACGCACCATGAGTCCAGAGACCTAGACCTAGACCTAACCCTTACCAGCGATTAGCCCTGAAAAGCTCTAATATACGCCTGGAACAGGAAAAAAACAGCTATTTGACGCTGATACCATAAACATATCGGAGATACTGATAGGCCCATTGATAAGATCTAGAGTGTGATTTAATAAAATTCGAGATCTGGGACTCGAAAATGACCACCAGGACTCGATTTTGAAATAGAAGGGGTCATAACCTGTGTTGGACAAAATCCCCATATAGAAAACATCCCTGTCCTTAAGAGATACCCCTCTTCCTTTCACCGCTGATTCCACTCTTGGTCAGAGAACCATCCACATTTCCAAGATTCGATACCCCATTACCGCCAGCTCACAAGATGTGGGAACCAGTGCAAGTCCCCTTCCAGAACGCCGAGCCTCTACCTCCTCTACCCACAAGCGAAGAGATCCGCGCTTGCACCAATATCCTGGGACAGACGATACTAGGATCAGGCATAGCTACAAAGATTGTAGCGGTGAATGACGACATTGTGGTCAAATACGGATGTCTTGTAGACATCTGGGAAGGACAAGCCTTGGTTCTCCTCGAACGTCATGCCCAAGATGCAATGAAGAACTCCCAGTAGTCAGGGTACCAACCAGCACTCTCCCAGTCTACTAGTACAACGTCAAATGACCGCCTACCTTCACAGTTTGAACTTTTATTTTCCACAACCATAATATTTTTCTGTTGAAGGTCTCCATGCGTCAAAACAGACCGATGACCTTCAAGTACACGAAACATGTACTTCTCGTAAAAGCGAGCCTTGTAGTTTGGAAGGTCATTGCGATTGGTCAAAGCTCTATAATTACCCACAAGGCCCGCAACAAATTCAGATTTGCAGAAGAAGGGGCCTAGGTAATTTCGATGGTCATTATTGTTGCGGAATAGAAAGGTATGAAGGCCACCGCCGTCCAGACTTCCATAGAAGTTAGGTACTGGACATTCGACTTTCCGCATTTTCTCGCATATTTCATTCAGGTTCGTGATGATGTCGTCCTTCTCAGATGGCTCCAATGAAGACCAGATTGAATCGAGCTGTACACCGGGAACACGGTAAATGATCAGGAAGATCTCATGTCCCTCCTGGTACATCTTGTATAATCGAGGGGCTGGAATTTTGGGGGCAGGGAAAAGAAACACGCTGACAACCGACTCAGAGTGGTAAAATATGCCTATTTCATGCTTTCAAGTTTCATACAGAGAATATTTCTTTTCAGACCTTGCCCAGGTGAGAAGGGTAGATTAATGTGAACTTGACTGATAGACTCGGACTAGCAATTAAATTAGTGACGCTAGAGCGCACTTCGTGGTTGAAAAGGATTAATACATTGATTGCAAACATTATGTTCCTCAAAATCCCATATCCCTGTCAATCTGTTTCATGACGGCCATCTCTGCAGGGAAGACTAGAAGAAACCCCCTGAGCTCGCCAGGACCATTCATTTTCCCAATGAAAATTTAGTGCCTATGCCTATATGCAACTTGAAGTATGTAGTAACAGCTAGCCTTCCTTCCCCTCCAGGTGGTCCTGTACTAGGTAACCCCGTAGGTACTCACGTACAAAGAGGTGTAGATCCGAGTCATCATTCACCTGTAGATGCTACTGACTGAGCCCTGTACTTACATATGTATGTATATGAACACACCTCAGGCTGGCCAAGCAATTCCAAGGTTGAGTGCCGAGGACATACCTTTCCTAATTTTCAGGCCGTACCTAGCGCCGCGCGAAGCTAAAACTTGTACATATACTGCTACTGACGGAATTGGAAGAAGGTTGAGCATAAATATTAATAAGCCACTTTCATTAAGTAACGATAAACATTATTCTATGTATGTGCAATATGAAATAGACTCCAAGGTATTACCACTGGCAATATGAACAAAAGCAAACAAAACCACGCTGAATAAATGCAAGAGGAAATTGAAACAAAGAAAATTAAACTATACCGGCGTGTGAGTTCCCGAAGACCCAGACTGCCGATAATCCCTTAGAGCCCTCCATGCCCGAGCCGGAATAGGCTGATAAGTCGAATCCGGCGTAGAAGGAAACGGAAGAGAGGTATGAAACACGTCTCGAATAGTCAGGTTTCTCTTTAATGAGCAAGCCACTGGAATTATTCGATGCAACAGCACTGCGAGCAATGTAACTGTGACTCTGGTATTTACCCAGCCAAAGCATTTGCTCGTGTTCGCGCAGGTATCGGTGACTCGAGAAAGAGTTAAGCACGTTATCACGACCCTTCATACCGAGGTTTCGGCGCTGCTCCTGCTTCGCGTACATGCGATCGGAAATAGCTTGGATCTCCTCGGCGGAGGGGTGGAACTCCAGTTTCGGGACGAGGTCGCCTTCTAGATCATCTGCGAATGGAGCCCATTGCTCGAGAAGGGCGAGGACACGGATTTGGGCGCGAGCTAAAGAGTCGTAGTCGTTTGGTGCGACGACTTCACTGAACTTCTTGCCTGTTGCTCTGTCTGTTACGACACAGAATGAAGCGCCAACGTCGGTACAGACGACGGGGACACCAGTCAAGGCGGCTTCACCCATAGCTAACGGAAGACCTTCGGAGACGGAGGAGTTCATGAACAGCCACTGGTGAGATGGTTAGTTTGAGTTCGGAGCTTGTGTGGGGATTTGATGGGACTTACGGCATCCTGAAGAACGACAGACGGGTTACCGAGACCCTTGAGAATAACCTTTTCACTAAGACCCTTGGAGGCGATGAGTTCTTGACACTGTGAGGCAATGGCAGGCGCGCGCTCCATATCTCCGTAGATGTGCAGCTCGTAGTCCTTGAAGCCCCACTGGTTGACAATGAGATCTGTTGCCATGATGGCGGTCTTAATATCCTTGACATAACTGTGACATAGTTAGAAGGATGTTCCAAGTTAACATGAAAGGGGAAAACGAACCGAACGTGAGACAACATGACACAGGTTGGAGTCTGAGTCTTGATCTTCTCGATAGGCTTATACTTCTCCATGTTGGTAATACCGTTGACGACAGGGTCGATCTTGCGAGCGAAAGTGCGGCGGTGTTGCAGGGCACCCTCAGCGGTTCCGAGCTCGACTTCCCATCCGGGGTTGAAGTACTCGGCACAAGGAAGGACGACATCGGCATGGTGCTCGATAAGAACACATGAGAGGTGACCAAGAGAGATCAGAGTGGTGTTGACGAAAGTCGAGTCAAAGGATACAGCAGCGGACAGGAAGACAGTCATCTCACGGAAACTGATACAGTGATCCCAGACATGCAGAGCACACTTGCGCTTAGCCTTGCAAAGAATACCGTAGGTTGCGCCAGTGAAGTGGTGAGAGGCCTGGAAGACATCAGGGATTCTCTCAGGCACAGGAATGGAGAAGATGAACAGGTCTGAGAAGAGTTAGTAAATAGTGCTGCAGTTAAAATTTCCTTTGTTTTCAACTTACATCGATGCCACATATCCAAAGCGTTATCAAGCTGATGCAGTGATGGCAGCTCGGCATTCCACCATTGGGAGGCTGGAATGGTATCTTCGACATCCTCGGACAGCCACAATTGACGCCAAGCATTCTTGACAGTGTCGCTCATCCACACATCATTCCAGCTGCGACCATTTTCAAAGTAGTCATTCAAGTCAACAAGAGCATTGGTAGCCTCTTCGATGTGCTGGCGGGTCAGATTGGTGGTACGAGCGCAGCGAACCAGCTTGGTAAGAATGGGCAGGAAGTGCTTCTCAATATCCTCAACGCGAGTATCATGTGCTCTCTCAACAACTTCCGAGTCAAGGCAGTTCTGGAAAACACCGTGAGTAGGGTTCAAGAAGTCGAGACCCCATTGAGGAAGTACAGTCAGGGATTGGACATTGCGCTCGATCTGGAATTTCGGTACACCATAGTCATTAGCGTTCTCAGACAGAATGTGCCATCTGATGCCGTTGAGATCGTTAATCATATCACGACGGCAAGCAGACACACCACCGGGTTCGTTGGGCCAAGTAGCAGTATCCATAGCGAGAACGTGGAGCTGAGTGTCGGTATCCTGAAGCTGAGTTGACAGTGTGCGGGTATTAATTCTAGAGTCACCACCTTGTCCGAAACTGGACAGATCGCTGATCTTGAAAGCCATAGGAGTCCATGAACTGACATCTGGGTCGATATCAGCACGAGCCAGAATGGTGTCAACATGAGCATCAACGTAGTCCTTAGCGGCATCCAGACGACCGAAATCACGGTTTCGCCAGTAGGGGCGGAGAACACGGTCAGATCTCAGGAGAACCTCATCAAGCCAAACAGTAGTGACAGCATCGAACTTCTTGCTGCTCTTCCATGAATTCCACAAGTGAGTACGAGCCTTAGCAGTAGGAATGCGGCGGGCCTTGACATTCAGTCCCAAGAATCGGGTCACGAAGTTTGTCTTGACGGAGTTGAAGAAATACAGGGGGTTGTCGTGGAGGAAACTGCTCTTGCTTGGCTTGTCCAAAACGTGGAACCAATCTTCGCGGATCATAACGGGAGTGGGAACCTCCTCTCCGTTCAGCATGGTGGTAATAGTAGGATGGAACTTGTGATCGTATGTCCATCTGGCGTGATGAACATCGGATCCCTGGACGAAAGTGGCTTCGCTGACACGGGGGTAGGGAATCCACTTGTTCAGCCTCTCAGGACGGTAGGGTGGTGGCATGCACCACGAGACCTTGATCTTGATGTGAGGGAAAATGTATTCACCACTGAGGAGCTCGTCATCGAACTTGGCATCCTTTCGGAACTCATACTGGAATTTAACTGGGTTGACACCTTGAACAGCAGATCCGGACACGATGTAACCGCGCTCGTCGTATTGAATGACTTGGCCAGTGAGTTCTCCGGAGGTACACTGTCGCTGGATGGGGAGTGGCTTGTTCTTGAGCTTGCCAGCGGTTTCCGGGTACTCGTAAGTGTAGTCATTGATGACCTTCTTGTTCTTGTATTCCTCTCGTCGAGACAGGACAAGCTTGCCGGAGTATGTGTTGATAGCAACGAGCTTCGACTGGTCCTCTGGCTCCTGGTCATGGTTGCCGCTGTACTGGTAAAGACGAGCAGAGCCATCGGGAAGAGGTCGGTAGAAACAGGTCATCGGGCCACTGAGACTCTCAATGATAATGCGATCCTTCTCGATGACTGTCTTCCAGCCGCTGGTGGCCTTGTACAGATCGGAGACATTTTCACGTCCGTGGATCTAGCAGAGGTCAGTAAAAAGAATTCAAAAAAAGGTTGCGAGCAAATAACGTACCAGAACAAGGGAATGAGAATCCGCTGCAGAAGCTTGCAGAATGACCAGATGCAGTTCAGTAAGATATTGATAGGCACCGCAAAGATAATTGGCTGTCCACGAAGGACATAGTTAAGTTCTCGTTGGTACTCAGGATCAGCGACCAGACAAATCAGAGTGAACTTGATAATTGTCTTGAGGGAATGAAGAAGACGAGTAAACGAGAGCTTGAGCAGTTGACCAAATGACAGGTTGGCTCCAATAGCCGGAGGGAGAAGTCCCCGGAGAGGCTTTTCGTATGTGGAGTCCAGGAGAACGGGAAGGTCGGGGTAGGTGTCATGCTCCATCCAGCGCTGTGCAAAGGAGGTAACAGTCAAAGACATGCCAACACCCAAGTTGTAGCGTGCGATATAGGTGGAAAGAACTTCGTGATCAACAGTATTAGCTTTAGTCTGAAGCCACTGGAGCTCATCGGGAGCGACCATTCCGGGTTTTCCTGCACAACGGCGAATCAAGAGGCAACGAGCACTCTCTGGAAGATTGTCCCATTCAAGATCAGGATCAACACCCAAAAGAAGGTGACGAAGGAAGGTATTGCGACCGTGATTTGCAACACGGGCACACTCAGCTGGGTTTCGCTCGAGCTGGTATTTCATGCCCTCGGGAAGCGAAAGCTCGAAATTAGCACGGTGATCCACAACCAGGAGCTCAGCCATCATGGAATGATCGTGAGAAAGACCCAATCTGGATTCAGTGGTGGCCTGGATAACAGCCTCGGCAATAGCATGGCAGTTGCGGCGGATATTAGTCGTCCAGTCCTGTCCACCAAGACCATGATCAACGACAACGAAGATGTGGAGATTATCCCCATCCAAACGAGTAATAGCCCGGATTCGCTGTTCCTTCTGAAGAAGGTGCTCAGCGGAGATGAATTCAACAACGGTTTTACCAGTCTCCCAAAGGCGAACGACCTCGTGCAGCAAACTCTCTGCATCGGGGAATGCAGCCTTTACCAGCAACGACTTCTTCAATCCAGAGAGGGCCAAGATGTTGTTCTTCACCTCAGAGCCCGGGTGGGCTGCCGGGTCAATGCGGAATCGGGCATCAGCCGGAAGCGACTGAATGTGCTCGAAGGTGTATGCCATGGTGGTTTGAGAGAGGTCCAAGTAAGGTTCAAGGGAGCTGCAGCTATAGGTCACTTGAGATAAATCGACCTCAGTAGACTTCTTGATCGTAGGCTTGGATTTGAAAGAAGGTAAGCCAACGTCAGCCATGAACAGCGCGTAGATCGCAGCAGTCCAGGTTCCGGATGCCAATCCAATAACACTGCTCCATTCGAAGGCAGAGACAACGGTGTGAAGAATGATACCAGTGACAAATCCGACGATGGAACCCAGAGCAAGACATCTTGCCGCTTGAGGGCCAGTGAAAATTCGATTGTATTGGTAGAAGAGAAGACCACTGTACGCCCCAAGGTAGGCAAGGTACATAATGGTGGAAGTCTTTCTATATTCAAAGGTCCACATAAGCGCCATGGTGATGGATCCACCCCAAATGTGAAGGAAGAAGAACTTTGCCAGATTCTTCCAGTAAAGTGCCCTTCTTTGCTTCTTGTTTTGAGAGAGAACATCACTCAGGCTATCCAAGGAAGAGATAGGCTCTGTAGTCCGCTGAGTGACGGCAGTCCATAGTGGCTGAGAAACCGCGTCCAGCATCACTGCACCAGTAAGATAGTATCCAAGACCGAATCCGACTGACAAACGGTAGGCGGAGCTGGATGCAGTCGACAGACCAACCAAGGACTCTCCAGTCAAAAGCGCAGTCCACTTATCAAGCAGGGCAATGATAAAGTAGAGAATACCGCACCAGACGTCAGTTCCAGTATGGCGCCAGTGAAGGAACGCGCTGTGCATTCGGATACCCTTTTGCATATCGGCCATTGTATCCACTGCTGCTTTCAGTTGAAGATTCCAAGTGGGACTGTATGAAAGGGGAATCTGGGTACGCGAGTACCGACAGTACCAGACAAGCAGGAAAATGGTCGAGTCATAGCCCTCGGCCATTTTACGAACGAATAGATCGCTTGTCGCCTTGGACCAGAGAGAACGCTTGCGCTCCTTGTTCACCGCCTCAACCAAGGCCTTGCGAGGAATAGTCGAAGAAGACATCTCCTTGATGAAAGCGGCAGTGGGAGAATCGTGCTGCTTCACATACCAGTTGACAACTTCGGCATCGGTAGTTGTGGGAATGCCCAGGTACCAGCGGTTCCACTGCGAGATCACCCGACGTGTTCCGAGAAGCAGCGAGGTAACGAAGCAACCCACAACACACAGGTAAATGACCGAGTCATGGCCCACCCAAAGGGTAACGAGGGAGAGATGAACAAAATCGGGACACAGCAGATAATGTATGTACGACCAGATTGGAAATGGAATCCAGGAAGCTGGTAAATGGCGAGGACAGACAGAAGCATCAGGTAGGTCGACAGGAAGAAGAAGTAGAGGAAGAACAGAACACCTGCAGCAAAGCCGTGGATACAGCCGAGAACAATCATGGCAATGATACCACCGACAAAAACGACAGCGATTCCAGCAATGAGACGAGTCATGATGAACATGCCCATAGCAGGGAAGGCCATTGCGTAAAGGTAGTAAGTTCCACCAGAGCTGATCCAACTACCGAAACCACCACAAATAAGAAGCGCAACCATGAGAGCAGTTGTGGCCAAGGTCTTGTCAATGTCACTCATGAAGGTAGTCAGGTACAATCCACGACCAACAGTAGTCAACATGGTAATATCAATCAGAGCTGGCAGGGCGAAAATTCCGAGGAAGGTAACGCGGTAGTACCACGGAATTTCGAGCTTGTCACCCTTGGGGTCCAGATCGATATCCATGGATGCGTAAGCGGTTGGGATCTCAGTAAAGCCCTCAGGGCGTCGGGTAGGCTGGTGTTCAGTGTAGTACTTGCGGTAACGAGCAGTGATGATCTTACCCAGAACGTTGGGTGTCATATCCAGGTACATCTGGCAACGGGCACCGAGGGCGTACATCTCTGCGAAACAGGCAGCTTGAACAGTGTGGATGTTGGGAAGAGGGTTACGATCGAGAACTTCCAGATAGATCTCATCAACAGAGATACGGCGGAAAGCGCAGAAGACAGCCAATGCGAAAATGTCAACACCAGCATCGATCTCTCCCTTCTGGACGACAGTCTGGATGACCTCGGCAATTTGCTCCAGGGTTCGAGAGTCTCGAGCCATCAAGACCTCAGGCAAACGCTCATCAATTTCCTTGAACAGGGCCTTGGCGGCAGAGAGCTCAGGAGCCCAGCAGCCTTGGTCGCGGTAAAAGTTCAAACGTGCAGTGATCAAATCATCTCCGGTGGATCTGCCGCTCAAGTATTCACTAGAGCCGAGAGCACGAAGCTGAGATAGAGAGGGAACCATAATGAGTTGATGTTCAGTGCACGCACGAACCAGCGCGGTCAATTGAGCACAGTCCTTGGAGAGAGTGGTAGACAGTCGTCGCAACCAGAGCAGAGCCTCAGTAGGAGTGAGCTGCTCAATATCGCTGACAATACGGGGAGACAGACCAGCCCATTTTTCAGACAACTTTTTGTTAGCAGCAGCCAAGGCGATCTCAACCATGAAACACTGGTAGCGAGAATATCCTTTGCTTGACATGTAAGTGTGCAGGATGGCGCCAGTTCGTCCTTCCTCGCACTTTCCGGAAAGATAAATATCGAGAGGACCATAACCAGCAGTTCTGTCGTACATACCCCAGACTTGAGTCTCCATGCGAGTACGGAAACCAGAGTGCAGACCAGAGTAGATGCGGATGCGATCGTTGTCGGTTCCGTCGCAGGTGATGAGAATATCATGAAGCTCTCCCGCAACCTGGGCACCTTCACCTTGGGAATCTTGCAAAACCCGGAGCTCGGCAGCAATACTTTTCAACTGAGTCGACTTGATCGGATCCAGCAGTTTGAGCTCCCGGACTTGGCGCTGACCCTGGAGAAGATCCTTAATGTCTTTCCCTGTGAGTTCCAGACCCATCTGGAAGCAACCGAGTGAAGTATAGTCTTCACCCTCAGATGACATAGAGAAGGGGTTTGCCATGAGGGACTCGTTAGGAGATGAAAGTTGGAGTTCGTCGATGTTCACCAGTTCGGCAGTATTATCAACTTTGGGCGCAGGAGGGAACATGGCGAGTTTGTTCTTGAGATCGGGAACGAATGACTCGAGGGTATCGTACATATCCTCATTTCCAGCAGAGGAAGGCAAGATGTCCTCATTTTGTCTCCAGAGATCATGAGTGGCAAGTGTCTGTTCGTTCTTCATCCACATCAGAGCTCCGATGGGCTCATGAGTGACAGTTTTGGTGGTCGCGATTGTCGCATCGGTCAGGGCGCTCTGAGGGGCAATCCAGCTCATAGCACTGTTGTAGTTATACCATTTATAAGCACGGTGAAGGACCTCGTGCTTAAGCTCGACACCATCATCCACAGTCTCCCACATGGCGAGGGTTGAGTCACCAATGGGCTTCTGGGCAGCGACAACACGCATAACAGTTCTCATATTCTCCATCTGGAAGTAGTTGCATCGATCACCATCGGGTCGGATGGCTCCATTTCGGTACACCACACCTCGGATATTTGTCCAGTCGATTTCGCGACATTGACGTTCGCCGAGATATTGCGGAGGGCTGAATTCCATCCAGACATCCAGACCAAGACCATTGATGAATTTCACAACCTCATTTAACACAACCGGCTGAAGGTGAGCATGGCAGTCTGCCAACAAGACTCCAGTGAAAGGCGACTTTTCATTCTGAGTCCCCTTGAGCTGCTTCACCATGGCCTCAGTCAGGACATAGATCGCGCGGATAACTTCATCGCGGTGGGATCCACTGTCGGTAGCAACCAGTTGGCGAACATCCAATCTTCCCAGAACGTGATCGGCAGAAGATCCAGTGGAGAGAGCATCCAAAACACCCTCCTGCTGGGGATCGAGAACAATTACATCCCATTGAGACAAAAGCTGAGCTTGTTCCGCTGTCGGAGGGTTGGAGAACTTTCCCAGGTAAACACCGAAATTCTGCGGTGTCTTCACCTCTGATCGGGGTTTGCCAATTTTATAGGTTTCGGCCGTTAATTTTTCAATATAACGAGTCACAGCGGTAGGAACTTCGGAGAGTTCATGTCGTGCCTAATATTGACATTTCATGTAAGTATATTGTTTCGTGCAGATTACTTCGGGCCGATAAAAAAACAAAAAAACTTACCCGCCAATGCCGATAAATAGATCGACCGATTCTGAAGATAATATAACTTGAACCAAGAACGATTGTGGCCAAAAGACAAGCAGCGATTACCTATTAACTTGATGTTAGATATACTTTGCAATATTGAATATATGCAGGACATTGAACATTGAATGTTCATCAATGCAAGGACATACCCTATCCCACCACGTGGATGTCATTTGACTCCATCCCGAAGCATCTAACCCTAGATACTTTGCGCCCATATTGATGGCGAGAGCTCTTGGGAAGAGAGCTCTTTTGGTAACGAGTGAACAATGAAAGAAAGGAAGAAGGGTTCAAGCCCCAAAGAACAATTAGTATATGTAAGGTCCCCCCGTCTGGGAACTGAGTGGGGAGAAGTGGACTATGTATACTATGGGCCAACCAGGGACCAGCGCCACCACGTCGATAGGTCTAAGTAAAGAGGAGCCCAAGCACACGGCAAAGACCGATCCATTGAGAGTCGACATGTCATTCAAATCCAAATAAAAAGAGGCTAAAAATTCCCTTTCCGAAAAGCTTGGGGAGAGCCCAATGGCTAGGGCTTAGGCTAGACCCGTCGTGGTCTTTACAGTGGGTGCCTCTTCAGCCCATTACTAGCCATACAGGGGGCGGGTCAATGGCACAATACGCCAGAAATAGATTTTTTTTTCCACTTCGTAAATGAAAAGCATATGCAGGTCTCACTGTACTTCGACTGGTCTTACCATTACAAGCGCGAAATCCCTGCGTTTGGGGCTGACCGACAAGTGGAACCCGTCTAGCCTTGGAGCACTTGAGACTAAGAGAGTCCATTTCCTTCCGATGGATACTTACATTTGAACCGATTCGTCCCACTACAATGTATCTATCATAACGCTAAACCCACGCGGGAAAAATAGTCCTCAAAAAAAACCAAAAAAAAAAAGATAAGACAGAATTATACTAGTACCATGGGGACAAATTTCACGGGCCGGATTTAATCTATCCTGTCTTAAGTCGGTTGCTTTTTCTTGACTTACGCGTTGACTTTATAGTTGAGAATCCTGCCCAGATGCCAATGCGTACGTAGTTTGCCTCCCATTATGCCTAGATCAATGCGCAACTTTTTTTTTTCTCTCTCTTTCTCTAACTTAGGCAAAAGATCTTCTATAACAATATTCATATTTACAGCTACTCCCGCTTGATAGTTGGTCGCTTGCTCTTGCTTTCTTTTTCCCCAGTTCCTGTGGCTGCTCAAACTATGGAGTCCCTCAAACGCACTACAGAGGGTGCCTCTCCACCTTTGCGACGGAGATTAAACCTGCGACGACCTTGGTGTATTGCATTGTTGGTTGCCGCAGCTATAGTGGTCATCCTAGCGATCGTCATTCCCTGTGCGATCATCCTACCGAAGAAACATTCGCACTCTGGAAAGGCCTCCAAAGTATTGTACCCCATTTATATCTATCCTGAAACAAACAGTACTTGGGATCCCTTGTACAAAGCGTAAGTCAGGACGTTGAACCTGTTTTTTCTGGCCCGAGGGGAAGGATGAATCCATTGTGAGCCCATGTTAATGAAATTTATCTTGGCTAGTATTTCGACACATCCTGAACTTGATTTTGTGATTATTGTGAATCCTTCAAGTGGACCAGGCTCCTCGCCCCCAAGCACCCAATACCAAGTTGCAGTGAATCGATTGAGTTCGTACTCCAACGTGCAAAAAGTCGGATACATCCCAACCGAATATGCGACCCGAAATATTTCTGCAGTGCTAGACGATGTGGCGACCTATGCCAACTGGACCTCGGAATCGACTAGTCTCTCAATGGACGGGATCTTCTTTGATGAAATCCCTTATGACTGGAACTCCACTAAATCCGAGTACCTGATCCGCATCAATGAGGCGGTTAAAAACTCGAGCGGTATCCAGTCCCCACATTTGGTGAGTTCGCGTGGAAGAATGCATGAAAAAAAAAATAAAAATAAAAAAAAAACCAAAGCAAACAGATGGGGGCGAGAGAGAGGGTGGGGGAAAGATGCCCGATCGACACACATGCTCATCTACCGAACTGATCTAGCGATCTTTGGTTCATAGAGTGGATCCGGATCGGGCTCCCCTGCTACCCCTTTCGATCCTCATCTTGTTTTGCAATGGGCCCTCGTTCCTGAAGGGAGATCAAGTACCGCCGATCCCAAACGCTGATCGTTTCAACAGGTCATCCACAATCCAGGCACAATACCAGATTCTCGATACGATCAAAATACTACCGACATTACCGTGGTGTTTGAACAATCCTACGACTATTACGAGACTCAAGTGAATGCCTTGGAGGCATTGGGTACTAAGAACCGAACCGCGTACTCGTATATGCTTCACTCGGTTCCCACAATGAGCAATTCCAGTTTGAAAAACTTTGTCGATGACATTAGCCACCGGGCCGAATATCTCTTCGCGACCACGCTAAACTCAAGCTACTATGAGCAGTTTGATTCTCATCTGGAACAATTCTGCGACGTGGTTCCAACGAGCTCGAAGCAACAGGGATAATTGGTTTACAGCGAAGATTACGGAGAGTCTAATGAAACGTCGGGGTTTACCGAACTGGGAATCAAGAAGCGAAGATGGGAGGCTGATGTGATCCACTAATAATGCAGGACTCGGAGACTATGTTCAAAAGATAGTGATAGTCCGAGGGAGAAAAGAGCCGTATCTTTTTTTACCATGGAATCTGTGATTACCATGCATCATGATGTTGACAGCCCTGGAGGAACATGGCGAATAACGATTATCGGATTGATCATGCTTGTCTATATTTTTATTTCCGTGCATATAATTTCTTTTTTTTTTCTATTTTTACGTGCTTACCACATGTACGAAGTATCTCGTAAAGAATTAATTATTTTTCTCATTTTTTATTGGTCGAATTTTACAATCTTGTATTTTAATACGTATCTTTCATACATGATGCCTGGCAGGTGGTCCACAGGTGCATCACAGGTAGAAGTGCATCCACAGATACATCCACATGTACATAGGTGTGAATCTATAGGGAAGATTTTTTCTTTATCTCGCACTAGTTTAAGCAATGTGTAGCTCGAGTCAGGCCTCCAACTTTGAAGGCTCCAGGGCTCCCGCTAGAAGGGTGGCTTCCAATGCCCTAGCGTCTCTTAGCTCCCATTAGTGGCCTTTCTAGCGCTTTAGTGTGGATTGGAATTTCCTTATCCTGTTTGACGCCGCTCAGCACTAGTTAACTCGGTTCGGCAAGTTATAAAAGCGGCCCCGAGAACTCCGAAGTCTAGCCACGTAGCAAAAGACACCATCCATACCATTCACACCATCATCCCACGCTTCCCACCAACGCTAGCCAAGGGCTGACTGCCGGACTCAATATCCGTTAAATTGACAACTCATCATAATTTCTTTTTTTTTCTTACCCATATTCCAAGGCTGAGCTGAAAACCTGCTTGGAACCTTGGAATATTTAACCCTCGCTAAACAAGATGTTGCCTGAATCAACTGTTGTTGTCCCACTGTATATCTATCCATTGACGGCTGAAACATGGGCTCCACTTTATGCAGCGTAAGTCACGAATTGGGGTCGAACGGATCGGGAAGAAAAAGAAAAATGGAAGAGTGTGGAGACCTTCGCACTTTGGCCAAGGGCAACCACTTGAAAATAAACAAAGAACGTCATGATTAAAGGCAAAACTTGAACAAACATTTGACAAAGAAACAAAATTTTACAGCATCGAATCGAACCCAAACATTGACTTTTTGGTCATTGTTAACCCCAACAGTGGGCCTGGAGAATCACCTCTTCCAGATGAGAACTATTCGCGAGAAGTTCCTCGATTGAATTCATACCGTAATGTTTACACCGTGGGCTATATCCGAATCGACTACTGCAACAAGCCCCACTCCGAAGCATATGCCGAGATCGAGCGCTACGCGGGTTGGTCAAAGCAGTACGAGGAGACGCACCTTGGTGTTGGCGGAATCTTTGTGGATGAGACGCCCAACCATCACAATCCGGAGCGTGCCGAGTATCTCGAAGAATTGACCAAATTTATCAAGAATACTCCAGGAATCCTAGCAGATCGATTTGTAAGTCTTTACCCATGGAAAGAGGACCCCTTTTTACTCCATAATTTTGCAATGTGGAACTCACCATGAACTGGATCTTCCCCTTTTGTAGGTAATCCATAATCCTGGTACCCCACCGGATGCCCTGATAGGTGAATCCGCCGATATGTTTTTCATTTGTGAGGAGCCTTACCCGCGTTACCGATCCGATGAAGTCCAGACGTGGCTAGGACGATTCAATTACGACCGGAGTCGCTCCGGTGTAATGATCAATGAGGTCCCTATGGAGGATCTCCCGGATTTGGTTCATGAACTGCGCCACAAGGTAAAATACATTTTTGTGACTGAAATTGCTGGTGATTTTTACGAGCGGTTTGGCCCCCTTAGTTGGGGTGCATTCATGCAGGCTCTGCAGTGATGTGGGTAATGAATTTTCCGAATGGCATTGAGACACATGGCAGATTTTTCATTTCAAGATTTTCATTTTATTTTTTTATTAATTGTTTTTTTTTTCTAACTTGAAACTTTTCTTGTCCCGCATTCGTATCATGCACAGTACCTAGGTACTTTTAAGATTCGTATATGTGACACCCGGGGCTCGTAACAAGAAAGATTACCCAAGGAACGATTGAGGGGAGTGAGGTGTCAGATGCGGACGTGGCGTTCGTATTAGTAGTACATTCTAAGAATCGAACTATATTAAAGAGTATATATAACATGTATCCAAATATAATCTGGCGTTAAAAGATATCGGAGATCCGAGGCGGGAGATGTGTTTATTGGCTGGGTGATCGTCGGAGTAGCAAGCCCCGGAAGTTGGGCCCGAGATTTTGTGATGAGATGGCTCATACTAGTAAGTAAAAGTACCGGATAACCCAGGTGGCTCAAGCCTCAGATGCCTTGACCATAGATAACGATTGAAACCTGTCTTATCACATCACAAAGTTATATCTCAGCCTCGTAAAACGGTGATGCAAGGGGCGGTTCAGGGAGAAAAAGTCTGTCTCCAGGGCTGGAATCGGAGGATTGACAAAAGTACGAAGAACCTTGGAAGTATAAGCGAGGACTTGACTTGTTACACAATCTAGAACACTTGGAATTCTGCTGGTTCCCGCTCTCTCTCCCATATGGGCAAAACTCCGTATGCACTCTGTAAGGTCCATATAGAAAGCCACTCTTAACCCCTCAACTCTAAATACTTCTCAAAGCCGAGGAAATTCAGGGCAGACAAGTCAATCGAGCCGATCCACACCGCCACTGCCAGGGCCAAAAATGAAAATATTCCGTGAGGCGAGCTGAGAATGACAAGAGTTCATAGAATCATGTCACCATCTGGCTAGACCCCGGTCACCTCGTACTGGGTCTCAGGGGTGCGCTATTTTTGATACCAAGGCCCCAGATGTCTAATACAACAACTTACACATCAACTTACACCAACTGTGGGCGGCAATAGCCCCCTTATCTGGTTCCTCCGAGTTCTCCATCACAAATCATAGTCTTCAAAATGTTAGAGCCCAGTAGCCTAGACACGTGGATGAGACTATACAGACGCCAATGGTGTGTTCTCTCGTCAGAAACCTGGACCCGACCCCAAAATATGACAACATCTAAGACAAGCATACGATGTAGTAGTCTATACCCCCAATACGCGAAAACCAAAAAAAGAAAAAAAAAAGAATAGTGTAGTCATGGTTCAGAACAGCCCGATGCAGGTTTTTACCCCCTTCACGACAGACATGGACCCAGAATTCTTTTTTTTTTCCAAAAAAAAGCCCCGCGCCTAGTCCAAGAAAAGTGGCGAGGAGTCCCCGAGCGAGATTTTTGTCTTAGATAGTGTAAAAGAACGTATCCAATTCCTCAATGCCACTGCCTAAAATTGAAAACTTCTTGTAAATTGCTTCAACCGTATCCACGGTTCGAATTTGGAGGGTAATGGATCATGGACACACCATGAAGGAGCCATTGAAGCTCAACTTCGCCAGTCTGCCTTCTTCCTCATTATCTTGTGAATATATCCCAGCCATGTCATCTCCTCCTCCGGAATTCTCGACAGGTGCCAGCTCGCCGCAGCTTCGCTCAGACCCATCCACTCCAGCCACTGAGCCGGAAGATCCACTAGAGAGCATCGAGAATGACGACGACCAGTATGTGCTTGTAACAGGTGGTTTGGGATTCATTGGTAGCCACACCTCTCTGGAATTGCTTAAGGCGGGCTACAATATCATCATTGTCGACAATCTCAGCAACAGTTACCGAGATGTTTTCTCTCGCATCCTCACCGCTGCGAACATCCACTATGATCGTATTGGTCTTCCTTGTCCCAAGGCAGAGCTATGCTGCGCGGACTACCAGGATATATCTGGAATGGGTCTGCTGTTAGCGCAATATACCCTCAGAACTCCAAATGCGGTTCCTCGGTCAAAGATCACAGGTGTAATTCACTTTGCTGCATTCAAGGCCGTCGCAGACAGCATCAAATACCCATTGAAATATTACCAGAACAACGTGCGAGGGTTGATTGATCTGCTCAGTCTTCTGGATGACCATGGCATCAAATCGTTTATTTTTTCCTCATCTGCAGCTGTGTACGGAACATTAGCGGATGGCACACCTCGACTGCGTGAAGAAAACTGCGTGCATGAACGTATAGCCTATGAAGCAGAAGACGGAGGAGAAGTACACGTTGAGCCGGGATGCACGGGAATCACAAATCCGTATGGACGGAGCAAGTGGTTCGGAGAAGCCATTCTCTCGGATGTGTGTAAATCGGACCCATCATGGACGGTACTCTGTCTCCGATACTTCAACCCGATCGGCTGTGATGAATCCGGGCTTCTGGGTGAGGATCCAAGAGATAGCGCCTCAAATCTGTTCCCTGCAGCTGTACGTGCACTCACGGGACAAAGTCCTGAACTCTGTATTTACGGTACAGACTGGGATACTCGGGATGGTAGTGCTGTTCGGGATTTCATTCATATCACGGATCTTGCGCGAGGTCACGTCGCGACACTTTCTGCTGCACAAGAAGGACGGATCACAGGTTCTTTCCGTACATTCAATTTGGGGACTGGCACTGGTCACTCTGTTATGGAGGTTGTGCAAGCTCTCGAGGCGGTTAGTGATTTGGAGATCCCGGTGAGGATTGTTGGTCGACGGCCTGGGGATGTGGGATCTTGTGTTGCTACACCCGACCGGGCGGAAAAAGAGTTGGGATGGAAGACGGAGAAATCATTGCAGGATGCTTGTGAGGATCTTTGGAATTATCTTAGAATAGACAAGGCTCAGTTGACTAGTTACTAGTGTGTACATAGTATCTTATTGCTAACTAATATGTGAATAATTATGGAATATATGATTGTTTTTTGCTTCGCCAAATATTTGACCTCAACAACCTTCCTCTTGTTTCACAATTCAAGCCCTGAGATTTGGAATGCAAGTCTTTTTCATAAATCCAGATGTCTCATTGCCACATTTTTATGTTTTACATTCAAATTTTCGTTCAATTTTTTCCATTCAGATCCATATACCTTGAATCTCGAGTACTTGAGTTGGTGTTCTGCGCGGTCAACGAACTTCAAGTTTAAATGCTACTCAGGTGCCTACCTATGAATACTTCAAGGGCAAGTACTTTTATGACTTTAAGTTCGGATTATACTAATAACCAGTTGAAGGAATGATTAATACAGCAGTTCTAAATTGACGTTCAAATGTCCCGAGATTCAAGTTGTCGCGACGAAGTCGAGCCGATATATACTTCAAGGCTGAGGTTAGCTCCCACCACCCGTGCCACAGCCTGCATCCATATGGAGGACAGGTGGATTCGAGTCACTCAGCCTGGCATGATTAATGTCAACTTGAACTTAAACTCAATGACTCAGAGAAGAAATTTGATCTTTCAAACTTTGCCAGTATTCAACCTGTCAGCTTGAATGATCATTTGAAACCTTAAGGCCTTGGTTTTCAATACCTGAAGCAGGATGTGCTCTTAAAATTCTGGGAAATGCGCGTGCCAATGTATGCAGTTCTCAACTACCATCAACAAGAATGAAAACTGCAAGGTACACGGAAAACAAAGGATGATATCGGAATAAGACTCGACATGCAGTGAAAATTTTGAAAGCCAGATGAATTTGAACATTAGTCTCTTTCGGCGCTCTCACGTGAGTCTTAAGAGGCGTCTTTGATATTTCTAATCTCTTCACCACTGGAAATGAACATCTGAATGAATGAACCTTGGAACGTGTGTCAAAGCCTGGAGGTCATTAATAGTTGCAAGAATATCAAAGAGCCTGCACCCAAATATACCAACTTAAAACTCATGATGGGCCAAAGCCATCATCTCCAGAGAGAAACTGGCAAATTCAAGACAGGACACAAAGACAGATAGCGAGAATGAATAGCAATCGCGCTTTGTCAACATTTACCTTTGGGAAAGTCTCAGCAAACAAATGTTTGTTCCTCATGGGAGACATTGAAAGAGAACCGTCATTCATCGCAAATACTACATAGTAAAGAAGCCTCCTGGCCGGCAAGACTCACGAAGAATGACTTCAAATACCCACTCCCCATCGTCACTCAAATACTCAAATACTCAAATACTCTTTTACTCTATCCTCTCTTATTAAAGCCCAGAACGTATCTTGGGAATACCAAATGGCAAAAGGTGGCTCAAGTAAGGTCACTAAGTCGACCAAACGCGACCACAAACAGAAAAGGAAAGACAAAAAGAGCCACCGAGAGAAGAGCGCAGCACCTACAGAGAACAAGAAACTTGCAGACGAAAGTCTTCCAGTACCCCCCTAAGGCTGTTGTATACGGACCTGAAGGAAAGCTCATAGGTTTGCACAGAAGATGGCCAAAGCAGCATCCGCCCATCATGGATCCCCACAAAATTCCAAAAGAATGGAGATGGGAGATGATGGGGCTAGATATTACTGAAGAGTACATTGACTCTGCAGAAAAATGGCAGAGCTACGCTGACATATCTCTAATTTAGTGATATCGAAGCAAATATTGAGAGATGCCACGAGCGCATCGAAACAGGAATCATGCCACAAGTCTTCAAAATGAAATTGGAGGGATTCATGAAGAGAAAAGCAGCCCGTGAAAAGATGATGGCCTCCGAGCCTGGTCTCAGCTTTGATGTCGCCCGTCGGCTAGATAGTCTGAAGCACATGAGGGATCATTATATAGGAAAAACCAGCGAGGAAGATATAAACAGTTCTATCAATATTAAGGCATTGATAGCGGCGAACCGAAGCCGCAAGATTGACTGGTATAATGGAGAGAAGTTCACTATTTGGGCAAAGGGAAAATTATTGCGTGGTCCAATCGAATTTAGTTCGGCCAATTTGGGTGCGCTGTATAGAGAGTACGAAGATACTGATGGTCTATGGGTTGAGGGGATATGATAGTCCTGCCCATGTATTCTTAGGTAGTCTGCTTTTTGATATGCTAACTAAACAATACATGAATTCAGGACGCTTCTTCTGGACGCTCCTTTTTCGGAAATGTTGAGACGATTCCACCGGCAATGGGTGCAGGTCGTGGCTTAACTCAACATTACGTAGGCTCAAAGATTCTAAAATAAGTTTACTTGGATGCTAAGTCTGACGAATTTCACTCATAGGTTACTTTTGCTTTGAAGGTTCCCGGGACTGGCGATGAGCTTGCTTCGATCGCGGAGTTCCGAGATGATACTGGAGCAGCGGCACCTGTGGTGACTGTAGGCGATATCAGACTGATAGAGTCTATTTGTGGCAGAAAAGCAAGACATCTAGGATCAGCGCTAGGTCGAGAGGTCATGAGTAGACTAATCAATGGACATCGGTACTCGCTTGAAGTTTGTATTGTCAACAACCCAACTGACAGAGCAGCAATGACAAGATGGGTGAAGACTCTTCTTTGCTGTAGAATATGAGCCACCTAGCGATGGTCAACGATCATGTAGCCTCAGTGGAGCGTGGTGGCGACATATGCTCTATACTGCTACAGTTCCTGATAATCGTAAGCGATTATATGCAGCACAAGAAAAAGGAGAGCTCTGTGATGCGATTCCTAGAGTGGATTGGATGATAGCTCGAGCACCTACGGTACCTCCTACTCGCGAACCCTCCATTGGGCTTGAGTCTGCGCCTGCGCCAGTATATCAGCAAAGCAGAGAAAATTCCAGACCTCTTGAGCCTTGGATGCCGGACGATTACCAGCCAGGAAATTTGCGACCGCCTACTTATCTTCAGTACTTGGAGTGGCTGGAAGGTCACAATAGGGACCTACCAGAAGGCGAGGAGCGACTGATACCTACCTGGGACAATTATCAGCAACATCGACTTATTCAAGCGCACTGGACGACACAGAGAGATGCAAGGATGCAGCCACCAACATGGGACCAGTATGTAGCCTATGTCCACCGCCAAAATCTCGCGACAGAAGCAGAAACACCACTTGCCATGCAACCCCGATACATGACCTCCGATCTCCCTGGGTACTTTGAATACAGGCTTGATCAGAGGAATTGGACCGCTGAAGCAGAGGGGAATTCAGATAACAATGAATGTCTTGTACAATGAGGCATGAACTTGTCTTACTACAGATGATCAGCAAGTGAGATGAAGGTCAAATCGCCATTCACTCCACATATAGAACTCAGAATTGGTTCTTCCGTCCAATATGCTCATTTGCAATGCCCATATCTTCAATATGTATGTGTTTGGATAATGTTATTTTCTTATTACATCAATCAGTCCTAACCTTTTTGACTTTCTTCGAATGTGGCTGAGCACGCTCCCTCTAATCTCTTTTGTCCGAATTTGACTATTTGTTTTGTTCTCAACTCTCAGTAAATAGAATAGAATCTTGGAATTCGCCGGCTTGCCTTTTAGTTTGTACATTAGTTGAAAATCAGGAATAGAATCTAAATACGAATAAAATGCTAGAGGTATAAGACTAAATAATATGTTGAAGTCTCCCAAGGTTAAATAAGAATGGATGATCTTTATCTGTTAAGGGGGAAGATCGACGTGTCTTGGCTTTCGTTATTTCCACATCCCTATGTACACGTACTCCTATATCCACAATGACACCCATGGACCTGTCCCGGCACCAGGCATCAGGCGAAACTCTTTACGTAAAAGGAGATATGGAACTTGGGGATTATTTTTAGTCTGTCAATTTGGTTTCAACTAAGCTTCTCAATTGACCGATGGCATAATTTCCAGCATTGAAAGTATCTACCTTCGTACTCGTTCAAATGTTTATGGGCCAAAGGTCGGAGCTTTCTGGGACCTCGGGACCCGCTTGCGGAGGAACGAAACCAACCACAATTATCGAGGTGGATTGTGTGATGTGATTGTTCAAATGTTCAAATGTTGGATAACAGGGCCCTAAACTATGTTGATTAAACATTTGAATGTCAAGAATAATATGTTACTAGTATATTACTCTTATCCATCCTCCAATCACCGATATTGAGCTCATCTGATTAAAGCGACTCGGATGGTTCATCCAGATGCCAGTGTCCGCTGAGATCCTCAAGCTCACTATGCACATGTGCAGGTTAGCGGTCAGCACTTGAGCAAATTACCGTTGGATTTGGGAATGCATGTAGGGGAGCACACATGTGCATCGATCACACTCTGAGTTTAAAGAAGACCGATCAGTGCCATGAATAGATTTGAGAGAACTTGAAATCATAGCACTAGATGATACTAGTATTTATTATCAATTGCACAAGTGATGGCACTGGAGAAGCTTGGGAAGAATTTATCACTTAGTACATAGTAGGATTTATGTATCAGATTCAAGTTGGAATATGGCAATATGCCAGTGCTCTTGTTGAGAAAGAACATCATTGTTGATGTGAAATGAATTCAAGATACAGGTTTGAAGAGACAGGAGACGATAAAAGAAGAAATAAGCGTTGAAACATTCAGCTTGAAGTCTTATTCGCTTACCTTGTTCAATGCTATATGCGTCAGCGGGGATAAATGTGGGGAGGAGACGTGGCAATATGAGCTCCTGAGCTCTTGACCGCATTCTCAACCAAGGCGGCACACGTTTCATCTTGTCCACAACCCTTCCCTTCTCATACCACTCGAATCCCGTCAATTTCTTTTCTAACTCAGAGAAGAATTGCCTCGAGGCGTCTATCGACAATGGCAGACAAAAAGGGTGATCAGGTCACCAGCGACATTAACTTCATCAAGACTCCTGCAGCTAAGCCCGCGGAATTCGAGACCGGTGAGGACTGTGGCATTGCATTGACCAATGTGAGTTACGTGGCACAATATCTTCGCTGATATTACTGTTATACCTGCTCAATGCATAGCTAACATATCCTGATACTAGTCTCCTGCCATCCACAATGCCCCTCTCCCCGCTGACGGACCCGGTAGCGAGAGCTTCTCCAACATCCTTCTTGGAATTGCCATCATCGCTCCTCCCGCCTTCCTCACCTACCTGCTAGGCCTCGGTTGGAAGACCTTCCTTTTCTTCGCTATCCTGTTGGTCCTGCCAATTCTCGTCGTTTTCTGGACCTGGTCCTCCACCTTCAGCCCCCGCACAAATGAAAAAGTCAAACTCCCCGGCCGCCCAGTTGAGCACTACCTGACCTTCAAGCGTGAGGAAGACAAGGCGAAGTGGCATGGCAAGAACAAGGTCCCTCTGCAGACCTTCGCGGAGCTGTACCTGGACGGCGTCGTTGAGTTCAATGGCGATCTTCTCGAGATCCTCGAGTACCGACACGACTGGGCGAACTTTTCCTTCACCCTGGACCTGTTCAAGTTCATTGTCTTCACTTTCTTCGTTGATGTGATTTTCCACACCAAGGCTCAGGATGAGGAGCAGATTCGTCCAAACTACGACAGCGGTAACGACCACTACGCTTGGTTCCTCGGCCCTCGCATGATCTACACCTCTGGTGTTATCTCCGATACCGAGAAGGAAGAGAGCCTCGAGGAATTGCAGGATAACAAGATGGCCGTTGTTTGCGAGAAGATTGAATTGAAGGAAGGCGAGACAATGCTTGATATTGGCTGTGGCTGGGGTACCCTGGCTCGTTTTGCTAGCAAGAACTACGGTGCTAAGGTTACCGGTGTTACTATCGCTGAGAACCAGACTATCTGGGGTAACGATGCTCTCAAGAATGCCGGTATCTCTGAGGAGCAGAGCCGTATTCTGTGCATGGACTACCGTGATATCCCCAACACCAAGTTTGACAAGATCACACAGCTCGAGATGGGTGAGCACGTTGGTATCCGCAAGCTGACTCGATTCTTCCGCCAATGCTATGACATGCTCAATGATGATGGTGCCATGTACGTTCAGCTGTCTGGTCTGCGTCAGGCCTGGCAGTACGAGGATTTTATCTGGGGATTGTACCTGAACAAGTACATTTTCCGTGGTGCTGATGCTTCCACTCCTCTCTGGTACTACGTGAAGTGCCTGGAACAGGCTGGCTTTGAGATTAAGGGGTGAGTTCTCCGCAAGGGAATGTAATTGAATGTCTCAAATACTGACGATATGCAGAATTGACACTGTTGGTGTTCACTACTCCGGCACTCTTTGGAGATGGTACCGCAACTGGGTTGGAAACGTTGAGGCCATCAATGCCAAGTACGGCCCCAGATGGTACAGAGTGAGTTTCACCCCGTGTTAACGCCCGCCTGCCGTGCTATGCTAATATTCATTAGATTTGGGAGCTTTTCCTCGGATGGTCTGTCATTGCTTCTCGTGAGGGTATGGCCACCTGCTACCAGATGGTTGTCGTCAAGAACTTGAACTCGACCCACCGTGTCAACGGAATCTCTTCCCAGTTCGGTCTTGCCGGTGCCCTTGCTGCTAGCAAGAAGGCTGGCAAGTCTCAGCTGGCTGCTTAAGCTGGTTGAAACGTTTAACGCCCTTGAACTTGATCCTTCCAGTCATATGGGACAACATGAAGGTCGGGATGGATATTGCTTATGATGTATAGAATATTCACGATGATAATGGGGGTCAGACTTGTTTCTGACCCGGAAAAATAGAGTTGATGTTAGAGTTAGCCACATATGCTGTGATTGCTTTGCAACCCAGCGAATATAGTGGTATGATGGAACAATATTATGAGGAAATTTCGTTTTGTTGGGGTTTTCCTGCCGTCTTGCGTTGATTGTATGCCTTTCATTTCTACCTGAACTGAATCATTAATTGAAAACCTCGGTCTACCACCTTCAACCATTTGCGCCGTTTCAAGTCTCTGACTGGCGACATGTAACTCAGGACTTGCCGCTTTATCCCAATTGACAATGTCCTTGCCCGCCGGGGAGGGTGCACCTGGGCAGTCATCAAAGAAGCTTGGAACCTTGGAAGCAATACCCGAATTTTTCTCGATGTTCCATACCATGATCCAGGCAATCATCCCTTGAACTTCCATTTGTAATATGGGAATACCATATCAGTCATTATTCAGATGACAGAATAGACGCATAACATAGGAGACAAGATAGTTGTTCACCTGCCCAACCCTCCAAGGTGCCCACCTGGGCAGGTCCATGGGCGGCAGCAATACTATTAGTCAGCGCATAAATTGGACCGCAGACCTTCCAGGGCTGGCACCTGGGCACCACCTTTTTGTCCGATTCACCCGTGGACGATATTTACCTATATGTCCTTGAACTGGCAAATATCATCAATACATAATGCATTCTTGGACCGGAAAAGCATTTTCCCCCTCTTATAGGCCATTTGCTTAAGCGGTGCGGAGGAAGACCAACACCCCGCCAAACCCCACACAACCACGCATCGGGTTGTGGAGGGGTGCAGTGTCGGAATTGCCGGTCCTCGGTTTAGTTGTCCCCGAATGCGAACGCCACTACCAAGCTATAGCTGGTACAAGAGCCATGTGATCGCATCGCAATTGACAGCTTTCTCCCCTTCTTCTCTTCCAATCCTCAATTGCAGGAATCATACGAGATTGCACGATGCCTCGCCATTGGAGTGAGACCGTTGACTGGATCTGGACGCCCAATTGGGATGAACGACATAACGTAGCTCGAATTGTGCAGTTTCGACGCTCCTTCAGGATTGAAGAAGTGCCTTCAGAATGTCGCGTTCATATCTCTGCTGACACGCGCTACCGACTCTATGTCAATGGACAAAGTGTGTGCTTTGGCCCTGCCAAAAGCCATCTGGGAGAATGGAACTACGAAACCATCGATATTGCACCATTCTGTCGCCCTGGGCGCAACGTCCTTGCTGTGCGAGTTTTGCGCTTCTCTACTTATTTCCCAGGCAACATGTCACTCATTAGAGCTTCCTTGCCTGGCATGATTGTCCATTCTGATGCATTGGTAAATATGTCTCCTACTCTGGGAATGATTTCAAGTCTTAATGGTCGCTAATTGAGTAGCCCGAACTTGGAAGCACTAGTACGTCAGGTTGGCTTACCAAGATCGACGATGCCGTGTCTATATCCAGCGCCGAGTCCTGGGATCCATCCCTCGGACCCGCGATGGTCTCTGTCAACGAGCGCGTGGACGGTTCAAAGCGAGACTGGGAGTGGGTTGAGCCGGAATTTGACGATTCGACCTGGATACCTGCCGTGGTCATGACCATGAAAGCCCCAATGATGCCTATCCTTGACGAACGACGTTTAGCCCCGCGCTCGATTCCTTTCCTACCCGAAATACCTGCCAGATTCACCGAGGCAGTCAAATGCGATTCCGCCGATACCCCGATCGAGTCCTGGAATAAACTTGTGCAAAGTGACGAATCGTTGACCATCCAAGCTGCCCGTAAGACTACAGTCGTTCTCGATGTCTCAACGCTTACAACTGCGTTTTTGGATTTGCAGATGCGCGGGGGTGCTGGAGCCAAAATTCGTATGCGCTCGGCGGAGTGCTTTGAAATGCCTCCAAATTCAGGCATTCCAAGCCCATTCGCACGTAATAAGGGGGACAGAACGGATGTGTCTGGCATTCTTGTTGGTCAAGACGATTTTTACACCTGCGGATTGGATACCCCAGATGATAAGACTGTTGTATACGAGCCTTTCTGGTTCCGAACATTCAGATACATTGAACTAGAGGTGGAAACTGCGGCGGCTGCTTTGGAATTCTCCAAGATTACATTCCGTGAAACTCACTATCCATTGGAAAGGAAAACGCAATTCGCCAAATTCCCCACCGACGAGGAAGCAAAGCTGTGGAACATCAGCATCAACACCCTGAAGAACTGCATGCACGAAACATACGAAGACTGCCCTTATTACGAACAGAATCAATTTGCCATGGATTCCCGATTACAGATCCTTTTTACATACCATCTATCGAACGACGACCGGCTTGCGCGGAAATGCATGTCAGAATTCTATGCCAGCCGTCGCTCCGATGGACTTATTGAGACACATTTCCCTGCCCCCGTACCAGGAACCAACATTCCCCATTTCTCGCTCTACTGGATTCTCATGATTCACGACCATATGATGTATTTCGCAGATAGCACGCTCGTCCGACGATACCTCGGCACCATCGATGGCATCCTTGAGCACTTCAATCTACGACTCGGTGACAAGGACTTAGTCGGTCGCCTTGAGTGGGATACATGGCCTTTCGTTGACTGGGCGCAACAATGGTCGGATCCGGGCCCAGAACACGATTTCCGCAACATGGCCGTTCCTCCTGCATACAAGAGAACTGGTGTGATGACTTATACCAGTTTGATTTACTCTCTAGCACTGCAACGCGCTGCTCAGCTCTGCGACTTCGTTGGTCGACGAGACACTGGTGCCGAATACCGTGAGCGTGCTGATAAGCTGAATTCTGCTGTTATGGAGCACTGTTTCCGAGGAGAGTTTATAGTCGATGGACCAGACAGCCCTCTTGAGGAGCGCAGCCAGCACTCCCAGGTATTTGCAGTCCTCTGTGGTGCCTTGAAGGGTGAGGAGGCACGCACAATTCTGCGCCGTGCATTGACTGATCCAAGCTTCGTCCGATGCTCCTATGCAATGTCCTTCTATGTGTTTGAGGCTGCCCTTGCCGTGGGTATCTATGATGAGTTGCGGAACTCATTTTTAGATCCCTGGCGCACTATGATTGGACAGAACCTCACTACGTGGGCTGAATCGGCAGCGATGCCACGAAGTGATTGCCACGCCTGGAGCGCTGTCCCTATTCATGATTTTGTTACCAATATTGCGGGACTAGCTCCTGTTGAACCTGGCTTCAAACGAATCAGGCTGAACCCTCGTCGTGATATTTGGCCGGAAATGTCCGGTTCTTTCACTGCGGGTAAAGGCTCAATATCAATTTCTTGGAATTCTGGAAAACCGATTGATGTGGTGACTTCATTCGATACGGATATTGAGATCTCTGGCAAGGATGGAAAGGAAATTCATCAAGTTAAGGAAGGTGTGCTGTTTACACTGGATGTTTGAGCTCATAGAAACCACTAGAAGTGGGATTTACCAGCAGACCTGTGACGACTTTATGTTGAGATAAAGAGAAAGAATAAATCTAGACAATCGCATTACTATATTTGCTACTCCTCTGGTTTGCAACAAACGCCCAGCTCTCCTAACAAATTTCTCCAGATGTCATTCTACAAACTTCAGTTTCCCAATTTCCAGATCCCCCTCTTCTCACCACCTTGTATCTTCAAACTGTTGACAACAGCAACCTCATACTAAACCATCACCAAGCCCACTTTCTTCAGTTTTCCCCTTCAAGTGAGGATTCAACAAGAACATCTTTTCGAACCCCTCGCAACCTGTCTGACTGACGCTTCATTTCTCAACTATCGCCATGGACGTAACTCATCCCTCTGCGGCTGATATCATGATTTGGCTTGGGACTGTCACAAAGCTCCAGGGTGAAAGCAATTTCATGCAATGGTATTCTGACATTCCAACCGTTATGTGTCTTATTGACCCTGACGTTTGGGATATCATGAGCGGTACATTTACCCTTCCAAAAGGTGATGCCGTCAAAGAGCTTGACGCCTGCGAGGTTGAGCTAAAGGCGGGTCAGGAGTATGGCATGCAACGGGCACAGACTAGCTACAAAATGATGGAGGACTGGGAGCTTTGGCGTGTCACAAAGCCTCGTGAGCGATATCGAAGGTGGCAGCGGAACCGGGCTATCGCTCGTCATGCTTTGACCCTGACGATTGATCCTAGTCTGCGCCACTTGATTGATGAAATTCGGCTCCCGTGTCAGGCTTTTTATTTTCTGTGCAAGAGGTTTGTTGGAGGTTCCCCACCTGATTTTTCTTGAACCTTGGTATTTTCATTCCCCAGGACGAGCCTGGCTCCGATGATTCCTCAATGTCTCAGCTGATTGGGCCGAAATGATGTATCCCGAAGTGAGTCTTCTCCATACTCTTACTAAACGAATCAAAGACCCACAAATATCGGCTTTCTAGTTTCAAGCTCCTCCTCTTTTTACTTACTCCCCTTGATCAAATTGTCATGCTATATGTCTACACGTCCTTTCCAAGATCACAAATCCTTGGTTCGGATATGTGGATGGAAAGCATCAGCAGGAGGATTGCTGTTACGTCTACGATTTGTTCTGTCGTCGATCAGCATGTTTTGAATGCCAAGAGAGAATGAAAACCATGGTGAATTTTGTGCTTTCAAGTATTTATGATTCAGTTGCCTAGTCCAAATGCAGTACCTCCGAAGAGAATCCCTTTCGGTAACTTGAATGTTCCCCCATCAGTATAATGAGATCATTGTACAGATTTCATAAGTAGTAACAACATTTAATGTGATCAATAGACTAATGGCGACCTACCGACTGATATCCATGTAAACCGTTGGTCATATTGCATAGCTAAGAGTAGATTAACTTGGACATAGTGCCCGAAGGGGAAGGTGTAAAGCATGGACCATCAAGCTGTACGATGAGCTAGCAGTGAGCGGAATAGCCGAGCTCAGAAATAATTATACACGTGAATTGATTCGGTGTAATGGACACCGAGAAATTAGTGAATTCAGATCTGAACGCTTCGATCCACACGTTATGTACGCCACACTGAAGCCATAGCCTTGACTCATAATATGTGCATTATCCCCAAGGTCTTCCGAGGTGGACCGCAAGTGTTGATCTTTTCATAAATCAATCCTCAATTCAGAGTTTCTAGGTATCGTTTCATATTATCGAGACTCTGAACGGTGAATGGTAGAGTACAGTCACATATCGACCAAAGCGCTCAGAGTGGTACGAATCTCACACCCTCGAGCGCTCTGTTTCTCATGCCGTGACGTGGAACTCCACACCCCAGTCCACCCACCCCGCATTCAAAGCAAAATATGAATCGTCGGAAATATTCCCCAGAATGATAGTCATCCATGTTGCTATTGATGGCTGTCGGTGAGCGAAAAAACCAGTTACACTCACACTGAATATCATTCTCACTTCATTATACGACACGGATATTCCGAATGATCGAACTCAACGGGTACTCCCATCGATCAATGTTACATCTGGTTGAGCTTAAAAAAGCTTGAACTGTTAAACTGGTCGGATGCAGAGGACTTATGCCGGATCGCATGACTACTGGCTTCAGGCAGAATATTGAGTTTGAAGGTCTCATATAATAGTGTTCATAAAAAAGTTATGATGCGGAATAGGCGCAGCCAGACTTGTCCCCTGGGCCCTGGTGGCAAATCTTAACAAGTCGTGTGGGCGTCATCTCTTAAGTGGAGACAAACTTGGTAGAAACGGATTTCCCGACCACCTCGGGGTAATAATTGCCGAATGTAATCCAATAGCCATGCACGGATTTGCCGAGGTGGAGGACTGGGGTTAAGCTAAACGAAGTCTGGGGAAAACTGGAGAGGATGCTCTCAGCACGAGTTGAACTACCAGGGTCCCATAAATGTTTGGGGATAAAGACTGGTACAACCCCAGGAATTCAACGACCTACACAACTTGTGTCTTCTTTAATATTTTTTGAAGCAATGACTCAAGAGACTAAGAACGAGGTTTTTCACCTCGAGGATGCCATCAAAGGCTTCCAAAATCTCCGTGAACATGATCCCCAGGACTCATTACCGGTATGGAAAGTCCTGGTCAATAATTATAAAATTGTTGGTCTATCGTTGTTTGCCAATTTGGGAGGATTGATGTATGGATTTGATACTATGGCATTGTCGCTATGTCTGTCAATGACACCATTTGAGTATGTCATTTCTCTCCTGACTTGAGAATCCCAGCCGAACCCTTGGAAAATGGTACTAACTGGCGATTCATTATAGGCAACAATTCGGTCAAGAGACAGCAACTGGATACGTGATCGCTACATGGTGGCAATCAGTATGGAACGCTTTATCACAAATTGCCTGCATGATTGGAGCTTGGGGAATTGGTAAAGTCTCTGACACATACGGACGACGCGTATGCTTCATTCTGGCGGGTATGGTTGGTATGGTCGGAGTTGCAGTGCTATACATCGCATCCAACAGTCGAGTTTTCCTTGCTGGAAAGATTGTCAATGGTTTGTCTCTGGGCATGGCATTGGCTACTGGCCAGAGTTACGTGTCGGAGATTGCTCCTCTCCGCATTCGTGGTATCTTGCTGTCTGCGTATGCCTTTAGCATGGTATGTTTCTCTTGTATGCGAGGGGAAATTTGTACTGACCTGTTCTAGAACCTTGGACTTATGATTTCAGCATCCGTTGCCTTTAGCCGGATGGACATCATGAACTCCTCAGCATACAAGGTAAGAGATACCTTGGGAGGAAACAACTGGGCGCGTATCACAACGGCTAACATGTACACAGGTCCTGTTCGCTGCCGGATGGGCCTTTCCCTGCCTATTACTCCTCCTATCCTGGGTTATCCCCGAATCACCTCACTTCCTCGTGCAGAAAGGAAAGAAGGAGGCAGCACAACAAGTCCTGGAGCGGATCTCGCACAATGAGTCCGATGCTCCTGCCATATTAGCCGATATTGTCCGCGTCCACGAACATGAAGAGCAGATGCATAACGAATCGAAACCCGGCTTCCTTGATTGCTTCAGGGGTAACAACTGGCGCCGTACACGAATCATCATTTACTGCAACGGTCTCACGCAGATGATTGGAGTTACATTTCAATCCAATGGACCATACTTCCTGACAAGCGCGGGAATGAGTTCTAACAATGTTGGTATGATCATTGAAATTGGTATCGGATTCTCAATTGCCAGTGCCATCATTACCTGGTTTATCATTGGGATGGTTGGAAGAAGAAAGATCATCATGTCGGGTCTTATTGTTTCAGCTATGTTCTACTTCCTCATGGGCATTGCTGCAATCTGGTCCAACTCCACAGCTCTTTGGTGAGTAAACCGTCAAATCCTGTCAAAGATAACCCTTTACTAACAAATCTACAGGACCATTGGTATTGCACTCGAGCTCACATGGTGGACTATGGGACCAGTCGCTGGTCCCGCCATGGCTATTGCGGGTGAGATCTCGCAAGCCCGCCTGCGTGCTCAATCTCAGTCCATCGGATTCGCCTTCAACTATTTCTTCTCGTGTGTGTGGAATGTGGTTGTTCCTTACATGTTTAACACCGACGAAGGCAACCTTGGTGGCAAGATGGGATGGATCTTCCTGGCTACCAGTTTGATCAGTGTTGTTATTGTATACTTTGAGTTCCCTGAGACCAAGGACAGGACATATGAGGAGCTGGATGAGTTGTTCGAGCGAAAGATTCCTGCTCGTCACTTTGCCAATTATGCAGAATTGTCACTGAGACCCGAGTGAAATGATCAGCCACGACATTTATAGATAGATGAGCTAGACAAATGAGAGCAGAAATTGAGCCTCAAAAATTCTCACATGTTTGTAAAAAAGAGTCGCTCCCCCAGGCTGTTACCAGTAGATATCCATGTTATTCTCCTCCTCACGCTCATTTCATGAATCATGATGTGAAACTTGATTCCTGGGTCAGGGCTCAACTTGGACAAATTTTAGTATCACCCCCGTAGTCCTCTTTCCTCCGAGTTGTGGGGAATTCTGAATCTTCTGCTATCTAGTATGCTTTAAATTCGATGAGCGTGAACGATGAACCCGAGCCGAGATAACCACTCCCTATGGTGGTAGTCACCAAAGACCTTCGAACATTTAACAAATATGTATGCTCTCAGCTAGCCACTCCCAACGATTTTCTTCCTTGGCGGAATTATGATTTTTGATGGCCAAAATGGTGGGTGCCTTCATACACAGCTGGATATTTTGATCGCAACCACGTCATCTTTTGGTCGCGATTTTTATTTTATTGCCGAAGTTATGCAATATGCAGTTCTCATGCAGCCATGCTCTCACAGCTTCTCGCTTAATTCGAATGAATTTCTCGACCGTCGTTACATACGAACATGCACATGTGTTCATCAAATATCGCGGATAGGGCGCATGGCTAGCGCTATGATCCCTAATACCCCACGCTCCCGTTGATCAGCGCACAGGAAAAGAGCTGCAGTCTTATTAAATTCCGGCAAGTTATTCATAAGATTTGTCGGGCGCAGAATCGTTCAAACTTACACTTTAAACACGTTTTAAATTCCTCGGACACACTACCGACAGCTACTAGGTGGGGACGAAACGCAGAAGTGGACCTATATGCGTCGATCATAAGTGACATTCCTAATCTGGCAGATGATGTCTGAGGTCTGTAGAATTCATCACAGTTCTCAACAACTGAGTCCAGTTTATTGTCAATCATTACTGGAAAGATATGATACCACCACATGATGTGACAATCAAGCTACCGAATACAGAGCTCAGCCCGTGACATGATCCCATGTACACCTTCGGCAATAATCTCCTGGGGGATTTAATCAATCACATCCATGAAATTGTCTACCCCGTCACACCTGAAAAGTGGTTCACGCACCCGAGCTACACCCTAGGTCCGATTAGGTATGGGGCTTGCGGGTCAACCAGTGAAATGTACTCGGCTCTTAGTCTCTATTGTACAGGGCGTTGCTATGAACGCTGAACACAACTCTCTTTGCGGTTAGTGGTTACACTAAATCAACCCCTTTATAAGGGACTTCGATCCCTCCATCCATGTGATCGATCAATGTTGAGGAAGTATTCTCTCAAATTCGCATCATGAACGGGCTGTCTCTTCCCACCTCTCTACGGTGGCCCTTTGCAGAATCATTTCCCATGGATTCACCCCTCAGTCCTATTGCTGTCGTACTTGTCGGCTCGTTATCAATCTACGGCATCTATCGCACAGTTTTTAAAAGGAAGATCGAGCAGTGGGATCCAGAAAACGAGTTAGTTCTGATCACTGGCGGCTCCAGTGGTATCGGAAAACAACTTGTTGAAGATCTATGTCGTAAGAAAAACCGCGTTATTATTTTCGACATCCAGCAACCAGAGTTCGAGCTCCCCGAAGACGTTCATTTCTATCATGTTGATATAACCTCAGCCCAAGCTATTGCAGAAGTCGCCTCAGTGGTACGAAAGGCCCATGGAGATCCAACCGTGCTCATCAACAATGCCGGTGTCTTCTACCACGGCACCATCCTCGAAAGTCCTGAGCGGGAGTTTCGTCAAACCTTTGATGTCAACGTCATAGCTCATTTCCTTCTGGTGAAAGAGTTCCTTCCTTCGATGGTTCGTCGCAATAAGGGTCACGTTGTCACTATGGCAAGCATTGCAAGTTTCGTAGCAGTTGGAGAAATGGTGGACTACTGTTGTTCCAAAGCAAGTATTCTTGCATTCCATGAGGGCCTTACGCAGGAGCTCAAACATTTTTATAATGCCCCCAATGTGCGAACAACGTAAGTTGAGTATATCCCTGTTTGAGTGGGACCTTGAGTTAACAATGCTTAGCATCGTGCACCCTCTTTGGGTTCAGACCCCAATGGTTAAGGGTTTCACCGACTATCAATCTACATTTGGTCAGCCAGTTATGACTCCCAAGACTGTTTCGAAGAGGGTCATCGATCAGATTCTGTTTCGGCAAGGGGGTCAGATAATACTTCCCACCAGGTTATCTTTGGTCAGCGCATTGAGAGGAATGCCGATCTCGGTACAAGAAATGGCTCGATCTTCCTTTTCAAAGATTGTTTATCGAGTACGGAATGTGCGCGCTGCTGCCAAAGATGAATGATTTGATGACTATATTATTTTTCACCCTGGTCTTTTCGGCTTTCAAGTTCGCCTTGTGATGGAAATATGGTCGAGTGTAACTTGGACTTGGTAGAGAGGCACTTGACATTTCACCGTGGAATATGATTCAAGTTCTTCTATTTATGAATGGAGAGGATGGAGAAGAATTAATATGGGGTGCGAGCCCAACATTGACGTCGATAATATCCATAATGAATGTTCACATTGTAACGCAAAGATCGATTCAATTGATGGCTATTGGCAAGTCTTGCCGGGGCATTTCAAATGGACCTCCGCGGCTTTAATTGTACTTCAACCCAATATAGCCCAAACCTCTATATCACAGGACCTTCTCAAGTAGCTCATTCAATTCCTGCACAACAAATTCTGGGTTATCTTTCTGCACAAAATGACCAGCACCCGGTGCAATAATAGGGCCCTTGCTGAATTCGGGCGCCGTGATCTTAGCAAGATCCTCATTATAGCGCTGCCAGTAAGGATTGACAAAGCGGTTGGTAACAGGCTTCGGCGGGCCCATCCTCGCCGACTCCTCAGCAAAAGCATCGAAATCATGGCCTACCACTGTAACATAGGGCTTATTACCATTGGGACCCTTAAGCAAAGGACCATCACTATCGGGAAGAAGTTCACGAAGGTTTCGTCGGCTAAGACCCTCTTTATTGCCAACATCCGGGTGGAAGATACGACGAGCACCAGCTCGAACGGCTTTGATCGCTTCCACAGGGATCGGAGCGATACTTGCAGGGTCGAAATCGGCAGCGTCTGGGTCAGGGAAGACGGAGACAAAGTCCGAGTTTGCTAGCACACTGTCTAGTAATAGCAGTGCGGCAACGGTGCCGGAATATTCTTGGGCAAAAAGCCGAGCTAGTGCGCAACCAATTGAGTTACCAACTAAGACCAAAGGCACGGATTCTAAATCCAGGCCAAGCTTATCGCTGGAGATCTGAGTGAGGAACTGATGCAGATCGCGGACAGATGCAAGACAGTCATGGCCATGAGTAGGGTCTTCTGCGCCAGCGTCTTGAGGGTCTCGATCTGTAGTTTGGCCTTGGCCGAACCTATCATAGGTAACGAAAGCGGGAAGGATGCTGTCTTTCCGACGGTCTTTGAGTTGAGTAATGATTGGCTGCCAAAAGGCTTGAGGAAGACCTAGACCATTCAGAAAGACAACAAGCACAGGGTTGGGCGTCTCAGAGGGGGCTGAAAAGGTGAAGCTAAGCTGAGCCGATGGCTTTGTGGTGAGAGCCAGAAAGCTGAGGTCCGACATGGTGGAAATATGGATCAAACTTGAAGTTCTTAAAACTTGTTATTCAAATTTCAAGCTGAGAGGAGCAGTAGACTTTCTAGGATGTAAAATATGGCACGAGTAATATGGGGAGTTCAGCTCTTATGTGTACGTCCAGTCGCGACGTCCGGAGCTCCATACCTATGTACGCAACGGAGGGGCATAAGAACAAGCGTTCCTCAAAGGATCACTTTTTGCGGGTCTGAGCTCAAGATGACACCTGCGATGGATGGATTTGATTTGCTACTCCGTGTAGTCTCAGAGTGCGAAGCCTTGCTTAGCGTGGGGGCCGTTCAGGTTGCTGGTTTAGCCTGAACTGAGTGGAGATGGTGGTATACCACTACATAATTAGAGACGGGATGGATGCCAGCCATGGAGTGTCAGTAGTAAATAAATGCAAACTTAATCATTCCTCACAGTAAGTCTGAGGGGAATCTGCAGATAAAATTCTCCTTGGATGTCCTATTATCAATTGATTGGTTCAGCCCCATCAGTGATGGAGTTGTCACTACTACGGAGTAGACGAGATTAAATGACTCAGGTTGGTAAGTGTTCGTTTTGCTGTCAAATATAAGCCTTTCAAGATTTTTAGAATAAACCGAGTCATGAAATCAATCCCTTATTTCCAACAGTTAGATATCGTCCTTCTTATTCAAGTGTTGAATATGTTGGATTAATCGTATAGACTAAAAATAGAACTTTCGGCCTGAGGCAGAAACTTGGAAAATCTCTTTGCTGAGTCATCCGTCTAGACCGCCCGCCGCTCCTGGAGGCCAGAGCTGTTCTCACTTCATTCCAAGGTTGTAGGAATATTCCTTAATGAGGTAGTCTCTCGTTGTCTTTCCAATGTCAATTCGTGATTGAAATAATTTCCATACACTTCAAATAAATCAATTGGAAATCCATGCAAATTTTGCAAAAAATAAGCACCCACGTGGCGTGAAGTGTTATGAAAGTTGCAGTTGCATATGGAGTACACAGGTCAATTGACAAATAATACAAAAAGGAACTTATTTATAGCAAGACTCTAGAAAAGGATTCTCTAAAAACTCCTAGTTCTATGATTAAATTTCAATAAAAAAAGCCTTGGAATCGCCACATGGAAAATATTGATACCCGTTCAGGGGAAATTTTGGTCCCTGGCATCTGGATGCGGTGTAAGCGGGGCAAATTTGTATGGCCGAATGCGCATTTTTATGGTCGTGGGGTAAACTCGACTTTCCCTTTTTTTCTTCTCTCCTTCATCATCTTCAGCACAACTACATTGTCTGAATCCTAAACATAATGTCTGCACCATCACCAGACTCTCTAGAGGCTCGCCTCGCCTATGAGCCGCAGGTCTTGAAGTTCGGCACAAGCGGTCGACGTGGCTTGATCATTCATTTGACTCAACTGGAGATCTACACCAATGTCCTGGGTGAGATCCGCTACCTTCAGAAAATCCCTGTTTCCGAAGGTGGTATTGAAGTTGGTGACGACTTCTACTACGCATACGATCTTCGTCCCAGTTCAATTGGCTATGTTGACCCTAACCGCGGGGGTCTGTGCCAAGCCGTGGAGCAGGCTCTGCGAGATGGCGGCATGCGTCCTATCAGTCTAGGCGCGATCCCCACACCTGCCCTGACGCTTTTTGCCTTACAGCGAGCCAAGGGAAGTATTATGGTCACTGGTAGCCATATTCCTTTCGATCGCAATGGCTACAAGCTCAACACCTCCAAGGGAGAGTTGTTGAAGAAGGACGAGCAGCCTATCAATGAGTCTGTTGAAGTTACTCGTGTTCAGCTCCTGGCTCAGCCATTCGCTGAGTCTCTTTTCACTGAGCAGGGCATGCTCCGCAGTGCCACTTCTACTCTTGTTCCCGCCATTCCCGAGGGTAAGAGTTCTTACATTCAGCGATACGTCGACTTCTTCAAGGGCGATTCCCTGCAGGGAATGAAGTTGCTTGTTTACCAGCACTCTGCCGTTGGCCGTGATCTTCTTGTTGAGTTGTTCAAGCTTCTCGGCGCGGAGGTCGTCCCAGCTGGACGCAGTGAGACCTTTGTCCCCATCGATACTGAGGCTATCGACCAAGCCCAGCTGGATACAGTTCAGGCTCTTTACGACAGCACAGGCCAGAGTTTCGATGCGGTCCTGTCCACAGATGGAGACAGCGATCGTCCCCTTCTTCTCGCACCCCAGGATGGCAAGCTCCGCTTCTTCAGTGGCGACTTGCTGGGTATGGTTGTTGCCGAGTTCCTGGGTGCCGACGCCGTAGTCGTGCCCATCAGTACCAACGATGCTATTGACCGAGGTGCTCTGGCCACTGCTACCGAGCCCAAGACAAGAATCGGTAGCCCCTATGTCATTTCCGGCATGCAGGACGCCGTCTCCAAGGGACGTAGCCGTGTCCTTGGCTGGGAGGCGAACGGTGGATTCCTCACAGGATGTGACATCGAATTGGACGGCAAGAAGCTTCAAGCCCTCCCTACCCGCGATGCAGTTCTTCCTCTGCTTTCTGTTCTTTTCGCATCTCGCAAGCGTCAGACCACCATCCCGGCTCTTTTCACATCTCTTCCGGCCCGTTTCAGTCGCGCGTCCGTTATCCGAAACTTCCCTCGCCCGACAAGTGCGAAGATTGTGCAGCGCTTCTCACCTACCGACAAGTCTATCCAGTCTATTCGTTATGATGATAACAGTGTGAGCCCTCTTGATCCCAACGGAAACAAGATCGACTCTCCTGCCTCAGAACTCGAGCACTTTTCCCAGATCCGCGATCAACTCCAGAAGGTCTTCTCCTCTTCAGCCGGCTTTACCCCGATCAAGATGGTGAACTACACCGACGGAGTCCGTGTCACTTTCCAAAATGGCGATGTCGCTCATATCCGACCTTCTGGTAATGCGGATGAGCTCCGTATCTACTCTGTTGGCGATAACCAGGCTCGTGCCGATGAGATCTGTGATCAGGGTATTGCCGAGCCTAACGGTCTTTTGCGACAGCTGGCTGCTATGATCTAAAGACGAACTGTATTATCCCTTTCTGTTAGCATATGAATGAACAAATCTGCGCATCAAGCGAACAATTTAGTTTTGGTTATCATGTTTCAGTGCATAGCTGCTAATCAGTTTGTCATTGGTGGTACAAATAATCAAATCCAAATCATACATGAAGTCTGTTCTCACATAGAATCCAGCGTCATAGTAGCAATTCTCCAGTAGCCAGGCGGCCGGTAGTATCAAGCAGACGTTGACATAACCTCATCAAGAATAATGCGAGCAGCATTGACTGCCCCGGGCCCTTTCTCCTTGACTGCCTTCGCCGTGGCCTTATCTTTCATCTCCTTTGATTTCTCACCAACTAACACATCCAGCACAACTTTTGAGAGCTCTGGAGCCGTCCACAACGGCTTAGCAGTCCTGCTTCCCTGTCAACCGATACCCAGCAGTTCAACCCGCTGAGCGTAGTCGAAGCAATCTGCCCACTGAGGCAAAACTATCTGAGGTATGCCAGCACTGGTATCTCACATTATTCTGAATTCCGAAACCTCAATCGTCCCCATAGAAAACTCACCTCGCAGCCTCATGATAAGAGTTCGCGCCTCCAAGATGTATGGAGCAAGCAATATTACCCGATTTGAGAATCGACGATGGATCAGCCTCGAACCATTCGACAATCCTCACAACATCCGTTTCCATCCATTTCCCCAGTACACTTGCAATCTTTGAATCTGGACCCGACAATGGATAATCTTCAAGTTTCATAATCTTCCACAGAACCTGGTATTGCGGTAGCTCGATATTCCCTTGCAATGTTTCTAAAACCACAGCTAGAGCCATAGCAAGCTCAATAGCTCTGGGCTCACTGAGACGAACCAAGGAACCCAGATTCACATAAATTGTTGGAGCCTTGCCAAGCCATGCCGCTAGATCTGGGTCTTTCTTTTCAACAGAAGAGATACCTAAATAGATTGGTCCACAGGTATAGATATCGTCTGCTACAACGAGTGGGAAATCAATCTCAGGTTGAGAGCCGACGAGAATCTTCATTCCGGGTGGTCTGTTGCGGAATAGATCGAGAGGTGTACGAAGTATCGCACCGGTTTCTGCCGTTAGGTGATTTTCTATTCCTTTTCGTCTATCATCTGTCATAAATGTATAGACTGTGAAGAGCATAAAGTAAATATCAAGGGGTATTAAGTGCCAAGGTACCGGGTAATCAAAGCCCGATGAGATACTTCTCGTTGTTAGTGAACTCCACCCTGACCAGCCCAAGGCATTGTTTTTCAATGAAAGAGACCACTCACGACGGAAATTTCCACAGCACAGCTCTATACGGCTGCGCCATAGCTGTAAATTCCTTGAGTGAGTTCAGGCTCAAGCAAATAAATCGAACATTCAAGTGATGGCAAGCAGTGAGAGCGGCAGTCATCAATGTGTCAACGACAATCAGATCCGCCTTAACCGACTGGATAGTTTCCACGATAGATGAGTAAACTTCAACAAGTTGCGGTCCATCATACGGTAAGAATAGCGGGATCATATCGCGCACCGCGCGCATTGTTTTGAAAAATCCAGGTCTTTGTAGCGCTGAGACTGGGAGATAATTCGGAATTCTGGGTGGTGCACCTGGCCTCGAAAAGGTGAGGTTCATGGCTTGTTTCATTGGTATACCCCTTAACTCGTGAAAAGTTATCGCTTCTGTGTCCGGGACGCTTTGACGAAGATTCTCGACGACAGTCGTGACTCCATTTGCTAGTGCACCTAGACTGGCGCAGTGGATGTCTGCGTCTGGCTGGATTTGTAGTAAGGCGTGCATGGTGGCTAGGAAGACATTGGATTCACTGGGTTCAGTGTTGGTGATGAAGAGGATTCTTCCCCTTCTAGTGGTTGAGTCTGTCATGATGAATTTCATGGTATATCACTCTCGTATCGCGGGTTGCAAGAGATGGTGTTTTGACTTTGTGAGGCTGTGGAGTTAAAAAGGGCATGTGGCTAGGAACATTCAATGTTTGGGGTAGAATGTATGGAACGCAGCTCGCCACAACATTTGAACTTTATGCGCTAATTTGGCCCCCATTCTTTTCTTGACAAGGCTGGCCTTGCCCCGGATCGCTTAGGACTCTCTCCCTCTAGGTGAACCTGTGTTTCAAAGTTAGTCTTACTCCCCCGGGGCCGAGGTCAAGATCAAGATCCATATGAAGATGCTTGGCTAACTCCAGATGTCTAGTAAGCATGGCGGAGATAACCTTGGAACCTTGGAAGAACTCAGATGGAATAAATATCTCACTAAGTGTTCCGAATCTGGCATACTTGCGTACGGCGATACAGAGAAATGATTAATGCAAGGTCGAGATTCATTCCTGTTTGATCTTCAAGTCTCAGCAATCACAAGTTGACTCATGTGAGGATCTACGGAGACCAGGATAAGCATATGAGACATATGAGACAAATTAAAAAAAGCACATGCTTCAGTCTGAAATCTCAAACGTCAAATTTAGTATATAATAGCTGCGCTCGAATACTCCAACCTTCAAGTTGATTGTGACATCCTATCCCTTGACAGCGCTATAAAGCATCCAAAATGTTAACGAGATCCGCTTACAATGAGCTTCTCATCAATTCTGTCTTTCTCTCATGAGATTGACAATAAAGCCACGATGCCTTCAGAGTCTCAGGTACTGGAAACATGTCCAAGAACACAGATTGCTCAAATGTCTCATCCCATCTCTCCACAATAATTCCAGGCACTAGTTTAGGAAACTTGTTTAACATCAAGTCTTCCAATTCCGAGGTTACCATTGCATCCATGCACTGCCGTTTATTGGAGCTCTCAAGCATGGCTCTCACTCGTGGAAGTCGCATATCTTGTATCTGTTGAAACATGTCATGGATTTCCCTAGCCGACAGTCTTCCAGTCTTGGATACGTCAGATAATACTTTCTTCAATGAGTTGGCAAAACACGCGATGCTTTCGACAGCCTGGGCACCTCCTTGAGCGAGAATGGATGTCATCTGGAAAAGCAGACTTCATTAGCCAGCGAAGGTCCCATCATCTTTCTCATTGACATACCTGATGCGCTGCATCGCCCAGGATCAACATTCTGTCCAAGTCCCACTTGCTAAAAACAAACTCCTGCATGGATGTATACAAAGCCTCAGTTCTTGTTTCATAGAGTGTCGAAAGTTGTATATCAGTTGTGATGTACTCGTCCCAGTGCTCTCGCACAACCTTCTCCAAGTCCGCTTCGCTGAAACGAGGGATCTCAGTACCGCGATAGGTCCGATCTAGTTGTTTATAAAAGAACCAAAATGTTCGATCAGGTGGTCCATTTCCGATGAGGGTGGAAGATCCACGATTGAATCTGAATTCAAGGCAATTTTCGGGCATACCCCCGAGTTTTGGAGACACTCCGTATATGCAGGCAAAATCAGAAGTCACGTCTGTAATTCATCCAAGTTAGACAATTTCGTCATAGCTCTTGGGGAAAGAGATGAACTCACTGTCTTCTTCCATATACTCCGACCCAAGACCACGCTCTTTAGCTTGACGAACGATCGCCTTTCTAACGCTAGAATGAACGCCATCTGTGCCGATGACCATATCACCAAAAAAGACGGAGCCATCCGTGGTGGTTACCACAGCTCCATCTTCACTATTCTCGACACTCTTGATCCTCTTACCGGTCAGGACCTTCGACTTGTCACTTAGGTGATTGTACATAACCCGTAGGAGTGCAGATCGTTCCATCCATTGGAATGCATAACCATATCTAGTTCTTAATTTAGCTACAAGCTTCACATTTCACGAACCGAGAGGTCAGGCAGACATCTGGAAGATAAAATGGGATAAAGTTGGAAAGACAGACCTTTCTTTGCACAGAGACACGGGATCCCAGTTATTATCCGAAGACGATAACAAGTCTCCATTGGGATCTCTAAAACCAAAATTGCTCAAAGGGGGACAAATAGTAGTCAGGTCTTCATAGAAGCCCAATTGGTCGAAGATAGTCAGGGCATTAGGAAGGAAACAGATGCCTCCACCCACTTTAGGAGCAATGTCAGGGTAGGCCTCTAAAAGCTGGTAATCAACACCAATCTTATCTAGTGCGACAGCGAGAGTCAAACCCGCAACGCCCCCTCCTGAAATAATGACTTTGCATGGCCTAAGTGGAGACATGTTGAACCTGAGCTCCCAGTGATGCTTATCCCTTACACAGCTGGAAAGAGCCACGACTTGAAGGGTCCCATGTCATCATTATATAGGGATTCCCTTGGTCCAAAATTTGACAAATATCGAGATCGAGATCGAGATCTCGGCTAAACATTGGGACTAGTATGACGCACGTCGGCCAGTGCACAGCGCAGTGTATGCAACTATTTTAGCCCCCCACCATCACAAACTTGAAGCTTGCCTATCACCGTACATATGAATTGAGGGATTTCACCAATAAATCAAGGAAATCGGGCGCCAAGTGTGGGGAGGAATTCATTGGCGCGTTTGATACAACAGCTGCGCTCATCTATGGAGCACATTGCGGCACTTACGCAGTTTGTCCTGGACATTTTCCAGGTGCCCGAGATACGCGCCGACAACTCGAAAAGGGACATGAGAGCGAGTCTTATGACTCTGTTCCCCAATGCACATGGGGTTCTCCCGGCCTCGGGGTCCAATCTGCAAGTCATGATGTTTGTCGGAGGCAATCCAATCAAGCATTGCTTTTTTTCGCGCTTATTACCCGTGGCAGGCTAGCGTATCACCTAGTAAGGTTCTGGGCTAGTATTTCTTGATAGGTTCGAGAGGCTAGCTGAGAGCAAACTAGGAGTGGAGCCAATGTATGTGCTGTACTCCAGAGTACGCGTAAACGTGGACTTGGGGCTCCACCGTTCGTCCAAGCGCTTCCATTTCACCGATTGTGACCTCAGGATTGTGATTGTGATATGAGTATGCATTTATGCATTCCAAGGCACTAGGAAGACACCAAATCTTGAAATATGTGTATGTAGTTGAGGCATATTCATTCTACGTGGAGAACCTAGTTATTTATTCAATGTTAATTCGTTTATTATTCGTATTCAGACACCCAATCTGGTTTTACTCTTCAGAAGGCTTTACATCGTACTCTACGTCCGTTCTGATGATATACTTGGCTCCTTTCCTGACACCAGTACCCTCATGTAATAAGGCACCGTTAGCCTCTCCGTGGGGAAGATAGCAACAGCACCCATTACTGGTCGAACAGGGTATGCGTTCAGGGTTCCTTCCCGTGCAGCAGGCATGAAAAATGTGGTCTCGCCACCCTCAAACTCATCATTAAGATAAAGCAAGAAGGTGTACATCGAGCTCTGCTTCTTATTTTCCGGTGAGGAATCGTAAACGTATGTGTCATCGGGCAAGATGCCGGATGGGGGCCAAGCACCATCAATATGGCATCGGTACTCAGCGCCAGGGACATATCTGTATACGCGGAAGCGACGGTTGATACCCCTTACCAAGCGACCATCAATAGACTGGGGCACGTAAGATTGGATGCGAGCCCAAAGCATGTCGTGGAAGGTTGTGTCGATGATCCAGTAGAAGTTGTGAGCGAGGACGCTCATATCTCCATCTTCACGGAGAGGCACATCCGGTATGAAGTTGACGGATTCGCCAGCCGCAATAATAGCCTTGCACTCAGCGGGAGTAAGGACATTCATGGCCATTCCGAGGCCGGGAACGGCGGGATGTGGGTGGTAGGTGATGGACGGACCAACGGGGGCAAGAGGGACCGCGTTGGGAGCGGTCGTATAAAGGATAGCGGGATGATGGTTTGGAGGCTTCCGGAGGGGTCCAGGTGTTGTTTCGATGATGCGAATAGCGGATGGTGATGATGGGGCATCTTTTAGAATGGAGTTATCGAGGACGGAGGCGTAGATTTCGAGCGGTGGCGATGAGGGGCGCAGGTCCCAGATGGACTGGAAACCGATGGGAGATGTTGAGAAGACAGCATTCGGGCTGACATCGATCGGTGTGCTGACACGTAGAACAGCATCGAGGACACCAAGTAGCTCCAGGTCCTCTGGACTTCGCTCGGGGGGGTGCCTGATTGACTAGCTCTGGTTGTGTTGACAGGCCACTCACAACATCCAGATCACGCACCCAACGGCACAATGCTCCGATCTTTGGCTGTTCACCCCGCAATCTCATCTCCGCAAGAAGGATCTTAGCATCGAGGTATTTCTTATCAGTCAAAGCACCGGTGATCCGCGCCGTCAGGTTGGCGCCCTCGGCGGAATTGACGCCCGTGGTACAAGATTGGCGGAAATCATAGACTGCGGTTCGGATATCTTTGCATGCCTTCGACTTGGTCAAACTGGGGTATTGGGCAAGAGTATTAAGCGTCTCGATTGTGATTTCGAGATCCTCGTCGGCGACCACTGTAGAGAGGTGTTTCGGTTCGGTCGCGGCATCGGGTGGTGGCGTGAGTATAGTATCAGCCTTGGCGACCTTCTGTGGCAGGTTGACTTGCGCATTGCGCTTACGCTTGGCAGCTTTAGACTTTGCCATCATGTTATATATGAACGAAGGTAGATTGATTAATCTGATCCAAGTGGGGATGAAGTTTTTCTGTGGATGGGATAAAAGATCGGATGAATAAAGTTCCGGTTATCTGCATCTTATCTATGCTTATCAGTCTTTGTCTGATCTTCATGTCTAAACGATCTTGAAGCGGCAAGCTCTGGAGATTCTCTATAAATTCCCTATGTGACCTTCAAAATGTCCAAGCTAGTACTTAGTTAGTGTTTAGCGTGACTTCAATTTCCACCAGCAACTTTTTTCACCCGTGGAGCCCGTCAAGATTCGGTGATACATAGGTTCAACTTGAAGTTCAAGTTGTAGTAGCAGGACTTGTATAAGAACTTCAAGTTGGGACTTGCCCAGGTGAACTTATATCATGATGGATACTACATGATAGGATGTACTACTAGTAGCAGGCGGTTACTACTAGTATGAACATTTTTGAAATTGAAGACACATCAATTCCATCAATTGATAGTAGTATATTCAAATTCTACCTAGGTAGTATGTATGTAGCAACTTCAAATGTTGAACCTGAACTTTTGAAACACACCCGAGCATACATCACTATGTAGTAGCATGCCGGTTTTCATCCCCCTGAGGTCAAGATCTTCACATTGATGTAACTTCAATGTCCAAGTTGAAGTTCTCCTAGCACTATTATGTACAGCATATACAACCTTGGAAATATACTACATATGTATTGTTTATTATGGATACCTGCCAGGTGCTATATAGTTCTTTTGGAGATAAACACGCGACCCTACTAGCACTTGAGCAATTGTTTCATGTGCCCGGGTGGTTGAGTGAACAAAATAAACTTGGCGAGACATAATCAGTCATATGTGCAGGTTCAAGTTGTTTGGAAAAATCTTCTGTCATGGGTTTCGAATGTATCGGTAGTTCAACTTGAAGATACACAAAGCTTCAAATGTTTTTGAAAAGGCCTGAGAAACATTTGAACCACCAAAAGCGGCGATTTCTTTGCTGAACAATCCTCAGGGTCTTGCAGATGGACTCAGTAGTTGAAATAATTATTTCAAATTAATCAAAAATTAAGGCTTTATGACGGGTGAGAACCTAATGCTGTATGATTACACACTGCCAGGAAGTGAGATTTTCAGGTGTACGCAGGCTCAAAGGAGCCAAGGGCTGATAATATTTGATTTAGGATCCATGTCTGCCTGAATGTCCATATTTCTTATGTTCTCCAACCTTGAATAACGTGGGGGTCATTATGTAGGCCTAGACGCTATGATACCTAGGTAGTCTTTCAAAGAACGTAGCTGACCATTCCCATAAGTGCAGGAGTAACAAAATTTTCTCAACAACATGGGTAGTTCTTGCCATGAATGACTTAATGCCTGGTGGAATATTACTCTAATCCATATCCTGTGTAGTGACTAGCCCAAGTATCCCGAGGTCCACTTTCATCTTCAGTCGCCATGGCTCCGTACCAGCCCATGTTTACTGTAGTTAGAGCACACGGGCAGGTAAAGTCAGCTGCACACAATCATAAACATTTGAAGAGAAACCCGAGCAAGGGTTCAAATGTGCAGCCCATAGGAGACCAAGAGAATTTGGTACTAAATCCTGAAACTTTACCAAGCTCGGCAGGATGGTCGCCTGAGAGGCTCCCAAGCGCAATGGCCCTCGGCGGCGGAGATTAGCTTCGGCGGTCTTGACCTAAAAGGAGGATCGGGCTCTAAATGCCCAAATAGGTTTGGTATAATGCACAGGACCTGACTATGCTCGGCACTCGGCAACTTAAGTCCATGATTTCACATCAGATTGAACTCATCTTTGTGACATTTTGGAAAGGTCATGATGTTATTGATGATAAAAAGCTTGATATCAGCCATGGATGATAGTCTCATGTCATAGAAACGTACCCCGCATTCTATTCCCGCCATTTCCAAGTCAATCTCGATGCTATTTCTGTTGATATCCAGCATGAGAGTCCACTTGGATCTCCGAGAGAGGAAGGTGAAGGAGAGCTTAGCACCGAGTCGGCGAGGAAGACCAATAAAAAGGGCTACAAAACCCGGGGACATAGGGAGCTATCGATGAGATGAAGAGTGTATCTTGCAGAAAATGTCTCGCTAAAGCTGTTACCGACCATTCTCCGCATTTTCAGCCTGAATGGTTTGAATGTTTACGATGAAGTGGATCCTGGCGTGTCTCCCTGTTGTCCCCGACTTCGCTGCCTTGCTTGTTTGACTTGCCGCGGAGGTTGTTTTGCCTTTCCTTTCTTTCCATGACAGAATATTTATGAGATTAGTTCAATGAGAAGTAGGTTATAATTTGAACTCGTGTTCAACTTTATTCCTCCGAAATATCTACTTATATCACAAGACACCAGAGCTATAGTAGGACGAAAACAATCCGGTACGTGGGGACAAGCTTCTAGAATAAGATCCACTGAGATAGACTACATCTGATAATGTATTACAAAGCCTCGGAATTATTTCATGATATACATGCTATTCAAACGCTATATACTTGCAGATAACTAGCAGATGTTGAGCTTTTACAACATTCAATGTTTTATATAGCGGACTTTGGACCGCTGCCCGATAAGCCCTTATCTGTCGCATGTACCTTCCTCATTCGGCCAATATTGCCACCGATGACCCGATGAATTGAGGCTTCAATGGCTGCAAGGACCCTTGGGTGTGGCGCATGCGGCGTAAAATTTGAATTCAGAAAAAATATTCACATTGGATATAGCAAAAAATTGAGATATATGCATCGATTTTGGTCAATTGGAGTTGCCTGTCATGTTTTCAAGAGAATGAGCACTGTGCCTATCTCGCAATATGATAAATCAACTCATTTTAATGGAGCAATGCCATTTACAAATCATGATACCAATATGAAGCATTTGATCTGATTTCGCGTACCCCGGGCTTATCTGTGGAGAGACCTGACTCAAGAAGGTACAACCGAGGCGGTAACTTGCTCCCCGCAAAAAACCACAAAAAATCACGTAAAAAAATCACACGAGTTTCTCAATTGTGTTACGAATCGTAAATCCAGCTCATGACCAATTCTTTTTGTCCCACCCGTCAAATATCCTTAGGACCCGCTTGTCATTGGTCTATCATTTCGGCTCCAGCTTTATCTGTGCCCCGTATTTTTCCTGGGGAGAGATACTGTTGAAAGCGCCATGGAGGGGACGATCAGACCTCCGAAAACCTAGAAAGATATATAGAATTCAGGCTTCGCGCCCCCTTTTGCTTTTTTTCTCCTTTCTATTCCAGCTTCAGGCAGAAAATGGGCATAACGTCTACTTGCTTTTCAGTTAAATTGATATTTATTGCCTCCGGCTGAAGTACAACCTCGGGATGGATTTGGAGTCTAACTCGCTTACCCACAACTTGAAACCGCCGTTGGAGAATGAACAGGATGTTCAAGATGCGACCGATCTCGCAGGCATGGGTCATGCCCAGGCGCTGACCCGCAAATTCGATATATGGAGCATGTTGGCTCTGGCATTCTGTGTTCTCGGTAGGTCAATTGCCACCCGGTCCATTATATATCACCGCAGAATCGGACCCAGAGTAGTACAAACTTCAAGTTGGATTCATGGTCCTGGTGTTCCAAACATGAATTTGCAACATTGGAATTCTCCACCATTCATATCATGTCAATTATCACCTGGGCACGATATCGCAAAGTTCTTCTGGAAACACAGGCTAACGTAATCCCTGTTTCATAGGAACCTACTCAACTTTCGCCCAGGATCTTAGCAGTGGTCTAACCAATGGAGGTCCCATCACTATTCTCTGGGGTTTGGTGCTGGTCACCGCCTGTAACATGTGTGTCGCCTTGTCTCTAGGCGAATTGACCAGCAGTATGCCTACAGCGCTTGGTCAAGCATACTGGGTCTATCGACTCTGGAACACACCCCTCGGCCGATACGTCTCGTACATGTGTGCGTGGATCAATACCTTCGGCTGGTGGACATTGACCGCGTCCCAAGTCGCATTTATGACCGAATTCTTGCTCGGCATGAAGACCATGTTCGTACCTGACTGGAATGGAGTCAACGAAGGCTGGCTAAACTTCGTGGTCTACATCGGTGTGGTCTTTCTGCTCACCCTTATCAACGTTGTTAGCTGCCGCAAGGAACAGATATTGCCTTGGTTCAACAACTTCGTTGGTGTGTGGTTTGGAGGACTGTTTATTGTTCTGTCGCTTGCCATGCTCATCTCGGTTGGCGTCAAGAGTGACTTATCCTTCCAACCGGCCTCGTTTGTTTTTGGAAAGTGGATGAACGAGACAGGCTGGAGTGATGGTGTCGTTTGGTTCACCGGCCTTGTCCAGGCTGCGTATGGTTTGACTGCATTTGACTCAGTCATTCACATGGTCGAAGAAATCCCCGATCCTCGCCGTAACGCTCCCCGTGTGATCTGGATGGCCGTTCTCTTTGGCGCGATCACCGGTTTTATCTTCATGGTGGTCTGTTTGGGCTGTATCCAGAGCGTGACGAATGTCACCAACGCGAACCTCCCATTCATGGAGCTCTTGATCGAGACCATTGGTGTGAAAGGTGGTGCTGTTTTGATCGCCCTTTTTATCTTCAACGGATTGGGCCAAGGTGTCAGTGTGTTGACCACCGCATCCCGTTTGACTTGGGGCTTTGCCCGTGACGGTGGACTTCCATGGAGCCGCTATTTCAGCCATGTGGACCCCGTCTGGCAGGTCCCCGCCCGATCGCTGTGGGGCCAAGGCGTTGTAATCGGCATCGTTGGTGTGCTGTATTTGTTCGCTAATACCGTGCTCGAAGCTATTCTGAGTGTCAGTACCATCGCTCTGACCGTTTCATACGCAATGCCCATTCTTGCCTTGCTGGTTGTTGGCCGTGACAAATTGCCTGCGGGTGGTTCCTTCAAGCTTGGTCGCTGGGGCCCCTGGTTGAACTGGGTGAGTATTGTGTACTGTGTTATTACCACGATTTTCTTCCTCTTCCCTGGTTCTCCAAACCCCTCACCAAGCGAGATGAACTATGCGATTGCTGTATTTGGAGTCATGCTTGTTATTGCGATCGCCTTTTGGTTCATTCAGGGTAGCAGAACATACCTCCAAACTGAGGATGCTCTTGCGCAAATGGTTTACGCTCAGCATTTGGAGAATACGGAATCAGCCGGAGACAACGCCAGTTCATCTGAAGAGTGAAAATATATCCGTGGTGATATCCCCGATCACACTTGAAGGTTGCAGTGGTGCAGTACCTATTGTATATAACTTGAAATATCTCACTGCCTGTCCACGGGTAGAGCTGAACATTCTATTCCTCAATATCTTACCTAGGTACATATCCATGTTCAGTATTGCACATACTATTAATGATATTTACTTTACATCAAACCTTTTGCGTTAATCTCGAGGGCCGATGAGGAACGAAGTATTTTCGTCAGCCATACACGGGTATTCCGCCATGCTTGGGCAACACTAACCAAAAACCCCAAAAACCAAAAATGAAGGTTGCATAACCCCATTGGGGCTGGATCGTTATATAGTTCGAAAGTTGGAGGGGTCGGAGTAAGAGGAATTGGAATCGGGGTCGAGGTCGGAGTGGGGGATATAAAGCAAATTGAGTTAGCGTGGTGCTTAATTAGATCAAGCAATGATGGCCTGGAAGACGACAAATACTGTTCATATTGCGCATGCTGACATGAAAGATGAAACTCTCTTGCATCGAAGTCGGAGTGGGCGCTTGATTTTTGGGTAGTCTCTCGTGGTTTTTCTTTATTTTCAATGAACGGCGATCTCATAGATTCCCTCTCAATTGCCTATCTGCATTCCAAATTTCACAAGGCTCTTCTTCTTCTTACTAGAGTGCCTCTTGCTGAACGGAAAGCTATGACTCAGCAAGACGCCCTAAACCTCGTTAATAATGATGATTCGCGACTGGCTCCTCATGACCTAGAAAAGACTTGGAGTGGACACCTGAGGTATCTATCACTTCTGCAACCCTCTCGGCGCAGGAGGATACAGGCGATTCTTCTAAATCCTCTCACAAGCAGCATAGAAATTACAGCGCCAGATCTCGCGCCGTAAAGCGTCATTCATCTAGGCGCCGCTAACCTGGCAGGGAAAGTCCCCTCGCAGTATGTGGCGGCTGTCGCGTTTTCATATGATCTTGCAGTGCGATCAACCTTCTATTTGGCGGTCGCTTTGGTTGGTGTATTGGTGCTTGCCGCTATACCACTTCAGAAGAGTCCGCTCAAGGTTGGGAGAAAGTCCACTTGAGGTCTGCAACTTTGTTATTGTGAATATTCCCAGAAATACATTCAAGTTCTTTTTTCATGCTCACGCTCATACCAGCAAAAAAGACTTTTTTTTTTCTCAATAATCCCGAGGTCGACCAGCAGTGTGGCACTACTGTGCCGCCCGAGGCTGATTTAGAAGCTCCACGGCTTTTGACAACAATAAGCATTCGAATTCGAACCGGACGTTATTGGAAGACGCATGGCATATGCACCTTGAATCACCTTGAGCTCACACCATTATATACCTTGACGATATCAGGAACTCGCAGGTTGAGCTATATATCCAAGCCCACGAAACTGTCTTCTCTCAACCTCCACTTCAATCCTCAAGGCTTCCAAGGTTGAGTTTCTATGATCATGCGCCAAGGTGATCGTCGACTTGGCAAGGTTTTCATGATTTCCGAGCCCTGGAGGTTGAGATAGTTGCATTCAGGATTCCACCAACCCAGTCCGACTCGGTAATCATTTGCTTTTCCACCTGGACATCTGTCTATCTGGACCAGCCCATCCATGGATGTTTGATGATTATCGATCTCATGCAGTCAAGTCCCAGCCACATTGGATCTGGAAGGCCCACGCCCCTCACATTCGTTCGTATCAAGTGGGTGGGGCTCCCGTGTCGATCATCAGAGTACCACCGCGTCGCGCGTCGGTCAAAATGTCTCAGCCGAGGAAAGGAGGTCACCCTCCATACCGATCACATCAGTGATGGAGTAGTCTGAGTATTCACCCGGACGTCATCGATTTCTCTTAGCCCGGCCCTTCGCCGGTGTTCCCCCGTGAGAATTGCAGTGGAACACCTGTGACGAGACGGCAAGCTGCAGACTGCAATATCCGACTTCATTGGATCAGGGGTTTCAGGGACCTGATCGTGACTGAGACTATGGATCGCTCCCGACGGACATCCGCCTCCAGGGTCCACTAAGCCTGTGGGACCATGCAAGGCCAAGAGCGCCCGCCATGTTTAAAGCTGCGATGGACATGCAGTTCTCAATCAGGAGTGGTTGGTCTTGGACCCTGAGAGAGGATCTTGCACCACATTCTTGGGTCTTTTAGTGGCTCATTCTCCCCGCGAATGCAACCATAATAAATAATACGGTGAACCTTCCCCTCCTCTCTCGTGTCCCCATTCCAAGCTCGGAGTATACCTTGCCTATTTAAATATTTGGCATTTGTCCGGCCTGGCCGCGCCCCTGGTAGGGAGTCTTCATTCGCTCCTTTCCAATATGCTCGTGCCTTTCCTGAACCGCGGCATCTTGTCGCTGGCGGCTGTGTCGCTTCTTGCATCTCATGTTACGGCTGAAGTCTTTGAGCAGCTGGTTGCTGTCCCTGAGGGTATGTTTGCTCTCCCGCTAGATTGACAATCCCTGGATCTAATATCATCAAATTTGTTGTATAGGATGGCACTACTCTCGTACACCCAAGGCCAGCCAGGCTATGAAGTTGCAAGTAGCACTCGCACAGGGGGATGTTCCTGGATTCGAGCAGGCCTTGATGGACATGTCGACCCCCGATCACCCGGATTACGGCAAGCACTTCCGGACTCACGAAGAGATGAAACGTATGCTGCAGCCCAGTGCTGCCTCGGTCAACGCTGTGCAGACGTGGTTGGAAGATGCTGGCATCACAAATATTGAACGGGATGCGGACTGGCTGAAGTTTCAAACAACCGTCGAAACAGCCAACAAACTGCTAGACGCCAATTTCCAGTACTATATCAGCAATGAGGAGCATGTTGAGCGACTTCGGACTTTGCAGTACTCGATTCCTGACTCTTTGGTCTCTCATGTCAACTTGGTTACCCCAACTACTCGGTTCGGTCATATTCACCCAAACCGCGCCACTATTCGCGAGAAGAAGACAGAAGTCGATGAAATATTCCGCGCTGCTGTTCAAGTTGCCAGTGCCGACTGCAACAGCGCTATCACTCCGCAATGCTTGAAGGATCTCTATTCGATTGGTGACTACCAGGCCCGGGATGATAATGGTAACAAGGTTGCTTTCGCCAGTTACTTGGAACAGTATGCTCGATACGAGGATCTCGAATTGTTCGAAGAGAACATTGCTCCATATGCCCAGGGCCAGAACTTCACTGTCATTCAGTATAATGGCGGCGGCAACGACCAGTCCTCTTCCAAGGACAGCAGCGAAGCCAACCTGGATCTCCAGTACATCGTCGGTGTGAGCTCGCCCGTCCCTGTCACTGAGTTCAGCACCGGCGGACGCGCCCCTCTTGTCCCCGACCTTGATCAGCCAGACCCTAATGACGACAACAACGAGCCATACCTGGAATTCCTCCAGAACGTACTCAAACTTAGCGACGAGGAAATGCCACAGGTTATCTCCAACTCCTACGGCGAAGATGAGCAAAGCGTACCAGAGAAGTACGCAAAGACCGTCTGCAACTTGTACTCCCAACTCGGCAGCCGTGGTGTGTCCGTAATCTTCTCATCAGGAGACTCTGGCGTTGGCGCAGCGTGTGAAACGAATGACGGCAAAAACCAAACCCATTTCCCACCCCAATTCCCAGCAGCCTGTCCCTGGGTAACATCAGTCGGCGCAACAACACACACCTCTCCCGAGAAAGCCGTCTACTTTTCCTCTGGTGGATTCTCCGATCTCTGGGATCGACCATCATGGCAAGACGACGCTGTCCGATCGTACCTGACCAAACTGGGTAACAAATGGGAAGGTCTCTTCAATCCAAATGGCCGTGCATTCCCCGATGTCGCCGCCCAAGGTGAGAACTACGCTATCTATGAGAAGGGCTCTCTCAGCTCTGTAGATGGTACATCTTGCGCTGCACCTACCTTCGCAGGTGTTATTGCTCTCCTGAATGATGCTCGTATCCAGACTGGTAAAGCGCCTATGGGATTCCTTAACCCGTGGTTATACTCCGACGGCCGCACCGCATTGAATGATATCACCACTGGTGGAAGTACCGGCTGTGATGGGAACGGTCGCTTTAGTGGGCCTACTAATGGTGGTCCTGTCGTTCCTTATGCGAGCTGGAATGCGACTCAGGGCTGGGATCCTGTTACTGGGCTTGGAACGCCGGACTTTGCAAAGATGCGGACGGCTGCTAAGGCGGAATAGATGAGCATATTTGCATAGCTGCTATGAGCATTTAGGTCTGTTCAACGCATCTCCTGCGTTGCATTGCGTTCGAATTGTTTATGTTTAGTTTCAGACTTGATGTCCTCTTCTTCTGATACATAATGGAATTTTTTGCACTTAAATATTGACCATTCAGCGCTCTGTACTCCGTATTCGCTTTCCTTAGGGTATCACCAAGCTGTAGAAGAGCTATACTAAGCTCAAAACTCTCAGCACGAGTCTACTAGTACACGTCACATCGTCAAATAGTTATAGCAGATTTCTAGTTCCTGCTGCCAGTGGCATTGACACGAACCTTGGATGTCCCTTTAGTAGCGTGTAATATTAGAAGAATACCATACGTCGTTGTATTTTTTTAATGGTGAGCGATCCCAAAGCCTCACTTCCCCACAGTGTGTAATATTACGCCAATCAGTTCTCCACGTCATACAGCCTCAATTTTGAATGAAATCATTCAAAATAATTGATTCCAGCTGCTGAGTATATTCGGAAGGCCCTGAGGAAATTTCAGTCAAAGATAATTGCTTTTGGTGGTTTCCCAAAGCTTTCGAAAAAATATTTCTTAACTACTGCAACATGGGCAATCTGACTACACACACAATCTGGCACTACACCCATGATTTAGCACTACATTGATAATCTGACACTACACGCAAAAACCGGCACTACATCAATAATCTACCACTATCCACACCTTAACACTAGATACAAAATCTGACAAAAGATTTTTTCAAATAACTAGTCCTAGAGGGTGTTCATCGCCAGCGGCATATAGCAGCTACATCCATAGGTAGACCTTGGAGATTCATTCTGATTTCCAATTCTAATGCTGGGACTCACGCATATTTCTCATCTACTACTAGTGCTTTTTTGAAACTCCACATTTACATGGCCAAGTAAATGGTTTCAAATTTGAACCTTGGAAGTCAAAAATGTCCATCCATCACAATGGGAGTATCCATTTACCTTATCCTATGGAGTGCTACTTCTTACTCCTAATCATAAAACCTCAATCCCACAAAATCCGCACCCCAAGTCTGAGATACATCTGTATCCGCCGCATTGGCGATAACAACCTCATTATCGCCATCCTTCCATCCATCCACCAGGATACCCAATGTGGCAGTATCCCACCACCCCAATCCGGCACTATAAAGCTCACTGTGGCGCCCAGAAAGCGGAACTTCAAGACGAACTGGCGAGCCACCATTCAAGGCGACAGTGATGTTCCTAGAATTGGAACCCCAGTCCCACGAAGTCGAGAGCGCAATGTCGTTATTGATATAGTCCAGCTCAATATACTTTGCTTCGGTACCATTGGCACTTGAGACTGTCGCTTTGATGGTTGCCGTTGCTTTATTTGAGGCGCTGATGTACCCGATCTTGTATCCCACTGGCGCACAGCCTGTGACTGTGCCGTTGGTGCAGTCCTCAATTATGGCGTCTCCGGATAAAGTGAATGAGTCTTTGCCTGTATAGTACGTTCCTGTGGGAGATGTGATTTTGATGGATTCAATCGTGAGCGATGACTCGATTGTGATTGTGTTGGTAAAGCCAGCAGTTAAGGATAGAGTCGATGAAACTGTTTTGCCAGAAGCTGGAACCGAGACACTCTTTGATGTTGTGTTTGTCGAGCTACTCAGCTTTATAGTAGTTGCCTTCGAGGACGAGCTAGTGAAGATGATGTCGATGGTGTACTTTGAACTGGTAGTGTTGGCATAGACAGACGAGAAAGTAGTCTCTGTTCTGTAAGATATCAGCCAGGGCTCTTCCTTCTATTCATAAAGCACTCACCCAGTCGAGGAACCAAAAAGACTGGTTGAATAAGTTCCAGCTTCAGTAGTATCTCCAAGCTCCAGAAGCATGACTCCATGTCCCTCAACAAAGGCCGAGTACGTCGTCTTCACATTTTCAACCGTCTCATTAGCCCAGATATTCTTGACCAAGCCAGCAGATTGAAATCCAGCAATAGGGAGATCCAGCGTCAAATCCCTTGTCTCATCATCCCAATTGATCAACGCGACCACAGTCTTCTCACCCTCAAGACTGCCACTCCAAACCTCAAACCCATCCTCGGTCCATCTCCTTCGTAAACTCGCACTCTCACCCAGTGAATCCTGATTAAACGCGATAACGTCTTCGTTCATCAGAATCTCAAGCGATGACTCCGCAATCGAAGTAGCATCGTCCTTCAACGCCGCACCAATAGTGAGGGGACTCTTCAAAATAGCCCACATTGAGAAATGTGTCTGTTCCTCAGGAGTCGTGAATACGTCATTTCCAACCTCCAGCATATCAAGATCTGGCCATTGTCCTGAGCCAGCGAATGGTGTATTCGGTACAGCCTGATTCAAAATACGGAAAATTGTCCGCCAATCTGGGATGATATCGTTGGCAATACGCCAAGTATTTCCTAACTCTGGAGCCCAGAGAGCGGGAAAGTCAACACCCCAGTCACAAATCTGGAAAAGGATCGTCTCGTCTTGCGCGGCAAGTGTATTGCTCATATTTTCATAGTGATAGCGAGGGGAAACACTAGGTGTGTAGTCTGTATCCGGGTAGTCGGTTGCGGCGTCGGAGTAACAGTTGTCGTATTTGAGAGCATCGACACCCCAGGATTTGAATGTAGCTACATCTTGGGCTTCGTGATCTAGGATTCAAGTCAGAATCTATGAAGTGACGTAGTACTCGGATGTATTCCAAGGTCGCAACGCGTCATATGAGTGACATGAACGTAACCTCATATCACATGAAAGAAGCACACGTATTGCATGCCAGTGGTGACTCACATAAACTACCGGCTTGGGTCCCAGCTGCTGTGGTGGAACAAGTCTCAACCCCCGCATCCTCGTAAACCCCAAACAGCAATCCCAGATTATGCAGAAAGTCTCCAAGAGCGAAAAATCCACTCGGGAATAATTCTGCATTCCAGGTTAAGGAGCCGTTAGCAAGACGGTCAGGGACTGTCCATCCACAATCAGTGGTCACATATTGGTAGCCCAGATCAGCCAGTCCAAGATCGACGAGCGCTTGAGCATTGGAGTGTATTATAGTCTCATTGGGGGAACAGGAGTAGTGATTGTATGAATTCCATCTAGGGAGGATCAGCTGAACATTCAAAATCAAGGATCCCAAGATGAGGAAACAAGATTTACCCCATGGGCGGTGTCTTTGCGACTCCATTATCGGATCGTTGGTGATGTCGCACCGCATGAACTTGAACAAATGACGCCAACAGTAAACAACTTGGAAGCCTGGAGAACATCATGACTGGTTTAGATACAGTGGAAATTCCGCAGTCTACCAAAATGTGGAAATTCATGCACATTTTAAAATAACACCATTTATTTATGTTCACTATGTGATACTATGAACTACGGAAATTTACCTATCTGGGAAGGATAAATGAGGAGAAAATGCAACTAATTGCAACTGCATGCCACTAACGCGACGATCCGCCGGATCCTGAGACGATGATTTGTGGGCGGATAATACTGAATTGTGAAGACCGTGACGTAGACCTTATTGGCGATTGGGTTGATTCTTCAAGTAATTAGAGGAACGTGCTATTATCAAAGGAGAACTAGTTAGTTTGCGGTATAATGGTGCCACTGGTTCAAACTTGAAATGCTCTATTATATGAGTTCGGGGAAAGCAGATCACACCCTCGGACGGAATTATTCCATTGAATCCGGGGAAGTGACTAGCGTGCACAAGCATGTTTCTTCAAGAGTCTATTCCCTGCCAGAAAATAAAAGAGCTAGTTGTTGTCGATACAAGGCTAAACTCTACGCACAATAGCAAGGGGTTAGACATATGCAAGATATCCTATGATGGAACAGAGAAGCCTAAACCGGAAGGGAAATCCTAGCAAAAAAAACAACGAAGAATTGACAGGGCATTGAATAAACATATTGAACGCTTGAATTAAAAGCATATGCTCGAAGCAAAGTACTGATACAAAACAAACATTTGAAAGAAATGCCTCATACGTCATATGATTGTGAAAAGAACCGTCGTTCCAACCCGAAATCATTTTTCATCAACCCTCCGACCCATCCATCCTACAGAGAGCGTAGCGCAGCACAAGCCCAAACAGACTCGATCCCATGTGAAGGCATTTATGCGACAACTCCCATGACAGCAGAGCAGAACAGCATCGCCAGAACACCCAGTCCCATTGTCGAGACAGGTTGAGCACCAACGGCAGCGTTTTTGGTGGAAGTGCTTGTGGAGGTTCCGGTACTGGTCTTGGTTCCAGTAGAGGTTGAGGTAGACTTTGTGCTTGTGGCAGCGGCGGTAGCAGTAGCATTCAGCTTGTCATTGCAGAAGATATCCTGGTAGTCGTTGCTCTTGGAATGAAGGCAGGTGAGGAGTTCGCTGACGGTCTGTTCTTGAGCGAGACAGTAGACACCACAATCGCCATCGTATTTCACGGGGCTATCACCCTTGCAACAGTCATCGAAGACAGTGGTCATGTTGCCGGTGATCCTGGAGCCGCAGGCGGCATCGGTGATTGGGAGCTCCCAGACATTTCCGGTGCAGACTGTGGAAGTCGCAGAGGCGGAGGACGTAGTAGAGGTGGTAGTGGTAGACATTTTGGCAGAGCGGATTGTAAGTGAGAAACTTGTAACCTGAATCGAAGAAGAGAAAAAAGGTGAGAAGAAAAAAGAGTGGTTGGAGTTTCGTATATAAATGGTTCAAAGGGAGCCAAGTAAGACATCTGAATCTGACTGGTCAAATTGATCAAACTGGAGTGTCAGTCCGGAACACAACCAATACACTCAAAAACACTCATTATATTGTGGGGAAAAGGGGACTTGACCCACTACTATACATAGTAATAAGCAGGGAAAATCTTTTTGTGATGCATCCGCTGCATGATGAGCGTTATTGCATGATTTCATACAATAGTTACTTGTCACAGCCACTCAGCTTGGTTGAAAAGCGATGATCTTCGTATTGGGCCCGTTCAGCCTATGGGATTATTGGTTATGCAATAAACAAGGGACCCCAGGATCGCCGTATGGGGTGAAAAGGGGTTGAGATTTATGTGGATGCCTAGACCTTACGTTATTATAGGGCTGTTAAATCCTGAGTATTGAAAATTTTGCTATCGGAATCCATGTTAAAGTTGATATTAGTACAAAATAGAAAAGTTGGACTGAGTAGCCTCACCGAGCCTGAGCGGCAACACATAGATATGACTCAGGACACTCGACTGCCAACCAGATGGCGAACTGTCCTCATAATAGAAAGGTCAAATTTGGGTATAAAAATAGTATGACCATACATTGATCGAGTACCGAGCCAAGCAAACACGCACACGTCCACGCGGCTTCAAGTCTTCACATGTACGAATCTTGAGCTGAGAAGGTTGCACATGTCGAGATACCGGTCGTAAGGTATTCAAACTCCTTACTGAAGCCTTCATCGCCAAGCACCCTCTACTGACTGGTGCTTTCGACAAATGTTTCTGCGTGAGTCTCGGTGTGCGACTCAAGCGGCGCTTCGCTACTCTCTACAATCTTCTCATCATGGGAGGCATCCAGCTCCTTCTCCTTCACCATGTCGGCGGACTCGACGCCCACAAGGGCAAGGAGACCAATTTCACTCTCAATACGATGCTTGCGCTCAGCATCAGAGGCTGCGAGACCAGTCGATCCGAAAATCTCATCCATCTCCTCCAGAGTTCGGCCCATAGTCTCAGGAACAAAGAACCACACATAGGCGATACCGACCGTGGTCACACACCCGAAGAAGATAAATGTGCCCAAGGTGGAGGCGCTGACGAAGGGAGATGTAGCAGTAGCGACCGCAAAATTGTTCAGCTAAACGACGTATTAGCTTAGTAGTAAAATGGCAAAGGCAGGAAGACTTACCCAGTTGCTGCTACCACCAATACTGACACCCTTAGCTCGCATGCTCAATGGGAAAACCTCGGATGTGACAATCCATGCGACCGGACCTAATCAAGAATTAGTATCATATTTTCCCGATTTTAGATGACCGAGAGTGACATACCCCAAGAATAGGCGAAGTTGATCACAAAGATCCACACAAATACAATGGCTGCCCAACCAGCAGCGCGGTGCTCTCCGAATGAGTGCTGATAAGAACCAATGATACCAGCGACGATGAAATGGCAAATGGCCATGCCAGCTGCGCCAGAAATCAAGATCTTCTTTCGACCAATCTGATCAACCCACAGCACCGCAGGGATAGTGAAGAGGAACTCGACAATACCGACCACACCGGTAGCGAGAAGCGTTGTGGTATTTCCGGGAAGTTGCATCTCTTGGAAAATATAAGGACTAGTATTTACTCTATTAGTATACCAGTGCAACGCTTGAACATGATAGACGTGGGAGGCTTACGCATAGTAGTTGATAGCGTTAATTCCATTCCATTGCTGGAAAACCATGATCATGCACTGCGAGAGTCAGCCAAAGTCCGTCAAGAATTTCATTAGAAGCCACACATACTGCAGTAGCCGTTCTCTTAAAGAGAGACTTGTTAGTGACCAGCGAGATGTAGTCATTCAAGCCCATCTTAAAGTTACTGCTGAATGATCCATCCTGCAAGTGTGGATACTTCTCAGCAGCGGTCTCAACCTCGAACAAATGCAAACTCTTAATTTCCAAGAACTCAATCCGGACCAAGAGGTCATCGGTGCCGGCTCCTCGCAGGCGGGCCAGAGTCTGTAAGCACTCCTCTTCCCGGCCAGTGTTCATAAGGTGACGTGGAGATTGCGGCATGAACAGCATCATACCCGCTGCGAGGACGACGGCGGGCAGGATTTGAATGCAGATGGGAATAAGCCAGGATGCCTTTGACTGCCCATCCCCTGTTCCACCAATATAGTTGGTTCCATAACCGATCTAAAAGAGCCTGAGTCAATATGGTTGAGACCAAACACAGCGGAGTATACTTACCCAAAATGAGACCATGATACCAAACGTAATTGCCAATTGCTGAACCGCGACAAGAGATCCACGAATCTCAGGTGGTGCCTTCATGATTCAGTCAATATGTTTCTCCACTTTTCAATCCCAGCGAAACTCACCAACTCAGCATTGTACAGCGGAACAACCATACTCAAACTACCGACACCGAGACCAGTAACAAATCGACCCCCGAAGACATAGTCCTTATTCTGAGTGCAAGCTTGAACAATCACACCAACACAGAAAACAACCACAGCAACCAAAACCGTCACACGTCGACCAAGTCTATCAGCGAGGTATCCGTTGATGAGCGTTCCGACCCAAGCACCCAGCTCAAGAACCGACGTCAACATTCCCTGTTGAATACTCGTTGTGGCGGCATATCCATTTGTCTTTTCGCGTCAGATAAAGTCGACTAGCAGAGATCGGGGGTACATACGGCATCCTGGAACGACTTCATTGTCAAGACCTGGGCGAACATTCCCTGATTGTCTTGTGATCGTCAGCTACCTGTCGCATCAATCCAGTAGAATTTCCTGTACTCACATCCATACACAAGACCACCAAGCGAAGCAAAAAGTCCAATCAACGAGGTCTTCTTATTGCTGAGCAATCCCCAGATACCAGTCTTACCAGCGAGCTCAGCTCGCTTTGCCGAGATGGCCGTCTCACCTGGTAGAGGAGCCATGACGAGGTAATCAGATCTCTCTTGGTGTCTTCTATGAACGATAAGATAGGTCTGGCAGCTCAAAAAAGAAATCAAGCTTCAACAATTCAACCACAAAGTGGGATCTGCGCTCTATTTATTCATCCAGCAAATTGTGCAAACGACTGGATAATTTCCCCAGCGATTTATCCCCACGGGGCCGGACCGGTTCCAAAAAGTCCACCATGTCAGCCCACTTTGTCAAACTGACCAAGCTTCCTGGAGGGTCCTACAACTCCATAGCCGACGCGCCGTCTGAGCCGGCTCGGGGAGAGCATACATACGGAAATGATCAGTGCGGACATACAAGGAAGGTGACAAACCCGGTGGTCTGTGGATACCAGTGGTCATTGAATGCCGATGTATGATGGACGTGCGCAATACGGGGCTTGGATCGAGGCATTTATCCGGAGAGCCAAGCCTGAATTGAACTCTGGATAAATCGGAGTTGATTCGGGATTGTGCTCGGTCTGGGGAGCATGCTCTTTTGCCATTTTTTGGTTCTCTGGAAAAGGCGTTGATATTATAATTCCAACCTACTTTAACCACTTCTATTGTTCCCCCTGGCTAATTGCGAAGTTGAGGCTTGCACTGAACCTGACCCTGTCGGCATCAGCCGCAGTCCGGGGCCAAATCCTGTCCGCGGGATGAGGGGATGCCGAATTGCGGGTTCATTGGTTCGTTCAAGAGCCGATCCACTTCCTCTCCGGCATATTTACGGAGTTACCCCCTGGGGACCCCGCGCTATTCCCACCGGAAGACTCGTGGAGAGGTGGGGAGATGGGGAGGATGTAGGGGTTTGAACAGACACTGAGTTGAATTATTCTGGCTGTGTTGAACAAATTGATATCTCCGAACCTGAACCTGTTCAACTCGAATCTTACAAGATGAAAAGTTCCTTTCGCATCTCGTTTGCCGTGTCAGGGTAGCAATCCCACAGACCAGCAGGAACCCGAAGGAGAAATTAATTCATGATGATTCGATCGGGCGATAACTCCACACAGACACGAGACGAGAGAACGTACTCAACTACCAACCTAGCGACTAGTAGCTCAGGATCCAACAACCAATCCCCTTTCCCGAACTCCACGTCTCCACGGATGAAGTCAGCTAATTTAGCCTGTTGAATTTTTGGTTTCACCCTGCAGACGGGGCCACCACGCCTCTCCCGCCGCCCCCGGCATCATAGAAGAACTCTGTAGCCGGTATCTATATAACCGGTAAATAGAAGTTCCAAGAGACCCCTATCCCAATGTCAATGTCTCGATTGAGCTTGTATTTTGGCTAAAATGCGTTTTTTTTCTGGGGTATTAGCCAGGTCATCTACCAGCTCGTACTGACAGAGTGAACCTGGAGTTAACGGGTCGCTCGGAACTTTGGTCGGCTTTCTGTCGGGGATTGGTCGCCCATATGTGTGTATGATCCTGTTCACAAGGTGCCAAGATCGGTTATAGTGTACACTGATGTCACAGCGTTATTTCCATTCGGCGAATTTGTAGCGGCATAGAGATGTTGGGATGTGGGGTTCGAATTGCTCTTCCGATGTTCGCCCGAGTGCTTGACGCTCCTTGACATGTTCATGGGTGGATATAACTATATCCGAACCTCACTGAACATGTCAGTCAATTGACGTACCCTCGGGTTGCTGGTCCTATTGGCCTTCAACCTTGGGTGGTTTTTAGCTGCGACCGAGTAGATGCCAGTTAATGAGCTAGACGATCTCCACATCTCTAGTCAGAAACGTGGGCGTTCGCACATGAAATATCGACATCTCGAACCAAATCCATTTGCCCGAATTGGTAGTTCAATTGTTGACTGCAACTCTAGGTAGCAAATGCGCCGTCTAATCTTTGCGACTTTTTAACACTTCTATCTAACCAGGCCAACCACTCCAGATCACTCAATATTGATCGTACGCGGGCTTCGAGCCACTCTGTGTTGCCCCAGAACCCCCAGGATGCCTGGAATCTACACCAGTCCACCAGTGCTGTCTCCCAGTGTCGACAGAATTCATTCCATTCGTAAAATTCTGACCCTTTGTTTTGAAGTAGGTTGGAGTGGTACCGTTGCAACAGTTCTTTCTCGCCCTTGCACATTGCCAGCTGCTCGGGCACATAGTCCTCATCGTCAACAAGCATATGCATCGGTACTGAGCATGTGAACAGTTTCGCCAGGTCGCAGGCTCCAAGTCCTAGCCCGACATATTGAAAGTCGAAAAACGCCACACCATCTCCCGCACTTGTTGTGAATAGATTCTCGGACTTGACATCTCCATGAATATACGACTCAATATCCCGGCCGCATGGTGTCAAGACTAGCGCCACCATTTCAGCAATCGAAAGCGGCGATTCATCAGACACTCTGGTGCACAAAGCCTCGCACCACACTGAACCCGAATCCTGGAGCAAAGAGCGATACTCCATACGCCTCGTGGCAAGATAAGTATAACCTCCATTGAGCCATAACCCATCTCCGCCACTCCCACTTCCTTCTCTGCGCTTTGATTCTTCGAAAGGTGGCAAGACATATCCATCAAAGACACGGGGTAACAAATCCCACGACCTCCGATGAAAACGAGCCAACCAGTCCAAAGCTCCGTGGACTTGAACCTGACTCAGAGCACTTCTCTTCCCACCAGAAACAGGGAATGCAGGACGCAGATCAACCATAATAGTAGCCATCAGGCCCTCCAGCAACTCCTGACCATCTCTTCTCGGGCCATCGGCGTTTAAATACCTCGTCGAGGCAAGGCATTTCGCAACAGCGACCTCATCACCGAGAATCGGAACAACCTCACTGTAAAAGTACTGTTCAACCTCATAACTTAACATTTTCCGTAAATGCCCCTCATCCGCAGTGCGGTTATGGCTTGGCGGTGAAATGAGCTTCAAGATAAGAGGAAATGTAGAGCCTGCGCCCTGTAAATCCGTCCCGCAGAGCTGACATAAATCTGCGGCAGCTTTATCGGTTGTAGCGCGCACGTTAAGTGCGCAGATTTGGCCGTAGCCTGCCCAGAGAGTTTGGAGAGTGGTGCATGAGATGAGCTCGAGGGCGTGCCAGGATAGCATGATGGTTGCTATTTGAGAGGGATCATTTGGTGAATTCGCGGGTTTGCGCGCCATGATTGATTTTTATACCCAGCAAGTGGTTCCCCGATTTTCGATTTTATGAAGTGTCCTTAAAGGGTTTGTCTGTTGTTCTGGTTTAGATGTGTGCGTTCATTTGCCCAGAGTGATGACTGATTTGAATGGACTCCTCAGGCATCAAATTGTCAAAGTTCGGTTTAGCGGGTTCTTCCGACCAGTTGACTATCTTCATCAGAAAGCCTATCCTTCACCTTCCACATTAAATATGTTATTGTCTTCCAAGGCTTCTTCAGTATTCAATCAGCCAATAATCAGTATCCATCCTGTTAATGGGAATCTATACAGTTGGACTAGGATTTAATAATTGTCCCACTCAACAGTCGACCTGATGTAATAATTGATTTTTGAGGTACTTGTTTGCATGGCTTGGGCAGCTGCGAGGACCGTAATTTGGAACCATCAGGCTAGACCCACTGATATAGGCGCAGATTCACTCTCGGGTATTCCAAGCCCTACGATGATCTGAAGCCGGGAAGTGCCTTGATACTATTCACCACTGTTCTAAGCACGAGAAAGGGACACTTTCGACTTGAAATTAATGAATTCACGTAATCCATTCCAGTCCTATTCACATGCCCCAGGCTTGGGATCTGTTGAATATAGATTAAATGTTTTAATTCATCGACACTAGGTAGACCACATCCAGCTTTCTGTACATTAAGGCCATATGTAGGTCAAATAATGCACATAATTGCTCTCATGTATCCGCTGTCGGAGAAGTATCGAGACTGGGTTACGGGGATTTGTCTTCCTACATGTATGCGAGTAGTTATTGATAACCATACAGAGAGCTAGGCGATCACGAATCATACCAGTGGCCCATCATCTTAGTACAAATCATCTTCCTTGTCGGTACTAAGGACGCAGTCGCTCGTAGGATAGGCAACGCAGAGGAGAACAAACTTCTGTTCAATCTGATCATCGTCTCAGGAAACTCTGATCGACCTGGTCAACCGTCCCAGAGAGGAGAAGTGCCGTGCAGGTAGAGCATGCGCCGGCACGACATGAATAAGGTATTTCGATGCCGTTTTCCTCGGCTGCATCCTGGATGAATGTATCATCGCTGCACTGGAAGGTCTGATCACCACCCGGGGTTTTCAAAGTAACCTTATACTCGGGCATGATGCAGACAGAAAGGGTCGCTATGGGAGTAGGTGTTTCAAGGATGATAAGATTGATGGATGAGTAGGAGTCATTTGACCCGAGAGGAGGTGCTGAACTACTATTTATACGAGCGAATACCCCGTGAATTTTTCTCACCGAGTAAATTCCGGGGGCACAGATGCATCTCGCTAGCTCATGCCCAACTTTAATGTTGTCAATTGATGACGATGGACGCAGTCCCCAATCTGGGGGCTTCGAAGATTTGAAGATCACTGCTTAATCGGACTAGCTCTGTGTGAACTGCATAGCACTCGTAAACTAAAATGCGAAAATGATGTCAGCGCTATCGGAAGTCCCTGTTCTTTCCCCCTAAAAGCCCGCTGAGATTTTGAGGCTCGTGAGAGATCAATCGATTCACTTTTTAGTTGATACCAATAGCTGTGTGTTCCCGCAAGAATGACGGCCCTCGATCCACAGTCATCACTCGATGTACTCCGAGGTCCGTTGTATTTTGTGCAACGTATACACATGCAGCTCCGCGAGTGGATCCATTCTGCAGAACACGTTCTTCCCAATCGAAATATTATGATTGGCTCAAGGTCAAAGAGCTTCCATTATCTGTGCAATCCCTCATACTCCATCCCGCCCGAGGTATCCCGATCTAGTATTGAGAGATTAATATGTGCTCCCATCGCCTCGCTGAGCGATGTTTGTGAATTTCAGTGAACCAATGGTATCTTGAGGGATTTCCAAACTCAAGTGCGAGGTAGTTGTGGCGTTGCGAAGAGTGATTCGTGCACGTGGAGTAAAGGTTCGACCAAATGGATACATTTATCAACGAGATGCATGAGACACACGGAAGAGGAATTGAGGGGTATTCTCGTGGCTGAGAAATATCCATTTCCTTGGTTGTGCACAATTTCTGTCCCACTGCTCTGGTCCCAAATCAGTCTCAAACATTGTGTAGTAGGTTCAGTTTAATCTTTCACATTTGTCTGTCACTCGACGTCGACTCTTGCCCCAGTATGCCCACTCCCCTCTATTCAACAGAAGATGCCAGTACCATGTCGACCACTATAGAGATTACTTCCAAGCCCGAGCTCTCCTCTTATATAGAATCAACCTCACCATCCACACTCCTTGTCCTCCATTTCTATACTCCATGGACATCATATACAACAAAACTGGGTCCTCTACTATCCTCCCTCGCTTCGCAATGCCCCGCAACCACCCCACCAGCAATCAGATTCCTGAACATCAACGCCAAAAAGCTCCTAGAAATCGCAAAAGAATACGGAATCTCCAAAGCCCCCTGCATTCTGTTCCTGCGTAGTGGCGAGGTCCTTGAGTCGATCAAAGAAACCAATCTCACAGTAATCAACAGTGCTATACAACGATATAGCGGCGTCAATACCTCTCTGGTTCCTGCCACTCCAGCAAAGCCGGCTCTGTCACCCGAGCAGCTAGCAACTGTTTTGATATGTTTGGAAAAGCTAGTCCGAACTGCGCCGGTGATGTTATTCATGAAGTGAACACCCAAATTCCCAGCATGTCACTTTAGCCGACGGCTTGTTGCAAGTCTGAACGAAGGTGGTATTGAATACTGGTCCTTTAATATCTTGACGGATGATGATGTTCGAGAGGGATTGAAGGAATTTGGAGACTCGCCTACCTATCCCCAGCTATGGGTTGATGGCGAGATGGTTGGTGGGTTGGATGTTGTATGTTTACTTGATTCCTCGATTACATGCATGAACTTGTTACTGACTATTTTTAGGTCCAGGAGAGGATGAGTACCGACCCCGAGGTTCTGAGTCAGTATAAGATTGGATCCGCCCAAGAGTCTTCATAACGCTCTTTGTTGATAGGAATTTATCACTAAGTTAATCACTGGCATTTATTCAACTGTTGATATCGCAGAAATCTGGACGTCCTATGCATTTCAACATAAGCCAATATCCTTCTCTGATGGATTATCGCCCATAAAAGTGTGCAGCTACAAATCCAAAAGCTTCAATATTATACATTACATCCATTATTTGGGCATCTTTACTAAGTTTGCCAGTTTTAAACATTTCAAGAAGCAGATAAAAACTTCAATATAATGCAATCCCACTGGCAACAGAAAGATCCCCCAGCATAAAGGTTATTGGAGGTTGACGTACTAGTAGTTCAGCCGCTGCATAGTTCTTCAAAGGCTGGCAATGAACACCCCCAGGCCAGCCTGTTTGTTTTGTTTTGTCTGTTTCTTTTTCCGATTGTGGATGTAGTAGTAGTTAAGGAGGATGTTCTAAAAAGGCTTGGGAAACCACGAAAAGCGATTACTTTTGCCTGGACAATTCCCAAACTCTTACAAATCTAGTCAGCAGCTGGAATCAATTATTTCGAATTATTATATCCAAAATCGAGGCTGTATGATGGAGATAACAAATTGGCGTAATATGACACTGTTGGGACGTGAGGCTTCGGCATAACCTTGGAACCTTGGAACTCACCTGGGCACCATCAAAAAGAAAGTCAATAAGGGAAGGTATTTTTGAAATATTACACACTCAGCAGAACTGGTGCTATAGTGATCTCACCCAAGTGCTAGATCGATTTCGTCGTCAAATTACAAGTTTTGTCTACTAACCAACTCAAGAACTTTAAAATGAAAGGCTGGCGTCGAAAACATCAATTATATCTATTCCTAATAAGACGCTTATATGTCTGAATATCGTCGGCAAGCATCTCTCTCGCTTTCATTTCCATGCGGTCCACCTTTCCATTCAAGAAAGCTGGTAACAGGCGCAGCGAATTGGCGTGATCGACCGCAAACTCGGGTCCTTCCCAGCCTCGATCCACCGTATACTCGACCGCATACTGCAGAATATTCCTCCCAATGCCAAAACCGCGATATCCTTTCTGAACAGTCCATGCTCGAATAACTGCCTTCCATCGGTAAACATGTCCCGGCACATATTGTCCCATCCCAGAAGACAAGGGAGCAGAAGCATGTGCTGTACCAACGACATCCATATCAACGGGTATCGCTCTCATAACCAGCGCAGCAGCGATCTTTCCTTTGAATGCCGCAACGAAGATCATATCACGAAGCCAGCCATCCGCAAGACCCTCAATTTCCATATCATTTGTCGGTTCAGACGCAGCAACTTGAATACTTTCCGCATCACTATATTTCTCCCAATCACTTCTCCCTTTCGTCGATAAACCCAATCCTATCATCGGAGAATCGGAATCTCGTCTCCAATTTTTACGACTCTTAGCATCCCTCTTCTTCTTCCGAACTTTCATCCAGTCCTCGGCATATCGAACCTCACCACCAGGAACACGCACCCAAAGTTCTCGTAGAGAAACCCAGACCAAAGTCCTCAAATCAAAAGCACCGGAACGATCAATAAAAGAATGCTGATAGCGATCCGATTCAAATTTCGTGATCCACTCAACCCCAAATAACCAACTCCACCTCCCCACTTTCTCCGCTTCATCAATATACCCACTGACCAAGATCTTCACACCACTTCTACTGCACAATAAAATTGCTGACCACAAAACAAGAATAATGATCCAATCCACAGTGTCGTAGTAAAGAGCTTGGTAGAGATATTGGAATAGACAGACCATTAGAAGCCAATAAAGTGGATTGTAGAGGATGGATTTCGTGGCTATTTGACTTTGTTGCGCGATGCTGTCTGTTATTAAGTGGAGTACGGTGATAAGGTCGGATTCTGTTTTTGCGGGATAAATTTCTAGAACGCCTCCTTCCTTGTCTTTGTTTTGTATCTGCGGTTCCGCTGTTTCAGCTGGGGGTTGAGGTTCTGGTGTTTCGATAGAGGGTCGAGGGGATGGAAGTGGAGGAGGAGACGGAGAGGGACTCGGGTTGTAGATGGGCGTTGGAGTTGGAGGATCTTCGTCTTCGACGGGGGTTTCTCTGATGATCGCGGGAATTTTCTCTTCGAGGTTCCTTGTTGGAGATTGTGATTGTCGGGGAGTAGTTATCATAGGAGTTTGGATGAGAGTCTCTGTCGATTTGTCGATCATTTGATCTGATGTGGAATCCGCGAGACTGTATATTGGTATGGCATTTTCTTTGTGTGGAGGGGAGAGAAGGAGGGGCGACGGTGATGATTCGGGTGATGTTCTTCCCTCCTCTGAGTCCTCTATAGACGACACATCGGCGGAATATATCATAGTTGGGACTTCGATCGAATGAATATCGCAGAACTTGAAATTTTGCTATATGAAGGAAGGGAGATCCATGGATTTATATTCAATTTCCCAAAAGAAGGTGTGTAAGTGTTGATATCGACTACCGAGACCGTCGCGGTGGGGGAGATGAAAGAGGGCAGGATTTGAATGAAAGAAAATTGGGACAATGTAGTAAAGGCCGTAAAGTGAACAAAGCCAGCCACCACACTAGACACAATGGAACATCAGTAGGTAGCTGAGATAAAGGTTTTTAACATAGTTATAACTGTATTAACAACTAATCACACTAAACGTAAATTGATCAAATAATTTGGTGATACCGACATGACCTAGAAACCTGGGCAGCTATCGAGAACTTGAAACAGCTTTTGATCTATGTAGTCTGATCTACTAATACGGGGTAAAGAGCTCACACTGAAAATCAGTTTCTTAATAATATTATCTAACTAATAAAGACTATAATATTAATTCTTTTTTAGCACTTATCAAGCGCTTAACAATAATAATAAGGAGATCTTGAATGGAATAAAAGCAATAAAGGAGCTGATGCAAGAAAAGATGATGGAGAAGGTGTGGAGATTTACTGTAATACCATAACTTATAAGTTATCCATAAGTTATAACAAAGAAAGTGGGTCCTGAACATCCTGATTAGGCGAAGATTTTCCTCAATGTTCAGGTCAGGTCCTCGGAATGTTCAGCTGACCTGCTTCCTGGTTCTTCTAAAATTGTTCGAAGAGTTAGTTCTCATCACAGAGCCACACTACAAATCGTATATTAATCGAGACGGGCCGCTTCATCTTTTGCCATGGATCGCTCTCGGCTATAGCATGAGTTTAGCGATGTTTAGAAGACCAGTTAGTTTCAACACTTTGAAGACTAGCTAAGTCTAGTCATGATAAATCAACCCTTGAACAGTACCATAAGAAAGGCTATCATTTATCAGGTAAATAGTTCCAGACGGAGCCAACGCCCAAATTGAAGAGAAAATAGGCAGACCGTCACTGCTAAAGTTCAGATCATTGTGTCTTCTTCGCCTTCACGTTTTCCCCTCTTCGACGCTTCAGGGCATCCGCAGTGTATTCGGTGCCAAGGAGGTAGTCCCACCAGCGGAAGCTGCTTGAGTAGTTCCCAATGAATTTCTCATGGTGGAGGTCGTGATGATCAGCACCAGCCCAGAAAGGCAAGAAATGGTGAAGACTGCATGGAAATTCGTAGCCACTGTGGGCATCGATAGCCTGGAACAAGCGCAACACAATCCAGATATACATAGTGAGAATATGCAGGTTATCGGTGAAAGCACACCAGAGGATCGGGCAGCTGACGGTCCCGAAGCCGAGAATCATCACTTCAATAGGAGAAGCATATTCAGCGGCCAAACCAAATGGTGCGGAATACTGATGGTGAATTTTGTGAATAGCCTTGTAGAGTGGACCCCAATGAAGAGCTCGGTGGATAAAATAGTGCCAAGTGTCCTCCATCACGAAAAATATTGCAATCTGATATGTCATAGTCCAGGGAGATGGAAAAGGAATCGATGTTGATAGACCGCAGAACTGGGCCATTGGATGGAAAAGCCTAGAAGAGCCGTTAATACTCAATCGGGTCTGAGAGGCAAATGTCAGGTAGAATACCACTCCGTCGAGGGCAGGAACATACCAGATTTGAGGAAGTTCAACGGTGAAGTGGCTCAGAAGCACAAACTTGGCGCAATCCCATTGCTCGCGTAAGGAAGGTACTTTGCTCTGAAGCAGGATGTTAGTTTCGATGGCGGCTGGAATTGGGTTGATTTCGGCTAGTGCCAGGTGTTAGGCTTGTCACTTACACTTTGAATCTTGTATCTCTTGAATAAACCCAAGCTATCGATGAAGATCCACGGAAGAGAGCGGCCGAAGTAGACCAATTCGTGGATGACGAAGGACATGATGCCGGTGGCCAGGACATCATTCTGCATCCACGCATACCATGCGACCCACAACCTCTCTGCCACGCTCAGGTGGGTATTGAATTTGGTGACATCCTGATATCGGCCCCAATAGGTGCCGGGGGTAGCACGGTAGAATTCCTAGGAGAAAAAGGGTCAATATGCGACAAATTCCACAAAAGAGTATAATTCAACCACCCGGGGGTTGCAAAAAAGCGGAGGAGACACAAACATTGTAGTTCAAGTTCCTAGCGGGTCTCGAATAAGAGAGAAGAAGCAGAGGCTGAGAGAAGGAGAAGACTATTTCTTGAAGAGGGGAGTAAAAAAAGAAAGGATCTGGGCGAGAGTACTATGTGCTATGTAGTGTATATAGTACGGAGTATATTCCCTACTATTAAATCCTAATCATGCTAAATTAAACATAATACATGCAGGAAGGTTCCAGCCAAACACAGGCGGGCAAATGCGCATTATCCGGTTTGGTGGCTCGGATGGCTATCGGCCTGTCTGTGGCCTGACCTTTGCGGCGCTGATGACTTTTGTGTTCCGGCTCCCGGTCTCATCACTTCGGGAATGGCCTGCTCCGAGTTATCGAAAGCACCTGGGCAGTACTGGTTCTTACAGTATTGCAAAATCTGGTACTTAATGGGCCAATTTTAGCACCATCAAATCAAATTTCTTCTTTTGCAGATATATTATCCGGGAGAGGACTTGTGTGTTTGTCGAGGTATAGCTGATTTCGAAAACGACTGTACTATGACATTGAATTGTCTGAAACTTGTCAATTAAACTCTTATTAGCTACATCTTAAATGAGGAATCTACTCTTATATTTGTTCTGATATCCATACAACCCTTGACACTCATGATTAACATTCTAAGTGAGAAATCACATCATGATATACAACAGCTTGCACATGACTTTAGTATTCCTATAGATGATTAGAAGTCATAGGAGAATTTTAAATGAAGCGTCAAAGCTCCACGTCCACTTTACCTATTCCAATTAGATTTTCTAGGCTTTGGCGTCACATCACCGTGTATCATTAAGTGGAACTCCTGCAAGTACCCGGTTTGCGCGGGAGCAACAAGCTTAAAGAATCGAACCCGAGAACCTCGTAAGTGAAAGAAAGGCGAGCCATTAGTAATTACATATAGAATAGAGAATTAAGGAGAAGTAAGAGAAATTAAGGAAGTAACAACTTCATTTGACTCTGAAGAGTCACGCGGGAAAGGTAAAGGAACGACACGCGCAGCCACCCTTAAGAAAGGGGGGAAACTAAAAGAAACAAAAAATGAGGCTGAGCTCGTAATAAAAAAATATAATGATAATACAAAATAGAAAGAAAAAAGAGAAAAAAAGAACGCCCCCCGTTGCCGGAGGGCCAGCCCAATGGGCACAAGGTTCTCTGTGACACCTTAGCGGCCTTGGGTGTCAGCCTCAGGCTCCTTGTTGGCTTGGGTCTCTTGGGCGATCTCTTCATCCGGAGCCGTACGCTCCTCGGTGAACTCCCCCGAAATTTCATCCAGAGACAATCTCTTTGTCTCCGGAATCAGGAACGAGGTGAGGATTCCACAAAACATGAAGAGGCAGAAGATCTTCATGACATTGTTCAACCACGGACTGTCGGTTGAACCCTTTGGCGCTCCCTTGTTGACCAGGGGCCCGAACACGCACTGTGCGATGATCGCACCAATCTTGCCCGCGGCGGCGCTGATACCATGAGCGGTAGAGCGGTAGCGAGTCGGGAAGCACTCGCCGGGGACAATAAAGGTGGTCGCATTTGGGCCGAAGTTGAAAAAGAACTGAGCGACCACGTAAAGACCCAACAGCCCATTGTGTGACTCCTTCAACGGGTGGTAATCGAACCCGATGACGCCGAACAGTATGGTAAGCAAGACGAAGCCGACAATCTGAATGGGCTTTCGCCCGATCGTATCGACGGTGGCCACAGTCATCCAGTATCCAGGGATCGCACCGGCACAGATGAGAATCAGGTTTCCGACGGCGTTGCGATAGAATATCTCATAGACATTCTCGCCGCCGGTCCAGCCAATCGCGCTGAGGATTACCGAGTTGTTCAGACCAAGACCGTAGAAGGCTGAGAAATTGAGTCAGTATCTTTCACATTGGACGAAAATATATCAGAGTAATTGAAGCTGTACTTACCAACATCAAGGAAAAACCAGGAGCTCGCCGTGCCAAGAAGAGTCTTGCCATTCTTCCAGTTCCAGAAACACTTGCGGAAATCTTTCCAACTTGCGCGAGGCTGCAGGAAGTCGGGCATGGGGAGTAGAGTGCCGACATGGAGAGCGCGTTCAAGTAGGTTGGGGCGGCCTTCACGTTGGCCCATAACGTAGGCTTGAATGTCCGCATGTGCCTTGATGGGGTCTCGGCCCACATCAAAAGTGTAATGAGGGGTCTCGGGAATAGTCAGACGGAAATACAGAGCAATGCAGGCTGGTATAGCGCCTATGCCGATAACAGTACGCCACATCTTGTCCACAGCGAGTTGACAGTCACCAGTACAGTGACCGACATCTTTAGCGGATTCGAGGGATTCCTTGAAACCAGAAGTCACGATCAATGCGACGATTGCTGCAGCGAATTGACCAAAGCCCTGCATGGCAAAGACAGCACCCATCATTGCACCGCGCCATTTGGTGTTTGCGAACCTTATACAAGTTAGATTTTCCGTATGTTAAGTCAGTGTGAGAGTAGTGAATACTTACTCGGAGGTAATGATAGAAGAAAGGGGATAGTCGCCGCCAATTCCAATGCCCATGATGACACGCCAGAAGATGAGAATACCGGTGATAGAGACAGCGCGGGAGTTTCCACACAGAGCTTGAGCCATGGTAGCGAAGATAATGATCATAAGTTCGATGCCGTACATGCGCTTGCGTCCGAAGATATCAGCAAGCATTCCGAATACAAGCTGACCGATGACAGTACCGCCAGAAGTGGCAACCTTGAGAGCAGTGTCGGAGCTGGAGGGAATTTTGCCGGGGTGATCATGGGCTGACTGCCAGTAAACAACGCCAAGCATGCTGACACAAAGATTGATGGCGAAGATGTCGTAAGCGTCAGTAAAGAAGCCGACACCTGCAACCATGATAGCACGGACATGGCGCCAGCCGAATGGAGCATCTTCAATTTCATCGAGAGCACGACGGCGGAAGGCGTCACGATCAGAGCGTTCGATTGAAGGATGGAAACGAGTAATTTGATACTCCTCGTGCTCCACCTCAGGTCCAGCAGACTGACCAGACTCAACAGGCTCAGTAGGCTCGGCAGACTCAGCAGGATCAGCCGGCTCATCAGGCGTGGCAAGCGTGGCAGGCGGAGGAAGCTCATTCATGCCCACCAAGGCACCATCAGGCGTATCACGACCCAAAGGACGCATAGCGAAGCTCATGGTTGCCTATAGAGACTTGATAATGAGGAATCCCGAAGAAAACACGAGAAAAACACGTAGATAGACAAGTAGAAAGTCTGACAAGGATAAGGTGGGAAGGAAAAGGAAGAGAGAAGGAGAAGATGTGAAGGAGAAAAAAGAGATCGAGGAACAGGCAACGCAACGTTGCGTTCGACAAAACAAAATAACGGAGGGTAAACCGTTCGTTGTGATGATTGTTACACTCTTTGCACTGAATAGATCAGGAGGTACTTCCTTAAGTATGGGAAAATGTATGATAAAGGAGGTACCTTACAGTCCGACTCTGTGCCTGACATCGGTAAGCTGGAATTCGGTACCTGTATATCGGTTCGGCCAATGATGCGATTGTGTGAAGGCACATGGCAAACGAACTACTTGGGCCGCCGAGTCGTTGGATGAGTCGTTCGATTAGTCGTCATCTTGAGGATTAGTCGTCGTCCTGAGCGTCTTCGTGATAGTCTGATAATAGAATTCCTCCTTCCTAAGTCCTGCAGCTTCATCTTCGCATCATTCAAACATTGCAATAATTTGTGGCCCGAGGCTATAGGTCAATTCATGAATTGCGTTGCGCTATATTGATACTTTGAAGCTTTCTCTATATCCATGGACTCCCGAGGTCAAGGACACGAGATCTATATCCACAGTCAGCATAACGGCTTCGAAAGTACCACCACCCGCTCCATATTCAGGTTGGATTTCCAAATTAACTTACTCATCATTACAGACTTTGAACTTTGAAAGTTTTTCAATTCGGAGATCTTTCATGGAGATGTAATACCGACATCATATCGACGTTGACATATTCGAGCCACCCGTGGCAAGCGGCCGGGCCCAAATCTATATATTCGGCCCGGCGAACAGGATTCAGAGCATCGGGGGTCGTTGGGGTTCAACACAAGACTGTCAAAATCACAATCGAACATCAAGTCAAGCAAAGGAACAAGTCCAATTAAAAGTTCACCACGAAAAAGACAAAAAGAGAAAAAAAAAGATTCTCTCCAACATGGGCCGAAGCAGTAAAATGGCGGGTACCCGTCTTGGTAGCTACAAAGCGTCAGTACACAGTCAACCCCCTCGGTAGGGTACATGAGAAACAGCCTTCCACATGGGCATGTTTAGAGGCCATGCTTACTGATCCTTATTAATGCTAGAGAATCCCAAGACGTGCACAGCCCAGACCAGACACCACGCACCACCGAATCGGAGATCTCTCACTTCAGTGACTCGCTCAGTGATGAGGAGCGGACGATGGGTGATAAGAACACTGGCCTGAAGTATGTCGAGTTCCAGAAATCCCCGACGCTCAACCCGGTATACGAGACTGTTGTTTTCGAGACACTTGGATTCTGATGGTGGTTGTTGCTTTAGTGTGAAGGACCCGCGGGATACCATGCGGACGAGAGAGAGGGTACTCCGGAAGCTGGAGGCTCTTGTGTGAACGTCAGTTCAAGTTCCAGAGAGACTTGTAAATACGGTCGTTACATATGATGAGATTATGACAATCCATTCACTCTTTAAACTGATTTATTCCAGCATACCGGGGATGCTTGGCACCAACCATTTGAGTCAAGGCTAGACTAGACAGATAATTGCTATTCTCTAGTAGTACTGGTTCGAACAACGTTGGAATTTGTTTGGATAAGGAAGATCTCAACTTTAGATCTATATAAAATCTATACTAGTAATAAATTTTATATGAACCCATTCACCTTACAATCAAGCAGTATATCTACACCAGAAATGAAACAACTTTTCAATCCTCTCATCAAAGCCCGCGCTTCATCTTCCAGCGCATGATTAAAGTGGCGATAGGATAGAACGCCAGGGAAACGGCAATCCACGCAAACAGGATTCCGAAATCGAGACCGATACGCGAGTGTGTCCCGAAAAGAATCGTCCGCAGAGCCTCGACAACTGTAAACCCCCATTAGTCTTACTATCCACAACTGGATCCCGAGAAAGAAACTCACTTCGATGTAATGGCCAAGCATATCCCCACCGAAAAGAACGGCGATGCCAGATCCAACGAATAGAATCCCGTGGCAACATTCGTAATGACCCAAAAGATCAAGAAAAACGAACTCCAAGGGAAACCAAGCACCATGGCCATATTCTCACAAGGGAAGCCCAGAGCGGACATACCAACCCAATTCAACATCCAGAAAACAACAAATGAGCCGTGGCCATAGGCATTCGCATTATTCGCAGACACTGTATCCGGCGCAGGCGAATTCATGAACGGAATCTGGAACGCCAAAGAGACGAGGGAGTAAAAGAATGACAAAAAGAAGTAAGCTGTGATACTAGACAAAATTCGCCAGATCAACCAATGCGGCACCTTCAGCGGGGGATGACCATCCGGTTTCATGAAAAGCGCATGAACAGGCATCAAGAACGGAAAGTTAAAGAACGATATAATGATCAGGTAGATCAATCCGATTGTCACAGCGGGTGCTGCAACAGCTGGCGCAAATGGACGGAGATCGACACTTGTAAATCCGATAGCAGGGTTAATAACCTGGGCTGGGATGGAAGATAAATTCGTAGATGATGAGATTAAGTCGCGGGCCCACAGTGGGCCGAACTCCGCTAGAACCATATTCTGCAGGATGGCGAGGTCCGGGAGGATGTAAGTGTAGTAGGTATTTTCATCGCGGGCGGAGATGATCACGGTTTCGATGGCCCCAGTCGGATCGTAGGTCGTGTTATCTGTTGTAATTGCTGAGCGAAGGAGTGAGGTTGCGTTCGGGTTGACAATGATAGCTGCGTACGCGTGCTCATCGTAGATGGCCTGGCGGACGTTCCAAGGATCGTAGTTGAAGTCTGCGGCTGATTTGATATGGTAACCGAGGTGAAGACCGGAGGAAGCTTCGTATTCCTTTGTAACGTTCGTGACGACTGGTCCGACGATCGTGTTGTTGGTTATATATGGGCCAACTAGGCCGTCAAAGTCTACAACCCAGACATGTAGGGCTGGATAGTTGGATTCGGTGTTGTATTGAGAGCCCCAGAACAAAGATAAAACGCCTAGAACAAAGACGCAAAGAATGAATACTGAGAGAGATTAGCTGCTATACTATCTGATTTTTTTTCTGGGTCAGGGCAGGTACCTGTGCGAGACCATAGAAAGAAGACTTGCTTCCGTACTTCGTTCAATGAGGAGTCGAAAAAGCCCACTGGAGCAGGAGGCCCAGCTGGCTCATCATCAGAGATCTTGTCAACCGACATGCTGTTCGATTTTTTCGTATGTCTATCACCCAGAAAAGAGCCCACAATGACATATTATATACACCAGTGCTCAGTAACCGCAAACTCCCTCCGAGCGACCGTTTCCGTCGGGTGGTTCGGCATTTGTCCATTTCGGGTAACAAACCATGTTATCTCCGAGAACCATCGATGAACAACCCAATAGCCAACAAATAAAATGGGTCCTTGAGGTTGGAATAAGCGGTTTATTGACAGTAGAGTTTTTACAAGGGTAAGTTATATCCCGTGAGCCGGGTCGATCGGTTCTCTGCTATCGATTTCGCGGTTATAGAGAGTCTTGTATATCCGACCCAATGCGGCCTGGCTATTGCGGCGATCGAGTGTTCGCCTTAGGCCTTAGGTGTCCACAGATTGAGTTGCAACACACGAGTTAAATTTGGAACACACTATACTGATTCTAGAACTTCCTTATTGGCATCTTTCTTCTCCTGCATGGGTGGCAACGTATGTGTCAGTTTCAGGTTAGTGTCACATCTCATCCCTTGCGACTTTGTATCATCATCAACAAGGGTCCAACCTTGACCGAGAATAGAGGGTACCGGTAAGGGGAGCACACTTTTTTACTAGACGGAGCACAAAACGCTTATGTAATAACACTTATTATATAATCAACTTTTTCTCAGCCGAAAAGAAGGTCACTGTAGCAACTAATAATAAGTTAAATTATAAACAATTATTCTACTAAAATTTCTTCTTCTATTCACCTGAGTTTATCAAATTTCTTTAATCTTTCATCCAATATGGAGGCCCTTATGAACCAATCGTTTGATACTAGTGATCAGCTAGTCCAGGCTATTAAAACACAGGCCTTACAGGATGGATTTGTTGCTGTTATTACTAGTAATAATAAAGATCGAAATATGAGGCTAATGTGTGATCAATCTCGCAGATATGACGATCAGATTGAAGCAAAAGATGGGGCTAAACGTCGAAAAACAAGTACTAGACGTGTAGATTGTTGTTTTTTTCTCTACGCTTGTAGATCTACACGTAAAACATCTGATGGAAAGTGGCATATCACTAAGTTTAACCTTACCCATACAGGACATCAGGTCAATATTGCTAATTTAATTATTCATCCAGGGGCCCGGCAGCTTACAGATAGCCAAAAACAGCAAATTTTCACCTATTTCAATCAAAATATCACACCAAGTTCAATATTAGAACTAATCCAGACAGATTTTCCTAATATTCTAATACAGATTCAAGATATCTACAATCTACGGAAGACTTATTGGAATGAAAAGCTTCAAGATCAGTCAAAGGTTCAATATTTAATCACACAGTTAGGATTAAAACAGTGGAAACATCAGGTTAAAACAAGCCCTGAGGGGCATATTGAATTTCTTATGTTTGCACATCCAAAGATGATCGACTTTGCTAATAAATTTAATAGGGTTATATGTCTTGATTGCACCTATAAGACAAATATTTACAATATGCCACTTTTACATATTGTTGGGGTTTCATCTAGTAATCATTCTTTTTCAATTGCTTTTGGTCTGATGATGAATGAGAAGCAAGCAGCTTATGAGTGGGCACTAGATACCCTATTTTCTTGGCTTGGGCAGGCCCCCCAGGCCCCCGAGGCCACTCCCAAGGCAGCTACACAGGTAGCTACACAGGCAGCTATACAGGCAGCTACGCAGGCTGCCACACAGGCTGTTAAAGTAGCTGTTGAAGTGGCTGTTGAAGAGGCTATTGAACAGGCGGCTACAGAGGCTGCTATACAAGCTATTAAACAGGCTATTGAACAGGCTGATACACAGGCTATTGAACAGACTAAGCTTACCCCCCAGCCCATAGGCCCCCCTACACCCTACACCTGTTTTAGTTACTGATCGAGACCTTGCCCTACTAGCTGCAATCCGGACAAAATATTCTATATTTCCACATCTTCTATGTCTCTGGCATATAAATCAAGCTTTTCTAGCTAAGTGCAAGCCTGTTATAACAGAGAAAGACTCACACGCCCACCGAACACTTGAAAAAACATCAGACCAAACAGTGAAAATATCAGATGAAAAGGAAAAGAAATGGGATGAATTCTATTCTGATTGGATGGAAATAGTAAATTCTATATCCTTATATGAATATGAATCAAATTTGATTAAATTCAAAGAAAAATATCAGGCCAAGTACCCCTCTTTAATCTATTATATTGAATCGATTTGGTTGGTTCATAAAGAAAAATTTATTAAATATTGGACTAATCAATATCTTCACCTAGGAAATTCAACAACGTCACGCGTTGAGGGGGCCCATGCTGTTCTTAAGAAACATATTAAAACATCAAGATGTGATATTTTAACCCTTTGGTCCCGAATTTCTGCTGCACTACCAGAGCAAATTAGGGCTATTGAGAATGATCTTTTAAATGATCAGACTAAAGCCCTAATTTCCACCCAAGGAGAGTATCTTTTTCAACATTTAGTTCGAAAGATTACTAGATTCTCGATGAATTTAGTGATTGATCAGGCTAATATTGCTAAAAGATGTACAGCTCAGGCCCCGTTAAAAGCCTGTACAGGTGGTTTTATCCGAACTATGGGCTTACCGTGTGCACATCAGATTAAAGGATGGATTGATAGTAAACAATTTATTCCGATATCTGCGATACACCCATTTTGGAGGCTATATTCTTCTGAATCATTAGCCTGGACCTTACAGGAGCCTAGGGTCCTAGGGGGGGCCTAGGGGGGGTGCCTAGCCCTAATGAAATTCATACACCTGCATCAGTCTCAACAGCAGCTCTGAATGTTCTAAAAGCACCAAAAAAAGCACCAAAATGTTCGAAATGTGGGGTGATAGGGCATACGATCCGATCATGTAAATAATTAGTCTAAAATTTGATTTATTTTATCTTATTTTAATTATATGCAGTGATATTATATGCAGTGACCTTCTTTTCGGCTGAGAAAAAGTTGATTATATAATAAGTGTTATTACATAAGCGTTTTGTGCTCCGTCTAACGTGAAGTCCGGTTGCGCGGGCGACCCGGTTGCGCGAGCGACCCCACCAAATTTTCAAAAACTACCATTTTTTAAAAACTATTAAAACCACAAAAATAATAAAATATTGACTATTAAACACGTCCAGGGCACTTAGTATAAGCATGACCTTTAATCCCACACGCAGAACAGGTTATTTGTCGTCGAACCAAGGGCACAGAGGGTAAAGTTGGCTCAATTGTTGGTTCTGCCTGCACCTGTGGTAAAGATATATCTTTGCTTTCATCCTTATCCTCGACCACCACATCGTCCTGACCACCTTCTAGACCCCCAAAGATGCCTTTCTGGGTAGTAAACTTATGTTTGGTCTCTTGCTTTTTGGTCTGTCTCTTATTGGCAGCCTCTAATTGAGTGCAGCGATTCTGGAGAAAAATATGGTGGTGGACCACTTTTATAGTCATCTCGTAGGTCTTCTCAATCTCCTTTTTTGTAGGCGAAGAAAGGATTGAAGAAGAAGATTGTAGACCTTTTTTGACCCGAGATTGCGATTTTATAAACTTTGAAAGGGTCCAGAGAGTATTTGGATCGCTATCGCTACCAGAAGAGACTGGTCGCTGAGAAAGGATCTCCAAAGAAGGAAGGGAATCCAGGTGTAAATTTAGCTGTTCCAAGACCCTATTAGCATCGAATGGTGCTAATCCAGTAGCTGAAAAGCTATTCTGTATAGTAGAAGACTTAAAAGTACCCATTCTCGCATCTGCGATCAGTTCAAGGAAATCTTCCTTGTCAATAGAGTTAACTCCGTTTCGCATCAAAGTCGAGACCGCTCCTCTATAAAGCCTCTTCAAAACCGAAAAACAACCCACATCCAAAGGTTGTAAAAGATGAGAAGCATGAGGAGGCATACAGATTGCGATGATTTGGTTTTCTTCACAAATTTGGTCAAATTCAGGGGTTAAATGACTCCCATGACCATCAAGGACTAATAAGCAATATTTTCCCACTCTTATCCTAATGTTTGGGATAAAATGATATTTTAACCACCATAAACCAATTGTATTGGTAGTCCAGCCATTTTCGCTTATAGTCAAACGAGCTCCTTTTTGATTTAAAAGGAGATAAGGGCGTAGATGCTCTGGAAACTTTTTTCCCTTAAAAATAAAAAGCGGCGGGAGAACACTTCCAGAAGCTCTAATACACTCAATCGAAGTCACCCAGTCACGATTTCCAGCTTGTAAAAGAGCTCTTTTCCCATGGTATTCCGCTGAAGTGATAATCTTTTGTGTTGCGCCAATACCCATCGCAAAACCAGACTCATCAAAGTTGAAGATATCGTCTGAAGCGATACCCCACTTTTCTATCGTCCTTTGAACCAAATCAAACCATGGTTTAATGATTCGAGGGTCTTCTGAAAGAGCTCTCTGATAATCGTATCTACGAGAGAGGCGAGTAGAGAGATTTGGGCGTCGTTTGATAAATTCAGCAGGCCAATGTTTACCCACAGTAGAGGGTGTAGTTTTTCGGGCATCAAGTAGAAGATTAGCCATATCTCGCAACATAGGCAAAGTAAGAGCTGCCCCTCTAGAATCCATATCCAGTAGCCATTTTTCAATCGATCCCTCCTCAGCTTCGGTAAAAATAAAGCGATTGTGTCGCTTTTCAGTAGCAGATTCGCGCCCATTGATCCGGGCCTTCAAAGTTGAGACAGGTATCTCAAAAGATCGTGCAGCAGCGGCAGCAGAGGGATACTTGCCATCTTTTATAGCTTTTATAGCTAATAAAAGGCGACCCTCCTGCTCCGTCAACTTTTTTTTTTTATCAGAGCGCTGGGGGGGGCATTATTGTGATGGTTAAAAAAGAGGTGTTGTTATTGAAGTGTATTTTTGGTGGGGTCGCTCGCGCAACCGGGTCGCCCGCGCAACCGGACTTCACGTTAGTAAAAAAGTGTGCTCCCCTTACCGGTACCCGAGAATAGATGCACGATTATGTCAGCCTCAAGTGGCGCATCCCCAGAGTCTCGACTAACAGGATTTAGTGTCTAGACGCCATCAGTCTCTGTGCTGATGCAAGCGCTATCTTGGTGGCGCGGGGAAAAGTGAGGAATATCCTGCATCACTTTCTCCATTCTCCACGAATCAGGACCCTAAATTACCCCACGGAGATTGTAAATAGCCCACAAATTACGGTATACGTGTACATGTCCAGGAGGGTGATTTCAATCAAAACTCGACTGCTCATTGTTGGGTCTATAATATCATTATCACTCCAATTGAGAACCAGGAACAATTATTCTAAAAAAAGGTTCTTTTTCAAGGCTTCGCTCATAATAAAACGCTCCATGTACATGCACGTATAAATCATCCACCTCTCGTCCGGGGCCAGCCCAGCCGAAACACAGCAGTCCTCAGTCTCTGCAATGACCAGCATCACCTCAATTCGCCCATTCCATCACAAGTAACCTGATAAGATCCGTACCGCCGTGTCAGCGCGGGGATCTGACATGTCCCTGTATTGCTACTGGAGCCCGTAATGTCGGAGGTTGTCTCGGTCGCATCACACATGGTATTATCGAAAAACTCGATTTGACACCCCTCTGACACCTGATTTAATCGATATGCTGAGGCAACACTATGCAAGTCTGCACGGCAGCCTGTGCTACCAATGCCAGTATGAAGATCACCGGTTTGATTGCATTGAATTGTTGGGAAAAGATCGAATGACCATTCCAAGGACCACTGGAGATCTCGTTTTTGGAGAGGAGAGGCCGAGGCCGTAGCGAGGAAAAGGACTAAAGCGGGGAGATATGATCGCATCGCGACAGTAATTGTGCTTGTAAGAGAAAAATATTTTCTAGGTTTGTTGTTAGTATAAAGCAGAATAGACTGAGAGATCGATAAGATACTGTCAACATACCGGTTGTTCAACCCGTGGAGAAGACTAAGTATGAATTAAAAATCAGGGTCTCACAACAAAGAATCATCTCAGGTCCTGGAAGGCTTTTAAGTACAACTTGTTTCAACGACGATCACCCAACGCCAAGAATAGTGGCTGTCCCTGCAGGTGTACGTATACTCTGTCTTGGCAGCGGTCCCTGTGCTGAACCAACGGGAAACTCCGTAGCACTGCATGATCCCTCGTTTTGATCCACTCTTCAGTCCAGCCACGGGAGCAACCAGTCAAAAATCAGGGTGGTTAGGAGTCCCGGGGGGGGACGCCGATATGCATTCCACAGTGACTTCATTCCAATCAGTTGACAAACGACGATCACTCCAGTTAAGGAGAAGGGAGTGGAGCAAGTAAGATAGATCGCTCTTCTTACGTAGAGGTACGCGGCTTGGCTATCTCTTATTGGTGGATTTCCTTGGTCCAATATGTCATTATCTAAGCATATGCAGATCTACCAGTTGGCGCGATATCACTGAAGTTTGGAAGCTATTCAATTATACTTCCAGGGTTGTAAGGATCCAAAGCTATTTAATGTGGCTATATGATGTCTGATTCAGAGGATTCTAAATGTATAGCGTCTTAGGTCACCAATCATGTATTTACAGTGAGGGTATTGCCGGTCCTACCTGTCTCCTCAAGTATGAATTCCTCAAGTTCACTTCACTTTGTCCTTTAGTCTGAATAGCATCAAAATTGTATCGCACCATTAGGTATTTGTCTATTAAAAACATCAAACTAATATTGCATCATTTGAGTGCGGATCGCATCATCTCAGGTCTATAAATTCTTTCCTTCCACCCTTCTTCTTCTTCTTCTTCTTCTTCTTCCCCCTTCTCCTTCCACCACATTCACAATATTCTGTGCTTCTTAATCACTCCTCCACCCCAGGCCTTACACACATCTCCCATCAAGAGGCTTGGGGGGTAGGCCCATCAGTCTTGACAGTCAACCTCATGTTCATGTAAGTGAACGGTTTAGTAGATCCGCTTTCAAGGTTCGTACCACTTCACCCCTCCTATTCTATACCTAAGATATGACTAACATCTTATTTTTATACTAGAACTCATTTTGACCATCACAATATCAACCTTTCTGTTTCTCATCTATGTAACTGATCGATGTTGGGCGCGGCTGGCATTCTGGAACATCAGCCTCCGGGGCTTTTTCTTTGTTGTGGTAAGCATAAAGCTTCAACCCCGTGTGACTCTCTTTGTACGACAGGACTAATGTTTTGTTCAACTTAGGCTTATCATTCCCTCAATCAATCACAACTTATGAAATGTCAAAACAAATTCCCGCCTTGAATTTGGTTGTCCTTATATTCAACCTGATACTGTATTCAACCCCATGCTATTTTCAAACTGATGCCACATTCAAACTGATGCTACACTCAACCTCATGCCCAAAAACCCAGGTTGTCAGAGGCAGTGCAATCAACACTCGAGGATCAAAGACGCAAGGTCAGGGTAGAGCTCCATATCATGATCCCAGCAAAGGAGACTGGAACTTGAAGGTCGGGGCTTCTACAAAAGTCACATTGGGGAGCCCTCCCAGCTTGAGGTATACCGAGGGAGGTCTGGACACAATAAGTCTCTCAATGGAAGCTGGAATCTGAAGTTTCGGGGGCCCCATCGAAAATTGCCATCGGGGAGCCCTCCCAGTTTGAGGTATACCGGCGGAGGTCTGCGCACACTAAGCATTTCAATGGAAGCTGGAACTTGAAGGTCGGGGGCTTTTACAAGAATCAAATTGGCGAGCCCTTCCAGCTTGAGGTATGGCAGGAAGCCATGAAATGGAAGTTGGAACTTGAAGTCCTGGGGGCCCCATCGAAAAATGCCATCGGAGAGCCCTCCCAGCTTGGAGTATGGTGGTTGGCTTTGGTGTCCTTATCAAGTGACCTACCATGATCCAAGCAAAGAAGCTGGAATTTGAGACTCTGGCGACCTCTTCGAAAAATGACTTTTCTTGCCTGTAGAACTTGTCAACATTTCCGAGATTCAAGTTCCAGATATTTCAGACTCAGATAGAAAAAAAATCTATGTATCTATGCCAGTGTTACTCAATACGTGCAAAGTACCTCTCAACCTTTGGAAGGTAAAGTTAACTCAAGTACCAGTAGCAGCAGCGAGCCATATCACAAAAGACTATGAACTTGAACTCCAAGTTGAATCTTTGATTGAAAAGTAGTTCCAAGGTTGAAGTTTCCCCCTAGCAATAACTCAAGTGCGTGAATTTATTGTGTATCATGGATGATCCTATACTACTGACACTGGCACGACTGATTGGTATGTATGCATGCAGCATACATCATCATGCTCTGTATTTCTAATTTTCAGGACTTCGAATCAACTGCACATGGATGTGGTAAAATTTCAACAGAACTTATGTATGATGAATCCTAAGATGTACTAATTCCCCAGTACTACTATGTAGTAGGTAAACAAGTCATCACGCCGCGCTTCGCGCGGCACTGTCAGTAGAGTAGCGAGCATTTGAAATTGGGAGAGGTATGTCCTCAGCACGTGAGTGCTTGGCCAGACATCTGGATGTGTCTACCCCCTCTCAGACAGAGATTTTCACATACTGAAGTACAGGGCTCAGTCCAGATGTCCGAGTCAGTAGCATCTACAGGTGAGTGATGAGCTACACCTCTTTGTATGTAAGTACCTACAGCACTGGTTATTTACATGGTTGCCTACTAGTTTACCTACATGTTTACCTGGAGGGGAAGACTCGGAGATAGCTAAAGCGAGAGATAGCTGAATTAAGAGGGGTATACCTACTACGTTCAGATGGAATATAGAAAAGAAAAATCCAGTCTATTGTTAAATCTGGGTATTCTGCCAGACGGTGAGGAAACTTGAAAAACCACTGCAACCCAAGTAGGAAAAGAGGTCTACATTTGAAAGCCGAGGCCTTGAGCAGACTAGTACTGAGGATATGCACACGACTATTCTAGTTGTTTTGATTGGAATTATTTTAATTGGCTGCAGGTCTACTACGAGTAGTAGAGCACAGGAAACCTGAAAAATATAAGGGTTCAAATGTTAGAAAATGACCTCAACCTTCACATCTATGGAACCGGCCCACTCCTAGTGCTAGCGGAACGAGATCGGGGCATCGGGAAAAGCCGCTAAACCTCAGGCTGGAGAACAGTGCGTGGGGGACTGGGGACTTATTTTTCTTGAGTTTGAATACGGCTAATTTAAGCAATTCCCTTTCACTCAAGTACTAAAAGTAGAATAGCTTCCAGTTAGGCCTTGATAATGAAGATTGTATGATACTAAGAGGATACCTTTCCCGGTCCATTCAAGTTGACGATGAATTTAAATTGACACTGATAGGTCTTGCATGATATTTTAAGTCAGAACTTCAAATTTTCAGTTTACAAACTCGTACCCATATAGTATAGCATAACCGAACCAGGAGACCTTAGCAGTGGACAGTAAGGATGCCAATATCCAGATGTCTCAGCGACCCACTTGACAGCACAGATCGGCCTGTCGATCTTATCTGAGTTGGAGAGTGTGCATCGCGATGACCTAAGTGTAAACAAGCCACCAACCTTCGCGCTAAATTGGAGATATTCAGTCAATGTCATAGCAACGACGTGATTTTAGAATCAGATTGGTCAGCTGCAGAGACGGGGGATATGGAAATGCATGTAACAACTTGATTTGGTTCCGTGCATATTCAGCCTTCATTCGCCTTTTGGACCATAGTCTAGACTAAGAGCCCTGTCGCATCTGATTCGTATTGAGAGACCTCAAGAATTTCACATTAGTCGAAGTGTGCAGCTGATACGGAGTAGTTCAGCGGAATTTATGCTAGTGCCCGAGTTAGCGTCGTTGTCACCTTGTTTGTGATTCATTTCAAGTTTGACCTAACTACATTGCTGGCTTTCAAGGGGCTAGGTCGGACTTCTTCAGCCCCATTTATGATCTTTGGATTCTTTCTCCCCTCAGATTTTGAGAAGTACTAAAGCGCTTGAGAAACCCCTCCGTATGATGGAGTGGCGAGCCACAGTAACATCAGCTCAGCAAACGCAAAACGCAAAGCCATCTGTGTTATGCGCACTGGGCGGCTTCAAGATGTCTAGACAACTATCTTCTACAAGGTTAGTATGCAGGTGGCCGTTTTAAGCCTGAACATGGGTTGGAACACGCAGGACTCTCTCAATTACGGCTGAGGCTAGTGATCGCGGCGATTCGCGGGGGTATCTTCTCGGGAAGCGCGGTTCAGGCCAAATATATCTCCCACTTTCTATTTACCTGGACAGTTTTCCCGGTTCAAACACTTGCATTCATCCTGATTTCGTCCTCCTCGAAAATAAACCCTTCCAAGATGAAGAGAGTCCTCTCCACAGCAGATGTGCCACAACAGTTTCTGCAAGCTGCCTATCTTGTGGGTCACGTTCCACTAAAGGCGCTGGAAGCCGACCCCCGCGTTTCCTATATGCTCTATATCCCCCCAGCGCATTACGACAGCGACACGAATTCCAGAAAGCTCCCTCTATTAGTCTGGATTCACGGGACTCGGCGCCGACTCGGCGCTCTGGAGGATGGAGATCTCGTCGCATTCGCAAACTCAACACCATGCGCTATTCTCGCTCCGATCTTCCCCGCGGGACTTGACGGGCCAAATGATCTGGACTCCTACAAACTACTACGATCCACGACCTTTCGGTCGGATCTCGCACTGTTATCCATGCTGGATGAGATTTCACCACGGTGGCCTGGAATTGCCACCGACAAAGTGTTCATGCTCGGGTTTTCAGGTGGTGGCCAATTCGTCCACCGATTTCTCTATTTGCACCCCGAGCGATTACTAGCTGTTAGTGTTGGTGCACCTGGTCGCGCGACCGTGTTGGATGAGAGATATCAATGGCCTCTGGGCATTGCGGATGTCCAGAAGCTATTTGCTCGAACAATCAACAAAGAGCTTATCCGCGATGTTGCCGTTCAGCTGGCTGTTGGCGACGAGGATAATGAAGTGCATGGTGGTAATGATTTCTGGACATGGCTTCAGAAGGTTCAAGGGAAGGAGTCCGATACGACGAGACAGATTACAAACCAAGGAAGACTACAAGTAGTACGACATCTGCACGCTGCTTGGGCATCGGATGATATTAATTGTCAATTGGATGTTGTGCCAGGAGCTGCTCATGAAGCCGGGAAAATACGACCATCTCAGCTGCAATTTTTGGGATACTTGATGCAGGTTGCTATTGAATGATAGGTATTCCGAAACTGAGGGCGGACGATTTGAAGGTCCTAAGCTTTGGAGGACCTTAATATAGCTCAATTTGATCTGTTTGATATTTAATGCAACGTGATACTTCAAGTTGGCAATGATCAATGCCGTTCCTTTCAACAAGAATTAATACACCACAAAATCGGTACAAACCACTGGTCGTGTCAAGCTCTTTCTAGTGGTTTGGATAGTCATACGACAAGATCACATGGTATATCGAGCACAGACTCATAAAAGCTAGCTTAATCTCAAGGATTTCTAGAGTCGAGCAAAACAGCACCACTCACCAGCGATACTGATAAAATGAAATGGCATCGAGATAAGATAAGCTTATCGCCGCGTGATCTCCATGTGCCGAAGACCCGAAATGCTGAGTCATGCATGCCTGTACCGGGCGCGGAACCGGCCTATCAAGCATTGACGGCCGTTTACCTGGGCTAACTCACGGCAATCTCGATAAAAAACGGCATGTCATGCCGGTTCAGGCCGCCGCTAGATTCAACGGAGTAAAGGGATCCTCAAAAATGACCCACGGGGTCTGGCCGAGTCCCAATCTTTGTGTACAAATTGATAATTGAGCCAATGAAGGGTCTTGAAAACTCTGAAAACAAGCAGAGCAAATGGTCATAGGAAACACTTATCTCCATTGTCCCCACTCGAGATGCATTACAGTTCATCAAAGCTCTTATGCTTGTGTATTCCTGGGCACAAAATACTTGCTATGAGGCGTATAAAGCCACATGGGTCCCCGGTGGTACTAATCTCGATCATGTCCAGATCTAAACTCGCGTGCTCCTGAAATCATCTAACAGCCATTCCTGTTGTTTACATTCGAGCTCTACACCTAGTATAGAGTCTTGCCTTCAGAGAATTCCAACCAGATAACTCAACTTCGGAACGACTGTCTACACTTTGATGTGCAGCGCTCATGTCGAAAGAACACACCATGGACGGGAGTCGATCTCGCTCGAACTCGACGACCAGTACAGAAACCGACTATAATTCAACATCCAGAACCCAGTCTCGAAGAGCAAGTCTCACAGGATCAATCAAGTCCAAAATCAACACAAATGACCTGCACTTAACATACTCAGGATCATATCCGGATGACACCGTTGCATATCGCACGGGGCATACCCCGACGGAGAGCATGGACCAAGACACCGAAATAACCGAGGGTGACTTGAACCGCAGGGAAGTCAACTTGGAATCAGGACCAGCTGCGGGGCAAAGCTTGGAAAAGTCCAAAACGGGGAGATCTACATTGGCGAATTCTAAATTGGTTGGTTCTCTATCATGCATACTTTACGTATCAATCTCAAATTACTAATTATTCCATGCACAGATTACATGGGATGGCCCATATGATCCGACCAATCCTAAGAACTGGTCTAGCACGAAGAAATGGTCGGCGGTTATTATGGTCTCGCTGTTTACTTTCATTTCACCAGTATCCAGTAGTATGGTCGCGCCGGCTTTGGATGCTCTGAAGGCGGACTTGGAAATATCAAACACTATTGTGCTCCAATTGACGATGTCGATTTTTATTCTCGCATATGCCGTCGGACCTCTTTTCCTGGGCCCTATGTCGGAGGTTTATGGTCGAGTGATTGTACTCCAGCTGGCGAACCTGTGGTTCCTGGCATTCAACATCGGATGTGGATTTGCCAAGACAACAACACAAATGATCATCTGTCGATTCCTAGCTGGACTAGGTGGTAGTGCCCCACTAGCAGTGAGTATTGAACCAACTATATTCATACCATTCACCTTCTGACAGAATTCTAGATTGGTGGCGGTGTACTATCTGATTGTTTCCTCCCTGAACAACGAGGCAAGAGTCTAGCAATGTACAGTCTTGCTCCAATGCTCGGACCTGCCCTCGGACCCATTGCTGGAGGGTTCATCGCCGAGAAAGTTACCTGGCGCTGGGTATTCTGGTCTGTCTCGATCGCAGACGCCCTCATCCAACTTGCCGGCCTCTTCTTCCTCCGCGAGACCTACGCTCCCAAGCTCCTCGGCGACCGCGCAAGACGTCTAACCAAAGAAACTGGGGAGGCGCACCACACAGAAGCGGAGCTCACCAAGATCCCATTCAAACAGAAGATGGCCACTTCTCTGGTTCGACCATTCCGACTCCTTCTCACCCAACCAATCGTCCAAGTCTTAGCAATCTACATGGCATACATCTACGGTCTCATGTACCTGATGTTATCCACATTCCCGGATCTCTGGACCAGCGCAGAATACTACAACGAATCCAGCGGCATCGGCGGATTAAACTACATTTCCTCGGTCTAGGTTTCTGGCTCGGCTCACAAATCTGTGCACCAATGATCGATCGAATCTACCGTCGTCTTAAAGCACGAAACAATAATATCGGACGACCAGAGTTCCGAATCCCACTGATGAGTCTTGCTGCGATCCTCCTTCCAGCTGGATTATTTATCTACGGCTGGACAGCCCAGAAACGCTGTCACTGGATTGCGCCGAATATCGGTGCCGCTATCTTTGGCATGGGTACTATTATTGCGTTCCAGTGTATTCAAACTTATATGGTTGACACTTATACTCGATACGCTGCTAGTGCGTTGGCTGCGGGTGCGTTTTTGCGTTCGCTTGCTGGATTCGGGTTCCCGCTTTTTGCGCCGGCGATGTATGATGCTTTGCATTACGGTTGGGGAAACAGTGTTTTGGCGTTTGTTTCTCTTGCGATTGGAGTTCCGGCTCCGATCTTCTTGTGGAAATTTGGAGAGAAGTTGCGGAAGAAGAGTCCTTATGCGGCTGGTTAATGGTGGAGTGCCATTTCATATCACTGTTGAGAGTTTGGGGTTATTCAACCCTCAATCCTGCTACCCTGGTGGTAGATTGGTGTTTTAGCGTTGCATTATAAACAGATACCTGTGCATACATTTTGGCCTGGTGCTAAAGTGAAGATGTTGTATAATTAAAACACTTAGCTTAGTACTAATAGTGAAATTTTTATTATTCCCAACCTTGGCCAGCCCTAGATATTGAATACTGAATTACATTTATGCCAAGATCCCAACTTGTACCGGACAAGAAGATAGCAGAGATAAAAGTTGAGAAAATTATGGAGATGAACAAAAGGATAACGAGAAATCAACCCGAAACAAGATGGGAGAGATGCACAAGACCAGAACTCATACCTCAAATACCACATAGATGAACTCGACGCAGATGTTCCTCCAGGTTATCCTTGCGGTTATACGGCTTTCTACATCGTGGATCCGGGCACTCGAAAGAATTAGGAAAGATATGCTGCGTTTCAACATGGCGCTTCAACTCGAATTTCCGTCCAAACGCACCCGTGTACCTACATCCTTTCCACTCGCATCGAAACCCACTATGAAGGAACCTTTCTGCTGCCGTGGGCAGGTGCACCGCACTGGAACTTCGGCGATGGATTCGATGAGCGTCTCCGATTGGGGGAGCGGGTTCTACGGGAGGAGCTCGCTGGAGATATGGTGGGCTGTAGTTTGGATTTTGAGGTCTTGTTTGGGGACGGGTAATGGTGCCGTACCCCGTATCGCGTGGATGGTACGAAGGGTGGTTGTATTCTGGGGAGTGGTGGTCATAATATGCCCCGTCGCCCATAGGACTGGTTCGGAAATCCGGTGGGCAGGTCCCCGGAGTTACGGGGAATGCGGGGTTCATGGATTGGGTTTCCGATGGCATCGGGAGGGTAAACAGATCTCTGTTTGAGACTGGAGGACATTCGAGATCCTCTGCAGGGAAGGTTGGAGATGTCTCATGTGTGTAGACAGGGTAATCAGATTGGTGAGGTGTTCTACCCATCCAGGCGTCTGGCACATCGTATGGGAAGCTGTTGGAGGTCATGGTTGACGCTGAGATGGTATCAAGCAGGAAGCTTGCACCCTCTTGAACGGGTAAGCTAAGAGCTGGCACAAGAGCTAAGCTCTTGATTGAACGTCACACTGTAAAACTGAGTCATGAACGAGCGGAATAAAAGTTTGGTTTCGATCCTGAATAAACACGGGGATTTATAGGTAAACACGAGGCTCTCACTCTCCCCCTTGATGCAAGCTGCAGACAAGCAACGTAAAAGATCTTCAATATCCATAGGGCAAAGGGGTGTCTCGCCCCAGAATTTTAATAGAACCAATCATCGCCGCTTCAAATCGAAAAGAACAAATGAGATTGGATATGAAGTTCCCCTTGCGCGTGAAGCATATCATTGCCACGTGCTTGAGATGCGTAGGACTGTGATGATGCACCACAATAGCAACACCTAACTGAGTGATGATCGACAGCCCTGGAGGTAAGCTATGTCCTCCCCGACCCCCCCGGATCAACTTTTTAGGATCGAATTCACCAGCCCTGGAATGTGATGAAACAAAGTTGCAGGATAAGGTACCAAAGTCAAGTTCTCGGCCTCGGCTAGGCCAGGTACAGCGTGGTATTGCACATGGGGCCCGACCTTCTTCCAAGGTCTCACGGCTGCACGACCGAATTGGGAGCTGTCGAGTGACCTTGATCGTCTGGAATGTTAGTTCTAACTAACCAATCGGGGATGCGTATCATATTTTGGCACGCGTCGGGGATCGAATAGGTTCAATCCGGTGTCCCTACGTATGATGAGAAGCTAGCTCAGATAGCTCTTGAGGCTCTAACGACGGGGGAGCTCCGAGCTTGGTGTCCGCAGGAAAATCCCCAGACTGTAATCGAGGATCTTTTCCCCATGAACATCGAAAGTCAAATGATGAGACGCAGGTATCTGCAGCTGGATTAAATTATTTTTTTTGACATGAATCTATTTTTAAAAACAGGAAATCATCATTCTGGACATTCTCGAGGCAGAGTGCATGAAACAAACCAAAGCAGAGACTTGAGAGACGGGATCCAACAGTTGAATGTGCCAGTAGATCAACAGGAGAAGTGAAGTGAATATCGCGATCAATAAAGGTGCTCCTAAGCAATCGGTATGCTCTAAACCTTCCAGCCATGGATATTGCGTTGGTGACTCTTTAGGTTATCCTCTCTATTGCATGACACGCTGCATCCTGAGGCCGGGCATTTGTATGATTTCGGTAACTGATGCAAAGTCCGTATATGGCGCTGTAATTCCGTGTTGCGTCCAAAGCTTCCTGGATATCGACAGCCTGGCCAGTCACACTCGAACCTGTCGGTACGGGATGACTTTCTTGTTTGAGGCAACCTCGCATTTGGTTCCGCAGTGGTATGAGTGACATGATCCTGTGTCGCGTGTTGCGCGTGTGCCTTGGCTTCACTCGTCGGTCTGTTTGTATCAAATGGTGGACGCTGAGCTCGAAGCGGCGCGAGGCTATACTCATCGTGTCTCTCATAAGCTGATCCGGTTCCATTTATTTCTCTCGAGGTGGCCGGATCACCTCTGGAAGGAATTATACGATGATCGACGGTGCGGCTTTGTGGAGCGATTGGCGGATACTCTGGCATAAGGTGCATCCGTGGATCTAAGATGCCGAAGGAGGCAGGTGCGCTCTCAAGTTGCCAGTCCGGAATGGTTTGCGTCGGCAGGACTGCGAAACTACTCCCAGATGAGTGCCAAGTGGACTGAAAGTATTGGTCTTCTGTCTCATCCAAACTCTCCGGCGTGGAATAGCCAAGAGTTTGCCTTGGAAACGACATGATTCAAGTGATCTGAGACTCCGGGGTATTCCAACCCCAAGGTGATTGGAGAGGACTTACAAGGAGAACCAGGAGAAGCCTAAAAGTACTGTCACTGCTATCGTGAGATTTGGGTATCCCAGAGGATAGCTATAGCATGTCAGCAACTAAGCGTTTGAGCTCTGCTCCTTGGATCCCTGGAATAATCAACTCTAATGGACACACTAAACGGTCCTACTATGGATAATGAGTATTTATACCCAAAGAGACAACATCAAACCTTTCAATCAGAATGAGAGTACTCAGGTTGCTTTGCTGGGCGAAAACCGTGCCTAATCATTTTTAATGTATGCAGACACATTTCAAGTCAAGACTGCTCTCGGTACATCCTCTGAATGTCCCAGCTATAAGCTGCGCCCCAATATAATATTCAAACCAATGAAGACAAGATTCCATACACCTTAGCTCTGATCTCTGCTCCTATAATAACACATTGTGACAGAAAACAGGAGAGGATTCATGCATGTGGCCGCCCGCCCCCACAATCACAATGGGATTATGGCCAATAGAAGCCTCGGGAATAAATGTGAAAAGCCCTGGAGTCCCAAAGTGAATGACAGAGCATCAGAGCCTAGGAGGGAAAGGTTTGTCTCAGCCGTACCTGATGCATGATGAGCGATACGCCATATGCACAGATGAGCCAATGATGACACTGACCTGGATAAGTCGACACCTTGGAAGCCTGATCAGGTACAAATAGTCCAAGGATATACCCAGTACCTAAACTAGGATTTCATTAAACCCAGCCAATATCCTCCGGCTTCATACAGGATCCTCAGATTTATCTGATCAGAATGCCGTTGAAAACCAGGTGCGAGGAACTTATCGAGTGGTCACCCAACCCACTGGCGATAGTCGATCATTCGTACCCGGGTGAACAGTAATAAGTATCCACGGACCACGACACATCCACACCGCTCCTGGGCACCACCAATTTGAACATGTAAATCTTTTTGATATTTTATCGGCGCTTCCTATTCAGCCCGAGCGCAGATCTCTACAGGCTGGTGTCAGACCCTCTGTCAGATACTCTTCACCGCATCATCTTGAGATCGTTAAACGTCGCATGAACCTCCCGTCCGGATGTCCGATCATGCATGTATACTATACCAATTTAGGTATTGATATTCTCACCCATTAATCAGGAACACAGAATGTCATAAATCTGTTCATTCTCGAGTCATGTTCCAGGTTTTTGACAGGGCATCAACGAGCCCACCTGTGGAAATAGCCTCCTCACAGACCTCTCGTATGTTGACGAAAGCTGTAAATGCTCATGCCACAATGGGTTGGATGCTTTGTTGGCACTGCCTGCCAACATGTATTTTCTAGACCGACTTCCAGCGTTACTTCCTCCGGAGCCCATGATCCACCTCACTCCATATGGTTAAAGGTCAAAATTATGGCAAATGAGCAAATGGGTTGTTGTCTGCGCTGGTACCTAACCTGCTTCCGGAAGTACCTAGGTATGTTTTGTATGTCCGGCTCTTCTCAGGGTATGTATACAGCACCGCGGTCGGTTTTTTGATATCGAGGATTCATGGAGGTCCTAGAATAAAATTAGAGTCAGGCGATATGCAACAAATAAATTATATGCGGACGCAGTGTTACTGAGGCTCCTAATACCTAGTGCCTTGGTACTTCTGCGCTTCCATATCAGAGTTTGAGACACCACAGCGGAAAGTTTATCCGACCTCGGCGCAATTACTTGGATCAATGCTCGCGCACCTGTATTGAGGCATAAATGCATAGCAAGACGGTATTGGTCCTCAATTGAGAGGGAGTAGCGACACTTGCTGCCGTGACTCGAAGACTCGTACCCAAGAACAGAAGCTGCCAACTTGAATCAAGCGGGGAGTAACTACTAGGTATCATGAAGCCAAATTGTGTTTCCCATGATCAGTATGGCACTGGGAAATTTTATATTCCTGGATGACATGCGGTAGTATCCGCATCCATATGGAGGACTCCCAGTCGAGGGCAGATGCTACTCGGGGACTCGGAGCAGCCCATGTCAGAAATGAGCATCAATAAAGCTCTGAAGTGTAGAATATATCTCTGATCTTGGAGTCACCGGCTCAGGGCTTTGTGAGCAATTTCGTCTCAAACCTTGGAATTTCTGGCCATTGCTAGCTTGTGCTTTGGGAACAATATGATGCAGGTAGCCTTGCTGTAATGGTCATCGCCAACTCATCGGACGGGAGTAAAATGATCGAGAGGTAAACTTCTATAGAGTTAGATATATTCATGAAAACTGGAATATGCAGGCGTAGAATGGGCAAAAGGTGAACTTATATAGAGAGCTGGATTCAGTAACCTTCGAAGTATATTGAAATGCGTGTGCCGACGCAGGTGTGTGGTGTACGCACCGCGTGCTCGGGCAACGCACAGTATGGACTCTTTTTGAAACCCCCCATACTCGGTAGAATTGATGGCCTCGGAGCCTGGACTACCTGCGATGCCTGCAATCAGGTAGAATCAGTTAATTTGATTCACATGTGACGCTGAACTTATACAAACATTTAGAATCAGTGAAGGGGTGGTGATCTTGAGTCCCTGATCCTGCGTGTTCATTGGCCGATATCTCCAGGCAGCGAACGCACCTACACTATAAAATAAAATATTTCGTATTTCCACGAGCTTTCCCTCCTTCGTATCTCCACGCGTCCTACCCCCAGACATTTTTTTTTTTGATCTGCAAAAATGTCCTCCTCCTCAAAGACTCGTCCTGCTGGGGTGCGTAAGCACCGATACAATCTTCGACCGCGCCCCGTGCGCCCCGTGCGCCCCGTGTGCCCTGTGCGCCCTGTGCGCCCCGTTGCCCCTGCCCCCGCCGCTGCTGCATTTGGCCCCTGGGGGAAGTCTTGCACCAAGTGCAAGAAGTTCAAGCCGTGGAGCGAGTTCGTCCACAAGGTCGACCCGCGCAAGGTGACGGCACAGTGCCACACTTGCCGGGAGATCTCCAACCGCTGCCACGCCAAAAACTAGGGTGGAGTATGCTGAGGTTGCTCACTTGGTAAGTATAAGTCTCACATCTTATTCACCTCACATTCACGTTTCTTCAGCCTCATTGTTTCATTTGCTAACTTATTGCTACAGTTAACGTTCCCGACCTGTCACATCGGTCTCTTGGTCTTGATGAACCGGAACCATCACCTTTCTACCCCGACCTGTCACATCGGCTTCTTGGTCTTGATGAACCGAAACCATCACCACCGTTAACAAGTGAGCGCCTCATGCATCCCCCTCAGAAGAGGCCTGTCTGTCTGTTTTGTTTTGGTTTTTTTTGTTTGGATTCGGCAGGAGTTTGTCGCCTTCGGGCTCCCTGATCTTTGAATTCCTTTTTTGTTTTCTTTTGGCGACTTCTTATGTCGCTTTCTCATCTTTATTTCTTTCTTTCTTTCAGTTTCAATTGAGCGGGTGTTGGTGTTCCAGCGTCCTTTCTTGGTTTCTGCTTTCTTTCTCTTTCTGGCTTCTTTTTCCTTCTTTTTTCTTTTTCCTTCTCATTTCTCACGTTTAGATTTAGTTAGATAGTATCCTCTCTCTTTGTACTCCGTAGTCTATAGCCTTGTAACCTGGTAAGTTCCTAGACCTATGCACGTATTAAGTAAGAGCTTTTAATATGGGTAAACTTGAACTATGAATCGTGCGCACATGATACTCGGATGCTATGCACCTAGGCATATGTAGCGACTCTCACTGCAGATACCCTCCAGGGCTATCTATGATTTTTGTCCCACACAACCAGTTAGAGGCTCATGGATCGATTCACCTTATCAGACACTAACAAGTCATACCATAGAACTGAAGCTTAGTTGACGGAAAAGTGGATATGGATGTAAGCTGTAGCAGTCTGAGTTGCTACCCCAGATCTGATCGATTGCTATGTATCTACGCATACTAAGAGCTACCGTCTGTGCCCACTATATTTCTCGGAGTCTACAACTTGAATGACGTCAATCTGAAAACCTGTCGAAGGCTAATATCTTCCATTATTATAGGTGTACTTGTAATATCACAATCAAGATAAATCAATCCGAAATCTCAGAAATGATCCGTCTATCATCCACAACCGTTTTTTAAGTGGAGCGCTCAACCTTCTTGCCGTTCTATTGTCCCAGTTAGCAAACATATTCTTAATCTCCACAAATTTACCAAAAAGGATGTAGAACTCACGATAGTACGCCAGTACTTAACACCAACGTTGGTACCACTGTGGCTGTTGTAAGGAACAGGGCTGGTGTAGTTGTAGGTAGCCTCCTGGCCCTTCCAGGTAGACTTGACGATATCAGCGATACCGTGACCAGCAGAGCATTTACCAGAGGTAGCAGGGACGGGCCAGAGGGGCTCGTAGGTAGAGTAATCGCCATCAGAGAGAGGACCGGGGTAGGTCTCGTTGATGTAGAGGTTGTCATAGTCAACCTCCCAGTTAGTGTAACCAGTCTTCTCAGCGACGAGCTTGAGCAGGTTAGCACCACAGTCCCAGCGACCCAGGGAAGGAAGACCCCAGTTAGCGGAGAGGGAAGCGATGATGCTGTAGTGGGTGTAGAAGGTATCATCGGTGGTACCCTTGAGGTGCTCGGGGACAGCACCACCAACCAGGAAGCTGTAGACGCGGTTGGGGTCAGCGTAGGTGTCGGTCTCATCGAAGGTGACCAGGATGAGGGTATCCTTGCTGAAGTACTCGTCCTTGAGAAGAGGAGGCACGAAGCGGGCCAGGAAGTCACCAGCAACGGTGATGTCGGAGTCGTGAGCATCGTTGGTCATGTTAGGGGTGATGAACATGTACTGGGGGATGCGCTCGTGCTCAAGATCCTCGTAGAAGGTGGTGAAGTTCTTGATCTGGCGAGGACGGACAGCGTCGTTGGTGACGGAGTCGAACAGGATCAAGGGGTCGTGCTTGCGCACGTACTCGTTGGCGCCAGTCTCAGGGTAACGGTAACCCTGGTAGCCGGCGTAGGGCATGTCCTCCTGGTACTGACCCCAAGCGATCTTCTTGGTGTCGAAGAGATCGGCCAGGGTGGAGATGTTGGCAGGGAGCTGGTGGAAATCGTCATTGTCCATGCCGAAGTTGTCACCAGCGGCGGAGGCACAGTAGTTGGGCTCCGAGGGGTGAGTCAAGGCAAAGTAGTTGGTCAGAAGGATACCCTCCTTGGCCAACTTGGCGAAGTTGGCATCAGCAGCAGCGGTTGAGTAGTCCTATCAATTAATATTAGCCTGATACTTCTTTTCTGCGGGTGTAGTAACTAAGCTACTCAATTAACTCACAGTGTTCTCAATCCAAATCTGGGCAAAGCGGTTGAAAGCCAGACCCTTAACGTTGGAAACGGGAGAGTAAGGCAGGACGGAAGCCTGAGCACTAGCGACCTCAGCAGCACTGGGGTACTCGTCACTCGTGGAGATGGTCTTGGCCGAAGCCAGAGCCAATGCGCCAACAAAGGCGGTCAAAGTCTGCTTGGTGAACATGACTATAGATTGCAAGTCTAATTTTGACGATCGCGAAGAAGAAAATTGATGGCGATGCGGAGAAAAAAGAAAAAGAGCAGTGATCAGCGTGGCATTCCAGACAATCTTATACCTGGGGCGACATTGCGCCCGAGCATTCGGATTCCGCGCGATGCCATATTACGCCCCTCTTCGCTTAGAGTGATCTTGAAATTTGTATGGAGTCAAAATAAAGCCAAGAATCGGGCAAGAAACCCGGTGCAGCACGTTGCAGCACGTTGCATCCCCGGGAGGGAGTCACTGGTCGTATCTCGAGTAAATAAGGGCGGCACAGACCAAGTGAGAGTGGAGATCTCCGGGATATAAATTGTGTATTATTGGTAGATATAATGGTGGGTCTTCCCGGTCCCTGGCACGTTGCAATTAAAAGCAGAATGACTGGCTGCAGATGTAGATTGTCAGGTACAAGACTTATACGAAGTAAGATGGTGGAAGTTTCTCTGCCAAATTCCATTTCCGATGGGGATTCATCTCCGACCATCCACCTTCTCGAAGCAGGTAGACTTGGACGCCGCGTGGCGCGATCGTTTTGATCTAGGCCATTGATCTGTCTTGCCGATTGGTAGACAAGGGGACATGCGTATATCATGCAGAATGACAGTCGGATGAAGTGGATTCGGAATTCTATAATATCGGCACTCAGAGGCGAGGAGGGGATCACCTGATCATGTTTGATCTGTTTATTTCGAGTTTTTGTGTTTTTGTAGTATTAAATCCAGGTTTTGAAGAATATTGAAGAGAATATTAAAGGCTACTACTAGTATATCCTCGAACATTTGAGTACTGCATTAGACCAGTAGTAGGTAATTATGTGTTTTCTCTCGCATAATCTAACTTGAGATCATCGTCCGCCTCGGGCTCGGAGTCACTTTGAGATGTAGTCTTTGCTGGAGCGCCGGAGGAACCACGCACGTGTAGTGTTTTAGTAATAATTTGATAAAAAAAACTTGATTCCACAACGTATGCAGCCTTTAATAATCCTGTTAAATTGCGGAGATATCCACTGGCACTGCAGTGTTACTAGTGCTGTGGTGGCTTGTTCCAGTAAAGCCAGAGGATGTACTATTCCCGAGTCTCCGAGCACGATATATAGTAGTATGTAACGGAATCTGCCGACAATTGAATCAAGTGCCGCCACGGTGCTGCCACTGGCATTATTTTGAGTTATGTGTGAATTCAAGTTCCTGAAGTTCTACCTAGGTAGTCGCTAGAAGACATATCGGAAAAATAGTACACCTGTAGGTGTGATTTTACAGCATCCATGGACCTTGGGATGGAGCCTGAGGTCAGTAGATGTCCATACCCCTTCTGGAAAATTCAATGCCTCCAGGGCTAGTATTGATGCAACACATTTTGATCCCCACACCTGCAGGGATAGATCCTTTCATCGTGATAATCATCCTGTAAGATCTTTAATTCTACTAGTACCTGGTCAACAGATATCAGATTAATCCCAAAAATAATCGGGTCAAATTCTAGTATGATATAGGATGTACACTCAGACTCGGATGAAAGAAACGGAATACAGCCATTGAACATGGGAACTTGAAATTAACACGGTAATCCTTAGCTCATTATTTTGCCTCAAAAACTATTACATGTATCTATTTCGGTACAAAAAGAAACATAAAAAGAACAAAGTGGAAGAAAAAAGAATTCGTCACCACATGGAGAAAACAAATCTCTCCGCGGATATCGGAACGGACATGACCATTTCAAAGACGCGTCTCATCAGCGGCATGGAGGAAATAATGACAATAAGAGGGAAATGCAATATGGGAATGTATGAAGAGAAGCCGCGAGACAGGAGAATAAGTACGGGGCGCATAAGGTGGATGTATGTTAAACACAGGAGAGAAGTAGAAAGGTCGAAACCAAAGAGGGAGGTTTTTTGAGCGGCTGATACGCTTACTCAGGCTTCTTGCCAACCATCAGGTACATAGGAGTGAACAGGTTCTTCTGAGCACCCTCAACCAGGCAGTCGGCAGCCAGAGCCAAGCTGTCGGCAGTCTTCTGGGAACCCTTGGGGAACAGACGAATAGACTCACCAGCACCGACGAAGCGGTGGGCAAGACCACGACCCCACCAGGTCATGCGGGCAATGGTAAAGAAATCCCAGACGGAGCCCATGTGCTTGAAGGATCCCGCCAGCGGGTAGTACCAGGGAGTAGCGTCGGGGCGCTGGGCCAGATCCTCATGGTGAAGGACCTCAAAGCCGGCATCCTTGATGGCCTTGACACCCTCGGAGATGGTGACCATGTTGGAAATACCATCACCCTGCTCGATACCGAGACGAATGCGACGGTGCTCAGCGTCGTCGTTGTTGTATTCATCAGTCATGAGCCACTCGTAGACACCGAAGGTACCGCCGGGCTTCAGGACACGGAAGATCTCAGAGTAGACACCAACGAGCTCGGGAGCGTGGACAGTGGCCTCGATGGCGTAAACAGCATCGAAGCTGTTGTCGGGGAACTTCATCTGCATGAAGTCACCCTTGACAAAGGCCATCTTGTCGGACAGACCCTGCTTCTCGGCGTAGTGGGTGGCACGGTCAATCTGGTAGTCGTTGTTGTTCAGACCGGTGACGTGGGCACCGGTGAACTTGACAATCTCACGAGCAGGACCACCGACACCACAGCCAACGTCAAGAACCTTCATGTTCTCCGTGATACCGGTTTGCATGGCGAGGTAGTGCTCGTGACGGGCGATAGCCTGACGGAAGGGCTCACCGTAGGCGAAGCGGCAGAAGTGGAAGGAAGAACCCCAGCCGTACTCGTAAAAGTCGGTGGCAAGGTTGTAGTAGCTATACCATGATTAGTATTTCATGCGATAAGACGAACAAGTCAGGAGTAAAAGAAAACTTACTGTCGGGTCAGGGTAGCGTATTCAGCTCGGCGGGTCTATTTGCAATTTCGCAAGTCAATAACTGAGTCAATTGAGAATATATGAGCAGGGTGTCTCTCTCACCTCGCGATCAGCGTCGGTCTCAACAGCGTAATCCTTGTTGTCCCAGTGCTTGAAGTACTCGTCCACAGCAGCCTTCTGGGCAGCAGCGTCCTTGCCACGCATGGCAGTCAAACCACCACGGGCCTGAGCCGACTTTCCGTGCAGAGCCTTGTTGAAGGCAGCATCGCGCGAGACATCCTCACGTTCGAGAGCGGTAGGAGCCATTGTGAAGGAATTGAAAAGGGAGTTGGTATTAAAAGGGGGGTGAAGGAAAAAGGTTTAAGAGGGGCGATAGAAAAAAGGGACACGGGTCCGTTAAGAGTGAAAAAGGTTACGGTAAATGGAATGAACCAAACAAACCGCTGGAGAAAAGAAATTGTCAAAAGATGGAGAGGGAGAGAGAGGTGAAGAGGAGTTTAAGAAAAGGAGTTATCGAATGCGAAGCAACTTTTTGGCAATCCAAAAAATTAAGCCAATCAAGCCAATCACGGAGCCCCTGAGCGTACTGCAGGACTAGACCGAGTCAGTCTGGGGTGGCGGGACGAGTGTCTTCCGTATTGTGGCTTATCCGGGAAGTGGCTGTCCCGGTATGGGTTCGTGGTGACCTGATGTAGACTGTGGAGGAGGGGACAATGCTTGTTTCAGCATCACAGATCCCCCAGACCTGGACCGGAATCCTTCAAAGATGTACCCGATAGCCTTGTTGCCTAAAAGGATCAATTCAAACGACAATCCGATATCTATTGAGCATCGTACGGCAAGATCGCAGCGATTGTAGACTCGGAAGTCACATGACACACCGCCACAGTCACGCGCCACAGATTATGTAATCATCAACTTAGAGGTCCAATCTTCACCTTGACCTTCATTGATAACGGTATTACGATATTGCTCATCCCCCACCATGCCTCCTCAGATTAAACATGATCTCAACCGTTCAGGTTGGGAATCTACAGACTTCCCGTCAGTCTGCGAAAATTGTCTTCCCGAAAACCCTTATGTACAGATGTTGAAGGAAGACCACGGCGCAGAATGCAAGATTGTAAGTCTTTTATCCGATGACTCGATCAAGTTACAAGCTGCTAACACAAAAATTTACTAGTGTACTCGTCCTTTTACCATTTTCCGCTGGAAAGCCGATCGCACTTCGCGCCAGAAGCGAACCAATATTTGTCTCACCTGCGCTCGCTTAAAGAACTGTTGCCAATGCTGCATGCTCGATCTGTCTTTCGGTCTACCGATCGCCGTCCGTGATGCCGCCTTAAAGATGGTCGCGCCGGGCCCGGAGAGTGGTATCAACCGTGAATACTACGCGCAAAATCACGAAAAAGAAATCGAGGAAGGAATCGGGGCGGTGGAGGAATACGAAAAGACCGACGACAAGGCCCGCGAATTGCTGCGCCGCTTGGCGAACAGTGAGCCCTACTATCGCAAACCTCGCCGGATCGAAGGCGCACAAGGCTCCGAGGGGGGACAAACATCGAGCTCAACAGAGCAGCCCCGAACACACAGCCAATACGGAAATGCACCTGGTCCGGTTCGCACGAGCGAGAGTCGACTCGGTAACAGGCTGCCTGGTCGTGGAGGTGGTGCCGTACGAGGTCGCGGCGGTGCTCGTGGTGGACGTCCATTTCCTAGTACCACACAGTTACCGCCATCTGCAGAGGATATTAACCCGCCGGCAGACCCGAATGTCACATCACTGTTTGTGACTGGCGTGGAGGATGATCTACCCGAACACGATGTTCGGACTTTCTTTGCCAAGTTCGGCACTCTCCGCTCGCTTGTCTGCTCCCATCGCTCCCACTGTGCGTTCATCAACTATGTCAACCGTGCTGATGCGGAGAAGGCGGCGTTGGAGTGCCAGGGTAAGGCCATCGTTAAAGGCTGTCCTCTGCGTGTGCGCTGGGGTAAGCCCAAGCCGCTGGATAATATGGATCGGGAGGAGCGAATGAAAAACGCACGGGAAGGTCGTCAAGCCGTGGGCCCTACTCGAGGTGCCCAGTCTGATAAGAAAGCTATCGCTGCTGCGGGCAATGCTGCGGACAAGGAGGCCAAGCAGAACAACATTGCTGTGGCTCCACCTCCCGGCTCTGGATCAGTTCAGTATGCCAGTATGTCTGGAGACTAATCAAGTAGTCGTTCCATACATTGTGTAATATCAAGATAAAAAAGGTGTGCATGTTGTGGGTTCATACAAGCGGGCGTTGAATATGGATTGGTTCTTGTTTTTATGCAGATTCTATCTCAATGAAAAAATACCCTTGTGACGCCAGATAGTAATAACAAAAAGAGTTGGGTATATTATGATACACGTTCCAGTCCAAGGCTGGTTTTAGATCCCGCAATTCCACCAATGTTATGCTGGGGCATGATCATGTAGAGTCGGTGTGATGTACAAATTTGAGTTGTGTTCGGCCCAGTTTACGATGAGCAAGCCTTGTGGATCTTAACATCCTTGCCACCAACCTTGATGGAGTCGTTGTCGCCGCGTTCGATCTCATCGTGGATTCGGAGCTCTGTCAAAATGACAAGGTCAGTAATTTGCACCATGAATCGGGACATTGTCATAAGATGCGTATAATCAAACAGAAACGGTTGTACTTACCCCATTTCGCGGCTTCATTACCGTCCTCTCGAGCGCCCTGGACCAAGTTGTGGCGCAGGATGTTGGCAACCTCAATGGCGTGGTTGATTTGCATACCAGTGTCCACAGCAACACGGCGGTTCTGATCAAAGGCGCGACGAGCTTCTTGACGAGCAGCCATCATGACCCGTACATCATCTGCTTGCGACTTTAGTACTTATAACCGGCTAAGAGACAATGCCATGCTGGAGGGCTTCTTGCATGACACTTGAGTGGAAAACGGACCTTGGAAAGCAACACGAGTAGCGCGAATGACCTGGCGGTAAGCGCTCAGGGCAGCAGCAGACGGAGAAGCCATTTTGTCTAGGGAATGCGGAGTTGGAAGTCGGCCGTTGGGTGAAGAAGCCGGTCTCGGTTGAGTAAAGGTAACGGTGGTTCGGTTGGGGTTGAACAAAGCGGGTGAATATTGGTTAGAAGATTTCTTACTTAATTGAACTCCAGTGAGAATATTTGCCTAAGCAATACCAAAAACACAACTCAAAGTGAACTAAATTGAAGCCGCAAAGTGAACGAACGTATCATCCGAGATATGATTGGTGGGCGGCGAAGATGGGCAGAAAACCAGTCGAGCAAAAAAAAATCAAGTGGGACTTCCTCTCCCACTTTGTCCCTTTCAACCCATCACATCCTCCACAATGGCTCCCGCTCAAGTTGTCAACGTGACCCTTCCCTCCTTGCCTGCTGGCTGGACTGCTGAGAAAGACTTCAAGTCCGTCGGTACCCTCTCTGCTGCCACTCAGCGTAATTTGGAGCCCGTTGGCCCTCACTTCCTCGCTCACGCCCGCCGTGTATGTGATTCCATCTAATTGCCCCGCCGCAACATTGAGAATGATTGTACTAATAAATTCTATAGAAGCGTCACAACCGTACCTTCTCTGAGGACGAGCGTCTCCAGGCCCAGCAGAATGTCAAGAAGACTGAGGATGAGGAGGATGATGAGATCTCCGAGGATGAGGACCCCATGATGCTTGCCCGTGAGGCTAAGGACTGGAAGGTCAGTGTTTCAAATTTCTACTTCGGATATGTTGTATCAATTGACTGACTCCCTCTATAGTCCCAGGACCACTACGCCGTTCTCGGTCTGACCCGCTACCGTTGGCGCGCAACCCCCGAGCAGATCAAGCGTGCTCACCGCAAGAAGGTTCTGCGCCACCACCCCGATAAGAAGGCTGCCTCCGGTCAGCGTGACGAGAACGACAGCTTCTTCAAGTGTATCCAGATCGCCACCGAGCTTCTGCTCGACAACACCCGCCGTCGCCAGTTCGACTCCGTCGATGAGGCCGCCGACGTTGAGCCCCCTACCAAGAAGCAGACCCAGAAGAACTACTACAAGGCCTGGTCCCCTGTCTTCGAGGCTGAGGGTCGTTTCTCCATCAAGCAGCCTGTCCCTCAGTTCGGTCACGATGAGAGCGCCCAGGAGGAGGTCGAGACTTTCTACAACTTCTGGTACAACTTTGACAGCTGGCGTACATTCGAGTACCTCGATGAGGATGTTCCCGATGATGGTGAGAGCCGTGACCAGAAGCGTCACACCGAGAAGAAGAACGCCAACGCCCGCCGTAAGCGCAAGAACGAGGATGTCGCCCGTCTCCGTGAGCTCGTCGACGAGGTTCTCGCTGGTGATGAGCGTATCAAGAAGTTCCGTCAGCAAGCCCGTGCTGGTAAGGACGCTAAGCGCAAGGCCAAGGAGGAAGAGGCCCAGCGTCTGAAGGACGAGAAGGAGCGCAAGAAGGCCGAGGAGGAGCAGGCTAAGAAGGATGCCGAGGAGTCTGCCAAGGCTGAGCGTGAGAAGAACAAGAAGGCCAAGGAGGCTGCTAAGAACGCTGCCAAGAAGAACAAGCGTGTTCTGAAGGGTTCCGTCAAGGATGTCAACTACTTCGCTGACGGCGAGGCCTCTGCTTCCCAGGTTGACTCCGTCCTCGGTGACGTTGAGCTCATCATGGGCAAGATCGATGTTGATGAGCTTGCTGCTCTCGCTGAGAAGCTCAACATTGCTGGCAAGGATGGTGCTGCCGTCAAGGCTGCTTACACCGCCGAGGCTAAGCGCCTTGTTGATGCTGGCAAGATCAAGGGCAGCGAGGTCAAGGTCTTCGCTTAGATTTGACGAGGCTGCTTCATGCTCCTGACGACTTTATTTATTCTGTAGTTACTGATGCCCCATAGATAAGATGAATGCAACGCATTAGACTTTTCAATTAATGTCATCCCCATTATGCAGTAAAGCGTAGGACGACTGGGTTTGGCCCACTGGCAACATTTGAAGGTCATACAGAGTACTCCATGGCAGTAGACTGTACAGTTCCGGGGCCCCGTGAAATGTTCTACATGTGTATACTCCGTCCACCTGCAGGAAATGATCTTTCTAAAGCAATGTGACAGGATCTGGCTTTGAATTCACCTCAGATGGGGATCACAGGGCTGAATCAAACCCGTGGGGCCGCTATTGATTCAAAGCCAATAGTGGCGGGATGACAACAGCAACCTCCGGGTCTGATTTTAATGTTGGCCAAGCTCAGTGAGCAGAAATCATTGTCAATACAGTGTCCGGCAACTTTGACGATCCACTTTAAGCACTATCGTTTTGTGGTAAGTTATACACCTCTCAAACGACCCGATTTATATTTGATAAGTCACAAATATCACCTCGAAGATTTTCTCCTGAAAGCAGAATACAAACTAGCTACGCTATAGCCAGTTAGCATGAGAAGGGGTTTGTCCAAATGTTTTATGTCATTTGAATCTAATGCTGGTGAAGATCGACATTCAACCCTTTAGCCTCTGATAGTTTATGCAAGATGATCGAATTTATTACTTCGATTGTGGATATGACACATGATATCTCCTGGTTCTGGGATTTACTTAAAGACGGCCAGGGAACTAGGGCAACAGTTCAGCCTGGTCATCTTCATAATCACCCACCCATGATTAATCCATCACACCTCACAAGCATCTTATCGACATAATGAAGGTTCTCTTTTATCTTGGTTTGACATTTGGTCTTGCTGCAGCCCAAAATGCAGTAAGTCTCTCGTGGTCCCATCAAATTCGTTAAATTGCTAATAGATATCAAGACCAATGCATGCGAAGCGAAAGACTACAGCGGTTCAGACGTCGATGCTCTACTCGATCGCGGAGAGAAGACCTATTGTGCCTACAATAACCACGTAGGAACACAAGTTGTTACTTTCATACCTGGTCATGATCGGTTCAATTTGACAATCCAGACCTATGGAACCACCTACTTCAAGACTTCGAAACAAGGAAAAGACATCTCTATTGGTGTTATTGAGGGATCAAACACTGGAAACGAACAAAATGGCTCAGATCTTCTTGTATATTCCAGTGGTAAATCCGAAATTCAAGACCGTTGGTTCTTTACGCAAACTGTGAGTGTTCCATACTTGTCGCTATCGATCCAATTCTGCTGCTCTCAGTGACTAACAGCATAATCTAGTGTGTTGAGGAAAGGACAGCGAACCAGCTGGTAGTCTTTGTATGTGAACCTAACCCCCCTAGAGAAAAGAGAAAAGCTCTTCGTACATTTGCTTTTAGCATGGCGTTAAATACTGACATTGGCTTTTCAAAATTATAGGTAAAGGAGCCGACCGAGAAAGACATCTCAGAAATTCAAAAGGAATACGGATTACAGGTCGATCTAACCGCCGTGAACTCTTGTTTCCATTCCGAAGACAGTGATTCTTCGTAAGAGTGGTTCCTCTATTCAGTCGGCTTTGAGATTTCACATTTCAATCTACCTCAACCTTATAAGGTACTGGGTGTGGGAGAGCTTCTACATCTTTATTATAACCTATCTCAAGGTTATTTATGTCGAAATGATCGGAATTTGTGGCAGATTCGTTTTTGATCAAACAGCCACTCTGAGCTGGGATGACAAGTCTTAGAATTTCCAAAAATATCTCAAAATTCAACTCTGCGCATACAAGATGACTTTCTCCATATTTTTAATTTCTGGGAGGGTTATCAGGTGGTTCTATAGTTCAGATCAAAGTACCTGAGCACATCCATGTCGATAGCTCTCACCCCTTACCTTCCCCTTCCCGTTCTCTCTTCATAGGCGCCAACATCCATCCACTTTCTCATGTCACTCTTCTATCAATTTTAACAATAGTGCTTTATTGGAAGACACAGCCATCGGAGCGTCATAGACACAAGCTTTTTTTCTGTTAAGATGGCAACAAACATTCGATTCTTAACATTCGCCCAAGTCCAACGACTTCATGCCACGCTTATTATCCCCAACGCTATTCCAACCCAACCAAGCATGCTAGAATCTGCAGTGCATTCGCCGATGAATCAGAAGCACTATGCAAATATCGAAGATATTTTCCAACTCGCTGCAAATCTTGCTGAGAAACTAATGAAAAACCATGCTTTTCAGGATGGCAATAAACGCACTGCCTTAGTGGCTGCGGATATGTTCTTGAAACTCAATGGTTTCTCCCTCCAAGAGGTACCGTCTGCGGATGATATACTCAACCCGAGGCTAGCAAATGCTCAGGTCGCTGTTGTTACCAAAGAATGGACAGCTGAAAATTTGGGAAATTATTATAAATCCATCGCAATTGGTTATGGGGGCTGCGGAAGTGATGGAGGATAAAAGGTCATCTTTCGACACCTGGAGTTCAGATGTTCTAACAATTCAACTTCATGGGTTTCATCAAAATTGAGTGGCAGCATCAATCAATTGATCTTACAATAATATTTGGGAGTTTACATGGAAATCATGTTCATTTTTCATTGAATTCTTTCACCTTACATCCGTTATCTATGCGCCTTATGTTTTACATTCGTCTGGTTGCCAGTGGTAGAAAGGGACATCTGAACTCAGATTATACACTTATATCAACTTGAAACTATTCCCAGCCCAGATTTGCTGGAGAAAGCAACTGATCGCATGTATCGCATATCCTTCAACTGTTCAAGGGGTCCGGCCAAGTCCTGCCCGGTAGCGCGTGCCATCTCAGCAAATTCCGCTAGACAGCATGATTAGTATCTTCAGACTCAAAGGGGGGCCTAGTGCATGGATTATACCATCAGGAGTTCCATCTAGAACTATCTCATGCATCTTTCCACTCAAGAATCCACTCAAGAACAATGTTGCAGGGCTTGTATTTGACTCCTTCTGGCGAGGGATTTGGTTTGGAACATAGAGACCGGGATAACTCAATGACCCTAGCGTTGAAAAGAAAATTCCAGCTACATCTTTAGTTCTCCTACAACCATGACTCACCAAACGCAAAGTAGAGTGAATCGTGGAAAAATGTAAGTTTACATCTCTCATAAGCACCTGAAGTCGGAGAGACTGATTCGTCGGGACTGGCAGCACGGAGTTCACTGCCAACCCCTGTATCGATCAAAAGATAAGCCTCTCCTGGGTTTCCAATAATGACAGGTACTTTTTTGGTAATCAGATTGCCTCTCGTGTCATGAGTAACGAAATCAGTTGTGACCCGATGAAAATATCTCGCAATAGGAGTGCTTCTGGTGCGATAAAAGGAAACGAAGGACCGAGAGGTACTGCGAAACATAGCACTCTGGGATATATGGGACCGAACTAACAGATCGGAGGCTCAAATGAAAAGTGCAGTTAAGGAGACAAGTAATTACTTCAAGTTCGTTTATGGGCCGTGTGATGATTCCAAGCCATTGTAGGTAATAAGATGTGTAGTTGATACGTGTCTTGTGTATGACATATCTTAGGCACTTAATATTAACGCCGCTCTTTAAGAATGAGACATTTCCGACCGGGACCGATGAAGCTTTCGGTGGTCTATAGACGATGCCATGTCAGAAGCTCAATATTTGAACTTACTACTCGATACCTATCACAGATCCAATAACTCCATTCCTGTCTCCACTGGTACCAACATTTTGAATGATATCACGGGTCAAGTCGGTCAGATAGAGTTCTACCCCACACGCGACCTTGTTTCTTATCTTTCTTCCCTTTTTCCCGTTAGTTTCCTTCCACTACTGCAGCCATGCCACCAGATCGACAACGCGCAACTCGAATAGTTCGCGTCCGTACAGGATGTTGGAGTTGCAGACGACGAAAGAAGAAGTGCGATGAAGTTCGACCAATATGCGGGGGCTGTATGCGTAATGATCTCGGCTGCCAATGGCCCACAATCATTCCCGGGAGGAACTCCGGTCCCGGCAACGACTTATCGCGAGTCGAGGAGCGGCGCTCAAGCCCCGTGAAGGTGATAGAGGAGGTTGAGCCGTCGCAAGTTGTACAGAGTCCTAACTCTTCAATACGACAATCTTCCGTTTCATCGGTCGGAGGTCAATCACCGATTCTCGGGGAGCCTCTCAACGATGGAATAACACAATCCCAAGTTAATGTCCAGGATGAGACATCAGTATCCGATCGCCGGGATTCGAATTTGAGCATTGGATCAAATACATGCAATATTGAAAATGCTCTTATTCCTTCAATTCCTTCAACAGCCGTTGGGAATATGGTCCCGCGGACGATGTCAATGCTCCCGGGCTACGATGCGGAGTCGTACACTCTACTGAGCCACTATCTTAGTACCACTGCAGATTGCATGGCGAACGGCACAACACCAATCAATCCTTTCTTAGTCCAGATTGTACCGCTGGCATTTACTAGCGACTTATTACTGCAACTTGTCATCACCCAAAGCGCTGCGCATCGGGCATTTCGACGCCGAGATGAATCGGACGCGGTTGCTCAATCTCATTATACGAAAGCGATCCAGTTATTTCGACATGGAGTGGGCGAGTTTATTGATGGAAGAGAATCCAATCCGTTGATGCTTCTTGTTGGGGCTCTTCTCATGTGCTTTACAGAGGTAGGGCTTTCCCAATCCCAATACCTGTCCGACAGCAAATCTAACCGTGTTCATAGACAGCAAAAGGAGACATGACTGGAACCATTTTCGATCATTTGACAGCGGCGAATACCCTCCTTGTGAAGCTATTAGCGCAAAGCGATGCCACAGTGCCACGAGAATTAAAGGACTTCGTGATCGAATATTACGTCTACACAGCATCTGTCAGCATGATCTCTGTCGACGCCCGACTAAGTCGCCAACTTTTCCTAAACTTCGATCTAGAGCAGCGAGCACGCGAACTTCTAACAATACAATACGTTGGAAACTTATGCGGCTGCTGGCTTGAGCTACTACTTCTGATCCCCGTTATCTTCGATCTCGGCCGCCAATGGATGATGGAGGAGACACAGATCATTCCGACCGCAGATGACATCGCCATGTTCGCATCGATCCAAGCACAGATTTTACGATGGGCGCCATTTCCATCTGTTGAGTCGGAAGTGTATCTTGCAGGCTTGATCTTCCAGCAAGCCATGTTGATTTATCTATACACGTCTTTGGGAGGATATAAATATGCCATTGATGGAATGTACAGAGGAATTATCCAGACTGCCGTCACAGAAGCGATGTCATATCTAGAGGAGTTATCGCCAAATGCGCGCATAAACTCTGGTATGTGTTGGCCGATTGCTGTTGTCGGTTCTTGTTTAGAAGGCCTGGATGAACAGGATCGTTTGCGAACAAGATTGACTGCCATGTCGAGTCATTTTGGGCTTGGAAATATGCATCGCACTCTGCAGTTGCTGGAGGCAATGTGGCATGTGCCACCGTCTGAGGCGGGTCCTTGGAATATTTGTCGATCGATGCAGCAGAAGGAGATCTGGATCTCCTTCGCCTGATCATCAAGCATGGCTACATTCTATAAAGTTGATTTCCCATACACATATAATTGAGAAATACCTCTTGTCAGGATTAGGAATCCATGCGGCTCACGAATGTATCATGATGCGACTCGATTGATGTACGATAAATAAGATTCCCTTCAGGTTTTTTCGAACAACGAGCTGCTAGCGAGCTCGAATAAATGAATTGCATCACGCATAATCGAGTGAAAGAACTCTATCTAAGCATTTTGCTTCTGCTCATAATAAAATCCAGCTTCAAGTTCTAAGGTTGATTGATGTTCGTGCCAGTTTGATCTCCCAGGTGTGGATACCGAACAGGCAGCGCGGACCGAGACCGCGCTGTGGGGCTGACGATAAGCACGAGAACATTGAACTTGAGAATAACGGAAATGTAAATTTAAAGAAGCTGATATTTTTATGAAATGGGCGTGGTGTATAGAGCCAAATATGGTACCTTGTTCGAATAGAAAGTCAAACTTCAACTAAGATTAGTTTCGGTTTGAGGATTGATAAAGCGAATTCGAAATGTTTATTAGAGGCATCATGAGGTGTATTTCGTTCCATTCATCTGTCTATACTTGTGCCACTGCATCAACAATGAACTGAATAAATCTGCGAGCAAGCAGTTCACCATCATGTTGCTTTCCCGCTCTAGAACTGGCATCCTGATATAGCTCATCATCGAAGACCCCACTATCATGACGCGCCGTCAAGAGATTCGTCATGATAAACTCATTAAACTCAGGATGGGCCTGAATACTGATCAGTCGATTAGGCATATAAAGTCCCTGAACAGCACAAGGCTTGCTGTAACCAAGATTGACGCAGCCTTCCGGCGTTTCGAAAACGATATCCCGGTGCATTTGGTGTAAATACTAAACCGGTTTAGCATAGAACTCAACCAGAAGATCACTATTAAAGTGATAGATGGGGATTTACTCACCAGTTTATCCTTTCCAAAAACCTCTTTCCCGGTCTCCGTGAGCGTAATCTCATCGACAGAGATTTCCCACCCCTCACCACGACCTACCCTCGCGCCTAACGCGCGAGCAAGAATTTGATGACCAAAACAAATACCCACGACAGGTTTGCGATGGGATTTAACAACATCTTTGACGTATTTCGTCAGTGTCAAAATCCAGCCATCATCCGCAAAGGCATCATGTTCTGAAATAAGTTAGCAGAGGAACTCGGACTGATTTCTCTGGGCAGATGCAGGGAACTTACTGCTTCCGGTTAGGAGGAAAGCATCATATTCATTCGGGTTGGGGTAGACTGGGTTCTCGACAACATGCCACTTGCTGACTTCTACTTTAATGGTGGACCCCGCGGCGTCTGTTAACAGTTTTTTGAAGATGTCTCCATAACTGCCGTGCTTGGCGACGACGGGTGGGATCGGTGTGTCGCACTCAAGGACTGCGATGCGGAGTGGGCGGGACATGATGATTGTGTTTTTGCAGGATGAGTGAATCAAAGGGGTTATAACAGGGTTGAGTTGGGTTGATATAAGTGAAAGGTTTGTGGTTGATTCGGATGTGAGGTCGACCGGGGGGAGCGCTGCCCCACTTACGCGGTCCGCTGGAATATGGGTGCCGATGATGATAAGGATGCGTCGATCTCGTATATTGATATTGACGTTGGAGGGTGGATGAAGGATCTCAATCAACTCCAACTAATGCTGAGAGCTCATCCATTTTTGATGACTGAGATGAATGGGATGCTTGGATCATCCGGGATTATCCAGATGTTCGCGCTGCGCCGATCAACCCTGATGCATGTAGCGGGTTGGGTACATCGAGGTGAACCACTGATCGGTACTCCGTATACTACTAGTAATAGTAGTATGCGATCTGGACTTTGATAGATAGCTTCAACTGGATTCAATAATCCATTCATCATGACATTTGAAGGTCAAGGTAAAAACTTATATTATTTTATTATTCATATTTGAGCTAAAAAGCCCGACTCAGAAACAATGTCATATCAGATGTGCCTTTCAGATCAGCGCACCTTCATCCATGTACAACCAGTGCCAGTCACCTGGGTAATCACTTCAGACCAACATTGGAAGTCTCTATGAGCGCCGAGTAAGGAAGCCCACAACAAGAGCCGCAAGACAGGCCAGGAAACCAAGGAACATGAAAGCAGTGTCAGCTTCAGCACTAATGCAATTAGACTTGACACCGCTCTTGCCATGCACAGTCAATGTATAGCAGTATTTATCCCCCTTGTACTTTTCGCATCCACCACTGACCAGCACGTTATCCCAAGCATATTCCTCAGGTTTGGAGCAGTTAACACCTTTGAGTGCAACGGCGTAGATCTGATACAAGTTAGTCTCTGTCTCTGATATTATCAGTTGGGATGACCTACAATTCCGCCAACCAGGAGCGCAACGGAAGCAAAGGCGTCTAATGCCCACGCAATGATCCCGCTCAAACTCTCGACGAATAGAGCTGCAATACCGACTAGTGAAACGAGGACGCCAAGTGCACCGGCGAAGGCCGCATATCCAGTTTGGGCTGGGACACTGCCATGACCTTGAGCTCTAGCGAGGGTAACCGAAAGACCGAGAACGACGATCGTGAAAAGAAGCTGCGGGGCACTTGGGCATTAGTACTAGTTCCATCAGGTAAGAAGATAACCTTAGGCTTACCTGAAAAGCTCGTGCGATGCCGGTAAAAAGCTGCATATTGGATATATCAAGTTTAATGTGTAGTTTTGGCTGTGAATAGTATTCTTAGAAGAAAGAAAACTCAGTCAAAACAGCGGGGACATCCATTGGTATTTATCCTGGTCACCAGGCTGAACTCTGAGGGATTTTAAATAAATGCAATTTTAATAATCAACTAGTACTTTAGACTAGCAAGGAACCGTTCTCTATTATGGAGCCTCATATAAAGGGACAAGGGTCTAACAGGGCTAAATAAGGGACTGGGGGCTGACCCATTGGGGCTAAATGTTACTAAGTGGGTATTTGGGATAGAGCAAGAATTTTCATTTGTTGTTGGGACCTCGCTAAGAAATTTCGATTGGTAAACTATGACTCAAGATCCTGGTTTCCCTTCACATGTTGTCTGTGTTACTGATGTTTAGGCGCTGTTCCGTTATGCTCACAAGTTGTGCATGGTTGAGCCTCATAACGAACAAACAGCGGAAATGTTCATTACTTCCCACAAAGTTTTAGTAAACTAATATTTGAACGGCCATTTCAAGTTTTAATCCCATTCTTGTCCCATATCATGATTTTACTAGGCCTGAATATTCAATTCTAGAGATTAATAGGTCTAAATTATGAGCTTAGAGCTTAACGCTGGCATGGATCCTTCGATGAACTCGGAGTTAAAAGCACTGCCCATGGGGCGGCCCCCGCTACACATTCGAAACGCCAACCCGCAGGCCAAGCCTTGGAGGATGCAGATCCATTCTCCAGTAGGATAATTCCCCTCCAAACCTTGATTCAAGCGTACATGAAACTGTCAATCACTGGCGGCAGTCTAAAAATAGTGAGGTCGCAAAGTCAACCTTGGCGATACGCCCAGGTCAATATCTGCTGAACAACCCGAATTTACCAAGGTCTAGTTCAAGTGATAGGAATCTAATCCTACTAGTACAGGATGAGAGTTTCATGATAGAAAATACGAAACAATTTCTCTTTTGCGAATGCTAACCCATATTCCTGCCAAGGTGGATAGTATCATCCCAAAGTCATAACCTGATATCGGATTAACATCAATATACTGAAATGATGCAGCACGTTCCTGATACAATTTGATCTGCTTAACATTCAAGCATAACCAAAACCATTCTCCAATTAAATTCCTTGCTCACTGGCATCTTCCACCGTGGCATTCTTCTCACCTTCCTGATCCTTAAACTTGGCCGTTGACTCCGTCTCAGTGGCTGCACCTTCATCCTCATCATCCTTCTCCGTCTTCTCAGTAGCAGCCCTCTCCAACTTAGGAGGCCGCCTCTCCAGAACCGACTTTCCCTTAATCACGTGCATTTTACCTTCAACAGAATCTCCCGCCTCACTTTTCATATCAGCGCCCGATTCCTCCGCAGCCTGCGAAGACCGCTCATCCCGTTCCCTCCTCGCCTTGGCATTTGCCCTCCGAATAAGCCGATTATGATAATCCTCCTGTTCAAGCTCCGGATCCTCATGCAGGATCCGACGCGCCGCTTCCTTCCCAATAACAGGCAATCGATCCACACCCTGTACTCCATTCGGAACAAGTTTCGGATCCAAAAGACCAACCTGCATAAGCACACTAGCTTGATCCCAGTATACATGTTCCGAGTAGAGTCGCCCACCACGCAAGCTAACAATACTAACCATCATGATCTCGACGGGTTTGTTCGTAGCTGGAACTCCGGGTAACATCCACTGAATCTCCTGTGTATGTTCGAAGGAGAGATAAAGCTCATCAACGATATGATCTGCTCCCGCGGTTCTGGAGATAAGTCTGATATGCATTGATGGAGGCAGCTTTCCCAGAAAGTAATGCTGATAAAAGCGACGCAATGCCTGTGCGCCGATTGCTCCGCTCATAGTTGAGGTATATGTCACTGCCGGAGTCTTCTCTTTCACATATCCATCCATCGTCTTGGCCAGACTTGACGCGAAGAATTTGCCTAAAACATTTATAAGAATGAAAATCTGCGCGATTTAGAGTAAAGTGTGATACATACCCTCTTGATGATCCTCCCATCGACTTTCCAAATCCACATCACGAGAAAATCCCTTGCGCACGTTCTTGATCGTACGTGTCCATGCAAGATCCGCTGCTAGGTTATCATATTCCTCCATATCATGCTCCGCAAACCCAGGCTCGGCGTCGCTGTACGTGAAAGCAGGATACGCGAGTTTCAACCGTTCACCCGTTCCAACACCAGGGTTAAGTGGTCTTGTCTTGCGACGTCTCTTCCCCTGAAGCCCGAGAGCAGTCGGGGTGGTGGTTACATCGATTGTTTTCCCAGCAAGGTGCACGAGAATCTGGACGCCGAGTGGGAAGCGATAGCGCGTATCAGGGAGATTGGTAGGGTAGTATGCGATGAGACAGCAGAGTCTACTGCAGTTCATTGATTTGGTATAGTAGTCCAGACAGTAACTGGCTGCTTCGCCGAATGCTAATAATCAAGTTAGCTGTGCGCTTGCCATCAGGGGGTTTGACTCGGTATACCAATTACTCCATAGTTCTCTCCCACACCGAGCCCTTCCTTGATACTTCGCAGTCGATCTTCATAGTCTTTTCCGCCACCGTTTAGGGGGAGGTAGACGACGTCGAAGCCTTCATCTTGCCAGTTTTTGATTGTTTCGGTGTCGAACTCGTCGGTTTCTGAGGTGATGCATAGTCGGGCATTATTGTTCGCGTTGTTATATAGAAGACCATTACTTAATCCTGGCGCATTAATGGATACGAGCGCCATTTTGGTTCAGTTCTTTTGGTTCCGATTTTGCTGTTTTTGGTATCTTATTGACTTCCCGAACCTTGGAATTGTGATGCGGTTCTAACAACACCAAGTCAAACTCGAAATTTCAAAATTAGTCAAGTATGATAATCCTTTAAAATGATAGAAGCTTCACAATCTTATCGAGATCAAGTTGAAGAATTGCCAGTGTAAAGTCAAGTCACTCAAGTGGTACGATGACAGATAACGGGCGCTACGTCATCGGCGCAGATGTTTCCCCATCTACGTCATTTTAGTTGCAATGACAGGGAATTAACTAGTTTTAATATATTAAAAATACTAGTATTAATCTACCCAACTGGTTATATTTATATAAGAAAATCAGTTCACTTGAAAGGGTTGATTCAAGGTTTTCATAGGTTTGGGACAAAAGAAGAGTGCCTCGGTGACCTTAGTGTCTTCTATTGCTAATTTGAGTTCTCTCACTTTCGAATTATCTTTACTAAATAATCGTCAGAATAAGGCTTCCCAAGCTATATCCAGGGTTGCCAGTGTGATTTGAGGAATAGCTGAAAAGAAAAACTAGCACGCGCCCATGTTTGGTTCCCGAGAATCATATCTTGTAAGGAGGAGAAGACTCGAATCTAGTTCGTTGGCCCTTGTACAACTACAGCTCGATCTCGCTTGCTTCAGTTCAAGACTCATATTGAACAACAGATTTTCCTTTTGAATTTAACTCTCAAATCCTAATGGATTCCGCTTGAGTTCAAACCCTGGAGAAAGACTTCATTTTAGTAGCCTGACCGAACCCCGCAGTATACCTGGGCAGTAGATAAGTCCTCAAGTGCTAGCACCACGCTTCATGTACTAGTACTCGGCTATGAAGCTCTGTTAAGTGAACACCATATATCGCAATGAGCCTGACTTTCATATCAAGCACTTGAGCACTCACATCCATGGATGTGCATGGTTACATACTAGGTTAGAGCGTTGTTACTAGCAGTTGTATCTGTACCTAGGTGAATAGTTACCTACCGTTCTATGTAGAATGAGGAGCATCTACAGGAATATGACAGCAGTAGCTTCTACTAGTACATAGTAGATGATACAAAGAGGGCTATCTAAACCTTTGAAGGTTCAAACTAACTGCTATACATATACAGTTGGAACTTGAAGTTGCACACGTGGATAAGGAAGAAGAATAGAGATAGCACTAGCTACCTAGTAATTGCTTGTGATATACGAATACTGTAGTTGACCACGGCCTATCGGTATATTCTGCCCAGGTTTCGATGCGATCAAGCTTACGCCTAGAGCTGCAGAGCCTAGAAGCACTTGAGATAAAGGAAGCTTCGACGGGTGCCTTCCCCTCTTTAGATCCCCCAACTCCAACAACCCACTCCCTCAACAATCATGTCTCTCGTCCAGCATGTCTCTGCTATCGAAGGAATTGATAGGGATCCAGAACTCGAGTCCAGAGAGGATGCACTGTCCATTCGCCGCAAAATCAGCTATGATGTGTTGCAGACCCCGAGCTTGACGCCTGCCGTTGCCGAGCAAGTACCGGGGACCCCAGCATATAAACACTCCTCGGCCAAGAGAATAGGTACGTCGACTGAGACCGGGGAAAATATACATTGAAAGCAAGCGACTGACTTTATCAGCTCAGGTCATATTCACAGTTCTGGCATGCTGGGTCGCGTCAGGGATTGTATTTGGATTTGCAGCGCTGAAGCCAGTTCTTATCGAGGAAGGTGTGTATCACGACAAGTGCACCGAAGAGGAATTACGCGATGAAGTCAGTCTATGCAAACAACAGGATCTAAGGTACGTGTGGTAGCTTTATTCGCCACTTACAATTCTAACTCGATCAGGCTCAACCTTTTCTTCACCATCGCTTCCATCACGGCAAATGTGTCTGCGCTACCTGTTGGAACCATCCTCGATCGATATGGCTCGCGTGTCTGTGGCGTCATTGGGTGTGCTTTGCTGGCAGTTGGCAGTTTGCTAATGGCATTTTCTTTTTTACGACCAGGATTCGAGGGTTTAGTCGCCGGCAACTTCTTCCTTGCTCTGAGTGGAACTTTCATTTTCGTGCCCTCGTTTCAAATCGCCAATGCCTTTCCGCGATACGCGGGGACCATCGTCGCACTCGTCACTGGTGCATTCGATGCCTCAGCAGGTGTATTCCTATTCTATCGCTCCATATATGAGGCCTCAGATAGGAACTTCACCCCGGACCAGTTTTTCCTCATGTACCTGATCGTTCCGCTACTCATTCTCCTAGCCCTCCTTACATTCATGCCCACCCGCGATTATGTGCCCACATCTGGACTGAAAGTTAAAATGGAACGCGCAGAAGACGCAACCAGAGATGTGCATGAATCAGACATTGAGATCGAGACCGAACGGGAACTACAGCAGGTACGCCGCAGGCGTGCGGAGCACCGGAAGCACAAAATACGTCAAATCCACGAGGTGCTTGGCAGTAAAGATGAGATTCAATCTCGAGCAGAAAGGGAAGAGGATCGCCAGGTTGTCAGCCAGGTCTGGGGTGTTCTGCATGGTCTTCCAGCGCAGAAGCAAATGGCTACACCGTGGTTTATTCTGATCACGCTCATGACGGTACTCCAGATGGTGCGAATGAACTACTTCATTGCAACTATCCGCGCGCAGTACGAGTACATGCTTGGCTCCTTCAAGGAAGCGGAGCAGATTAACAGCTTTTTTGATGTTGCCTTGCCTGTTGGTGGTGTTCTTTTCACTCCATTTATTGGCTTCTTACTCGATCGCTTGAGCGTCCCCGCAATGTTAACCTTGATTGTGATATTCACCACGATAATCGGTCTTCTGAACTCGATCCCTACTTTATGGGCGGGTTATATGACTGTTGTCTTATTTGTGTTGCTACGTCCTCTATACTATTCTGCGATGTCGTGAGTACATTCCTATCTCCAGAACATGAGATATGCTAATTGTTCTATTCAGTGACTATGCTACGAAGGTGTTTGGCTTCGCTACGTTTGGCCGCGTCTACGGGGCTATCATCTGTCTCTCAGGACTTGTCAACTTTTCTCAATATGGATTGGATGCTCTCACTCACCATACTTTCCATGAGAACCCCATCCCAATCAATGCGTTCTTGGCCGCGTCAGGGTTTGTGGTTGGAGTAGCGCTTGTTAGCTTTGTTACTGTCGCAGGTCGTAGACTTAAGGCTCAGGCGGAAAGGAATGACGAAGAACGAGAGCCACTACTGCTTGAGGAAGATGAAGATGACAATGAATCTGATGAGTATGACTCGCAAGATCATTAAGGTCATTGATTGAATTGACTTCAATAAATGGAGGCAACGAAACCTTGGAAGGAGGTGTATCTCTCTGCGGTCATCCTCTAGTCAGCTTTACAGCCATTACTCCTGTTATGGGTTTATTAGTTCCATGGATTTAATTTGATGAATCCAATTTCACAGTTAACTTGAATAGGTGTAAGTTAACTGGTCGTGTGCCCAGTGTGGGGTAGTATACTATGTAGTAAGAGAGTCCAAGTCGGGTATTTTCCAAAGTTGAAATTGAGGATACCCTTATAAATGGTCAAGCTGGATGCAATTTCTGTTTTACCACTCCGTCTCCTCCGTCTACCCCCAGGCTGAATGTCACATGCAGTCCGCAAATATTGGAATAAGGTGCATATGTTGTGTCACATTGGCAATAATCAAGCTTGGACTTGTTGAAATAAAATGGCGGCTCTCTGGCCTAACGGGATCTCCCGGTATAGTAATCGCCTCGGCTAGCGCCCGCACGATCAACGCGATCAATACGCGGTACGCGGCTTCAAGATGGGTTTGACGGAGCGAAATCGGCCTTTCACCAATGGTACGTGGAGAAAATTGTACTCCGGGAAACTGATAGCTTCATTGAAGGCATGAGGATGGATCTATTGTAGGATATCTCTAGAGACCAGGGGATTTGCACAGTTAGCGGTGTGATACCTGTTCCAAGTTCTTATCAGAAAACCCTGAAGACACTATAAAGCAATTAATTATAGCACAATATGCAGTGGTTGGATATCGGCGAGCAATCTGTAATCCTGCGATCGGGAAGCTCATTCTCCACATTATGAACCGTCTTATCAGTGACTCTGGAGTATCGACTCCGTGGGTATTGGCAGCACAGGGATATTATGCAGGGATGTCTTAGCTTCATGGGTGCAACATTCCACAACTTCAGGGCCAGACCCAAATAACGGTGACCAAATTGATTCGACACATCCAGCTTCCCTCTGCTCCCCGTTCGCCGCAAAGCTCCGGTATCGAAAGAATCCGGAGAGCCCCTCCGCAGTGTGGAGTCAAGAAGTAGTTTTCCGACGGGAAAATGAATCAAGTTGATGGTAATGAGAGAAAGAGGTTCCACCGGAGACAACGGGAAGTAACGTGATTGGGGCGATAACAATCTTTATCAATGCGTTTCCCGATCAAAAGAGTTACCGTCGGTCAAGTTGAGTCGGTCAATCTACTATGTGGTTCTCACGCAATTCTTAAATATTTCTTAAAAAAAGAAATTCATCCTTCTTCTCAATCTCTCCTCTCCTCTCTCCTCTATTTACCTTCGAATTGTTACCTTAGACGTGTTGAAAAAGGTGTTGGAGTTTCGCCCCGCTTCCCCCTTCCTACGTCACACTCCGGTAGCTATCTCAATGGCGGCGTCCTGTCTTGCTCTACGCAGCAGCCGTCAGCTGCTGCTGCGGTCGCGTGTGCGGGCTGGTCCCTCACCAGTGGCCCTGCGATCAGCTTCAATTTCTCAATTGAACCTCACCCGACGCAGCTTACACACTCAACAGCCTCAGCAACCCGCTACGCGCCGCGGTGTCTATACTAGCTCCGTTGCCGCCCATGGCGATCCTCACCCCGAGGACATTTTCCAGCCCCTCGACACTTTCCCCCGTCGCCACATTGGACCCTCCCCCGATGCGGCCTCCGAGATGCTGGCTGCCCTGGACCCTCCAGCGGCTCATTTGGACCAATTTGTCAAGCAGGTCCTTCCCGAGGATATTCTCTCCAAGAAGGACTTGAAAGTCACTGAGCCCCATGCCGACATCAACCTTTATCGCTCAAGCGTCCAGGGCGGTCTGGGCGAGACTGATATGCTGAAGCTGCTGGACACCTACCGTAAGCAGATTGATGTCTCAGGCAAGACCTACATTGGTACTGGTTACTACCCGACCATTGTGCCTCCGGTTATTCTCCGTAATGTCCTGGAGAACCCCGCCTGGTACACCAGCTATACTCCCTACCAGCCCGAAATCAGTCAGGGTCGTTTGGAGTCTCTGTTGAACTACCAGACTCTCTCCGCTGACCTGACTGGTCTGCCCTTCGCCAGTGCCTCCCTTCTGGATGAGGGCACCGCTGCCGCCGAGGCCATGACCATGTCCTTCGCTACTATGCCCGCCTCGAAGCAGAAGAAGGCCGAGAAGTCTTACGTCGTGTCTCACCTGTGCCACCCTCAGACCATTGCCGTCATGCAGTCCCGTGCCGAGGGATTCGGAATCAACCTGGTTGTGGGAGACATTATGGCTGAGAACTTCAAGTTGGTCAAGGAGCAGGGTGATCACCTGATTGGTGTTCTCGCTCAGTACCCTGACACCGAGGGTGGTGTCTACGACTTCCAGTCGCTCAGTGACTCCATCCACAGCCAGGGCGGTACCTTCAGTGTTGCTACTGATCTGCTTGCTCTGACCATCCTCAAGGCACCCGGTGAGTTTGGTGCTGACATTGCCTTCGGTAGCGCCCAGCGATTGGGTGTCCCCATGGGCTTCGGTGGTCCCCACGCTGCTTTCTTCGCCTGCGCGGACAAGTACAAGCGTAAGGTTCCTGGCCGTGTTGTCGGTGTGTCCAAGGACCGTCTTGGCAACCGTGCTCTTCGTCTGGCTTTGCAGACTCGCGAGCAGCACATTCGTCGTGAGAAGGCCACCAGCAACATCTGTACCGCTCAGGCTCTCCTTGCCAACATGACTGCCATGTACGCCATCTACCACGGTCCCGTTGGTCTGAAGTCAATTGCCCAGCGTATCATGTCTATGACTTCTCTCCTGCGCCAGAAGCTGGTCGGTCTCGGTTACAATGTTCCAGTTCGGTCCAACACCGAGGGCGAGGCTGTCTTTGACACTCTTGCCATTGAGCTCGGTGATGCTGCTGAGGCTGATGCCATTGTTGCTGCCGCTCGCGATGCTTCCATCTTCCTCCGCCGTCTCGGCGGTAACAAGGTTGGTCTCTCTCTTGACGAGACCGTTGGCCGTGATGAGATCAAGGACATCCTAAAGGTTTTTGCCGCTCACAAGGGCGCTGCCCCTGTTGAGGTTGATGGTACTCTCTCCGTCGCATCTATCCCTGCTAGCTTGGAGCGTACCTCTGAGTTCTTGACTCACCCTGTGTTCAACACCCACCACTCCGAGACTGAGATGCTGCGTTACATCCACCACCTTGAGTCGAAGGATCTGTCTCTGGCGCACTCCATGATTCCTCTTGGATCCTGCACCATGAAGCTCAACGCTACCACTGAAATGATCCCCGTTTCTTGGCCCGAGTTCTCCAACATTCACCCCTTCATGCCTGCTGACAAGGCCAAGGGCTATATCCAGATGATCGATGATCTCGAGGCTCAGCTCGCCGATATCACTGGCATGGCTGAGGTCACCGTGCAGCCCAACTCTGGTGCTCAGGGTGAGTTCGCCGGTCTGCGTGTGATCAAGAAGTACCAGGAGGCCCAGGGTGACAACCAGCGCAACGTCTGCTTGATCCCCGCCTCTGCTCACGGTACCAACCCTGCCAGTGCGGCTATGGCTGGTATGCGTGTTGTCACCATCAAGTGTGACACCAAGACTGGTAACCTGGATCTGGGTGATCTCAAGACCAAGTGTGAGAAGCATAAGGATGAGCTGGCCGCGTTCATGATTACCTACCCCAGTACATTTGGTGTGTTCGAGCCCGGTGCCAAGGAGGCTTGTCGCCTGGTGCACGAGTTCGGCGGCCAGGTCTACATGGATGGTGCCAACATGAACGCCCAGATTGGTCTGTGCTCTCCTGGCGAGATCGGTGCTGACGTCTGCCACTTGAACCTGCACAAGACTTTCTGTATTCCCCACGGTGGTGGTGGTCCTGGTGTTGGCCCCATTGGTGTCGCCAAGCACCTGGCTCCTTACCTGCCTTCTCACCCTACCAGCGAGTACCTCCAAGCCAAGCGCGGTGAAAAGGCCTCTCCCCCGATCAGTGCCGCTCCCTGGGTAGTGCCAGCATTCTCCCCATCACCTTCAACTACATCAATATGATGGGTGAGCGCGGCCTGACCCACGCTACCAAGATCACTCTCCTCAACGCCAACTACATCATGTCCCGTCTCAAGCCCCACTACCCAATCCTGTACACTAACGAGCACGGTCGCTGTGCTCACGAGTTCATCCTCGATGTGCGTGGATTCAAGGAGACCTGCGGTGTCGAGGCCATCGACATTGCCAAGCGTCTCCAGGACTACGGCTTCCACGCTCCCACCATGTCCTGGCCCGTCGCCAACACCCTGATGATCGAGCCCACAGAATCAGAGAACAAGGCCGAGCTGGACCGCTTCATCAACGCCCTGATCTCTATCCGTGGTGAGATCGCTGAGGTGGAAGCTGGCAAGCAACCTCGCGAGGGTAACGTTCTGAAGAACTCACCACACACCCAGCGGGATCTGCTTCAAAGCGAGTGGAATCGCCCCTACACTCGTGAACAAGCGGCGTACCCTGTGCCCTGGTTGTTGGAGAAGAAGTTCTGGCCCACAGTCACTCGTGTTGATGATGGTAAGTTTCATTCGTTCTACTCATCCCATTTTGATTTCATCGCATACTAACTTTTTCATAGCTTTCGGTGACCAGAATCTGTTCTGCACTTGTGGCCCTGTCGAAGACAGTGAATAGATTATATGATACCCCTGTTTTTGCAGATTCTTTAACTGACTCTGCGGTTTTCTTCTGTGTATACATTCAACATTTTTATGATGACGATTTTCTTTGTGGCTAGCGATAGAGCTGTCAATTCAACAATAATATTATTATGGCTGTTCAAACGTTCGCTCTTATCACTGTTTACTTGCGTATATGCTTGACTTGGGATTTGGAAGAATGTCAGTGTGCAGGTAGTAAGTAGTATTAATACTCTAGACCATTAAAACTATTACCTATTAAGCTACCTGGAGAACTAGGGTACCAGGCCTTGCCTAGATGATCGCATCTCTCCACAGCTACTTCCTAGGTGCCTTCTTAGACCAGTCTTCTACTAAGCCTCCTGTTATATTCAACAGCGAACTTACACTCCAGCCCGAGTAATTCTGTTCAAACTTCTCATTCCCACTTGTACCTTCCCCGCACACTGCTTACTCTTATTCGTTGCACGTTGACGTTTTTCCCTGCTTAAAATGCCGACATGTGAAAGCTCTTATCAGTGCCCCTTTTACAATACATGACAGTACAAACCCCCACTTGGCGTTTCTTATATATGCGGACAACTTCCCCAATCTCACCCGCACGTGTAATTAATACTTGGTATTACCCTATCGGAGCCAGCCGATCACCGAGTACAAATCCACCGCAAATCCACTTTTCATCTTTCGATCATCTTCATCTCACCCGCTCTATTCAGCTCTCAACAAATCCAGGAAGAATAACCTTGATCGGATCCTGCTGGTAATTGCAACGCTACTATCTCCTCTTGTTCTCACGCGTATATCTGGCCATCATTCCCGTTCATCGCGATGTTCTGATTTGGACTGTTTTCTTGCGCTTGTGGATCTGATCTGCAGTCGAAGCTTGAAGCTTGATTATATACACCTATATCCAGAATAGAGTAGACTTGACTATCTGTACAGTCGCGATTTGTGCGTTATTTGTTGCCAGTGGTGAATATATCAGAAATTCGAAGAACTGAACGCCATGATGTCCAACGTTGTGTATACGGTCTATCGCGACACGTTCATTCATCTGACACGGCTTCCTGAGGGCCCATCTCGATCTAAACCACAGCTAGTTCGCAATTGTGGTGCACTTTGGGTATCCACAGAAGACGGCCGGATCAAGGGTCTTGATTGGAGTGCTGGAGATGAAGAATCGTTCGGCGCATTGATGGCCCGCAATGGCTGGATAGATATCAATGCGGATACACAGACACCTGGAGCAGGGGGTATGAAGGTGCAGGTTGTGAAAGCGGATGAAGCAAGAAACGAATTCTTCTTCCCTGGGTTCATCGGTACGTCAATACGAACTAGGTACATTCTTGCTGGCTTTCTCACATCTAACCTAAACAGATACCCACATCCACGCTCCTCAATATCCCAACGCCGGTCTCTTCGGCTCAACGACTCTACTTGACTGGCTAGAAGCCTATACCTTCCCCGTGGAATCAGCCTTCGGTAAAACAAATACAACCCCAACCAATGATCCCAAAGATACACCCCCATCCGCTCTACGAATCTACGACCAAGTAATCGCGCGCACTCTCTCTCATGGCACAACCTGCGCCTCCTACTTCGCAACCGTGCACGTCCCAGCAACGAATGCTCTCGCCGCTCTATGCCACAAACGGGGTCAACGAGCCTTCATAGGACGCGTCTGCATGGATAACCCATCCTTCTGTCCAGAATACTACCGGGACGCAACAGCCGAGGAATCACTCACATCCACAAAATCGGTAATCGAATATATTCACACACTCGATCCAAAGGGCCATCTTATAAAACCAATCATCACACCTCGATTCGTGCCAACCTGTACCAGACCCGCACTGGAAAGCCTCGGATCCCTGGCTGCGAGTTACGAACCCCCGTTACATATCCAAACCCACATCTCCGAGAACCTCAACGAAGTGGCCCTCGTTGAAAAATTGTTCCCTGGTGTAAGTTACGCAGGTGTTTACGATAAATATAGCCTCCTTACAAAGCGCACGATCCTCGCGCACGCGGTTCATCTCTCATCTTCAGAGCGCGCGCTTATTCGAGCTCGCGATGCGAAGATCTCACATTGTCCCGCTTCGAACTCTGCGCTCGGATCGGGTATTGCGCCCGTGCGAACCTTTCTAGATGAGGGTTTGACAGTTGGATTGGGGACTGATGTAAGTGGAGGGTATAGTCCTAGTATTCTTGAAGCGGCGAGACAAGCTTGTCTTGCGTCGAGGTTACTAGGACATACTGCTTCCTTTTCAGACCAGAAGAATGAGGAATGTGAGGCTGGGAGAGAGAAGCTTTCTGTGGAAGAGAGCTTGTACCTCGCTACTAGAGGAGGCGCGGCTGTTATTGATATGGCGGATGAGCTTGGTGGATTTGAGGAGGGGATGATCTTCGATGCGCAGCTTATTCAATTGGGATCGGTTGCTGCGGTTGAAGGGTTACTTGAGGGTACTGGAAATGTGCTGGTGGATGGACCAGTTGGCAATGTTGACTTATTCGGCACAGAGACTTGGGAAGAGAAGATCCAGAAGTGGGTTTGGAGTGGTGATGACCGCAATGTCAAGGCAGTTTGGGTTGCAGGGCGTTTAGTGCATCGGAGGGCTTAGATGGGGATTTATGTACTGCAGTTAACGGTCCAAAATACAAACCTTCAAGCTATGTCCAACTTCGGACCTCCGGAACGTACTATGACTCACTTCCAAGGGGGCATAATCCTTCAAATCCTTCAAATCTGTTCAGCTGGAAGCCCGAGACTGTCAGTGTCTGACTTCGGCTATTTCTCACTTAGTGCAAAGATCCTCGGAAAATTGAATACCCTAGGTCCCTACCTAGCTATTTCCTTATTTTCTCACTCATTTACCTCGTCGCATGGGAATTCAGGTGCAAAATCTCACGCCAATTTAGAGGAGATCCATATGCAGTATGAGGGCTAACTGGTGTGGCTCTGGTGGGTGCGAAATCGGATCTAAGGACCCGGTTACAATCAGGGTTGTGGAACCTCCGATTTAACAGTGAGTATTGGCGTAAATAAAATAATCTGGTCGACTATGCACACGAACTGACATCATACAGACAAATGGTATCGTTCACGTGTGTCCTATGTGCATGTCAAAAATATACTCGTTCTCGAAAAGATCAAACTGATTCAGGAGAAGAAAATCAATCTTGAAGAATGGGTAGAGATACCATTTCCTGTCCCATTCTGGGACAGATATAACCGCATGATTCTCGTGGACCTCGAAACTGGCATGGTCATGATTCGGGTGTGGCATAAGGACAAGGAAGGCCCTCAGAAAATGACAGTCTCCGAGGCTGAACTCGCTGCCGTGTGCAACAAGCCTGCTTTCATGCCTGAAGACTGGCGTTACGAACCTGTTCAATATCCAAAGCTAAGCACCCCCAATCAGAAGAAGCCGATACCTGAATTGCCAGTGGCAATCTGTCCACAAATTGAACCACCCACGGCCATGTTTGAGCTTCAACAGAAATTCTTTATAGACCTCGTTCTCATATGAAGAGCCTTTATAGATGATCCGTTTACTTGTAATTACTCTCACACTTCATTTCGTGCAGTGTCAAGCGCATTTCTTCGCATCGCGGCTTGGGATTTTGAGGTGACTAACAAACCAGAAGGGCTTCCAGTAACATATGAATCCTTTCCGGAGTGGAAATACCCAGACAGCGACATTTACTGGTTTCATGGCGTGCTAGTAATACTCGATAGCGATATTGGCTGTCCGGATTCCATTCACCTGGCGTTAAAAAAAGCTAAAAGATTTCTTGACAAATCCGATTCACATCGCAAAGTTCGCTGCGTTCTCCTCTCGCCCATGCATGCTGTGTTCTGCGAGATCTTTGAGAAAAGCAGTACTTGGACCAGACCTTTTCCAATCGTCACTAGCCTCGCAGGGTCGGAAAGTTCTCCGGGATTTCGCCTTCTAGCACATATTTTCTCCACAAACTGCGTCAAATCAAACTATGCCTCCTCTGAGAATTTTCTCTCTCGCCTTCCGATGGAAATCCTCATGTCTATCTTCAAAAAGTCCGAGCCAAGGGACCAAGTGGCATTGGCACAAGCGTCATTCAAGATTGAAGAATTATATTATGCGTCATTGCCACAATTTTCACATATCCTAAAGGTGGCAAGAGTTATTCTATCCGTGCCTTGTTGTGGGAAACGCATCAATTCAGATGAAGAACTGCTCTGTTGTCAGTGTTTGACGTGGCAACATCGAGAGTGCATTGATCATGATGGTGAATGTTCAGACAACGATTGGACCTGCCTCTCCTGTCAACAGAGGGTTAATCGTTTCGAGCTGGAACCAAGAGGAGTTCATCAATCTAGTTTTGAGTACATTCACCGACGGCGGAGGGAACATCATATTCTAACTCCCAGAGGGGTGCAAGTCCCACTACTCCGGCTCAACGCGTCTCGCAGGTGGAAACCTTCTGGGTTTGACTTCTTTATCCGGTTTAACAACGATTTTTCAGGACTTGGCTATGCGCACCATACGAAACGTCTAAGGTGTAATATAGCGAGAGTCAAACAGCCCAATGGCAACATACTAAATACTCTGAGTCAGTGATGGCTCAGGCTGTTCCAGAATATCTGTTCGGGTTTGGACTTTCACTAATACTAGTAGGTAACAATATATATCAATCTGGGCTTTGAATGAGCCTATCTAGCATGATAGTATAGTCTCATGATATCATGATGACATAATATGGAGTACTAACTACCAGGGCTAGTACCTACACCTAGGCATGATATGTAGTGCAAGTGCCAGCCACGGTATACATCCAGTACTGGCATACATATGTAGGCTCTAGTAGCGCCCGGCGCTGAGTTGAGCCCAGAGGTCACCCCAGGTGCCCGTCATTCATGGATATTTCACTTTATTTCTACTACATATATGCATGTATATTTCGAGACTCGGATTTAAGCCCATTTTACTTGAAATTCTCAAAGTGAATAAAGGTATATTTTTAATCTTAACTATTGATGAGGATTTTAAGAACCTTGGAACCACTGGGCAGCACTTGAGTGCCACTACATAGTGGAGGCCTGGGGAAGGATGTGTTGATTCAGGGCTAGCTTGAAAGCCTGAGGCGCCTCGGCACGCTGAATCCAACGTGAATAGTTATGGATGAGAATAGTTTGTATATATAGTTCGGAGTAAGAATTACTCTGAAACTGCTCTATATAGTAGGTAGTACTAGTATGTGCCTCTCACTCTGCCTAGGTGAAAGTCATTTCCGAGGCTACATTCCACCGCACCAACAACATTCCAGCGAAATCGCTTTCAGCCGCATACCAGAACCAAGCAAGGGATGAAAGTGACAGCTTTGTCAAGACAGCAATTAATCATGTTCTGAAAATGACAGTTGGTGGCGGTGAAGTGGCGGGCTTGTTTAATTAGACTCGCCGATCAGGGCGGAGACTCCGGCGAAGAACAATATCAAGTCTTTTCATTGTTTGTTTCTCTTTCACCTGAACTGCCACCCTGCCAACATTCCGCCGATCATCACCACATGGGAGTCGTGATTCTGGTTTCGGCTACGATTCCCGTAGCGCGTGGGCTCTTTTTTTTAGTCCAGGTTTGGGAGTTTTCGGAAATACCTCCGAACAGTCTGTGATTCTTTTGGGTATGAAGGATGCTGGCTTCCGAGACCGATTCAGTGGAAATTCAGGAGTCATATTCAGTCTAATTGGCAGCCCTGGAGAGACTTGGGATCAATGAAATATCTCGAAGTAGAAAGCACAGTATCATCCATGGATAGGAATGGGGTATTTCCGGGACTCATACAAAACGGGAAACAGCTTGATGCAAGGAAGCTTATCTCGAACGAAGAAAGACTATAAATTCATGCAGGAAGATGCAGAGGTAGTGCAAATCATCCCAAATCCATAATATGCCAGGTACACGCCAAGGCCCAATTCTCTATTTGGGGTCACACATGTAGATCCACACTGTCCGCAGACGATACATCAGTCTCGGGTGTACCTGACAGACGTCTTCACTGCACCAATCAATTAAATGCTGTACCTGGTCAATGAGTAACAGGGACCCATTCGAGACGCCATGGACGCAAGCATTGTTCCTCGTTAGTATTGTTCTCGGATTTGGGTGAAGGTGATCAAATGCTTGAATTCGGGCATATATACCACCACGACCGCCGATCAACATGATGGACATCAAATTTGATCAGAAGAAAAGTTTCAACTCCGATATACATGAAGATGCAGCTCTCGACTTGGTACACCATCGCCCTGATTGCGGTGCAGGGCGTCTCGGCCTCGTTCGGCCCCTTTCGACGCGATTTGAAGCTGATGGCTGAGATGGGTCTCGATCCGGATGTTATGCGGGTGCAGAAGACTTCTGTTCATTCAGTCGTGAAGAACAGCTCCGATGATATTGCTGCGCAATATGTGACAGTAAGAATTACACATCACAAACAGGGATTAATGAGTTTTGCTAACACACATCAGTTGCCAATCGATCATACCGATTCTTCTGTGGGTACCTACAAGAACCGATACTGGGTACAGGAAGAGTACTACGAAAAAGGCGGACCGGTCTTTGTGTATGATGTGGGCGAATCGAATGCCGAGAGCACAGCTCAGCTGCAGCTTGGAAACGCGACTTCCTTTTTCGCGGGGATCTTGCAAGAGCACAATGCGATGGGAATTGTCTGGGAGCACCGGTGAGTACCAATACCCATGGGATAACTACGAGTCCGTTCTAACGATGCAACAGATACTATGGCGACTCCCTTCCCTTCCCCATCACCAACAATACCCCTCCTGAGCACTTCATCTACCTCACCAATGAACAAGCCCTGGCCGACATGCCGTACTTTGCCCAGAACTTCTCCCGTAAGGCATACCATGATGTTGATCTGAGACCCTCCGCTACCCCCTGGGTCATGGTCGGAGGCTCATATTCTGGAATGCGGTCTGCTTTCACTCGGAACAAGTACCCGGAAACAATTTTCGCATCCTATGCATCCTCAGCTCCGGTGCAAGCGCAGATCGACATGAGCGTGTATTTCGACCAAGTTTACGACGGCATGGTGTTCAATGGACATTTGAACTGCTCGCGGGATATCAAGGCGGCGATGCAGTATGTCGACGCTGAGTTGGGGAAAAATGAATCATCCGCTGCTGCTATCAAGAAGCTATTCTTTGGTGAAGGTGCCGAGACAAACAACAACGGCGATTTCACAGCTGCACTAGCTGGAGTTTTTGGATACTTCCAATCCTATGGTCTGGGTGGTGGAGAGGGTAGTCTGGGAGCTTTCTGTGAACACCTCGAAACCGACAATGAGAACCTTACCATCGCTGGCGCCCGTGGATTTGCACCATACCATGGTAGCGAATATGTCGTGAAACGCTTTGCCTCATGGCCGATCTTTGTGGAACTAGTCAATTTCAACTACGACACCAACTGCGAACAACTCGACGTGGACCAACCCCTTTCCTGTGTACTGAACCCGAAATCCATTGACGCCGACACCATCAGCTGGACATGGCAATTCTGCACCGAGTGGGGATATTTTCAAAGCATTAACATCGGACCTCACTCACTTCTATCTCGGTACCAATCTCTGGAATATGTTCAATATACCTGTAACCGACAATTCCCCGAGGCAGTTAAAATGGGACTTCTTCCGAGACACCCATTGGTACAAGCCACGAATAACCAAACCGGAGGCTGGTCAATTCGACCATCAAATGTTTACTGGAGCGGCGGTCAATTTGATCCGTGGCGAACATTATCTCCCCTCGCCACGGAAAAGGCTGCCCCACAGAATGTTCATTTCACGACGGAGATCCCCAAGTGTAATGTGGAGACTGCCGAGGATACAGTCTTCGGTTACATCATGCCTAACGCGGAGCATTGCTTTGACTTTAATATGAAGTTTGCACCGGGCAAGACTTCACGTGGATATTTTCACAAGGCGTTGAAGGAGTGGTTGCCTTGCTTTAAGGGGAATCAGATCAGTCAGACTCATTGAACCCCTGGCCAGATCGTCAGATCAGGTCGTATGTATCATAGCGTTCGACGAGAGTTCATTGCGTAGCCTGGCATCATCATACATAGACATTTAGATAGTTCTTAATATCTTGCATCATCAGTACATTCAATCTTCAAATCTCACCATCAAATGAAGTATTCAAACGTCGGTACGAGGTATAATGTACACATACTCCGTACTCTACGGAGTATTGATCCAGACACAGACCATGCCGGGTCCATCCCGAACTGATCGGCGATCAGCCCCCTAAACTCTGCATATACGGAGCTACTAGCATGAAATGGGTCGAATCGGAGGAATCGATCTATTCCATTTTCATACCATTTTGCGATCTACCCGAACTATTGGGTTTCTCACGTGTGATGTAACCGAGGATATTCCTTGATGGCTCATATACTCAATCGGATGCATAGGATTGCGCTTTTATTCAATATTCCAATTACCCCTAAATAAATTAAAAAACATCTCTCAGATCTCATCTTAACCCACTCAAAACCTCAGTTGACTATAGTTTAATTGAAGTAAATCGGCATCCCGCAATGTTACTCAGTCCGATCATTGTACTGGTCGGAGGCTCATTTCTAACATATCTATTTCTGTCTTATCTCCTCCAGTTACATCGTCACCGTAAACAAGCAAAAGCATGGCACTGTGAGCCTTGCCCCGGCGGATCGAGAGGTCTATTCGGGATCCCTGCATTCCTCGCTCTAAACAAAGCCGTCCGCGAAAAGCGCTGGATCGATCATCTGTCCAATCTATATGGAGTCTACGGGTTGACATTTCACAATACCATTTTTGGGCGCCCGATGGTTAATACCATTGAACCGGAGAATATTAAGGCTATTCTAGCGACCCAATTTCAGGATTTCTCGCTTGGAACCCGGCATCGGGAGTTTTATCCGTTGTTAGGAGATGGGATTTTTACTCTTGATGGTGCTGGGTGGTCGCATGCTAGAGGGTTATTGCGACCGCAGTTTACGAGAGATCAAGTATGGACCGAACTACTGTGCGAATCTTGCAGTCGCTAATAATTATACAGGTCGCAGATCTAGCATTACTAGATGACCACATTACTCACCTGATTAATCTCATTCCAAAAGATAGAACCGCCTTCGATATCCAGCGTCTCTTCTTCCTCTTCACACTCGACTCAGCAACACATTTCCTCTTCGGAGAATCAGTCGGTTGCATGCGTCCCGAATCCGAGACAACAGGCGTTCTCGCAAAATCTGCAGTTAGGAATGCACAGGGCTTCGCTGATGCATTCACAATTGGACAGGATTGTCTTGCCTCTCGCTCTCGTGCACAAGGTCTATACTGGCTTGTTAACCCGAAGAAATTCCAAGAAGCAAATCGCCAGGTTCATGAGGTCGTTGATCATTATGTGAGGGTTGCTTTACAGAAAAAGAGAGATCCTAATCGCAAGGATTCGAGTCGATATATTTTCCTTGATGCTTTAGCGGCGGATACCGACGATCCAAAACTTCTCCGGGACAATATGTTGAATATTCTACTTGCTGGTAGAGATACCACTGCCAGCTTACTAAGCTCAGTTTTCTATTACCTTGCCCGGAATGAGCAGGTGTGGAGTAGATTGCGTCGCGAGATTGTGGGGATATTTGGGGATAGCATGGATCCGCATACAGAGGTTACACAGACTAAGTTGAAGGATATTCCTTATCTGCGATATGTCCTGAATGAGAGTGAGTTCATGAAGCAATGCTTCGGGTATGCAGAGGATGATGCTAATGATTCTAGCGCTCCGTCTTCAACCGCCCGTCCCCATGAACTTCCGAGTCGCAACAAAGGATACGACACTTCCTGTTGGAGGTGGAGCCGATAGAAAATCACCAGTCTACGTCCGAAAAGGAAGTATGTGCACGTACAGTGTTTTCGCTATGCACCGCCGTACAGATATCTGGGGTCAAGATGCACGTTCATTCCGACCGGAACGATGGGAAGAGAACGCGAAGCACGGCTGGGATTATCTACCATTTAACGGTGGTCCTCGGATTTGTCTTGGTCGTCAGTCCGCCTCTCTCTAGGAATGACATATAGACTAACACATTCTAGAACAATATGCACTCACCGAGGCTAGTTACACGATTATCCGACTGATGCAGCATTTCGATACACTGGACAACGCAGATCATAATGGCCGAGAAGAGCCTGTTAAGTTGTCCAATTTGACTATGATGCACGATGAGGGTGTTGCAGTACGGCTGTACTCCTCGGAGAAGATATAAGGACGTGCACATATGTTGTAAGTTATGATTAATGGTTCGATGGACTTGGGTGGCGTGGAGGGTTTTCGGTCGTGTTTATACTCAAGTTCTGTATATAGTCCAAGTTTGATAATAAGGGAAAGGTTTTCATTTGAAAAGATATTTAAACTGCCTGGTCCTAGTGAATGCATTTGATCCGGCCATATATGTATAAGCCTGGGTTTGATGTCGAATCTTTTCTTCTCTGCATGCCCATGAGCATATTGAAATATCATGCAAACGTTTGAGTGATAAATTCAGAAGTCGAGCTATCAGTGGTGGGAAAACGCACGATGAAGATGGAGGTTATCGATATACTCTCAACTCGATGCGAGAAGAGGAAAAACGGAAAACTAGGTCGGAGGTAACTCGGAAATAACCCGGAATCAAGGAATTTTAGAATCTCGTAGCATGCTCGGGGTCCTAGTGTCTCATCTAAATGACTGCAAGTAGGGTTCGGGTTTGGGCGAAACGAGCGAGGAGAAGCAGTATGGCACCAACGAGTAATGAAACTCCGGTAAAGATTGATAGGGCCAGATAGCCATATTTCTCAACTAATGCTCCCGAGATAGGCACATTTGCCATGGCACTAGTTCTTAACGTCAGTCAAAATAGTATGAAGTATGGCATGAGGGACTTACGAGAGTGCACAACAGCCAGCAACACTTCCGATGGCTAGACCAATGGTCGATGGAGTGGCCACTTGAGCCGCAGAAGCTTGTTGAAGCGAGAGAATGCCCTATATATGTTAGCTATGTCGGTCTTCACTTATAAGGCATTTCAACATCTTACCCCCAATGCAAACCCATATGCAGCAGACCAAATGGCCAGTCCTGTCACCGAGTCAACTTTCGTCCAGCATAGTGCAATTACACCTGCTAGCAAAGTTGCAATGATCAAACAATTAAAACGACCAAGCTTATCAGCGACAATCCCTGGAATGATTCGGCCAAAGAAGGAGGCACCGTTGACAATAGACACTGTGTAGAATGCAAAAGAGGTAGAGAACCCCTTCTTGACTGCATAAGACGTTGTGTAGAAGAAGGGAGCAAACATTCCAAAGTAGATGAAGAAGACTGCAAGACATAAGAGCCGCATCGATGGCTTCTTGTACAACGCCATGGCTTGTGCCTTCCGATCCACAACTTTCTCAGGTATAGGATCAGTGGGATTCACGACACTCCCATCTTCAATTTTGGTAGCATCTTCAATGACCACTGGTGCCTTTGGTGGCGAGTTGCAAACAATGCACGAGAAAAGAAGAAGTGGTATCATGATGAATCCGACAATGCGCATCGTCCAGCCGAACCCAATGTTGGGCTTGTACAGAAGCTGCTTAATCGCGATGGGCCAGATTACGCCACCGAACGATGAACCAGCAATGGCAATACCCATCGGTCCAGCACTTTTCCTCTTGATATACTGTCCAATCAGGCCTACGGCTGGCCACGTAACGAGCGACATCGAAATACCCAGAAGAAATCCCTGTGCGAGAATAAACTGGTACAGTTTAGTACACAGCGAGATCATCATGACCCCAAGTACGGTGCCGACTGAGCCTGTCCGGATCAAAAGCTTTAATTTATGTGTGTTAGTACTTGTACACATGTTTCGAGGTGTGAGATGATGCTATAAAATGTGAGTAATCATACCTCTGGTCCAAATGTGTCAAGCAAAGATCCAGCGATTGTAGAGATCGAGAAAAGACAGAACAGACATATCGCTCCGATCCATCCAATGGTCGATTCTGATTGATTGGCCAATGGAACTTCTGCATAGTACTCTTCAAAAACCCCGAAAGAGTTCAAAAAGCCGACCGTGCAAAAAAGACTGGTGAACGCGCCGAAGATCACCAGCCACGTCCTAGGGCTATCGGGCATGTGTTAAAAGCATGAATCAGGTAATATCATATGGTAAATGTGCCAGCGTACGTAAGTTCACTTGGTGCATTTTGAGACATCGTGAAGTCTGACGGATGTAGGTTAGAGTGTGGTGAATGTTGCGAAGAGAGAAAGAGAAAGTAGAAGAGAAAGGAAGGGTCTATCGGCACAGTTATCGACAGCAACAAAGCATTAGACGAAATGTCTATAAATTGGTTCAATACTAATAATGCATTTATCTGACTACTGCATGAAACAGAGGAACATCTTACCATATATACACGATTATGCCAATTCATTTTTCTGATCCTTCACGGAGTCTCCGTTCTGATGAGATGTTGTTCTCATACTTACTCTTACACTATAAGAGTTGTGGAGATTCCCGGAAGCTCCGCGGAAACTCCGATATTAGTCTGGCCCCCATACAATCTCACTCTTGCGTTCATCAAAGCTCATCCCACCACGTTAGACCAGAAGGAATCGACATACCATTATTCATATCCACCAAAAAAGATGAAACGAAAGCTCACTGCTGCAAATGAAACCTCTGAAAAGAGGCAACCCAGACAAGTCCCAGTGTCTTGCGAATCGTGTCGCAAGAAGAAGCTGAAATGCGACCGTACTCTCCCATGCAGCAATTGTTCGGCACGGCGCATATCGTGTAGTTTCGGTGATTATGGCCCAGCCGGAGGCAGTAACATACTAGCCAGGCCCGGCACCCAGACTGAATCCTCCCCACCAGCACAAGAAAGGTCTGAATCAGCTCGTCAACCCACCGTGGAGTATCTTGAAGTCAGTCAGGAAAAGAGGGCCAAAGATGAGCCATTCAATACTGCCACTCGTCTGGAAAACATTCTCATGGCTCATCGAATTCCGAGTGCTGTTCCGTCCACAGTACGCCGACACCTCTCACAGCCGCGTCTTGGATCAGCTGGCTCGCGGCAAGGATCCACCACAGGAAGCTTGTCGAGTCTGATTCACGGTGGATCTCCCGCCACCGAACATAATCCCATTCATGTGCCAATAATTTCATATCTGCCTCCTGAAAGTGAGATGATGGAACTCTTTGATTTTTATTCTACATATCTCGACTATCAATACCATCTGGTGATTATCCATCGTACCAAGAGGGACATACATGAACTCTACGCCGCGATTGCACGGAACGAGCCACTTGACTATGGAATCCTCGCCTTGTCATTCAGCATTGCTTCTGTTGCTCTTTTGTTCCAACTCTTATCCTCCCAGTCGACAGAATATGCGGAGGAGAAAAGTGGTGAAGCAGCATTCCTCGCGGGAGCGGCATTGATTCAAGGAAACTACATGACGTACCCAAGTGTTGCGGGACTGCAAGCATGTCTTATCATTGCACATCATACATCTGGACTCGCACTGGATCCATCTGTTGGTTCTTTATTTATGCAAGGTGCTATAATAACTCAGGCGAGGAGTCTCGGTCTTCACATCTTGGACAGCCCCCAATCAATAGAGGAACGTGAAGCAAATGGTTATAACAAGACAGAATTGGAGCTGAAGCGGAGAATATGGTGGGACTTGGCAACCTACGATTGGTAAGGATCAGAATTCAAATGCCAACTATGTCCATTGCTAATCTTGTATCCGATTGCAGGCTCATCAGCTTCTTAAGTGGCCCACAGGAGTATACCTATTCCATATTTCCAGAGCATATGAACGTGAACCTTCCTTTGAACATCGAAGATGAAGACCTCGAAACTGGAAGCGAGCGACCACTCTCCACGCCGACCATAATGTCATATACGATTGGTCGTCTAAGATTATCCGAAGTTTGCCGAGAGATAGTGAACAGAACCGCCTCAAAACATTTCCAAGGCGGCGAAATGCCCTACGAGACAATTCTTGAACTAGACAAAAAGCTCAACGAGGCATATGCCAACGTACCTGATTACTTCCGCTTTGAGCCATCCATGCGACGGAAGTATGCGAATCTCTATCGCGAGCAACCAAAAATAGCCTGGCAAAGCGCATTCGTCCAACAAGGATACCAAGCTCGTTTTTGTCGACTCCATCGATGGCACTTTATTCGTGGTGCAAAGGATCCGCGATATTCTTACTCACATGTAGTGTCTATGCAGTCAGCTCGCAAAGTACTTGAACTAAAACGAATCATGGATGAGGAGGGGATGGCGCCTCATGGATCATTCTTCTGGGCAGTTATGCATCATGTGTTTCTGGCAGCCGTCACTTTACTCATAAATGTCTGCTTCAACTGTGATGACATTCTTGCCGAGAGGCAAAAAGAGGAGGTCCTTGATGCTTGTCGTATGTTGAGTCGGGCTCAGGAGGTTTCTTCGATTGCCAGGGAAGGAATCAATGAGATGATGGGAACTTTACGCAAGCATTGGAAGCATGAAAAAAGGTCAGGATCTGGAGAAAGGCAATCAGTGCCGCAGTATCGTGTTGAAGCGCAGCAGCCAACGCCCGTCAGTGGCACTTCGCAACAGAGTGGAAGCCAATTTTCGCACTCCGCTCAGTATCCCCTGACATCAGACAATATGTCATTTGATGCGGGTAATGATCTGAGTGTGGTTCCGTTGGAGGATCTGTGGAGTGAAATGCTTGATGACAGTGCTCATGTTGGAATTGATACCCCGGGATTGATGGAAATGTTGACTGAACTGAGTGCCACCACCCTCCCATGCTAAATATTGATGGAACCCCCCTCATCATCTGGGTTATAATTGACAAGTACTCAGCACTGGAGTGAGTGGCTAGGAATTTTGGTTAAATTGTCACACTATATCATCCTAATCAGATTAAATTGAAAGCGCTCATACGGTATACTTGCATGTGCCTGGGTGTGCCCACATCCCGGTAGACAGCCATGTTCATATACTTGGGCAGTACTCAGTCGGTAACTAGTAATCTACCTCTCTATGTATGTAAGCACCTACGGAGTTGCCCACGAGGTTACCTAGAGTGTTACCTGGAAGGGAAGGTTAGCTACATACCCAGGTACTATCATTGATAGACCTTTGTAAATGGGACGCAGCGTCCCGCAAAATCCCGTCCCATTATAAAATCGGGATTTCCCGGGAATTTGTGGGAATTTATGGGAATTCATGGGAATTCATGGGAACTCCCGCAAATTCCCATAAATTCCCATTTATTGCATAGAATCCAAGATCTTTCCTATTCTGGTTAGCGTCAAGCAGTATAAATTAATTAATACCAAATGATAACCAATGATATTATTCCAAAATTTATGCACTGCCAAGAGATTTCATGTACTAACCTAAGGTAGCTAGCGTATTTACGCAGGAATCCCGCTGGACATCCTTGTCCTGCATCCATGATTGAGACGGGATCACCCATTTGCAAAGGCCTACCTGACTATCAATATAGTCGAGTATAGCCAACTGGTAGCCCGAGGAATAAGATGTAGCCTGATTCTGCAGCCAGGGCGCTTTCCTGGGGGTATTATTACAGGCGGTAAGTAAAAGTGCAGGAACCCAAGCAGTAAAAGAGGCCTATAAAAGAGGCCTAAACCATGTGTATTGCGGAGATGACGGGTCTCACTTTACTGTACAGCCCGCTTCGCCACCTGATAACTTCTTCCCAACATAGATGTATGCATCAAATCTCAAGGTCAGTACTCAAGAGACAGACTTCGTATTAAGAGTTGAAAACTCGATTATACAGACTCTGCCAGTAGTGCACCCAATGGCTATCGTGCTTCGCTTCACTGCAGAACAGCTGGGGTCATAGTCCGGAGGAAGCCATACTTCCCTTCTACCATTATTAGTAATCCACCGCTCATCAAGTTCGTCCAGACGAAGATCCTTTTCATCATCTGGTACGAAATCACCAGTCTGGTCACTCTGGTCGCTCCGCTCGATTGGCAAGTCATTAGAGATTCCTTCATACCACTCTGGATTCTGGAAGGATGTCTCCGGTGTTACAATACTTTTTAGGTCAGTGGAAAACCATATCCTTGTAGGATATGTGCCCTGGGAATTCAGTGTATGCTTAAGGTCGCCGGTGACGGGGTCCCATAGCTTGAAAATGCAATTTGCATCCCCTGATGCTAGTAGTGGGTGTTTTCTATCCAGTGAGAAAGCCACTGAACGAACCGACGCTTTATGACCTCGTAGGGTATGCCGGAGGCGGCCGGTGACTGTATCCCATAACTTGACAGTGTGATCACTCGAGCTCGATGCGAGAACTTGGGAGTTACTGTACAAGAAGTGACTGTACGAGGAGAATTTGACTGACAGAACCCACTGAGTATGCCCATGGCGACCCGTCAAGTTGTGCTTCAGATCTCCAGTGGCAACATCCCAAAGCTTGATTGTTGAATCCTCAGAGCCTGATGCTAGTAGCCTGCCATCGGACGAGAACCCCGCGCAGATGACCTGCTCTGAGTGAGTTTCTGGAATCCTCTCATGGTCAATCGCAGTAGGGTCCCAGAGGCTGATGGTACCGTCGCTGTATGCCGACGCTAGTACCAATGAATCTGTCTGGGGTGAGATGGCAATTGATGTAATTCGTCTTGCGCCGCTGCTAAAAGTACGCACTAAGTCGCCATTAGTGGTATTCAGAGCTTGATGGTACCATCTTCAGACCCTGATACTAGTAAATTGCTAATTGGCGAAAAAGCAATTGTCAGAGCTTGAGCCATGTGACCGTTCAAGGTATGCGTATGGCCAACAGTAATGGGATTCCATATCCTGATAGTGAAATCTTTAGAGCTAGATGCCAGAATGGGGCTTTGGCGATCATATGAAAAGGCGATCGAGACAATTCCATCTGAATGGCCATCCAAGGTATGCTTAAGATCACCAGTGATAGGATCCGATAACCTGATCGTGGAATCCCAAGAACCTGATGCTAGGATCGGGCGCTGGCTATCTGGTGAGAAAGCCACTGAGGTAACACAGCTTGTATGGTGATACAAGGTATGCTTGAGGTCGCCAGTAGTTGGATCCCATAACTTGATCGTGCAATCCCAAGATCCTGATGCTAGTAACTTGCCGTCTGGTGAGAAGGCAAGTGATATGACAAAGTCTTCGTGACCCTTCAGAGTACGTCTCAGCTCGCCATTCGTAGGATCCCACAGGCTGATATTTTTATCCGAAGATCCCGATGCTACCAAATGGAAGTTTGGCGAGAAAGCAACTGAGATGGCCTCGGATTCATTGCCAAACTGGCTGTAGTACGGACTTGTTCACCATTGGTAGGATCCCAAAGACTGATACTGTGATCTTCAAACGCCGCCACCATTAGACGTCCATCTAGTGGAAAGGAAATCGACATAGCTCCCTCCTTAGGACCTTCTAAGATTTGTATTGCCGGACTCCAGTCCTTTCCCACTATTGGAGCTCTAGATAACCAATGAGCAGGATCAAGTTCAAAAGTTCGTCTGATCAGCGCATTTTCTGGTGTAAATATCAGGCCACAGCTATACGGCTGCAAGGGTGCCTTGTCGACGATACTTGTGAATTCCCGGAGAAACCTCCGAGCATCTATTAGAAATGACCAGTCCTTCTCGTTGACCGTATTCTGTATCGGGAAAAGTGAGCTGATTGCATTCTATGAAGCGATGTGGATCATACTCACCTCAGTCACTTCAATTAGTGTATTAACTGCACTGAGCACCTCGAACATGACTCCGGAAATGCTCATAGACTCCAACCAATGAAGAAAGTGCTTTTCCAGGAAGGTAAAGGCTAGTTCTAGGATCTTATCTGGCGATGAACTGCGGGCAAGATGGTGAATCCAATAATGACAGGCGTATTGAAGTGAAGGCGGTAGGGCTCTTGCTATGGATGCTTGATCAATCTCAGTTCGGAGCATACCATGGCTTGAAAGTTCACAAATGTTCTTCTTGAGACGGCGATTCATGATGGCAAGACATTTACGAGCTATGAATTCATGTTTCTGTTTTTCATCTACCCAAAATGGAGACGTAGACTGCTTAGATCTTGTATGCTCGTGCACCAAATAATCGCGAAAGGATAAGTGCAGAGCTCGAATAGGTATCTCAGGGTCAGTGGGTATGCTCAAAGCGGAATGAAATAAGTCAAGCTGGTTGTTGATGTCGCTTTCTGACAGTTCAAGTAATTCGGCAAGGGATCTCAATGATAGTGGAGCGGCAAGAGATATTAACCGAGTAATGTGTTCGTGTCATCTTCATCCTCGACAAGGAGTTGATTCAAGATCGGTTGGTAGGTCTTATCCATCTTAGACCCTGGCGAGTCTTGAGAAAATTGCTGGAGTCGTTTCTCGGGATTGAACTTCTTATCAGCTACAAAGCGACACACCGTGGCTGCAAGGATGAAAAGGGGAACAGCCATCTGTGCTAGGCTTTTGATTCTTTCCTCTCCAGGCCACTCGGGTGAAAGATCACGGTGGCGTTTGTTTCTTATTTTGGAAAATTCATTGGTTAGATACAGAGTGATATCATGCTCAATCACATCATTGTCCAAGTTTGAAGGATGGTGTTTTGGAAAGACGTGTGATCGATTTGATCAAACCCAAAGCGAATTGGTGATTCCGGTCGGCTGTCAGAAAGAATCGAATGTTTATATTTGTTGCCTCATCAACCTTGGGTAATAGCTCAAGGATCAACTCCACGTCATCTTCCCGGTCGCATTCATCAAGCGCGTCAATAACAATGACAGCGGCAGCATCAGCAGTATGATTGGGACCCACGCTGAGTAGCGGCTGCAGAAGCAGCTTGTCAAACTGAAGTCGAAGCGATTTCCCGGCGATCGCGGATCATCCTCAAGGGCATGCTGAACTCCGTCAATGATTTGAGCAATGTGAGTAGCCAGTTGTTTCACAATTGTTGGAAATAGCTTTGAAGCTGATCCCCAATCTCCAGCAGCAACCAATGATGCATGTGGGACTCCTCTTCCTTGATTGAAGTTTTGAGCTGTTCGAGTTCCTGCTTTGCCACTGCGGTTATGCTGTCCACAATTTCCTCGCCCTTGTTAAACTGCTGAGCCTTTTGTCAGCGATGGTATATTTGAAAACTGCCCCATAAATGCGCACAATTGATTGTTCTTTTTCACTATTTTTAATGGCTGGTTCGGAGTTGCGATAGAACTGTTTTTCGATGAAGGCACAGCGGCTCAGCAAGTCAGCCAGATACTCAGAACATCCCAACAGGGCGTCTCGCAGATTTGCATGGTTTTTGGCCATCTATATAAGCCATGTTAGCTAACAGTCTGGCTTCGTCTGCACATGTGTGAGATGATTATATAAACCGTCAATCCGAGAGAGACTATCCCCCAAGCACTTGAAGCATATCCGGTTGGATCGAATCGCACAGCACTCTTGACCACATCTTGAAAAGATAAGACACAGTTCAGTATTTTTTGAGCCATTTCTCGAATTCCATCCTTTCGCTGGTTCTCCTTGTATTGCAACTCTGTTGCCTTGATGACCTGATCCAATATTTCCTTGGTCCGTGCACGACCTGTCTCCAGGGGCTCTGTTGTTGCTGGGAGATGTTTTGCGAGGATATTTTGATCGGTGTCGGTTAATTCATCATAAGCCATTTGCCAATAATCCTTTGCATTGCCATCATCAGCCTTGGTATCGTCCGTGTTGGGTTTGTCGACATTGGAATTGGGGACTTCGGCATTGACTTCAAAATTGGCACGGTCGCTATTCGCGTCTGGAGCAGTGACTTCACTCCGAGTGTTGAATTCTCGCCCATGTAGTACTTTATGTTTGTCTTGCCCTCTTCTTTTTAAGGCATCCTTCGCGCGCCCAAAGATATGCCGCTTTTGTGACCAGAGCTTGCGGGGTCTCCGTCCATGGCCGCCAAATGGTTAAAATTTAGGTGGAACTCCGCGGTAAGAATAGTTCATGAACATCGATGGAAAAGAAGGCACTGCAAAAAGAGGGACAGGATATCTCCAATTGATAGTGTCTGGCTGCCCAATAGATAGGGATTATATCCATCACCCAGCTCATGCCACGTCACGTTAGCGGCTAGTTGCAGAAGCCCGACTTTCCTCATAATGAACTGCGCTCACCCGCCGTGACCTCAACATAAGTCCCAAATTGGTCAGAATATTTAGCAATCCGATGCTAAAAGCCACCTGGCATTGATCAAGGGCAAAATAGCTTGTGGTCACTATTTGCCCATCCAAATCTCAAAGTCCGAACGTTTAGTGCAAGCAATGGTTAAAGACATGTTCCGCCACGATGCTCTCAAGCTGAAGAGCCACAACGCCATGAGCCATACTAATCTAGGCCAGAGAATTTCTGGCCCATCACATTAGATCTTTGATTTGAACCATAATGATATCTCTTTCAAGTTACTAATATTTACCAGGTTTTCCCTGTGTGCATGGTATTACTAGTAAAGTGCTCTTATCAAGCTCGGGTCTTCCCGCTGTCGTGCACAGTAAACACCTCCATTGCCTGTGCGTCAACATACACTTATTCGTCACAAGTTTCCGTACGATCTGCACCCCATCAAAAAAATATATATATCGACATTACTAAAACTAACACGACAACATCAAATTTTTCAATAAAAATATAATAAAATATATATTGAAATTTACAATAACGCCTAAATACAAATTTGTTTTTCGTTTGATTTAATACTCAGTATACCATCCCTCAGCTTTGATAACAGCCTCCACACCAAGTTCATACTTCAAATCAACCTGTTAAAGAAATCAGGTAATATCTCAGCCCACATACAGTGAATTAGGCTAGAAAAATACCTAATAAGCTCTACTTTGGTTCCTCCGAATTTATTAAGGTCCGGATTAAGCTCATCAATCATACGTTTTAGCTAAGCCCACGTATATTCGATAGGGTTAAGATTAGATAAATAGGACGACCAGTCGATTGTATTAAACCCCATCTCAAACAACTAATTTTTGATAATATTGGCTGTGTGAATAGGGGTATTATCTTGAATGGATAGCCAATCTTTAGTCATAATTTAAAGTAAAATCTCCCTAAGGACCTTAAGATATTGGGGTTGGAAAGCACGGTTGCGAAAATGCCATATGGGGCCGACCGTATGGAAACTTATGACGAGTGACTGTAGCCCCACACGAAGACATCGCGCTTCATTCCGCAAAGCTATCCGAATCGGACTTCTTCCGAGGTTGATATATTCCGAACTCGCACCCCATATTTACCCCACGCGGGGCTTTCACCTTTCATTTTCAATAATCATTCCAAAGAGGCACCATGTCAGCAACAAATCCATCGTATCATCACCCCAGTGCTCCTATCAATTATATCACAGCTAACAACAGCAGATACGTTCTTGTTACCGGATCCACGGGATTTATCGGCGCTCATGTAGTCGATAATCTACTGGCCCGAGGCTTCTCCGTCCGCGGATCAACCAGATCAGCCAAGAAAGGTGAGCAGATGAAGGCTGCTCGACCACAATATGCCAACAAGCTGGATTTTGTGGTTGTGGAGGACTTCACCAAGACCGGCGTCTTTGACAGTGTCATGGAGGGTATTGATGCTGTTATCCACGTCGCAAGTGTATGTTGACTCAAATTCCAAATCCCGATCACTGATGTTGACAATTTCCAGCCATTCTTCTTAGATACAACAAATAACGAAGAAGAACTCATCTTGCCTGCCATTAATGGCGTCAAGTCCATCCTCTCGGCCTCGGCGAAACCAGGGAGCAAGATCCAACGCATTGTCATGACATCCTCCTTCGCTTCCGTCGTGGACGTCAGCAGCACTCCTCCGCCGGGCTTCTTGTATACCGGCGAACATTGGAACCCACTTACATACGAAACAGCCGTTGACCCCGCCTCAACCTCTGTTATCGCATACCGAGGATCGAAGAAATTCGCCGAGCTAGCCGCCTGGGACTTTATCAAAACTGAGAAGCCCCAATTTGACCTTGTCACCCTCTGCCCACCTATGGTATTCGGTCCCGTTGCACACCCAGTTCCCGATATCAAATCGCTGAACGAGTCCAACGCTTCTCTCTGGCTTGTGGCCGATGGCGCTGATCCCCTCCCCGGTGCACGAGTACCAGCCTGGATTGATGCTCGTGATCTTGCCGAAGCGCATGTTCAAGCATTAATTAGACCCGAAGCTGGTGGCAAGCGATTTATCCCTGCCTCGCCGGAGCCATTCTCCTATGAGTATGCAGCGGATATTATGAAAGAGGAGTTTGAGTGGGCGCGCGACTCTGTGACCGCCAACTATAAGGGTGGTGAAAAGCCACAGGCCTCTTACGGGGTTGATGGAGAGACAGTGGCGCGTGAGCTTGGTGTCACTTACCGGAGCTTCCAGGATAGTGTTATCGACTTGATCAAGCAGGTCAAGGAGACGATCGCCTAATCTTGCGCTTCCAAGTTCTACTGCTGTTCTGCGTTTCTAGAGAGCGTTCGAATCTAGATTTTGATACATGAATGTCACGCTTTCGAGTCCCCGGATTTCCGTGATAGGAAATATATATGACCTAAAATATGCTATTGTTCATATTATTGCGCATTAAACGTGCTAAATGCCACTCTTCCGATCAAACACACCTGCCTCAGTATCCGTTCTCCACACCCTCCACTCAATCCTTTTCTTCATCGTTTCCCTCATGCTTTTCCTCATCCTTTTCTTCATCCTCGTAGGGCTCATCATAGACTTCCTCACCCAGCTCCCTCCCTTTATATACCAACTTCTGCATCGGCAAGAAGACAAACAGCAACCGACACCACTCCTTATTACTTCGATTCTGAAACGAATGTGCCGTTCCACGTTGTATACACACATCTCCTCGATGTAAATGACGACTTGACCCCGAGTCCAGCACAAGGTCCACATCACCCTCTAATACAACCCCATAATCAAGACTAACAGTGCGATGCATCGGTGTTTTCTTGCCCGGCTTAAGATCGATCATGCGGAAAACTGTTCCCGAGCCTGTGGTGAGACCGGGTGGCTGATGTAGGAACTCATCGTATAGTGCTATATCGGCTTCATCCTCCAGTGAAGCGGGGGATGTATCGGTCGCGTATAACAGTGCAATCTCGCCGTCGCCGCCGGCTGGTTGGGAGGGCATGTAGTCTGGGACTTGTGCGTGGGAAAGAAAGACGGCTTCGCCTTCGGTGCTGTGAGTTGTGATGTAGCGATGGATTTCTGGGAGGTCATTGTCTTTGTGTGGATGTTGCATAGTTTAATGATTTTTGCAGGACTGACTGACGAAAATGCGAAATACATATGTATGACCTCGGAAGGATTATTCAGATGAATCTCTTGGGAGATATCAGTAGGCACTACATCATCGTGGCATCATTCTGAAGATCTGGCTTCTCGACTTCATTATCTTGAATTATTAAAATAATATCGATTAAGAGACTTTAGCAGTTCTTTCAAATCGCAATTTGGATTATTTCAAGTTATTCCAATGCACATGTGCAGATGAAAGCTCTTGAATCCCAATATATTACTACTACTAGTAGCAGCTAACATAATTTCAATGTCTCATCCCTCTTCCACAGTTACTGAAACCTTGGACTTGTCTGGAAAAATGGTTAGCTTTAATTAAAAGTGACAGATAGAAAATTCCACTTACAGAATGCAATATGATCCTTGATGTTCGCTGCTTTCTCATATGGATTGGCATAATACCACGCTGCATCCTGGACACTCTGATCTGATTAAGAGATTAGATACTCATATATTCGCCGGATCTCAAGTTCCAACCTACCACCAATTTTGATAGTATAGTACTCCGCTTCACCTTTCCAAGGGCAGAATGTCTTCGTATCAGACTTGATAAACACTGTCTGATCTTTGATAGAGGACGGTGGAAACTTGCATGCAGCTTTCAGTATTGTTTATCTCCAAGTTAAAGCGGGCGGATTTGACTAACGTATACGTTCCCTTCAACAGTCTCCCATGAATCAGCCTCCGCCAACAGGAGGTCGTTCATATAAGCCCTGGCTGTCGGCATGTTCACTACCTATTCCGAACCGTTCAATGTTTGAGTATTTAAAACCTTTTAACACATAATTTAGGTATTCGGGTTGGTCTGTGAGAGTGATGGTGACGCAATACCTTTTTAATACTGTTATCACGAGGTCAAATGCGGGGTAAAAAGTCCCTTTCCAATATGTAGTCACAAACACCCAATTGTGACAAACTTACTGTTTGGAATTATCGATCAAAGTTATCGAGATGAGTTTTGATAGAGACGATGATTGTATGTCCAGCAGGAACACGGACACGAGTGATACCCTGGTAGGGTCTCTGTGCGAGAGACTTCGACTACAGAGAACTCCACACCGAGCTCCCGGAATGCCTGCGAGTATGGAACTCCATCTGGAGAAATCTCAGACATAAGATCATTTGGCGAACGAAACACTCGGATGCCTTCTGGAGTGACTGAAGAAAGCTCCCTCTCGTCAAAGTAAAGGGAGCCATCCTCAAGCACATTCGAGGCTATTTGGCAGGTTAAGGAGTGAAGATGGAGTTTACCCTCGCAGATAGCCTCATACATCTGTAATATTGGAAATAATCCACAATCATGGCGGAATATGAGATGTTGTAAGGTTGACGGGAGAAGCCCTGCCCACTCTAAACTTGTGGCTGGCTTAAGCCAATAGCACTCATTGTCTCCAATTAACATTCTCGGTGAAATCGTGAGTGACTGGAGGGCTGGGAAATTGCTGAGATTGATTGGCTCTCCCCAAAGATGGAATTGAATATCAAAATTAAGAGTCTCTAACGATGACAATTGAGACATGAGGGCATCGACATAGAGCTGCCGATTTTGATCCCCAAAGAGGCCAAGATCGGAGCTTCCTTCCTGGCCCTTAATGGTGAAATGTCTGAGTCGATGGGGATAACGGAGCATTTCTTGGATGTGCCAGGCCTTAATATCACAATTCAAGAATGTGAGCTCTTGAAGGGGCGTTGATCGGAAAGGTATTGCACGCACGCTGATCTGCGGATTGCACTTGAGCCCCGGATAGAGTTAGTCTTTCCAGACCTGGGTGATGTAGCAGGAACCCATATGATCCAAATGAGAAGCCCCACTCGTTACCAAGGTCAAGGCCGAGCGTACCTATGCTTATCAGTACTTTCGTCAGTCCTTAAATGGATCAGTAGATAACACTTACATGATCGCAGCTTGGGGAGAGTTTGTTCTGGGTGGCAAAGTAGTTGCATCTTGGTAGGCTTGGGCACAGTCGAACCAGCTTCATCTAATGACCAATGACTCTAAATTCACAAGCTTTGGAAGCACAGGCTCAATGTCCTCCGGTGAGTGATCGGTATGCTCATTCAGATCATGATAATGGATCTGTAATTCTCGTATAAGAGACGTGAAGTAGTGTGAATTCTCAACTGTCTCAAGGAAGCGGTCCATAGATTTCGGGCTCCGAATGACAACCGAACTGTAGAGAAGAGGTGCTGCGATGGCATGCAAGTAGCGACAGGACTGAGCTAGAGAGTTCAAAGTTTCCAGTGAAGAGCCGATTACTGCGAGAATAGCCCCGAGTATCTCAGGCGGTAGTGTGAGGAGGGATAATGATTCAGTCATTTTGTAGCGCGACTGATTGATTTAGGATTTGTTGTTATTCCAAATGGCAAGGAGGTGGGTTAATTAGTATTTAAGGAAGTAAATCTGCAATCAACGGAACTCATGTTGTCTTTTTAGGGGATGTTTAACTTAGCGCCCGGGATTTGGATCCTTGGTGCTCGTGCCGCCCTCCATTTCTACTGCTACATAGTAATTAGTTTGGGAGATCGGTGCCCGGCAATTGTATTTTCTGTAAGCGCAGGTACTGGATCCTTCTGGCGAGACCCTACCTACATACCAGAAAATTCCAAGTTTAGACCTCTTTACCTTCTCCTTATCCCCACTGGCAGCTGTCCCTATTGATGGAGTGTCTCTTAGTCCTACACCTCATGCGAATGCTGGAACATCAGCATTCACAGTGGGAGAGAGTTGTTTTTGATCCCCAATAAGCACCATAGCCTTGAATTGTTCATTGCTTGCGTGCGTGTACCACGCCATCAATGGCGATAATCGTGGCTCGGAAATTCGATTTGCCTGATCCACGACAATGTGGGTAGGCTTGAAGATATGGCGCAGATACTCATGGCATGCCGCATCGGGTATTGCCACAAGCACATCAGCGCTCTGAACAACATCATCCTGAAGTTGTCGCGTGGCCTCGTTCAATTCTCGAATTACGAGAACATCCTTTTTATCAAGAAGATGAACGTTGTCGGAGAGGTACTTTCGCAAGTCCGCAGCAAACTTATCAGCTTGCTCCTTCGTGGCTGCTAAAGCCAGAAATCGATGCGGCAACCCATTATCGAGCTGCGCGGATTCAACAAGGGGGCCACAATATGACAGGCCCAGTATGTCTTTCCCGTTCCCGGTGGACCTTGCAAAGATGTTACACATCCAGTCATCTTGCGGAGCTTCTGGAAGGCAGCTATTTGTCCGTCATTCAACTTTGACAGCAGGCTCGTGAAGTCATAATTTGGATTAAGTGTTCCGTAGAAATCAACATCGGGAAGCTCTGACGCGCGTTGCATGAGGAGAAAGTCCCAAATATGCTCCATTGCTCTATTTTTTGACCACATTTCATGGCAAGCGGAAAGAATCTGATTTCGCTCCATGAGTCTCGCCGCCAGGTATCCTTCCGCCACGCGCTTCGCGGCTCTACTCTGGTGGTAATTTTCATCAATGTAACCATAGGCTAGAGTTGCCACATATTCATGTCTATGCATGAATCCAACTCGCGCCGAGTAAGTAAAACCCATGGGTCGTTTCTCTCGAGGCACCAGATCGGTTAGGCCGCCACTCTTAACAAAGGGCTCCTTTTGGTGATTGCCGTAGAAGCCAGCGAATCCGTTTGTCTTGCGCATCTCTCTCCAGCTACCCCAGATCCGGTCGAGGTGCTTCTGGATTTTAACCTCAGGAAGTGTGAGCACGATGTTGAGCGCCTGTGATTCAATGATGAGGTTCGTAATCTGGCGCCAGTTCTCATCATACTGGCCAAGGTTGTGTGGTGGATGCATGCCGAGGGCCTTAGGTTGAAGTCCATCTGTGAACTCAATCCGCAAAACATTTAGCTTAGCCTCCGCAAGAGCTTCCGACCAGTCTTGATGCTTGAGCATTTCAGGATTGACGATTGCGGAGTCAAACAAACTGATTGCCTCTAAAAACTTCATCTTTTGGAGTTCCTCATTCTAGAAAATTTAGTCATATGGTCCAGAGTCAATCAATTGGAAATAGGAGGGGAAAACCTACCTGGTCACTTGACACCTCCAGGTTGATGATTCTGAGGGTACTGATGTCCAAAGAGGTGAATTTAACGCAACCCTCATAGTAGCTGTGATACGCCTGCTGTTTCACTCTCGCATCCTTCTCACTGTGGGCATCTTTGTCGACTTTAACGGGAGGAAGTGTATCGTGATACACACATTTGAACTTCACCTCAAGGTAGGGATCCGGGTATTGTGGGTCAAATCTGATGAAGGCGGCCAGGAATGGTTCCTCTGATGATTGTGGATAAGAGCTGGCCCGAATCTGTCATGAGAGTGCATTCCAGAAATAGCGGCTGTTCATCAGTGAGGATTGGGCGGATATTGGGGAGGGGCTCCTGAGCATTCTATTTCTCACGACCAGCTTCTGTGAGCAATGACTGTGTGACCTCCACGTCATGGGTCCAACGGTTTGTTTTCTCGCGCGGCATGGTGATGACTCACGAACGTGATGGGAAAATGGGCGTCGAAGATATGGTGATAGAAGATGTGTCTTGAAAACCGGCACTCACGCGTCTGTCGGTCAACAAAAGCTTGCACTGGATAGCACGAGGGAGGTATGTAGCAGTTGACGGTTGAAGACACAAGAAGAATTTCTTGAAGGTTGAAGATCCAAGAAGAAGGGGGTGGAGGGGAGAAAGGATAGAGCTCAATATTCACAAATCAGGCAGAAAAGTGAGAGCAGCGAATGTTGTTTTTTCTTTTTGACAATGAATTTAAGGGCAATTAAGCCCAGCTTAGGTGAGTATCACACTTAGCCAAAATACCGGCCGAATTCATCCGCCAACAACCTGTTAGGACGAAGGTGGACTTCACGGGAAGCTTGGACTAGAACAAAAAGGACATATGAAGTTCTTGAACGTTGACGATCCAAGAATAAGGGTGGTGAGGGGAGGGGAGAAAAGAAAGAATTCAAATAGTCACGAATCAGGCAGACGCCGGAAAGTGAGAGAAGTGAATGTTGTTGTTTTTGTTTGATAATAAATTCAAGGACAATTAAGCCCAGCCGAAGCAGAAATACCAGCCGGTTTCATCTACCAACAACCTCTTAGGACGAGGGTAGACTTCACGGGAAGCTTTGACTAGAACACAAAGGACATGTGAGATTCTTGAAGGCTGACGACCCAAAGAGAAGAGTGTGGAGGGGAAAAAGGAAGTGTTGTAGAAAGGTGAGGAGGGGGAAAAGAAAGATTAGAAGTGGGGAAAAGAAATAAATAAATAGTTACGTAGGAAGTGAGAGCAATGAACTTTGTGATTTTTGTTTGAAAGGAAATTGATTATTTGGTCCAAACTGATTTATTTGACTACATACAACTATTCTTGCATACATTAATCTGCCGACCAATCTCTCCACGCCCACTACCTAGGTACCTAGGTACATCTAGGCGGAGACTTGTTGGCTGCCAGGTGGTTGATTCGGCTGAGTAGGTAATTCAATCTGAGTAGAGACCTCTTTTAGTACTTGGATTCCTGCACTTTTACTTGGAATGTTAGCGCTTGGCATAATAACCAAGCAGAAGGACAGAATCAGCCTATAGCGTAGATCCAGATGTCTCTAGAGGTACCAGGCGCCTATATCCAACAATACAGTAGCTACATGGCCCTCCCTTCCAGTGAACCCTCCAGAGACCTTTGTAGGTACCCATTTAGGTACTCCGATAAGTAGATGGGTACTAGTAGGTCACCGGTCAACTGTAGACACTACCTACCGACTACTACCCAAGTGAGTACTTAGGTATGTGAACATGCATATCCATGTCACGCCCGGTGGTGACTTTCAAGACCCGTAGCAATGACATCAAAAGAACTCTTTTTGGCGGACTGGGACGATCATCCTAGTGATCGGACCATGTGTGAAAGAGCCAAAATTAACACACTGGTCGTCATGGACAATCCGCTGTCGTCGTTAAAGTTTCCTCTCGCAGTCTGAAAAGCCAAGTATGCACATGAAGACAATTATCATCCTGCATGGACTGGTCCATTAGTTGACCTGATTATCTGCATGTTTGGTCAGCTCTAGTATTGGCGTCAGGACCCTCTATCCTGCGGCGCTTGGATTGAGGTTCTCCGGCCTTTTTTGGGCGTCTGGCGAACCATGAACTGAATCGGAGTGTGAGGTTTGTCCCAAATAACTGTTCGAACTCTGGAGGTATTAGTCAGAGTAAAGATGACAAAGTTCAGTGAGTTCTAAGGTTGCTGGCGAATGTTGTGGGGCATGGAGGTGTGACAGGCTGCGGCGAAGCCACGTCATATTGCGTACAACGACGGCCCATGCCATGTCTTTGCCAGGTTTCTATTCAAATGTCTTGCTGGTACGCGGTGTTTCCTGAAGGACAAGATGTATACTTTTTACCATCCACCCTTGAGACCATGCGGAATGATTCCATTTTCCCCTTGATGGGCGCGCGATACTCTGATGCACTTGGGATATGCCAAGGTCTTCCGTTTCCTCTGCGCTCATATTGAATGAAAAAGTCGAAATCCTCTGGCAGAAATATGAACACAGGCTATTTAAGACTATCAAAGAATAGATGGCAGTTCGAGCACAGAAGAATTCCGTTGGAGGAGCTTTTATGTGGGAAATTGGGGAAAAGATTGCACTCTTCCTATGCTGGTAGCTAGAAAGAGATATATTAGGAGGAAAGTTCACAAGTTCAAAAGATATGGAGAACCAAAATAATGTACCTGACGATCCGCATTAGCAATTACATGATAATGCTGTATTATTAGAAGATTCAAGGCTTCACAACACCAACACCTCTCGGCTTTATGATCGCCCTTTATATAATGCTTCGCCTTGGTGCTGAATCGGGTCGAGGCGTCTATAGCTTGCGACTGCGGGGCTGAGCACGGTACGATTTGACACGAGGCCAAGTCCTGCGAAAGATAGTCGCCGTGCTGTCCGGACTGCTTCGTAGAAAATTTTGTGTTGAAATACGAAGACGCTCCGACATTGGTATGGAGTTAATGAGTTGGTTGGTCAAGATTAAGCTTGAAGAATGTGAAAAGAATAAGTGATGAGGACACGGTGCTTTTTCTTCAAAATATTTACCATCGGAAGCTACTATCTTGGGAAGGCCAAGTTAAGAAATCCATAAGTAATGGTAGAAAGAAAACTTCCAAGGTTAGAGAGTCGCCGGTCTTAATTTAGTTATTTGGAGTGATACTCGAAACTGGAATCTTGGAATCTTAGAGCTGCCCCTTTGTTAGGATCCGCAGCCCTTTGAACCTGAATTTAAGGTTATTTGAAAATTCATTTTGAGCGAAAGATGGACTCGAGAGTAAAATTTTGGCGAGATGATCAACAATGCTAGTATCAATTGCTGGCCCCCACTTGGAGGCATCAGGCAGTAACCGCACGCGTTTACACGGAGGGGAATCATTGCCCCGCATTTGCTAGGAACCAGAGTCTTAACCAGGGAACTGCAGCTATTGAAAAGCCTCACGATAAGAAAATTTAAAAGATGGCAAGATCGACTCCATGGGAGGCACGCGAAGCCGCGGAATACAGATCCCCAGCCGTAGCCTGATCAGCCTGAAACTGAGAGCGAAGCTGCCTGCGCGTTTCGTGATCCAGAATCGTCAAGTGACACTGAGCTCCAGTCAAAAGTCTCTTCTCTTCCAAATGACCTATGGCAGGCTGCCTTTGAGCGATTAGACCTGAAAGAGCAGATTCTTTTGTTAAGAAGATGTCCTCCCGCAACAACAAGCACGGGCACCAAAGCTCCCTCTCAAAAAACAGGCGTTATTAATGATAGTATTCGTTTGACTAAAGAGTGATACCAGGAGTATCAATAAGGGGGAATAAAAACTCACAAGTCCTCTAGGGAGGATATTAACCTTCGAAGGGTATCTCAAAAGGTCATTAATGATGTATTGTCCTTTAAAGATGATATCAGTATAGCTGTAGCTTTTGACGCGACCGGTATTACTGCAAGGGCCTGGTCAGTTATCTCGCTAAGATTGACAGTAAATCACAACAAAAATTTCAGTACTCGAAACTTTACTGATTGCGAGCTAGATGGCCCAAAACCGCACTGATCTGCGAGACGCCTTGTTTGAATCGACGACTACTAGTCGTGGGGACTTTTGAGGCGCCTGCCACTGCCACTTTCAACCTTTACGAGACAGCCACAGGCGCACAGCAGCATATACTAGAAGGACATTCTGAATGGTTTGACTCAATTGTCTTCTCTCCTAATGGACAACTTTTAGCCTCGGCATGTCATGATGACAGCATCAAACTGTGGGATAGACAGGTGCACTACAGCAAACAATAGAAGTGCCGGGTTTCATTGAGTATGTCAAATTTTCCGAGACCAGCCCGTGTTTGGAGACAAATCTTGGCCATTTAAGCATTACCTCTTTTTACAGCTCTGATACGACATCCTCAAAGATATCAGCCACTGACAAGGTTAAGATTCAAATTCTGGACAGTGAATGGATCTCATTTTCTGGGGAAAAAGTCCTCTGGCTTCCTCCGAAGTATCGACTAACCTGCTCAATAATGAATGATGGTAAAGTGATTCTTGGACATGCTTCTGGCTGGGTTTCCTTTCTTGCCCAGGTGAAGTTCGTTCACAGCTGCACGTGTCACTGTGACACCAGTTATTCCATCTCATTACTTTTTCCTGCCCTATTGCCTATCATCCACTGTCTCAAAACGAGACGCTTGGAGTAGTAGTTAATAGCTTTGAAATATTCAATTAATCGTTTAGGTGACATGCAAATGTGCATACTGGTAATTATCGAATGGCTCAATTATATTTCTCTGGACTTTCACTACATGCATCTACTAGTAATGGTAGGTACTAGAAAGGCTTACATAGTAGACACATGCACTGGCATGTTGGGGAGAGAACGGAACCCTTGAACTGCAATACATATATTAGTACTATGTAGGTAACCTTGGACTCTTGGAATACTTTGAGCATTTGCACTTAAGTGCTTATCCTACAAATATATCCTGTATCCCCAACATTTGAAAATTCGCTTCAATACTATCAGGGAACTGGTCGACACCAGTACGCTATAGCTCATCATAAGCTCCCAAAATCATAGCCGCTAACCTTGGAACATTTGAATCCAACAGGTCAATAGTACATACGCATGTATCTTGAACATGGGTAGTCACGTTTATTGAGCCAGTGGGACTCTTGGTCGAGAACATTCTGGTAGTTGCAAGGGCTGTCCGTAATGACATTGAGGTTTTGCTTGATAAAATCCCAGGCCAGTCCCCACATTTCCATTGAGCTTGGAAGCCGGTATGCATGTTGTGCCGCTTGATCGAATGGCATGCTGTAACTGAGAAGACTGGGTCGAAGTACGCCGCAGTCAACGGCCCCCCCACTCTATCATTCCTCTCTAATCACATTTACAGTGCTACAATCATACTCTTCCCGGAATTCGGTGCACCAGACGTCTGAATGAGAGCCCTCTGTGGATTTTGCGTTCACGGCGTCGAACCCATCTCGTTGAGAATGCGCCCAAGAAACAGATGTTTGCTCAAGACGTTGGGAGGAAAGTAGTTATTTTATTGGATAATAATACTTGAGATGAAAAAACGACAGTGACAAGAAAACTAGAATTGAGTTGACTTCAAATTTGTCTCATATGAAACGCTTTTTGCACTTGATTTGAAAGTAGTAAAGCATCAGAATACCTGTTTCGTCCTTCATCCTCAATTTCCCTCTGAGGGAAAGGCTCCCGGCATACATTAACAAGACACTGTATGGGCAGGATATATCGATGGCTCAGCAGTGAGCTGCAGATGGCCATGCCAAGTTCCCCCCATGGGCGAAAGTGCAGCAGCCAACAGCAGCACCTTTAGATTGCAGTTTTTTCGCACATCTGTCAACGGCATTCAGGATTGTCTTGCGTTCCGCCGTGGTGTCACAATTCTTTCCAGTGGTTGTGGCCTTATACGCATAACCATAGAAATACTCACCACTAAGATCCGTCCCATATGTCAACGTGCACGACTCCGCGTCTGACTTGGACTTGATGATACCTGCAACGAACTCCCAGATTTCCTTCGTTCCTTTAGCCACGGTAATAACATCTGCTCCGGTCTTGACTACTGTCGCGACAGTGCTAACTCTCGTGCGTTTGCTGAGATCAGACGTGGTATTGGCATATTCCCACGCGTAGTCGGCGTTGATGACACGGAGAGTTACAGTCATGTTGGATCCATCGTCCCATTCTTGGAAAATTGGGGTGGTAATCACATATGTTGTTTCATTGTCTCCAGCAAGACATGGACCAGCAAGGAACCATGCGAGAGCGCCACACAGGATACCGCTGTATTTGACCATGTTCCTTCAGTAAATCGGTAGTAGATGGCAAGGACATCGAGGACAATAATGGCGGCGAAATGAACCAAATCCATAGATGTCTTTTTGAAGTCTTCCGAGCATGCCACAAATGTCAGTCCAAATTCAGAGATGGGCACCCCAGTAGTAACTAGTACCTACCGATTTGTGCAGACAAGAATTTGCGTAAATTCAGAAGCTGCAATGGAATGCCAGCTTTGCAATAATTTTCTGGCTTCTCAGTACAGGGGAGATGGGGCCGTTTTATAGATCCCATTGCTGGCAAATTCTCACTGTCGGCGTCTTACCTAAGCGATTTTGGAGCATAATCCGAGTGTACACGTGCATGGTATCAGTTTGACGCTTGCTGCACACTAAGTAGCAAGATCGTAGCACTGGCACTAGCGCAGTCTTTTATCGCGCTATTTCGGTGCCGGGTTTACATAGACTGCTTTAGTTTCCTTCAAGTTTGAGTGACCGAGAATGATTCAACGTGAACTTGAAGTTCAAATGTTAGTGCTACTAATCTTTTCGAGATTTACTGTCTTACTACTATGTATATTTAAGCGAAAAGATACTAGTATGTACATACTTTCAAGTTCCCAATCTTCCAAGCCCTGAAGGTTCTTCTATTTTCTCCCTCGATAGTTCAAACCCCTGGGCGAGTGTTATTATGTGGTACTTCTCTTGTAATCTCTTATATTTATTCTCTTTCGGCCAAATGTCAGATTATGACTAGTTCGGGAGCTAGTAAGAACCTTGAAAGATGGATCAAAAAGCTAAGCCCAAACTAGTACTTCAGTCCCGGTCAACCTAATCGTTCCTAGGGTCACGGTGCCCACTCTTGAAGCTATCCAAGTGGGATTCTTGACTTAGTGACGCGGCCTTGAGGATTGCGCCAGGCGTGTTGCTGTACAAGTGACTTCGTTGTGCTCCGTATTTTTGCTCGAATTGCACTTTTACGGTTTATGTTTTGAATTTCAGACTTTTAGTTCACCAAACCAACCACCCGTGCACCAAATCGACAGCAGAGAAATTTTTTCCCCTCATCTTTGAAGCCTAACGAGTTGACTTGCCCAGCTTTGACAGGTGGCTGATCGCCAAAATCTGACTCAAGCGGGAAGGACCGGCCCTGGAGCGCAGGATCAAGGAACCACTGCGACCCACTTACTCCCTTCCAGAGTCCCAGGTTCCGAGGTCCGAGTCAGGCTATGTATGATATGTACTTCCAAAGTTGGATAAGCGAATGAAATCGACCTTGGAATGCCAACATTTGAAGTGTTGGAACGTGGATTTTATGCAGCTGCCTAAAACTCATCCGCAACCCACCGTAAAACGTCTCAAGGCTGATCTACGCTAGATCGTTTATTCCGTAGACTAGGTAGAAGGAGAACACATTGTGGATCCATAGGTCATTCTGTGACTAATTTTCTCTCAACAGTATTCTCTCTGAACCGGATCTTTCGAAAGGGAGTTCTTGGGCTTCTAAGTTTCCCTAGTTTGTAGTATGATCTGCCGATTCTACCCGAGAAAGGGATTTTTTCTTAACGCCCTCTCACGATTTTTCTCATACATCATACGCTTTGCACATTTCCAGACCTCGAGAATCGCTAGTACTTGGGTCATTGATGATGGCAGAAGACAACGTGAAGATATGCTTTAGACCTCAACTCGAATCCGCCCCAATCCCAGGTTTCATGTCCAAATTCTGACATTTGAAACATGTCCACGTACATGATTCACGGCGTACAAGCGTCATGCTTGGTGCTTTGAAATAACCAACATATAGAATTCATGATTTCATTTGCACAACGTGTATTCAAAGTCCAAAGGTTCCAACTTGAAGGCTCCAGCATGGAGGTTCTGATAGATCATGATGTCCACGGGTATTCAGATTGTAAGTTACGGAAATTTACCGCCAAATTCACCTCCTGGGCTACGCGTCCAGTAATCGAATATGTACGTGCGGTCGCCGTTTCTGCTACTATTGTCTTCCCTGCCGGGCGCAGTCAGAACTTAGGTCTGTCAAGCCAATACCCATGCCACTCTCTAATGAGGGCGAGCCACAGTTCCATTGATCATGATACGACAAGTGATAGCAGCAGGGGAAATCCATTCCCCCGATAATGAGCCATCTGAAGAGTTTAAACCTCTTGACCACGCCCCTTCAAGTTGTCATGGCATCTATCTGGAGGGGGTGAATGAAGGCCTGGAACCCTTGGAGGATTATCAATCTGGCGGTTTCCACCCCATTCATCTTGGCGAGACGCTTGGTCTATCTCAAAGATACCGTGTCATTCACAAACTGGGTCATGGTGGCTTCGGTGCTGTGTGGCTCTGCCGTGATACGCAAGAGACAGGATATGTTGCTGTCAAAGTCATGGTCGGGGAGTCGGATGCGGATCCAAAAACCTTTTCGGACCTAACTTTGACAAACTTGGATAAATCAGTTCCCGGAGCCGATCACATTACGATTCCTCTCAATTCATTCTCTATTGACGGGCCAAACGGATCGCATCAATGTATCGTCCTACCAGTCCTTGGCCCATGCGTCTCGCCTAAGCTATGGCTAAAGCTAGGAAATGATCCTGGACCTATCCTGCGGAACATGGCATATCAGGCTGTACTATTCATGAAATGGTTGCATACACACGGCTTCTGTCACGGAGGTATACATTCCTTAGGACCCCATTCAAAATATCTTCGAGACTAACAGGTGTCTAGATTTCCGAACCTTCGAATATACTGGTCAAACTCAACAACTTTAACCACTTATCCGAAGACGAGTTACTTTCAATAATAGGTCATCCTGAAAAGGCCTATGTGCGCACCGAGTCAGGCGAGGACCTTCCAGCATCTTCGCCACAATATTTGACACTTCCAGCTGACATCTCCCGACTGGGTGAGGATTTTCTTACCGACAAAATCTGCATCATTGACTTCGGCGAAGCCTTCCCGATATCTTCACCTCCAGAGGATCTAGGAATGCCTGAGAACTATCTGCCACCTGAGGTTTTACTAGAGCACGAGGATTCAGTCGGCCCGGCCTGTGATATTTGGGCGCTTGGATGCACATTCTTCGAAATCCGGCAACAAATCCCTCTTTTTACATGATCTATGACATCGATGAACTCATAGCAGAGATGGCGCGCTTTTTTGGTAAACTTACGCAAGCGTGGTGGGATAAATGGGAGGCGCGGAATTACTTTTTTGATGATCAAGGAAAATGGCTTCGGGGTAGACCTGACGCACAAGAATGGTCGCTCGAGGTGGCACTGAATAAGCCTGTTGAGATCGTTCAGCCCAAGCAACAGAAACTGGTTACATCTCAAGAAGAGCAAGCGCTTTTGGCGGACCTTCTCTATGGAATATTCCGCTACGATCCTGGACAACGCGTGAGCATTGAACATGCATTAAGTCATGAGTGGTTCAAGATTACATAAACATTCGAAGGTAGGTAGTTAGCTAACGTTATTTTGAAATCGAACGGTGTTATCTGATATTAGCTTCAAAGGAGAACTAGATGTTACACACTAGTATAGTAAGAAGCAGGATGGAAATTTCATTGTCCATAATGGCAGGACGCTGGATATTGATTTCTCAAAAAAAGGAAAGAAAACAAAGGTCGTGAACGGTAGAAGAAGATTTGTGCAAATACGTCAAGGCCAATGCGGCTCACTATCTCTCCTGGAACCGACTCCTCTCACGTCTACCCATAAAGCTGTAGTACCAACTAGGTTCTCCATGGCGAATACGACAAGTACGATCATATGATCCACGGTAACCTTTCGGTTGCCAATACGGAGAGCTGAGATCTGGATCTTCCTTCATGCAGTCCAGACACATTCCATCGAAATACTTCTCAACCGTGCGAGCGGCGGTCTCCACATGGTCCTGGAAATCGATCCCACAATTGAAGCAATCTTCGTCAGGAGGTCCGATGTTTTCTACCTTGAAATCCTTCAACCTTCGAAGAAGCTCAGAGATGCTGCTCTTGTAGATCATATCTTTCAATGGATTCACATCGACACGAGACAATTCATCCAGGAAGTCGAAAACTGTAGCCTTCTTACATTGGCAGGACGAACGACGGATTTGGTCGATCCTTTTGTCAAATAGCGCAAACTGTAGCCTATTCCGCAAACGTCCTCTCGCAGCGTCCATTTGTTCTGTAAAGAAATATTAGCTTCTCTTCTTTTGCTAGCCATGGGAGAGGAAGACTAGTAGATTAACTCACGTATCACCAAAGGACGCAAGTGCAAGCGATGATCTCCAATGGGATTTTTCTCGAATACCTGCTCTTCGGACTTGTAGACAAGGCTTTTGGTCAGGATCTGGAATGCTTCGGCATGATCGTAGAAATGACACGGGAAAAGAAGCTCCCGTTGGGTATCAAGCTCCTCCCAGACCGCAGGCCTTTTCTCTCGGAAGCATTTGATCCACTTTCGGAACCAGCGCTACAGCTTCTCTCCGTCGATTGCATATTTGTCTGAGGCTCTGATTGTGTGCCATATCTCCTTGATGGAGACATCTGCGGGGTTGACTTCCTCCCTGTAAAATACGCTGAACCAGATCCGCATGCTTTGGATATTGTCTCCATATAAAGTGATGACGTGGTCCTCAATCTCCGGGTATTCCTTCACGGCTTCCTTCCATTTTTTCGATAGAAGTGCCTTGAACAGGTCATTCTGGCGTTGGATGTCAAACCAGCGAGGGTCTTGGTCGGCCACTGGCAGCAGAGCTTTGAAAAAGTCGCTGTTTCTGCTCAAAGAGACTTTTTTCATTCGAAACAGAGCTCTCTTATCAGATGGCAACGAGGAATCTTCGTTCTCGCTCTCACTGACCATAATCACGATGTCAGTCGAGCTCCCCAAATTGAACTCTCTGATGTCATTGGAAGACATGATGATTGTCGCGGGGGTGTTAAAGATGGGGAAAAACCGAACCTCGGAGAGGACGGACAGCAAGAGAGAATAGGGTGTAAAGACCAATCCTCGGAGAGGACGGTGGTGGATAGCAGAGGGGGAGACCAATCCTCACAAAGGACAGACAGAGAGAGAGAGAGAGAAAAGGGGGTCAAGGCCGATCCTCGGAGAGGACGGTGTAAAAAAGAAATCAAAGGGAGAGACCAATCCTCGGAGAGGATGGTAGGAAAGACGGCCAAGATAGAAGTTCACCCTCAATGAGAAGATGGATGATGGCTGGGAAAAAACTGGCAGGATAGCAGAAAGATGGGTAATAGAAGGTAGAAGGAAGGAAGAGGAAAGAAGCCCTGGAGGAAAAGAGGAAGGAAAAGAATTATAGTGAAGGAAGGAGTGAAGGAACCTTGAAAAGGAAAGAGTGATCTACTAGTAAGTGAAGGAAAAAGTTGAGTAAGAGAAAGAGTTTAGTAAGAGAAAGAGTTAAATGAGGGAAAGAGTTAAGTGATGAAAAAAGTAAAGTAAAGAAAACGTTTTGAAGATATATATGAGCTAGTATGGCTTACTGCTAAGTACTTGAAGTTGGTTTATACCCTACCTATCTAGTATAGTACATTATTAATATAGCTTAGAGTACCTTTATTTCTTAGACTTTAATTTGATATGCTATAATATATGGATAGACTAATCCCTCTTACTTTAAACAAAGGGAAATATCAGATAGAGAATGTGCAAGATATGCCTTGAAATATAATTCCTTTGGTTTTTCAAATGCCCCCGGCCCCCTCTTCGCAAGAGGATTCCTGATTTGCGTTTTCTCCTTTGGAAAGAGCTTTGTCACGCTATCTACCATTCCATGAGGAATATCCGTGTAGTCCACATGGATGGAGCGAGTAAGGTGGAATGAAATTGTTCGTCGGGAGAGGTCATCGAGTAGATACAACCCGAGCTCCAAACCTTCCTGTGTATCCAGATCCTCCATCGACCAGATTCGATCAGGCCTCAATGATAAGAAGGACATCATCTCGCGTTTTTGGTCGGAAATAGAAAGCGTCAACTAGGACTAGTATCACAATTTACGCCAGCTACTGGTGATGCTCCCGTTCCCACCTTCGCCTCATTTCCTGCTCGCGCTCCTCTTATTGAGGTCTAGCAAGTTTTTTTTATCCCATTTAGCTCCAGTCTACCCTGTGTCTTACTACCACCCTTATTGAGGTTTGGCTAGTTTTTTTCTTCACCTCTTCTGGCTCCGCTCTACCGCTCTGGGATTCGGATCACCTCCTTTAAGATCCGCTCTGTCCGACCAATCTCTTTTTTGCAACCTGGTAGGTCCTTTCTCTTCTCTTGAATCATATCATCCACCCTGTTGTTATCAAGTCCTCCTCCATTCCAGCTGTCTCTGACTCTACTACTTTTAAGGGCCTCAACAAATACCAAAAGCACTCTCCCGATCACACCTTGGCTTCAGTTTCAACAATCCTGCGTTCTAACTCCCGTGGCTCAGACCATGAGCTCTCATACGCATCCCCTCTAGTTATGCAAGTTGCTGCTGAACGGCGGGATAAAGAATCCCTCGAGAGGCACAACGAAGACCTTCGCGTGGGGGCCATACTTATGCTCCATTCCAACAGAAAGCCTCCCTATTCCCAAAAGCCATCCTCATGCCGGGTTGACACGTCTTGAGACATCCGAAAGAGGTGAACTTGCAGAGAAAATTCTTGCCATTATCGACAAGTACCAACTCAAACAACACGGTATCCGGTTGTCCTTCTTTGGAAGAAAGTCTCTTGTCAATCCCGAGCCCGAGCCCTCCTTCGCCCTTTACATTCTGGCGCAGAGAGAAGGAGTAGACGATACTTGGCTCCAGTGTGCTAGAGAACTACGCACACTCCTGATTAGCAATAACCTCGCCTCTTGCTCGGTTGAAATTGCCGACCCCATGGCTTTTATGCCAATGAATACCTCTCCTATCCTCCGCAGTGATAAGTTATTCTGGGGATGGGAGCCCCTCCCGCAAGAGCTCCTCGATCAATTGGATCTAACCTCAATTCGGTTTATTGGATGCTACCGACGTGGTCGAAGCTCCACATTGCTGGACTGCCTCCAACCGTGCTGATCCTAGTCGATCGCAGCCAGGACTGGACTGAAACCCGGGAGAAGGTCGTCTCTATTCTGAAGAGATGGCGTCTTCAAATGGTGGCTGTTCAAATTGTGGAGGATAGGCTGGTTCGTCAGATGCAAGGGGAAGGCAGCAGCACCGAGCTTCTCCATGGATTTATCCAGGGATGGCCAATCAATGGCGATCGATTCCATTGCTTTACCTCTGGAGCATGATGGGAGTGGTACGCTTGGGTGTTTTCTTGAGCTTCAAACCCCGTACTCCGGTAGTTGGCATACCGTTGCATTAACTTGCTGGCACGTAGTAGTCCCCCCTTTCTCTGGCCTCTCGCCCGAGGATAAGAAGTGTAAGTGCTTTTAACTCTGTTAACTGACAATCACTTAGTAATTGAGGGATGGAACCAGAATGGTATCTGAGCAAGCGTCACGGACGATGCGGATGTTAATCGCCTTCTTAATGTCGACCACCCAACCCAACGTGCCTACAGAGAACAAGTGACAACTATGGAAGAGGCAATCAAGACATATGAACAGCGGAGTAGCTACAAATTGTTCCGCCAGCTTGAAGATGAGGGTATGCTTGAGAAGCTGAGTAGCCAGACACTCGAGAGCTATGCAAAATCCAAGTCTGATCAGGCAAAGAGAAAAGAGGATCTTCAGGCCCTCCGTGATCGCTTTAAGAATGGTTTTCAGCTGCTTGGAAAAGTCCCTGTGGCCTCTGGCTTCAAATATAAGAATTGTGGCTTGAAGGAAGATGGAAAAGATTGTTACACGAGTCTTGACTGGGCCCTTGTCCATCTAAGTACTTCTCGCTCGCCACCTATATAGGTATGATGATTTGCTTCTTACTGCGCTCTCTTTTGCCCCTTTGATTTCTCCTTTAAAATAATTGTTAGGAGGGGGAAGTCAATAGTTTGACAGCACCCACCCCTTAGCCACAAAGTTCGCCACGCTTTCAATTCTACAAAGTTTGGAGCTTCATGGTGAGAAAGTTCGTATGCATGGATATCGCTCCATGAAAACAATTGGAACTTACAGCGGACTTCGGTGTGCTAATATTGAGACTGAGATTACTGATGGAGCCGTTACTACAAGGCCAACGCGTGAGTATTCTGTGGCTAGTCATGGAGAACAGCCTTTCTCTGCAACAGGCGACTCTGGAGGAATGATTGGTTACCCAGTGACGCCAGAGGAAGGGAAGGAATCTTCCATCATTGGCATGGTCATCGCGGGCTTTCTGAAGGAGGGAATAACAATTTCTACCAGATCGGATATTTTGCTTGCTGATATCAAAGAAGTGACCAAGGCCAAAAATATCAAGCTCTGGTCACCTCCTTGAGTTTGCGGAGTTCTTCGGTTTGCTTTTTTTTGTCGGTTTGATTTATCTTTTTTTCCAGTCTCGTCAATACTTTTGGGGATCACCTTCCTCTTTCCCTTCTGCTGTGGGTTGAATTTAACGCTTTTATCATAACTACCTAGAGAGGGCAACGTAGTGCTGTGCAATCAGAGTACACGGGTTGCCCCAGCATAGACAACAACCACCACCAAACCATCCATGGGTGGACTAGGAGTAGGGATGACTCTATGAGTCTGATCAGGAGGTGTAGGAGGGTGTATTCTCAACGAGTGCCTAGTACCACTGTAGGCGCGATAAGGAATATGGATGCATACCGAAAACAAAGTCTTTTCATGGAAGTTTGAACAAATTTGATCAGGAGCTTCGTGCAAATGCCGAAGACTTTGACTCGATCGGCCTACAGTCATTATCATCATCGTCGTCCGCGTGATGGCCATGAACCAAGACATTCCATGTGCAGTGAATTGCAGGTTTGCTCAGCCCACTTGACTGTTATACTCGGACAAAAATGTCTTCCTCGGCAAACATGTGAGCCTTGATCTCGGCAGCGGGCCTACGAGTTTGGCATCATGATGATTGTCAATGCGAAAGATCGAAGACTAGCGGATGGTTACTCACCTTAACGAAAATGATAGAGGGGGACCATGTGCCGCCATTTCTTGATATATATTTTGATCTCAAGATCCAATCAATTCAGGTTGATTTCCTGAATAAAGCTGTTCAAGCCATGTTTGAAGAGTGTTGAATTTACTGCATTCGGGAGTGGAGGCACCCACCTAACACGTCTGCTGCACTGCATACCCGTGGACCCACTGTAAGCGGATTGCATTCCGTATAGTGCCACTCCAGGGATGCACCACAGTCTGAGCTACGCTGACACTTGTAGCATAGTCTTGCAAAACCTAAGCCGGACTTTGATAGGCCGTTTGGTAGTACTGCCCGTACTCGAAGGATGGGTGATGCATTGGTTGCCCAGGGATGCCATTCAGAGCCGGGGCTGGGGCCGCTGAGGGAAACAGAACCGAGTTCACGACTTGATATACCCAACATGCGGCTTTTCACCGGCATCGCGCGAGCTTTTCAGGTATGTACCCTTCCATGGTTATCTTCTTACCTGACAAACTTAGTACTAATGCTCAAGTGCCCCCGCAGCTCCTTTCCACTATCGTCGTTCTCGGTCTTTCGGTTTCCCTTGCTAGAGCTCAAGGTCATGGCAGTGTCCCAGCCCAAACTGGATATGCGGCCCTCGCCGGTGCACTTGGTGTCCTCGTTTCACTAGTCGGTATTGCAGCTCTATTCGTCGAGAATTTGAGCGGGATCATTGCGTGGGCATTAGACGCCTTTGCTTCCGTTGCGCTCCTGGTTGGCGGAATTGTAGGTCATCCCAACTGATAATATCAGAGACAGAGACTAACATGTATCAGATCTATACTATTTTGCTTAAGGGCGTTAACTGCTTAAAGCCTAAGGAATATATTTGGGACAATATCCTGATCAGTGGTGGATGCGAAAAGTACAAGTGGGATTAATACTGCTATACCTTGGCTGTGCATGGCGCTAGTGGTGTTAAGTCTCATTGTATCAGTGCTGAGGCTGACACTGCTTTTATGTTACTTGGCTTCCTGGCCTCTTTGACTCACCTCTAACAGCTTCATACAGTGGTCCGCTCTGGGGCGAACCCATTTCCATCCCGTGTCCCAAAGGATGCCCGTGGCGTAAAGCCTAAGGCAAAAACGGCCACAGACTCACCAACGCGCGATGAGGCAGTCACGGTTACAGACAAATCAATCCGCGATCAGATTATCATCGCCAAGGTAAGACTACTACCAACTGGCCTAATTTCAGGGTGTTACTAATCTGACTTCTTTCTAGAGCCTGGAAAGAGACCATGATAAGTGCCTAGTCAGCAAGCGGGGTCAACCGACGCTTGAGTCAGTCCATATTGTCCCATTCAGGTTTAATAAATCAGATATGTCTAAGAGAAGCATATTCCAGACATACTTCACGGTCTGGTGGGGCAGCGAGTGGGCCGATAAATTGGAGAGCCTGCTACAAAGTGACGACTCGGTCATCAATACTGAGTTTACGGCGAACATGATGACCTTGAGTCCAGGAGTCTACGCATATTGGTCATATCCATTGATTGTTTGCCCTTCGCCCGGTTTGTATTAATGAGGACAAAACTGAGATGTGTCTTGGCTTTCATTGGCTGCCAGTCTTGCAATCTAGTGTCAAGCGAAAGGACCTTATTTCGGCGACAGAGAACCCATTCAATCGAGACAAACATCTGTTTACCCTTCCCCCCCCCTCCGCTGGCGGGAGGAGCCTTTTTAATTTGGAGACAAAAAAGGAGATAGCGTCAGGCGATATCATCAGTCACCACAGATGACCCACAGAACCTACCACTCCCATCTTGGAACCTCCTCCTCATGTGGCATATGACAAGAATCGCAGCGATGCAGGGAGCTGAAGAGGACTCAGATGATGATGACCCCTCATCGGATGATGACGTGGATCAGCCTGAGGAAAGCTATTTACGTTGCTAGTAGGAAGTACTGTTAAATGGACACCCTATATCCCAATCAGATTCAACTACATGAAAGCACCCATGTTTACGTACTCAGCTAGACTGTCAGTCATACCTGTAGGTGAATAGTTACCTACCCTCCTCGGTACGCAAGTATCCAAAGAGGTAGGCTAGCCTTTATATGGATAAGGAAGAGAAATGAATGTATGCCAGCCCTGGAGGTGGGCTACTAGCTGTAAACCTGATGGTCAGCTGTAGAACATAAAAAAACGCTCCAGTACCCAAGTAGTAAAAGAGGTCTATCTCTCATGCGAGCTTAGTATTGAGGAGAACACTTGAGTATTGATGATGGATCAATTTGACAGATGTGACCTGATATCTCGACAACATTACTTTCACTTCCACAATTCTCTCTTCACAAAGATCTGCATTGGTCGATGCCTGCCCAGATGACACTCTTTTATTTCGAGATGAGAGCCTTATCATGAATCCCATCTTTCCCACAGTTCCCCACCTTCAGATGCAGAATTCTTCATCGGTGGGGCAATATTGCGTGGTGGTCGACTGAACCGATGGCTTCGAAGGTCCCTTCAGTAGACCTTGGTCTCGTATCATCATTTTCTGAATATCACATTCAATCATGTCCGGTTTGCCTTTTCAGAAGAGATTTTTTGTGTCAATTCAAACCATCTTCAGATGCAGCTGCTGACAACCCCGACGCCAAATGACGCCAGATGACGCGGGCGGATCCACCTGATAAAACGAATCTTCGTACCCGCACGGAGCTAGTATTCGTTTAGAACTACAAAACAGGTCAACTGTTGCAAAGTTCGAGATGAGGCATTAATCCGGCCAATTTTATCTGCTAGAAGATAGCCCTGACCCCCGCGCAAAGATTCCTGTGAGATTTTGACGTCGTATCATCCGACCTATGAGTTTTCGCGCTCTCCATCACGCGTTAACCAATGCATTGAGCGAATTGAACGGCCCAGTTAGGAATTGAATACGAATCTCGCAGGTTCCCCACTTCCACGGGATGGATCATGTTGGTGACAATCTACCCCCGAGCTTGTACGAGTACGGACTAGATAGAGAATAAGTTCAGATGTTTCAATTGAAACCATTCGAGTTCGTTCTCAAGTGCTTACTGCGACCCTTTTTCTTGTATTGGCTTGATTAGCGATAGTAGATGTCAAATGTCGATCATTAAGCTTGCTGATTGGATGTAGTCCGAAACAATATTCCCGCAATATGGAGAATAGCCCCCCGTTGAAGCCCGTCGAAGCCCCCTAAGCCTTGGCAATGGAGATAAATCAAAGCGGAGAATCGCTATAATTATCATTTCAATTTCCCCCCTTTTCTTGAAGTTCTTCTTCCACATCTCGCCCGCAACCAACAAATCCTCAAATATGGTCAGAAATGACCATCTGGGGACAGATGAAGACATTCAACCGAATAGTCCTTTCCACGATAATTCGACCTGTGGAGACGATGCTCATTTGATTGACGATTGTGGCTCAAGTATCCATTCCGGAAATAGATCTCGCGCTTTGCAGTGGGGAATCAATCGTGCGTTTTTTAACCCTCGTTATCGGATACCATTATCTTCTCCAGAGCTAACATAATTTATTCATGAAGAACAAAATGCAGTCTCCAATGCTTCAGGCAATATGACGCGCCATGTCCAACAGTTTTTCCACCCCAATCGATCCCGAAGAACGAGCACCATTTCCTTACCTAAGACGACCTGTGAATATTGCGACAAACCCAGTGCAGCGTTGAAAAAGCAAGCCAAAGCCCTTATTACCTCGAAGAATCTCATTTCGATCCCATTCGCGCTCATCGCAATTTTCTTTTCCATAACCGACATTTCCCCGCTGGTTATCTTTATCTGGAATCTAATCGCTATCGTGCCTCTATCCATCACCCTGACACTTGCGACCGAACAACTATCCCAAGAATTAGGAGAGACTGCTGGAGCTCTTTTGAACATTACAATTGGCAATCTTGCTGAATTAATTATTTTGTGAGTTACTTCAACTTCAATAAGGGTAATCCATGATCGGTTGGCTAACTAGTGTCTAGTGTGTAAGAAACAACGCTTGATCGATAGATTTGCTATTGTTCATACTAACTTGCAATCTAGTACGGCATTGATGAAAAATAACATTAAAGTGGTGCAGGCATCTCTCTTGGGATCAATTCTAGTCAATCTGCTTCTCGTTCTGGGATCTGCTATTATCGCAGGAGGATTAAAATCCAACGATCAAACATACAACAGTGATCTCACTCACGCATTTATCGGATTACTCAATCTGACAGTATCATGTCTCATGATTCCAGTAAGTTCAGATCAACGAGATATGCATCAATCACATTCTAACCTCCGTCCAGAGCACTTTTTACTGGAGCGTGAAAGATGTGAGATCAGCAGATCATATGTCACTCTCATTCAGCAGAGGAGTTTCCGTCATCCTCCTTGGTATTTACTTTCTTTACCTGTACTTCCAATTTAAATCTCATGCACACCTATTCCGGTCAAGACCGGTAGGTCTCCAAGTGAAACCCTTGGAAACACACCGACCCAGTCGCAGGTCTTCATATAATGAGATATTCATGGATATCGAATCTCAACCCGAGTCCGAATCCTTGATCGCCAAAGCTGCACAGCGCCCAGAGATGCAACAAATTCAGTCCCCTGGCGGGCCATCATCTCCACCAGCTGATATCCGACCGGAGTCAGGATTACCGTTAGCTCGGATCGACACAACAGAACGAAGCATTCCACGCCGTCAATCATGGAATGCCGGGGAAGGCGAGAGCTCAGACCAGGTAGAAGAGGAAGAAGATCACCAATGCAAATACACATCCCTAGCGAACCGCATCACAGCCATTGTGTTATTAATTGCAGCCACTGTACTCATTGCCATCTGTGCCGAATTCTTCGCCTCCAGTTTTGGCGTTCTCAATGAGAAGGGTGTTCTCGGTGAATCATTCGTTGGTTTGATTGTCATCCCAGTCGCTGGTAACGTCGCTGAGAATGTGACTGCTGTCATTGTGGCTGGAAAAAACCAGCTTGATCTTGCGATTAGTGTTGCGCTGGGCTCTGCCATTCAGATTGGTCTTTTGGTTGCCCCTGTTATCGTTCTTGTCGCTTGGGCTCTGGATAAGCCCATGACCCTGCACTTTGATGGGTTTGGAATGGTGACACTGATTGGCTCCGCTCTTCTGGTTAGTTTCCTTGTTCTCAAAGGAAAGACCAATTACTTAGAAGGTGCTATTTTGTGCGCCTGTTTTGCTGCCATCTCGTATGCTTCCTCACTTATCTGTCTTCTTTTGAACTTTGCTAACAATCACAACAGGGTCGGGGCGTATTTACTTCCAATTACTTAATATTCCAGCTGGATTCTCTCGGACTTTTATTCTGATATCCAGCAAAGTCAGGATGGAAAGAACCTGCATATAGTTCTCCTGACGATTCACTCTTTGCATTGTAAATATTTCAGCCACTTCGGCCTCCTCTTTTTTTTGTGTACATTCTTGATCACGATACAAATTTTATTCTACTTTTTTTATCTACCTCGCGATTCAAACCTTTATAAAATATAACCTACATTACCCTCTGTTAGTCCGTTCGGATCACCATTCTTCTTTCGGGCCGGTAAAGTGGAGCCTGGACTCGGGAAACGTGTCTCCCGAGGTCTCAATGCCGAGATTCTTCAGGATTCTTCAGGGGAATCCTGCACATGTGGAATCCAACATCCCGTGAATGTTGCAGAAAGTCAGGACCCACCTAGACCTTATCACTGCTCACAGATTGAAACCGTTGATGCCATCGAACCTTGGAATTCTCGGAAATCCCAGTGAGTCTGGGAAAAATCAGTCTTCCACTCTCAATGTACCTGAGTCTCAACTTGCCGACCCACTGATCCCGGAATACATTTCGGCAAATCTACAAAAAAGGGATCATCGGTGGAGATTACTTGCATCGATATTCCAATCCTAACTGGCTGTTCTTGAAACCCTTCGCGCAGGTACACACTGTCGATCCGGGATTCCCGAGACGCTGAGACAATGCCCAGCATGAGTACTCAGACCAATGCTCTATTAGAGCGAAACCAAGCGGGAAGAACCGCTTTAGTTATCAGATGGAGATTAAAGTTGAAATAGCAGTCTGGAAATCCCGAACTTATCTTCAGGAAATAGTTATTTATCTTGCTTGAAGACCCGACTTCGATCTATGCTACTCGGGCCACAAGTGAGATTTCGATCATTGAACATGCTGTCTTCTACCATTTTCCTGCTGGCGTCTCTTGGCGCTGGACTTGTCCAGTCATCATTTACTTTAGAGGACCTTTTCCTTGAAAATGCCCCTTCCTCGCCGCGACCTTACGTCATTCCTCACTATGCCACCTCGCATGCTGTGACAATTGACAGTCAGTTGTACCGGTTCACAGTTACCGGGCCTTCCTCTGACTATGCCTTCACTCTTATGAGCACCAATGCACCATCTAGTGGCTCATTGGGCGTCTTGCCACATATCCATCAGGAGCATTATGAGAACTTCTTCGCTTTCAAGGGTCGATTCCAGCTATGGGCTGAGAAGGATGGTAACGAGCAACAAGCTCGTCTACTTACCCAGGGTGACTACGGTTCTGTGGTGCGAAACACAACACACACCTTCCAGATTCTTGATCCAGACACTGAGATGGTGGGTGTGATTGTTCCTGGAGGCTTTGAGTATGTCAAACCACGTTGCTTTATAGAATCATAGTTCCATTACTGATAATTTTTAAAGAGATCTCTTCTACTTCCTCGGCACAAACTACACATCAACTACCGATACTCCCTACGTTCCCAAGACATATAACGACTCCAGTTCAAGTTCTTCCGTGCCAGACTCCGAAACCATGGAAACCCTCGAGTCATACGACGTATACGCCCAACTAGACTTCGACCCTCGTCGCGACCTGGTCAATGGCACCGCACCCGTCAACGATACCAACTGGCACGAGGGTTCCAACGATCTCGGCAGTGCAGGTGAACCTTACTTCGTAGCCAACGGGTACGGTCCGAAATATCTGAGCTCGATATACGGGTACCAGGTTATTCAACCACTTGTTACAAGCACACAGTCCCAAGACCTGAACTATACCCTTTCTACAATCTCGCTTAGCTACCAGACTAAGACTAGTCCTCCATCGTATACGCTTGATGGAGCTGCGGCGTTTGAGGTTCTGGAGGGCATGCTCTCTATCCAGATTGGGGAGTACCCTCTTGCGAGATTGAATATGGGTGATGTGGCTTTTATTCCTGCGAAGACGACTTTTACTTATTATAGTGAGGTTGCTTTTACTAAGGTCTTGTATGTCAATAGTGGGACCAATGGTGTGGATCAACAATTGATTAGTGGAGCGGAGGATTGGGATTTTGTTACATTTCCCAAAAATTGATCGGATCTAGGTATCATGCTTGGGATCAATTGAATTATTTTCTGCCCAGTAACCAGATGGACCAAATCTAAGGCTAACTTGAACATTATAAATACTGTACTATAGCTTGAGATTACCCACTGCTCGGTACTATGTGAAAGTTTTTGATCCCACGCTGGTGCCGAGTCAACTGCCAGTGGTCGCAACTCCAAGGTAATGTGACAGAAATTTGGACATACATGAGAACCATCAGCAATATTATAATGATTCCAGAGATATTTTGATGGCTCACTTGGGCATTACAATTTAGGTCAAGGTCGCCGGGCATTTCAAGGCCGAGGAGTATCCAAATCAGATTTAGTCGGGAGCAAAAAGCGGCAAGGGATGAGAACTTGGGGTAAAAGATCAAAGACCAATTGACCTTCTCATATAAAAACTCGGCGTACTCCGTATAGCGTGAGCACTTGTCTTCTCACCTGCCTTTAATGGAAGGCCCTAACATTAAAACGGGCTTTTGTCGGACTATTTGACCCCATCCACCCCACATTAACCCCAACCAACCCCACACAAAGTTTAGACCAAAGTCTCATCTACTCGATGACGATGGTGCCGTCCCCGAAAGCTCCATCGGGCTATTAATTGAGTTCCCCGATCTACCGGCCAAGAATCATCGGCTTCGTGCGGACAATGACCAAATACTGTGCCATGGCTCCAAATATCTTCGGTCACCCCGCACCCGGTTCTTCCGGTATGCATGCCATAAATAAGTATACTCCGTATGTACTGGCACAAGCACTTGAGCAACGTACGACATCTCCCCGCTATACTAGCGCGCCCACTGGCAGTTCCGAGTCGTCTCGCTTGTGCCCGAGTGGCGTCCTGTCATCCAACAACCGAGTAAGCTTTGACTGTTTCCCCACATTTTCATGAGCTTGCGGATGCAAAGGGCCCGAGCAACTGACTTCCAAGGTTGCCATGTGGTTCCTGGATCTGCAGTTGTTTGCTGTATTGGGCGTGGACTGGATTTACTTAAATCTCTTTAAGCCCGGCACCTTCCCTCCTTAAATTTCTTCTTTCGGAATCTCCTTTCCAGCAATTTCCTCAACTTGGGCTGATATCCTGACTCTCCAACCCAGAGACTTTCAGGTCCTTATTATTTTTTTCAATCGCACTGTGTTGTGCTCACATCCTCCTCCCTTGGAAGGGTGAACATAGTGCAAGATGAGGTTCAAAGTGAGTCAAGAATATTCGGATCTGTTTCCTTGGTTTCACTTAATTGACAAGCGCGAAGTACTCCTCCCTGGCAATGACGCCATTGCTTCTGGGTGTCCTCCCATTAGCACAAGCAACTTGCTCAGCTAAGAATACGTCAGCAAGTCGCATTGCTAAAGCGGTGCGCAGGTATACAGGTGGCCGCTCTCTCGGTAACGCTAGTCATAATGTTTACGAAACTGATTTTGACGGTGTGACCTGGGATGAGGATAATTGGCTTCTTTCAACCACAAATCTGGACCAGGGCCAATTCGAAACCAGGGGTTCTGTGGCCAACGGCTACCTGGGCATCAACGTTGCTAGTGTTGGGCCATTCTTCGAAGTCGATTCAGTTGACGACGGCGGCGACGGAATTAGTGGCTGGCCTTTGTACTCTCGCCGACAGTCATTTGCAACTATCAGCGGATTTTTTGATGCTCAGGCCAACACTAATTCTTCGAATTACCCCTGGCTGTCTCAATATGGTTGGGACAGTGTCATCAGTGGTGTTCCACACTGGAGTGGTTTGATCCTGGACCTTGGTGATGACACCTATCTGGATGCTACTGTTGATAATGCTACCATCTCCAATTTCCGTTCCACATATGATTTCAAGGCGGGCTTACTGCTATGGTCATACACGTGGTCGCCTGAGGACAGTGATGGCTCATTCGATATCACCTATCGGCTCTTTATTCACAAGCTTTACATCAACCAGGCCTTTGTAGATATGGAGATTGTGTCGACCACTGACACCAATGCTACTGTGGTGAATGTTCTGGATGGAGAGTCCGCTGTTCGTTCAGACTTCGTGGATTCCGGTGTGGATAGCAACGCAATCTACTCTGCCGTGAGCCCGAATGGAGTTGCCAATGTCACAGCTTACATCTATGCGAACATCACTGGAAACCAATATGTGGATCTGTCCTCGCGAAAGATTGTCACTGACAAACCATATGTCAGCTCTAAGAACTCATCCATTGCGCAGGCTGTTACTGTTAACCTGAAGGCAGGCAAGATTGCCCATGTCAGGAAGTTTGTCGGTGGAGCTTCATCCGATTCATTCAAAGACCCACAGCGGGTTGCCAAGAATGCAGCGTCTACTGCTCTTCGCAATGGATATGCCAGATCCCTGCGATCGCATGTCACTGAATGGGCGAGTGTCATGCCTGACGACTCTGTTGATCGTTATACGTACCCCAATGGTACCTTGCCCGATGACACTCTCATCATCGATTCTGCGGTAATCGCTGTGGCAAATACCTATTACCTTCTGCAGAATACTGTCGGGAATAAAGCAATCAATTCTTCATCGGGCACTAATCTCAACACCGACAGCATCTCTGTTGGTGGCTTGACGTCCGATTCTTATGCCGGACAGGTCTTTTGGGATGCCGATCTCTGGATGCAGCCAGGCCTGTCAACCTCTCACCCAGAATCCGCACAGCGTATCACAAACTATCGCCGGAAGTTGTTTGGACAGGCTCAGGAAAACATCAACACTTCTTTCGCCGGTTCCCAGAATAAGACTCAATTTTCCTCCGCTGCCGCTATTTATCCCTGGACTAGCGGACGGTATGGCAACTGCACAGCTACTGGCCCATGCTGGGATTATGAATATCACTTAAGCGGAGACATTGGTTTGTCATTTATCAACCAGTGGGTCACTACTGGCGACACTCAATTCTTCAAAGAGAGCCTCTTCCCGATTTATGACGCCGTGTCCACGTTATATGCAGACCTGTTGAAGCCAAATGGTTCTTACTGGACTTTGACCAACATGACTGACCCTGTAAGTTGAGAGCCGCTATACAGCTATTTTTCAAGTTACTGACCGATCTAGGATGAGTACGCAAACCAAGTCGATGCTGGTGGCTTCACTATGCCTCTCATTGCACAGACGCTGGGCTATGCCAATGACTTCCGCCAGCAGTTCGGACTGGAGGAGAATTCTACCTGGGATGAATTAGCATCAAATGTGTTGGTCCTTCGTGAGAACGGGGTGACACTCGAGTTTACAACTATGAACGGAAGTGCGGTGGTCAAGCAGGCTGACGTGGTCCTTAATACATTCCCTCTTGACTATACGACAAACTACACCACCGAAGACTCCGTGAACGATTTGGACTATGTAAGTCATCGTTAATGAACTCGAAGGGGATATGAATCACTAACACATCTCAACAGTACGCTGCTAAGCAATCCTCTGATGGGCCTGCCATGACTTGGGCAATTTTCTCTATTATCGCCAACGAGATATACGAGTCCGGATGCTCAGCCTTCACATATGCTCAGTATGCCTATAAACCTTATACTCGGGCTCCATTCTTCCAAATGTCTGAGCAGCTCATTGATAACTCCACCACAAACGGCGGCACTCATCCTGCATTCCCCTTCCTTACCGGACATGGTGGATCCAACCAAGTTGTTCTCTTCGGTTACCTGGGATTGCGACTGCTACCGGACGACATCTTGCACATAGACCCCAACCTTCCACCCCAGATCCCCTATCTTCAGTATCGCACATTCTACTGGCGTGGATGGCCAATCTCTGCATGGTCCAACTATACCCACACCACGATCAGCCGGGCCTGCAATACCGCTCCACTTGCTACCGCGGATCGTCGCTTCGCAAAGAAGGCAATCACCATCAGCTCGGGCTCTGATTCAAACTCAACAAACTATCGTCTCCCTGTCCAAGGCTCCGTAGTTATTCCTAATCGCCAGGTTGGTTCTTCCAACACGATTGCAGGAAACCTTGTGCAGTGCCAACCTGTCGACTCGCTGGATTCCTATGAACCAGGCCAATTCCCAATCTCAGCAATTGATGGCGCATCTACTACCAAATGGCAACCCTCGTTAGCTGCAAACTGGTCCTCTATCACTGTCTCTCTTGGCGATGAGGCCGGATCTTTGGTAACAGGATTCTATTTCGACTGGGCTCAGGCGCCGCCCGTGAACGCGACCGTGATCTTCCACAATGCCAGTGATGCCGCGGCTGCCTTCTCTCCGTCTAATGAGGATGGTCACTACAGTGTGACGAGTGCAATGACAAATCTCTCCATCTCCAACCCTTACGATGCGAAGGTGGCTAATGAAGTTGTTGCGCCCACGAGCAACACAACCAATGTGACTCTGTCCAGCCCAGTCTTTGCGGCGAAGTACGCATCTCTGTTCATTATTGGAAACCAGGACCTTGATGCGGTTGATGTCCTTTACAAGAATGGAACTGGCGCTACGGTCGCTGAGTGGGCTATTCTCGGAGAGAGCCAGTCCAGCAATGGGACATCAACCGCTCATCTCAAGAAGAGAAAGTTGAACGTCCGTGCCGCTTCAGCTATTTCAGAATCGGGTGAGATGATGCGTCGTCGCCACCAGTTTCTTCCCCAAAATTAATCAAGACTCGACACCTAGGTGGTGATATAAAACCATCGTTCTCAAATACCTCACTCAATTAATTTGCATTCACTAAATTTATCACATTGAAGTTGAGTCACATAGATATATCGTAGAAAACAGGAGATTTTTCTCCAATAGTAGATAAACACCTGGCTAGTGTCTGAGTCACCGAATAAAATCACTCATCCAACGCGAACCGATCCAAGAACTTGAACGTTCGCAATCCATCCTTCACACCTTTGGCAAAGTCATGATCCACCTCCTTTCCAACATAAACTCCCTGGCGATCACTCGAGATCTGCGCAGCTTTCAACGCGATAGACCCGGTTCCAAGTCCACCAACTGGCTTTCCAAACCTGAATGCATCAACCAGAATATCCAACGGACGTCCAGCAGGATAGAGTGTTGTGACACCCGATGTCACATTCTGAACTTTAACAGAAGACCGATAATTAAACAGTGCCTCCGCTCCATCCGCCACAACAACAGCATCAAAGTTCGTCGCATCCGATCCAGAGTACGTCTGATTCACACCATCTGCCAATCTCTCCGCAACGACCGAAACATCCACGCCAACAGAGCTAAGCTGACTCTGCAGCGTCGCGCCCTGCGCAATTGACGAACTGTTCTGAACAGAAGCAAGGAGTCCAACCTTCAACCCCTCAATCTTGAGTAGCTTCTGCCCAAAAGCCCCAACACCAGTCGTCGTATTATGATGATAATATGTCTTATCAGGCGCGGGTACATCAGCACCAATCGCAGCAGCGACTCGTCGAGCAAGATCGTGACTGATACGATTGAGTTGAATAATAACATTATTCCGCACGATGGAGCTAGCAACATTGGAAGTCTCGAAACGCATTGCGTCGACAACGAATTGCCTTTCCGTGTCAACGAGCGAGTTCCAGAATAGTCGTGGCTGAGACCAAACATCCGAGAAAGTTGAGCTGACGCTGCGCACCAGCTTACCACTTGTGGTTCGGCCTGGTGTAGTGAAGAAACCGTCGCCAGTGGTTTGGTTTGCTTGTTTGGGGGAGCCATTGTTCAGAGTATTTGGTGAGTATGCATCTGAGTTTAGTGGGATGTACATCTGTCCTGCGCCGTCACGGTTGTTATTGTGAATTGGTACGCGAGGTCGGTTAATTGGGAGTTGCTCGAAGTTGGGACCGCCGTGCCGGTTGAGTTGAGTGTCAAGGTATGAGAAGATACGGCCTTGCAGAAGGGGGTCTTCGGTGAAATCGACGCCGCGGACTATGTGACCGGGTTGGAACTGGTGGAATTAGTTCTTGATCTGGTGCTCCGGTGCTCAAAATCAACTTACCATGACCTGCTCAGTCTCTGCAAAGTAGTTCTTCGGATTACGGTTCAACTGCATCTTGCCCAAAGGTGTGATGGGGACATATTCTTCAGGAACGATCTTTGTTGGATCGAGAAGATCAAATCCGAATCGCAGTTGGTCATCCTCGTCCATAATTTGGACACCCAGCTTAAACCAGTTAGCTTCATACCCTCACTGTATTAAGATACATAATTTAAACTTGGACTCACCTCCCATTCAGGATACCTCCCTGCTTCAATAGCATCCCACAGATCCTGACGAATAAAATCCGCATTCTTACCCGCAGTCTGCTGCGCCTCTTCCCATACAAAGCTAGCCTTGCCCTGAAGCGTCTTCCAATGGAACTTGACCAGCTTCGAGGCACCATTATCAGTGACAAAGCGATAAGTGTGCACACCAAAACCATCGACATGGCGGAAAGATCGTGGAATACCATGACCAGCCATCGCCCACATGAGGGTATGCAAGGCACTGGGCTGCTGACTGAAAAAGTCCCAAGCCGAATCATGAGCAGTAGCAGCCTGAGGGATCTCATTATCACCACGAGGCTTAACAGCGTGAATTAAGTCAGGGAAGAGGATAGCATCCTGAATGAAGAAAACAGGGATATTGTTTCCGACGATATCTTTTCCGAATTAGCATGTGGAAGCAATACACTGAGTTTCAACTGAATTATTTAATTCAATTACATACCGAAATTCCCTTCGTCGGTATAGAATCGTGTTGCGAACCCATGCACGTCCCGTGCTGTATCGGCACTTCCGCGACTACCGGCCACGGTTGAGAAGCGTACAAACATCGGAGTCTCTTTATCCTTTGCTCCGAGGAACGACGCAGCTGTTATATTCGACCAATCGCCATAGGAGGTGAAGACGCCGTGTGCGCCAACTCCGCGGGCATGAACAGCACGTTCTGGGACCTAATAAATTTGTCAATTAATGGTGTTTTCAGCTAACTTGAATTTTCTTTAGGAATAAATACTCTTTCATGATCAAATCGCTGGATCTTTTGACGGAAAATAAAATCTTCAAGTAGTGTTGGTCCCCGTTCACCAGCACTGAGACTATTTTGATCTGCGATCGGTCCTCCCACATCGGACGTCATGAACGCATCTTCATCATTTAGGTAGAATTGGGAGAGAAAGTCCTCTGTATCGGTAGAGGCTTCTCCTTCATCGCGACGGTGGAGTCCATGGTCGGGTGCTTCACCTGTCATATAAGGACAAGCGGCATTGGCGATGCCAATGAGGCCTAAAAGCCTGATTATCACGGCGGAATGCATTATTGACACTGGGCTAGTGCTCAGGCCTAACTTTGGAAGAAGGATTTCAAAAAACTCGGCAAAGCGACGCAAGGTAGGAACCGAGGGATCTTTTATAATTCTCCTCCGCCTCTCCCGAGCAAAAGCTACAGTCGCAGCTAGCCAATGATAATCTCAATATTAGGAACGGCCCTGCAGATCGACGAGCTAATGCAGGATGAGAGCATAAAGCACCTAGGCAGACGGGCTGAATAATATGAGAGACTGGCACGATTATTCGATCAAAGTGGGCTAGACACCGGATATGTGGATAAGCCCCGACGAAAACATCTGAAATGTGAGGTAATGCACCCCGCTGGCCAGTTCATCTTGTGTCGTACAAATGCATCTATTCACGGGGAAAGCTCCAGATCAAGAATCCTATTGGCTTATTCGCTCAAAGTTCTGAATGCCGAGCCAACGAGAACACATCTATTAGAACAACATTAGTTGGCATTGAATTTGTTGTCACAGCCTGACTGCAGTTGATTAATCCCCAGCAGTTACAGATGCCCAAAGTACGGAGTACCCCAGCATCTTTACAAGTACTTGGCATCGGAGGAAAAACCAAATCGAGAGACATAATATATCAATTGCGTGGACTTTTCTTGGCCTTGTCATTTATGAAATTCAAGTTTCTTCACAAACTAGGATTAAAAAGCAAAGGGCCGAGGCTGGAATGCTTGGTAATGTTGATGGTCTGGAGTCCACGGGTGCGGGTGATGTGCACTTATCCGCACCGATGGGGATCGTGGACTTCCCAACCTCCACTTACCCTCCACTTGCCTTAGCATCTTGGCTTTGGAGCTAGGAAGGATGCATGATGTTGGGGAGCTATTGGTTTCTAGTCTAATTTGAATGTGATTCGTGCTTCGTATCACATCGTGTAGGTCCACAATTAATGCTGGGCTCATTTAGCAGAGACATGTAAATAGTATTTAAAACATTGACTTGACCTGCAATTTTATGGATTAACTCCTAACACACTGAATGCAGAAGGCTACAACTTGACGTGCTCTGTTCTACTAGAAGGTCGAATTCCATACTTCGAGTTCATACGGGATATTGTCGGAAATTAGCATCCAATTGACGGTTGGTAACTTAGTATTCTCAGCCATGCCAATGTTGGAACTCCACTTCTTCCAGAATCATAAATAGAAATTTTAGTACGAAATGAGCAAAAGAGAGCGTCGAGGCAGTTACAAAAATGATGGATTCAAGTAGCTAATATTGAGCATGATGAATGCATCTCCTTGATTATGAGCTAAATTGCCGAGAATTCGCAGATCTGCATGATCCAAAACAGACCCCTGCATTGTACATCACTCTGACTGTAACATCATTTGAAGGGATAAATCAAGCAACCTACGGCTCCTTATCGCATTTTTTAACCGAGATAAACTTCTATTGTATCTATATTTATTGGACCTTGATGCATTGTGCATTACTTTAAGGCTCCGAAGATCCAAGCTCCCCGAAACCCTCCAATCTGTTTAGAAACATAGGTATAATGACCTGAAAGTCTTTAAATGAAAGTATTATTTAATTTTTCAATACTCACCAAGCGTATCCGATCGTTTATAAGTCTCAAATATCACTCGGAAATTCCGTCTTGAAGTATAGCGAGAGCCGAGCGAGAGCCGATCCGACACCCGCAATGGCATCAGCTTTGAACGCGGGGCAAATGAGAGGCGCGGGGATGGAAAGACGCGCGTAAAAGAAAATAAAATAGCTGTAGCAATTGAGAAGTCAAACTTCTTATTGCATACTGAATCTCTGAACATGGCGCAAGACGCAACCAAACGACCCAACTTCCTCATCATCGTCGCCGATGATCTCGGCTTCAGCGACTGCAGCTGCTTCGGCTCGGAAATCCAAACCCCAAATATCGATTCGCTTGCAAATTCAAATGGAGGAATGCGATTCACGGCGTTTCATGTCGCCGCTGCTTGCTCACCCACGCGATCGATGCTTATGACGGGTACGGATCACCACTTAACAGGTCTGGGACAATTGTCGGAAATTATTCGCAATTCCCCTGCTCATCAAGGTGCACCGGGCCATGAAGGTTATCTCAATGATAAAGTTGTTGCGATTCCAGAGTTGTTAAAAGAGGGTGGATATCATACTATCATGTCTGGGAAATGGCATCTGGGACTTAAGAAAGAGTATGGACCACATAAGCGAGGTTTCGATCGGTCTTTTGCATTACTACCTGGATGTGCAAATCATTATGGTATGTTTTCTATATTGCCAATCCCCAGGGAAATTATTATGGAATTTTTATTGATGAAAACAGGATATGAACCACAGTACGAAAATGTTCTCGAGGAACCACCAAATTTCTTCGAAACTGCCGTGACAGCCTTACATATGGAAGATGGGGAATATCTGAGCAAGCTTCCAGACAACTTCTATTCTTCAGATCACTATGCCTCTAAACTCATTGATTTCTTCTCTGAGCGATCTGACGAGGATCGATCAAAACCTTTCTTTGCTTATCTGCCATTTTCCGCACCTCACTGGCCATTACAAGCACCCAAAGCCTCTATGGACAAATATCGTGGCTATTACGATGACGGTCCAGAGGCTCTCCGACTTCGCCGATTACAGAAGCTGAAAGACCTAGGTATGGTAGCTCCGGACGTCGTGCCCCATGAAATCGTCACCGTGGCTGGAGAGCCCGTGGAGTGGGAAAAGATGCCACTCGATGAACGAGCCAAGTCTTCTCGATCGATGGAGGCATTTGCCGGGATGGTAGATCGTATGGATGAAAACATCGGTCGAGTGGCCGAGTATTTGAAAGAGACGGGAGAATATGACAACACAGTTATCTGTTTTATGTCGGATAATGGAGCAGAGGGGGCGAGTTATGAGGCCACTCCATTGATTGGTGACAATGTTGTTGAGCATATCCAGAAGTATTACGATAACTCACTGGAAAACATTGGTCGCGGGAACTCATTTGTTTGGTATGGGAGTCAATGGGCACATGCAGCTACTGCACCGTCAAGACTATACAAGACGTTTTCCACTGAGGGTGGATGTCGAGTTCCACTGGTTGTGAAGCCGGTTTCTAACCAGAATGACGGTGGTCTTGTTGTTGATTCCTTCTGCACGGTTATGGATATGGTTCCTACTATACTGGATTATGCTGGATTACAGCATCCAGGAAGTACATATAAGGGGAAAGATATTGCGCCGGTACGAGGAGTGAGTTGGAAGCCGATTCTGGACGCTGTGGCTGCCCCTGGCTCATCTGGTGGATCTGGAATGTTGGCCATCCATGGTGAAGACCGGGTCACTGGCTGGGAGGTTGCTGGGAGCGGTGGTCTTCGAAAGGGCCTCTATAAGATTACTTATGTGCCTCTTCCCAGAGGGCCACAGCGCTGGGAACTATTCGATATCATCAACGATCCTGGCGAGACGACTGATCTCAGTGAGCAGAAGCCTGAGGTTTACAATGAGCTGCTCCAACTTTGGAGTGTCTATGCCAAGGAGGTCGGTGTAGTTGGTCTCGCTGGTGAACTGAAGGATGGACATATCATTGAAGGAGTTTGTGATGAATTTGAAGACACGGGCCGTTGGATTAAGTTCATTGGCAAGAAGGAAATACCTGCGGCAGTGGCAGACCAACTGCCTAAATGAGGATCGGAAATATACCTGTTCTTTTCAGGACAAATTGGATGTAAGAGAAATTAAGTAAGAACATTTGTCAAAATTTCTATTAGTATGTAGAAGTGTGATCTCATATTGTACAGATTTCAACGATGCGGTTGGGACTTGAGAGTATGTGTGGTAAAAACCGATATGACACACCAGGAGTGGCAGCCTCTTCGTATGTCTCATTCAAGGCTCTTGCAATATTTCCGCAGCAGAATTGAGCTTGATTTTGATATCAATATCAGACAAGTCTGCGCAGTCGGTGGGTAACTTTGGATTGGAGCCCAGCCAATGTTCCCAGCAGCGCTTGAGACAAAGACCTTGGTAGTATTAGGCTAGGTAGTTGACTAGAGCAAACATTTCTGTTCCTCAGTATGCGGTGTAATGACGGCAGTTCTATCAAATTGGCTGCCAGATTCACATTGTTTCCAGATAGGCGGTCCAAGGTGACTATTTTTCATTAACTCACTCCTCCTCTTCCTCTTCCTCTGCGCTCTCACTTCCCCCATCAGAACTTACTGGCCCTGCGTCAATACTCACATCCCTATCCATTGCACTGGAAGGAGGAGCCGCACGTCGCGGCTCATTGGTAGTCTCTCGCCGACTGCTCGCCGCAAGTACAGCCCTTTCCCCAACAAACACATCGCCAGGCCAATCTGCCTTGCAAGTAGGACACTTTTCTGCCCTGTGGATCCGGAAGAAGTTCCGCAGACAATGCGCATGTAGCCGACCTGGGCATTCACGATCACCGCAGCGTTGTCCCTGTGACAAGTTAGATAACCCGCGAATAAAACCAGTAAATGTAGAATAAAGACACATACCACAGTGATGATATCCTTGCACGCAGCACAAAACTTGATACGGTTCCCTCTGCTTGTAGGATCTTCATTATATTCCGCGACCAACCAGCCACGTAGTTCCATCAGTGCCCTAGGGCTTAGACTGAAATTATCTTTCCTGCTTCTTTCCAACCATCCTTCTTCGACCAGACGCTTCATCATACTTTCAGCTTGTGTCATTGTCAAAGACTGTGCTGCACCACCCTGCGTTCCAGCGTTTGTGGATCGTCGACGATTCGCTTCCGCTGCAGAGCGAATATTGATGGCTTGTATGGATGAGATAAGCATTCCTTCACATATTCGTGTATTGTTCGTCACGAACATGTAGTCGAGGACGCGTTTAAGAAAGGCGATCTCATCTGCGGAGTATGTTGTCGCCAATTGGGTGAGAGGGTCACTAGTTGTATTTACAAGGGCGTAGACTCTAGTGGGCTGGGGATTTGTGTTTTCTTGGTCGGACTGTCTTGATGTCTGGTGGAAGGAGCTTCTGATTTCGAGGTCGAAGGGAGAGACTGCGGTATTGGCCGCAGAGATGTATGACGAGAGGTGTTCTTCAGTGATGTCGTCAACGCTAACGTCTCTTCCATCTGTATGACGCACCGTGATATTAGCAAAATTTCCGAGCTTCCAAGCTGAATCGCATCTACTCACCATGTGCAGACAGGATTGCCGCAAGAACTGGCTGGGCCTCTTCAAATGTCATGGACGAACTTCCCATGAAGGCCTGCAGGAAGGCTCGGTTGCGGTCATCGTAGGAAGTCATATTTCCTAGCTTAATTCCAGTGATTTGATGGGCATGGAAAAGAGTGTAGTAAGAACAGAGTGACAGGTGTCTCGATATCAAGAGCAAAGAAAAGACGCGGATTGACGCGACGCGGGGAACGCCAAGACTTGCGCATATAACCAACTCTGGAACTATGTATCAGGTTCGAGGTTCGAGGACGAACTACTCTCTTTCTGTGGGGTCAATTTTCCAAGGTTAGTTTATGATGGCAGAGTTTATGAAAATGATTGACATAGTCCTACATAAAACTATGCAAACTGTTACATAATTCAAGGCTTGTAGAGCTCCAAGGGCACGGCGCTTGAGGGTCACAGCTCTCATTTGACTCGCCAACGACCTTATGTAGATTACAGAAAACATTTCAAGATGCATAATTACTAGATAGGTAGTAGACATCTCCAAGCAAAAGCATGAGAAATGCCCAGTCTGAGTCTGAGTCCGAGGCATGATCTTCCGAGGTCAGTACTCGCCTATATCCTCGAGGCCCTATTCAAGTAACTTGAACGTTGACTTCTCGCTATCCAAGCCGCATCAAAAAGTTCAATTGTGATAAAAATGAATTCACTTGCTTCTTTGATATCATGACATAAAATACAAAATGCCAATCAGCAAAAGAGAATGCCGAAACCCCAGCCCTTACACGCTCGCGCAAAGGTGGACTCACCACCAACTGAAATCACCCAACGCCAAAGATGGACAGAATAGAAAAGAACAAAGGAGAAGCATATTTGTTGAGAGAAGAGAGCAAGGAAATCTAGAACCGCCTCCGGGTTGGTTCAGGACTTGGACTGCGGGTAGCACTGCGAGGATCACGACCACGCTCCTTCAACCACTTCTTTGTGCTGAGTCGCATATCCCGGTCCAACTCCGCAGATGGGTCCTTGCGATGAATGAAATTGCAGAATCCACCTCGTACACATCCCTCTCCGCTATTAAGACGACAACACGCTTCTCGGAAATCCGTCACGGGCGATAACTCGCAGTATATGGGTCGCGCCGCGTACCAACGTGAGTTCAAAGCGTCGCATGCTGCTTGTGCGTCTTCTTCGTATTTGAATCGGGCGTAGACATTGCCGATGAGGTCTGTAATGCGGATAAAGAGTTAGTTCCCCCTGCGCGCGAACTCGAACATGAACAAGGGAAAAGGGAAAAGGTAACGGGAAATCACTTACGGTCATTGTTATTATCACAGACTACCAGCTCTTCGAGCTCTCCATACTTGCACATCTCACACCACACATCCTCGTAGAAGGCGTCGAAGTGGTTCTGCATCTGGCTGGGGTTCATCTTGTTCTTGGGGTCGTAGGCCGGGTTCTGGTACATGTTTGGCATCAAAACGGTCTGCGAGTAGGAAGGCTTGACATGTTTACGGGAGCAGCGGTCTCCGTGTCGGCATGCGCCAATCTTGTAGTAAAAGGAGCAATTGACCTTGTCCTGCTCGGTACCGAAAATGGAAGCGAGGTAGTTGGCCATAATGAATTGAGGTGCGGCGTTTCAAGCGTGGGTTCCGGAGGCTTCTGTCGAGACGAGAGGTAATTATCTGGACGGGTAGGTGCAAAAGCGACGAAGGGGACAGGTTTCGGGATACGAAGCGAACACCGAAAGTTGCTTTGATATCGAATGCCTGAAGTTTCTGGAGAGCTCCAGCGCTCATGTGGCGGAGATGACTAATCGTGGACAGCTCTCTCGGAATAACAATTGACCGCTATTTGTATATGGGAAGATGAGAGGAAATAGAGAACATCACCTCTAGTTTTTAACTAATTTCACTCTCTTATTAATTACATTATTGAGCTTTCTTTTCCAATGGCTTTAATATCTTTAAATCAGCACTAAATTTGCGATATCTTGCATGTAACAGTACCCAATAGTAGCTCACGGGATCCGATTCTCTCTTGACAGATACTACAATATGTTTGTCCCTTACTACCTAGTCCTAGTACTACTAGGCAGTACTGTTATCACAACTTTAACTTGAAGTTGAACCTTGTACTCGGAATTCAAGATAAACTTCAGTTGAAGAGAAAGCTTGAACTTGTAGGCAGAACATTGGAAAAAACTTGAAGAATTGCATACGTTCAATTCCGAGGAAATACATCCATATTCAAATGTTTGCGCTGAGGAATATTCAGGTGACCCCAAGTTCAAAGTTCAAATTGAGTCTCTCCAGGGCTTCATTCTGTCCACGGTCATATCTCGCAACAACAGCGCATCGAATCACTCCACATGTGCATTGAAGATCCAGCAATAGTTGATCATTTATAGCATCAAAATTAGTTTGGTTGAAACTTGAATCGATAATATGGGTCTTTAATAACAAAAATTCGCAAATCCTTAGAATGTGGTAGTAAAGAAATCATCTGGAACATGTTGTGTTTTTAATTAGCATTATCAATTGATTCTTCAATGAAAAGGCCTAGCTTTGCACATGGATTAAACCAGACCCAGAATTGAAGCTGGTTTCAAAAGCCCCCTCCAAGGTTCAAGTTTGATGTTTTTCGGGCAGTGGGGAGAGCTGAGCATGCGCATACATACTTATTACTGGTTCGGATGAAGAAAAGTGACCTCAAGCCTCACCTCCCTTTTGCCAGGGCCCAACTTTAAGTGTTGGAATTTCGGTTTCTCGGCAACAATGCTTCTCTCAAGTGCTTTCAGCTTGTCTACAGACTCTTCTCGCAAAAGTAATGGATATAATGGATATAATAAGTAAAGTTCTACCAAGTCCTTTCGGGAATATCTCAAGGTTAGAAGGATTCAAGCTCTCGGCTTAACCTTATAATGGAAGTGGGGTTAAACAAGTTAAGAGGTTCTTATGCATAGTCCACTGGTATTCCTCCTATTATAGTGCGAAATACCTAGTACGCAACCTTTCAAATTTTTATTCCCGGCTAATATTTTCTCAGTAATTCTCAGTAATTCTCAGTAATTCCCAGGTAGCTCCCAGGTAGCTCCGGTCCAATCTATGTGAATTAATTTCTTACTTCACCATTTTTAACGAATTAATCATGCTTAGGTCGCATAGCGATGATCCTGAGCCCTGCATATGTGCTGATATCACATGTGCAGGCCCAGATGACAACACACTTCAAATGTCCAGATGTCAGGTCTCCAAACTTGAATGTCCGAATCTCGGATCTTTGTGTTAATCTCTTAAACTGATGACTGGCACCTGGGCACCTAGCAATCATACTAGTAATATTTCCCCCACATCAGGAAGATATATACATTGTCATATGTATGATGCTGCATGTGATGGATGGTGTATGAAAATACTGGCATGAATTCAGCCTTCAAATATTCAAGTTGGAACTTGAAGTCGTTGATAAACATGGAAAATTTCAATGTTGCAACTTGAACTCGTACTTTTCAATGCGCAGCGTTTATGCAATTCAAAATAGCTTATAAAATAATCTCATGTTCCTAGAATTGCGTGATAGCTTGCTGGCAGCACGCAACATTTACAAGATTGTACCTGACGATTCGGCAGTTCTACCGGACTCATTCGGAGTTTCCGCGGGACAAAGCGTATTGAAGCCCCTCAAAAATAAGCAGGTATACTTAATTCCGTGTGATCGATCGGCCGGTGCATTTCCTATCTGGTTCTCTGCAGAGATTGATATTGTCCACGGGTCGTGTTTCTGAGAAATTGCGGGATTGATCATTCTAATGACGACATATTTAGTGCCCTCGGCTATCAAACTGGCGACGATGATCAACGGCTTTATCCCGCAAATGTATGGAAACTTTCGTTGATCTTGCTTGTTTCGAGTCTTGAGTGCTTGTAGTTCCCCTCATTTTAATACGAAAATTCCAATCAGAATGACCGCAAGTACTCCATAATTGCCCCAGCTTACCTTGTTTGTTTCTGTAATGTACGGAGTCCGGCATAGTTAGTGTAAACAATGATCCCACCAATTAATATGAAAGCTCAGTAAATGTCGTGCTAGAAACCTGGAAGAAAGAAAATAATATAAAAGCCATGGGGGAATGTAGTATTCGATCTTTGATTGAAGTATTCCAGGATAAGAGACTCAAGCCATTGTCTCCGTTGTCACCATGAGAACTTGGACCTCCACTCTCGCCCTCGGGTGGCTTATAGCACCTTCCCCAGCTCTTTCGCTATCAGTTGGCACAAAAAGAGCGGGTTCTTCAAACTTGTGTGCTACAAATAGCCGAGATATTGTCTCTAACGACACCAATGTTTGGCCCTGGCAATCCTTCAAGTCATCAAATATCACTCCTCCATACCTGGATATCAATCGCACAAGCAATGATCTTGCATCTGGCCTGCTCTTCATTAGCCAAGAGGACGAGAGTTCCACAACAGAGACCGTGAAACAAGAGTCGCCGTTCATTTTAACAGATGACAATGAACTTGTCTGGGGTGGACCGCAAGGCGAGACTTCAAATTTCCGACAACAGTTCTGGGGAGACAAGTCTATTATCACATTCTGGGTTGGCACAGGTGCTGCAGCATACGGTGCTAATGTTGGCCGGGGATGGGGTAAGGTCCAGTTCTATGACGAAAGTTACACATTGGTGAAGTCGGTGTGTTTGGATCTGAACTTGACCTTACCAGAGGGTACCACCGCGGACTGTGATGCAGATGTCCACGAGTCTTTCATCACGGAGGACAACACCATTTTGTTGACTGCGTACAACACAACTCAAGCGGATTTGACTTCTGTGGGTGGCTCCAAAGACGGATGGGTTTATGACTCTATCGCCGTGGAGGTTGACCTAACCACCAATGAGCCCGTGTTCATCTGGAGCCCGTTGGCCCATCTGGCCGTTAATTTGACACATGAGCCGTATACCCCATCCAACGCGTCAGAGCCCTTCGACTGGTTCCATATGAACTCAATTCAGAAATGGGGAGACCACTACTTGATCAACTCGCGTCATTTGTGGCGCACATTCCTTGTGAACCGTCAAGGTGAGATTGTTTGGTATATTGATGGCCAAACTGGCGGTGACTTTGGCAGTTTGCCTCAGAACGGAAACTTTGTAAGTCACACAGCGTTTCTCTTACTACATTCGTTCAAGTTGCTGACAGTAAGCAGTCCTGGCAACACATGGCCCGGCTTCGTAACGACTCTTCGAACCCCAATGAAGTCCTCCTCAGCTACTTTGCAAATGATCTTGACACCGGTTCAGCCACCAACCCTTCCAAGGGTACCACCCTCCGCCTCACATTGCCTCCCAACCCCGCGAATCCTCCAAAGCTCGAGACTGACTTTTTTGACGAAAAATACCCTGTCTCATCTGCTGCAGAGGGATCTTTTACACCTCTTGAGAACGGCAATACGTTGATGGGATATGGTGACCAACCTTATATCAAAGAATACGATTCAACTGGCAAGGTTCTGTGGTCTGCTCAATTCGCAGGCGAAGACCTAGGCCAGAGTTACCGCGCCTACAAGCAAGAGTGGAGTGCGACTCCATACTACCGGCCGAGTCTGGTTGTCTCAAAGTCCACCTCCGAGGATGTTCTCAGCGAATGTGCCGGTGCATCATCTTCCCTCAGAGGTTATGTTAGTTGGAATGGAGCTACCGATGTCGAGGGGTATAAGGTCTATGCTGGTAGCAGTGCAGTGAGCCTTCGTCTGTTGGGACAGATTGAAAAGAAGGGCTTTGAGACCCAGTTCTCGCTTCCGACAGATACGAAGGTGGTGCAGGTTGCTGCTGTAAAGTCTGGCCGTGCTGTCAGCAAGTCGGAAGTTGTATATGTCTGATTTAGCTTTCAGGCTGTCCTCATCGTCACAGAGCGACTAATATTAGTAGTGCGACTCGGAGTCGGGTCCACATACTATAGCTAGATGGCATAATGCCCCTCTCTATATTGATCAGTGTATATAATCGATAAAGGAAACAACCAGTTGGCTTGAACAACTTAAGTTCCAAGGCCGAAAAACATGACCAGTTTCGTTTTTAAAAAAATTTCATGGCGCCCAAGTGGCTGACCCGATCATTATGGATTGAATGTAGGGTAGAAAACTTTTCTCAGATGCTTCTAGGAACAGAATAGTACTGGAATGGTCTGTGTTGACGTGAACTCCATCAGGATTCAGGACTCGAATCATGGATCGGCCACACCCCACCAGATTATTAAGCGCCGATTGGCATACCTAGCCTCGGTGTGATAAAGGGACTTGAAACGATGCTATAAAGAATATTCGAATTCCATCCGGTCTTAAAAGCTCGAGTATCAGTTTCATCTTTAAAATAAGGTTGGTCGAAATCGCAATCCCTGCTCTGAATTGCTTCATTCGTCAGGTGTCTCGCGGGGCTGCATGGCACAAGTTACAACAACCTCGCGTCTAACCCCGCTTAAAAACACTCCTGCGCCAGATGCCTTAGCTAACCATATCATGTAGGACAATATGGCTGCTAAAACTATTATTGTCACAGGAGCTTCTCGAGGTAAGAATCCAGAACACGAGTCTAACGAAACATCGCTGATATTCCACAGGCATTGGCCTCGCAATTGCTAAGTATCTGCTTACCGCACCCCAATCCCACAATGTGGTGGTGGTAGCTCGCAGCTTGGAGCCTCTACAGAAGCTCAAAAATGAGTACAGCAAGCAGGTCGAGGTGGTGAACGGCGACCTTGCAGATTTCTCACTCGCCCAGAAAGCAGTTGATGTCGCCCTTGAATCTTTCGGCCAACTCGACGGCATGGTTCTCAACCATGGCATCCTAGGCCAAACAGGCAACATTGCTGTCACCGATATCGAGGAGTGGCAGAAGACCTTCAACATCAACTTCATGAGCTTGGTCGCTTTTGTACGGTCCTTCATTTATTCCCCAATCCTTTTGACTTCTACGAAAGAATCCGTTGCTAATCGTATAATAGGCGAAATCTGCTCTTCCTGCCTTGCGCCAGTCCAAGGGCAAAATCATCCTCACTTCCTCTGGTGCCGCTGTGGGCAAGTACCGTGGCTGGGGCATGTACGCCGCATGCAAAGCAGCAATGAACAACTTCACCCAAACGTTAGGATGTGAAGAGCCTGACGTTACATCTATTGCCGTTCGACCCGGCATGGTTGACACAGAAATGCAGCGAGAACTGCGCGAGGTTCATGGCGCAACCCTCGATGCTGAGATGCACTCGAAGTTTACTGGAGCTCACGAGGGTGGCAAGCTTGTTACCCCAGAGCAGCCTGGTCATGTCATGGCCAAGTTGGTGCTCGATGCGCCGAAGGAGTTGACTGGATTATTCCTTTCGTACGTTGATGAAATTTTCTCTTATCTTTATATGGAGTGTGCTAATGATTCACAGATGGGATAGCGAAGACCTCAAGGCTTTCCGTTAACCACGTCCCAAAGGTACCCCATGCTAGCCATCCGACTTTTCCAGGCGGATAATACAAGCATATTTAGGAACCTTGGAAAGGACCAAGGTTGGAAAGGGCTCTTCAAGCTGATGGAGTGGCCATACCGAATACTTCGGACCGCTAGCCCTACCTACCTTCCTCTTCATCTCTGTAGAAATTAATCGTGAGCTACGTTTACTCGCGATTTGGGCAATTGGTTTTTTCCACTCAGCATCAATCAGGACATGGAGGCTTTGCAATTGTTTTACGTTACGAGAATTAAAGTTTTCAAGAAGTTTTTTGTATGAATTTTTCATTAGGAATTATTTTCATATACTACACATCTGCAAACAAAGCAATCAGTATCGAATGCCATGGAATGTTTTGAGTGAAAACTTTTTCAATTTGGTTGATTGTAATCAGCCGAAAGATGAAAAGCAATACATTTTATAAGCATTAGGTGCAGTACACCTTCATACTTAGCATGGAATGTAGGAGGATCATCATACAATATGTATGTATGGAGTGAGGGAAAGAGGCTCGCGTACCATTTGCTATCAAAGCAATTGAGGGTTTCGGATATTAACCGAGAATAGAGATTTTCGAGTCCAGCTCAACCTGTAGAATCTTCAAGGAGTTAGCCACTGAATTCAACTCCAATATGCAAACAAAATTCAAGATTGTAAGACAAGATATCAGTTCGTCCGTTTGGCTAGGACAGGTAAATCACCACGGTTTTGTAAGATAGGGGCGACAACGAAAGTTCATCATAGTAGAAAAAAGCAAAGAAAAAAACACAAAACAGGAAAGCTTACCATTAGTATGCGAAGTTCCTCGGAGTTGAGTCTGCATCAAGATTCATTCCGAGGAACAGATGATTGAGGATAGAATCCCATGCTCATGAGTGAGTGAAAGAAAGATAAAACTTGAAGAAAAAAAACTCCTATAAGTACCTTCGAAGGCGGTGGATAATTCTGCCGGCAGGAAAATATATCGCTCCGAAGTGCGCGCAAATGTTAAATAGGAAGCGCTCCAGGCCCCACGCGGATCTTCAATTCTTCCCTTTTGTCGCCTATCTCGTTGGTCTGTCGTGGCTTTCTGACCTTTATTTCATTTTCTCTGAATCATTCACTATGTCTGACAGAGAGTTTAACTGTATGTCCGTCTCTTGCTTTTACTTACACCAGTGAACCTCCGCGCGCTACTGTAGCTCAACTGCTAACATGACTCGCTCTAAAGCTAACGACGATCTGTCGCTTCCCAAGGGTAAGCTCACTGTTTCCTTCATTTCAGCTGGATAATTTACGGGGTGTTCTTTTCCGGCGAATCTATGTTCTTTGTTTGACTACAAAGTCGAGTCCCGATAAAGGGCTATACAATGCCCGCGTCGCGGAACCCCGTTAAGGACCGTGTTTCGAGTCTCGTTCCCCTCACTAATATGAATAATAGCGACGGTCCAGAAAATCATTACCGAGATCTTGCCTCCTTCCTCCGGTCAAACATTTTCCAAAGATGCGCGCGATCTACTCATGGAATGCTGCGTTGAGTTCATCACGCTGATTTCCTCCGAAGCCAATGACATCAGTGAGAAAGAAGCGAAGAAGACCATTGCATGCGAACACGTTGAGAAGGCGCTGCGAGATCTTGGATTCGGCGACTACATCTCAGAGGTACTAGCTGTGGCAGAGGAGCATAGAGAGCAATTAAAGGTATGTGGATATAGATCCTGGAACGGCTGCTTGCATCTTGATTTTTCATACTAACTTTTTTATTCTTCACAGTCCCGAGAGAAGAAACAGAGCAAGATGGAGCAGAGTGGTCTCTCAGAGGAGGAGCTCCTACGTCAACAGCAGGAGCTCTTCCGATCTGCGACAGAGAAATATAATGCGGGTCCGGAGTAATGGATGAGCTTCATGAGCACTCATGCTGGACATAGAGGAAAATAGCGCTGGGCGTTTTCTGCTTTACGTGTTTTATGGGAGAGATGGGGAGGGACATCTGGAGTTTATTGATCTTTTTCCGTCTGTTATGTACCGAGGCGCGATTTTATAATATGCCTGATGTTGCAATGCATTATGGATATTCGAACTTTCTTGATAAGCTATGAGTATATCCCAGAATCTGAGTAACTGCCAGTAGTGAGCCCATGCGTATCTGCATTCATGTTGACAAAATTGTGAGCTGGAGCTGGTACACATAGTAGGTAGCTACCTAGTATGAATGCTTTTGGGATTCAAACATTGATTGAATACTCAATTCATGCTTCGGGTTGTACCTAGGTACATGTAAAGTATTGAATTTCCGTTGATACTAGGTAGGTAGACATACTAGTATGAGCACTTGAAGTTTCACATCTGGAAGCTTTGCAGCGACCTCGGGAGCTTTCAGAATTTGCATGCCCTCGGGCTTCAAGCAATCAAGATTGAACTTCTTGCTCTGCCAGTTTTCCTTTTCAACTTGAAGATGTTTTATCGAATGAGATCCAAATGTGGGTCTCTTTTTTTTTCCGAGTAATTCAGTCAACTGATATATGTACACTGTATTAAATTTGATAACTGTGTATGTAGTACTACCTAGTAGTAGATCCTATTATAGTTATCGCAAATTTCAAGTTGGAACTTCAAGTTGAGCTTAAAGAAACTTCAACAACTCGAACTCTGAGTCGGACCATTCACTTGGATGCTATTACTAGTATGGAGTCTGTAAATATATTGCCGGTAATGGGTGAGTTGTTTTGGGGGAGATGTCACTGTGCCTAAGTGAAAGATCAGATGAACAAGTGAGAGAAGTCCCCCAACACTCTAAATCCACCACTACTGTTTACATCGCGCGGCATTTTGTCAAAAGTGCTCAGATCATTGACAACTCTAACTTCTTGAGTTCATTGAGGCTCTGGACCTCGGACCAGAAGGCTGCAGGCGACTCCACTTCTGATTACATAAACACGATATTTTGCTACAAATCACGTGAAATGCCAAGCAAAAGCCCACGCTATCCCAAAAAGGGAACCCCTCGTCGCTCGCGAAAGAGCACTTCCTCACCACCATTGTATCCTAAACGCAAGCTCACCAACATGCCACCTTTCAAGGATGAGCATGTGCTGGTATGTTGAGTCTGGATTCCTACTCGGTATTTCCTCAAGTTGATTAACTCCTTTTCTTTCCAGTTGATCGCGCCAGGTTCGCAAATGACCCTGGCGCAGCTCGGCCTTCCCGAAACATTCACCCCAGCTCGATACCGTTTCCCCACGCGCATGTTCCCCGGTGAGAACAAGGGTGAATTCGAGCCGTACAAAGTTCGCGAGCACAAACGCGAAGCCAAGGTCACCACTACCGCCAATGGACATGCAGAGGCCCCGAAAGAGGATGTGGAGATGAAAGATTCCGCGGAAGGAGCTCCTTCCCAGAATGACACCGCGAATGGAGGTTTAAGCGAGAAGGCTGATAAGCCAGAAGGGGAGAATGGAACTGATAGCGCTCAAAAGGCTGTCGAAGAAGTTCTCTACGAGGAGGATGTCACCTCCGAACAAGGAGCCGTTTACCCAATTCAAAATGGGCGCATTGTTGACTGGCCTTGCTTCTTCGCCCTGTTGACGCATATCTACAATTCTCTTAGTCCCCCATTCCACACCCCCATCCTGTTGGTATCTCAACCGATCTGGTCAGCACGCGACCGTGAAGCCATCACTCAGTTCGTCTTCGAGAAATTCAAGGTCCCGGGCTTCAGTATGATGGACGCAGCTCTCGCGGCGTGCTACGGATTCGGTGTTCAGACCGCAACTGTTGTTGATGTCGGCAAGGGCAAAGTGGATGTCACTGCCGTCACGGACTTCGCGGTCAATGAGCATGGCAGAGGCATTGCGCTGGAAGGCTGTGGTGGTGACGCGATGACCGATCGATTGATCGAATTACTAGGTCCCAAGGGCTTCACTCGGGAGATGTGCGAGCAGCTCAAGCGGAGTAATATTGCTGAGATTCTACCTCCCGGTACTTCTCTTCCCGGTACTGCAGCCACCGCACGCCAAGGAGTTAACCCAGCTGCCGCGGCATCAACTGGCGAGGCCAATGGAGCCGATGGTGCTTCTCGAGGCCTTGGTAACGGTGCTCAGACCGGCAACGAGACAAACGGAGATGATGATGAAGGCGTCCTGGATGTTGCCGCCATTGTCAGCGGAGATACGAATGAATATCTCGCCAACATGGAAAAGGAGAAAGCTACCAATAAGAAAGGCGGCGTCGACCCTAAACAGCCTCGCCTCCCCAACTCAAAGAAGGAGAGGGCTTCTTTCCAGTATGAGGAGTTTGTCCAAATGGATGGCGATAATAATACCAGCGGCACCCAGCGCTACCTCCGACACTCTCGTGAAATTGAGGTTGGAGTTGAGCGCTTCCTCCTGGCAACACCCCGTCAGAAGATTGGAGATCGCTTAACCAGCGGCATCCTGGAGGACATTGCAACCCAGATTCACCACACTATCCTGGCTGTCCCTGATGCTACAAAGCGGAGTGAGTTATGGGATTCACTCATCATTGTTGGCTGTGGTAGTCGAGTTCGAGGTACGTATCTTTTCCCTTTCCGTAACCATGTAGCCAAAAAAAGTTCTCTTCTAACTTGAAATATACAGGCTTCACCCAGGCCCTACTTGGCGTCATCACACAAAAGTTTATTCTTTCTCCATCTGCCACTATCTTCACTTCCGAAATTCCTTCTACTTTTACTACTCCTCACCATACTGGCGGCACTAATACCCCGGCACCCATGGGCCAACAGCCCGGGCCTATGTACCACCCTGCCGCACACGGGGTCAACCCTCTTCTAGTTGCCGCTACTCACAACAACCCTGGCATGCCAATTGCACCAGGCACCCCTGGCATGGACCCTAATATCTCGACTCACCACCGTTCAAGCGGCCACTCTCAAACTCCAACCTCCGTCAAGACCTTGCGACTTCCGGAGTATTTCCCCGACTTCAAAGACCAGGGTAACACCAATGCCCCCGGCGTCAGTACTGGTCCCAGCGCTACTACAGGCGGTCACGGCATGGAGGAAGGGTCATTCCTTGGAGCCCAGATGGGAGCCAAGGTTTTCTTCGTCCTGGATCAGGGTCTGACCAAGGGCTACATGAGCCGTGTTGAATACAACGAGAGCGGACCTTCGGCCATTCACGAGTACATTGTGTAAAGAAGGACTGGCTGGTGCTTGTTGGCTTTGATGGTTTCTACGACTCAGCGCGCTGTTTTTCTCTGATTTTTTTTTGCCTCCAATATCTATGTGTTCATTATGGCGAAGGGGACCTGGTTCATGGTCTGGATTTTTCTTTTTTGTGTATTTTACACTTGTGATTATGCCCTCCTAGAAAGCTTTCTGGTGCAGGTGCAGTGGATTTGCGGAGTTAGGTTCGATCTTCCTACTTGTACTCAAAATCCATTTCAAGTTCTAGAATCAGATCACTGTATTTTGGCGATTCAATCCGGCCTCCTAAAGATAAGACTTAAAATATATAAGGGTCGAGTATATTGGTGCCCGAAATGTAAGGCTCATAAAAACACGTGCTTATCTCTTATCGCGCCCCATCTTTTGATCTTGATCAAGTTTGGACCTTCAACTTCTGCGACTACTCAACTGGTCTTCTTCCACTGCTAAATCCTTTGACAGGAGCTCTTTCACCACGGAACGATTGATCAGTAGCAACAGCACACCTCGAATCCGCACTCCCAAATTCTCATCTCGCAACACCACACACAATGCCGAAAGCCGAAGCTGGATCCGTGAAGGCGATCGGAAATCGCATGAAGCAGAAGGGCCTAGGTCGACTAAGGTGGTACTGGTGAGTCACTGCTGTTGAAATACCGGAAACATGAAGCCCACTAACCTCCATCTAGTCAAATTTGCGAAAAACAAACCCGTGAGGCAAACAGTTTCAAGCAGCATCTACTTAGGTAAGTGGCGGACTAGACCTGTTTTCGAGCTCTACTTGAGTATCTTCTAACGAGAATCAATGATAATAGTGAAAGCCATGTCCGACGAATGGCGCTCGTCGGAGAAGACCCCAAGAAATACATCAAGCAGTACACCGACGAATTCGTCAAGGTATTCGTGGATGGCCTTCGAACTCGACACGGCGAAAAGGCTGTCAACATCAACCATTACTACCAAGAAGTTATCCAAGACAAAACGCACGTTCACATGAGCGCCACCGAATTTTCTTCTCTCACGCAGTTCGCGCAATACCTCGGCAAGAACGGAATATGTCGTGTCGAAGAAACGGAGAAGGGACTCTTTGTATCATGGATCGATAATTCACCAGAGACTATGAGAAAGCGAGAAGCCATTCAAAAGAAAGATCGCGAAGAAAAGAATGACGAACAACGGGAACAGAAATTGATTAAGGATCAGGTGGAACGTGCCCGGAAAGCTGCACGGGAGAAAGACGCTGCTGCAGCGGCTGAGGAGGACCCCGATGCGAAAATGCTGCAGCGAGCGGAGGGTGAGAAGATGACACTGAACCTTGGACTGGGTCCGAAGAAGGCTACGGAATCTGCGGGCGTGAAGGATGAGTCTAGCGCAGAGTCTCCGGCCGCAGGTACACCTGCATCTACCTCTGCTGCACCTGCAAAATTCTCCATGTCGTTTGGTGCGCAGAAACCGAAGAATGTTTTCTCGACGGCGAAGAAGAATCCCCTAGCGGGTAAAAAGGGACCTATGATTGCACAGCCGAAGAAAATGACTGAGCAGGAGAGGATAATGAAGGCGGAGATGGAGGCTATGGAGCGGAAGCGGTCGCGTCAAGACTCTGGGTTTGGAAACCAGAAGCGACCTAAGCTTTCATGATAAGCTTGAGAGTATGATGTACATATATGCTTTGGGTATTAAGGTAGACCGGGAGTTAGAGCTGTGTTTTCATGGAATATACCCTTGATTTTCTTTTAATGCTACCTGATAATTTCTAAAATTTTAAGAGTGTCCCTATATAGAGTGGGCCACAAAGAAGTGGACTCTGATGGCTGCCTGTAAATCCTGGCCTTAATATCGTTTCTTAGCTAACGTGATTCCCAAGCGAGTGGGCCACCCAAGCGAGTGGGCCACCCACCGCCTACCCTACAGTTTTAATCATAAATATTACCACCAGAACGCCAATTTATTAAAATAATTATCTGAATATCACAGTGATCTGATCGATGGCCTTCTTCTCCACACTTCTTACATGTCGGTAGCTTTCTCCTAGCTGGCTGAGGTGGTAAATAAGGCGCCCTAGGCCGTGGTACGGGAGGGATCACTGGCGCCTCAACCACCTGTATAGCACGCTGTATAGCCTCCTGGCCCTCCTGAACAGTCATACCACCCTCATTAGGTATCTGCCTAGTAGACCGTTGGCGCTTCTGCTTCTGCTTCTCGTGGGCGGCACGTAATTTACGTGTTTCAACCTCCAATAAAGCTGTCGAATGCATCTGAATTTCACAGGCTTTTAGAACTTGGTCTATCTGCTGTTTCAGTGGACTTGGAGGGCTTCTTGAACGTTGTCTTAGAAGAGCTTTGATTGAACTAGCTTGCCGTTGAAGCTGAATAAGGTTCTGGGGTGTCTTGGGTGAAAATTGGCTTGATCGACTGGTAGGGCGGCTACCTGGGGGTGTAGGTGTTCGAAGAAGAATATTAAGCTTAGAAAGTACTTGATCTGGGTTGAATGGTACTAAACCAGCTGCTGCAAAGCTGTTTTGAATGGGTTGGTTTTGAAAAGCCTCTTTACGAGCGATTGGGTAGGCTTCAAGAAAATCAAATTTATCGATATGGTTAAAACCAAGCCGCATTTGATTCTCAACAAGCCGACCATATGCACGTTTAAGAGGTGCAAAACATCCAACATCAAGTGGCTGATGAAGCTGTGAAGAATGGGCTGGCATGCAAATTGGAATAATATTATTCTCTTTGCAAGTCTGGTCAAATTGGGGAGTTAAATGGCTCCCATGACCATCAAGAATCAAAAGTCGATATTTTCCAAGTGTCCGTTCAGTTGTTGCTGGAATAAAGTGTTTTTGAAGCCATCGAAGTCCAATTTCATCAGTTGTCCATCCATTTGGACTAGTTTCAAATCGCCAATCAGATGGAAGATTCTCAAACCATCCTTCAATCAAAACTTTGCCTTTGAAAATAATTACTAGTGGAAGTACCCATTCAGGAACATTAATTGTTTCAATAGCAGTTACCCATTCACGATTTCCAGGCTGTAAAAGTGATCGTCGACCATAATATCGAGAACGAGTAACAACCTTAGCAGTTGCTGTAAGTCTCATTGCAAATCCAGTCTCATCAAAGTTATAGATATCCTCTGATAAAATACCATTCTCTTGAATTGTCTGAAAAACAAGATTAAACCATTCTTGAACCACTTTTGGATCCTCCATTTTCGCACGCTCGTAATTATATCGTCGAGAGAAACGGGTTGTAAGCTCTGAATGTCGTCTTACGAAGTTTGTAACCCAATTCTTGCCAACAGTTTGAGGGGGGGGTCTGGCCACGCGCTGTAAGTAGAATATTGGCCATTTCTTGGACGGTAGCCGGACGGGGGGCAGCTCCACGTATATCCATAGAGATCACCCATTGGAGAAGTGAATTCTCTTCATTTTCATTTAATTTATGGTTATTCGCGCGAGTTTCGGATCGATTAGTATGGCCGGCAAGGCGGCGCCGTAACGTAGAGCGAGGTACATCGAATACACGTACTGCTGTGGCTATTGCTGTGATATCTTGCTTTTTTATAGCCTCAATAGCAAGTAAGATTCGACCTTCTTGACTGCCATTTTTTTCTGGCCGAAACATTGCGTTTTGGTGGCATGGTTGGTGGTTGAAGATGGTAAGGTATGACGCGGGTGACGCGAACGCGGTCAGGTGGCCGCTCACTTGGGAATCACGTTATAAGGGTAAGTTCAGGAGTCCAGATAACCATTCGCATCCTAGTAGCTGAGCGGGCTATCGTGTCTGTCCCGATTTGATTTGATACTATGATACCATAAGACTAGAGTGCTAGGACTGAGGGTTGTTACGTAGCATCAACGAGCGTGAGACTTGCTTAAGTGGAACACCACCGTGAGAAAGCATGCAGCGGACTATGTAAAAGACTTCTGCGGAGCTTTTTTCTTTTTGCTCTTTCTTTTGATATTACTTTTATATTTTTATCTATTTTATTGGATTTGTTATGATTTTCTGAAAGTTGAGGCTGTCATCACCTTGCTCATTTTGATGCCTCACTTGGCGAAATCTAGAAGTCCCCGGTTCGATCCCTACTCCCTCTATTCTTTCTTTTTTATTTCTCTAGAACTTTGATCCTCTCTTCCAAGGTTATTGATTTGAACCACTCCCATCTTGTTCTAATATGTCACTCTTAAGTAGAGCTAGCACTATACTGTATGACTATAAAAAAAAAGTCTACTAGATTAATAAGATTATAGAAGGTGCATATTATTATTCCATACCCCATTTCGGATTCAATTTGCTAGTATCAAAAACAAACTAGTTTTGATAGCCATAGGTGTATGGAGCTAATGATCTTCGCTATAGCGAGACCATCCTACAACATCCTGAATGTCAATCTTGCTCCTTACATACCTTCATTCTGCAATTCAACCACAATTTGACTCAATATGCCACTAAGTAGATGTTGATGCTGGGTAATCCTGTATAAGACTAGCAAGCTGCTTAGCTAGAGGTGCATAAGCATCATCAATTTGGCTAGCACAGAGAGGAACTCCAGCCTTGATCCGAGAAGTATAGCCCTATAATGATGATTTAATTGTTAGAGTTGAATTTAAAATCTCCAAGAAAAAATAGATAAATTACCTCTAAAGCAGCTTGGTAAGTTAAAATATAACCATGCATCTTGCTTTCGTTGTCTCCATGGTCATTTGTGATGAAGAATTGGAGACCATCGGCTACATGAAGGAAGCGGAGTTGACTCGTGGAAAACTAATGGTTTTAACATTTATGAATAATTCAGAAAGGGCTTCTAAGTATACCGAATCGTTGTTAGTAGTGTACACTTACGTTAATATAAGCACCACAAATCTGGGTCTGCTGGTCTTGAGTCGCATTGATGGTGCACTGTACATCATGTGCGTATTGATTGAGTAGTGACTTGTAGTTTTTATACACCGGCTAAGCGAAAATAGTTAGCATCGGCGAGTCATCGAAATGCTGCTCAAATGAAGCTAAACCCACTCCACTAGTATCAATACTGTTGTTCGTAGTATCGACGTCTGTCTGCATCTGATCACCAAATTTGATATTGATTTCCAGTGAGACGAGGACATCATCTGCAGTGCATGTGTTCTGTGCGGAGATAGAGGTGGCTAATGCCAGGAGACTCAAGATTGTAGTAAATGGCTTCATTATTGCGGACGCGGATGTGGTTCCTTGGACGTGGAGATGATTCGATCTCGGTCGTTGATGTAGTAGATGAAAGATTTTTGGATGTTGATGAACGCAAAGAACCTTATATACTGAAAAGTGAAGCTCACACAAGCTGAGAGTCAAACGAAAAATGTCAACAGTAAAACAGGTTTTCCTGGTCAGTCAAATCACCATTATGTTGCATGGATCAGCGATGGGCATTTTGAGTCTCTTCCAAATGTCTAATCTCAGGCTGCATGGGATAGTTCAGTTTCATTTGGTGCAAATTTGCTCTCACCTTGCGCTCTGTAGGTCATCGGTATTGTCAGCTCCCATGTCCCTGTCATTCAATCGAAGTACTGGAGTTACAGGATGAGCGTTTGAAATCGAACCAACTAGGATAATGGTATCCATCGCTATTCGCAAGCCTTGTCGGAATCCCACCTTGATCAGTCAGAATTCAAAAGCATCGGGGAGCTTGTACCCATTCATACTCCAATTCAATTGGTGGTTTTGTCAAGTAACAAACTTGGTTCATCAAAAGAAATAATTGTCAAGATCTAGGATTGGAGGATGGTCACATGCATGTGTCGAGAATGATACAGTCAAGTACCTACGCTATATGGTCATCATTATTGTCTCGTGTTGAGCCAGGAGCCCTTGAATTGATGACTTTGGGAATACTCAGGTGTGTTATTCGCTTTTGAAGCTCCCGAAGTCCTTTCTTGAAGTCGGTTCCAAGGTTGAATATTAAGTATCACCCGAAGCCGGCAATTCCTATAGGATAGAACAGTATTACCTTGGAACTGATGATTTGGATTAATTCCGATGGCAGTAACTTAAAACTTAAAATTTGTATGAGTATAATTACACGAATGCATAAACCATTCCCATTCAATCAAATACAAATATCGGTCTGGTTGTTGGCGTAATCTGCATAACGAATAGGAGAAAAAGATGACATGAATTCGCACTAGAAGGTCACGAGAAAGCCTCGATTTTCTATAATATGGTAAGAAATAGCATGGCTATCTCAGTGATCTGGAACTTCCAAGGTTACTTCCTGAGATCATAAGATTGATCGTATGACGTCCCAGCAGAGTCAAGGTTATGGTAAGTATATGGATACAGCGGTCGGCCCTCTCGCTCAACAATGTATCCCTCAGCATCTCCCTGGTTTCTTAACTCAGTGCCCATATCAAAGATGAATTTGATTGCACGAAGGATTTCCATGGGGTTGAATAAGCCAATCCAAGCCCGGGCACCGAGGAATCCACTCTTGTAGGGGCCAGTGCCAATATAGGGCGAGACTCGATAGGCACAAGGGAAGAAGAGGGCGAAAGGAACCATTTGAAGACATATGACGAGGTCAGGAATACCGATGTTAACGTCCGCATAGCTCAGTGTGGAGGTAGACTTGAGGGTATTGGTAGTTCGGAGGATGGTGAAGATAATCTAGAAATGCGGATCTCAGTAAGCTTGGATCCTGATAAATCTGGATGATGAACGACTTACCCTCTCGAGAAATGATAGACCGACAATCAACTTGAAAGCAAGTAGCTTTGCGAGTGGCTGGTGCCCGCTTAGATATGTTTTTAAAGTTCGGTAGAAGTTCAATGCTGCCATAACAGCAAACCCCACAGACACCGTCGAGATGATCGTGAGCTAAGGAAAGTCACTATAAGACAGCAATACTTGCATTGATGTAACGGGCTGTGACATACCCATAGGTGTGCAAAGTAAGGCTTGTTACTGTCCAAACAGTAGATTCCGGCAGCTTGTGTGATATCGGTCGCAATAGCCACACCAAAGGCGACCACAGGATATTGGAATATCGCAATCCATTGCTTCTTTAGTAGAAAGAAAAATTAGCAATCTGCCATAATCTGATTTGATGTAGGTCACCTACTCGGAACCATTCCAACCCAGTCACAAATGAATTATCTTTCTTTTGCGGCGCTTCGAAGGCAGCGAAGAAGACATTCACATCCGTCTGGGAGTCACTTGAAATAAATTGACACAACAACAGGAAGAACGACCCAAGAGCGACAGCCTGGAAAAAATCAAGCCAGGGTTCAAGGAATGTGTAGGCGTGTGGAAAGCATATCGATAAGAAGGACGTGATAGTATAGAGTGGAAGTAGGAAACAAATTTTCATGATCCTAAGCTGGTCAGAAGAATAATTTCTAACATTTGAATGGCTAGAATCTTACTTTATTAGCTCTTTTGGTTTGCTCAAGTGTATCGCATGCCAGAACATCAGACTAAAAATGACCAAACAGACAAGCGCGGCACAGGCTCCTGAAATTATCATATTCAGATGATAGAAGTATAGATTTCCCACTATAGGCTCGGATGCCTCTGTATAGAAGTCAGTAACCTGCTAAACGAGCGTGGTATGAGATCATCATACCTTTGGCAAATGTGGTAGGCATGGGGCAAGTATGATTGCTGCCATTGCTACTGAAGAGGCCCATATTGAGTTAGACTTGAAGATGCAAGCTAAGAGCGAGGTTTGAGTAGTCAATCTAGAGGATCCAATAAGAATCTGGAAAAGATGTGGAAAAATTAACAGGAGAATTGATGTACTATTGAGGTTTTTAAATCTCTGGCAGTCGAAATACCATGACCCATTTTGATCAGGAAATTATAAGGTTAAACTCGTATTGCGCCACAATTTTGTTCAGCTCAAGATGGATCCAGAAATAAACTGCATCTAGCAACCCCAAAGAAGAGAATTCTTTCGAGAATGAGTTGTTTTATCAATTCTGTGTTCGAGGCTCATCTTCTACTCCCAAAACCTTATTTGACTTTGATGCATATCATTGCCATATATGGTATAGCCTCGAATGGATTACCCAAATAAGGCTAGCGCGCATCTATAGTTTTTGTCTCGTGTAATCGCAGATCGCGTTTCTCTCCTTTTCAGGCTTTCAGTACTAGACTAGCTGAATATCCTTATATATTCTATTCAAATTTTCAAATGGAGGATGCCTGACGCAATCTATGCGAATAGCTGAGATGACGAGATATTGCTGAGTAGTAGATCGTTGCTACTTCTGATCCTATCTTGCGAACGCCCGCGACGCGTGCCATTTCTTTTTCCAGTGATGGCCCTGTGATGATTCATGTTGAGGCTGTCGAATATGAAATTGAATCAATCCGTTGAATGATATACAGTTCCAATTATAGGATATCAATTTCTTCATATGTTCAATGATGATGATCATACATACTTTTTTTTGATAACTTCAATGCATCCACCGGGGCAAATGTCAATAATCCATCACATGCCAATCATCATAAAAGATATCTACCATGGCTGTCCAAGGTTCTAATGGCTGTTCTTCACCCCTATCTCCGGGCTAGGACTCCGATTTCTCGAATGGCCATTCCTCAAAAAACTTCGTCAGCGCCCGACTAACTGAGCAAGGCACTATACTCAGATGCTCTTCCCATTCATATTCATCTTTCAAAAGCACACGCAGATGAGTAGAATCCTCTAACTTGAGAAGCAAGTCTAGAGCATTATCAGTCATTCGAAAACCCAGTGCGGTTTGCTTTCTCGCATCGTAGTCTTCATTGGATTCATTATCCCATCGAGGGGGGATTCTGCTCAAGAGCACCCCAGAAAAACATTACTGAAGGAACCTTCTCGCCTGTTAAGCTAGTCACATCAAGAAATTTCTCTGCCTCGTCCAAGATGCACCGACCATTCCACCAAATGGATGGACTGCTTGCCATGAAACAGTCGAAATAGTCAGGGCGAGTGAATAATGCATGAAGGGCGAACAGACCCCCATACGAATGCCCGAAAAGCGCCTCTCGCTCGAAAGATATTTTAGGAAAGCGTGATCTCACGGCTGGTTTGACTGAATTTTCAATGAAGTCTAGGAAACCATCTGCCTGTCCATGACCAGGTACAGGGGTTTCCGATGGGGGCGTCAAGTCGAGGTTGCGTTGTTCAATATCGTAGAGTTTACCCTCTAGAGGATACCCGATAGCAACGATGATTCCGCTGTTAAATCGCGACGAGTAGCCACGGCGCCATGCAGATTCGGTGGCTGTCAGAAACATGGAGTTTCCGTCAACCAGATATCTGTGGACCATTAGTGATGAGCCAAAAGATTATCTCAAGCATAATATTCGTAACCGCTCACATTATCGGGCAGGATCTGGGCTTTTCCCTATCCTCCCACAGCAGAGGCCAAGATACTTGGATTGAATATTTTCGGCCTTGGTCGTTCTTCAAGTAGAACTGCTCCGAGTTTGGTAGCGACACTGGGGTTGGATGGCCATCCGCATCAACAGTTTCACCCATTTTGATATTGAGGCTTCAACTCAAAGTGTGCTCTTCTAGTGTGATCAAGTGAGCGTCGTAGCTTGGTAAAACCGTGATGGCATCAGAGGGAATTTTGTATTCGCGGAGTGAGCATGGTTATCAGAGCATCTGACAGATAAATAATAATCGCCTGGGGCCGGATTTCGGAACCCACTCAGAAACATGACTCCACCATCTCTGTTTACATCTTCTTCTTCGCCCCACCTGAGCACCCGTGGACGAATTATGACATTTCGTGTCAAAGCTCGCCCCCTGTGACTCCATTGGTTTAACCGTTATTAGTGTGGTTTAGTGCATGTTTAGTCTGGAGATCAACAAAGACACTACCCTATTCTGCCAGCTTTCCTCTGCCAGCTCCGATCTCGAATTGAGGGTAATATCTGGATCTGTGGAAGGAAATAAGATTTTGATATTGCTTGTCTATGTCTCAATCAAGTTCCAATTTGATCTCTTCCAAGGTTGTTTGTACTCTGTTGCAGTTGTGGTTTATCGAGAGCATTTGACAGGCAACGTTGATCTATCCAAAGCAGAATACTGCAACTGGAAGGCGGTAAGAGAGTATACATCTCAGCCCTGGAGGAGTCAGATCCCACGATTCCCACGATTTATTATAGATCGATAAGCTTCTGCCCACTCTGTCTCCCCCCACTTTCTTCTTCAACTCTTCTACAATTCCCCCTCTTCTTCCCCCCTCTTCTTCCTCCCTGGTCTATACGACCATCTGACACCCCAGGCCTCCAAATTTGATCGTCAACAGTACTTCAAGTCGCCAAAATGTTTGAATGTGGCACCTGTGGTGATAGATTCAGCTGGAGAGATGATTGCTATGCTCACATGAATCATGAAAATCACTGGATTGAGTGCGAGACTTGCGACAAACTTTTTCTGAACCGTCACGGCTGCAATCAACATATGGATTCAATGAATCACTGGGCTCCACAATTTCCTTGCGAGACATGCAACTGCGTATTCTCATCGAATCAAGCTGTTCAAGCACACATGACGGCCAAGCCCCACTGGAAAAACTATTGCAAATCCTGTGACAGGCAATTCCAGAACGAGAATAATCTGCGCGCGGTATGCATACTAAAAATGCAAATTCACGAACCATAAAGTTGACCTGAATTTTTTTTCCAGCATTCAAATTCCAAAGTGCATCGTGGAATTGAAATGAAGTGCCCCTTTTGTTGAACAGGATTTGTCACAGCGAGTGGTGTCTCGCATCACCTAGAGACTGGCTCATGTCCAAAGGCCCCCAATTTGAACCGCCAAAAAATTGCTAGCATGATCCACTGACTTGATACCCAGGGAATGATTGCTAATAAACATATTGAATGGAACGAGGAGGAAAACGTGGAATACTCAGTGACAAATAGTGCACACAATGGCTACAACTGAGAGTGCTATTTGTGTCACCGGGAATTCGGCACCGTAAGAGCTCTGACCCAACATCTTAACTCGCCAGCCCATACACAAAAGGCATATAACTGTCCTAATCGCCGCGGCTGTCAGAAGCAGTTCGTTACGCTCGCCGCACTGTTCAATCATCTGGAGAGTGAATCATGCAAGTACATGAGGTTCGAAAAGGTTCAATCGGTGCACTCGCAGTTGACAGATTCAATTATTGGCAATACGCGAATTGCCCTTTTCTGAGTCCTTATATGACATGGATCTCTAGGACTTGGGATTGTCGTAACGGCTTTTGGGTCCTTGAATGAAATAATCTTTTACCTCTCATGCTGGACCGGTGGAAGCAATTGGGTGAGTTTCGGGCTTTTCTTTCATATCTAATTGGCCACATGCATTTATTTTGGCATTGTTTCTCAGCATCTTCATTCTTTTAATACCCAATTGATCTATCTTCTGCCAAATACAACGCCGACCGCTGGGCCCAGACTCGGCAGAGTGCATATTGAACACGGCTTTAGCCTAAACCATCACTATCCAAGCTACTAAAGTAAAATTACACATGGGCGACGAACATGAATTTGATGATTGGCTCTAATTGAAGTCCCTAAGGTAAACAAACGTCTCAGATGAATATCCCGGTCGGGCCCACATTCCATTTTCTCATCCGGCCTATCCCCGCCCCACAATTTTATAGCACTTCATAGACATCAATCTTCACATACCCCGGTCGCTGTGGAGGCTTCAAGTTGCCAAGAAACACAGAATGACCTAACCATCCATGCTTCTCATTGTTGACGTCAACCTCAAAGCGTGGATTGGTGCGTGTATACCAATCGGCTCCCTCATTAGCCATTGAGGCCTTGGACGGATCCGCATCCTCAAACACTACCTTCATTACAGATTCCAATTATAGCACCATCATCTGCTTGGAATGAGTACCGTGCATAGAGATGTACAATTCCATCGGCGCGCACTGCGTTTCAATCGCCTCCTGTGTTGCCTAGAACCTTTCCTGCAAATCTTGGTCCAGTGACTTTTCCGCCGGTGATCGGAATAAACCGTTTATCTCCAGTGGCAGTGGAACCGTAGTCCAGAGGTGGCGCGAGATCAACTTGTAGTGTGAAGACGTATTCGATTCGTGGAGCGAGGGTAGACATGGCAACCGCGACTCGTTAAACTACCAAAGAAAGTTAATAGCTTGAGCGGTAAAGGCCTCAGAAACCTTATGAAGTCCAGAACTAACGAGCTGAGCAAAGGTAAATGATGAGCGACTGGAAGATTTGGTCGACAGTGACAAGTCGTAAAATGTCCATTGATCCCTATATGATCACACTTACAGTTTTTAGGATTGTTTCGATGAATGTGTATATTTTCAATGCGTACAAGAACAAAAATACGATTGAAAGCTGGAAGCTTGAATTTAAACTATCTGATTTACTATCACTTTTGGCGGTTGATCAGGCTCATCGGCCCGGATTCCACCCCAGATTCTTACCCCACACTAATATACCCCGGTCGTTCCCCGGAATTTGTGTTACTATACTGTATAGGCCTTGGTCAAAAATGCTCTACGCGTCCACCTACCCGATTTCCCCCTATTCATATAAATTCTCCAGAGCTATCTAGCGATACAATGCAAAGCTCCAAGTCCAAGTCTATCTCACCTTGCATCTTCACCAACTTTAGACATGGGCAATCACGACTTTGCTCTTCTCCCCTTTCCAACCAATGATCCAAAGGATCCTTTGCGATGGCCCTCAGGCCTCAAATTTGTGGCTATCCTGGTCACATCTTCCGCCAATTTTGTGTCAAATATAGGAGGAGCAGGAATCTCAGTGGCGATCCCGCTGTTGATGGAGGAATACCATAAATCTCAATCAGGGGCAACTCAAGTTCTAACGGTATGGTATTCGATAATCTAGGGGAATGAAGAGCTCAAAGCTAAAAAATTTCCAGTTGAACTTTCTCTTTCTCAGCATTGGCAATATTTTCTGGGTACCGGTCGCTATGAAATCTGGCAAACGTACTGCCCTTCTATCATCGATGGCTTTGCAGACGGGAATGTTCGCGTGGACCGCTGCTGCCAGATCATTCCATAGTCTGTTGGCTGCTATGTGTTTACAGGGATTTGCAGCTGCAGCTGGTGAAGTATGCGTTGGAAGATTTCTAAGGTTTCCATGCTTGTGATTCGACAGTTAGCTAACTATGTTGACAGAGTATTGTTCCTGAGATTGTAGCAGACACTACCTTTGTCCACCGTCGAGGTGCCATGATGTCCATGTAGGTGCAAAAGAGGATTATGCTACAAAAATCAAGCTAATAAGTACCTTTCAAAAGTTACATCCTCCTTATTTCAGGCGGTAGCGCAATAGGTCCACTCATCGCTGGCTTCATGACTACAGAGCTCGCCGATACATGGCGCTCCTTCATGTGCCTGTGCTGCGGAGCTGGAGGACTAAACTTCTTTTTGATATTCTCTCTCTACCCAGAATCCAACTTCACGCGTCCTGAACTCGACTTAACCACCGACCAACTGGAAATGATGCGCAATCGAGAGTCCTTCAAAGCAAATGAGAATATCCCTAAAGAGGAACTGTGCGAGGATGTCAAGGCCGTACCTTTAGAACAGCACGATTACACTATTCACAATCCATCTTTCCGAGAGATCCTACCGCTTGTTTCATATAACACTGATGTGAATTTCTTGAAGGTCATGTTCGAACCTCTGAAGCTTCTCATTCATCCTTCATATGGTGGAGGATTTTCACTTACACCGTGACACTGAGCCCCCAGATAATTCTGATGTGAGTGATTATCTATTCCCCAGAGGCCCTTCAATACTAATCTCGCATCTAAAGTTTCTGCATGTCCTCTCTCCTCGAAGCACCTCCATACCTCTTCTCAACACAACAAGTCGACCTAATGCAAGTAGCTGCGATAATCGGCTTCCTAATCGCCTGTCTCGGTGGCGGAAAGCTCTCCGATATGATAAAAAACGCGATCGTCCGCCGCAGTTCTGGCCAAGACATCTGGCCTGAGCAGCGTCTAATCTCCCTAGTCCCTGGAATGTTGTTCGGACCCGCATGATGCATTCTTCTCGCTTTTGCGTGCGGGAACCAGCTACCCTGGATTTCTATCGCGGTTGGATTCGCACTCGTTTCTTTTGGATCAGTCTACACGCCTAATATTGCGATTACGTATATCGTGCACCGTCATCAGAGACACGCTGCAGAGTGTTTGGTTTTGATTAATATTTTCAAGAACCTTGTTGCGTTTGTGTTTTTATACGTGGCTGTGGAGTGGGTGGATAAGAATGGGTTCGTGCAAGTTTATATGATCATGTTCATGTCAAATATCCTGATTTTGGTTTGTGCTGTGCCGCTTTATTTCTATGATGCTAGAAAACATCGAAATATGGAGCAGGCTTTTTAATTGATGTATGTTATATCCGAGTATGACGGTCGCATATCAACGCCTTGAACATGATGCAGTACTCAGTGTTATATGTCCTAAGAGTCTATCGACTGGATGACCTTGCATACTGCATATATCTTTTATTCATTAATCAGTAACTTGCACATGTGGAGATCAAATAGGATATAGAGTGAGATTATGGGATGCCGATAAATATGAATTCAAGTTTCCGCGCCAGAGTGGCAAAAAAAAGTGTTATTGCCTCACAGCTAAGGCCGCAACGGTAATCTAGAGCAACATCCATGGATTTGAACGTAGACCCGGAAGCCGGGTACGACATTCTGTCGCAAGCAGGGCAGGAAGAAAACTGTAGAAAAGGTCTACCAGAACAAAAGGACACATCCCACAAGCACAGGCCATGTTACGAGGAAAACAGCTCGGAAGAATGAATTCAATTTCACCCGAACGCGAAGGATGTTGTATCAGATGTAACAGATACGCACATGAACGACCGAAGCTCAAAGCTCTGAAGGGCAATGGTAGACTTATAATAGTGAGTCAGTCATTTCTTAAGAGAACGCAGAAAATCAAAGATTATTTAACCATTCCTTGGCTGTCCTTCATTGCACTTCAGTATCCAGATCGGAGTCGAGACGATGATCTAGAGCAGGCAATCACCAAAGTCTTCACCCTGCAGAGTTCTCTTCGTGATAACCTCCAGAAAGAGGTCAGCAAAAAAGAAAAAACAATCATCTAGGGTCGTCGAGCATTGTAACTTCAGCAATACTGCACACGGTACTCCATACACCTCCAGTGCTGCTACTGTTCAATGTGGGCCGTTCGATGTGGATGTGTACAGGCTAAGCCTAATTAGACGATGGATATTCACCTGGGCATTTAACAACGATCGGATAACACACGAAAGAAGACCAGATACTTACTACTACACGACCTCGGGATGATGTATCCGAAACTTGGGCCAGGTCACTTAATACACCCTGGTCAGCCAGAGCGAGATCGCGGGCTCAAAATGCCGAAGAGGAATCATTTGTCAGACTTCATGTCAGTGCAGCTGACATGGGCTACTCGAAAGATACCCCGCCCAAGTACTTTAGCCGCATATTCAGGGGAGCCGATAGCCAATGATGGGCCGTGGGATTGGGGCCAAAGCTCCGTTTTCTCTTGTTATTTTTGGTCAAGTTCTCGGCGCGCGTGCGTCGACTGGGCGGGCCCTCATGGTCGCATCAGCATGGTCGCATGATATTCAACTTCGGACAACTTTGGTTCGACTCAGTGTAGAAAACAGAACATGAAATCTGGGAGATTAAAGTGATCATGGCAGATCCTATGAACGGTTAGTCCCTACATGTTTGCTTTTAAAAAGTACTCACCTGCTAATCTCAGTAGACGCCGCCGAGGAACTTCCCCCTGATCCGGAGGGAGGCCCTCCTGAAAGCCCTAGCTATGGCATGGAAGAAATCAGGCAAGCAATCCTCCAAAACAGAGGTGCTGTGGTGGAACAAATACTGGTCAAAAACCCCGACATTCGCGAGATAAGATTTGATTTCTCGTTCGAGTCAGAGAACTATGTCACGACTGGGATGACCCCTTTAATATTTGCCGCCTTTTTGGGCCGATACACAATTGCAAAGCTACTCCTCTCTCAGGGGGCTAATATGCTGACAAGAACTAAAAGTGGAGGTGTGAATGCTTTCCTGGCGACTGCTATGGAAAACTTCTTGGATGTTGGAAAATTGATTCTCGAGGCGGGAGGACCGACTCTTCTGGGCTTGCAGTCCACAGGAAGACGCAACGCCCTTTGCCTTGTAGCGTGGAAGGATGGAGTCGAGTATCCTCAATATTTACTTGACCACGGAGTCGATGTTAAGATCGAGGATCAGGACGACCAAACGGCACTACATGCCGCTGCCTTGAGTGGAAATCTCCGTCTTGCTCAAATTCTCCTAGAGAAGGATCTGGATCTTCTCGAGATGGAAAACTCATGGCGACAGACACCGTTGCTCCTTGCAGCTACCAATGGCCACTTTGATGTTTTTCGATTCTGTCGGATAGAGGCCTTACTGCCTGAGATTACGTAAACCTACACTGTATTTTTACCCCTTAGATTTAGCAGAATTGAACACACATACACACATCTGTACAATTGGACCCCATTGGGTGCCACATGCTGCTGAATAAGCCTTTATTCTGACAGATTCCTTTTCGAAAAGGGGGCTGACACATCAAAGCGTGACATTGACAACAACGATGTCCTTAATATTGCTGCGACCGAAGGGCATTTAGAGACTGTGAAAAACCTTGTAGAGAGACCTGCGGGGCAGGATCAAGAATTACACCTGGAGTTAACAGGGTTTGATACTCAAACTCCTGTGATGGCCGCCGCTTGGTACGGACATTTTGAAACATTTCAATACCTGGTCAACAAAGGCGCGGATATGACTAAGCTCGATGCAAGTGAAAGGACAGTGCTTCATCTAGCTGTGGAAGGGGGAGATCTTGGAATTGTGAAGTTCATTTTGGAGAATACCGATCCGAGCAAGCAGTCTACTCTTCTGGAGACAGAGAATACTGATGGGGACACGGCGTTCCTAAGCGCAGCAGACTTCGGTAATCTCGAAATTGTTCAATACTTGGCCACGAAGGGAGCAGAAATAAGAAAGGCAAATCACAAAAATTGGAATGCTTTATGTCTAGCTGCAAGAAGGGGAGTCAGCGAGGTAGTAAAATTTCTGGTTGATCATACAGTTTTTGGCAGCGGAAGCATTTCTCAAGGAATGGGACAGGATGAAAGCACTCCTCTCATGCTCGCAGCTGAGAACGGAATGGTTGATGTCACTCGTTATTTCATTGAGAAAGAAGCGGATACTACAAAGACTGACGCATTTGGCAATACGCTTCTACATTTAGCTGCACACGCTACAAACACCGATATTCTGGAGGTCCTGCTGGAGAACACTTCCAAGGAAGAAAAGCAAACTCGCCTAGAGAGACGAAGTAATAATGGGGACACTCCCCTCGAAGTGGCAATCTTTAATCGCAACGTGGATGCGATTACGTTTTTCCTAGACCAAGGGGCACAAGTTGATGCCCATGGTAATAAGGGAGAGAGGATGTTTCTGGATGCTGCATTATGTGGGCATCTAGAGCTGGTTTAAGAACTAGTAGAGAAGCGGTCCGACCTCCTGGATCACATCAACGAGGCCGAGGAGACTGGATTGTCTTTTGCGTCAAGTGGAAATGTCAAAGTGGTCGAATACTTTTGTACCAAGGGTGCAAACGTCAACTTCCAGCAGTTAGAAGGAGAAACTGCACTCTTCCGTGCCATGCGGACTGGGTCAAGGTCTATTGTGGACTATCTGATGACGCAACCAATTGATTTCAGACTCACAAACAACCTTGGGAGGAATGTACTACATCATGCTTGTGACTATGGCTTCCTTGATGTTGTGGCAAAGGTGTTGGATCACTCTTGGAATTTACATCGACATGAGGATTGGAAGGCAACGGTCATCGGACGGGATATCAAAGGAAGAACTCCCGCTTCATTGCGCTATCACTAGAACCAACGTCGACATTGCAATAATTTTTCTATTCCTGGAGTCGGACGCTTACTTTCTGAGTAATCCTGCCCAAGACAAAGGTCTCATTTCCTCTCCTGAGGAGAAAGAACTGATCTCTGTTTGGCTTGAACGATGGATTAAAGTCATGGCGCGTACGGAGAGTCAGAGAAAGATTGAGGCGATAATTTATTGGGCTCTTCTCAATGACGATAGACACATAATGACCCTGATAGGGGAGCTTGGTAAGACTCTGACCTTGGATCGAAGAGGAGTCACATGGTTACATGTCGCTGCGCTTGTTGGGAAGGCTAAAATGGAAGGTAACGTGCTGCTGGACAATATGGCTGCCTGGGAGGATCATTTATTGGAAGAAGTGAGCCCAAGAAATAAAGCGACACCATTTAGTATTGCTGTTAAAGAAGGCAACTCTGATATGGTGGAGTTGTTCTTGGATCATATTGATTCTTCCAACCTACTGGGTCTTCTTGTCCGGGTGTCAAAACAGGAAGAAAGTCTGATCTGGCAGGCTGCAATCAATCGCAAGAACTCCACCGAACAGTTACTATGGAAAAGTTTGTTTAGGATAATCAAAAATGAGGCCGGGTTATTTGACTTTGCAGCTCCACATGGAAAGGACCAAGAGCTTCTCATGGGACTTGCAGCATGGAGATACACCACGGGAATCGAATACCCTTTCAATGTCCTCATGGATCATATGGAAGAAACTTTACCACAGAAGATAGAGCATTCCAAGCCGTCGCCGACCTCCTTGCAGTTAATTGTGCGTCACAAATTTCCAGTGGCCCTTTGGTGGCTTCTGTCTAGCGGGACCTACTTTGGAGACAGCCACATTAAAGAGGGCAGATCAGAAATGGAGCAGTGGGATTCTACATCCAAGCCAGGAGAAAAGAAATCCAGGAAATTGATAAAGAGTCTTTTGGACTATTCACCTCCTGAACGGCCGCTTTCGAACTTTGAAACTGAACTACTTGATTTTAGATTCAGGGATACAATCTCCGATATGCAGGAGGGTACAGTTGTTGATCTCACTATCAGTGACCAAAACAATATTACCATTCAGTTTGCTCAGTCTTCCATGAAAGACATCATCTACGCAAAAGGACCAGATCAGATCATGAGAGAAAACAAGAACTACAGTCTCAAGGACATAGACAGTGAGCTTTTTGGGGTACGGATTAGCCGGAAAGAGAGGCAGAAGAAAGCAAGACTACAACCCAAAGACAACACAGGTACCGGGAAACAGGATGCAAAAGAAAGAAGACGCGAAGAGATAGAGTTAAAAACTGGGTCAGAACAAAATTGCGTCTTGAACGCAGAGTCCGGTGGATTCATATCCCAGCAAACAATGTGGGCATCCCTCCCTGAAGGGCTTTCAATAGATGATTCCTTTACTTACTCATCGAATTCTACCCACAGATGCACTTGGTTTATGTAATTGCGCCTTTCATTTTGCGGAGAGTTGATATTGATGTTCTCTAGGACCTCATGGTACGAGTCACAAGAAAAGAACATGAGTATTCCGGCCCAGCAATCATTGAGTGAGTTCTTGTGGAGAAGCCAAACAGAGATCTCTGCCGGAGGTAGAGACCAAACTTTGAGGCAAAACTGTTACATGAAGCCCCAATGTGAGACGATGAGTTAGTAGTCAGAATGAGAAAACGAGTTGTCCTAAGGGGATAACGATGTTGACACTATAAAGATACAAAATGGGCTTGGAAGTGGCGATCAAATTGTGAAGAATGAGTCGCTCCAGGCTACTGACTCAGCTATCTTCGAGATGTCAGCGCTCTATGTGAATACCACTCAATCACCTTGCAAAATGTCCAATAGCTAATATTTTATACAGATGCCATACCTGTTCTGGGGTAGGGAGCCCGGTCTCAGTAAAGATCAAGAGGATGGCCTCGAGTTTGAAGTTCTGCCTGATGAAGATACCTCCAAAGCACCTAAATTAACGCTGGTACCAGACGATGCTGCTCAACCTTTAGATCGAGAAGGTGAGAAAAAGTCATTCGAAACGATCGATGACGAGGGATTTCCGTTACCGCCTAGGGAATCGGCAGCGATTATCTCCACAGGGAGGGGGTCTCCGATGGAAGTTTAAAACAACAAGGGATGAAGGGTAATATCAAAAGACCGATTCACACGTCTCTCACTCTTGACCAATACTACTATACATCCCTCTCCGACACGATGCAAAGAGACAGGTCGCAGGTAGTCGGTCGGTATTTTGAACGACTAAGGAAAGATCTGGCTGAATCTTCCAAAAATAGAAGTCATGATGAGCGGGTCATTGATAAGATGGTCAAGAGTGTTGCAGAAGCTCAGATTCTGATGGTGAATCAACTATGGCTGTGGACACTCCATGACGGTATGCTTGCTATATAACCCTTCTCAACTAACTCCCATGATGGCTAACTTATTTAGATCTCATCATCACGAGCACGACTCAACAACCAACAGACTTTGACCCAACCTTTCTACAGCGAGCTCTCCGAGTTCTTCGAGACCAGAGTGGAAACTTGACCTTCACAGCCAGACAAGTGGTAGATTTTATTCTCCATACAGCAAGGGATTTATTTGACGCCCAAGAAATTGAGACCCGACTTTCACCTCAAGAGAAGAAGTCGCCATTGGAAATATCCCGAGAATCTTTGCAAAGCATTGTAATTTGAGAAAACAGAATTTAAGTGATACCGGCTGATTTTGCGTAGCGCGATGAGGAAGCAGACCTGTTTACACGATTCATGAACTCACTCGGGCCTAACAAGAACAAAACAAGGTCTTTTGAAGAACCTAGTCAATCAGGATTAATAAAGAAGCAAAGTCAAGAGCCTGAGCTACCCCAGATACCGATCGCAACGGATGGGAATGAAGCACGGGGGAATGCTGACTTAGGTAGATCCATTCTTGGCTTTCACGGTTCTCTCAGAAACCGTTTCAGGAAATGGAAGAAAAACATAAGTCAATCGGCAGGAAAAAATCGTTATGAAGACATCCACCGGGAGATAGACCTTTTGTACCAGGTCAAAGATATTTTGGATGAACTCAACATGTTGAAGAACTTAGCACAAGACCAGGAGCACATCCATTCAATTTGGAAAGGCATTGAACTGGGCAAGAACAAGGATGCAGGTACAGAGAAGTTGAATGCCGAAAGGATGGATATCGAAATGAAGAATAGAGACATCGAGATTGAATGGAAAGAGTTGGAGGTCGAAAGAAGGGAAATCGAGATGATGCGGAAGGCGATCAGTGCCAAGGCATCCGATCCTGAGGATGGCGAATTAGCCGCCATAAATCAGAGGGTACAAGAGTTTGACGAAAAGGAGATTGAGATCTACAAGAAAGAGATCAGCGTCAAGAAGAGAGAGCGAGAAATCCTGAAGACGGAAATCGGAGTCAGCGACCTCCCACGGAAATCCGAATGGAATCCACCAGTGACTCCAAGGGAGCGAGTGAACGAGATTCAAAGAATGATTGCAGACGCTCAAAGCGTTCAGAACGACATCACATCATTGCTTGATCTGAAGCAGAAAGAAGCCACTATCATCGAGGCCCAGGCGACACGAAGACAAAGTGATAGTGTGATGGTTTTCACTGTGGTTACTGTTATTTTTGTGAGTACACTACTTGGCCCTGTCTCAGAGCTCTTCCAAGATTTTCCATACTAATCTTGATTTAGCTACCGGCCTCTTTCCTTGCGAGTCTCTTTGCGTTGAATGTTGTCGAATATCCCCATCGTGGGGATAGCGTTGCTTTCCAGGGGCGGTGGATCTTCCCCATAATTTGTGAGTCCTTTACCCTCTTCAGGATATAGTATCTTGACCGGCTCCGATGAAAATTTTCTCATATCTCTTCTTTCAGTTGGAGTTACACTTGCATTCTCTCTCGTCGTCGTCCCCCTTGCTTTCAACGCTACCATATTTAAGAACTTCGTTTCGGAACGACTGAGAAGAGAAAGAAATTAGAGGTTGGTTACCGTGAATACCAGGAGATGATACAGAAAGCGAAGAAGGATCGAGATGAGCGACAAGCAGCGGAACGTCAGTCAAGTTTGTCAGATCCAAAGAGACAAGTCGATGAAGAAATGGGATTGGACACAGAATGATGGATCGCGGCACAAGACTATCTGAGTACACTAGTATCTTTCCGTGTATAGTGCCTATTGTTTTACTGCATGATTGGTCTCTTTGTTGGATAACATGATCCTTTTATCGATACTCAAGTCCATATGATTAGCCTCAGTAGACAAAAGCCGACATTGCTTCGGTGTCTTCAGAGACACCAAATCCTTGTCATCTAATTACACTAGCAAAAGCCACACGTATTCAAAATACGCAGAAAGTATTCATCTATGTCAACAAAAACTGATTTCTACGATAGAGACATCTCGCCGCCGTCCAAAGAAGCTGCAGTGGGTGACTGGGGTGAGGGAAGACCTGTCTCTGCATTGATGAGTCCGGTAGACTGGAATTGAGCGTTAGCTTTTTTCATATAATTCGAACCATGAAATGGGTGCCCACTTACTGATAGTGCAGATATGATCGCTCGAACATTCTCTTTTCCATCGGCCCCGATGCCAACTCCCCAGCCAAGCGAAGCTCCATCCAACGTACACTCAACATAAGTCACCTTCCGGGTGGCCTCGGAAATAAACTGGTCTTTGTGATTTTGAACGGGACGCACATATCTACCCAAGACCTGAGAGATATGCAATGCAATATCGCCAACACTTCTCCTTGCACAGGTATCCAGATTCATGCTAAACTGGGCGCCATTGATCTGTCTGACCCAAACACGAGAGTCCACCTCCCCAACTGCATATGTGCGTAAGAACAAATCGCAAACTTCTCGCTCAACAAGAGCTCGGCTGACACGTTCTGATTCAGACTTAACATACTTCGAAAAAACACTGGCCAGTACGTCTGGAATATTAAGCTGGAGCCCCTGCCGAAGGACCCATGAGACCCCACTCTTACCACTCTGACTATTGATACCAATTACACAATCGAATGTCAAACCGACATCCGCCGGGTCAAGAGGCAAATATGGTATACGCCATGTAGGTTGCACATTGGACTCTGCCTCAGCCGCAGAATACTTTTTCAGGCCCTTACGAATCGCATCTTGATGAGATCCACTAAAAGCACGGAAGTAGTAGTCGCCTGCATATGGGGCACGAGGGTGTATGGGCAACCCAGTTATTTCTTCATACACCTGACGAGCACGAGGAAGAATTGAAAAGTCCAGTCCAGGATCAATTCCTTGTGTCAGGTAGTTGAGGCCCATAGTAACAAGATCGAGGTTCCCGGCACGCTCACCATTGCCAAAGAGACAGCCTTCAACTCGATCTGCGCCAGCTAAGGTGCCGAGTTCTGCAGAAGCAACGGCGCAGCCGCGATCGTTGTGTGTGTGCAGTGATATACAAACCGCGTCGCGGTTGGAAATATTGCGTGAGAAATACTCAACCTGATCAGCGTATACATTGGGTGTATAAGATTCCACGCTGGTTGCCAAGCCAAGAATAATGGGTTTATCTGGTGTTGGCCTCCAGGCTGCCTTGACAGTCTCTGCAAGGCGTAGTGCGACTTCGGGTCGACTGTTGCCAAAGTCCTCAAACCCAAATCCGAAGGACCAATTGGTCTGCGAAGAGGCATAGGGGTCATCCTTTGTTATTGACCGGAGGTATTCCACGCAAGTCCTCGCGCGTTCCAGCAAGGCTTCCTCACTGGCTTCGAAGATGGTTTCTTGATAATTGTCACTGGTCGCCAAGAAGGTGAAGATGATGACATTCCGAGCACCCCTGATACTTTCAACAGCTCGAGCAAGTGTATCCTTCCGACAGGGAGCGATGACCTCGAGAGTTACATCGTCAGGTACCACTCCTGATGAATCGGCGACGCTTCTTGTGAACGCAAATTCTGTTTCCGAAGCGCAGGGAAATGATATTTCTATCTGCTTGAACCTCATTGCAAGAAGCAGATGAAAGAACTTCCACTTTTGTTCAAAATTCTGGAGTCAATTTTCAGTACCATTGAACCTTCGTGGCATCAAGAATTTTACATACCATTGGGCTTGGGAGTGCTTGATTTCCATCGCGAAGATCTGTCGATAGCCAAATTGGAGCCTTGTCTTGTGACTTTGACGGCCATTGGCGATCGGGCAAGTTGGCAATTGGCAACCTCTTGTGATACTTCTGGGCAATATCACTTGTGGAAAGAGGCATCTTGGATTTGGTTATATTCGATCAACCCAGTCCGAGCTATTATTCAGTTGGATACGGTTTTAAGGACATGGGATGTTCCGAGTTTGATTTTCTGATTTAATTCAACAGAAAATGCCCATAATTATGATGTCAAGGGTATTATTGCTGATATCAATTAGCTTCTATAAATCTTCAAACCCAAATCCGCCACCCTTAACTGGCAACTGCCCAATAGAGCTGTCAATCGGTTCAAAGTACACTATCCAAAACATTCGACAAACCCAGAGGCCCCTAGCGGAACCTTGCTGCAAACGCAAATATCCATCGTGAAAGGATATTTCTTCTTGAGGCAGTATCTGGCAGTCAAAGCTGAATAGGCCGATCGACCTGAAAAAGTACCTGGTCGTAGCCTAGAGATTGATCGACAAAGTTTATGAAAATAGTCCGCACATGAGGGGTAATATTATAGACTATCAATTGTAGCCAGAATGGTGGAATTGGCGCTCTCTACAAAGTACACAGTAGCCAATGATCAATCGGTAACAAAAGCATGTTAAAATGACTGCGGAGAGGTTTCTCAGCTGCCCAGGTGCATTTCGTCGTATTTAATCCACGAGGTTACACAGATCGACGGGGTAACACAGCTGAGATCGACGTGCATTCAAAAATTCGTGTTTTACGTACTACGTAGTCCGTGTAGCGTAGACTCATGATGACTGGTGGACTCCGTAGGCCCAGCCAATCGTAACTACCAAACACTAGCGGGGCACAAACATTTGAAGCAGTTGAGTCTAATGCAGTAGCTCATATCGCAATGCACGTAAGCTGCATGTGTTTTTCCAGGGGCTTGATCTACGTAAACTTCAGGCAGCCCTGTCAAATGTGAGAGGTACCTAGCAGATACGCATGCAAGAGGAAAGTATGAAGCTTGAGATTTTTGATATTATCTCAGCGGACGCGCAGATTCCGATTGTTCTCCGGAACACTCCACTCCAGACCTCGGGAGTTCATGATATTCCAACCTTCACTGCCCAGGTGTCTCACCAAAGTGCTTAAATACCGGGATTATTTTACATACCCATCAATAGTACGAGTACTGTACGTGTTTATCTCAGGTGACGCGCAACTTGAAGCCAATGGAACGCGTTAATTTCAAAATTTACCTACCCCGCAGTTGAATTAAATACAATAAATACCATACAATACTATTATCGATCCCCCATGTAACAATGGAAGTATTCCACAGACGTCCCTACTTCAAGCTGCGCGCTAGGCACTTGTTTTGTTTGCTGATCGCATCATTAGACCTGAAAGATTAGCACTTAACTTTGCGATCCCAGGTAGCATAGCTGCACCAATGGCTTGATACGTAAAGTTTCAAAGTATGCAATGAAAGTCCGAGTCGTGATGCGGCCAATGTGCTAGTCTGCAAGGTACAATTGGCAGTTGAAAAGGTTGTGAGCATACCTAGGTAATTCCATCGACCCGAGTGCTTCAATTACTAGGCATTACGATCAGAAAATGTTCAAGTTGAAGCAAACTTTTAAAACTTGAAGTTGCAAGATCTGCACACATGTATGTTCAGAAATATTTGTGATACCGCCGGACTGGCTTGGGTTACTAGGAAGTGGGGGGAAAAGCGCATGAGGTTCCAATATTTGAAGGTTCAAGTTATTCATAGGACACCAACAAATGGATGAACTGAAACATACAAACTCTCAGATAGAATATTTGATAGCGGTTCAAGCACTTGACCTACTGCGGAGCACCCATCAATGTGTCTAATGGCGCTCGGAAACTCCTATCTTCTCGCCCACCATGTAGCGTGCCATGGGATGTTGCGGATCTTCAACAGCGGAAATGGAAGCTTGGCTCGCTTTCTCAAAAACAAGAGCAATATCTGAACCGCCATACTGAAAGAAAGCGAGCTCATCTCCCTTGCGCAATTTTTGACCCGTTTCCACACTCAATTGTACCGACGAGATGTGGCCCATACCAACCGGCAGAATTGCCACTTTGCCAATTTGTGTATCCAGAACAACCAGTCCCCGTGTTTGGCACCATTGATAACCCTCCTCTTTATCTCGGTTACTCTTTGGACGTCCTTCTACGGCGATTGCCTCTAGCATTGCCTGTCCATTAATAACACGGGCCTCAAGGACTACGCCATCGAGTGGTGAATGCATGCGGTGATAGTCCCACGGGAAAAGAAGGGAATGCACAAATGTACCGCCGCGAAATTCATCCTTAAAGATACTGTCTTGGAGTAGATCAGAAATCCGCCAAGAAATCCCTTTGAAAGTGACGGTACCGTCCTGATCATCGATGGGCCAAGAATCCTGATATGCAGAATCGGCAGGGCTGACAATCACGGTAGGATCTTCGGGATTGGCAATGGGTCGGCATTCCGGTCGAACTCGGCGAGCAAAGAACTCATTGAATGTATTCCAACCACCTTCAGGTATAATGTAATCATTCAGGTTATGCTTCGGACACGCAAAGAAAGTCGCCAGTGATTCAGAAGTAAGGGAGGCAGGAGTATCGAGAAATTCTCCCAGGCTGCGTGCATAGGAAACGAGCCAATTTGACATCCAAGACAGAGGAACATGCGTTGTTTCCGGACTGATCTCTGTCTGGAGGCTGCGGACAGCTTCTTGTTGGAACAGGAAGTAAAAGACTCGAACGCGCTCGAGAAGTTGGGTCGCTGTGACTATTTCGCTAGGAATCCAAGTCAAGAGAGTGTCCATGTAATCGAAATAGTCATTCAGGGTACGGATGCTGTACTTCTCCATGTATACTGGCGCTTGGCTGATACAATCAGCAACAGCAGCCTGAAACATGGATTCCCAATCATCTTGTTGATGGATTTGATCGACGAGAGTCTGAACAATTTTGGAGCGTGCCGCCATTTTGGAATGCAAGAGCTGAGAATAAGAAGTTGTAAGGTTGATGGGGAAATTGAAAGCTTTCTCTTCGCAGGTGACACCGAATTGAAGAATATTGAATAACTGCTGGGATTCTCGGAGAAATACGCAACACAAAATTCAATGTCCATTATTTCACGAGTGGCACGGACGTACCCTGCTAGTATGGGGTAATCTGAATGAATACTCATTGGCTTCATGGTAAGAAGCGAGTGCTCTGTGCCGTGTCGTCTACCTAGTCCAAGTGAAGGCGCCTAGGACTCGCCAATACAGTTAGCTCATTCGTGTTCAATATATGCAGGCGGTGCAGAATGTACTAGCACCAAAATCTGGGGATGGCACAGATAGACTTGGCTGATGTACAGCTCTCAGTGGCTGATCTTGTCACGCAAAGGCACAGCTGAAGGAGACTCTTGCATAAATTATGCATGAAAGTGGAGATCCTTCAACTCAGCTCCCACCATCAATTCAGCTATCGATCTATCCACACCCCACACCGCCACGTCCGGTTTTCACTTTCTCAATCACGCAAGAAAGAGAAAAAAACAAGTGCCGAAATGGATAGAGCATAGCGGGTTAGGCGTCACACAGTTTCCACAGCGGATTGCTGAGGCAGTAAGACTGTAAGGGGCTAACTCGGAGTTACATTTGAAGATTCACCGCGAGAGTGGCTATTGATGTTATGGCTATGCCAGGCAGGATTGGAAGCACAGCAAGGTGCATTTCCGCTAATTGTTCTGCATAGTGATTCATAAGTATGTTATTTATTCAGATATTACCGAGTACTATGCTCTCATACACTGTGTAGACTTGGGCCATCGCTTCCATCAATATGCCCTCCGTGATCCTGGTTTCTCTGCTTCTTTTCATTTTATTCTGTGTCAAACCTTTTCTTTTCCCACGAACCGGGAAACTACCCTTCATTCCATTTCATCTCTCACTTTATGATGCAATTCGTGGTGTTGGCAAAACTCCCTTCTATGATAACCGTCTCCGCCCACTAACTGAGAAATACGGCGCAGTGTGGTATTGGAGTGCAGGTAGATGGGTAATCCTCCTCACAAAACCCAATTATCTCACCCGGGTATTCAAGAATGAACAAATCGTTTCAAAGGCCGGTTTTATCAAGAAAGTTCCATGGGGGGGTTTTCGCCAAACTAATGGGTGAGAACATCATCGACGCCCACGAGGATGAATGGAGATATATTGCATCGGTGATGAAGCCGGGCATCCAGCGAACTTTTAGCATCGCCTCATTGGTGAAGAAATCCCAAAAGCTTGCAAGACTTTTTCTCGAGACCCAGAGGCTCAACGCTCCCGAGAATTCAGGAGTTACTGTGGATCCATTGACGCACCGCTGGTCTGTTTCCACGTACTGCGAGTATTTCCTTGATGTTGAAGTAGAATGTCTGGAGCGAAGTGATGTGCGACTGGAAAAACTCATGGGCAAAATGGGCGACTCTGTGATCCCACTTGCTCCGTTGTTTACCGAATTTCCCATTATTGAGCGGCTTTGGTGGTTATTTCCTGACCGTCGTCGTGCCTTTGGATATGTGGATGAGATCGAGAAACAATTGGTTGCATACACGGAACAACACATGAAAATCCCACCCTCTCCTGAAAACGCGGACAAAATGATACACGGACTACAGCGCGCCCGTGCAGAGGGGAGTCTATCCGAATATCGCTATCGCTCCAACCTCAATATGTTGTTCGTTGCAGGAACGGAAAATATCCAGATAGCACTCACATCTGCCATGTGGGAGTTGGCAAAGAATTTGGATCTCCAGAGCGCTGTTCGTGACGAGGTTATAGATTCCTTACCTGGTACATATTCTGGAAAAGACATCAATAATCTGCCACGACTGACTTCCCTCTGCCTCGAAACCCTCCGCCTATACCCACCTCTCAGTCAGCTTGTTGGCCGGTACGCACTAGATGACATGCCTCTTGATGAGGAAAATGTGATTCCTAAGGGTACATGGGTTGGATGGAGCGCATATGGTGTACAGACAGACCCAAATGTCTGGGGTCCACGAGTGAGGGAGTTTAATCCCTCACGATGGGGTACGACCATCGAGCAGATCAACGACGCTTTCCGCATGCACCAGGCAAAGGGCAATTTTATTACATTTAACGGGTATACACGCCGGTGCTTGGGGAGTCATTTCGCTCTGACTCAGTTCAAGGTTGTGCTGTGTGAGCTTTTGAGGGCGCTCAAGTGGACCAGAGATCCAAGCTACAAGCTGGAAACTACAGTGGTATGTTATTCTTTTTGACTATCATGACCTGATGGCTACTAACGAAATCTCAAGCGAGTTTTGATGGGGCCGTCGAAGTCCCGACTGATATTCACAGAGCTGGGCGATGAGCGTAGTTAGATACACAAGCATTACTAAAGCCTCCCACTATTTATGATTTACTGTGTATGTAGAGTAAAAGAAAAAATATGTCAACACACGATTTTCAAATTTTGAAAACAGATTGATAGCATGCCTCCACTGGCGGGGCTGTGTTACTCATAGTCCTGTAGTTTTATGCAACTCAAATCACAATTTTCAAAACGCGAACACACTGCCTGCAGTTAGCACTATTCGACTCTGCACCGGGTTTTTGCTTGTTTGCCCCGGGCAAGAACTTCAAATAGATCTAAACCAATCATCCTGCAGGTCTCAGCCGCAGATAGTCTCAATTTTGTCACACTTGCGGTAGTGATCGCCACTGTATCATGTAGATCACACCTCGTTCTGCGGGCATGCATTATGAAAAAGTCTCCCCTACTCCATGATTGAGCGAGTGCCTTGGGAAATCTTTTCTCAACAACGTCCAGCCAGAATGGACAGAACTGAATATCCATGGGGTTACAGATGGCGCTCGTCCTCAGCCTTCATCATCTCCACCTGCATTCTCGCACTCTTTACCGAAACCTTTCTGTACAGCTTTATCGTTCCAATCGTGAGTTATATGATTGAGAGTCGACTTCACTTACCATCATCCCGAACACAAAGATACACCACAGCCCTTCTCACAACCCATGGATTCTTCTCGATTCTCTCTCCGCCGATTGTTGCGCATTTCGCAGACAAAACGCCCGATCGCAAGGTACCATTGATTCTTTGTCTAGTGTTTTGCACTATAGGGACATGTCTAGTAGCCTTCACTCCATCAGGTGCGCAGAACGATAGATGATCGTCTCGGTACATACTGACTTTCTCATTTCATAGTATGGGCGCTGTTCCTCGGGCGAATCCTTCAGTCGATCGCAGGTTCTGCAGGTTGGATCGTCGCCTTCTCCACACTGTCAGACAATATTGCACAAGAACATATGGGAAAAACAATGGGGCTGGCGATGTCGTTTGTTTCAGCTGGCATAATGTCTGGGCCGACAGTTTCAGGAGCATTGGTGGAAATCGCGGGATACTGGGCTGCCTGGGCCGTACCTTTCTGTTTGCTTTCCATTGATCTTGCAGCTCGACTCATCATGCTTGAAAGACCGCGTGTTGGAAAACAAAAAGATCGGTCCATAGCCCAACAGCAAGATGAGGCGCCACTCCTGCCTTCGGAGCCTAGTACTGTGGGTTCGGAGATGGCCAATTCGCGTGGGTTCTACTGCATTATACTGAGCGATGGCCGCGCAGTTGTAGGCCTCCTTAACACATTTCTCTTCTCCGCCATGCTCTCTGCCTTTGACAGCACATTGCCGCTTCATCTTCGCGACGTTTTCAATTGGGGAAGTCTCCAGGCTGGGTTGGTTTTCCTGACAATTCAGCTCCCAGGCCCTTTTTTAAGTCCTTTGGTCGGCTGGCTACGGGACAGAGTTGGAATACGGTATCCGACAACAGTGGGGTGGATTGTAGTCTCATTACTACTTTGGACATTAACAATACCTGGAAAAAGAGGATTCGAATGGGCGAGTCCTGATTGGGCAGGCAAACAAATGTTCGTTGCAACAACAATCGGATTTGGTATGACAATTCCGTTTGTTCGCGGAGTGGCGTTACTTCAATTGATGAGTGAGTATATTGTGAGCCCGTGTGGAAATTTAACGAATTCTATATCTAACCGAAGCTAGGTGTTGTGAGGGAGATTAGTGCAAAGAATCCTTCCATATTTGGCCCTCATGGAGCAACGTCGAAGGTGTTTTCCAGTGTTGAGATTGCATTTAATGTTGGAACAACAGTCGGGCCTCTGGCGGCTGGCTCATTAACAGAAGCGCTTGGGTTCACTTATACCAACTCTATACTTGGTAAATATACAGATCCTTCAAAATGTTCCGAGCTTACTAGTGCTTATTCTTTTCTCCAGCAACCGTCGCCCTCAGCGTTGGTGTATTCTCCTTTACCTTCTTCGATCACAAACCTTCAGCCGGCGAAGGAGACCCCAATCAGAAAGACCCGGTCTAAGGCTTCTCTAACCTTCGAACAGATGCGTCCTTTAAGTTGGGTCGTGTTTGTTGCGTTGCGAAATCGATTCTTCCAAGACTCGGATCCCCCACTTACTAGTAGTATATATATCCGAGTCGGTATATGGACCCATATCACCCGAGCGGATGAGCTACTACTACCTAGGTATCAATGTCGAGGATTGACATTTTTCCAAACTTGAAGGATGTGAGCTGAGATGCTTAGATGCCAGTGCCTAGCTCCGAGCGTATGCTTCAAGCTCCATTGATTTTGGCTTAGACTGGTCTTTTATTGGTCATAGCAACCTTGGAATTGCTCGATTGATAGACCCGTAGATGATTCTAAAAAATGAATTGTTTTATACAGCGCATTAGCCAACCTCTATATTTACAACCACACATATAAAATTTTACATGCACATGTGCATGGACTACATGCATGCAGATGCCAGTGTATGTCCACCGTGACCGGGAAGAGGGTCAGAATTATAATCCAACCTTCCAGGAGCTCAAAGCTTTGCCTCTCGCGCCTCATTCAACTTTGCAGGAAGAAGTCTGCGCAGAATCTTACCGGTCGGAGTTTTGGGCAAGGTCTGCAAGTGGAACACACCACCTCTGAGCTTCTTATAGCCAGCAAGCTGGTTATCCATCCAGCTCCTGACCTCGTTGAGGACCTTCTGTTTCTCAGCATCTGCGAGGCTCACCTTCTCAGGCGTGAGGCTGACATAGGCGAGGGGAACCTCGGTCGCTTGGGCATCGTCGTAAACCGCGCAGACGGCCGCATCGATAACATCTGGGTGACGCAGCAGCATATCTTCAAGCTCAGATGGGGCAATTTGGAACCTAAAATGCATGTTATGAGCTTGTATTTGTACAGCTAAAGTAAGCTTCATCTTACCCCTTGTACTTGATCATCTGATTCGAAGTTAGTAACATGCTCTGTAAGGGGCCAAGGACTTGAAAAGATCTAAATACCTCCTTGAGACGGTCGGTGACCCAGAAATTCTGCTTCTCATCAATCTTCAAGATATCTCCTGATCGGATCCATCCATCGGTAAACGTCTTCTTTGTCGCTTCACTATCGTTGACATAGCCCCTGTGGATATGGTTAACAATGTCTCAGTGATAAGGTCCGGATAAACAGAAATTGCTCTTACATCATGACCAGCGGGCCACGAAGCCAAAGTTCACCTTCCTCGCCAATGGGAACATCCTTGTTTGTCTTCGGGTCGACGAGACGCGCCTCACTAGACTCATGTTAGAATCGGTCGCATGCACCATTAAGGAATTTAACTCGACAATGTGACATACATTCCTGCGAAGAGCTTGCCAACGCATCCGAAGGCTTCTTCATCCTCATTAATCTGGTGGATAACTCCACCGGAACATTCAGTGAGTCCATAGCCCTGGCAAACACTAGTGTGAGGGAGACGTTTCTTGAGCAGGCTCTGGACAGATTTCTGATGACATGTCATTAGCATAAACCTCTCTCTATCAAAGGTTCAAATTCAAAGTTTACCTTCAATGGAGCCGCGGAAATAACAATATTCTTCAACGAGGACAGATCGTACTTCTGAGCAACGGGAGACGCAGCAAGAAGAAGAGCGACTGGGGGCACAAGGTGCAGATCGGTGACCTTCATCTCACTTGACACACGGCAAAAGGTTTCCAACTCGAACGCTGAAAGACCGGCATAATGGGCACCAACCCACATACCGGACACAACGGCCAGACTCAAGCCGTAGCAATGGCAGTCTATAAATAAATAGTGTCAATGATGGTATCGCACCGTCTCAAAACGACTCAACTTACAAGGCGCAAAGAAAACTTCTCGGACATTTGAGTTGACTCTGTCCGGCATAGACGCACGCATGATTATGCTGTTCATGACAAGGTTGTATTGAGACAAAAGAACTCCCTTCATCTTTCCAGTTGTTCCAGAGGAGAAGCAGATGGTGCTGGGTACATCCTTGGAGTTCTTTCCTGCAAGATCGTATGGGGGAATGGTCTCAGAGTCTGTCTGACCAATGATATCATCTGGGAACTATATGGCTATCAGCCTCAAAACACTTCAACATCAACATCGAGTGTTACAAACCTGCGGCAGGTTGTCTACCTTGCAACGAATAGTCAGAACCTTGGGGTTCACAAGTGATTGAGAATTCAGAGCGGCCTGGATTGTGCTGAGCTTCTCCTCAATAGTCACAATATGAGTTGGTTTGGTGATCTTAAGGATATGCGAAATATCGCTCTCTGTTGCCGAGGTATTGAGAGGTCTAAATCAATGATCAGTGACACTCCTCATTTCTATGACTCGAGGAGCTTACGCAAAGATAGCACCCGTCCACCAAGTCGCATGAGCGAGAAGAACAAAGGCATTCTATACTTCAAATTAGACTCCCAGCTAGCACTCGAAGGATCGGCAGGTGAGTTCTTACGGAATTATTGACCAATGCCAACAGAGTATCTCCTTCCTTCAGTCCCAACTTGGTCTGCAATCCCCAAGCAGCACGACCAGCATCTCTACGAAGAGAACCATAGGTAATGGTTTCATCAGAGAAAGTATCGGTATGAACCACCTTCGACGCATCTACGTCATCAGGATTATATTGTGTCATGAACTGCGAGATCGACAGATCTGTCGCATCATGAATCGCAGTTACCGGTGACTTGTAAAGAGCCATTTTGTAGCAACTTGAATTGAAGATATAACAATAATGTAGTTTTATAGATGATACCGCACCTTGTACACACAAAGAACGGGTATGTACTGAACACTGAGAGCAGCGAGGATGGAATAGTATCTTTGAAACGCCTATAAGTAGCCCCCCTCGGGGCCACCCCTTCATGTAAATAGTATGCACCGAGCTCACTTCGCCGGCAACTCTCGGATCGTTTAATTCCCGAATTGACAGCTAGTTCGAATACCGCGTGAGGCTAGTTCAAAGCTAGTACCCGCGTCAAATCTTTCAAATTTCCGCCCCACGCCACCTTTATAAGCTTGTTTGGAGGCGCAACGCCTCAAGACCACTTTTCAGACGCAGTCTGTGCGAAATGTGGGAATCGCATTGACTGTGTGGATGGAGACTCATGGAGTATATCTGTCATTTTGGAAGTTTTCAATTTAGATAAATTGAATTGAATATTGCAGAGTCCAATTAGGGGCCGGATTTGGCGCAGACTCATCATCCGCCATCTAATTTACCACTAGTATTATAGACCCGCCGCGGGAGCTTTGAGGAAAATATTCGAAACGACGAACTATTGTGGGAGCTCGTTCTAGATACTCTATTCATCTGAATTCATTCGTTGATTTTCAACCCCTGAGTCAAACATTGAATCCTTCGACCCACAACCGCGGACATGGATTTCACGGAGTACAGCCCGTTTTGAACCACATTGGATTTTCATAGAGTAGGAGATTCTCCGAGCTCTAGCTTTTATTCGTCTGAAAAGGCCAAGCGAATCCTTTCCTGTTTTGAATCCGCGAACACGCAACGCAGTTAAAGCTGTTGAGTTGAAAATTCCGACCAAAGCTCATACAAAATCTGCCGAGGCGTGCAGGGCGAATGCAAACTTCTGGGGTATAATGCACATTGAGAATATCCCCAAGTCCAGTACATATACCCGTGCCCAGGTGGACATAATCTCATTGTATGCCCATGAATAAAGTAAAGCCTTTTCAGAACCCTTTTTGACATGAAGAAGCGCACAGGGTCAAGCCATTCTATGAACAGTGCAGGGGCTTGGCCCCAGACGGCAGGGATCCACGCGGCAAGAACCTTGCAACGTTCCAAGGAAGTGCAAATCTGAATTCACAATGGCATTGAAGTGTTATTTGTGCGGGAAAACCAGAGACTCGGGAATTGAAATAACATAATGAAAATTTCAGGAGGGGATTTCTCCTATAACTCCAGATATCAACTGTTGAAAGTTTCGATACCTGTCAACTCGGAACTCACCCCTGCATACATGAAAACTCAGATGCATATCAATTCCTGTTCGGACTATTTTTCACGAATAATCTACCACCGTTGAATAATCGACAGGGGCCAGACTGTGTTTTGCCCCCACTTAGTACGATGTCGCTATATCCTTAGCGGTTATAGGATCAAAAATAGTCAAGACCGCCACTGACGAGTAACGTTAGTAAACTGAACTAGTTATGGAGCAATTTTAGAGTCCCACCGTACTCCGACATTATCTTCTGAAATGACCAATCATCTTTTTCACTAATTGCGATCGTGGCCATGATCGGAGGGCGTGGATTCGCTTATCCGTTTTTATAAGTTGCGCGGGACCCATGGCGCGGTATTCCGTATGTATCAATAACGGGGATGACATTCAAGGTTCCGAGGTTTGGATTGTGGGTCATGACAGAAACGTCAATAGGTCACTCGTAACTTGAAATATGATGCATGCTTCGATGATGATTTCTATGATTCCTCTGATAGTTTGGAGGATCATATACTCCCTAAATGTGGCGTTCGTTCTACCTTGAGATCTTCACCTCCCGCCAGCCGTGTCGGCCTTTCTGAGGTTTGATAAAAAAGGGTTTATGCTCTGGACTGGAGTCAAGCTCCAGAGCATTTCTTCCAAGTTGTTGCAGGATGGTACTTCTTCGATCTTGGGCGTTATTCATACCCCTCTTGATTGCACTTTTGGCCGGCCTAGCATGTGCTGATTCACAGACCCTTCCTTCATGCGCTGTACGAACCCCAGCGCTTCTGTTTTTCCCCGCATACTTTATCTAGCTGACATGTGGACCTTGCGCATAGGAAAACTGCCTTGTGGAGCTGGTCCCTCAATCGACATGTTCTTCCACCAACGAAACATGTATTTGTACAAATGTCAACCTGCAGGCCGAGTTGACGAGCTGTGTTTCGGCAAATTGCACAATGAAAGAAGCTCTTAGTGCGTGAACACGATTAATATACACGATATTCGCATTCTAACCGATCGGACAGCTGCCTCTAATGTCACACACACGGAATGCGGGGACCCAGTTCGAGATGACACTTCTTTGAGCATTGTTGTACCAGCAGCTGGGATGAGCATATTCGTGGTGCTCCTAATTTTGAGACTTTACGCGCGCCTAGTGGTCGCTAAAATGGAAATGGGATTAGACGATTGGGCAACTATCTTCCTAGGAGTGAGTTACTATCCCTTGATACAAATCGGGACTTCTGACTGATGATCATAGGTTTGCGCTGTCCCCGTCAATGTCGGCTCGATAACGCGTAAGTTGGATCGATTAATGGAATATCGACAGAGATACAGGTTTTACTAACCACAACTACAGTGGGGAAAGCCGGTCTAGGGAAGGATATCTGGACGCTCGAATTTAGCAAGATTACTCGGGTTCTCTACGTACGGTTGTCATTTGCGGATTTCGCGCCATATTTCCAGCATCGCTAACATGTGTCTGCAACAGCTTTTCTATATCCAAGAGATGCTCTATATCATCTGCGTCTCCCTCGTCAAGATCTGCTTCCTGCTATTCTATCTCCGAATCTTCCCCTCCGATCGAACCCGTCGCATCATCAAAATTTCATGCGCCGTCACAATTGCATACGGCTTGGCATTCCTCTTCGTATTCGCATTCCAATGCTCGCCTGTTAGCTACAACTGGAATAGCTGGGATGGAACTCACGAGGGGTCCTGCGTGCAAACCAATACCATGGTTGTCACTGCTGCAGCATTGAACATTGTACTGGATATCTGGGTTATTGCTCTACCGATTCCCCAGGTCTTGAAGCTTCAAGCCTCCATCACGACGAAGCTCCAGGTCGTATTCATGTTTTCTGTTGGTTTCTTGTACGTTCCCATTTTCTACTTAGTAATACCTTCAAGTTTAATAACTGAGACTAACGTTATTCGATTGATAGAATTACTGGTGTTGGTATATATCGCGCAGTCATGCTCAAGATGTTCGCAAACAGCACCAATCCAACATGTATGCTCCCCTATCTCTTCCCTCCACATTTGAATGGGATAAAGAACTGACAGATATCAATCAGGGGACGACGCCGCTGGCGGCTACTGGTCCGTAATCGAGATCGACGTTGGAATCTTCTGCTTATGCATGCCCGCCATGCGATCCTTGCTTGGTCGCCTAATCCCATCTGTGTTTGGCACGACAAGAGACGCTAGCAACATGCATTCGAGTAGTCAGAAGAAAATTCGTGCTTCGGTTAGTGGACGGGACACGAGTTTTGTTCATTTGATTGAGATGGATAATCATGAGGATGGGAAGGTCCGGCCAGATACTTAATACTTTCAACTTGAAGTTGTAAAACCACATCTGCTACATAGTTCATGATTTGCGACAATGAATATATTTATACCCCGAACGATATATTTCGAAAGCACTAGTATATAGTATCATGATGCCAGTCCGGACGGTGGATCTCGGGTGACGGATCAATATTACCGAAGACTTCAAATGTTGTTCAAGATCCATTTCCCTGAGAGCTTCCAAGGTTTGATGGCGAGAGAGAACTTTGATGAGAGATTCGCAATATAAATGGAAGTTCTCCGTCCTCTTTTGCGGTTACCAGGCCTCGTAGCCATGCTCAAGTGCTGGACGAAGTAGAGTGGCTCTAGAGATATCCTCATCCGGGAGAGAGCCACTCAAGCATGAATCGACTGGAGGGCCGGTTGTTCAAATGTCGCAAAGGGCAACGTCAGTCTCGCAGGAAAGTGATGAAAACTCCGTAGTCACTCCCGACCTGGGCAAGCGATATTGAGACATGATTATTTTGCTATATATTTCCTTTTCACGGTCCTTCTAGTACATACGACCACAGGGTGTGGAGAACAGGGCTTCCCGTCCGCTCAGCCGTACTTAAGCCACACGCCGGTCAGTTAGTAGTATGGTGGGTGACCACATGCGAATCCTGACTGTTGTATGTTTTTGCTTGGTTTGACGTTTTGCATTGTTGATTCGCAGAGAAACGTCCACCAATATTTGAGCAATTTTTGGTGTCTCAAGCTACAGAAGTTGGAAGTTCCATGAGTAGTATACAAGTCCTCACGCCGCGCTTCGCGCGGCACTGCCAGTGAAGCAGCGACTCGCAGCATTTGAAATTGGGAGAGGTATGTCCTCAGCACGCAAGTGCTTGGCTAGATGTGTCTACATAGTACTCTCAGATAGGTATGTTCACATACTTAAGTACAGGACTCACTCTGAGTCAGTAGCATCTACAGGTGACTAATGACTGACACCTCTTTGTATGTAAGTACCTACATGGTTACCTACTGGGCTACCTGGAGGGGATGGCTACCTGTTAAATAGTTAGATATAGGCAACTGGCAGCCCTACACATGTCTAGAGTGAGAGATATCTAAAGTAGAAGTAAGAGATAGCTAAATAAAGCGGGATATACTCACGTTGAGATGTAATAAACAAAGGAAAATATAGTCTTTGATAAATCTAGGGTCTCTGAGTATTCTGCCAGACGGTGAGGAAACTCGAAAAACCACTGTAACCCAAGTAGAAAAAGAGGTCTAAATTCCAAGAGGCAGAAACCTTAGCTTGCACATGTGGTACTATCAAGTCAAGGAGGCGGGTAACAACTTTACCCCACCTTTGAGAGTGAAGCAGCCAATATTCGGTCAACTTGAAATTAGGTCAAAGCGTGCAGCTGAAACAAAGATTCGGGAAGGGCGACGCTCCCTCATGACTCTTTTGCTCTTACTGCATTGTGAGTGATGCATGATTGGACCGGGTCAGACAAAGAAATCGATGCTCCTGCCTTGAAAACTTTTTCGCGGCAAACTCGGAATCTTCCACTATTAGAACCCTGGAGTCATATATTGGACTGAACTAAGCCTCAGGTCTGATTGAGCGAGATAATCAAAACTACTACTTGGAGAGCGACACTAAAACTCTGAATCGCCTATCGCTTTTTTTGATCTCGCTTTCTCGTTTGTTCATTGAGCATACTACTTAGTAGAGGCTTTCCACCAATCATGGCCGATTGTCTTGCGACCGATACGTAAGTTTCGCGTGTACCATCAGAAATATCGATTTACTCATATCGAATTATTCTGCAGTCAGAAGGATGTTGTTTCCCACCTAGAGGCAGCCATGTCTGATGTGGAGGACGTCATGAAAATGGCCAGAGTCCCCTCTATATCGCTTGGCATCATTCATGAAGGAAATCTTATCTTCAGGAAGAGTATTGGTCTCAGAGATGTCGAAAACAACCTTCAAGCAAATAGTGATACCTCCTACCTCATTGGATCATGCTCAAAGATTATTACCTCTACGGCGCTTGGGCTACTGGTAGAGGAGGGGAAATTGATGTGGGGGGGATAAGATTCGCAGGCATCTACCTGACTTCGATCCTATTGAAGACCCAGAAATTGGCGAAAATGCGACTCTAATTGATGCCCCTCGGCATTCCACGGGTCTTGCAAACCGCGTTGTGATATCCTTAGGACCAGATGGCATAATCTCAAATGCAGCGAATGATCATCTGGCTATGGTGAACGCATTACCAACTTCATGTACTTGAGACCAACGTTTCCGGAAGTGTTTCTATTACAGCAATGCTGTATTTGGACTTATTCCTCAAGTCATTGAGGTGACTTCAAATTCCCGATTTGCCGATTTCGTCCAACAAAGAATCCTGGAGCCCTTAGGGCTACAACAGACACTGCTTCATGAAGCATCCGTGCAAAATAATGATAACCTTGCGTACCCATACACTCCGCAGAGCAACGACTCTTGGGTTAAGATCAATAACTCTACGACGACTGAGAATCACAGTCCGATCCTGGGTGCCCTTGGGATGCGCAGCTCTGTCAATGATCTGCTCTCTTTCCTGGCTGCAGTCATGCATAGGTATGACGAGGAGAGGGGTTTAGAATCACAGCCAGCTCTTCTTTCATCGTTAGTCACAAACAATCCTTTACGCAAAATTGTCCGAATGAGGCATTCCTGGTGGACTCTTCCCACAGATGATGGATTTCCGGACGAAACTGCGTATCTCTTGGGACGATTCAAAACAACTTTACCTACTACCGCTCTCGGATGGGTTCTCTCAATAACTATGGGGGTACCCAGGAGTCAATCATCAGTCGCGAATCCAAGCCACACACTCTCTACGGCAATATTGGACATATCAATGGATCTGATGCTGCGAGTTATATATTCCCTGAATCTCACACAGGAATTGTAACGCTGAGTAATGCATCTGATGGACATAATGCTGCCGAAGCGGTGGCAAGGATATTGATTCAGGCTATATTTGACCTAAAACCACACGTCGATGTTCCGTCTCAACTTCAGGAGGCAGGTAGGCGTCGTTTTCAAACACGTGCCAACAAAGTCTTGGAGTGGGAGAGTCACCGGGATGTCACCGCGTACACCAGCCATCCTGAAGATTTTCTAGGCACTTACATTGGCCTAAATACATCGCGAGTTAATATCATCAAAAGTGATACTGCAACCGCTCACGTCTCAGTACAATTTGCTGATGAATCTAGAACTGGTATATGTGACTTGGAGCCGTACAAAGCCGACTCTTTGAGCTTCTTGCCAACTGACAATGACACTTTTCTTTCCCGCGGAATGCTTGACTGGGATTACTATACAGTTGGGGTTTTCGAGTTTTTGAGGGACTCCGACGAACAGGTAGTTGGATTTTGGTGGCAGTGGGAACAAACTGATTGGCCAGGACTATGGGTGAAGCAAAAGGATGGAATGACAGAACAGGATACTCAAGAGATCATATCAAAATTTGGCAGATTTCGCAAAGCTGAGAATCAGAAGACCAGCGCCTACGTTTATGGGGAATTTTATCGATGTTATAACTTGCATCTACTAGTACAAGTTTGCAGCATTTAACCATTGGAAACAGACTTGCTAGCGTAGAGACTACATAAGATAACAATATGTGCCTTCCAGCCAGTGTACTTATAGCTTCCAAAGTTTCCTCCGCCATAAAGATGTCGTCGTTCCAATATATTATGATTATGCTATCCTCCTCTCCATGAACTCGGAAAGTCTGGGCGCCCACGAGATTGCAGCCAAGATGCTCATAGACAAACTTTTTCATCGTACTGGCTATGTATGGATCACAGGCCACATCCAGCCCTTTTCAGATACTACAACTTCTCGGCCCCAATTGCACAACATGGTCGCCGCTCCACCGTGACGACGATGAAAGTTTAGATATGTAAACAGGTAGCCACTCCAGATGTCAAGCTCTGCATGTGGAGATGGATTTGATTTCCCCCCCCCCCCGGGCCCCCCACCCTCATTGTACGAAGTGCTTCTGAAATGTAGTCAACTGCCAGTGGTACATACATATAAAGATCATAATCAGGACATAGGCCCTCTATCAGAACATTGAATAGTATATACCTAGGTATCTATGATCCGAGTCCTATCTTAACATTTGAATGAAGAAATAATCTGCCTGTGCAGGTGAAGGTGAGAGAGATAGAAAGATAGTAGAAGGAAGAGGGGGTGAAAAGGAGAAATATAAGGGGGTAACTATAGCTTATCTCAAATACGAAAATGTAGCATATGCGTGTGCTAAACATTTGAAATAAGAGGTTAGCCGTTCAGGTGAGGGGTCTTCAGGTGGGTGAATATGTATCCGCCCGGAATTCCCTGAAGAGGGCTGAATGATAGGCAGAAGACTATATTTTCCTTTGTCTTTTACATCTAAACGTGAGTATATCCCGTTTTATTTAGCTATCTCTTACTTCTACTTTAGATATATCTCACTTTAGATATCTGTAGGGTTGCCAGTTCCCTACATGATATATCTCACTATTAAACAGGTAGTCATCCATCCCCTCCAGGTAACCCAGTAGGTAAACATGTAGGTGACCCCGTAGGTAGCCCGTAGGTACATACGAAGAGGCGTCGGTCATTATTGATGCAGTCACCTGTAGATGCTACTGACTCAGAGTGAGTCCTGTACTAAGTATGTGAACATACCTATCTGAGAGTACTATGTAGACACATCTAGCCAAGCACTCGCATGCTGAGGACATACCTCTCCCAATTTGAAATGCTCTCTGCTTACTGCCCTGGTGGCAGTGCCGCGCGAAGTGCGGCGTGAGGACTTGTCACATATTACTACACTGGTACTAGCCTTATCTGCTTCCAAGGTTCCGAGGCTTCACTATGTAGACGGCATTCCGCTACTTATAACGACCTCGGGAACTATGACTAAAGACCTATGAAACCTCCAGGGCTTGGCCTTAGGGTGGATTGAAGAAGGACGTAGCATGAGATGATCATTGGAGTCTACAGGCTACGTAAACGCAATGAAGTGGACCATTATCACGATGAAAAAGTGACTTGAATTTTGACATTGGAGGGGCTATATGAAAAAGTCAAGAACACCAAGTTCCTGAACTTCGCATCACGGCTTGGAGATTTGCTCGTGCACGCTGCCACTGAAGATAGCCGTTGACCATAAGGTCTTCCGCAAGTTGAACCTGTTCCCGAGCCAAGATCACCGTCTCATCTTCGTTTTGATTTGTCGCAACTTGCCGATTCACAGGCAGGATGGATAGATGAATGAACCGTTGATATGCCCGTCGGTTAGAACGCCGGGGTTCATTTGCCACAGGTGTCGTAGTCCGCGAGAAGCTGCATCGACATCCTTGGTCGTTCCAATGACAGTTTGCGCATTCCCGCATTCCCGGGACTATCACACATGTGGCAAATGGACCTCTCCCGCGCCTGCATGCCGCGCATGGCACTCGTGCAATTCGTCCCACCACTTGGGCGATCAGAAATTCGACATTAGGGATCCAATTTCCAACAGTCCGGAAAAAGGCGTTTCCGTCCTGCTCCTCTCGCGTTGCGGGCTCTCAACGAGGTGCGTATTCGCGGAGCCGAGATACCAGGGTTCTTGAGTCGCCCGATAATCGTCTTCCACGCCTCCATGGGTATGACTGGGTATATGCCGCCCATATACCCAAGATATTGCTGTTTACTAGATACCGTGGACTGGGTATGTCCTCGTATGGAGACCGATAAGTTGATCGTGAGGTATCCATTTGAAAATCTGCATATATTGGCCCGTTGATGCTCATTCTCTCTGATATCTAGGATATTCGGTGCAAAGGCTTGCCGGAGGGTTATAGCTGAATGGTTAAGAGAGATTGTGATATATCGCAAGATGCCGGATTGACGGGATTGTGAGGATTGGAAGGGATCAAGTTATGGAAGAGAGAGAGAGAGAGAGAGAGAGAGAGTATTTCCACTATATAGTCGTTAGGCTGCAGGTATGGAAACTTGAGCATAATTCATACCAACTTCTCTAGGCTTCTATTTGATCTTTCACTGACGTTCTTTTTCTTCTTCTCACCCCCTCTCATCCCTAAGTTTCTTCGAACTACTTTTGTTCTTCAGACTTCTCACTTTCCACCTCCCATAGAATTTTCAAGCTCTACACATCATGGCGCAGTGGCTTCATGAAATTGGAATTCCTAATATCTGGTATATACCAATGTTGGCCCATAATTGACGCAAGACTCAGATCATAGTGGACTACCTAATCTTCGATTAATTGAATCTAATTTGGTGCCGGCTCATTTATGATACTACTAGTATGCATCTTGGCAATGTCGAGCGATGTTAAATGGATAACTGAAAAAACTAAATGGACACCCTTCGCCTGATTACGTTCAGTCTATACACCTCCCTTGCACATATCAAAGTCTCCAAGGCTACTTCCTACAAGGAGAAGTGAACTAGTAGGTACTCAGGTAGGTACCCCTATATGTACTTATAAACACAAGGTGGTAGACCATCAAGGTCTGATAGAGAAACTTGAAGGTACTTCCAAGGTTTACGGTCTACTGTGTCACTCTGTAGAAAACGTTCGAAATTGAAAGTGATTAGGAAGAGACACCGATCTGCAAAGTTTCGAATTATGATCAAAAAGAGGTCGTTACTAGTACTACTCAGAGTTGAAGAAAATATCGGAAATCTGGAGAATTACGAGGTGAATCTGAAGGCAGACCAGGTTCGAAGATATAACATCGTCGGGAACCGTTGGACAGGGAAAGCACATGATAACCACAGAGCATCTAGGCCTTCACGACTCCTTGGCCCAATGCTTGCCACTCCATAATCCTCCAGTGGTCCAAAGCCAATAGTCCCGACCTTTGATCAGCCAAACCATGATACCAGGCTGTCGGAAACCCATGAAGGCGCCCACGCCCTTGCTTCTCCCAACTGGCACCAGCTGAGTTTCTCGAGTGTCTTCCTTAAAGTGACGATCTTCTCCGACAGAGGCATCTTGCTGGACAGCGAGTAGCAAATCACGTTTCATATTCGCACACAGGATGGGAACTGTATTCAGTATGTTGTGCACTGCCGGACGCGCATGCGACCCCACGTCTCCAATTGCATAAATCAAGGCACCACCGTTAACAACACGCAGGGTCCCTGGGTCAGTCTCCACGCGCCCATAATCCGTCAACAGAGATGCGTCAACAAAGCTGCTATTATAGGTCATGCCAGTAGCAGGGATATAAAGATCAGCTTGGAGTACTTTCCCATCCTCCAGGGTCACTGTCGTATTAGCCGTCAGAGCGTCCTCTGCCCCTGCCCCTGCCCCTGGTGGGGAGACTTTCGTAACACGCGATTTCTTGATGACCGTCACACCGACCTTGTTGAGAAGTTTCTCTGCTTTAGTCGCGAGCGCAGGTCGCAAGATGGGAAGAATTTTTGAGTCCGCTGTGACTAGAGTAATTGCGACCTTGGGGTTCTCCAGTTTAGAGTGAAACCACCCGGCCCGACCGTTGAGATATTCGCCCAATTCGCCAGCTGTCTCTACCCCTGCCGGGCCTCCACCCGCAATGACAATATGTTTGGCGGTAGGGAGGGCGGCGCGAAATTCATTCCAGTTGGCGCGTAGAGTTTCGGAGTCGCGGTTAAGTCCGAGTAATGGCGATGCGGTGGACGCGCCGGTAGCGATGACAATGGCATGGCAATTAATCTTTTCGGTGTCGCCGTCTTTCACGCTTACGGTAACACAGCGGTCTTGGTGGTCAAGGGATGTCACAGTACCGTGAATGAATTTGAATGTATCCTTGGAATACTGCTCAAACTGCGCCGGTATGCTGACAAAGAGCTTATCCTGCGGGAACATATCATCTGAGATCAACGCGCGAGGACACGCCGGGCGGCACATGGCCTCCGAGGACGCGCTGATCAGGATGACCTGATAGCCCTCTTTTCCTGGCAGCTGAGGAACGACATGCTTGAGAAGGTAGTGTGCGGTGGATAGGCCTGCGTAAGAGCCACCCAAGATGACAAGGTTTTGCTTGGAAGTTGCAGTGTCTGCGGCCATTTTTCGTTCAATGAGAGGTCAGGAAAACTGTAAGACGCAAGAGATAGAGAAATGTGGAGATGAATGATGACAAGTCCATTAATCCTTCACGATGGACCAATCCAATCTCATAGCCGCCACCCCCTGGCCTATGCAGAATGGGGCTTTCGCTGTAGTCCAGCACCACTGGGTGTGGCTGAGGAATCCTAGACAGGGATGTTGCAGAACAAAGATCCTCGGCGCCCGACAGCCGTCTACGGGGCTCGGATCCCGCATTTTAGACAGCTTAATTCGTGACAGCTCAGTCATTCTTCGGTGCCCCTCGGTGGCCGAGATTGTAGGCGGGGTATTGGAGGTTGTACAGATGAGTCCGAGGCCGCGAGTAAGTGAATAGTTCATAGTAGATGTTTCTAGGCATTGGAAGTATAGAAAAAGGTGATGATTCACGCTGTCTGATTAACCTTCTTGTCACATTTCCTCACATCCAAATATACCTGCTGACTGCGATCAAACGAACGTCTTGTCTTACTACCATGTCGGCCCCTACTCAATCCACCCCTGTGTTTAAGGCCCTTACCGAGGCGTCCTTTTCAGACTCATCTCTGTCTGAAGAAGCAAAGCGAAATGCCCTCTATTGGTGGAACACTAGCGCCAATGATTTGGCCAGAATGCTCCACCAGGCCGACTATAGCGAAGAAGTTCAACGTGGATTCCTTTCCTACTACCGGGATAACATCTGTCCTCGACTTGGTGGCAAGCCAGACAAGGATGCTGCCGATAGTGGAGTCGGCTGGGATGGCAACCCTTTGGAGTACAGCTTCGAGCTGAAGGGCTCAACCAAGAAGAAGTCGGTACGATTTGTCGTCGATCTCACCGAGCTGCGACCCGCCGATCACAGCAACCCACTCAGCATGAAGCACACACAAGAGATGGTTGATCTCCTTGCTGAGAAGACCCCTAACTTCGATGATACGTGGTACGGAGTCTTGAAGAAGTGGTTCGTGTATGCGCATCTCTCTCCAGAGGAGCAGACTGCGTTGATCGCCAAGGCTGGGCAGCAAACCTCTGTTATTATCGGTTTCGATATCTACCCCAAACTTACAACTCCCGATTCGCTTCCCGTTATGGGCAAGGTTTACTTCCCGCCTTGCTATGTTGCCTCCGACAAGGGTATCTCTCGCTGGCAAGCCGTGCGCCAAGGTATTCAGCAGCTGCCGGGCGTTGAAAAATTCCCCAACATTCTGAACTCCACCGAGATAATCAACGACTATCTTTCATCGAAGCCTGACTCATGGGAGATGGGAACCCGCTACTTGGCCACTGATCTGGTTTCACCCAACAAGGCCCGCTTCAAGGTCTACATGCGTTGCTTTGATACTTCATTTGAGGGTATTTGGGACTACTACACTCTCGGAGGTCGCATTCCCAATCTGGATGAAGATCGCGAGAAGTTCCGCCAGCTTATGGATCTTGTCAGTGGCACCACCTATGCCGAGACGAGAAGCAAGGATGATATGGAAATGCCCCGCTTCACTTCCGCAACAGGAAAGTTGACAGCTATCTACTTCAACATCTCTCCCGACAACCCTTACCCCGCGCCCAAGCTGTGCATCTACCCTTCTAATTTTGCTAAGGATGATGGAGTCATTGCAAAGGGTCTGGATGAGTGGCTGGAGAAGTATGGTTGGAGCGATGACACCAAGTCCATGGAGGATCAAGTTAAGAGTGTATTGTATGTTGATTCCAATTCCTCCGATGCATCTGATTATTTACTAATTCTTTTTCGAACAGTGACCATCGTAAATTGGAAGAGACCACAGGTATCTTCACTTTCATTGGAATCGGAAGAAAGGAGGACCCAACCAAGAAGGAGCTCAGCATCCAGGTGTATATGACTCCCGAGTTGTACCGAACACCTCGTTTCTAGGAAGCCCAGTGGACAATGACAGCATATCTAGCCGAGTGAGCTGATTCGTTTAGACATTTGCGACCGATGTTTTTGTAGATCTAGTTTCCCCCCCCAACCACTGGAATCCACATTGAATTTATTCATACCGCATTTTGTCAGGGCCCTTCATGATACATCATAGTGAACATTCTCAATTGGAACCATCATATGCAAGGCCACCACTAAGTGCAGATCATGGAAGATCTTCACCATTTGCACTGGTTCGTATTCAACAATTTCCACATACTCAGAAAAAAAAAATCAATTCGGTAGACAGAAAAAAAAATTTCACTATATGTCTTGCAGATGTTTCTCGTATTGGGGCGGAGATTGGAATGCTGACTTGAATTCGGAGTCTTATCTCTAGTTGGAAAGTGAAGGTCACGGTGATGGAGATTTAATTTATGACCAAAAAAATTAAAGGGGCCACATGGCTGGATTATGATCTAGACTATGAAATCAATGATCAGAGCTTCAAGTTTTTTTTTTCTCCAAAGTATAAAAGATCATCAGGGATTGTGGGAACATACTAAGTATGCAGGCTCGCTCGTTAGCGCCGGATTAGCGGGAGGGCCGGTGACTCGGGAGGGAGATCTCGGTCACTCCCCGGCCATAATCAAGTCGATTCCGATCTGGCCGATAACTAGTGAAAGATTGAACAAAACACGGTTGTACACTTTGTTGAGAAAGCTTGAATTCTGCATGTTTATCAATAGAGATTGTCTTATCATGAAAAAGGTATCAGCTTAGGCTAGAAAAAAATAAATATGACTGTCAAGTACGATCGGCATACATGCATGATTCCAATTGGACCCAGACCGACAGAAGTGCTTCAATGTTTGAGTTGATTGAAATGCATTCCAAATGAATAGTCTAAGTATCGACCAAATTGGGCTGGGGAAACAGAAAAAAGCAGAAAGGTACCCATTCCAGACGTACAGATTAGGGATTGCCCAGCAATCATTCAATGTACATCTATGCAATGTAAAGCTCATGTGGAGCACGAACCAATCATTTGATTACATTATTTATGGAAATGACTCCCTTTTCCTGATCAGGAGGAAGTTGTGCGACAGGTAACACCTTAGCCCCCGCCACTCCGGTCCTCCCGTGTGGATCCTGGTCAGAGCATCATCGCCCATACAGTCAGAAAATTCGACATCATGCAGGCGGCTGAAACGCAGCAGACTAATTCGTAGATCATGATCGTTAGTGGCGGCGGGAGAAGCATCTAATCTGTGATGTTACTCTCAAAAAGTCCCATTGTGCCGTGAATATTGCATTTTTCTCAATAATTGATATGGCTGTGGCGTTCATGTGCGTTTTAAATGGTCTAGTCTCAGGGCCCCTGTTATCTCAAGTACTCTACGGAGTACAATTCCGTGGAGAGTCTAACAAATACGAGGATACTATTTGCAGGAACAACTTGCATGCATGTAAGTAGTCATATCAGGCTGGGTACCATTCCACATTCCATAACGAAAACTTTCAAGGTACTTGACGAAAGCTCTGCCAAGACCAAAACTGTTGGATACTCATTCTGACATTATTTTTTTTTCTTTGCCACGTGCATCCCTCTCGCGGCTACGTAGATCTCCTGCTTATGGTAAATCCATCATCGTATTTGAAGCAACGATATCCAAGGTACAGGATGAAACCCTTAAAACTTTAAGGGTTCGCACTAAAATCCGTAAATAGGAATGTTAGGCCATAGACTCCACTTTCGATCTTTACTATTATGTAGTAATATGGATTTTTTTTTAATTTATTTTGGCAAAAGTGGGACATCTAGATCATCCCGTAGTGCTGATCAAAGTGGAGTCCCCGGCCGAAGATCCTCCCGAGTCACATATTTGTCTCAAGCACCCGATCAGGGTTCTCATGCGAACTCCCAAGCGCTAGTATTCCGCCCCGCTCATGAAAAGAAAAGAATCACTTGAACTCACATATATTAACAAACACTGTGGGAGTTAAGTACTCCGCTACAGCGGATGCATCGGATCACTTTTGTATAGGTATCCACTAAAGCCCATTGGATAGGGACCCTTATCTCAGCTAAAGGTGGCTATTGCTTCAAGGATTCAATGTTTCAGACCTGCATTAGCATAAGCAATTAAGTTCACTCGAGCAGGATGCGACGCCTCTATCACAGATACCTCAGCTAGCCCCAAACCTTAGAGTTCTAGATCCGTATGAGCAATGTAGAACTGTGAGATTTCGTCATGAGCGGATATACCTCGTGCAGCAATGATCCTCAATTGGTGGCGGGATAGCGGAGAATAGTCATGTCCGGGGGGCTGTAGTTGACAACATTTGTTTGTGGGTATCAGGTGGAGTCTAACAAACGTACTGGCGCCTTATACGAGAGAAGTGAGGATTCCGCAATAAGACCCAGAAATCAGCCTAGTGGTAAGGCTCAGGTCACACATAGGCAGCCCGTCATTTTTGGCCCCGGGGTCCTTCGATCACTAATGAAAAATACCATAAGCCAATAGTAGATCTGGTCTGTCAAAAGAGATCCATCTTTGGTAAGGTAAGTCACTGTCATATCAGGCAAATCTTATGAATTTACATTAGCGCCCTATTGAAGCTAGGCAGGCTAATGTAGCGCTAGACTGCTTCAAATGTAGTTGAACGCCCATATCTATCTCGGAAAAGCTTTCTTCTCATCTATCAGCTACAATATACACCAATGGCCCGAATGTCAAAGAAGGTACGTATCGTTTCCCCTGACAATATGGATGTTGTAAATGCTAACAGAGAATCCAAGCAGACTTGGTCGACGCCTGATGGGGCCTGCACAAGTTGCCGGACCAGGAAAATCAAGTGTGGGCGAGAGAAACCCAAATGCAGCAGCTGTTACAGAGATCAACATGAATGCGTCTATTCCTCTCCTCCAAAGAGGGTAAACCACATTAAAGTGCTGTAAAGATTCCCTACCACATGATCCAAGATGAACTACTCTTCTGACCCCACTGTAGATGTGAAAGCTTCGATGAGATTCAAGACCGGTTGACGATGATGCAAGACCAGCTTTCTCGACTCACAGGAGCACTCGATAATAGGCAGAATTCAGTGGACCGGGTGGATCGAATAGGTGACAAACAGTCGTCTATGTTGACACCTCCAAGCACAGGCCATGTAGTGTCCGATGCCGACGGTCAAATTCACCGCTATCATGGGCCGTGGACGCTACTTGCACAATGTCGTCAACTTGAGAGTGATCTGGCTAGCTGGCCTAAAGCTGATCATGCTGCTGAGGTGACCTCACTTGTAACCAGCATGGTACAAGAAACAATGAGGGTTCCCAGTTCATCGTTGAACTCCTTTCACGAAATACCTGGAATGGGTATGTGTCTACCACCACGGCAACTCCTGTCTGTCATGGTAGAGTGCTTCTTAAAGAATGCGGACTACGCCACATCAATATTTGATCATCAGTCACTGTACTGTGCAATCGATCGCGTATATCGAGATCCATCAAACCCAGAAGAGAAGCCTTGGGTACTCTGTTTCAATCTCATCATCCTACTTACTCTAGGGGCTGAACATTCATTGCAAAGCGAGGATCCTTTTGTAAGACCGATGCTTCAAGCAGTTCAAACAGCTGCGGGGAATTCACGATTACTTATGGAACCTCGTCTTGTCAGTGTCCAGGCACTTGCATTATTCGTAAGTAAACCACGTCATGCATTGATCGTCATCGTATTTTGGATCTGACGGTTTTGTTTCTTTTTTGTCCAGAGCCTTTTCATGCAGCAATGCTACCCCGATAACGAGCCCCTCGGTGACGGCATCTTTGCTCAGGCATGTGTCTTAGCCCGCCAGATGGGCCTCCCGCAGCCTCACGGTTATGCAGCCACCCCCTCCACCCTAACAGCCGCCGAGGTAGACGAACGGCATCGAGTTTACCAATCCCTATACATCCGTAATAGATACGCCACTACTACTTCGGGCGCTCTAATGTGGTTACCCAATAGTATCATGTGCACTGGAACTGCTTCGGCTGTTGGCGCACATTGGGAGCTCGCAAAGTTGCAAGACGAGATCCATCGAGTACTAGGATCCTGCAGCATTGGGTCCTCAGATCGTCGCATCAAGGTGGCCCAGCTTCGAGAGAAGCTGAGGGTATGGCAGGAAGAATGCCTTGATCCAGACCCTCAAACCATGAGCATGGATCGTGTCATACTCTGCCTACTGTTTCTTGGAACCCGCATATATATTAGCATGGATAATAAGGAAACAGACACTGAGAGCTTCTTGGATGATTGCCGTCTTAGTTGTCTGTTGCTTATTGTCTCTTGTACAAAACATTTACGCCCCGATTTTTCAAACCAGTTTCATCACCTCCTCCACAGACTGAATCCCTCAAGGCGGAAATCAGACGGCTCGTTACACTCATCTCCTTCGTCCACCCCTTCATCATCATCGACATCCTCACCTCTACCGAGTCCTGCTAGTGAGATGCCACCACCATTAGACATGGTTACAAGACCCTCCACTGGTACCTCAACACCTTTATTTACCGCATTACTTCCACTTCCTCGCCTTGCCAACGCGTTCCCTATCACCGCCATATTCATTCTCGCCCGTCATATTGTTGGTATCTCCGCCGAAGGCAACACCATAAATACGCACAGAACAGAAATGGATATCGAATCCGACGCTCTTCTCCTCGAATCTTTACTATTTTGCTTTCAAAATAATCCGCCTTTTCTCGGTGGCAAGGATCAAACCCCTCATTGCAGTTACAAACTCGGGCAAGTCCTCGATCATCTGGTCAGAATTATTCACACCATCACATCCGACCGGACCTCCTCACAAACTCATACCTCTGGACTACCACTGGGAACCGAGCACGCCGAAGTGGGCGACTATATGTCACGAATATTTATGACATCAAAAGGGTCCCCCGAAGCCTCCGATCTAGCCGGGCTTTGGTACCCGAGAGATGTGACAGGAGAAACCTCGATGGATCTCTCCATCCCGGACTTCCAGCCCGTTTGGCCAACTCCACAGGATTCACTAAGTTCATCAACGAATCCTCTCGGTACAGCGGAAGGCTCGATCTACACGCCTGCTATGCATCCCACGCCCATAATCCCCAATACCCCGCTGGACCTTTCGGAATTATTTGGTTTTACCAATTCCGATGCTTCAGAAGTGTGGAATCTAGGGACTGAAACTACAGATTTGTTAGAAAATAGTAGACCTTCTTTGAAACGACAGCGCACTCGTTTTGAGAGTCAGTGATGAAAATTTCTCTCTGTTCGGTGTCTTTGGTGAAATTTTAGAGTTCTATTCGGGTTGCATATTTTCATATTTTCTTCGGCGATGTGGCAATTATTATTATCTTCTTTTCTTTTCGGATGTTTCAATTTTGGGTTATTTTTCTTCTGTCACGGGTTTCATTTTAGATACAAGATTAATTGATGATGACCCCCACGCTAATTGAACTATGTGTTTCATTACGATTCGTCTCTATCTCTTTCTACTGCTTTCTTCTCGATGTTCAGATGTCCCTTTTAAGTTCTAATGAGATCCATACGAGCTTCTGATCAATGCAGTGGACGGCTTTCAAAAATATGGGATGTCTTGCACTATCTGATCAAAATCCCGATCATAGGAGCGAGGCACCGACATATGCAAGATCAAGGCAAGTGAGACTCCTGTCATGAGGAGTGAGTCATGCCAGCCTAGGTGACATTGGTTCAAGCAGTTCTGAGCTCTTGTCTTTCTTTCGAGTTGTTCGATCCCCTTGTCTTTTTCTCCTTTTGCCTCCCTTGATTCTCTTTTCGCCCGCATGAATCATAGTCAAGGTATCACGCAAGTCTTTATAATAGAGATACTAGAATTCTTCAATTTCCAATGCAATAAATTTCATTTTACTGATGAAGCTTACTTAGATCTTTGAAGTTTTGGAGATAAAGTCGTATGAAAATTGAAAATAGTATATTCAAAGCAGTATGCATTAGAAATTCAACCCAGTATCTGTGCACATGTATGTAAGAAGGAACGTAGTATGATAGAACATTGTATATGCAAAATAGACAAGACAGACGCCCGAAAACGAAAAGATTACATCAAACATGAAACATGACGACTCTACTCTATCTCACAGAGACGAAAAGAGACAAACATTAGTTCCGGCCCAAAAATTCTGCCACAGCAACTCCCATCTCTGGCATTTTGGGACCAGGGTCCATCAACGAAAAGTGGTTCACTTCATCAAGAACTGTAACACTCAACTTCTCTCGGCCAATGATGCTGGCCCAACCATCAGCCGTGAAATCAGTGCGGTTGTTCAGCAGCCAGATCATCTCTCTGGGGTCATCAGGTCGAATCTCCATCTTGGGTCCGTTGGGATCCTTGCACACTCCATCCTTGGCGTAGATCATCAACGAAGCGGGAGCATTTGGTAGAGGCGAAGGCTCGTACGCATCCAGAATACTAATGAAAGCATTGAAGTGATGGAGCAACCATTCAGGTGTCTTGGCCTTCTCTCCGTTCTTGCCCGGTGGGGGTCCGAAGATGCCAAGACCGTCGAAGAAATCGAACATGCGCTGGGGCGGGTTTTGCAGGCCGATGGGGTTGGGGGAGTCAAAGAGAACAAGGTGAGAGATCTCAGTTGAGCCGCCCATCTGTCGAATAGCCTCGAAGGCGAGGATACCACCAGCGGACCAACCACCAAGTGCAATGGAGGCAGTGCTATTACCATCCGAGCGAACCTTTTGGATCAGACGCTGCACCTCAGGGAGGTATTGTGCAACCATGCTCGACATAGTGATACCAAGACGTGCCATGTCGTCGGCTGTCTTCCTCCAGGGACAGTTCAGTCCGTACACGGCCACAGTGCTTGGAGCCACGGCCCGGGCGATGTGAGCGTAGGATGAAGCAGAGCCAGAGCCATCAGGGAAGAGGAACAGGATGACCTGAGCAGTCTTGGTAGAGCCGGAAAGGAGAATCGAGGTAGCCTGAGGAAGAGACGAGACAGATGCGACAGCGGGAAGTACAAGGGGCTTGGGCATCACCAATGGAGGCGGAGCAGAGCCGCCTGCCTTCTTATGTGGCTTCTCAAGGCCCATAACATTGTAGATCTCTTCTTCCAGATCGTGAACTGTCTCGAAATCCATCAGCATGTTGCCGGGAATATCCACTTGCAGGAGGTCTTGGAGTCTGCTGCTAAGAGTGAGACCAAGCAGCGAGTCAACACCAATATCAGAGAGACAAGTGAAAGATTTTAGCTCTTCCATGGCAACCTGTGTTTCTTCGCAAATCGCCTGTCGCACAACCAGAGCAACTCGGGCACTTTCAGACGAGCCAAACTCACCACCACCTGGGGTCGCAGGACCGACAGAGCTGGCAGGGCTGGTAATCTGGGATTCGGGATAGTCCTCGTAGCTGCTGGCGCTGCCACTGGGGGTGTCATCCTCATCCTTGTTTGAAAGCAGAGCACGCAAGTCAGCAACAGTAGGTTCATCAACAAATAGGCTCGAAGGGAAGTCGAGGCCCATCTCGTCCCGGATCTTGGCAGTGATCGTCAAAGAAAGCAGAGAGTCTACTCCCAATGAGGCGAAATCGGCATCACCGACAAGATCGGAGAGTGATACTCCAACCTCCTCACTGATGAGTCCGAGAATTCGGTTGAACACATCGGATACGGGTGACCTCTTCTGCTTCGGTGGGGCTTGGCGAGCTGGCTGGGGCGCAGCGGCCTTTGTAGGTGTGCGTGGAGCAGCGGCAGCGACGGGAGCCTTGGGCGCGGCAGATTTGGCAGCGGCATTCGGGAGAAGGTGGTCGAGCGCACGACGAGGAACACCTTGGAACTGTGGAAAGTTAGTGACTTGAAATAAGTTTTCTGGAATATGGAATAACATACCACGACACCGTCAAAGACAGCGATAACCCGATCACCGTCCATGATGTATGTATCTCCAGCGTAGGTAGTGTTCTCAACCAATTGCATACGGTTGTATGCGTGGTAGGTCTTCTTCTCATCAAAAGGCTCAGCAATGCGCATTCGCTCCCATCCGTGGTTGATGAAAACCTGGTCCTTGCTGCAGACACCATCGTTGGCGTTCATAATGAAGCCAGCAACGCCACCCAAACTGTCGATCCATCGGGGGTTCAAGAAGAACTCCTCCTTGCCAACTTGGAACTGAACAGTGGAGACAGCTTCCAACTCATGACTGTCAATCACGATCTCAGACATACCCTGGTACTCCTTCTTGTAGTCAACAAGAGAAGCAAAGAGCTTGTAAGCCATTCCACGCTTGATGAGGTGGGTTTCTGAGCTTGGGCTGTGAATGGCAGCATTCAGGCCCTTGATGCGACTGGTGATGAAGTGAGCGTTGCGCTTCCACTCCTTGAGCCACTGCTGCTTAGGGTAAAGCATGACGTCGAGCTTGGCGTGGGAAGCGGTGCGCTTTCCATTGGCACCCACGCTGAACAAGTCGATAGAGATACGGTTGGCAGGCCAGTCCGCATTCACTGATGCACGGAATAGGTGGGTAGTCTCGTTGCCCTTGGCAATCAAAGGGTTGGAAACCTTGACGTTAGTCACATCCAATCCAGTGGTATCGGGAATCTGGGTGGGACAGTGGCGAATTAAGTAGTCGGCCACAGTGTAAGCCAGATCAGCGTACATGGACTAGAAAAATATGTTAGCGATATGAAACTGAGTGATTTGTGACAAAGGACTTACCGAGGGACACAAAGCAGCTCCGTTTACCAGATGTCCTTGGAGTACTGGCAGCAACTTGGAGTCAAAGATATCCGACTCAACCACCATGGATGATTTCTGAGAATCGTGGAACTCCTCGACAATCTGCTGGGCACATGGTGAAAGATACTTCCGCACCACTGGTACTGGAGTAGGTGCTGCAGCAATTTGTTGAGGGAAATCTCCACCCTTGTAGAGAAGGAAGTCGTTCTTGTACTGAATCCAGTAGTTCTTCAGGTCCCAAGAGTACATGGGAAGCTTGACCATCTGGTGTGATGCTGGGAAGTGACGGTGGTACTCATTCCAGTTGATATCAATACCCGCCAAGTAAAGAGTCTTGAGACCAGTGGTAAGAGTTTGGTATGAGTCCACGTTCTGGCGCAAAGAGGCAATCGTCTTCACACGCGAGTCAATTGTACCCTTGACCATACCACCACAAGCGGGGTGGGCGCCAATCTCAACCCAGATGGTGCGATCAGCATCTGCGAGTTCGCCAGCAGAAGCCAGAGCCTGCTTGAAGTTTACTTGGCCTCTGCATGCAGCGACCAGGTATTCTGCGTTCAGAGTGCCAGTCTCACCCGCAGGAACAACTCTTCCATGGAACGGCGAGAGAACGGGAAGAGTAGGAGCGTTGTAAGTGACGCCCTGTGAGGCACTCTCCAAGAAGTCGACCATGATAGGCTCGACCTGAGGGGAGTGGAAGGCATAAGGCACATTCAACTTGACCACTTCAACTCCAGCCTGTGAGGCCTTCTGGGCAACCTCATCAATCTTGTCAACGGGACCAGCAATGACGTGGCCAGATGGCTGGTTGGCGCAAGCAATCTCACACTCTGGGTTGGCACTTGCATCTCGCATCAGTTGCTCAGCCACATCCTCAGATGCCTTGACTGCGAGCATAGAGTGGGTGCCGCGAGTGCAAAGCTTCTCGAGGAGTGTAGCCCGTGTCGCAACCAAGTAGATCATATCAGCGCTGCTAAGCACTCCAGCTGCATACAGAGCAGGATACTCCCCGAGACTGTGTCCAATCACAGCTGCTGGGTTCAGGCCCCAGGACTTCCATAGCTCGTAAAGAGCGACCTGCACACAAACAAGAGCAAGTTGTGTGACGACGGGACCGACGTTTGGAAGTTCCTCAGCAGTGATGGTTCCATCAATCATTCCAAGGAAGGATGGGAAGCCCTGAATTTCGGCAAGGCGGTTCAACTTGTGAATTTTGGTCTTGAATGTCTCATTGACCGCGAATAGCTGTGCTCCAATCTCAGTGTACAAGGTTCCCTGTCCTGTGAACGCGACCGCAACGCGTGCCTGCTTCTTAGCACTGGAAGGAATTGGCTTGAAGTCGGAGATTGTTGACTCATTCTCTAGCGTCCAAGATCGCAGAGAGGATTTCACAGAGTTCAGGTCAGACCCAGAAACGATGACACGATAGTTGTGTTGTGTTCGTCGAGCTGTGGTGGTATAGGATAGTGTAGCCAGAGAGGGGGGTGTGACTCTCTTCTCAATGGAGGCGAGAATGGACTTTATGTTAGCCAGCAGAGACTTCGGTGATTTAGCTGAAACTGTCACCAAGTGAGTAGAGCGAGGATCTGTCAAGTGATCAATCGATTTTGGCAGTGGCGCATCTTCAACCAGCATGGCGGTGTTTCCACCAGCAGCACTAAAGTTGTTCAAGAAGACAGCACGTCTACCAGAAGCGCTGTTCTCACGAAGCCAGGGCTTGACCTCAAAAGCAATGTTCACACCTCGCTGAGCAAGATCCAGGGGGTAGTTGTGGTTGATCCGGTTCTTGATACCACAGTGAGGGGGGGATCTCGTTGTGCTTCATCATCTCCATGACCTTGATCAATGAGCAGACACCAGATGCAGACTCGGCATGTCCGATATTAGCCTTAGCAGAGCCAATGAAGAGTGGTCGCTCTGGAGACATCTCTGTTCTCTTGTACTTGGGAACAAAAGCAGAGAGAACAGAGTTCATCTCGGTCGCATCTCCTGCTTGCGTGCCAGTACCGTGCATCTCGATGTAGCTAACATCGGTAGGGTCGATACCCGAGTGACGGATAATGTTCTTGAACACACTGATCTGATCACCCTCGTGAGGTCGGGTGATACTCTCAGTCTGACCACAGTGGTTGGTGTTGGTACCCAGAATGACACCGAAGATTGGGTCATTGTCTGCCTCTGCATCTTCAAGTCGCTTCAGGACAACAGAGCCAACAGCGTCTGATCGGCAGTAACCACTGGCCTCGTCATCGAAGGCATTGCAGTTTCCTGTTATCGCTGTTAGCATTTGGATTTGATTTGAGATCATTGAGACATACCGGTTGTAGACAAGAAATGAGCACGATCCAACCCAGCAAAGTTATCAGGGCTGGTAAGAACATTGGTTCCACCAGCAATAGCGGCATCACATTCTCCTCTCCAGAGGTAACTGCACGCAGCTTGAATGGCAGCAAAACTGGAAGAGCAGGCAGTATCGATACTCAGACTGGGTCCTGAGAAACGGAAGAAGTAGCTGATACGACCAGGCACAAACGCACGATTTCCACCAGGGATGAAGTATGTGCCGACATCTTGACCACTGTTCACCTCACGCCAGTCATCGCTAGTAGTTCCGAAGAATACACCAATACGATCTTGCTGTGTGCTTGCAGTGCGGTTTCTTACCATACCAGCCATTTCCATGGCCTCGTATGTGGTGGTGATAGCTAGTCGCTGAGCAGGATCGGTGTTCTCTGCTTCCTTGGGAGACATATTGAAGAAGCGGGTATCAAAGACACCTGGCTCATCGATCCAACATCCATACTTGACACGGCTGGTGTTCTTTCTCTTACCGGTCGGATCATAGTATTTCTCCCACTCGAATCGATCACGCGGAACCTCACGGTGAACATCTTGGCCGGATCTGAGAAGCTCCCAAAAGGCGTCGTTTGATGCAGCAGACGGGAAACGACCCGAGTATCCAACAATAGCAATCTTGGAATGCTCGAAGCGTCCAGTGGGTGTTGGCTCATCTAGCAGACCGGATCCAGTGGCATCTGTGACCGTGACTTGAATCTCCTTTTCCTTGGTAAGTGCCGAGGCGATCATCGTCCCCGCATTACTGGAGAACGGGAGAATAGTGCATTCTTGAGCTTCCCCTTGCGTCAGCCATGACTGACAAGAGTCGAGGATCAAATCCCAGCAGACAGGTTTTAGCAGGGTCTCTTGAACAACGGTGTGCAGTAGCTCGTGGAAGCTGGAAGCGGAAATGAGCTCTCCAGTAGCGGAGGAAAGCACAGGCAGACGAGCCTTTTGATCGGCTGTGTCCGAGCCTGCAAGGTAGCTAACAATTTGCTCAACGTCGGTCTCAGAAAATAGATGTGCGGCGTGGTATGGTGAAGCAATATCAAGGTATTTGTATCGGAGTTGCTCAGAGTAGGTTTCCAGGAATCCTTGTAGAATTGATGGTTGTCCGCTGAGTGTGATAGTTAAGCTGGCAGTAACAGCACTTTTCCAAAGGCTTGAATGACGAAGTGGTGTCTATGAAATCATCAAATATTAATATTTAATCCGAAAAATGGAGGAATACTTGCATCCCACCAACTCACCTTTGCTGCCATATATTCTTGGGCGAGGTCTTCAACGGTTTGCTCTCCCCGGGAACTCACAGCCACGGACCATGATGTGGATCCCTCTGACTGAGGGCTATTCGACAAGCTCCGTGAGATCAAAAACGAGACAAGCGCAGTTCGAAAAGCCAAAATGGCTGCTTCAGCTCCATTGTTGACAAGATCGACAATATTTTGAGAAGATGCAAGGGCCGATGCAGCAAACCCACCAGTGCATGGACCAATGATGCAGGCGCTGGATGGGGGAAAGATCCTCGAACCGTGCGAGAAATACCTATAATGAATCAGTCAAATTGCAAATCGCACCAAACAGGACCGTGGGGTAATTCTTACACAATACTCTGGGCCACTTGCTGCACACTGAGCAGGAAGAATGCAAGAACCGGTGTTCCACTGGTCTCTCCAAGTCGTGACACCAGGTCAATCAATGTGGTAAAACGAGGGAATAAGTCTTGTTGTTCCAAAGGAAGACCGTCTAGCAGTCTTCGTAGCTGGTGGTTCACACGCTGAAAGAAGGCAGCAAGAAGTGGGTTGGTCTTGACATGTAGAAGACGCTTCAACGATTCTTCCACATTAGCCAGGCTCAAGTCTCCAAAGAGGATGACTTGGCTCTGGACAGGCTGATCATCATTCATCTCAGTAGTTGCCATGGCTGGCAAGTAACTGATCTCTTTACAGAGGAATGAATGACTATTAAGCAGTGTGCTAAAATATTCTATTGTAGCTATGAGAACAGTGGCTTATACGGCTCTTTTCAATGAAAATCATGATATCTGCGAGTCATTTGGAACGTGCACTCGGGCTACGGGCCCCGAGGATGGAGCTGACAATCACTAAAATGGTGGAATTCGGCTTGCCAAATTGATATGAGTAAGATTGCTTCGGCTCCCATAAGACATTGACCGATTGGCTGGGATGCTCGGGCAGCAGTGGTCTACTCAATACATTAGTCTTATCTGCGGCTTTAGTTTGACCCCCAGCTTCGTATAATAGCCAGCCTTCTTTCGACGGCCTGCCCGAACCTGCACTTCCAGTGGTCTATTTGCGTCCAGCCCCATTATTTTGAGATATTGACCCTTGCTTATTCCGATCCTCCTCCATTGAGATCTCGCCATTCCACCAAGATGTACGCTTTTACTATTCTTGGATTTAAGAGAGATGACATGAGTGAAGATGAGTACCACAATTATATCAGCACTGTGCATTCGGGGCACCTGAAGGCCCTACTGGCCCAGAATGACATTGTCTCCTACACCATGGTATGGATGATCTTTTGATCAAAAAAACTAGCAAAAGCAATTATTAATAATGGGGTCTCAGCAACACAACACCTCCCAAACCCGGAATGATCTCATCAACAAGGTGTACAACGGCCAAATGCCTGTGGAAAAAGTCTTCGATTGCGACGCTATTATTCAGGTGGTCTTCAAGACGGTGGAGGATTATCTACGTGTTCGAGAGGATCCCCACTTCCAGAATGTCGTGAACCCGGATCATGTAAACTTTGCGCATCCTACGAAGACGAGATTTGTGATGGGATGGCATGAGGTGCATGTTGCCGATGGCAAAGTTGTTTCCTAAATTTAGACTTCCTTATGGGGTCAAGCTATGTACATGTTTACTCTATCTGGATGGATTTATTCAAATCATCCCGAAAATTTGCGCATATCCTCGACTGAATTACTTCATTTGGATAGAGATCAACAGATAGATACAGGAAATCTTGGACTACTCAGGCTTCATTCAGCCCCCAATTTAAATCTCCAGCTGCACCTCCCACAGACCACGGCAGCTGTGCGATGTATGGCGTTCCTGGTATTGGATCTGCAAACGAGTTAATTTTTAAGATTCCAAATAGATCGACGGGAGAAGGACAAACCTTGAAGTTGGGATCCGCAGACTGAAGAAGCTGGGACCACTCGGTGGATGTGCGCTGCTTCACGTTGTGCATCGTGGTCAAAGTCACATCTCTTCTGCGGAATGCTCTCTCGACATGACTTTCAAATGTGGACCATATGGGAGAAACCAGGTCACTGATAAGGACGATCGGCTTGATACCCTGGTGCTCCATTGCAGGCAAAAAGCTTCGCAGTAAAGCAATGACCTCCTCGTCGCCATGGCTCCACAATACTCCACGCAGAAGGAAAACGACAGTATTGTCGGTGTAGTCGCCGACTTCATCGCACTTTCTGATGGCAAACAAATCCCTCTGCGAGAACTTGACCCGCGATGCAAGCTCAGAGTCAAGAGTTTGCTTCCCGCGACTGATCAGTTCAGCTGAAGTGTCTTGAACTTCGAACTCAGCATTCGGGTACAAGGTTGCAAGCTCCGCTGAAAAAGCTCCAGTCTTGCCCTGGATCTCAACGATGTGAAGAGACTTCCCGTTTTGAAGACCTTTCGATCCCTTGACCCACTGTATGATCATATCGTTTCCAGCATCGAGATCTGAAGAGGGTGAGTCAATTTTCATTATTTGAGCCAGGAACTCCAATGCTTACTCTTTGATACACTTTGCATCGCCTGCGCAAAACGTTTACCCTTTTCAGGATGCTCCCGGTGCCAATCATACATTGGCATGCCCCATCTGAAAAAAAGTTAGCAGAGGTTGAGAGTTTCCAGACAAGCAGATCACCTACGCAAGTTCAAATGCAGCCTGACCTTCATTCCAGTAGGGGTTTGGCTTCCGCAATGAGTCTGCCAAGTGCGCACTCGCAACTCGCGTCTCGAAGGTTTGAAATCCAATGAAGCTCTTATATCCTTGATCCTTGACCAGAGTTTCCGAAATCGCAGTATGCGAAAACTCTCCCTCAGTTTCCTCGCGAATAATTCCGACCGTGGCGACAAGTCGGCAAATACGGAGCAGCTTGTCAGCCGGCAGTCCGGTGCGTGTCGCAAGCTCAGCAATTGGGATCTTCGATCCATTCAGAGGGATTTGCTCGAGAACATTGTGGTCTAGGAGGGTGTACAGTGCGCCATGTTCCCAGTTGACCGAGACATACTCATGAAGGAATCCATGGGGACCCTCCAAGAGCATTCCCAGGTTCTGGCTAAGGCCTGTGATCTTGGATCGCAGGGCCTCGATTTCGGCATTGTGGGTCGTCCACAGACCCGATGTGGTGCCTACATTGAGATCATTGGGGATAGCAATATCACTATCGGTGAGACTCTTCGATAACTTGGTTGTAGTATCGAGGATCTGCTGAGCAGTCTTGATAAGAGTATTCTGATCCATTATTGGCTACTTCTGATAGAAAAAACTGGGTGCAGAAGCTTTGGACAAGTTTACTGAGGAGGGCCTGAAAAGGAGGGCCTGAAAAGCAGAGTAAGAAAGGTAAAGGACTCAAAGCATTAACTAGCATATCTGATATCATAGAATCTATTTTGTATGACTCTCAATTGAAGCAAATGTCTCCAAGTATCACTAGTTTGACGTAGATCGGAGAACTGGCACCCGATAATTATCCCGATTGCTTCCCGACTGCGAGATTGTTTCTCGTCGGACAAAGATCTGAACAGCAGCTCGGCCTCTTCGGGCCCCGAGCACCGAAAAAGAAAATATAGAAAAACCTAATAAAGATTCAGGAATATGCAGATATGCACAATAGTGGAGTAAGTGGAGTCAGACCAAAAGGTAGGACAATGCCCCCAAAATCTAGTGATCTCCAGGGCGCCAACACAACATGTAGATCACTCTAGAAAGCCGCAATAGTCATAAAAGATTCCAATCACTAATAGTTCAAACTTCGTAAGTGAAGAACGGATCGCATATATGTATGATGTGTTCAATATAGATGACTTGGCTGCCTTAATTTCATGCACTTGGTTCTACCAGCTAGAAACTCAGATCCAAACTCGGACTACGGAGTATTTTTTGAACAGCTCAAAGTGGGGGCTGATTCAATACGACTTTGGAGCCCCGGTCTAGACTGAAATAATGGAGTACCAAAACAGACAATCAAAAAACAGTGTGCAGAGTAGAGTAGAGATCAATTGATAATGTTTTATCTATAACACCCGAAAAAAACACATAAATCTTCCTGTGAAGATGCTCTCGGAAGAACCTAGGATGCTTGTGCAACCTCCTTTCGACTATCATGGCCATCCATGGGCAGGAATCCACGCTTGAAGACTGGGCTCTCCTGGATCTTGTTCCAGTCGTGCAACATTCTTCCGTTCTCAACAGAGCAAGTCACCTCCTCCTTTCCTCGAGGAATCATCTCAGCTTCGTATTCCTTGATGGCGTCAGATAGTGCGGTCGATCCACTGTGGACGCCAGCAAGCCCCGCCAAGAGTTTGGATACATCACAAATGCAGTGGTTCAGTCCCTGTCCGCGGTCTGCAATGAAATATGCATGTTAGCCTGAATCTGATACCTCGAAATTTCGAGTCAGCGGCATTATAAACTCACATGGTGGCATTGGGTGCGCAGCATCTCCAACTAGCGTCAATCGACCATCCTTGTTGTTCCATGGCTGACTGATCCAGTAACTAATGTCGGCCTTGTGGACCTCTGTCTCCTCGGGCATCCACATGAAAGCGGAACGAGCGGGCTCTCCCAGACCCTCTGCCTTAGACTTGACGAGCGCAAGTCGCTCGGCGTAGCACATGGCGTTGTCGCTTTGACCCATCCAAGCCATGGCCATATGAAAAACCCAAGTCTCAGGGTGGTCCGGACCATCGGGCATGCTCGAGACTGCAAATCGTTTATTAAAAAAAACAATAAGAAGTTAAAGGGAGACAGTATGCGACTTACTGGATTGGAAGGCGTGGAAAGATCGCTCGCTCAGAGCCAAGTAGCTGGTAGGATACTTCTCACGAACAAACTTCGCCTTCTCAGCATCATTGTAGCATACAGTCATGTTAGTGTGGAAGATAGGGAATGAGGTAGTGGCGGCGAGTTTGGCATCTCCCATGGCAGTTTCTCGCACACGAGATCGGGGTCCATCAGCACCAACGATCATAGTTCCAGAGACAAGAGTTCCATCAGTAAACGTAGCGATCACACCATTGCCGCTCTCGTTAAATGCAACATCTGCCAGAGTTTTGCCGTACTAATTCCATCTTGTGTTAGTTTTTGTCTTCGCCAAACGAAGTGATCACATCCTGGCATACCTGTACATCGATACCCTCAGAGCACAAAGCGCGCATCTTGCTTCGTGGAACTCGCAATCCATCCTTATAGGGAACTCCAGTAATCAAATCTCCGGTCTCGCCGTGGATGATTGGGTATAGTCCAGAGTGGATACCAGCAACTGGGTTACAAGCGATCGTCGCCAGCTTCGCGCGGACTTCAGTTGGGAGAATCTCAGCTAGAAGTGGAAGCGACCAGTGGATGGCCATAGTCCATTCATTACTGCGGGAGTTCAGGGAGGCATCGCGCTCGAAACACGAATACGAGATACCGGCCTAGAATTGTGCGATGTTAGATTTGATCAGGACCTGGAGGATGAATATTGCAAACCTTTTTCAGACCTTGGCAGGTCAAGAGACCGGTGATTCCTGAGAGATAATGAGCATATTTACATCTATCAAAGAGCATCAAGTTTTACCGGCTCCAATAACAATAACATGTGTCTGAGGAGTAGCCATTTTGTCTTGTAGAAACACTGAAGTGTGTGTAACAAATTTAAATCAAAGTTGTTAATCTAATATCTTCCGTTCCATGAGGGCCAGGGTTCAAATTATCTATATCATCGTCTTTCCTCTCATGCCCGACTAGATGGCAATGACATGCCAGAGTTGATCTCGGCACCTGAACGATCGACATCCGCGTTATACGAAATTCGGATACCGACTGGGTTGCCTCACGGAATCCGGGCTCCGAGTAGCGGTAAGAAGAGTTCGTTGGTCATCCAAATGCGCTTTTTTTATCTCATTTCTATGCTAGCTGATTATAGGCTAGCTGTATTGTATCCTATTTTCAAGATTGAATACTCAACTTAACAAAAATAGTTATCATATACAATTTTCTGTGTCACAGAGATGTATGCAAAGTTACCATCAAACAATATTATGCGCCAGACAAGCAATATTAGGTACTATGATATCTCCGTATTTCCAGATCCTCCCCTCTCACAAACCTCACCTCAGCAAAAATGAAGCTCACCTACCTCGTGCCCCTCGCCGCCTTCGCAGTGACCGCGCTCGGCAGTCGCCCAACTCCTCCGAACTTGACGTTTCTGTTTAGTGCCAACCTGACAAAGGGATCCGCAAAGATCTATGATCAGTCCGAGACCGAGATCAAGGCCTTGCAGACCCTCACCGGTGGAATAATTGCAGGACCTAACTTCAATGGTCCGATACCTCCGATACCCAAAACTCTACTCCGTACTAGGTAGTGAATACCAAGAAATAATGAGCTGAAGCTAATGAAGTTGGTCATATTAGGCACTGTTTACGGCGGGACAGCGCTGAGTTCGAGCAGCGCTGATGGAACGATCCGAGCTGATGCCCACTACTTAATTGAAACCACTGACGGAGCCAATATTCTGGTTACGGAGAGTGCGGCTATCCCTTACGTCTCCGTGCTTTTTGACACCAGTTCCGAGAAGTATGACTGGCTCAACAATGTTACGGCGTGGGGAACTCCACCGGATCTGAGTTATATCAACTATCTGGAGTACTGGCGGGTGAGTTGAAGTCATCCATATTTAGCCGGTTGATAAATATGTGCTGAGAACTGTCAAAGATTTCATAGAATTTAGCCCAGCCTCGGAGTTTTTGACTCTTGATGTCCGGAGTAATGCATAAAAATCCATTGCTCATATACTTCATTATTTCATTGTCACATAGTTCCAAGGCTACCTCCCAGTGATGTCATCTTGTCTTCTCATCCTCGTTCAAACCATGAAACCTCAAGTCCTTGTTTCGCAAGGATCTCGTAGAGAAATAGTCATGGGAATATGCGGATTCTTCAAAGAATGACATCGAAAAGCGTTTTAGATGGGACGATTGACCATGCTTTTTCGCATTATTTCCATTTCTATTCTTGCCACTATGGCACATCATGCTTTCATGAACCTTAGAATCTTGTCTAAAAATTCCAAAATGTTGAACATTGAGTTTGTAAATAGTATTTGAATGTTAATCTAGCACTACTAGTACTAATATTTGAACCTTGAAAACATTTGAATAGACATCTTCAAGTTGTGCTCAATTATGACTCGGGAGGCTCGTAGTAGGTACCCCCTGTGCTATATATATCTAGATAGTACTACTACCTACATAGTAGGTAGTAGGTATCAGTTGACATAGGTAGGTACTACTACCTAGTACTGACCTCGGGATGATTCAAGTTCCCACTGGCATCCACGAGGCCCTAGATATACTCCCTATACTCTCTCGGTGCCTTTATACTGGGTAGATAGGTAGTACTTGAATTTTGAAACTTGAACATGAATCCATCACTCTAGTGCACATGTGCTGCAAGGTTCACATCCATGGATGTACTCAAGTGCTAGTGTGACCCGTGGACTCGACTCGGAAGTAGCCTAGCACAACCGTGACCTTGGAAGGGCGCCCCGGTGCCTGGGGCCACTTGGGACGAACATTTGAATCATATGATACGTGCAGTACTTCGATCTGGCGTCTTTAATTTCCAACTTGAAGGTTCCAAGGTTAACCGCTCAAGTGCTCGGCCGGCCACACTTGCTTCCAGGTGGGTTACTCCACCACTTGCATATATATATATAACTCAGATGTCCCCTTTTTGTTCCTTCAAGTTCCAAGGTTTTTATTCAAGTTGCGCCGCACTGTGAATGGAAAATGGAATTTTTTAAAAATTTTATATATATAGATGTTTTTAAAGAAAGAGCAAACCTATACAACAGTCCGGATTTGCATATGCGGAAATACATCCGAACTTGAATGACCAGAGAATTGTATCTCGACTACTATCTACTAACCGACCTCGGAGGCCCGGGGATCCTTCGGTCACGGCACCTGGGTATTCTGACCTCGGGAAGACATCTCCAGATGTCTGGATGCCAGTGCACATGTGTGCTATACTAGTACCTAGTAGGTATGCATGGATGCGAGTCCCAAGCTTGAACCTCGGAAGGGACATCTGGATACATAGTAAAATCCCGAGGTCCGAGTCATCATGCCTCTAACCTCCGGGGCTGCTCTAGGCCTTTCACGCACCTGCTGCAACCTTGGAATCCTATAGCAAACTTGAACTTCCAAGGTTGAACATTGGAACTTGAACATTGAAATACGCATTTCAGGGTTCTTGTCCCTGGAGGTCGCCTCCAGGGCTCCTAGATACGGATCCATTTCAACGTTGCATCAATATGGATGCAATTTCCATACTACATTCCGTGACTCAACGAGCCGGTGACCGCATCTAAGACATCTGGAAACAACAACCTTGGAAGTGTGTCGAGACATGGACTGCAACCACTACGGGGTTCTGCCACTGCCCACTGGCAGGCGGTAGTGGTCTGTTGACTCGGATGAGTGTTCTCCTCAGCCCCGGGCTCTCATTGATATTTCTTCGTAATTAGTTCAAATGTTAGAACCGAAAGTCCATGAAAATCAATATAGCTCTCAACTATACATGTATCTTAAACATAATAACACAACAAATAATATGTACACGAAATTGGTATATGTCGACACAACCTCAATCTCCATGCCTATGTGTCATAAGTGGTACATCTTCCTCTTCGTCTTCTTCCGTCCTTGTCGCAACACGTTCAAACCCAAGACGTCGTCCAACACTGAAATAGCCGAAAAGTCGGCTTACCATAGGAATCATTGCCTTCACTAACCCGTAAATGGCCAACAGGCAGCAACAAAACAACGCAAAGATGGTTATAACGACGGGGTAGGACAGTTCGCCGAAGACGTCGATGCCCAGCCACTCAGATAGGGTCTGTCGAGGGTGTTTGCTCAATAGAGCAGTCTTGCCCAGGACGTTGTCCTTGCTGTCTACCGCAACCAGGCGGAAGTAAGTGTTGGGGATTTCGTCCGGCAGGTTGACTTTGGTCTCAAAGTCGATTTTTTCGACCCTCTCGGTGGGCTCGAACTGCATATCCTTCATATCCACGCCATCCCACAGCTCCAGCCGCCAGGCTACGATTTCCGTAGCGCCGTTCCAGCTGACATAAACCGAGTCTTCGACAACGACTGCCATGGGAATAGTGAGTGGCCTGCCAACCCAGTCATTTTTATAAGTGCGGTATGACACCACAAGGCCCAGCTGGAACCAATTGGAGGCAGAAAGGTGCGTATCACACAAAACCTCTCCATCTGGGGTAAACTCGGTGTAGGCAGCGCAGTGACCCCAGCTGATAAATGCATTTCCTGAATTTGGTAGGATTTGCATGTTACCCTGGGAGTGAGCGCGAATGCCCTCTGGGTGGAAGTATTGCTCACGAACGGTGGCGATACGGTTCGGCACGTCGACATCGATGATCATTCCTCGACTTCTGGTGATAGGGCCAAGGAAGTCCTTGGCGGCATTGTCGTATAGAGTGAGGGTGCGCTGGTCGTGCCAGCGCGCGTCATGCTGCCAGGCAAAGTCGGTAGCCCGACCGCCAGAGGCATCGGTGAATTGATTACCTTTGCCACCCAGTATCCATAGGATCTCGCCCGTTGTGCTGTTGATGTTGTAGACGGAGTGCGTGTGGCGCGCGGAAACAATATAATTTCCCACGTCATCCTTGTCGACACTATTAATATGGTATGGATCCCACGGCGATGTGCTGTCCTTGCCGCTGCCCTTGAGTTCAGGGGTGTACGATGCAGTGAATGGGACGTGGTCCGAGAAATGCCATTCAAAGAGCAATTCACCTGTGGCAATATCGACTTCCTGGAAGACTCCGTCGTAGATGAAGCCATGGCTAGGGCCATCGAATTCCTCGAGATTGGCTTGTTTCAGGTCGTAGATAACGATGAGCGCGGTGCCGTCTTGCGAGATGTGGAAGTCGTGGATGTCGCCTTCGAAATGGCCGACCGGCGTCACTTCGAAGCGGTGGATGTAGTGCGAGTCCAGCTGTCTCGAGTTAGATTAAGAATAATATAGTATGAGCTCAGATCACAAACCATCGCATACGAGCCCAGTCCGTGTCCATGATCACTTTCTCCATGCCAATACGTCAGATATTTATCGCCGAGGTATTCCTGCACATTGAAATCTGTCGCTGGTCTGTCCACGGGCATTGTCCAGACCAGGTTCCCTTGTTTGTCGAGAATCACCGGATTAGATCCCTCGATCGGACTGCCATGGGGCGCAATGAAAATGTAACCGTCACTGCAGCGGTCGTCCCAGACGGCCAACTCAACATCGGGCGATTCCATGTTAAAGCTGACATATTGACGCGTTGGATATAGGCCGTAGAGTCCATGGTCGAATAGGCTGACCCCGACCCGAAAGTTCAGGCGTAACAGAACACCAATTAGCAAGTAGTGTAGCGATGCGATGGCAGTTACGACAACGAACAGACCCAACAGGAGTCGCATCCTGCTCGGCGGCCGGCTCACGAGTGAGGGCCATTTTGATGTGAAATCGAGGAGCATCTCGAGTCGCCAGGCGTTGTCGTTATGCAACTCCTAGTAGCCATTCGTGCGAAGAGGAAAGACATCTTTTTTTTTTAATGGCAGGACCAAGAGTTCAGGAGAACCGAACTGGAGACGCGTGTGCGGCAAGGTCTGAGGGCCACTGATCTCATGCCTAATTAGGATTAGACTTGGCCGGCAGAAAAGAGAATTACATAGAAATACGAGTACGAACCCCACATCAACCTGGGCTCGGATCCACCATTCAAGCCCATTCAAGCCATTCGAGCCATTCAGGCCTTTCAAGCCATTCAAGTCCTGGTAACAATCAGGCTTTGACCATCTAGAGGATTAGTAGAAAAAAATCGATCATACATTTAAGCGAGGATGGGATAATGTTTCAGGAGAATTAAATATTTGAATGTCATTGTATTATATAAAAGAAAACTGCCCATTTTTATGGAGATTTGGATTGGTAGGATAAAGGGGGAGTAAAACATTTGAAGATAAAGAATTGTAATTCCCCGCTAATCTGTTGAACTTGAAAATAGCAAAAACCCACCGCTTCATAACCTTGGAAAGCTAAACTTGACCCAGTTAGCGTTATCAGATAATCTCCTAATAATATATCCGCTTCCAAGTTGTATTTACCCCTTCACTTCCTCTTCAAAGTTCAAGAATTCTTTTTTTAATACTCCAAAACCCAAAATTGGACAGAATTTTCAAACAGTACCTTGGTAGAGGATAAGATACATCTACCCATCTCCAAATGACGTTGATTAAGACCAAACCTGGGAATAACATATGAATTACAAGACATGAAAAGGCGGTGTTAAAAGCGGTCTATAAACTAGTCTCAAATATACACGTGGCCAGTGGCGGCTTTCGTGGTTCGTCATTTTCCATTGGCTGTGCACATTGGATTGTGGCTATGCTCAGAGAGTGCGATTGGCTGAGCCACTTGGACCAACGTTATCTCCACCTCACATTGCCTCACATTCATTATCTTCTCCTCACATTTCTTAGACATTTTCTACGCTAGAACCATCAGTTTTCCACTAGCCCGATTCTTGGTGCTAATTGGGAATTAGCGCAATATATTTTGCTCGGCAGAATGAAATCTTGAACGTTTTTTTTTAGTAGAGCATCTATTAAGCGGGGCTCAAAGCCCCTCGGGATAGGGGTTCAAGTTTTGGCTAAAAGGACAGGTTGGACAATTCAAATGTTTTTGTACTAGCGTGTAAATTATTGATCCACTTTCAACATTTGAATATTCTAGACTAAACTCAAAGAGAGGGATGTGGTAAAAAAGACAGGTCAGTCCTTTCGGTTAAAATAAGGGAGTGGATTGATTTCTCCGGAGTCCGAAGGTATATTCATCTTGGCTAGTACTACATAGCCATTGATGATTTGCCCCCAGATGAGCCTCTTGAGTCAGGGGCATAGCGGTCGATTGAGCTGTATTTGGACGTAGCGGAGAGCCAAGAAATAGTAGCACCGGGGCATACATATGATGTCTCTTGCATGTCTTACTTTTTCCTCCCCTTGTTCATGACAAGTATGGCACAATATCGCAATCTTCATCAAGGTCAAATGCCTCGAACTTTGCTGTTAGTCTGCCGTACGCATTTTCAACTCGCAATGAGGTTGGCATCTTCTGAACGCTGGACCTGCTTCCCCAAATCAAGTCTGTGTTCCCGTGAAGTCTGACCACAACTGGTGGAGAGCTCAAGTGGCAGGGTACTACCAAATCTTGTGAGGGCAAACTACAGTACGACCCGAGAACTAGAACTGCAGGCTCGCTTTCATCTTTCCCTCCCTCGATGTTGTGGGGTGGTAGAAAATAGATATTTCGTGTCTCCACCGAGCGAGGTACAAATGGAATTTTAGAGGAACCGAATATCTGCCTTCCTCTCTTCATTTGATCGAAATAGCGGGACACGGATAATGTTCAGCTTTCTGTATCTTTGCGTAAAGAATAACTCTTCATCTGTCCATGATAAGAAGAAAGGCAAGTTTGAAACAGAGATTTTCGCAACTTTGCCCAAATCAACTGTGGTGCGAAACACTAGACGAGGCAAAGTTCTGACTGTCTTGTTTTGAGAGAGTCGGTGTGTGGATACCTGAAGACCAAGCTGTGCCTTTTTTGCGTTCATCACCCTTCTGCCTTGTCTCAGAGGCTTCCAATGTGGCGAAATGGACATATTGACCATCGGAAGAAAAATGAGCCTTGATAAATATATGGCAACTACGCGCCTGCGATCGACATAGCTTCCGGGTGAAGTACGTGTTGTCCTCATAATTTGCAAAAAGAATCTCCCCATCTCCAAGCGGCCAGATAACGAGCGGTCCCGATGGGTGGAAGACTGGCGGTGAGTCAAATAGCTCTCTTTTTATGTAGCACGTATAATGAAAAATGGGGGCTTCCGTCGTTTTGGTGGGATCGTAAATTTTGATGGTGGTATGCTTGTTTCCTCATGCCTTGCCGTTTTGGAGTAGAGGAATATATCTCCAAACAACGCGACAGGATCATTGTCGGAATCCGAATCGACACTATTATCGGCGAAAGAAAAATTGCTGGGAGTGTAATGACTGCGAATTTCGCCTTCTGAATTATTCTGCTCATCTCCATCTCCTGAAAGTTCGCTTTCGATGTCACAAGCGGATACCAATCCAGCGCTGCTGGCATCAGCCGAATCCATGTCAGAGTCTGCTTGGTGTTCCTCTTCCAAATCCTCCATCGTAAGAGGATCATTGGCCCAATCATTCCATTCGTCTTCTTCTTCACTTTCATCAGATAATGAACGTCTGGATGGCTCACTCCAAGATGTACGGGCAGTGTTAACACTGTTTTCATCAGATAAAGGATTTAAGGCCTCATCCGTGTATTCAGATCCAGATGCTGCCTCCAAAGCCATATCTCTGAATGGAGAGCTTTCAGCTTCAACACTTCCTGTATCTTCAAGGTTATCGGAGAAGGTTAAAGTCCGACCAGCCTTGGTCCACATATGAATCTTTTCTTCAACTGTGACTGGCTTCTCAGAATCAGAGAGGCCCGTGAGGGGTGATTGCTTCGAATTTGGAATATTGCCAGAACCATTATCATGACTAGCATCTTCCTTTGATGATTTCGTGAATTCGATATCGGATTCGCATATATCTCGTCTTTTTGCAATCGCGATTAGTCTTCCATCGCTGGCGACTTCCTCGATATAATCACCATCGGCCAGAGTGGCTGATAGGAGAGTATATTCTCCATTGGGATCTAGGAAGTATAGTTGTGTGCCAATACGAACGCAGCTAAGATCCTTCGCGAAAGAAACGAGACAGGGCCTCCCCAGGTGTATTTCAGAAGTGGGCAATCATATAGAGGCCAACTGGTGGTGGAGGACGATATGACATGTGACCCGTGTAGAGAAGGAGAGGAGCCTTCAAGAAGCCAGCGCTCACACATAAACTCCGAATTTTCTGGCAGTCTAGTAGATGAGAAATCGTCAGATGGCGCCTTGGGTCTATAAAAGCCCACTCGGAGAAAACTTGATCTCACTTACCTATTGATTAATTTCAAAACTACAAGCCACTTGCCCGATTGATCCACAGCATCAAACATCCGCGAGGGTGTTTCAGACACATCAGTTTCAGCTGAACGCAAGGCTGACTCTTCATAGCGACCAGGAACTTTCTGAAGAAAGTTCTGTACGCTCAATGATTTAAAAAAAAGCATCTGTCAATCTCGCCTGGGTACTACCCTTGCAGAGTGGTTTCGTGATCAAGAAGCTCTCCCCATTCCTGTACAAAGGCCTCATAGGCTTTGATCAAGCTTTCTTCATAGTTTCCTCGGAGCCATCGAGGGAATACTCTCTTGATATACCTCCCTGCCGAAGGCTGATATCTATTCCACCGGAAGCCAAATTGACCTAATTCAGTTAGATTGGCCTTGAGTATGCCTGGAATGATATGAAGCAGCAACTCACCTTCAACCAGGAGACTTTGAACCTGCAAAAGAGTGATGAACTGCGTGCTTCTAATAAACTTGATGACTTTTTGTCGGTACTCAGCGGTTGGCTCAACGTCGTCGAGGTGTTTATCTCAATACTTGGCTGCATAGGATAGGAGATGTTGGTCTTCGATGTTATTATGCCCAAAGTCAAAGAAAGTCGGCCCCACGTCGCTTTTTCTTAGTGTGAGGCTCTGCCAATACCGTGGTTGCATCAAATACTTTAAACAGGCATCTGCTATCACATCGTTTGTTAAAGCCTTGACAGTGACTTGCCTTCCGATCTGCAAAACCTGGGGGTTCTTCAAAAAAAAAGTCCTTCACCGACGAGTGCTCCAATGTGCAAATCTCGGTCTCACAATTGAGAATATCCACTTTCTCAACCTTCACCAAAGGATCACAAAGCTTCATCATTTCGGCCTTATATGGCAGTTTATCTTCGTCGATGTCCACACGCTCCTGCTCTGATGCGATAGCCATGAATTTTCGGACCTCGTCCAGCCGCAAGGGCCTTCTAGCATGTAGAATACACGCGAGAAAAATCCTGAAAATGGGGTTAGGGGAATAGTCACGGAAGATATGGGAAATGAGGATGACATACGAAACCAATTCTCTTTTTCGAGGGTCTGTTCCTTCGATCCTCCTCCTGTAATACTGATCAAAGTCAGTTGGAACTCCACCCTGAATGAGCTCGTTGATCATTGATGGCTTGACCACCTGCAACGACTCATTCAGCATGAGAGAAACCCAAAGAAAACAGCCATCCGCTCTTTTGTGAAGAGTCTGACAAATCTTCGTTACTTCCTCCTCATGAATTCCGGCCTCGTGCAATGCAGTAGCCTGTTGCAGAAGATAGGTGTTCATATCCTCCCCATTGAGCTGGGCTGTAATCTCTAAATGAAGAAACGAATCGAGCAGACAACCAAGACTAGTGTGAACCTGGGAACTACACCATAGACGGATGGGGTTCGGGTTATTGCTTGAGAGATCTTGGAAGAACTCTACAACCCCATCCAAATCGTTCTTTCTCATTGTCTTCCGGTATTCTTCATCCAGCCCATCAAGGAAGACAAATGTCGCAGGGAAGCGTTTGATAAGCAAAGTAACCAAGGTCTTCACATCTTCCGCTTTTGCACTCGAATGACCCGTTGAGTGAGGTTATAGATATTGTCGGGGATATCCGCATGTTTGAAAAGCGCGTCCACCAGCTGCTGAGCAAGGCATCGATAGACATTTAAGGACTGCGAACCCTCGTCAGAGTATTCGTCAAAACCTTGATCAAATCAGAAGAAATGATATATGACAGCTGAGGTTGGTGGGACACTGTTGGATACTTTCTCGATTGCATAAGCGGTGATTGTTGACTTCCCAACTCCGGGTCCACCCTTCACCCATAGAAGGCAGTCCGAAGATTTGATATCGAGCCATAGTCTCATATTGATATGATCAAATAACCAGTCGCAGGTCTGAGGACTTCTGGACTTCCTGTACTTCTTTTGTTGATGAAAGTTGCTCTCATTTAAAGCCAAGGAGGCTGGATTGAGCCATGTTCGAAGCGTGCTCCCCTTGTCAGCATTTCGGTCTTCATCAAACCTCTTGTCAAAGCTTGACTGTTGCTCCCCTGCAATCTCTGCCAGTCCTCTCTCTCTAGCCGCGCTCAGCTGTTCGCTTCTGTCTATCTGCCCTTTGAGGAAGAACGCAAGACGGTCTATTTTATCTGCAGTTTTCTCAATCCTTATAGTGATCTCATCAATTTTCGTCACACTAAAGGGAAAAGTGGATCGGAGGAGGCGATTTTCGGCACAGCGGTCGCATTCTTCTTCAACTCTCAGCCAAAAGCGAATGATATCGATATAAGACTCTTGTATCAGATTTTGCATTCGTGGAGAACCACCAAGGAGGTCTTCACAGGTATTCAAGTTGTCAATATGATAATTCAAAAGAGCAACTTGCTCTTCAATATTTTCATACAAAGACAGATATCTTTTTGAAGAGTCTACCACGACTTTCAGACATCCCCAGATGAGAGCTGACGGCATAGGATCTGCTTGATATCGACAATCCCCGAGTACGTAGAAAGAACTGCGACTGTACCTTTTAAGACTTTGTGTGCCGTTATCAAAACTTTGCGATCGGGCTTTAATTCTTGAAGTTCCTCGATGCTGTGATTAACAACATTGGCATCGATTTGTACGCCATTACGAAACTGCTCTTGTAACCCTCGAATGAATTTCGACTTTTTGCTTTTTGCTGGACATGTGTGAAGGACGCAAGGCTGAATGTCGATGGGACTCCGTTGTCAATAGACTTAGACCCCATTCTCTTGGCGTTACTCCGATCCCAGAGCTAATGGCGATGATCGAGGAATAGTTGAGACTAAACTGAAAAATCAAGACCTACCAGCGTAATAAGGGGAACATCAAGTAAAGAGCACAAATATTATTCGAGAAAGAATTTGCCTTGAGGTTTCAACATACGCCCTTGTTGTGTTCTGATATGATTCGATGTCACGATTTCGGAGTGCAGAAGAGGCTGGCGCTAAGGACGCAAACCCATCACCAAGGAACCAATCAAATACATAACACGGCAGATTGGATCACATTGCATGAAGTACGGAGTTTACCCGGGTAAACATGTAGATTTGATTATCGTGTCACTGAGGGGCTGAGCGTGTGAAGGATCTTAGGTAACCTGGTAGGATGTGTCAGCTTACTGGCATCTTGTCTCTGGACTAGATGGTGATATTCCTGTCTCATATTCCATTATCTGTTCTTCAAAGGTTCGGGGCATCAGGATGGATCGTTCCAGAGCGGCAATAATGGGAGACGAGAAGGATGTGCCTGTACAGGGTTCCGTGAAAAAGACTGCAACGACCAAGCCCAAAGCACCCCAGAAGCTGGTGCGTGTTGACCAAATGTGAGAAATCTCAATTCTGGCAACTCCATGAGCAAGTACTGATGTGAAGTCAATTATTCAGATATAACAGGTATTTTACAGAGCCTCCAGTGACTCAAACACTGCTGAACCGAGACTTGAAAAGATCGAAAAGTCCATTTCGTCAAGACCAAGAAATCCTCATCGAATCCCAATCCTTCCAAGACCGCCCTCGTTGTTCGTCGCCTTATCTCGAAATACGGAGAAGTGGAAGATACCAAAATTGACATTCGGTCTCCTTATCTACGAGGCATATTCAGATATCTTTTCAACGATGTTGTGGGACTCGAGCTGAATAAGACCCCGCCTGTGGTAAGTTGTTACATCGAAATGCCCGCCATCTCTTGCTGTCATAAAAAGAGACCACTTCAAATCAACCGCAAAATTTAGCTGATCGGTTTATTGGCGAGTATTAGGCAGACCCAAAGCTGCTATATTGGGCGCGTAAAGGACTCATTCGAAAGAAGGAAGAGGAACTGAACAAGCTTCAGCCGGACGAAGAAAACGTCGTTGATCTGGAGACCACTCTACAGTGTGTCGAGGAAGACTGGGAAAATGAGATCAACAGCATGAACTCGCTTCTCGCCCACAATGAGATTATGATCGCACCTCGCTACGGAGTCATAGGTCAGGACCAGGCATTTTTCCATATGAGGTCGTATTATCGTCAGCGAGAAGACAAGACCAAATATGTCGATGTGTATGGAACTATCATCACACCGGATAGTCAAACTTTCGGTACTGGCTATATATCAGTGAAATTGACCACTTTGAAGGATCACGACCTATTTCGACATTAAGCTGCTATCCAATCTCTCAGCGTGTTGATGAAGCTGGAATTCGAGAAAGGCTCATTCAACGAGGAAGAAAATATATGGCCTTACGAGAGAAGCCCGCTTGCAGAGACTATCATGTAATGTATGGTGGGAGGGAAGTCAAACTCCCCGATGGGGAATCGATAGAGGAGATGTTCAATGTAGGTCAACTACTTATCTTTTCGTGTCTCCAGCACTAATTACCTTTCCAGCCATTTGGACGCGTGATCGCTGACCCAGCAGGATATTACTTTCATAACAGTGCATCAATTCTGAACCAACCTCGTATCATTGCAACTCGCAGCTCAGAGCAAAAGGAACTTTCTTCAGATGAGCTTTTGATCTGTCCGTCTTGGATCAATGGATTCAGTCTTGCCAGTAAAACATGGTGTCGTCTTGCTGTAGAGCCCCTTGCAGACATTCAGTGGAACGAATCGGCCTTTGACAAGGTTGTTTTGGAAGAAAAATGTCGCACTCTTATTCACAGGCTCGTCAAAGCCCATCGCAGGGACGAAGGTGCATTCGATGACCTCGTGCAGGATAAAGGAAAGGGTCTTATTGCTCTTTTGACAGGAACTCCCGGAGTTGGAAAAACCCTCACAGCAGAGGCTGTTGCTGAAGTCACACAGCGCCCACTCTATGTTACTTTACTACTTGGGTGTATGTCGTTTTTTTCTTTCGGCCACTTCATCCAGAGCTGGCATAAACAGTACTTGAGAGAGGTGGGAATCGTAGGATCCATTCATTCCGACTATGTCCATATATGCCCAGGTGGACATGTAGCAGCTAGTTTTCCATTCCTTCCAGGTAGCCCCGTAGGTACTTAGTACATACTAGTACAAAGAGATGCACATGTGTAGGTCATCCACTTGAATCGGTTTCAGTCACCTGTATGTATATCTATAGGCTATCGCAGCATCCCTGCACGTGATATATCCGGGCCAGATGTAGTTGCTGATGTCAACTTGAAGCACTGGAGGTTAATAGGTGAGTCAAGATCTTCAACTTGAAGTTGCAAGGTTTACTACCAAGCATGTTTCAGTTTGAACTTCAATGCTGAAGCCTGGGGCTTGATCTAGCAGCTGACTCTGAGTCGTTGTTCAAGCTGCATCCATCATTATCATACTATGTCATTTGGATTCATGCACACTGGCATTTCTAAGGTTGAATGCTCGAGTTCAAAAATAGAAATAAAATCGTATTGAAACTAGAAAAATCAAAAGAGACTTGGTGGCAGTCGTGTACCTCAGCACTTGAGGAACAGCCTCAGGCTTGAAATTGGCTAAAATGTGCCTTAGCCTTAAATTACAGAGCTTAAGGGGAACGGGGACCGAAAGCAGAGAGAAATCGAGAAAAGAAAAAGAACAAGAGGCTTATGGTCACTCTGAACTCTCTTGAACCAACCACATGGGAATCATCTCGTCATCGGACTCCAAGCTACCCTCATTAACATTTATTTCGTCATCCATCTCTTTGACATCACTGAGTGCCACTAATCCGCCTGCGAGGAGGTCTGGCTCAAGCTTCTCAGTTTCAAAGAAGATAGTCTCAATCTCATGAAATCGAGTTAGGCAAGGACCACTTCCACTTTTGGTTAAACAGTCCGCATCTTGGATAGTCAGACTGTCGGGAAGCCACACTCCGAAGGGGTGTGTAGTTGTTGCCGCCACAGTATCACTCGCATCCGTTATTCCTTCGCAACCATCTGCATTCATTATTTCATTGCCATCTTCAGGATTGTTGGGCTTCGGAGTTCCATCCAGTTCTTTCATTATCTCGATTGCCTCCCAGTTCATCTTGCCAAGATACCCGCTATCTTGGATCGTAAGAAATAGCTCTTGATATTCGCAGCCGGTACGAACGATGACGGTCGCAAGCCTATAGTCAATGTTAGTAATGTGAAAACTTGACTGGGAGATGAAGAGACGGAGACTCGCCATGTAAAATCTAGGTCCCAACCAATATTTTGCAACGCAATTTGGCCTTTACAGGCCAAATGATCATCATCTGTGATCCTGGAGAAGAGGCTGAGTAGAGAAAGAGCCCGGCGTGTCGCTTTGCTCGGTGAAAATAGATTCATTGGTAGAGTTAAGGCGCTTGCCTCAACAAACCCACGGTCGGCCAGTATGAGGTAAATTTCCCAGACGACATACTGCCGCTGGAATCGCCAGTAAAGGTTCCGAAGCATTCCTCGCCAGTCTGGATCCTTCATGTACATCTGATCATTAACACCAATATCAGGAGGATAACCGATTGTTGTGTCACATTGAGCAATTTCATCCATGAGAGCCTTAGTTACTGCCCCTGAAACCAAACCTTTGGAAAGATGGCAAGTTTCTCCTAGGCTTAGTCGGATCCTGGGGTTGGTGGTAGGCCATTCGACCCGAGCGTTTCGACCAGCAGCACTGTGACCATAAGAAGAGAAGGAGATCATGTCGCGGAAGAACAGGTCTTCCAGTGGGAGCGATGGGTCCAGGTCATTACTCGACCAGAATTCTGGAAGAGTAATTTGTTCACCAGGTGTGATATTTCGATTGAGCTGGGTAACCATGAAGTGCTCGTGGTCTTTAACGGACCAGGGAGTTGAGGATGTTGAGCTTGAGCGGGTGTTTGCTAGTGACTGAACCAAGGCAGTGGTGAATCGCCCGTTTCGGACTCGTCCGCTCACACTTCGGGTATGACTCCAACTTTTGGATTTATCATCGGCAGATGCAACGCAGTAGCAACTTGCAAGATTCAATTTTGAAACTGCATCGATGAAATTTCCTGAGTAGCAAAATTCAGGCACGAAATTCACTTGCACCCCAGGTTTGAAATGTGAAATCAAGTTTGCAAACACTACACGATGCAAGGAATTATCTCCTGCCATGAATCCATCATCTTTATTCCCATGACCATCCAAGATGATATTCACCACATCACCAGCCCGTGCAGCCGACTGCTTTTTCGATACCCAATCAGTGATTCGGTCCAATAACTGACTTGATGGGACGAGTCCACCACAAACGGCCTCGGTCGAATCGATCCTTGGAGTATGTGTGTAGTGCATGGGAACCGTCAAACCCGAATTTGCCGAATTTGATGGTGTCGAGTGGAGCATTCCTTTTTTGGAGATATTCGAAATGTTCTTTGACTGGGAAGCAAGAATAGAAGTCGCCGCGGACGTGGTACTCGGTGAATGTCGAAGAGATTCCCCTAAAATCTCCAAACAACCAGCCATCTCGTTGGCCATTCTTGGCCCCACAAATAACCAGGTTATGTGACTGGGATCTCTGGACGATTGGGCCTGGCCCAAGAGCTAGTTTCTGGCCAAGTGCTTTCTTTGGGTCACGACCCGAGTGTTCGTGTGGAGCCATCATCAAGCCAATTAACGATCGTAACAATTTCACAAAGATCCGCGAATGGAGGTGATGGGAAAATATCTTGATGGAGTATGAGAGATACAAAAGCACAAACTCTGACATGAAGGTAAGAACACGACAAGAGGGAAGGAAGATGTAACTGAGAAGCAGGAATGAGAGACAAAAGCCAGGAAATTGATTTAAGGCAAGGTTCTGATAAAACACGAGGCTTTTGAATCGCTGACCATGTAGGAGGGTGGATTGAAGAAAGAGAAATGACTATGAAAATAAAAGGGTAGGTGGGTGAAGTAGAACGAAGTGAGAGTAAATCCATCTAACGAAGTGAGGTAACAAAGTGAGAGTAGGAAATTCATCTCAACTTCATACTTTTGAGTAATTATGTAGGCTATGATTATAAGCCTCAATCAGGGAGGTCTTTAGTTGAATCTCTTTGAGCTGAAAATAAAACATTCAACAATCCAAAAGACTTCAGGAATATACACAGTCTAATAAAGGGAGCCTTGATAAATGAACGCCATGTGGTGTGAGTAGACCTGGCTTGCAGCTTGACACTCTTTACACGCTCTTCGTTCACTGTCACTAGGAAGGCGATGATGTACCTCAAATCAACATTGAAAAAACTATTGTATGTGAAAACAAAAATTTGACAGTGGGTAATATTACAAGAAGAAGAATTGTAGTAAATAAGGAGTAGCAACGCAGGCATCCGCAGGTGTTAGACGAAAACGGAGGATTCGAGCAACCTTGGAACTTTGTGAAAACATGACTTTGCCGGTCTGGAGAGATACTGTCAATATGCTGATATGCGGGGACTTCTCGTCCAATTTGAATCTAATCATCACACGCTGTGCCCATTCAACCAATCCAGGGCTCAATACGAGATATACGTCTAGAATATAACTAGTAGAGAATGATATAATCCTCCATCTAGGTATCTGCGTTCAAGTTGTTCCACTCTTGATACCACCGTGCTGCCAAGTTAAGAAGATGCCCGCTCTCAACTAAGCCTGTACACCGAGCCAGGGTGTCACTACTTCGCCGAGCTTTTGTAGTATCGAACTAAATATCCTGCTGTCCTCGGTAAGTCCCAGCTCTCCACCGGCTCTTCCAAAAACCTAGTAGCTTGATGCTAGGATTTGTCTGGGGATTTGGCTCACTTCTCTCCAGATGATCAAGCCAATCCCCGACAGAAACTATATCAAATTTGAAACCCGCCAGTCGAAGGATGGGCAGAAAGTCATCCGTCCAGGAAAATGAGCTCGGATGAAGCACGTTGAAGAATCGAGCTTCCCGGGCTGTGTCATCTGTGACTACATTTTCGAGTACTTCACAAATCGTTCTTGCACAATCGTCGACAGGGAGCCAGTGACACTTTTCGTCTTCTAGATCTGGGAGGAGGTTGATTGTGTTGGCAGCTCGAACCAGCAGGGGGATTGCTTCACTGGAATTCCAGATATAGGCCTTTCTATCCGCGACGATCTGGCCAATTCGGGCGACTATAGTGTCGGCACCCGCTTGTATAGCCGCATTATTAAGGATGTTTTCGGCGCTGAGCTTGGATTGAGCGTAGCCGGTGGATTGTGCATGTTGTAGTTGACCTGGCAGGGATTCGGGGATATTGGCCGGGACAGGGGTAGAAAGAGTAGTGGAGATAGATCAGCAGAATATAACTCTTGCTGGTGGCCTGGAGACTTGCAGAGAGAAGTTAAGAATCGATTGGAGCGACGAAAGGTGAGGTCTGAAGCTCTCCAGTGACAAATTGAAATCCACGGGCCACGCTGTGTGAATTATGGATGAGGTTGAGTGTAAAATGTTCTCATTTCTGGATAATATTTCACCAAAGTTTCCATGACTAAGATCCCCAATCAAAGGGATCACTTTCAAAAGTGCATCTGTTGTCACATCGATTCCACGCTTACGAAGTGAATCCGAGATACGACTTCTCGCAACTTCGGGGCTCTGGTCTGCGGTAGTCGGAATGCGCACCACGCAAATAACTCTCCTGGTAGACTCAGAATCGAGGAGAGTCTTCAAAATGTGGGAGCCAAGCGAACCTGTGCAACCAGTGAGGAGAATGGTATTGCCCCCTGATATGTCAAGTCCATCCTGTGATGGCAGTTCTGAGCTGGAGGGACTGGAGATCGAGTACGTGCTGATCAAATTTGCCATCAACTCGAGTGATGTGATATCACTGGACTCTTCAATATCTTTGATGTACTCAGCAATTTTTCTGATTGTCACACAGCGATAAATTGTGTCAGCTCCAAGCTTCCTTCACTTTTCCTCTGATTCTATATAGAATCGCGTCCGAATTGCGTTTGAGAAATGCGCAGCTTTCAAACTATCCATGCCAACATTGAGAAGATCCACGTCCACAGTCTCAATATCCAGATTAAAATCCTTCCTGCAAATTGAAAGGAGCTCTCTCGTCAGACAAGGTAGGTCGGGTCTCTCAATCCCGGATGCTTGTCCCTGGATGCTCTCATACAAGGTACTGATTTCCCTTTCAAATGCTAGGTAGACTTTCGCTCGAATTATGGTCCCTTTATCAGTTCGTAGGTATGAAACTCCACTCGCGATAGGAATAATCGCTTCCTTACTAATTCGAGAAAACCCCTCCGCACGTGAATTTGCATCTTCTACAGCTGGCCAGATATTGTCGACAAATTCGACATCCTTCAACTCTTGAGCTCGCGGTCCCTTGAATACTAGCAGGCCTGGGAAGTCTCGCTGGGCCCCAAACACAACTGCTTCAGCTACCAAGGGATGATCTCTGATTCGGCCCTCGATCGGAAGCGGTAGGACCTTCTCCCCATTCACGAGTGTGACACGATCGTCCATGCGACCAACATATTTCCAGGCATCCTGAATAGTGGAATGTGGAGAAAATAAATCGCGGGAATGGAAAGAGTTTGGCGGGTCATCTGAGTTGGATACGACCTTTGATCTGAGACCGTCCAGGATCACTAACTCGTGAAGTCCATCCGCAGTCGGATGCATATAAACGTAAGGCTTTACGTTCGGAAAGAACCGCAGATAGTTCCAGCTTGCATCCCCTTGGGACGTCTCAACGTCGCGACTTGGCCACATTAGGTGGCCCCAAATGTGATCATCAGATGGACACCGCTCATGACCAGTCTATCTCCTAGTTCATCCGGGCATGAGGCGCCAGCTACAATCACACTTTCGCACTGTGCTAATGCGTCAATCCCTTCTTGTGTTTCTGCAAGGAGTTTCAATGCATAGGGTACTCCGAAGAAAGTCTCTGGTTTGACGTTTTCCAGCGCTTCCAGGAGGTAATTCGACGCCAAGGGCAGGTTATGGTCATACATATAGAGAAGACCTCCCTTGGAAATTGTGCGAAACACCGAGGCAAAACCAAAAGGGTGGTAAAATGGTGCGGTGAGGAAAGACTACGAATTATTTCCATTTTCGAAGTTTTCCAAACATGCTCGATGTGTTTGGAATATAGGTTTCGGCAAGCCCGTTGAGCCAGAGCTATGCATGATGAAAGTTGTACGGTCGCCAGCGCCATCGACCTGTTCGCTTCGCTAATCAATTCTCGTGTTCAAGCCAGAGTCAAAAACATCCCTTTCTGGAGTATGAAGAACTCGAACATCCCGCTGTTCTTGAATACGGCTTGCGACCACCTTGAAATCGCGCATGTACACTAGAGTGCTACATTTGGTGCAGTCCAACAATGAGACAGCTGCTTCAGTCGAGAGTCGTGGGGATAACAAAAAAACCGCATACCCCAGTCTGCACAGTCCTAATAAGGAAACAAAATATTCGAGAGTCGATTTCCCGATGATGGCGATTACGCTTGTTTCGTTCCGATCGCGCCACTATGTTGATCTTTAGTCACTTATTATTGTATGTTAAGGAGAAGAAAGGTTCGACTAACCACCGAGACGAGTTGACTATGAAGATAAGCTGCAGCGACACCCTCTGCCAGCTTATTGAGGTCTTTCCCTCCAAGAAATTCATATTTATTGATCGCTTCGACGTGGCTGGAAGTGGGGAATGCCATTATAGGGGCCGCCTGTCGGTCTTCCCCATCTGCGAGTTTCCTGATCGAATCATCCACGGTATTTAAATGACTGAATTTCTTTTGCAGTGCCATGTTTGAACTCCTCGACGATTCTTTCTACTATGGATGCTCTGTTTTGAATGTCGTTTAAAGGCTCCCTGCCAAAGAGCGGGGCTGGGCCTTGTTCACGGCCCTCCATGATTGATGTTAACTTATTTATGTGAGCTACCTAGGTAGGTACCTACCAGTGGAAGAAATCCTGAGAGTTTCTAAACCTGTCTGTGGTCAGTTTCAGGAGCCGGAAGGATCGCGGGGTCGGGACTGAGTAAGTCATTCCGAAGCTAACTATTACTCCGAATTGCTACTCCGTGCTGTTTACTCCGAATTTCCAACCCCGAGCTAGTCCGTATTGTACACTATTCCAGACGTCTACCTAGTCATTTACATTAGTTAAATGATTCCGAATTTGGTGGAAACACAGTGGACCTCGGGATAGCTAAGAGATACGAAAAAGGCATGGGAAATATGGGAACTTCAAAGGAAAAAAAAGACAGGCCGCCAGTTTTCCTTGTCCTCCATGACGCCACGAGACGAAAGAATCGCCCTCCCTCCTTTAGCTCGATTTGGCATAACTGACAAGATGACGGCGAAAGAGCGATCAAATGCTGAGGGTGGGGAAATTGCTTTCCAGGATGAGCCGCAGGTCGAATATCGCATGGACGGAGGACTTCAAGCTTAGGAAGTTGGATCCTTTTTTCTAATACCTGGTATGTGCCTCTAGTTCTGGGCTTGATTTTCAGACCAATGATCCGACAATTCAGAGAAGAATGATCAGCTTCAACGACCTGCATGCAGGGGACTTACCAATTCTTTTGGTGTTTTTGAGACCTACTACACCGAGGACTTATTAAAAACCTCTTCAGCTTCAGCCATATCATGGATAGGGTCTATTCAACTCTTTCTGACAATTTTCGTTGGCGTGTTCGCGGGTTGGGTCCTCAATGCTGGCTATCTTCGGACTCTACTTATATTCGGTACCTTCCTTCAGGTTTTCGGGATGTTCATGACCTCTCTTTGCACAAAATGATGGCAGATTCTGCTGACGCAGGGGATATGCGTGGGAGTTGGCAGTGGCCTACTCGGGCTCACCTCTGTGGGTGTAACTACAATGTATTTTTCGAAGAAGAGAATGATTGCAACTGGGATTGCGGCTACAGGAAGCAGTCTAGGTTAGTTTCAACCCCAAAGTCGAGATTGAAAGCAACGTCGTGGCGGGGAAGCTAAATGGCAACAATAGCGGGGATTTTATATCCAATCATGATGCGCAGATTCTTTGTGAGTACGGGATCTCCGTGGGCTGTACGTGTACTGGCCCTCATGATGCTAGGATCTCTGATCGTTTGTTGCACTATTATGAGGCTCCGCCCACGCCCTCGTCAGTTGACGACTCTGATTGATTTCTGTCATTTCCACGATCGGTCCTACATGGCGTTTGTTGCCGGTAAGTCTGCTCTTTTTCTTCCTTCGCACCAACCTCCCACTATTCATAGAATCCTGGGCTTCTAAACTAATTATCTACTCAAATAGCATTTGCATTAATGATCTCACCTGTCTACGTTCCGTTTTTCTTTATCCAGAAGTATGCCCTCAAGCTTGAAATTGACGATGACATGGCCTTTTAACTTCTGAGCATGATGAATGCTTCGAGTCTGATTGGACGTATCGGACCAAATTGGCTTGCAGACCAGTGAGATATCTCCTTCACCATCAACTTGAACCATCTACCTCGCTTTCCTTTGACTAACCATCTTGCCTCTTCCAAAGGTTCGGTGGTCTGTATATAATGGTTCCAACCTGTTTCTTATCTGCAATCGTTCTATTCTTCATTCGATTTACTCACGATTTACCCGGTCTAATTGCGATAGCCCTCCTATACGGCCTAATCTCTGGAGGCATGGTGTCTCTTCCCCCGCCATCATCGCGAACCTCACTAGCAAACCTTCGGAACTCGGCGCCCGCATGGGCATGGCATATACAATAGCTGCGTTTGGTGCATTGATTGGAAATCCCATAGCTGGTGCTTGTCTACGAACGTCTGGCACATCCACCTCCGACGTGCAGCAAGAGTTTCAAGGAGCCTGGATTTTTGCGGGGGCTTTCATGTTACTCTCAACTAGCTGTGTGGGTTTGACTCAATATCTTAGATATCGAGCCAAAGGTTCACACAACTCGGAGTGATAGATTTGGCAATGTTCTTACAAATAAACAGACCACTTTTTGGAGGTCAAGGTGATGGTGTTTAAGACTGTGTTTGGTCATTCATTACCACCAGTTCCGCCGTTAACTCCCAGCAGAGATAGAACATTGCCTTGATTGAGGGACAAAGTTCTATAATTAAAAAAAATGACAAAAACATACAACAGTCAGGATTCGCATGTGGTCACCCACCATATTACTAACTGAACGGCGTGTGGCTTATATGCGGCCAGTAGTCGGGTGGATGACGGCCGGGTGAGAAATGGGTGAGCGCCGCTTTACGGTCGCGCGACCAGGGGTGAGAAGGGTGAGTGCACAATAGACGGGGTGAGAAACTGGGTGACAGGCGGGTGAGATGCCCCTGGGCGGACGACCGCCACTCAGACTCTCTAAGCTGAGTCCAGGTAAGAGCGTTATTGGCCCCCCTCGACCTGCCTGAAACCGCCATTTCTTGGTACGCAGATTCCAACCCAGAATTGATCAAATTAATGGTAAGGCTGACTTCAATGTCGCCTTGGGCCAAGATGCATGGCGACTGATCGTACGTGTTTTCCAGATTCTGTTACCAGTCGAGCTTCAGGCGACAAACCCCAAAAAGGAAAAGAAAAAGAAAAAAAGAAAAAAAAGGGAAAAAAAGCGATTCTCCGCCATTGTTTTAGTGGGGTCGTTTAAAGGCTATAAATGAGTGACGGTGATGAAAGAGTGCCGTCTGGGTATTCAGAGGATGTTGGTTTAGACTTGACTTCTGCACTTTACCTACTAGTATGCACAGTACGTACTTTATAAGGCCCTATGACAAGAGAAGATACTCTACGCTACAGTAGACACGTTTAATACAGCCACATCTCTTGGCTACACCTAATATGTAATGTCGTAGAAATGGAAGACATGAGTAGTTAATAGCAAGGCTAAAAATAAAAAAGGACTTGAAGTACAGATTACCCAGAGTTTAGGGCTCTGCAGAACGTCTAGCTTTCCTCCCAAGCGATTTCAGCCATTCCTTGCCACGACTTTGAGTCCGGCTATCATCAACGACGCTCTGCCGATGGAATTTGACAACGTCGGCCATAAACCCTCGCACTTCCTGAATGATATTGAGGGTCTCCTCCCATTTCTGTTTCTCTTCGAGGATCTGCCCCAGGATGGACTTCAGGTTGAGCTTCAGAGCGAGCTCAATCTTACAGGTTTTCCCATTCCAGTCAGAGGTGAATGGCGCGCTAGTAAGAATTGCGAAGTCCGCCAGACTAGAGGCTATGCATAATCCATCGCCCTCTCCCAGCCCTTGGATCTTGTACTTGGCTCTATTGCCTTCTGGGGGTGCAGGCTTTTGATCAGGACTATTCATCCAGATGTGAATTTTCCACTGGGAGACAGCGGCAAGCTCCAGGGTAGCCTCGTGCTCCTTGCCTGGGCGAAACAGGACGTCGTACATGTTCACCATGTGATGCCTCTCAATAATAGAAGCTTCGACGAGTTTGCTGCGGCGGTCACGGTCATCCAGAAAGAAGGGGTCTGGTGTGTCCAAGGTAGTGTAGTTGCCGTTTTCATCAAAGAGCCATGGCATCTTTGGGCGGCGAGCGGTAACAGCGTCCTTTGGAATAGGATTTTGTTCTGCAAACCAAAATTCTCCTTGGTCGCCGGCTGTCTGGAAGGCATCGCGGACGTGGTTCACGATCTTGTGCATGTAGTTTTTCATCTTTTGCACAGCATCGAGAGCCTTGGTCGGAACCATGAACCAGACAAACACCTTTTTTCCGGAAAATTTCATCTCTTCGATGTCCTCTAACTTGCGCAAATCTTCCGGTGTTGATTTGGCAACAGGGGCAGCAATAACGGGCTCGGAAGATGGGTTCAGCTCGAAGAAGCAGACTGTATAACCGCCCTTCACGTCTGGGAGAGCTGCGTCTTGGTTCGCCTCAATAAAGGCATCGGACTTCTTGGAGTCACCCCGAACGACCAGGTATATAGGGGTGTGGGTGGCTGGGAAGATCATGCGCATTTCTCCAATGTGAATGTTAAGTCTGGGCTGCTGCGCGTCCAAGCAGATTTTGAGTGATCCTTGGATATATATTCGTTGCTCCCATCAACCGATACAGCACAGCGGTGTCGCCTTTTGGCTTGGTCGTGGAGCTCCTTGGGATAGTCCTTACCGATCGGGCGGCTCAGGAAGCCCGGAGTGTTGGCTTTAGACAACATTTCTAATTGAATTCAATGTGAGTTATTCGCGCTCACTAAGCCATGAGTCCAGGGTAACTCACTGATTGGTGAATTTAGGTAGGAAGTCAAAAAAAATCCGAACCTCGAAGAGGACGGTGCGAACAGGGGTGGGAGAAGCAAATCCGAACCTCGAAGAGGACGGCACAAGCGGTGGCGAGAAAAGAAACTAGAGCCTCGCAGGGGGAGATAGATGGGAGGAGTATCTTTAGGCCTAGGTGTGAAGAGCATGAAAATAAAGAAAAGGTAGGGAAAAGAAGGGAAGGAGAGATGTCAAAAGCTATTGACCTTTACTTCATATGGACCAATCAACTTAAACCATTCCGGCAACCTTATCCAAGCTCTGGCATTCTACTTATTATTACGCGTTTACTAGAAATTAGTACTCTTCTACTCAGTATCCTTTACACACAATTAGGCCTCACCCGTAATATAATTTAGTAACTAAGCAGTTCTATAGCAAAGGGAATTTTTCCTTCTACAGTCAACTCTCACTTATTGTACAACCGGTTATAGCAAAACCCCGGTTATAGCAGCCTCCTCGCTTGGATGGACCCACTTTTGTCGCTATCTACTAATAAATTACTCACTTATTGAAAATTCACTTAACGTGATTCCCGGCCGCTCGAGCGCTGGTCTAAGAACTCCAAATTTTCTACATTTTCAACCTCAAATTTCAACACCAAAACACAATTAAATAATTAAATAACTTTAGTAGGACATCCAGAATAGGTATGTCCTTTAGTTCCACAACCAGAACAAGTGACCTGGCGCCGTATGATAGGTACAGGGGGTAATGGAGGCTCTACTGGTGGCTCCGTAGCACCCTCCGTTGTAGATATATATTGCCTTCCACTATCTTTTTTTGCCACCACATTACATTCAATCTCTTCCAAACTTCGCAGACTGCCTTCATGCGAGATCTGCTTTTTAGTTGTAGCCCTCTTTTTCACCTGCTTCTTATTGGCCGTCTCTAACTTGGCGCAACGATCTTGGATAAAGATGAGCTCATGAGCTAGCCGAATAGCCATATCGTGTGATCGATCAATAGCTTGTTTCAATGGCGAAGTCATAGTCTTTGATGAAAGTTCAAGTCCTTTCTTGATCTTAGAATTAGATTTTTGTAGTTTTGTGAGACTCCAAAGTGTATCTTGATCACTAGCGCTGCTAGAAGATGTTGGGCGTGGCTCAAGTGACTTAGAAGATAGAAGTGATTCAAGCTGAATATTAAGCTTATCTAGTACATAATTAGCATCTAAAGGTACTAGACCAGTACCTTTAAAGCTATTCTGTATAGTCTGAGCTTTAAAAGCAGCTTCTCGGGCAATAGGGTAGAGATTAATGAAATCATCTTTGTCAATAGAATTAACACCAAGACGCATCTCTTCCATAACAAGTGCTCCATATACCCTTTTTAGGACTAAAAAACATCCAACATCAAGGGGCTGTAATAAATGAGATACATGAGCAGGCATACAAAGAGAAATAATATTATTCTCTTCGCAGATTTTATCAAATTCAGGTGTCAAATATGATGAGTGTCCATCCAGAATCAGTAGCACATATTTCCCTTTCCGTATAGGAAGATAGGGTAAAAAGTGCTTTTATAGCCAATCAATACCAATCTCATCACTCGTCCATCCATTAGGACTCTTGTTCACACCCCAAAGTGGTGGCTTTTGAAACCAGCGTTCTAAAAAGACCTTTCCCTTGAAAATGATATATGGGGGAAGCGCAATACCATTAGACCCAATACACTCAATCACAGTAACCCATTCTCGATTACCAGGCTGTAGAACACCTCTTTTTCCATGGTATTCAGCAGAAGTAATAATTCTTTGAGTAGAATTGATTCCCATTGCAAAACCAGACTCATCAAAATTATAGATATCATCAGAAATGATACCATATTTTTTGATAGTGTTTTCAATAAGCTTAAACCAAGGTAGGATCACTGTAGGATCTTCAGAAAGGGCTTCATAATTGTATTTACAAGAAAGACAAGTAGAAAGAGATTGGTGTCTTTTGACAAATTCTGTACTCCAATTTTTGCCAACTTTCAGAGGGGGGCTATGAGGCGGTAATTCACGCGATCGGAGTAATAAATTGGCCATATCTCATAACATGGGGTGTGTAAGAGCTGCTCCTCAAGAATCCATTGAGAGTAGCCATTTCTCCATAGATTTCTCTTCCAAGATAGTAAATCTATGGCCAGAGGGGCGAGAATCATCCCAAAATTGTCGTCCGTTGATTCGGTGCTTCAAAGTTGAGACCGGCACGCTAAAAGCACGCGCAGCAGCAGCAGCAGACGGATATTGGCCATCTTTTATAGCTTTGATAGCTAATAAGAGAGCACCCTCCTGCTGTACTAATTTTTGAGACCTTTGGGAGCGAATTGGTGGCATGGTGAATGATTAAAGACATAGGTTGCTACAGAACTGCTTTTTTTTAAATGTGTCGCTCGGGCGGCCGGGAATCACGTTAGGTGCTGGCTAATGGTATTAGATAATACGGATGACTAGTTATGGTATCTTTTTTAATACCACTGAATCCAATGAACGAGGGCCACTGGAGAGGTTCCTGCCCTAGGCCACGTATGGATCAATCCTGATCACATCCCAAAATGGACTAGCGGCACGGAATCTGGTAGGGAGTGAAGGTTATGTGATCACAATTCAGCCAATGAATGAGGAAGATTCGCTCGCCCTTCTACGGGCAAGGGTTCTAGCCCCCCTAATCTGGAAAGTCTGGAGAGGATGAGAAGGCACTAGTCCAGGCACTGGAATACATTCCGCTGGCAATTACTCAGGCAGGGTCCTACATTGCTAACCGTCTTCCTCTAATTACCGTCACCGCATATCTTCGACTTTTCCATAAAAGCGAGTCGAAGCGGACGCGGCTTCTTAAGAATGAGGATTCCACAGATCTCCGGCGCGATCCCAGCATTCGATATGTAGTTATCACAACCTGGCAGATATCTTTTGAGCAGATTCATCAGGAGCGGCCGGCGGCGACCAACCTCCTAGTGTTAATGAGTATGTTCGATTGGTAGGGAATCCCAGAGGACTTGCTGCGTGGGACTGAGCAAGATGAGCTAGATTTTCACGATGTATTGGTACCGCTGCTATGCTACTCTCTGATTCGACTGGAAATTAACGAACGGTTGTTTGACATGCACCACCTGGTGCAATTATCGGTCCGGGCGTGGCTTAACGTGCACCAGCAGCTCCGCGGCTGGTAGGCCAAATCACGACGGATCATGGCACGGGTATTTCCAGATAGCAATTTCGAAAGCTGGACACAATGTCGATCGCTCCTTGCGCATGCTAAAAGTATGCTGGAGTCTATTAATAATGTAGACGATGACGATCAATTAAATGCCGCCACCCTTTCATGTAATTGTGGATGGTTTCTAGATCTTCAAGGTGCTTATGAAGAAGCAGATATAATGTATCGACGGGCTTTGGACACACGGGAGAAGTTGCTTAGACCGGAGCATCCCAAGACACTTGTGAGTGTTAGTGACTTTGGCAATTTGCTTAACAACCAAGGGAAATATGAAGAGGCGGAAGCGATGCATCGACGGGCGTTGGAAGCACGAGAGAGGGTGCTTGGATGTGAGCATCCTGACACACTCATCAGTATTAACAATCTTGGGTCGGTGCTTGATAAACAAGGGAAATATGAAGAGGCGGAAGCGATGCATCGACGGGCGTTGGAAGCAAAAGAGAAGGTGCTTAGATGTGAGCATTCCAAAACTGTGACCAGTCTCGATGCTCTTTAGACTTCCTGGATCACCACACGAAATGCGAAAAAGCTTCCCAATAGTAGACCTGTATCTAAAGCTTGTAGTGTAAAGGCAGCCCACATATAAATAATATCTTCCTTTGGTACCTTTCTTTATACTACTGTATACCCTCATAGTTCGATGTGGTCCTGGATTACTTCCACTAGCGTTGTGTTTCCTCAATGCAGACAACCTGCCACTTGCGGACAGGGTTGTGGGGCGAGCTTTCCGTTTCGCGGCACTAGTATTTTTCATACAGAGAGTTACGTGACTGTTCCCTTCCCGCGTATTCGCCTTATCGGTTCTATTCTTCTATGTACCTTTCTGCTGCCATAGATTCCACCGAAATTGGTGTTTTTTCTACTAACATGATTATGATGAAGTAGGAAATGAGTATATGTAATTGGATACTCCACATGACACACCATCATCTTTTCTATCAATCATAGCCTTTTCTGTGGACGATCTTAGCGTCATAGCAGCAAATAACGCATTTTATAGTGGTACATATCGACCTGTAATCTGCTACTCTAACACTTTGTAATTTTTGGTTGAATAAAGCGATGGAATAAGAAACTGAGTAATTATTCTCTCTGCCTCACTCGGGAAATTATTCAATGTATGGACTGGGAGTGGCGGTGATAGAATGTGTAGGTACCTAGTAGATATTTCATCACATAGGGTGTTTCACATCACCGGGATGGGGGTTAGTCGACAGATTACAGACTTTAGTGCAAGACTAAATTCCAAGTCTATGATATGCAAAATTTAGCTCTCCGGGCGGGTTATTCTCTGTGCAGTTGTTTAATTACGTGATAATATTCCTGAGTGGTGACCCGTTTGAATTCTCAGAATAAACAAGATTTCTCTGACTGCGGCCCTTCGATACGGTGTCAGTGTTTGATGTCTTTGTAGATAAACTCCTCGACAATGCGGTTCTATGCATTCGTACCAGCCCGTGGTTTTATCATCATGCCAGGTATTCAGTTATGTATCATATTCTGCGCAAGTGTGAACGCGGCCGGGCCACGCACTCTGTATTACGGAGGAATTCTCGCTCGAGATCCCCTCACATCAATCACAGGCTGGAAAGCCCAGACAAGACCTCTGAAAAGGAGTGGAGCTCACCGGTGTCGACAAATTCGTCTCGCACCATCTACTACGAAAGCGCTCCATCAGTGGAAGCTCGTGAATCAGGTATGGTGCTATGAAATTCCTCGTGGATCGGGAAGCTTACAAAATCAGCCGAACGCTTGGACTATGTCACAATTGACTGTCAGCGAGAGGAAACATGGCATCAAAGCTGGACGGATATGTTATATACTATATGTGGCGAGGAAACGTAGCGGTACTTGCGAATTCTGGGCACAACGCCCGGGAAGGAGAGTCTTGAGTCCTGGCCTAATACATGGAGGTGTGGGGCAGTCTCCAGAGCGATCTACCGGGGAGAAGTGACAGTGCGGTCGGGGGGTTTGCCGGAAGAATAAGCTTTGACACTATGAAGTCTAGAACATTATGGGAAACTTTGGCTCTATCGACGCAATAAATATTATTCCGGAATTGTTGCAATATTGAGTATAGCCCGAAGAGTTTTGTTGATGATGAACTTGAACTCGAGTCCTTTGAGAAAATTTTCCAAAAATCCTCTTGTAAATGGTGGCCTCTCTCCTTAGTCCTCTTCGAGGCAAAAAAAAGCTTTATCTGTGACCATCTGGACCCACTCGCCCGAAGATTACGTTAGTTACCTAGTCATGGGTTAAGGTCCCTACTGCCTGCGGTTTTGAAGCGTATCTTCCAACTACTTAGCTGTTACGCTCATTTACATAGGAATGAAAATGACATTAGATGTCACAGTAATATCTTTTATACATGCGAGTCCATGGCGAGGGTCCCTATCCTTTTAAATGGTCCTCGGACAGAGATGAGTTTGTTCATGAGCCCAAGCGGCTATCTTTAGATAAGGTTGATAACCAGACAGGATCTTAAACTCTAGTTACTTTGACAACATTTCTGGCTCCTGGTCGGAATTTCCCCTCTTGTTCCATGGGTTTTGCGAAACCTTACTTCCTCCTGCAGCTCAAGTTCTTGGTATCGACTATGACGAACCATTCACATGCTGAAGCAATCGGGGCGCCCATATGAACAGAAGTGACCGATTTCCTTTGTCCCTCTAGCCGAATTGGAAATTCTCCCGGAATCTGTGCTACATCTGCATCCTTCGCCGCCTCCAGAAATATATGTATGTGAGCTCATTTTTCAAAGATTTGTGCGTCAGAGACGTGAAATACCCGCGTCCGATTTCCCCTCCTTTACTCACCAGTACGGCACCCACTGTGCATAACCTTGCATATACCGTCTCTTAAACACCTTTTCTTTCCATCATGGCAGCCTCGAGCGTGAGTTCGTCAGAGTTCCTGGCTGAGCAAAATGATCCGAGTCTGGACCAGCGGGTCAGCATTGCGTTTATTGTGATTGATACATTTCTCATGCTGGTATTCTACGTGAGCCGGTATTTCAATCCTAAGGCCGTAGGAGGCCCCATGCTAATATGTAATACGCTGTGCTATGTGTTTTGCTTGGGGAGTGCGACGACAGGAATCTGTAAGTATTCACTATTTTGTTTTCTCGCATGGGCTATGGGCTTTAAGGACTTTTTGACGATATAAATGAGGTAGAAAGATTGAGCATTTGCCACTTTTTGAGGAAAAGGGTAAAGATGAAGATGTAGTGGCTTAACTCAAGCTGCAAGATTTGATTAGTGAATGATGGACACTAACGCTCGATAGTAATGGTAAAAATAGGCGGCATAGGGTTTCATGTCAATGCCATCCTACTGAACATCTTTCAGACCTGGCTGCAATTATCCAAAGTTCTCGAATTCACCTACACACCTGCCATCATGTTCGCTAAGCTTGCCACTCTCTTCCTCTACTATCAAGTCTTCGAAGTCTCGCGTTATCGCCGCATCATCGCCGGCATTGGCGTGATTATAGTTCTTTGTTGCTTGGTTTCCATTATCTTAGCGTTTTCGATTTGCCGGCCTTTCAGGTACTTCTGGACCCAGGCAGCTGATGTCAACAATGGAACTTATGGGGACGTCATGCTTTTTTATAAGAGCTATAGCATTCCGAGTTTGGTCATAGATGTGATGATACTGGTGCTCCCGTGGCCGATTGTTCTCAAATTACAAATGCATACTTCGGAAAAGATCGGCCTGATCCTTACTTTTCTGGCTGCCTCGCTGTAAGTCTCATGCCTCTCCTCCGCTTATTCCTGCGTCTTGCTTAGATAAAAAGATGAACAAGAAAATATGTTGATATAAAATAGGGGTATAATAATATATGCACTTCGCTTCTCTGTCTTCTTTACTGTTCCACTCTTCTCTGACCCAACCTGGTACGCCTCAGGGGGTCCCATGATCTATACCCTCGTCGAACCCTCCATCTACATGATAGCTAGCATACTGCCCACCACGCGGCATCTTTACCGGCGAATCTGTAGGAAAGTAAGACAAGCTGCACGGCTTCAGAGGGAGAATGACAACAATAGCTTGGAGATTATAGGCAGTCTGTCTCAACCGGCAGAGCCCCACAATATCAAGAACAGCGACAAAAGCTATCAAAGAATCACAGGACGCATGGACATCTGGCAGGCAAATACAGATTCAAGTAAGGAGGAGCTGACACTAGGAGATCAGAATCGGCAGGAATGGGATCAATCCAGCAGACACTCCATCGTGGAGTTCACCCGAAGCGCATTCTTCTGCGAGTAGTAGGAGCTTGGGGCATCAGGAGCAATCTGCAATACAGATAAGAGACAAATCTTTGCTTAGTGCTAGCCAGCCTTCTCCTGGAAGGGGCTGGTTATGAATGGTCGGGCTGGCTGCGGTTACGCCAGCGGGGCTTGTGATAGATTTCAGATGATTTTATTTCACCATTGTCTGGGCGTTGTACAAAGGAGTTTCATGAACGTGCTGCTGCCGATCAATGATATAGTAACAGTTCAATTGGATCGACGAACTCCTGTAGGCTGCTAAAGTAATCCCGATCCTAGTAGGTGTGGCTGATACTGGCCGAGTTCGGCGGATAGCCGGTACGTAGGTATGAAGGGACTTCAATATCACTCTTATAATTTTGATCTTTGATCTATTAGAAGGTGGTGGACCTTCCGCAATTTTTCTTTAACTTGTTCATGTACTTGACAAATCATCTTCGGTGATCTAGAAGAGCCCTTTCCATCTTCAAAGGAATGATTGCTTTGCGCCTATACATATTGATGTTTGTTCGAATACTGCGCCACCATATGGGCGCTCCTTGCGCTATTTTATTGGACAACGATCCAGGAACGCCTTATGTCAACGCATGTAGCTTCTTTCTCCGATCCCTCTGCCAGGCATCGCAAAGTCGCTCCTAATCGGAGATAAGTAGAGCCAATTGGCAAAGAAAGACTCCGTTCTACCCACAGTCATCCTATAAATATTATTACCGAGTTTACTCCCCCAGAGCATAGTTTTTAACTTCTTATATGACCAATTCAAGCCAGCCTGTTGATCAGAATCCTAATCTTACAGATAAACAGACTCTCGAGAAGGAAAAGGTTCAGCAGCATCACCGTACTAGCGTTAGAGAAAACCGCCTTCGTCATGCTTCTGCCGCCTGTCTAAACTAATAGTTAACTCTCTTGAAGTCTCCGGTGTGCCTTCCGCGATACAGTGATCTTCCTAATGGAAGCAGCAGAGATCCTTAATCGAATCAATCCATACTGAATGAATCATTTAGATCATCAATAAGTCACCTCCTCCGACACAGAGCAGCGGTCCTATCATATAATGGTAAATTCCAATACTTATACGTACTAAGTTCTCTGATTTAATAAAACTGATGAAATTCTGTTGAGTCTGTCATTCACCATGGTTGTATTACAAGTATAAGGCTATATAAGAACGGGTATTTGGACGGTATGGTGAGCAACCCTTGGCACGAAGTGGTAGGATTAAGAGATATTCCAAGGGTTTTTGGTAAATTCCTCCAAAACAGGTTAGGTGGATACGCAAACTCCGAGGCGCACCAACAACAAGAAGTGGTAAGGCGGGAAGGCGGGAAGGCGGAAAGCCACAGATCCTCTACAAATTCGAACTGGAAGTTCTTTTCTCTCCCTCCAAGCGTATCCTTTCCAGAATCCCTGCATTTCTTGCAGAATTGTGGTGATATGTTTAGCTTTCGTACCTTGGCTTCTCTCACGTATTTGATGCACGTTGCTTTTCTAGGAGGCAATGTGCGAACTCATAGGTCCCAGCTTAAGGACACTCTGTTTAAGCGCGATGTTCTCTACGTTGGTGGACGATACACGAATGTCACGGCAAGTCCTGGTTCCCACCAATTCTACGCATATCTAAGATCTTTAAACAGGAAAATGCGATCAATTCTTCATCAATGGTTATGGTAGGGCAAATTTACGTCGAGAGGCTCTCCCCTGAGCCAATCCCGGCGAATCCACCACCTCCCATTATCTTCATTGCAGGCGCGGCTCAGACCGGCACCAATTTCCTTGATACTCCAGACGGGCGGCCAGGATGGGCATCCTATTTTATCTCCAAAGGTTACACAGTCTACCTCTCAGACCAACCTGCCCGCGGCCGTTCCTTCTGGTTTCCCGAACAGGGAAGTATTGGGTACATTGGCTCCCCCAATTCTGTCTCTGATATATTCACCGACGTAGCAAACAACGGCAACCAATGGCCACAGGCGAAGCTTCATACCCAATGGCCTGGCACCGGCCGCATTGGCGACTCAACTTTTGATGCTTTCTACAGGAGCCAAATGCAATTCCAGACTGATCGCTTCATAAGCGAAGAACAAAATGCGCAGGCATATTCAGCTCTAGTCGATCTCGTAGGAGACTGTTTCATTATCAGTCACTCACAGGCTGGTGCATACGGTAAACTCAGCGAGACACTATGACTAGTTGAAGTAGTTAACAGTCGAGTAGGTTGGAGGGTCGGAGACATGCGGCCAGACCTAGTAAAAGGTATTGTCCAGCTCGAGCCGTCTGGTCCACCGTTCACGCTTCGGCCGCCGTTTGGGAATGACCCAGCTTTCGCTTTCGGTCTCACCGATCTTGCAATCGGATACGAACCGTCTGTAGGCAAAAATGCCGAAAATATTGAGAAAATTATCGAGCCAGCAATCGACACTGATCACGACCAGTGCATCATGCAGAAGGACCCAGCGAAGCAGTTGACGAACCTGAGAAAAATCCCCGAACTTGTTGTTACTGGTGAAGCATCGTTCCATGCGCCATACGATTATTGCACCGTGAAATATCTGGAGCAAGTTGGTGTAGACGTTGAGTACGCAGATCTAGGCAAGGAAGGCATCCATGGTAACGGACATATGTTCTTCATGGAGAAGAATAACCTTGAGATCGCAGACCGGGTGTACAAGTGGCTGGAAAGACACCAATGAACGCATAATAAAGAGTCAATTGCTGCACAGCGTTGCTCCATGGCGTTTGCGTTACAACATAGATCATTGATCGCCGGATTTCTCTTGTAGTGTATATGACCGAGCTGAGCTTTCAATAATTACGCAATGCTGAGATATGTGAGGGCTGGCACAGCGCGTGAGATCTATTCAGCGAAGCCGAGAGATCATCTATACCAAATTTGCAAGCCAGGTCAAAGATTTGGCTGGATAGAGAAATTCGGGGATTGAAACCTCAATTCTTCCCTTTTCAACCTCGACAAATAGATTCCATGCTAGCTCCAGCATGGGTGCTGGGTTCGAGCACTAGGTTACCGCACGCATCAGGCTCTGCTTGAAATTTGCCTTGCGCGTCGCATAATTTCCATAAGCACTCCTTCTCGCTTGTAGGAATTCCATAGCTTGTACTTAGGAGACCAGATCATTATTTGCAGCAATGAGATCTGCTGCTGATCAGCCTTCAGTCGCCTGCTGGTAGATAACTTCTGCGTCGCTGTAGGGCTTGTCTTCAAATTTGACATCAATTAGGTAGGATCTTCAAGTGAATAGGGTAAAGTTCCATGAAATAGTTGCCTGCTGATTCAAAACTAGGCCATCGTAATGGGGTATGACACTGGTTTTGCAGGTGCGGCGAATTGCTCTTCAATACAATCCAAGGTAACGGCGTTGTGCCATCGTTTGAATGCAGCTTTGAGTTGGACCGTCGTATATGGTTTCGAATTTTCCGACTCCTCCGGGGACGCTTCAGGATGGGTAGAGGGAGAGAGCACGAATCCAGCACTCGGGACCATGGTGTCGACATCGAAATCTAATCTGCGTCGCAAATCGGGTACACACACACACACAATTCATTAACGCCCGGCGGCTCAGCCGAAAGGGCAACTATCACTGATCTAATGTACATGTCCAAAATATATGCCGTGTCTCCTTAGAGCCCATACATGAAATAGTCCCAGTGTATATTATCTCACTCGTTCATGCCATAAAAATCCTTGTGGGTTAGTATTTTGGGGCAGACTGGCTTGAAGGCGCTTCTTCAAGTGTTCAACATCCTATCTTCGGCAATTGAAGCGCGTCTACCGTCTTTGGCATAAGGTGGTTGGAGGAGGTTAGTAGGGGAGAGGGGAAGGTTGTCCGTATTGGTAGGCCTTCTTATATGACGTCTAGTCGACCCGTGGCGATTGCAAACCGTATTGAGGCTCGCACTGCTTCCAAGTTCGGCGTCCAGTTCTGGCCATCGGACGGCGATTTGCCGCCCAGGAAGTAAGATATATTGCCTCGATGAGTGTCCGTACATTGTAGCAGCCTTGTCCGGTGCACCGTCCACCTCCGACAACGAAAGAGGAAATGCTCCACCGTTTCTCTTGCTTGTCCACATGCACATTGATCCGTCTCAGCCACGTTGATCTGAGAGAGATATCCATTGAGTCTGGCCATGCCCGTCCGGAGTTGAGCCAGCACGCTTGCTTCTTTCCACGATAGGCGATCGTACAGCTGTCGAGTGTGTTTTCCTGAAAGCACGGTGTCGACGCGTTTCACGTGTTTCCCGACGTTCTCTGGCAGGCTTTTGCCCGGGTTCACCTGGGACTATGCGAGATTCAGGGTCGTTGACTTCATCCTCGGCGCCTGTACCTGTACGAGAGCGTCCTTGTGAGTCGCAGCCCTGGCCTGTTCCTTAGCCAGGCCCAACAATCTGTTCTTCTCACTGGCGCGGACCTAGATGATATCGATCCGGTTGCCATTCCTTCGCATTCTTCTCATCGACCTGTACAATTCACCCACAAAGTCCTGGCCCGACTGCTGTCGAGGGTTCCTGACTGTAAGAGTGGCCGCTTTGTTGCTCGCTTTGTTGCTCGTGAGTAGCGTAATCCTGTAATTCTTCAGTGCCACTTGCATTTTCAGTGCGTGTGCCATTGCGGTGAGCTCCGCAGAGAATGGGTTTTGCTCTGATCGTACACCTAGTGTGATGGAAAGGGCTTTTAGTCTCGGTTTTCGGTACTGAGGTGGCTGCTTTTCGATCGCGACCCCAAACCCGACTAGCCCGTTCCGCGCCGAGCCGCTGATTGCGATCTGCATAAACCCGCCCGATTCGTCCAGTGACTGCGGAACTGCTGTGACGTCTGTGCGCACGCGTGCGTCCCACGGTGCCAAGGTGAACGCGTGGATGGTTTCCAGCGTGTCCATGTCGATGTTCTTCAGCGTGTCAGCTACTTGATAGAGCGGCGAGCGGTGGTATCTTCTGAACTTCCTGATCTGATCTGTACACCGGTTCTATCAATACAGGGCTGCTTGAAATCAGCTTCATCCCCCTGTTTTCTTCGAAATTCTTCAAAGTCTTGGCCTGACCCATATATTTCTCAGAAGAGTCTAGCTCAGTAATGATTGTCAAATTAGAAGCCAGCCAAGGGTTCAATTACACGAATGAAAGAACATAGTGAAACGGATTTCGAGCAGGCCTGTATCTCATGCTCGATCCATTAAGGCTAGTATAAATAAGATTATCTCATAATTCCTTTCATTGCCTGGCAAATCAACAAATATGGTCTTAGCAAACCAAGAAGAGATGTTTTGATGATTGGATCGGCGTTTCGACGACAGCAAATAATTTAATTGAATCTAAAGAGACAAATTTGGGAATATCGGACCGAATGCGAAATATGAACAAGATGACCAAGCCCTCTTACTAGCTGATAATGCAAACAATATATCCCTTGGTAATAAGTTGGGAATAACAAAACAAATGCTCCAATGTCCCTCTTCGCCACATTGTTATTAGGTGACCGATTAGTCACTGAATGGGAAATCTCCAACCAGTCGGGATGAATTTCCCCCTCCATATTTGGGTAGAAAGTGCGTAATCAATTCGGAACAGGATATGGCCACTGAATATCCAATGGCCACTCCTCTGGGGTGATTCGACCACGATAACCAGTGTCGAACAGAGGACTCGCTGGATCCAGAGTGGCCACGTACAAATTCCGGCCCGCACGTTTTCCGTGTGTCAAGTAGTGGGCGTTCAGATTGTCACGTCGCTGGAACTTTCGATAGTAATAAGGTACCCAGCAGGCATAGGGCTTTACTCCGAGATGAACCACAGAGTGTCGCTCGAGGGCTTTCCGGCGTTTGAAGCGGCTACGACAGCCCGTAAAAGTGCAAGCAAACGGTTTGTGGGGAATCCCATCATGAGTCAGCTTGTGCGTATTCCTCAAAGCACCCGACACCTTACAGCCGTTATCCAGCGAGTCTTAAGTGACTGACGGGAATTCATAAACGCACATACTGGATCCCCATTGGTCTTGAGCATTGCATCCTTGAAAGATGCTGCGACAGTGAAAGCCCGAGCTGTAGAAGGCTCCGAATACCTAGGACATATGGCCAAAACACTCTGGAGGCAGATGGGGCGCGACCAGCCCTAGTAGTGGATGGCAGTGTGCACTCCAGTCTGGGCAGGGTAAGACGGCTAGTCTACCTTATTCGCAGTCCCTGGAGAGCAAACAGCTCATACTCCAAGAATAGTGACCATGTAGATTACCTCTTTCGTCCGATATTGGATATCTCCTAAGTGGAAATGTCTCCACGGCAGGGAAACTGAATTCGGTACCTTCCACCGATGCTGAACTAGCATTGTCGGTCAAGAGAGTATTTCGCTGCGTTAAGACATCCTCGTCCTCGCATGTCTCGTGAAGCAATGGCGTAACTGCCACTGTCAATCCATCTTAAGACTGCGCTGAATTCAGAATCCGCTGCATATTTTATTTAAGTGGTGTCGGAAGAGCGATGTCGATAAGTGAGAAGTGAGAAAGATCTGCAGTAAGATAACTTTGGATAGGAGTTGATAGCGGCAGGTTGATTGGAACAATAATTAGATGGATGCGATTGATATATCATAGGACGGCCAGGAGTTTTAGTTTCGATCAATTTAGGTCTGTATTTATGAGTAGGCTAAGGGTTGTCCGTCGTAAGCGTCGTAGCTTGGGGATTCAAACGCGATCTAGGCATATAGGCATGACTTTTCATGTTGAATAAGGGACATTGATCCAGCGGTGAAAGAGCACCATTCGTAAACTTCCAAATCGGGGCATCAGAAAGACCATTGATAAAGCAGCTGTAGGTGTATCCTGAGGTGGAAGTGGCTTGTGTCAACACGCCGACATGATCCAACAGTGTTTGTTGAACTTTTACGCATCTTGGCTCCAAAGGACGTCCGTTTTGTTAAGACCAAAGATTACCAATCAATGAAAGTCGACAGTACGGTACAGTAGTTACAATATCAAGCAATCACTATGAATCATGAAGACTTAGGGATTTCAATCACGCAACGACTCCGTTCCCAAAGAATTAATATTTAGCCAGCACCTTGCCAATCGGATTTTGCCTGTCCTAGCTCATACTGCAGTGTTGTGCTGCTTTGAAAATCGAACCCATCCTAGCCTCCTGGATTCACCTTTTGTCTTTTTTATCCTTGTCTCAGCATTTGCGTCGTGAGGCAGCTGAAGATGTCTATTCACCACGGAAACGAAGCATTTGAAGTACAGTCATGGTGCAGTGACTACGAAGGAACAGGATCCTTTCAGACACGGTCTACTGCCTCCACGGAAGCCGCCGGCGAGCTCTCAGAGACAAGTGAGGATCTTTCGTATGTGATATCTGATGGAGAGCCATCCAGGAGCGCGAGCAGCGCGTCAGGTCTTTCTGGGACAAACCACCTTCCTAGTGTCGAACAAGATGGTTCCTATTCCAATGAGGTGATTACGCATAATAAAATGGACTAAGCTCAGCTAATCAAGTACTAGGTCGGTCGTAAATAGCCCGTTGACACTAAAGCGAAGCGGCTGGTGAATAAGGATGGCCATCTTGTCGAGCAGTACCTGGTTCTCTGGTGCTCTTGGGAGAGATGTATGCCTGCAATGATACGATCCCAGCAAGAGTGACCGTTCCACCGATCAGTCATGTAATAAAACAATAGGACAATTGTCTTTTCCGCTCTCTATATAAGCCCCGGGCAAGGAAATGTTGAATTTCAGGGGTTTTCCGGGCTGTCATTATGGTGATGCTTCCATTCAAGCTACCCACTAGTAAGAATTTCAAATAGAGGATCGAAATATACAAATTCTCTATGACTCTATGACAAGTGGCGACAAAGCTCAAATAGTCTTGATTTATAGCCATATACATAAGTGGCTTATATACCTTTATATTGATCTCTAGGATCATGTACTCCTGACCTTCTAGAGGACTGGTAAGGAAATGTACATCTGTGATTAACAGGATTAACTATACAGTACAGTAGGTGTGTACTAGTCTCATATTTAGTTGGCTGAGAGGTTCCGTACAAAATGCGAAGGATACAGAGAACGCGTAGTAGGCAATGCCGCCAAGGGAGATAGAGTGGACGAAACGGAGTACGGAAATGGCTCTAAGCGCGGCCACACGGATGACCGAAAGTGGCAGCCCAGTATCACGCAAGTGGCATGAGAGACAGTGTCAAGTATCTCCTGTCGTATATGCTGAAACTTCCAGGACGCTGTTTCTATCCGAGGGATGAAGAACAGATGCTCGTCCACTACGCCTCTGGTAAATAGATCCAGCTGCGTAAGGCGAACTTCCAACCAGCTTATTTTCTCTGACAAGAAGGCTGAAATGTAGACGAAGATATCCTCGGACTTTGTCGAGAGAAGCAGTGGGCTCGGCCCCATCCACCGGAAAGCATGATTGCTTTTGGTGTTGGAGTAGAATAAGCATTCCACAATGGGATCTTGCGCACGATGTGCCATGGTCTTTTCCGTATACGAGCTTTCGGGCTTGGTCTCGTCAGACTCTGTCGCAAGACACGGATGCGATGCTGGTAGATCAGACTCTTCCTAGATCTGGTGGAGATCCAGATTAAAATCATTTTCTAATACGTTGTCAACAAAGGTAGCTTGCAGGGGTAGGCCATACGAACCATTCCAAACATATTTTATGATGGTGCTCAGGTGCTGGCAATTCGATCTCAGAGCTTATATAAGAAATAATTTACAAGAGAAGAGAACTTTCATAATTTATATAAAGGTTAAAAAGTGATTTTTGTGGGTTATTCTTTTTTGGTTTCGTTCTTATGGTTCAACGTTCAGCCTCACCAAACATTAATGAATCACCGCCACTGAAAATAACTTCGGTGATCAATCAACACATTACACATTTTGCTTCTGGATTCTATCCCGAGACCGAACAAAATGGTATGGCCGTCTAGCCCTCTATATATTTTCTTTTAACCTCATCTATGAGGCATCGGGAATCGCTGGTGTGAAGGGAGATGGGTATGTTGCAAAGTCGGCTGAGCTACACACGCGCTCCCAGGAGCAAGAACAGCTTTATCCGGTGGTTTCTCAAAGCATGCGTATGTAAAGACCCATCATCTATGGCAATTACCTCATAGGTGATTGTTTATTCAATCCAGCCCGCACATTGCTATACCTCCCGACCGCCAACCTATCGGTTTGGACAGATCAGGCAGGTAACCAACATTGTAGTATTGTAGCACCCTCGTAAGTATGTATCAGGCTCCTGAAAGTGCTAAGTAGCAAGGCCTGACTGTTATTTTCGTCTCTCGCCCTATTCAGATGCTGGATTCTAGCAAAGTATTCTGATAATGCCTGTGAACTATCTCCTAGGACCGGTGGCTTATTGCCGCATGGTGGGATTCAAACGGAATCGTCCAACATATTGCTTGTCATGATAAAGGGGTAAGCTGCTAGAATGTGCGCCCCGATTCAACACATAGCCCATGAAGTTAGTGAGGAGCTTGAGTTTCCTTAGATCAAAGTGCTCCTGGGACCTATATTGGTCAGGTTTATATGCGGGTTAATGAAAAACATATAAACGGAAGCTTTATTGCACTTTCCTTGTCGTTTTGACCCGTTATAAAACTTCCACAAATATCTACAGCGAATATGCTTCATCAACTCCCAGCCACGCTGCTTTACCATATTTATACATATATCGACAAGCCCTCCCTATTTAATCTATGCTTCTTCCATAGAAAAACATATACAGTTATTACAACAGCACTTTGTCATTGTCTTGGCTCTGTGAGAATCCCGCCACTCTACCATGCTGTTTCACATCAGAGACTGGATATTACAGAACAATAGATCCTTCAATATGGTGCAAGTTTAGACTCCGAGTACGGTGGAAAGTCAACTCTCCTTCTGGCTATTAAGCTAAGGTATCCACAAGCGGTGGCTTTGCTCCTTAAACACAAAGCACATATTGGCTATTGCTGTGACTTCAGAGGCCGCGGTCTTCTTTCCATTGCGACTGCCTGTGGTACGGTCGCCATAGTCAGGCAGCTACTCCAGCAACCGGATATCGATGTCAATGATCGCTGCTCTGCCGGCATAACAGCAGTTATATATGCTATAGAGCACCGCCAGTATACTATTCTTTAACTACTATTATTGGATCCGCGAGTAGAGCTCAACGTGGAGAATAATGTTGGGCAAACCCCTCTATATTTTGCTATTAGTAAGGAGGACTACTTGTCTGTTCAAATCCTGGTCTAGAACCAGCGGGTAAATATAAACTATCCTAACTTCGGAGGCGACACCCCCCTATTGTTGGCTGCCCGGAAATTCAGTGATCATAACTCCACCAGACTCGTTGAGTCTCTCCTTCTCAATTCAGATCTTAACGTGAATTACCGGGACTTCAATGGTCGCACAGCTCTTTGGCATGCTGTAAGTGGTAGGAAAGAGAGATTGTTGCGACTTCTTTTACGCCAGAATGGTCTAAAGCTCAATATGACTAATAGATCGGGCGTAGCGCCACTAGCTTATGCAGCCGAGGCTTCGTTTTTCAGCGCTGCCTATCTCTTGTTGCAACAACCTGGTATACAGCTCAATGCACAGTCTCGACAAGTGATTCCCCCACTGTGGTGTGTATGCCGTACAGGGCAGTACCAAATAGTTCGACTTCTTCTGCGACAAAAGTCAATCGATGTCAACCAAAAGAGCCCCATAGGGACGACTCCACTCCAGGTAGCCATCATGTTTGGACATTCTTCTACTGTTTCCCTTCTTCTCCAACACGATTCTGTTTTAGTAAATAAGCCTAGCTCTCACAAATTTACTACGTTGCTCTTCGCTTCGGCAAACGGGTTACGCGAAAGCGCTGAAAATCTATTGCGACATCCTGATACTGATTCTACCACAATTAATAACCAAGGACGCACGTCGCTCTGGTAGGCACACCATGGAGGACATTCCGAAATTATTCGACTTCTTTCCAGATAGGCTTTGTATGAAATGTATCTACGGTTGTCTTGAGTAGAGTTGGGTTTAGAGTATCGAGTACCGGAGCACGATGGGTCTATAAGGTTTTGTGTAGAGTTTATTTGATACCTGGAAAAAACTTCTCTGATTCTCAATCTTGCCCACCTATACAGTAAATTACGTAAATATACTATAAGGCAATCTTAAAAAAGTTTCTTCTTGTGGTAGATTCTTTAGTACCCAAAGCAGTATCTGTAGTCTTCGATATTTTCAGGGGATGGAATCTGAGTTGGAGTCCATATATTCCGCTAAATTAGAACTTTCTCTAACCATTATGGTTATGAATTTCTTATTATACCAAAGAAGAGTCTGAAAATCTATAGATATATATAGTATTTCCGGAAATCGGTATTACCCCCCTAAGTTATGGTGTTGCTTGTTTATACTTCTTCTAACCTAGTAACTGTAGTCACCTAAACTAGTTATAATAGCAAGAAAAGTCTATGCCTAGCAGTATAAAGGAAAGCTGCCCCTGTTAGATAATATGGTCATAAACTCTTTAATTCTTGTCAAGGGCTAAAGGCCACAGCTAGCTAAATACAGACTTTGTTACATATTTGTATCTCCTCGGTACAGTAGTTCTACCTCGTCGCGATAGGCTACATTTAGTGGGCTAACAACGCACCAGTGAGAATATAGCTACGCTATCTGCCTTCCCTGCTTTTCTCAGCGTCCTGACGCTTATGTATTTTCATTTGCTTCCTCGTGCCCCTGCCCGTTATTATCTTCCTAGTGTTATCTCTGAAACTATATTCCCATATGTGTTTATCTGGATCCTCTTAGGAAGGGAAATCTAGGGCCGCCTAAGGTAGTAGATAAGGATCGGTCGTATAACGCCACTTTTTCTCGATTGTACGGCGTGCGTCTGGTGTCATTGCTGTCATTTTGTGTGCATATTGCTCCTACAGATGGAGGAGGAAATTACTTTAAAGGACCCAGGACTTGCCGTAGTCGGGACACGAAGGAAGCTTGCATGGATATGCCCATACGTATCCGGAAGGGAGGTCAGCATCAGCATTATCAACCTCATCATCGAATTCGGAAGGAATAGAAGGGATAGGATTTGAGATAGTCATGCTTTGTTCGCCAGCTTGTCTTGCTGGAGGGTGGGGAGCAGTTTTCTGTTACGCTTCGATTTCACAGCGCGGGGTCAATGACTTACGACAACACGCACAGGAACCTTAAACAAAGATGATCATGTGACTTGCTTCAATTGTCGGACCTGGTGGATCACATTGCCAGCTTATGTAAGCCTACACCGTAAATTACAGACCAGATATAGCAGAAATTTACATACATACACACTTTTGAAGCCTCGCTCCCATTAGGTGCTATTATTACTGAATAATCCCATATTCGACATCAATGTATTCTTGGCGACAGCCAAAAGCACCCTACCATATACTATAATATCTGTCAGGAAGTTTACATGTTTGACGTAGAAGCTGTAATTTTACAGTATCATGTGATTAGGGTTTGAAAGAGTAAATCCATGTCAGAGATATGGAAGGTAATAACAGGCGGCACTATACATATAGCCGGGCTTTCTCCGAGTCTAAATACCCTTATCAACGGCGGGATGCTGGAAACCAGGACCAGACGCGTCGAATGGCCAGATGTTGATGGAGAAACGTTTGCTCGCCTCTGTGAATTTGCTTACCTTCAGAATTGTTCATACCTAAGTCCCTCCTACGTCCTACCTCCTGAAGAGCCTGCGCCTGAGACTCTAGTTACCTGATGATTGCGAGCCTTGTGAAGAGCCACTTGCTAAGCCTAAGCAGGCCTATGGATATTATAAGGTGCTACCTGCCGATTTATATGACGCGTCAGCTGCTGAACCTGAGCCAGAGCCCGCTCCTGAATATCAGGGCCTATCTAGAGCAAACTATAAGAAATTAGCCAAGCGTCGCTTAAAGTAACTCAACCAGAAGGTTAGTACCGGCTACTCTAGGCCAGTTACTGGGGAGGCTGAGGCTTATCCAGATTATCGTCTTTAGGCTGAAAATCCCAATATTGTTGAAATTTAACCTATATACAAAGAGATCTATACAACCGACCTATAGCGATTATTCTCGGAAACCTTGGTTATTACAGACTCAGAAGTTCACAACGAATCTAACCATGAATTTCAACCACCAAGGAATACTGATCATTGCCAAGACTTCACACCTGTTTTCCTCGGCCAAGCTTGACTTTACGTTCTTGCAGATAAATATCTTATTGAATCCTTACAAAGCATGGTCCTGGCCAAAATGTTTGAGACCCTGGCACACTTCAAGATGTATCCAAGTAGTATTTAAGCTATTGTTGAACTTGTTCGGTTTGTGTATGATAACACCCCAGAAAACTGTGGAGATAGAAGCGACACCATGAGGAATCTTGTGACGCGACTTGTGGTTTCTGTGCTTGGCCAAATCGGCGAAAGTAAAGCTTTTCAAGAGTAATTGCATCCTGGGAACCAGGCATTTTGTAGCCTACCAGAGGTCTTGTTCAAAAGCCTAAAGATAGCTGCAATGGACTTTATAGCTAAGTAGTATCTCGTTATTTGAAAGATAGGTGTTCAAGCTAGTATGCTGCGCTCCGAGCTGGCACTTGAGGTCACTGTAGACACTCACTGCTTTGGTTAGATCGAGAATGAGAAAGGGCTTTTAATAATCTACTTACAGGTGTAGTTGTTGGCTAAGTCGTAGCTCACAGACTGAACAGTGAAATTGCTGAAATTGTTGTATACATTCATATACTTGCCGTAAACTCCCAGCTCGCCCCAGTTCTGGCGGAAGCAGCCTGGTCCCCCGTAAAGACGAAGCTGGGCGTAGCAGGTATCTACGGGGGAGCTGGGGCAGGGGCAGCAGAGACGCCTATAAAGAGGAAAATAGACGAAAATACCGTATCAAGATACATTTCGAATGTGCAAGATTGAAAGTCTTTCGGGGGCGATGTGACTTGAAGCTCAGTAGTTGAAAAAGAAAAGGCAATGAGCTGTGCACCTTTCGTAAGTCTCCGGCAAAATTCCTATAACGGTTGAGGATGAAACAAGTAAAGAGATGATTTATGGTGACTGAGGGTGATGAGGATTGTAATTCTTGCAATACTGTGGTCGCGCTAGAGGTGTGGTATCTGGAAAATTGATTCGCGATCCTGCAGAAGGGCACACGACGGCTTCTTTAATGTGAGAGATGAAGCCTTCCACTGCAAGAATGGTATACTGTATGTATTGCTCGTGCTCGGTCAATATTTATTGATAGCAGTCTGACGGTAGGATTTATTGAGGCGCTGCCTGCGACAGCCGGATGAATGGGAAGACGTCAATATGGAAATCAAACCACCTTGGGCTTTTACTTCATGAGAGAACGGTGAGGCATCTAGGAAATGAACACCCTATTGATGATTTATGGTGAGCGGGAAGGGTCCAAGTCCTATATATATATGCTGAGACAACAAAGAGGTAGCTATGGCAAATCTCTTTCCCATGAAGATGTTGGTGTGCCACTATAACGCTTGTTCACCGCTACTGTTGATCCTATTTCTATGCTGCTGCTCGCATCAAAAAGATGAACGATCCTACTTTCTCTTCTGCTACTGTAGGGGCTCCTGGGAGCGACGCTGAAAATTGGCGCGAGGTGTTCTCAAACTCATCGCGGCCCCACATGGCATGTCCAAGTTCACCGGAGCCGAGAACTCACTCTCTTGTTGCTTGGCACTATGTACATGTTGTATCTGAAATTGCGTAAGACGGTAGGCAAAGTGACCGAGGAAGATCTGGTTATAGCCCCTAGTGATTACTGGGGAAAGATCTTGCAAACAGATATCGAAAATATGCTGCAAACCAAGAAGAAGCGTCACCAGCGAGTTAGATCTGAAGGCACGGCCGTTACGGTCAAAGTGAACGAACGGTCTCAAGCAAATCTAGAAAAGTTTTATAACTCCACTAACATTAACTGGGCACCAGTGGAGAAGCAGCTACGAAAATGGAGCAATCTGCTTCGTATTGGCAGGAAGCTTACCATTGAGATTGCCTTTACGTATAGAGAGGACGATGGTGGTCATTCTATGCTTCCAGCAAGAAAAGTTGACAAAAGAGGACGTGTGTCTGCAACCAGCAGAATATTAGCTGAACGTGAGGCACAGATTATGGCAGAGGATAGCTACTAGGAGCAGCGTTGATATTTGCTTTAGCTGCTAGTAGTGCCTGCACGACCTTGAGGTGACCGCCCTGTGCTGCTGCTTGAAGGGCTGTTGGGCTATCACTGCTGGCAGGAGCAGCGTTGATATTTGCTTTAGCTGCTAGTAGTGTCTGCACGACCTCGAGGTGACCGCCCTGTGCTGCTGCTTGAAGGGCTGTTCGGCTATCATCGCTAGGAGCTGCGTTGACATCCGCTTTAGCTGCTAGTAGTACCTGCACAATCTCGAGGTGACCGCCTTGTGCTGCTGCTTGAAGGGCTGTTCGGCCATCATTGCTGGCAGGAGCAGCGTTGACATCCGCTTTAGCTGCTAGCAGTTCCTGTATGACTTCAAGATGACCGCCCTCCGCTGCTGCTTAAAGGGCTGTTCGGCCATCACTGCTGGCAGGAGCAGCGTTGACATCCGCTTTTGCTCCTAGTAGTACCTGTATGACTTCAAGGTGACCGCCCTCCGCTGCTGCTTGAAGGGCTGTTCGGCCTCCATTGATAGCAGGAGCTGCGTTGATATTTGCTTTAGCTGCTAGCAGTACCTGTAAGACCTCGAGGTGACCGCCTTGTGCTGCTGCTTGAAGGGCTGTTCGGCCGTTAAATTTAGCCTCAACGTCGGCCCCTGCTTTCAGCAACATTGACAAGGAAAGATTGCATCCATCTGCCGCAGCATACCACAATCCATGATCCAAGATGTCGCAGGTATTTTCAAGCTGCATAAGTACCTCCGTGTAGCGATAACGATTGTGAATGTCGCAGCGGCGAAGAATTTCATGCTTCACTTTGTTACACAAAATGTGTGATTGATGTTTTCCGAAGTATAAAAGCAATGCGTAATGTCCCCTGGCTAATAGCCATTGAATCGCGTCTGGTATAATATCTCTCTTGCCGTGGGTCTGTTGCTCAGGCTCCCACGGTCTGCATGCAGCAACGTCATTATCTTCCACACATCGGCAAAACAATCGCCATTTCTCACTGTTCACATCCTCGCTGAAATCAGTTAGATGATAGAGCCAGTAGTTCTTAGCATAATTTAGAAACTGAAACCCTTGCTCCTGGAGTTCAAACTTCATCCGTGAAGACTCCTCATCTCCAATTATCTCTCGCACCGTTCTCTCTATCTCTCGAGTACTGAGTTTGGGTAGCTTGCGATGTTGAAAAAGAATCCTCTGAGCCAACTTACTGCTCACTCCGCTTGACAAGTAGATGGGGAGAGTGCCATAATGAATAGGGTTGTCAAGAGTAACGGAACCTTCCTTCAGTTTGCTTAGCTGACGCTTGAAGTTGCTGAAATCCAGATACGTCATGCAAAGCAACCCAAAATGCTGGTCAAGACTTGCTATGTCAAATTGCGCTTGGCGTAGATCGTTGGTGATAAAAAGATGCTGCTTCACACTGTGATGCACATAGTGCACAGTATCTTCCTCTTCGTCGACAAATGTCAATCCACAGCAACTGTTGATAATCTTATGCATATCGTTGGGCATCTTCCCGTGATCAAAAGCCTTTTGCTCTAGCGAAAGGCTGAGGGCTTCTCGATATTCCATAACTGTCAAGGGCCGCTTCACTATCCCGCAATACTCCAGTACTTTCATTGCCTGCCTGGTCGCCCGTCCTTCCCGGACACGACGAAGTTTTCGATCATAGAGCTCAGATAAGCCGTATGGAAGATTTTTCAGTGCTTCCAAGATGTCGTCATCGCAATTCTGTACGCAAAGTTCTTCGATGCAGAGACCAACCCAAAGAAACCTGTGTTTTTTGAGTCTGTTAGCCAGCATTGAGGATTGCGGATCATAAAAACCGTCCCTCACATAGGTCTCTGGTTAGACGTACTTACATTCCGTCGCTCCTGTCCCGTAGGGCAGATGATATCTCTGTAATGTGTGCCGGGTCCCGGAGAGTCAAAACTTCCTTTTCCAGGCAATTGTTCAAGGTTGTGGTGATATAGCAATCCATGTCCGACTCAACCTTCTCCTTATTCACAGTGACTTTATAGTGCGGTCCGCTAAATTTGAACAATTGCCTTTCAAGGCCAGGCCGGCCTGCGCAGAGGATTTTGACCCCTTCAAGACAGCTGCTGCAGAGCTCAGTCAAAGCGTGTGCCACCGCCTGGATCTGATGGTCCTCACATTCATCCAGACCATCGAGGATAAAATAGTACTTCTTATCGGTCTCTAGACGAGGTAATAAGAACGAAATGACGTCATTCGTACTGAGGTCCCGGCTGCTCTCCTCTAAGGCAAGTAGAGTTTCATATCTGCTTTGATCGATTTGAATGTCGATTATTTGACGAGCAAGACTTCCAAGGATGTTCCTCGCAGACAAAGATGCTTCATCGTCGACACGACAGAAATAGTAGGATAGGACCTCGTTGCTCTTGCGCACCGCATGCAGCTGAGCTACAATATTAGACATGAGCACTGTTTTGCCCATGCCAATTGTTCCTGAACACCATAGTACCGATGTTTGTGGATCGTCTTTCCATTTTGAAAAGATGAATTCTTTCTGAAGCCACTCAGCTGTGGTTGAAATCCTTTGGCTCAGGGCCTGTCTCCAAGGAGAAACATGGTTGACGGGAGAAAGGTTGATTCGAATGCTCGTCTTCAGTGTCGCTGTTTCCCTTAATCTCCTATCTATTCGCAATTGGTTTGCCTCGGCTTGTTGTTTCAATGATTTTTGAAAGAAATTCAGGGCCGAAGGCCGAAACTTTGAATTCTGTTCGCTTTCATACTGGAGCAGCTTTTTTGCTTCTTGGTCTGCTTGCTTTGATGCGAGAGATACCTGTAATTGTATCTCATTTGTAGTTTCCTGAATCTGATCCAGCAACAGTTTAAATTCAGAATCAAATGGGATCAGGATTGACGAAAGAGTTTGCTTGAGGCCGGTCCGACGGGAAACTTCGATGATCTTGACGCACAAATTAATGATGACGGCCTAGTATTCACAAAGCGCACGTTGGAGACTAATGCAGCCGGGATAGAGTAGGCCAAATTGTTGATATGTCGGACAGGATTTGCCGATGCCCATGATCATGCTAGTGACTCTGTCAAAGTAAGACGCGACATTACTAGCCGTCAATATGGCAGTTTTTACACCACCCCAGACGAGGGCAGCGATTGCCGGATTACAGCTGATGAATGTGTCCACAATACCGACGAACTGCTGTGTTGCCTCTAAAAAGGTACACAGCCTGGGAGCCACACATCTCCTGGTCGTGCTACTGTTTTTAGCATCAATTTGTGCGACAAACTCAATGACGCTCCCAACATCTGGGGTTGTGGCGTTTTGTTGGAAGTTCTGCTTTTGCTCGTCGGTCAAAATATTCTGGAAATTCTCTAATGCTGTATTGAGAGAGTTTGCTGGGTCTGCCCCTGCAACTTTACTCTCTGGGACAGTTGAAGGGCCATCGGGGAGACTGCGTGTGATACACAATAAAGGTAATTGAGGTTTCTAGAGGGTGGAAATACAGGGGACGGCTCGTGGGCCACATTGATCTGTTCATGGTCCTCCGTGACTTCCTCCCCGTGGCAGAAGTTGCCCCATTCCAACTGCAGATGAGGGGAATTTAGCCGCAGAAGGCGCTAGCATTGAAGATCTCTGATTGGCCTATAAAACGACCCCATCCCGGCTAAAGCATGCGCAAATAGCCATAAATTGGCTATTTTTAGCAGCGTCTCCTTTTCTGAAAGAAATTCTCTCTATAGAAATTCGTAGAGCAATCCCGGCGTACTATGGTACGAGATGTCGCAGAAAAAATACTCGCGGCACGTGGATCTGCTCCTCAAACTGTCGGCGAAATTTAGATTACAAATTCATCAAAATGTATACAGGGCTATTGAATAGGATTTCAAAGGGCTGAAATTACCGGCACGCAAATTTGAAGACTTGAGGATCGGAGATCGGTTTTCCCTTGTCCAAAAGATAATTATCCAATACGGCATCGACCCCGACGATATGTACAACATCGACGAGACTGGCTTTACGTCATCCCACGGATCAAATACTACACATTGCTGAACACCGTAACGATCATGGCTATCGAGCTGACTGGGCCTCACATTTCTCGGCCTCTTTGTCTCACAGACTTATGGTGAGTAATGGTGAGGCCTACGCCATCGGCTGTCGAAAAGGCTGTTTCGCCCGCAAACAATAGGGCCCTGGTCAAGATATTAGATTCCCGATGGTATTTTTCATGCTACTTAAATCAAAGAGGCACCTCTGATAGGTGATGATGACACATGGATGCCGACTGAGAAGAACAGATGAAGCCAGCCAGCAGATCGTCAAGGAAGTGGTTGCTAGCCAACCCCTACCCATGATTTGCAAAGACCCAGTTGATGTTTTCAAGAAATCCTATGTCATTCCCGTATGCGCCGTGTGATCTGCGTATTAAGATACATTATCATGCTGGGCGCCTTAGCGATGTCCATCGAGAGAAATACTTAACAGTCCGAGGGCTGCGCCTGTGCCGCCTGTGCCGCCTGTGACCGATGCATCTCCCTCAAACACATCACATCGCTCAGGGCCCTCTGCTCCACTCTCTCCCCGACGGCAGCTGATTCGTGCACATCCACAGCTGATCCGGCACTATGCCAATTGTGGATGTACAAGCACGACAATCTCCCTTGCGGAGCTAAATTATGGGTAATTAAAATCACTTGGTTACAGTATTGAAAGCCTTTTTTTTAGAACGAAGATGGATATGGGCACTGAGTATAACATAAGTAAAAGGGATAACTAGGGTGCTATTAATAGGAGTTTCAGCGGGCGAGGTCTGTCTGGCTGGGAAAAATTTTGCCGGACGGCGTCGGAGCAACCCGCCTAGCTTATACGTGTTGGTCTTCGAGTTCAGGAAATGCCACCTTGATGACTCTTTAATGTTGCGTCTACAATCTCAGTCTCGCTGTTTAACTCCATTTGACTTGCTGATGATCGCACAGTTTATGGGAATAAATCCTTAGTTGAAAGGAGGGGGCGGGGTTGAGAGGAGGCCTGGACATAAACCTCCATGCAGATCGTACACAAATATGATTAGAGCTGGTTTTCGGGCGTGTGACACAAAGAGGGTTGCCTAACTGGTTCCTGGAAGATTTGCTACGTATCATATTGCGCAGTGTTTCTTTGCAAAGAGGTGTGACTGATAAGAGATGTGGGGTCGACCTTGTTACAGCTAATGTCGGACGAGAAAGGCGAACGTCGGAGATTGCCAGGTGTTGGTGCATATTGTGATGGATCGCCCGTGGATCAAATGTTTCACTTTTTTGAACCTCGTAACCATCATTGCTGATGAACGAATTGGGCCTCATATTTCTGAGTCTACTGTAATGACAGATTTATTGTTAGGGATTCTTACTTGAGGGCTACGCCATCAGCTGCCGAAAAGGGTGTTGTTCAACCGCAAACAACAGAACCCTGGTCGAGACAGTGTGTTGCCAATGTTGTTCGTTGATATTCTTTGAACCAAAGAGACACCTCCCAAAAGTGATGACTGACACAGGCAATCCATGCCGTACAGGATGAGACGGAAAGTCGAGGCCACCTAGCAGATCGTCCATGAATCAGTTGCTGGGCGACCCTTTCCGCATGATTTACCGAGACCCACTGTAGATTTCCACGCGATTCCATTCAATTTTCGTAAGCGTTTTGTAATTTACGTACCAAGATACAATACCATACTTCAGACTGTAGGTGACTTATACGACGTCCATCACATTCATGCGGCCCGCTCAATTATTGATCTGCGCTAAGGCCGTGGCGGTGAGGCCAGAAAAGAATGACGAAGAGTGTATCTGTCAAGCCGATTTCGAGAACGACTGTACAGCAATATTCGAAATCGGCTTCTATCTTTTTCACAAAGAATCTATCTCGGGCCTTGCCGCTAGTCTAATCCTAGATCTAGTCATGCTGCTTTGAGATATAATGTGGGGTTCAACCGTAATTTCTACAGCTACAATTGGATCAGTTTATGTTGACCCACCTACTAGATTGAACGTGTCTATGCAAATGATAGAAGCCGATTTCGAATATCGCTGTATTTCTGTATCCTATGGAAGGGAATAAATTAACACCGGAACAGAGTAACAGACCTGCGATGATCGAGGAGCGGAATCTGCACCACTGCACTCCCGGTCCATACTGAGAGGAGCCGAAAGCGAAAGAGAGACACCTCCTGTTAGAAAATCGCCAGTGATCGTCGAGTGAGACTAGATAACACAGCTATTATTATGGCTGTATTGGTAAATTTAGGTCTTTGTTGACCGTGTAAGATATTAGAAGAAATAGGGCTGGCGCTTAGACTCCACATTATCGCCCCTTAAGGATACAATATATAGCAAGCTGTTTATACAGTAAGCTGTTTATTTTCGTCACATACCTAGCATTGATGACAAACACAAGGAACAAGCACCAGTTTGACCAATGGAAAGAGCCTGATCCCTTGGTAGGTATAAGAAAGACTGAACGAAGAACGTGTAATTCAGTTCGGCCACCTTTTCGTAGACCGTTGGATCTGTAGACTAGACAAAGCATAGATCAAATCTTTCTGTATATAAGGAGAAGGATAGATCACGCAAATTACTTATAATAATATGCCCGTATGAGAACACCACTGGATAAGGAGGCGGATAAGAAGGCTCATTAATCAAATTTCTGGAGCATGATGGATTCTGATCAACCCTATAAAGAACGACCTGAGACGTTCTTCTTTCCCAAAACCCCTAATTAGGCAACGATAGTAGAAGCCTCAAATGTTGTTCCCAAAAAGCGCACGGAAAATTCCGTGCCGACGCCCAGCGCACTTACAACTTGGAAGCGCCGTCGATATGTGCTATTTTATTCGAAGGACCAGAGCACCGGAATCTAAGTATGGGACGATGATCCATGGGATCATTTTGAAAAGGGCGTTAAGATATTTCCCGGCCGGTATGTATACCTTGCGAGAGACCGCGAAAACAAAGCATGGCTGGTCTATATTCAGCAACTAGCCGAGGGAGTTGTACAGGCTCTGCTGGAAAATATTAAGCGCCATTTATACCGAAGCTTTCTTTGTCTGCTCCATTGCTACTAGTTCAAGGATTTGTCCTTTCTGGTATGGGAGCCAGTCGAGCTGTCTCTGTCGCAGATCCTAGGATCTAAGTGCTCTATCCGTGAGGTGGAAATGGTCTCTATAATATGGCCAGTAAGTGCCACTTGACGCTTCACTCGCTTCACTTATGGACAACCTAGGGCGCTAATTAGAAACTATCCAGATTCTTACAGGTATACGGTACCTGCGAAATTGCCAATATACACTTGCCTCACTGGCTAGCAATATGATTCTACTCACAGAGAGTGGTGATGTGAAAATTGGTATGTAGCTATCCGAATCAGCAAGCTCGACGTAGCAAGTACATGCTCATACAAGGGAATCCTAGCGGGAGTAGAGCACAGCTGCGAGATCGATACAGCAGATATAAACACGGCCACAATGAAGCTGGTTGCCTTGTCAGATATTGTTAAAGAACTTCGAAAGAAGATGAATCCCTTGAATCTGTGGAGCGCAGCTGCTCAGATATTGCCCGACAAATTAGTGGATATGTCATTAGATGACCTGTTGCGGGTGAGTTCCTCTCGTGCTAAAAAAGAAGCAGACCAGCTAAGTCACAATCAGGATGACATATTTGCGCAGCTGAAAGGAGGAGAGCTCAAGATGCTGGTCAATATTGCTAGTAAAACGGGTTACTATAACATCCGGTTCCCTCAATCGTAAAGCTACCACCTCGCATTTTCACTGTCATTATCTTGTGCAAGGGGAATATTGTGTGCGAGATGTATAATACTGCTGGGATATTTTAGTATGAATAGACCTGGAACCTCAGGTGCAGTCTCCTCAATGGTGGTTTTTAGCACTCGCATCTACTTTATTATTGCTACAGTAAATATGATCTTGATCCCCCGCCCCTTACTTTTGCCTACCAGATATGGGCAATGTGGTGTTGCTCATTGCTCCCACCACTCCTTAGGTTATAGGCCCTCCTGTCCTATATCTCGTCTTAAAGTATATACACTCAGGCCTACGCCTCGCAGCGTTTTTTTTTGTAAAAACGTTAAAAAAAAATACAGGTCTAGATCATTTGCTTGGCTGATTAGTGTGTAAGGGTATTGGAACTGTGTACTTAGACTACGGTATGGTCTTGGTCTTGGGTTGAAGACCAAGACCGTAAATTGGCGGTTAACCAACGCCGTAGAGATGTTAACCATCGGTTAACCAAACTAGCATAATTCTCGCTTATTTACCCTATTTTAGCTAATTTATTCAATTTATTCAATTTATTCAATTTATTCAATTTATTCAATTTATTCAATTTATTCAATTTATTCAATTTATTCAATTTATTCAATTTATTCAATTTATTCAATTTATTCAATTTTTATGAATTGTATAATTGGGTATATTCTTAGTAATATGTTGATATTTTAAACTATTTTTATCCAATTCTTTTTTTTTTTTAAAAAAAAAAAAGGAAAATAGAAAAAAATAGAGAAAAATTCCTAATATTTCTAATAAATTAGGATCTATATATCAAGTACTTAATTTTTAATTAAATGCGACTGGTAGAAAAGAATATAGTGTAATGAACTTGTCAGATTAGGGTGACACCTGTGGGCTAGGCGAGATATACTAAGGAGAGAGCACGAGGAGTTGGTTCACTTTGATACAGCGACTAACACTTGAGGAGTGTAAGTCGGGCCCTAGAGGAATCCCCCCTCTATGTGCGGTCGGACTTGGTGCCGAATCCCATAGCCAATACGGCAATAGATCTGCATGATCCTCAATATAGTGTTTTCTTTGTCTTCCTTGACAGATTTACAATTAAAAATACAAGTAACTTGAAGTAGATTTAGAGGTAATAATATATTTTCAATAGCACTTGAGAAGAATCTTTAATTTCCAAGGTTCTATATTTTCCTAATCCCTTTAAATACCTAGGTATAGATTTAGCCTATACACAAATAGAAACATAAGGAATATTTATCTCCCCTCTTAGTTATAAATACCACAGGTGCCTAAATCACTATCAACAAGATAGATACTTTCGTTTGCCGTATTTGCGAGGTCGTTTAGGGAATAAAGTTTTGGAAGATATAATATAACAGCTCCGTTGGCCTAATTGGCTTAAGGCGTGTGGCTTTTATCCTTAATGTTCTGGAAGTTCCAGACGGAGCGAAACCTCAAGATTCTGGGTTCGAGTCCCAGGCGGAGCAAGCCTTTTCTTTTTCTTTTTTCCCCCCCCACTTTCTTTCTTCTGTTCCTAACCACTAGCCTCCTTGGCCCCTACTTTCAGTCATTTGAATCATTAAATGGTTACTGGATAGTCTTACTGGAAATTCGGCACTGTACTGCTGTGGAGATCTCCTGGACGCGAATCGTGGGGGCGAAATTAATCATGATGCGCATCATGGGGGTTGGAGCTCAGTTTTAGATACTCATCTTATGTGGGGCGGAGCCTATTTTTATTGTTTTTACCCCCTATCGCAGCGGACTTGATGACCTCTGGGTGTTCAAATTTCCTGTTCACTTGAAAATGAATGCCTCGTCTCTATATAGACGAGCATTTCAATGATTACAACGCCGTTCATACAGTGAACAAGGAATCTATATCCAACCCTTGGAAGATGGGTAAATTTCGATTTCACCTGGCTATGGATTCGGGCAAAACTCAACTGGAAGAAATACCAGTGACCTGGTCGCCTGATATTCCAATGAGGGCCAACTTGGCCAACGTGTGTCACAACATCAGCATATAAAACCAATCCTGTCCCCTCCCTCCCACTTCTCCAGCCCCCATCATAATAACAATCACGCTTTACTACTCCGGCTTTTGCGACTATGGCGTTCAAACCACTTTTGCCGCCCGACATCATCTCTCGCGATGGCCAAAATAATACCGCAACAGCGCATCCTCGCAAGATCCCATCTATGGGCCCTATAATCAGTGATCTCATGACAACTTCGAGCTGGCTTTTGCTGGGTGGGTTGCTCCAGAGTCTTGCCTGCACGGCCTTTGGCCCAAAAGCGATTCTACTATCGGCGTTTATTTTGCTATATCGCGTCGTAGACAATATGCTGATGACATTCCACATCACCCGAAATCGCTACTTGGACGGTGCGATCATGGAGAAAGTCAGTCCGCAAATCCCCAATCCGGACGGAAGCTTCGGGAATGAGCCATCGAACGACTCGATGGTTGTTTTCTTGCTTGGTTCAAGGAGCAACCACCCACTCGGTGTTCTTGCGCCCGGTATGATTGGCATGGGTCTTCGGGTGAAGGATATGATAACAGATATGTACGCAGATCCAGAAAAATCAGGAATTCTGGGAACATCTCGTTGGGTGAAGCAAGAAGATGCGGCAGGCAACGAGAGCATGAATGTTTTCTACCTACGGGACTATGAATGCCTTCGAAAACTTGCGAATGGCGAGATGCACATGGAGTCCGTTCGATATTGGGCTAAGCTGGTCAAGGAGAACCCGCATTTGACTATCTACCATGAGACCTATGTTGTTCCGAAGGGCCATTGGGAAGCAATCTATGTTCACAGCAAACCAACTGGATTTGGGAATACATGGTTTCCAACAAGAGCGAAAGATAGCACAGGACCTGTCTCGGAGTATACGCGGCCACTTGTGGATGCAAGCACCGGCTTGCGCTCGGCTACAGGGCGATTACCTTTTGCGCGGGGACAAAAATCAGAGAATTTTCCTCGGTAATGCGAGATTCAGAATGATAGGCACCTCGAAGGAGTCTTCGTAATGCACCACTTGAAAGAAACAAGACGACACATTTTGAATAAATCGGGATCAATTCATCTAATTCAAATTTCAGGTTTTCGGTTTGATGTCTTCCGAGGTAATTGAATTAGACTTCTTCCACTATTTCAAGATTGATCAATGTTGGGTCGCAGATTCTTAAAACCAGTTGACCTGAAGTCAATAATCCATATTAAACGCCCTACCAATGCACAGCCCTGGAGGTCTGCTCTGAATGGAGAATTACGTAGCACTTGAAGGTTTGAATACATACCCCACACACCCGAGCTTGTTTCTGTGACCAGAAACGACTTTTATTGGGATATATACACATCAGCACAAACAATTTTATCCATTGATCCCAAGTGAAATTTGGGACTATCAGTTTGAACTTGCTACTAGTTCAGACTAAATATAGCAACAGTTGTCAGGCCTGAGAACAAATCATCGGGATCTACGCACTGGCGTCTAATTCCTTTGTCGTTGCTTGAAAGATCGTCCATTTTCCAAATTCCTCCACTAATACCGCGATGAACCAGCTTAATATTTGGCGACGGCCTCCAAGAGTGATGTGCGACTGCTGTCTTGTTTATCTGTCGGCACCCAAACCTTGACCAGCTGCAAGTGAGCAGAATATAAAAGGGCTCCCCACTCTGATTTGGATCTTTCTGGGGCAGAGAACAAACTCATCATGGCCCAGTCGTTCCGAACGTGCTCAGCCGAGATTTCTGCAGGGTCATCCGAAAGAACTCTCTCATGAATGAAGAGAACAGAATCCCGATCCATAGCCGCTCGAATATTTTGTAGGATTTGCCGTGCTTGCTGATCAGCCCAGTTGTGGAGCACTCGACCCAAGAAGTAGACATGAGCATTCTTGACAGGTTGTTCGTTGAAAAAGCTATACTCCATACGCTCCAAGCTGCCTTTGGCTCCGGCCTCTCCATCCGTATCGTGGCTGTTGACGTACTTGGGACCATCCTGTACAACAAATCGACATGGGAGATGAGGAAATCGCTTCATAACCGCCTTAGCCTCATGGCCATGCCCGCCACCAACATCCACAAAAGTTAGTGGCTTTTGGCTCTCCTGCGAATTTTCATAAAGCTCTTGGAGCTTTGGCTCAATCGGTAACCACTGAGCCCACTGGGCAGGGTTGCTCTCACTAGCAGTAGCCTCCATAAATCGGTTGAACGCATCTTGTAAGTGTGGCTGAGATGGCAGCCAGTCGAAAAAGTGAAGTGATGTTCCTGCAGCGAGTTGAAAAATGCCACGATAACCATCATGGGGTTCACGATATCCACTGGCCTCGAAGAAGGAGATTGTATTCGCAATCCATTTGGTAGTGATATCACTGGATTCTGTGAGTAAAAATGACCTTCCAATTGGACGAATAAAATCTGGATCGCCAAGGATGCTTACACAGTCATGAGAACAGCATCACTGACCATCGCACCGCTCTTGAGTGCCTTGGCGCTTTCATTTTGCTTGAACAACCCCCCTTTGGTGACATCCATAAGGCCTAGCGTCACGAGACCTCTCATAACACGTGCTAAAATCAAGGTTAGTTAGGAATCAAAATGATCAAATGAATCAGATCTTACAGGCCAATGCAGGATCACATCCGCTCTTTGCAGCCACATCGGAAGGTCCAAAGGCCGGTCTATCAACATCAAAAACTCCCAACTGAATCCCCATACGGACAATCATCAGGTCTACCACCTGGTTTGAGTCAGATCAGAGAACAAAAAATTGAGAGGATTGCATAGTTTGTATGATGCAGGAGGCGCACCTGGAAAGTCCCATTTATGATCCTATCGGTAGGGGTCTCCAAAACGGTTGAAAGAGAAGTGCAGGCCTGACGGAGTTGGGTGAGCTCTTCCTCAGTAGCATTGCCTGGATTGCTCAGAATACCCTTAGCCTCATTTATTGAGGCAACAAGGTGTGGGTGGAGCATAATCAAAAGAATGAATAAACGCCTCGGAGATGATCTGTGTTGATTTTCTGTCGGAAAATAGCAGCTGTTTGCGACTCAAAGCTTTTATAGACTACTTCACAGGTGCCTGATTGTTCCATTATTTTCAGTAGCCTTTACAATTTCAATCTACACCGCTTGGGAATTAAAGCTTTAGCCAGATACACCGCAGTCTGCGTCTGAGTGGGTCACGGTCCAAGTACTCTCTTCCTGTGCTACCTAGAAATGCTAAGAGCTTGAAAGGTACTGAGTGGGCAGTCTAGTCCTCACATAATATATGTAGTGCTATTTAAATATTGTACAATTACTCACAGTTCATGGCTAGCAGTGGCTTCAAGTTAAGATGGGTCACCTTACACATACATATACTACTGCATACTACATACAGGCGTAGGCATTGACTCGGAAGGACCACCACGTACTATATTCAAATGCTTGAATGTAATGCATAAAAATTTTGAACGCATACCAGTGAGACTCGGACGACACGTAAGGCACATGTGCATAGTCTCTCTTCGTGGACCTCGGGATTTACATGTATTACCTAGGTAGAATCGATCTGCCTGATGATTACGGGGGGGCCCCTTGTTTCTGGAAATTGAGCCACCGGCACTTCATATAACTTGAAGAAATCAACTCGCGTCGTGACTGGACACTCTAATCACACTTTCCATGTTGGCGAGAGGGATATGTCCGACTACCCACCAGGTACTCATTGAAAGTATCCCAATATCATGAAAAGTACACCCCTCTCACCGATATGAATTCCCTACTTTGCATAAATTTCGTATTTTGAAAGCAGTCCTGATCGCGTCATGGCGCGGGGGATCCAAGCATGCCAGTGACTTACGCTCTGACGTAAATACTATCATCCCGCAAGGGGTTCCAAGGTTGCCAGGGGCTTAACAGCACTAGCGATTATCAACTGCTGTAAGGTATATGTATCAATTCATGTGTGTGCCTTCCGGCCGAGACCGCTTCGGGTGCGTTAGCCTGAAGGTGAAGTTTCAAGTCATGATGTTCATACTACGGAGTGTTTCTCATACCCGTCAAGGTTGTACTAATTATCTTTTGTATCCCCATGTGCAATGAAATTGGAGCTTGAATGTCATATACATCGAGGAATCAAGGAAAAATATTACGAAACATACTTTGAGCTCGTGAAGAATTTCACATATAAGCATGAACCACTGCACCATCGTATTGAACCCTTGAGTATAAAGACTCGGAAAACATTAATGTGCTACGTCAATTATATGACCTCCGGTTTCAACTTCCCAAGAACAAACTTGAAGTCATCATATGTTTGAACCGTGACCCTGGATAGAACATTTGAACACGTACACCGGTGGACTCGAGTTACAAGCATGCTGAAAGGAATCTTGGACCCAGGTGGATACCACTACCACTCGGATACGTCGCATAATGTTGCCCAGATTCTCACGATAGTAAGTTTATTCAAACTCAGGGACCCCGGCATTCAAATTTTGAAGTTTTGAAGCTTAAACCTTGGAATGAACTAACCTTGGGGAACTACAACCTAGATCGTTTTGGTATGCACTGGTCTTTACGTACTATTCAATATATATCGTCATCCTCTAGCAATTTATCCTGGGCCTAATATTGCCCGATTTACTCGCCTTTGGCATGCCGTGCATTTGGTTCGAGGTACATTGCTGGAGGAGTTGCATAAAGCCCACAACAAATATGGACCCGTGGTCCGCATTGCACCAGATGAACTGTCATATATCTGCCCCGAAGCATGGGATGACATATATGAGAATAAAGTCCGCCCGGAGATGACCCGAGACCCTAGGTTCTTCCAAGAGGCTGGCGCGCAAGGCCAATCACTTCTGACAGTCACACACGAGCACCACCGTGCTATGCGCAAAAAGCTGGCGCATGGATTTTCAATGAAGTCTCTGCAGGATACAGAAGAGCTTCGTATATCTCATGTGGATCTCCTCATGCAACGACTTGTTGAGAATTCTCAAGGTGGGAGTGTATTGGATCTAGTAAAGTGGTTTACGGTGAGTAAAATGCATTCATTCAGTAGATCGAATACAGAAATGATCCGGAGAAGACTTACTGAGCAATACCTGTCCAGTTCTTTGCTTATGACGTCCAAAGTGATTTGGCATTTGGTGAATCTTTGGGGTGCTTGAAAACCTCAAGCTTTCACCCCTGGGTGCAAATATTGAACGAGTTTGACAAGCTTGATCCCCTTTTCAGAGCGATTACTTATTTTCCATGGACAAGACGATTCACGCAGTACCTCACACCGCGATATGTGGTAGAGATGGAGGAAAAGCTCACCGCGACATCTGTAGAAAAGGCTAAAGGACGAATGGTCCGACCGGCTGGCCGCTCTGACTTTTTAGAACACGTTGTGCAAACAGACTCTATGAGCGAGGCGGATGTCTGTGCAAATGCTGTCGCCTTGATAGGAGCTGGAAGCGACACTACAGCAACATTGATCAGTGGCACGATCTATTACCTACTTCAAAATCCAAAAATCTTGCAAAAGCTGACTTGTGATCTTCGCGGAAGATTTAAGACTGAGAACGACCTGGATCAGTCCTCTGTGGATAAGAATGAGCTTCTGCAAGCCTGTGTCCAGGAAACACTTCGGATTTATCCACCAGCTGCGGTGGGCTTTACTCGAGTTGTCCCTAGCCCTGGTGCAACAATTGCAGGGAAGTTCGTTCCAGGAGGGGTACGTTACGCTGATTATGCCTCTTTATTCCGGTAGAAAGCACTCTTGCTAACATATCACTTATGGAACAAGACTACGGTTGGAATTCCCCAAAACGTGGCCAATCATTCCTCAAACAACTTCTCGAAGGCTGGCCAGTTCTGTCCGGAAAGATGGTTAAAGTCTCATGAATTTTGGTCTGACAAGAGAAAGGTTTTCAGGCCGTTTGCCTGCGGGCCATACAGATGCCTGGGTGAAAGGTGATTTTTCGATATATAGATGTTTTGATTCAGACTAACAACGACCAGTTTGGCTCTTTCCAATGCCCATCTCGTCCTATCCAGACTCTTATGGCAGTTCGACCTTTCGTTAGAGCCTGGCTCGGAGAATTGGGAACAGCAAAAGGTTCATATCACTTACGTCAAAAAGCCACTTCGTGTCTCGCTGCACATGAGGCCCGACTTGGTCGAACAAGGGCACTGAATGATCACTGCAACGGCGGCATTGCGGAGGGCATCACGGAGGATGGGGTCAATAATGTGTGAAACCATCAAACTGGATTTTGCGTGGATTTATTTGTGGCAGCCCAATCCATGCAGCGCTAAACGAGCTTGAGGGAATTCTACGAAGAAAACTTCTGAGAACAGGACAATAATTGAGCGCAGAGAAAAGAAAACCTCGTTCACTCCAAGACGAAAGTATGATGAGCAGGTTGAGGGGAACAAGATAGCCGCCTGTAAAGTCAAATCAATCAGTCAAATTTGCAAGCTCTGACTTAAAAACCTCCCTGGCTCTCATAATTATTCACATATCTCTGGGGCAAATCAAACGCTGGGCTCAGTCTTCAAACTCGGAATTTGAATAACACACACACAGGGTTTGGAAGGTCAGATACAGCAGATAGGTTAAAATTCTATGGCATCTTAGGTCATCTATATAGGAACTTCCCATCAATCTTGGCAGGCAACAGCCTGAGATAATTGCACTACGACCTTGTCCCAATTCAAAGCTTCCTCAAATGACTAGACTCGGTATCAGACGAGTTTTCTACACTATTTTCTGCGGTCACGTTTGAAGAATTTCATGCATGCAGAGCATTCTGATAATAATCTCTACTGAGCAAAAAGGCTGTCAACGCTCGCCGCGGTGACTTTCACAGTCGATTTGCCTTCTTCCTCCACAATCCCATACCTACCATCGGTTGCAATATTGGCCGGAAGATACGGACCACCTGTGATCACTGCCTCCGCAGCCTTGCTAAACTCCTCATATGTGGATTTCTGACAGTCGTGATCGAAGATCCACATGGCACGGGCGATCAATGTGGGCAATTTGTCTTGCTGCTTCGCATCCCAATTCGCCATGTGAAGCGATTCCAACATCTTTGCGCTTCCGTCTCCGATAAGAGAGATTCGTTCGTATCTACCGACATCTCAGTTAGAGGTGCAGTTCCTGTTATCAGGAATTCTTCGCAAAAGCGCCATGTTCAACTCACCTTAATTTTTGCATGACCTGAAGCGCAAGTGGAATTCGATTCTTTCCAGCTAGCTCTAAGCAAATGGCAACCACGGCACCATCTTCGATACTCTGGCTAGCACCCTGGCCAGAAGTAGGAATGAACGCATGCGCGGCATCACCGATGACAATCATCCGTCCCTTCTTTGAGACCCAGCCAGTTAAAGGATCAACAGCCATAACCAGATGATCAAAGCAAGTCATGTTCGGCGTGCATCTAATCACTGCTCCGACTTTCTCTTTTGCGGGCCAATCTTCAATCAACAATAGGGCCTTGGTGACATCAGATGGCTGGAGCCAGGATTTGGATACGCCGTCATTGCTCTAGAAGTGCTGTTAGCATGCGAAAAATGTGTTTAGGAAGTATTTCAGAACAGATACGTACTCGATGTAAGCATCCCCAGTACACGTCTTTACCATGCCTGCCAGTGCCAATGATGACTGCGATATCCTTGCCGATGAAATGGTTTAGTTGATCCGCTTTCTCAGTCCCCTCCAGAACCCATTGTGCCTTTGGGTGGTCTTTCAGCACTTCAGCTGGATATCCGGCACGATATGTGGCAGCACCACTCTTTGTCAGAGGTCTTGTATCTCTTGTGATAATCGGTCGTGCTTTGCTATGGATACCATCACTAGCAATAACACAGTCTGCAGAAAATCGCTCACCGTCCACAATAACGCCCGCCTGCTCGTCATCCTCCCAGTAATCGGACACCGATACTCCAAATCGCAGATCGATTCCAAGACTTTTTCCGTACTCATACAAAGTGGTCACTGTTGTTGAGCGGTTGAGGACAAGACCCTCGCCCTCCTTATAACCATTCATATCTTTCCGAAGCTTCACGTTGGCGTATTCGTCCCAGACGGTGATGGTATCAACATCGCAGCGAACGGAGTCCAACTCGCGAGCGATGACCCCATCGTCCCACTTGGAGATCACAAGAGCCCCATTGCTAGAAATGCTGAAGATGTCACCTGATTGAAATTAGGCTATTGGCCCAACTAATATTAAATTCCTGATGCTTACCAAGATGTGTTGGCTTAGGGGTTTTCTCCAGTCCAATCACGCTGTGCCCTTTACGATGACATTCAATAGCAGCAGTGAGTCCCGCAAGACCCAGTCCAACAATGATAACCTTAATACCGGATGAGCCTGGCGGCGCAATGCCACTCGGGCCTGAATGGGTAACAGTCATTTTGATGTTTGGAGCAGTACTTTTACGGTATAAACTGCAGAGCGGGCTGTTGCGGGGGTTTTATGAACTTAAATGTACTTTCAATCGGATGCGGTGAGTCTTGAGAACAGTTGCCATGCGTGATCAGGTTCATGCGAGGAAACCTGACTCTAGTGAACATACTACATACTCAACTGATGGTTGGCAATGGTCGGAGGTGGGTTGCCCGGTCAAGCCAAAGCTCCACTAACTTCCGTCCGTCGTATGCTGCATTCCTCACCGCCACTATGGCTAGTTCACGGCAATGACTATGTTGTGGCTAGCTGCGGAGCTTATTCCTTGCGTTGATGCATGTACATAGCCTACAGTAAGTGCAAGATACCTCGGATACACATCATGCAAGGATTCTTGCGGATACCAGGTTAAACAAGACTTTTTAGTGTCGCTCAACGCGAATGCTGTACATGCAGTAACGCAGGGTCATGCGATGATACGACGGACGCTGCATGTTTCACTATTTAGGGAGCTAGACTGAGATAGGTGTTATTCAATAGACCAAATAAAGAGTCTCAGACTGGTATGTAGGCCTGGAAGGGCTTTAGGCATTCTATGGTGCATCACATCCATGGAAAGCTTTGGAAAAGTTGACGTAAAGAACTTAGAGGCAGACGCAGACATAAAAAGATCTGAATTGTTCTAGTTCAACTTGACTTGAAAACGCGGCTTGTGTAGAATTGATGCATTGCTCATGACTCGGCTAAGAATTGTTCCTACAAGAAGTGTCAAGTGTGAAGCAAAACTCAACTTCCTAGACCATGACCTCGGGTTCAAGTTTGATATGATAAAATGGGCAGGTGGGCTCCAGCCTTGGGGTTTATGTTGCACTAATGTAATTCTCAAGCCATATGTTGAGCGAGAGAAAGACCCCCAATTTTAGCCATATGAATATCCGCATTTCCTATGCCCAGCGGTCTTCAATCACCTTGATCTTCAGGTTAGATGTAGCGCGGGCAACAATACGGTCAGCCCACTGAATCCCACCTTGAGAGTGCTCTTTGTCTGCTAGCTCAAGGGAAAAGTGACTGAACATATAAGCGAGCACGGCATAAAGCTCCATGTAAGCGATACTTGATACGATGATTATCAGCAACACACCTCCCGGAAAATTAACGATAACCCAATTTGAACATACCTGATGCCAATACAACGACGCGACCCTTTTCCGAAGGGGACACTGTATTTCTCGAGTTCCTCTCCTCCCTCCACCCAACGGTCGGGATTGAATGTATGTGGCTCTGGGAAGATTGTTGGGTCCATGTGAACGACTGGATGACTAACTGAAACGCTAGTCTGGAGAATTGAATGTCAACGAACACAGTTGTAATTATGAAGATAAAATGGTACCGGGATGGACTTACACCCCCAGGCAAAAAAGAAGACCCGACATGAACACCCTCTTTTGGCACCACACGGGGCAGGAAGCCGGGAACTGGGTCAGCCATCCTCATAGTCTCCCGGATAACCCCTCCCTATGTAGAAACAGAATAAGCAATCTGAGTTCAATATAGACAAGTAAATTTGAAATTTGTATCATACTAGATATGGCAGACTTTGAATAATCTTCGGATCGAACTCATCGCGAATTGCGACCTTGACTTCATCAAGTTCCGCTTGAAGCTTGGCCAAAACAAATGGCGAGTTGAGGATATTGAAGGTGGCCCATGATAGAGTGTATGCAGTCGTGTGAATACCCGCAGTCATGAAGTTGAAAGCACCATCGAACACCTCTGCCACATTGGGGAGAGTGGCTTTGCGGCTGTCAATTTCGAGGTACAGGTCGAAGTATGATTTCCTGGCTGGAGCTGTGCCAGATAACTTTCGATGTTGTGCCTCCTCTAGCTTCTCGTCACAAAACTGGAGGATATTGTTAGCAGGGCACACTCGGCATCGATTGGATCCTATCCTCTCCAAATTACCTTCTTGAACTGAGTGATTTGGGGACTCAGTTTCTCAGCAAACGAAGTCGGCAAAGTTTTGATAATTGTTTTGATTCCGGGGAATTCCATCACTGACACGAATTAGCAAGAGAAGTTCTCGATTTAGATAGATATGCCATACTCAGCCAGGTGATAGAGCCCAGATTGTCAACTTCATTTATCAGAGGGTGGCCTTGATCTCCTGAATCGATGAAATTATAGCTATCCGCAAACATCAGCTCGCAAACAACATCGCCCTTGATTTTAATTAGCATAATTGAGAGTTTCGAGCAGGAATACCGGGATACCCTCGTACAATCAATTCACTGTAGATATTCTGGATGTCGACTGTTTTGGTTCCAGTTCCAGCTTTCCGGAGATATCCCGCTGCTTTCTTCAGAGTCTCCAGCAGTCTAGGCTTAAGGGCAACCGTTGTTTGGGCTGAGAAGAGTGAGCTCAGATACACACGATGCTTCCGGTGCTCAGCCGGATTTGTCAGAGAAGCCAGTGCTCCATCAGCACCCAATGATGAATAGAATTCAGGCTCCTTATAATAAGGGGCGCCTGTACGAAAAACACTGTTTGGGGTGCATCAGCATATGACTTCCATCTTGTTGAAGCAGTTGACACGTACGTCTCAAAAAACTCAACATCATTCACATGAACTCGATTTGGCGCTACGCGGATGACACTGGAATCTGTGATTCTGTATTAGCTTTTATGCTGCAGCCTCGAATAAATCAAGCGCATTGAAAAATGTGTGTAAATACCATATTTTTTATGAAGCGTTGGAAAGGCTTTGCTGTAAGTTCCATCGTGAATATAGTTGTAATAGAATGCATACAAAGAGCTGATTGAGGCTAATCTGGGGCCAGGGATCGAGGCAAGCGGATGGAGGTAAAGTCGATAGAAAGCCTTCCATAGTTGTGAGACAACACCGATTATCAACAAGCCATGGAGGATATCAGGCCAGTGAGCAATCAGCTCATAAGTCCAGTCTTTCCCCTCATCAAGCAGCGTTGCGGTAGTTTCGTTGTCCATAATGGATTCGATTAACTCTCAACTACCTTGACTGGGACCAGAAAGTAAGAGGGTTATGCGGTATTGATAGCCAATAGACGACCACCATGAGCTGACGATATCGATACTTGCGTCATAACAAGATACCACCCTCGCCTCAGCCTTAGGGGAAGAGGTGGCTGCAGAGCTTTACATTGCGACTATGCTCTCGTTTCCTTACAGATGAGATGATATCTGCAAGGGGTACCAATAACATTCCTCCTATTTCAACAACAGACTCCAGAACCCCATGCGCCCACAATGGGTGACGAGAAATGCGCATAATGGGAGCAATAACGCGTAGGCTAGCTGGAGCATGCAACTTACCGGAGGTCGCTAAAATTCAGGGGCGTGGAAATATGGGAGCCGAAGATCTTGTCGGTGTCAACAGTCTAGCGCATTATTCCGCTCTACCCGTCACACCGCGTCGCGCATTATTCACGGCGCGTGCCGTTTCTTCACCCGACGTCAGTTATCTGGGATACCGCCATACCTCCTTACATACGGATCTGTTCATTCCAGAGTCGATTGTCGGTTTATTATGGATAGTCAATCAAAGCCCAGACAAGGGACTGGATCATGCCCCTATCTCCAGAGACCGGCTCCCACATTGTGTGGATACAGAGCTTCTAGGCACCCACCCTGTCCGCGAGGATTTTAGAGGATTACCTTACAGCGATGGTAATTTTTGAGAACACCGATCCGGATATACGAGAAGTCAAACACCTAAGCTATAAGGCTGAACGACACAACACGCACCATATTTCGGTAATTTGGATCATCGACTTGAGGGTTATTCTCTCATGACTGAGTGACATTGGCATATTTTGAACAATATTAGCGACCGCCATCAAGCACCATGCTAGGCGCCGTCAGTTCCTTGTCGCCAACATTGTTAGATGTTGTCGCAGGAGTTTCGCTCCATCTTTTTGTCCTTCGACATGGAGAATGGGATTTCACTCTACCAGTTCTGGTTGTAAACTGCATCGGAGCTTCAATACTTGCTGTGACTGCTGGTGTACTATTGCTTTATAGTCAACTCGATATTTTCTGGGCTTGGCTCTCAGAAATAGGCGTACATGTCACAAAAATCACCGCGGGTCTCTGTATGAGCATTTTCATATATCGATGGCGTTTTCATCGTCTGCACAAGTTTCCCGGCCCTCTTGGGTCTCGCTTCTGGACCGCATATATAATGTGGAAGTCTGCGAAGAGCAAGAATGCGTTTGAGATGGTTGCTGACTATCACCGTCAATACGGAGACTTTGTCCGAATTGGTAAGTCCGATAGCCTGCTCGATGGGGATCTATGAAGGGTTAAAAACTGACTCAGATGACAACTCAGGCCCTGCGGAACTGTCTATTTGCCATCCGGATGCTATTGATGCCATTCACTCGTCGAAGTCATCTTGTATCAAGAGCCCGTGGTATGATATTTTGCAGCCACATCGGTCCGTGTTTGGGACTCGAGATCGAGCAGAGCATCAACGGCGTCGCCGCATATGGGACCATGCATTTCGCCCCGCGGGTAGGTTTGGCAGTCTTCTCTTCTTCATATTCTCTCATATCTAACATGGCCTCTAGCCCTGAAGGAATATGAGCCCTCGATGCGGACTTGCGTGGATCAGTTAGTCGAGAAAGTTAGTGTTAATGCAGCCTCTGGGAACCCGGTCAATATGACCAAGTGGTTTGGCTGTCTTATGTTCGATGTAAGATACAAATTACAATAAAGGTGTGAATATGAGGCCCCAGGACTAACGAAGTGAGCAGATTATCGGAGAACTCTCGTTCGCGGAATCCTTCGGCACCCTGGTGGAGGAGAAGCCGCATTACATGATGGACTATCTGCACCAGTCGAATGTGTCGACTGGGATCATGATTCGCGCCGTGTGGATCATCATGGTTTTTCGCAGTATTCCCATTCTAAACAGGGGTTTGCAGCAATTTCTGGAATTTTCTGAGACAGCAATGGAGAAGAGACTGAAGGTAGGTCACTTTCTTTGCTCCGTAATTCGCCGATGTTAACTATTCACCGCTGCAGAGAAATGATGAGCCTCGTGATATCTTTGCGTGGCTCTGGAGCGAGTTTTCTACAAAGTCAACCCAGTCTCTACAAGCTAGGCGGAACCTGATTGCCGATGCTTCGTTGTCAGTGTTTGCTGGCAGGTATGTTTAATTTCTCAATGTCTCTCCTTCGAATATTAATGCCTACTCTTTGACAGTGATACGGTTGCCATTACAATGACAGGAATCCTGTATTATATGATGGCCTACCCGGACTACCAAAAACAACTGCAAGGAGAGTTTGATCAGGCTGAAGAAAGTAGTGGTATGTTGGAAATGCAAGATCTAGCAAAACTACCACTCTTCAACGGCATCATCAACGAGGGATTACGACTTCACTACGCTGGGCCGTCTGGCTTTCCACGAATCACACCACCAGAAGGAATTAAAGTGGGAGGAACATTTATTCCTGGTAATGTTAACGTGAAGGTCCCATTCTACACAGTCTTCAGGGATGAGCGGAATTTCAGGAACCCCGATGAGTTTATTCCGGAGCGCTGGTTCAGCCATCGTGATCTCGTTCGCCGTCCTGAAGTTTTTGCTCCATTTTTGATGGGTCCATACAACTGTGTTGGCAAGCATGCTGCTCTGATGCAAATCAGATGCACAATTTATTCTATTTTCCGCCAATTTGAGGCACAACCAACCAGCCAAGATGAACTCCAGAAGTACTGGAATGCACGTTCGGATGGATTCAGTATGGGGATTGGCCCCCTTCCTACCATTTTCAAAGAGCGACCTGGTCGAGAGGTTAAAAATTAATATATACTAACTGATGGTGCGAATCACTGGCAAGATTTTCCATGTGGTTATAATTGCTTCCCTAGCACATGTGCACCTTACTAGTATTCAAATGTTAGTATAGGACAACTTGAAAATTCAAACGTTCCAAGGTTGGATTCCAGCCAATATCAATTTCCAAGGTTGCCACTCCACTAACTAGCTTCCAACTTAATATTGTGAACGTTTTAAGCATCTCACATCCACATGTGCATGTGAAACTTGAAGCCCTGGAGCTTGAGCCCTGGAGTACTGCCCAGGTGGTGTCACGCACGGTGGTCATGGATTTGCACACTGAGTGCTAGTAGCTAATGGCAGAGATCCACACATGTGCACCTGGGTACCCGCCTGCCCAGATGCCAGCCTGAGAGTGAGCCCTGGCGGGAATAGGTACTATGTAAGTACCAGGTAGCGTATCATGATGTAGGTATATATGTATTGAAACGTGAAGATACTGGTACTACTACTGAAGCCGGTGTCGAGTCGGAGCGACTATATATCTTCACATAAACTTGCCAGTGAAACACTGCCAGTGGGTACTAATTCAAGTTGAACTCCACCTGGCACGGACTGCTGAATTTACGAAGATGACGATCATTCTGAAGGTCTTTTGTCCCACATATCTAAAATCTTCAACATTTGAATAGGCCCGGACAAAATCTTGTGACGGGTTTCACAGGAAGAACGTGGGTCAAGCGCCCCAACTGGCCAGTTGAGCTCGGATGAATGTTATGCCGGACGGGATTATCGAAACAGGAGAAAAACTCATTCCTTTCAGATCTCGCACACTGTATCTAATCAAGCAATCAAGAGAACACGATTTACAAGAGTATTATCTCTATCTTATGTATTAATCGTGTAAACATGAACTTCGACAAACATCCCTGAATTTACTTCCTGAGAATTCTGCCAACGTGTATATAATAAGTAGGCGGTGACTCCTGATTGATTGAAGCAGAATTACTACGTAGACTAAGCCTAAAAAGGACTCGGAGTAACAGACCTAAGCCCGAGCCTCGGAGTATACTTCATACCACTTCGTCCTTACTCTGGGAGCATGTCAGAGGGTGCGTCAATCTTCCCAGGTTGACCGTTTGTTTGGAAAGTACGTGTTGAGAAGATCGGTGATGGATCATTCCCGTATGTGGGTTCGTATCAAGGGGCTGGCTACTCCGTACATGAAGGCTGGGTACGGCATGGACCACATAACAGAGCTCAGCTCGCTTCCTTTGCCCAGGAGCGGCGGATGCACATTGATTTGGTAACAAGAGGCAAGGGCTAACATACCGCGGGCGGTCCGGCGCGACTAGAACCCACATTGGTGTTTCTTTGCCTTCGAATAGTTATGCACATGTGGGGTTACTCCCTTGCTTATGCATGTTTCACACAGACAAGGTAGAAGTTGACTACGAGCGCGTTAGCCTGAGAGCCAGGAGTAGTGAGTGGATCAATCTAATAGTAGTACCATCTTTGTATGATGGCTCCAAGGGTGTCTTATTGGTTATCAATCTTGACCGACTATTCGATTTGTGCAAGTCCTCATTAATATATTGTCCTGTAAGAATACTTCCAGTTGGAGTTATATAAAGTTGTCAGTTGCGATTAAGAGACAAAAATTTTACCTCACGTTCGATGCTATCTGTCTAGACGAAAGGTGGGTACTACTAGTAGTGTTTAACGGAATGGGCTATGTCAATCTAACAATTGTCCAGAATAACATCAAATTTGATTTGAAGCAGACTCTCACCTTGACTATGACTATCCAAGGGAAGAAAACCATCACAGTCTTTGGTGGAACTGGTAATATCATTGAAAGGGCATTGTTTCCATTATTGTCACTAACTGATGAAAATAGGAAACCAGGGCAGTAGTGTAGTGCGGTCCTTGTTGGCACACAAGGATAGAATCTTCCATGTTCGTGTCATCACAAGAGACACAAAATCGGAAAAATCCCAAGTCATTGCATCACTAGGAGCGGAGCTAGTTCAGGCTGAAGGTCTTAATTCTGTGCAAGTTGCCAGTGCATTTGCTGACAGTTGGGGAGCGTTTATCAACACCAACTCAGATGACGAGGTAAATTCTTGGTCGGATGCGGGTTTTCCTCTGGAATACTTACCTATCTATGTGAACAGTCGTTGAAGTCCCTAGATGGCCCTAGCGACTATGACCTTGCAGTCTCCGTAATTGATGCAGCTAAGGAAGCAGGTGTCAAACATGTGGTCTTCAGCTCTGGACCATCTATCACCAATGCAACCAATGGAAGAATGCACATTGAAGGATTTGAGAGTAGGTCGCTTGCTTTGGGCTCATGTCTATCAGTTTCTGACTATCACCATTTCATTGTAGCCAAATATTATGCAGAGCAATATGGGCGTAAGAAAGGTTTTGCCAGCTTCACACCACTTCTCTGTGCCTCTTTCATGGAATGCTTCTTCTATGATCCATTTGTAGATGCATTTGGCGGTTTCCCTTGGATTCCCGATCCGACAACCAGTGAACTGGTGTTTCGAACTCCATCATATGGAGGCAAGGGCGATATGCCTTGGATCAGTTGTGAAAACGATCTTGGTGATGTTGTCCATGGCATCTTCTTGGATCCAAACACCTACAATCAAGTGCTTGTTCAAGCAACCGGGCAGCAACTCACCATGCGTGAATTGGTAGCTTCTTACACCCAAGGTACGGAAACCAGATGTTTCTTGAATATTATCTCGTGATGCTAGCCGTGAATGCTGTATTGCTAGATTGCTGTCTTTTACTGACCACTACTTGGCTTAGCGACGGGGATTCCAGCTCGATATGAAGAGTTGCCTTCCTGGTCAAGCATAAAGCTAAATGGAACAAGATGCCGAGTTGAAACCCGTCTCATGTTCTGGTATATGAAGGACTGTGGTGGGCGCTGGTTCGCAGAGCATGAAAGTGACATGTCAACCTCTGTCGTGTTGAAGAAGGTCGCAATGGCAGCTCGGGGTCAAGAAGGAAGCTTCTCGACTTTCACGAGCTGGTTTAAGCAGGCCCATGCACTGAAAGCCCAGAGTGCTTGATTTTTCAACTTGAACCTATCCAGGTGGAGTATCCCGATGGCCTTAGGATAGGTAGACAGCCAGAACTCGATAAGTTGTTCAGAAAAACCTTAATACCAATAGCTACTAGTCCATATGTGAGTGGCTTGGAGTGAAAACTTGAAATTCTTTCCAATGGCCAAGCCCAACCTTCAAGTTGTGTATGATCATGACTTCTAGTAGTGTTCTGAGACTTGATATTGTCTTCTCTTTGTTTCATCACTAATTAATTGGAGGATTTTGAAGGTGGGTTTAACTTGAAGTCTGAATATTGCTAAGACTATGCCATGGAAAAAAGTGGGTGGAAATTAACTGTTAATCCAACTAGTAGCTACATTGTAGTTGCGAGACAAAGCTGAAATATAGAACAAACATTTGAATGAAAACAAGGCCCGCGTTTATGATAGAATTAACCCGAAAGATGAAGAAACATGATCTAAAGATAGAAATAGATAGGCCAAATTGATAACAAGAAATTCACAATCTAGTTCACAGTCCGACGGAAGAGATTGGACTGCGTAGGCATTAGTCGCCCAGTCTCCATATCGACTGATCCGGTAGAGCAAATGTGTTGGACATTCTTAATAACCGAGCGGAATAAGAGACTTCGAAGTGTGGCAGGGAGATTGATGGGATTATTACGAGAGGAGCCCAGGCGACCGTTGTCGGACTCAAGGAACTCAAATACTGGCCACAACAAGTGATCGCCTCCAGTGGCCATCATGCTGCCTTTGATCCGATGTAACCAGTTAATACCTTGACAGGGCTGGAGAGGACTTCCGAATATCTGGTGGCAAGCTGTAGAGACGGCATGCCAGAAATCTGGAGCAGCAAGTCCGTCTGTGATAGACGTAACATGGAGAGATTGAGGACTGTCTGGATGGCCACCCGCTGTACTTCGTGGTGCATCCATATCGAGAGTACGACTAGTAATGAGACCCGCAACAAGATCAACAGGAGAAATGTATATCCACGAATCGGCATCCTCTTCGCTATTAAAGGATCCAGTTGTTACTGCGGAGCCCACGACACGCCAGAGGTAGTCTGCAACATTAGCAAGGCCGTTCTCAGTGGATCCAATGATCCATCCGGGGCGAACAATGTTGAAATGAAGATTCTTGCAGACAGAGTGTCGTTGGAATTCTTTGATGGCAAGTTCGGACATGAACTTGGTTTGACTGTATCCATCAGAGCTGGAAAGGACCTTGGCCATACTGCGGTCATCATCTCCTGCCGGTAAACTGGGCTGCAGAGCTGAGATATAAGTGAATGCCACGGGATGAGCTAGTTGTGCCAGGCCACTAATAAGCTCGATGGTGCTTCCTGTGTTAACAGATTGAAGTGTGTGATAATCTTGACCCCAATGAACCCGGGCACCATTGTGAATCACAATGTCAAATCCATCCTCTGGTCGCTCGAGACCGGATAGTATTCTCCATCGAGAGTCGGAAAGTCCTAAACAAGACTTGGACAAGCATCCCCGCCACGCGCAAAGACGATGTCGATACGATTCCCGCCACCAGCCCGCACCATGAGCTGTTTCCACAATGCGTCGCATCGCAATCCTGTCTGAATCCGCACGAACAAGTACTGTAACTGATTGTACTCGGGGATCTTCCAAAAGTGATTTCAGGATCTGGGTCCCCAGGAAGCCGGTGCCACCAGTCAAGAGAACACGGCCCAGTCGCGGTTGGCCACCATCAGGGGGTGAAACCTGATCAATTGTGTGCACTGGCTTTCGGGACTGCACGCATATGCTTCTTATCCTCTCCCGTAAAAGTTGATACTCATTCCAGAGGTCTATCGTCTGCGGAGGTTCTCTCTCAGGGCATTTTGTAGCAGGTGATCCAGTCACCATGAGGGCCACATCGCGAACACTAAGGCCGGAACGAAAAAGCATAGTCATAGGCAGGCGGACGTTGAAATGAGTAGAGATAGCTTGAGAGATAGACATCATGTCAATAGAATCCAGACCAATTCGAGATAGCGTGACATTCTTCCCCACAACAAGCTCTCTGTCCAATTTCAATCGTGAATGAAGAACTTCAGCCACAACTTCAGAAACCTTTAATGCAGTTGTCTCCGTAGCTGCTAATGGCACATCACTAGAATCGGCACCAGTGCAACCCAGAGTGACGAGAGTAGCGGAAGTCAAAGATGCAGCCGCTGTTCGAACTTGTCGTCGGTCGACCTTACCAGATATGGTGAGCGGCATTCGACGGGCAATAAGCCAGAGTGAAGGGATCATGACGGCCGGAACCAATAATGAGAGTTGTCGCTCAATCTGAGTAACGAGCTGTGCAAAGAGAGTGCTAGGAGGAACGAACAGAGAGTTTTCGATGCCATGAACCTCCGTAGATGTATCGAACATGCCCTCATCAGATGTCTGAATCATTGCCACAAGTAAAGGATGAGAATCGCCTTGACCTTCGCCTGATCCTGGTTTGATGACATCTGCAATCAACTCGTTGACCTGAGATCCAAGAGCTTCAGCTAGGTGATGTTCGACATCCATCAGATTGAGCCGCTGCCCGCGCAGTTTTACCTGGTAGTCCTTGCGACCAAGGAAAAGACATGTACCATCAGGATTGAATCGTACTAAGTCACCAGTCTTGTACAGACGGTCTCCCGAGGATGAGTCCATGGTAGTAGACCACTCGGTGTGCTCAAGATAGACAGCTCGAGTCTTCTCCGGCTCATGGAGATAGCCGCGACCAACAATGCGACCTTGCAGCACCAACTCACCAACAGCTCCAATAGGCATCAATCGGTTATGATCATTCTGGTCCACCACCCATGGGGTGCATCCCATGCCTGATCCAATGTTCCGAGGGTCCACAGAAACATGTTCAATGATATGAACGGTGGCTCCAGTGCAACATTCAGAGGGTCCATAACCACACATTAACGTCACCGATGGAGTCCATATCGCAAGCTGGGTTGGCAGCATAGTCTCGCCCACGGCAACCACAGTTTTCAGAGTCGGAACATCACTAGGAGCAATCAGACGAAGCATAGATGGAGTAGCGCACATCCATTCAGCTTGGTATTGTCGGATGGCTGGACCAATGCCGCCTGCCAACTGCTCAGTCGACGGGATGCACACGCAACCACCACCACATAATGTGGTAAGAATCTCAACTGCGAAAGAGTCAAAGGCATATGATGATAGTTGTAATACTCGGGTACCGGCACGAATATGGAGTTTCTCTCGCTGTGAGATCATGGCAGAGCAGTAGGAGCCATGTTCAATCTCCACACCCTTTGGCTTGCCTGTTGACCCGGAGGTGAAAACGACATAGAGAAGATCACCATGGCGAGAGGTATCAACATCAGCTTCAGGACACGCTGGCTGGATTGCATGCGGCCGTGTGATCAAATCGGAGAACAAGAGAATGCTGTTGGCGAACTTCTCACAGTATTCCACACACACGCTGGAGGTAAGAACCCAATTTGCACTCACCGTGGCGCAAATTCCTTGATTCCGATCCTGGGAGGCATCTCGGTCTAGAAGAACAAATGCAGCTCCAGTTTTCATGACGGAAAGCAAAGCAATGGGGACCCACTTCGACCGTTCCAGGCAGATCGGAACGATTGCCCCTGAGCCGATACCCGTGCCCCGCAGATAATTTGCTCCTTTGTCAGAGAGATGTTGAATCTCATCATAAGTAAACGATCCGTCCCAGGCGCAAACTGCGGTCTCTTGTGGACGAATAAGGCATTGAAGCTTGACAAGACCATGTATGGTGTGATCCAGACGTGCGGGGTGGGGTATATTCCACTCGCATAATTGGACCTGGTCGGCGATACATAAGAGGTCAAGCTGGTTGATGCGAAGAGATTGAGTCTCATGAACTTGGGACAAAATATGGCTTAGTTGATGAAGAAGGCGCTCTCCCTGGGCTGCTGAAACAAAGTCCTCATCAAGTAGAAGCTCGAAATCCCAACTGTGGGTTGTCTCTCCCGGAGTACACAGCAGAATCACGGAGTAGCCCGGAATAAATCCATCTGCTCCCAGTCGCTCTTTGACTGATTCGAAGATAACTGACTTGAATTGAGCTCTTTGTGGTTGAATGACGACCATGGTTTGAAAGCCACACGCTGTGCGCGCCTCAGGGCTGACTCGAGCAATAGACTGCAAACCGGCATGTTCCCAACTAAGGATTGACTGCATGTTTGCTTGTGTTTTCAGCAGCGCCTCGTCCACAGAAATGGACTGATCAATCGTGTACCGGAAGGGAACGGTGCTTAATGTTGGCCCCACGATGCTATCGATTCCGGGTAGCGATGACAACCGTCCATTGCTGATGGTTCCGTACACCACGTCTGGAGACTGAGTGTACAACGAGATCAAGATCGACCATGCCAGATGGACTCTAGTGGATGGAGTTACAGTCGATCCACGTTTCAAAGACAAATCACGGCTTGTTATCTCTGGCTGGGCAGCTGATGAGGAATGGTGACGATGGGCCAGCCGGATGCTGGGTTGAGGGGCGCGGTCGTTCGTAAGACCTTCAGGAAATGTGCCTGAGTTAAGATCGCGGTAGTAAGAGCGCCAAAACTCTCTCTCGGCATTAATGTCCCGATCTTGAAGAAATTGCACAAACCCTGAGAACGAATGGCGAGAAAGAGAGTCACCTCGATAGGCGGTCTCGGCATCCTGGAGGATCATCTCCCATGACCACCCATCGTACACTGCATGGTGAATTGTTACTGCAAGCTGGGCTTTGGGCGGAGCCTGCCGTTTATTCTTGACAATCGAGTCAGGATTAGGTACAATAAGACTGATGAAAACCAGAGGGGATCCAGGGCCCATTTCCCTTGTAACATCAACAGTAAGATAGTGCTCTGTAGAAGTGTATGTTTGCACTGGCAACTCATCGTAGTCTGTGATAACTTGGTAGACACCAATGGATGTTTGAATGATCCGTGTCCTCAGGATGTCACTAGATTGTATGACAGTGTTCCAGGCTCTCAAAAGTCGCGACTTGTCGACGTCTGGAGAGAGTGTGAGCATAAAACGATCAATATAGGCACCAGAGGCACTGGCGGTCGCAGAGAAAAGGCCCTCTTGAATAGGTGTGCAGGGATAAATATCATGGATGGCATTATTGTCCACATTGCATTGTTCTCGGACTGCTTTCAAAATCTCTGCGCGCTGATCTTCGTCAGTCGGGAGCATGGAATAGGGTCGTATGGAAGAAGAGTTTCGGTCGACAGAAGGCAAAACCTCCCACTTCTCAATCCTCCCAGCAAGATCACATATCTTCAGGTCGTGACGCAGGAGATCGGTTGTTTTGAATGAAATTCCAATCTTCCGGGCGCAGCTCACGAGCTTCACCGCAGCCAAAGAGTCTCCTCCCAACTGGACAAAGGCGCTATCCATATCCACATCTGTCACCTCCAACTCTAGAGTCTGCTGAACCAAAGAGGCAACTTGCTTTTCGGCTGTGGACCGTGCAGCTCTTTGAGGGTTACCATTGAGCTTCGTAGACTTGAGAAGCTTGATACTACCAGAGTTGAGTCGCGCGGTAAGCATGCAAGTCAGGCGTTTGCGATCAATCTTGCTGGTGGCCGTCCTTGGTAGAGCTGGTAATTCTATTAGGAAGGCTGGTATCATGTAACGTGGCAAGAGGCTGCTCATTGCCTCTCGAATTTGATCTTCACGCTCGTAAACTCTCATGCTCGCATGGGGATTGCTGTCATGCCCCACACTGGAGTCGAACCCTTCCGTTGAACCACCCCTCTTAGCAACAAAAGCAATGACTTTCTGTTGTTTCTCACCAGACGTAGTCATGACATCTACAGAGATGTCCAAATTTGGCTCCATTTGTCTCAAGGTGACCTCAACATTATCGATATCCACTCGCTGACCATTGATTTTCCGCACGTTGTCTCTTCGACCCAGGTATCGCATCGACCCATCACTGTTGTATTGAACCAAATCGCTAGTTCTAAAAAATTCACCGCGTCTGTCGATTGGAAAGTTTGATCTCCACTTGGGTGCTGAAATGAAGGCTTGTCGGGTCTTCTCTGGCTCGTTGAGATATCCGTGAGCGACAATCGGCCCCTCAACGACGAGCTCCCCGATACCACCAATGGGTGTTAGGGTATTGACGTCGCTTGGATTTACGATCCATCCAATACAGCCTACAGGGCGACCGATAGTTCCATCAACCCAGCTTCGAGGATTCATCCGGGTAGCCACACAAATACTGACTTCGGCTGGTCCAAACCCATTATATAACCGATTCCCCCAAGCTTCGACAAGATCGAGACCGACTGCCTCTCCGCCAACCACAATTGTTTCCATTGTAGGAAAATCCGACGGAGTATACGCTCTCAGTACTGTAGGTGTGATGAATGCCCATGTGGTCTGGTGTTTTTTCACGAAAGCAGGAAGATCATGGAGCCTTTCCTCCTCTGAAGGGGTATAGACTGTTCCTCCTCTCACCAAAGCATGGAATATTTCATAAACCGCCATGTCAAAAGCGTACGACGAAAATTGAAGAGTTTTTGGTGGTTCATGTATACCCGTTGCGTGCCCATGATGATTCATTGTCGAACAAATTGCACGGTGACTCAATGGGACTCCCTTAGGATGTCCAGTACTACCCGAGGTGAAAAGGACGCATGCAACATCTTCAGAGTTACCTGGTGGGACCTGCCAGCTGGGTGATGGCCGAGGCAATGACCACAATGCTTTATCTGACACAATCATTCGATCGAGAAATTTCATATGTGCCAACCGATCGTATTGACTTGTTGAAGTCAACAGTAACGCGGATCCAGTTTGATCTACCACTTTCGCAATATACAAGTCTGGATGGCTCACACATATTAAAGTACTCGCTGCACCCGTTTTCAAGACACCGAGTGTGCTGACTATTGCCCATACAGACTTCTCGAACAAGATGGGGACAATTTTACCCCGTCCAATGCCGCGCTCAATCAGCTTCGCGGCGAGAATTGTAGATAATTCATCTAATCTTCCATATGAGAGATCACCATCAGTCGTAACAGCTGCTCTTTTGTGAGGACTTTCAACAGCTCTGGCTTGGAATAATTCATGTAGTCGTTCTCGGAACACCGCAATATTTGCTGAATTCCATTCCATCATCAATGCTTTGTCCTGCTCGCCAATGATGTCCATATCGAGAAGGGGCTGGGTAGGTTGCAATTGCATAACTTGCTGTAAGATACCTTGGTACTGGTTTAATAGTCGTCGCGCTTGCTCATCCATACATTTTGAAGAGTCATAGTGCACAAGAGCCTTTATCGTCGTTTCCGTCTGTAGCCAGCATGATAGTCGGAGCGCTTCTTGAGACTGAAGACGAACATCTTGGGATGGCTCCTCTGGCTGATACCGGGGACTGAGAATGCTCAGTGTCGCAAATGAGTGCCTTTGGTTATCCTCGTTTCTCTGAATATCTGACTGAGCTGCACCACTTGGACGATGAAGGCATTCGGCCATATGATGTACAACTGAATCCACTGAGGACTTGGGGTGTGGCTCAAACGGGATACGCCACTCGGATTCGTTATTTGCATTGACTGTGAGCTCCAGTGAATCAGACAGATTGTATCCTTTGATGAGGACAGCCCATGCGATGACCAAGAGTGAAACAGCCTGACCAGACCGTTCCCTTCCATGCACATTCAATACAGAGTCAATCGCGCGAACTTCACTTGTCGTTTGGATCCTTTGGCATTTCAGATCTCTCGGTTGTGAGAAGGAACAATTAACTGATATGTTCATCGCGCTTTCTGTTTGCGTTTCCGCGCTTCGGCCCTGGAGGAGGGTTGAAGGCTGAGGTTCCTCGTGTATCCCCACCATCGTGCAGGTTTAACTGACAATGGGGGACCAGACTAAGAGACAGGACGATTGAATAGGTAAAGAAACTGTTATTCTTTGATGTTATAGCACGTTCACTTCTGATCAACACCCACAGCTTGTTTTAAGTGCAGATTCCTTACCATACATGATGCCGAAGATTCCCATAGCTCTTCTGACATATCAAGTTCCCGTGCTTACAACACTATTGGAATGATGGCGGCATAACTTGCCTATACCTGGGTCCCTTACCGTTGCCATGCAATGGAAAAATACCAGCGTTTCAAGTCCTTCATGTTTCTCGCGCCAAGCCAGGCACACCACGACACCGCATGGTGCAAGGAACGACGGGACTGGCCGCGTGGAGAATTTATCCATGGAAAAGATCATAAGTAATAGTACCCCTTGACTGGAATCCTCGACACAGGCAAGGGGGTCGATCAGGAGGAGGCCGCAAACAATGTTCCACAACGAGCACGATGAAAAGTTGAAGTCTTATCTTTATTTCCGAGCTTATCTAACATCTATGTCCGAGATGAAGAATAACCTATCCTCTATTCGGTGCTAGAGATGCGGCATATCTTCAAGTGATACTTAGATGAGAAGGCAAATTTTGACGTCAACAAGTCATGAGACACTCGTGCATCGAATTATGACGCGTTATGCTCAAGCAGATTCTTCTATAGTTCCAATGTTCTATCTGTCCAATGGTACGTTTTACAGGTGACGTTGTGCATCTCTAGGTACCGCCAAGGAGATCTTGCAATACCCTTTATGGGTCCTGATGTCCTAGATGGATCTGAGACAGATCTCGATTCTCAAGGCGATTCAAAATTCAACTCAATCGTGGAACTAGCTAGGCCCTTGACATTGAGCCTGGTTCGACAGTGTAACATATTCTACCGCTCAAAATGCACATGTGGCTGAATGATTCAAGTTGCATTTTCGACCCCGGAGCGGAGGCTTTGAATGTCGCCAATCTTTTTCCTCTGTGGAGTTGAACATGCGGCTACCATGTAAATTTGCGCCATAGAGAGATGTGACTAATGGAATTCACGAGGATATTTAGTTCACATTTTCACAGTTAACTGAGAGCATATAGCGGTTAATGTCACATCTACTAGGACTAAACCTGGAAGTGTAAAAAGTACGGGGAACTGCACATGTGCCCCAAGTGACGGTCACTTTCCAGGCAGCTGTGATGGGCTGCTAATAGGCAGATGAGTCTGGCATTATTGCATCTAGCATTTAAATTCGCTCAAAAGTTCATAGATCAATCCGGGGCCACCTGCTTCCTGAATGTACGTTGAAAATAATATGACCTTGGAACCAAGGTAGTGTGAGCCTGCAAGGATAATCAACGGCCAATCGGAGCGGCTCTGTGTCACCAGTAGTGAGCCCGAAACATTCCGATTATTGGCCTTACAGACCGCTATTTACCCCCTACCTGGGGAGATGGAACAACTTGTCGAGAGAAGCGTCGACTCATGTATGCCTCCAAGGTTTCATACCAGGCCTAGGCCAACCTGTCTTTCGTGACTCGTTCAATTGTACCAAGATTCCTCTACACATATGCCCTTGTAATTCATGACGCAAGCTGTCCACCTACTACGTTTCTTCAGAATCAACCATCATGCATCATCGTTCGCTAGAGGCACGAGAAGTTGATCAATAGCACTGGGCATGAAGAGGCTGGCTGACCTCAAACATCCTTTTGCATTCATATGAAGTCTGACCAGTGTGATGGGTCATGCTGCCTTGCACTAGTGGCTGACGCAAGATTCTCCTTGAAGAACTAGTGACCCACTGGCGTGCAGATCCCGAAATCTAACCTTGATTTGATACCAAGTTGAATGCAATGCAGAAAATCCACAGTACTGGCGGTGGATGGCCTCCATGCCGATTTCGACTTGATTGAGGTGGTATTTACCAGTGCAACATAAGTCTATGATGGGTCATCGATTCCAAATTCTCCATGTATTCGAGTGGTTGACCTAAATAAGGTCCGGGGACGTCTACCTAGGCTGCATGGTGTGTATGCATACAAGAAGTCACATTTAAATTGCCTTGGACAACTTTCGCTGATCCGCATACACGTACATATGTATGTAATGCGAGAATATTTTTTACTAGGGATAGATTTTTGTTACTAGTAGATAGGATCCACAGTCGAGATTCTTACTATCCACCTGCTGCTTGACCGCAAAGGTCAATAGTAGGCGGAGCTCATTTGCGGTCTCTCAAAAACATTCAGTAGTGTGCCACTTGAAACCTTTTCCCTTCTCCACTTCACTCATTCTCTGTTGTCCTGCTCCTCTCAACTATCCAAAATGACGAATTCGACAAAACTGGTAGCAGTCCTTGGCGCGACAGGTGATATGAATCATGATTTCAGAATTTTCAATGCAAAACATTAACATCATCCAGGTCTCCAGGGCGGTTCAGTTGTGCAGTCCCTACTGGGAAATTCCGCGTTCCAAGTCCGTTGCGTTACCAGAGACGCATCCTCGCCTCGCGCAAAGGCTTTAGTGTCCCATGGTGCCCAAGTGGTTCAAGCTGACACCACTCAACAATCCCAACTAGAGAAATCATTTTCTGGATGCTGGGGACTTTTTGTAAACTACACAGTCATAGTGAGATCGCCTTGGTATCCACCTAGTACCATGACCTCCTACATATTCACATGCTGATATTATCAATAGGGCACAGACCTTGAAGAGGCAGAAAACCTGGGAAGAGCTATCTTCCTTGCTGCGGCTGCGGCCAATATTAAGCATGTTGTTTTCAGTTGCGAGCCTCATTGTGATCGGCTCACCAACGGGAGAGCCACAGTTGACTACCTCGACGGTGAACTAATCCTTCCCAGTGCACTGTGTAACGATTATAATGCTAATACCACTATATTCGAGCCATGCAGTCAAGGCGCGGGTATATGAATGGGTCTATCGCACCCAAACTTTCAACTCAGTGACACCCATTCTGCCTGGGTGGTTTATGGAGAATTTCAGCGATCCCATTATGCAAGGCCTTCTGGGTGGTTTCCCAGAAAAGACAGACAACGACGGCTACTTGATTTGCCGTGCACCATTCTGGGGTGGTGAGGAGCAGGTTCCATGGGTAAACATTGCTGATGACTTCGGAGATTTGGTTCATGGTATATTATTAGACCCAACTCGGTGGAATCATCGGCCTGTCCAAGTCGTGGGCGATCCAATGTCATTTGGAGAAATGGTCCGCATTTTCACTCTCGGTATGTTCTATTCATATTTCTCAAACCAATTTCGGCGTTTTGCTAACTCGTTGCATAAGTTACTGGTAAGAAAGCACGATACAGTCCTTGCAATCCATCTGAAGTCAGAATCGGCGTCCAATACGACAACCTGAAGAACTCCGAGCAAGGTGCCATGTTTACGTACACGCAGGCACGGGATGGCGAATATTTTGGTTATGGCCCGACCGAGAATCGCACAGCCAGCCAGCTCAAAAAAGCCGCCTTTAAGGCTAAAGGAGGCAAGGGTCGGGAAACTCTTTGGACTTTGAGAGAGTATTTTGAACGGGAGTATGTATGAGCATGGAGAATTGATGTATTTTCAAGTTATTACTACATTTAGTACTAGTCGCTCAACAGATGAATTGCTTGGCACTCAAGTGCTAGCCCTTCTAGATCAGCTTCATAGTAGCAAATGCCTCCATGATAGTAAATTGACTTCGCTCAGGTCCTTTTACCTCTGCTATATTGAAGCTTAAAATGCCCCTTTCCAAGGGTCGTTAAAGTAAATTGTGTGGCGTAAAAAGCTCCACCGTGACCAAGGCATCAACCTTGGAAGCCGTTTTGGATATTGCGTCCCGTTGGTTGTCAGGATGGGAATGGACCACCCAGGCTCTGCTACTGCCAAATTTGCATCTTGAAATCATGGTGCAGATGCATCTTCATGATGAAGGAGAGGCAAAACACTGCTAGGATTACTTTAACCCTTGCCGCTCATGCATGAAAATCAATGGCATACTCCGTACCGTGTAACATTCCTTGGGAGTCCCGGCTTCCTCACGTCTATCTTCGGGCCGCGCTTCTACGCGCGTGGCAGTGAGGGAACCTTGGAAACAATGTGCGTGTCTCATGAATGAAGGGATAACCTGACCGCAGAGGCGGAGAACAGATACTGACGTGCCAGCCCATGGCCCGCGTACTGCTGATATAAAGTTTTCAAGTGATTCAAGCGCCTCTTCTTCATGCCCTTGTTTTGTCAAGTTTAAGTTTTCATATTCTGACGAAGAACCCGCGCTGAGTATGGAGAGCGAAGGAAATTTACTTGTTCTTTCCCGGGCATTCGGCAACACCCTCATCATCCAGGGATTTGGTGGTATTTTGGTTGTTTGGGCGTTCCTCCAGTGGATAAAATACTATCGTTCATGGGTACGTCGATAAGATTGTGTCAAAATAATTATAATAATGAACCTGTGGCTAATCTTGCATGGACTAGGTGAACTTGCCTGTGGTTGGTCCGAAGAGTTTCCTAGCAGCTAGGAAGTCCGGCTCGAGGTGGCCAGCAAATAGCGACGAACTTCTGCAGGAGGGATATGTGAAGGTTGGTGACAGAGGATGCCGCAAACTTCTGAATAGCACATACTGATTATAGCCCATAGTATGGTGATGGTGCGTTCCAAGTCCGTACAAATTCCAGATGGACTGTTTGTCTTTGTGAGGATGAGCTGGTCCGCGAATACCAATCGCTCCCTGATGAATACGCCTCGCTTGACGCCGTTAGCACAGATGTGAGTATCGAATTCAGCCTCCTATCATTATTTTCCTGGAGGATACTAAGACTGATGGTCTGAAGCTCTTCCAAACCCACTATACCTGTCCAGGGGTTGCGGATACTCTGAAGCACCTTCCTGTAGCTGTTCTCTCAAAGGCTGTCATTTGGTCCAGAACTCGTACAAGTGGAACAACCTCCACCTATTTCCAGGAACTTGTGAAAGAACAAGAGTTTGGTCTTAAAGCTGAAGTTAAGGTCTCTCCAGATGGTGAATTCTGCCTCTTACCCGCCACTGATGGGAACTTGAGCTAACCTTGGCTCGTTATGGCAGAGTGGACCGACTATCACTGCCAGCCAGTTGCACTAGCCTTGATGCTTCGAATGATCGGTCGAGTTCTTGTGGGATCTCCGCTTTGTCGGGACCCAGAAGCTGTCTCACTTTTCACCAGGTACGGCATCGCCGTGGCTGTCAGTGGCCGTCAAATTGCCTGGTTGCCCGAAATCTTGAAGCCGTAATTAACTCTCATCTTATGTCCTCTCTGAATTATGGTTTTTTTTTCTGACATCCTCTATAGCATACTGGGTCCACGGTTTGCTGCCGCTCGCATGCAAGTTGAGCTGAGCAATCTAATTGTCCAGGATATGAATCGCAATGCCGATGCTAAAGACGATCAATTGGTTCGTGTCCCTGAAACAGACTACCACTCACCTTGTGTATTTGAAATTAACTCTTGCCCCAGACTCTTGCTCAGTGGATGTGGCGATGGGTCCAGAAGGAGGCCCCTGGCGAGTACACTCAAACAGACGTTGCTGGACTACTAGTGTCATCCATATTTGGCTCCGTTCATACTGCTGGATCGGTAACTAAACCATTAGGCTCCATATAGTGCGATGGTACTAACTAGATCAAAGGTCCTCACCAACTGCCTCTACGAGTTCACTGCCCGTCCGGAATACGTTGAAGACCTCCGTGCAGAAGTTGATCAAGCCATCCGTGAGCATGGAGAGGTTGGCCGTGCTGCGATCGAATCGATGACCAAATTGGATAGCTTCATCAAGGAGACTATGCGTCTGAATCCTGTGGGTGAGGGTAAGTTCCTTCGACTATTTATTTTTTTATCCCCAATAATCATCTCGAAGTTGCCAATCTGCTTTAGCATCTGATCGCAAACTGACACACTGCGTAGCTGGGTTGAATCGAGTCATTAAGAAGGATTACACCTTCAAGAATGGATTGAAACTTCCAAAGGGTACCTTTGTGTTCGCCCCTAGCACACAACTCCATATGGACCCTACTCTCTATGAAAACCCCACTGAGTTCGATGGATTTCGTTTTCACAAGCTCGGTCAGGCTTCTGGGAAACCCAACAACTACAAACTGTCCGGTGCTAGCCCCAAGACTCGCCAGTTTGGTGATGGGCGTCACACCTGGTATGCTTCAATTATCTTTCTTTTCGTCAGTTCAAGCACAATTCCTAACATCTCATAGCCCCGGGAAACAACTTGCTGCGGATTTGCTTCGCTTGATCTTGGCCCATGTTCTGCTGAATTTCGACATGCGGCCGTGTGGTGATCCCTCGCACCCACCCTCGTGGGAACGACAAATGTCTCTCAAGCAGCGCACTGCTGGAACAATTGTGAGTGAGAAATAGAAGGCCGTCACATTTCCCCTGTTCTTCATTCATCTTACATGTGTCCCCTGTTGCATTGATGAGTTCATGAGTTCCCCAATATTGTGCTTTATAATATCTTAGATAGCAATGATACTGGTGAAATCTGAGCCAGCTACTCTAGTCTGCGCTGTGACTTTTTCTTCATTCTATCAAATGCAATGCCATAACGTCAGATTGTTGAGCGTGAACTACTGGAAATTTTCAACTCCAATGAATAGCATATCTTATACTCTTAAAGATCTAATTTCAATTCAACTGATGGCAATGTGAACACTGTCTACTGCTTTGCCTCAATCCCAATAAGATGCCATTTGCACTACGGAGACCTTCCAAGGCGAGTCAGCATAGCCGAACTCCATGTCTCAATCTACGCGTAGGCTCCAATAATCTGGCACAGTCGAAATTCAGAAATTCCGCCACATTCTTCGTGAATTTCATCAGATACGGGAACAAGAGCAGGCGATGCAAATTCTGGTGTCATATTCCAGCAGCGAGGCATGCGAATCCGAAATGACCCCTTGCACAAAAAATTACGAACTAGCAAGCAGGCTTACGTGCTGTGTCCAATTCTGAGGGCTAATACCGGTTAGCATTTCCCCCTGCTGATACCTATGGTAGCGGTGACGAGCAAGGCACATCGTGGTTCGCAGATACTCATGCCACATGCCGATCACTCGCCCGTCAAATCGGGCGGCCTAATCGCAGCTTGTGTTGTTGACCTGAAATTCTAACTCCAAAAGTCTCCTCGCGAGAGGAGAAGTTATTTTTTTTTTTGCTTTGCTTTTCATATCCCTTTAGTTCACGCAAAAATGACAATTTCAACCGAGCGCAAGATAATCTCAGTGGTCGGAGCTACCGGTACGCCACTCGTGTTGTCAAAGCATTAGAAGACTCCCAGTCCTTTTGCAACGCTTAAGGTGGCATTTGTTCTAACACATTCCCCCTTCACCAACAGGAAAACAGGGAGGCTCGGTTCTCCGATCCCTTATCCAGAATCCCCAGTTTATTGTGCGATGCCTCACTCGAGATGGTTCGTCGGGCAAAGCAAAGAGTCTGCGTGCGTTGGGAGCAGAAGTCGCGCAAATGGATGGCTTTGATGATGATTCAACTTTGAGTGCGATCTCAGGAAGTTGGGGAATTTTCATTAACAATGACTATGGAAACAATGTAAGAGAGCACATTCAAGTCCCCCAACTAACCCAAAGAGTTCTACAACTGATCATTAGTAGGAGCTTGTCAGAGGTGGTCAATATGATCAAGACTTTGGAAATCGAATTCTCCGCAATGCCGCCGGCGCCGGTATTCGGCATGTTGTGTTCAGCTCCCAGCCATCCGCAGAAGAGCTTACCGATGGCAAAATCCGGACACCGATCTTAGACAGTATGGCCCTTTCTCCCACTATTGCGCATAGTGTGTTGCTTATATGTGCTAACCAACCTGCAATAGTCAAGGCATGGGGCGAAGCCTGGGGCAGAGCGAATCCCGCCTTCACCACCTTCACACCGATCATGTCCTCTTGGTACATGGAAGACTTTCTCATGCCAGCCTTCTACCAGGGATTTGGCGGATTCCCGCTAGATAAGGACCCAGAAGGATATCTCACATTAAGGAGTCCGCTCATCGGCGGCGAGGAAAACGTTCCTTGGATCTGTATAGAAGAGGACTTCGGCGATCTCGTCCACGGAATTTTCTTGAACCCACTCCGTTGGAACCGTCGCACTGTTCAGGCTGTTGGCGATATTAAGTCATGGGCCGGTGTGGTGAACACTTTCTCTCAGGGTATGTCAAGTTCCGGTTCCTATTGTTCATTTTGGTTCATTTCTTTTATTGACATCTGGGGTCCAGTCACCAAGGAACCAGCCCGATTTATCGGATACGAAGATCCAGCTGCATTTCCTGCATTTGACAAGCCTGAGTTAAAGGAATCTCGAGATGTATTCGCATTTTACCAGATGCGCGATGGTGAAATTTTTGGTTGCGGAATTACCGAGTCTCAAACTGCGGCTGCATTGAAGAAAGAAGCTGTTCGCGCAAAGGGTGTTGCTGGTGCGCGTGAGTCTCTGATGAGTTGTGCGGAATGGTTTGCGGATATCTTTCCAAATCACAAGTAGTCTCCTTTCAAATTTTGTCTGAGGCCGACTGGATATTAATGTCTCCACGTTGATCAGAGACTAGACTTCAGCAGACGTGGTCACTGGCGATCAATAGCAAGGACATTTTATTTCGGTAATTCAAGTATTTGAGCGATGTTAATGAGAAATTCTGATTCTCTCATCTATTAGCCAACATTTGAAGTCACATTTACAGAGTTATATGAGATTCGGAGTCTCTCTCCACAGATCTAGAGTACGAGTAAAGACGGTAAACATTGATTCAGCACAGTCCGATTTTCGGGTTCTCCGATGTTATCGGACTTAATTTCTGTCTCGGTGAAATAGGTACCGGACGAGTAATCAGGTCCGCCGCCCCCTCGATGCTCCGAGTTCGCCCCAGTGTGGAGTAAATCATGTGACTTTACTCCGAGAGGGCGGTCGAGCTCTTTGAAAAACATCTGGCCCGGTACCGGTCCGAGGCTCCGAGCTCCGAAGGTCCGAAGCTGATTACCTTATCAGGTTTGATGCCCCAGGTGTCTTCCGAGATTCCATTTTGGTGAGCTCTCACCGCAAGTACATAATCTGGCGTTCAATGATGTTCAAGTTTCCCAGGCGGCTCAGAAGTAAGGAGATCATACATGTTGAAATATACGACAAAGGAGACCTCTCCGCGTCCCTGTACATGAGCGAATTCCAAGGTTCTAAGTTTCAACAGACCCGCCGCCCGGCGCTCATTCTGCTATGTGGGGCCACGAAATATATGTATCACATCAATCCTTGCTTCAAACTTGAACAAATGTTGGAGTTCAGCTTGATCTTGAAGCGCTTGAACCTCTGAACACGTATGTTGGTACGTTCAATGTGACATGTACTACACTGACTACATCATAGACTCACTGGCAACTGCTTATTGCCCCGTAGCTGTAGAGGACCCCCCGACAACTGGAGCGCTGGAGGGCTACACTCAAGTCACGGTGCTAGCACAACCTTGGAACCCGCATTGGTAATGAGTAGGTAGGTACTAGTAGCACCTACAAATTACAGCACCTGGGCAGTATCCATCATCACAGTACTTGAGCATACGGAGTAGTACGTGTACTCGGCATGTTGTCACCGACCAATCGATGTAAGAAGCAGATAACTGTACTATGAACTCAATATCTGGTTCTGGCCCAACAGCGGTCTGTGATCACATTCAGATTCGCGGGCTAGCTCGCCCGAGGCAGCGGTAGGAGTCTATGCGCCCCGTCTACCCAGATGGCTCCGAGTCCCTTGCACCGTACAGTGCCAGTGCCTAGCCCTGGAGGTGAGCATTGGATTGACTCTACAACTTGAACCGGGCGCACCATGTAGGTGGTGAAAGCATCATGCGATCTTGAAAACGTTCAGCTGAACTTTTAGTACTTATCTCTTTCAAAGTGGAACCGCGAAAATCGCCACGCCACTCCAACGAACTTCGATGTATTGATTGACTATACTGGGATTGTGTCCTACTCGAACACAGCACTCTCACAACACCACCAGTCCACCATCTTACACCTATCTTCCATTCAATCATGACCGGCCAGACGGGAAAGTACGTGGGCCGACTAAATAATAAAGTCGTGCTCATCGTGGGAGGAACTTCTGGCATTGGTTATTGCATCGCAGAGGCCGCACTCGAACACAACGCAATTGTCACTGTGGCCGGATCCAATGCTCTGAAACTGGAGAGAGCATTATCTCAACTGAAGTCGTCTTACCCATCGCAAACTACCGGCTCACAACTACGGGGTGTGCTTATTGACCTCGCCGATGCTGAAAACCTCGAAGCCAACGTACAGGATGTACTTCGGACCGCTGCCGATGGTGACAAGATAAACCACCTCATTATCACCGCGGCAGATATGATGCCTCCACCTCCTCCGCTGGCCAAGATCACTGTCCACAGTCTTGAGCGCACTAGCACTATTCGCTACACGGCACCGTTGATATTTGCCAAGTATCTCCCACAATTTATGGACAAAGACTCTGGGAACTCGTTCACCCTCACCAGTGGCACTCATGGCCATAAGCCCGATCCAGACTGGGCTCCCATCGCTGCTTATTGTGGAGCTGTGGAGTCAATGATGAAGGGTCTGGCTATTGACTTGAAACCACTTCGTGTGAATGTGGTATCGCCAGGAGCCATCATGACAGAGGTGGTGCGAGATATTTTGGGCCCTCACTACGATATGGCTATTCAAATGGCAAAGGAAAAGTCCTTGGTCGGTGGCGCTGGAACGCCAGAGAGTGTGGCACAGGCCTACCTGTATTTGATGAAGGATAGTTTCATTACTGGGACTGTGTTAGAAACTAATGGTGGTATGCTGCTAGCCTGAGGTGTATCCAGGAGTGTCTAATACATAGTTCATGCGTCGATCCACGGGTTCTCTGATGAAAACCGGGCCGTTCCGTGCCAAGTCAATGAAATTCTTTGCTTCTCCGCGGCAATTGAATAATTCATCGTAGAATGCTAGACATAATTCATGATCTCATTTTAACGTAGTATCCTCGTTTTTGGGCCCACCCGTGTGAATATCGTAGCACGCTATGATGACCAGCCACTAAGAGGAACGGGCGTCCGCCAGCTCATTCCTGTACTATATCCAAGAATCCTTGCATTTCACACACGGCCTAGCATGGCATGCCAAAACGCAATACCACCATAGCGTATGTAGTTCACTCAAGACGAGGCGGGGTATTCACGATCAGAGCTCTATCTGTTACACCAATACGAAACGTCACTGAGAAAAAACCAGCGGTCAGGAATTTATGTTAGTGGCGGAGCTGAGCCGCTTCGGAGGTGCAGAACTGTTAGGTTCTCATCAGGCAAGGGCTCTCTAGTGGAGGTAGTGGACACCCTAGGACCCGCAGTGGTACTTTGAGAAGCCGCGCGCGTCGGTTTCAAGGTTCATCTTCGGAAGTCTTTATATCCCAATGGAATTGCGTCCACATCCGGCATATCCCGTTTGATTGTCTTGGTGCTTTATCAAATTTTCTTCGTGTCACTATCTCGCGCGCAGAATGACTATTAAACAAACTCAGAACCCGACCGTCCAGGCGACTTTGGTGAAAGGAGACTCGCCTGGCGCTTTGTCTAACGCGTACGATGTGCTCAGTCGATACTATCTATTCGCAGACAGTAATCAAAAGGCTTGGTGGGAGAAGACCGGCTGTCTGCTGGACAAGATTTTGGCCTCGGCGGGATACAGCCTTGCCCGTCGACTTGAGGCTCTTACCTTTTTCAGTCAAGTCTTGATTCCATCACTGGGCGCCTATCCAAATGAGTTTCGGAGCGCAATCACTCGCAGTGGCCTGCCCCTAGAGTTTAGTGTCAACTACCAACAGAAGGGTGGGGTGGATCCGGTAGTCCGAATTGGATATGAGCCTGTCGGTGCAGAGTTTGGAACGAAAAAAGATCCCTATAATCAAACCGCAATCACCGATCTCTTGAATACACTCGACAAGCAGAACATACCTGAATATGATGGATGGCTGTTTCGATACTTTTTGGAAGCGCATACTTTGAACGCCGCCGACAAGGAGCTCTTGAAAAAGAAGAAGATTGAGGGAAGCGAACTCACTTCTCAGGCTGCGTTTGGATTCGACCTGAAAGAGAATGCAGTGTCTGTCAAGGGCTATACATTCCCTGCTATGAAATGCACCATCAATGGAAAAGGATTCGGCGATGTGATTGCTGAGTCTATCAAGCCCCTGACAGCAAAGATGGGACCGATTCCCTCGTTTGATATGGTGAACTCTTACTTGGAAGAGACAAACGGGTACAGTCAGTTTGCGTTCTGGTCCTTTGACTGTGCAGAATCTGGCTCGTCTCGACTCAAGCTTTACAGCTCCCATAACAGTGTTGTGTGGTCTAAGGTAGAGGAGATATGGACGCTCGGTGGCCGGGCCAAATCCCCTGTCGTTCAAGAGGGTCTCAAATATCTGAAAGAATTGTGGCAGTTGACAAAGCTGTCAGAGGGGCAGCGAGACTTCAGCGGTGGCTTTGACGACGGCCAAGACTCTACTGCTAGCCCGATGGTGTGGAACTACGAGATGAAGAAGGGCGAGGAAACTCCGCTCACAAAATTCTACTTTCCTATTCACGGAGAGAGCGACAAGAATGTCATCACTGGCCTGGCAGAGTTCTTATGTCGAATTGGACTTTCTAAGTTTGGTGGAAACTATGAGGCAACAGTGCAACACTACTTGTAAGCATTCCCCTTTTTTACTTTCTTCGCCTTTTACCATGGTGTACATCTGTACTGACTATAGCAGCCCCGAGAGAGATTTGACTCAAACCGCCCGCCTTACATCGTGGATTTCTTTTGCGTATACAGAGAAGACAGGTGTTTACTTGAGCGTCTACTATCATTCCTCGGATGACTATCCATGGCTGGACCTGGAGAAGAAGGAGCGACTTGAAAAGGCTTGAATTCTAGAATGATCATTTTTGTGAACGGAATATGCTTTAGTTAGGATCGTATTCAATTCATTCTAGTATTAGGCGAAATACGCAAATTTCCGACCGAAGATATAGGCTTTCTCACCTTGTAATTGAGTTGTTTTGAAGTCAGGCTAAGACGATAGTTCCCTCCATTCTTCTACTGTATCTTCCAACCCTACAATGACATCTTCACAGAGTCCACTGACAGCAGATCAGATGCCCACTCAGCTAGCCATGGACATGAATGTAATGCGTGACGTCGTCAGCTTCGAACACCGGGTAGTGAAAACCCCGTGCGTCACAATCTTCCCTACTATCGTCAAAGGGTCAACGGAGGTATTTACGTGCAGAACGGTAAAGTGGCACATTCCTGTCTTGTACCCTTTCTCCTTGCGTGGTGCGCAGGACTCAGAATGTCGGTCAGTGTATGTACTTCCCTAGGTCCCCACCTGGTCTTCAAACATTGGACTCAGAGTCGGGTTTTCAATAAATAGATTTCTTCCTCACATATTTCCAATATCAGCACCAAATTCAGTGTCAATCCAGCTTGAATCAACTCCTCTAGCCATCCCACAAAGCCATCATGACATTGGCGGTCAACCATTCCCCATTACCAGGGAAGACCAAGGGCACTTTCGGGTCCATGCATACAACTTCAGTATTGCCGTCCTTTGCCATCAAAGATGCTGCGGAGCAGATCTGGTGGGATAAAACAGCACCACTCTTGTCAAAGGTGCTGGAGTCCGCTGAGTACAGCATCCAAGACCAGTATCTGTATATGATGCTGTACAGGACTGTCCTGCTTCCACGGCTCGGTCCGCATCCGCATACTTGGGACTCCTTCATAACCTACTCCGGTATCCCAGTCGAGTTCAGTATCAACTTCCAGAACCATGGGCCTCCCACAGCTCGTATTGGGTGGGAACCTGTGAGCCACGAGTCAGCCACTGATGCAGACCCCCTCAATCTTACTACCATCAATTGTGCCATCACTACAATGAGCCAGCTTAATCTTAAGGGTTTCGATACTAAGCTCTTGAATCATATGATCAAAGCTCTCACCTCGACCACCGAAGAGGCCTCTGCTGTTGGGCGTGAGCAATTGTACATGCTCAGAATGAAGAACCAAGTATCATTTGGACTGGACTTGAAAGGCGGAGAAGTCTCTGTTAAATGTTACTTGTATCCATCTTTGAAATCACATCTGACTGGTCAATCATTCCGGAAAATCGTGGACAGTGCCGTGGAATCTCTCGGCAGTCAGGTTTCCTATCCTGCGTTGGGCACGATCCACGAGTACCTCGAAGGGGCAGGGATGTACAACCGGTACTCTTTCATTGGAATAGACTGCACCACTATGTCAAAGTCTCGACTCAAGATATATAACACAGTTCAAGATGTCACATGGGCGAAGCTTCGGGACGTATGGACTTTGGGTGGTCGCTTTGAATCTCATGCCACCACACAACGCGGACTGGAGTTTGTTGAGAAATTCTGGAGACTTCTCACTCTGGAAAAAGTACGTGATTTTAAGTCTACCTGTTTTTCTACTCTGATTTGCTGACTGTTTAATCCAGGACAATATGGCCGTTGGTATTTGGAACTACGAGCTGGCGCCTGGTTCTACTGATTTCCCTAACCCTAAGTATTACTTCATCATGCATGGCATGAGCGACATGGAGAATGCTCAGGCGATTGTGAAGCTCTACGAGTATCTTGGGTGGAATGAAAAGGCCGCAACATTTATCGACTCGGTGAAAGGTTACTTGTAAGTCGAATTCCTTGTCCCTTGGCTCTTATCTGTACCTTGGCTAACCTATTCCACACCTTAGTCCTACTTTTGAATCTGGAGTGACGTCCAACCTCATTCAATATGTTTCCTTGGCTTATTCGGAGAAGACTGGGGTTTACCTGAGTGTTTACTTCCACAGCTCGCTCTAGTGTTTATATCAAGGATGGAGCTTCTGCCGTGGCGGCAGTATCGTTGAGAGTTTACAAATGATCGCTGGCATGAAAAATGTGAAAGCTGGGCTCTCATGTTCATCTAGATTCAAGTTATATGGAACACTGTGTGGGATATGAATAGTCGATCAAAGTAGAAGTCACCCTGGAATTTCATCTCCATTCAGACATTCCCCTGGGTGTTTGAAGGCCAATTACCTAGTCCTGGTGGTCGGAGTGGAATATGCCTTGATGTAGAACTTAACAAAAAGATATATCAAAGGAAATAGATAAGAGCTTGCCACAACCAGGGGGAAGGCCCCGCCGTAGGTATCCAGACATGGGACTGTAGTCATTCCTTCGTGTTTGTTGGACGCATTACCACCCCTGCTAGATATGCCCCATGGCGGGTGTTTCGGAGTGTTGAACATATCTCCAGCTGTGTTAAATGGTGCTTTATAGTTCAATAGGACGTAAAATGAAGCAATCATAAGGCCCAATATGAACTGAACAATTTGGATGCGGGTCAATGCACGCTTGAACCATTGCGGAATGTGTAGTCCGGCTGTCTGGAGAGTAAAATAAGAATACTAAAATGGAAGCGAATCACTTGTCAGTACAGCATACATATGGGCTTCCTCAAGTTGAAAGATAGTTGAAATTTGGGGATAGATTTACCATCAAAGTATGTACACCCGCATTCATCATAGCTCCCGGCGGAGCCATCGGAGATTCATTTCTCAACCCCGTCCATCCGATTAGGACGACACCGGCATGATGGAAGGTTTGTAATGTTGAACTTGTCTTCCCTCGTGCGAGAATGATGAGTGTATCTACAATCTCGTAGAACTTGCTCATATAGAAGATCCAGTAGATGTATATTAGACCTTCCGATGGTATCTGTGTCTTATTCAATACTGGGAAAAGATTTTGAGTCAGTTGCAGCGTTCATCCAGATGTGAAATCGATGCTATGATTATTGGGGTTGGTGAAAAGATATAGCTCACTCCTATAAGATGTCGAATCAAATTGACAAACAAACTCTGCACAGGCAGAGTAACTGGGTTCAAGTCCTGATTTCGCGGAAACCCAGTGTCGATAGTGTGTGTGAATCATTCCACCAAGACACCAGGCTGAGAATAAGGCAAGCGAGGCATTATGGACTAGCATCAGAGCTTTGAAAAGTAGGGTTTTTGTCAAGGCCCATGGCCTATATTGATTAGTAGCATTGTACTGGTTCAGAAAATGGACTGTAGCCACATATATCGCGACAAAGGTGAGAACGAAGTCAAGACTCATAGAAATGTGGTACAATGTAGCGTTCACATTGAATGGGTAGAAGAAGTTCCCTGCCGCCGTATTCTCAAGTCCAGACGGGGTATGCAAAGGTGGCTGTGGGGGGATCTTGAAAATATCAAGGGTCGGGAGAGTGAGTCCGACCGAGCTGGAGGAGTTGAAAATATCCATGATAGCAGCCCAGAGTCGCCGCTTGGAGTCTGTTCCGAGTTTCAAGTTCAATGGATGTATGTAGCAGGGTTTCTGTGCGATCCAAGATTTCTAGTGTCCCGAAAAATGAGAGTGTCAATTTATAGATCAAGTAGCTTCACAAGACTTGGAATTGTTCATGGATTGTATCAAATCCCACATAGATTCGGGCAAGAAAACCCAGAAGGATCTATGAAGAAACTTTGGCCAAGCGACGCCAATCACTTTGGAAAGTAGCTGAACTGTGCGACACGTTCGTGATGCTTATTGGCTACAAGGGGAATGAAGAAGCTCTATCTGCTGGCACTTTTATAGCTAGATGCGCCACATAGTTGTGATTCACCGATCACACGGCTGAAAAAAAGCAATTATCTTGTATTTGTGTCTTGCCGTCTTGTGACGATTATCTAAAGGGTGGATAAATGCGGGGATCTATGTGATAAGATTGATGTTCTGCATGAAACCCCGAAATGGAAATAAACACGGAGTGAAGCATCACCTATACTCCATGGTTCGTTGGATTGTCTGATGAAAAGAAGCAAGTTTGTGGAATAAAATTCAGTCACATCTGAAGTTGGCTCGAGCGTTTATTCATGTAAAAAGTCAATCAATCTAGATCAATCCCAACACTGCCAAGGTGAGGATTAATATCCAAATGCTTCAAGTAATAGAGTGCTTTAGAAAGCAAATCCAGAACTACTTAGTACTTCTGAAATGAGAGATTTGGTCTTTTTGCATAATAAGTCACATGCTTCTTTATTGACTCGTTATTGAGTCAGTGAGCCTGGGCAAGGGAAGGGCTCTCTAAGATGATTTCAAATCGGCCTGAATTCTGACATATAGAGTTTGTGACCAGGCACTGTAAAGCGCCATGCTTTGAAGGTGCGAGTCTGATTACGCTGCGTGATAGAGTTTCTGACCTTCAGCTTCCTGAAAGCTGTGTGATAATGTGCATGGCTGAGCTGAACATTTTGAAGATTTTCAGGTATTCGTCCTTCTATTTCAGCCTTCAGCTGTATTTTCCGTCTCTCCCCTTACAATATCATGACATTTGTGGAAAAGTTTGTCGTGTCTCATGAGTCGCCCAATTTTCCTACGAGATGCCACTTGATAAGGTAGCTGATCAATGCCCGAATCGCATAAATATCCCCTTGTATGTCCTGCATACTGATGTATATGCTAGTGGGTTTACAAGAGAGTTCAGTCGAAACGAGACAAGTTCCTATCAATATGGAGCAACCTGATTCGAAGTTGAAAGATCGCCTACCCCATGGAGGACGAGATATTGCCTCTTCGTTACATGATCCTCCACCGCGGAATGTCCGGCGTTCAAACAGTCCCATTTTCCTTTCGCTCAACGTACGGAACACGTTCGCACTTGTCGTGATTCCCATAGCGGCACTTATCAGTGTTCCTTGGGTTCCTACTCACAAGAGAACCCTTTGGTTTGGGCTTGCCTATGCTTACTTGAGATCTTTTTCCATTGTTACTGGTAAGCTGTCTTGTACAATCCTTTGATTTTCATGAATGTGTGATAATGAAAGCTTGTTTAACGATCAGGTTATCATCGACTGTGGGCGCACAGAACATACAAGGCTAGCACAGCACTGAGACTACTTTTTGCCCTATTTGGTGCTGGCGCCGGGCAAGACCACATACAAAAGTGGGCCCGCGATCACCGCGCCCATCATCGTTACGTTGACACTGTGCAAGATCCTTATAACATCAAAAATGGGTTCTTTTATGCTCATATGGGCTGGATAATATTCGAAAATAATAAAACCTCGAAGACTGGCCGTGTGGATATCAGCGATCTGAAATCCGATCGCATAGTACAATGGCAGAGACGGAACTTTGTGCTCCTATTCGCTATTATGGGGTACGCTGTTCCTGCTATTCTTTGTGGACTTTCACACGGAGACTTCATCGGAGGCTTTGTTTATGCAGGCTGTATATTCACTGCTCTACAACAGCAACTTACATTCTGCGTTAATTCTGTGGCTCATTGGATTGGTGATCAACCTTATACTTCGACTAAGTCAGCGCGACAAATCCCCTGGGCGGCTGCTGTTCTCCTGAATGGGGAAGGCTATCATAACTTCCACCATGAGTTCCCAACGGACTTCCGGACAGGAATTCAATGGTACGATATCGATCCAGGGAAGTGGTTGATTTCATTGTATGCTATTCTCGGGCTTGCTAGCAACCTGAAGCGCTTCCCGCAGAACGAGATTCAGAAGACAATGTTACAGAGGAAGTGGGAGAAATTGGAAAAAGAGGGAGAAGCTGTGGACTGGGGTATCCCACTTGACAAGCTACCGGTTTGGAGTTTGCTCAAGTATGCAAGCGAGACTAGAACGGGCCAGAATTTGATTTTGATCAGAGGAGCTGTCCATGATATTTCTACATTTGTGGCTGAGCACCCCGGGGGATCGACAATCATCTCAGGGGCAATAGGGAAGGATGCAACAGAAATGTTTGAGGGAGGGGTGTATGGTCATTCTAATGCTGCTTCCAACCTGCTAGATAGGATGAGGATAGCTGTGATAGGTGATTGACATAATTGAGAAAAGGTGAAAGACACTGCCTGGTACCTCCTAGCCCCTGGGCAGATCTGCTAGTATAGGTGTACGAGGATGCCATTATCGAGCAGTTGAATATCACGGTTTACAGCTTGGAATACCTCTGGCTCGGAACCTTGGAATGGTTGACAAGGTCTTATTTGACAGCCTCAATACTAGTAGTTTACCATAATACGATTCAGCATTACGTGAGAAAATCGCATATAATTGGTGGTTTCCAAGGCTGCCTTCTTGCGAAATAATTGTCATATACTGAATAACTGTATACCGAGCTTTCCAAATCTCCATATGGCCAGTGGAAGAAGAAAGACAAAATATAATCGTGGAACGAAATAATAGACCTAATGAGTCGCCTTAGGATAGTATCTCTCACGTCACATATCTCTCAATTTAGGGTAAAGTGTTATAAGGTTAAAGTTTGTATATCATGATAAAATTATACCACTTCTAGCTCTCCTCCTAGCCTCCACTCCTGATATACGATCTCTCCTTTGTTGCTATTTCTTTCTTTCAGAAGTTAAATGGATAAATAATATCACTCAAGCTGTTTTCGGGGCTTCCAGGGTCTCTCCTCGGATATTATGACCGGCCGTGAGTAAAAAAGTATCATATTATATGATATTATATCAACTTTATCCATGTTTGTAGTGACAGGTAAATAATGGCGGTGCTTGTAGAAACGAAAGTCAGGAGCCAGAATGTCGAGATTGATGATTGTATTTGACACTCTTTCATGCGATTTTGATGCTCAGGAGGCGTTGTATATAGCTCAAGGCTTGAGGGCACTGGCCAAAGGCTCTCCAGCAAACCATGTAGAGCAACTTCCAAGTCAGCTGATTGATGCTTCATATCATCATTCAAGCAGATGAATTTTGTAGGGCATTGTCTTGTCGAATCAAGTTTGTCCATTGTACTTTCAAAGTCGTCTCCCAGCATGTGAAAGGTCACGTCAGTTGCCATCTTCAATTCGTATCCCTGCGTCGAGTGCGAACTGCTATTACTCGGGTCACAGTTTTTATTTTCCAAACGACACAACGTTGATAGAAAATACGGTCGATTAAGTAGATAATCGAAGTAAGCAAAGCTGACTTGAACATCTCTTGGGTGGCGAAATTTGTGAGCGGAGTTCTGTTGAAACTCACGTTTGAATATCTCTTTCAATTCAGTGAAGGTTTGCTTCTTGATCATATGTGGCATATGAGCCGGGACCCTTCGAAGATGTTGAGAAAGGTTAAATCGCCCGTTGAATGCCTTGATCACAGATCTGATCGCCTCGGAAACCAAATCGTGATCATTCGGGCATTGCGAGAAGGCGTCTAATAGTACAGCAATTTTGATCCGAGTTGTGGTGTCCAATTCTAGTTCGGACTCTTGATCTGTTCTGTTGGATGGGTTCAGATCGCTGAGAATGGGATGCTGTGATGATTGCAGCAACTTGAAACCGGAACCAATTTGATCATTGGCTGAGGGGTTGCTTTCTGCAATAATATTGCCCAGCAACATCTGTAGGGTCTCCGCTTGCGCTTCATCTGAGTCACATGCTGCGGAAAGAAATACTTTGCCAGTTAGAGGCTCAGGTGCTATTTCGTTACAGTCATTACCCACCAAGGGGGAGTTACTAGCCCGTCTGTGTGTTGAGTCATTGCCATCCTCGTCTCGGTGTTTATTCTGAGACCAGTATTCTGGGTATGCATCGTCACCCAATGGAACCGGGTGAGAAAGATAAATCTTTTGCGATCCAGATGGCCCGACGAAATCCTCTGGCTCGACAGGTGCTCCAAGGAATACGTCGTCATTGAAGTAGAGAAAATAATCACTCAAACCAGCGATCCGGTCCAAATTACTCTCAATTGCAGAAGAGGAGAAGACAGGCAAATCTGAGGAATTCTCGAAGATTTCTGAGTGTGTGACGATCTTCACACGAGGATCATCCCGATCTAACCAGGATGGAACCTGGCCATTCGTCACAATATATATTTGGTGGATCCAGGGTGCATATTTCTCGAGGGAGCGGATGGAATATCGTAATTCATCATTGTCACGATAGTGATTCTCATCGGAAGCACCATCGTCATTCTCAACGCTCATAGAAGGTGCAGCTTTTGAATTTCGACTTGATCCATCAGATTCTTGGATCCAACGCTGATACCAAAAATCTCTCTCAACCTTCCATTCAGGGTCAGATCCGTTGACCCAGGTATAGACTGCATCAATGGGGCCAAGATCTAGGTGCAAGGATGGCTTTACATGTCCAATGTTGTCGACATGAACCTGTGGCCTGCAGAACCCATATGGGAGATGTATTGACGCGGTAAGAAGAAGGGGAAGTTGAGGTTTGTGATCGAATAGCATCGTAGCATGATCTTGTCACCCAAGTGTTTTTGCAAGTGTTTTAACGGCTCATATCGCCGAAGGCCCAAGGTAAGAATTGGGAGTTCAAGTCAGAATGTTGAAGCTTGTGATCCCGTGACCGGAAGAACATAGTTCGTCTAGTAACGTTCAAAATGCGGCCATGGTTTGAGTTGCGACTAAATTTCGGAATATGAGACGCCACACTAACTTAGAATAAAGGTGAAAAAACACAAACAGCATATCATCATACAAGCTTCTATTGGGTTCCATGGTTCCGCGCGACCTAGTAGATTAGCAAGTGAAGTTGAGGTTCGCTGACAATAGAGTTCGTTCCAAGATTTCCAGAAGCGGCTCATCGACCCTAAACCTTGGAAACCTGGGGAAGCTCGGGAAACGGTTTTTCAGATTTCTAGTTTGGCTAGACATCACGAGTCTAATTCGCCCAGAATTTGAATCTAGCCTCATTATTGGCCGGTCGGGATCTCAGTTCAACGACAGTACTATCACACGATACTAGCCGGGAAGAGCTACCAGATGCTTGTTATTGGTCTTGGGGAAATCTAGACACTCATCACCTGGGCAGTGAACTGTCGATGATGAAGAGGCTTTGGGGCGACTAAATCACTGGTCAACCCAAAGAACTTCCCTTCGTGATTGATTTTGGAAAGACATATTTTACACGATTGACTCCCAGATGTGCCTCGGGCATTCAGAGCCAGCTTTTTCTCTACCCAGCACAAAGTCTTCACCAGCAAACATTGAAAGAGAACTTGAAGTTATCAAAAGCATTTAAATATGAAGTTGAAATTTCTTCTTGCAATATTTGCATTCTCCGGCGTTTTGGCCGCCAATGAATCCTCGGATGAGGATAATTATTTTGTTGCTAGAGCAACTACATGTTATTGCTGTTCCGGCTTCGTTGTGAAGAACATCGCCGGCACTCGATGTGGTAGTGGTAAGTAAATAGCTCCCTTTGAACGCCAACCTTTTGCTAATAGCTGTTCTAGGCGGAAGTTGCGATAGTAGCGACACGCTTTGTTGTCAGAAAGGTGCGATTGTGTATCCACCAGTGGTGAGTTAGATCTCTCTCTTGGCTTCCTTAAATTTTGGACATCTGGATCGATGCTGATACAACCAACATTGTAGAACTCTCAGAACAACAGCGCCATTGTCTGTAAGGGCTGAAGAGATTGTAGCTCTATCGAGTATAATGGGTTGATCAAGGAGTGAAAACTTTGAATTGTTTCTTGATTTTGTCAAATCGATCACAACGGGGGCTTGGAACTGGAAGGTATCTCAAGAAAACCGACAAATAGTTTATAATCCTCATATTTTACAAGCACGTCTTGGATAGTATTCTTCTCTATTCCTCAAATCAAAAATCTTACTAGTTAACTATCAATTTACTGCTTCATGCTTCTGATTTGTTCCTAGGCAATCATGGTTCTCGTGTTGGATTTACGGAAACTCCGGGTAGAGCCAGGTGATCAAACCAAACCTTTAGTTTGCCCCATTTCTCCGAGATAATTTTATTGAATACATAGGTACTTTGCTCGCCTGCAACTGATCATTCTTGGATTTCGATGATGCAAATCCCGGAAATCCCAGCAATATAGCCGGATCCATCCGACGCTATGCTGACTTCTAACCCCCGCAAGGAATATTATTACCTCTATGAACGAAAGTCCAATCCGTTGCCAATGTGAAGAAAAATTCTGTCCAATAGGTTTCATCATGAGTAAGTCGGTGATTTTGTCGTGCATCACTACGCGCTATCTTTTATTCAGTTTCGTCTCCCTTCTGCTCGCGTACCTCTACCTCCCAGACTTGAAGTCAAGAACGGGGCGGCCAAACCGAAATCAAGGATACGAATATGAAGAATTATCTATGACAAAAGCAGCCACCGATATCGTTTATGATTCAGGGTGCTGCCCGCTGCCATTCGTGCCTCGCCCTTCGGCGATGCCAAGGTCCATTCCCTACATCCAGCACAAATTCACTTTCCAAACAGAGCATCATGGGAATCAAATGAAGGAAAGAAAACATGCTGTGAAAAGAGCATTTGAGCACAGCTGGAATGGATACAAAAATCATGCTTGGTTATGGGATGAGGTTTCCCCTATTAGTGGTGGACATAAATCCACACTTGGTGGTTGGGGAGCAACTCTGATCGACTCGTTGGATACCTTGTTGATAATGGGTCTGGATCAGGAGTTTGAGAAGGCAATTGAATCTCTTAGCGATATTGACTTTTCAAGCCCAGGAGCACTCGGTATCAACGTCTTTGAGACAAATATACGGTATCTGGGAGGCTTGCTCAGCGCATACGATTTAACTGATGGAAAGCATCAAATCCTATTGGAAAAAGCTCGTCAATTGGGTGACTTCCTGTATGGTGCTTTTGATACGCCCAATGGGATTCCGCAGACAAGGTGGAACTGGTCAAAGTAAGAAAGCATGATACACTTACTAGCGGATGTGTGACCCGGAAGTCAAAATCAAGTTGCTAATGGGTTGTCCACTATTACTAGTCCCTCGCCAACGCATGAAGCTCCGAGGGAAAGTATCTTCCTTGCGGAACTGGGGTCTCTAAGCTTGGAATTTACCCGTCTTTCGCAAATCACAGGCGATGAAAAGTATCTTGACGCGCTTCAAAAGATTACCGACCTCCTACACAACACTCAGAACTCAACGAAGCTGCCTGGTTTATGGCCAGTACTTTTCGATCCTCAGGCAATGCAATTTTCAAGCACGCACTTTACACTCGGTGGTATGGCTGACTCTACTTACGAATACCTTGTGAAAGAATTTGTTCTCCTCGCGGGCCGATCGGATAAGTATCGTGACATGTATATCTCTGCAGTGGAAAGCATGAAGAAGAATCTGCTTTTTCACGGTATGAATCAAGATGGCAGACGGACACTGTTCGCAGGAAATATCCGGTTTGTCTCGGAAACTGGTCAGGAAACCTTTGAGTATCAAACGGAGCATCTCAAGTGTTTCCTTGGGGGTATGGTAGGGATTGGCTCCAAAGTTTTCAATCGGCCATCCGACCTGTCTATTGCGCGAGAACTAGTGGAAGGATGCATTTGGGCGTACGAACTCATGCCCACCGGTATTATGCCCGAAGTTTTGTATATAAGTGGTTGCAAAAACTCGAGGTGTGAATGGGATGACGAAAGGTGGCTCCGGGGTATTCTTGGAAGGTCAGACGAACGGGAGATGCCTCTTGAAGTGAGGGAGGCTGCCGAGCAAATTGCCTTGATCCATGGGCTCCGACCGCCTATATTGGAGGTAGCCGACCCCAGTTATCGACTGAGGTAAGTTGGAATAAATCACTGCGACTTTGTAACTGATCGTGCTGACCTTTATGAATAGGCCTGAGGCAATTGAGTCTATCTTTATTCTATATAGACTCACTGGCGAAAGATCACTTCAAGATACTGCATGGCGAATGTTTCAGAATATTGAAAAGTATACTAGAGCCGAGCATGGCTATGCCGCGCTTGACGACACTCGGAACACAGAGTCAGCAAAATTGGATGTCATGGAAAGCTTTTGGTTTTCGGAGACGTTAAAATATTTCTATCTCATATTCTCGGATCTTGATTGTTTAAGCTTGGATGAATATGTCTTGTGAGTATAAAGTCCTACGACCTGCAGAGACCCAACTCTGAGTGACTCGAACTCGATCTAATAGCGCCATACAGTAATACGGAAGGACATCCATTCAAGTACCTGAATCCCGAGTCGAATGAAATTTGATTGTATGATTTGTTTGACAACGCCCGGTAGATCTCCTATTTGGGGACCAGTCTGCAAATACCCATAAAAGATTCTTGTATTAAGACAATGACATTAGTTTGGCTCCCGTGGCTACTGAAATCCACATTGCCTAGACTCCGAGGTGTCATGGTTTGTTGCGGTGTCTAGATAGTGTATGTAATGACCGATTTGTTCAAAAATCCCAAATGTCCACCTAAACAGTGAAAAGAGACCGCTGGACGGAACTGGACGAAGGGCCCGGGCTGGCCTTTAGTTGGATCACGGTTAGATCACAGTTGGATAATGGTTGGATCAGAGCCCGTGCACTTACACACGGGTCTATCCGGAGCCCAGACCTCACCACTACACTACCTAGATCACCTGAGTAATTACCAGTGTACCATGGGTCACCAGTCCTTAAATTCGCATGGCTAGAACTCAATCACGAGGTGACTACTCCAAGGTTCCGAGTTTCAGGATTTGGTTTAATCTCAAGTCACCGACTAGTCTATTTTCCTCTTGTTCACCAAAACCGAATGAAATTTGAAATATGGAGAACATTTTCGATCTAGATATCCGCCAACTTCCGATACCTTGCCTGCAACTTGAAATAATACGGTGCTCACTCCAAAGATCGCAAAGCGAACTTGGACTCTATATCTGAGCTCAAAATTCTTATCACCTCAGTGCTCCCAAGCATCTCACTATCAGACAAACTACGAGTAAAACTTGAAACTAAGCGCCCGGCCGGTTCGCAAAGAAATATGATTGAAATCATTTCACACTACGTCTTTGCCACATCCCAATGCTCTCCACCTAGCTGGCACTCGCTAGTGACACCTACAAGCTGGCCATGGAGCCCAGTAGACAGACACTATTCCCGTGCATCAGAAGCTCGATTAATTGATGTACCAGACTGGAGCATATTTAATCTGGGCTTCCCATCACTATGGGCTCCGTCAAGTCACCATTCCTTAGCCCATCGTGACGATCTTACAGCTCCGTCGAAATGCGAATTCTTCGGACCATCAGAGACACCCACAGTTCCCTTTGGATATGCTCAGCCTCATGATACCGGAATCTTTCAGTGGGGTTGGCCCGACCAGGCCAATGATACAGTCTGTGGTTGGGGGTCAAGTGAGCAGCATACTCGCCAAATCCGAAAGATGCTCACCAAGGTTCTGGACGATTATCATGTGAAAACACTCAATGATGCTGGCTGTGGAGATTTAGCATGGATCTCCATGATAAATATCGGAGACATTGACTATGTCGGCTATGATCTATATGAACGCGAGACCTGGTCCGAACTGCGAAAACGTGGTGTTAAATTAGATGTTCTCGACATAACAACAGAAGATACTCGCGAAACCGATTTATTGATTTGTCGTGATGTACTTATTCATTTACCGAATGATATGGTCCTTTCTACCCTAGACCGATTTCGCCGGTCGGCGCCACTGCTGCTTGCCACAAGCTACACCAGCGATTCAAAACTGCACGGAGGAGGATTTTCCAATTTGGAGCGAATGAACGAGCCAAGCTTAAGACATGCGAAACTAGACCTCACCCTCCCGCCATTCAACTTGGGGAAACCGCTCATCAAAATCTCTGAGGACTTTCCTGGCAAATATCTCGGTTTATGGAATGTTTCTTACTTGGAAGCGTGAATAAGCTACGCAAGAGCCACTTGAAGGTCGATGAACTTGAACCCGACATACCCTTGGTAACTGGATAAGCTGTTTGTTCCTAGGAGGCTTTATCGGAGACGAAGAAGAACGAATATTCAATCAGCATCGCATAATGTAGGTTGTCCTTGGGACTATTGGTATCTCCTACTTGTCACCCCAATCTGATTCACTGTCTGAGTGGCTGTTAGACAATCTTAACTCTCTAGTCAAGTAGACAAATCTGGTTTGTAAATTCCCCCAAAAGGTTCAGAAGTCTTTCAAGGCCGTGCCATTCGAATCTCGATTCTTCTGGGAGTTCTACAATACATAAACCTCTGTTGAATCATAGTAACACCGTGACTGTTTTGTGCACGTGTGTTAGCAAGTGCACAGCCTGAGTTGAGTGAACTGGATTGAACAATTGCCCAGGCAAAGAAACATTGGAAAAGGAATGGGCACTTAAGGATGCCTCAGTTGACTGGTTCATTGGTCAATTCAAGCACGAGTGATCCATTTTGATTATTTTGTTCGCATATCCTCCTAGTATATATAAACGTTCCACATCATGCCTTCTTCCGCTTGATTAGTATGAGTGTGTTTGAAATTACGAGAGAAGGTTTGTGTCAGACCTCGGGGAGCTGCAGGCAAACATCGTCTGTTTTACCACTCCAAAAACGCGTCTCAAGTCTTCCATCTCCATCACTCCATCTCCTCACCTCTATCCAACTACCCCCTCTCCCATTCTTCGTTCCACACTACCTTGAGTACCCGAGGTCCACCTGGGCACGTCCCTCTCAACTCATCATGGTGGATTTACAGGTGCGATGGGCTATCAGTGAGTGATAGGGCTCCATTACCCACAGTGGCAGAGGGTCTTCTATCCGGGTGTGCGGTTTGCGGCCAGGAGGAAGGAATTCGGATCTGCTCAGCTTGTCGCATGGTTTTGTACTGTGGGCAGGAGCATCAGCGCCCTCATCGTGATACCCGTAAGTTTGTATGCAAAGGAATAACGGGAGAGCGACAGATGCTCGAAGCGGCCGAAGCTCATGCCGAGGCGAATCTTAGTGGAGCACACCCTGGGGGAAATCTACTCCCTATAATGCCAGGCATGAACAGAAACGTTCTTCAACACTTCGACACCTATTGGCACTCTCCTTTATTCATTTATCTGCGACGAGTCAACACAGTCAAGTCCGTTGAAGCGCAGAAGCGGTACTTCTTGCGCTGCGACAGCCTGCTCTTTGCGCGTTCCTTCGATTTTCGTATCGCCGCTCTCGAAACCACCGCCAGACTAGGCCAAGACCAAGAGCTTTACGACTCTATCAAAGCTTTATGTGTATTGCCAGATGTTCATCAAAATTTGGACAATGAGGATGTCCTGGAACCTATCGACTTCATGATCCAGCCCCCTGTCAGTTTTTGGTACGATCAACTCCTTGACTTGCTTATCCTCATGACCTTCCTGAAGATCAAGCTACTCCTCGATGTGATGCGTCTTGATGTCGCAAAAAAGCACTGGCTCCTAGGTTTCCGCAGAACATCGTCAACATGATTCTTTCCAATGTCCCTCAAAGCCCGATAGTTACTGCAAATGATGGAATCATGAACAGCCCAGATCAGATATCGAATATCACCCTGCTATCTGGGCAGATCGATATTTTGATCGCTGAGGTGCGCGCCCGAAATTCACTCTTCTGGAAAAAGTTGGCCTCGCATAATCCCAGCGATCCACTTCTTGAAAGGCCCACGCAGCGAGAATTGGGAAATAAAAGAGCCGCCGACGCTAAGGATTTGCTCTTGTGCCATGTTTTTTACTGGTTTGCAACACCTGGGGCTATTCCCCTTCTGCGACGAAAGCTTCGCCTTGAAATTGTTGCCTAAAGTGTGCATATCACTTCAGTTGTGTATCAATAGATGCATCATTCTCCATCTCAACATGGTGTAATGTCCTCATGATATGCTCCAGACATCAAATACAATTCTATGTTTTTGTCACATCCATTTCTCCATTAGCGGCCGAATGCCTCCTCAGTTTGCCTACGTACTCATACTTCCTCGAAGATCTTTATGGTCACTGGCAACTGAGGAAAATCCTTTCTGCATGTTTTTGATCGAAATCCTTGCGCCTGGACCAGTATCTGTGTCGACCGCTATTCAATTGTCAATGAACGAGAGGGAACGGATCTTGGGAGATCTGAATGCCCAATTCGCCCTCTTGCTAGCGAAGACGGAACAATTGGACGCACGCATCGAGGACGTATTTTAAATCCTCATCCACTCTTTCAAACTCACATGTCTACGCATCGTTGAATTAGGGACATCGTTTTTCTTTTTTTCTTCTTCTTTGCATAGCATGATCGCTCTATCTGATCTCATGACTTTGAATGTGATTTCCCTGAACTCGATTTCTATCCCGGTAGAGAATTGACACTGAAGAGCGCGGGTTGGGGCTCTGGTAATGAGTAGCTCTAATTAGAGATGTAAAGAACAAAATTTCCATACATACTGAACATCATTTGAAGTATGCATTGATCCTTCTGCGTCGCTATCTAGAGTCTCCCAGCTCCCAAAAAATGTCTTTGACTAGGTGCCAGTCCAAGGCGAGCAATGCAAATAAACACATTATATTGGGTTACTACCATATGGTCCTGTGAAAGAAGTCGTCAAGTACTATGGAATGATGTTGAATCTATCCCAAATGAAGTTATATCATGGATTGCTTGTGTATCGTGTTCAGTGGATTCTAGTATGGTCCGGGCGCGGGCCCATAATCGCCTCTTGGGCCTGGCGTATGAGTCCGTGGCATGCCGGATCCTTGTGGCCCTTCTTCGTTCGGCCCCGGATCGGCATAGTCACCATAATACTCGCTGTAAATGTGCTGCTGCCCAGTTCTCGCAGGATGAGCCCCTGCGTTACCCATAGGGCGTTGTGGCTGCGGATGGTGAGGAAGTTCCGGCCCAGCTCCCGTTCCTGCTCTCCCACGCCCCATCTGTCCCGGGGCATTGTTCCACTGGCTTTGCCTGCCAGTCAAGTTCAGGTCCAGTTGGCCTGATCCAGCGGTATTTGTGTGTCCATGAGGGTAATCATAGTACTGCTCCGAAGCGACAGGCCATTTTACTCCAACCGATGGAGGAGCCACCGGCGGAGAATGGCCTGCGCCCCCTTGTTTACGCATCGCATGCAGGAAAAGAGCCTTCTTATCCAACCCTTGGGTGCCCACAATGTTGTCATTTTCATCAAGCCAGATCGCTCGGACCTTGTCCTCTTGAGCACGCTGTGACGCATTGGCTCCCCAGAGGCTATTGATGTATTCTGTGAATTCAAGGTAAGCATCGCGTACTGTTTCGAAGTGGCTCATGGAAAGTGTCACGACTGCATCCGGTCGCAAAATGGCCTGGTGGCTGTTTCCCTGTGCCTCGAATTCCGCTAGCGCTAGTGCAGTCTGGCAGGCGTTGCGAATCTGGCGACCGTTCCAGCGCGCATTCTCGTGCTGAGCGTAGTGCTTTTCTGCAAAACTTCCAATCCGCATTTGATCGATTTCAATTCGTCGTCCCTTGGTGCTGAATCGCTCTTCAATCATGGACATGTTCAACTTGAAGATCTCCACTGTTTGCTCGGAGCTCAACTCTTTATAGTACAGGCTGACATGAATGCGAGATGTAAAGGCTTCATCGAAGTCACCAACTCGGTTGGTAGTCAGAAACAAAATACCAGCATAGTATTCCATTACACGCAAAAACACTATATGACAATTAATGACGTCCAGTTGGCAACAAGGATTAAAAGTCCCTACTCACCAGCAACAAGACCGTTGCGCTGGAAGTCCTCTTTGGTTCGTTGAGCAAGGAAGACATCAGCCTCGTCAAGCAAGAGAATGCAATCCCATCGATTGGCCAAGGCAAAGGTGGTCTCCAAGGCCTTCTCTACCTCACTGGCAGTTGTTCCTAGATCTCCTATAATATTCTCAGTTTCTGCGTTGTGGAAAAATCCCGATCGAATTTCACTTACCGCAAGTGATTTGGAAAAGCGGCTTTTGAAAGAGTTCCGCGACTCCCTCTATCATGTGGATCGTCCCATCAGTCACGAATGCAGAAATTTTGACAAAGTTCTGACTAACCAGCAGTTGATGTTTTCCCAACGCCTGGGGCTCCATGAAGAAGCAAGATCAATCCCTTTCCTTGTACTCGATCAGTCTGTGTGAAAATATGTTATAGATGTTTGGATAGTATTACCTTTGCCGCGAACAATATCCCTCTGCTCCCTATGGTCAGTTGTCGTCTTTTTGTCTCTAAAATGTTGCGCGATAAGAGAGATGATCATATGCTTATGTTTCTGGTCTAACACAAGCCGGCCAAATGTTGTGGAAGGCTTCACCTTGGTATCAGCCCATTGATGACCACTCCCAAAGCCCAACTCGCCGGGGGTGACTTTGGGAGGTGGGATTTCTGTCAAGTACGACAGGTCGAGTTTCGCTAAAATATTGTGTCAATCGGAATGCATATCCAAGAGCTATATTCACACGACTGGCTCACCCCATTTTCTTGTTCGCAACACAAAGCCGAAGACCCGGTAGGACATAATGACCAACTCATCTTCCGAAACAGCAAGCGTATTACCTGCGCCGGCTCGAAGGTCTTTCAAAGACCGTGAGATTATGGCAATCGACGGCTGCTCATCTCCGGTATCTGTTTTCGGAAGCAGGCCGTTGACGTATTCGGTCCGTTGTTTAGTGTCCACATAGCCATCATAGTGTACATAATCACCCTGGCAGCAGATGGCTTCACATCGCTCATCATCGTCTCCATCCGACTGGTTTGTTGGGTTTCCAATCAGCAACTCCAGCTTGGGTTTCCATTCTTGTTGTTCTGCATCTTCAACGGAGAAGGCTGTCTCAAAGTCAACCACCACCTGGCTCTCTACCTCGTCACGTACCCCAACAGTTGGTCCTGCATAGTACATGTGTCTCACGCCTGCGACTGATAGAAACTTGCGGCCTCGAGAAATCAACTGCTCGCGATAGCGAGCGGTACGATTTGTTAGACTTAAAGACTCAACTTTCGTCCACTCGGATTCGGAGAAATCCGTTCGTCTTAGCGGATGAAAACGAAGAGGGTAAACCTCTAATGCAGCGATATCCCGCTGTCCATCGAACCGTTTAAATTCAAAAACTCGTGATATAGGCCCAAAAGACTTTCCGTCAAAGTCGATGTACACACAAGTGATGCTGAAGGCTGCCTTTTGACGCTTATCACCAGAGGACCGGTATCGTTTCCAGGTAGGCAAGACCGCATGTCGGGCGCTGGTAACATGGACAACGCGGTATGCCTGCTTTCCGTCACTCCCAATAACCTCCATTCCTGGGCGGAAGAGAAGCCATAGGTCGGAGAAGAAAATCTTTCGAGATTGTGGATTCTCCAAATGAGCCCGCCTCGGGGAAGTGGTGGTATCCATAAATTTTACCAAGCACTGCAGATGCTTCAATGCCTCTGGAGATTTAGTGACATCATCCGCATCATCATTTTGTTCCTCCTCTTTCCCATCTTCGACCTCCACCTCTAGCTCCTCCTGATTATCTGGACTGGCTAGTGGGCTGGTCGCAGCTGCTTCTTCGGGAGTGGATCCTGCGGGTAGAGCCTCGGTGCTGGGGTTTACAGCCTCTTCCGCAGTGATAGGCAACGGCATGGAGAACTTTTTATCCAGCGCCGCACACCAGTCCCGTATCGCCCGCTCGGAATATATTAACGCCTTGAAAGGACGGAGGAAGACAACTCCCGACGTATCATATGAGCTCAATGGATCGGCATCATTGCCAAGGATCTTTGTTAGAACTTTCATCAGTATAGCAGACTGAATTCGAATTCTCTCTGGGAGTTGCGCCTCTTCGGGGGCTGTGACCAATATCGGTGCGCTCTCCTGTGTCTTTTTGGGCTTCCGCACTGGTCGGCCGGGATAGCCATACCAAGCACCATAAGCAGGGAGCATATCGTCTTGCACGACTGGATCTCCAATGAGGACATGAATATTGCAGCACTCCAATACCCCGACAGCGGTCCGTGAGAAGGCATACCAGTCAAGACGTCGAAGATCTGGCTCAGGTAGAACCTCTTTGATCTCTTCCTTCTCTACTGGCTCACACGATTCTTCAACTTGGGCGCAGGTCTCGTCTCCACCTTTATTCTCTTCTGCACGTTTGCTCTCTTCTTCCTTCCGTACCTTGCTCAGTAGCTCTATTCTTTCTTTCTCGTTTTTTTGCTCTTCCTCCCGTTCCCTCCGACGTATCTCAATCTCCTCCACGAGGTATAGACGATCCATTTCCCACTCGAAGTTCTTGCGCAGTCTCTCACGTCGATTTCCATAATCAATGAGACAGTCATAATCATCTGGAGGGGCTCCTCCCGACGGAATATCCGCAATCCCGTTGTAGACTTCAGGTGGGAATCTTCGAGAATAGTCATTACTTGCAGAAATTCTGTAAGCCCAATCCCATGGCCCATCCTCTCTCTGTCTTCGGACAAATCTGTTTCGCGATCGGTACATGTCCCACCATCCCGGACCCTCTGTATTCTCCCACTCTTTTCGCCTCTGATAAATTGCGTTGATAGATTTCTGGTATTTTGCCCACTCTGACGAGCCTGGAGGCGGCGGATCCACATTACTGTCAGAGCCTCCCATCGGTAATGGAGTCTGCTCTGCGGCGACCTGGACACCAGCGGCGAGTTCTTCAATTCGCATTTTCAGGAAGTTTATCTCATCAAGAACTGGAATTTCCTCCGATGGCTCTTCCTGTCTCGAAGCAAGCTTCCCCATTCGAATTGGGGTAGGTGGGGTGAGCTCCCCCGGCTGAGTGCTAGAGTCAAAGATAACAGACTGCTCCGTCTCCGGAGTCGCATCGACTGACTCCACCATGATATTTGGGGTCCCGTGGTGATAATCAGAACTAAATTCCTCGCTAGTGGCGATCGATAGAATCAAGAACGGTGATGGTCCTGTACCGACCGAGACGATCAGACCGAGCGCATCCCTCTTATAGTCAACCCGTTCATTGTGGTTTCTGGGGCTGAGGTGTCAAAGTAGGAGATAAGCCATACAGATGCAGCCACGAGTATATGGAAAAACGCCTCCAGAAATATATCGTATTGTGTCATATTGGCTGGCTGAGGTGAAGAAGAAGCAATCCATTCCCGATGTCATCCGGCTTATGTGCATCACTAGCTGCATGCGAATATAAACCCGGGCGAAACTAACCCCTCATTTACGGTAGCTCGTATTGGTAGCTGGAGAGGAAGAACAGATACTCAAACCTAATCCAGCCCGGCAGCTGGGGATAGGGTGATTCGTTATGTGGTTGACACATGCATGCACGGCGATGGATGGGTAGGCTTCCCGCGTTCTTCTAAAAATATACCTCAGTCATTGGCACCCGGGCTGACAGCACCAATAGTACATCGATCGACTCGGAGGAGTATAGGTACCAACACCTGATCGAAGCCACATCCATTGTGCCCAATCCTTATACCTTTACCCCCGACCCTTGAAACATTCACTTTGCTTCCTCATCTTTATCACCAATATACTGCAGAAGATGGGAAACTGGACTCTTCGCATCCCAAGGCCAAGCAAGCAGCCGCCTCCTGTTGACTTCATTGAGAACAGGCTTCCCAGTCATCATGCAATGTTCTCCGGCCACCAAAACCATTATGATCCTTCTACAGAGAACTATGTGCCCAACAGGCCGCTATTGACGTCCTCGGAGGGCCTTGAACCGCCCAAGGAAGGCTCTGGTAAAGACTCAGAACAGGACGAGTATGAGTTACCACCACGTCCCGCAGTTTCCGATACAAAAGCGATGGCACGATGGGCTGCAATGTTTCCCTCTGCTATGGCCACCATGATCGCAAAGTCGACTCCACCGCATGACCGAGCCAATGCCTCCTATAATATTCGCGATCGAACGAACTGGGAAATGGTGTGTGAGGTCCTTGAAGCCGCAAGGGACAAATATCAGCAAGAAGGTGGTCCAGTACGATGGTTTCGCAAAGTGCGACGAAAGGCTGCGGATCATATTATCCCTATCGCGGAGGCTGCTCAGATAGCCTCCAACGTGGTCCCGAACAACCCATATTCCACTCCTGTCCTGGCCTCTGTCGTCATTGTATTAGATGTAAGGTCAATCCAATCTTCCACTGGCGCAGTAATTGACATGTAGGCTTTAGGCTATGAAGACGGCAGCAAAAGTTCGCAACCAAGTGCTGGCAGGGTTTGACGGGCTGGTTCATCTATTCTCCGATGTTGAGTTGTTCCTGGGAACATTTCCAAAAGATGATAATATTAAATCAGCTTCATTAGACCTCACAGTGTCGGCGTTGGAGGCCGTCGAAAAGGCAATCACTTTCTTCATTAGCAACGAGTGTATGAGTGACACTCCCTACCGAATGGGCTAACAAATGCTAATTTCAAATAGTCATGCGAGGGGGGAAAGCTCTACTAATGGGCGGCCAATACGAGCAAGACCTTCGACAAAGTCTGAATGAAATAAATATCAAAAGTGGCGATCTGATGCGGGAGGCTGCGAAGTCGCACATATATGAGTTTGCTATTTGTAAGTCAATGTGTCTCAACATTCCATTCAGGCGCAAGGCCCAGGATTATGATAATACTGAGGTTCGATATTAGATTCAGAGCAAACGAAGGGATTCTACAAAGAAATCTTGGAGGCATCTAAAAGTACTTTGGATGGTATAAACTCCATAAAGGACATGTTCTCAGAGCACACTCGCCTTGTGGAGGAGCAGAATAAACGCATGGAAAAGAAAGTTGAGCAGATCCATTGGGAGCTGCAGGAGAGGGATTGTAAGCTAGGAACATTGCAGGCCAACATAAACAGAAAGAACACACTGACTAACCATTTAATAATATTGCCAGACCAATTGCATGTCGCTCAGGAGGAAATCACTTACCTCAAGATAAGAAATGGCCATCTACTGCCAAGCCGCGAGCCGAGTCCCATGCCCCAGGCCCAAATCCCTTTCCAGCAATCATGGATGAACCAGGAGATGTGGAGAGGAATGCTCGAGACGGGAGATGTCGATCTGGCCGATACTGCCCTAGTTACGGCTGTTCAAGGACGTCTCTCACAAAAGGAACGGGCCCAAGCGGAACGAGTCATTCATACAGCGCCCTTCAAAAATTGGATTATCGTTCCCCAGTCAGCCAAGCTGTTAGTTCAATGGGATCCCCGACCAAGCAAAACAATCCGGGGTGTCTCGCCACTTTCGGTCGTTGGTAAAACTATCGCCCAGGCTCTGCAAGCAAACCCCCGATTTTTATTTCTGTCGTGGCATGGAGGGATACAGGTAGACCGCGCTGGAAATGGCCACCCAGGGGACGAACATGCAATGATATGCAGTCTGATCGATCAGCTCTTGCGTCAACATGAATTTGATATGAGATATGTGCCGATGTTGGATCATTCATCCGCTTCCCAGGATGACTGGCTTGAAATGTTAGCAACGCTTCTCCGCCAGATACCGGGGACACGGACGGTTTGTTGTCTCATTGACGGGGTCTCTCTGTTGGAAAGGGACGAGTTTGCAGCCGAGGCTCTACCTGTACTTGGCAGGTTAATTGCCCTTGTTGATGAAGCTTTGGCGATCCCTCTGAAGCTTCTTTTCACTAGTACTCCGGGGGTGACTGTTGTACGAGCGGCGTTCGAGGATGAAGGGTCGATAATCAATGTCGCGGCCCTTCCTCGGTCTGGACTGGTTGCTAGTCAGGGACGCGTTTTCCGGGAACTGGGGCAGACTATAGAGGGTAATGAAGGAAGATCAGGCTGGAATTGAAAAACAGTCTTCGGATTGGACGGTACCTGACTATTTCTCCCTCCGTCCAGATATGCAATCCGAGGAGCAGGCTTGTTTATGAGCAGGAGAGGGAAAATGGTTCAGGGCTATCTTGCCTTTCCACTATATCAGGGTGGTAGTAGAACCAGAGATCATTTCAAGCGTCCAGCACTCGGATTATAATTATTCCTCGCCAACAAGAAAGGCGTATCTATACTAGTTAATTTTTGTTGGTCAAGATCCATTCATGCACTCGAATAATGATGATGACCAGATAAACCTACGAGTACCATCAACGATAATATGGCATTGATTTCGAGATCGGCTAGAGCGAGCAGTAGGAGATTATGATCATTACTACACATACAGAGAGACACAGATCATGATCTTCGCTAAAATGGTGTTGATCCAGATTCTGATTCTTAGACATGATTGGTTGAATTCGTGTTGATCCGGGGAACAGGCGCTAATCCCTTTCCAGTCTAGCGAGAGGTCCAGAATTGATCCTGTGTTCTGATTGGTCCATAGCAAGTAAAGAACGATCCCAGAATTTTGATAGAGAGAAACATATAAAATGCATTTTGTTTGCTCTCACTGCATCCGAATCACCGCTATGCCTAATTTGGATTGTTGATCTGACGCGTCCGCAGGCCAGGTATTTAAACACCCTCCCTCCCCTCTTCTTCTTCAACTCTTTCACCACCCTACTTCGACCTTTCATCATCCCACTTGGACACCTCATCATGCCACCTGGACACTTCATTCCACTTCGACACTTCATTCCACTTCGACACTTCATTCCACTTCGACACTTCATCATCCGACATCTTTTTTTGATAATTCGTCTTCCGCCCCCGAGGCTGGGATCCGCAGTCGCAGTGTTTCCTGTGGCGGGTGCCTGGACTCGCGCTAATCGTGCTCAGAATGTCTGGTGGGGGGGGCCCCAGGCATACCTTCTCGATGCGTTTCTCAGTGAGTGCTTCAGGTCAATCAGGTTTCGCGGTATGGTTGAAAGGATCGATGTGTCTTCGGTTTGGGGGAGAGATGGATTTTGGTTTGGTTTTGGACTTTTCGACTTTCGGTTCGCCTTCCTCGTTCCTTTTCCGTTTACGTCTACGTTTATCCTCTCTCATTTTCTGTCCTTCGTCGTTTTCCCGTTCGTCCCATTGACTTTTTCCTTCGATCTGGGTGTTCGCTCCCACGTTCATTGGACTGGCCCGACCTGCTCCGATGGCAATTTTTTTAAACCCCGACTAGCATAGTTGCTGGTCACCCTTTTTCATCATTTGATCGGCTTGTCCGCGCATTTGGAGAAGAAGATGCAAGGTTTCTATGATGAGCTACCCGGCAAGGACGTTTGAATTCAAAGAATATTCTATTGCTTTGCCGAGTCATCCCTGGCTGCTTTGTCCATAGGTTTACATATACTGGTGGGGTTTTACTTTTCTCCAGATGCCAGTTCATGGCCTAATGGATAAACATTCTGAATTCTTCGACTATGCTTAGTATACGGGTAATACCTCCAAGGCTCGAGGCCAGTGCTACAGCAACCACTTCAATAATTTAGAGCATCAATATTAGAGAAACCTGACAGGATGACTACCTTAAAACATTTCAAAATTTGAATTGACCTCTAACTTCTATCCTCGTTGGGCAGTACCGTAAGGTTTTACCCGCGCGGTTTTATCAGCTTTCATAGCATGCGGGAGGTCTGGGGGGTTTCAAATGCCCCCAACACAGTGTAGATACTTTTTAAAAAAATTATTATTTTAAAAATGGAAATCTCAGTCTTATAATCTTGGATTTAAAAAGGTTCTAGCGGTCTAATATATATTGCAGGATTAAAATATTTTGGATGAGAAAACGTTTTGGACCGCAAAACGTTTTGAGAGAAAAAAACCAGTACACCCTCATACAGACCAACTTTCAGTCTGGTAACTTTTATCTGTATAGCTTCATACTTCATACCTTCCTTCCTTATTCAGGTGCTTTACAGTACATCTTTTTCTTTTTCTTTTGATCTACAGGGGTATTGAGCTCAAGACCTACAATCTACAGTTTCTAGGCTACAATTTGCAATTTAAAAGGCTTTACAAGCTACATTTTACAACACTACAACTACACTTTACTAACTACACCATCTACATTATTTTAACAGCTTCACACACCAAGTCACATCTTATACAGACCACATATTCCACAAGAAGAAATTCCACAGACAATTCAACACAGGGAAGTCAACATAGGCAATTCCACAGGTAACAACACAGACTACAATACAGACTACAATACAGACTACAATACAGACTACAATACAGACTACAACACAGACTCTAACCAGTACAGAATTTGATATAGACTACACGTATCAACCATCATATTAGAGCCCTAGAGATCAACATAGTATTTTGTTCTTCCAACATACTGTATTACAAAAGATAGTTTTTTATTATAATATAAGTTAATAATTCCAAGATATATTTTATAAAGAAATATCCTACCTAGTAAATTACACAAACATGATTTTTTATTAAAAAACTACCTAACTAATATTTAATTCTCAAAATCATTTTTACACTATTTTGGGGGCATCTTGAAAACCCCCAGACCTCCCGCATGGTAGCTAAGGCGGAGGTCAATTCCTCCTTCCTAACAAAATTAACCATATCCTCCCTGATATCCTTTATCTCCTGTGCATTTCTATCACATCTGTCTTCAACCCGCTTGGTAATCTTGCTTTCCTTAAGGCTTCGGAGAAAATGTAATATGATACCACGCAAGAAATGAGAACGCCCACGAATGGGAGGATTGCATTCGTGAGCTGCACACCTTCGGTAAACCCTTTAGCTGGAGTTTTACTCTCAGAACTCCCATCTCAAGATGGTAACGGCAAGTCATTTTTCTCTAACTCACCGTTATTCTTCGTTTCCTCAAATAATTTCAAATATTCCTCAGGTTCAAGTGTGTGTTTAACCGATCCCACACCTAGTAGATCCTTGCGGCTTTCGATGAACCACACACTTTCCCCTGAGAATGAGTTCATTTAGGCACCTATGACTTACGATACCAAGTTTTGATATCAAAACAAATGTATGGAAGTCCGCTGATAACGTCAATCAGCTCAGACCTTAAGGTGCCAATCGATTGAGAAGAGGTATTATCTGATATTATATTATTAGTTTATGTATCTTGATACCTAGGTATTGAATAAAGCCCGCGCTGTACTGATCGGGATATACACACTCAAAAATAAACCATTCTTCTGGCACAGGCGATACCAGTCACCGAGCTTCTCTTGAAGGGAGTCTAGTGCATGGTTTGAGGCTGTAAGCCCAACAACGAAGAACTACGTAACACCTTACTGTCAGTAGGTTACGTGGCCAAACAGGCGATATCTTGTATTAAGCAATATTAACTCACGCAACAGAACAGGAAAAGAAATTGAAAGGCGCGGAAGATCAGCATTTTCGCGGTGGTAGCTTCGTAGTGAACAGTTTGTTGGGGGAAATTTACGCGTCGAGCCAACTCGAGAGAGAAAACTCTCACTTCAAGAAGAAAGGCCTTCACTCAACATTATCAAATAGGCAACAGGCTCACTTCACTCCAAGGGCCACAGACAGGCCTATTTTACTTCGACAACCACCAACAGAACTCTCAATACTCCAAACCATCAACGGCAATTAACTCGGCTAGGATTCGGATATCCGCAATGGCTACGAAAAGTCAAAACAACATCGACCTTGAAGGCTAGGCGCGCAAATCTTAAAGCAAAAGGATAATCGCGCACAGGCCAACCGCTTACAGAAAACAATTTTTACCCTGATAAAACTGAAGCTCACTCTACAGAAGGCAGAACAATTCGGCGAATGGGATAAACACCTGCGTGGTACACCGGCCAAGGACGATCTCCTAAAACTCATCAACAAAGGCCCACCCTGCGCCGAGGTAAAGGGATCAATGAAGGCAGATGACTGAATGATACTGTCAACAGAAGTAGCAAGATGGCTATGGGATAACATCAACGTGAGTGTACAAAGAAAACCAAACTTCAAGAAATCTGTGAAATCAAGTCTGAAACGGCCCGACTTGGGGTACGGTAAATCTAAATTCAAGAAGTTGCAAAAGAGACTCATTGATTTGAAACTCTCAAGAAAAGGTTGGACGCTAGCGACCTCGGGAACAGCAGATCTCGAGCACCGAGGAACCTTCCTGGGAGACACGTACCGTGGGCAAACAGAACCACGAACAGAGACAGGTAATTTCTAAAATGAGCAAAACTGTATTAATTCAGGCTCAAAAGCAATCAACAAAAATCAACACGGCATTTCTGAAAGGTCTAGAATTCGAATATAAGCAGAAGCCGAGCGTAGTCGAACGCCGTATCACTGAACTATCAAGCTAATTGAACGACTTCAGACGTAAACCTCCAGCTGGGAGACTCGCAGCAACGGTCCCAACATCTAGGACTTATAGTTAATATCCACTTAGCCCACACGCCCCGAATCCACCGGCCAAAGAGGGGAGAAGAGAGAAGATCATATTGACATGTCGGATGATTTCCAACCGGAGGACCACAAGATTCACTACGGCCCAGACGACTTAAAATCAAACCAGCCAGCCTCAATCGGAGAACATCCTGGCGAGAGCTACGGGTGCGCTTCAGCGCGGAGTGTTCCGACGTCTGTATCCCCAGTAGACATAGTTCAGACCACCGCATTGGTTACCTTTCCAGCTATCGGCAAGTAGAAGTTTCCTTCCTCACCCTTCACCAAATCGCTAAATTTTCCAACGGTTACCCAGCAGCAACAGGGACTACTCCAAGGGAATAGCAAGGGAGCCAAAACAGACAAGATCCATCTCTAAACCCGTACTCTATATCTCCCACCAGTGACTTGGCTTTTTCGGTTTACACCAAAGATTCTTATTAAGGTGATCTTGGCACATAAGCTCCTTATATCGCTGATTCCTAAGGTATGAAAGGTTACAAGACCGCAGTATATGTAGCGATGAGTTTTCAAAACTGGTTCGTGCACTAGCCTTCCCATCGTGCATGTTGGGTTTACCGGTTTCTTTAGCTTTGGATTCTTCACAATGTAACTTCCATTGAGGATCGTCGGGACTAAAACCAGGTCCTAGGTTGATCCATTTTGTCATTATCAGAGCCAGATCTGTTTGGCAGTCACAAATTTCAATACGAAAATGAGTCTCGCACCCGTCGGACACATAAGTGTAAGAGGAAGAAGGAGCTGTCTCTCCATCACGGTGAGCCCGCACAATAGGGTTCACAATATTGGCAAACTCCTCTCTTGAGGTATGCTGGCAAATGTGCATCATGTCAAATAAGCGGCTCTTTTGTGATATCCTTGGGCTGAAGTACATCAAATAGCGCTTACTACGTTGAGCAAACATAATTTGTTGAATCCTTATAACAAGACTCGGGGGCCAGGTGAATATATTCGCGTCAAGCGACCAAAGCAAAGCAAATCGAGGCTTAGGTGATCCTAAGTGGTGGAGTTCAACTTCGGTGTGGGTGATATCATCCGTGCTAATACCAAATTGCGGGCCATAATAGAATCTCTTCATAGCAAGTTGAAGATGAAAGAAAAACAATCCAAAAGGGTCATGAAGGGAGAAAGAGCCATGTGCTATGAATTGCAATGAACGATCCTGATGCCATCTTGGAGTCTTGGAGCATTGCACAGTGCAACATACCCCACATGCCAGGCCAGAAGCGTAGCCTTTTGAAGTATCATACTTATGAAGGATATGACAGAAGTAGCAAGTAAAGTAGCACGGTGAGTCTCGTTCCAATCGGATTAGAAGAGAAAGCTTTTCATTTCCTAATGGGAGACTGGGATCGTTTCGAAGGTAAAGAGTAGCAAAGAGTCGGCGGCTGCAGAGTGAAATGCAAATCACATCCACCCAAGATAGAAGGCCAGCTATCAATGACAATAGCTCGGGAGGGAGCCCAACTGATGTATTCTGATTAGCTATCTCAGCTGGGGTAAAATTGCTCCGCAGTCGGGATTTCAACGATGAGAAGATGGAAGAGACTGGGAGGAATGGCATTTTGGATAATCTGTGGCTTGATATGTAGGCTAAGAGCACTCGAGGTTGTTGAGTCTGGTTCGACCGGGCGATATGGATTTTAATAAAAGGGTGTCCAGGTGGAATCCATGGATGTTGAAGACGCATACCTGACGTATGTACTCTGTAGTGACATGCACATGTGGATAGTTCCAAGGTTAGAACACTAATGTTGGAAGGTTCATGTTCCAAATTATCCGAAAACTCCGTTCAGTTGCTGGCAGATTAAGTTGCGATTACTGAAAAGGTAGATATAGGCAGAGATCAAACTACTAGTCACTAAATGCATGAAAGTTGATCTTTTACACAATCAATTGTTCAACTTTTAGGACCGGTTTTGTAGATCAATGAAAGGTGTCAGAGCCCCCAGCCAAATTATACTTTGCCAGATTTGAGGTTTTCAAATAACGGCCAAGCGACCCGTGGACGGTTCTTGTACTGTATATTGAATTTAAGAGGTCCGAGTCTTCAATGTTCAAATGTTTGAGCGCTGCTATTTGGACACCCCAAGAATACTAAAAGGACACCCTTCGCTTAATTAGGCTTAGCGTATACACCTCCGTACACATCTCGCTGCCCAGGTGCCGCCAATGTAATTAATCAGTCACATCAATATCCACGGACTCCTCATCTACGACCTCTACCTTCTACCTTGCCGTTATTAATTGATAAAGTAAAATTAACTAAAGGAAATAGCAGCTTGAGATTAGGAAGCTAAGGGGAAATTCATTTAGGATATTATAGCCTTTGTGAATAGAAATTAAGTAGCTGGAGAACTTGAAAATGTTAGTCTTCAGGGCTTGCCTATTCCTTTTTACCTTAATAGGTATGTTTAGAGAATATTGTGTAGATTTGAAAATGTACTGGCTTAGGCTAATGCTTCGGTTATACTACAAGGGTCATTGAAAGTAGGCTTATTTATAAAATCATAGGCTATAGAAGAGCTATTGTTAGCGACGGTAAGATATTAGCTAAGGAGGAGTGGTCAGAAATGGATGCTATTGGTGTGGCCGAGTAATTACATTGGTGGCAGCGAGACATGTATAGAGGTGTATACGCTAAGCCCAATCAAGCGAAGGGTGTCCTTTTAGCATTCTTGGGGTGTCCAACTAGCAGCGCTCAAATGTTTTGGCTATGTTGGTTAGCGTACCCGAACACGTCACGGTGTCACATAACAGAAGATTATTACTTACTAGGGATCGTATTTCGTAAATATTTTTAAGCGGAAGGAGGTAGATCAAGAGAGTTAATAATATATATGAAACGGGGAGATTTGGAAGAGTTCAATACATACTTTATAATTGGATATGCACGCGGAAGCGAAGGGTGGCCCATCCCAGACCAGATCGCTGTGAGAGCAATAACGTACCTACCGAGAAGACATTAGTATAGGAGGGGAAGACTATATCAGCGGTTCTGGCACATGCAGAACCTCGTGAGGTTCAGGGTGCAAAATACTTAGTGGTGTTCAGGGCATTCAGGTGAAGGTTTGAGTATTAAGGTGGCAGGAGACGACTTCCCATCAAACCTAAAAAGAAACATACAACATGCAACAGCAATTATAAGGTGTTGGTTACCTAGAGCTCAAGAGCTCCAAGGTTTCGTATTCAGGCCTCTTCAGGATAGTCTCGGCAAATCTTCAGCCACCAGAATATTCTTCACCTAAACTTGAAGTCAGACCATGCAGCAAAAGGAGCATTTTCGCTTTCTCAGCCTCTCTCCGCAAAGGTCAGGTCAATTTTGGTCTTCTGTCTTCGTCTCCTTTAGATTTGCACTAAGCTACAATGGGTACCAAGTATGACCCGACGTTAAACTATGAGGAAATATCATGGGTTTTGAAAAGCTCAATAACAACCTAGCTCAACGGAGGATTCTTCGACGCACGGAGGCTGTCTATGGTCGCAAGCTGCTTCTTTCCTACCAGTCCTTAGCCGTTGCTAGAATGAAGATCTCACTGGCGTACAAACTAATCACTAAAACATGCCTCTTCTTGCCAGGTTTGTCGCTTTTCATTTATAGGCGGTCTTCCCTCCGGACATTGAAACATGCAGGGCTTTCAATATTGGAGTGGGCTGGAAGAGAAATGCACGGCCGGATCAAGGGGAGGCCGACTCTCGGCAAATTGTTAGGATTCTTTAGGCATTTCTGCACTGCCATGACAAGAGAAAGAAGCTTTGAATTCTTAGTCGATACATTTCAATTTATTTGATCCAGATTGACAGATTGATGGGTACCTTGAAAGGCGCTGAATGGTATGCGGATGCGGAGTTGAGCGAGTGAGGCTTATTCAAGGGTGTTTGCCAATGGGCTGCAGGATTCAAAGAGTGGCAACGAGCCAGGGAGTCCACTTGGCCTCGAGTAGTTCCAATTGGCCTGGTACTATCAATTAGGAACACTTCAGAGACAGAGTTGATATTTTGACCGCTTGGAGTGACGAGGTCGCAAGTCGACAGTCCATTCGATTGAGCTCAAATGCTTCGAGATAGTGGCAGAAGATCTTCGATAAGTAAAGAGTCCGTGATTATTCGTCTTGATGTTTCTCACGGTGGAATGAATCAAGTGGAATTCGAATTCCTCAGATTACTGACTAAAAGGACCTGGACCGAGTAATTTTTTGGACTTTTTGACGACAGCCGTAACAGCACTTGAGCGTTCACTGAAGAGGCAGGGAAGAGATTATCCAACTCCGAGTCTACAACAGACTGGATCTGTAAGCCACCAAGCACTGCCTAGGTAGATCCCCTTTCATGTATTTCATTTCCATCCCAGATTATTTCTCCTTCATTGACAGTGCTTCTTCTTTAGGCCATTGCCCAGGTGATTCAAGTTGTCACCTGGCATAAATATGGACAAACAGTAATATGATATATCTCGGCCTGATGAGGCCCCACCAAAAAATAAGTGGGCCCCGGGGATCGGCAACAACATATTTGCATTGGACATTCGTTGAAACACATATTCTGCAGACAGGCCTCCGAGATATGATATACTATTCATGACACCGTGACGGTGAAGCTCTTGAACATAGCGCTACATAGATCTTAGAAAAATGTTATATGACACTTGATTTCAACTCACACCTGGGCAGTAATTAATGGAAGATTTAAATTGTAGTTGATGCACATGTGAATTTGTCAGCCTGACATTATCCATCTCCCCCTCAGCCTTTTTTCCACAGCACCAATAATGCTTCTATCACGCAGAATCGCTCCTGCAGGGCCCCCAAATTCTTGCATGTACCTATGCTATCAGATCCAAGGGCTTTCTTTCTTCACATGTGGTGAAACCTATGAGATCATTGTGTCGCCAACGCCCCTGGTAAAGCCTTCCATGTTTTCCCGATTTTCTGCAACGCCTGCAAAGGCGCGTGGCCGGGCCAAAGGCTCGGGGTCGGAGTTGGCTCGCTCCACCAACAAAACCCATCAAGAGAGTCGTAACTCCGGATATGTTGCTAGCCCGGATCACAAAGTCCTCTCCTTGGCAAAACGACAAAAGGCTGCCAGAGCCTGTGATCGCTGTCGTATACATCGGACCAAGTGTGATGAGCAGAAGCCTTGCACACAGTGCTCGAGCATCAAGGCCGAATGCATTGTTTCCTATGGCCCACCCCGCTCAACCCAGGTAGATAACAGTAATGGTGGCCATGCGCGGCCGGTACCAGAGTCCGTAGCCCATCAAACGTTTTCATTCCCTTCGCCTACTGGCACTCCCTTCCAATATCATGATCTCAACAACGCCAGCGGCTCTACCGCACACACCAATCAGACCAGCCCACATGTCCCTCCCGCTAGCACAACCAGCCCACAGCAGAGTTTATGGGCGACCAATACCCCACCAGAGACCGTCCCAGATGAGATTTTCAATGTCGCTCATCTCCATGGATTCTTTGATAGCGGGCAACCGGCGCCCTCATCTTCGTCCGCCTCTGCTGGTTGCCTCTTCCACCAGCTTCCATATTCCGCGGTTCCTTCGGGGATTTGCCTCCTTTCGTCTAACCCATTATTAAGGACTCAACGAAGTTATTACCTTAGATTGTTCTGGGACACATGTCACCCCCTTCTCTTCATCATGAATGAGATGCAGTTTGCGGAGCTTGATTCCTTATCGCCACCAACGATATCCGACAAATATTCGGCAGGACACGCCCTGGTGGACTCCATGCTCGCTCTGGGCATACAACACAGTCATACTACTGGCCTCGCCGGGCGCATATTAGGAGCCCAGCAACCCTCAACGGAAGCCGGCTGGCCTGGCTTCGAATATTTCGATCGTTGCCGTGAATGCATGAGGGCAAACACACAGGTAACACTCGATATCCTACGATGCCATAGTTTAATGATAGTATACCTGATGAAAGGCAATGCCTTTCGAGACTCATACAGCCTCCTGGGCATAACCATACGCAAAGCGTACATTGCAAAGCTCAGTCGACCACCCCCAAGCCATTTACCGGAATGTGAAAAGACTGCGCACATGCAGCTGTGGTGGATGCTTTTTTGTCTTGACCTCCAGTGCTCATTGCAGCTTGACATGCCGACCGCCAGTCAGGAGAGTTTGGTAAAATGCCCACTCCCCACTGAGGATGCTCTCAATCGTTACATTTCCTGCCCCGGCCATCTGGAGGAGAGCGTGAGCCCTTACATATACACCACTTGCTTGATGAACCTCGCCCTCATCGTAGCCGACATTGCCGCGTGCTTTTTGGCTGCAGACTTGGATGAAGACGACACAGGTAGTCCAGCCGCTTTGGAACAACACGCCCTGAAACTTTCCTCCACTCTTCAAAGGCTTGAGATCTGGCACGATCACCTACCCTCAGAAGTGCGACTAGCACAAGGAGGGAGGGGGTTCGTTGACCCCGAAGTTCTTGACTTTGTTCCCGATCCTTCACTACCGGTCTGGCTCCAGAGGCAAAGAGTGCTCTTAGAGCTCCACTATCACAACACGTATAATCTCATCCAGCGCCCGTTCATATGTATTCGCTACACGCACTCCAGCGTTCCGAATGGTGTGGCGACCCCGCTTGACACCCGACAACCACAGACCGAACTACATATGAGTAGTGCTTTACATCACTCAATCATGGTTGTCGATAAAGTGTTTACCATATGCTCCACCTCTGAACTCCTATACGGGTGGTCAGAGGTCTTACAGCCACTTTGGAACGCGACCTTGACAATTATGGCTTATGTGTATGCAAAGACACTGAGCTTCGAGGTGCCGCGTGCTCTTGAATCTCTCAAGCGTGCTCAGGCTGTTATCGAATCCTTCTCTTCCACCTCCCTCAGTGCTCGCTCTGTAAAGAACGTCATAAATTCACTTGTCAGTAGCCTGCAGAGCATGTCGGCTCAAGGGCCAGCTACGGCCCCTAATGAAGATGTGATGGGCTGGGATATTTTCACATCCCTGCTTGAGAGGCAATCGTGCCCATCCGCCCTGGACACAACTCTCCATCCTACGATATCCACCGTGGAATGTTCTTCCCACCCTTAGGACCGTCTGCCTCACGAATTTAAACTTCAAATCTCGATCCAGTGACTGTATCATTTGACAACGAATTAAGTGTGTGATTGACCGAGCACCCCATCCTCTCCCCATCCAGAAAGGGTGAATCGAGGCCTATAGGCGGAATCTTCCTTCCTTTCCTTTTTCGCAAGGGAGCACCAGTACGAAATGAAATTGTTTCATATAACTTGCAGTGCCATCACTGCGGAAAGATTTTGGTGATGCAGGATACGGAATTCAATACCTACTAGGTATACGCATGAGCTAAATTCTAGATTGAAAGGGCTTGAATAGATGAGATATATTGCGGCGCACTCGCCTGAGTGATTCGCAAGGTCAATTAATGATCGAACGTTCATATTTGGATCTTTTGAGAGACATCCAATATTTCTTTATTCCCCTTACAGGTACGCCCCACTTTATTAATGCCCATGGTCCAAAACTGGGGGATTCGCATTTTCAAAGCAAACCTTGACAGAGTTGACAGGGTTCCAAGATTAGATCCACGAATTCTCTGTCAAAGATCAATTCCAAGGTTCTCCATAGGATGGATCAGCCAGCTCTGAAGGGATTCACGTACGCACCCATAGTGTTTGGGCAGATGCAAAATGCATCAATGGGCCCTGAAGCAATCCATTCCTCATTCCAATCCATCGCTGAAAGCTGCTCATTCTATGGATGTATTATCTAGCTATCATCTATCTTCACGAATCCCAAGCTCGCTCCAAATAAACATTGGAATTCATACACATACATACAAAATATATCACAGTAGACCAGACCAAGTACAATACCCCTTGCACCTCCAGCCAATCAAAGAAGTTCCTTCGTTCAAGTTTCCCTTCCTCGAATATAGGACTTGAGGATTGGCCATGCACGGCTTTCTCTTCATCAGTGAGTGGATGTGACATCTCGTCATTTGAGGAAAACTTAGACCGAACTCGAAGTGTGCCACCATACGTGTAGAAGACAAATGGAATGGGTATTAGAAGCACACCTATTTCTCCAATAAGCGACCCAGCCCAGCCCACACCGAGAGCGTTGAACATATAGTGAGTGAAGAGTGGCGAAGCAGCGGCTCAGGCCGATTGCAGGACGGTTTTTGCTGCCATAGCCGATGCCGCATACATCAGATATGAGTCCATGATATAGTTGATGAAACAGACAAAGATGAGGAGAATTGAGGTTGAGAGGAAGGTGCCTGCTACTTTCGGGGACAGCCCAGTGAACTGAGCTGTATTCCGCTGTCCAAGCGAACCAGAATATTGTCACCGCGAACATGACTCCACCTACCATTGCTCCAGGAAGACGATCTTTTGGGACTGGGTTCCGTGTTTGGGGCTTTCTAAGCTGGATCTGGCTATTGATGAACAGTGCCAGTCCCCCGATACACGCGCCAATGACAGTGCCAATCAATGGCAGTTCGCCGACGCCCACATTCCAGCGACGGCCATAGTATTTTGGATAGCGGCACCCAAAAGAATGGGCCGGCGCAGTAACCTAGGAGGAAGAGGGTGGTGACAAGACCGGCGGCCTCGGTCGAGACATGCAGATCTTCACTGACGCCTTCAAAGGACCCAGATAGTGCAGATGATGCGAAAGTTGCGATCATCACCAAGGAAATTGCGACAGCGGTAATATAACAATTGCGTCCAAATGAGTAGTCTCGAGGGTTGTCGGGGTCATCTGGACCAAATTCTAAATGACCATCTTTGGCGAAGAAAAGCTGCTCATTTGGTCCTCCTGCAGCTTTTGAGCTGGGCGTTCGAAAGTCACGCCTCACGAAGTCCATTATCCTTATTCAGCGTCAAAACTGCTGTCGTGTCGAACAAGCTGGAAATACTAAGTTGAGCGCTGAAGGTCAAAGGTATTTTGAACCAATCCAATTTCCGACATGTGTCATTTGATACATCTTCTATATGATGACGGATGATCACCCGCCCCATTCTGTCGTCGAAAGAGTTAAAAATCGAATCTTGAACCATTTCTAATCTGTTTGTTTGTCAAGCTTCCGCTTTGGGTATTCCGGGAGCTAAGTTCCCAATCCGGTAATTATCGGGTCCTTAGTCAGCTGCACCCCAGACTTCTGCTCCTAATGCGGGGCCAAATGTCCCGATCAGGTAATTATGTGGCATCGTTCCGGAGCCCCTGATTGGCCTGACTCCCCTCGGAACTATACCGCTGACGAATACCGCTATGCTCATTGTTGATGTCCAGGTGCACATCTACCAGATTATTAAATCTAATACTAATTAGTAATGGACGCCCGGAGAGACTGACTTCATTACTGGTAGTAGACGGATTCCAATTCTACCACTGGCACTAAAATCGCCGATTAATAATGGTAATTCTTCTACCAGCCCTGGCCCGGGAGCGTTGTGAGCGTCCAGAGGTCTATATATTGGTCGGGGTTCCTTCGATCCGTATTTGAAGGTTCGCAACATCAACGCATCCAGAGGCTTTTGTTAGTAAGCGACCATTAACATCCCCTCATTTCCCACCTTCAAGTTCTTCAAAGCCAACATCACCGATCGACTCCAAATTCTCCACGATGACAGTATCAGACGCCCCAGTTAAGACCTCTACCTATCTTGAGGCTGTGAAACATCGTCGTACCGTGTACGGCGTTACCGATAACATTTTAGTCAACGATGATCGCATTATCGAGATTGTAAATGAAGTCATCCAAACCATGCCTTCGTCGTGGAATGTGCAGAGCACCCGCATTCTGGTGACGCTGGGCAAGGAACACAAGAGGTTCTGGGATGCGGTTACCACTGCTGCTAAGCCATTCATTCTCAAAAACCAAGGCGAGGAGGATTGGAAACGTAATGAAGATCGTTTCAATTCATTCCAGGCCGCCTATGGTACAGTGAGTATCTTCCTATTGTATTTATCGGGAACGGCAATTCCGGATATTCCATGCCCACGAGTTCTCTCTTCTCACACAAGGCTAAAAACGTAATGTAGATCTCTGTCTTCGAGGACCATGCAGCTATCAAGAAACTCCATGAGAAGTTCTCCAAGTTCCCCATCACCGTCTTTGAGGGGTTTGCCGAGCGCTCCAACGCTATGCATCAGATTACACTTTGGACTGCCATTGAACTCGAAGGCCTCGGTGCTAGCTTGCAGCACTCACACTTTGTGCCAGGTGTGGAGGACGGAATCAGATCTGCATTTCAACTTCCCTCGTCTTGGTCCGTGAGGGCGGAGATAGTGTTTGGCGGTCTATCAGGCGAGCGACCGACCGTCCCGGAGAAAGAACCCGTCTCCACTACTGTGAAGATCTACAAATAACGGCCCTGAGACTCTTCAGCAATTTCTCGACAGCATTATATTGATGCAATGGGTTCTGGCTGCGCCAGTTGTCACTTGAAGGTAACACTCAACAGATGATCTTGAAAGGGGGAAATCTCACAGGGGCTCTCACGGGGGCTCTTGCGTCCCCTGTTTTCATTTTTCGCCTTCATGTCGCTCTCTTATCTTATTACTTCTCGCTCTCCTTTTTTACCAATAGGCTTTTCCATCATTCAATGCATTGAAATATCCGTTTTGGTCACGCTAGTGTCAATAATATGAGTTACATCCAATGCACAATGTTTTAGAATATTTTCGCTTCGTCCTACTAGAATAAAATGATTGGATGCAAACTCAGAGTAGCGAGTACGTATACTGAGATAATACAAATCTCACTGACTGCAAACAACAGCACAGTGAGTGTGATCTACCTCAGTGCTGACGTGAAGACCGGGCATGTGGTAGAAAGCGCTGGTAGGAAGAGTAGACTATTGGTCACTTTCAACTGGGCCCCATTAAAATGTTTGCCCTTTGAAATTTCACTCATTGGGTAGGGAATAGAGCAGAGGAGCCACAAACTATGGATTAAAAGCGTCATCTTATTTGAATTAACGTACGTGAGTGGCTCCGCAGAAGTTGTGGAAATCAGAAAAGGCTGCCATGGTTGTGCTGTATTCCTACGACGTCGTAGCGCTTTGAATTTCCTTCCGCGGCAATTGAAAAGGTGGCGCAGCTGAAGGTGATTCTGTGGAACTATCGGACGACATTGCGTGGCATGGTGACGAAGTCCGCTGTTGCGAGGATGAAGAAGTGGGTGGTGGCTCTGCTGGCTGTCATGAGAGGCGAGCGCAGTGGGTCACCTGGTGGTGGCTCGACTGGTCAGCTAGGCTGTCCCGAGGAGTTGGCGTTCGAGACTCGAACAAGTTGGTAAAAGAGAATCGGGCTGGAATCGGGCTACTCCAGGGGACCCACGGATGCTGGGGACATGCTACCAAAATGTTACGATGTAGACCTGTTAGGAGGTGTGCCTATGGAACAGCTACAGGAAAGAACACGTATGGGGGGAAGCGCGCGGAGGGGAAGTCTGCCCCGACACGTCGAGAGCTATCTACCTAGCCACCTTGGTCTGAACTATACAGACCACGTGATCTAACAAGACCTTCTTTTTCTACTTGGAACGCAGTGGTTTTTCGAGTTTTCTCACCATCTGGCAGAATACTCAGAGAACACAGATTTACCAATAGACTATATCTTTCTTTCATTCATTACATCTAAACATGCACATATCAATATATCCCGCTTTATTCAGCTATCCCTTTACTTCTATTTTAGATATCTCTCACTTTAGATATCTGTGGGGTTACCAGTTGCATAGATCCAACTATATAGTACCTAGCTTTCCCCTCTAGGTATTCATATAGGTAACCATGTAGGTAGCCCTGTAGGTCCTTATATAAAAAGAGGTGTCGGTCATTATGTAGAACATCCCAAGGTCTCTCTCTGAGAGGATGTGGACACATCTAGCCAGGCACTCGCGTGCTGAGGACATACCTTTCCCAATTTCAAATGCTCGCTGCTTCACTGGCAGTGCCACGCGAAGAGCGGCGTGAGGACTTGTGTTCGTGTTACATCGCCATATGTTCAGTGCTGTGCAAACTGCCATTGGCGGGACCAGGATGATCGATGTGTTATCAACCCAATGATACCAGCCTGGCTCCCTCCACTACCCCGTCCACTGATCAGTCGTGGTGGTCCTGACAATGGTCCTGATAGTATTCCTACCAATACTACTCAACCCATTGGTCATTACTCAAATTTGGGTACGTCAACCCAAGGTACCCAAGCCATCCGACCTACATCCCATCACCGTAGAGGATCTTCATCATCATCCTCTATCTCTTAAAACATCTCGTCGTCGTCAGCAGCGAGGGATCCCATCCTCTTCCCCCTCATATGCAAGATCTTTACGCCGCCACCAGGGAGGAATGTCTTCCTCATCCTCTTCACGTACTGTAGTCCCAAATGCATGCCAATCCCTGGCGGAGAACCTGGATCGCAATTCTCGCCAGGTTGAAGAGTTGTGATTGCAAAGCGCGGAATCGATCAGGTTATCGGTTGCCGGTTTCCCAACCTCCCGTGATTCTTTCCAAGTTTTTAGAGCATTCCAAAATCGCTCAGCTCAAAGCGATTGGAATGATAGTACCTTAGCTGAGGGTGATTTGGGAATAGGAATGATGGTGAAGAAGAGCATGAGTAGAAGGGACTCATGGCCTGGTTTATCTTTGTGGCAAGTGTCCACACTATTTCTTTTCCTGTTTTTCTGGAAGTTCTTATGTGGCATGGGTCATCAAGACTTATCATCAGACCACAGCTCAGTCTGACAGATGAAAACTTTATGAAAGGCCCTTCGCCTTTATTTCATTCTTGGTGATAGTAAGTCGAAGGAAAAAAACATTTGAATGGTACGAAACAAAAGGAAACAAATGAAATAGCCCCCCCCCCCCCAAAGTCCCCAGCACTCTCTTTGCAGAGCTCAACAGCTTCCTCATGAATCCTACCACTCATCGTCGGTATCCTCGATATCAAGCTCCTCCTCGCCACCCATATCTTCCTCCGACTTGGACACCACCTCAGGCTCACCATCATGAGATTCAGACCCAGACGTGAAACCTGCAGATCTAGAATCCTCAGATGGCAGGTCCTCAACCTCCGTCTGCTCAACCTTAGACTCTGCAGGTATGGAATCCTTGGCCTTCTCAGAATCCGCTATAATCTTCACTGGCTGGATGGTCCGATCGCTGTTCCCTTGATTAGCCCACTGGGATATCTGCTGAAGTGACGAAAGCTCGGAAATAGTATGGTTCAAGCGGTTCAAACCAAGCAACTGAAGAGTATCATTGAAGCGCTTAACGCGCTGGTCGTAGGTATTCTCGGGACCACAGTCGAGAACCGAGGCACTGAACACAAAGCACTTCGGATGGGCATCGCCGATACAGCAGCCATCCACAAGAGTTTCATTAGGTTCACAGTTGGCCTCAGACTCACAAACTTGGTCTCTTTATTGTACACGGTAGGCTTGTTGCAGGATGTCGGGGGTGTCAATTTGACGCAAAGGCTGGACGATCCAGTGCCGTCCCATTTGAACCCTCTCTCTTCACCGCACTTTGGCACCTCTTCCTCGATACAGTTTCCATCTTTGAGAGACTGGTAGTCCTCACATCTTGGGGGAGCGCCGCATGTGTTTGTACCGGGAATATATGTGGTGCCGGGTGGACATTTTGGTCGTTTGCAGCAGTTCCCGTTTTTCAATTCTTCATCATCTTTGCATGTGGGAACCAATACCTCGAACTCACATTTCCCATTGATCAGTGTGAAGCCATCCTTGCAGTGGAATTTCTGCTCACACTCGCAGGTTGTGGACTGAGCATTATACAAAGCGCCTGATTCGCAGAAAGGCTGTCGCTCCATCAAGCAGGCTCCATTCTTGAACTTGGTGTCTTTCTCGCAATTTGGCAAAACAGAGCATCGGCCAAACGCATCGAGGCTCGCATCAGGCGATTGAGAGGTTTTGCAAATGGGAGGGAGGTCCTTCAAGCACTTCCCGCTCGCAAGTGTTGTACCTGTCTGGGCTCAGCAGCTTGGGGTTTCATCAGCTACACATGCCTCGCCATCGAATGTCCCCTCATTACAGTATGGAACCCTGGCTAAGACGCAGCACTTTGAGTCAAGGATGAAGCCAGGTTCACATTTAGCCTGTACATTTGGGAGAATGCAGACACCATCTCGTAGCACAGTACCCGTTTCACATTCAGGAACATCCTTGAAATAACAGATTCCCCTGGAAGAATCAAATCTGAAGTCCTCTTTGCAGATAGGGCTCTCACGCTGCGTGCAAAGTCCATCGACGAAGTCGTATCCACTTTGACATGTAGGCTCCTTGACACAGACGTCTTCCAAGAGCTGACTGTCGGCAGGACATTGAGGTTCACCCTTAGAACCGGTAAGGCAATCATTGCCACTTTGGTCCAAGCCGGGACCACATTCCCCCGAAACAGTCTTCCCACAAAGCCTTCCATCCCAGTGCATGCCAACAGGGCAACAGCGGGTTGTGTTAGATCCAGAATGGTAAGATATAAGAGTATCTTTCACTCAACTGGCTGGCTCTAATTCAAGAACACACTTCCGCTTGAATTTATCAAAGTGACCTTCTTTACAATCTGTGACTCTTGGACGTACACTTCTTCATATCTGGGTCGTACTCGTCGTCGGCACGAGCGCATGATGGGCCGTTCTTTGAAATACACACATTGCCCTGAATGGAGCTACCGCCTGGACACCGAGGAGCGTCTGCCTGACAAAGCGATAGTTTGTCATTATAGCTTCCTTTGTCGCATACGGGTGGGCTTGTTCCAATACAATGACCATTTTCGAATCTTGTTGCACCTCGACCTCGACATTCTGGTCGCTTTTTGGTGATACATCTACCCTTGGAGAAGTCATATGAGTCGCCGCATTGTGGGCTTTCGATAGATACACAGCTGCGCAGACTATGATCGTATTCGAATCCATCGCCACATTGAGGTTGCCCCACAACACAGGTTTTGTCTTTGAGTTCCGCATGGGTAGGACATTCCGGGCCCTTTGTCGTAAAGCAGTTCATGCCATTTGGAATCCCATCTCCCGGGCATCTTGGTTCCTCTCTCGCATGGCATTTCCCGCTATCAAAATAGCAACCTGAATCGCAGTCAGGGCTTATAACGCAGTCTTTGCCATCGAAATGATAACCGATTGGACAACACTTCGTTTCGCCTGATATAGGATCACGGGAGGTATGGAGTGATTGCAAGAGACTCTTCAGACTGAAGTCATTCTGTTGTTGAAGTGCGACGGAGGTTTTCGCTTGAACTCCCGATGGGATAAAATTGAGAATTGAAAGAAAAATCAAGCAATTGAGCTGCCGCATCATGATGCGCGGTCCTGCTGAAGCGACAGGATCGTACGAGAGCTAATGGATTGAAAGAGCCACTATGGAGCGGGTTGAGGGGATTTGGACGCTCAGTGTGGTGCATCTTCTTCCCTTCATATACTCTTCTTTCTTAACCCTCGTGAATTTCCTCAGCTGAGCAAAGGAAGAAAAGATTTGATGAAGGGACAAGATAGCCGAGATTCAGCTCTGCTTGGAATCGCATCGATGACCTCTCATCGCCTGGAATAACCAGATTCGCCTGTTCTCTACCTTCCCCAGCGGCATCCAAGTCATTTTCCTCCTTTTAATGACGCACCCTCGTGGATTCTTACCGTACCAGGCCAGCTGAAAATTGCATAGCGCCGCCATGACTTCAATCAAACTAGGCAAGCGCAAATGGGACGATAAAATGAGGAAATAGGAAAATATGCAAACATTCTGATTTTCTGATGATCGAGGCTTCAGGAGAATTCTGTACGCCATGGAAAGACCGCGAAGAACTCGATTTGAATTACCTCCGAACGCAAGACCCGTAAGTCAACTAACGAGTGGCTTGATCAGGGGTGCGAGCTCAGATAAGCCCCAAAGATGCTATCAGGGAATAATGAACTGAATAGGCTAGTTTGTTGCGAAGGGTAGTTGCGCACGGCACTTCCGGCATGGCCGACGATCCTCAATTCGAATTAACATTGACATCCAAGAACCTTTCTTCACTTGCTAGACTGCACATTTGAAGATTTGGGTCATAATTGGCTTCCTTGAGGTGCAAAATGCCCAAATCTCCCAAGCCATTATACTGAGCGGCAATCTGTGAGGCAACTCACATATGATGGCTTTTTTCCTTATGTCAAGGTCATCGTTAGAAGATAACCCAAAGCCGACAAAGTTTCGAAACGCTAAAATCAGAAACTAGTCAAGTCTAGAGAATGGCGGCGCGCCCAAAGCCCAAGCCGCCCATTGAACCGCATCTTATTACCTATCTCTGACTTCCGTACTGTGGTTGGTGCTTTTTTATCACCCGAAGCCAATTAGCTATGCCTACTACAGCTCAGCCTAGGACTCGAGCCTGGATCTGGAGAGAACCAATCAATATGATTCGATTGTAATCGCAGTAGGTGAAAATTACAGTCAATCACACGGGTAATCCCGCCGAACTGTCTAGTGGCATGGTGGTTCGTCAATTGTCTTTAATAATCGATGGCGCAGGAACTCTGCAGATAGATGCATGTCATATCTTTCGAATGTTCCAAGGTTGACCTGAGATCTCCTCAAATAATTCTGACTACCTGTGGACACAGGTGGCTATTCTTTCAAACAATTTTACGAAGAAGATAATATTAGTATATGCATCAATATTCCTATGGATATCCTCTAGAACGATTGGGATGCTCACCCGAATCACCTCCACAATGTGCCAAGTACCGGTGGATCTCGTTCGGCTACTTTCTCCACATTCGGTTATTCCCGTCCTTGAAATCCACGTGGCAATCTTCAAGCCCGTTCCATGATATTTCTGCCAATTATTCACAGATTGATTGTCTTACAGTTTTGGAGATGACTCAGATCTATGCGTTCTGGAGTTTTATTGATGATACTCTACTAGTTCAAGCCCCCACTTAGGCACTAGCTTCTCCGAGGTCTTACACAGAGAGCAGCTTATCTAAAAAACATTGAAAGGTTTATCGAAATGACATTCAAGAACGAGCTATCGCATATTCGGTTGTTTCATCAGCTCGGGTTCCTTGTTCTCAATTCCAAAATTGGGCTATCAATAACTTTCATCAATCCAAGACGCATAACCACTCCCCAAAACAGTCGTCTTCGTAACTGCTGCTGATATGGAACTTTCATATACCCTGTCCGAGGTATCCGATCCATCGCCTGCGTTATCAATTTCATAAAAGAGCGGCGTAGCCCCATCAGCCAAAGTTGTCCACCCGGCTGAATTGATCAGACTTCCTAGGTCAGAGTTCTGATAGATGACGCGTGCAAGAACACGCCACGGGCGACCTAGATAGACTTTGCCATCGAGATCCAATCCAGATTCAGCCTTAATGTTGCAGTGATCGATTGCATACCACGCGGTATCACTGGATTCTTCCCGAGAGTTTGCGGTGATCGAGCCGGAGCCCGTGGAAACGATGTCGCATTCACCGAACCAGGCAGATGCGTCGCCGAAAATGTAGTCATCAGCTCCTTTTTTCTATATTAGCTCTCAAAGATGTAGCAAGTATTCTGAGATTTGAGCGGTATCAGACCTTCAATCAGACAGTTGGAGTAATACTGTGTTCCGGCCTTAGCGTAGAGAGTGTCCTGATATCCAGAGAACTGACAACCATAGAACCCGAGCTGCTCGGCATTTCCGACGAGTCTATAGTGGAAGCATTAGTATTGATTTGGTACCGTACACAGGTTGAGTATCTATTTCTTACGCCACTGCTTGTGCGCCCTCGCCGTATCCATTCTCAACATTGATGTTATACATCTTGAATCCATCCGAGACGACATTCACAGTCGCGCTCAGATCCAGGCTTCCCGCATCCTCGGACGAGATAGTGTGCGTAATTGTAACTGTATTATCTTTGTATGTCCCTGAGTCCGTCGTCTCACCGTAAAGGGTCAACGTACCTCCGAAGTCGATTGTTAGTTGTTCTTCATATGTGCCACTATAGACGAAGATGCATGCTGATGTGGATGAAGAGTCAAGTGCATCAAGAGCATTGCCTATTGTGGAGTATGTACCATCGGAGCCAACTGATAAACAGCCTGATGGTGGCGTGGTTCTACTCACGTCGTTTCGGCTGTGGAGCTTGGAAGGCCTGCCTGTGACCAATGTGGCGAGTGACAAGGCTGACAAGAGCGGAAGGGAATGCATTGTATTGAAGGGGTGTTGGTCGGGCCCGGGGGCTGTAGTAGATAGACTCGAAAGAAAACTTCGTGTTCATATGTCCCTTTTATACGACAATAATCTGCTCTTTCTCCGTGTTGCTTTCAGTTCTCGGAATCTCGATATATTTCAGCAAGCGTTGTTAAATGCACCCTCCCGACATTTCCAACGGACATTTCTTGTCCCAATACAACTTAGCCTATAAGCCATTATATGTGTAAAATGCGTGCCAAGGTATTTATCCACATGCAAGACCTGCATCAAGGAAAAATGTTCGACTGGGGACTCACCAGCTGAACCCCCAATTAGGAAACAGGGGGTGTCCGTTTATAACAATCGGGGGTTCCATTTCACAAAGGTCTCCACAACTGCCAAGTCCCAATTTCGGCTCTTCAAACAAGGAAGTTCGTCCTGAAGCAATAATTATTCCGCGCCCCTGCATTTCCATGAATCGGCAGTTGTTGAAACAAGACCCTGTGAGTACGTTCTGGAATGGGTTTCGGTTAAAAGCAAGCCACCGCGAACCGAAAAGCCATGCCCCGCACTTGCCGTCAGACTAGCTTGAAGATCGTCCATTTTTTGACCCATTATTCGACAGGTGAGAGGCAGGTGAAGAAAATCGAAGGGGCTAATGGCCGTGGAGTTGACACTCATGTGGGGCCGGCTGGTCCTGCATCTCCAGCTCCAGGGGTTGGGTGACAGTCGCTAGGTAAGAGATATTCCTCGAATAAAGATGGTGTTTCACTATGATGCGGCCCAGCCTCCGTGTGATTTTCGTAGTGGATCAGCAGTTTGATGCGGCACTGGCAGTAACGACGACTGTGTTCTAAGTTCGAAGAGAGAGAGAGATATATATATATATATACATATATCTATAAATTGAGGGAAATGTGTACGAGCACAGTGCACATGTGAGTTCGGTAATTTTCAGTTTCTCCAGGGCTGTACAGAGCTATTTGCGTGTGGTCACTGGCATCACCACAGCTTGAAGGAATCATGAATTCGGACAACATGGTCAAGATATTTACCTTCTTGGTCTTTGCTCCATTTGCTGCATCTCTCCCTTCCACTCCAGCTATCCATGCACGCGCATCTACCTGTACCCCAACGGCAGGCGGGTCCTCATCGACGGATGACGTGCCTGCCATAGCATCAGCAATAGCATCATGTGGCTCGGGTGGAACGATCGTGATTCCAGCAGACACCACCTACTATGCCAACAGCGTCCTTGACTTCTCAGGCTGTGTTGGATGCAAGTTCGAGATTGAAGGCTTGCTGAAATTCGCCTCGGATACAGATTACTGGGAAGGCCGGACGGCGATGATGAATGTCGAAGATATCGACGGCATCACGATCACCTCTGTAACTGGCAGTGGGGTCATTGATGGAAATGGACAAGACGCGTAAGTGATAGCTCCAGATGCACCGCTAGGCATATTGAGTTTTCGTCCCTCTTTCATTCGCTAACTCACGCTTCTTCTTCTTCTTCTTCTTCTTCTAGATGGGATCTTTTTGCGTCGGACAGCAGCTATGCGCGCCCAACCCTTCTGTACATAACCGGCGGCTCTGATATAACAGTCTCAAACCTTCGACAGAAGAATCCACCCAACGTCTTCAATTCCGTGAAAGGTGACAGCAAGAACGTTTGGTTTTCAAACTTGGAGTTAGACGCTACATCGAAGAGCAGCAACGCTGCGAAAAACACAGACGGGTTCGATATTGGTGCCAGTACATACGTTACGATCTCGAGCGTCCAAGTCACCAATGATGACGACTGTGTCGCATTCAAGCCTGGCTCAAACTATGTGACCGTTACTGATATTACTTGCACCGGAAGCCATGGCTTATCTGTCGGGTCGCTGGGTTCCAGTGGAGATGATACCGTGAAGAATGTATATGTGTCAGGAGCGAAAATGGTGAACTCAACCAAGGCCGCCGGCATTAAAACATATCCATCCGGTGGAGACCATGGTACCTCAACGGTAACGAATGTCACCTGGAATGACGTGGTTGTTGATGGATGCGACTATGCAATTCAGATTCAGAGTTGCTACGGCGAGGATGCGAGCTACTGTGAAGAGTATCCAGGAGCTGCAGTTTTGACGGATGTTATCTTCCAGGGATTTAGTGGAACAACGTCGGACGACTATGATCCAGTTACGGGCAACCTGAACTGCGGTGCCGATGGAACTTGCGGAGTGACTGTGGTTGATTATACAGTGAAGGCACCCTCTGGGGAGAGTGAGGTACTCTGTGCTAATACGCCTAGTAACTTGGGGGTTACTTGTACATCGGGTGCTTCAGGGTAAACTTTGATAATGTTAATGATATGATTGATCATTTGAATGTTGATCATTCCGGGATTTTTAATCTAATATGTCTGATCGTGTATACCGTCCGAGTCGCCAAGGGAATTCCGTACGGGCAACATCACATCATTCTAGCAGGATGAAATCCTTCACCTGGAATAGAAAAAGGGTAGTAAATTAGGCAAGTGTGCATAGACTTAAATAGCCCTAGGAATGGTTACCTACGCTATATCTAAGACACGGGTGTCTATTTTATCAAAATCACTGGATAGCAAAATAGAATTGAGAGAACTATTACTAGATGCAATATGGACGAAATTTACAGAACCAAAGAAATAATGCAGCAAATTAACAACAATGTAGAGATTCACCTTCCAGATTCAAGTTTGATCGCATCAAATGACATACAGTGTGGAGGATTCGAGACGCTCGGAGGAGTTGATCTCACTCACAGTAGACTGGACAGTCTTGGAACGAAGGCTTCGGTATGAAACCTCGTTGATAATATCAAGGCTTCCGTGAGTGAGTCCACCATTGGTAGACTGCTCATCTTCAGGATCAACAGGATGTAGTTGCCTCCGGCGTGGCTTGGGATCCACTTTCTTCAAGAGCGTATCCATATGTCCAACCCAATCTTCCGCAGTCTTACCAATAATTGCTCTGCGCTCGTAGCATTTATCTGCACCAAGCTCCCACTCAGGCAGCGTGATAAACTTTTTGTCAAAGGAGTATTTTAAGTGCCACACGTAGTAGGGATTCGGGCCATGCGCGTCGATCAGTTTACGCTCGTACTTGGGTCCGTTAGGAACGTAAGAAGCGTTTCCTTTCTCATCTTTTGCGTGTTCCATTCTGTACTGGACAACAGGGTGAATATATTCGAAGGTTTCGCCGAGTGGTTCATTCCGGTGACCATTCTTGAAGTGGTATCGACCAGGGGTTCGAATGTGCTCAAGGTTGAGCCAGTACATCGGGGTGAAGCTGTCCTCCATCTCACCAGTTCCCCAGTCATAGAATCTTGCCTTCTTGAATGGAGGCTCCGGTCCGGGCGTGCGCGGATGTATGATACTTGACGCCGTCTCAGATGATCTGCGCCACATCCACGCACCCCAACCTTCATCCTTCGTCATAATATCCCATTTTTTCCTGTCCTCATTGTTGGCCTTGAAAACACCCTCTCGGGTATCGTATTCTGCTTTGATATGCTTCTCGTTGATCGACAGGTGCTGCTTGACGCGATCCAGCATCCAGGCGTATGCGATATTGGACATCTCTTCCATGTTGCCCTTGTTCCCCATAGTGGATGACGAACCACCGCCAACATTGATGTGATAGCCTGGGAACCATACCTGTGCCAGCTTCGTTGGGGGTTTTCGTTTATCTTTGAAGTTCATATAGCGTCGCACAGCGTGGTTCCATGCTTCGGCTTTTTTATTGACATCCTTAGCGGCATCATTGACTGCTTGGTCTGTTGGAGGAGATTTGTTGACTCCTTTCAGATCCCGGGCCGTATTCAAAGCATCCAAGAACGCATTTCTGGCTGTCTCCTCTGCGCTCGCGAAAATCTCTTCAAGATTGACATCCGGTTTCGGGGGTACGTAAAACAGGGTGGGTTCAAATGCCTTGCGCCTTTCATCAATTGCCAGGGCTTGGAAGGCATATTTGATATCTAGACTTGGTTAAATACTAACATCTCATAGATGAATCATGGTGTGGGTCTTGAACTTACTGGTTGAAAGTCCAACATTGTGCCACGGAGCCTCTTGCCAGAAAAACAGCCCTTGCGGAATCTTCATTCCAGCCACCTCAGGCATACCGAGAGCGCCGACCGTGTCATATACACCCACCACCTCCACGTTTCTCGATCCATGTTGCGCCCAAGCAGCATCCAGCTTGGGCCACATGTCATCATCAGGAAGATTCCCATGCTTGCCATCCTTGATGATGAACCCACTGCTGCTATCGCCTGCGCCTTGCTTCTCATCGGCCTTCGCCCACATCCACTCATACCATCCTTTGCTGCGGAAAAATCTCTTTCCCTTGTTCTCCTTCTTTCCTTTGAATTCCTTATACTGAGTCCAAAGTTCGGGAAACTTGTTTAGGTCATCTTGGTGACAAAGTCCAATATCGGTAATAACACCGGCAATGGTACGAGCTGTGTAAGCACCTCGTGAGAATCCAAAGACCATGATCTGATCACCAGGGTTATAATTGAGGGCACAAAAGTTGTATGCTTCAATGACGTTGCCTTCCAGGCCGGTGCCAGTGGCACCTTCGAGGGCCTTTCCGAGTCTTCCAGACGTGGTGCCGACGCCAGAATCATACCAGACGAGCTGTTGCCACAACTTGCCATCGGCGTCACTTCCAATGGGATTTATGGCACGACAGAGACGGGTAACGTTAGATGGTACGTGTCTTTCACCCGAGACGGCCGACTGCCAAGTACCATCACAGCAGATGATGATGCGTTTTGATTCAACGTTACGACCACTATCTATCTCATGGCGTTGCTGGATTTTTGCTTCCTCCTCTTCTCTGGCAGGCTCCATGGGGGACAATATGTGAACCATGTCGACGACTCGAGTGGAACGGAGGAAATTGAAATCGAACTGAAATCATCCAGGGAATAGACAGCGATGTGTACTCTCCTATTTATGCATTATCACCCTCGCGCTCTGATGCCTCCCTGAACGATATCATCGCTATAAATGCCCTGATTATTTTATACAATGGAGCTATCGAAGCCTGGCCAGTTGTTTTCAGGTCTCCACATCCACGACTCCACTCCACCCGTAGGCCATCTCCGACGCCTTACCATTTCGGGTTGTTCAGCTCCCCGCGCAAGGTTCATGTTCGTCTTACCAGCGGCGGCGGTTTCTCATGCCGACGTCGATTTAACCAATGATGTTTTGCCCCTTCCCGGCTCCATAAGCATTGATTTCTTCACAAGGATATATCTCACGTGGGTACTGGCGGTGCCATGTGTGCTGAACAAACCGACGGGTAGATGCTCCCCACAGTTGGGGACAAAACTACCGACCGGGGGAGCATCGGGTATAATCTCTGCATTAATCATGGCAGGATCATCCGAAGGACGTGTGATGCGAGAACTCAAAGAACTCAGCTGAGATGAAGTTGTATTCGCGTGCTTGGAACAGCGACCGGTCGCCGATCATCTACCCGACTTGAATAGGGGTTGGCGTTCTTCGCAATCAGTAACCATACCGAGGTTGCACAATGAGGGGACTACCAAACTTCAGTTCTCATTATATACGAACTTGCTCACATCCATAAATATGGTTAGCCACAAAGTCAAGGCCTTGAATGCTTGAAGGCTGGGGCCTCTATTTTCTTCTTCCGATCTGAGAACAAGAATCCCGAGTTTGTATAATTACTTGGGTGTTCCGCTTGGCACAGACCGAGGTTCGCATTTCTAAATAACAGGCTAACCCGCCCTTGTTCATTCGATGACATTATGATATTACCATCTCATTAAATACAGCCTGAAAATGAATTCTGTCAAAATATCCAAACTCAATGGCAAATATACAGATTCTCTTCAACTATAGACGGCTCTGAAAAAGTCGAAATGAAAACCGAACTGTTCTCCGTCAGACAGTGACATTGATCTACTGCTCGCTTGCCTTGCTCATGATTTCGAGCATCTCACGTCTCTGCTCCCGCATCCTTTTTTCGAGGGGATGTTGTTTCAAACTAATCTTTCCAAGGCCAGCAATGATTGTGTCGCAGAGACGAATGCTCTCCTTCAATTTCCCTTGAACTCTAAAACACTAGGCAACTCAATCATTGCACCTATTCGATCAGGATGGAAATCGCCTCGATATACCGAAAGGCCTCGCTGTCTCTCAATCCCAGTGTGAAGTATGTCCTCGGCCTCAGAGAACCTTGATTGGTGTATGAGAATCGTGGCCAGCACGGTCTTACCCATCAGGGTCCCAATGTGGTGCTCACCGAGATTCCTGTCCGCAATTTGAAGGCCGCTGCGAATGAGATCTTCAGCTTCGTCGTATTCTCGAAGGGCAATCTTGACTCTGGACAGACTGACCATGGCCAGCAGTGTGTAGGGGTGTTCTTTGCCCAGTTTCTCTTTGCGACAGTCAAGAATATGGCGCATTTTGTTGAGAGCAATAGGCAAATCTTCTTTATTCCCCATCTGTACCGTAAGCATAGCCAGGTCCTCCTGAATCTCCATAGATTTCAGATGAGTCGGTCCTAAGACAGCATCCATACACTCGCAAGTCTCTTCAAGTAAGCATTTGGCTTCATCTAAATCCTCATAAAATTTTGCTAGCGTCCGACCGAGATGACCCATTGCACTGAGGATATCTTCGTGCATCTTGGAATTCCGCAGTTTGATCAGACCCTCAACGGCCTTTTGCTGAAGACCTTTCGCCTCAGTGTATCTTCCCTGTTGCCATCTTGTTTGGCCAAGAGTTTCCATTGTGATCAAGGTTTCATGACTTTGCGGTCCAAGATATGTCAAACACGCCTTCAAAACAATCTCCTGTAGATCTGCAGCCTCATCTCCCCGACCTTGATTCCAGTATGTACTACTCAGGGCCAGTGCTATTTGCCTGGTGATAGGCTGATCCAACCCAAGGACGGAGTCCGCAAATTCTTTAACTTGGAGTTGAAGAGTCTCCGCATAATTCCATCGTCCGTTTTGAGCAAAAACTGAACTAAACTTAGCATAAAGTATAGCTTGAGAAGGACCAAACGTAGATCCTGGTGCAGGCCAATTTAAATAACCACCAAATCGGCTCTGTCTTCTTTTCTGAATATAGAGGTCTATTGTAGACTGGCAGCTTCGGACATGATCAATGTGTGACAGAATATCTCGTCGAAAGATTTCGTCATTTTCAGTGTCAGCCAGAGGTGGGAGAAGAATGGAGTGAGAAAGAGTCAATTTTGCGGCATGTGCCCAGATTGCCTGCTCCGATGCACTCATGCCTGGCCTTTTTCTAGCCCATTTATGCACAACGGGATGTATTGAGTAGCTGTCATTGGACTCATGGTATGTGATCAGGGACATTTAGTGAAGCTCCCGAAGCCCACGGCGAAGCCTGTAGTTGTCGAAGGATCCCGATTTTCGGCCATCCCTTATGATGGCAGGCAATGCTGAGGGACCACGTTCGCGAGTTATGAGATCCACTATCAGGAGTTGTAGATTTCGGAAAACTCGGTACCACGTCCGAGGCGTCTTATCCGGCTCGTGCCTGCTGTGTTCTTGATGGATTCTCTCAATCTCGCAATTCTCTATTGCCTTCTTGAGGATATCAAATCGTATGTTTTTGGGATGGAAAAAAGAAAACATCTTGAGCAACTGTATTGCATCCTTGGACGCTTCTGTCTCCATCTGCTCGATGAGTCTATAAGAGACCTCGAATGTAGCATGTGCACTCGAATAGTCGTCGATTTCTGGGCCATTCGAGCTAATCGAGAATTGACGCACCTTTCAAAGTCGATCCCAGTCCCTGTCGTGAAATCCCAGGTAATCTTTGAGTTTACATAGACGATTCCGAATCGCAGCGCCAGCTTGGATCAACGCAAGAGCAAGTGATCCTAGTTGTCTGGTGATTTTCATTGCCCAAGAGGACGAATCCATATCCCAGGGTTCTTTAAGGTGTGCCGCCCTTAGAAGAAGAGCCGAAGCTTCATCATCACTCATGCCCTGAAATTCAAAGAATCCGGGGCCGACATTGCCGTGCTGTATGTGATCTGGGTTTCGGGTGGTAATGAAAATATATCCACGATTCCCCCGGGGAAATATTGCTCCAAATCGATTCGAGGATCATTCGCATTGTCGATAATCAATAACCATCTCCCTTCATTGTTGGAGAGCCAGTTCATCGCCGAGGCATAGTTTGGCTCGACCTTTCCTCGTTTGCTAATCTCGATATATGTTTGTTTGATGGTTTCATGCGAGGTTGCGTCGATGCAGAATACTCCCCAGAAACTGTCAACAGAGTTTAGCAATTGAAGGCAGAAAACGATTGTATGTTTGGTGTCTAAATACCTCTCGCGATTCATCTCTGCAAACTTAGAACAGAACTGTGTTTTCCCGGATCCGCCCAAGCCATGAATGACAAATCGAAACTGCATTTGGGCAGGCTCACGTGTGAATTGAGCTATAATTATGGCATGCAATTCCTCCAATAGAGCCCCCCCGTCCGGTAAAAAAGCTTCTCACGGGTTGGGGTATATCGAAGAATTCATTTGGTGTGGTAAAGGTTATCGCGGCTTGGACCGATCTTATTGATTCTCGGAGTTCTTGAATCCTTCGGCGTGTGGCTTGATCGTTCAAATTCCTGACCGAATGAGGTCCACCAGGCGCTAGGTCATGGTTCTCGAGGATCGAAAGTCGTGTCTGGAAGGTTTGGTCGAGCGATCGCACTTCTTTGGATATCTGTGCTGTGTATCCTGTGATGCCCCCTGGTAATACCTGAGAAATAGTTAATCGCCGCTCCGAGTAAAATTTTGCGTAAATTCTCTCCCTACTTACAGAGTCATCCCAATCAACAAAACTTGGAGGTTGCTCTTTTCTACTCCAATCTCGTCTCGAATTTTCTGCAGTCTGTCGGCGTTTTCCCGCCTCCGTTTCACTTTTAGGACGGCATCTAGATTGTTCTTGACCCTGTTGCCATCCGTACCGGAGATCTCCTTAATCACACTCTCAATTTGTGTCGCAAGAGCTTGACACGCACTCAAGCCTCCCACACAGCCTCTCCATAGATCTTCCAGGTTGCTTGTTTTAATCGAAATCGACTGCACCTGTGTCGCATTCTCGCTTGTTATAATTTGTTGGATTGATGCAACAAGACTTTGCAGGGCCTCGACTTCAGCAATCAACTGATCAATTACCTTTCCAATGTTTGCGACCGAATACTTCAGATCTTTGAGGGACTTCGCAACATGCAGACACATCTCCACCAGCCCAACCGCCGCTGCCGCGGTAGAAAAGGGGTCCATATCAAGAAATCTATGGTGTAGATTCGTTAGTAGGAATTTTAATTTCGTAGGAAAAGATGGATAGCTGTGATCTTATCACTTACAAACTGGTAGTTCCGAGCCAATGATACTTAGTCCGGTATGGGTAGCTGTTTGCGCAGGACAGGTGGTGGGCGAAGCTAAAAGGCACAAGTGCACTATTTACCTCTCCAATAGCAGACACCTGAAGGGTCTACCTGGTACATTGATTTTTGAAGTAATTCTTAGGGAGTACCAGATTGTCTTCAAGATGTTTCAAGCCACCTGGCACTGGCAGTAATCTGGTGGGTCTGAATCATAGAAGGTCTGCACATGGCCCGGCCTCTGAGTCGTTTCATTCGCGATTATGATGAGCTACTAGGAAAACCTCAAATGGAACAAGACATGTAAATTCCAAAGATCCACCAAGCCATTCAATAGTTCTAAGACTCCAGGGCTCCGGATGGAGTACGCGAATCTGCGGAATAAAGTAACTTTGATTCAAACTTGAAATTTGAAAGGTAGGTGGTAGGTAGTATAGCCACTCAATGGATCTATACATACCTATGCACACTCCGTATCCATATCCATGCCACCTGGCATGTGTGCAGTAGAAGTATACCCAGCTGGTATACACATTTGTATAGTATAAATACTCCATAGTACATACCCATGGACATATGTGAAACCCATCCAGATGTCTATCCTGTGCTGTTACCTACATCTGGATTCAGTCCTTCAGAGCTGCCAGATGTCATTTCAAGTTAATGGTATATCTTGACCTTGGAATATTCAAACCCGCTAATCCCTTATTGTCATACCGGCCCAGTCTGAATTCAAATTTTAATTTCGAACCCAAAATAGGCAGGAACCTTGGAATCTACAACTCAAACATTCCTGAGACCCAAGTGAGATAGTTCCAAATGTTGAGACTAAAGTCGTGTTCAAATTTGAGGAGTGGATTGGGTGTATGTAGGCTGCCGAGCTTCCTGGCAGTGTGCATACTAGTCAAGTAGGCTGTTGACCCATTGGCTGGGATCCATTCCAGCAAACAATCGCACCAAACATTTGCACCCATGCTTGTTTCCAAAAGCAGTTAAGTAAAACAGTTCTCATTCAACTAATTAGCAGCCGGATAAAATACCTTGCAACGCCGGGTACTGCGCTTCAAATGTTCGCGTTCCTCAGCACTTCATCTGTTAATTCCCCAGGGAGCCTAGGAAATCATGGAAATATTAGCACATTTGAACAGATAAACTTTCAATTCCACTGTATTGAGAAATTTAATGGCGTATACCTACGTATATCGTGGTGTTCGAGATTGCCTTCACTTTTTCCCAGAGCGGATCGAGCATGAGGGGCGGGTTGACTGAATGTATGAGTTCGTTTGGGGGTAGTTCCGGGACGCGCATCGGTCCACGGGTAGTATTCGGTACCACGCAGTACTTCGTAGTGATTCAGCCTCATTCATCCTCCAAGGCTAGAGTCAACCGGTATATGGCAAGAGAATCGATCAAATACTGAGAAAACCTTCAAATTCAAATGGTATTGGTACGAGGAAAAGAGTATTTGAACTTGATTACCCAGCTTGCCTGGAGCGTAGAGTTCACCGTAGGGCTATGATCGACGGCTTGCCCCTGAAAAGGGTCTGAAAGCCAAAGAACTAATTGCTCTTTGATAGAGCCTGGGAATTGGTAGGTTCAAATACACCAAGTGGGCGATTTTTTACGCACTTGTGTTGCGTCTGAAAGAATATGGCCCTTTGTGATTCCCAAGGATGTTGGCACACCCCTCTACTTGTGGGAGGACTTCTTAGCCATCATTACACCATTCATGAACTTATCTCTTTTAAGATCTCTACAAAATTCAAAGTTCAGTGCAACTCCAGCCTCTTTATCTTTGATCTATTATTCCTTTGCCTCATAGTTCGGGCACACAAGTCGCCAGACCCTCAGTGAAAACCCCCGAATAACAAAGGGTCTGATATGATTCTTTCATTGAGCCTAATTGTTCCTTTTGCTCTCGGTGGCCTACTCCTTGCTTTGACACTTAACTTTCCACAATATTTCAAGCAAGTCAAGGTAAAGCTCTCTTCGCTAGATGTACGAGATGTCGACTGATTAAGTGATTAGAGTGACGCCAGATTCGCTGCTTGACAAGGTTGCCAGCCTCCTAGAAAGTGGAGCGCAAAATGGGCACTCGGGCTTGACTTGCTGATCAAAGCATTCAGATATTATAGTAGACAGCAAATCCTTCAATTCTTTCTCGATGTCATCTCCGAGACTGGCAGTAAATCATTCGAGCAAAAGCTTCTTTTTGCTCGTGGAATTGATACAATTGACCCGGAGAATATAGAGGCTTTATTGAGTGATCAATTTACTGGTAGGTGGATCCCACCCCAGGGTTTGGGTCATTTGTGACTGGATACTCATCAAAAGACATGCTGCAGATTTCAACCTCGGCCTGCGACCGCCAACCTTTCATCCCCTCTTGGGAAGCGGAATATTTACCCAAGATGGTGCGGAATGGCAACATTCTCGTGACCTTCTACGTCCACAATTCATGTCAAACAGACTCAACAACTTGAAGCAAATTAGAAACGCTGTAGCTAGTCTCGTGACAGCCGTCCCAGATAGTGAAGAGGTCGATCTTCAACCGCTTTTCTTCCACCTCACCTTTCAAACAACGCTTTTCTTATTATTTGGCAAGCATTTGCCATCAACCGGATCGGCAGACCTCGTAAATCGGGAATCGGAATTCGCAGATGCGTTCAATCTTAGCCAGGACTATCTCGCTCAACGCGGTCGCCTTGGAGACCTATACTGGCTTTTGGGGGGGGAAGAAGTTCCGTGACGCTTGCAAAGTTTGCCACGAGTTCGTTGACAATGTTGTGCAAAAAGCATTGCACCCTCCACGCAATAGCGAAGCCCGTTCTTCGGACAAGGGACCGTACATTTTCATCGAAGCTCTCTTTGAGAAAACCACTGACCCAAAAGTACTCCGAGATCAGTGCATCAATATTCTGTTAGCAGGGAGGGATACAACGGCATGTTGTCTTAATTGGGCTCTGTGAGAGAAAATGAAGACTTCCTTTGGTGGACTTGCTGCTAACAGGGCATAATACAGCCGTCTCCTCGTTCTTCATCCGAAAGTCATGGCCAAACTGCGCAGCGAGATCAAAGAGACCTTCGGAGTGGGTCGACAAGCATCGGAGCCGGTGATAGGCCAGCCCAAGCAGCTATCATACCTGAAGGCTGTTCTGCATGAAGGTATTGGCAGAATATTCCTTCCATGATAGATAGCGCCAGCTAATCCATCTTTTTAGTACTTCGGCTATACCCGTCTGTGCCTGTCAACTCTCGCGCAGCCGCAAAGACAACCACACTTCCGACCGGTGGGGGCCCAGACGGCAAAGCGCCTGTACTCGTCCGCAAAGGAGAAGCTGTTGGATATTGCGCTTACGCGATGCATCGTCAGAAAGAATATTTTGGGGATGATGCGGACGAGTTTCGACCTGAGCGGTGGGAGAATGGCGCGCTCAAGGATGTCGGATGGGCCTATCTTCCATTCAATGGAGGTCCTCGGGTCTGCCTTGGGCAAGAGTTTGCTCTCCTGGAGGTCAGATATACCATTGTGAAACTGGTGCAGACATTCGAAATTATCGAGCTAGCAAAAGGGAAAATGTCGGATGTTGCGGTTGGCCAAGAGAAGCAAGGACTTACATTGGTTGTATCCAGTGGGGATGGTTGTTGGGTTAAAATGGCCAGATATTTAGATTAGAGTGAATAGATGATGGATGCTTATTTGATTGACTAAGGAATGAAAGACACTGACCCAGCTGGCTGTCTTTATGTTTAGCATGCAGGGACCAAATTCTGAAATGAAGGGTGGTAAAATACATGGGTCCACCAAGAATTCAAAGGTGCTTCTTGTGGTATCTGTATGTCTCATATATATATGGGTGGTTTAAGAGTTTCGTAGGGACGGCCACAGGTGGGAAGGAAGATACTAAGGAGAGGGGAAGTGGATGGGGTATAGGTACAGGGGAATGAAAGCTCAGAAGGCACACAAGTGTACCTAGGCATCATCATATGCTCTCATTGTGTGTAAGGTGTAGGGAATCAAGTCAGTGCTTCTTCGGTCTGCGGGATAACATCAACTAGAAGACCTCCACAGAGACAAAGATCGTACCTCTCCTAACAAAATAAGCAGTCTGAGAGTATGCGGGGATATAACAGAGACTCGGTGGCATCCTGGGGCTATCAGCATTAACGTCTCACGTCGTTCCATTCCATACTTTCGATTAAGATCATCGGAGAAGGACACCAGAGAGACGGACATGTTTCCATTTCAGTCCCTACCCAGGCTCACATACATCATTCATATGCCCCAGAAAATTCAAACGGCCGGAGCCTCTTTTGCAACGGCTTATGAACAATATAGGTGAGAGTTGGATCCTCAGGCCTGAAACTTCAGTGACGTCGGGGAACAAAAAGAGAGGGAGGGGAGGAGGGAAAGAAGTTTATCAAATAGGCTGGGGGCGGTGGGGGACGCGCTTGGAGGGCAAACAAATATTCACTTCACTTCAATGCTTAATTAGGAAACTATTACTGCACTTAACTTGAAAATGATGTGATATCGCTCTACTATACTCAATAATGGCCATTATACCATTTCTGGTACAGGTCTTCATAGTATTTAGCGAACCATGTAGCGGACTATGTAGCGAACTACCTATATATCATCGTAACCTACTACGTATATCGACCTTTGCCTACAACGATAGCGAACATTCAGTACGACATCACATCAGTCACAGCTTTTATTTGAAATCTACGATCAAGTCCCGTGGATTGCACAGTCCGACATGTCCACCAATTCAGGCAGACGTCTTCCGGTCCCACCAGGCGAGGATCCGGCCAATGGCGAATTCTGAGTAAGTTATTTTGGCGTCCAGGGTATTTCACCTATGCTCTCACCCAAATACCTAACCCGTCTTCTCTAAACATATCGCTGTTTTGATTGTGCAAGACTAGGCCATTAGGCCTTCACTGCCGAATGCCATAAGGAAAGATTGAGGCGGGGGTATCTCGAACAGACGAAGAAGCTTGAGGAATTGAAACGGGAGGTGGCAGCTGATGAACGCCAGGCGGAAAGAGTGGAGAATGAATTGATCATGAAAAACGAGGAATTGATCATGGAAAAACAGAATTTGATTGCAGCCCTTGAACAGAGGGCTCGTGAGTTAAAATCGGAGTTGGAATCAGAGTCGAGCAAGATGAAGCTGGAGCACTGAGTGTACTTTTTGTTCTTTTTTCAACAGATTGAAGTTTATTTTTCTAGTTCCGCGCCACTAATCATGCGTCTATTTGGCCCCTTCATTTTGAACAAATTGAACTGTCCTTTCATAGTTCACTCCAGTTCATGAACCATATCCCTTCAAGTTCCAAGGTTTCCACCAAGTGTTCAAGGTCCGAAGGGTTTGATACGTCCTATTTAATCTGAACGTTCTGTCTAGTCTGACTTCGCGAAAAAAAGATAATTAGACCAACTAACTTCATTTGTGTCTAAGTAATATTTATCTCCTGCATAGGCTCACTCGCACTCGAACGAGCTAGTGCGGCGTGATAATCTTGCTAGACATTGTCCGTAGAAGTATTCAACATCTCCTGCTCTAAGCTCGCCTGCACGAAAGCTGCCATCCCATGAAGACTATCGTATAGGATAGGCTGCGATACATAATACTACAGAGGATCAATGTTAATATGAATCACACATTCAAGATAGGATACAACTCACGTCATATGAAGCCGATGAATTTAGGCTGCAAACTGACACTGTACCATTGTAGCCCAGTGTTCCATTCTCTTTCTGAACGACAAAATTATCGACGAGGTATCTGTAGCATTTTGTCGCTATGTTACGTGCTTCAGATGCAAGCTCATCAGAAAGATAGCCAAGACGAGCCGCTCTAAACAAGGCGGTCGTGAACATGGCCGAGCCACTCGACTCAATATAGTTTCCTTCCCTGTCAGGGCTATCCATCACTTGCCACCAGCACCCGGTATCGTTATCTGCAGCGGAGATAACGGCTGTAGATAAGTGGCCTAGCCTTCGATGAATATACTCGAACATGGAAGGGGGAAAAGTGGACGATAACTCCAAAGCATCCACGAGCGTCATCGTGTACCAACCCATGGAGCGACCCCAGACAACCGGACTAGCCCCAGTGAGAGGGTTCGCCCACGATGCTGTTTTTGACGCGTCATAACCGTGAACGAGAAGACCCGAGTTTTGATGGTAACAATGCCTCCAAAGAAGATCAAGCTGATGAACAACATCTTGCTGTACAGTGCGATTCTGTGGGTTGAATTCAGGTGTGTAGGACAAGAGGAACGGAATAAGGGAATATATTCCGTCTAGATAGCTCCAATTAGGATATGTGAAGTACCAGTACCCGCCGAATGCATTTCGAGGCTGAAGATTGATAGACTCTCTGAGTGCATGAAGGCTCTCGAGCTCCACCTTAGTATTAAGTCTCCCATATTGGTATAAGAGTCCTTTGCCTGTGGATAGCCGGTCAAGGGGGTAGCTGGTGTCTTTTGTAGCATTCAGGAGATATGACGCAATGCTAGTTGTGCTAATTTCCATATAATCTTCCCAATTAAATTCAGCGCAAGCTGCATGTGGAGTTTGATAATATTCAATCAGGCGAAGCACTGCTGATTGGAAGAATCCTATCTGAAGATAGGTGGATGATGATGGGCTAGAGCCCTCCGGAACAAGAGCTTGACCCCCCAGGATGACACTGTCAGCCATCCAGGCCGAGTAGGGCCAATTGCAGTCTGCTGCGCTTGCTCCAGATACATATAAAGCTGCTAAGCTAATGCAGAGGCTGATATGCATCTTGCGACGTGCTTATACAGAATGACGCGAGATGTTGGTGACATAACTGCTGCGTGGACATAAGGACCTCGGGACCTCGGGAGCTGAGACGAGGCGGTGAGAAATCCGTGGCTCCAGGCTCCAGGGCCCCTCCAGGGCTCCAGCTGTCGATCACTTCGATGAGTCATCGGTTCTCAACACCTGGGCACCTGGGCACCCGTGGACCTCCAGGGCTCCAGGGCTGCCCAGGTGCAGGTGGGCAGCCGGCCATCGGGAGGCATCAGCGAACTAAGACTGTGTTTTGCAACAGGGCGAAGCCAATCATCCCCTTCGACTGCCGAATGTAGCTAATTAGGTATGGACTCGATTTTATTCTCTCGCCTGATACGTTCAAGGTCCCAAAATTCAACGAGTCAATCAATGCATCTGTCGAACGCGACTTAACTCGCTTTCTTGAGCATCCTGTTAGCTGTGTGGAATATGCACCCCCCGCCCCCCCTCCAATATCAGCCTTGCAACAGGAATCCATGAGCGGAAATGGCTTGAGTGTCCAGGCAAACACGAATGGAGGTCAACAAAAGACAGCGTACGAGAGACAGAAGATTGCATTGATTTTGTGATTCATGGAGGCCAGGTCTCATTATCTTGCTAATCTGCATCCTGAATTCGGTACACCAGGTCTATAACACCGAACACATGACTACAAATATCGTAATCATTCTATCAAGTAAAGGTGGATCTCAATGACCACCTGGGTAGACTAGAAATATGCTGTTTGAGTACTGAAATTGCTCCTACTTGCAAAAGAAAAAGGACTTCTCGTATTGCGGCCTCAAAGGGCGAGTACTTCCATGGCGCCAGTCTAGTATTTTGAAATACCAATAAAATACCGCACATCAACCTTGGAAACAAAATACTACCTAGTTTTATATTGTATTTGAACAGTACTTCACTAAGCGTGGTATTTATATAGTATTTTAGAATTCCGGGTATTTCATAAAAGACAATATTTCATATTTGACGTGTTATTTGATGTTGACAATTTTAAAATTGTTGATGTTTATTCTTCAGTCTTGAAGGGTTTTTTTTTTAAAAAAAAAAGAGAGAAAAATAAAGAAGAAAATTGTTTTTCAAATGTTAGAATATATTAAACTACCGTAGAAATACTATATTGCAAGAGAGAAAGTTCAGGTGACCGCATATTTTGAAATACCATATATCTCAAACTACCGTAAAACTACCACTAAATTTACGGTATTTCAAGACATATAGCGGGCGGCATGGCTCAATTTCGTTTGGCTATCAAAATAAAACGCAAATTGGAAGTCAAAGAGAAAAGAAAAGCAAAAGAAACGCCTGCTAACTCAGGTTCAGACCAGATTCAATTTGCCACTTCAATTCGGCAATTTCCCTCTTCAAATCACGGTTCTCATCCTTCAACTCGGCATTCTCCTTCTGCAGTTCATCAATCTGCTCGTTTTTCCTCTGCAGTAGGGACTCTTCTCTCTCATTCCCCCGCATGGCGGCAACTTCTCGCTCTCGAGCCATCTTAGAGACCTTTCTCGCCTGGCCAGCATTCTGGCGTTGTAACTCTTGTGATTCCTGCTAGTATTTCAGATTCCATGAATCTCAAGGTTGGACTGGAACATAAATGATACAGGCCTGGCCAATTTCACTTACACGAAGCTCTCGCTTTTTTGCATCATCACCAGTATTCTTCGAAGAATCCATTTTGAAAAATGCAGATATCGTTGTAAATGCTATGTTGCTAAGTAGTTATCGTTATTGGACGACAAGTTGTGGGATACCGTGGTGAAGAAGAGGAAGGAAAGAAAGGAAAAGAGGAAAGAAGTATTATTATTTTCTGACATATATTCTATAGGGATTGAATGAGAGCTAGATCAGTTGATTTTGAAGTGAAGCCCTATGGTAAAGTGATGGTTTCCTAATTAGGCGATGACACTGAGTGAAGCGAAGTGATTGTTTGTCCCCCAGACGCGTCCCCCACCGCCCCCAGCCTATTTAATCTTCTTCCCTCTCTCTTTCTTCTCTTCTTTTCTTTTTCCCCTCCAGACGGTGTGGAAGTTTCAGGCCTAAGAATCTCACACTTACATATGTTGTTCATAAGCCGTTGCAAAAGAGGCTCCGACCGTTTGGATTTTCTGGGGCATATGGATGATGTATATGAGCCTGGGTAGGGACTGAAATGGAAACATGTCCGTCTCTCTGGTGTCCCTCTCCGATGATCTTAATCGAAAGTTTGGAATGGAACGACGTGAGACGTTAATGCCCACGAACGGATGACGCCAGCCAAGTCTCTGGGATGTATTAGCTTTGACTTATACTCTCAGATAGCTAATTGGCTAGGATAGGCACCTTTGGGGGCCGTGATGACATGCTATTATGCAAATTCTGAGTTTCCATTAACCCTTCACCCCATCCCCATCCCCCCTCCTTTTCACGACCCTCCAGGGCTGCCTGTATCTCCCATTTCATGACACATTACCAAGACAAATCAGCACAGAATTTTTGTAACACATCTACCCCTTCATCTACATCAAGAAAGGCTGGACACCTTCCCAGCTAGCAGCCACACAACAACAAACTTCCATCGAATGTATCATTGTTATATATGTACCCTGCTTCCACATCAACTCTTTTGCCCCTTGGAACGACGTTTGTATTTCTTTTGAGCTTGCCAATCCATAGTGATTTGGTGTCAAAACCAGAGCATGTCACATATTATGATAGCTTTGCTACGGTTATCATCCGCAACGCATGGTGGTCTCTCAAAAGTTTGCTTAATTCTATCTGCTTTCGAATGCCCCACCAAGGACTGCCAGATGGGCTCATTCCTAGTGACATTGAAAACTGAGTATTTACAGCTGTGACAAACGTGAGAGTATGTTTTCGGAATGCCATTGATTTCTTATATTCATTTGATCGCTAGGAGTTCGCATTATTATGAAGCAAATTACCTAGTGCAGGAGAGATTACCAGGTTTTGATTTCATCCCTATTCCCAGTTGCGCTGAACATCGAATGGATTCGATATGCTCATTTTTTAAACCGGAGTGAACTTGAAATTTACGAAAACATTTGAAGAGCCGAGATTCAAACCTCGATCCGTACTAGTATTTCACAATTTCACAACCGCTACTAGAGGTTCAAAAGTATTGGAGGACGTGAAGTGGAATTGCTCCACCAAATGACAAACTTCCCGTGCTAATCCCCAGCTGAATATATAACCTCCGCCCGCGACACCATATGCGTGCACAACCTTTTGCCCGTCCAAAATCTCTTTCTCGATTCGAAGTCCACCCTCGCGCTGAGGCCGAATGCCAACGATATCGCGCAAAACAGTGAAAGCCAAGGGGTCGGCAGAGGGGAAGGCCTCGGGAAGGTTCTCGTGAATCCGGCGGAAGATCTAGACACAATAAGGTCAGTACTGAAGGGGGCCTTGAAGAGTGTTGAGAAGTAGTAACTTTACATCGTTTCGCAGCTCACCGTCCACACTTGTCACTTTATTGTCAAATTGCTTGATACCACCCAATACAGTGGTTCCATCCTGTCTACCGAGCGCATACGTATAGTCCTTTCCCCTTCGAATCCAGATCTTGTCGAAATCCGATTTCACGAGAATAGTCTGACCACGAACCTCCTGAACCTTTTGATCCATTACATTGCGCAAGTATCGAGGACCAATACCGGCAGCATTGATGAGGTAGTCATGGCCCAAGCCGCATAGATTAGAGAGTGACTGAACGGTCATGCGCAGGAATTTGACCCCTGTCTTCTCAAGTCTGGCTCGCATCCAGGGCAAGAACACTCCTGGGTTGAGTACAATGGTCTGGTAAGCCATGCCAAAAGGCGCACCGGCAGGCAGCTCATCTTTACTCAAGATGTGAAACCCTGGTAAGTGGTCGCGATACCAAACTTTCTCAAGTGGCGTGAAATCCATCAAGTCATGCATTTCAACTCGACGCACGCTAGACTCCGGGTTATTGAGTGCTATCTTCCACCGGCTTGCGAACGCGTCCAACTGCATGCGTTGCTCGCGCAGGTTGGAGCCATCCATACCCATAAAGACTGCCCCAGCCCATGGGCTTGCCCACTCCGTCGAGTCTGGGTCACCAGGCAAGTTTCGAGCGACGATGGTCACTTCATAGTCCCGCGGTAACTGGCTGGCAATTGCCATCCCGGTGATTCTGCGTCTATTAGTATGCCCCACATTCAAAAGCGACAAAAGGACGACATACCCCGCTCCGAGAATTGTGACCTTGACCATAATTGAGATTGTGGGAATTTTGAAAAATATGAAATTTTTTGGATGGGTCTTCAAAGAAAGATCCTGGTCGATTTATATTTTGGTGAGTGCAGTCCTACCCGGTTGATCAATTATACATGACTCGTGGCTTGAACTTTATCTCGTGAACTTTATTCATTCGAATATTGGGGCAAAAGCTTATCTCGCTTGTTTTCCCCCTAATCTAGTAAGGTAAATTACGCCATTCGCCAAATCTACCAGGTTTTGTGAGGTATATAACAACTTGGCCCTTTACTGAAGTTGTTCGATGACACGATACTTTTTGGCAATGGATTCTTCCAAGAGCCCAACAGACCACAGGGTCTCCATCGACAAAAATGTACAAAGCGATGTGACGGTGGATGAGTACGAAGCATTTTTACAACTTAGTGAGCGATTTCTCACTGATCGACGAAAAGCCCTATTGAGAAAGATTGAGTATGTTCGCATGATCTCGTGAGAGGACTATAGCAGTCAACAACCTGCTGACAAGACAGTCTCCGTGTTCTACCGGCACTGATTCTTGTATACCTGTTTACCTATATTGATCGATCCAATGCCGGTATGTGGACCTCAAAAAAGCAACCTTGAAAAATCATTCGTCCAGGCTGACTCGCATAGGAAATGCAAAATCATTCGGTGCTCTTGATGACCTAGGAATCGATGGACAACAATGAAATACCGCACTTTCGGTTTTCTTCATCACGTATGCGCTTGGAGGAGTGTAAGTTCATCCAATGGACGTTCTATTCTCGTATTGTCACGGTCTGATCGATGACGAAAGCCCCTCGAATATCGCCCTGAAACATTATGGCCCTCGCCTTTGGCTTCCCATTCTCCTCACAGGATGCGGGCTCTTAATAGTTTGTGCTGGTTTGCAAAGTACATATGGTGGCTGGATTGTCTTTCGACTGTTATTAGGTCTCGTTGAGGCGGGTGTGTTCCCCGGCTGCTCATTCATTCTCACATCTTGGTATTCGCCACGCGAACTCCATACACGAATGACGATATTTTACTCAGCGGCATCCCTGGCAGGTGCTTTCTCTGGTCTTTCGGCCTATGCGATCGGCCAACTCGACCATGCCTGGGGCTATCGTGGCTGGCGGTTTATCTATGTGATTGAAGGAACATTCTCTTTTCTGCTCGGCTTGTCGAGCGTTTTTTATTCCAACCAATCCAGAGCAGGTCACAAGCTGGCTGTCTCCAGAAGAAAAACAGTTCTTGATCGGTCGACAACGATTTGCGCGCTTTGATGAGAACAATCGTGGTGAAATGGTTAAGGAACAAGATGGTTTCTCCTGGAATGCCGCTCGCAGCGCCTTCCGTTCTTTTCATACATACGCGGTCGCAGCAATTGAGTTCACGGTGGCTGTTGTCGTTTACGGTATCAGCTTCGTGCTACCTACAATTGTGGAGGATCTAGGATATTCAGATGTGAAGGCCCAAGCGATGACAGCGCCGCCTTACGTCTTTGCATGCATCGTTACTATCCTCTCGGGTGTGGCGGCGGATCGGTACCGCACTCGTATGCTAAGTGTGGCAGTTCCGAACATCATGGCTGTTGTTGGATTCATTGTTATCATCGCATGCGTGCGGTATTCTTCTGTTTCAGGTGTGACTTACTTCGGTATCTTTTTAATGGCAGGTGGTTTGTACCCGATCTCGCCAGCCGTGATGGCGTGGACTGCGCTAAACATGGCTGGTTCCATGAAGCGTGCCGTTGGTATGGCGTTGATGATGTCTATTTCACAGCTTGGAGGGGTAAGCCATCATTTCTTCTTCCTTCCCTTATAGATCTCTGCAAAAACAGTACTGACTCGACTGTAGATCGTTGGTTCCAACATCTTTATCACAAGTGAAGCCCCTACTTACCCGGTCGGGTTTGGCATTGGCTTAGGAATGCTGGTCGTCTTTGGTGTTATCTGGCCTGTTATCTATTATTGCATATTGAAGCAGACCAATGCTCGACGAGCTAGTATTCCGGAACAGGAGGTGCTTGCTCGTTACACGTATCAGCAGCTCGCCGCTATGGGTGATGAGAGTCCACTCTTCCGATATGCTCTGTGATAAGGGAGCATAGAGCACAGACCAAGAGACCTTGGAGTTCAGTCAGGACAGATGATTGAATTAGGAAAACTGAACAATGAAAAAGCATCGAAACTTGAAACCAAGGCAATGTAATCAAAACTTTGAGGGTGTATTCAAGTCATTCATACATTCAAGTTTGTGCCGGAGGATCAACTTAGAAAAGTTCCAATTTCACTTTCTAATCGCGATCGATTAACATACCCAGTAGCGGATGGATATATAGTAAGAGATAATTCTTAAATCTCGCCTTCTAGAATTGATATTTGGCAACCTTGGAATAACACTTAGAAGGTTTGACTACTCGGGAATAAACGTTCAAATGTTGCAAAAGTACTAGAACTGAAGTGGTGACTTCCAAGTTTCGAGCATAGGCCACGTAAGTGACCTCCCGAGGTCGGGACCTCAGTAACGACCCCTTCAATACCGATTCCCCGCAATGCTTCCCCACTCCATCCCCGGTCCGCTTCCTTCAAAGTCTTTCTCCAACTTGAACCCACTATGCCGACCCGAAAAGCTTTTTTTGGTCGAAGGTGGAGTACCCGAACAACATCCGGTTGCTTGGTCTGTCGTCGGCGCCGAGTGAAATGTGATGGTATCCTACCGCTGTCTATCCCCCTTTTTCGATAGGCCAAAAACTAAAGTCATTTCTCCAGAAAACAAGCCTGAGTGTCAGCGTTGTACCAAGGCCGGCTTTAGATGTGAATACGGAGTGGCCTTGAAATGGCCTGTTGGTGGTGCGAAGCCCGGCAACAATCGTAGTCGCCGGCCCCAATAATCTTGCTTCCTCGGATGCAGGAATTTGCTGTTTCCAACAGCATTCCCAAGCCATTGGATATTTATCCACCAATGTCCGACCACGATAAAACAATATTTCATTTTTGTATGTGGCTGGCATTCATGCAAAGAGCCGATTCCCATCGTTAATCCTCGATATATCAAGATACCAGTCACATGTGCCCTCAATGCCGACTTCGCGATGGCAATAACAACCTGTATCGACAGATAATCATTCCAATAGCCTTCGAGTCTGACCTTTTGCGCAGATCAGTCCTTGCCGTCGGCGCTAATCGCCTCAATATTCAAAGAACTGCGCTGCATCATGAAGCTGCAGTTTTGAGAGCATTACAAGGACTATTGTCTGATAACACCTCCGTCACCCTTGATCGACACCCCTTTCCGCGAGTTGAGATTCTTGCCGTCGTCCTACTTCTCTGTTTCTACGAACTGGACTCGCCATCTGATATAAACTCCCATCCTGTTCAACCCTGGCGCGTGCATATGCAAGGTGCTCAGCATATAATTCAAAACTATTTGCCCAGCTCAAGTTCATCTTCATCTTTAGAGTCTGGAATGATATCTTTTTTGGCTCAATACTTCGCAGCTCGCTGCACTCTCACCTATTCAGCCACACACACTTCTGAGAGAGACCATGGCATCCTCAACAGCGCAAAGTATTGGCTTGCTCTAATTGATCGACCTACTAGAGAGATCAACCTTTTTTGCCGGCTGCTCTAACGAGCTTTTAGCTCTTCTCCTTACCGTCACGCAGACTGCCAATTCCAATGAGTCGTACGAGGGAGGGTATATGTTAGATGGGATATGCGGCAAAATACAAAACGTCCGGCAGGATCTACCTCTTACAATGCAATCTACGAAAACCAGTACTCAGGCTGAAGGGATTGCCATGACCGCAGAGGCGTTTCGACTTGCGACTCTTGTTATCATTGAATCACTACCGCCATACCTGTCTCATGACGTGACATTCAGTGACCGGGGTGTGAAAACATGTGCCATATCTAGCCTTTTTGAATTGCTCACTACGCGCACTACTCCACTCCTGTCTCCGTGCGGAACTTTGGGCGCTTGCAGTTATTTATGGCCATACTATATTGCAAGTCGTCATATGATGAATCAAGATGAGCGGGATGTGTTGCATACAACGGTGAAAGGATTGAAAAATCAGAGGACTGGCGACTCGAAGGATGGAACAAGGCAACAGCTAATCATCAATCACATTCTCCTTATGCTGGAGAATACAAGGACTCCCCTGCTTTCTATATTGGTGGGAAGCATGGCTACACAAGTGGATCCACCTCTCACCGCCAATCATGGATCGACTGAGTGGAGTTAGTCTTCTTCTGGAGGTTTGTTACATGGGCACATTGTGTTAGAACTTAGACCGGGCCTGAAGATTGCGTAAGGTCGTTCTATTACATGACATCCTCCCGTCATTCATCGAGCACATACGACCACAGGGTGTGGAGAACAGGGCTTCCCGTCCGCTCAGCCGTACTTAAGCCACACGCCGGTCAGTTAGTAGTATGGTGGGTGACCACATGCGAATCCTGACTGTTGTATGTTTTTTTTTTGTTGTTGCCCTTTTTACTATGATCTTCTGCTGGGTATTTTTTCGGCTCGTTTGTGGAGGTTGACAAAGCTACCAGTTTAATCTGTAAAATTTGTAGGAGCCCACGTAGGAAGGCGCGGGTCTATCAAAAACAAATAAACAACTTCCTGCGACTTAGTTTCAACTTTTGAATCAAGTTGGCATCAAAGCATAACATCTTGAACAACGTTCACAATGACCTCTTCCCATCTCATCCGCATGATGTATCGCACGGTTTCTCTAGCAGCGCCACCCTTACCATCGACAATTCCAACCCCCCCTCTCCCTCTACCCTTACTGCCGCCGCGCTATGGATCTGCGCGAGCGTCGGAGGTGTTATCATTGCCATCACTGTTTGTGCTGTGGTTGTCTGACGGGCCCGGTGGGTTTTTTCGAGGCGTTTGGCTTGGGTTGTTATTTGCCCCTTTTGTCTCATCGAGTTTGTCTGAAATAGGTATAATGCCAGTCAGGCGCTCCTCGATCATCCTCAGCGAGTACTCAAAAAGGACTACTTAGACAAGAAGAAGGCCGCCGGTGGGTTGATATATTCCCTGAATTCATCCCTATCTGGTCCATATGAACCGGGTAATGAATACTAGCGCCACCAACATGTAAGATCTGGAAGTCTGCGGCGGTGGACGAGTCAAACAACAACGGCCTCCAAGTGCTGGTTGAAAGCAATGAGCTACAACCGGTGGCGGCGACGATCATGAAAAGGACGATGACCGCGAAAAAAAGGAGGAAGAAGTGCATACGGTCGTTTCCTCCAACGTGGCCGGCCTGTCCCAAGAATCAGACCTTTCCAACAAAGGAAAAGCCCCTCAACGCTCACAATCCCTTGCCCCCACTCCCCAGCCGGTCAATATTAAGTTTGTGATAGTCCCACGGGGCTATCGATTGCCGGCGATGACGGCGAGGCCGGCAGAGTCGCAAGCCACCGTGGATGCGTTGATCGCGACTTTGCGAGATAAAAAGTGACATGCGTCGGGTTTCTGTTGAATCTCCCCTCTCCTGTCTCTGTTGTTTGAATATTATTCTAGCCTTATGGGCGTTTACTCCGTTTCTTGCCCTGGCTGAACTGAGTTTTGTTATTCTTATTACCACAATCAAAGATCCCCCCTGGTTTTGTTTCGACCTTTGTTGCGTGTTGATATCTGGATGCACACCTCTAGCCGCCTATTTTGGTTTGGGGTAGAACTGTAGCATGTAAAATTTACAACACAGGAAAGTCAGTGTAGCTAGATTTTTAAAAGGCAAATTGACTACCCACTGTGCAGAGAAAAAAGATTTGTATTCTTGTATTCCGAAACGTAGGATTTTGCAAAGGCTTGAAGGTTCACTTAAGTGGTATGGAGCTAATGCGGCCCCTTCATAGAAAGCTAGGCTAATAGAAGTAGAGGTGGAGAAATGATAATTAACCTCGCCAGGAACATTGGAAAAGCAAATTATAGCAGCCAGAGAAATAAAGCAAAGAATCCAAGGAGATATCCCAAGAAAAGGTAACATAGCCTTATTCCAATTCCATCAACAATTTCAACCAGTCGCTTTTGAATATTGGTTTTTTATTCCCAGCCCACCTTGATTTGGGCTTGATAAAGAAGCCAATAATCATCATTGCTGTAAATGACAAATTGGTGATGCACAACCGCGTAGCCAAATCATCTCTGATATTTTTCTTGTCGTTGTCTGAAAGTTTGAAGCCCCGGTGCTCTGCACAGCACCAACACTCTGAGGTACAATGGCCCCTGCCATTTGGCCTTTTCGATGCGGATCTTCGTTTGCAACAACCACAGCCCCGACTACAACATCCAAATCGATCAGAGCAATCCTTGGTTAATTCTTCACGCATATACCACATATCGTCTTGCCCTAGGACATCATATGCACGCCTCGGATCATATCCAAGCATAGACTCCTCCCGGTAGAGCGTATATTCATGCTGGGGTAAAATGCGTTGAATTTCTTCTAGTTCGCCGACCAGTTCTTGAGTCCTGGGATTCTCGGTTTCACTAGCTGCTGCTTTCCGCAATGCCTTCAGCTCAATTTCAACACCTTCTTCTCGCTGTAAAAGCTCTCGTAAAGCATACTCAGCAAGTAGTACGGCAACAACTCTACAACGCGGGTATCTATCGCGGCGATAGTACCAGGTCAGCCCGTCCGCTGACCAACGAAAGTCCGACGATTTGTATATTGGCACGGCTTTCTTAAAGGGAAACTTCATATTGGATGTTTCCATGACAACTAGCGAATTTCTTTGGGTCAGGAGCATGTAGACGGATATCAACCCTTTTGGCCAGCGCTTGAGTGAAAATTGAAGAAGGCTTGTGAGGAAGGGAGGGGGGGGGGGGACTCTAGGGCTATATCCTATGAATCTGATATTCTTCTGTATGCCTTACAGAGCTGGATTTGATCAGTTGCGGAATGAAGCTCCAATGTCTACCCAGCCAGTTGTGAAAGTAGAGTGGTATCCCGAATTGACGATCTAGTGCTATATATCACCTAGTATACTCCGGACTCATATATGGAAATTTACGAGTCAGCGTGTCATTGACAGGTAATCGGGGCACGGTTATTCAATGCTCCAGTTAACGCGCATCATGTATTGGATTCCGATCCTTGCCAAGACAGACTACAGGTCAGCCGCCCCGTCCCAGAACTAGGCCTCTCAACGGACCGCGGGTGGTCCTGGTTGGCCTTGGGACCGGACCACTGGTCTTTTGGGGGTCCGGAGGTCCCAGAAACAAGAAAAATATATAAAATCTCGTGAGCTATATATTTCGTGAAGAATCTACTCTAAATATTATGTTATTGGATGAATATAGCTTTATGTTTAGGGTTGTTGTGTTAAGCCCTAATTGGGTTTAACTTTTGGTAATAAATATTATTATAACTTTAATCTACTATATCCTTCTAATTAATTGAATGTAGAAATAGGCTAAACAATATCTTAGTCTCTGTCATGGGTTGAACCCGATCGGGGCTTGCCTTGACAAGCCCAAGCATACGACCACATGCACCCCACAACAGAATGTCTGATCGCCAATTGAATGGCAAAGCGTACGGCTACATTCATCCCGGGACAGGATCTTTTATCGCTAAATAAGTAGTAAGCGTACAGCTGTATTCATCACACGACAGAATCCGTGTAAGGCCCGGACGGCGACGGTACAGTTGCAGGATAACGGCTTGCGGTAAGTATCGACATAACGGCTGTGTATACTCACGTTGCTTGGCAGCCGGTTCGTAACAGCATAGAACCTATAAGAGGACACTTAAGCCCTTAATCTTATATAATAGTCTTCTCTTCTTCTCTAAGCTTGAATGTAAACTGACTATCGGCCTATATCGTTCTGCTTCAGTCTTTATAGAGCCTTTCACAGGCTGGATCTAAGGGTTGAGTTGGGTCCGGGAAACATGGGTCCTGAAGAAGCCTAGTAATCCATCCAACTATATATTTATTAAGCCTTTCCTGTGAGAGAAAGTGCTAGATTAGGGTGGCACCTGGTGGTTAGGTGAATCGGAGAGATATCGGTGGCAAGTCAGGTAGTATTCAGTACTTTCCAATACAATGAGAACTAATACTTGAAGAACTTGGAACCCCGGCTCACTGGGGCCCAACTAAATACTGGATGCCCTGTAGTTCATCGCCTGAGGCGTTCCCATAATCATGGGGTTACCTGACAAGTACCGTGACACTTTATCTCAAACCAGTCTTCGCACAACTAATAAATAGTAGAAAAAAGCACCACATCTCTATCATAGAATAGTATCCCTATTATTTGACCTCTTGCAAGGTCCTTTGTCGACAAGAGAATGTCGATCACATTAGGAGTTTTAGGAGATGAGCTTTCTTCAACAATATGCTCAAGTGTCATAGTTATCACAACCTCAGTTCTTACCTCTTTCTAAGAGCTAATCTAGATCTCACTACTGAGTAATAATACTATACAATTGACGATAGGGATCCCGAGACTATTTCTAATTAACATCTTATCTTCCTTTGAGAATGCAGTAAATAATTCCTTCTTGAGAAATTCTTCCTCTATACCATAGCTAATGTTTTTAGTACACAGCGTTACTTTGGACTTTAGAGCTTGGCCTAAAGAATCAAATTTCACCGGAATCATCTTAAGAGAGATATAGATAAATCCATCATCAATAAATTTTAAGGCATTCCTAAAGAAGTTAGTAAGTATCATATAATATACACTAGGGCGAGTCGCGAACTTTAGATTTTCCAACTGGTCAATATCAAGAATGACCTTAATACCACCGTCAAATTCAAATAGATTACCAATAGGCGATATAAAGTTCTGATGTAACATGTTCTTGGTCTTTAGGAAAAAGTACCCAGCAAAGACCATTTCAATGGTCTCTTCCACCACAGCATCTAATTAAACGACAGAGTCCTTTTCTAGCTTCTTCACATTTAGCTCGGCTTTTAACATAGAAATTTCGCGGACCTCGAGAGCCTTAATAGGCTTAAAAGCATAAGATAAGATTATATATAAGAAGCCTTACTAGAGAATATTCATGACAGTATCATTAAGTATATCAATTGCCCTGAAGATCCCATAGAGCGGGGAATTAGAGATTATGGCTAATTCCTGCTAGTAAATCTAACTTAGCTCGCTCAGTCAATAAGGCGCCAAATTAATTGTTACGAAAGACAAAGGAAATACTATATGAAGAATTATGCGGCAGATCTACTGTCGTACTGCCTACGGGATTCGGCACCAAGTCCGCTGCACGTAAGGGGAAATCTGTAATGAACTTGTCAGATTAGGGGTGACACCTGGGGGCTAGGCGAGTGTACTAAGTGAGAGCGCAGGAATAGGGTTCACTTTGATACAACGACTAAAACTTGAGGAGTGTAAGTCGGGCCCTGCAGGGATTCCCCTTTACGTGCAGCGGACATGGTGCCGAATCCCGCAGGCAGTACGACAGTAGATCTGCCACATAATTCTTAATATAGTATTTCCTTTGTCTTCCTTAACACTAACTAACCAGTTAGTTAAATATCCGGGAATTCAATATTTTAGTCCGTTAATCTACAGTCGATCGAATGTTAAAGACGGTGTAAATTCCGTGTAATGTTAAATACCTCTAAATTTTGGACTTCGAATATTGGACAGCCCGAAATACTGAGGGGCATAAATATTAGCAATCAATAATGTTCGAGGAACTTTAAAATTAATAGGCGGAAAATTTTCAGATACATCATATTATGGTAGGTATAACGTTAAACTACTATAATTTTGAATGGCTTCGGTATTAGGTCGGATATAAAGAATTTCATGGATTAAGGAGCAAGGAACAAAAGAGAAAAGTATCAAAAGAACAAAGGCGCCTAAGAGTCGTAGAGCATATAGTATTTAAATCGACAGCGGCTACTGATTTTGAAAGTAAAGTTATTATATAATGTCAGCAAATCAGACCAATGAGTCACATGATATGTGATTGCCTGATCTTTGGGGACCAAAATGATGTACAACATGTAGACTGCGGCACGATCCGTAATATCCGCGGATATCCAATGGATATCAAATAATACAAATATGCCAAGACTGGTGACCTCGAGAGGTGTGCATTATTTTTATGTTCTCTTCGATATTTTTCGTGTAATAGCATTGTCATGATCAAATCACTACGATCTTGGTTTGTCCATAGTTCAATTGATTTTTATTTTCTCAGTAGAATACTGTATTAGATACATCATTTACAAATCTATCTGGAAGCCAATGCCATCTGGCAGCCTTGGCTGCTTTCGAATCCGCCCTGAACGCCCTGGCATATTCCTATTGACTGAGATCTCTGGAAGTTCATCATCCTCTTTAACAGCTTCGCATGGTCGTTTTTGGGGCTGTTTTCCTTTTGCCTGTTTATGATAATCAGCACTATCATTATTTGATTCATTGTCACCACTTAGGTGTTTGGGTATAATGTGTATATCCACACCACTTCAAAAATCATCAAGTCCATATTTGTCAAGGAACTCAACTGTGTTAGCCTTACAGAGAAGGTCTCTGGATTAGGTGTCTGCACCTAGCCGAGAGCCCACTATCCTTCAGGGGAAGTGCCCCAGACTTAAACTCCTCAACAAGTGTTAGTCTCAGTATAGATTGAAGATCTTCCTATCTGATCCTGTCCAGCACTTACTTGATTCGCATAAATTTCGTACTCGCTTCGCCTAGCCACATTGGTGGTACCCAAATCTAGCAACTTCATTACAATGGGTCGGAGATTTCGACCTATTTCCCAATCCATCAATGGGTTGGTCCGGGTCCGCATGGGTCCCCATGGATTGTGCCGAAGTCTAATTGAGACATTACTTTTTTATTACTCTTAGTTACTAGGTATATAGGGGAAATAGGGGCTATAACTATAGTCAATCTAAGCTATTCTGGGCTTATAACGTAATTCCCGGTCGAGCGGCACACCCGGCCGAGCGGCACACCCATCGCCAGTAGACAAATTCAAATTCAAATGTTTTAACCCAACACCAATAAATTCAGTTATAAACACGATTTTTACATACATTGATTCGATGCCAACCTCTCGACACCCACTACATGTTGGCGGGGCCTTAGGACGTGGCTGATTCAGCTGAGTAGATGATTCAGCCTGGGTATGTGATTCGACCACAGGTGGTTCGACAGGCAATTCTAGCTGCGTAAGTAGCTGTAGGCCTTCTTCAACGGTCAAGCCCTGCTCACATGGCACCTGCCTAGCTGATTGATTGCGTTTCTGTCGTTTTCTCTCATTCGCTGCGCGTAAATTGGCGTTTTCTTGCGCTAGTAGCGCAGCGTTATGTAGCGCTATGGAGTGGCCCTTGATGATTTGATCTAACATCAATTTCGATGGGCTGGGAGGGCTGTTTGATCGCTGTTTTAGAAGATCTTTAAGCATTGAAGCTTGTTTTTGAAGCTGAACCACAGTTCTAGGTGTATTAGGTGTAAATTTACTAGATCTGCTGCTTGGTCGGCTACCTGGTGGTGTAGGTTTCGAAGAGAAATATTCAATTTAGAAAGAACTCTTCCAGCATCAATTGGTACTAATCCAGCAGCTAAAAGGCTATTTTGGATAGTCTTCGGCCGAAAGGCCTCAACACGCGCACGTTGGAAATCAGCTAAGAAATCAAGCTTATCAATACGGTTATAGCCTGTGCGTGCAAGGTCACTTATAAAACGACCATACGTACGTTTTAATACTGCAAAACAACCAACATCTAGTGGTTGTAAAAGATGTGATGAATGTACAGGCATACATAGTGGGATAATATTGTTTTCGGTACAGATTCGGTCAAATTGGGGTGTAAGATGGCTTCCATGGCCGTCAAGAATTAATAGCCGAAATCGACCATGGACACGTGAATTTGTTGATGGAATGAATAGCTTTTCTAGCCATCGTAAACCAATCTCAACAGTAGTCCAGCCATTAGCTGAGACCTCGAATCGCCAATATTTTGGAAGGTTATCGAACCAGCTAGCACCAGCAACCTTTCCCTTAAAGATCACACATGGTGGTAATAAATAGCCATCTACACAGATAGCTTCAATTGCTGTTACCCATTCACGGTTTCCAGGTTGTAAAATGGATCGCCGACCTTAGTATTCTTGCCGTGTTACAACCGTCTGTGCTGAAATAAGGCCCATCAGTGTTGGAAATCAAGTGGATCTTGTCCTTATTCACAAAGGAATTGCAGCTGGTTTCGGTCAAATGCCGCTCCAAGTTCGAAGAGCCTCAAGGATTGCTTGTACCAACACTGGTGTCGTTAGACCGAGAGGAAAATTGGTCAGACTTAATGAGTGACACTTGCAAGACAGGAAGTGCAGCTGCTACTGCCAGAGTTATGTTGATCTCAGTATATCCTCCAAGTGTGCTGAACGCAGCAATGGGGTGCACATGACCAGTCCGAAGGTCAACCCAATATGGATTTCCTTCGCCTTCAAGTCTTATTGACTGGTTAATAGTCTCGTCTCCGTCATTGTACACCCAGAACAAATTCCCATTTCCAACTTCACGTTTATATGAGATAAGCGAATTATTGACCCCAGATGGATACTTCACAGACGGCTGGATGCCTAGAGCCTGGAGAGCAAGAGGGACATTACTCTCAGCTGCGACTGCGCGAGTCTTTGGTAAACCTTCGATCTTTCGAAAAATTTTCTCAGTTTTGTAGTAGTGCCGTTCGTCGCGGGGTCATAGCCAAATGAGGTCTGTGGGTTGCCACCGACGAGAACAATGGGTAGGCCTTTCTAGCCGTATGCTAGCACTTTCTCCGCTGTGCTCACATCGATTGATGAGTTAGTTACTATCAAAGCTTTGTAGTTAGGCCCTAACGGTGCCAGACGACCATCAGCGACACTGACGTTGTGTCGAGCCAAAAGCGAGGGGGGTTGGGAACTGGTATGAGTAACCGCCATCATTTAGACCGGCGTCGGCCCATGAGGCTGTGACACCCCAGTCGGTATTGAGAATTACAACATCGATAGCCGGTCCAGATTCTTGTAGCAGTCCTTGGGCATTCTTCAGGTAAAGACTGCATTGTTTTGCAAACATCCAGTGGGGTTGGCGTGGCCCCCAAGCGTCGGCGAATTCATTTGAGCTAAACAATGGAGTGAAAGGAGCAAAACCTGGCCATTCACTGGTTTGTGAGTATGCGTACGGATGACCGTGTATAACCACCTGACTGACACCCAAAGCGATATCGTGATTCGCAGTTCGAAGCAGAAAGCGCCAGGTCACACCATAAGCTTCATCCATATAGGCTCCGAGTTCATCAGACAGAATAGTGGTACGGCCTCCAATATCGCGACCGGTGGCTAGTACACGAAAGGCATCGTCATCACCATCGAAACCTAGCGATTCGCCCTCGGGTATGTCCAAAATGCTCGCTGCGTATGAGCTGTCAGACTCAGCGGTGTATGGCTGAACACGCATCCGCACACCAAGGGCGTTAACCCACTCTGTGAGACCACCGATTCGATAATCCGTGTATAGGTTGCTGACAGTTTGATAGAAGTCGTTGAGAATTTGTGAAGCCACTGTACCTTTGCCTCTAAACGTGTTTGTATCCTGGAGTACGTATAGCAGGAAAGGCGTGAGATCATATCCCCGTCTTTTTCGGAATTCATTGATAAGATCGGTTGTCCAGTATTGCTTGAGCTTCAGTTCCAAGGAGTCTTCGAACATAGATCCATTACTCCTATGAGCCATTAATTCAGAATATGCTGCTTCTAGCACGGGAGGATGTGAAATTTACCTCTTGATCTGCTCCTTTATCCCATCGGTCAGAATGTGCGAATCCCAGAACTTGATTCCTGCCTCAACACCATGAGGGCTGAAGTGGTCCACAATTGGATGTGGATAGGTGACTGGTGCATTTTCGGGATTTGCTGTGGTGATTCGAAACTATTCATTAGAAACGTAATATCAATCTCAGTCGGTGCTGAGAATGTACATACCATCATACATATTCTGCACTTGACCAGTTCCCTGATTGTAGGCTGCGACCACAACATATCGGCCATCAGATGGTGCAGTCCAGTTTAAAGTGTGGTTTGAGGCTGACAATACCTGCACTGTATCAGGAAAAATATCCACCACACTACTGCTGTCATTAGACGTCGTGGTACGAGCCGCAAGAACTGCGATGAGATACGGAGTTGCATGAACAATATTCCCTGTCTGGTTGCCGGATGGTGCTGCAAGTGGCAATGGCAGAGTTCCCGAGTAAGTTTGACCGGCCTCCAGAAACACCTGACCATGAACTAGTTCCTTCATTATCTCAAGTGAATCAGGCGTATACCCGGGGAAACCAGTCAGCCAGGATGGACTCAAAGTCATATCAACATGTCCACCAAGCCTACAGTGAAAAAGGGTCAGCAGTGCACAGAAAACGATGGATCAAAAATAAGTACCTGTTACCATCCGTATATGCTCGTTCAACCGCTGCAATCCAACAGGACTGCCCAAATCCATAGATCTTGTTATCCATCCAAGCATAATCCCTATCATAAACATCACTAATCTCACCGCCACCAAACCCAGCACCCAGAATGTCCGAGATTTCCGACGAGATTTCATCCGGTTCAATGAAGCCGCTAGGCCACCACCATCGAAACCGAGGCGATTGATAATTAGAGTACGACGGAAGTCGACCCACATTTGTCTCTGCTCCAGAAGAGAAAGCAAAGGCAATTCGCAGGTGAAATACCAATGTCAAATATACCATTTTCATCTTGTTCATTGCTGTGAACTAGAGAGCGCCAACAGCACTCCATTTTGGAACTTATATATTCTTTGGAGCACGGCATGGATTGAAAATTACTCATTCTACGGAGATCAACTTCCCCGAGGATTGCAATAATCAGTCAGTCTTGGCTTATTTCGAAGTTCTCCGTCCCCGCATTTACTCCGCAGCTTTCAAGGCAATATGGGGTCATTTCTCTGGCATGCGGTCCTCCCCGGAATGGGACAATCCAACGCAGACATCAATAAGAAACGCATGTTGAGAGACTTCCAGAACTCGCTATAGATCATACCGAACATTCATTTCCACAAAAAATGCCACAGTCTTTACAGAGCTGACAGGGCAATTGGATGTGAAAGGGGACGAATGAGATGGTCCCTGAGAAAGAAGCCGGGAAATTGACTTTGCCAAGTCTGATAGTCTATTGGTTCGGAATTTGGTGGGTCTTGAATCAAGATGTAAGAACCTTGGAAGAGTCCAGAAGACTCTCCCCACATAAAGCTTCCCAGGTTGGAAGCGAACAGACCAGTTGACTGAATAGACTTGACTTTGCCGGTACAGTATTTCTTCAATTTACAACTAATGCGTATAAAAAAACCACGAAGTGAGTAGTCTTCTGTAGACATGAGATTTGATATCATTGGTTTAGGATTCCGAAATCATCTGAGAACATATAAGCACCAGCCGAGTCATACTCAGGCAAAATTCCCGTTGCAAGTAATTCGTCACAGCTAATGTGCCCAATCCCTGCCCTTTGCAAGATACTCCTGATTGTGGATAGTCGTCCCGATACTCCGGGAAGGAATATCGTTTCCTCCATAAAGCGAATGGAGTCTTCTATGAGTGATAGATGCAGAGATGTTCGGTTTCCCCAAAGGCTATCAACAATCAGGGCCCAGCAAGCACTTTCAATGAAAAAAGAGTTGTTTGGAAGAGTCTAGGCATGTTAGATGCGATTTCATATATCTGAGCAAATCTTGAAGCGGAAAGCTAAACCTTTTGTATATAATCTGTTTTAAATAATTGGCGGAAAAATTGTATGCTTTCTGCTGCAGCTTCGATTGCATATTGGCATGCTTGTTGTAAAATTGCAGTGATCCCGGTACTTTCACAGGTGCCATCCTGTTGAATATGCTGTTCGTCGGTATTTATTTCCATCTTCGTTCGTAAAATCAGGAATGGGCGATAGAGAAGCAGAATAGAATGTTGTAATACTATAGAGGGATATGTCAGTTGACAGCAAATACGAGGGCCCTTGAAGTACTCACATACAGTTCCCATATCAATGTCGTCCTTGAAAACAGAGCCCTGGTGGGGATTTTCCAAAAGCCAGAATGCCCGCAGCCGGTGTTCGAGTGATCTGGAAGCACTCCATAGCTCTTGAACATCCATGACGTCGGGGTTGTGTAAATCCTGAATCTCGGAAAGAATGGAGAAAAATGGTTGCATAAGTCCGATGATAGTTTTGTCACTTTTCGGCAAATATCTTAGACCTTTTGAGAAAATAGTCTCACGGCCTAGGGCAAAGCAAACGAAGCTATAGGTTGCAAAGATTCATCAGAAAACTAGACCTCAATAAAGAAACGACTAGGAAGACCTTTCATGGCAACAGAAGGCAGAGATGATCGCCTGCTCTTGGGGTGTGCGAGCCGAGTTATCCATCCCACTTGCTAGTATCTTGGGGAGCATGGCGCCAAGTCGCATATATGCTGATGTGAAACACCCAGAATCTATGTCATACTGAATGTAGACATTCTTAGTTAGTTGAAATTCTAAAGACAGAGTAGACCAAACTTATCATCAGCAAATCGCTTTGGAAGGCAAGGATATCGCCCACAGGTTCTGCCGTCAGTGTCTCCCTTTGTGCATCCGCAATGAAAAGGCTTCCCAGCTCAGCATAGCCTGCTGTAATTGCGCCAATGCCAAGCATAGGGAAGAAAATGGATCGCCGCGCCTTGCCGTCATCAAACATGGGCGAGGGTGCTTGGTCAGCAAGATGGGGTAACTGTGCGCGAAGGCTATTGGGCGATTGGAATGGAAGTACTTTCCACGCCATGGATATATATTGGTCTAAGAAAACAGACTGAATCTCCAATGAAACCGTATCTAATGGACCTGGCAGAGTTGGATTAAGAGGAGGTCGACGAGACGATTCGGAAATTGCAAAGACCTGCAAAATATATCGTAAGACATCCCGGGTGTGATCATTCGAATATTCCATCTCGGATCCCAAAATCAAAAAGCTGTTTGATTGCCATATCAAGTCTAGTAGGAGACTAAGTACGGCCGCTGATGAAGTACAGCCAAAGGTTCTGGTAACAGTCCCTCTTGATGGTACGCTGTCGGTAATTCGAATAGTCTTCAAAATGCTCTGAAGCTTCCTCCGAGTGTTTTGATCATCAATTTCCGTCTCTCTCGGTTGCGCAGCTTTGATAACGAGATGATCGACAGCAGGCTGTATGGGAATGAAAGTGGCACGCTGATTGGTCACTGTTTTCTGTGTTGCTGTATCTCGTCTCCGAGCTTTCTTCCGATAGTTGCATTGCGCCGAATTATTGATGCAACGCTCACATGGGTTCAAGCCATTACATTTTAGTTTTCGCTGTCGACAGGCATCACAGGCTTTGAAAACATTCGACCTCGGACCTAAGTGCAGTTTAATAGTGGTGCTCAATGCGATCTCACATTTTTTCGTACCTTGCTCGCGTGGATGTCTGGAATTCATTTTAATGCGTGTTCGAAGTCATGCATCTAAAGTACCCCCAAATTTGCTTATTCATGTGGGGTGTACTAGACCTCGGCCAATGGGTACCTCGTACGGATGTGGACAAGCAAAAGGGTTGTCAGTAAGTACCGAGACTAGTAGTATGAGTAATGAAGGGCCTTTCTCTTTCTCAGTGACCCTGTACTCCGGAATGTGGAGTAGGTTGAATCTGATACAATTAGCAAGAACACCCAACAATTCACGAAGCATTTTGCGGGGAGACAAGTCGGGGTTGCGGGGTATGTCGGTGTGATTGGTTGGGTAATTCCGAGTCCCCACTCTTTGCAAGATTATGAAATGCTCACCAGTTGAATACGTATGTCAATTTATTTGAATGAACATTCGGAAACCATGACTCTTCCCAGACTTCGAGGTTTTCAAAAATGAGAACTTTGACGAGCAGAAACTTCGGAATGTGGACCCGATAGACCTCAAAGTAACTTCCAATTCGTGTCAGTCGGCAATCCGCGAAGACCTGACAAAAATTATATATAATGCCAAAATGACAGGTTTCAATGTTGGAGGAATCGCCTTCAAGTTCAAGCAACTTGAACCTTGGAAGCTCGACTCCCGAGGTCGTCACTCTACCCACTACTCGTAGGTCACTTACCTTGAGCATCTGTCCAGCTCGTGGATACACAATCTCAGGCTACTACTAGTATTCAAGAAGCCCGGAAGCCTGGGTCTCACCCCTCCCAGTCACCCGTCGTGTTTTCCCCCTTCATAACCTAGTTATCGACGTCTAGTGAAGCTTGCTGAAAATCCTCTCTCTCTATTAGTCAATCTACGAGGGTCACCCGAGACAACATGAGGTGGACGCGTCTACTACTGGGAGCAGTCGCCGCGCTTCTTCTCCCCCATGGGGGATTCGCGATACCCGCTCCAGGAGGTGGCGGAAGCGTGTCGCGTGGAGTGAGTAGTCACTGTGACCGAGACTGCATGACGGTCATCGTCGACGGGATCTTGAATTCTCTCGTGGCCCATGACCCGTATTCTCTTCCATTGGCACAAATCTATCGAGCAACTGAAAACTCGCATCCTGCTGCTCTGCACATGATGACCCTGTGGCGTACCGTTACACGAGCAGATGGACCGAACCTTTTGGCAATCGATACCAAGAACGGCTCCGCATACTTTGCCTTGGATATAAGCGAGGGGAGTGACGAAAGACAGTCCGTTCTCTGGGCCCGGATAAAGGTTTCCAACAGGGAGATTACAGAGTTAGAGTTATACGTGAATCGCAATCGTGGTGATCATGGCTTCTCTTTCTCACCCAAGGAGCTACCGAAGAACTACTTGCGATGGATGAATCCTCCATCTGATAGGACGAAGGCAAGCAGGACACAACTGGAAAGCCTCGGTGCAGCGATTTTCAATACAAACAGTACTTTCTCAGTAACAGTGGCTTCTGACTGCCAGTTCACTGAAGAGGGTTGGACTGTAATTGACCCTGGCCCAGACCGAAATGAATCCTACGCGCCGGTTGCGTGTAGCTGGACTAATACTCGCCCCACGGACTCGAAGGCACGAACCAATCTTGTCATTGACGAAGAGTTCGGTATAGTTGTTACCGGTGCCGTCATTCCAGGCAAAGTTTATCCGTATGGCAACATCTCGGCCTTCATCCCGAATCATATGACATCAGCACAGGAGTTGCAGCAGGAGTGGTTTGAAGTTAAAAAATCTGAGGGAGCTCAACTTCTTTTGAATCCTACATCGGCGAGTGGTGAAACTCTTCAAGTTCTACAGTACTATAACAACTCACTCCAAGGTCAGCAGGTCATGCTTTACCTGAGTGGTCCGGATATGGAGTCCGCCTGGGTGCAGTAGATTAGATATCTTTGATACATTCTGTCCTTACCCGCTTTCGAGAAGCCAACATTGTCTGTCTGTCTTGTCTGTCCTTCTTGATCCACAGTTGATCATAAGCTGCATAAACATATTGCTTCCCACTATCTCTTCCTTTCTTATCCTATTCACCAGATCAATTCAGGGCCCTTGATGCAAAGTCAAGTGCTCATGTGTAAAGCAAGTCACAATGACCGTTGAAGTGCATTCACTACCACATTCTTATATATCCATCCCTACTAGGCCCAAGCGTCCGGGTATGAGATGCATTAAGAAGCCCGTTGACTCCCCGCCACAGTGGACACCTCAGAAGTAGAGGGGACAACCTTTTCAACTCTGGAAGATTCCAACAATATGCATATGTGGCGGTCTGGGAATATGCATGAATGCCTTGTAAATATGATTTCGAGAGATTAGCCTTCATAGACTGCTGCATGTACCCTTCCTCCACAAATCATAAGTAGCATTCTTCTGTTATTAAGTTGCTCGGACTTTTTACATAATGTGCTCCGAGAACTTCCTCATTTGGCTGTTCAGGAGCAAGATCTTCAGTCTTAATCTGTAAACAGTGCTCTTGGGTTGATTGACTCACCAATAGTATGAGTAAACTTTTACAGTCCCTGGAGCTAGAGAATTCATACCGACGGTTATTCAGCTTTTCAGGATGAGGTGAAAGAGAAGAAGATTTGGAGACACAAAAGGCGGATTAGAGCACAAGGCCTAGCGAAAACGAATGCGAAACCCGGAATGACAATATCTTTGTTTCAATGACCTTGCTACTTTGTAAAAAGGGCACTCTGAGGACTACAGCCATTGATGATTGCCGAAATGCGAGACGAAAGAGCCACCATCCCCATTGGACACACTTGCTTTGCTCATAACTGAGAGAATGTCCTTGACAGAAGCTTCAGTAGTACTAGGGCCTTTAAAATCCGGTGCAGACTCGGCAAAGGACTTCATCATACTTTTCACACGTTCTGCCTGCTCCGGACTTGCTGCAAATGTCATAAATCAGTTTGCGCGCCAAAATGTTGTCTGAATGAAATTCATTGAGCGACTTATACGTACCTTTATTGTAGCGCCCGGTATCCACCAGGCCTGGGCAGACGCTCATGAAGAGGATACCCTCCTTATCATACTGCGCACTGAATTTGGCCACGGCAATATTCAGGCCTGCTTTACTAATAGCATAAAGTGCCGATAACTCTATGCTCAGCTTGGGAATCATGTCTAGGGCCGCTTGGCCGCTAGTGATAGCGATGATTTTCTTTCCCTGGCCCTGGCGGATGAGAGGAACAAACACATTGAAGAGATGAATGTTTCCCACAATGTTCACTCGCAAAAGATGCATGAGCTCTCTCTCAAGAGCCTCAGGCTGCTCTCCCCTAAGGATGAGACTTAGCTAGCACTTGCTAAGCGAGGAGAAGTGAACATACAGGACTCCAATAGGATCATATGCATCAAAATGAGCTACAGCACCGGCATTAGCGATGAGATAATCGAGTCCACCGCCAGTAATTGCCGCTACTTCAGTAGCCGCAGACTTGGAAAGTCAGTATTTTCTTGATAAGGTTACTCGACGACTTGTAATGTTCACCTGAAGAGAGCTGTAGTCCGTGATATCCCCCTGCAAAATATGGACGTTGGACCTTTCTGGCCATTCTTGAGATACCTGGGCTTCGACGGTAGGCTTGTTTCGAACAAGACCGAAGACTATGTTGCTTGGATCACTGGATAGTTGGTGTAGGAGCTCCCACTATCGCTCCGCACACATTAACACAATTCCACATTGAATATGCACATTTGAGCACCGTAGAGTGAACTTACTCCAATGCCTCTCGATGTCCCGGTGATAAGATAAGAAGGCATTTTGTTCAAACAAACCTTTCTCTAAGTGTCAGGCTGTGGAGATGAGAACCAGAAAGGGGATCATGGCTGTATTTATTTTTACGGAGATCAAGAAATCCTCTCCAGTGTCATATCCCAGAAAGCTGCTTCCTTCCCGCGTTCCACCAATGCTTACAGTGAAGGGACTCCGCTAGTCTGTATGAGGTGATAGCTTCAGGCCCCCCCAAAAGTCAAATTTTGACACGGACCGTTGGATGATAATGGCTTATCCTGTTAGAATGACGCGTTGCTTGATATTTCGTAACTCCGAACTCAACATGTCCAACATATTGGTGGTGTGACAGCTGCAGAACATGCCATATGTAGGGTTTTGGGATCTCCATCCATATATGTCGTCACTTTGGGTAGTAGTTAGTACTCATGTCGGAAAGTCTCCTGCGATAGGACTGTATCCACTGGCATCTGTGAATGATTGATGCATCCAGACTGATTGGTTCCTATGTCAAAGCTCCAGGATTTATTTGAAACAGAAGGAATGTTCGAATACGAGCTGTGCTATGATACGTCCGGCAGTTATACCATTGATCCGATTGATAACTTTACCTCTTTTCTTTGGTGCGCCTTGAGTCCTCTTGTATGTTCGGAGCATTCGGTGTCATGCTGCCGGGTGTTGTTCACAGTAAGTACCCACGGCTCGGTCCAGAGCTGCCGCACGGACCCCGGGTATCGGATCTTCCATTATTCCTCAAGTTCCACTTTGCTGGGTTACGTAATATTGAAGTGGACCCTGGGACTCTCTATGGAACTAAACCTATTTCGATTGTCGGCCATCACACCTGAGCGACAATGACATACTGGATACTTTCAAGTTCAGCCACCTTTACTCTACAGTCTTCCTAGCATAATCAGAAATTATGTCCAGCTTACATGACCTTCTCAACAGACAGCGACCCGGACCATGGCAACAGTTCCGAGCTCAGCCATGCATCTTTCTCGCACGACAGCTATACTATACAGTCTATACTTGGCAGCAATATATCCCATCTGCATCAGTCAAAAACCCAGTTTCTGTCGTCTTCATCTCTGATACGCACAACAGTCAAGTCCTAATCCCTGATGGAGATATTCTCATCCATGGTGGTGACCTGACACAATCTGGATCCTTTGAAGAACTCCGGGAAGCAATCACCTGGCTAGGTGCGCAGCCTCACCATACAAAAATCGTTATTGCCGGTAATCACGACATATTACTTGACTCTGCACGGGGCGGATCCTCCGACCGGGCAGCATCTGAGCGAGCAAAACTTGACTGGGGTGATATCATTTATCTAGAAAATGAGCAAACCATAATTTCATGTCCAAATGGTCGCCGCCTTGCTGTCTATGGAAGTCCTTTCTCAGTACGGCATGGTAACTGGGCCTTTCAATACCCACAAAACGAAGATGTATGGGCTACTTAGTGCCCGATAAAATCGATATTCTTGTCACTCACGGACCGCCACTCGCTCACCTTGACTTATTCAAGCTTGGCGCACCCATCTATTGCAGGCACTATGGAGGGTTCGACCAAGGTTGCATGTCTTCGGGCATATACATGAGGGGGCAGGCGCTGAATCTTTGTCCTTTGATAAGCTCCAGTCTGCATATGAGCGCACCCTTGCGGCTGGAGGGGGTATTGGGAATCTGTTTTGGACAGCGTGGGAATTCATGATGGCACATTTCTCTCCGGTAGTGGAACCTGCGAGTCTACTTGTGAATCCATCAATTGATGGTGGCCTGCGAGATAATGAGCGCAGGCAACCCATCAAAGTCTACATCTAGTATTATGTTATCCAAGCTGAAAAAAATGAAATTCCCCGAAGGAGAGAATCACGAATAAGGAAATAATATATAATAAAAACCTAGTAGCTATCCATATGTTATCCAGGCACATCTATAAATATCGCTGAGGTTAAGATTAAATCGCCAAACAAGACTTGATAGATCCATAAAAAAGATTGATTGTTAAAAAGACTTGTAGAATCACAAACAGAACCCTCAACATAAAGGTTTGAGACAGTCCGAATCATGAATTTGAAGTGCAACAACTTGAAGAGTCCTCAACATGCACAGATCGGAGTCCTTAATAAGAGATTTGAAGACTGCGATATTCACAACATGAACATAGATACCAAAGAGAACAGTACCAAAAAGATACTTAAACTAGCTGCCGCACCATTCCTGCTTGCCACATTGGGAGTAGAGCTGGCAGTCGTACTACTGCCAGTGGCTGTCTGTGTGCTTCCTCCACTGCTTGAAGCGGTCGAGCTACTCTCAGATGCCGCTAGAATACCGCCTTGAACATTATCCGGTACAGTTGTGTCGGTGGTACCTGAAGCTGAGCTTTTGAATGAACTCAGAGTATTCCCTCCGCTGGACCTGAATTGACTCATAATTAAGTTCGGGTACTGGAGATGAGGGCTGGAGCATAACTCTGCCCAGGTGGGCGCACTCACGGAGGATTTATAACTCCAACCATGCCAGCCTGACAATGTCCCTCTTGACCACAATAGTACCAGATAGGATCAGTGTTGTTGATCGTCAAAGTGAACACAGTTTTCTATCGAAATAAATCAGAAACTCCGGATGCATCCATATCTTTAGAGCGATGGCTGATCTTTCACTTACGGATTCTTCGCTGGTAGGAACGAATCCACTAAAGAATCCACTGCTATTCAGTGGATGACAAGGATCATCAAAAGATGCTTGGGCGACAGAGTGATTCTGTGGATAGAAATGAAACTCGACCGTGTCGCCGACGGAGGCAGACAGAGAGGCGGGATCAAATGAGAACCCATCTTCTCCTACATCTATTTTGTGCACGAGACTTGTCTGTGATGCAGACATAGTGTTTGATGATTGGGCAGTTGTCGTCGGTGATCTGCTTCAATTGTTATCAACTGTATATGCGATAGAGATCATCAATGTAGAACCGACATATTCATTTCACAGACCCAGAATCATTTAAGTATTCCGACTGAATCGAGCTGTCGTAAGTATCGGAAAAATATGGGAGTTGAAGCTACCAGTGAGAGATTTTCACATTTTCCAGTGAAGGGCATCAGGATCAAAAGTCCTTATCTATGCTTCAAAGATACCAACGGTTGATCGAGCCCCGGACTCCATGCATATACCTACTATCCTTTCGTCTTTTGCAGAAAACGGTCAAATCCAAATATCGGAAGCTCCACTGGAGTCACCAGTAACCCGCGACGAATTGAATCAAGGAAACCAACTTTCGAAATACGAGTCTGCGCACTTGACATGCCAAATTTGGAGAGTCTTCGAAAATTTGACAGAAAATTAACTGGAAGAAGAATGTAGATCTATCCAGCATAGCCACCACATCCGCGCCTCACTCGTGATGTTGCTTCCCAGGATTGAAATAAACTTCGGTCAAGCTCAATTTGGTTAATGTGCCAAACTTTACCTGAAGCTTGACATCACGTATCCATGGATCGGCTCCTGGGAGCTTTCATTTCAAATAATTTTTTTTTCACTAAAGCAGGTCATCTAGGCACCATTGAAACGTCAGGATATGGCGAGGCGTAGGGATAAGTCGGATAAAACCTAGTAGCGCTATGACCGCGGTCGTATAGAGTTGAAACTCAATCAGGAAATCCTCAATATAAATTAGACAACGCCTTCCAAATCGAATGACCTGTAAGGTTCAAAATTGGAAGCTTTCTCAAGCTGTCTAGTTGCATGGGTTGACATTGTCCGTGTTTTTGAATGAGAATCCGGTAAGCTCAAGGGACAAATATAGCAAGGCTGATAATAATAAGGCCCATAGCAATATGGCGCTCAGAAATCAAGAATTATGCGGAGGAACTTCAAAATGACAGTTGGTAGCGTAGTAGAGTGGAATTGAGGAACATTTTAAATTTCAGTCTAGCTCTTGCTATTCATTTCCTCAGTTCAAGTTGCCGAAATACCGGACTGGAGTGGTACCTGGTGCAGGGGGTGGAGGGCCTGTTGGAGGGCTCGGTTCCCTCCATTCTGGCATATTATTTGGGTCTATTACCATGCTTTTAATCTCCAGTGGAACATGATACATTGGACGAGGAATGAAACCGGGTGCTTTTTTTGTTTTTCCCACTGTTCCCTTCTCAGTCTCTTGAGTCTTTTTTCCTCTGGCGTGGGACTATAGATGATGAGTAGTGAGAATATAAGCACCGGGAAGAAGGAAAGGGGAACACTCACAACGCATATTTCTGGGTATTGTACCATAACCGACAGACACGATCCTTTTGGGCCAATTCATGGCTTGGCAACGGCGTCATGCCATTGAGAAGCAAAGAGTTAAAATTTCCATCTTTCCCCTCTATATTCCAGTGTGTTCAAAACTCAAAAAGCCGTGGGTAGAAACCAGCAGACTCCCAATCAACTATGCAAATTGTTCCATCATCTTGCCAGATTATATGGCTTGGTGCAATGTCCAAGTGACACAAAACCAAATCACATTCCTGGAGACACGCTCCCCTCACCAGGAAGAAGTCAACTATTTAGCCATGCTTTCATCTCAGCTGTATTTCAAAAATTGAGCGGTTGACTACTTTCCCACAAAATTCCTGCGCATGGACCGCCGGCAAGGTTACGGGGCTTCTGGCCTAAGATTGTGCTGAAGTGGTTCAGGACTTTCACAACTCGGTCAATAAGTCCGGGGTCCTCAAGTGGATCTATCGTTTTCCCCTTCACAAATTCCATCATGATATAACCAACTCCTTCATCTCTGGAGTAGCGATAAACCCGTGGAATGCGCAGGATGCTGAAGTCGACCAGTTCATAGGCCTTTTGCTGATTTTCTGCCTCGTACTTGGTCAAATGCGGGCTATATTTGATGACAACGAGGACCATATGGAATCCCACCGATTACACGATCAGGTGGGCCATGCAAACAGAAGTCGGCCAGTTCGCTATCCGATGCGGTATGGGGTGTTCGACAGCGCCTGGATAGGTTTTGTTTAACAAAACAATAAAAGGGGCATTTTGATGTCGTGGAATGTTCAAACATTTGATAAATTGCCAAGAAATTTTTGTTATGGTGTCTTGGTAAGAATGAGGACGAGGATATGTTATGGTTTGTTGGAATGCGGCGGAGGCAGAATACAAGAGGCGAAAACATCATGTGACCTACTCTGTGTATAATTTATTGTTTCATGAATCGGCAAGTAGACCTCTTTTTCTACTTGGGTTACAGTGGTTTTTCGAGTTTTCTCACCGTTTGGCAGAATACCCCCGAGGTCAGAGACCCTAGATTTATCAATAGACTATATTTTTTCTTTTGTTTGTTACATCTAAACATGCACATGTGAATATATCCCGCTTTATTTAGTTATCTCTTACTTCTACTTTACATATCTCAGAGGTCTCACTTTAGATATCTGTGGGGTTACCAGTTGCCTATATCTAACTATATAGTAGCTAGCATTTCTCTCTAGGTATTCAAATGTTCATACAGGTAACCCAGTAACCATGCAGGTAACCATGTAGGTAATCCTGTAGGTACTTATATAAAAAGAGGTGTCAGTCATTGTGTAGAACATCCTGAGGTCCCTGTTTGAGAGGATGCGGACACATCTAGCCAAGCACTCGCGCGCCGAAGACATACCTCTCCAAATTTCAAATGCTCGCTGCTTCACTGGCAGTGCCGCGCTTCGCGCGGCGTGAAGACTTGTGCCGATACTACCATAATAACAGGGCTCGAAAAAAGAATTTCCGACCACACATCTGACGTTCAAGTTACCGTCACCCTAGTCACCCAGCGCCCCCAGATCAGGCGGTGGCTTATCGCTCGATTTAGCCCCCGGATTTTCAGTGTGGACACCCGCCTGATTTTCACGCGATCGAAAAATCCATACTCCGTACTCGCATTTGAAGGCGTCAAAGCTGTGGGTAACCATTTTTCCTTTCCCTTCTTTGTCCTTTTCCTCCTCCTCCTAATTTCGCTTTTATCTCTGACTTTCCTCAAATTTATTTTACATATTGCGAAAAATAGGGGGTTCCTGACCTTCCATTGAAATATCCGGATTGTAATGAAGGGCCTATTGCGAGCTGCTGCAATAATCAAGCTTCCACATCTGGGATTGAGATTTTGGTTGACTGTTCCCTGTTTTGAGAATTTAACACGCGCAATTGATGAATTGGACCAAATGACTGCATTTCAAACTTGAATTTTCCTCTTGAACAATCATGCCTAAATCTGACACCACACATGCAGCTAAGATCCACCGGTTTTGCGGATGACGAGGCCGATCACCAAAAGAGGTTAGACTGGCCAACCATATTGGTTAGACCAGGACGAGGAGTGACTAAGCGGTAAAGCAAGGAGTTCCCATTGGTCAGAGCTCAATCTGATATGGAGCCACGTGGATCCACACCAATCCCAATCTGGTACCAAGTTATCGCTAATGCGGAATAGATTATATCCACCTGGCACTATACACCGCGATGCGGTGGATCTGTCAGCCACCTCTTTTAATCTTTTGAGGAGGCTGGGAAGATGAATCCTTCAGGCGTCGACCTAGATTCCCGTATTTATCTAGTCCTTTTCCTGGTACCTCTTACAAATTCCGCCAAGAAACCCAAATCCCAGGGTTAACACTAGAACATGCATTCAATTGTTCGATTATCAGCCGTCTGGGCTGCCGCATTTCTATCTCTGACAGCGGCCCAATCATATACAAGTTGTGACCCAACAGAAAAAACGACCTGCTCTGAAGACGAGGGAACAACGAGCTCAGATATCTCTTACGACTTTACCCAAAGCGCGGATCTAGAAAAATGGACGACGACCGCTGGAACAGTCACGGCGAGCGAGAGTGGTGCAGAATTTACCATCAGCGAAGAAGGAGATGCTCCAACAATTGAGACAGACTACTACATATTCTTCGGAGAGGTTTCAATTACTATGCAAGGTGCTCCCGGAACTGGTATTGTCAGCTCTGCTATTTTAGAATCAGATGACCTTGACGAGATTGACTGGGTAAGTCAAAAGTTTCCTCATCACACTCGATGTAAAGTTCCTCGGCGGACAGTACTGACATTGCGGTTCACTACACAGGAGATTCTCGGAGCCTACAGCTCTAAGCTCCAGACAGATTATTATGGAAAGGGAGACAGTGGATCCTACGACCGCTGGACTTGGGTGGATGCTACGGACCCTCTGTCCACGTTCCATACTTACAAATGGGTCTGGACTGAGACCGAGATGACCTGGGCAATCGACGGTTCCGTTGTCCGAACTGTGACATACGATGAAGCCGTTCACGATGGCGAGTCACGATACCCACAAACCCCGATGAGAGTACGACTTGGAATCTGGGCAGGCGGTTCCAGTAGCAGTTCAGGCACTGTCGAGTGGGCTGGAGGTGAGACCGACTACGCCGATGGCCCATTCACCATGTATGTCAAGTCGGTCTCCATTGTGAACTACAACCCAGCCGAATACTATAAATATACGGACGAGTCAGGATCGATGGATAGTATCGAGATAATTGGGGGTACCGGCACAAGTGGTGATGCTTCTTCCACTGGATACTATCTCTCGTCGACAGGTTCGAGTTCTGGATCACACACGGCCCCAGCTTCGGTTGCCGCTGCTTCTGGTACTTTATGGCGCTCTCACCCATCCCTCGGTACACAAACTGCCACTCCGACTTTGGCTGTTGGAGGTGTTAGCTTCCTGTCTTTAATTGCCATCTTAATGGTGATGATCCTTCTTTGAACGGAATTGTTAATGAAAGTCTTGTTTTAGCGTGCATGACTCAAATGTTGGAACGACCCAACCTGAACTTTTTGAACTTTTTATGAATGTACATTGACCCTAGTTTGCGAAATTATGTTTCATGCCATATTATGTATTTTACGATTAGTACTTACGATAGAATTCATTATTTGAGTTTCCCGAATAATTTAGCACGTGAATATCAAATGCAAGCGAAGCTATGTAAGTGGAGGCATATTCATTTCTAGTTCATTTGGGGGAAAAGAACTAGACCTCTTTGCTGCTAAGCATCAGCTCTGCTCCATCGCAAGCTTGATAATGCAGCTGAAATGACCTTTTTCCGACCTTGTTTTATTGAACCTTACTCTTAGTCGTACAAAATCTCGCGGCATAGTTCATCCGCTGCCTCATTTTCCTCCCGCGGGATCCACACGTATTCTACGTCTCCAAGCTCTTTCACCTGATCATCAAGTTCAGAAGCCTTCTCAATGAGATCCCGGTTCGAAACCTCTGTGCCTCGAGCATTGATCCATCCATTTTGCACCCACTTGTAAATCCAAGTCGTAATACAGGAAACCGCATATTTGGAATCGGTGTGTATGGTGACATCCAGGTAGGGCTCCGTATTCAACATCTCGTATCTCTCCAAGGCTTGTTCGAGAGCAATAATGATTCCAGTGATTTTGGCTCGTTGACTGGTAGGTACTGGGCTCAGCGGCAGTGGTCTAGTACAAGAGATTATTCCTCCATACTCTTTTATGAAAACAGCAGCGGCAGCGCCTGATGCACCATGCCTTCCGTTGTTTCTGCAACCACCGTCCGTGTAGATTACCATTTTGTAAACCATTTCGGCGAATGAAGTGATGGAAGCGAAGGTTTTGTGTCTTTGTCAAAGATGCGAGCCCGGGAAATGGCGTTTCAAGCCGGAAGCGAACCGGATTCGACCAGATTCAGGGTTGGCCTCTCTATCCATAGTTAGATGTAAACTTTCAAATGCCTATACATCTTCGTTATATGCACTCACCTGTTTGAGATTTCCTTTCAATTAGTGACTCCGGAGTTCGGGTGTAGAATCGAAAGTACCGTTGCGATATGTGGAAGAGGACAGGAAAGAAGAATAAGACTAGACAGAGAGAGGGGGAGATATTGGGATAAAGAAAGTCAGGTTTTCTGAAGAGCAGGTGGCTTGATGAATCGTGGGCAAGTCGACCAGCCCAAGAGAAACTCAATCGCCCCTGGTGTGAAGATTTAGAGACAGGAGCTTTGTGGAAAGCGAAGTTGAATGTTGTTGAATGTTGTAGTGCAAAGCCTATCTCGCTGAGAGAATGTCTCCCCGCTAGGCGTAGCTCGCACTATCGTTAAAATTGCACACATTGATGTGGTAGGTATGCATGTACCATTGTCACTTGTATTCAAGATTGGATAACTAAGAGTGTCTGTTTTTTCCTTTCTCTATACTCTGAATGTCTCTATACTCTGAATGTTTGCTCTACGTTGTCTTTACATGACTGCCGTACTGAGTAGAGATGACACCAGTAATATATTCAATCCCATGGGTCCAGGTCAATCCAGCTACAGCAAACCACCCAGAGCCGCAACAACCTCAGCGTAGCTCATCGCTAGTCTTCAAGACCACTTGACCATTAACTTCCTCCTGTTGATCTTCCGGCTCCGTAGGATCATCCTGGCCTGGCGTGTCATCAGGCTCCGGCACGCAACTCAGAATTTCCTCATCTCCTTTGCCCGCTTCAACAGCCAAAAATCGTTTCCGCATCCACGGGTAGAATTTTGCCAGCCCGGGAAGCAGAGCACTAACGTGACCCTTGCCTGCGAGTGGCCAGTTGCAAACAGTTTTCACTTTGCCCACATCTTTCCATTTGGCAATGAGATCCTCGGAACTTTGGAGGGGGTACGTGACCTCATCTTCGGTTCCATAGAAGAATGCAAGAGGATAGCTCGGGTTAGTTGTTTTGTGGATGTGTTGACCCATGACGCCGATCTTATTCAATGTCGTTTTGAACAAATCGAGAAACGAATTGCCACTTTTGAAAAACGATGAGATGCTTGTGTTTTGAAGTTTCTGTGCAAGCGTCGCATCGTAGGAGCACCTGTACTGCTCATACAAAAACCCTCTTGTCGTGATAGGCGTCGGTTCGAAGGTCTTCAAGCATCCATTCATTCATGTCGGGATATGCGTTCATAATTCCGAGTGTGGCCGCGTCAGACAGAGGCCCACCATCAACATTGAGGTAGGTCTGGGAAATATTCGTAGGTGCAACTCTGATCACGGCACCGATGATTGGCAAGTCGTATGCGTAGGTTGCCTTTAATTCCGTGGCCCATTCCGTCGCGAGTGCACCTCCAGGATATCCAAACATCACCACATTTGCTTCCTCTTTAATCCCGGTCAATTCTGTGGAGGCCAGAGCAGCTTTGATAGAATCCAAAGTCTGATAGCCACTTTGCGGACCCACAGCGAAAGCTGCATTGGAGCCCTTGTAATCCGGAATATTAAGAATTGGGCCCGCTCTGACGTACGGGGCCATGAACGCAAGGTTCAGGCGGTTCCAGGATGCACCATAACCCTCGGCACCATGTCAAAGTCCAGATTAGGGGTGGCAATTGACACTTGGAGAGTCGTAGGCATTCTGGAGAGAGATGACTCGCTTCCTGTAGGGGTATTTTGGAACAATGATGGTAGTGACAGTAACATCTGGATTGCCATTCACATCTTTTGTAGAATATAGCAACTGATATCCTTTGGCTTCACTCTTTCCCTGTCCAATAAGCTGGGCAATGGTGACTTCACGACTTTTCAGAATAGTTCCAGTGTCGCTGAGTTTCCAAGCACCATCATCTTCGGGAGGCAAGTAAAACTCATCGTCCATTGGAAGAGGTGGCCCACCGTACTCGTCGGCAGCAATGGCATGCTGAGACAGAAATGTTGGAATCAGAAGAAGATACGATAAGAAACGCATCATGGTTGAAGTTGAGACCTTCCTTCAAGACAACCTTGGAAGATAATAAGACAAAATTCAGGGATGGGTACATTGAAACCGAAAGTTGACAAGACCATATTCATAAATCTAGCAGTCATCACCGCTGATCTGATTTTTGTGTGCTGGACCAAAATTCTGTTCCAAGGTCAGTTCAGCTCCATCAGCTGAGGTGACGCCACAGCTGAAAACCCTGGGATACAGCACGGGCACGTTGGGGAATGCTGAAATCAAGCAGTTCAGTGGCCAGGTTCTTTTGAAAAGAGAAATTGATGAACATTGAACTACCCGACATTCATGCTGCATGAATAGTGCAGCCACCTTGCATGGCCATTAAGTGGGGGATATCACTAGCCTAAAACCTCGCCAATCTAGTACGCAGTAGGGATCAGCTCTTCCAAATGTTGCCAAATAATGAGGATCTCCTGTATTACCATGATTGATTCATTATTTCGTGTTGCACAAAGTGCGCCATCAAGTGGCTACCTGTCAAAGGTACCTTGCCCCTCCACATTATCTTCAGAGTTTGGTAGGGTTAAGGCTAAGGGAACGGGAGGCATTGTGTTGACTCGTGGAGATAGGACTGCGAGTCTCTGGCTCAAGACTAGAGCCGTTCAGTAGCGCTGATATTGATAATGTGATTCTGTCCATATGTTTCCCAGCGCGCTTTCAGAGTATGCAGCTAGCCAAAGAATCGGGCTGAGCTGATCGGGGCCCATGTTCCCCGCTTTTTCTATTGCAGACGACACCTGGGCATGATGATCGTTACGTAAAGCTCCACTGGGCTCCTGACTTTGAAAGAACTGCACATTGGAAGACACGAAGTACTAAGCACTGCGCTCGGTGTTAGAAAATATCTTTCACTACTCGGGCAGTGAGTGGGGCTATCGCTCTTAATAGCCGATTAGTAGCAGGCATCTCAGCAGGTCGCTTGGCATAGTGCTAGACACACCCGTCATGTTTCTTTGCACCTCTTTATCTCGATTATTGGGGCGCCATGATATGGTTGGGATGCCAACCAGGTCATCGTTGTTGCGGTTTCGAATCGTTTTTCCAAATGCCGAGTCACTCGAAGACATGACCCAAATATATCAATTCTTACCTAGTTTTGTATAAGCTGAGACCAAGAATTTTGAAACGAGATAGTATTAATTGTAGATTCTCACAGGTCTGTCATTGATGTTAATTTGATTTTATCATTTTACCTGCCAGTAGATGTACATAGTAGTAGGGGCAAGCTACTTCAAGACTTGAATACTAGTTCTTCTTGGCTATAAAACATATCGGAATCCCTTGTTATCGATTTCCGTTTGATCCTATTGATAAAATCAGCATGCGTATCAAGATGAATAGGAAAGAAACGGGCTCGAGATCATGGACTTACCAGCATTCCTGCCTCCACACCATCCTCTGAGTTCACAGTCTCCAGTGCCAGACGATCCCGACGCTTGTTTTCGAAATACATATACAAATAGAGTGTGACGATAGCGATCAACTTGATCACATAACCTGCAAGCATTCTAAGAAATAGTCAGCCAGTGGCAACGAGAATAAAGAGAAATCGCACTGTAAGTATTCACATACGCAACATAGGCACTATGGTATCCCGGTGCCTCAGTAGACTTGAATGTCTGAGGTCCAATAATATTTCCAACACAGTAACCAGTGAACAATAAAGCCCCGGTCACCTGTTTCTTCGTATAGCCTGCAATATTCGAGCTGATGATTGTCAGGCTCATGCTAAATCCCAATCCCTGGAAATAGCATAGCCAAAGCGCAACCAATCGCCCCCATTTGTTTGAATCAGGCAGACCGACCAATAGGGCAGATCCCAGAATGCATGTCAGATTAGCGACTATCATGCAGGCACTCCGTGAGTGAAACTTTCCATCATATTTAGTAGCGATGAATCCTCCAATAATGAGAGTGAGGAAGTTCACGCCACCACCAGGAATCTGCAGGTACTGAGTACCGAGTGTGTCGAAACCGAAAGATTCAACGATAATGGAGGTAAACTGAGATATGAAATATTTGTCTCAGTAAAAGTCTAAGAATAATTTTCGAAGGGTTCTTTCGATGATGAGTGCGTGATTCAGTGATAAGAAGTTAATGCTTACGCTGGTCAATGCCGAGTTAGGTATTTGGGCACCGATCGCCATGATGAATAAGAGCCACGTTTTCGGATCGCGCGCGGCTTGCCACACTTGATACCACTTGAACTGATGATTTTTGACTCCCTGTCGGTTGATAGCGACGCGGTCCAATGCGATAGCTCTCTCGCGCTCGGTGAGAAACTTGGCGGTTGATGGAAGATCTGGTAGAAGCCATAGGGCAAAAATACCCATGACGAGAGAGATGGATCCAAAAATCAAAAAGACGTACATCCACCTACCTAGGCCGGTAGTAATATGACCGATGGCGTATCCGAGTAATCTGTTCGAGGTCAGTCATGCGGTTGGGCTATTGGTGCTGAATAGAGCGTACCCGCCAAACATAGTTGCGATGCCATTGGTACAGTAGTAGGCCTCCAGACGTAGAGGCTGCTCCTTTGACTTATACCACATACTCATAAGTAAGACAAATCCTGGATTTACAACGGCTTCAACCATGCCGAGAATGAAGCGGTTGGAGGCGATACCGGCGAAGTTGTGACACGCTGGAGTTGTCATAAGAAGAGCGCCCCAGACTAGTTGATCTTGTAAGTGACTAAACAGCTTTTGGGAGATATGAGATCAAACCTATTGTTGTGCCTCCGAGAAACTTCCCGACTGGGAGCTTCTGCATGGCGAACCCTGCAGGATATTGCGCGATCAAGTAACCGAAGTAGAAGATAGAGCCTGTATCAAATTAGTATCAGCGCTCCAGTCAGAGGGGAATCAGCCTTACTGAGCCATGAATAGTCCGATCCTGTCATATGAGTTCCTTCCTCAAGACCATACACAGACGCAAAATTGATACTATTTTTATCCAAATACTATACCGGAGTGAGAAAGTCTGAATGTAAGATCAAACGCGCGAGAATAGCTTACCTGTAACAAATAGATAAAAAACAAAAGCGGGATCAAGTGAAGATCTATTTTCCTCACTACCTTTTTCTCTTCTTCCGGTGTGTATTCTAAACCTTGATGTCGCTTATAAAACTCATAATTATCATCGCAGTCCGAAGCCACAGGCGCAACGGTCGACGACGTCGCAGCCTCGATTTTTGTATCAATATCCGCCATCCTGAATGGATTCAGTTAGAAGAAATTGAAAAAAGGGAATCTGTGGAGGAATAACCAAGATCGGGAATATCAACGGGCTTTATACACCTCTACTTAGCCAGAAGGCCTGTGGATAATTCGAACTCTGAGTCCGAATGCACGCCATACCCCCACACGTAGTGCCAAGGTGTGCTGTGGTAAAAAGCGGGCTATAAAAGGAGAAGCAGGAAAGAGACTGCAGAAAGTGAAAATGAAGTACTATGATTTGACTAGAAGCTTTAGCGATATGGGTCGACAACGGAGGGACACCGGCTACAAATCCTTTCTCGGTACAACGTGACAGTTATCAACCTATTGCAAGCTGCGAGGAACTTTTTTACTTTAAGGCTTTACATTTGTGGCTTGGTGTCTTCAGAATATGTGTTTGTGGCCAGCGCGATAGGTGGAGGTAATCACGACATCGATGTGCGGATTGCGTGTTAGTAGGTTGGTAATGCAAATGCCACAAGTCAACTGCCGGGTCCAGGGTAACGTTAAATCACTGCTGGAGCAATTTGCACATGTACCTGACTTAATAACACTAAAACTTGGAACATTTGAATGTCTGACCGAGTAAGATGGCCTCAGGGCTCGAGAGTGTAAGATAACTTCAATTGAACTTGAACTCGAAGGTGATTGGTTAGAAGGTGAAATGGGTGCCTTGTTGCCTGGTTGCCTTGTTGCCTGGTTGCCTCGTCGCCTTGACGCCTTAGTGCCTTAGTGCCTTAGTGCCTCATGATCTGAAATTTCCGCCTGGTAGATCAGGCAGAATAGGTGTTGTAACGTATTCGGTAAGCGAGCTGGACATGTAAGCGAGCTGGCCACCCCACCCAAAACGCGTCCATGTATTAGCACTTAGTCAATTCAACCCCCTACTATGCCACCAATTCGCTCCCAAACCTCACGAAATTCAGCTGAGCAGGAGGGTAGGATTTTATTAGCTATACAAGCTATAAAAAATCAAGACATTATCTCGATTCGTGAAGCAGCACGTCGGTTTAACGTGCCGAAATCAACCCTCTCTACCCGTCTCCGTGGTATTCAAAACCGCGCGACTTCTCGCGCCAACTCACACAAATTAACTGAAATCGAAGAGGAAACACTTCAAAAATGGATCCTCTCGCTTGATGATCGTGGAGCAGCGCCCCGGCCGGCTACTGTACGAGAAACTGCGAATCTTCTTCTCGAGGCCCGTGGAATTACCCCAGCTCAAACAGTTGGCGAAAAATGGGTTTATAACTTCGTGAAAAGACATCCTGAACTATCGAACCGGTTCTCAAGACGCTATAATTATGAGCGTGCAAAATTTGAAGATCCAAAAATCATTGGTGAATGGTTTAATCTTGTTCAAAAAACCATATCTCAATACGCATCGACCCTAACGACATTTACAACTTTGATGAGACTGGTTTTGCGATGGGATTAGTAGCGACCGCAAAGGTTGTTACAAGGGCTAAATACTATAGACGGAGATCACTATTACAACCTGGAAATCATGAGTGGGTAACTGCAATTGAATGTATAAATGCTTCAGGATGGGCGCTGCCTCCATGTGTGATTTTCAAAGGCAAAGTTTTTATCGAGTCTTAGTTTGATAACCTCCCAGATGATTGGCGATTTGAAGTAAGTCCAAATGGCTGGACATCTGACGAAATTGGTATTCGTTGGCTTCAAAATCTCTTTATTCCATCAACTTTTTCACGGTCAAAAGGCCAATATCGACTTTTAATTCTTGATGGCTATGGAAGTCATTTAACACCAAAGTTTGATGAAATTTATGAAGAAAACAACATCATACCAATTTGCATACCTGCACATTCATCACACCTTTTACAGCCACTTGATATTGGTTGTTTTGCGGTATCAAAACGCTTATACGGTCGGATGGTTGAAATGAAAATGCGGCTTGGGATCAACCATATCGATAAACTCGATTTCCTTAAAGCATATCCCCTTGCCCGAATTGAGACATTTAAATCGGAGACTATTAAAAATAGCTTCGCAGCTGCTGGTTTAATACCTTTTTGTCCCGATCGGGTTCTATCAAAGCTTAATATTTGTCTTTATACACCAACACCTCCACCAAGCCAGGATAGTGATTCAAGCCAGAACTTTACACCAAAAACCCCGTTTACCGAAAAACAACTGCGTCGGCAAGCTTTATCAATTAAAGCTTTACTTCATACAGGATCTTGAAGTCCCCCCCAGCCCATCAGATCGTGCGATAAACCAACTTGTTAAAGGCTGTCAACTCGCGTTACAAGGCGCTGCAATCTTAAGAAAGGAAAACAGCGAATTACGCGCCGCCAACGAGAAACAAAAGCAAAAACGAACTCGATCAACTAGACAGATAGCCTACGAAGGGGATCTCTCAGTTCAACAGGTTCGTGAGCTACGTTCGGAGCCATTCGAGGCCCAGGTAGCGCGAATCAATAGCTACCGTGAGCAGGTCTCAGAGGGTTTACAGCCACGTACGCAGGGCCAGCGAGGATGTGGAATATGTAGACATCCAGGGCATAGAAGGGAAACATGTCCAGATAGACCTAATTAGTTTATTGAATTAATCTTATAACGTTTTGGCTAAGAAAAATACATTTAGAATTAATGACTTTGGTTGGGTGCGCAGCTTGCTTACATGCGCAGCTCGCTTACCGAATACGTTATGTACAGGGAAGCGCCAATGCATAGTTACGCTGCATACTCCTCATGCTTTTCCTTTGTCTTTTCCTCATCATCCACCGTCCCAGCTTGTCCAAAGGGTGACTGGTCTCTCCGAAGCTCACGAGCTGCTTTGACCGGGTGCCAAATATTTTTACTTTCCAAAAAGATATTATCAATAGCCTCCAGATGAAGACCTTTGGTCTCGGGAAAGAAGAAATAAACCACTGGAAGGGTTAACGAATGTTTTCCGTGATGGGTCAAGCTCTTAAAAGGACTTACTTGGTACCAGAAGTACAAGATTTATGGCTGCATAAATTATGAAGTATTTCCAACCCAATGAACTGAATCCATCTGGCGTTACTTCCACTACAAGGAAGTTAAATGTCCACGAGGATGCAGTCGACATGCCGGTGATCTGTGTTCGCACGGCTAGAGGTGCGATTTCAGAACAGTAGAGATATGTAAGGCCAATGCATCCTGTAACGTAGAAGAATACGTAGAGGAAAATAAAGGCGACGGCCGTGTCTGATGCGGCTTTATTGCCTTTTTGGGAGATACACCCTCCCATCACGGCCATGCAAATTCCCATTCCCACAAATGAGAGAATAAGAAGCTTCCGACGGCCGGCCTTTTCTACCGTCAAAGCTCCGAAGGGACTAATAAGAATCTTCCTGCTTAATGTTAGACCTCGAGACTTTCAAGTTGAAGTTCAAGCTTAGGCTTGAGAAAACTTTGTCACGCCATACCAAGAATATAGAATTGCCGACATGAGGAGTGGCATATTTCCTGTCATCCCCAAGAACTCTTTGAAGATCGTTGATTGATAGAAAGTAAGCGCGTTTTGTCCACATATTTGCTGGGCCATCTGAGTGCACACTGCGATCAGGGCTCTGTGTCCAAATCGAGATGGTCCACTGCGGAAGATGTCCTTGAATGAGCCCTCTCCGGTTTCCTGGAGAGACTGTTCAACCTCCTCAATTTGACGTACAACGCCTTCGCTCTCGGAGGATTCGTCAAGTAGAATTGCTATGACCTCGCGTGCCTCGTCAATGCGACCTACTTTAATCAGCCACCGGGGCTATTGCTGTTAGCTTGGTACAGAGGAGAAAACGACCAGAAAGCATACTGATTCAGGCCAAAATGGAGCAAAAGCGATTGAGATAAGGCATAGGACAGCGGGAAATGCAAGTGGAAGTCGCCAGACGACCGATCCCTCCGCATAAGCCAGGCCATACTCCAACCATCCAGCCACAGCGAGACCCATGGCTAAGAATCCACTCTGAAGCATAACGACAAATCCTCGTAGCCTAGGGGTAGTTGTCTCACTTTGCCTATAATTCCCAACATTAGCCGTCGTCTGATTGTATGGACTCAGGTCTAGCATACCAATTCGGCCCAGTAGCTGTTACAGCTCCAAATCCAAACCCGGTAACCAGTCTCCCAACAATGAGATGGGCCAGCGTGAAAGCCGTACTTTGCAAGATTGACCCAATGATGGTGACCAGGAGACCGAGCATGAACGTTCGCTTTCTCCCAAGGATATCACCGATGAAGATGCATCCAATCGCACTGAAAAGACAGCCTAGGTTGAAAAGTGCCACGACGGTCCCTTCAATCCGTGAATTCTGTGCATTGAGTGCGCCAGTTGTATTTACCGTATCCAATTGCGGGAATTGGGTCACCCATGACTCTCGATCAACGATCCCACTTGACATGGCATTGAGATAACCGAAGCAGATGTATGCAGGTATTATCACCGTGGCTACATGGCCTGCAGTGAGTGTGTTTCCTCTCAGCCCGAATGCTAGCTTCATCCTGATTCTCCTTTACTCACAAGTTGATGAAGCGTATATCCTCAGGAAGGGGCGGGGCTATCTAAACAGCAATGGCAATAAATAGCAGAAAATCGCAGAAGTCTACAAATCCGCCCAAGCTTGAAAAGATGTCATGGTAAGACATGTGCATAAATCGGGCAGCTCTCCAGTTCGGGCCCGGCTTCTCCCTGGTTCCTTGTCCCACAATTCCCCATCCTTCCCCGTTTCCCCGACTAACACCATACCGGTTTCCATCGACTACGCGGGGCCCCGGGTAGTCTCGGTTTAGCCCCTTTTCGCTCGGCAATGGCATGTTCCGGTTGAAGTGGAGCCATAAGTGTTTCCTGATGCCGAAAGAACCTGTCATTGGTCATGTGGTCCCGAGAACGAAGACTGGTGTGCATTTCAAGTGGATCAAGGTTGATCAGCTCTTTTTCCGCCGACTTTTCCGCGAGTCATAGTTTATATTGATTGAGGCGTTCGAACATTTCCACAAGTTCCGGAAATATACTCGGTCAGAGTCGTCATACCATGATGTGACCCTTAAGATGGAAATTTTTAGGGACTCGGAGGAATTAGGATGGGAAATATTGGAAGTAATCGGTTTCACGTACGTGGCGGATAAGGCGGGGAGGAACTTGAAATATCAACCGGCACTGAGTTGACCTCATCCGATTATTCATGTTGGGCCTGAAGCGGATCACAGTGAAAAATTGACCCATTCCAAGGTTCGCCAGCACTTGAGTGGATTGGAGAATCATGCATGCATGTGATACTGCTACTAAGAGGAAAGGACATCAACATTTGAATGGACATGATCATTGACCCAGATGTCCATCCCATTCCAGTATGAAGTCACAAGTGCAAACTTGAACTTGAACATTTCAAATGTTGAAGTTGAATCATCAAGTGATATTTTGATAGTAAAGGAGCTCTATTCAAATGTTGATATATATGTATTAAACTTGAAACATGATTTGTCTTCAAATGTATGTGTGACTTGGGCCAATCTTGTAAAGAAAATTTCAGAGAAAATTCTGAATCTTGACTTTCAATTCTATATGTATCGTATATGGTCATTCCCACTCGTCTATAATGCGCAATAACTTATCAAGTTGCGATTCAAACATCTAAACAGTAAACTTGATCTTGTTGGCAGGACCCGCAGCGACAGCAGCTTTGCGCACCGCCTCCTCACCAACCTCCTCAAAAATATCATAGCCCCAGTTGGCAGGGAAGTTGAAGCGCTTGTGGCGCTCAAGGCCAGTCAACTTGGCAAATGCCCCATCAGACAGAGTCTTGACCTGCAGGTTAGACGCAATGCGGGAGGGAGTAACACTCTTTGATAAAACAACGGTGCCGCGCTGAACACCCCAGCTTGCAAGCAAGGGACCTGGATCCATGCTAGTTTTCTTCGCAACCTCAGCAACAAGAGGATCATCAACGGTGCGAGGCTCGCCGCTCTGGTTGTTACCCAAGGGGAGTATGCCTCCACGATAATTCCCTTGCTCTGACAGAATTTCAGCAGCTCGGGCTGCTGAAGATACGGGTGGGCTTCGATCTGGTTTGCGGCGGGGACGACGGAGACTTGGCCGAGGAGTTCCTCGAGGCGACGGACGTTGAAGTTAGAGACGCCGATAGCCTTGACCTTGCCGGTGCTCAATAACTTCTCCATCTCCTTGTAGGTACTGATATAGTCAACATCGGCCAGTTGAAAGACACCTTTCTCGCTCAGAGGGAACCACTTGTTGCCGGACTTGAATGCACTGGGGACAGGTTAGCCGATGGCTTCAGATAAAGCAAGGAGGAAATAAACCTACACAGGCCAGTGCATCAGATACAAGTCAAGATAGTCAACTCCAAGATCCTTCAAAGTCTTTTCAAGGGCGGGCACAACATCTTCGGGGGCGTGGCTTGTGTTCCAGAGCTTGCCAGTAATGAAGATTTCCTCGCGTGGTACGCCGGATTTCTTGATGCCATTGCCAACCTCTGTTTCATTACGGTAGATAGCGGCGCAGTCAATATGACGATAACCTTGCTTAAGAGCGACCTCCACAGCGTTTTCAACCTCAAGGGGCTTTGCCTGCCATGTTCCGAACCCGACGGCGGGGATCTTAGCACCAGTGTTAAGAATGAAGTGAGTCTGGAGAGCCATTTGGAAGGAGTCGGAAGGATCAATTGATGATCTGAATTGAAAGAAGGGAATTGTTGAAGAGGAAATATCCTGGTTTAATCAACCATACCAACCTATTGATCTCGTGGCAATTAGGCGAGCCTCCACTCTCTGCCATCATCGAAGTATTCACTGGGATGAGTGCTAGTGTGATGAGTGTCGGAAAAGGAGTTGGTTAATGACGGAAAGTGGAGTCAGGTGCGGATAAATATGCGCGGCGGCGGCAGCGCAGTACAGATCCACCCACTTGAATTCGATCGTGACATTGCGCGCAGGAGTCCGAGCTTCGGACTCGGACCGTTTTGATTTTGGGTTGTTCTCGTGTTTTGTCATTCCACACTGACTGAATTCAGGTTCCTGATTGCTTCCTGTAGTCCAAGTCTTCGCCACAAGTTCCACCTCCGACACTTGACCTTGATTATATTGGAAGAAGAAATATCGGTCACAAACTTGGGAAATGTCAGATAATCTCGCATTTGACGAACTTCCGTTGCGAATAGATGGCCCTCGAGGTAATGCGTGGGGTTTGTTTGGGGGTAAAGATGAGTGTGGCATGTTGAACTTCCTCACCCCAGAGAGAATTAATGCCGCCGCAAAGGAAATCCAGCATGGTATTCGCATTCCCACTGACCTTCCACTGGATTACATGTCAAATCCATGCTTTGGTCGCTCTGCATTTCACCAGAACATCAAGAATAAAGCTCCTCGTTCTGTCAACGATGATACGCTTCAGTTCAACACTCAAATTAGTTCTCAGTGGGACGGCTTCAGGCATTACGGATATCAAGATGCAAAGCTATACTTTAACGGGCATACTTTGGAGGACTTATTGTCAACCAAAGTAAATGGCATACATGGTTCGTGTACTTGGAGAGAGTTGATTCAAAAGTGAATTTCCCACTGACAACTGTTGGGAAAACAGCATGGGTTGAAAATGGAGGAATCGTCGGACGAGGCGTCTTGCTAGACTATGCTTCCTGGGCAGAAGAAAATAATATCATAGTCGATCATTTTTCCACTCATGCCATTTCAGCCACAACCCTTCAAACGATCGCCGCAGAACGAAAAACAGAGCTGAAGCGCGGAGACATTGTTTTTATTCGATCGGGATGGACAAAGGCATTCTCCAGTCTGTCGGAGGCGCAGGCAGTAGCTCTGGCAGAACATTCATCACCTCCAGCTGTTGGTATCGAGTCATCAGAGGAGACTTTACGTTGGCTATGGGATGGAGGATTTGCAGCTATCGCGGGAGACATGCCAAGTATGGAAGCGTGGCCATGCCAAGATACAGAGTTCTGGCTTCATGAGTGGCTATTGGCTGGTTGGGGGATGCCAATTGGAGAACTATTTGACTTGGAACGGTTAAGTGCGGAATGTAAACGACTTGGAAGATGGTCTTTTTTCTTTAGCAGTGTCCCTCTAAGAGTAAGTTCTCGTCCCCCTATTAATCCCGTATCAGCTTCATTTTAACCATATCCAGGTGCCTGGAGGAGTCGCAAGCCCCCCCTAATGGGGTCGCTATTATGTAGCCTCAATCTAGTACTCAAATGACAACTTGAAGAGATGAATATAAAGAGTTATGCAAGAAAATTAAATATTTAGAGAATGCTCATTGAAAACTGTATTTAGAATCGAGATTGTAGGTGAGACGAAAAGAACCCTTGAAACCTCAGACTTGGAAGCGATGGACGTTCTCAGCTCAAGTTGGAAAATTTTAGGATTATTTCCAAGGTTCCAACTTGATTGGACTCATGCCACACTAACTAGAATGAATAACGGAAAAATATATCTTCTCTGTCCGTTTGATCAAAGTTGGCCTCCGCAGATGAGGTTTGTACATTTGCATCTTCCAATGCAATCCCTTGACTGTCTAAAGCCTGTTCCTTCTTTCTATTTAGCATACCCGCATATGCTGCGAATGATAGAACTAGAAAGATCTCCACACAATATGCCACTAACATGGCCACGATCCCGGAAGTATAGGTAGGAGCTTCATTCTCCTTGAATGAAAATGGGCCCACGATATTTCCGACGCAGTACGACACAAAGAATAGTGCACTCACTACAGTCCGCTTTGTGGAGCCTCCGGTATTGGCGGTGATGAGCGACATGATCATCGCAAACGAGGCGGTATATGTGCTTGTTAACTATATAAATGATAGGTTAGCGGAATTGACTACACCACACTCTGGGAGTGAGTTCAGTTTACCCAGTAGCAGACTAGTAGTGCTGCTTTGTGCTCGCGTGGGATTGTATGGATCCCTACCGCACCCGCCAGAGCCGGGCAAACATAGATGATGGCCACGAGGCAGCGCTTCTGTCCAGGTAGCCATCGCTGAATGTACATGGCGGAAACATTGAACACAATAATCACCATCCCGTAGGGGATTTGAAATAGAGTGGTGACAAGGTTCGAGTATCCAAAGCCCTCGATGATGAGACTACCAAAGTTGCTGGCGGCACCATTCACAACTTGGGTGGCAACTCCGCACAAGAAGAGAAGCCAGGTTTTTGGGTCTGTGATGGCCTCAATGATCTGATACTTTTTAATTCCTGCGTGGTTAGCGCCCTGGTGTCGTCTTCCCAGCCTTCGCACTGCTACCTCTTTTTCCTCGTCGTTCAACCAAGGGCTAGTGTCTGGTTAGAATTTCTTTCTTCGCTAGAAACCAATGATAGATTACTTACGCAACTGAAGGGTTCTCAGCGAGCATGAAGTACATGAAAATTGACCAAACGCATGATATAGCACCAATGACAATAAATTGATACTGCCAGGACTGCAATAATCCTTTTATTTGACCCACTCCAAACGCTAGGAGGCCGCCAAAGGAGTTGGCAACTCCAAGGAAAGTTGACCACCAGCCTATCCGGATCGGCTGTTCTTCAATTTTGTACCATTTGGCTGTGATCAAGAGGTAGGCGGGCGTGGAGCAGGACTCGAGGGCGCCAATCAAGAAACGTAAGGCGAGGAAAGAGTTGAAGCCAGAACAACCAGCCAGAGCCATGGTCATCCCACCCCAGAAAAACAGATTCAGAGACAGCCACTTTGAAACAGGTACTTTTTGCATCATAAATGAGGTGGGATATTCGAACTATACAGAGCGTGAGTCATCGCCTAGAACACATATCAGATTGACACTCACTGCAAGATATCCGAAATAAAACATGCTTCCTATTCATCAATTTCAGTCAGGTTAGCTGGATTTGTAAAAAGGGGTAGAATAATGACATACCTAGCCAGCTGTACTCAGCTCCATGCAAATTTAAGCCTTCTTTCAATCCGAAGACAGCAGAGTATCCAAGCATTGCCTTGTCAATGTAAGTGATCAAGTATGTAACGCAAATGAATGGAATGACCATCATGTCGATTTTACGGATCACTCTTCTCTCCAGTGCTGGCTCTACCACCGAATCCAGTGTCGAGAGCTGACCCTGTTTTTGGGTGACGACACATTGATTCTCCAAAGATTCCACATGGTCCGCAGTGCTCTTTGAATAGTCTGGCTGCATCTTCATGATGTTATAGCCTGTGAAGAGAGAGAATGGTTGGGTATACGCAATATACTCTTCCAGAATAGAATACCCCAGGGAAAGCGGATACTTTTCATTCTCCACGGGGCATGGAGAGAGGGGATCCCCTTCTCTGTGGAGCCGAGACTTTCCATACAGGTAACACTTCCAAGGTTTGATCCCGGTCTCATAGCTTGTAAGGACAACTTTCGGATTTGATCGCGGAAAAGAGCCAAAAGCACAAACAAGCATAGCACCCCCGCATTAAACATTTGAAGCGGGTGATTGAATTGGAGTTCTAGACCTGCCAGTGGTGATAGATCCAGTGCCATGTTAGGAATCGAGATTACGTCACAGTCTTGATAGGACAGTTCATGTGGAACGAGACTCCGTCAGCGCTCATTAGGTTCAACTTCCAGTTGCTGATTTTACCGAATCCTCCCACCTCCAGGGCTGGGCTACCCCAAAATTGAACATACTTCAAGTCTTTGGAATCCGATGCCAGTGGTTGAATGTTAAACTCCAAAAACCTTGGAACTCGGAAAGAACCTTACAAGCGCATCTTCGGCGCTTGAAGTTGAGATGGTGCACAGGTCATGGTAGTTTTTTTAGCTATGTATATATTTTTCAACCTCGGAACATCCTTCAATTTGAAGTTCTCCAGGCGACCTTCAAGCTATCTTGAACCAGTTGACTGTATCCTAACCATCGTTCAATTATCTTCTCAGTCATACCCTCGTACTTTTTTACTTCAAATGTTACATAGGAACTTCCAAAATATCCAACTGAGAATAAAGAAAAGGTTTAAACGGTTATATGACTGCTAACCTTGAAAGGTGGACGGACTCTGGGGTATTGAGTAGAATCGGAAGGCGGTATCGCCGAGGCGGAAAAAAGCGGATAAGGAGTTGCCATCTTCAACTTCCAATTCAATCCCACTCAGGGCGTCGAACACAAGGAGAAAACTATAGATCGAAACGAAGCTAATGATGGATGAGGTCGGAGATACACCTCTGAGAACCCCTACACGGCATAACAGTGGATCCCAAAGGGATAGGCGACTGTCATCCCGCACGGCGCGGAAAAGAAGCAAGGTCTCGCGGGCATGCGACGGCTGCAAATCTCGCAAGAAGGCTTGCACTGGAGACATTCCATGCAGGTTTTGTTTACGCATCGGTACCACCTGCACCTACGATGTTCCTTACCACAGAGGTGCTCCTGTTTCTCCGCGACCGTCAACCCAACAAGAAAATGTGGGCACACCAGCAACGACTCAGCCTACAGCACGGTCGGATACCCTTCAGACAGGCCCTGTTCCTACAAACTCGGCTCCAGATGGCTTGATTGATAGTGGAGGACAATATAGAGGCCCAACCTCTGCGCACTCCTTCCTGGCTAGAGCTATGAGAAATTTCCACAACCACCCTCTGGAGGCTCAGCCTGCATCAGTTTCAACAGAAGATGTTCATGAATCCATATTTTCATATGGTGACCGTCATGCCCCAAGGGTTGATCCATCACAGCTACAGTGGCCAAATCAAACCACGGTGAACCGCCTAGTCAAACGATATTTCGACTTCGCATCTCCCACGTATCGGATACTGCACCAAGGCACTGTGGAAGAATGGGTCAATACAATTTTCAGCGACCAGTCCGTGTCATTTACCTCTAGAATAGGAGCCACCCCTACAATACCACCGGCTGCCGAGGCGATTATTCTACTCATTTGCGCAATTGCGTCTTTATCATCGGCCTCGGAAGAACCAACGGATCAAGTTAACATAGGAAATCTGCAACAATACGAGGCATATTATCAAATGGCAGAGCAAATCCTGGCAAAAGATACAGGTATGCCATATCTGGAATTTATACAGGCACGATTCATATCTGTTCTTTATCTTCTGGGTGCATCGCGCATGAATCAAGCCTGGTTCAATTTTGGTCCCACGGTACAATTGATCATGGCAATTGGACTGCACAGAAAGCGTATGCGTTCTCCTTCCAGCAGCTTGAGTCTGATCTCCCATGAATGTTCGAAGCGAGTGCTGTGGTGTTCATTCACACTTGATCAATATTTGAGTCTTATCCTGGGACGGCCAAGATTATTACATGACGAAGATATTGACCAAGAATATCCGACCTTGGTGAACGACGAGAATTTGGATGCTGCCCAATTGAATCCAAGTTCACTGAGGAACTGCCTCATGGACGCGCCTGTATGTCATGCTAAGCTATCGCGAATCTTGGCTAGGGCTTCCCAAGACTTATACTCTATCAAATCTTTCGACAAAGATCAGGACATCAAAAGTGTGGGGAGTCTGATAAGTCAAATCACACAGTGGCAATCTGAGCTTCCACTTCTTTTCACAGAGAACGTTTGCCCAAGTAGCCTGATCACTACCTTTCGAAGGCAGCTGACGGTCATTCGTCTCGCCCATTATCATGCCATTATGTTTGTGACACGTCCGCTTCTACTCTGGGACTGCTCAAATGAACCACGGTCAACAAATCTCAACGGCTACCTTCAATCCTGCGTGATTACCGCCCGTAAGACACTTGAGTTGATATTGGATCTTGCCAAAGAGAATCAATTCTTCCATTCATTTTGGTACACGCAATATATTGCGTTCAATGCACTATCGATTCTTTACATCTACATCATTCATTCTTGCAAAGGCCGTATTCCGCATGAGTGGGTATTTTCAGACACATCAAACCATTCTCAAGCAGGGCCTTTTGTATTCGATCAGATATCCTTATATGAATTGGCTGAAAGAACTCAAGATTACTTACGTCAAGTGACAGAAAAGAATGCTCTCGCTTGGAGATATGCAATTGTCTTGGATGCCTTGCGGTCAGAGTCCAAATCACTCCTCTATCGTGATCCTAGCGGGGAGGACTATCAAATGATCACCCCACAACTGGAAGCCCTTCAGCGGTCTGTCGTGTCAAATGCGGACCCCCCTAGGCCATGATGTATCTATTGATAGATTCATGGTGCCTGAACAGCCACCCGTAGACTGGGAGGGTCTCCAGGCGTCAATGACAGATCTAGCTACTAATATCGAACTCCCTGGCCGAACCTCACTATTTTGGGGCATTGAAAACCTCTTTCCTTCTTTGGGCACGAGCGAAGATGTCTCGCTAGACTTCTGGCCTCAGCTAGACCGTCTCCCCATATGTCTGTTGATCAAAAACATTGAACTGTTGAATTTTGCTGATGATCTATCTTTATAGCACTTCCCAATCCTCCGAATGTTTGAATAGATTCAAATACTTCAACCTTCTCTTTGAGTCCGCAATGTACGAGACCTGGATAGTCTTATACCGGGATTTCCAACTGTTTTCCAAACTACTTCCAATAATAATACCGGAATCAATCATTAATTCTTTGGATGCCCTGCATGTATGGGTTTCCCCACAGAGCCTAATATAAGATCAGAACCCTTTGAAGCCAAAGGAATAGACGAAAGCTACGTAGCGCCCCCAAGCACTGAATGCTGCCGGTTTCCCACATGTGCGCCATGTGGTAGGTAATCTATTACTATTTAGTAGAATATTGATAACGTGAATCCTCGTTTTTGCTAGCAATTGTAACCAAGTGCCGATCAGGACAAAGAGCGCTTTTCCGCCTCAATTTCGAAGACTTGTCGGAAAACCCATTACAGCGGGATAATCCGCCCGGTAACCTTGGAATGTCTCTCGAGGTCCAATCAATGTCTCCACATGGAACCGGAAAGTTCTCCGCTGTCGGATTTACAGGACCTTTGCGTACCCTTTTTTTGCAACCGTGAATATGGTGTCATCATTCAGGAATTTAGGCTCTGAAACAGGCATCTGGATACCATGTAAAATAGCAAGTCTCGCCCTTCATTGTTTGGAGATAGCGATTTGTTACAGTTCTCTCAACAAAACCTCAATATGACAGCCTCGGTTCTATCTCCACCAAACACCTCGGTGTCCTCTCATTCAACGGACTCGATAGTTGATTCAATCAAGGCAAATCATAAAGAGAAGCTTTATACAATCACCGATCTCATCCGCACAAGGGCGAAAGCCAATACAGCATACGAGCCCGTAGTTGCTTATCCTTTGTCAGGAACCAACTACGTCTACTATACTCCTCACCAGGTATGGCGACTGCATATCTTTCCTCTCCTATACATGGACTATTCATACTAATTGGGGCAGTTGGATATTCTCGTCGAAGCCGCAGCCGTTCACTATGCGAATGTTATTCCACAGCGCCGCTCATCAGCGGATCCCGTACAAGTGGTCGGTTTGCTTGGTCCATCCGATTTCGAATACCTGATTACTCTGGCCGCGATATCGCGTCTGGGCCACACTGTCCTCCTTCTATCGACCAGGATCGCTGAAGATGCTTATGTTAGTCTTATGGAGAGCACCGATGCTTCATTCATTATTACTTATTCCTGCTTCAATGCCATGGGAGAAAAAGTCACTGGACGCACGGGCGCCAGACAAATTCCAGTGGTTTCGCCTCTAGACCCGACCTCATCCGAAGTCTGCAATGCACGCCTACCAGTGGCAGAGCTAGATGGTCCAACGGAGAACCAGTTTGTCTGCTGGATTATTCACTCAAGTGGCTCCACTGGCCTTCCTAAGCCTATTTATCAGAGTCACGCAGGCGCTCTGAGAAACTATGCAAACAACTTCGGCCTCAAAGGTTTCATCACATTACCTCTCTTCCATGCCCATGGCATTAGCTGTTTATTCCGAGCTGTTCACTCCGAAAGGTTGATTTACATGTACAATGCCAGTCTTCCACTGACGGCAACGGCGCTTCTTACTACTCTTAAGGAGCATCCTGAGATTCAAATTCTCTACGCTGTACCATATGCGCTGAAGCTATTGTCCGAGACTGAAGAAGGTCTCCGCTGCATGGCCCCTCTTGAACTTGTCATGTTCGGTGGTTCCTCTTGCCCGAAGCCCATTGGCGACGTCCTTGTCCAGAATGGTGTGCGTCTGGTCTCCCACTACGGAACAACAGAGACTGGTCAACTCATGACCTCTTTCCGTGATCGGTCTGATCTGGATTGGGACTACGTTCGCCCTGGGCCTGCACTTCTACCATACATTCGTTGGGAGGAACAGCCTGGTATGCCGGGGGTCTATGAGCTTTGTGTGTTGGAGGGCTGGCCATCCAAAGTTGCCAGTAATCGACCTGACAACTCGTACGCCACCAAAGATCTATTCGAGAGACACCCAGCGACGCCAAATGCCTGGCGATACTACGCTCGCCTTGACGACACCCTTGTGCTTGAGAATGGCGAGAAAGCAAATCCTTTGGCTATTGAAGGGGTGGCTCGCAAGAATCCCAATGTTGGTGAGGCGGTCGCGTTTGGTAGCGGCAAGCCGCGTCTTGGTCTTTTCGTGATTCCATCGGATAAGTGTCCTTTCACGTCCGATAATGAGCTTATCGACGCGATCTTCCCCGATATTGAGGTTTGCAACGCGGAATCTCCTGCGTATGCTTACATCTCTCGGGATATGATTCATGTACTCCCACGAAATGTTGAATATCGCAAAACGGACAAGGGAACTGTGATCCGATCTGCATTCTATAAAGAGTTTGCCGAAAAGATCGCAAACATCTATGATGACGCCGATGGCGAAGGTGACCTGGTTCTGGAGGATGCCGATTTGATCAAGGTTCTTCGCGAGAAGCTCCTGGAAATTGCATCAAGCATCAATTCATCTGCTCTAAATGACACGACAGATGTATTCAGCCTGGGAATCGATAGCCTCCAGTCTATCAGACTTCGCAGTGCGATAATGACCAGTCTCGATCTAAACGGGAAAAAGTTATCCCAGAACTTTGTTTTTGAGAACCCTTCTCTCCAGGAAATGGCTGATCAAATCACCCACACTCGCTTGGGGAAAGGGCCAAAGGTGCAAGTTCCAGTGGAGGAGAGAATGGAGAAATTGATTGAGAAATATGGTTCAAATTTCAAGGCTCATGAGCCTATCCACCGTGATTCCAACGGCCAATACGTTGTTCTTACGGGCGCCACTGGGTCTCTCGGTACTCATATCGCAGCTCAGCTTGCACGGACTGGCAATGTCCACAAAATTTACTGCTTCGTCAGGGCCGATTCCGCAATCTCTGCTCGAAAGCGAGTGATTGAGAGTCTACGTGCTCGGGCTGTCTATGCCACACTCTCTCCTACCCTTGAACAAAAGATCGTGGCCCTTCCAGCTGATCTGTCAAACTCTGACAGTTTCGGACTTGAAAAAAATACCTTCTCTCAGATCAGGAAGACAGTAACTAGTGTCATCCACTGTGCTTGGTCTGTCAACTTTAACTGGGCCCTCGAGAGCTTTGAAAACAGTTGCATCTCAGCGACCCGTAATCTTCTGGATTTATGTCTCAGCGCTCAAGGGCCGCATCCTGCATCCTTTTCATTCTGCTCTTCAGTAAGCACCGTGGCCCGGACACCTGGCAGCTGGGTTCTTGAGGCATTGCCCGAATCACTGAGCTATGCGCAGGGTATGGGCTATGCGCAATCCAAACTCGTCACTGAGAACATAGTGAGTCGTGCCTCCAAACAAACTGGCATGACTGCCCGAGTTCTGCGCGTCGGACAAATCATTGGTGATACGGTGAATGGTATCTGGAATGCGACCGAAGCTATTCCTATGATGATACAGACGGCAAAGACCATCAAAGCGCTCCCTCAACTTGATGATGTGCTATCCTGGACTCCAGTTGACACGATGGCTTCCAGCATCATTGAACTGAGCCTTTCTCCTGAGGCAGCTGGAATCATGAACGTCACTAACCCGACTTTGAGCCACTGGACTCATGAGCTTTTGCCGTTGCTCCGAAAGGCCGGGTTGGAATTCGAGGTTCTTCCAAAGAAAGCTTGGCTCCATCGTCTAAGGGACTCAAATCAAGACCCTGAGATCAATCCGCCGACCAAGCTCCTTGAATTCTTCGCTTCCAAATATGACAACGATAACCCTGGCAGAGTGCTTCTATACGATACCAAACTAGCTCGGGCAGGATCCCCAACACTTGCCAACTCAGGCGGTTTAACTGACGACCTCACCTCCCGATTTGTGGGATACTTTGAGACACAGTGCTGGAACAAGAACAGCTCCATTCCTACTCCTCCTTCTCGCAATATTTTCTTCCTTATCGGTCCATGTGGGTGTGGCAAGAGTACCGCCGCCCAAGCTCTCAACCAACGATACCAGATCCCAATAATCGAAGGTGATAGCTTTCACTCTCCGCTAGCCCGCCAAAAGATCGCCAATAACTTGCCTCTCCAAGATTCAGACCGCTGGGACTGGCTCGCGCATATCAGAGGAGCCGTCATGGATAGACTGCTAAATAGCGCCGCGCCTGCTATAGCGGTAACTTGCTCCGCACTGCGCACCTGTTATCGTGATGAGCTTCGTCGATTGTCACACCTTTTCGAGTTCCCTGTCACTGTCACATTTATACTACTTTCCACGGAGGATCGGAAACAGCTGAAAGAACGGTTAACGATTCGGACGGCAAATGAGCAGCATTATATGAAGTCTAGTATGGTCGATTCGCAGCTTGATTTGCTGGAGGCTCCGACGGATGAGTCTGATGTTACTATTGTTGACTCTTCCCAGGCCAAGGAGAAGATCCTGAATGATGTTATTGAGATAGTTACAGCTGTCCGGGCTTAATCCCTCGGTTGGCTCCTTTTTGATTAGTTAGTTACCTGGGCGTCTTTCGTTTTCCAATCTTCTTCTAACCTGCCCAGGTGGTCATGATCAACACCAATGTAGTGAAAAAGATAGTCTTGGGTGACTGCCAAGTCAACCAAAATAATATTGCAAAAGAATCTACAACTGTTTCTCAGACTTCTAGCCTCAAAATTCGAGCTTTGCATACAGGTTTGCGTTGTCGCGCGGCTGACTGTAGCACCTGCCCAAGGTTCCAGAACAAGAGCTTAAATTTCAGCAAAATTCGAATTACATCTATGGATACAACAGAGACTTTACGCCGCTGGCTAGATCGCTCGGCGCCTGAGCGGTCCGGGACACCCCTTCAGTCCTTCCCTAAAGGCTTCGGGGCCCAAGGGGCCATCGCGAACATGATTAATCAACTTCGAGTTCCAATGTTTCTTTTATCAGGTTTCCTATGACTCCCAGCTGTCTCCAGTACATAAATCAATATCGTGTCTCACAACTGGATATTATCCGAAATCCCAAGTCTGATCTACGATCTGACCAAATCAAAGTTATTGGTGATCGAATCTTTCTTCACAATTTCCCAGATAGCAGAAATTTGGTCAGCGACGGAATCAAGAAGACTTCCATTATTGAGAGCAACGATGGTGCGCTTCAACTGGTCCGTACTGCTCGCTCCAATCACAAGTCCATCTCCCAGTTGTGCATCGAGAGCGGAGTGGAAAGCAATCCACCGGTATGCGAGTTCGGCCTTTGGAATGCCCGATGACTCGGAGATGGCATTCCACTCATCAAGAGCCTGAAAAAAAATTGGCTTGCTGTACATCATATGGTAAAATGATCCCATGCTTGATTGAGGATCCCATCGCCCGTCTCCCTTCGTGCCTTCAACCAGTTGAGCTCTGGTCTTGGTCAAAAAGCCGCCAGCAATGGGGCTGTACGCAAAAAATGCGATTCCATTCTCACGAAGGACTGGGAATAGGTCCACTTCAATGTTTCGAGAAACCAAGTTATAATTTCCTTGATAGACCTTTGGGAGGATGAAGTCGTTGTCCTTGGCCACGCTAACGACCTCGCTGACTTCCTCAGGGGTGAAGTTCGATAACCCAAAGGTCTCAAACTTTCCTGCCTGGTACAGATCGTTAATACCAGCTAGAGTTTCCTTGAGAGGGATCTCGGGATCAGGAGCATGGAGATAGAAAATGTTAACCTAAGAAACTGGTTAATATTTATACCCAAAATTGGAATGCAAACAAGAAAAAAAAACACTTCGCACGCACATTATCAACTCCAAGCCTTTTCAGGCTTTCAAGTCCCTTTTGGTAAACATCCTCACGCGATGAGCTGCCAGCCGACCAGCCCCCTGAGTGTTTGGTATCGACCAAGAACCGCGACGAAACCCCGGCTTCACCTAGGAGTTGTTCACTAGCACCATAAATTTGAGCGGTATCTATCTCCTCGATCCCTTCTCTTTCAAGGGCTTCCAGTAAGGTTGAGACCTCAGCCACATTTCTGAAACTTCCATCGGTTGCAATAGAGGCTCCACCGAAAACTAGTTGAGGAATGTTGGTCATGATAAGAGGTAGGAGATTTTAAATAGGAGTTCTCTGAAATTGAAGATCTTTCAAATATTATAGATTTGAATACTAGAAAACGAAAGACTATGTGTGTTTTATATCCGTCTTACAAGCAACCATCTTTCAAATGTTAGAAGTGACTGGTTGATAAGCACATAGTGTAGATGAGATTACGCAACATTCGACATCCAAAAATGGCGCCCGACTTCAAGTTGATTTCTAATCAAGAGCAAAGCTAATACCCCTCTCAGTTAATCTGACGGTATTCAAATGTTGCAGATAGCACTTGAGAAGTTTATTTACTAGTAGCTCACTGAGTCACAGTTGGTGGAAATTGGAATGCAAGGTTTGTTGGAAAATACATCCAGATGTCTGATCCACTTCACGGGATAGATATAGTACGCCAAGAACTCATCCACAATAAGCTTACTCTGTACCTCGTACTCAGTGAGTCAGGTTGCAATTGCACCGAGTTCGTATTCTCTAAAAAATTAGAGCACTGTAGACGCAAGAGTCCATGTCATATTTTGGTTGATCAGATGATGGATAGTGATGTTGGATAAAATATGGACCACCACGATGGCAGCTGCACATTTGATGCAGGACGTAGAATATTGATTGATACAACTTGAAGCCCAACCCAGGGTAATGTTGTTCAAATGTTCTATCCAGAGAATTCATGATGTAAATGATAATGTTAATCATAGGAACTTCAGGTAATCCCAAGTGCTTAGATCTTCATTCAATCTACATATTTCACTGGCATGAGATGACCATGCGGTGCCCATTCCTCGTCCGGATCCAGGACAAAAATCTCCGTCTCACTGTCTTCTGGAATCTCGATGCCTATTTCCCGTTAGTCTAGATGCCATTGATTGAATCATAGATTCTGTCAAAGGGCTCACTCACTCTTGATTCCCCAACCACCAATCTCACCGATGACTTCGTCCTCTTCACCGGCCTCATTTGAACCGTCTCGCTTGGAATTGCTATGCCCAACGGTTGAGCCTGTAAACACAACACGACACCCGTTAGTCTTTACAACAGTGCCGAAGGCTACAGAAAAGATTTATTAGCGGACGAGACATCTGAAAGCTTGGAAGCTTCAAGAATCTTACCTGTATTCTGCTTAGTGCCTGTGATGCAGAGTCCATTCTTTACACCGTTGATGTAGCGATCATCCTGCCCAAAAGTATTAATTGCAGAGGCTACCTGGGTTACGTCGGTTGATGTTGAGCCGGCTTTTCCCGGAAGGTCCCAGGAAGAGAGATACTGTAAGCCCCATGCAGCACCATCAGATGGACCACTGGGTTGTGCAACTGAAAGAGTAAAGTTGCGCTTGTGGAGTCATCCACCATGGCCATTGTTATAGTCCTGACAAAGGGATTAGTATGGAAGATGAAATAGAGCACCAGAAAGAGGGAGATGAGATACCGTATCATCGATTTTATGGGCTTGTGGGATGTATTAGATATAATGTACCACTCTCTGCCAGGCACTGTCCTCGAACCAGTCCTCATTCGCAGGTGCCCATGATTGCCAGTTGGCGGTCCCCGAGACATTGACATCGCTTTGAAGATTTGAGAGCATTTCTGAAGATGTGTTTCCTCTGATCAGTGACAAAATGCCTAACCAAAACGAAGATTGCACTTACTATGACAGTTTCCTTGAAGGCTTTGCTGCCAAACCGGAACACACTGTACCTCCACAGATGTGAGATTCTGAGGAAGAGACGCAAAATAAGATTCACCCTCTTCCGAAGATGCAATTGGGAACTCGTCACAGCTCACAATCCGTGTTGTAGTTGGCAAGCTCAGTTTATTCGCAATGTTTGTATTGCGAGCGCTACAAAAGCCGAGACCGGAAACTTTGGGGCAGGCTTCATCGCGGCGATCATCCTAGCGATCCTGGAAAGAGTCCCAGGTGAGTGTAACTCCTTCACTGACATCAATCGCGCGGGGGCGAAAGAAATTGAGAACTTTGTTGCAAATTCCGGTGACCTGCTCTGTTGCCCCATTCTTGGTGGCTTGTGCGTCGGAAAACACATCGCAATTATCTAAGAGAAGGGAAAAGTCAGCGGGAATGAGAAAGGAAATTGTCAATTCAAAATTTGAATTCGGGATTGGGTGTATCTTACAACGTAGTTCGGGCAAGATCCATGAGCATACTGGCAGGTTGTCGTCATTGCTGCTTCCTGGTGTCGCACAATCATTCGCTGGGCATGTCAGGCGCTGGATTGAGAAAAGTTTAGGTCTTCATCGTCCACGTCCATCATTTCGAGGTCACCATCGTCATCTTCACGCTTCCGCAAGCTTTGACTTGTGCCATTCATAAACTGAGGCTGCGAACCCCAAAGGAGGTCACGGTTGCTGTCGAAACTTATCAACCGGGCCATACTCTGTCTTTCAGAGGGATCTGCAATTTTGGCATTGTCTCCATCGAAAATAGGAGATTGGTGCATGGAAACCCTTCTCTTGGAGGATGAAGCTGTTGAAACGGATGCGACATCCTCGTTGGAGTAAAGGATGATCGTCTTGGGACTGCTGAACAGATAGCGGGTCGTGGTGTACCAATCTTAAAATGGAATAGATGCATGGCCAACGTATTCCAGATTGTACAGGAGATAAATACCATAGTTGTATGCATAGGCTACGCTCACGCAAGAGGAATCTCCTGAAGCACCAGCAGCGGCACCAGCATGGAATCTGAGAGTTGTATTGACGAAGCCTGCTAGTTGTGCGTCAACAAGAGTGACACCTCCTAGTAGAGCGGAACCGCCAACGACAATGCCGATGTTCGCTTCGGGTGTAACCATAATGTCAAGGTCCGCGCTAGCCTGAACATTTGCTTGGAACGATGGTTCGAGTCCAGAGGAAACGGGCTCAGGGTCATCCACGAGATCTTTGATCTTGCTGTAGTCGGTACTACCATCTCCCTCGGGCCAGAAGACCTCGGATTTCTCAAAGGTATATCTGGCACCAGCAGGCATGGTTCCGCTCAGCTGCACAACACCACGGATTTGTCCGTAGACGTCAAGAGTGGGCCCAACTGCCGCTATTCCCTTGATGGCCAACCCGGGGTAAGAAAGAGTTGGGATAAGCTTCTTTCGATCGGATTTTTAGTCCATGCGGGCAGTGCCCTGAACATTGATGCCAAGATATATACTTGGTTGCATGCCGAAGTATGCATAAGTACCATCCATAGAGGATGGAGCCAAAGTGCCGGAAAGGTAGTAGGCATAGGTACTGTCCATGGCAAGCTCGGAATCGAGAAAGACGTTCAGCTCTGCGATGGTCTTTGGGCATCTCTTTGAAACTGAGAAGAGAAGAAGACTGGCTTTCCAGGCCTGTGACAGATTTCCAACGCTGCTACTGTCGATCGTATTCATTTTCTGGAGCCAGTTCTTGAAACTTCCAAACCATCTCTTTTGCAGGCCGGCGTGTTCAACATCACCGGAATGTTCAAAAGAAGTCTTGGATGACATGACGTCTGCTTGCCTCTTTCGCAGTGCCTCATGGGAGGCCTTGGCTGAGTTGACCCTGTCTCGCCAGTCTTTGTATGTCATGTGTTCATCACGGACCGAAGTGGTGGACCGTTTTCTACGGAGAGTTGCTGGAGTATTTGTGGCATCCTCCCAGTAATCCAATAGATTGGTATAATCCACCCGCATGTTGATCGCACCTGAGTCACGCTTGATTGCCTGGAATTTGTAGTCGATTTTGATCTTATAGGCAGCATTTTGATTATCCTGGCTCTGTCGCTTCACTAAGTGGTGAATCATAAGAGCTGTCAACTGAGTGTATAGAGACGAGACGAGCGAAAGGGCCTTCTCCAATGTGCTCGGGGAGGTGAACAATCGTGTCTTCAGCGCCGTCAAAGAGCAGATTATCACACTTAGGCGATCCGGTTGGAAACTTGCAGAAAATATGGTGGGTCTCCTCGACATGATCAAAGTTTGTATACAGTTGCGTACGATTTGTCGTAAAAAGAGAACGTTTGACCACAGGGATCTCCTCGCTGCGACGGAAAAATTCATAGGTTGAAGCAAATGAGCTGTCGATAGATCCTGCAGGACCATCAAGCATCACAAACCCGTATGGGTCGTCCCCGTCCCCATCCCCTGGAGATTTTTGTTCATTGTTATTCCCATAATTTTTCACAAACGCCCATTCCACGTCATCCCCATTGGCTTCATAGTAATTCTCCCACAGATCCTTCGGATCAACAGGCCATTTTTCACTATTCGCCTGCGGTGGGTTGCATCAGTCAGGCCAATTGGGATTTTCATTTGCAGGAGGGGCATATTTGAGGCAATCATCGTCAGACTCCAATCCATCTCCAAAGTATGACTCAGCAGGATCAAGAGCTGTCATATATTGTACTTGGGTGGAATCACAGGCGGATGGGTAACAGATGTTCGCATCCGTGTGAGGTAGGTTGTCGAATGGCCAGGAGCAGTTTGAAGGGAGATTGTCAGTTGGGCAACAGTACGCCTGGGCGTATATAATCTCCAAGCTGTTGTCATCATCGGACGCGCAGGTTGAGCCTGTTCCATCGTCGTACCGATGGGTCATATATGTACTGCCACTAGGACAAGTTGGTTTGTCCTGCGTGGAGCCAAGATGTTGGCATGATGTCCACTTGCATTGTGCAATCGTCTCAGCGCTATCACAGCAAAGTGCCCGATCTCCTTGGTAGCATGGCTCCTCTACGGAAGCATCGATATATGAGTCAACATTAAGTTGAAACTGATCACTTCCACACTTGCCATTGCAACCAATCTCGCTGCGAATAGGAGCGCCAGACCATTCAAAATTAGTTGGCATCGCGTTGGTTGGACAGCAAATATGGCGATATGTGCCGCTTTTGCAAGTGTCGCCAATCCAATACCCAAGCTTCTGCTGGGGGGCATGTGCAGTGTCAACGAAAGAAAACCCAGTACCACAGACATACTCGGCATTATCATTTTGGAAGCTCGAACCATCGGTACACTCCTCTGTCCCATAACAGTTTTGTCCTGTATGTGCGGAGTATTGATCAGTCAATTCTTCCTTCTGAGCATCAGAAGGTCGCCTCCCTCCATTAGTAAGCCTGAGAGGGCCTCTTCGCCCAAGAGCGCTGACAAGGCAGTGTGCATGCCATCGTCCTCATCAAGAGCCCATATCATCACTCCTGAAATGCACTTGCTGGTCAAGTATCGAACATTGTCCTGCCATGACTGTGCATCGTTGTAAGAAATCCACTGGTTACCATTGTAAACATTGTATTTGACAGTGGAAACCGGATCGTAGTACGTGGTCACATCGCCAGAGCTATTAGTTGATTCAATCTCTGTGAGGGATTGTCAGCACAAGATTTTGACAGTGAGAATGCAAAGTCCGAAAAGAGAAAGAAAAAATAAATCAAATCCAAAATGGGATAGTGCCCACCTGAATAATACAGAATTCCAGTGCTCTGCGAGCAAGGGCCAGGACCTCCCACTGCGGAAAATGTGCAATCCGCTGTGTGACAGTCCTTGTTGGACATGGTGAAGCTTCGACCGTAAAAGCCCATGCCCATAACCCCTTTCTTCGGGTCAATGTCGTTGCGCCAAAGCAAATCAAATCCCTCATCAATCTCCGTCAGGTTGGTATCACCACGCAGATAAGACCCGGTGTTCTTATTGTCCTGATCCCACATGCCGTGAAGATCATAGCTCATGAAGTTGAAATATGAAATATACTTCTCCATCGATTTAAGATCAAAGTTTGCATGTACCAGTAGCTGGAGGGCAGTGTGCAGGTAATTTCCCAGCCTGGATTGATAGCATCAAAGGCCTCTCTCAGTTCAGCGAGCAAAGTCACAAAGTTCTCTGTATCATCTGGGTTGCCTCCACGATCCTCCGCAGCGGGATACTCCCAATCTTTACCACGGTTCTTGATCAGTAGAGTACCAATATATCGGAAAGCTGAATAAAGGGGATTGACCTACCAATCTCGACGCCGTCTAGGCCGTACTTCTGCATATACGAGATCAGAGAATCAATGAAGGTCTGACAATTCCCGTATGACCCTGCCATGGTCAAAAAATAGTATATGGAAGGTGGATCATTGAAATTCCAGTCTCCAAGGGCAGCGTTAACCCTTAAGCCAGGATACGATGTCTTGAGACGGGTGACACGGGTAACAATGTCTCCATATTCATTAACCATTTTCCAATCATCCCCAAACTGGACAAATGCCAGATTCATATGTGTCAAGGCACCAGCAGGGATGTTTTCTGGTTGCATGGTATCGCATGGCCGAGAAAATTGGAAAAGCTCGTAGTATGCAACTACTCTTTCGAGGGAGCTGGCATTTGACTAACTTGAGTATGATGGGATACTGTTGGAACACTTGTTAATATTATCAGAAGACGTATAGGGAAGACGGGAAGGAGTCGTGAATGAGTTGCGATGATTTAGATATGCGGTTGATAATCTCACAGGTAAAGCAAGGCTGACTACCAACAAGAGCCGCCTCATCTACATGGATGATGAATTTTCACCTCATCTCATATATCTATGGCCCTGCAATATTCAAATGGCGTGGTATGAAATACTTACTCAAAATTTTCACAACCAGTTTGGCAGCCTTCACCACAGAAGTCTGCAGTTGAACCACAGAATCCAAATTGACTGCAGTAGACACCAAGAGGACAGATAGTGACATTTACGCCATCACCACACTGGGCTTTAGCGTTGCAATTATTCTGACACCCATCGCCACAATGAGCCGTACCAAAGCCACAGCTTCAGAATTTTGTTAGCTTGCTCGATGACGTCGAGATAATAGACTCTGTAGCTTACCTTCCCTCTTTACTGCAACATCCTTCGGAACAAGGAACGAGATTAGAGCAAGTACCACCTTGCTGTGACTGAACAACTGAGATGAAAACAAAAATGAAAAATCAAAAAGTGTAGTATAGTTTAAGGTCCCTCATCATGCCAGCATCTTATTCGGCCAAGCCTTCAATACTTCAAAGATTTTAACCCCCAAGATGTGTAAAATCTTAAAAGAATGAATATCAAGAAAAATTGATCAAGACCTGTTATTCCCTCCTTATGAGGGACTTTTGAGAATTAAAAGATTCGGGGTCTACTTTGGATGAGTTCTCCAATATACTGAAGACCTCGCTTCGGTTATGCCACTGGTATTTGGGTGCAAGCTAGCGATTAGCGTCAACATGTATCCCAAATTCATTCATTACATCCTGTGTACAATACGCTAGTGTACTATTTCGAGATTTCTGCATCCGCTACACCGGAGTTACGCATTTTAGTTTATTATATGGAAATAAATTATGTTAAAAGTGTTGAAGGAAGCCAAAATTCAGACAAAAGTATTTAGATTGAAAGTCTCAAAGATACCATCATGAGTCGACTTGTGAAGAGAGTCAAGATCTTATGAGAAAAGATAAATTCTCGAGTTTCTGTGTTCTTTTTTTTCGAACGACACTCTTGGAGGGAGCATCGTGGGTTTCCAAGGTTGTCGATGAGAGGTCAACTAAGCTAAGTGCTAAGTAAAGGTACGAGTGGGCCGAAGAAAAATTGAAGATATCTCTATTATTTTTTTCAGAAGAGCCTCTGTAGGTTTTAGACCCTGGGGTGGGGCATTATGGGGCAAGTGTAAGGCGCTATACGATATGACCCATATATGTAATAGCAGGGTCGTTCTAAAGTTCAATGTTGTTGACTAATTCCAAGTTCCTGGAATTCCTACCCAGTGGGAACTACATATTTACTGCTATTTCAAGTAAAAACAAGGTCTACAATTAGAGACTAGCTTATAGTGCTTCACGAATCGCCCCCAAAATTCTCGCTATATGGTGGCCCCAATGGGTGGCCCCTTTGGTAGAGCTCTCCAATATTAGCATAAGCCCAACAAAGATGATCCTCCAAATAGATATTGGTCAACGCGGTATGTTCCACTGCTTCATCCAGTTCGTCCCTGGCGTAGCGAACGGTTTGACCCAATTCATCGAAAAACACAATCAGCACCTTTCCTGCGTCGGGGCCGTCGGAAGCAAGAGTTGTTGCATCCACAATGTGGATCCGATTCAAAGATCTCATCCGGTGGTAACTAAATGAGATGTCACGGTCCATATCAAGAGCCTCAACAGGGTCAAGGCTATCGTCCGCTCCCTGGGAGCTATTAGCCTCAGACTCGACTACTTCACTTAGAGCCGATTGGGTCTCCTCTTCATATTTCTGCACGTTGCGCCCGGTTTCCAAAATCTCTGGCCTGAGAAGAAAAATCCTCTCCCAATTTAGACCAAAGTTGTAAAGCGATTCATCGTTGCAAATCATATCTTCCTCTAATAAACGGCTCATCTCTTCATCATGGGAAGTATTCCAAGCTGGCTCCGAATCTGGTCCATAGCATGTACGTAGCCATAAAATTAACTGATTATTCACGATATCGCGCCTAATGTCTGGCTGACGCACACGCTGAAGCAATTCTTGGCTGTCGGCTGGAAGGTCATCCACATAGTTGAGTCTGTTTTGTCGTTTTTGGATTCTGTAGGGCTTTAAGAATCGGTAAGCGTATGTGGATATCAGAAAAACGATCAGCGCGTACCTCACGACTCCGCACTCCCAGCTGAATAAATTCAGAAAATATTTGCTCCCGCTGGGCCTCCATAGAAAGGAGTGAATCCTTTTGCCATCGCTCCTAAGATATTACTAGTATTAGCATCAAATATATATAGCGGTATCACAAAGGGAATTTGAATTACCAAGAGGAATAAATCCGATTGATAAAGTACGGTCCTTCTCCTTGGGTGATCGGTCATCTTGAACAGCTTCAACTTGAAACTATTTGGATGTCGCTGAGTTGAAAGACAGGGGGATAAAGACTCGGATGAGGAACATGCGGGAAGGGCGTTGGCTAAGCTTGGTGTTGAGTGCGAGATATTAAGTGGAGAATGTCTCGGCACTGGGAACCAAAACCCGCTGGACTTGAAAATTGACAGAACTAATGAGAGAAACAGGAGAAGAAAACAATAAAATAAAACAGGGTCCATGGCCAATTTTTTAGGTTCGGCACTAAAGCTAAGAATCTTCTAACTGTGGTCTGCCCCGTAATGTCTTGAACCCTTGAACCCTTAGTCTAAGTTAGACCCTTGGCAAGTGGACCCTACATGTTTGATGTGGATGCTAATCTTCCAAGGTTCTATAACCGAAGTTTCTAGTGCAATACGGTAATTTCCAATCTACTCAGCGTGTACCTGATTTCAAAAATGCGACGACGGATCATAACCGTGGTCGCGTGGAACGTTCGCTCCAAATCGTTATAGCGAAGTGCCCACTAAAGCCCTTCCCAGATGAAGTCCACCCCATCTAATCCATTTTCGACGCCCAATCGGTCTTTCTCTTTGAACATCAAATAAAATCTTTTGGGGATTTGAGTTATTCAAGTTCATGATCGCGGGCACAGGATGACTGCCATTGTGAAATCAGGCTCGTCTCTCGGGCGGTTATGGATGGTGGCAGCTCTGTCACTCCAGACATCAGCCATGCAATTGTTCAATACTACTCCTTCAGGGGTTCCCGTCGCATGTGGAGATGCTTTGACAACTAACATCACTTGCAATCAGCTCGTCCCTGTTCCCGTCATCGTCAATCAGCAGTATATTGGAAATACTACTCTTTGAACCGTTGTGTGCTGCGGACTGCAGAGACTCCCTCTATCAGATTCGTAATGCAGCGGAGAGCGCATGTGGAACGGACGTATATAGCTTTTCGGGAGTCAATCAGACTGTGCAAAGCTTTTTGGACCCTCTGACTTGGGCTTACAATGTGTCATGCCTGACTAGTGGCGAAGAGTTCTGCTATTCAGATATCATGAACCGCAACACTTCTATTCAGCCATGCTCTGATTGCTTCTTGCAGTATGAGGCTGCCATGCTAGGATCCACATACGGTCGACAACGGATTGATCCAGTGGCATTCTCCTCTCTTCTTTCCTCGTGCAGTGTCCCAGCCTCAAAATATCCCTATTCTACACCGACAGCTCTGAGTGCTACATTGCCCTCCACTACTGTCATTGCTGTCGCAGCTTGTACCGGTACTACCTACACTGTGGAGAGCACTGACACCTGCAGGTCAATTTCGTCGGTCCACAATATCGCCACGGACAGATTCGTTACGGAAAACCATCTGGATAGCAACTGTACTACACTGAGTACTGGTGATGATGTCTGCCTTGGAGCGAGCTGTACCCTTAGGGATACGAGGTACATGCCAATGATACCTGTAGCTCGATTTTGGCGGATAAAACCTTTTATTTGAATCAGCTGTTGTCTTGGAACCCGTCGGTCCTTTATTTCGCCAAACTGCATAGCCTGTGACATTGCTAATTATTATTTAGAACAATCCATACAGCATGTGACAATATTGATACAATGATTGGCAAGAATATCTGTCTATCGTGAGTCGTTAAGAAAAAAAGCTCAGACCTCTCCAAACACAGTGCCCCTAATCAATACATGCTTCTTAGGCCTCCAGGCTCCAAATGGAACGTTACAACTACCAACTTCACCACCTCATGGAATTTGTGAGTAATTACGATATTCAATAATTTGCTTGATCTGACCCTATAATAGTACGTTTGTCCTTCCGCCGACATTGTGAGCAACTTCGGAAATTTCACACTGACCCAGTTCTACACTTGGAACCCTGCCATTGGTACAAACTGCAAGCATCTCGACGTTGGTTAGTAGATTAGATAAATAATAGTTCTCATGTATTGAGAGGATTCCTGGTGACAGTTCTACAGATGATGCTGCATGTATCGGCGTCCCTGGTGCCTCCACTGTTACAGCGACTAGTGCCGCAGCCAGTACTACTACTACGACCAACGCCGCTCCCTCACCACTCATGCCGGATACAGTCTCAGACTGCACAAAATACTAATACATTGTCGAGGATGACACCTGCGATTCGATTGAGGAAGCGTATAGCATCACATCTGACCAGGTATGCTTCTTTCTCTGAGACTTTGACCTCTATGGACATCCATCAACAGTGTAATCAGTTTTCTGAGTGGAATCCCTACGTCTCGAATGGTACGGATTGCCAGCACTTATGGTTGAATACTTATATTTGTGTTGGAGCTCCAGATTCTAGCTCAAGCGACAAAGACAGCACTACTACAACCATGCTCCTTAGCACCACTACTACTACCCAGACTGCTACCGTTACCGTCCCTTCCCCGTTGACTCCCAGCACAGATGCAGACTGCACTAAGTATCATTACGTGGTTGACGACGAAGATTGTGAGACCATTGAGTCCCAGTATCGCATAACTGCGGCCCAGGTATGCAAAAATGAGAATCACTGAAATTCGAACTATAGAAGCTAACCGTTGGAAGTTTAATTCGTGGAATCCGTACGTTGGCTCGGGCTGTGCAAGTCTGTGGCTGCACTATTATGTCTGTGTGGGTGTTTAAGAGTAGCACACAGCCGTTATGAAGTCAAGGCTTTATTCTTGGAAGAAACTCTCGGATCAAACATCGAAGATGAAAGTATACTCCAGAACTGGAAAGGCTAGGTATCCGTTGTGCCGGTCTTTCTCGGTATAGTTGTTTTAGCCATTTATATCTCAGTCCTCAACTACATTCTTCGGGAGGGAAATAGCGGTTTCTAAGGCATTCGGATAAATAGATGAACAAGCTAAAGAGTTCAAAGTCGGGAGAGGAAATTTCCGACCGGATCATAATAAAGCGTCAAAACGCGAAGCATAAATCAGTCAGGATTCGCTTTTATATCTGAAGAATTTCAACTGAATTCGTATCGGCTAATTGTAACAATGACTTTTCCACCTTCTGTCTGGCCATTTGCTATGTCCTAGATTCCTATGTAAGAGAACCTCAAAGGTATGCGACGTATCCCAGCCAAGCCACTGACACCAACTGTGATCCTGGGTGTTTATATGAAAGCTTGATTTGGAACGACGAAAAAAAAGTCTTTCAGCCATCTTTTGGTGTCGTTATGGACACAGTGATTAGAGCTCGGTCGACCAAAGGGTCCTAGGTGTGAGGAACCCGCTTTGGATATGTCGAACTTAAACCGGTTAAGCAGCTGAAGAGTCTTGGAGGCCTCATCAAACCAAACAGTGGTTCTTATCCGAGTCTCTACCGATGGGTGATTGTCGAAGGTACATACATGGGTAAAGTCGACAAATCTTTTATCGCAACCAATATTAGAATCATTTCGAGTGTGTTGGTGCAGAGCTTTATATGAAACAGCTGGATTTCGACATAGATATGTGAAAAGTTGATGATTATAGAATGACATAGCAAAACAGGGACAAACGTCAACTTGTCCTGTGAAGGGAGGGCGATGCCAAATTTTATAAATTGAACGGCACCTTGAAGTTTTGTGATTCAAGCTGAGGCATGACTGAATCGCTCCCCACATAGATAACCAATGAGGAATGGAGCACTGGGTGCAATATATCCAGCGCTTGTTTTGAAGTCGAAGACGGAGGTCGATTTCATGTATCACCGACTTAAGTCTCGGCGCAAAATTCAGGCTTTTTTGCTGAATGTATATCTCATATATACCTTTACAGCTAAGTGAAAAGCATATTTGATCTGGACCAAGAAGGAAGCGGAATATAGCTTCGACTATTTCAAGTGGTACTTTTCGAAATTGGTTGGCCTTCAGTCCGGGGAAGTCAGAGTTAGCGCGCAGATTAGCACGGAGTTTCAAAGGGCTGGGCATCATAATGGGTATTTCATTCGTGTGAAAGGGATGGAGTGAATATCCTGAACAATACTGCTAGAGCAGCCCAAGTCCCAAAGGGGCTGTTTCATATGACACGCGCTCACGTCATAGACTAATAAACACTTCTGTGGAAACGTTCGTGACGGGGAAAGCAATTTTGGGCTCTACACTATCCGCAGCCTTTTTCGATCGAAGAAATGAAGGAAATTTGCTTTGAGAAGTGATGCTATCAACATTGGAATCGCGGGCGTGAGTGAGTGTGGAGAAGAGAGCCACCCCTAAAGTTGCTCAGGAACTTTGATAGACGAGTACATTTCTTTGACAACGCTAGTGCGATCAGTTAAAGAAAGAATGGAGCACCTTCAGTCCTATTCGCGGGACAGATATTCAAATAAACTTCGGCTCAGCAGATGTAGTTCCACTCACCTCATCAGGCGCCAACCCTTTCGCCACTCGGATGGGACAATACCTCAAGCTAGGATGTTAAGTTCATTTCCAGGTTTCTCTCCAGGGCTGTATTGTTTCGAGCACCTCCCAGATTAGGCGACAATCTATTGTCAATGCCTTCTGGGCCCTTCTTAGCTGCAGAGGAATCTATACTTGGAAGACCGTTATGGTCAGTCTTGACCTCTAATGCATGTCAAACCCAATCCAGATGTGATGTCCCATTCAATAACCAGGGTGCCAATAAGGTCCTATGCGGATTAATTCGAGCCCCTGACTTATTCTGGAAGCGGATTGGCCATCCCTGCCGCGCGACTCTATCAGAACTGCCCAGGTAAAGACGATAAAGTACCTCAAACCCCGCCCGGGCGTAAAATGACCAAATCTCATCACTCAGCCTCCCCCGCTTGATATTTCCGTGTAACTACACATCCACTTTCCAGAGGCCATAAATTCGCCCAGGAATTTCGATTTCGATTAACTTGATATCTCCGCATGGATCCTCTTTCTTTTACAGCTAGCCTTTTAGCGGTTGCTACGTTGGCCGCCAGCGTTACAACTGCGTTATCGAATCTCAGGCATGTTGGCGAGCTACCGGGCCGTCTACACGCCATCAACAACGAAGTGACGGATCTTGAGGTCATCCTTCGCCAAATCGGGTCCAAGTTTACCGAGACCCACTCTTCACCACTGCGAGGAAATCCCAACTCGCTTCTAGATGTGCTGCGCCGAGCAGAGAGCAAGCTGCGAGAGCTGGATGCCATAGTCGCTCGGTTGATGCGTTCCTGCGTGAGAAACGGCAAATTTCTTGTTCGTGCAAAGGTTTGGATGACGGAGAAGCCAAAATTACAGGCTTTCCAGGAAGAGCTGCACGATATCAAGGCTACCCTGAATCTTATTTTGGGACTTGTTCATTCGTGAGTGCGCCGTAGGAATTTAGCTGCTCTAGTAGCCGCCTACTTATTTTCTCCTGCTAGTCAAGATATGATGCGCGTTCAGCTGGATCTCCAGAACATATCACTCGTCTCTACCAAGATGACAAATGCCCAAATTGTGTTTCGAAATGAGATAAATTCGACCATCGAACAAAATACCCACCGTGTTGATGAAAGGCTGGCCGCACTGGAAAGGGCGCTTAACGAGCAACTTTCTCGACTCCAACTCCGTGTGAGCTCAGACATGGGCACCTATTTCCGCAGCCAAGGGGCAAATTCAATGACTACTTCTCTCCAGCAGTACCAGAAATCCTTCGCTCCGTCCCACGTGGGTCTTGTTAGAATTCGCGCCGCTCAGTATATTGGCCGAGCATGCGAGGCGACTTGCCGGTGTGCCTGTCACCAGCGCTTCGAATATCATTCTCCAAGTCTTGTCGGCCCCGTCGTGGGGAAGCTGTTTTTTGGCTACGCCGGCTTCCCTCGCATTCGAAGGAATTGTGACGATTTGCGCTGTTCGCGAAGCAAAGCACGTCACATCAGCATAGAATACTGGTTTCCATTGTGGTTCTTGTCGGGAATTCTAATGCTCATTCTCTCACTGCAACAATCCGGCCCGGCACTGCAACTTCGCCTTCTTCGGCGGGTTCCGGACGCCGCTCAATGTATTGACTTTGCAAGAACTGGCAACATCGAAGGAATCAAACTACTCTTCAAGGAAGGACTGGCGTCCCCGTTCGATGTTAGCCAGTCCCGGAACTTCTCCATGCTTCGCGTAAGTCGCTTCAGATATATCCATAGCCTATCGATTTTTTCTAGCACTGTCTCATGAGAAGAGCTAACCACAATTCAAAATGGGCGGTATTCGACAGGCAGTACGAAACTTGCAGGTTCCTTCTTGAAGCCGGCTCGGGTCCGAACCAAGCGTATTTCTTCCCCATTCGCTAAATTCCTTTGGTGTGACAAGCTAACTTTTCCACAGTGGCGCAAGTGCAATGATGTGGGATTTTGTTCTCTGGGCCACACTGAATGATTCAGAGATGGAGACTGTCACAACCCTCCTCGCCGGCAGTGATTTTGTAGACGACCAGAAATTCCCCATGGTCCACAAAATCATTCTCAAGTTGTCGGGAAGAAGTCTAGAAAACGAGGTGTTGCACAATCTAGATGCCGTATTCGAGACAGACGCTCGGGGTCGCACCGCCTTATCTTGGGCGGCAGCCCGGGGCGATGAACGCTCCATGATCGCACTTCTAGCCTGTGGGGCCGACCCCAACGCCATGGACCAAGACGGTAGAATCCCCCCTGCATCTTGCAGCAGAGTCAGGCCGTACTGGCTGTATCCGCCTCCTTCTTGAAGCTGGGGCACATACAGACCCCATCTCGCCGCAAGGCACTCCAACACGTACGCCGCCACTCGTGCTCATCGGGCAATTTGGGGACCTCTTAGCTCTGAAAACGATTCAAGATTTCAATCCTAATATCGAAGCTAGAAGTCCGGATGGGTAAAGTGCGCTGCTGGCCGTGGCACGTCGGCAGACGGCAGCGCATGCCCTGCTTCTCCTGGAGCGCAATGCCAACCCCAACGCCATGATGAACGACGGCAAGACGCCGCTAACGGCCGCCATCACATATAACAATAAAGGCGTTCTGAAGGTACTACTAAATAGCTGGAACAAGTACATCACTTGTCCCCGCCTCGCCGGTCCGAATCTGCTAGACGTGGTGGCGGACTTTGCCGACATCGAGACCATCCTTATTCTGGCCATGACCGAGCATCTGCGATTCTATAGTGATAAACAGTACGTATTGGCTTCAAGGGCGTCCGAGCGCATCCGGAAGCGCCCAGATGCGTCGGAGAAGCTCATAGCCGCCTTTGACGAGCTTGTCACTCATGTCAAGGGAGGATATGGAGGAGGACGTCAGCAGCTTGATGGAGAGCGGGTTCTTGAAGCACGAGACGAATTCCCCGGAAAGTGATGTTGAAATGAATTTTGAGGATGCCCTTGAGACTCTTATTGACAAAGAGAAGTAATTGGTGAACGATGTAAGGGAACAAGGTATGGTTGACCCGAACTTCAATATCAAAGGAGTAGAGGATACAGCGACAAGGGCAATATCCTTGATATCGTTCTGATTCCTCAATAAACAAATTGGATACAAAAATCAAAAACATACAACAGTCAGGATTCGCATGTGGTCACCCACCATACTACTAACTGACCGGCGTGTGGCTTAAGTACGGCTGAGCGGACGGGAAGCCCTGTTCTCCACACCCTGTGGTCGTATGTGCTGGATCCATGTGAAGCTTGAACTATATAGGGCTTCAGACTCCCTTTAGCCTATATCATAGCTATCACCTTGGCACATGTGTGTATATAAGTGGTCTGGAGAAGATAGTTCAAATTCCCCTGCAATAGTAGGAATTCGTCACCAGAAGAATTAAAATTGAGAGACTCAAAAATTCCATTATCATAAATAAAGTATCACATGCATTATTGGAATTAAAAAATAGCTTCCAAATGTCCGCTTGGTACCACTGGTTCCACCTGGGCAGTCCTTGTGTTAAAGCTCATCTTCACCAAGATCTCCACGAGACTCGCGGTCTTCCAGTCGGGCATGCTGAATCGATTCCATTCTGGGTGTAGAGCTCTGTAGATTACTGGTGGACCACCGACTGGGAAACCAACTTGGAGCGTAGTAGCGAAAGAACTGGCGGAAGTAAGGAAGACAGCCACATAGAATGATAAAGTTCGCCTCAATATTGCTGTGTCATAATGGATGTGAATATTGTTTCATCATAGCGTGAACTTTATAATATTCAACAAGGACTCACATAAACACGCTCGCAAGAGCAATTTTGTACGAAACATCTTGTGAAGTAACCAGGGGCCATAGAGTAGCCAAACGTAGTATACTTGTGACGATGGTTCTTTCGAAAATCAAAATCAGTATACCTCATTAATCGAGGCTTTCGGGGTTTCATTGGAGAGGCTCGTACAAACATCCAATTCCAAGAATGAAAATAACACCCAATTTTGGGATCAGACGCATATGAAGTCCCCAAACGATCTTTATAGGAATTAAGATCAGAACTATGTCGCTAACAGTATTTGTGATTGCTGTAGCGAGATAAATGGCTGGTCGGTCAATGCATGAACCCGAGGGTATTGTAATATCCCAGCCTTTTTGAATGGGACTGCAGGCGAAGATGAGAGCCAGGGCCAACGCGAGGCTATAGCCGCAGATCACAAAGGCGAGGATGTATATGATGTAGATCCAAGATTGAATTGTGCTGAGAAGTCTGTAGTAAAGCATGAGAATGGCGAACTTTGCAAATGCAAGGCAAGGGATGTAAATGACTGCTGCTGCTAGGACGACCTTTGATTATTGAAGAGCTGCGTGAGATCGAGTTCTACATCAAAGACTTCAAGGTAGAGGCAGTACCTTCAAGAGCAACTTTATTGATGGCAGAGACAGCGTCAATATGTGTACTCCGATAAGTCCACGCGAGAAGCCATATAATAACAAATTTTCATCAGCGGGAACATTTCATATCAAAAAGATTGACTTACAAAGTATGGTTGCCTGGGTACCGACTGAAAACATCTATATACAATCTGTAAGTCAATTTGCATCTGCCAGTGATTCTTCTAATTTTCGTTTCTGGAGCTTACCCAGGCTATGATAATGCATACTAGTCGATAATTTGGGTTAATAACTTCAATTGACTAGATGTATAGAGATAACGAACCGTCATCCCACCAGAAATGCTTCATTATCACAGATTTGGTGAATATACGCATAATGAGACAGCTTGTACTCAGCCCAAGTCCTATCCCCACTATCACATAATTCGCGGTTCGCAACCATGGTGTGGAGTTAGGATTTGAAGCTACTTCCGCTACGCGACGTAGCATAGAAGACAATAAGTGGCTAGTAATCATCCTGCGAAATCATTGATCTGAAAAATAAATATGATCCATCAAAACATTTCAATGGAATATAGTGGCTTGTGCTGCATAATTGAAAATTTTGACTGTAAGAGGTTGAGGATTATGACCAACATCCATTAAAGTGACGGAGATGAATCATCACTTTCGCAACATTACCATGGCACCATCAAGGATAAAACCACGGTACTGCTCACTTCAATCAAAGACAAAACATTGAATAATAATAATAGAAATTAATTCAAACAAATCAAGATGAAATTTGTAAGTACGTTGTCAAAAGAAACTGCAGTATTTGCGAACGTGGTGAGACTACTAGTAGTACCCTTTGCCCTGCTAGTGGTAGCACTTGAGCCTTCGCAACTTATTAAATACCAGGTACTTCATCCGGCGAGATGGTAATTCTGATGCTCTATAACCGCGACCGTTTTAACTTCCCTCTTTCTTCACGTTTGACTTTCCTCTTTGACTCAAATCTCCAGTCTCTCAGTTTTTGAACTTTGCCGACCTGAGTTGGCACCTTTAACCTCGGCTGTGGACATGCACTCATCATCAATGAAGCAAAAGCCAGTCAACTTTTGCTTTTCGCAAGCAATCTATCGCTGGTTCTCTTTGATGTAGAACCTGAAGCTTGTTCTCTAGGCAATTGGGGGAGGGTAGGGAGGGTATGGCCACGTTGCTGGATGCATTTAGTTTACCAGGTTGTTCAGGGATCGGCCACATGTGCATGGTAATAACCCAGTCAGGCTCGATTACTGTCTCCCATACATTGGGAAGAATGATATCCCCATTAGGTCCCACCAAATCGTAGTGACCCTGAGCCACATGGGGCCCAATCACATCGATATGTAGAAAGGCTTCTCCAATCAACTCCTCCATTCTATAAATAAAAGAATTCAACATCAGCATAGGGAGAAGAGGAAAGGGATTTATTATCTCATAGATAAATATAGAGGCATCTCTTACCTACCAAGTGTTACATAGCTGAAAGGGGAAGCTGAATTCCCTGCCCACGCAATCCTTGAACTTTATGGGCTTCTTCTTTCGTGTGTAGGGACCTTTCGATACTGATTTTATTTGCGCGAGAGCCTCTTTAGTCTTAGATGCTCCCAATGCTTCATTCGTCAACTCCCGCTTTCTCCGCTTGCTCTGACAAATTGGCTGTAGCTCCGCGATTCTCATTCTCACCTCCTAGCATTAGACCGGACAGGCGTCTGGAGCTCAACTCGGAGGAACTGCCAGTTCTTTGGCTTGCATATGGAGGTCGGGGCACGGCTGCTGGTACTGGGGGCTCGTCCTCATCATCCTCATCATCCTCATCATCCTCATCATCCTCATCATCCTCATCATCCTCATCATCCTCATCATCCTCATCATCCTCATCATCCTCATCACCCCAGTCTCCACCGTCATATGAGTATTGTTTGGCTTCTACCCATCGTTTTGTCTTTGATCGATTCACATTGGGTTGGAATGAGATTGGCGTGTTTCCTCCGCTCGCTGGGATCGCCTCCGTGGCGGAAGTGGCTTCCGTGCTCGGCTTTTTCCCTTTCAAATCTTCCGCTGGCTCATCGTATATTGATCTTTCGTACGCTCCAGAATGAGAACTAATTTCAGTAGGGTCAAGTTCGGATACTGTATCTTTGGGGGACGTCGCTGAGGACTCGGATCGACTCGAATTTAAGCTAGACTTGCGATTCGATCTCTCTCGGATTTTTTCTTGAACCTGAAATATATATGATTTCCGGTTCATTTGCTCTTCTTGACAAGAGCCATCCTGTGAGATTGTCTTCTTCACACGATATAATTTGTCAGGCGCATTCTTGCGAGGGTGGTGAGGGTGGTGGTTTGTGTTGAGTGGCTTCATGAGCAAATGACAAAATAATGTGTCTGGTTGGACGAACAGAATATTTCGTCTCCGATCATTAATCTTCTTGCTGAAATTATGCGTAGAAGGGCCGTGTTGAGGCAAATGGGCAGAGAGACGCATGTGCCCAATAAAAGAGGGGGCGAGTCCTGTGATGACACTTGCATAAGTCTAGCGAAGCTCTCCTGTCACAGTCACTTCAAGCCTTTGTAATTGTTTGGCCGCTTTCAAAGACTTCTCCTCAATCAGTGAGCTTACATGGGAAATATGGCGCATTATCGGCCTACCAGCTTCAGGTTTGCAGCTTACAAATTGGGGATAATCTGCGCGCTTCCGAAGGAGCTTCTTGCTATCCGGGTCTTATCTGATGAGACCCATGAGGGATTACGGACAGTAAAAGAAGACAAAATGCACTACTCGCTGGGGCGCATGGGGAAACATTTAGTCGCAACTGCATGTCTTCCATCTGGAGAATACGGCACAAATTCTTCCTCCGCTGCAATGCAAAATATGCGCCGACCCTTTCCCCAGCTCGAATTCTGCTTGTATGTTGGAATTGGTGGAGGAGTTCCTTCATCCGAAAATGATATTAGATTCGGCGATGTTGTTGTGAGCCATCCAGTTGGACGTTATCCCGCTGTCGTGCAATACGACATGCACATGTGGGGAAAATGCTGCAAAGTGGGATACTTGAAACTACAGGAACACTGCACTCTTACACCTCTCTGATCAGACCCCAGGGGTCATTCCACACGTCTAGTATATGGTTTGGTGTTGTTTGTTGCGCTGTGTCTATGCTATCTCTGCGCGTGTATCTTGATTACACATCACTACGTTCCCCTCTTCATTAGGTACCTAGTGATAACGTAACTTCTACATTGATCAATATGTAATTTCGACTTATGGGTTAGTCATGATGTTTCTTCCCCTCTTCCGAGGTTACAAGAGATGCCAGTTTAATAAGATAGGTACCGAACAGGAGGCTAAAAGCGGGGTTTTCTTCGGGAAGAATGAGTCTTGGATAGCTCCTAGAGCAATTAGTAGTAGATTAGACTTCTGGTCAGCCAGAAGCGGGGTATCTCTAGGGCTGGGCAGGAGTCATGGAGGTGGACCCGCAGATACGGCGGCATAGTTCATTTAGTAAATTCTAGTTCGCCGCCCTATTGACCGCCGTGCCTCCAGGGCTAACGCGGGCGGGCACGGGCATGAGACCCTTAGTTACACTGGACCCCCGGGGCCGATATAAACTGGGCTTCGACCTTAACCGCTGTTTTCCAATGTCAATACTTCCCTCAAACTGCCTTCTTCCCTTGCTCTCTTCAACTCACACCCTCTTACTTCAGTTAAAGCCATTCCAACAAGCCTTAATTACGTCCATCAAACATCATTGCTGTTAGTGATCAGTGGAAGCAGCAAGGAAGAGAGTTCATTGACCGTTTCTTTCGGGAGAAAAAGCCCAAGGCTTTGGGAGATGTAACTGCGTCACTTTGCACGGAGGATGCCTGTTATCAATTTGCGGAATCGCTTTTGGGACCCGATGAAATTTTTCCCGTCAACAACCAAGGCTCTAATAGCTTTACCCTCCAAACCTCGAGTAAAATCATTCAATTCCGCCTCAAGCCACTCAACACAGACACTCTTGCGCTAGCCAACGAGATCTATGGGAATCTGGTGCCTAAAGTCAACCTCCACACCTGGTTTTTATTGCCTGTCTACAGCTCAGATGTTCTATTAGGACAAGTGAACATCCTTGTAAACGATTCTGGAAATGTCACCGGCGTGGTAGACTTCGACGGGGCAGAGTTTGAAGCGTTTGGAATTTGTTTATGGGGATTGTATGAATGTTCTTTTGGCAGCATGGAGGACGGCAAGTGGGCATTCTATAAAGAAATGCCGGTGCTTGCGAACGCCTTTTGGAGTTGCCTATGGGCCAATCTTCCCCCAATTCTTCAACGAGAAGAAGTCAAGACAGTATTCAAGGTATCTTTAAGTATCGGGGCGATTAACCGGTGTTTCGTTAGCGGAATGATGGACAAAATAGACCTGTCGCAGAGAAGTCATCGGTTGTTGCTCGAGTATGCCAGGGGAATTTTGCCGCGGATTTGGGAAGATAATTAGAGATGTATATAGATCCCTCAAGCTTCAAGGAACTACGTGTAGCAGTGGCAGTTTAGCATATGGTCAGTGTTGCCTGAATGAGGGGACTGGAGACTACTAGTAAGTATGCCAAATTGAGCATTCAAATGTTGCCAGTTATCAATTCTAGTTCCTTGAGACACCGTAGGATGGTGCATGTAACCGAGTGAGAGAGGGGTAACTTGTGGCATACAGCTGTGCTCAAGTGCTGCTACTAAATTGAGGCTGGGCGGCTTTGGGTAGCTGGGGATCCCGGGAAACCCCCATCGGGGCTTTGGACTATTTGCTTTTGTTGGAGTCCGGTCAGATGACCATTCCTCCTCATCTCTATGCTACTTGAGCCTCATCGTTTTCGTGCTCGGACCCTCTCTCAGCTTTCCGTTTAAAACACTTGAGGGCTTTTTTGGCCACTCATCTCATCCAGAGCCAGTGCATAGATTGTTGTGACGGCCTCACTTGGAGTTCATTCGGAGTCTCACGTCAATCAAGCCAAATTCCTCAATCATCTCATCCAGTGTCGGTGCATAGATTGTCGGGGACACGTCACTCGGACTCTCACAACACTCCAGCAGACTTCCCCGCTCCTCATCTAACTCGCAATATGCCCTCTTTTAGCTTGTGGCTGCATAATATCATTGTAATTAGTCTTGTAATGCCATTTAATAGTCGGTTACAAGGCTCGATATCCCCTCTAACTGTGATAGAGGCTGCATATTACGACTAATATGACCTCATGTGCTAGGTTCAATGAATGGCTCTGTTCCTCCACTGTTTCCCAATCTATTTAGCTTTGGAAATTGTGGTTGGAAAAGGTCGGTGCTCGGTGCAATGTACATGGATCATTGCTGTATCGAAGGCTATAAATACTGCTAAATTTCCGAACCGCTCTGACTTCATTCGATTTTATCAGCACTACCCGAACATTGCACCATAAGACCTACACAAACTACCTCGGGCCTACCATGTACCCCAGGTGTCCACTACTACTAGTACTATTCCCGTTGAACTTTACAACTCTCTGCCTACTATCGAAGAACAGTCGCCCCCAACTCAAGCTGTTCTGCAAAGCCTTGGGGAACTGCTAGTCTCTGGCAGTGTCAACGAATTTCTTGGAGTGTCTCTCCTCCACCGACACTTTTTACTTCCAAATGACTCAGTCATGGTACACGAAGGTCTTCGTTGCGCACCTGCCCCAGTCTCTCGTGACTTGAGTGGCGTTCGAATATGAAAAGGATAGCGCACCGAGAGAAATTTCGCCCGAGTTTCTCAAAGCGTTCGCTAATCACCTCAAGGGTCATGGACTAGAGAAACAGCTTGCTCTATCTCGACTCGATTTTGATTCTCCCAAGCTCATGGAATACTGCGAAGATCAAATGACTCACGTCTGCGAGATTACTGGTGACAATATCCTCTTCGAAGAGGCAACCGAGTGGAAGTTTGACTTCGAAAATGGGTTCGTTATACCCGTGATAACTCGTGGTTGTGCGCGTACAACATCCAACGATCATAAAAAGAAAGACACTTGAATGAGCAAATTTCGGCCAGCTTACTGCGAATTGTCCATGCCATAGTTCAACACGTGACAAATTGACGTTTCAGCGGATCTGATCATGCATCTCAACATGCATGAAGCAATCGACTCCGTTCCCCCAATTTCTGTTATCTGACCTTAAGTATCAATACGATTTTAATGCGTCCCATCGTATCATTATTTTGATTTTGTTTACAGCTACCTGATGTAGTCCCACACCACTAATGCGATGTGTACCCTTATACTCTGTACATATGACTCTTCTACGTCTTCCTCGCAGCCCTGTAGATTTCTTTTCATTTCCCATTACGATTTTAAATCAACGCCTCTTACACTTCTCAACATTTCATGCCCGGATGCCCTCAAGTGCTGGCCTTGTTTCTGCTTTTTTCGATTCTGCTTTTTTCGATTCCACCCGCTTTTGACTCTCAGACATCCACTTGATGCCACCAGCTCTTTGGGTTTAAGCAACGATAAACTCCCGCCAAAATAGGTCAATGATGAGTGCTCACTATCACTCCCACAATAACTATCATTCTATTCTGATTCCAGAATCCCTAATTATTGCGCTGGGAAAGTGAATTTATTTCCGTCAAAACTGGTCCCATCCACAGACGTTTGATAGAAGCTCGGCCCAAATTGCTGGGTATCTTTTAGCTCTGTCCGCACCTAGACATCAATTGATATTTTCATCGTCCCGGGTCATTCTTTTCCAATCCGTTTTCAACGCATATGTACAAAGTTTGATCTCGTTTTGCTCTCGGTGGTATAAATAGTAGCGTTTAGTGAGTCCAGGTCATAGGCTTAATGAGCTGAACAGTGAAGGACAGCAGGCAAGGCAGTTCTTGACAAGAAGAGGAAAGTGAAAAAAAGTAAGGTGACAGACAACAGCACGTCTAAGGCTCCTCGATTAAAAAAGCAAGATATATGCTAAGTATGACATTCAAACGAGCAATCGAATACTTAGACACAATTAAGTGGAAGCAAAAGGTCTTAATCTCACCTGGGCAGTCTGCTCAGACAATGACATGCGCAGACCGCCTGATAGGGTGGTGAATTGAAATATCCAATTATAACATTTGAGTTTTGTGATGGGACATGCTACCACTGTAGGGCCAATCATGAGTAGTGGTAAAGATGGTTCTTCATTCTTGTAGTTGACACTACTCATAACCTTGGAAGGAGCCGGTCTTATGACTAATACATGGGATCGGGCTAGTCCCGATCGGGAGGATACATACTAGCCCTTGAGCCCTGGAGTGGACTCGATCGGGTTGCTTCCGATCTGTCAAAACATGTGACAAGGGTGCCGTCACCCAACAATGCCACAAACAAAAGAAAGCACGGCGTCCTCGGCGTGGGACAAACAAGTAGGCAAATTATAGGCGATCGTAAGGGCAGAAATGATCGTAAGAAATGGCAAGTTCAAAAGCACAAGCTGGCGGGCGGATCGTAGGTGATCACGAAAGCAATGGCCGCAATTTTGGGGGGTAGCGATCAGAGGTTGCAGCGGTCGCGCCAGCGGGCGGCCTCGTCGTTAGGCATTAGGCGGATGATCTGCTTCGCTTCATCTTCCGTGTCAAAGAGATCGCCCTCTGTATCACGCAGCTTCTCCTCTGTATCACGCAGGACCTCTGATCTTTCTGAGTAGCTTTGCCTCAGCCAGAAGAGGCGGGACGCGACATGGAGACTCTCAGCGCTATACATAAGAAAGGGGGTGACGATAAGCAGGGACAGCTTGCTAGTAGTAAGAAGACGGTCCTTTTCCCGACTCAACGAGAAGACATCATGGATCACGAACACCTTCCCCGACCAGCTCCCATAGGACAGGAAGCCCCACAAGAACACTCCCACCCCCGTTCTTTCGGCAGTTTAACTCAATGGAGCAAGATGCCTTGATCACTAACGAGTGCGCCTGCGCGGTTTGTGTGAGCTCTCCCCCTTGTTTTTTGTGACTTCGGATCTCACGGTTCTAGGAGAAGCAACATTGAAGGAGGGAGACCAGGGCCGTGGCAGAACCATAGAGTGGTAGATCCGGGATCCACGGGCAGGCTGGATAGAATACCTGGGGTGCATGGGGGTGGAAGATATAGCTATGTCTCTATTTGACACCGTTCTATGGTTGTTTCCCCTAGTACTTGGGTAGTCTACGCTGGCCAGGTCATACCGGTGTCGGATTTATATTGCCAGGGCACCCGATCATGTAAGGATTCAGCCGAGCGAGCTAGCATAGCTAGATCGTAGGCAAATGAAGGTCGCGGTATACAGACCAAACTAGACATGTAGCGCTAGAGAGATCTACATTGGACCGTGGACCTGGACAGTCGTTCTCATGGTGAACAGAGTGGAAGACCATCATGTCGGTATCTGGACAAATCAGCTCAGCGGGAATGCAGGTGGCCGAAGTACATCTGGGCAGGACTATTATATATATTTCCACATGAGCCTTGGACGCTCTCGTACAACGAAAATCTAACTGATTTTCCTTGATGACGCTTTTTTCTATTAAACTTTTCAACGGAGAAGCCCGGCTAGCGCAATGGTAGCGCGTAAGACTTCTAATCTTAAGGTTGCGGGTTCGACCCCCGCGTTGGGCTTTCATTTTTTTAATAAAATTATTCTGCCGCTCTTTACCACTTACCCAATCTATAACTCCCCCTAACCTAACCCTTAACGCTATCTAACTAATCCCCTAATCTGGCCTCCATTGGTGTTCTAGTCAGAAACACTTACCTGCCTATACACATTTGAAACTGCTTTCTAGACTATAAGGGGCTAGGATGATGAATTCTGTGTGTAGTAGAGTGGGTTCTAAACGGAGTGAGGACAAGTGTTGTGTGTTGATCGGAGAAAGTGGGAATCCTCGAAGTTTCAAGACAAAACGTTTCAAATGGCCGGAAGGAGACTTCTCTCCTGCCAGTTGGGGCCTCAGTCGCATGGTCTTTTCCGCCCGGTGTCCACAGAGGAATATTATTCTTGCTTGACTGCTATTGATAAGCTCATAATGCTTCATGCAGAGCTCACGTTCTTCGGCTTGGGTAAGGGTTATTGTCTGTGAGGCCAGAGGCACGAATTTGCGGAAGTTGAACGTCCAGACTAGGACGTTAGATTCTTTGCAGTTGCAAGCTCCCAAGGATGGTGGAAGCGCAACGGCAAGACCATCATCATCCGGGATCTCTGGCAATGTGTCTTCTTCTGGGCTGACAGCAGCGTAGTCGAGTATAAATCCGACTTTTGCCTTTTGGTTCCCGAAGAATGGCATCTGAACAAGGGATGGGTCTGTCAAAAATTCGGCATGCTGGAGATCTGTAACCTTCAATTCTTCAAAAAGCTCTTCGTCTTGCAAAGCATCTTGAAGAAAATCTTGGAAATCACGTCGAAATCTTTGGCGAGGGGCTGCTAAAACCTTCTTTGTAATCCGTGCCAGCCTGTGCTCTTTCTGAGGTCGAAAGTGTTCAAGCCAGAGTGAGATCTGCTGGTCTGGGGTCTTTCGAGCTACAATCAGATATTTTACTTGATCACATCACCATTCTGCGCCAATGGGGTCGTCAAGTTCAACCCGAAGCTAGGTTTTTCTCGTACAATGATCTTGTTGTCTGCTCCCCTGGTTCCCGCATGTGGGTCGACGGTACCGTGATGGGTCGAGAAGGCTTTACAAAAGAGTGCCTCCAGAATATTCATTTTCATCTGTTTCCATTCTTCCTCCTTGGCATCTTTGGGTTTTTCTGTTTCCTCTTCATCCTCGATCATCCAGAGTCGAATAAAATTAGCAGATTGACTGCCATTTCCAAGCCAGACCATGAAATGATGCAACGATCCATATTCAGCTTTCAGGATTTGCTGTGCATGTCCGTTGATAATTCGACGCAAGGAGTTTATGCACTGTCCAACGTAGAGTCGATACCATTCCCAGTCTCGGTTATCGGTGATGAAGTCCAAATATCCCATCGCGGCAGTCCAGTCTTTATCGCTATCTTGTTGGGTTTGAATGTTCCGTAGAATTTCCATTGTAACTTCTTGGCCTTCAAGCTTGACAATTTCTGGCACCACAGAGCGAAGGAGCTCCTCCGCAACAGCCTCGCTCTTACCATGGGCTTCAATGTACCCGGGATAATCCATGTTCCGTGACTTGGGAAGAAGATCGTCGCCAATGTCCCTCAACATTTCCAAAAGGAGCGGCTTAAGGCGCGGAAAGATCAAAGATGGCTGTAGTTGAACTGACTGTTCGAAAAATTAGTAGACTGATGGAACAAGTAAGAGTGTTTCCCGTCTTACATCTCGTTTCTCTCGGGGAATCCCCAACCGTTCCTGATCATCATGACAAGGTCCTTGCACTGCTTTGTTGAAGCAGATACCTCTCTTCATTTTCATTTGAAGAGTCTTGGAGACGAGACCTCGGACTCCTTGTTGAGGCTTTGTAGATTTGCAATGCTTTGCCGGGTGTCCCTTTGAATTGCAATTGCTGCAAGCCGGGGCATCGGGACAGCTAGCGACCAAATGTCCATCCTTTCTGCAATATACACAAACTTTGCAGTTTATGCAGGTCGCCCGAATACCCAACGGTACCGCACACCCTGTAACATCTTGTATCAGGGTGAATTGTCATCTTGGATTGGTGGGATTTGCAAAACAGGAACCTGGATAAGGGAAAGTGAATGGAAAAAAGACTTCCGTGGAAGATGAGCACCGGGTGTGCTAAGCAGATGGAGTAGAAAAGTCTGAGGAGTTTTTAGAGGGAAGGTGATCATCTATTCTCAGATGATGAACGTCTGAGAATGAGAGACCAGTGGGAAGATAAAAGACTAGTGGGAGCATGAGAGGAGGGGGAGAGAGAAAGAGAAAGAGAGAGAGAGAATATAATAAATATATCAGAGGAATGTTAAGCTTATAACTTATATATTCTAAACTAATTAAAGATATTCATATTTCTCATTTGTAGGTAGAGCAAGCTCCTAGAGCTCGATAACATTATCCTTAGCCTCGAGCTCTTCTTGGTACTTACGTATAAAGCCACGTAACTTAGCATATACAATACTCCCCTCAAGGGCTTCTTTTTTCAGTAGCATTTTAAATAATCACCTCGAAAGAGATATGGAGAATTCAAAGAAGATCCCTCTTAGCTACTCAGTGCTCCTTTATATATCTGCTCTCATATAGAAGTGGGTACTAAGTCCTAACATTTCAACAAATCTCACCCCGTTCTCATCTCTATCACCTAGTTTACAAAATTCTCACCCATATCATGACCACCTACACTCACCTAGAGAAACTTCCATTGCCACTTCAGGGTAATAGATCCCTATAGAATTAGGTATTTGGATATATGTGGCTTAAGTACGGTTGAGCGGACGGGAAGCCCTGTTCTCCACACCCTGTGGTCGTATCTACTTGAAAACGGGAGATATAGGATCATATACAGAGCTTATCACAGGAATCCTCATTCCATTATATGCTAATATTCAGATTTATCCATCCTTCTAATTCTCTTCATACTACATTAGCACGTAATTAAACCTTGGAAGTCACTCTTGATGAGACGGTTAAGATTCTCAACTTGAAGTTGAACCTTGGAATAGTCAGTATCTCCTCAAGAAACAGCCATGTATACTCCGTACTCCATCATGATAAATTCCTGCGCTATACCACGACAGCAACAATCAAATGGATTGAAGCACATTTAAGCCAAAAGAACCAAGAAATCTCCGTTTTTGAGTTCAATTTTACCAACTTGAATTCATGTGTTAGGATAACTCCTACTATGACAGAGAATCTCATCCGAGACGTATTTTCTCCATCAACAGACTCGAATAATCATTCATTGGGTATCTACATAGTCCCCATCAGTCTGCTCTTTCCAAGTTCACGGCTTGGTTGACTTCAACTTGGGCACAGTCAATACTCGCAATCCTTTACCTCCTGGCGCATTGGCTGGTGCAAAAAAGTCACCATACGCCTCCCAATCCTTGAGCCCAGTGTCAAAAAGCTCCATTTCAAAATCGCAATCGGGACCGAATAGACGCGTGATAGACAAGTATAGGTCATAATATGCCAATTCCATGCCTAGACAAAGCCGTGATCCTCGGCCCCAAGGTTGTAAATATTTCGAAAGACGCTTGTTGTCGGACTCTTTCAGCCAGCGATCAGGGAGAAATGTTTCGGGATCGGTGAAGATTGACGGATCTATGTGGGTATCAGGTATGCTAATCGATGTATAAGTCTACTGTAAGGTTAGCAAGCTGTTATATCTTCCAACGTTGACTTATCGTCAGAGGGAGGGTACGAACCCCACGACGTAGGGAGAACTATTGATAATGAAGATCTGCGACCTCCGAGAAACGGGTCAGTCGTCCAGTCACAGCGTTGAACGTGCGAAATGCCTCATCTATCACAGCTGTGAGGTATGGTAGGTGTCGGATATCCTTGTACTCCAAATTGTCTGCTTTGGCATTGCGGGCCTCAGTGAGTTCTTTTAGAAATCTGGAACGAATTTCCGGCTTGAACAAAACGTGATACGTGACTGATGTCAACACAGTGGCAGTCGTTTCCTGTCCAGCAAAGATTATACTCCGACATTTTGCCAAAATGCGAGGAAAGCTCTTCTGCTCTGACGAGAGGTCCGACTTGATCATACTTTGCACCATGTCGTGTGCCTCTTCAAGTGATGGAGGATATTTGTTATAGAGTACTTCGCACACTCGAAGACCGTGTTTCAGAAATAAAAAGTTAGATCTGATTCACCACTGAACCAGAATCCTAGCATCAGGGAGATGACTTACCGCCATGAAAGTTGCAACTGCAGGATTGAGTTTCTTCGAAATAAATACCGGTAGCGACTGCAAAATCTGGAATGGAAGGCCAAAACAGTATCTACTGAATAGACCGGTACGGCCATAGTTCCGGAGAGCCCTGTTGAAATCCTCGCTGAACTTGGCGTCGTCCAAGTTGCCGAAAGCCTTCTGGAAAGCGAAACCAGTCGCCATATCGACCGCGAGAGATCGATAAACATTGTCCAAGCTTATAAATTTGCCAACGGAAGCGAGAAGACGGTCATGAAGCTTATCGATTGTGGCCTGAATGGTGTGTTCGCTTTTACTGATATTTTGGGTGGAGAAGCAACTTGTCAGCGCCTGACGGTGAATGCGATGTAGTTCATCGGACTCTGTAGTGGTGGTGCTAATAGTATTGCCAAAACTTCTATAGTACCACCTGGGCTTTGAAGCCTTCGATGACAATTTATAAATGTCGTTCCAGTTGGGGTCCTTAATTTGAACTTCCCATGGGTTGATTCGCACGATCGGGCCTGCATAGCCGATAAGCAAAGTGCGTTGCCAGAAAGAGATCTCTGTGGAGAGAATATTTACTGTTCGTATATCTCATGCAGTCGTGCTACTTCAACCCAGTACCGACCCCCACCTTCTTTGAACAGCTGGAAATAAGCCTCATATGCTCCTGTAGCAGCGGCAAGGATAGACCCAGGGACTCCTGCGAGCGGATGGAGTGTTAGGCGGTACACAACAAGGAGAAATGAAGCAGCCAATCCAATCACCAAAAGGAGTGCTTGAGCTTGAACTATTCCATAAATCAACCCTTCAAAAGACGCCATGGCTGAGATGTTCATGACCCCTGATTTGTGAGCTTTCTAATTACAGAAAGCTGCAAATAATAATTGAACATTTATAATGCGTAGGATTCACAAGTCATATAACTTGGTCACCATGACCCCCGAGTTCCCCGCCAAACCATACTACCCCAGCCTTGTCTAATCCTGATTTGGGGTTGGGGGCCTATTGAATGACCGCCAATGGAGGGGAGATGAAAAGAGCCTGATATGATTCGCTATTGCAAACTAGGCCCAAGGCAGTAAATGTCAATCAACTGTAGAAACTCCGATCTTACTCCGATTTCCGCTTCCAAGGTTGACTCCAATGAATTCAGTCTCGAGTCCTGAGCCCAAGAATGTGGAGCTGACACTCCCTGTCAAGCGCCAAAGCACATATCACTTCATTCAAGCCATGGGATTTGTACTATTTGCAAGCCTCGGGCCTTCAATTTACGAACGAATCTCAAAGCCCGAGTCTGAAGAATGGGCTATCCAACTGTAAGTTTCGCGTACTGCGAGTACGAGTACTCTAGTGCGAGTCTAGAGTCCCGGACAAGCTGTCGGTCTTGGAATTCGTGAATTTCTTCCTACTAGTACTGGAGATTTCTCAGCCTGAGGCTATAGATCCCCGTCCTCACAACTTGTGACCTCCGCATTAGTTTTTATCAATAGATAATGAAATATGTGGATGTCTTAGCCACGTGGTACATATGCCTTAGCGAAAACTTGAATATCATGACAGATTTTGGAATGAAAAATACAGATTCAAGTCAACTTTGGAAGAAAGCAAACATATGGATTGAGAAACTCAAGGTGTACTCCGTAAATTCAAGTTCCGACTGATTATGATGGCCCCCGGGGCCACGGCCCCATCTTTCTCAAGCTGCAAATGACCGCGTGTGATTCGTACCTCGCTGCTTCGGTATTCTCCATCCGGGCTGCCGTGTAACTATCGGCTTCCAAGGTTTTTTATCTCCGAGTCTCTCAATGGGTAACCAAAGAGGCCTCGGAAGGTACCCATGCACCAAGCCGCGCCATCTTAACTGGATATGCCGCTCTATACTCCCTTGAATAAGATCTGGAAATGCTGATTGCCAATGATGATGTATTTATTACTACCAGGACAAATAGGCAATCAGGCTTGTCCTCCTGATTTCCACTTGAACTCTCTTACTATCCACCAAGTGGTGACCAAAGGTCTATATAAAATGTTTTGTTATCCTCGGCCTTTTCCAGCGTCTATTTCTAAAAGCGGACCTCTGCTCAATATGACAGGACAACCTTTCTTGGCTATCTTCCCACAATATTGCTCCCTTCTTTCCCTCACATCAACAAGATAGTTTCCATTCAAGATCCCGTCAACGATGTACCACCACCAGCCGAAGGCTTACGGCTCAGCAAAGCTCTCCCAGATGCATCGCCGCAGACAATATTGTTCCTCTCCTGGGGAGATGCGAAGTCTCGTTACATCGAAAAGTACACCAGTCTATACAGTGAGCTCTACCCCGAAGCCAGAATCATTCTCGTCGAAACCGGTATGGCAGATTTCTTCTGGCGTCCAGAAAGCACTCAGCGCAAGGTAGTCGATCCAGTGGTGAAGATGTTGGGCAAAGTAACCGATAATACTCTTCTGGTACATGTGATGTCAAACGCCGGTTCAACGCGATGGGCTGGAATCAACAAGGCGTACTTCCAATCCACTGGACGCACTTTGTCGAGCGCCTCAACGATTCTAGACAGTGCGCCCGGTCGCGCACATTTTCAACAGACATGGGCATCTTTGACACAGAGTTTACCTCGTGCGTTTCTACCTAGGATGATTCTGGGCTTTGTTTTTGGCACTGTCTTGTGTATAATGCATCTTGGGAAACTTGTTCTCCCTGGTCCTGATATCTATGATTATGTGAGAGCTCAGATGAATGACACTACCGCTGCTGTGGATGGAACCCGAAGATGTTATATTTATTCTGAAAAGGATGAAATTATTGCATGGGAAGATGTCGAAGAACATGCTAAGGATGCTCAGCAGAAAGGGTGGTCTGTGGAGCAAGTTAAGTTCCAGGGGAGCACACACGTTGGACATATGAAGCAAGACCCAGAAATGTACCGGCAAGCAATTGTGAGGACATGGGCTGGAAGCTCGAAGTTGTAAATGAGATTTTGCTTACACGTCTGCGCTTGTGAAGACACTACTGTTGAGCCAGGCTTTTTTTAGATCATTCACCCAGCATGCATTCCAATTTTGATTTTCTGGTTTCTCACCTTAATATTCTGTACATAGTTCCAAGGTTTGCACGATCAACTGAGAAAAAGATCGAATTTCACAGAGTTAGTAGTAATTTTCATTATTTGACAAAAAAAAGGTGTACACCTTGAAAACTTGGAAGTAATCATGGGTATTCTAGTGTAATATACTAGGCATTGGGATTTCTAGATATGGCTTGCTAACTGATATATATCTGCAATTCTCATGATAGATTTTTACTCCCTGACTTTCAGGACTTGGCTCTCTTCCAAAGAAATGTCAAAAGAAAGTAGATCTGTAACCAATTGTGATTTGAGAACAGATCGACAGTACTGGCTTATTGGAAGAAATTCGATGATGTCGATTTAAGGGCAGTTTAAAACAAGCTGGCCCGAACCCAGGATCGAGCGACTTGAACTGATTTATTTGAGATCTTCCAGGCCTCCATGTGGGAGGTGCATACTATTGGATTTGGAAGAGAACCAGATGATACTTCTGGCCTACCCGCTGCATGATAACCTTCAAGGCCTTCCATGTGGCTGAAATGTGCTAGCTTGAAGATGAGACATAGACAAGGGTATGGTAGTTGCTAACATGCCAAGTCTTCTAGTACCAACAACTGAAATCATTTAATCTACTTACAAGGTAGCATTGGCTAAATTATTTTGCGGGGCTGGAGCTTGATTATTGTGGTAATGCGGGGTGATACTCGGCATTCTTACCCGCCACAGAGCCCACCGAGACCACCGAATGGAGAATGCGGACAAACATCGGGTGAGAATCAAAGGTCCCCGAGATTCAACATATCTCCACAAGTGATCCTTGGGGATAGGATTGGCCATTTTCCCGATAAATAACCGAAGCCATACGAAGTAGGCCCACTATTAAAATTGAGGATGTTCATAGTTGTGCACATCGCCTGCAATTAATAGTCAGGTTTTGAAGTCAGATTCACAGGCCGTGATGCATCAAAGTGGAGAAAGCGGGGTGGAATTGGCTTTACTCAACCTCAACAATAAGGCTCTCCTATAAGCAGCGGGAAAACATGATGCAAGGCGTTTGCTCAGATATTGAGAGGGAATTTCCGGAGGGGCAAGCTCTAGTAAGATCTGCAGAGATGTATCGTATAAGAGTGACAGGGTACCTCAATCCTGGCTCAGCTTATGCCTCATCGCCTATCCTTTCATATTCCCGCACATCGGAATCATGAGACTTAGCCTGGCAGTCCTATCAGGGCTGTTCCTGTCGGCAGGGTACGCCAGCTCGGAATCAGTTGATGGCACGACGTCTTGTCCGGGCTATCGAGCCAGCAATGTGAAAAAGCAACAAGGAGCTGTTGTGAGTGCTGACCTGACACTTGCCGGCACTGCATGCAACATCTATGGAACCGACATAGAAGATCTGAAACTTGAAATAGAGTACCAGACAGGTAGGCAGAGAAAGGAAAAAAAGGTGCGACACACTATGAGTCCCTTGCTGATGATCTATCCTTCCAGATGATCGAATTCATGTAAAGATCTATGACGCTGCAGAACAAGTCTACCAAGTACCGACTTCGGTTCTTTCTCGACCTAACAACACTGGGGCCAATCCATCAAAAGCGGATTTGGAAGTCACTATTATAGAGGATCCATTTTCCTTCAAGGTGACGCGCCGATCTAATGGAGACGTTCTTTTCGATACCTCTGGGCATAACATTGTCTTCGAATCGCAATACCTTGGACTGCGGACCAGTCTGCCAGACTCTCCTAACCTGTATGGTCTAGGAGAGAGCACAGATCCATTCCCTCTGGAGACCACAAACTACCAGCGCACATTATGGTCTCGCGACGCATACCTCACTCCTCAATACACTAACCTCTATGGTAACCACCCCGTGTACTTTGATCATCGTGGCGAACAAGGAACCCATGGCGTGTTTTTGCTGAACAGCAATGGAATGGATATTGCGATCGACAAAGATGATGATGGCCAATTCCTCGAATACAAGACTCTGGGTGGTGTTCTTGATTTCTACTTTCTGGCAGGTCCCACTCCCAAGGACGTGGCTGTACAGTATTCTGAGACGGTTGGCAAGGCCGTCATGATGCCATACTGGGGATTTGGATTCCATAACTGCAGATATGGATACCAGGACATTTTCGAGGTGGCTGAAGTCATCGCGAACTACAGTGCGGCGAATATCCCTCTTGAGACCCAGTGGACTGACATCGGTATGTTCATACTCGGTTTATCTACACTAAAAACTTCGGTATGGGGCTGACTCTTCCAGACTACATGAATCTCAGAAAGGTGTTCACCTTGGACCCTATCCGCTACCCACTTGATCTGGTTCGCGAGGTCGTGACGTACCTGCATAGCCATAACCAGCATTACATCGTGATGGTTGACCCAGCAGTCGCTTATGCCGACTACCCCCCATTCACAGACGGTGTGCAAGATGGAGCTTTCCTAACCCAGAACGGCTCCGTCTACCAAGGTGTTGTCTGGCCCGGAGTGACTGCGTTTCCCGATTGGTTTGCTCCTCAAACTCAGTCCTACTGGAACAACCAGTTCTCTACCTTTTTTGACGCAGACACCGGTGTTGACATTGACGCCTTATGGATTGATATGAACGAAGCCTCCAACTTTTGTGACTGGCCATGCACTGATCCCTCTCTATTTGCCCAAGAAAATGATGACCCTCCAAACCCGCCAGCTGCGCGTATCTCTTCACCTCGGCCCATCGCAGGGTTTGGATCTGATTTCCAACCCACATGTGTCGCAAATGTTGAATTCTCCGTCTACGCTGAGACATACTTAGGGGAAGATATCTACCTTCTAGGTAGCTCAGTCACATTGGGAGTTGGCGATGTGCACAACTCTGTTGAAATGAGCGCCGACGACTATCCAGAGTGGACAGTTACTGTGCAGATGCCACCTAATGGAACATTCACATACGAATACATTCGAAGGGAATCTGACGGAAGCTGGATCTATGAAGCCCACAACCGTACCATCACTACAGGCGACTGCACCGATGGAATTCAGATAGTCTCGGATAACATTACCACAGCCTCGGGGTCGCAAAAGAGATCTCTTGAGCCTTCTAACATCCTACCACGCGTGCGGGCTAGATCTGATGGAATCCTTCGCCCGCGAGATGGATCCCAACTCGGTCTTCCTGGTAGAGATTTGATCAACCCTCCCTACACGATCAACGACACGGCTGGATCTATTAGCAACCTGACAATCCGGACGGATCTCACCCACGCGAACGGTCTCAAGCTATACGATACCCACAATTTCTATGGAAGTATGATGAGTGCTGCTAGCCGTGACGCAATGCTCAACCGCAGACCGTCGGTACGACCACTTGTGTAAGTCTCAGTATACCAAACCACCAAGACAACCGTTGCAATACTAATGTTCGCAGCATCACACGTTCAACATTCGCAGGCGCAGGGAGCAAAGTCGGGCATTGGACCGGAGATAACAACGCAGACTGGGATCATTACCGGTGGACGATCGCCGAACTGCAGGAGTTCACAGCACTGTACCAGATCCCTATGGTTGGAAGTGATATCTGCGGATACGCCGGAGTAACAACATCCCCACTTTGCTCGCGCTGGGTATTCCTGGGTGCATTCTCACCTTTCTTCCGGGATCATCAAGGAAACGATGAACCACCCCATGAGTTATATATGACACCCATGGTTGCAGCTGCTGCTCGAGCTGCTATTGATATTCGGTACCGTCTGCTCGATTATGCGTATACTGCTTTCTGGACCCAGACGGAGACGGGATTGCCTATGCTCAACCCGATGTTCTTTGAGTATCCCTATGATGATAGCACTGCCGATTTGCCTTATCAGTTTTTCTGGGGCTCGGATATCCTGGTGGCTCCGGTTACCGAGGAGAATTCTACGTCAGTCTCGTTTTATATGCCTAAGGACCTGTTCTATGATTTCTACACCGGTGCTCCCGTTCACGGCGAAGGCAAGACAGTCACGCTGAATGATATTGGGTATGATACTATTCCCTTGTACTATAAGGGTGGTAGCATCATCCCGCAACGTGTCAAGTCGGCATATACCACTGCAGAGCTGCGAGAGCAGGATTTTGAGATTGTGATTGCGCCTGATGCGTCTGGAAAGGCATCTGGTACTCTATACCTTGACGACGGTGATAGTATTGAGCAGCCACATACCTCTGTGATCAACTTTGAGTACAGTGGTAAGCAATTGTCGATGACTGGAAAGTTTGATTATGACGTTGGCAAGGTTGTGATCAGTCAGGTTAAGGTGCTGGGTGCGAAGGTCGAAACCCATGCCGCTAATGTTAAGTTGACGGGAAAGCATGTTTGGAAGCTGGATTAAGATGAAAAGTAAGTTTCCAAATGCTAGCATGTAGTGCATCCATCAAATGGCTCCGAATCGAAGTTTGGAGTATCATGTCAAAATTCAATCCTTGGAATAACTGGCTTCAAATAGCATTCAATTGAATACTAAATCTTTGAGTCTCCAATTTGATTCAAACATGAAATGAAAAGCTCATTTCGAAAATTCAACCTTGAAAGGTCCAAGTTCATCGCTGACCCTGTAACCATCGATCAAGAACTTAAACACCTAAACGTGCCCGCCGATAAAACTTGAACACAACCATGGAAAGAGTCTTCAATTTGGAAGAGAGATGAATTTTCATTAATTGTTTGTATGTACCCAGCCACCACAGTATCAGCATGTATTTCCAATGCTTCCATATCTATCATCAGTATTAAGTATCCTAAAATATCCTTCATAACAAAGTAAAATGCAAGTCGTCGCGTCGTATGTAGCAAGTTATCAATAAGCAGGGCAGTAGCAAGAACAGAATGAGCCATACGGCATAGCAAGGATGGCCCCAGAACACCAAGATGTGAGGAAAGTGAGTCCAGCTCGGCATCACATGTGATGTTGAATTCCAAAAACAAAGCGTTATCGGCGAGATTGATGAACCGATATCATGATATAGTAATCCTCATCAACGACTCTCCCAGGAGACTCTTCGCAAACGACGGATAGAAATATCATCTGCCTCAGATGAGGGCGCCGTTATACGACCAGCCACTCTACCATTGACTCTAGCCATTGGGGGCGGATTAATAGTAACAGCCATAGCCGACGTAACCGACATAGATCTCGACCTGGTAGATAAAACAACGGAGTGACGTGGCGAGTAAGGCGGCGGTGGAGTTTCACGAGTGGCTGTCGACGTATTCCCATAGCTACTGGGGTAGAGATAAGGTAGAAGCACTATCGGAGGAAACATCCTCTTCGTAAAGTTGACGACTCTTCTCATCGGGGTATGCACAAGAGTCAGAAGAGATAGGCGGATCACGTAGATGTGCCTCGAGAGTTTTCTCATGGATGCTCATCGGGCGCGGCGTATACTGTGGTAGTGGGACTACGCTCGAATAACCTCCATCTGAGTCAGTGGGAGGTCCGTGTCCGTGCCCGTGTCCGTGTCCATCTTGTTCGCTGGCACCGGCTGCGCGAATAAATTCTCCTTCGCCAGAGAGAGTGAAGCGACCCGTTTGGATGCTGCTTCGGGAATGAATTTGGCGTGGAGGGACTGGCTTTGGTTCCGATGAATGCGGGGATGCATTGCGGGTGAAGCAGCCGCAGAGGTCTCCGAGAAATGACATTGTAGGGTATTGTTGCCTTGGGCACAAAGAGGGCAAGAGATGTTTAAAGGATGGGAAAGAAATGGGAGTGATGGGGACGAAGAGCTTCTAGATTATAATGGAAAAAAAGACTAGATGCCAAGGTTCAAGTCTTTCGCATGTCACAATCGCAAGTGGAGGAACAAAGAACTGTCACTAGGTCCGAATGAAGGAACAAGATGCGACTATGGGACCCGGTTCCCACAATCAAGCAAAACTCCAACTTGAAGAAATGAGGAAAATTGAGACACCTAGAGCACTCGAGTCAGGACGACATGGAGAGGGGAAGAGAAGTGGACAGCAGAGCGCAGAACGGACTGAGGCTGCTGCAGGCATCCAGATTCCTGATCCCGCTGATTGGTGGTTTTATAGCATTTTTCTGCCTGAGGCATACAGGGCCTCAGCCTCACTGTCTAACTTGATGTAGATATGAAAGTAAGCACGCGATCTATCAATCTAACTGGAAGGAAAATTCATTTCTGATAATTAGACAGCATTTGCCAATCTGATTGAAGAATGGCTATAAACCCAGAAACATTGAGACAAGAAGATACTAGTAGTAGAATTACCTAGCGGCTTATCCCGGGTTCCTGGATATATACAAGTCACATTTCCGACGATAGAAAACTTAAACAGCACAGTCGTGAAGTATTATTCAAGTTTATTTAGGTTCCAGTAAGCAAAATTTCCGAGCACTTGAGAAATTCAATATCTTGAATCGCTTAAATACTAGAACTAAGACATATATCCCTGTGACTTTCTCTCTCATCTGCTGGATTGGTGATAAGCCTTATCGATAAGGATAATAAAGTATCGTTTATCGATAAGAGAGATCAGTGGATATGCTGACATAATCAGACACCAACTCTCAATTTTGATTGGCCAGAACATCGAATTTTTAATTTTTTTTTTTTACTTTCCATTGTTTCCCCGCGAATTTCTCCAATCATTTTTTTCCTCTGTACACTCTTTCACTCTTTCACACATTCACATCCCACTCATTCAAAACCTCAGGGATACCACACAAAATGCCTTCAGGCAAAGATATCCACCACTTTATCGAAAAAGTTCAACCCCCTCAAATCCCCGCCTCCCGCTCTCACGACCCCGCCAACAACAACAAGCGCACCGATCCCTTCCAATTCGGCTCTCGATTCCTCGAAGAAGGTGACAACGTCTACGAATTCAACGCATGGGACCATGTCGAGCCGGACGATGAATTCAAAGCGTTCGCAGAAGTCCAATACGAGAAGCAACGCGCTGCGCCCGTGTCGGATTTTGATCGAAACCGATTCAACACTGATCCCGTGAAGTGGTGGAATCTTTTCTACAAGAATAACACGGACAACTTTTTCAAAGATCGCAAGTGGTTGCAACAGGAGTTTCCGATTCTTGCGGAGGTTACGCAGAAGGATGCGGGTCCGAAATTGGTTCTTGAGGTTGGTGCTGGTGCGGGAAATACTGCTTTTCCGTTGATTCGGAATAATGAGAATGAGGGACTTAAGGTCCATGCCTGCGATTTCTCCAAATATGCTGTTAAGGTCATGAGGGAGAGTGAGCAATACGATGAGAAGTACATGGTTGCGGATGTTTGGGATGCGGCGGCTGAACCCAATGAGGAGGGCGATTCTCTCCTCCCTGGGATGCAGGAGGGTTCGGTTGATGTCGTTATTCTGATTTTCATTTTCTCGGCTCTGAACCCTAATCAATGGGAGAAGGCTTTGAGCAATATCTACCGTCTGCTGAAGCCCGGTGGTGTGGTGCTTTTCCGTGATTATGGTCGTGGTGATCTGGCGCAGGTGCGATTCAAGAAGGGTCGCTACATGGAGGAGAACTTCTATGTTCGTGGTGATGGTACTCGGGTGTACTTCTTTGATCATGAGCAGTTGGTTCAGTTGTGGGGTCGCTGGACACCGGAGAATGGTCTCAAGATTGACCTGGAGAACCCACCTACGGCAGAGCAGACGGCCGAGGAGCAGAACCCGTTCTCGGTCTTGAATTTGGAGGCGGACCGACGTCTGATTGTGAACCGCTCTAGCAAGTTGAAGATGTACCGTTGCTGGATGCAGGGTTTGTTCCGGAAGCGTGGTGGTTCTGATCCTGCCCCTACCCCCGCTCCCAAGGTTGATGTTAAGGTTGTTGAGGTTGAGACTGCGGCTGAGAATGATCAGTGAGATGCTCCTGCGCTATCCTGAAGATTTGGATACCCCGGAAAATTACCACATATTCTCTGGATCGAATCTTCAAAATCAGTCTTCTCCCACCTAGAGGCCCCATCCTCCTTTGCATACAGAGAATTTCCTGCCCGTCGCTGATGAGAGCCGTCACAAGCAGCAAACTTTCACTATCTATCATCCGGGATTGCTCAAGGGACCTTGGAAGCATGAGTCATGGATTTATGAGTTCGATGATCAAAACATTTGCATAGAGTACACATAGACTTCAATTTTTTCAATGAATGCATGTTTAATATGACGCGAATTCGCCCCACATAGAACGTGTTCCATATGTGGAATTTGAATTGTGGAATTTGAATTGAAAGGCTATGTATTTGAATATCCAAAACAACTGTCAAGAGACAACCCGAAATCTAGCCTGGCGGTAAAGGAGATACAAGAAAAGTGCAATTTGACAAAGCATCAAAACATAGCAATGAACTCGGAACGCCATCCATGCAGAAAGTAAATAGGCTCATGAAAGAGAAATGTCTATGATCCAGGTCTAATGCGCGTCGAAGAGTCCCTGTTTATCCCCTTTTAGATCAGTCATGATGTATCATGATTACAAGTCAATAAATGCAATGCAGCCTCAAGGTGTTCACGAGGTCAGATTCGGGCATTCTCCCTCCGCACGGAGAAAAGCCCCAGCGAAGAGATCTTGCATGGCGTGATAATGGAAGAGAATGCCGCCAAGAACGGCCAAGTGCCAAATGTTGTGGCTGCCGCCAACGTAGTCGAATAGACCGGGCTTCCAGCGCTCAGGAACTTTCGAGGCGTAGACACAAGCACCGACGAAGTAAACAAGAATGCTCTTCACGACAGGCGCATAGAAATACAGACACCATTGAAAGCCACGAGTGTATGAGAGTTGGGCGATAGGAGCAAAGCCGGTAAGAGCAAGAGTAACGAAGAACGCCACACGGGCCCAGGCCATATCATGACGGTTGAATGTCGGGTGCCAGGGAAGAATGACGCCACCAATTCCAAGGGAGAACGTGAGAAGAATGTAAGTCCAACGCGAGACTGGCTCGCAGTAGAAAGCGGTGTATTCGGTGGTCACGATCGAAGCAGCCACCAACATGGAGATACCGGTGTAATCGACACATGCAAAACGCTCCATGAGGGTTTGAGAGGCAATGCTGTTCATGGTGTGCCAGATGGTACTGCAGACCAAACACTTACACGCTGCAGCAAAGAAGGCCGCAGCGATGAGAACATCAGCCTTGGTGCTGAGATGGAAGTTCGTGTGAAGTGGGTAGAAGTAGAAGGCGATGGCGAGAACGATAACAAGACCGATAACGTGGGACCAGATATTGACCATTTCGTTCGAAAATGAGAATACGGAGGAGACACACTCGATTTTGGAGGTGGTGAATCGGTATCCATTCAAGATATGCGGGTTCACTCTCCACGGATCGGGCAGATCGTAGTATGAGATCAAACGCTTCTCCTGCGCGAGAGAGAGGGCGGTTTCGATATTATCACGAACCGAGTCGCGGGCTCGACGAGCACGTTCCATTCCTTCGTCAACAACTTCACGGGCGTGGACCAGCTTAGAGTCCACGGCCTTCCACCCGTCATCCAAAGTACCGTAAATACCACGGTCACGAACCGCGTGAGCCCGCGACTCCAGTTCAGACAAAAATGACTCCATCAGCCGTATACTAGCGTGGGCCTTTTGTTCCAGCGTCTCCTTGGTTACCAGTGCCTCATTGTATCGATCCTCCAGAGTTTCCACCAAGATCTTGGCCCGTTTCTTCCCACTACCCATCAACTCGCCTGATGCGATAGAGCACTGATCACGGACCGCCTCCAAAGTCGCATAACCTCGCTTCAAACTCGCATCGATCTGGACCATGTGTGATTTCCGGTATTGTTCGATCCAATGCATACGGCGTTCGAGTTCGGCGAGGAACAGTTCGACCTATATTATTCCATGTTAATCACCATCCCCCGGAGAAATTCCTTCATACCATTCTTACCCTAATAAAAACAGTATCCGCATCCTGGTAGTCACAGGAGAGTTTCCTTGGTGCATGATAGGAATGTCTCCGGCGGCGATCCCGCAGGAGACCAGTCTCCTCTCCGGGAGTTGCGGTGGCAGACGAGACCGCCTCGGCCTCTAAAGATTCCACGGTCATAGATGATGTCGTACAGGTCATCGTTATCGCAACCCGTAACAGTGTTAGGATCGGGAATTCTTCAGGAACGGGGCTCCGGGGGGATCCGATGATCGGCCAAGTTTATCCCTCAACAAAGCGGAAATTTGGATAGAAACTGAGGACCTTGAAAATTAAGGAAAGAAAAAGGATTTAAGAGTCCTCTATGTACACCACATATCTGCAGGGGGGAGGGGTAAAGAAAAAGAGTTAAAGAAGGACCCTAAAGAGTAGGATGAGTAGAGGGGATAAAGTCTTTACTTCCCCAACCAGACTCGGCACCACATTCACATGAGAGCGGGTGGACAATCTGATTGATCCGTTCTTCCTCTCCACCCTCCACATCTTTTTTCCCTTTAAACATTTCAAGTTAATCGCCACTTAACCTATCGGTACTCGGTACTTGTGATACTTGGTACTAGACTTTTCACTCTGCAATTATGGCGATTAGGGAAATAGTCACCGACCAGTCATTGTTACCCGTGCTGAATACTAGTGCGGAGACTCTCGTTCAATGCCAGCAATTGTTGAGTTTACTCAATCCCGACTCTATCCCGGCCGAAACTTCCATTCAGGACCTATCACTTGCCGCCTCTAAACAACAAAAGATCCTTTTTGCCCTTCTTGCTCAGTTAAGGGGTCAGAATCGAGATGCGGTCTTTCGAGTCCGTGATACTAAGCAGGCTACTGCGGAAGCCCGCCAGGAGATAGATCGCCTGCATCTTCAACTGCAGAACCTGTATTACGAACAAAAGCACCTGAAGGGCGAAATTGCGGCATGTGAATCCTACAAGTAAGTGAATAGATGTCTTTATGTCTTTCTTCGAAGATATTTATTGGGGTATTCCTGTTGCTAACTCCCATCGCAATAGCCACCAATACCTATCCTTACCGCTGATCCCTGTCGAGGAATTCTTCGAGCTCTTCCCAGAGCACCGCGACTTGAGTGAAAATGAACTGATGATCGCGCGTATTAATCACGAGCATGCGGAACGAGAGAAACTGGAGCAGGCCCGTCAGGAACTGCTGAAGCGCAAGCAAGCTTTGATCGCGGAGAATAAGAAGCGAAAGGATGATCTGGCAAACCTGGATCAGGATCTCGAGAAGTTCATTGATGTATGTCCATCCATTACCTTACCATTTATTGCATACTGACATGTCTAGGCTGCCAAACCAATCCAGAAGATCTTCGAGAAGGAATACTAGAGGGATACCACAAGGTCAATGGTCAAGAACCTGACCGCTACACAACAAGGCGTTATTGGTCAAGATACCCAGTGATTCAATGGAATTTTAATCTAAGTACATGATTTTACTAATCCTAATTGAGGCTCGTACATGAAGTTGCAGCTGATCGAACTTCCTCGTGCAAAACTCGTCCTAGTAGTTGCGATTCTTTATTTTATTGCCCTATATAGAATTAAATACTAAGTTTTATCCCAATTGCTATATCGACGGTGATTTTCGGTACAATATTTGTATAGTTCTTTGCACGTTTGAGTGATCCGTACTACTAGTTGTAGCCCCATACCATTCCCGCGCCACCTGGTCCCTTTCTCCGCCTTCTCAGCTTCCCCGAACATTACTCTCTTTACTACTGGAGTGCTTCAAAACACAAAGCATGTCCCGAATATGACCACCATAAACGGAGACCAGGCGTCTCCAAAGGCTTCGGCCTCGATAAAATCTAGCACCCAGCGTGTGCCTCCCCCAGAGACCTCCGAAGCCGTTCAAACACGCTTTCGTGTCATTGCTGCTTTCTGGGCAGTGATCGTGTTATTCGGATTTCCGATATGGTGGAAGACAACTTCTATCTACCGGGCACATTTGCCAATTCAGGAGATGGTTGATTGGGATGATGGAAAGGTACATATCCTGCGACAAGAGGCCAGAACGCACCAGACAACTAACCCTGGATTTCTAGATCTGTCGCCCTGTCTTTCCCTTGGAGATCCATGTAGCGGCTCCTGCAATGCAAATCTCCGAGTCCCAGCATCTTCTTCGCACCACCCAGCATACCCTTGACGATCTTAATGAATTCGCCGCCCATCACTTGCGACTCAAGTTGGCGAACGACACCAGTGCACCCAACGCCAATGGCGACCAAGCTGCCGAGACGGAACATCAGATCACCGAAGAGAGAGCAGACATCGCCCTCACCGTTCGCGTGCTCCCCCAGGATGACTTGACTGCTCCTCGATCGGAGATTCACGCAGACACAACGCAGCTCGATGTATTCTACCCACCGAACCAGGTCCCGCTCCCCTCGTCTTCCAATCCACCCCTCTCGGCTTTCATTGCGCAGGAGCTTCAAGGACTATATAGCGAAGAGAAGGCTACGATCGCACATATTCTCTCGGGTGAAACCGCCGGATCTGATTCAGAGAGCATCATTCGACGACTGCGTCGATCCATGAAATACGCCGACACCTATCATCTATCCTTTTCACTTTTTACGCCAGGCCCTGCGCCTTCTTCCTGGGATATCGAAGCAGCCGTGAAGGAGTACTTGACCCCATTGCTAGATGCATTTGCTCCTATCAGCAACTTCACAGTTGATACCCAAGTCCAACTCTACGCGACCTTTTCACCAATGGCTCCTCCACCAGTCTATGACGAAGCCGAGGCAGCATGGACCTTGAAGAAGGAAGATCTCAGCGCATTTATCAACGCCGCTGAGTGGCCACTCAACCCCAGCATTGGCAACGGACCAACCCTCAACTTCGTTCTCTATGTCCCCGCGCCATTTCAATCCCCAATGGTCGTCAAAGAGAACCGCGCTTCAAGCTGGATTGTGCCACAATGGGGTGGAGTATTCCTCCTCAACCCTCCCCTGTCAGAAGAGCCGAGTCCATCAAATCCAAAACACCTTACACAGGAGTCACTGCGTCCCGCCTTCATGACATTCTCGCATCAACTCTTAACCCTCCTCGGTACCCCCACAACCCCTTCATCTCTCCCACTGCGCTTGCAAACCCTGATTCGCGTCCGCGCGGCTACCCTCCTTCTTTCCGCCTCATCTACCATGGGCTCTCTCGCCCGTCTCACCGAATCTCTCCCCTCAATTCCAATCCCAGCTACTGTAGCCTCGTCCGTCTCAACTACCCTCTCTCATCTCGGTACAACATGTTCTTCTCTCCGAGATGGACGCTTCGCAGCTGCACTGGCTAGTGCACGCGTGGCAGAAACCGAAGCGGAACGTAGTTTCTTCGAGAAAAGTATGGTCGGTCAGGTTTATTTCCCAGATGAGCACAAGGTTGCCGTCTACCTGCCTCTCCTTGGTCCGATTGGTGTTCCTCTCATTGTTGGATTGTTGAAAGAAGTGAAACGACTCATTGCGGGTCGGAAAGCGAGAGCGGCTGCTTAGTATGAATCTTTGCCTTCCAACCTTGTACCCTAGAACTTGCATTATACACATTCTCAATCGAGCTTGTCTTTGCATCTAATTTTATAACAGTATTGCTCTGACTCATACTGAAATCTCCATTTAAAATCATCATCCGACAAATTTGCACTATTATTAAATATCATTTGAACTTCAAGTTGAATTTCTAAATTAAGCTGTGCAACAAACAGGTATCTTAACAAAGGAGATGCTAATGTAGAACCAATGACCGTATATGTTGTTATACCAACATGAATCAACCTTCCAAGTGCTAGTAGAACTTAAATGACCCTGACGCAGTCTCAAGTAATCTTCCTCACATGATGCACCTTGAAAGACCCTTTACTCTCCTTCAAGTTCGACAAATTCCCCTTAGGCTCTTTTTCCTCCTTCTCCTCCTTCCCATCCTTAGCCTGACTCTTTGACTCCTGGAACCCAACAGCCTGCACCAAATCCGTAAAAGTAGTAGACGGTCTCGCAATGCGACCAGGATAAGGCTCAGGACCTAAGAACCGCCTAGACTGCATAAAAGCACCAGGGGGCGAGTAGACCTTAATACTCTCCGTACTAGGCGCCCTTTGTCGTGGCGGTGTAACAGGATCATGTACCATATCCGGGGTAGTAGGAAACTCAGGTTGAGTTGGTAAAGGTGGAACATCTTCATCTCTTGGATACCCATGTCCATTTGAGAAGAGACTTCGAACGCAGGATCCGGAGCGGTTTAGCATTGACCGCATGGATCGACTACTCATTGATGTGTGTCTGTCATCTGTACTTCTGAGAAGGAAATCCGTTCGATAGGATGCATCTTCTGAGGCAATGGGGCTCGAAATCGACCAGTTTCTTGGAACCTTTGCGGCTTCGGACTCTGCGAGGTCTCTTTTCTTTTGCGTGCGTCTTCGTATACAGGTTGATATTAGGAGTGCGAGGATCGTGCCAAAGATAGCGCCTGGGAAGAATCCCGCTAGGACTGCTTTTGTTGGATACGAGGAACCAGATGTGGTTGTTTTTGAGGAGGTTGAGTCGGCGTTTATGGAGGTTGTGGAGACGGAGGTGGTTACTGGTGTGAATGTTGCTCCGGCGGCGGTGCTTGAGGCGGTTGAGGTTATCGTGCTGGCGTCTGTGCTTGTGCTGGTGCTATCGCTAGTACTTGTTGCGGTGCTTGCACCGGAGAATGTGGTTGTCTGTGTGGTTTCGTTCGTGTTCATCGCACATAGACTGTTCTCGCAGGTGTACCCAAATGGGCAGCATTTCTCGCCGCAGGTGGGGAGGGTCCCGTTGAGAAGGGTTGTCTTGATTGAGGATTCGGGGTGAGCGGTGGCGTTTTGCTCTTGGATATCACAGGTTATGGGTGAGATGTAGTTACAGCTCTCTCCGGATGGACAGCAAATGATTGTAGTCTCACTGTCAGTCGTGATACAACTTGTGGATGAGGAACAGCAGAAGTTGGAGGGAAGGTCCCATCCACAGTAATCGTATGAGCTGGGGCAATCATCACTTCTTGCGAAGATATCGGCTCCATAACTCTTGAAAGCATGACTTGGTGTCATGAATACCATAAGAGTTAGGAGCAGAAGGCATGTGCCTCTGTTGGTGATACCCGCAGTCGACATCGCCATGTTGGCGGAGGAAATAGTCTTGAGATCTCTTCGTTCTCGAGAGGTTGGGGTCTCTTCGGCTAAAGAATGTCTTGATTTGAAAGGACTGGCAAATCACCAACCCGGCCGGTTCTCTATTCGAATGCAAGCCAAGAAGGAATATATAGTGTATACCCAGGAGAATCTTCAGAGACAGACAGGGAAGATATGATGATTCAAGAGGATTGACGATAGGTTGAGACTGAAAGAAAAGATCAGAACCAAGCAAAGGAAGACAAAGAAGAGTCATCTTCGGCGTCATTCATTTCAAGTCATGTTCCGCAATCAAAGCATTCTATTCCGGGCACGCGCCGGCAACCCAAGCTAGGGCTGCTGGCGAGTTTCATGTTGGTCCGCATAGTCCTAAATATGGTTGTTGGACGGGCGCTAAGCCTGATCCTGACTGCAGAAATGCATGAAAGATCCACTGCAGGCATACATGCAAGACAAGGTAGTGACAGGGTGGGCGCTTAGAGAAACACCGATGTATGTATAATTGGAGATGTAGTTTGATGTTCGTTGATTGGTCGGAGCCCATACCACTTGACTAAGCCACGCTAGTCCCAAAATGGAAATGCGTCGGGAGGGAAATTCTTCGAGATTTGGACTAAGAGCTCGATGCTTCACGTTCACCCAGCATCACATCATGTTTAGCCGACTTGCCCGGCCGGGCGCTTTGCGCGCGGCTTCTATTCAGGTATGATTGGATTTCTCTAGCTTTTTCTTCTCTCATCGCCGTGGTGAATTTACCCTGATCGCGCTCTTCTCTAGACTCCGACCTCCGCTCTCTCACGCTTCCAGATCCGTGGCCTCCATCGTATCCCTCAATTGCAGCATGACGCCTATTATAAGGAGAATGGTATTCCGGAATTCATGTCCCCGGAGGCCTTTGACTTCTCCTGGACTCAATACCAGACCCTGCTCGTGGACAAGCTGAACTTGTTGACCCAAGGTTAGTCGCCCTGGTCGCCCTGGAACGATTGAACGACCAATTTAACGAACGCCCATTGCTGCGTGAGATATTGAGCAGCGTGTACTGACTTTCTTCATATTTTAGATACCGTTGACGCGGACGCCAAACCCGGAGAGTTGCTGGTCAAGTACTCCCGGCGCCCGGAAATGGCCTCGGTCTTCAACTATGCTTCAATGGCTCACAACAACCACTTTTTCTTCAACTGCCTGGTCAGTGCTACATCCAAAACACTACTCGGACCCCTTGCTGATACCCTCTAGTCCCCCAACCCTACCAACATCCCCGAGAAGTTCGCCCGGGACATCGTCGATACCTGCTCATCCGTCGAATCCCTGAAGCTCGACTTCCTCGCTACCGCCAACGCCATGTTCGGTTCCGGTTTCGTCTGGCTCGCCAAGAACATGGAGCGTGAGGGTCTGCTGCAGATCTTCTGCACCTACAACGCTGGCTCTCCCTACCCAGCCGCCCACTCGCGCCGTCAACCCGTTGACATGGCCACTCACACCCCCGACGCCCCTCTAGGCAACCAGTTCGCCGGCTCAATGGGCGCCCACGCCCAGAACCAGAAGACCCTGGCTCCCGGTGCCATCGAGGTGCAGCCCATTCTGTGTGTCAACACCTGGGAGCACGCCTGGATGATGGACTACGGTATTGCTGGAAAGGAGGAGTACCTTGAGCGCTGGTGGGATCGAATCAACTGGGATGTTGTTTTCGATAACTACAATGCTGTTGGCTCTGCGAAGGGTGCTCGCACTGGAGCTACCCGATCTCGGGGTCTGAGCTTGCCTTGAGATAAAATCTTTTTGGTGTTCGGATAATCTGTATTATATACTAACATGTTCTATTTTTTTTCTTTCAAAACATTGAAATTGTACAGCGGATCATTCCATAGAAATGAAACATTGCAGTCATGCTCCATATTCCTGAGTATTCTATAATGTATTTCTATATGATGGTACATGCGTATATCTGTCCCAAAATCAACGCCATAATATACAAGGCATATACAGTATGTAGTAAACATACTACCGTCCCTCCCCGTGCATCTCCTTCATCCTCTTCTCAAAAGCCTCAATCATAACCCCAGCCATTTGTCCCTCAACGGCTCCCATGACAGTAGCATGTAACTGATTCCAAAACTCAAACCTCACCTCCAAATCCACCTTAGTCTGTGACGCACCATTCCCTTCCAAGGGTGTCAACTCCCATTTCGTAGAGAGGTATTCGAAGATACCCTCACTCGCACCAGGGAAGAATCCACTTAATCCAGATCCAGACCCAGTGGTCTCGGGCTTCCCATATTTCGCACCACTGCGCGCCTCAACAATCCACTTGGAAGGATCGCAGATCACGCGCGACGTAAACGTCTCACTGAGGGGTCCGTACCCAACAGTTAAGAATGCTTGAGTCGGGTATCCTGTTTCAAGATCCCGAGCGGTAACAGTTGACGCGGTGAGAAAGGGAAGGAATTGTGAGTAGGATTCGACAGAGGAGATCACTTTGAAGAGCAGCTCGGGTTTGTAGGGGAGGATGCGTGAAGCTGTGAGGACGCGCTTGGGGGAGTTGTTGCCGTCGTTATTTCCGGTTGGTAGGAAAGAGGAGAGGGAGGAGAGATTGAATGATCTTGTTTGTGTTTTCGGGGTGCATGGTTGTATTAAATGTGTCTGTGGACGTGGGTGTGCGGTGTTGAGGTGGATTGACTGGATTGCTTCATATTGCGCGCGTGATTGAGTTCTTAGTGGACATGAAAGGATGGGACCTTGAGGTCGCAGGGTCCGGAGGAGACGCATTGGAGAGAGAGATGAGAGCCCTGTGGTAATGAGTCTTGGATATGAGGTTATTCAACTCCAGCGCTGAGTCCGTTGGGAAAAGTTCCCCGAGCGGATCGGGATCTGCAGCCGAGGCCGATAGCCTTGTTACATAGTGTGATATACTAGCAATTAGCTCCAGATCGCAAGAGGATTAAATAAATAATAGTAAGAAAAACTGGCGATCAGCATTTATTAAATCCATGCTCAGGAGTCAGGTCACGGTTCCATATCCAAATTTGAAGTTCCTACTAGTACTATAGCAGATGCATTAGAACTCGAATATACTAGTACAAGTAGTATGTAGTAGATTCCAAGTTTAATCTGATACCTATATATATAAGACTAACCTTGGCAGTCTTTGATTTATTAGTACTACCTAGTATACTATTTTACTACTGGTGTTTTTCAAGTTGGAATTGAATTTGAAGTTTCCATTCAGGTTGAATCGATCCTTTCATATCTAGAATCATTGATCTGCAACTAAAGATTGATCAATAGACATGGAAAAGTCTAACTCAATAGGAAAAGGTTCCTCAGCAGACCAAAGATTATCTTGAGTCGTGTCAAATCCATACATCCGACCATCATACATACGCTAAGAGATATTAGCTTAGTCCAAAAACTCGAGTAAGGAAACATACCCAATCCAATTGAGCAGTCGCGCTCAGCATATCATCAATAACATCGAGAGAAGAGTATGAAGGAGTTTGAGAGACGTCGGTAAACATGGTCGTTGGTATGTTATTCGGAGAAAGATTCGAGTACTGCGGTTGGTCCATGGAGACAGGGAACGTCCGGAGGAGCTGGGTTTGACCTGTAGCAAGTTAGTTACAGATCCCAAGATGAGTGAAAGATGATATACGTACTTGCTTCTTCCTCCGAATTCGCTGTGAGACTTTCAAGGCTGTGACCTCGAACTCTACTAAGCATGATGCTCAGTGCAACAAATGCCCGCTGGGTATCCGGAGACCGCCGAGGCGTCTGCTTGAAAATGCGATGCGTATTCTCCAAAAGAAGTAGAAGCTCAGACTTTTCTTGGGTCATCTCCAAAGCGTCCATATTATCATTGTCTTGTGACAAAGCCAGACAAAGGATCATAGCAGAGAGCATAAAGTCGGTATTTTGGAGGGAGTTGAGAAGAAACCGTTCCTTGTATACTTGACCACCAGGTAAAGACTCGCTCCAAATATCTGCATGGTGTCGCAGGGTCGCGCTAGCAGCACTAATGCAGATCTGCCGTGAATTGGCATGCTTGCCATGTCTTTCGGTGATATACGGCCGATGCAGAACGATACGCGCCTTTTGATATATCAAGTTCAAGGTATATCGATTTAATATGATATAGGTTTGCTCGCCTATCGATTGGGCGAGCGGTCGCACACGTAGGAAAGATGGCATTTGAGCATGCGCAGCTTCAAGCGCACGATCCATCACCATTATTTCGTCGTGCGATACCGGTTCTCGCTTGTAGGCCGAGTCACAGATCTGTCCGAAAACATTCATGAGACGGGTTTTTGCTCGTGTATATGAAACTTGTGTTCGCTCATCCTCTGGTCGACCTGGAGGTAGCTGCGCCGTGTTTTCGTCGAAGTCGGTGTCCAGCAGGTTAGATGGCATCGCGGCGTCTTGGTAATAAGACTGGATGGTACGTGGAAGGCCATTTTGAAATGAGACTAGAGTATCAAGCTGGCACAGCATAGCCCACATACGGCGTCGCATCTCTCCTTCGTAAGGAGAGAGTGTGGGATAGTGGCTCGGGTCACGGTGGTAGCCCATGCGCAACGCAAGTCGAATAGCTATTCCCAGGAGATGTGAGACTCCCATCTGTCCATCTTGGCTGCGGTAGAACTCGGAAACCGCGTAGAGGAACATTGCGTTCGGCTTGTACTTTCCAGGGGTGATATAGTTTGCTTGAACGAGACACTGTGCGGCTTTTCGACGAAAAACGTCCCAAAGGGTCATCGGCTCCACTGTACTCATCGGAAGAGCCTCCTCACTGCGATGATGGATAGTTACAGAAAGTGCCATGATGGAATATAATAATGCAATCCAGGTAAATGACATATCAAGAGGATGTTTCCAAAAGTGCTCATATTCCCTTCGAAACGTAGGGACGTGAATGATAACTATTAATCGGGTTATTATAGAAAAAAGGATTGCGGCAAGACTCCAACATACCTAATGAAGGCTCCGATGTTTGTAGAAAGCGAGACACAAGTCGATCGGCTATTGATCGTGCTGGGATGTCCGTGAGTACTTCTTGTTTGGTAATCGGCTTAGCAAGTCCTAGCAGCAGGACGGGTGAAGAAGCATCAAAAGGGTCATCTTCAATTCCGTCTTCATCGGAATTCTCCGCCTGTTCATCCAAATACTCTTTCACACCGTTGATCTAAAGAAACAGTTAGTCTGAGCCATTTTAGATATCATGTATAGGCAAGCAAACCTCCTCCAAGATGGCACGCCAGTTGGCACTATCAATATAATTGGTTCCATCCTCTTTGACTACCAAAGTGCCCGTATCACGGGGTGATGGTTTGGTCTCACGTTCATCCGTCGATGGAGGAGTATCGTACGCTACTGTCTCCTCCAAACCAGTATTGAAGTCATAAATAAGATCATCTGGTTTTTTCTGTTTGGCCAAAGACATGACTAAATTTTCCAGATGTTGAAGACGATCTTGTACAAGCGTCGGACTCGCTCGTCCATGCTGAGCCTTAGCCCTCGGCCCTCGACCAACATACGTACATGTCGCCGCCTCGCCACGCTTCTTACAATTGGCGCATGGATAAGTGCGGCAGCATTTCAGCCTGTATGTGTATCAGTTATCTGGCATAATGAAGCTAGATATGCGGCTCAAACCCACTTGCGGTATCGGCATGCAGTGCAAGAGAACTGGACTCGGGTTCGTTTCTTTGACCCCGCGGGCTCCGCAGCGAGCGGGTCCGGGTTATGGGCAAGGTCGGACATGAAGACAGCCCCGGTTCTATGAAGAGGGCTCATAATAGGGAGGACTTGAGAAGACGGGGTTAGAAAGAGTCGAGAAGTGCCGATCTTTGTCTCGGGCAAGTATCTATTTACCCACTTGCGGCGTGTGAACGGGAAGAGGAATGAAGGCGGAGAAATGCGATGAGCTCGGACTCCGTCGTTCCACTCTTATCTCCGTGCGCATCTCCCGTAGATCTAGCCTTGTATACCTTCAAAATGTCGTTGCAGATCACTTTACAGCGCTCCAGGTATCATGAATTAGTTTAGACGTGTTTGGAAGGGGTATGTCAAGTCTCATTTCCTGTCAGATATCATATTAAACCGATGAAATCCATGGATGCAGGCCAATAAAATCAAATACGATTTTGGGTACGGGGCACTTGAGTATACCGGGAGTCATGATATGAAATAACTTGAAAGCAACTTTGAACATGTAGGAGATGGCTTCTCCGATAATATCATGATCAACCCCGAACGATTAAGCCCGAGATAATCTGCCTCAGGCCCCATTATATGCATCTACCATAATAATGCCACCGCGGGTACCTATGCAGGTATTTAACCGGGCCCTAGGCAGCATACATAGCATTTGCACCGCTCGAGCCCGCTAAGCCCCTAGGGTCAGTGCTAGGTATGACTCAAAATGTCAGCGCATCTAAGCATTTCCAAGGTTACCGTAAAATACCCCGCTTTTGACCCGCATAATAAATTAGAAAATGAGAAAGAAATTATTCATCTCCACATCTCACGGCATAATGAATAGCTTCTCTGATACCATGAAGAAGTCTAAACATCTGGATGCTTCTAGAATTGCAGCCCAACTTGAACCCCCGAGGCCGTCAAACATACTAGCTTGATATCTCATTCATCCCTATTTGGAAATCTACTAGTAAAGTCACCATGTTGGTCATATATTTGTCCAATGATGTCAACTTGCTGGTTCTAGAATCACTAGTATGTACGTATCAACTTAAAATGTTGGAGGCCTTACACGATTCCAAGTTGAGTGCTAGGGTCAGTGCTAATAACTTGTATTTCGGCTGCCTGGGGCTCTTTAACCCATCCTCACTGGCAGCGTCTACTTTATCCATATTGATCAAGCTATTTGAATATCCTATAAATTGACAACGCATCTCCTCATATTCATTCAAGTCTTCTTCTCTCATCAACTTAAGCTTGGTCGATACACTTAAGTGCTAGTATTCACCAGCTACTCGTTTCACCCCTTTCACAACCCGAGCCAGACACTTCATGTCGGTCATAGCAGTCCGTGAGGGCACTTTGGCAAATAACTCATTGAGCCTCAAAAATGAAAATATTTACAATTTTTTCGGCCCAGGAGCAGTGAGTGGATTCGATTTTACTCCTCTTTTTGAGGATTCAATTTTATCTTTATTACCATCCGCACTACTTCTTATCTGCGTGCCGTATCGAATCATCACTCTCTATCGCCAACGCCCAAAAGTTTCACCAGGAGGCTTCTTGTACGAGAGCAAGATCACATTTCTGGGTGTCTTCGCGGCAATACATCTAGTCTTGCTCATTTTACATGTTCTTAACTCCTCACTTCGTACTCAAGCTACTATTGCTGCATCGGCATTGTCCTTCATCGCCAGTCTCAGTCTCTGTTTGCTCTCACATCTTGAGCATGGACGCTCCGTTCGTCCATCGCCCTTGATCAATGGGTATATTTTATTGACATTGCTATTTGATGTGGCTCGTTGCCGCACCCTTTTTCTTGATGGAGCAAGCAAAGCAATTTCAGGGTGTTTTGCGGGCATGATCGGTGTCAAGATAATGGTTCTGCTGGCCGAAGCAACCGAGAAGCGAAGTATTCTGCTTACTCCTTATCATGGCCTGTCACCAGAAGAGACAAGTGGGATTTATTCTCTCTCTTTCTTCTTCTGGTTGAATCAGCTCATGACGTCGGGGTTTCGCGGGGTTCTTCGCAATGAGGATCTCTATCCGATCGACAGCGATATGACTGCCGAGGTCCTTCAACGAAGAATGAAACATTCCTGGGAAAAAGCGTCTCAAGAGAAACCAAGGGCGCTTTTCTGGGCGGTTATGCGGGCGAACACAAAAGGACTGCTTTATTGTATCATACCACGCCTGTGCCAAATTGGCTTCCGCTACGCGCAGCCGTTCCTATTGTCACGAACAATTTCATTTGCAAGTGATACATCACAACCTGACAGTGTTGGCTGGGGTCTGACAGGGGCATTCTTTTTGGATCTTCTTGGAGTTGGCATTTCAAATGGTATCTTTTACCATATGTCCTATCGTTTAGTTACTAGCATCCGCGGGAACTTGATCAGCCTAATCTATGCAAAAACCCTGGACCTTAGCATCACCGCTCTGGATGAGTCGGTAGCAGTCACTCTCATGTCCACTGATGTGCAGTCAATATGCGATGGCTTTACAAACATCAACTCGTTTTGGGCTGTGCCAATCGAGATAATAATCGGCCTCTACCTTTTAGCTCGCCAGCTGGGAGTCGCTTGTGTCGCCTCTGCCGGCATCGCTTGCTTTTCGACTATTGCAATATTGTCGATATCTAAATGGATGAGTCACGGGCAGCAAATTTGGATGAGGAGTATCCAAACACGAGTAGACTCCACAGCAACGATGCTGGGTTCAATGAAATCTGTTAAGATGCTTGGCTTCACAGACTGGCTGGCGAAGCTTATCCAAGGCCTGCGAGTGGATGAGCTCCAAGAAGCAAAGCTCCTTCGACGTCTCCTATGCCTTCGCGTGTTTCTAGCAAATCTTTTGGGCACTTTCGGTCCTTTCCTGACTTTACTAGTTTACACTACTCGCCCGAATAGTAATGGACTCTCTGCAGACACTGCATACACAACTCTGACACTGATCTCCCTCCTTTCAACTCCGGTTAACACACTCATCAGATCTATCCCTGAGATGGCAACTGCACAGGCCTCTCTGATCCGAATTCAAGAATTCTTGCACTCTGACTCTCGACTTGATCACCGGATCTTCTTCAATGAAAATAGCAGCTCCAGTTCTTCGGAGCCATCGATCTCTCAGGGCATTGAACTTTCAGATTTTAATACATCTTCTTCCACCTCAAACACACAGACAGATGTAATCGTGGCTCGCGACGCCGGGTTCTCATGGAATTCGAACTCGACTTTCTCAGTTCATGACATAAACATCAGTGTTCAACCGGGGCAGTTTTGTATCGTTATTGGACCCACCGGATGTGGAAAAAGTACCTTACTCAAAGGAATTCTTGGAGAGACGCCATCTACCAAAGGGTTTCTCTATACGTCTCAGCGACACACGGCATTCGTAGACCAGACGCCCTGGATTCGCAATACTTCATTCCGGGATAATGTTCTTGGCACCTCTGTGTTTAATGAGGAGTGGTATGATGAAGTGGTGAAAGCCTGTGCATTGGACCAGGATATTCAAATGTTACCAAATGGGCACTGTGAGTTAATTCAATTCGAAATTATTCGTAAAGCTTTCACTGACATTCCATTAGTTACAAAGGTGGGCTCATCTGGAATATCACTTTTGGGGGGCCAGAAGCAGCGTCTAGCACTGGCTCGTGCTGTGTATTCCCGCAAGGAAGTGGTCATCCTGGATGATGTCTTCTCTGGACTAGACGCCGACACGGAAGAGCGTATATTTATGAAGTTACTCTCGAAACAAGGCTTATTTCGAAGAATGGGGACTACAGTCCTCCTGGCTACTCACGCTGTCCACAGACTTTCATATGCGGATCTCATCGTCGCCATGGATCATCAAGGCACGATAGCCGAGCAGGGGACCCTGGCAGAGCTAGAGGCAAACGATGGATACGTTGCCCTCCTGAAGGCACGCTACCGATCTGAGAGCACCGATGATACTGCTGCGCCTCAAGAACAGCATACAGTCCAGTTGGCAAAAACAGAGTTGGAAGAAACCCCAGAACTTGAGGCTGTGGCAGTCGAGCTCACCAGGCAAAATGGAGACCTTTCTCTCTATGCATATTACCTTGGATCAGTCCACTGGTCATCCACTGTCTTATGGTTGGGGTGCTTTGTCCTGGCAAGTACTTCAATGAAGATGAGTGAATACTTGATCAATTTCTGGACAAGTGCTTCGACTCGGCAAGGGCGAAGTGTCGATGGATTTTATCTCGGAATTTATGGAATGCTGGCAGCAGTGGCAACCGTTGGCCTCATCGGGGGTGCCTATCACTATATCATCTACTTTGCCGCGCAAAGTGCTATGAGTCTTCATGAGCGACTTGTGCGGTCGGTGATGAATGCACCGCTTTCATTCTTTACTTCAACGGATATTGGGACCACGACGAATAGGTAAGCCGATAGTATTCTGCTTCATTTGTTATTATTGTCTAACGAATGTTTACCTACCAGATTCAGTCAAGACATGACCTTAATTGATCATGACTTGCCATACTCCGTCATAGATTTCATTCTATCACTGACCTTGGGTCTCATGTCAATGATATTGATGTGCATTTCCGCCTCTTATTTCGCTGCAGTCGTACCAGTAGTCTTTCTGTTTATGTGGATGTTACAGAAGTTCTATCTCCGCACATCGCGGCAGATGCGATTCCTCGATCTGGAAGCCAAATCACCGCTATTCTCTCAATTCATCGAGAGCTTGTCAGGTCTTGTAACTATTCGAAGCTTCGGCTGGACTGAAGCCTTCGAGTCCCAAAGTCTGGCTCTGTTAGATACATCTCAAAAGCCCTTCTATCTTTTGTTCTGTATCCAAAGATGGCTCGAACTTGCACTCGATATTTCCGTTGCGATCCTCGGTGCAATTCTCATGGTTCTGGTAGTCAAATTGCGAACAGAGCTCGGCGCTGGGTATGTCGGTTTGGCCATCCTCAACGTTATTACTTTCAGTCAGTCGTTATCGGATATCTTGCGGAACTGGGCTCAGCTAGAAACATCCATCGGTGCCGTCTCCCGTGTCCGTGACTTTGTTAAGCACACTGCCAATGAGAACAGACCAGAAGAGAATGGCACAGCCGGGTTTCCTGGCAATGATTTCTCAAACTGGCCGAGTAAGGGGCAGATCGAGTTCCGAAATGTCGACGCGTCGTATAATGCAGGCGATCAAAAATACGTTCTCCGAAACTTGAGCATGTCGATCAAGGCAGGTGAGAAAATCGGCATTTGTGGACGCAGTGGCAGTGGCAAAAGTTCACTTCTAGCAAGCCTGTTCCGGATGCTAGAGGTGGAGTCTCACAGTCAAATTCTCATTGATGGTGTTGACATTACTCGCATTCCTCGGCAAACGACCCGACTCGCGTTGAACGCGATCCCGCAGGAACCATTCTTCACACATGGATCTGTGCGTGCAAACATGGATCCATACCAAAGCACAGACACAGGTGCGATTGAAGAAGCTTTACGACGCGTTGAGTTATGGGATATAGTTCAGGCAAAGGGTGGGTTAGACGCCCAGCTGGAGGCTAACTTCTTCTCTCATGGCCAACGGCAACTGTTCTGTCTCGGTAGATCACTAGTCCGTGGTAGCAAAGTGATTATTCTAGACGAAGCCACAAGTAATGTTGATGTTGTTTCTGATGCTCTTATGCAGCGGATTATCCGAGCGCAATTCGCCGACTGCACAATCTTGGCTGTGGCTCATCGTCTGGAAACAATCGTGGATTTTGATCGCATTGCCGTCATAAAGGGTGGAAGGCTGGTTGAATTCGATACTCCAAAAGCACTCTTTGAGAGAGACAGCGCTTTCAAGGAGCTTTATGAGTCTTGATTTGGTTCCAGGGCCGGCGAAGTCGTGATGTTCTGAATTAAAGCCAGTGGATGTTGAATAGACGGATAAAATTGATGATGGACCTCGGGATGAGATGATCCCACTTATGCCTTAATGTTGCGGACAGAATATAGTAGTATATAATTTGAATTGGGACTTGATTTTAATATTTGGATAATCATTCATCCTAAAAACCTATGCAGTTGGGCCTCTCCATCCATATCTGATCCCCATTTGAACCAGAGCTGGCATAAATTGCAGTCAGATAATACCAGTTAGGTATAGGTAATGCATATCTTTGGTGGCGAAACCAGCTGGAAGAGTTAGATTCGAAGTTACTTCGATCATAAACGACTGCAGGGAATTCTCTTTAAATGCATTGCAGGACAAGGTCGACAATTGAAAAGAAGGATTCGCGATCAGCACCAATTTTGCCCAGTCCAAGGCCCACAACGAGCAGTCGTTTCTCGGCGGGTGCCTTTGTTGCAATAGCAGTCGCAATTTGACGAGCTAAGAGTTGTCCAATAGTATCTTGACCAGGTGCATGGCCTCCGAGTAAAGAAGTTGCTGTTAACCCACTGAGGGGTAACAAGCTGTCATCTGTGTCTTCGGATAATGTATGCATGCCGTCAGTTCCTGGGTTGTTGTTTCCAAGTGGAACATGTAGCTAAATCGCGGTCAGTATTTCCCAGAAAATGACAGTACATATAGACAAACCCAATGCGCAAGTCGGCCTTCTTGAGAGATCGTCACCATGATCTTATCGCTGAAGTTCATAATCATAACATCCGTTTTGACTCCATCTACTAGACCCGCCGTTTGCTTTCTCCCAGCAGGAAACGGGAGGTTACTCAAAGAGTCATGTAGTGAATCTTGTAGAGAAGCCATGATAGTTCAATTGTGTGTTGTAACTGTAAGGAGCTATCGCCTGTTGATGCATTGCTTCGTTCGAGGCGGTCAATATCGCCCCACATTATATCTGGCATTATTACACCGCCTATCAACCGTCCTCGATTTTTTTTCCTGGATAAGCAGCAGCTTGATAACACACATTGCTTGCTAGTCCCGGCTCGTCATCTCTTGTTTCGAGTTAGGATCTGCAATTATGGTTAAATTTGTTCCACGCCAGCGGAAACAGAAGCACCGGCGTCAAGAGCCTGATGCCTCGGTAGACACCAATGTCGCAGAGCTAGCGCCCGTCTCCAAAGATGAGAAGGAAGCAAGAAGACAGAAATTGCGCGATGAGCTAAGAGAGCAGCATGCAAATGTTTCATCCAAGAAGCAAAAGCGTTTGGACAAGTACATTGTACGTGGGACTTTTTCTACTCTTGTGCCGGACCCGTCTCTGACAATTTCATAGGAAAATAAATTGAAGAAGGAAGAAAACCTCGAGCTCCTCAAGAAACTTGCGAATGCGAACGAAAGTATTTCCGGCCTACAGAGCTCTAAAGAGCTAGGCAAGCGAAAGCGAGATGATAGTGAAACCGTCCAGGCGACTACATCTGCTGGGAAATCAGCACAAAACCTCCCCGAATACGATACCGATGATTCCGACGCCGATATCAAAACTTCCGATCCTGCGACAGATCCGGTTCCTGAACCCAAGCCTCAACAACCTCAAGCGCCCACCGGAAGCGGATTGAAGCGACCACTCGAACTTGGACCTGACGGATTCCCAATCATCAAAAAGCGGAAGCGCACTGCTAAACCCGCTCCTGCCGCACCGGTGAAGGAGGTTGCATGGGAAGGGTTCGGGTCCGACAACGAAGAATCGGATAAGGAGGAAGATGAAGAGGGCTCGGACAGCTCAGAGGGTGATTCGAATGAGGAATCGGACGACAACGAGTCTGGGGAATCATCCGAAGAGGGCTCAGACGACGAGTCCGACGAAGATGATGAAGACTCGGACGAGGATGAAACTACTGTGAAAAAGATCAAACCCAGAGAATCTGCTTTCAAGTCGTGGGCCAGGCAACAAATTAATGAGGCCGTTGGTTTCAAACCAACCACCGGTCCAGTGATCCATGATCAAGCGCAGCAGACATTTGCGCCCCCCCAGAAAAGAACCCCGCAACACTGTTGACATGGAGGATCCTCTTCCCGCTGAGCTTCAAGTCACTCGAGGAGATCCTCTTCGCAAGGCTTTCCATGTCTCAGTGGAACGATCAGAAGAGATTCAAAGTTCTCGTATGGGTTTACCGGTGGTTGGCGAGGAACAGAAGATCATGGAGGCGATTCACAACAACTCAGTTATTGTCATCTGGGGTGCTACTGGTTCGGGAAAGACAACTCAGCTTCCACAATTCCTGTTTGAGTCAGGCTTCGGTAACCCGGATAGCCCCAACCCTGGCCTTATTGGTGTCACTCAGCCACGTCGAGTTGCCGCCGTCAGTATGGCCAACCGTGTCGGTCAAGAACTTGGCCAGTATTCAGACCAAGTTTCATACCAGATTCGGTTTGAGACAACGGTATCCAAAAAGACAGCCATTAAATTCATGACTGATGGTATCCTTCTCCGTGAGATTGCAGATGACTTTGCACTGCGCAAATACTCAATTATCATCATTGACGAAGCGCACGAGCGAAGCGTGAACACTGATATCCTGATTGGAATGGTCAGTCGTATTGTCGACCTGCGAAAGTCCATGAGTGAGGAGGATCCTACTATCAAGCCGCTGAAGGTGGTAATTATGTCTGCCACGCTCCGAATCTCTGACTTCACTGAGAACTCCGCGTTGTTTCGTCAAGGTCCCCCGCCTTTGGTTCAAGCCGAAGGTCGCCAGTACCCTGTTACCGTTCACTTTGCCCGTCGCACACATCGTGATTATGTTGAGGAGGCCTTCCGGAAGGTTTCGCGGGGTCACCGCAAACTCCCGCCCGGTGGTATACTCGTGTTCTTGACAGGACAAAATGAAATTCGGCAATTGTCCAAGCGATTGAAGCAGGCATTCAAGCCTACTCAGCGGATTGATACAACCCAAGCGAAGGTGCAGTTCACAGCGAACGACGCACCTTTGGAAGCGGAAGATCTAGAGTTGGGTGGCACTGAAATGCACAATGACGGCTATGACGATGATAGTGACTTGGAGATTACGGGATTAGACGAGCCAGAGGATGATGAAGACTTTGATCTTGGTGAGGAGGCTATGGACTCATCAACCAAGGTGCACGTATTGCCTCTATATTCGCAACTACCAACAAAAGAACAAATGAAGGTGTTTGAACCGGCACCAGAGAACTCGCGTCTTATCATTCTCGCAACCAACGTTGCTGAGACATCGCTCACTATTCCCGGAATCAAGTACGTATTCGACTGTGGTCGTGCGAAGGAAAAGCAATTTGATCTATTTACCGGTGTGCAAAGCTTCCAAATTGGCTGGATCAGCAAAGCTAGTGCAAACCAAAGAGCGGGTCGTGCAGGTCGAACAGGACCCGGTCACTGTTACCGACTGTACTCTTCGGCAGTCTACGAAGGCGATTTCGCTGAGTATACTGACCCTGAAATATTACGCACCCCTATCGAAGGTGTCGTTCTCCAGATGAAGAGTATGGGCTTGCACAATGTGATCAATTTCCCATTCCCTACCCCTCCCAGCCGTCAAGGTCTCGTGAAGGCGGAAAAGCTGCTCAAGAATCTGGGTGCGCTCTTAGGGAATGGCCAAGTCACACAAGTGGGTCGTCGTCTTGCAACATACCCTCTATCCCCTCGTTTCGGCAAGATGCTTTACATCGGTCACCAACACGGATGTCTACCTTACGTCATTGCCCTGGTGTCTGCTCTTGCTGTCGGAGATCTGTTCGTTGCGCAGAATGAAATCGACCCCAATGCATTTGCTAGGAATTCTAAGCCCAAGCAACTTGATAGCGACGACAGTGATGATGAAAGGAAGGTCTACACCAATGCCGATCGTCTAGAGGATACAGAACGTGAGCAAAAGATGAAGGACTACGCCCGCGTACACCGTCTTCTCGGCAAGCACGATGATACCTCCGATGCCCTTAAGTTCCTCTCTGCCATCTGTGCCTACGGCTATGCCTCGGACGGGGACGCCTTCAGTGAACAGATGTTCCTCCGTGGAAAGGCCTTCAAGGAGGCTACGCAACTCCGTCGCCAACTCACAGATATCGTGCGCGCCAACAACCCTGGGCTTATCGGCTCTTACGAAGCACGTCTGCCCGAGCCCTCTGCTAAGCAGATCAAAGCGCTTAAACAAATCGTTACCGCCGGTTTCATCGACCATGTTGCCATTCGCGCAGATCTCGCACCTGTGCCTCCAGAGATCCCCCGTGCGCCCCGCCGCGCGATCGATGTTCCCTATCTTACACTTTTCCGCTCCCGGGAAGGACCAGCCGAGGATATCTCAGAGCGCGCGGTCTTCATCCATCCCTCTTCTATCATGGCGAAGCTTACACCAAAAGAAATGCCGCAGTATATTGTCTACTCGCATCTCCAGCAGTCAGCCCCCAGCGTGGTCGCATCGGACCAGACACCCAAGATCAGAATGTTCCCGCTTGTTGCTCCAAGTGGATTGCAGCTTTCTGCTTTGGCACATGATACCCCACTCATCGAGTATGGAAAGCCGATTGGAAAGACAGATACATTGGAAGGTATTCCTCAGCGCAGGTCTTGCTGGGTTATTCCCTCGATGGTTGGTGATGCTGGTGGCACAGGCTGGCCATTGCCAGCGAAGAAGGTCGTGCAGAAGAAGGACCCTAAGGAGGGATGGGTTATTGAGAAGTTTGTTAGTTGAGTACAGTTGTCAAAATAGCATATGTTGTATAGATGAGTTCATGATATCCAAAATGTATTGGTTTCTATTGTTCTCCCTGAGAAGGGACTTGGATCACCTTCCACTCAAAATTTTGAAATCTTCTTAACAAATACGCTAGCCGTGGACGTCAAGTTCAACACAAGATGACTAGCTTCATCCCCGTGCCTCCACACGGACTCGGAGATTCTGTTTTCCAGTTTCGGGACTGACATTTTTTATGAGTCTCTTCACCAAGTCTTATGATTTGAATCTGGTCTTTGTTACAAGCGGCAAAGAGAGCTCAAAATCAACTGTATGTATAGTTTTTTTTTCAGCTCTCCTTATAGCACTTCCGCTATGCAATCACTACGTGTGACGCGGAATAATTTTATGTTAACATGTAACTTGAAGTCACCTACATGGGGCTATAGCAGATTCCACATAAGATGAGGTATGTATATGACCAGCTGTATGTGAATGCTTTAGTGAGATTGAGATTTGCTGACCATGAGAACTTGAGTGGCAGATGGTCGTGAGGATAAAACCTGAGCAGAAAGGGACCACCGAACATTCCAAGGTTCAAATGCTAAATCTTCTTTTGAGCAGCTTCCTTCTCCTTCCGAGTCATGGATCGTGTTTTCACATTAGGACCTGTAGTTGTTACCTTGGCCTTATAGCTCTTCGACTTCCCACCCGCCTTCTGCTTCCCCTTGTTTTTGTTTGTGTTTGATTCTTCTTCAGAAAGATCCTCAGGGAGATCACTCAACTCAGACCCTGTCTCCAAGTCTTTCTCGGAAAGACCATTCTCAGCAAGTGACTTTCTAATGGCTGGAGCTAAGGTTCGCTCGATATCAAGCCGCATCTGCGGCATACCATCAACATTCGATATGAATATTCGGGAAATCCGGACTGTTCCACGGGGGAAAGCCGACAAAATAAGAGCAACCACAATGCGCCCGATTTCAGTGCCGATCAAAGCTTGATATGCTGAGGTTCCATGTTCATAGCACGCTCGTGGATGCGATTCCTTTTTCAAACCTAGAGTGTACAGTATTAAATGCTGTGTTTCTATGTTGACGATGTTGAGGACCATCACATGTCTCAGGGTTTTAATCTCATAGTATTTCTCGTAAGCCCGCTGCGATATCTGGGACATGAAAGGTCCATGTTCTCGAAATACTGACTCAATGACAAGAATACCTTTGCCGATCAGGCCTTGCCAAAAGGTCACCGTATCATTTAAGCGAGAGTCAAAGTACTCTTTGCGGAACTCTTGCATAGGCTGTCTTAATTGATCCAATAGGTACTCTTCGTACTCCATAGCCTCTTCACAGTCCCCCAGGTCATTCTTTTCCAGCTGGGTGAGACTGATGTTCGCTGTTGGTGGTTGGAATGGACAAACGCCCGTTTCACCAGTATCAGGTCCGTCCATCCATTTCTGGAAGCGTTTTCCACGTGCCAGAAGAGCACGATACATGTAATATTCTCTCAGGCTTGCTGGACCTGTTGCCGCTTCTGAGGTGGCCATGTTGAGGTGTGCGGGATTGATATGTTATGTGACTACTATAATTTTTTGTGAGTCGACTCACTTGAGGTTCAACTTGAAGCCATTTTATGATCATGGGACATCCGAATATATTTGACTCACTGTTTTGAGGGATTCGCTGTGGTCTCCGTATGACTGAGCAGTAATAACCAAGAGGGACAAGTCGAGATAAAGGTCGAGGAGTTCATTTTTCAAGAGAGCTTTCATTTGAGAAGAATGTTGTTTCAAGAGTAAAGAGAGTGAAAGAATAATCTTGCACAGAGTACTGAGATTTATTATGTTTTCCAGGCTACCAGGAAAGTCACCTCAGGCTGCGTGTGTAGTCAAACATCAAACATTTTGAACCTTGAAACAAAGCTTCAGGGCCCTCTGATAGTCACCCGCATCAATCCACTCGCATGATGCTACTAGTAGTACGAAGATCGTGCACATACACTATAATTCCAAGTTAACTTTAAGTCTTAAAATGAGCACTTGGGAGGCTGAATTGAAAAACGAAGGCCATCGAGCTATTCCAAGGTTAGTACTAGTACAAGGCACATGCATGTACGATTAGCAGTCTATAAGTTAGACAATCAATACATATAAAAACTTGAACTCGATATGGCTATATCTTTTATGTACAGAGATGGGAAATAGATTTTGTTTCTAATAAGAGTCTAAGAATTTGACACTTGACTTTTCAAAAGACTAAAGATATTAATTCCATTAAATTATTTGATTTGCAGAAAGATAAAGTCGCCTACATGATAATTGACCAAGAGAGTGAAAATAATCTAGTGATACAAAGAACCTTCTCAACAAGGCTGGCTCGATAGAAATTGGAAAAGGCTAAACCTTCTTGATCTTCGCTCTTTCTCAAAGAGCTCTCAGACTGTAACCTGAATATTGACTGAGTGCCTGGGCGTGCCATCATTGTTGAGCACAAAGAGCATATAATAACCAGGCAGGGCAATACCCGGCTCCGAAGGGATATCAAACGAGTAATCATTAGTACCAGTTGAGCTCAATTGAACAGAGATCCGCCGCTGGTCAGTGTTGACTGTATGTGTCGCGGACCCATAGCGGATAATCGAGGCTTGAATGTTAACGGGTCCATCAGTTGTAATCTCGACAGAGTCACCTGGCTTAACTGCGTTTGGGGATACAGATTGGATGACAGGACGCACACAATCACTGCCATCGGCGTTCAGCAGATATGATGGTGTGTAGATCTGTCCGTCGAAATGATTCGAGTCACAACTTCCACAAAGGCCGCCACCCCCTGTGAGAACAGTACCATCTTGGAGCAAAAGTGATAGGCTGTGGTAGACTCGAATAACACTGTTCTTTGTTTGCTCAATCCACTCTCCGCCTTGATTGTTGGTAGAATCGAGCACAAACATCTCGGGGATCAGCTGAGGCTGACTCTCATCAAAGGGAAGTGCAACAACCTGGCCACCGTTGACAAAAGTTGAACCATCCGGTAGAACAACAGAGGAGTGGAAGGTACGCTAATAATTCATTCCACCTCCCGCATCTTGAAGAACATTTGCTGCTTCATCAGGCTGATCAATGGAGATAATGGCAGCGTACTTGGTGGCTTCGGTTGTTTCGTAATACTTCGAGCCGCCAAAGGCTAGGATCTTTCCCTTATCATACATGATTGCATTTCCACACATTGCATCTTCATCCCCTGTGCGAGTTCCAGCAGGGGCTGTGGTTCCAGTATCTGAAGTGCCATACCCGTTCATCTCCTTACTGGGACCAGCTTGGAAAACAGAGCCACCAGTCCATGAAAACAGCCAGCCATGGTTGTCTTGTCGGTAGGTACGTTCGTCATCTGTCAGCATGGCTGACACGTTTGCACCATCCAGCTTCGTCCATACATTGGTTTCAGTATCATAGACCTCTCCGTTCTTACCGCCAACACTTTCGCTCCATGATCCACCGATAACAAACATGCGAACAAAGTGGTAGAGGCCTGGTATCCGCGCGGGGTGTTCATCGGTGCTCCTTCATACCAATTTTCATCGGTAGTATTAAATATAGTATCAAATATACTGCGCTGACCTGCATCTGCCCCTCCAGTGACCTCCACTTTGCCATTTGTATCAAGCGAGATACCAGGGCAGAACATATCGTGATGGGTTTCGTTGATTCTTCGGCGCGTCACTGTGTTGGCTTTCGGATCCCAAATAGCCGTCTGAGTCTTTCCACCTTTGCCACCAGTGAAGATGTTATATCCCCAAGCAGAGCAGACAACGAAATTTCCAGAGACCGGGTCAACGGCACCGGCGACAGGTACAAGAGGAAAATCGATCGTGGTACCCCAGGCTCCACCGGCGGGGTTTGGCTCAATAAACTCGGTCTCATATAAACGGATATCGGCGATGGAGATTCCATTCGGAGCAGGTCCTGATAGACGGAGGAACTTGGCCTTCTTCGGTTGGAAGGAAGACACTTTTTGACTTGTATCAGGCCACCAAGTCCCATACGCGACAATATCCCAGTTCTCCCCATTAAGACTAAGAGCAACCTCGTGTTGCTCAATCATAGATGTCGACCGATTATGTCTTGGTACGGTTGTCAGCCCGCTCACGATCTTCTGTTGATCTGATAACTGGATAGTGATGCTCTGGGACGTATTGGTTTGGGCACTGAGCCAGAAGCCGGTGGTGGATTCGTCAATGGCTTTGTCGCACTCGTGATCCGTTGTCTCGCTAGAGCACTCGACTGTCCATCCAATTTGTGGAATTTGATTGCCCTGAGGCAGAGACTGCGAGAGCGTTGAGACTTACAGGCCACCAATATTGGCAGTGTCAGGGGTTGTTCCTTCGGTGTAAAGGGCTTCGAGCTCCGACATGTTGAGGGCATGGGCGGCCCCCAGCAGGAGGCTTGCCGCATACCAATTGGACTTCATTGTTCTGTTGACAACTTGAATATCAGCTCACAGTGGTCTGTTTTGTTCGATACAGAGCCAGATAAAGGAGTACAAAAGCTGGCGACCTGGTCATCTATCAACAAGCGAGCAATAGACAAGGCTCACATCTCTTTTATACTCCTGCATTGCTAAAATTCACCATTTACCCATTTTGTCGTACAGATAAATCTGGCTATGACCTGACTAGGGTGTCAAACATATCACATACTGCAAGGGCTGCAGCTTGTCGAGCCCTTGACCAGACCTTCAGGAATGCGACAAAGCGTTCAAGGTCCTACTTAATACCTGTTGAGCAAATCAACGCATAGAATCAACGCGAAGAAGGTATATCATTCCGATTTCGAGTAATTATTTGGCAGAGATGATCGACCTCCGCAGATACGGAGCAGCAAGAACACAGTCCGGAGGAAAACATTCCCCTATTGAAAGGTACCATTTCAAAGGCGATCATTGACCATAAGGGGACTTTCCAAAATCTCCAAGAACACTCAAGAATTTAGTATTCGTCTACACCCTGCCGGATAACAGCAACATTCTACTCATTCTATGCGGGGGCGGCAGACTGAAGAACAGAATGACAATATGTATTAAAAAAAAGAAGATTGGCCGAATGCACAGGAATGTGCTCCACTGTGTTGGTTAAAGTGTGTCTCATGCGGCCCGAAGCGCGACACTAAATGGAACATGAATTCGGAAGTGGAATCCAGAGAATGCCAAGTGGGTGACCACTTATTGACTTTCCTACATCGATACATTTATCATACAGACATTTGGGCATTCGTGCAGTAAGATGCTTCATGTTAGCAGCAGATGATGGGTCTCGGAGACTCAGATAGATGAAGGCATGCCAGGTACACTGCAGCAATAACTTGAAATCTTCATATGAGATCGAAGCTCAATCCAGAATATGTCGGTGTTCAGCCTTCTCACTTGAGGTTCCCTCGATTTGACCATCTTCTCACGGAATAGGCTACGTTTTACACCCGAAGAAGAAAAATGTCGAGCACAAGGTATGGTATTTCAAGCTTGGACTTTGGCCAAATGTGTGCCTACACTACCAGGTCAAAAGTCTAGCAACAAACCTAATTTTTCTCCCTTCCATTTCTTTTTGCCGTACTCTATACAAATAGATTGAAACCCAGGATTATAATATTTTTATTAAATATTCATAATATGTATATTATATTTATCTCTAGATAATGATCACCTATAACTAATATTCGTATATCAGCCATTAGCATGGCGTACAGCTTAAACACGCCGCGGGAACGAGAGAATCAGAGCATCAATAGAATGTTGAGGAATATTCCACCACACACGCTGTAAAATATCATGAAATTCATCCCAGGCCACAAGTGACCGACCAGTATATCGGATATCAGGTCGCAATTTAAAAACTTCACGTTTTAAGAAGCCCCAGCATGGCTCAATTGGGCTTAGGTCAGGTGAGCGGGGAGGCCACTCTATGGTATAGATACCATATACCATAAGAAACTCCTTTGTTGACTTAGATTTATGGATTTTTGTATTTTCTTGTTGGAATATCATATCTAGTGTATAGTGATGTAAAAAACCAGATTCAAGGGCATCTTGGTATAACTTTAAGCTATAACCTCCATGTGGAGCTTCCGGATCATGCTCTACCAATTCAAATAGATATCTAGACCATTTAGATAGAATCCTTCCTATTATTTGTGAGATTTATAAGATCTTGTTAATCTACCTCAGAGGAAAAGGCGGAAAACCTATTGTGTAGTTAAATTTAAGCAGTGTTGTACAGAGCACTTATTAGAAAATTATAAGCAGTAAGGATTATCGAATCCTCGCCACTTATTAAGGATACATAGTAAATGGACATCTTTCGCCTGATCACGTTCTGCTTTTTGTTTTGTTAAGTATGTCTCTAACTGGTGGGCATTCTTCCAGGTGTTGAAGAAACTCAAAAACCCAAGACCCCAACTGGTGTAATATTAAGGCGGAATGATAGATTTCAGCTATCGCTGGGTACAGCAAGTAGTCACCACCAACTGCCCACCTGGGCAGATCTTAAATACACCCATTCTGGCCGTCGCGTAGCCCCAAACCCATTTTACAAAACGAACCCCACCAGTAGCACCTAAAATACCGTTCTGTCAGGCGGTCAAGATACAAGAATAACACCGCATCCCGAGTAGTAAAAAAGGGCTAATATACGAAGAGGGTTAGGTCACCGGTCGCCTGTAGACACTAGTACTGACTGACTCGGAGTACTTACATCAATATAAGTATGTGAACATGGCTGCCTAAGAGAATATGGACACACCTAGGCGTATGCATGTGCACTGGCAGGTAGTATGGATATCGTATAGGCGCTACTACAATACCGCACGCACGACGTACCTACACATTGATGTGAGGACTTGTAAAATGATTGACCTGGATAATTGCGGCGATAAACTTTGGAATGCATTCATTGATGGTTTCAGCTTTAAGGAAATCTAACTAATCTTCCCCCTCCAGTCTCTAATTGGCCTTACTGATGGGGATGCTCCAGAGACCAATTTGCTGTTCGAATACATACACCCTGAAATTGAGAGCGCGATTAATCGCAAATGAGAAACGGACTGTGAAATTTATCTCGTAGACCAGCCGATTGTTGGCATCCAGTTGGCAAGGAGCCTGGCTCAAATCCGAAAAGGCCAGACTAAAAGGAATGTTCCCATCGATTGATAAATCTGTCAAAGATCAGTTATTGCCGTCTTCTGGATCCCCAGAAATACTCGATTGCTCTTACCAGTCTGTTTACCAGGGCCATGGAAGGACTCATAAAGTTCTCTGCAAGAATAGATAGGAATCACCATCTCCTTGGGATTGCCGTCGTAGTACAAGGCAGAAAACTCATGAGAAAGGACTTCTCCGAATTGAAATTCAGCTCCCTACATGATATGACATCGGTTAGCAGTTCCTTTAAATGATACTTGAATAGGTGATACATACCTTACGGATCACCCATTTAACTGTGTTATCAGCCTGAGGGCCCCCCCCCCCCGAATGTTTGCAACTCCGAATCCGTAATGACGGGGACTTCTGAACTGCAGTGGAGCCATCTCTCGTTGAGCAGCGTGAGCCCGTTTCACGGCTTGTGCCGCCCCGTCACAAACTGCCCGGATGCTTCACTAGCTTTAGCATGTTGTGTTGTCTTCAAATGAGGATTGGATTACTAACGGATCCTTTGGAACTATCACTGATCGTTTCTCAGGCAGCTCAAGAAGACGACGAAGGTTGGCTTAAGTGTAGGGAGACAGCACAAGTCCGCCTACAAGGACAATTTTCTAGGACAATCATGTCAGTTTTCATGCTGAGGCTGGTTATAGGGGAAAGATAACTCACGTTGATCATCGATCCTGGCTTTTTGCTCGCGGCTTCTTTGATCTGTGACTTGATCAACGTGGCAATTTTTCTGACAACCGGGTCAAAAAGGGATTGGACATCTTGCCTTTTCAGGGTAAAGATGTCACCTTCAGGGTCAAAATTGCAGGTCGCCCGACCCCTTCGCAAAGGGAGGGGAAGGTGAAACAGCCCGTGAGCGAAGTGAGAGCCGAATGACATTTTGACCTTTTTGAACTCCATCATGAAAGGGCTTCTTGGGGCAATAAGGTGGTTCAGGCCTTCAAATGCAGATGTTGAGAGTTGCTGTTTCATGAGGTCAAAAAGGCGGCAGTCAATAGCGGCACCGCCACATTTGGCGCCTAAATGAAGTCAGTGTAAGGCCCAAGCCAAAAAGAATAGATTCCTTGCCTTGGATTGATTGAATCATTGACAGGTCAAATTCGGCATAATGATCGACATTGTAGGTTGCGATATCCTAAAAGAAAAAAAAGAAGTAAGCACAGTTCATAATTGTGAGCCTCAGATAAAGTGTAGTCTTGATTCTTGAATGACTAGGCTTACCACTGTTCCACCTCCACAGTCGCAAACCAGAATTGTATCTCCACGGTTGAGTGTGCCCTTGAGCATATGATGGACGCTCTCCGCAGCTGCCTCCGGCTCGGACATCGAACTCAGCTCATCCTGCGGTCTTCTGAATTTCCATGCCTGATTCACGGCCGCTTCAATCAACCCCTTGGCTTGTCTGGACCAGGATGCGGGAAAGGTGAATTGAAGATGGATGAGCAGTGAATTGATTTCTGGTTTCAGATCTCTTCCCACATAGTTCAACACATGATGCAGGTAATCCGAAATGACATCTGTCGGTTGCTTATCGCCAGCACGATAGAGGGATCGGTAAGGAGAACCGGAGGAGGCCGCTTCGCTAAGAATTTCGTTGTGAAATTGGGACCTTTCCGCTGGCGTACAAGCAAAAGCTTAGTCCAGGCGTATACGCTCATGTTGGGTTCTATACCAAATCCCCAGGGAGAAGAGGACATGGGAAAATTGCGATTGTTCGCGGAGTATGCAATCATTGAGGGAACCTTGAGCGCTCCGTCATCTCCTGGCCATGTGATGAAGCGTTTTTTTCCTTTCCATCCGAACATATGATGATGCAGACTCCTAGATGACTCATGGTTAGCGATTTTCCCCTTCTACAACGCAAATTTCTAGAACAATACCAGTGCTTGTTGTCCCATAGTCTAGACCAATGATAATACTATCAGCATGATTGAACGGAACTAGAGATGAGGACTGCTGTTCAAAGCTGTTCATGGTGTTGAGACTTCTTCTTGGTTCCATAAAACCCAACTGGATGCTGTCGTTCTATCAAACGGGCAGCGGAAAAGACTCTCTTTAAAATCGCCGCCGTCGCAGTTGCATAGCTTAATTCTGTGGGTCTGGATTTTCTTTCAATTGAATCACCAGTTTAGGATTTGGTGAGACAACTAGTCTCGCAATTTGGGTTCTAAGTCATTCTGGTAATAATAACTCAGCCAAAATTTATGACTCTAAACTCAAGCTCCAGCGGAGTTCCGGTTGGTTATATTACTAGTACATTTTTATCTACTCAGCAAATGGTCTGCAGATTCTTAGTAGGAAGAATTCATTGATTTTTTTTCTTTTGAAATTTTGAGGACTAGCTGAGCCCGGTATCACTGGATGAAGCTGTCTTCAACGAGGCTAATTTGGCTGTTTGAGGTTCCCCTTCGGCGTAATGGACAGATTAGGCTACACATCTGAATCAACTTATGAATGAATTATTGCGCAGCCACACCAAGTGTACAGCCATCAGTCCTTTTCGAAATCGGGCGAAATTGGGCCAACACACGCAGACAGATCCTTACCAAACACGGCAGCCCGTGTCTTATCTTTTCGTCATGTGGATCCTCCTTGCCCTTTTCGACTTGAATTTCTATAACTCTGGCTCCAATGGATTTTTCTTTGAAAACTCAGCTTAAGTTTGTCCGTAATAAGAGATGGGGATTCGATCAGATGAATGCTAGTTTACGTAGAGGGAAGGAATCTCTGCAAAAATCTTGACATCAAATCAACTTCCCATGCATACATCATCAGACACCTGGAGGAATGGACCATTTGAAAGAACCCCCCTGTTCCACATGACGTGCACACCTTCCTTCAAAATTTGGAACTTTGAAACAAAGGAATTAGTATTCCCTCCCTGCCAGTTACCAATGTGCCGTTTTTTTCCTTTTCCTTTCCCTTTCTTCCTCTAACTCTACAAGCCATGAAGAATCTGAGTCAAAGAAACGGGAAGAAAGAACAGGAATGATAGTTCCCTTCGTTTTGAAGAGCTCTTATTTTGACTCATAAATACAAATTTGAATCAAAGACACCGCACGAAAGAACAGGGATGATAGTTCTCTTCGTTTCGAAGAGTTTCTTTTGACTCATAATTCCCCTCATATATAGCAGAAGTGGTCACTTCTCGGTCAGTAACGGGATATTATTCATGGTTTTTCTTCAAGATTTCTGAACTTCAACTTTGCTGCCGGATTTCGTCATGGACCCAAAAATAGAGGAAGAGCGCCGAGCTAGGCTGGAGCGCCTAGCTAAGCAAGAAAGAGACAAGGATTTTTATGAACAGTATATTTCAACATGTCCTCCAGCTGCGGTAAGTTCTCCATATTGAACACTGAGATATTTTCATTCTCACTAATTTCTCAACGCTAGGTACCTGCTAGCGAGTACTTTTGAAGAGAAGCAGCTGAAGAGCCAGATGAGCATTTAAAAAACCCCCACCAATCACCGCGCTTGGGATAGCGCTAGATCGTATCGAAGAGCTCGAGAAGAAAATCGAATCATCCACTACTACTGTTCATAACATGTGGAGATCCAAACAGTACATGCAAGGAGGATACGATGGATGGCCTGAAATCGCCTTGAATAAATGGGACAGGTGATCCCGGTTGAAGTACACTCTATTCAGAACTGGGGGTTCAATTATGGCTTTCAATCAAAGAGAAGTACATACGAGCATCTATCAAAGGAAGCTAAAAAGGAGATCATTTCTAGCTTGGAAGGATGGATTGTTCAAGACGACTTCGACAAAACGGCTTCACAATTCCCGCCCGCCATTCGCTACAGAATTCTACCCCTTTTCGCCTCGATGCGCATTCTCAAAGACGGTCTCCGAATATTCTTTGAGAATCCGTTTTGGTATTTGCAAACTGATGGAGAATATGAAAATGACAACGATGAAACTAAGGTTGAGTCCGCCTTTGGAGCTCAGATCAATACCCTGTACCAACAATTTACCATAGGTAATTTCCTCAGTCCATACTTTTTGTGGCAGAAAAGACATTCTGACATATTACTTTTTCTAGTGGATGAACAACTCGCCAATCATTGGCGGGCACAAACGTCACGTCTTGCAAATGCCCGAGACTCTGGCAGCCTGTGGCCACCCCGAGATCCTGAGCTCGGGCTTGCAAACAAAGCTCTCCAAGAGGAAAAGGCCAAAAAGTTTGCCGCAGCCATGCTTAAAGACAAGACCTTCCGATATCTGCTTAGGGAGCTCAGGGACGATGAAGATGCGGACGAGATGCAGGGCAGCCTCGGCCTGACCTATATTTGTTTGGCTGGGCTTGTAAGAGGTATTGCTACAGGACAGCCAGCGCTGAGTTGGAAACTCTTGGATGAAATTCCAAAGACCTACAATCGGAGTTCTGAAAAGGTTGAAGTGGCCCATCTCCATGGATTGCTTTCACGCTCATCAAGACTGAATGAACATGAGATACTCGCAATCGTTTCACCCCTCTTCATTCGAACTGGATCATTCCATGACCGTATAAGGTATGACAGAACGGTCATCCCAGCTGAGGTTCTTTTGGAAGATCGTTTTGGCAGAATGGACCGTGTTCATTCTTCGGATGAGGATGCATTCCCAAGAAAAAGGAGAAAGAAGACGAAAAAGACAAAGTCTGACAAGGATGTATGGATCGAGTAAGAGAAGACAGATGGGGGCGCAAATCGAGCATGAGAGCAGTTGGCAAGTCTTGATGTTTTCGGTACTTGATTTTTTGGTTTTTCTTTTTTTTTGGCTGCGTTCCTCCCAGATTGTTGAATGTATTTTTGCACTGTTCCCTTGTTTGATAATGTGGACTCATAACAGACACTTCTTTTGTTCATTTATTTTTGATGCGTTCCGAGGTTGCTTCATGTTACTTCCAATGTCATTACCTACCAGTTGGCATAAGCTTTCAATATTAGTAGAAGCATCACATGTTCTCTTCCACACCATAGAGAGTTCAAACGCGGTACTACTTGAAGATATTGAAATTCGTCCCATGTCGGAGGAAATTGATCGAGACCTTTTTTCTTTGAAGGGACTGGAAATATGTCCTACTGTCGAGGTACGTAGATAATAATGTAGTGTTCACTGCCCACGACCCAGCCCCCTCAGGCTGTTGTAGCCTTGCTGATGCCTTAACGTCGTCTTGCCTGGACTCTCAGGCCTACTAGCCAATGTCAGCCAAAATAACGTGATAAACTAGGCCCAATTGGGACGATTTTAACACGATTAAATCCTGGCTTCTGATTGGCTGAACCAGAATGGATCACATGATTAACCACGTGATCTACGGTCGCAGCAGACGCTTATTCGTGTAAATTAGTGTTATGAGAGAATCAGACCTGTTGATACGTCCCATTGCGACCGCCTACTGCATTAGACCTTGTAGTCTGACAGCCAACGTATTATTAACGTATCTCCCAAGCGAGCCGCCACCCCAAGCGAGCCGCCACCTGACCGCGTTCGCGTTAGTCGCACCCTTCCATCTTCAACCACCCACCATGCCACCAATACGTTCTAAAACCTCTCGAAATTTAGCCGAACAAGAGGGAAGGATTCTACTTGCTATTGAGGCTATAAAGAAACAAGATATCACAGCAGTTACCACAGCAGCACGTATATTTGATATACCTCGCTCTACGCTACGCGATAGGCTTAAATGGCCACCAGAACCGCCTTGAAACTCGCGCAAATAATCATAAATTAAGCGAAAATGAATAGAATTCGCTTTTTCAATGGGTGATCTCTATGGATATACGTGGAGCTGCCCCCCGCCCGGCTACTGTCCAAGAAATGGCCAATATTCTACTCACAGCACGTGGCCAGATCCCCTCTCAAACTGTTGGCAAGAATTGGGTTACAAACTTCGTTGAACGACATTCAGAGCTTACCACACGGTTCTCTCGACGATATAATTACGAGCGTGCAAAGATGGAGGATCTAAAGATAGTTCAAGAGTGGTTTAATCTGGTTTTTAAGACTATCCAAGAGAATGGTATTCTATCAGAGGATATTTATAACTTTGATGAGACTGGATTTGCAATGAGGCTTACAGGAACTGCTCAAGTTATTACTCGCTCTGAATTCTACGGTCGGCGAGCACTTTTACAGCCTGAAAGTCGTGAATGGGTAATAGCTATTGAAACTATTAGTGGATCTGGATAAGTCCTTCCACCAGTTATTATTTTCAAAGGCAAAGTTCTTATTCAGGGCTGGTTTAAGAACCTTCTACTTGATTGGCGATTTGAAACTAGTCCAAATGGATGGACAACCGATGAAATTGGGCTTCGATAGCTTCAAAAGCACTTTATTCCAGCAACTACTGAACGTACACTTAGAAAATATCGACTTTTGATTCTTGATGGTTATGGGAGTTATTTAACTCCCCAGTTTGACCAGATTTGCAAAGAGAATAATATTATTCCAATTTACATGCTAGCTCATTCTTCACATCTTCATCAGTCACTTAATGTTGGATGTTTTTCACCTCTTAAGCGGGCCTATGGTCGGCTTATTGAGAATCAAATACGGCTTGGTTTTAACCATATCGATAAATTTGATTTTCTTGAAGCCTACCCAATCGCTCGTAAAAAGGCTTTTCAAACCCAGACTATTCAAAATAGCTTTACAGCAGCTGGTTTGGTCCCATTTAACCCAGACCAAGTGCTTTCTAAGCTAAATATTCTTCTTCGAACACCTACACCCCTAGGGAGCCGCCCTACTAGTCGATCAAGCCAATTTTCACCCAAGACACCCCAGAACCTGATTCAACTTCAACGGCAAGCTAGTTCAATCAAAGCTCTTCTAAAACAACATTCAAAGGGCCCTCCAAATCCACTCAAACAGCAAATCGATCAAGTTCTTAAGGCCTGTGAGATTCAGATGCATTCAACAGCTTTATTAGAGGTTGAAACACGTAAATTACGTGCCGCCCATGAGAAGCAGAAGCAGAAGCGCCAACTGTCTACTAGGCAGATACCTAATGAGGGTGGAATGACAGTTCAAGAGGGCCAGGAAGCTATACAGGTGATTGAAACACCTATTGCCCCTCCCGTACCGCGGTCTAGGGCGCCTGTTTTACCCCCCCTCAGCCAGCTAGGAGAAAGCTTTCGACATGTCGAAAGTGTGAAAACGAAGGACATAGATCAGATCATTGTCATATTTAGATATAAATTTTAATAAATTGGTGTTATTGTTCTAATAATTATAATTAAAACTGTAGGGTAGGCAGTAGCCGGACCGCTCGCTTGGGAAATACGTTATTTTGTGGCCTAATTAAGGTGTCAAGAGCATATTATCTGCACCTGCACACCTTGGACAGTTGGCATCATCATCAACCTCGCAAAATTTGACCCTTGCTTTCCAAAGTAAGTTATGCATCCTATTGAGAACGGGGTTTTCCTGCAACCTGAAATTCATCCGAGTCTGAGAAGCTGAGTCTTTGGAAAATTTCAGGTCCTAGGAGCCTGAGCCTTTTCCAGAGCTCAAGGTCAGACTTACATGAATTTTGGTTTTCAAGCTCGGGTCTCTCATGCTCTATCTTTTAGCCCGATTTCGGCGCTTACCAACGAAACTAAAAATCCATAATTCCATCATTACTGTGACGAGGCGGTCACATTTTCTGTTTTGATCTCATTTCTGTATGGGAGAGTCCACGGCTGATGATGGAAATCGACATTCCCCTTAGTGCATGAATACTATTTTTTCCACAATTCAAGACCACCATTTGGAATCATCATTTTCATGATACTACTTATCAAGGGGCCAACACTCCAGAGAAGTAGTGGTCGCCAACGGCAACTACTATATACTAAAAGCCTCCACTGTTTACTGTTTACTAGTGGGGCTAGACAACATTGGAATCTAGATGTCCATCCATACCAGCCAGGGTACAAGAATGTGAGTTCATCAATGGCACCTGGTCAGTGCTAAAGTAAGTACATACCTCCCGGCACTAACCATACCTAGTCCTATGTATGTAGTGTGTAGTAACCAACTATTGTAGCTACCATTAGTCTCGAATTTCCGAGTCTGCGACCCGAATTTCCAATTCAACACCTGGCTATGCTGCCTTTCTCAAGGCCTTCACTTGTAGAGCATACCATGTATCATGATATTCGGCAATGAGTCCGCGCCTCTGAATGGACAAGCAATACAATTTGAACAGACCCAGTTTCCAAGCTTTCTACCACTACAGTACTAGGCCGCATATCTCAAGTCCCATTCGAGTTATGTGCGCATGCTCATGTAAACATGCAATTTGAAGACTTCAAAAGTATCTTCTTCTCAAGTGCTATTCATATATAATGTTCCCAATCTCAGTGAACTACCATGACCATCCATTCTCTTCAGCCATGACTAAGAAGACCCATGTTACATATGGGCTTTATTATCATGTTTTTGGGCAATGGTTACCTTGTAGCGTGCCTGGCATCTGAAATTTCAAACCGCATACCCCTAGTATAACATTTGAATGAGGTGAATCAAATATGTACACAACATTTTTGAACTCCTACTACCAAGTTTCATTCTAAAACCACACCTTCCAAGGTTTAAACCTTTCATGTTGCCTATGTCGCTATATAATCTGGATCAGAAATATTGAGACGTGGCAAAAGAGGCATTGATGGGGCTTTATCCTACCATGCACCCATTGCTCATCGCAGCCTTGTCAATCATCTTTCTCTCTGGTGTAGAATGTGCCGCAAATTCTACAAAAGACCGGCCCAAACCAAAATACACATATGAGGAGCTATGGGACCTTGAAACGGGGTTCTGGGATGCGTTTCTTTATCCTGCCAATAAGAAGCAGACCGAAGAGAATCAGTCCACTATCTTTTCAAGTGATGTGAGATATCCACCAGCTTTTCACTTGCCATGGTTCTTTTATTCAATGATTTCCTAATGGATCCCCTGTGCCAAATGATAGGTCCAAGGCCGTGTTGATATTACACGCACATTTGATGGAGACGAGCTCAACCGAGAATATATTTTTGGTCTTTTCGCAGATCCAGACCACGTCAGTCTCGTCGGTGTTCCGATCAGCTACAGCATCACTCAATTCTCGGCGAATGATAATATCGCCGCTGCAACAACAGTCGTTACCTTTAACGCCACGACATTCGGAGTTCTGGTTCCTGTGACCATAGACACGTGGATAGAGTTCGATGAGCATGAAAAGATCACACAATACGATGCTGTGTTCCGTTGGTTCGAATATCTCCTGGACTTTTTGGTTGAAGGAACAGCGACTAAGATCAACGCGACGTCTTCGGATCAAGCGATTGCTTATATTTCAGACACTCTGGCCAAGACTATTTGCAACACCCACGATCAATACTGTACTGGGTCGAACAAGCAGTATGCAGATAACAGTACCTGCTATGACTTCCTGACCAAATCTATTCGTTTCGGTAAAAGTTATGAGCTGGGTCGCAATACGCTTCTTTGCCGTGAGGTACATGAACATATGGTACAATATCGACCGGATGTGCATTGCTCACATATCGGTCCCAGTGGTGGTGGATACTGCGTGGATGATATGAGTTACTCGCAAACCGTTCTGCAAAAGTATTTTAATGATTCATGGATTCCGTTTGGGTACGGTGAAGACCAGAACGTGTGGCTTCAGAGCTAATCCATACTGTGATTGTTTTTCGACGTTCGAATGTTTCTATTCAATTTCTCTGAGGTCAACTTGGCCCGAATATTAACGCAACATTGAACATGATATGTAACATAAACTCAGTTCCAACATTTGAAGGTTCAAATGTTCAACCTCCAGGGCTTCCAACGTTGGAAATTGCTTGGACATTGAATTTTTTTTTCGAGACTGCCAGTGCATAGGCGTCCACCTACCTAGTATCATGATGTAAGGCTTCAACTTGATGGAGTTTGAAGTTCATAAATTCACGACCATGTTCAAGTTCAAGTTGGTCCCGAGTTGGATGGATGTATATAATCAAGTGCTTGTATTATCATGATGACCGTACCCACTACCTAGTAACACTGGCACTCTGTATGCAGTAGCACCAATTTTGCACATGCTCAGGTGTTGAACCTGTGGACTCGGAAAAACCACTCAACTATGGAGCGTAATCTTGATTCTTAAAAATCAAAAAATCTTTCTTGTAGTAGGAGTAATTTATCCTTAATCCAATGGTTGAATTCCAGGTTTTCAATGTTGGTGTAGTACTTGATGCAAAAAGATGGATGAAGAAACATCAACTAGCGGGGATAGCTCAGTTGGGAGAGCGCCAGACTGAAGTCAACTTCAATCATATAATCTGGAGGTCGTGTGTTCAATCCACACTCACCGCATTTCTTTTTGGAATTTCTTTTTTTTTTTCATTTTTGTTTGCTACATATACGGTCACTCAAATGTTCATTTCAAAGATTTATTGCATGTGTGAACTTTACATGTACAGAGCCCCGGAGTATGCTATACTTTTTAGTAGAGACTCATGCTTCCCTGGCCCGGGCTTCGACACCTGGATTTTACTACAACGTCATGCTCAACTCCGAGTTGAAAAAGAACTTGAACCCAATACTAGTTAAACTTTAACACTTATGTTTCATCATTCATAGACATGTGATGTTACTAGTACTCAAGTGCTGTTCTAACCTCATGTGTGAAGGTTGTTGCAGTATACTCCCTACCTGATCTTGACTACCATACTAGTACTTTCCAAGGTCTACAGCTCAAGTCATTAGTAGTACAACCTATTGCTACTACTAGTGCCGTGACAGAATCTCTACTATTCGCCCACACAAACATTTCAAGGTTAAGTACAGCTTTAACTGAACTTGAAGTTGACATCTCCACTGTCAGTGCCAGTTGGCGGTACTGCTCAGGTGAATTAAAGGGTTCGATGTTCAACTTGAAGTTGGATCATCCATGATCCACCTAGGCACCGTCTCCACGGATAATGTATATAAAAGCTAGAGCACTTGAGTACAACTCCATCCGAGTATGTGGGCTCCTTCACCTTCCGAACAATCCCTTCAAATGTTAAATTCCCAGACTGAAAAAGTGAGTCTGCCAATGGTGATAAGTGATGTGGATGTCGCCACAATATCGAATGAATATCACCAAGCGCTTCTTCTGACCTGCTGATATTTTTTCGATGATCAGCGGGGCTGGCATTGGCGCGGCAGAGTTTTCCAAGTCCTGACGAATCGCTGCGATCACCCAAGATTCTGGAAATTGGAAGCTTTGAATCTTACTACTGAAAAAATGGGATTGTCTTAAGCAGAAACAAGCATTTAAGATTCAACAACATGGAGACTCTATCACCGGTTATCTCCGTTACAACTTGAAGGTCAAGGCATTTTACAGTTTACTGAAAATTGGACCTTTTGCTCCTTGTTAAGGAGTTGAATCGCGCGTTTGACTTTCCCCCCGAAAAATCATATCGGTAGGGCATCCCGAGGCCCACTGAACTAACCTGAAAGAAGACAAATGTCCCGGCTCCTGAATGCATATTCACCTATGGCATCGCAGCAGTTGGGAATTGTGCACTCTTATTGAGTCCACTATTCTGAGGTTGTCTCCCATTCGTCAAATTATGTCGATCATCTTGAATGTGCACCCAAAAACGTGAAAATTCTCTTGTGCAAGCTGCGAAGAATGTTCTCCATTTTGCACGCTAAATACTCTCATTGAGACTTTCCAAGTTTCATGTCTGGCCCACGGTAGGACTCGCACTTTCTCCTTTCTAAATCGATCCTGGATCCAGTCAGGTAAAAAGACCACGGGCGCATCATCTTACCTAGTATCTTCTCTGTGCACATGAAATGATCAACCTCTGTCATTATGACAGTGGAGCAATATTATGTAGACTGTGTTTTCAGCCGCGCCTGATATTCTACGGCTGATAGAATCATGGAGAACACCCGTTCAGCAAAATCTTCCGAATGAAATTTCCGAAATTCAAGCATTTTACTGAGCTAGTGGCTGAGATTAGTTTTGTTTACCCCACTATTAAAGGGGCCGCGGAGGCAAACCAAGTGGGAATAGGTTCTGTAGTCGAATCTTAGTGATCAATAGAACAGGAAATCGTGTCAATCTTCCCGCGTTAAAATCCTTTTCGAGGGGTCTAGCTTTGCCCTGAATATGGAAAACATGTGGGACTGACCAAAAAGCTAGCTTCTGAGCCTTCAGGGGTGGATTTTATAAAGCATAGACCAAGAAAGTTCAGGTATCAGAAATATCTGTTAAAAGGCCACTGGTGCCAATTCCCGGAACAAGGTGCCCCAATGCTACCAACTGGGTCAATTTTCTGGCTTAGACGTGCAAGCAGTGTTGGTCGCCATGTCAAGTCTAATGTCAAGTTTGGTTGTGCAATGGCTGTTACGAAATGAGTCGTCGTCTCATGAAAATCACGCTATTCAACCTCGAAAATATGACACTGCTCAATCTGTCGCGGCCAATTCGGCTAACTCGGCAGCGGGCTCTTGGATCATTGATCCATTGCCTGCCCTTCAACGGCGTGGTCTAATCGCGATCGGTGCTTTAGCATTCATTTCACTCATTTCAACGTTCTCTTTGTTATGTTTCTTCACCTACCGTTTCATCTTCTGGAAAAAGTATTATAAGCGATACATCGGATATAACCAATATGTCGTCTTGATGTACAATCTGGCTCTGGCCGACTTCATTCAAGGCCTTGGATTCATCGTTAGTATCCGATGGATCAGTCAGAATTCTATTCATGCAGAAGACCCCGCATGCTTCCTTCAAGGAATCTGGCTGCAGATCGGAGATCCGATGAGTGGTATGTTTGTGCTAGCTATTGCCTTGCACACATTTATGCATGTTAGCTTGGGTCGCCAAATGAGTCACCGGGTGTTTGTTTCGATCGTTGTCGGGCTCTGGGTTTTTGGCGTGGTCCTTGTTATCATTCCCATTGCGATTTATGGGCAACACGTCTGGATGCCGTCCGTGGCATGGGTATGTCATTTCCGTCTTTGCACCTAGGCTGCCAGTCACTAACATGTTTATTTTCATTTGATAGTGTTGGATGACCACACAGCACCCTACCCTTCGCCTCTTCACTCATTACATTTGGATCTTCGCCGCCCAATTCTTCAACGTTGTCCTCTACGCCATCATGTTCGTTCAGCTGCGACGCAAAATATCACAGTCGAAGATTCTGGGAGCCAGTTACACAGAGAGCCTCAAGCGTCTCAATCGAGTCGTCTCTTATATGGTGCTATACCCGATTGTATACATCTTATTGACACTCCCTTTATCCGCTGGTCGAATGGCCTCAGTGAGCGGAACATCACCAAGTGTCACATACTTTTGTGTCGCTGGTGCCATGATGACTCTTTCCGGCTTCTGTGACGTGCTCCAATATACTTTGACACGCAAGAGTATTGTACTGGAGTCAGAGACTCGCTCGAAGGACGTCTCTCGCGATAAATCAAAACAAGGCTATGGCAATATTTATTCCAACAAATCGGAGGACAAGGGTCATTTTACCACTGTCTGTGCTGCCCAGAAAGGGAATAGTTCCACCGAAGCGATCGTTTATGGGGAAGAGGTTGAACTCACCACTGTGGATCAAGTATTCCAACACACAACGATCACGGTCACACATGAGCCTGCATTTTACCCAGGCTAGTCAAATTTCGCCATCTCTTTAGATTTTTTCTATACGTGAGAGCCTTCCATTTATAAAAGGCAACTCTTTTACCATGTCTTCTTCATGTCTATAACATCTTTAATCCTGACGATACCCTATTTCTTTCTATTTTTTTCACACTTTCAGCTACGTTTTCTCTTCTACTGATACGAACAATCTATTTTCCTCCATTTTTTGCCTTTCTGCGGAGAGCTCTCAATGTTATCCATGTTAAAAATTATCAAAGAATTCAACTATACGATGTTCTGTATCAGATTGATTCATCGAGGCATATTTTGAGTCGGAGCATGTAGAACATCATGATGCGAGCGAGGAGTTCAAACAAGGCTTCTCCACTGTGGAGATCCCAATCTTGCGAATGTACATTAGTGGCTCCAAACCGTACGCATTTTTGTCTTTAACTGAAACAACAGTAATCTGCCCAAACTTCAAGCTATGTACCCTTTATGCCCAAGCTGGAATCGGATTTGCCATCCCGAAGAGATGTTTGGGATCCCAAAGAGCTTTGAGTAAACGCAGCCTCGGCAAATTAGCAGCCGACCACCAAGCAGCAGGGCCCTCATCTCCATAGGCATAGTTCACATAGATATGCGGGCTCGAGAATCCACTAGTAGCTTGCAGCTTTGAACGCATAGAGAGGGTGAGATTGGCACTCGCATCCTCCAGTTCTGGGCTGAGGAAGACATTCAAATGGAGCCAGAACGCCCTAATATCTCGCCATGGATATGAAGTGCTACAGGAGGATACTTGGAGCGCGCGACTGTTGCTGTATCGCTGGAAAACTGACTGGCCAATATAAGTTGTAGGATTTGCCTGACTGAATTCAACCAAGTCGGCAAAAACAGCTTGAAGAGTCGGGATGTCCGTCTCGCCGATTCCAAGAGTGCCACCGCTGAGAGGTGCACCGGTTGTGCACTCGCCATTTTCTAATCCTTGATACAGTTCTGGTGCCGTCAAAACAGAAATTGAGCTAGTAAGAGGACTCAAAGCCTCTACAGCATCGAGGTATGGCTGCGCCTCTGATTGTGGCCCAAAGTAATAATAGTTCAATAGAATCTCAGAGGTTTGGCTGGTTTGATTGTATGAGAGACCCAATGTAATAGCCAGTTCATCGGGAAGATCCTCATCAAATGATTTGTAAAGCTCAAACACTGAGCTATTATCTGCGCCAGCAAAGATGAAGCTGCCTTGGACCGTGTTGCCATCGTTGATCTGGTTCTGCAGCTCAAATGTTGCTGACAAGATGATCCCAAAATTCGCGCCGGCGCCACGAGTCGCCCAGAAAAGCCATGGGTGAGACGTTGAAGAGGCAGTCACCAGGTTTCCAGCTGCTGTGACCAAGCGAACGGATTTGAGTGAGTCAACACCCAGGCCTAGAACCCCTGTCCCGATTCCAATACCACCACCCAGTGTCGCTCCAATCATACCCACGCATTCTTCGTTTCCATGTGCTAGGTTGCGTAAGGCAAGAGTCAGCGCAAAAAACCACAAAGGATCGTCATTATCCAAGATACTCACGAACTGCCAGGCCAGCATCATACAGCGGCTGAATCAAATCTCCAATCAAGACTCCAGCCCCAACCGTAAGTTCATTCCTTCCCACGTCGATAGAGACGGTATTGAAACTGGAAAGATTAATGTCGATTCCAGATATATTAGCATACCCTATTCCAGCTCCATGACCTCCATTTGTTGCCAAAAACGAGATCCCATTTGCACTTGCGATCTTCACGATTTCCTGCACGTCGTTCTCTGTAGCGGGTTTGATCGCCCCAATCCATGTGGGTGCATCCCAGCTCGTCCATCGTGCAGTGACAACGCTGGAGAAGTTTGAATCAGTCGAAGAGGCGATTTCAACGCCCGGGGAAAGATATGGACCGAATAAGTTCTCGATGCTGATATTTTGAGTTGGGTACGGATAGCGTGCTGCGCTAGCAGATATTATGAGGCACGCGGCCACTGTTGTTTCCAGTAGTCTATACGTCATTTAGATATTTCGTCTGAATTAGAATCTCGTACGTAGAATGGATTAATGCTGAGGTCGGAATGAGTTGAAAATTAGATTCGTGACTTATGAACCTGCGATGCATAACCATCATCTCTTCTTCTCGTTAAGCGACCTTGATCTTACGTGCCAAATATGCTTTCCAAGAGAGTACCTCGCACTCGGAGTTGATGTGTATTTATCCTCCGGATTATTGAGAATATTCTAAGCTCATTGCAGATTTTGGTATTGTCCTTAGAGAAAAACTTGAAGGTTGCATTCGGGTTAACTTCGAAACTTTTACAACTCCGATGAGCCGGATGAAGCACCATGAAGCTTATATTGGGGGTCATTTTTAGCTAGAAGGCCGATTTCGGTCATTCCAGAGGAAGCTTGGGGTCAAATCATGCTGTTTCCATAGGCCACTGACGGACCTCGAAATCATCAAATAATGTGTACTATTTTTTGCACGTAGAAGCTATAATGTTACCGTGCTAGGGCGAGGCTGGGATTCCTATTCTCGGATAATACCAATGATATTCTATTATATTCTGTTGAGCTGATGCTACCTACAGATTATTCTCGCGGTTTTAATGCAGAATTTAAGCCCGAGCAAGGAATGATTTGATCCTGAATGCCTGTAAAAATCGAAGGACATAGGCGGGTTGAAAAGCTTTGAAGTCAAACTTGGAATATAACCCCCCCCAAAAAAAAGAAACATTAAAAAGGATCAGAACTGTATGCACAGTCCAGACAGACTCCATACAAATGCTTGAAAAGCCAGCGGGTAAAAAAAAAGAAAATGACAAGAGTGGGATTTGAACCCACGCCTACAAACGTAGATCAGGAAACGGGATTACCGTAAGAGTCAAGGTGGACCTTAACCTGACGCCTTAGACCAACTCGGCCATCTTGCCAATTGATGGAAGGTAACTCAAATCTTGGCTATATGATAGACAAATTAAAGGAAAAGTGTGACAATCTCGATACCAATATGTATTTTATTTTCTCAATTTCCTATTTAGGACTGAACTCAGGCGGCGCTTTTTTGATCAGATTATGTCAAAGAGCACTTGAGATATCAAAGCCTACGGGCCCTTTTACAGCATGTAGTACTTGAGCCTGGGTATACGCTTATACGTAAACGGTCAACCTTGGAAGTTGGGTTGAGAAAAAGTAGGCAGAAGAACTTGAAATACTGTTCAATTAAAGAGACAGAATTTAATTCTATTGAATTGATATACAATCATGAATTTCCATGCAAAATCTGGAAGCGAAAATCCTATGGTCTACTGAAGAAATCCTATTGTTCTCGAAGTATCCACAAAAAAGTTGATCGCCATGGTCGCGATGTCCTGTATTTTGGAGTCGAATCGTTGACGGAGTTGTCGGACTGAGCAACTCCTTAGGTCCCAAAGTCCGCCCGACAAATTTATTGTGCGACGAGGATAAAATTTTGCAAATCGTTCAAATATTTAGCTTGTGGATCCACACAAGTCGGGCTATACAATCTCCGGGAATCTTTCACATGATGACTTGAACGTAGACTGGTCCCTGAATATAGGAGTTGATGTACTCCGAATCAGATCTCCAAGTCCGCGACATAGACAGGAAGATACGCACGGGCCATCCACATGTTGAGATAAACAAGAAGACAAACATAGCAAACCATTTCAACGCATCAAACAAACGAAACAAACAAACCAAACAGTCGTAATGGCATTTTCCAATGACGCGCTCTCACCAATTAACTGAGAAAGCACAGAACTTCAAGTTGAACCTTTTTGTCTAGTTTAATGATTTATGTAGTTGTGCTCTCTTGAAAGGTATTATGTATTCAAATCCTGCTACTTATCTGTGTTCCTTGATCTTTTTCTAAGTAGGCTTATCACATTATTGTTCAATCTCCTCAGAGTCACTAGGCGATTCCTTGGGTGCCCTCCGTTCCTTGTATAGATATTGCAGACAGAGAGCCAAGACAAGAACCCACGCAGCTCCCGAGAGTGAAGCAATAGCAACAAGAGCTTGTTTGTATGCGGGCGCATCTTCCGTGCGGAAAATTTGTGATCCGGAAATTCCGGACAGGTTGGCAGCCATGATGATGAACCTTCATATTGAGATTAGAATCGCTTCATAAAAGATCAACAGGGATTTAAGATTCCATTCTACTTACGCCATAGCAACGCTTCGTTGCTGCGGGGTTTTGCATTTTACCGAAAGCCAGCTAACGTTCAGGAAACTACCATGGTGGTTAGTCACATCGCCATGGACTCTTTCATTGTGTAAGCCAACGGAAAAACTTACTGAACACTTGCGTATGAAATTCCAGCCGCAGTGAGGGTGCCATATTTATGCCATTTGTCAGAATAGTCCGGGAGGGTGTTCAAACAAGAGTAGCCGATGGCATTCCATGTTATAGACAATAACACGAAAGGTCCACGTCGATTGAATTTGTCACTATTTGAGGTTGTGTCAGATAAGTCAAGCGTGAAGCTATGGGGCTCACAGCCCTGGAGGTATTGATTCAAAGCTTACCTGAGCAAAGACATGAGCAGAGCCCAGACAATTGCACACCAGATATAAACAGATGCCATGGCATTCGCTTTGATAGTGCCGAATCCAAAAGACTTAATCAACGTAGGCGCATATTGGCCAAAACCTTGCACCGCAGACATTGACACCAAAGTAATCAAGCCATGTTGCCAAAGAGTCAGGCTTCGTAGAGTCTGAGTAATATCCGACCTAGTGATCTGGATTTTGCCTTTGGCTTTCTTGGGGTCATCAATAAGAACACGATTCCGCAGAATCTCCGCTTCTCGGTCAGTGTAGTAGGACCAGCGACCACCAGTAATTTTTGAAAGCAGAGGCCGACCGTCACCGACGCGAGGTGGAAGGAGCAGTAAGAATAAAAGGCCTGCAAAAATGGAGATCAAGCCCTCAACTGCAAAATATCACGAGTGTTAGATCAGAATCATACAATTCATAGTTGCAGGAGTCATCTTACTAAGGAAAATCCATTGCCATCCTTTGAGTCCACATTTCCCGGATAGTTTGAGGATCCCTGAAGCCATCAAACTCGAAGTTGCAGAAGAGATCATTTGTCCAATATAGAAGTAGGTAAAGCGAGTGCTCGTTTCGTCGGTCTTGTACCATGTCGAGATGTAGTAGAGTGCGCCTAGAAAGATAATTTGTTAGTCTTGTGTATCGGGGGTAGAATCATTTGAAGTAGCAACCCACCTGGAATGAACCCAGATTCACACAAGCCCAGAAGAATGCGAGTAACCAGATACCCGGCATAGTTTGTAATGAAGGCTTGGAAGGTTGCGACCAGTCCCCAAGCGAATATTTGGATCGATAACCATCTTTGAGGTCCAATCTATATCAACAGAAGGAGGAAATCCTCCGATCAGCCTCATTTCCTTTGTTATATTCTTTCTTGAGTTTTGATCCAAATAAATTGAGCTCACCTTCTGGAGAAAAATATTTGAGGGCAGCTCAAGAATCACAATTCCGGCAGACAGCAATTGTGTTCCAACATTAATTTGATTCGTCGTGATACCAACGTCGGTAGTTATAGTTGTCGTTAAGACATTGGAGATATTGCCTCGATCAATTTGTAAAGCAAAGAAAGCAAGAGCTACCACAGGAAGGAGGGAGAAGTCGACCCTATCACAAAATCACGTTAGTGGAAATTCCAGATTGAAGAGACAGATGCGGCAGACATACTTCAGACGAGCTAACTTCTCTTCACTAGCGGTCCAATCCGCGACAAGCTCTGATTTAAAAACATCATCAATCGTGCCATCGGGCCTCGTAGTCCATTTTTCTATCGGACCAGCCTTCTCATTGACTGGTATATCCTTTTGTGAACTGACACTTAAATCGTGTCCAACCGCCATCTTGAGGAGAATTTCAAGAAACGCGGAGTACTTTTACAAAAAAAGCCTTGAATTTCGAGATTTCATTGCAAAAAGATAAAAATTAGCAAGCAGTACTTATACTGACTTGTACTATGATGCCATCGCAGTTTATCTTGACGTTATTTCCATTAACGGGTTAGACTGCCGACGCGCAAGTGTAGGCGCAAGCCCAGACCTCCAGGGCTTAAATTGGGCCCCACGAGTTTCGTGACCACTCGTACATATTAAGTACCAGTTGAATATGAATGGCGGTCAATGGTAGGAAAAGAATTACGCTGCTTGGCTGTGGCTTGACGCGACTCGGAATCGTCCCATCTTCGCTTCGGAATGCCCGTTTCCCCTATAGTTTCCGAATATTGAATCGCATCTACTGCCTGATACTCCCAGCCAGATTTATTCAGCACTGTGTTCATCCCGAGCCAACTCTATAGGGTGGCAGACATGGTGCTAGTGGTATGAACTCAGAATAGATTGTATATCAAAATTTGAAAGTCCGAGTCGTTATTTCAACAATATAATGGTAGGTAGCAATTGCTCAGCTTATGATTATTAGATTCAGGCATTTTAAAGTCTTCCACGTGGTCAATACCGAAGCTCAAGGTAGATACAAATAGAACATGAACTCATGCTCAAGTGCTGTGAACAGTCGTCAAGACTCGGAGCATTCGAAACCAAGACCCACATCCCACGGTATGCATAAATTTTGATTTCATAGAATCTTTCATATTACCTCTCCTTTGATCCAATTGAGGAGGTTTGAAACATTGAAGCGAGATGAAAACCCAAGGTTTATGTAACGGGGGGACATATGCACATATAGCAACATTCTGAACGGGATGGCGTGCTTATCAACAACGTGAACACAAGACGAAATTTGCCCCGCAAGAAAGTGGCGTGAAAGGATTTGGCGGTATTAGTCTACTCCCTACTAAATACGAAATCTCGACATTACACTTTAAATTTGACGCCTGTGATCCAATAACGTCCAAGTTTACCGATGTCGTGATTTTGAGGCGTATGTACTCAATCGACAGGGCTGCGTCCCCTGTTATATCGCCCATAATTGACTTCCACAATCAGGATAAGTGGAGCCTTACTTTTCAACGCCTGGCAAGATAATCTCGGCATGGAATTTGAATTGAAAAAAGACAAAATCATAGCACTGTTGGCCCACGTGTTCTTATAACTCGGATATTCCGAGCTTGAAACCTGAATGCAGACAGGAATGCATCACCCAATGAATTTTGCAAGCTGATTCCACTCCTTATCCTCTTTTAATGCTTTGAGGTCCTCCTCAGGCAAGCATATCATGATAGGGTAGGCACCATCCTCGGGTTCCTGAGTCCGGAATGAGCCTGGAATCGGCGCCGTATTCGGGTGGCGATAGAAGCGACATGGCCCCAACGGTCCCCAAGACCCCCCTGGGTCTCTCAAGCTTCGACATGTTGGTGAAACCAATGTCGGTGTTTGAATCATGGCTTCCAGTATACAGTAACTTTGCACGGGCCTCGGGGGATTTTCGTGAGATGAAAGTAGCGAAACTGCGAACAGCCCAGGGTGTGGCAGCTTCCATCAGATCTGTGCGTAGTATTTGCGCAAGCTGGGTAATATTTAACTCGATAACCTGAGCCAAAGAGAGCCGGGTGATGCATGGAGAGATCTGGGCGCCGATATAGGACGAAGGGATACCGAGCGCAATACGAGTATTGATCGCGCGTGAGCATTTGGACTCAGTGTCAGGTGGCATACCGCGTGCAATACGCAGGGCACAGAGTCGTTTCCAATAAAATGCACTCAGTATATCATCCGAGGAGATTTGTACGTCTTTGCCGAGCTGATTGTCGCGGGCTCGTTTGACGAGCTTGTTTAGTGACTCCACAGGCATGAGGAAGTAACACCAGATGGGCTGACTGGCCGGCATGACAAAAGCCGGCTTACTTGAGGAGAGTAAGTGGGGATAATCTTTCACGGGCTCACCTTCAGGAATTAATGGTATGAGCTGACTCCTATCCCGATTTGCTTGCTCTAAATCGACTGATTCAAGCTCACGCCCGCTAAGCAAATCGAAAAACATCTTCAAGAACTGAAAATCTGCGGTTCCATCCATGATTGTGTGGTGTGCCGCAAGGGTCAGAATGAGACCACCGCAAATGAAGTTGGCCTGGAGGGCAACAACAGGGGCGGGTCCAGTGAGACCATGCGGCATAGGAAGTGCTGGCCAGGGACAGAGCTCTTTACCATCCAACATTCGTGCAGGATTTTTGGCAACCAAAAGCTCTTCCATAGATGCAATACTATCATCACAAATATTGACATGCACTCTTTCCTTGCGCATATTCTCTGGCCAAGGAAGAACTGTCCGAAGACCCGATTCCTTCGTCCCAACTTGACATCCGAATAAGGGAATGCGGGCAACCAAATCATCAAATGTCTTTTGAAGCATCGAAACAATGGAATGATTGTCCACATCAAGCGGAAGCTGAAAACCATACAATAGCATGGTATATGCGTTCAGTACGGGGAATTGCCCCATGATATCCGCCTCCGCATAGGATAGAGGGCGTGTGGCGTGGAAATTTCCCATAGTCGTACTAACTTAAGGCTAGGTGAAATTTTGTGCTCAATGCTGACTCAATCAATTTTCTAGAAGACTCAGTTTTATGATGACTGAACATGGATAAAAAATGTCCACTTGAAGCCCCGAAGCTGTCTATTTTACTCTAGAATGAGTGCACATGTGTCTAGGCAATGTGACCGGAGTCGTATAGGAAGGGTCATTTGAACTCCGCTTCACTCTCCGCGATGTCGTACATAGGTTCCGGAACATGCAGGGATAAGTCAAATCAAAGAATACCAAAAATCTGGAGCAGCACAAAAAATACTTCAATTCGTATGTGTGGAGACTCAAAATACTAGACGCCAAGGCTTGAGCTGATCCAAGTATGGATGACCTATGTTGGACGAATAATGAAAACTGGAGCTTTCAAAATACCGCCAGAAATGCATAAAAGTTTGGTACTATCGATCAAAATAAACACGTGCGAGACTGTTTATGCCCTGCATATCCCTTAATAATCTTAGAATATGCTGCACTCCAACCTCATTAGAAGGAGAAAGATTGCCGACCCGGTTCATCAGATAGTCAGCAGCACATGCGAGTGGGTCAGGTAGGAATGGATGGCCCTTAAAGCAACTAAATGAAGGCACCTGCTTTGCAAGTCGTACCATTTCCCTAGCAGCGGCAGCTGCACGGCGCTCATGTACAGCCGTTGTACCCGGTTGCTCGACAGTTCGCCAAGAAGAGCCACCACATGCATTTTCTGCTATGTGGCCGAGTTTTATGATCGCACTATGGACCAATGTATGAGAAAGCAATATCAAAGGGCTGCTATCAGCATGTATCGGTAGTGTGGTGCTCAGAATCTGCATGCGCTGCTCTACTGCAGCCACAAGTCGTTTTTGACGGGTCCAGAAATCATCCCCATTCATATTTACAGGCTGCCTTTTCGTGTCGCAGAATCTCCGATGTGCCATGCAACGCCCGTGGAGTGTCATCAAAATAATAATTTCCGCAAATGGTGATAATGGGAGTCCCTTTTGTGATACTGATGATACTGACATAGCTTCCTCGAGGAAGCTCGTGCGTATATGCTGGTTGTTTTGGAAGTTGGCCTCAGGCGAGGGCAGGCGTGTGCAAATCTGCAAGATTATGAATGTTATCTTAGCTCTGACCTTGCATAAAAGTTTACATCAACTAACAGGATGCATCTACTAACCATTTCCTCAGATAGGGTAAGAGGATAGTCATTGCGAGAGCAGAGAAATCGATCCAAACAAAATGCCAACCAGAATAGTCGTCTCTGCTCCTCCACAACCGAGAAGCTTTCCTTGAAACTCTGCTCCTTTACCAAAGTGATTTGAGATACTTGGAAGCTAAATTCATCCGGCTTAGATGCATCAATCTCAAACAGTCGTGCCATTAGCACCAAGCGGAAACAGCGGCCTGCTGTCAGCATAGCCTGATGCTCATTCACACGCAAGAGTTCGTAAAATGCGACTAGCAACCATGCTTGAATATGCTCGATAGGAATTATTTCATCATGATTGAATGTCATTTTATGATCTTCCAAAAGTCGATACGTCTCGGCATACAGCTCATTGCAGAACCGGCATCCGGGTGCAGACATCGCGGCTGCGATTGTGCGCATCGCTGAGCGAAGACATGTCCTCGCAGCCCCAGGATTTTCTTGGTCTGCCCATGAAAGGAAGGTTTGTGGATATATTATTGGTAGTGCTGGATGGACGCGGTCAAAGTAAACTTGGTCCAAGTCGGCCCTTATATGATCTGTAACAGTAGTTCCCATCATGATGTTGACGGAATTGCTCATTGATTCGAATTTGTGCAGGTTCAGCTGGTTATGATCTTCCAGCACGATATTTGATGGTTTTCGCTGTAATCCTGAGTTACAAACATCGATTTGTGAGCTGAGCTCCTCCGGGTGCCAGCTACCTGTCCAGTCTGCCCAGCTACTAAGACTCAAGGGTGCCGGTTCCAATGCCGCAGATGATGTATAACACATTCCAATACCCGATGATGGGGGACATATGATATCCAGATCTGCCTCAGTAAGCTCCCCAGTCTCAATTTCAACTGGATGTGTTGCTTGCTGTCGGTCATTATGTTCGGGAGTTATTACCCCGGATTTTGATAGCCCCTTATCCGTTTCATAGGCTAGTTGCTGGCTTAATTGCCACTGAAGTGATGCTAAAGAAACATTGAAATCGATTTTAGTTTTTAATCACAGTGTAAATAACAGGTAGCCTCGGATACCTCCAGACCTCAAGCTGGACCCCAGGACCTGAGCTATCGAAGCAGAATTGCTGAAGAGTGTTAAATATTCAACATACCAATCTGGGACCTCATTGCGTTAAGCTGTCCTTTTTTGGGACCTCTGTGCTGCTTCTTGTCTAGAATAACACATACAGCTCCTATCTCCGTGCAAAATCCACATCTAGGTCGCGCACGGTCACAACGCGCCTTGCGTCTCCGACATTCCTCGCATGCATAACCGGGCTGCTGGCGTCGTCCTTTATCGGTCATATTCGAAATAACAGCCCAAGTGTTGAATCAGTAGGGAGTTTAAGATGGTGAATACAGGATTTCCTCACTCTCTGAACGAAAGTACGTTACTTTGAAAATAACTCACAACATCGGATGTGGCAGGTCAGAGCATCCCCATTGCGTTATCCCATCAAAACAATGAACCGAAAATATGAATTCGAACACCTTGATTAACCCAATTAAGATGGAACTAACCACGGATACGATGAAATTGGTCAGAATCAACATTTTTGAACACGACAGTTCCATCACGACCAATAATTAGCTTTAGACGGCCACTTTGCACCATAACACTAATTTTCACGCGTGGATTTTTGAGTCAACTCGGAAAGAATACTTGATAAACTTTATGGTTACTATTTGAGAAATGAAACTCTTTTTAAATCATCAGGAAGCGTGAGGCTTAAGCCACGTGAGCCCAAAATTCTACTAATAGGTACTCGGCGTCATCAACGTACAGCAGATTTGAAATACTTGGTGGGACAATGCGGCGCAGCAAGAAGCTTGAGCAAGCCTGGAAAGTTTTCACAACATTTGAAAGTACCCTAGTACGATGCAGAGAATTCATTGGCCTTTATAGGCTATACACAGCTCACCTAGAACATCTGAAGGAGTCGGAATTGTATGGCAGGTCCTCAGATTAATATTTCATACTTGGAGGCTCTAGCGACTCGGAATACATTCTCACATTTGATGACATGAAAGATTCAGGACAACCATCTCACAGTGTCTTGCACTTAGGTCTGAACCAGTAGTATGGACTTTTGGTCTGATCTAAGCAATAGAATACACCTATGATTCAAGAGACGCATAGATGCCTCAGCGTCAATAAGCTCAGACTAAATCTGACTCACGGTGACCAGCCCACCACTCGGTTGATTTCACTTTTTTGCTTCTTTTTCCCCATTCAGTTTTATACAAAATTCAGTTTTGGCATTCGGTGAGAATAGACCAAGCTGGAGACCATGGGGCAAATATGAAACACCTATCGGTGCATTTCCTTTTGCATAGACCAATTTTGAGCTGAGCTTAGGCCATCCTCCTTCTGTGAGCCATCGAGTCCCACCAAAATAGACAGAAATGCCATAGCATTCTTAACCGCCTCGTATGACCACAGCGACTTTTGCCTCAAACCTATCCACATTGGGTAGGATTAACATCCCTGTAATTTCTGTGCATGGTCGGCAAGAGTGATCGTCGAATTTCTTCTTTGTGGACGATCTATGACTCTGGCCCTTCCTCTTGTTCAACATCCAGCTGAACATTTGAACATCGAAAAACAATATTAACACTTCCTATTGTTGGACAGAAGGGAGCCCACACGTACAACTCAAATTCAAATAATCAGCTATTGAGGATATTGATTCAAAACCTCGCGTTGAGCCCCTTATGAAAATCTCAATAATTGGCGGTAGGATAATGGCGTTATAACAGCACTAGATCTCATCCACCGGGGTCTGCGTGTGAGAGTCTACGACCGCGCGGCCAGTTGGCGAGAGACCGGTGCTGCCTTTGCGTTTACGAGCGTATCGCGAGGGGTATGCAACAAATAAACCCAAAGATTCTCGAGTCACTCGGGTGAGTAGCGCATAGAAACCCCGAAGAGTCGATCCGTTACTGGGATGGTTTCCACCCGCGAACAAAAGAGGGCCAAAGTGAGACGGCAGTGATGCTCGAGCTTCCTGAAAAGAACATGGCATATTGGGAAACTTATCAATGACTTTATGATTTCACAGGGCAAAATAGTAAAAAGCAAGGAGGAGTTCCAAGTTTTGAGTGTAGAACTAGAAGGATTTGGAGTTTTGATGTGAGAGCGGCGGTGGATGAGGCTCACGGGCAATATGAGAAACTGTCATGAGACATACGTATAATATGATTTTTAGTGGAGATACTCACAGTTGTCCGAAATTTAGTATCATTATGGGATTATAATTACATAGAATGGATGTTTGCTAGTTTCATGTTGGACGAATGCCAAGTCTATTTAAAATCTCCGTAGAAGACGGCGATAAAGGGGGGCGATTCTAACCTTGGAACATCGGAGAGTCAAGACCCCCTATCTTCAGATTTGCTAACCATTATCCTCTAATTGATGACAGTTGAAGATCTCAAGAACACAGAAATCCAGATTCAACAACGAACATCCATTATCCAAAGTGCAGAACTCCAAGTATCCAACACAGCATACATAACTTGAAATTACAATATAATATTCAAGTTTCTTCATATAGGCTTCTTTTGGGGGCATAGTGGCTTGGCAAGTCTTGATAATTTGTCTAAAATCAACTCATCCATCATCAGTGGAGGTTTCCAGTGTTGCTTACGATCTCGTGAGCTGGTAAAGCATATGACCTCTTTCAATAGGAGTATGATCGGAGTGGCTTCCGGACTTTCATTTGTTCAACCTTATATAAGAAATTAGGATATTGAAAATTCAAAGCTGGGAATCCTCGTTATCGAACATCAACATTCAAGACTCCAGTCCTTTTTCACACTATTGAAGATTCCCAATGGCTCCCGTATCGATTCCGAAATCTTGCTCTGTACTTATTGTAGGCGGCGGTCCCGGTGGCTCCTATGCGGCATCTGCTCTAGCTCGTGAAGGGGTTGATATTGTGATCATGGAAGCAGAACACTTCCCACGATACCACATCGGCGAGTCTATGCTGGCGTCCATCAGACACTTCTTGCGCTTCATCAATTTGGAGAAGACGTTCGATGCGTATGGTTTCAGTAGAAAGGTGAGATTCAGCAAATCGCCTTGGAATGAACAATTTGAGTTTAATGATAACATGCGTCTTTAGAACGGTGCGGCTTTCAAGTTGAACAACAAGCGAGCAGGGTACACTGACTTTCTTGCTGCCAATGGACCCAACGGGTACTCATGGAATGTCATCCGGTCCGAGTCAGACAAACTGATGTTGGATCATGCTGAGAAGGAGGGTGCGCTTGCTTTCCATGGAACGAAGGTTGATTCGGTAGAATTTGAGTCTGTTGATAACTTCCACAACGATAACTTCCACAGTGACAATCTCCACGCTACTAATGGAGTTGCCAACCCGGGACGCGCTATCTCAGCAGCCTGGTCGCGCAAAGAAGACGGAACCAGTGGTACAATAAAATTCGATTTTCTCATTGATGCGAGTGGTCGCAATGGTCTCCTATCAACCAAGTATTTGAAAAACCGCAAGTTCAACCAGGCTCTAAAGAATCAAGCCAATTGGGGTTATTGGAGAGGCGCGAAAACTTACGCACCAGGCACTCCACAACGAGGTTCGCCGTTTTTTGAGGCGCTGAAAGATCAAAGTGGATGGTGCTGGGCCATTCCACTGCACGATGGCACGTTGTCTGTTGGTGTTGTCATGCGTCACGATCTATCTCTTGAGCGCAAAATCGCGCTTGGCTCACCAGGGACGATTGAGTTTTACAAGCATTGCTTGATGCTGGCACCAGAAATCCACGAGAGACTAGCACAAGCTGTTCTCGTCTCCGATGTCAAGGCAGCTTCGGACTGGTCTTATAGTGCCTCGGCTTATGCTGGGCCAAACTTTCGGTTGGTCGGTGATGCTGGGTGCTTCATCGATCCATATTTCAGTTCCGGTGTACACCTTGCGTTGTCGAGTGCGCTTTCTGCTGCTATGACAGTACAGGCTGTACGCAGAGGGGAAGCTAGCGAATATGAAGGAGCCAAATGGCATTCAGCCAAGACAGCAGAGGGCTACTCCAGGTTTTTGCTAGTTGTTATGACAGCCTTGAAGCAAATCCGCAAGGGGGAAGAACCTGTTCTTAGTGATTTTGATGAAGATGGCTTTGACAGGGCCTTTTCTTTCTTCAAGCCGAGTAAGTACAGCTGCCACACAAGGATGGATGTTTTCCAGAACTCATAACTCATAACTTCCTAGTTATCCAAGGCCATGCTGACGCCGATGTGAGCGGTAGGCTCACACAAGATTTGGTCTCCAAATCGGTCGATTTCTGCTTCAATGCCTTTGTCGAAGTATCTCCAGAAGCTCGTCAGGCTGTTCTGGATAAGCTCGAAAGAGTCAAATCTGACCATAATATCGAGACTAAAGAAGACCTCGAGAAGTTGACCGAAGGAGAGCTGTCAACTCTGCGGACTATTCGTGCCCGTCAGATGATGCGCAGCGAAGATGCAATGAACATCAATACCTTTGCAACCGATATCATCGAGGGCTTCGTGCCTCGATTGGTAACTGGACACCTGGGTCTTGACAAAGTCACAGCTAATAGCCGAATCACAGCTCCACTAGATACTGAGACTTTGTTTGAGAAAGGTCTTTCGGGTCATGCGGCTTTGCTGGAGGATCTGACATCTTAGGTACCTAGATGTAAATCCGATAAATCCGACTATTAATTTTTGAGCTTACAATGCACGTGTCAGTGCAAGTTAAGTTCACCCGTTCAATGTTGAATGCTCAATTGCTCCATGAATATGAACTGAAGATTTGTGCCCACTGGCAGGGGCTGGTGCTATTTATTTTTAGGTCATCTATATCAACACACAATATTTCCAAAGTTGCACTCTAAATTCAAGTTTGATTATGTCTTTTCCATATCCAAGAATTTCACGCCAAGGTGATACTATACAAAGCAGTGCATCTGGGCATAGATTAGTAGATAGATTTGACGAGCCTAGGTACTAATATTTGGCTTAGTACTAGCCTCAAGTTCTTCTGCAAGCTCGCCAATCCAATCATTGATACAGTTTTGGCACAGGCAAAAACTACAGAGACTCCACATGGCCTTATAACTGCTGCTCAAAATCCGCTGGCACTTGCGGCTGGTATTCGGAATGTACTGTCACCTAATGCTGACAAGGCTAGATCACTCACTATGCCTGAGTCACCAATGGAGTGGCTTGATATCCCCTTTAACAGCAAGGGCAGGTCAAAAAAAGTCAGACCGTGATAAAAGATGGTATATTATTGATACTATTGAGGCTGGTCAGACTGCAAGAGTACGTGATCTACTACGGGATGTCCGTATACTTGCTGCTAGACTCTCTCAAGCAGATCCTTTAGCTTTTGGTCTGCTTGATTGCAAAAGCTTCAATCCAATAAAGCGTCAGAACTATGCTGGTTCTGCCCCTTCCCCTGAGTTTGGCCTGACTGTTAGCTCATCATTTATCAACCATTTGCCACCCTTATATAAACCTTCTCTGAGTGGGGGGAACTATACCCAGTTTCAGCTTGTTTTTCGAATTCCAGATAGCATGAAGGCCCTTCAGTCACTACGAGAACTCCTTCTTAATCAGGATATACACATATCATTATCACAGAAGATACGGATCGCGCGTGAGCTGGTGAAGGCAGTCAACTATGTACACACATTCGACTTTGTACACAAGAATATACGGCCTGAGTCTGTCCTGTGCTTTGAAGACACATCACGAAGCCATGCCTTTTTGGTTGGGTTCGACGCCTTCCGTGCAGCAAGTTCTGACACAATGATGGGCGGTGATATGAGCTGGGATCGTAATGTTTATCGTCACCCGTCCAGCCAGGGTAGGGATCCGACTGAGAGATACTGCATGCAGCACGATATCTACAGCCTTGGGATCTGTCTCCTTGAGATTGGTCTTTGGGAGTCATTTCTCGAATATACAGATGATGAAGAATTCACCAGCCCCCCCTAAGCCCAAATTCGGCAAATACTACCACAATTTCCAGGCATAGCTCAGGAGCCAAGGAGCGCCTCCATCTTTTAAGGTTATGGCTTTCAAGCTCAAGGAATACTTGATCGAGCAGGCTCGTACAAAGCTAGCACCACGTATGGGGGACAAATATAGGAAAGTAGCGATATTGTGCTTGACGTGTTTAGGTGCCGATAACGAAAGTTTTGCGGGAATGGAAGAGGGGGCGAACGACGATCTTGTTGCGATGCAAGTCATCGAGAAAGTGATGAAGTCTATCGATGAAATACATGTATGAGATGGAGGGACGGATAAATCCTGCTTTTTTCAGTACATATGGAATGTCAGTCTTTCAAATGTTGATATCGCCTATCGCCGACTTTCGGAGTTCTATCTCCCCCTACTTCCAAGGTTAGGGTGTGTCCTTCCCCATGCAGCCACCTGGGCATACTCCGTGAGCCATCCATGTCATTCCTCGAGTAATATTTTTTTTTAAAATATTGAGCCTAGCAGTGCTATTAGTGTACCATAATTTTAGAATCCTTACAAGGGACTAAACCTAACATGGCGGTTCGGCACCTGAGACTTAAGGCATCAAGTGTGAATGGTGATGATCTGCTTCGCTCAGTTGTCGCATGCCCACTGCCCAGGTGGCAGCTTCGATGGGCAGGACTCTGGATTCCATGTTAAAACATCATGTCACCTTCATCGAGTAGAATTGGACTATTCTGTATCACGATTCATGACCTCGCACTTCATTCCAATTTGAGTGTTCTTATCCAATAAAACCGGACTTCGGATTTACCACGGATTTAACATCGCACTGCACGGACTTCGGATTTTTATTTCATAGTCGAACAACCCCCGGCATGATATATCAAATATTTTTACTATGAAGCTTAACGTTTGTAGTCAACCTAGTAGAGATGTTCCATGAATCCAAGTTCAACTCCGAAGTCCGTCTCCAGGTCACTCAAATGCTCTTTAATATCTATGATGTTCCAATTCCGTAATCTATGACTTTTAACAGAAACCTCTTTTTCTCACATATCAACTACCTATCAATATTCCACTATATGTGCTCCCCTACGATCCATAATTAAAACCGGCATATGCACTCAGAGTGATATACTTAGGATCACATTGGCAGCCTCAACAGTCACACCCACCCTTCACCCTTTATCTTTCACTTTCACCTTTCAACTTCAACTTTCTCAACTTCCCACCTTCCTCCATTTCCCACTCACTACATTTCCAAATCGGAACGCTCAACCACGGAATCCACTATTACGTCCTTTCTCTTGATATATCTTCATCTCTCTGGACCATGGCGCCCAAAAACCAAGCGGCATGGATTGTCGAAAAGAAGAGTTCACTGTTGAAAGTGAGCGGTGCACCATACAGCTCCCCGGGCCCCGGCCAAGTCACCACCAAGAACGGCGCAGTCGCAATAAACCCATTTGACTGGGTTCTCCAATACCAATCCGGCATGCTGGCCGGTCACCTGAAATACCCAATGGTGCTAGGCACGGACGTAGCCGGCACAGTCGTGGAAGTCGGACCTGGCGTGACGCGCTTCAAAGTCGGCGACAGAATAGCAGGCAACGCAGTCTCCGCAGCAAAGGAGTCGAACGATCCGGCCGAGGGCGCTTTTCAACTCTACAGCGTCATGCGTGAAAACATGATTACCAAGGTCCCTGAGCATTTCAGCCACGAGCAAGCTGCCTCATTGGGCCTCGGCGTTGTGACTGCTACTTACGGTCTCTTCCATAAGGATTACTTGGGTCTCGATATGCCACAGGTTCCTCCACCCCGAACCCGCAGCATGGACAGAAATACCCACGCGCGGTCATTGTCACAGGTGGCGCATCGAGTGTTGGAGCTTCCGCAGTGCAGCTTGCTGTTTCGGCGGGTTACAAGGTCTTCTCGACTTCTTCACCCAAGAACTTTGCCATGGTCAAGAGACTCGGCGCGGCGGAGGTCTTCGACTACAATAGTTCAACCTTGGTTTCGGACCTTGAGCACGCACTGAAGGGATATAAGTTTTGCGGTGCTTACTCTATCGGCGCGAATGCTGATGCCGTTTGTGTCTCTGTCATTCGTGAGCGTCTGGCAAAGTCTCCTGAGCTGCCTACCAAGAAGTTTGTTGCTTTGGCCGGTGGTAAGCCGATGGCTGCGGATGCAATCAAGGGGGCTTTCGGGTTGTACAGAATGATGGGCAATATGACGGGTATGATGAGCAAGAATGCAATCACTAAGTTTTTCACTGGTGTACAGGTCAAGTTCATCATGATGACCGATCTGATTCAAGCCGACAGCTGTGTTTCCAATATCTATCTTGAGTTCTTAGGGCCTGCGCTAGCCAATGGGCAGTTTGTCCCAGCGCCAGAACCGAAAGTTGTGGGGCATGGTCTGGAGAAGATCAATGAAGCTTTGGAGATTAATCAGAAGGGAGTCTCGGCTAACAAGGTAGTTGTTTCGCTACCTTGATGCTGATTACCGTTATTTTTCGTTTATGGGGGTGGCGTTTGGTTTTGGGTTTTGGTTTTATCTCCCCTACAGTACTCCTGCTTAAACCTCGATATTGGGGCAATGATTCCCTGACATTTTTGTGATTTCACATTGCAATTTCCATTGATCTAATTCAATTTTGGACGTGACAATATTTCCAATCCAGTGTTTTGAAAACTGAGGTATTCCAGCTGCTTATAAGTACCCGTTAGGTTTAGTCTTACGAGTTAAACATATTTAGGACACGGTCCATTTAAGCTCGCAATTGTTGAAATTTTGATTTGAATACACTATGTGCTAGGCCTAAAACAACGGAACATTCAGTATTTTACTAAATATTGCAGCTTTTCCATACCGAGTATCCATAGAATTAAAGCTGTTTATAATCCCTTTTTAAGGATTCTCTAGTACATACGACCACAGGGTGTGGAGAACAGGGCTTCCCGTCCGCTCAGCCGTACTTAAGCCACACGCCGGTCAGTTAGTAGTATGGTGGGTGACCACATGCGAATCCTGACTGTTGTATGTTTTTGTTTTTGCATTTTGATTTTTCTTTTCTTTCTTCCGCCACTAGATAAGCAAAAACCAGGAGGGATCAAAACGGCTTGACCATTGCTCAAGGTCTGTGATAATATTGTTGATAGTATTCTTCTTCCACACCCAAGTAGGCCTTCTGGCCCAAAATTGCAACCTAAGCATGCTAGAGCTAGAGCGTGCCAGAGATTCACGCCGAACCACTGTTTCAAGGCTTTTCATGGCGAGCGAAAGGCTCCGCGAGAGTTCAGTTAAGAGATTGTTCAGAATCCGTTGTTGATCATCGTCTATGATGGAGACGATGCTCATCACAACATCCACTTGCCGCTTGGTGCGATCCCAGCAAGCCTCGATTTTCAAAATCCGTTGCTCAACCTCACGATCAGCATGCCTTCATGATGAACATATCTCGATAACTCTGGTACCAATTCTGTGGGTCGGTCAGCGGACAGGTACATCTACCTACAAGGTCCAGGTAGGATTGGAATTTTACTGATAGCATGTTGTCACAAGGGATGCTAGTGAACCAGGGTCCATCATAAAAGGGCTGCTTAGTTTTGCGTTCGACAAAAAAACTAGAGATTCTCTCAAATATTTTATATGTCTAGTTTTGGAGGGCCTTGTCGAAGGAGATTCAATGAGGGGAAGGAGGGAGTGGCTCAAATATAATATGCGAGGCAGTGTTACCCTTCAAGAGGCTGGTTTGGGAAGATGAGATAAACCAAACGGAGGGGTAATGTCAGCCTAAATTGATAGGTAGTTCACCTGGGCGGCCAATGAACATATAATTCCAGTAATGAAATGCAGCTCAGGTGATATCGAGGTGAGATCTGACCCCTGCCCAGGTGAGCCCCGCACATGCATATGTATGTTTAGCACTGGAGTGGAAAAATAATCGATATGAAAGTTGCAATTAATATAAGGAGATGGGAAGCAGCTGAAAAGACATCTCATGCACCCTCAAGGCTGAAAGTAGTAATTTTCGACGCTAATGACCTCGGGATTCAGCCTTGAACCTTGGAAAGAACAGGGGGTACGTACTAGGTACATGAGCAAATGAAGAGGCGGCGGCTGATGCCCGACCCAGAGTGTCTCTTTTATTTTTCTGTCAACTGTTCCCCCATAAGCAGATAAAATGTCTATTGATCCGTTCACAAGTAGTCCGCTGGTGGAGTGGACGCTGAAAACCCGGATCGATGAGAATGAGTTCCGACACCATGAACGGCCAGCAGGCTCCGAGTGCTGGCGGGTGATGAAGCATTTGGGGCATGGCTCATTTGGAGATGTGAACCAAGAGGAATGCCTTTTTGGACCAGCCAAGGATACATTCCGAGCTGTGAATTTCGTCAGAAAGCAGCAAAAAAAGTTCCCTGAGTTCTCAAAGCGGGAACTCAAAGCCCTGACCACATTCTCAGACACTCAAGTCCCCGAGGTAGGTTAATAAGTCACTCACGCCATTCACGACTAAATTATCCCAGTACAAACACTACTTTGTCCAATTCCTTAGCTGGTTCGATGATACAAAAAACCTCTACATTGCTATGGAATTCATAGAATATGGCAACCTCCACGAATTCATCATCCTCCGGTCTATCCCCGAACCCGAATCAGCGATGATCACCCACCAAGTGGCCCAGGCTTTGCTATATATGCATCAAAAGAATTTCGTCTACCGAGATCTAAAGCCTAAGGTATATGATAAGCCAACCTACCCATTCCCGAGGTCTAGGCAAGCCTCATGTGTACTAACACATATAACGTAGAATATTCTTGTCTCCTATCCGGGACCTCATTGGCATGTCAAGGTGGCGGACTTTGGGCTTACAAAAAGTACTGATGGCACTAGCCTTAAAACCTACAGAATCGGCACTCAAGGCTTTATGGCACCAGAACTGTATAGCAGTTCATCCGAGCCGTATACGGCAGCCGTGGACATATGGGCATTCGGAGCGGTTGTTTTCTGCATGAGAACACGTTCTTCACCCTTCCCAGACATAAAATCGGTTTTTTAATATGCTCGCGGCAAGCAAATGAGAGTTTTTGTACCGCTCTGTTCGTCTTCAAGTGAATTCTGCATGAATCTTGTCTCAGGTACCATGGCCGTGTAGCCCGAACGACGACTCACAGCCAAGCAAGTTCTAGAGCACAACTGGATTGCTATGCAGGCTAGACCTTCCCAGAGGTAATTTCTAAATAACTGCACCAATCAGATCTGTTATTGAAGCAATTCTAACTGGCCCTAGGGTTGAATCAAGTGTCGAGTCAAGTGGAGCATCGACAGCCTTAGAAATAACGCCATCAAAAGGCTGGTCGATCATTGATAGCGGCAGCTTTACACAGCAATCGCAACTTCGGTCCATGGAGACGCTGATGACAGACCTCCAGCTTATACCAGTAGCATCTCTTGCTTCCCATGCTTCTGTACGGCCTCAAGCAAACGCCCTCGAAGAATCAACGAGGATGGAGAAGAAAAGGATAACGGCGATGGAAGACCTGGCAAATCTTGCAACCAAATATTACGAAAATGAGAAATATGACCAGGCGAAAGAATCCTGGGAAGAAGTGATCAGGGTACGACGAGAGGTGCTTGGCGATAAGCATCCACACACAATTCAGGCGATGATCGAGATTGCCAACATATACTTCGAGCAAAAGAGGTATTCTAGGACGTCAAAAAGCCTCAAGCAAGTGATTGAGCTGCAACAAGAGAGTCTTGGCGAGAATGATCCATACACAATCACTACCATGCAGAGTCTGAGTAATACATGTTACGCGCAAGGGGATTATGAGGAAGCCGCGAGGATAAAAAGCCAGATTTCCAAATTACAGCGAGGACTCGGAACTGTCGCCTTATCTCTCAATAAAAGCCGTGTTGTTTCAGCTTCCTATGAGGTTATCAAGATATGGGATGCCCCCACTGGTTGGGGTGCTTCGTTAATCAGGCGATTGCGATTGGGCAGCCAAAGAAACTTGAATCTCCAAGTCGCGGATTACAGAGATTCATATTCAATGCGGCGCAACCTGCATTCGTTCAACTCTGTGTCCTGGTTTCCTGATGGCCGAGAGCTTGCATCAGCATGCGATGACAAAACCGTCGAGACATGGGATGCCGCCACAGGCGAGTGTCTCTCGACGATGGCAGGCCACAAAGATGAGGTCCGCTCAGTAGCCTGGTCGCCCGATGGCAGACAGCTCGCGTCAGCGTCCGCTGACGCCACCGTCAAGATCTGGGATGTCGCCAAATACCTTTGTATATTCACAATGAAAAGCTACGGTTCTTGGATCTACTCATTGGCCTGGTCACCGGGTGGCCGCAGGATTGCATCGGCATCCCGTGACCACACCATCAAAATCTGGGATACTGTCAGACGTGAGTGTTTATCGACGCTGAGAGGCCACAGCAACTATGTCTACTCTGTAGCTTGGTCACCTGATGGTGGCCAGCTTGTATCGGCATCCTACATGGCCATTAAGATCTGGAATACCAGTGGCAAATGTGTCTCAACATTGACAGGGCACGGAGATTGGGTTTTCTCAGTAACCTGGTCTTCTGATAGCTGCTTTATTGCGCCGGCCTCTGGAGATCACACTATCAAGATATGGGATGTTGCCACGGCAAATGTGTTTCAACACTGACAGGCCATAAAAACCCGGTCAAATCGGTGGCTTGGTCACCATAATATCACATACTCACAATGCCATTTCCAATACCTTGCTAACTACCATGCGGGAGGACTGGGGATTTTGAAAATGGTGTTAACACGGTGTAGATATCATACCTATATGGATATACAATATTTCTTATGTGAAAAGACATCAACACTCTACTACATCCAATAGTAATATATTTTAGGGCTAAAACATATTCCTCAGGATAGGCATATAAGAGAAAAATATAAAATATTTTAATTATAAAAATATGTCAGACTAGTAGAAGATATGTTCAGACTACAAAACATATCCGAAAACAAAATTCTGCCCAGGTGGGTACCACCCTGATATAGGCCCGGTAACTTTCACCTTACCTGTTTAGGAAGGGGGCAGCTTTATACTTCTTACCTAGGTGTTGGAAGTTGGGACCATTGAGGTGGTCTCCACATTATTTTAAGCTATCACCTCCTCTCTCTCCTACATGACTCACACATACACATTCCTCCCGAGGTCCACATGCATCACGTCCCTTGTTCCTGATAATAGGTATCTTCCTTCAAGTTCCTTAATACTTTACAATACATCTTTTTTTTCTTTTAAGCTACAGGGGAATTCAACCCAGGACTTTATAATCTACAGTTTACAAGCTACAATTCACAGTTTAGAATAGTTTACTACTACATCATCTACATTATTTTAACATCTTTATACCCCAGATCATATCTTATACAGACCACACATTCTATAACAAGCACTTCCACAGCCCTGGAGACAATTCCACAGACAATTCCACAAAAAATTCCACAGATAATTCCATAGGTAACTCAACACAAACAATTCAAGGCAGGCAATTTGAGACAGGTAATTCTACAGACTACCTACAACATTTAGCCCTAGAAACTACCTAGTGAAGAGGGGAACCGTTAGGCAGTGTATTCTAGATACACGGGTCGATCCAGCTAGCATGAATGGATAACACCAACCAACATGTACGGTGTGGCCGGACTACCCCGTAGGGGTGGGATGAGAGATGTGTAGGAGTGTGTATTCTAGACTATAACGACGGGCATTCTTGTACGTACAAAGACGGGACTGAAAACATGACAAAACAGAGATGTAACCAAACGGTAATTCTTAGCACGGTACGTGTAGTAGGGGACAGGGTACCCCACTACAGTGGTGTAACATAAGTATTTAACCTCGACTACTTTCGGACCGGAGGACCCACTTTTTAATACTGCCATGCAGAAACCTCCAAAATTCATGTCCTATGCTAAGGCCTCAATAGCTAGTATGCCAGCCCTCATACTTGATAACATCTGCCACTCTATGGGGCATAGTGTCTGATAGGTGCTTAAAGATCTCAATATCTAACGCTTCCCATGCTTCCTGCGCAGCTTTAACCAATAGATCTAATGTAGATGTGTTATTTGGTAGGTGCATAAGCTCAGGGTAACGCTTCAATATTTCAGCCTTTAGTAAAGCCCATAGGTTCTCAATTGGATTTAAATCAGGTGAATAGGGAGGCCATTCCATAATATCGCAGTTTAGGTCATCAAGAGTGTTCCGTACAATCCAAGCTGTGTGTACTGGTGCATTATCTTGTTGAAAGATAGCATCATGATCAAGGCTATTAAGAAGGGTAGGTAAAACACACCTATAAAGCTCTTCAATCGTACGAGAAGAGACACCACCCCGTTGAGATGTAGGATCTCCAAAAAGTGGAATAAGACCAGATCGACGTGGTTGACCAGAAAAAGCAGCCCAAAACATCTGTTTAATTTGCTTTCCTCGTGCTGGAATCATTTGGATCTGAGACCCTTCTTGTGGATGCTGAAAAAGCTGGTCTTTTGGGCGTATAAAGCTCCATTCTTGACGCTGGCCAATTCCACGCTCAATTGTACATTCATCTGACCAATAGACACGGGCCCAATCTGAAGGTGTAAAATGTTGGTATTGTCGGGCCCATCGTAGGCGTTTTTCCGCATGTAAAGGTGTTAAGGAAGGCCTTTGCATCTTCCTCCATTTTCGAAGGCCCATTTCATGGGTTAAACGCCAAATTGTCATACGATGGACCTTAAAATCAACCTCTGCAAGTAGGTCTTTGATTAATATTGATGGGTTTTCTTGTATAGTCTCGTATATATGGTCACGATCATCTTCGGTGAGCTTCTTTGGGGCGCCTGAGCGTGGTAGGCTCTCTTGTTTTTGACGATTTTTCTCTTGGGTAAGAGTATACTGAATAGTTGAGCGTGGAATATCGGGAAAGCGCATCTTTTTAATAGTAGTTGCGCCCCAGCCATTTGTAGCATGTAGCTCGCAGATCTTAGCCCTAGTAAGGCAATCAAGCTCAGGGCCTCTTTTCCCACGTATAGGGGGGCATAATATAGCAATATAACTGTAGGCGATATATGTTCGAATAATAATAGATTGTGTATAACAGCAGGTTACGCTACGCGTGGGAGAACGCGGTGTACTAATATAGTAGGCGGTATAAAATAGCGGTCAGACTCAAAGTGGTCCCAAAAGTAGTCGAGGTTAAATACTTATGTTACACCACTGTACACTAGGTATAATACAGACTACAACACAAGCTACACATATTAATATATATCAGTATGCCCTAAACATATTTCAAATTAAAAAACATATCAATAGTATATTTTCAAATTCTAAGACATAATCCCCTCCAACATATATTTAACAATAAAAAACTTTAGACCAAAAAACATTTTCCATCCAAAATCATCCTAACATAATAATTATAGGTAAAATAGTGTAATTACAGTTTCGATAATTTTCATTATTTCAATACCAGTTTGAAAATCCCCTATCCTCCCGCATGGTAGTTAATATTTCAAACAGGCCAAAAATAGCAGGTGAAACAATCATATACCGCCCGGTAGACAAAATTCCCTCCCAGTGCTCAACTAACAGATCTCAAGTGGGAGAATATTTGCTCAAGGCGCTGTAGGGGATCTTGAGATTTTCTCCAGCTGTTGAACCAGTTCTAGCTTCAACTTGAAGCTGCATTTGCCATTGATGTACTTAGTTCCGAAGACAGCAATTACTAGTAGCGTCCCACTCCTCATGGAATGTGCCAGTGTCAATGACTATCGACTGTGATGTGAGTATTATAATCTATCATTGAAGTTCAAATGGTCTGCCTTCACAAACGACGATACAAAATTTCGTAAAACGCTAAGCACAGAGAGGCTAATTGATGTTCTATATTCATTGCTCAAGATTCAAACTCGTCAAACCAGTTGACTCAAATCCCCTGGGAGTACCCTTACCTATCCATGATCTCCGTCAGAATATCTCTTCTTATCATGTCACTTGAAATCCAAAATTGGACTCCGTCTTGGATACTGGCCCGTGTCAAGCTCTGCTATTCCGTACATCCCAGGAGTCTCAAGCTCAGCTCGATGCTTCTGATCAGACTGCAGCTCTGCAAGTGACACATATCGGGAACCCAGCTCAGCTGGTTTCTGTGCATTCGTAGACATCTCGTATGATATCCCTCCATTTCCCTGAACCTTTTCATTTTGCCGCCCTGTTCTCTGGTTTTGGCGCCGCCTTATACAAAGCAAAATGGCAACAGCAATCAATGAGAGGACACAAGTTGCTGCACCGACGACAATCCCGGCTTTCGCACCCGTAGAAAGACCCTTCCCACTGCCAGTGGTTTGTGTTACTTCGTTCGTCGCCGTCGGGGCAGTAAATACTACGCTAGTTGTAGATACAGTGGATATATCGGAAGTGGTGGTTTTGTCAGGAAAGTCTGTCGCCTTCCAACGGATTGAAATCCCCTGCGCGTTGATTCCGTCGGCCCTCGTTGTGCTTGATATCGTCTCGGCTTTGGTGAAGGTCCACTTTTGACTGGGATTTGGATTATAGGAGGTGCATGCATTATGTGTGTACCAGGCTAAATTTGTCTCGGTTTGGGCAACATAGTTACTGTGAGACTCCGTTTGTTAATTTCTGGCAGCCACTTGAGAAGAAATCAGAGTGGTGGGACTCACTTGGGACAACAAGTTCCTCGCGTCTCAGAGTCACCATCGTCTGTCACAACGGTCTGGGCTGCGGTCCAGTATCCCTCAGGACATATCCCCGGCGAAAAGTAGGTTTCTGTGCTGGCCTGGTAGCCGGAAGGATAGCAAGTGCCTGTCTCAGTAGGCCCCAAGCTTAGCCACCAGCTGGTATCGGACCCGGTTATGATTTCGGTGTAATAATTGGTGCCGGAAACATATTCAATAAACCATGTGTTGGTAGTACATGCTGGCGGGGGAGTGAAAGTGGTTGTGAGGGCGATAGGGCGTGTGGAGGTCATATTGGGCCATCACCTCCATAGGAGACGGAAGATAGAAAGTCATACTCGAAGACCACATAAGACTCTTTGGAGAAGATTCAAGGGCATGACTTGTTGCTCCTAGAGATTAGCGCTTTCAAATTTCAATTAGCGCCCAAAAACCCCGCTCCCGTTTCAGTGGCTGGCGAAGGCGCTAAGTTGTGATTGCGCTCCACGGCCTGCATTAGCGCGGGGGTCAAAATGTGACCGGGTTTGAGACCTTGAATAAGCTAATGGAAGTGAGGCAATGGAGTCTATCTTTGAGCAGCCTTTTTCGTCATTATCCATCTTATCAACTCCCTGAGGCTGACCAGGAGCATCACAGCTATGCCTAGACCTTTTGGTGCGACCTTTGTACTAAAATTGTAACTGATTCCGAGCTGGCCGCTCGACTTACATCATTGCTTCCAAATAGCAAGCTTGATTTATCAAGAGAGGCGGAAGCATTCCTACAAGAAAATAAGGCATTTGAGCGTGGAACGCATGTGCAGGGGCTTTGGTAGTCTATGTAGGCTCACCTCGGAAATCCCACTCCATGTGGGGACCCGAGATCGGCTGCGTTCCCACTCGGTCGTCCCATCCCCGGGGCACCTTCAAGCTTGGAAGTTTCTGAGCCGACACAGAAACACGGTGAATAGTACTGCCGGGTCCGTTTGTCGGCTTGGCAATATTTCTGTGTCGGTGACTCGGCGATGACTAGGATTATCTACTGTCTAACTAGTAACAACGATTGAATGCAGCACAACACGAAATACTTTTTCAACAGCATTCAACGATCTAATGAGCCCGTAATGTCTTTCCTCAAGTTCAGACTAGAAAATACTAGTGAACGCTCCGCCCCAGTGCCAATAGCTGCTGCTGTGTCCCAACCATCCTCAAGGCGGCAAAACGACGGTGTGCAGCATGCTTTACCTGGGAGATTCCACGGCCAAGCATCCTCTGATGAGAGACTACCTATTTCACCTTCGGCAACTCATACAGGAAAGGGTCGCGAACATCATATGGGCGCTCCTAAAGTTGATTTTACGGCTCGTCGTAGCAGAAGGTTGGGAATTCATCAGCCAGATGAGATCATGAACTCAAAGCACGTCTGACCTAAAAACAGACAATTGCGTCAATCACGGCGCGTATCTGCTTGTACTGAGTGCAAAATCTCCAAAACTCGGTGCGAAAAGTCTCACCCTACAGCCAAGGATAAATGCCGCCGGTGCCTGCGGCAGAAAGAGGAGTGTATTGGGTATTATTCAGCCCGACCATCTCCTGTCGAGCAGTCGGAGAAAAGCTCTGACAGTCTTTCTGAAGGAAAGGCTGTTGGCATTGCTTTCAACTCGGAGACGGACCCATCTACGGCTTTTTCGATGGGATTCACTGAAACCAATCTAAGTGAGTCTGTAAAGCTTGTCGTCCTGTTGCTCCATCCTGTTGCTCCAAGAAACGCAGCTGATTGATTGTGACAGATTCCGGTCCACCATCTCGCATTTGGACCGAACGGCTTGACAATAAGATTGACTCTATTCTCACCCGGGGTTGCTGAACAAGTATTTCTTCAGTATGTAACAAAATTCGCACCGAAATGCCCCATTGTCGTGTTTCCGCCCGGGACAACGCCTGTGCATGTGCGAAAAGCCAAGCCTTTGCTGTTTTTATCCATACTTAGCGTTGCCTGTGCTGGATACTGCCCGCTTGATAAGCAGAGAGAATTGGCACTCGAAGCCAGGTGTTGTTTAGCAGACACTGCTATTGTTCGAGGTGAGAAATCGCTCGAACTTGTTCAAGCGCTTCAGGTCGTGTCGTTCTGGTACAGAGCACCTGATACCTACACACAAATGATTCAGAATCAGCTGGCTTCCATCTCCACAACTATGGCTATGGATCTTGGACTGGACAATCTCAAGTTGGTTAGCAGAGTTCAAGGCAAATGGATTCGTGTGGAGGCGCAACGTGCCTGGACTGGCTGTTTTATTCTATCCGCAAGGTATGGAACTGTGGTTTCACAGCTTCAGCCACTACTGGGTTTGACCGACTTCTAGTCTTTCTTTGATTTTGAGACGTCCCAATCCAACACCTTGTTTCGCAAAGCTTGACGACTACATATTCGACTTGCAACGAAACAATGCATCACCCACAGATGCCTTCCTGTGCAAGCTTGTAACAACGGAGCTTCTCTGTCATACCACAGATCAAGAGCTATGCTTGAGCAATCCTGTCCAAGCGGTATCTGCGCCAAGTCCGAAAACAATGGCGATATTTCAACCCATTCAGACTCGAATCGACATGCTAGCTCTCGGCCAATCTCATCAGTTGGAAAGATGTATGTTTTTGGAAACCGAACACCTGATGACCTTAGATATAGAGGATTGACAAACTTCCATGGCTTAGCTCTTTTTGAATTCGGCAGGCTTGCGAGCTCACTGTATATGCATGAGCTGGCTTTACACGTCAACAACAACACCGACGAGTTCAAGGCTCCCTTTTCTGCGAAGTCTTTGAAGACATGTAGCTTCATCGATATGCAAGATTCTTCTAATCTGTCAATGATCCGCGCCATAATAATGGCGTCACAAGGACTCCTGGAAATTTTCCTTCAGTTCTCCATTTCCGAAATGCTTACTTTACCACCTCATATTTATGGTGGTCGCGTGATATACGCAGTCATACTACTAATGAAGATACACAAAGCAATCACGACATTCGCAAAAGGAGTTGGCGACTTGATTCAAGCTGATACGTTGCACCTGGAAGCGTACCTTGAGCAGTTGGTCATCACTTCAAAGTGCCTCATAACGGAGGATGGACGCAGCGCTTTGAGTAGAGCATTCCTGATCATGCACCAACTGATAGAGCAGTTCAAAAGGCCATCTAAAGCAAATGAAGCTCCAACAATGGACAGAATTCCAACCAAGAACGGCAACGGGCAATTGAACACTGCTTCTCCGAGGCCAATGGTGGTTCCCAGCGGCTCGTCTACTGCTATTCAGGCGCCGGAAAATAAGTCAACCCCAGGTAATTCAAGATCGCTTGATGGACCTGTGTGTCAATTGGATGAGCTTATCCAACCTGCTATACCTCCCTCTCTTCCTGTCACACACAGTGAGGATACTAGCTTTGGAATATCTGGGCCTGCAGTGGCATCTGATACTTGGTTCTGGGAATTCTTCAACATTGACATGCTTAATTAGTTCATCGCCGGTCGGGATGTGCCAGACTACTATTTTTGCGCGTTGTGCTGCTGAGGGCAGACAGAGTCTTAACCCCCTCCTCCAATTTATTGATATTGTTCTCCACGCTGGCTTTACTGCCTTCAATAGATTAATTCCCGACATCCCGACAGCTCGAAATTATCCATTTCACAAAGTCTTGTGACCAATCTCTTCCCCAACATTTAATGGATTTCTTCCGACTCCTTTCCCTTGGGAGAGATTTTCACGGTACGCCACTCCACACCCAAGGCACCAATGATGGATAAACAGGCTAAGACTAAAGCAACCACAAATGTTTGGACGATGGCATCATTGTAGATCTCAAATACACGGGCTACCACATTGGCCTGGCCCGAAGTGGCTTGCCTAACTGTTTGCTGTAGATCAGTTGCTCCGGATTCAAGAACAATGGAAGGGTCCAATTCAGGAACTCGGGCAAGCATGCCAGAGACAATGGGGTTGCTGAAAATATTCTCGCCCACAGAGACGAAGATAGCGCCCCCAAGAGATCGAGCAAAGACCACCAAAGATGTCCCGATGGAGACATCCTCTTCGGGAAGGACTGTCTGAACGGCAATGTTCGGTAGTTCAAGTCCAATACCAGCGCCAGTACCAAACACGATTTGAAACCCAAGCCTAGTATTGATTAGCGAAGTAATGCTGGATGGTATGCTTTGACAGTCACGTACCACATCGACAGGGGAATATCCACTCTGAATAGGAGAAGTAACCCCGCACCAATCGCCATTACCATCGACCCTGCAATCATGAATGGGGTATAGTATCCCACGAAAGTGACGCCAAGTCCACTTGCAATAGCAAATACCACTGTATTCCTTGTAAGTCGCTCCAGTCTTCCGGTTTGATGCTGCTTGCACCAAAAATGAGTCAGGGGGATAGAAAGGGGGTGTACCTACCGACGCTCAAAACCGTTGGCAAGTTGTGAATGCCCGATTGGTCTGCAGAATCGTCCTTGATTGCCTGAAACCTGTTTTGTCCTTATGATCAATAGAAATTCACACCGGTAGTAGGGAGGATATTTCTGAGCTCACCAAATCGGCAAATAATAGATTAGCAAAACGAATGATGCACTCGCAAGGAAGATATAAAAGATCGAAAACGCAACCGTGCGCTGCTGGAGAATACGAAGCGGCACCGTAGCATTTTCACCACCTCGCCATTGCGCTACTGCCCAGGCGATAATCAGTACACCGAATACCGTTAACAACGCGATCTCACGACCATCGCTCCAAGGTTCTTGACTCCCTCCCCACTGAAAGGCGATTAATAAACAGATGATGTCTGCAACAAAGAAGACAGTTCCGACGGGATCAAAATGGCCTAAGATCACAGACCAGCTTTCCTGCTTCAGCTGCTTTTCTGGTTGCTGTGAAGGCAAGAAAAACAGGATGAAGGGAATGGCTGTGCCGCCAATTGGTAAATTAACTAGAGTCAAGTCAGCTTGTGCCGCGCCAATCCCAAACAGTTTCGTTCTTGATCTCGTCCTAGATTCAGAACACATTTAACTCTCGGTTCTGAATCATAGGAGTTGTACCAATAGCTGTTCAAATTCGAGAGATCAATTTAAATTTGGCGTTTTAATTTTGGTTATTCGCCTTACAGGGATCATCGGCAGGAGTGCCTCATTAGTAAAAACTAGCTCATAAGCAGCAGTCTGCCTGGAGCAGTCTGCCAAGTGGTTCTTACTGTTAAACGCCCCTTGATGAGAACCATATAGTACTACCTGCCCCGGCCACAAAAGAATCCCCAACAGTTATCTTCCAAAGGTTTTTTAACTATGTGTACCGAATATCTTATTACTACAATTGTTGCCGGAGTGACAACAGTAGATTCAAAAATAGCCCCACGTTACCATACCAGAATTTAAAGTGAGCACTTCTAGGAAATAATGAAAAAGATATTCCTTAGGGTTCTCCTAGAAGGATCTCCAGAATACACTCAAGTACCCAATTACTAACATAAAAAGTCCCACCTTCTGAATACAAAAATATAGAATCCAACAGGAACGAGTAAAACTAATCGTATTTTTCACTTGCCAACCATAAAAGAGTTCTTTCTTAATTCTATTCGGAGAGCCTAACGTCCACAGGGTAGATCCTTGAGATCTAGCTAGACATTGTAAGGTGCTTTACCACCTATAAAGACGCTCCACAGCTACTCCATTTTTAAAGGAGGTTCGACTACATTGTCGGCAAGTCTTCGAAAGTTCACCCGGAAAGGCTCAGCTGACTCTTCATCAGATTCCAATAACCTATTATTTAAATCGTGTAGCTCGAAAAATATGCCGAGAGTTGGAGAGCACAGCTCGTCTGGTGGTAAAATTCCGTTCACGATGAGATTTATGACAGCGATGACAACTTGAGAATCTTGTACATCTTCGGATCCAAGCTTTTCGACGATACTTGTAGGAGCATGCAGCAAGCTTGCGTTTAATTCCTCGCAAAGCTTTTCCTTCACTTGGTCTGCATTCACCGATATCAAAGCTGCGCTAATATACTGGGCAACCTTTTCAGGACTGATTTTGAATTGGGGGTTCTCTTGTGCGGTGACTTGATAACATCAAGGTCGTATTAGCTTGCTGATCTTTCAAACACTTAGAATTAACATACACCATTCCATAACCAAAACCTCTAAAGCATTGCAATCTAACATGATGTGAAATACTCAAAGTATTGTTGTTGGTGATTTCGGAAATGTGCGATCGATGACAAGCGGCCGCTTATTTTGGTCACTTTAGGGGGCATTCGTACCTTTTACACTTGAGAATGAAAGGTCACTTCACTATGTCATCTTAGGTTTAGAATAATTTTTTCCTCTTGTTTCATCAAGGTGCAAATTTGGCAATGAAAATCTACTGTGGCTCGCTATCCTAAGCTAACTGACATATAGTTAATATCTTACTGTCTCAAGCCTATTTGATCACATACCAAATGCATCACCCAGCCACAAATTTTGATTAAAATGTAGTTCGTAGCTCATAGGCATCTGACCTTCTATTGCACCTCGAAAGGTTGACATTTTGGTATTGGAAACTTACGGAAAGAAGTGCCGAGCGCCTTCCCTATAGCCTTGAATGCGTGGCTAGGAACATTACTTGGAATAAATCTTCCATTCTTTTAGCTGATTTGCGAGGCTAATTCTGCGATAATGCATATTAGACATTTGCCTAACTTTCCAAGTAGTAGCCTATACTTACTACTCTGATCTGGATAGCCTGCTACGAAGGGCTCTGTTCCTAGCTTGCCAGAGGCTAACCAGGAGACAAATTATCACAAATAAAAACCAACTGAAGAAGGCATAAGGTGTGAAATTCAAGCTTTCAAATAAGCTCTTCCACATATTGAATTCCAGTGGTATCATGTAGTTGAACTAAGTCCTTGGGTATAACGAGATTATATCATATATTATATACTTCGGTACACCAAGAGCTTCCACAATTCTGATTGAAGCTCTGCCAGGCTTGATAGACGGGAAGCCTGAGCTATGATTGTAAATGAAATTGCAAGGTCGAATTGAAAGATCGTCAGCCATAAGAGAATTTCGGGCGTTGATATCGGCATGAACAATCTCAAAACTATGGAGTAAAACGATAGCATCGATAGCTGTTTCAATCCATTGATCACGAATGTGATCTCCGACATCCTCGTTGTGGCTTGCAAGATAATCACGTAGATTCCAGAGTTGTAGAAAGGGGTCTTACCGAACGAGCACTAAGCCAGATCCAGAAAAGCTTTCTAGCTTTTTTCTCGATGGGCCACACAACAATGATAACAGATGCTATCGTGGAAAATAGTTCCTGGTTAAGCTGAAGTGGAGGAATGGGGGAGGTGATTATACATATGAGGCTTAATCTATTCAAGGCTTAGCTGCTCAAATAGACTATATTCAACTATAGTAACATAGAGTAACTGTACTCGGCTCGGTCCGCGTTGTTGTCCTCTGGAGTGGGAGTTTGACTAAGAACTGATAAAAGACTCGTTTCAAGGTTGCTATCATGATCTACCCATATAAGATTTGTTGAATGAAACCATTTTCCCCATCAATAAAAAATTGATTCTGGCTCAAAATTGAAGATTTTTGAATTGAGACGCTGCCTTCCTCCCAATAATAAGCAACAAGCCAACGACACCAATGACAGTCATGAACGGATAGTTTTTGATAGGGTTGTTGTTGGAATTCCTGATAGCTTGGCCGAGTCGATAGACATTTGATTGGATGGAAAGAGGGGCGCGTATATTATGTAAAGCTTGAAGCACGCTTTGAGCAGTCTGAAATTTTCCATTCCAGCAGCCATCGATAATCCCTCCAAGCCATACACCATTTGTTCCAGGTAAAAATTCTCTTTTTGGCCAGCAAGGTCGACCATCAGCAAGAGATTGCTCTGCGAAGAGCTCAACTTGAATCGTTTCACCTGTTACAATTTCATACATGACCGTTCCAAGCAAACCGATGTCAATTTGAGTGTTGAAGCCACAGTCATCTACGGTCTTCATGTCAGAGTCCAAAGGTAGAATGGATGCTTCTGAGAAGTCGCAAAACTTGATAGAGAGGTCTGAATCCAGAAGAAAATTCCGACTCGCAATATCTGTGACAAGTATACACCTATCGTGGATGAATGTGAGTGTTCGAGTTATCTCATAGCACCATGAAAGCTGAAGTTGTGGGGATGGTCGGGATCTTGTAAGATAAGACTTAAGATCACCATTAGACATATAAGCAAGTTGTGTAGACTCGCTCAACATATCAATGCATTGAACAACTCCTATTGAGCGGTCGTCATAAGGCAAGTCTTGCAAGCGGCGATATGCTTCTTGTTCGTGCTTAAGTTTCTCGGTATTCGTTTGCACTTCGTATGGATCACTCCAAAGGCATTTCAAGGGGACCTTCACAGCAATATCACCCTGAAGTAATACGAGTGCTGAGCTTCCGCTTCCTAGTACATGTTCTTGGGGAATACAATTCCCTTGAGAGTCAAGGAAAGGTGTTGTCATAGTGAAAAGAATGAACGATTATTAAATATTCAAGGGGTTCAAATCATTTAAATACAAGATTCTGAGCACGTGACTGCCGCGTTCTGTCAGAATAAAGGCTTATTCAGCAGCATGTGGCACCCAATAGGGTCCAATTGTACAGATGTGTGTATGTGTGTTCAATTCTGCTAAATCTAAGAGGTAAAAATACAGTGTAGGTTTACGGAATCTCAGGCAGTAACGTATCCCGTAAGCGAGCCGCACATGTAAGCGGGCCGCACACCTACCCATCAACTAACATATATTATATACAATCATTCAACCAACAACAGAGATATTTAATTAGAACGACTTCTATCTTAGTTAGTACATGTGTTTCTCTTATGTCCAATATTGCCGCAATTTGTACACTTTGGCAGCGCTCTCCCAGTAGCCGATTTCCGCGCTTCCCGCCGCTCTACATCCACCACCTGCTCTGCTTCTACTACCTCTCTCTCTGTCTGTATACGCTGGCTTGCCTCGCTCACAGTCATTCCACCCTTATTAGCCATCTGCCTATGAGGTAGGGCACGCTTACGTGCCTGCCGCCCATTCTCAGCGCGTAAGTGCTCAATTTCATGAGCGAGAAATGCGCCGTTATGCATAGCAATCTCACATCCCTTAATCAGCTGCTCAAGCGCTTCTTTAGCTGGGCTGGGAGGTGTATATGACCTCTGTTTTAACAGCCTTTTGATTGATGAAGCCTGTCGTCGGATATCGGTAGGCTTATATGGTGTATGGGGGGGGTAAAGTTGCTGCTTCCACTGCTAGGGGGTGGTGTAGGTGTACGTAGCTTTATATCAAGCTTCTTAAGCACCCGCTGTGAGCTAAGCGGGATTAAGCCAGCTGCTAAGAAGCTATTTGAAATTGTAGCTGGCTTATAAGCTTGGTCCCGGGTAGATAGGTATATAGCAAGAAAATCAAGCTTATCAATGTGGTGTGTGCCATATCGAAGCTTCTGCTGGATAGCCTGCCCATAGATATGCTTTATCACACCAAAACACCCAACATCAAGAGGTTGAAGAAGATGGGAAGAATGGGCTGGCATATATAATAGTAGAATATGGTTTTCCTCACATATTTGATCAAATTCAGGTGTCAAGTGGCTGCCATGACCATCCATAATTAAAAGCCGCCACTTTCCATATACATATGTATTTGTATATGGTAAAAAGTGATTCCGGAGCCAATTCAATGTGATTTGATTGGTAGTCCAGCCATTATCACTAACATCTAATTACCAATCAGATGGTAGGTTTTCAGCCGAAAACCAGGCTTGGTTAAACATCTTTGCTTTAAAGATGATATATGGTGGCAGTGCCCATCCACAACTGTTGATTGTCTCAATAGCAGTAACCCATTCACAATTTCCAGATGTAAGAAGGTGTCTTCTTCCATAGTACTCAGCATGTGTAACAACATAGGATGTACTTGTCATACCTATAGCAAAGCCAGTCTTATCAAAGTTATAAATATCCTCATTAAGGATACCATATGTAAGAATAGCTTGCTGCATACGGTTAAACCACTCCGTTATAGTAGCTGGATCTTCACATAAAGCACGCTTATATTCATATCGACGTGATAGACGTGTCGCAAGCTCAGGTATCCGTTAGATATAATTATATACCCATTTGGTCCCAACTGTCTGCGGGGTGGTCTCTCCACGCTTTGCAAGTAATAAATTTGCCATCTCTCGTACCATAGACTGTGTAGGTGCTGCCCCACGTGTATCCATAGAGAGTATCCATTTCTGAAGTGATTCCTCTTCTAATTGGGTCAATTTATGACTATTTGCGCGTGTGGTTGATCGGGGTGTCGCGCCGTTACAGCGGTCGCGTAGGGTAGATACAGCGACGTCATATAGGCGCGCAGCACGTCTGAGCGTCAAATTTTTGTCATTTTTCATAGCTTGTATAGCAAGTAAAAGCTTTCCTTCTCGGCTATCTGATTTTTCGGCCAAGACAGCGTGCTTTGGTGGCATGGTTGCTGGTTGAAGATCGCGAGTTGTGTTTCGCGGCCGGAAAGTTGGTAGGTGTGCGGCCCGCTTACATGTGCGGCTCGCTTACGGGATACGTTAAGGCCTCTATCCGACACACCCCCTCAGCTGCAGCCGTCTTCGCTGTAGCTGCTAGGCCACATGCGAGGCTATTCACACTGCAATTTTCAGGTGCAAATTGAAATAAAAACAATAAAACGAATCAAAACACGCCCATTAGGGCTCGCTGATCAAGTGCCTGACGTCCACCAAGTTTAGCAGCCGAATAAAATTCTCATGCTTCTGACGGGGTAGGACTTTGGTTAGACCATCTGCTATCATGTCGGCGGTGGCTACCCACTGCACATGTAGCCTGCCGGCGGCTACCTCCTGCCGTAGCCATAGCCCATGGATCTCTACATGGCGCAGCTTGGTGTCCAATGGGTCCTCCGAGGTTATCAGAGCCACTGTCCGGGTGTTATCGCACTTGATGGAGATGGGGACGCCTGGATCGAAGTCTATACGTGAAAACATGCGTTTCCACCAGGCTAGTGACTTGCCTGCGTCTGATAGCGCCAGCAGCTCGGCTTCAGTGGTCGAGGTAGTGACAGTACGCTGCTTGGAAGCCTTCCAGTCCACAGGGCCACCGAAAATCTTGCAGATATACCCAGCAGAGCTCTTGCGGTCCACATGATCACCAAATGAGGCGTCACTAGACATCTGGACAGCGTCCTCAGCGTCCGCAGAGTATTCAATAGCAAGATATCGCGTCCAATACATATAAATTATGACTCGATCGACCGCTGTGAAGTGTTTCGGGCCTGGATTGACTAAGAATTGAGCCATTTGGACGCCATTTTAGCGGTGTCGACACGTGTGATAGTCGAAGGATAGTTGATTGAGCCAACTTTCTGCTGATACAGCCTGATTGAATCACGGTCCGCGGTGCCCTCATAGGATTCCAAATCCTCCAATACACCTGGTGTAGGCACACGGGGACGGTCAGTGAGGTTAAATTTAGCTGCCATGGCAGCGATATAGCTGTCCTGACAGAGCCAGGGCTTCTTCTGGGTCCGGTCCCGTATAATTCGGATGTTTAGAAACCACTCCGCGTCGCCGTGATCAGTTAAATTCCAGTGGGATTCAAGTGCGTCTTCTAATGCTCGGGCACGTGCTGATGCATGGGGCCAGGAGGCGATCAGAATATCGTCCACATAAAAGAATACGATAATGCCTCTGGTCACGAAAACGCATGGGTCTTCAGCAACTTGGTCCAATCCGAGTTTTTGCAAGACTCGTGCCGCCTCTTTTTGCCATAATTTGGGTGAAATTTGGAAAGCTTGGAATATTGAAGGGCATAAATTTTAAAGATCAATAAAATTCAATGGACTCTAATATTGAGCAAGCTTAAAATTAAACTACTATAATTTTGAATATCTACGGTGTTAGCAGGATATAAGGAATGGACTAAGGAGTAAATGAGCAAAGGTGCATAAGCGCCTTGGAACCTTAACTTATGGAACTTCTTTGCTGAAGGTATTGGTACGGTACAAGAATTTTGAGAAGTCATGTACATAGAGTTAACAGTCTAGCCAGACAGTAGACCAGTCAGTCTGAGTTTAGTCGGGATCCTAGGTCTAGCAAGACTACTGAGTCCAGCAAGACTTCTGGGTCTAGCAAGACTACTCATCTAGCAAAACTCATCGAAGGAGCATAACTTATTGGCAAAGGAGGGTATCTGAAGCTGTTTTACCTTAGGAGGGCATCATATCTACAGCTTAAGCTCCGGGATTCAGCTTGTGCAGTCATAGCCTCTTAGACCTCTGCAGTTTCAATAATGATGAACCCACATGATCTACATCAGCATTGGGTACAGTGATTACTTCGCTATATCAAAGCCATATAATTTTATCATGTTACTTTCCATAGTGCCCAGTGGGTAGCTGATCAGGTATACAGATGCCACTTTGGTGGCTATGTTATCACTAACAGTATATACCTAATAATATTGAACATAAGATGGTCAAATCGCTTCATCAAGTTACGTTTAAAGCAATCATTCACCATTACGAAAATTACCGTGTTATTAGATCTTACCTGTCCTTTATTACAGGCCTTCCCCTCTAACGAGTTTCCCAACTTACACTTAAGGATCATCAGCCAGTAAGCACTAGGTATCAGAGTCATATCCTCCACATCTCAAGAGATCACTTTCTTATTCACCATAACCTTCCAATCAATAATAATATACTAGATATAGTTTACTAGAAGCTCATAATCATATTACACTGCACCACTCCGATACCTAGAGCAGTCTAGGAGGTTCAGTCTTATTTTGGGATAAGACCTCCGGACCGTCCTTAGTAGAAGGGTTAGGTAAAAGACTAAATTTGCCCCTTGATATAGGCGTGCAACCAAAGTATCCTAGGGTGGAGGCATTTTGCCAGCTGTGATCGACAGAAAGGGAATCATAGGATTAGAGATTATAGTTATCGCAATTCGAGTTAGCACTCATTATTCTCGTGAAGGTTCTAAACATTATAATAAGATTCAACGTCAGCAATTTCCTCCAGTCATAGTCCAGCAAATCCAAGTCCAAATGTGAAGGCCCTGCCTGTTACACTAACCAATATGCTTACCCTACCTGGACAGTACTAGATTTACACCTGGCTTGTTCAAGAGACTTCTCACATTGAGAGATTGGCAAACTAAGATGCGAACGTGGCCAAGTTACCAGAGTGACTTTGGAACCCCCTTCTGTTTGTGTAATGAACTTGGCCAGATTAGGGTGGCACCTGATGGCTAGGCGAATACTCTAAGGATGGATCAAGAAGTTAGTTCACTTCGATCCAGCGACTAACACTTGAGGAGTGTTAGTTTGGGTCGACAGCGGTTCATGATGGGATGCGGGGGGGCTTGGCACCCGATTCGGACGGGTGAGGGGGGGCGGACAACTATAAAATCTGGATATAACATCATCTTTGTCTTCCTTAACCGCTTGCCTCGTTTGGACTCCAGTGAGCTGGGGATCCAAGTTCCTCAAATAATTGTTCATTATTGTACTGGAAGTAATACTATTGACTCGTACCCGATATCTCTCTGATTTACCTATCCATCAGGTGCCACCCTAATCTGGCACTTCTCCTCAAAATATAATATAGGTTAAATATTTTAATATAACTTTATAAGTTCATACCTCGTACGTAGCCTACTTTAGTGCCAGTGATCCATAGTGATCAAGCGACCCTGAAAAGATGGGAGATATGGTAGGAGAAGAAAAGGGGCCATTTATGGCTTAAAAACCTCCAACTGCGACAAAGTACTTCATGATCCACGGTTGAATCGTCGGGTGAACAATAATTGTTCAAGTAGGCATTTGCCTGCACTGTCCTGAAGAGGCCTGAATAAGGCAGCGAGCCGCCCACACCAGATTCGGGGGGCCCCAGGTAACCACCACTTTAGACATGCTGTTGTGTGTTTTTATTTTGCCTCTGTCTTTGAACTTCATTTCTGTCGATTATTTTTCATCTGCGTGATGACTGACCACCATATGCAGGTACCTCGTCGCTGGCATCACTATCTGTTCAGGCCCCAGCTACGTCTTCTCGAAAAATGCGGTCAAGATTCTAAGCAACGAAGAGATCCAAAAGCCCATTGCTGCGGCTGCTGCAACGAAAAAGGACTAAGGTTGTCCGCATTTCGCATGTCTCTTATCCACCTGTCTCCGAGTCCGATAGTTAAAGTGATGTTAACTAATTGTTTTTTTTTCTTCTGGTTGGCTACAAAAATCATATGAAATTTCTGTCGCAAGTATGTGAACTCAAAGTTTTCAAGCGATGCTGAACATTAAGTTCCTCATCAGCTTGGTTCCAGCTATTTTACTACATCGATGGATGTAAACTATAAATCACTTTATATCACGATTATTGTATAAAGAAGACTTGAAAGGATAACCATAAACCTCAATCTTGAATCTGCTAGTACTAGTGTCCAGTAGTCTCATGAGGGCTGTGAAGGCGATCACCTCAGGAAGGTAACTAAAGCCTATAAACTCCAAATAAGGAGCTCTAGATATCCAAGGCTGCTATCAGAGCAACACTTCTTAAAAGACTAGAGAGGCAGTATGCCCTTCCCTAGTTTAAAATCATCCCCCCCGGGGCACCATAGTACATATACGTCACCTTAGTTCATTCCACTGACCACTTTAAGCTTGCAGATATTCAACTAGACCCTTTAGTAGCCGCTATTTAAAGAAAAGCTCCAGAGAGAAAACATACAGTGAAATCCCAACTTCAGCACCAACCCCAAAAAGCCCCTTGATTATGTCCTGATGCGAATCACTCGGACTTGTACTGCTGTAAAAAACCAGCGCCTTCCGATAAGTATCTGGGTTTCCTTCGGCATAGCCCTTGGCATCCATCATAATCTCATCGTACACCGGAGTTTCGTGCGCCTCGAACTTGTCGTTCCCCAGATCACGCATATCAGTAATAACACCATCTTTTGCATCTGGGCTCATATGATATCGTGCCCATAATGCATCACCATAACGTTTTTCGGTGATAGCCGTGCAGTATTGGGAAGTCCATGGTTCAAATCTTGGCATGCGTATCGTCATATCAAGGAGATCAGAGACTCGATAATCGAGGAATAAAGGTTCGGGTAAAGGCTCAGAGGACCTTTGATGAGCCATGGACCTTAAATGAGCCATATCTTCAATCCAGAGTATTTATTTTGGACTGAGTTGTCAGAAATCCGCTCTGTTATAGTAGAATGTGAAAAACTTGGAAGACTTGATGGGTTCTAGGTTGAGTGATGTGTGGAAGAGGGAAGGATAGGCAATCAGGCTAACGGCAACTTTGGAAGACCGCTTTCCATTCTGCCAGATGCCCAGGTGTCATTGGACTATTCCTGATTGGGTATTTTGAAGAAATATATAGAGCACTGAATATGATGACTACCAAAGTTGTAAGTGGGCCATAGGATATAGCTTAGGTTGGATAGTTCTCTTAGGAATATAATACTAGTGTATGTACATAGCCTTCAATCTTTCCCTGGGCTCTATCCAACCTTAGAAGTCGTGCTGTTATACTAAATTATCTCCCACTATATCGAATGGATATATGGCATGTCTACAGTGGCCGGTATCGGCCGTTTGGTCTTTCCCTCATCGGAAAAGTGTATTTTTAATCACTAGCAGTACTAGTACTTTCAAGGGGGTTAGTGTCATATTAGAAAATAGACTTGGGGAAGGGAGATAGGAACTTGGAGGTGGAGTATGAGGTGATACCTGCAGGGAACAGTGGACCAGTGATCCCATGTTCTAACACGTAGGACTTGGAAAATACCAATCCAAAATTTGATATAGAACCTTGGAAGACTACAGTGACGTTGAATAAGTTTGGGAAACAATTTTTACCGCCTTTATTACCACATTCTACTTAAGGTTAGCGCCAAAATACACCAAGAACAAAATTGACAACAATATTCGCAGTCGTACCAATATGCCGTTTGTTTTATTACGATAGAATTTAATAAATCGTTCAAATGGTCCTGAATCATGCAGGCCGGAGGTGCTACACTAGTTATTGAATTTATTGCACCTCCCGGCAGAAAAGTATATCGGCAGAAGAAAGACGGTAAAAACCGGTCTTAAAACTATTCGAAAACCACGGCAGGCAGTAGTAGTGAATCTTACCTGTGTACTGGCTAGCTACTGAACAATTGAAAACACCCAGAGGGGACTTCTCTAGGCCATGCACACTAGAGAAGTATAGAGGATAAAAGACATAAAAAACCTGAATAACAAGAAAAACTGAGCTTTTATCTTCGGCTATGATCTGTACCACCTGTCCCCACGACAAAATCCACCTGTATTTTGAATGTGTAATAAAACCGTACATATATCCATGGCGTCAAGGCTTAGAATGAAACCTTGAGTTCACTCTTAAATGCAAGCGCAACATCAGGGCGTACAACCAGTGGACTTGCTACTTAAGCACACTTTGCGATGTCCAGCGTTCTTTGGTGAGTAGCCCGACACCCAGAGACCATAACAGCAAACTCTTGAGCGTTGACAGTCCTCAAAGATAAGTACAGCAACCGCGTGCGCCTTCTCCCATGTGAGGTCGGCACCACTTCCATATTCTCCCACACGGAGCCAACAATTTTCATAGAAGTCAAGCGTTCGGATGTCGCCAATATCAATGGTCCACTTGTCCATCAGTTCTAGCACTTCGTAACAGTACGACCGACGAGCAGTATTTTTATCGCTGCACTTGATGTTATACGTGACCCGCGCCTGAAGGGTATTGAGGTCCTCTTTTAACACATTCATAATGATATCCACCATTTCACGGTGTCCATCGTATCGACTGGTACCATTGTATTTTTTGGCAACTTCAGCAAAGTGATCTGGGTTACCGGCTCGGTATCCAATGGCATCCTCGTGTACTTCCTCAGTCACAGTGGTGTTATCAGCTGCAATGATATTTCCCGTGGCTCGGCCGTCCATATGGTATCGTGCCCATATGGCGTCTCCGTATCGGCCTTCACGCATGGCAGATGCGTACGATGCATCCCATGGCGATCGAATCCATGAACCTGCAGTTCCGTTGCCAACCGCATCAACATCTAGTTCCAGGAACAAGTTGTCTGTTTTTCCGGCATTTTTTGCTTGTCTCAGGGAAAAAGAAAGCAAGGCTCGCGGTGAAGATCAAGCCTTTAATCATTATGACGGTGAACTGGACACAATGATTGGAAGATAATATTGAGGTCAGGTTCAACTAGAGTTTTTCAGGTGGTGTTGAGTGAAAGAGAGAGAGAGAAATTGTTTTTTAACAGCCATGAAAGCATGCTCAATTCCAGGTATTTAAAGTGGCATTTGTTGCTTCACGGGAATCCATGACACATGGCCGGCAGTCTAGTGCTCGTATTATTTCATTATTGGAAACGTAAGAAAAATTAAAGTGGATCTAATGTCGCAGTTCCAAGTTCAAATGAAGTCCTCAAGTAGCAGAGTCGGAATTCCCCTGGTACTAGCATGTATGGATCTTTGTTGATCTCACTTTATCGCGAAACCCTATTCAGCCCTAGCGTGATGTATTTCGATCTCGTGTTCCAATATTTTCTAACCATATAGCTTTATCTACAGAAAAATCTAATGTTTGCAAGGTATCAGCTACTACAGTTTCCTAGTAGATAAGTGGAGCTCAATGAACTTGAAATATGTATGCCAGGGAGAGTACCTCGGTATGTATCAAATGAATGTTGGTTCGAAGAACTTTTTACAATTTAGGACTATTTAATTGGGGGGAATGAATACAGAGATCCTCTTTCAACTAGTAGATACTAGGAACTGCTGGTAATAGAGTCATCATTATCATAGTCAGAACATCTGGACCTCGAGATTTGCACATGCACATGCAATAGCTTCAAATTATTATTGCTTCACTGAGAATTTTCAATATGAGGATACCTATATTAGAACTTCCTTTACTTCCTCTTCTATATGATATGGTTCGGTTCAAGGAGCCTGGTATCTAGCAGGGATGCCAAATTGGCCGAGACAGTACATGAGTACATGATCCTGTCGTTCTTCCAAGTTTGCCTTGGGCGGGGTCCATACGTACCTCAGATTACGCAACACCTTTAATTGCATGCAGCTATCGACTAGTGGGATTTGGAGCAAAATTTGAGGAACTAAAATGTTTATAGAAGTACCTCCGAGTCCGTGATGTGCTGAGTAACTACTAAAGAATGCAAAAAACGCTCATATGCTTCCGATTTATAAGAAGAAAGTGAGAGGGAAGCAAGAGATTTACATGTTGATTATATGTAGAGAATTTTCTTGAGTGATTACCCTCAAATAATCCATAGATAATTTGTTTTCTTCTCTTGGTGTTAGCCTTGGAGGCTAAGCTTACACTAACTAGTAATAGCCTGCCCGATAAGCTCGCTAAATATGACACATACAATTTCCTAGGTTGGCTCCACATAGGTAGAAAATCAAATAACTTTAAGGGTTAAAGAAGTATACATGTGGAAACTGAAAATCTTCCCGAGTTCATTTACTAGAGCCAGTCTAAATCCTTCGCTTCTATCCCTCTGTAAATGCCTCAACGCTCGCGAAGCTACCATACGGTCCATAAATCCTTGGGAAATAAGGACGTATTGTGAAGTAGTACAATACAAGCTCTCACGCTATGCTGACGTGGCACTATAGCAACAAAGTTGGGAAAGATACCTAGGCATGTCCAAGTACTCACTAGCATCACTCAAGCGCTTGGCCAGGAAACTCGGACAAATGGACGCCGCCGCATTACATATTGTAGTGGGGTACCATGTCCCCTACTATGTATGTGTATCATACCGGGTTGTTACATTTCGGTATTATTTGTATTTTCGGTTATGTCATTGTACGTACAAGAATGGCGTCAAGAATACACATCTCTGATCTGACCCTATGGGTAGTCCACACACACATTGCATGTCGGTTGGTGTTGTTCATACAGTCTAGCTGGATCGACCCGTGTATCTTTAAGTACACAGCCTCACGGTTCCCCTCTTCAATATATACCCGCCTTATCAGACCAAGTTCCAAGACTATAAGCGCATGTGCGCCTATAGGTGGTACACCTGAGGCTCCCCATGCCCAGGTGTGTTCAGATTCTCTCAGACAGCCATGCTCATACTGATCAGATCACTGCCCAGTGCTACGAACTGGCTGTCAAACAACGTGAGTATACACAAGTGTGTGTCCGATTCTTACCGCAAGCCGTTATCCTGCAACTGTACCGTCGCTGTGCAGGCCTTACACGGGCTAGAGCCTTTAGGAATCCTTGTACGGTAATGCTTGATCAGGGGTTCGCTAATAGGTCAGTTATGAAGGAGCTCCCCTTCTACTCAGTGGTTGTCTTGAAGAGATGATTTTGATGAAGCAGAGTATCAATCTATTGAGAACCCTCTGCATGTGTAATATAGCTGGCATTTGAATGGTTTCCTCCCTAGCATACAATATTTGAAGATGGTAGCCTTTCTTCCAAGGTTATATATCGAAAAGGACTAGTTTATCAGTGTACCCAGATATCAGTATATATACCCACACTTGGTTCGTGGTAGAACCTTCAATCATCTTTCGTTGGATCTCATTATTGTCATGCTCAAGTGCTCTTCAAAGTCTACAATATAGTTCAGATATCTCAGCGTTGGGTCATACTCAGTCCGTCTTCTCAATTGATGGAATTTGTGAGTGAAAGGAGAGAAATGAACAAAAATAAAGGAGGTTTGAGGCCACCCAGGGAGGGTAAAGATTTCAATTGCGAAAATGTAAATTTCGACACACCGGCTGCACGTTCAGGTAAAGAAGATTCAGGTGGGTGAATAACTACCCGGATAGCCCTGAAGAGGCCTGAATAGGGCGGCGAGCCGCCCACGCTAGATTCGTGGGCGCTAGGTGACCATAAGCTTAGATATGACTGTTGTATGTTTTTGCTTGGTTTGACGTTTTGCATTATTGATTCGTTCGGAAATTGTCTCTTGCCGCCCTACGCTTCAGCCCTTTCAGCCGCCTTCACCTGAATGCCCTGAACACCACTATTTTGCACCCTTATATCCTGCACGTGACTGAACCGTTGATATAGCCTTCCCCTCCCCATGCCGACTTCTACTCCCATCATACCTGAAGCCCAACCATGTAATAGGTTTTTCATACATGTATAGCGTGAATGACACAACCTCGCATCCAATGACATCTTAGCAGTGATTATCCACTCGAGCTGTTTTGTCTTGGATATGAAAATAACCAGTTGCCCCAGCCCTGATCTAGTCCCACTTCTACTTTTCTCCCACCTTGTCAACTTAGTACCGATTCATCTTGCTTCATTTTCAAGCCACAATGACGAACCCTGCAGACAAAATTATTATTGAAGACGATAAACAAAACCCAATCCGGGATCCGCCACCACCTAGCCTGCAAATGTCCACAAATCTAAAATCTCTCCATAGGGATATACTTAAATCTCAACTATGGAACCAAACGAGCTTATGTCTGGAGTTCTAACGTCTCTCGCAAACACAAACAGAACAAGAAGAACATTCAAATATTTTTGTATACCTTTTCTAACATTCTCACTCTACCTAAGGCTTATTATGGACCAGAATAATACTTTCAAGACATTTTTAAGATAGTTGATCGTAAAGTCAATTCTTTACGATAGGAAACCCAAAAACTTCAGCATAAGCTTAAACTAGTGAAAGAGAAGTATCAAAGAATGTAAGAGGATCTTTACCATAAAAATAGATCATTTTGGCCTACCCAGTCTACTACACGCAGTAAGATTGTTAATTAGCCATGCTATGTGGACACTTTATTTGTGAGTCATTTGTAGGAAGTATTGATCCAAAAGTATACCTTCTCTACAGAAAATGCTTTTTGGGATACATTATATTTTATCCATGTGTAAGATAGAGGTATAGAAAACTACAACTTGAGCGGAATCACTGTAAGGATGGAGTTTGAGTTTCTATGTTAACTTGATGATCTGTAAAGGGGTACAATTCTGTTGAAGGTCTATGGAAGGGTCTCTATGTTTTGAAAAAAAATAAGCAGGTGGCTTTGATGAAGAATCAATGAACTTGAAGCGATATAATGAAGTGGCTTTTGTAAAGTCACTAGTAAAATTCAAGATAATCTAAGGAGTAACAATTTGCAATTAAACCCTTCCTATTACTGTAGTCTCTCTCTTCTATAGATCCTAGGCTATTTAAACCAATCATCTAAGGGATCGATCAAAGAAAATAAATCATGAAGATTTCTCGTTCAGCGAATCTGCATGATTCCAGTTCTCCATGTATAAAGCCTTCGATAAATGTTTCGCCAATCAGTGAATACTTTCTTGATTCTGCAGATTCTCGCACAACAAACGGTATTCTGGCCCCTTGCATAATACAAAGATGGTCACGTCCCTGAATAGTCACAGGGCCCAGTCCAAGTAATCGCTGAGCACCTATACCATAGCAAAAAAGTTTTCGCATTGTTCTTCGCAAGACCTATGAGAGTTAATTGTAGTCTTTATATCCGACTAACACCGAAGCTATTCAAAATCATAATATTTTAGTATTAAGCCTACAATACCATTTTTTGCTCCTCAAATTTTCCATTTATTAATTTTGATATCCCTCAAATGTTATTGATCGCTATATTCGAAGCCTAAAATTTGAATGGTCTTTATCGTTACAACGTCTTTAAAATCCGGTTAGTCCAAAATTGAAAGGTTATCAAATGTGGGCATCTTCAATATCTTTACAGTAAAATAAAAACAAAGATGAGTCATTAATTTTATCCAGCCAAAGGAGGAAACGCGTCAAGAAATTAGTATATGTAGGTTCATGCAGGTTAATGGAGGTTGAGCCTCAATAAACCTCTGGAGGTTAATGAGCGGTTGGAGGTTAGAAAGGTTGGCCTCACCTCTTGAGGTAAGGTTCGAGGTTCCGGGGTAGGGACCCATGCAGAGGTTCAAAGCCAGGTCTAACATCAACACACCGAGCCCTATATAACTGCTATAAATCCGGGCTATTATGGCTTGATTTACTTGACTAAAATAGCTTGCATTTATTGTCATTCTTCTTTATTCCTGTGATCTTCTATGAGACTAAAAAGACAACTCCCGCACCGCCTACGCATTAGGGATTTTTGATATCACCTTCTCACAGATTGACACTAACGACGGCGCATTCACAATCTCCAGTGTGCTCAAATTAACACCCAGCTCGATGCGCAACCAATTGCGGAACTCCACCGCCGCCAGGGAATCGATTCCATATGTAGACAGGGGACGCGCCGCGTCCAAAGCTTCTGGTAAGCGCAGACTCGTCATCAGGTACCGGTTTAGCACATCGACGGTGACTTCAAGGACTGCAGCTGGCTCAGCCTTAGAGCGTAACACAACAAATATGGCTTGGATGTCTTTCGAGTCCGAAAGCGTCTGGCTTTGCTGCCCGCTCTGTTGCAGATATAAGCAGGCGAAGCGCGCGTCACGGAGCAGGAACGAGTCTACGGGCTGAGGGACTTGGATGCCAGTTACCATGTTGGCGTTGCTAGTAACGTTGATAGGGTTAGTGTCTTGCTGCATAATTGAGAAGCCGAAGATACGTCGCAGGAGCCGCTCGTTAATAGCGTGCCACAGCGTTGCATCGTAGCGGTCCTGCAGATCGTCACGCTCCGCCATGTATCCGACATCCTGGATTACCCCCAGATTGATAGAGCAGGCAGCTAGTCCAAGTCGGCGTCGGTAGGAGGCAAAAGCGTCAAGGAAGGTGTTCCCCGCCGCGTAATTGGCTTGTCCTTTGCTTCCGCAGAGACCCGAGATACTGGACAGCATAGTGAAGAAGTCCAGACTCAGGCCCTGCTCGAGCGCGACCTGGTGTAGATTCCATGTTCCGGGCACCTTGCACCCGAGTGCCGTGTGATAATCGTCGAGGCTCATGCCTGCGAAGGTGCGATCGCGGAGCACCATGGCGCCCTGCACAATGCCCCCGATGGGAACCCGCGTGGCAGCAAACGCCGAGCGGACATGGCTCAGGTTGGTTACATCCCCGCAGAGCAGATCGACCTGGCATCCTAGGGCGTGGAGGTCTCGGACAGTTCTTTGGGACTGCTTGTCCGCGTGGCCGCTCCGAGTTAGCACAGCCAGATGCTTGGCCCCGTTTTGTGCTAGATAGATGGCCAGGCTGGCGCACAGTCCTCGAAGACCGCCCACAATCAGGTAGCTTTTGTCGGGTGACAGGCTCATGCGCCGTGGGGCCGGACGCACGAGAACTTCTACATTCGCGTTGGGCCCATCGCTGATGACCAGCTTGCCAATATGCTTTCCGCTGCGCAAGAGACGGAATGCCGCCGGGATGTCACGGAAGGAGAAGATGTGCATTGGGGTGATGGGGCTGAGGTGGCCGCCCTCCATCAGCGCGAAAATATCGGCCAACAAGCTGCAGTGAGGTTAGTTTCACCCTCGGCATATGGACGAGGGTATGAGGAAGGAATCGAGATAATGAGCTTACCTCGCGATCGTATCATCTGTGATCTCTTTATGCGACAGGTCCAGGGCTCGGAATGAGGCATTGCGATTGAACGGTGCCATTGCAAGGCTGCTTCGATCCAGGATATCCTTCTTGCCGATTTCGACCATGGTTCCGCCGTCTGCAACGATGCGCCATGACTCATCCAGCAAGTCGCCGGTCAGCGAGTTTAGGATCACATCCATTCCCTTGCCGCCCGTATAGGCCAGAATCTGCTCGGCAAAGGCCTTTGTGCGTGACGAGAAGATTCGTTCCTCAGGGATGCCGAACTGGGTCTTTAGGAATTCTCGTTTCTCTGAGGTCCCCGCGGTCGCGTAAACCTGAAGAAAGGTCAGTAGTCTATCACTCTCACAGGAATGGGGAAATTGGACTCACCTCCGCACCCTTGTACTGGGAGAGCTGAATGGCCGAAAGGCCCACTCCTCCGGTGGCCGAGTGGATCAGCACGCGGTCCCCCTTCTTCAGATGTGCCAGCCGGTATAATCCATACATCGAGGTCATGAAGACGCATGGTATAGTGGATGCTTCCTCGAAGCTCATGCTGTCGGGAATGGAATACACTCGTTGAGTCGTGGTGATGATGCGGTTGGCAAACGATCCTTTCTGGAAGAAGGCCACGCGCTGCCCCAGCTTGAAACCCTTAACATCTGGCGCCATACGGGTAATGGTGCCTGCTCCCTCTCCACCCAGCAGATGTTCATTATCGGGGACGATACCCACGGTGACAGCCACCTCTTTGAAGTTGACCCCGGACGCATAGATCTCGATTTCGACGTGGTTTGCCTCCAGGGGCAAAGGAGCAGAGCTCACCTCGTTGTATCGCACGGCGTCGATATTTCCAATCCGCTCAGCCCTCAGTCGAATACAGTTGAGGGCTGCATGGAGTTCCATCATCTGCCCCGGCCGACCTGTAGCCTCTTCCTTCTGGGCCTCGTTGACTTTCATGTCCGGTAGAACCCGACTGATGTGAACAATGCCGCCGCGCTCGACATACTCACTATCCAGGTGTGTTCGGCGGCCTTCATTCGCAGTCAGGATATGCAGGCAGCGGTCAATGGCTTCTACCGTCGGGTTCTTTGCGGTTGGGGACTCAACATCTAGCGAAATTAGCCGCAGCAACGGCTCCTCGTTCCGGAGTACGCGAAGGAAGCCAATGATCACCGCTTGGGTGGGTTGGGCTACCTCCATCTGGGCCCCTGATGTCACCCACAGCAGGTCGCATTGGTTCTGGACGAGGAGCTGCAGCATCGCCCATTGACGGTCATCCAGTTTGGACATGACGGGCCCCTCTAACTCGTCTAGCACCAGGACTTTGCTCCGGGGCGGCACTTGCTCTGCCTCCCACACGGGAATGCTCTCCCATCCGCCCGCCTGGGACAGAGCCGTGTCAATCAGCCCGCCCAGGGTGCTGTCTCCTGTCCGGAACCGAACGCGATAGACCTTACGATGCTCTGCCTGTGCCAGACGAGCGACCTGAACCAGAGTGACTGTACCAGCGGACCACACCTTCGCCCATTCAGACGCCCGAGTCGCCGCATGAACGTCCAACCGCGACCTCTCATCCGCATGGACAATCAGCCCAAATCCAGTCTCCGTCAGGCTACTGTGAAGGTTTGCCAGGGCCTGCCCCAACCATGGGCCAGGCTGAGCAGGCAGCTTGATGACGATAAGGTCGAACTGCTGGCTTACCGGGATCTCAGCGGCGGCGAAACTCGAGACCGTGAATTTCGCGTACGTTGCGGAGGGATAAGCGTTCTGGATGGCAACGGTCCGATTGGCATCGCTGGACGTGAATTGGTATTGCGTGCATGCGGCCCGCGTCACGTTGTCCGCCTCCAGCCACAGACTGCTGGCGGGTGTCTCCAAGCCCAGATCAACCTCCAAAACAGTTAATCCTGGATTTTTGTGCGCAATGGTGTCAATCAGCCCCTGAGCCACTCCTCTCTCTGTGCCGAAGCCAGCCACCAGCTGGTGGAACCCAGCTTCTGAGAGTAACGTCATGTCCGGGGCCCACTTTACCTGCAGGTACGAGTGGGTTAGTCGGGTCTCCGGACTTGAGCTGTCGAGTTCCGTGTACCGCAGGCCCTTCATCTCAAGCAGGAGGCTGCCATCTACTGGGTGGAACACGGCCGTGGATGCCGAGTAGTTCTTCGCCACGTCGGCTCTCCCGATACCGGTGAACTCGGACTTCGCGACGGCAAATGCCTCAGCAGGAAGATCAGAGTTCGACGGTATTACCAAACTGTCAATAGAGAGGGGGACCAATGCCGCATCGACGGCGCTTCTGTCGCCCTTCCAAGCGGATGATAGCACCGTCTGAAAGCATCCATCTATGCAGGCCGGGTGAATCGCGTAGCTGGACTGCGGCCAAGCTGAGTCGGGCGCCTCTAGCGAGACTGTCGAGCGACCAGATTGCTGACCGGCTTGATACTCCATGAAAAGATGCTTCTGGAACGAGGGCCCGAAGTTGAACCCGGCCTCCCGCATCGCCTTATACCAAATACGGGCAGACACAGGCGTTTGAAGCGGTTCCAACGCCCCGATTGGGGCTGTGGTGTTGGGGAATTCCGTCTCGATGCGAATAAATCCCGAGGCATGGTCATGTATTGTCTCCTCTAGTCGAGAGGAGACCTTGTACTCGTACCACGACTTACTTGGCATGAGGTTTAGAGTAACCTTAGAGTCATAGGAGGTGTCCAGGACTAAGGCACGGAAAAATTTCATATCACGCAGGCGGAATCGGTACCGCGCGGGCACCCCGTCAGTCCACTCAGTTAGGCACATCGTCTGGTAAATTGCCTCCATGGCCATGGAAACATAGCCTGCACCGGGAAATACGACTTGATCCCCGATCCGGTGGTCCTTGAGCCACGGGTGGTCGTTAAGGCGCAAGGTATTTCTCCAGGTCGGAGCCTGCCACGGGGTTCCGAGAATTTTGGTTCCGAGCAGATCATGTTTGAGAAAGGGCCGTGCACGCCAGTCCTTACTTGCCTGGCTTTCATGCCAGTATTTCTTCGAGTGATTCCACGCGTAATTTGGAAGGTCGACCAGGGTGGATGGCGGGTCCTGGAGGCTGTACTCGTTCACCTGCGCCAGGTTGACGATCCCACCAGCCGTGAAGAGCCGCCCAGCAGTGTGATACAAGGCTTGCAGTGTTTCAGTGCCTCGCTGAGCGGCGGAGGTATAGATTGGGGGCCCTCCAATGCTGGACGCGATGGCATCGATGATCTGGGCCACCGGTCCTTTCAGCGCATTCGACGGGCCGACTTCGATCAGGAAATTGACCCCGTCTTTACCCTTCAACATCTCGGATGCTGCCTGGTCGAATCGAACCTCTGATACCATATTTTCCAGCCAGTATGTCGCGTCAACAGGGTCCTCCAGCGCCGCACCAGTCACCGAGGAGAACATGATCGCATCCGTGCTCTTTGTCTGTGATGCCTCGATTCCATGAGCCTTTAGCATCTCTAGGTACCTTTTGCCGATGCTGCTCATATACTTGGAATGATAGGCATAGTTGACTTGAAGTAGACGAGCGAAGTGATTCTCCGCCTGTAGCCGCTCTCGCAACCGTTCCAGGGCAGCCACTGTCCCGGAGACAGTGAGACTCCGCGGGCTGTTAAAGCAGGCAATCTGGACCGGGTCGTCATCGGAATCGATGAAATCCTCAATCTGATCGGCGCTGACGCCCACCGCGAGCATACCAACTGCCTCTTGAGGGGGCAGCTGCTTCCCCGCCTGGCCGCGGAAGAAGGCCACCTTGATGGCCGTCTCGGGTGTCAGATAGCCGGCCGCCACTGCAGCCGCAATCTCCCCGGAAGAGTGACCCACAACCCGCGCCGGTCGGATGCCCCACTGCGACAGGACGCTTATCAGAGCCAGCTGCAGCGCGGTGACCAGCGGCTGGGAGAACTCTGGCTCGCGAAGGTGGGCTGCATCTCGATCCTCGGTTAATTCCGACACCAAAGACCAGGAGGGCGGTTCTGGAAGAGACTGCAGAATTTTGTCCAGGCTCTCGACGACTCTGCGTGCGATGGGGAAGGCTTCCAGGAGCTGCTTTCCCATTGCGGGCCACTGAGCGCCTTGCCCAGTGAAGATGAAGCCGATGCGGATGTCCTGCCCCAAGGGTTTCGCTACTTGGAACGCATCTGATGTAATCTGAGTGTCTGTCTGCAGACTGTAGGCACGGTGATATAGTTTGCTTCGACGCTCGGAGAGAGTGAATGCCAGATCCTCTAAACCAACCTGAACGCCTGGGTTGAGGATGTGTGTAGACAAGCGCTTGATGGAGGCCTTGAGGGAATTTTCGTCCTCAGCGGACAAGACGATCACCTTCGGCTTGGTGAGTGATGAGCTCAAGGCCCCCAATTCTGCAACGAGATCTTCATCATCGCTATCGTCGAAGAAACCCTCGCTAAAGCCCTGCCCATTGGCGAAGGTGGACTTGTATTTAGGGACCCGATCGCCAAGGAGGTACTCCGGCGCCTCGATAATGGCGTGCCCGTTGGCTCCACCAAACCCGAAAGAATTGATGCTCGCGCGTTTCTTCGTGCTTGCGGGCCAGGCCACTGCGTTGCGTGACGCACGCACCCGGTTCTTCTCAAAGTCGATCTTGGGATTGGGCGTGATGAAGGTGGCGGTCCCGGGGATGATTCCCTGCTCGACGGCGAGCACAGCCTTAATCAGTCCCGAAAGCCCAGCTGCGGCCTCGGAGTGCCCTATATTGCTCTTGACGGACCCAATAATGAGCGGCTGAGCGGCAGACTTACTTTCAGCAAAGACTGATGCAGCGCCGTCCACCTCAATTGGGTCGCCGACCAGCGTGCCCGTTCCGTGGCACTCAAGATAGCCGGTCTGCGACAGCTCGGCCTCTGGAATTCCCGCGTTGGCGTAGGCCATGCGGATGGCGGCCGCCTGGGCCTTGCCGTTCGGCATGGCGATGCCGGGCGTCCTGCCTGCACTGTTGGTGGCTGTGCCACGAATGATCGCGCGGATCGGGTCCCGGTCCCGAACCGCATCGTCCAGGCGTTTGAGGAAGACGGCGTTGATAGCCTCCGCCGCGACGTATCCATCGGCCTTGGCATCGAATGTGTGGCATTTGCCCGTAGCGGAGGCAGTGGGACGCATGGCACCCATGTCTTGGTTTCTCTCTGGGCTTAGATACATGTTCACACCCCCAACGAGAATGCCGTCGCACTGGTTTGTGGAGAGGTAGAGACAGGCCATATCCAGGGCAATCAGGGTGCTCGAGCATGCCGTATCGATGGTCATACTCGGACCGTGAACGTTGAGGTAGTGGCTGATGCGGTTACTGAGCAGTGCACGACCGGTGCCCATCGTGGGAGACTCGGTGCGGTCCTCAGGGTCCCGACAGGTCATATCATGGTAGTCTTTACACTGGTTATTCATGCCGCCTCAACCTAAGATACGGGGAAGATCACTCACCCACGGCACTCGCTCCCACCAGACATCCAATCCGCTTGCCTCCCAGGCTCTCCACGGGGATACCGGCATTTTCCAGGCACTCATATGCCACCTCCATGAGAACCCGTTGCTGGGGATCCATCGAGCTAGCATCCATGTGGTTGATGTTGAAGAACTGGGCGTCGAAGTCGGCCGGGTCGACATCCTCGAGGAACATCGCCCCGGGCGTCTTCATGGTGAAGGGTTTCTTGGACCCGTCATAATGCCCATCCAAGTTGAATCGGGTGCCGGGTGGCTTCGTCTCAGCCACACCCCCGCGGGCCATGAGGTCCCAGAGATCTTTAGGAGTGTTAACATGCCCTGGTAGACGACATGCCAGACCCACAATGGCTATGGGGGATCCGGATACCACCGTGGGTGCGGTATCTTCAGCCGTATGTCCGTTGATGTGCCCGTGGTGACCATTGGTTTGGCTATGAGATGGCACAGACGAGAGCAGCTGGCTCCCGGATCCTGAGTCTATCATTGTATTCAACCGGGCGAAACAGAAAATACAAACGCAATCTACCTAGGTATGTTTCCACAGCGGTCTATGAAAACCTTTCAAGTTTGGAAGCTGTACTACATGGGTAGAGCATTTGAGTATCAATCGCACCTTTATATAGGTGCCAAACGTTCTCATCTATGAATATGAGAACGTTCCTAGGTAGGTTAGCACATATCCATGGATGGATCTAAGATGTAAGCCCGACGGATAAATCCACCCCGACGTTCATAATCCCTGTCTACTTTCACTACATTGTTCTCTAGTTCTCTAGTTCTCTAGATAGGCTAGGCATTCCGCTCGGGCCTTATCTAGGCCCAACGGTATCAAGATCCCTGCTCCCCATAGGCAGACATGACATGGACGGAGTCGAAACCTCAGCGGCTCGGCCGGCCTGACCGAACATGCAAAAAAGACCGCCTGATTACGCATCGGGGGCCTTCAAATGTTGTCCAACCAGAGCGCGATCCATGGTGGATTCGCCACGTGTGCACAGAACACAAGGGAAGCAAGATAACACACATATAAAATACCCATTTTATCCAATGAATCTCATAGGTCCTCAAACTTACTAGTGGTTACATCCTTCAGCACTAGTACTGCATTGTCACTCTTGATGAAATAGCTCTGGAGCTTTGTCAGTGAGACTATATTGGCGGGATGCAGTGTCAGCTCAAGGATCCTTATGCAGGTCGCGCAAATCGCATATTGAAAATTTCGGACGGTTTGCAGCTCGGATAACCTTAGAGGGAGCTTCAGGCCGGAAGGATCTTAGTTCCAATCCCCTTGGTTGTTTCCCGCGCTGAGTCCCTTACGAACCTCGGCGACTAGACCTGCGCAAATGGGACCTATGGGATTTCCAAGGTTGATATCTACCCAAACCACAACTACTAGTAGTTATCAATACCAATTGATCTGATCTCATCCTAAGGTTACAGCATTGAGTCAGATACCTTACTATGTAGGTAACATAGTGCCTCATCTCCAGGGTCGGCCACAGTTTCCCAAACTACTACGTTCCAAGGTTGAGGGTTATGAACCTGATCGAATAATCATTCAATTTGAAGTCTACCCACTAACTAGGTAGCGAGTACGCTTGCTAATATTTGAATGTAAAAATCTTTGGGTTCAATTAAGTACCTTTCGTACAAACTCAACCTGCTTCTCCATCGCCACCGCCAGACTCTCGCCATCCAAGATGTCCATGTGCCCTCTTCCCTCGACGACAAATATATCCCTTGCCCCGCCTTTGTCACCATCCTCTTGCTGCAAAGCCTCCAGATACGCCTCCTTTTGCCGCTCGGCTGGTGAAATACGATCCTCTGCCGCACTTATGAGGAGTACCGCCGTTTTCCCCATCAACCGCACCACCTCAAATGGACTCCAACTCACGATATTATAGTAGGTCTGTAAGGTTGTAGTATCTTCGAACCCGGCAATCTTCTCTTTGGCTTCCCTCACCAATTTCAGCTCCTCTTCTCCAATGCCACCCGCGCCGAACCCCGCCGGATTCTCGCCAGTCTCCGTCAGCATCGGCAGCCGAAAGGCCTCGTTGCCCGCTGCCTGTGACTCGCGATCCTGCATTGCCTTGGCTAGGACCTTGGTCCGCTTGTTCGCGGGCAGATCCCAGACCGTGAGTGGGTTGATGGCAATCACCGCTTTGGCGCGTTTGTCAAGGGCCGCGGCACATAGAGCAATGGCCCCGGCGAACGAGAAGCCCCAGTATATGATTTTTTGGGGATTGATGCGGAGATCGGATTTGAGGAATGTGAGGGCGTCATGGTAGTCGGAGATTTGCAGGAAGGGATTGATATTGTTACGTGGCTGGCCGTCGCTGGACCCAATAGTCCGCGGGTCGTAGACTGGACATGAGATGCCGCTGGTTTGGAACGAGTGCGCGATGTTGGGGAGGAAGACATCGCGGGTGGTATTGAACTACATTATCTGGTCAGGAGAAGACGGAATATAGAGGCAGAAAAGACGGGAGTTCTCACGCCCGGAGTCATGATCACTGCTGGGCTCTTTCCGGGCGACGAGGCTGGGTAGAAGTGGCCCCGGAGGGTGACGCCATCCAGGGCCTTGAATTCGACATCTTCGCGCGACATGATCTGGACTGTGGAATAAGGAACCTTGGAATTAATGGAAAAGTTCGCCGAGAAATACCTTGAGAATGATGAGGTATGTGCCCAGTTAATCTATTATATGTTATGACAAAATTATTACTTTAGGTGGTCTGGTTTTATCATCTGCAGAAGACTAGCACGAGTCCACGAAATTTCCAATTAATTAGATCACACCGAAGTATGTGCTCCCAAATGCCATGAATAGACGGCCCCACACACTAGGCTGTTCTGGGGCATATATGATATTCCTAAGTAGGTATAAGTTTAATGCGAAATCGAGAATCTGACATGCATCAACTGTTAGTCTGTCAACATGCTTGGCATCAGGAGCTGCGAGAGTGGGGAACGGTCTTATTTTACAGCTCAGTACCCGATCACCGCGGTCTGTTATGTATTATTTGTACCAAGTTACAACTAGGAGATAGCGATAGATTGAAATTACTAATTAGTAGCCAGACTCTACGTAAAAATCAGAGATTTGACCTTGCAGGTGATTTAGACAGGGGTATGTAGAGGCCACCATCGTTCAAAACTAAATCCCCAAATTTTAGACCGGCAGAATGTAAAATACTCGTATAGTTCATATTCCCCCGCGTAAATTTCGGAATTTTCAAGTACGACTTGAAATGAAGGCTATATAGCTACAAACTTGGAACCTTGGAACATTTGAATCTGGCAAAATGCACCCTATTCAACACCCGAGACGATATAACCCTCATCTTGGAGGAGTTCAAGCAAAGGCCTAACTTTTCTCTGGACTCCGTTCTCATTCAGAGTATTGCAGATATCTCGAATGAGTCGAATCACATATCCAGTAACGAAGAGGTGATTTCCTGGTAGTGATCATCGAGATCAAGTGTTGGATGGGGCATGATAGTAAGAGTATGACCGATAGCTATGTATAACTAGAAGAGAAATACATATCATAAATACTATTAAAAACTTCCAATGCCGGAATCGGCTAAATTTTCAATTCCAACTGCATAGGGCTATACTTCATTTAGGCTCAGTGACTTAATTCTATAACATAACTAGTATGAATTTACTCTACCCTTCCATGAAGAGCCGAAGCTCCAATATTTTTCCTACCCGAAAAATCTGGCAAAATCTGGCAAAAAATCTGATGGGACAATCGGAATATGGGAGTACATAACTTGAAGGGGACCCAGAGTGCATACTATCTCCGCCCGGGGCAATCATAGTATTCCATACTGAATCACTAATTTAGAATTGAGACCGATGACAATACAATAACTTAGCGGTAGGCAGGGCGGTGAAGCTAATACTAGCAATCTGGGATTTGAACGATGGTAGCCTCTACATACCCCCGTAAAGTGTGTGCTACTGTGACTGGGCTGGCCCTGCTGAATCAACCCGTATGTCCGCGGAGCGGACGGCCTTTGAGCGTTCCCCTCTTCCCTAGTTAATTCCCAGCGCATGCAAGCTCATCTGCTAGTAGCACCCTTGACAGGGATGGCTTTCAATTCCCTGTCAACAATCGGTCATCCCGAGATCCCGATTTCAAAGCATCTGTGAAAGATTACAGAAGCATTATTAATCGTCTAGAGGGCTACCCCTCAAATTCCCCCACAGCTTGCTATTTAGAGGCAGCTGAAAATATGAAGTTGGTGGCTCCTCATTATCTCTCCATCCCAATCATCAAGCCAATTGATAGAATCGCAACACTACCAGATACGAATCCAATCCAAATCCTTCTATCATCCATCCTTTGCCATGACTATCTCTGGTAGTACAGTTGTTCTCGTTACCGGCGCTAGTCGGGGTAAGTCCTTAACTGCTGCCCAGAGGCTTATTAGGATGGAGTTGACAGAGGATAGGTATCGGACGAACGTTGGTGGAAACCTTGCTGCTCCGGCCCAATCACACTATTATTGCTAGTGTCCGTGACACAACCGCAGACTACGTCAAAGAGCTAGAGGCCTTGCCCAAAGCCGATGGCTCAGGTCTGCAGCTTGTAAAGATTGAAAGCAGCAACTCAGCCGACCCGGCAGCAGCCATCAAGGATCTTACGAACATCGACCATATCGATGTGGTGGTAGCCAATGCCGGTGGAGCTGGTGAGAAGGGCATCATTCCCTTGGACGTGGTAAGCTCCGAGATCGTGAATGATGTGTTTACCGTGAATGCGCTCGGCCCCCTGGCCCTGTACCAGGCCGTCAAGCCTTTGCTGGAAAAGTCCCAGTCCCCGAAGTGGGTGTCGGTCACTAGTGCTGCCGGTTCGATTGGCCGACTTGAGCTTCACAGGGCTCACATCGCCCCGGCTTACGGAATCGCCAAAGCTGGTCTGAACTGGATCACTACGTAAGATGCTCCCAGCTTTAGCCTGTCCTCACGGAGGTTTTTTTGGCTAACTCTGGCGGACATGTAGTGCCATCCACAGCGCCAACAAGGGCTTCATCGCCTTTGCCGTGCATCCCGGGTAAGTCATCAGAAACACTACTGGGATGACAGATTTTGGACAGCAGCTGACCATCCGACAGCCTTGTGCAAACGGAAAGCGGCAACAAGAGTGCCCGCGCGATGGGGCTTCCTCAGGCCCCCAACTCTCAGCGCCAGAGTATCGATGCCATTCTGTCCCTGGTACGTGATACCTATCCCTATCGAAAGATACAGACTGACTCGTGTAGATTGATAATGCGACTCGGGAGGAGACCTCGGGGAAATTTTTCAACGTGATTGATGGCACAGAGATTCCGTGGTAGAGGCCACAACAGCCTCAATTTTTATCAGAAGCGCCCAGTGGCGCCATTGAGAAGCTGCAGGATTGATAGCACATAGTATACACTGCCTCGTAGTGCCCATTTCTGACCTGTATTGACTGTCTCTTATGAGAATACTTGGAATATATCAATATCTAAAGATTTTATTTGTTGGTGCCCGAAAATTATCAAGCGTTGACCCCAATATTCCAAGTGTGAATTAGTAGTCAGAGATCAACCCTCTCTTCCTCTTCTTCTTATCTCAATTTACCCAGGTCAATAGCAGCGTCTTGAGGTTTGAAATGCCTTGTTTATTATTAAATTTCATCTCTATCGTGGATCTTTATCAGGTACCAACCTTGGAACCTTGGAAGTCGCTCGGTTTGTTCGTATTGACACCTAGGTAATGGATTTCCCCCAGCGGATTTTGGTTTCTACTATAGCTTGGAACGGCTGCTTTATCTTTATCTCACAGGGGCTACAGACTGTAATACTCTAAATATTCATTAAGCCTTATCACTTATTATTCCTAGGAGCCAGGTGTTACCAACTGGCTGTCAAGCAACATGAGCATACGCAAGTGTATGTCTGATACTTATCGCAAGCCGTTATCCTGCAACTGTACCGTCGGCGTCCGGGCCTTACACGGGCTAGAGTCTTTAGAGATCCTTGCACGGTAAAGCTTGATAGGGGTTCGCTAGTAGGTCAGTCCCAAAGGAGCTCCCCTACTAGTTGGTGGTTATCTTTGAAAGGGGATTGTGATAAAGCAAAGTATCAATCTGTATTGCCAATAACAATGGTGAGAAATAATCGCAAAGAGCTAGATACATGATGCAGTAGACAAAGTCCTTATAAATCTCGTCCTTCCTGTCATCCTGTCCTGTCGCCAGGACAAGTCCGTTCCGCACGAACGGACAGGATCTATCATTGGAATAGCTCCTTCATCACGCGTTGCTCACTTGTCAGTTCCCCTAGTAACTATGCTTATAAACAGAAATAGGGGTCATCACTTTGGGAATAGTTACGGAATATACTAAGTAGTCACTGGACATAGAAATTAAGTGTGACCCCCAGTATGGAGTGAGGATATTATGGTCTCAAGTTCCACTGACAGTAGGAAAGCCTTAGAAGTCTACTAGGATCTGGTCACAGTCAGGTTCAAGTTTAATTTCAATATGAAGGTGCTGAATTTCGGGGGCAATATTGTACGCACTAAAGTCACTCGCATATATATTATCCATAAGGACTTTGTGTCGTACACCGCTTTAAACAGTATAGACCGAATGAAACATGTAAACCCATATGTTATTTTGATTTTACAAGTTGTGTTCAATCCTGACCCATTTCCTAAATACCTCTTCCCTTTCCTCAGCCGTAGACTCTCGCATCTCTTCAATCCCCTGAGCAATCCGACCCATTACAATCATGCATTTTTGATGTCTCCCCAGCGACTCATTGACCTCTCTGAGAATGCCACTCAAGGGATATCCTGCTAGACCCCATAGCCCTGATTCAGATTAGATTGTGAAGAATAATGATCACAAAAGCGTTGCTTTAATTCAACATACCTGCAATCGGCTTGAGAAACACTCCGCCCATTGCTTTCCCAATACCCTTGAGAAATCCCTTAGTACCTTCATCCTTGAAGCCGTCACGTGGATGCGTTTTTAAACCCTTAATACCAAAGGAAAATTCGTCTTTAAGCTCCTGTGCAAATGTCAGAACAATTACCTCCAATCTAGCGCTATCATAGCATTCCTACCTTTCCCGCCGCCCTGAACCCGCTTCGAAGACTTGTCACCTGAGGAACGTCGGTCACTGTTGAATCGTGATATAGTTTGGGCGCATTGTGGAAGCCTCTCGCCATACTCAATGAAAGATTTGTCGGTAGCCATATGACTAACTTAACCATCTTTTTGGACGCTTTGCTTCCATGAAATGCAGCTTCATGCAAAACAGGGAACCTCGGCGGCTTTGAAGGCGTCATCGAGCTGCTCATTGTTTTGGCCTTTTCGAGCTGGAGGTTCCTATTTCGCTCTATAGTTCGAACTCGATCGATGTCGTTGACATGGGGTTCATTGGCGTCATCGCCAGTATCTTCCTGGGTAATATCGTCTTCCAGAACCTCTTCACGCTGCTCTCCGTAATTTTCAACCTGCAAACCCCCACTCTCATTTTCAATATTTGTTTCTTCATTTTCAATAGTATTCTCTGGAGTTAAATAAACTGGTGAAGAAAGTGCTGCCCGACAGGCTTCGCGGCGATCGAAATGTTCGTGGGGCTTTCGTATTGCATGAGCAGCAGAAGAAATATCACTCAAGATCTCTCTTGGTGCCTCTATAAGCCCAGCCACGAATCCGGTAATGGCTCCGAAGAGTACTTGGGCACTAGCGGTAATTGGGTTGGTAGGGTCAAGGAATGTGTCGTATTCAGTTGCACGGTGACTGAAAGAAAATTAGCAAGAGAAGGCACTTTTGATGACTCACGTTGGAAAAAGGCTTACAGCACGAGCATTTCTGGACTGACTTTCCCGGATTTCACTAGAACAGTGGCTGCAAAAGCACTCAAGTTGATATGCGTATGTTTAAGATGCCAGGCCGCCGGCTGATTTGGAATTATAGAACATCGGAGTGTTGCAGGGTCAAGATTTCGGTAAAAGCTATTTACCCCATGGCGCACACCACACTCTTCCTGCATTCTCATCGCAATCGACTGCGCTTTCTCTAGAGTACTTGCTTCTAGCGCTTTCTGTATCGCAGTTGAGAGATTCTGCTGGTTCAAACGTTTATATGGTATCGGTGTTGGCCCTGCTCCTGCGCGCGCAACAATATCTCCCCAGAATTGCTGGTCCCCAAAGAAGGGGACAATTATCGTCGGCACACCTAAAGCGAGGCCTGCAGCCGTGGTGCCAGCACCACCATGGTGGATAACACATGAAACTTGCCGAAATAGCCAGTCGTGAGGACAGTTTCCAATCATTAGAATATTGTCTGGCACTTCGTCTGCTCCTAGATTTCCCCAACCCTTTGATATGAGAGCGCGTTGTTTGGTTTTTCGGACCGCGTTAAATAGGATCTTCGTCAACTTGAGAGGATTGTCAACTACGATGGACCCAAACCCAATATATATTGGTTTGGGTCCTGCCTTCAGAAATTCGGTTATTTCATTCGATGGTACATAGTTGGTCTCGGACGGGAGGAAACTAAAACCGCATACATCGATGTTGTCAGGCCAGTCAGGTGGCTTAGGTAGTAATGAAGGAGACCTGTATTAAATTTCAATAACAGCCTCCGAATGTTTTTTTATGACTAGGAGAAAAATTTGTGATATACTAACCATAAATATGTATGTGGTACATGTAGTCGCTGTAGGATACCCCGGGCTGTCACTGTATCTAGAGGTTGGAGAGCCAAGGTGTTTTTGCGAAGTGTGTTCAGAATATCGCCCAGTCCCTCCCATACCATCATATCCATAATGCTATAGGACATGAAATTTGCGATAGTCGGCTTGCAGTTCTGGGAGTGAAGATTGGCTAGTGGATGGGGAAAGGACTGAGTTGGGGACCATGGCATCCTGTAATTTATGAATTACTTAGTATGCAAATAGGAATTGGATTAGTATCAGATAGGGCCAGCTCACGTAAATATGATATGGAGAGGGATGCCTAGTCGTTGTGCGCAGTGGATGTGAGCTAGGCTTGGAGGGTTGGCTATAATAGCGTCTGCTACAAATGGGCGCTGTCGGTAATCCAGAGCCTCGCTCCACAGGTCTTCCTTGATCTGATGAAGGTGAGTCCCGTCACCCTTTTCAAAGCAGGATTTCCAACATCCATTAAATATTTCCTTCATCTCACGCCGGCGCTTCTGGATATCTCCGCTGCTTATTGCCTTGAATCCCGGTAGGAGGCCTGGATTTTTCACCATAAAAGCCATCAACTGCTCTGGGTCTCCTCCAATATTAAAAAATTCTAGCCCGCTTTCCAGAACGAATTGCCGAAAGGCTAGATGTGTGGCCAGTCTGACCCGGTGGCCTTGTGCTTTGAGCTCTCTCCCTAGTGCAACAAATGGTTGAATGTCGCCTCGGGAACCGATCACTTGAATGACGAGGTTCAAGCGTAGTGATAAATGAATGTTTTTCGAAGAGGACCATGCTGAATCGGTGCCCCCTTCAGCTGCCCGGTTAGAACATAAACTATCCCGGCGTTGGACTCGGATGTCGTTCAATATTCCTGTCAGATGCGGTTTGTACTTTTCCGAGTCGACATGAATATCGACCCGGCCGTCACCTATAAAAAGACGCGATTGACGTTAGATGAAGTTGAATGAATGGACGGAAAATTATATACCTAGAACACGAGCGCGAGCGCTCGGCCCATTAAGAGAAAAAGCCATCTCATCGTGGTCATCCGGTGATCCCTGAGTACTTTCACTTGGCCACTCATCCGAATGATTGGTGTCCGGTTGTTCTGATGGCCTCCCGGCAATATTCAAAGCTAGAACAGCCATGATAAATAGTATTCGGGCACGAAAGATCTCAGTAAGGAAGATGAGGTTAGCGATCAGGAAAAGTGATGGTTTAGATGGGCAAAGCTTGTGTGAAGCTTAGTACGCGCCAAAGTTTTTATCTTGCTCTCGCACTCTCGCTTTCTTATAATCCCGAACCTATTGACAGATACCATCTAACCTACCTTTGAAATATCTGACAAATCCAACTTCAAATTGATTCGTGTTTTGATTGTAGTTGATGACGTCAGTGGATTCACGACCCAGGGTTGATAAACTCCTCAGCTGTATAGGAACGATCACCGACCAAGTCTAGATTGCTCAAACTACATCACGCACGTTTGGTCTGTACTAATCAAAAGGAGAACGGCATTTTCTTAAATCTGGGAGATGCTCATGTGATCTTTAACCTCAAGTGGCCAGGATAAAAAGCTAAATGGACTCCGGTAGTGACAAATGACTGGCCGCAGCGAAGGAGGCTCTGAGACCTTTACATTAATATTCTCAATTTTACCATTGATATTTGGTAATCTTGAAGTTCAAATTCAGCGTCATAAATTATTATTATCATAGTAAATTCTTGTAGAATCAGAAGACTGCGGTGGTTAACACTACTAACTATAAAGTGGTAATTTATCGCATTTACTATGTGTTTTGGGGGTGTCCCGCTCGACTGGGAATTACGTTATAGGTAGGAAGTAGCTTAGATACCGAATAGATACCTCCGATCACCTGGCCAATACGATAAGTCAGCGAACGATCATGATCAGGATCACTGAGCACTCACTGAGCACTCACGTAACCTACGGACTCGCTCAGTGAGCCTAAGCCTGAGCGCCCTTATAAAAGCGGCGGTCACCAGAATAGGAAAGCTCCACCTGTCGGGGAAAATCCAGTACGTACAGCTACCTAGGGTAGTAGAACATTGGAATTTCTAAGTTCCAAGGTTTTTGACAACTTGAATCTTGCCTAGGTAGGAGAGTGGCTTGGGGTTCAACTAGTTGTTATCACAAAATGTTCGATCAATCTAAAAAAATGTGTTCATTTTAAGTATTCTTCTACCACCGCCTCTTCAGCCTCCATGACAGCTCACACCGGACACAGCCTTCCTTCCCCGTTCTCCTTCCATTCCTCGCTACCCACCGCAGTGCGGGCGTAGAACAGCTCGTTCGGGTCGTATTTCTGCTTGACTTCCCTCAGGCGTGGGTAGTTGTCACCGTAGAAGACCTCCTGCCAATTTGGCTCCTGGAAGTTGGCCTCATTCAGGTAAGCACCCCCACCCGGGGTGACGGCCTCGAGCTGCGGCATATATATGTTGGTCAGGTTCGCTTGACGCTCCAGATTCTCGTCCCAGGGGATGGAATAGTCCCACGTCTGAACCATGATACAGGTCAGCAGTGCGGAGCGCCAGACAGGGAAGACCGCATTGGAGGTAAAGGGAGCTTGTCGGGATGAGTTGGCGTTGAGGGCAGCACACGCAACATAGAAGCCTGCGTTAATGAAAACTTCCAGCGCGGCACTGATCTCGCTCAAACTCGGGCTGTCGGGTGAAAGCAGTTCTCGGGGGATGATGCGGCCACCCGTGATTTGGCCAACAGCGGTGGACTCCTCGGTGGGTACGAAGTAGGACTCGTATAAGGCATAATATGAGGAGAAACTTGAGGAGGTGATGTTGACAGCAACCCCCGCCTGGGCCAGACTATTCACAATTGGGGCCAGCGTACTGGTGACCAGCGCCGGTTCGCTGCCCGGAATGACGGCGGCAAAGACAATTAGCTCCGTGCCAATGATGAAGTAGGTGAACGTGACCCCGGTATCCACCACGGGAGCCAGGCTGGAGTGAAATAGGTCGACGGTGTTCCAGAAGGCGGTCGTGTTGCTATTGGAGACCGTGAAGCCGGCGCCCTGCATGGGTCCATCATCGTACGTCCGCGTGGTCATCGAGACGACGACGGCGAAAGTACCTGCCCCGCCGCCACTGAGGGCCCAGTATAGATCCGCGTGCTGGTTAGGAGTGACGGTCAGATGCACACCTGACGCCGTCACGATCTCCCATTCCAGCACGCTATCTGCGGCCATCCCGTATAATGAAGTCAAACTACCATGTCCTCCGCCGGCCGTGTAGCCCCCGGCTGCCCCAACGGTACCACATGTTCCGCTCACCACGCGCTTTCCTTGCGCTGCCGCCACCGGGAGGATGTCGTTGAACATGATGCCCGCCCCGATGCGCACCGCCGATCCCGTGTACGGAACGTCGCCCACGTAGGCATCAATAAAGTCCATGTCTTTCAGATTGTGTGTCCATAGTGAGAGAGCCCCGCGCCCTGTGGACTTTCCTAGCAGACTACCACAATCAGCATGAAAGGATCATACACGGTGATGAAGAAGGGAGAGGGGAAGGGGAAAACCTACTCATGCCCTGTGTTCTTGATGGTCAGCCGAACGTCGTGTTGGGTGGCAAAGGCGAGTCCAGCCTGGATGTCAGACACGCCGGTGACATTGATTGAGTAGACGGCATAGTTTCCTAGCGTGCAAGGTTTGGACTCGGGTGTGAAGGGCTCGCAGTACTGGCCCTGGAAGTAGGGATCCAGAATTTCGGCCGGATAGTACACGCTGTCGGGGTCAGTCGGGACTCGGAAATGGATGGGGATAGGCGGGATTCACTCACTGAGCCTCCACCGTCAACCAATTATCCTTGAACCAAGCACAAGCAGTCGCATTGTATGTAGGATCATGGCATACATGCGCAACCGGCACTGTGGCAATCAGGCGGCCTCCCACTGTCTGGTTGAGCCGGGCCCAATCTTGCGCGCTGGGCCAGTCCCCATCTTGCGGCAGCTTCCTGCAGGTCGACGAAAAGGAGTTGTTGGCGTTGGTGGATCCGGCCAGGGAGGATACAGACGAGGATGTAGATAGAGATGCAACACCTGTCTGCCCCATTAGCCAAGCCGTCATGCAAGCTAGGAGCACAGTGGAACGAAGCGCAGCGCCAAGCATCATGTGGTGTTGGTGAGTTAGTATACTTGAGATGAGTCTGCTGGGAAATAGACCCGAGATTGATTGCGAATGCCCCAATCCGGGAACCAGTATGCTACCATATTTATATTGCCGCTCAGCCGGGCAGCCTGGTATAATCTCTGTCGAAGGGAGTGTCGTACGAGCTGGCAGGAGTGGGCAGACACAGCCACCTTGATTCTGTCTACAGTCTCGCAGGATTCGAGTAGGATTCTTACTGTGGGGGACAATTTGCGAGTTGGGAGAAGCGAGGCAAAGCGAAACAATCTCCAGCTGCAATAAACAAACAGACTACTAGTTAGAAACTTGTCCCAAAAGTGATTAGGCGACGCTAGTGTTGTGTAATAACCACTAGTAAGCTACAGGACCTGTTTCGTGTCTGTATTAATCGGTATTAGATAAACGGAATAGATTGGATATGGATGTCGTTATGTGTTGACGAACGCTGACACTGCAGGCGCTAACAGTGCCACCACTGACATTGCAGGCGCTGACAGCACAGCAATTTTACCCGCTACACGTCTGGCACTAATCGGATTCTAGAATTTGGATGGTCTAGGTTATCACGGTCGTCCGTGTCTGAAGCTTACAAATGTCCCGGCAATGCCCTGCAGTGAGACGGACGGGGTGCGTTTCCGGGATCGGGATCCAACCTGTCGTGTCTCATCCGGACTTAGTGCTGACCACGCTGCCGTCAGCCTCAGGACGAGACTTTCTTCAAGTTCTAATTGCAACCTCATGTCCGTGCGCAGAGAAAGCTATCGGGGTTCGGGACCGAAAAGCACATACAGCCAGGCCATGTTAAACGCCTGCGCAGCCGGCACCAGATTCGGGCCCCAAAGTTATTGCCATCTTCTCTAACATGAGTAACGCAATCATCTCCAGTATATGGTCGGCGTCCACGTTGCTGGTAATCGGCGCGGTGGTCTTGTTGCTTCGCGGCTTCTACCTCGTGGTATACCGGCTCTACCTCAGTCCGCTGGCTAAATTCCCTGGACCCAAGTTGGCGGCGGTGTCTAGTTGGTACGAAGCATACTATGACCTGTTCAGCAAGGGCCACGGCGGCCAGTTCGTATTCCAGATCAAGCGGTTGCACGAAAAGCATGGGCCCATCGTGCGGATCGGTCCAAACGAGGTCCACATCGATGATCCGGACTACTACAACGAGGTATACAGCATGGCCTCGCCAACCAAACCCATTGACAAGCTGGTCCAATATAAGCACCGGTTCGGCATGCCTGAGGCGACCATCAGCACGGTGGAGTCAGAACATCACCGTATCCGTCGGGCGGCAATCGCGCCCTTCTTCTCGCGTTCCCGCATTAGCTCGCTGGGGGACACGCTGACGAAGGTGATTGAACACATCTCGCGCAGGCTGGAGAATGAATTCGCCGGGTCGGGGGCGGTTGTCAACGTGTGCGACATGTGGGGGACGCTGACGGCCGATGTGGTGTCGGAGATGGCATTTGCGCGCTCAACGGGCTTCTCCGCCGCCCCAGACTTCCAGTCGCCCTACTCGCATGCCCTGATGAGCTGGGTCTACGCCGCCCACTATACTACCCACTTCAACTGGATCATGCGCATGACTCAATGGATGCCTGATTTCATCATGGGGGCCTTGGTACCCTCTTTTAAGCCTATCCTGGATTATCGCGTGGTAGGTGCCTCTCTCGTCGCGTCTCTCCTACGACAACGGACTTATGCATAAACAGGCAATCCAAAGGCAGATTAAGGATGTACTGGCGGGCAATAATGTCGAGGCGAAGACGGCCGCTCATCCAACAATTTTCACGGATATTCTGCAGGCCAACCTCCCGCCCGCGGAGCTCTCCTTCCATCGCCTAACGCAAGAGGCCATGAGCGTCAGCGGGGCGGGCATCGAAACCACTATGTGGACGCTGTCAGTGGCCACCTTCCACATCCTGTGGAATCCCACCGTCGAAAAGCGGCTGGTGTCTGAGCTGGTGGAGGCGATGCCCGACCCGGGCCAGATCCTCTCCTGGGCGCAACTGGAGAAACTGCCCTGACTTGTCGGCCGTCATCAACGAATGTAAGTAACACGAATTTCCCTTGACCTGTTCCAGCACCATATATACTCATTACTTGTCTAGCCTTGCGACTTTCATTCGGTTCGGTCCAGCGCCTACCCCGAGTGCACCGCAACCAGACCCTCATGTACGGCGGGCGGCAGATCCCCGCGGGCACAGCCGTCAGCATGGACGCCTACCACATTCATGTCAATCCGGATATTTTCCCGGATCCGCACGAGTTTAAGCCGGAGCGCTGGTTGGGGGACCCGATGAGCTTCGATGGCAAGCATCGGCTTTCGTACTATCTGACTTCCTTCAGCCGGGGCTCCCGCGTGTGCATCGGCATGTATCTGGCCCTAATGGATATGTATGTGGCGCTGGCGACGCTGTTTCGTCGTCATAAGCTGGAGCTATTCGAGACGGACCGCAGTGATGTGGACTTCATCATGGATCTGGTGCGGCCGATGCCCAAATGGGATTCGAAGGGGGTGCGTGTCATTGTAAAGACGGGAGCACCGATATAAGTGGTCTGGAGTCGGGGGTGACAAGGGCAGCATGTGGATGGGCGGGCAGGGAAAGAATACCTGGGTGTTTATGGGTGCAAAATCCGAGTATTGAACGGGATACAACGATAGCCTGATTTCGTGATTTCGAGCCGTAATTGACCGTAGAACTAAGCTGCGTGACCTGCACGTCAGATGACTGATTGGGTCTTGTTGATTCTTAAACTGGCGCCGCCCCCTGTGGGTCCGTAACTCTATATACCGTAAGAGTGAGGATAAGAAGGCCTGCCACCTTTGTATCCTGGTATTCTATATAAATTACAATTTGAAATAGATGGTATTTCCTTGTACAGTACGGAGTACTCACGCTATAAGTCCACGGCTTATTTTAAAGAAGATGGACTCCAGGGCTTGAACATGGATTTAATCTGTGACTATCCTCTCCGATTTTCCTTATCTGTTCATCTGTCTGTTCTTCTCAACCACCTGCCACAATGTTGTTGTCTCCGCTCCGCTGGGGGTTGTGCTCACTCCGTGCTGGGCGTCTCGCATCCACCCGCCGAATGAGCCACTTGGGGAGAGAAACAGAGCATATATTTCCCTCGCTCCACCCGAAGTTGGCGGTTGAGGAGCGGTTCCCATTGTCAACACTTGACCTGATCGTCACGCAGAATTACAGTACCTGGGCTCTGATCTTCAAGCTAGACAACCCAACAGACATCCCCGTCATCACAAAGACGCTGCGGCACGCTGTGCAAGCCACGCTGGCGCAATGCCGCCATATGGTGGGCACCATCGAGAGGGACGCGCAGGGCAACTTTGCCATCGTGAAAAAGCCCGACAGTACGGTCCCCTTTGTTGTTGACCATCTTGACGGTCCCTCCTACGCCGAAATCGAACAGGCAGGCTTTGCATCAGCCAGTTTGGGGGACCCGGCGTCTTTCACCATCCCCGGCATGACGATGGCTTGCCATTGCCCTCCAAATGCGAGCCCACGCATCTCAGGGTACCAGCTAACCTTTATTCCGGGGGGGCTTCGTCTTCACTGTGCACAAGCATCATTCTGCCATGGATGTCACGGGGACGACCAGCCTCATCCACCAAATCGCCGGGCATAGTCACGCCCTCTTGTGCGGCACTCCTCCCCGGAATGGGACGATGCATGGATGGACCGCATGCGCTTCATCTCCCCGCCTGTCGCTGAGGCAGACCGGGTTCCCGCCCCGGCGCCCGCCTCGCGGCATCCTGACTGGCAGCCGTGCTCGTGGCTACTCTTCCATATCTCGCAGGGTCAGCTGGACGCCCTCAAGCGTCAGGCCAGCCTGGACACGAGCGGTTGGATCTCCACATACGATGCGCTGACGGCGTTCCTGTGGCGGGTGCTGTCCCGCAACCGCGCCCAGATCTACCGCCCCGATCTCTCTGCGCCTGCCATCTTCCTCGAGTCCATCAACATGCGCCGCCGGTGTAAGTACCTCTCGCCTCCATCCCTCCCGCGTGATGCTCCCCAACTCTAACTGGTTTCCCAACAGTGGATCCCCCGCTCTCGATGCGTTATCAAGGCAACGTTCTCAGCGGAGGGCTCTCCATGCTCCATCCCCGACCGCTCACGCTGGGTCAAGTTATTTCGCAGGAGACTCCGCTGGCTGTCCTGGCCACCTTCATCCGCGAGATCACCCAGAGCGTCACCCCGCAGTCCGTCGAGACCACCCTCGCGGCCATGGCACCCGTCAGTGACAAATCCGCCCTTAATGTCCGCCTCGACTCTGTGCCTCCAATGTCGCTTGCCGTCACGGACTGGCGCGATGCTAATATGTGTGTCGTCGATTTCGGGTTTGGTCGACCGGTAGTTGCGCGTCAGATTGCAGACACAGTCGTGGAGAACATGATGATGATCTATCCGCGGCGGTCTGGGGAGGCAGAGGAGAAAGGCGGCCTCGAGGTGGTTTTACCGTTTGAGACGGACCATGTGGGTCTGCTGCTTGCAGATGAGGAGATGGGGAAAGTGGCGACCTTTCGGGGGTTCGAGGTCAGGAGGGGATAGCCTCCGGCCTTGATATTTGTTGATATAGCCGAGACATTACTTCCTACCGCAGAAATAACGAGGCTTTTGGGAGTGAACTCATAGGACACATTAAGCAACATATTTCACCAGGGATCATGTGATCCAACGGCTGTGACAGACTACAATGTCTAATGCAGTAGGCGGTCGCAATGGGATGTATCAACAGGTCTGATTCTCTCATTCTGATAATTACGCACATAAATTCTGCCTGGAGATCACCTGATCGGTCATGTGATCCATTCTGGTTCGACCAATCAGAGCTCTCCATTTAATAGTGGTTTGAACTAACCCAATTGGGCTAGTTCTGCACTCGTGTTCTGTCAGGCTGTCTCTTGATCACGTAATTCGGGTCGGAAAGCATGTATCAATCATTCAATAGTCCCTGGGCACTCTCTCTTCCTCTCTTTTCTTTGTCTTTTCCCCCAATTCACTCCATTCCCTCATTCCTTGGGTTCTCTGCTCTTCACCGTAGCACTTGATAGCATGTACCAATGGGGCAGGTCATTTATGTGTACTTATCTGGTATTCTCTAATCCGTCACACAGCAACAAGGTTTTGTGGTAACTGCTAGTTACTCCGTAGTATGTACGTAATACATTGTGGGGTTACAGCGTAGGGAACCGCTGCATGTTGTTCCGAATCCCCACCGGCTGCCAGCTACGACAATATTGGATATTTCAACCTTGGAAGATTGTGATTTAGTATATTTTTAATTAAACTTGTTTGACCAGGTGTTATCTACTTAAATTCTTTCAGCCAGTATCGGAGTAGTAAAGGAGGAGAGGACCTACGGAAGTCGGAGATAACATAAGGTCAATGACTCTGTGTCTCAAGTGTTTGGAACTGTCAACAACAAACAAAAGCCTCAGTCTTCAAGTATCGGAATCCTTTGTCCGGATTCTGACTAGCGCAAAATACCTAGCCCACTTGCACTAGTATGTACTTAGGTATTTACATGTGTAGTGCAGCTGTACTCCGTAGTTCTCTCCCGAGGTCCTCCTCTTAGCACGGGTCACCAAGTTTTAGTATTTATGTAACAGACGGAGAGATTGACCTTGAGGAGACAGCTGTCTAGTGATAATCTATCCATTGCTACGTACGAGACCTTGATCGACGACACCTTTGGACCCCGGGCCGGAATCCGGGGCCTCGGGAATCGGATCCACCTGGGCAGTTCGGAGTTCTCCGTACGTGGGTCCCCGGCTACGGGGCTCGTGGCGGTTCGGGTCCAGTTAAGCCTGCTGCCTACAAGGCATCCATGGATGTCAACCCAGAGAGTACAGGTCCCCTGAACACTTGGAGAGTACCCACCTGTACATTTCGGATAATCTTGGCATTTTTTCGGGAAATCCAAAAGAGGAAATTTGAATGTACAGGTGAGGTCTAATTTGGTAATTTTACACAGCAGGAACATGAATAAAAAACAGAATTTACACACAATAAATTCTGCCACCCTAAATTGTAGATTAAAATAAATTTAATCAAATAAGCCTTGTCACTTCCCTAGCAGTGTCTAAGTACTTACGATGTCATCCGAAATCCAAGTAACATCTACCAAGCGGAACCCAATTACTGTGTACTATGTGGATTATATTCCAACCCTACCAGAATATCCGAAAACTGATCTGCAAGGGTATATGTATGTTGTTGACTGCAGAGATAGTGATTCAGCAGCAGCAGGGGAATCAATACAGAGTGTATATGATATTCTAAGTGCTTCCGAAGTACTTCTGAACTATTTACAGGGCTTAACTAATATTATAATATATTTTAGATCCAGTATAGCACAGAGCGAGCAACGCCAGAGCGGGTAACACGTTCGGTATCTTTTCTTCGAAATGTTCCATGTCGGATAAAGCGGATGAGGTGTACAGGTGTTATGTTATGTCCAAAGGGACATCAAAGGCTTCTTGGGATGGCACATACTGAGGTTACCCCAGCGATGTTTGAGACATTAGCTGGTATCCGTCAACGGCCCTTTGAGCATGGGGTTACTGCTCAGACTAAGGCAATTGAGTAAGATTATGGAAGTGTCTTATGTACTAGCTAAGTGCTTTCGTACTGCTTAGCTAGTGCTACGTTTATGATTAAAGCTTATATGTTTTATAGAAGATTTGAAGCCCTTCAATCATTCTTTCGACCTCCGCCCTGTGATGATGCTAGGAGGACTTGTAAGCCTATGCTCTATGAGTCACATCACCAGGTAAGATAGTCTGAGTTCTAATCTAACTATAGAAGGATATTCAGATTATTAATAATTTCTTTAGGATCCATGGGGTAAATCCTTCTGGCATGTAAAATGTGTTAATTTTGAAATTGATCCAGAAATGCATAGCCATACATGGTCTATCCCAGGGGATGGAACAATAGATCTTATCTATCTTCAGAGCCTTTTCTTTCAATGGGATGATCCAGGAAGGCCAGACAGGTGTGGTACAATTGAAAGAACCCGATCAAGGGTAAGATGTAGTAAGTTTCTAAGTGCTTTCGACCTACTTAGTAGGTACTTGATATTGATATTGCTATATAGACTATCCACATAAGATTGGATATCCCCAGGCACTTGAGCAGACTGGCTGTGAGGTTGAGATGTAGAGTATTATTCCAGTGGATTTATCTGAATGTCCATTTTTTCTTTTTATCTCAAAGGGCGAGCATACCCATGCACCCCCACCACCTGGTACACAGCCTGTTAAGGTTATTAATGATCTAACAAGGTTGATACAACAGATGCAGATACCCTCCCTAACACCTGGTAAGTACTTAGAGACTGCTTAGTAAAGAGCTTGATACTAAATACTAATTTGAAATACAGGGCGTTTCCTCTTTAGTCCAGAGCTAAGGGACCTCTGTAAGAAATATCAGGCAAAGAGCCTTACAGATATCCACAGGAGCTTTGCAAATGAGGGGCGACTAGGTCTGATTATTCAGAAACATCGCTTGATACATTACCCTGCTGGGCAGTCTCTTAATGGGGTAGTCTTTGCAAAGGCTAATAGTCCAACACTATCTGTAAGTAATATATCCTTTCTCCGTCCTTCCTAAGTGCTTTCGAAGTACTTCTGTGTTCTAATTTGAATAGACTTATATCCAGGATGTGGTTGAGGGCCAAGAGGGCCATTTATTTATTATCTGTTTAACAAAGAACCAAGCAGACCACTTCCATCAGATTCAGTCCTTTGAGGTGGATATGTCTAGCAAGCGGCTTCATGATAAGGATTTACATGAACTTGTCTTTGCACGAAGGGTCCCTGAACAGTCAAAAGGTCTGATTCTTCTTATTAAGTACTCTCAAAGCACTTAGATAACCTATTACTAATATCTTCTAGTAACTACCCTCTGTCGAGTCTTTACGAACCAGGATAAACGTATGGCCTATAAGGTAATGTTCCAGAGAGTGTTTGAGCGGATTGAGCAGCTTACTGGGCGGCCTTGCCAATTTGGACCAATTCATAACTGTGGCATATGGGCTGTTGTGGTTGATATGGATTGGAAGCAACGAGATGGTATGTGATTTGCTAATTACTCTCTAAGTGCTTCCGGAGTGCTTATGGTATGATATAGGGTTTGCAGATTACCTATCCTTAATTCCTCCAGCTACACTAGACAGTGGGACTATTGCCCTACAGATGACTGTGTTCTGCCATATCCACTTTCGCCGTGGGATTGATGAACTTCTCCAGCGCCAGCTACAATGTGGTACAACAGAGGATGAGCTTCAGGGGGTACGAACTGCTCTCTATAGGATTAAGGATGCAAAGACATTACAGCTTTTCTATGATATTATTGATACCTTCCTACATGAAGACTGTAAGTGGTTCCTCAGTACTGGCTAAGTGCTTATGCCCTAATTTCTATCTTCCTAGGCTACGGTTGCTTTACTGAGATTGCCAATTGGCTACGGCATAAGAAACAGGTAGCTGTTGCATATGGCCTTTGTCATAACCTTGCCTATTGCCCTCCATCCATCAAGGGCTCATTAGTCCTTAATACAAATGCAGTTGAGCAGACCCATAATAAGGCAAATCTAACAGGCAAATCACTACAGCTATTACCTGCAATTGAGAAGTAAGTATAGGCTCTTTACTAAGCACTAGGAAGGCACTTATCTGATCTTTATATAGTACATTCAAACTTGATTATCGTGATTCATCTGCACATAAAGCCTTCCAGGAATATGGAATTCGTCATCAGTATCGTCAAGGTGGTATGCTACCATCTGCCCAAAAATGGGTTCAGAGACGTATGCTACTTATAAAGATATCCTAATAAACACTATAATACTAATATTTTCTAGATCAATCCAGGGTCCCAATACGGCAAAGAGATTCAACTACCCAGGACGGGGATGGAAACACTGATGTTTCAACAACAGGTGTCCCTAAAAGAGAAAAACCCCGTAAGGGTCAGCAGTAAGTCCAGTACTTCGAAAGCACTTAGGGATTACTTATAAGGTTACTAAAATCCTATAGGAGATCAGCAACTGAACTTCTTGAAGATCAGATCAAAGAAGAAGAACTTCGGGCAAAATACCTAGAGTTAAGAGCAAAGAATCAGGCAAGGGCCTTAGAGTTAGGACTATAGTAAAATAGATTATGGTTTTATGGATAAAAGACTAAAGAATTAGGAAAAAAGTAAAACTTATAATCTTCAAAGATATATATTCTAAATAGCACAACATAACACAATATAACATAAGATGACAGAATCAAATATCAAATATCAAACTTCCTAATACCTACTAACCATTAATCCAATAAATAAAGGCAATTTCTGCTGCATCAGTCCAGTTGAGATTACGAGCATAGTCACAATTCTTAAGTGCAAGGGGGCATCCTGGATAGAATAATCAAGTCAGCACTCCAGAAGCACTTCGGAATCACTTGGAAAATACTTACGGTCTACACTATCAATTCCTGGATCAGCTGCATATGTGTCACAGGGGAACTGGGTAATTCCAATTTCACCTAGCTGTTGCTGGACCTCACTTTGCTTAACCTTTATCCTTGTTTAGTAATGGCCAATAGAGATTATACCACTTTTATCTCTTATAATTAATTCTATCTAACTAATAACTGTAGAAATAAATAAAAGACTTTTTTGATTTATGTACTAAGATAGCGCTTCTAGTCTATAAAAGATCTAGGCAACAATAATATCATCTTCTTCTCTTTGTAACCTTGCCTGTCTTTGATTCCCCTGGTTTACATGTTTCCAATCTACTGTCCCTGATAGATCAAAGAGATCTAGCCATTGACATATCCCATAATTAGCACCACATGCTAATAGGATTTTTAGTCATAAAGCCCTAGAATATAAAGAGAATGAAGCACTTACAGCCACCCTTTCTCTTACTAGTACAAGCAGAACAAGGAAAAGTTGCCTCTGGGTCAATATTAAGAATTATATCCCGTGTCTTCTTCTTGGAGATCTAAAAAAGATATTAGCCAAAGGAGCACTAAAAAAGCACTTAGTATCCAGGGATAGTATACATTTCCATTCTTTGTCAAGGGGACTGGTGGCTTAGTAGCAGAAGAATGAATAGATTGGTTCTGATATAACACCTGATCATCGGATAATGACTGCTGTAGCTGGATATTGATAGTATCTCTTTCATCCTGGGATGGTCCTAGTGAATCAGGAGATACCTGGATAGAACCTACATCCCAAAGCTCCAAAGCCTCTCGATACCATGCTAAAAACCTGTAAGCACTGTGGAAGCACTTAGGGAGTACTGAAAAGACACCCCATACCTCTTATATTCCCTTTCTCAAAATTCGACATGCTCCCAGTGGGCCCATTTGCAATGGGGCTTTCTTGTCTAGGCGGGAAGTGTGATCGAAGATGGGTTCGTAGATTTCGTGTTTCCATGGCATGTGATGACATAGAGCAATCCTTCCAACGACAGAAGGCCTCTCCAGGCTGGACAATGATCTTGCCTTCATCATTCTAGACAGTGTTAGTATCTCTATAAGTACTTCGAAAGCACTTAGAGAAGTCTCCTTTACCTTTTCATAGCCTGTGTATTGTAATCCACCAAGTCTGCCCTTCTGGAGATAGTCCTGGTATGGTTCAAAGCTTTGTAGCCATCTTGGGCCTACTAGACGGTCCATCATGGATAATTGTGTGTAATCGAACGATATCGAGGGTAGGTGATGATAGGGGTGATCAACCTTGATGGTAAGTGCGGACCTAGCGCTTAGTGATAATAATAGCAAGATCTTTGATGATGATAATAAAAGCGGTAAGGATAGGAAAGAAAGCGGTAAAGAAAAGGCGATGGAGAAGGGGTGGAGCACGTGTAATTGAATAACAAAGAAAAATTTCGAGGGTGGGTCCGGAACATCCCGATTAGGTACGGATTTTCCCCAAGTGTACAGGTGAGGTCCCCCAAGTGTTCAGTTGACCTGATTCCTGGTCAACCCAAGACTACGGAGTTATTATGGATACATGTAATTCTAAGTTGCCGCATCACCCCCACTAATGTCAATGCATGTGGCTTATGGATGCAGGATCCATGGATATGGTTTACAACCAATCCAACAGGTCTATACTATCAGGGATTGTATCCACGTGTGTACCTAGGTATTCAAACTAGTACCTAGGTATCTTCAGATCAATGAATGATACCCTAAGACTGGCCCCCGCTGTTATCCAGATAACCAATCCTCAATATCAACACCTCAAATTCCTGCCTTATCAATTTTGGCCTCATTGGACGTTCATAGGTCAAATCGTCATGAGTAAGATTTTAGTCAAAACATTTGAACTCGATGGCGTTTTGACGCAATCTCCAACACAAATAAGTAAAGTTCCTTCTTTAATTACGAGAAAGGCCAGTGATTTATTTTCCAAGAAACTGCTACTAAGAGACTGCGCCCCCCTGCACCCCCACTACCCGCTGCCCAGGGGGTATCGATTTCCTGGGGTTCGAAGATTTTTGTTGCTGCCTGTTGATAGTCACCAATTGGGGACACAATGGATGCTAATATCCGGTTTGTAAGCAACACAGAGGACCGGCGACGTGTTCAGAATCGCCTAGCCCAGCGAAAGTCCCGCGGTGAGTGATCGATATCCATTGTGCTGCGTCGATTCTGTTGCTGATTGGATTACTGATTGTAGAGAGGAGGCGGAGGATAGCAGACAATGCTGCTCTAGAGACGCCTGAAGACCCGAATGGAGCCTTTAGAGTACCATCAAAATCGACGTCAACAGTGCAAATTGGGGACTTCCCGATCAACTCTTTGACTTCGTTCACAAATTCTCACCCTAGAGTGACAGGAGCTTTGTCTCCAAACGAAATCCCGATCGTCAGCACTGAGCCAGAGCCAATAGACAACTTCAATCTCCTTGATATTAAACAGCTCTGGGATCAAATCAACCACGATCTCTCCTTCCCGCCGTCCAATGTGCCGCCTGTCCAGCCAAGCTTGGCACCAGCGAATTTCATCCACAGCAAATCACCCGGTCCTAGTTCACGCAGGACATCCTCTAACAATACATCAAGCAGTTATTCGAGTTCGCATTCTCGATCTGGAGATAGCCCACCAGTATATCGCAGAACATCCGAGCCAAATATTCTCCCGGAGAGCCCACATCCGCAGTTACCCCAATCTCGCAATAACGATAGGATATTGGGACTCATTACATCGGCCAGAGTTGACAAGGGATGGATGAGAATGCTTCACATCGCCGCTCAGAAGGGCCACGAGAGGATTGTCCAAGTTCTTTTACTCTCTGGCAACATTGATGTAAACCAGCAAGATAGCGACGGTCGGACACCCTTAATACACGCGATCATTGAGAACCACGATTCTGTAGTCCGCGTGCTACTCTCTCACGGTGCTCGAATAGGCGTGTATGATCGTGATGGTCGCTCGGCACTGCACTGGGCTGTTTTATATCAGCGGCGCGAGATATTCCAGCAATTACTCGAGCATCGCGCCAAGTATGAATTGAGCTTGGACCTTGATGCGTACGACAATGATGGCTGGACCCCATTGCATATGTCCGTGGATAGAGCTTTCGAGACTGGAGTCTTGATGCTCCTCCAGGGAGGCGCGGACATCAACGCTAAAGTACACAAATATCCGTATACGGGCAATGCTGTGCCATTGATGGATCAACAGCGATAAAGCGTGATGGGGCGTCCAGTGCGGCAAGGGGCGGCGATTCCTTGTCTTCAGTTTCTACGCGTAGACCATCGGTGGTCTTCCTCAGCTCCGAGTCAATCCTACACATCCTATTCCCCGTCACATTGCTCCTCCTCATGCCCTCTATAGACCAGTGTCCCTTCACTGCGGAGTTGCAGAAATTTACAATTTTCTTTCGTGCTCAACAAAACCACCCGTCCCTGGAATAATACGAAAGATCGGAGAGCGAGCGCCGCGACCTTTGTATGGTAGCGAATACCTAGTGTAGCCGCTGTTCATTCCTTCATTACCGGTGGAAGTATTCTCCGCCCGGTCACAGTACTCGAGATCAATTGATGCTAATGCTAATATTAGGATAGTTTGATAAAAGACCGCACAGCGGCTAGATTGGATTACCACGCTTCTTCTACAACTCTCTTTTCCTATCCCCATGGGTGTCTGCCTTGGTCTCACCTGCAGTGCTGGTGGTTATTCTGTGTCGATCGTCCAGCGCTCTTCTGTGAGCGAATGCTTACCAGTGTTTACCACTTCCTAGGTATTATTTAACATGTGGCATTCCAACCTCGAAAGGTTTGCATTGTTTCGTATACTTGCATATCTCCGGTCCGTCTATGCATAAATTCTTCCGCAATCTCAACCTTCCATAAACACATAAGCACTCAAACAAGAATATGTGGGGAAGGGCCCTCGATAAGCTGTTTCTTGAGTCTTAGCCTTCTTAGCCCGGAGTCGAGACTCGCTCCACATGAGCTCCACAGACAAGGTTTTCTAGGGAAAAAAATCCCATAAGGGAAAAAAGGGGGGCTCTAAGTTCTACCATTGGCGTAATGAGATGGATTGAGTTTTGTTTGTCTGCCTTGTTTGTCACCACTTTATATTTCTTTCAGTCACGTTCTTGTTTCCTTTCCTCCTCTCTTTTTCCTTAACTTTTTCCTTAACCTTGTTCTTCTTGTCAAAAGGACCGAGTACACTCTTTTTCTTTTCGATTGCCATTACATTAGAACAAGTTTCCTTCTTTCTCTTTTCGTCAGATTTAATTGCAGTTTCTCTATAGACTTGTAATTCGCTCTAATGCCCCCTTACGACTTCTTGAAACCCTCGAATCACCCCAACTTGAACTCCAGCAGAATGACTACCTATGCCGCTTCGAAGAAGGCGGCTCTAACCAACTAGGAACAACCTGAATCTTGACTAATTCCTCTGATTATGGAGGGATCATAACCCCGAACCCTGTAACTAAAAACCCTGCTTTATTCCTCTATTGAATGTGATGAGCAGCGAGAATTATTTGAGGTACTAAGAGAAACCCCTGCTAAGGATTGATTTAATAAGATGCTGGACGATACCGTTTCTTAAAAGCTGACTTTGACTAGTATTTAAACGAACGAGACTAAGTGATAGTAAGCTTTAAGGATCTATAGGATTGCAATAACTAGACATCTTCAGGACCCAAGACCCAACCCAGAACCCACGTCTGGATACCCATTGGGGCCCCAAAGAACCCCAATTTTGAATAAAAAAGAGGCCTTGGCATACATAATAATCCTGCCAAGTCATCAAATTAAAATACTGTTTTTTACACCTTTTCTTGTTTGCCTACTAGAATCTTCATGACTGTATATGTCAGCAAGTTTGGCTGATATTCATTCCGCGATCAAACATTCTGTTGCGAGATGAATAAGATCAGTATATGTTTTCCTGATCTCTGAGGATCAGAATGATAAATATCCAGCACATCATGTTTGGTTCTATCTTTCGGGTTTGATTATATCATCCTTTTCTCTTTGTTTTGGTCCGATCTTTTATCGCATTCTTTTGTCCGATCCCCAGTTTGATCGGAATCTGTGGTCCTCGGTCGCATCCTTTGGGTTCAATAGATACAACTTATGCGGACACTGAGGGAATATTGGTTATTCTTCAGAATCTGAGACCAAAGGTCTCAATTCTTGTTTTGTTTGACGCTTATTTGTCTTTTCACCTGATCATTCTTATAATGTTCAGATTCCTAGTAGCTGGTTTAGCATCGAATTCAAATTATTTACCCTGACTGGTACCTTTGATTGTCTTTCCTGCCATTCGGTCTCATATTTTCCTTTAGTCTAATTGCTGAGCCCCTTTGGTCGTACATTTCCAGGGTTTAATACCCATTTAGTCCAAACGTTAATTCCTCCGTTTGCAGTTTGCAGTCTTGTGAGCCCCTTTAATCAGCTGATATTTTCCACCTCATGCTGAAAGTGGTAGCTTTGGCTCTTATAACAATAACTTCTACCTTGACCCTTATTGGTATTCCATCCCACTAGAAACTTAAGCTGGACGTTTGTTTGATAGATTATAGTTCTAGATGGGGATATAATTATTCGAATATATAACGGTGCCTTTATAATTATATGGTGCTTTAAAGAGATCGCTCATAAGCTCTTTATAGGACAAGAAAAGTATAACTATCTGGTCAGTGTAATGGTTTAAGGTATTCATTGGCATTACTAGTACTTTGTCTCTTGTCACTTTATTAATAATACATTCCTAGGGAACTACAATGAGACTATACAAGTTGGTTATTGCTGTGACATATATATTATTAAATATCCTTTACCGGATAACATCATCATTACCATAAAGGTTACTTTGGGACCTATCTCGTTATAGGTGCGACTTGGTGACACCGAAACACTTACAAGGTGCGCATAAAGTTAAAGAAGATATATCTAAGCCAAGTTTCACACGAGGCCTATGGTTTGTAATTCAAGCCACTAGAGAAATCAAATGGGTCACTGTCAGTGGGGCGGCCCCGAGGACGACCGCTTGGGAGACCTGGCTGCGGCTAGCAAAGGATAATTGTGAGAATCCGAATTGGAACGTTGTTGCTGAGAAGGATGGGTTAATGAAAGAGGCACGTCAAGGATTTGAGGCGCCAGCATCCCTAACTGCTCGTCAATAGACTGCTTAACATAGGGAAGGCGTTTCGATCGAAGCCATCTAGGTCATGGCAAAAGACGATCATGTGTAGCAAGCATAAATTGGATAAAAAAGACATTTCTTTCCAAGGATCTGCATTTGAATTGTTTGAGTGGCAGTAAAAGATTGGTATTTTAAGGAGTGGTATGATTTTATAATTGTAAATTAACTATCAGAATGAGGAATGGATGTACTGACTACTACTGAGTATATCCACTGGAATTAGATGATTAGGTGATTGAATAAAGGTATTTAGATCGTTTGATCAATCTTAGAGGTCTATATCTATCTATGGCGTGGGATCTATCTATTAGTTTATTCATTTATTAAATAGGCTTTTCACTTAATCTTTCTAACAAAGCAAAAGATAAACTAGACCTATCTTAAAGATCCCCAGAAAATTGGCCTTAAATCTTGGAATCACTGTACTAGATCAAGGATACCCACAGGACTATAGTTGTGAGATAGGTGATCACTTCTTAATAGAAGCCGCTTTTAACTTCTCCATATTATCCAACAATTTAATCCTAAGCTTTTGGCTCATGATCTACAAATTTTACCTCTTCTAGTAACCCTCAGGACACACAGCAATAACCTTTATCAAAACGCTCATCGAGAGCCTAAACTCGAGTAGACTGACCGGTGCCTGCATGGCTGGGGGGAAGTATACGACTACCAGATCCACCTTGCTCTGCTTATCGAGCTCCCACAGGACCTGCTTGCGATATGGCGCAAAGTTAACATCTTCGCTCCATATCCTGTCCCAATCTGCGTGGTAAGAGAGTTGTACTAGTAGATGGTGACTGGATGTTTGGAGAGGGAAAATGAGAGGGATTCGCGCCAATTGGCGGTATCGACTTTGTTGGTAGTGCCTGTGAAGAAGACGGACTTGACGCCACGGGGAGGCTCCTCAGAAGGTGCGTACATGACCTGGCTTGCCTGCACATGTGACTAGCAGCCATTCTTAAGATGTTACGAGAGACGGGTATAGTTAATAAAAAAGAAGCCAAGAAGGCCAGATGACGCATCATAGGTGATGGCGTTGAACCACCTAATATTTGAAGAGCGCAGTCGAATGGGCGATAGTGAGTGATTTATACAAGAAGGAGACCCGCAGGGCAAACGCAGCGAAGAGTCACATCTGAAGCTACTGAAAAATATTTTCCCTATTGAATTTTTGTGGAGTGTAACATTTGAAGATGATAATTTCTGGAGATGATGATTTTTGGAGATGGTAAACTGGGGGTAGCGCCTAATTTAAGCCTCTGTAAAGTGTCAGCTGCGTAATATTCCAGCGATATGAATATTCTCAAGGATGAATTTTACCGTTCACTATTATCCAGGAGGTTGAAAAATTTCAGCACACAACAATTGAGTGCAAAAAATGTTGTAGACTATTAAATCTTTTAGATCTCTAAAGTTAAGCGCCGACAGTGTTAGGCCCGGCGGACATAAGCTTGCGCATTGCTACAATGCGAAAAAGCGCTTCGTGGAATTGAAAAAAGTTACAAAAATACTGCTCGCCGAAATGCTTTAGTCCCGAACTTTTTCAATCCATTCTTGCAAGAACTTGAAATTGAAATCATTCTTTCAACAATTTACCATCATTGCCAGCGGGCGTTCTCTCCACTAGGATTGCCCGGCAAACAGGACTTATCGGTGTATATATCACCATTGTACCTTGGTCCCACGGGAAAACACATAACGTTCAGTCTGCCTAGGTATCTGGCTACATCCTTAAAGTGAGAGGGAATATACCACTATCTCCTTGGATCGGGCTAACAGTATCCTGATGCCAAAACCCATGAGCCACTGGAAAGTGACGATGAGAAAGCTTTAAAAGGTCGCTAACACCATTTGGGTACACATATATGGTTTCCTTTCTATTGGGATTACTGACAGAGCTTGCTCCAGGGTTCATGGTTGTGGTGGATCTTATTCCAAATCTACTCTTGTATGGAGTGTGGTAGAGCTATAAGGGTTTATAGCTAACAATTTGGTAACTTTATGATCTGACATTCCAGGAT